TAAGACAGGATAGCATGGGGCGGGATATGATAGGATAGGGGGGGCAATGGAATACTTTCGACCAGAGGTGTTTAATGATGGTAACTACGGACTTTCGTTTGGAATATTGGGTGCGGGCTAGGTAGCACGTATTGTACACACTAGATACACATTGGTTTTAGCCACACACTTGACAAATTCAAGAGAATTCCGAGGTGGCAATCTGACTTTTCAGTCTTTGCGGTGAAGGTGAGCCTTTCGGTATTGGGCGGCCCCGTGGGTTCTGCAGTAGTTCCAGAGAAGGGCCTGATCCTGGTGCCTGACTAGGTGAGACGCGAGATGGACGATTTGACCAGGAGAGAGAACGAGTGAGGAGACTAGGAGTAGTGGAGAAGAAGGAGGAAGCCACACGGACGGGGAAAATGGTTTGAACAAGCAGCGAGCCAATCGGGACGTCTAGGCATGGCCGGAGCTACATGTATAGAAGCTGGGTGACGGCATAGGGTCAGGTCGTAGGTTGGGCTGCCACCATGCAGAGATGGGGGCCCTTCCCCCAAGAACAGGAGATGGTGTGAAAGAAGGCGCGTGAGTGTGCGTCTATGAGCGCGCGCTAACGTGAGGCGTGGAATACCTAGTTGGCAGCATGGGACGGCATGGGTTGGTAGGTACTCTGCTTGGATGTGTTTGTGAGTTGTCCTGAGGTGTGCAGGGACATGTATGTGTTTGATAGCAATATTAACTGCTTAGGTACTGTTCCCTATTATCGGGACAAGAATGGAGTTGATAACATAACACCCCTATTACCACGAATACTTTATGGAAGCATGATGATACCTTTATTAGCTGGTACCCTGCGAGCGGTATTTGACGGGCGGATATTAATAGGTCTGCGGATAGTATCGGACTAGTTTGTGGTATGATGTGAGAGACGATGGACGGGATCTGTTGGCTGAGGCGAGCGGAAGGAAGGGAAGAGGAAGGGGAAGGGAAGGGAAGGGGGAGGGGGGTGTGAAGTTGAAGAAAAGGGGGGAAAGGAGAGGGGCCACGGAGAAGAGGAGTGAAAGAGAAAAAGTATGAGAAAGAGACAAAGAGAGATCTATGGGAATATTGCTAGAATGTGTGGGAGAAGTAGTTCTACCTGGTACAAACGAGTAGGTGTATGGTATGCTCGCGTGTGTGTCCATTTACCCCGGATTTGCTAAGTGGGTGGGTGGGTATCAGTTGCGGACTTGGTGAATAAAAAGAGAGAGGGTATAGCCACATATGTACCTACTACTAGTAGCATTGTTCGTACTTTAGCGCCTGTATGAGGACGGGGTAGTAGTTGGGTATGCAAGCAAAGGGATGGGACCGAAAGGCACTACCTGTATGTAGGAGGCGTGGGTGGCTGTACCGTGGCAAAGTTGCATAAAGTATTGTGATTGTGTGAGTAGATGCGAAATGAAACAGGCTTTGACGAGGAGAGAGACGAAGTGAGGTGGTGTGTGAGAACAAATAGTACTACTAGGCAGTCCTACTTACGCGTTGGCATCCATGTACATGTTGGTGTCATTACACATACCTACTCCATAAACTAGTAATTACCTTATTACTAACTGTTTGAAATCCAAAACAGAGAGAGAGGCAGAGACAGAGACAGAGACGGCAGAGCAGGGCAAGGAGAACTAAACTACGACTAATCTGGCAACAAGACCAAGTTGCACGGCAACTAACATCTACGTAAGATTCAAGTCGTACTAAGTTAGCCCTGGAGTCTGCATAAACCTAAAGCGCGGAAACGATTCCACAGTTATTTTGGAGAAATCCGCAGTACTAGTCGGCTTTTTCTTCTGTCTCTCCAAACTGCTATATCTTATATACTTTGGCTTTGGTTGTGGTTTAAGTAGGGATGTGTGCGCATGCGTGTGTCTAAGTACACATATCGAAACAAAATTGGTGTCATCTTCTCCTTAAAATTTTAAAATTGAATTTTCTACCCTTTATTTCTTTTCGTTATTTCTCTTTTCTTTTTTTTTTCTTCGGGGGGGGAAAAATATCTCCGATTGGTAATTGTGGGGTTGTGAATAGACAAGGGAACTGTCAGCTTTGCAGATGGAGAAGTCGATTTGACGGGAGTTGATAAGGGACTCAACCAAAGGGCTTATGAGGCATGGGTTGTACCGCGCAAGTACCTACTGCCTAGGTACATGGATTTCCTACACCTCGTACAGGCTGTGCACCACTACGAACTGTACCTTGTATAATAGGTACGCAAGCTAGGCGTTAAGAGCACATTGCATGTATATCTGCTTATGGTAGGCACCAGGGAGGCAAATGCATCTTGAATGGCAACAAAAAAAAAAAAAAGGAGGATTATGCTGTGACATTCCAAACAAGCATGGGATGGATGAAAAGTTGGTCCGGGTCAACTGCATTCACGCCCGGCAGTCCATGCAGACGGACAGCTAAGCAGGCAAGACATGGGAGAAAAGAAGCAACAAGAAATATATCGTTGCCGCGGTTGCCTGTGCCTGGTGCCAGCTTCGGCCCCCAGTTCCAGGGGACTCGACGGCCAGCAATGATGCTCAGCAAGGAGCGGCATGGTAGCACAGAGGATGAATACGCGGCGTGCAGATGTCAGAAAAGGACAGGGTTTCCTTTGGCCTATACCTAGTCCCTGTCCCAGCTACCAGGCAGTAGCGCGGCCTGGATCAATTCGGGTTGCCATGTTTACAATGCGTCTACGGTATGTACGCTGCGCTTGATGGAAATGCTACAGTACGGGGCAACGGGGACGGCAGCAGGATTTCGAGGGACGTGGACGTCGCGGGACGTGCATGGAAGTAGGCAGTATGACATCAACTCTGTGTTAGTTGCTGTGCTCTGTGATCCACTCGGCTTTGTCTGGTGTAGATAAGGATGAAGGTTGAGTCTTTCTTTATAGGCGTATGTATAGCTGGATCCGGAATACCAGGCAGAGATGTTTAGTAGTATAGAGAACGGGAAGGAGAAATTCTCATCAAGGTAGCACAACATATAGTGTATTACATGCCCGGTTCTTTGTCAGGGAGTTTCGGATAATGCTCCTCCAATGAGTCAATCCAGCAGCACTCCCGTTTATCTGCCTAATCACAATGGCAGCACCAAGTAAAACGTAGTGCTCTGACTAATAACGCATCTGTGGAGACAAGGTTATCCTCGCTTTGGACGTGCGTGAGCCGTTGGTTATCGAGTTGGCATCTCTATCTGCCTGTACCTAGGTACCCCGTAATATTACCAAGCTGTTTTCTTTTCTAGCCGAGGCTCTCTGTTGAATTTACACTGACACGAAAAGTCACTGCTCTTCCTCTGTATAATGGGCTGTATTGAACCACAAGCCTGGCATGAACGCCTGTGTTTCCGCAAACAAGGGGCCTAGGCTATTGTTCGGCTGAATAAAAAAGACCGGAAGAAACAAGTGATGGCTGTGTGGCTGGGCCGCTAGAGAAGACTTGAAGTAAGAGAAATAGAGAAAGTCGAGAGGAGAGAGGCAGTCGAAATGCGGGGACTTGCGCCAGGCGGCTGGTTCAGCCTGGGAGAGGGGCCTCGATCTCTATCGCGCTGCTCTGTGCTCTTATCAACTGCTCTGTGCTCTGCTAGCACCACCATCTATTGCCCTATACGGGCACTCTTAGCACCGGTTGCTCGTGCTAGCAGCGTGCAAGGCGCTAAATACAGTGAAGTTGTCAGTGCCACTTGCAGCCCGCCGCCGCTAAACTGGTGGTGCTCTGCTAGCAGGTACGCGCGACGTCGGCGTGCCCCCCCGCCATTGACAAGTACCCGCTGCGCCGAGCCTCGCTGGTGCCGTGGGGTTCGCTATCTGAAAGGGCGCTACTTGGTGCTTTTATCGCGAACTACCAACTACCCACCATCTTTTTTCCCCTTCTCCCAAGCAACTACATCACATACCTGGTCTCTGGCTTTCTTTTGCCCTTCTCGATCCGACGGTGCTGAGGCTGCATCTCTCCCTGTCCTTGTTCTATCCCGTACGGCCTGTCCTGTCGCGAGCGCAAAACAGACTGTGATTCGGCCTGCATTGTCGGTTTCTGCATCCCTCAACTGCATATTATCCCATCCGGGGAAGCTTCCCGAGCCGCCTCTCCAGCCTCTGAGCTCGACGTGCCTGGGGCGTCTGTTCCGCACCCTCTGGTTTTGCAACGCTCAACGTGCTTTCGGTTATGCGCTGCGACCGAAACGCCTCGATTCATGGATGGTTGATTTGATGTTTATTGCCTGCCACCCTTCGCTTGCTGCGCTGTCGACGTGCCGTCAAATCCGGCAGCACTAGGAAGTTTGGTTTCGACAGCCGCCTAGTTTTGATACGTGGCCGAACTTCGGCCTTTGCTGGAATCTGGACGATGGGATAGCGGAGCAAGGGAAGCCGAGCATAGGATTGGCCAGCTGTTGAAGATTCATAAAAAGAAAATATACGAAGGGAGGGAGAGAGAGAAAGAGAGAAAGAGAAGCAAGTACGGAGTAAAAGGGAAAGAGAGAGGAGAATTTTCTTCCATATAGACAGGAAATTGCGCAACAGAAATTGCAAAAGGGCCAGAGGTGAGTCGAATCAAATCGAGTCTCTGTGTTCTGCATGCGCGCTGTCCCACCTCCCCCGCTGGATAAGCTGCGATCTGACTTTCGACGTGTCTGTCCGATTTGCCCATCTAGGCCGAGAACTGCTCCCCTTGTCACAACTACCACCCGCCTGACCTGGTTGTCTGCGTAAGAGCACCAGAGAGACGGGAAGAAGAGGCAAGGGATAAGAGAAAAAAAACCGGAGACGGCATCTGTATCAAGTTGTGTATACTCGTATGCAAGCTGCTGCCGCCGCGACCCTCTCTTCTTCTCCTTCCCTAGACTCTTCACTGGGATCTTTTCTCTCTTCTCTTCCCCCCCAGAGGATCTAACGCCGCACCCCCCGACCCCAAGTCTCGCCAGCAGCTCGTCTCGTTGGGGGACCAACCGTCAGCCTAGCACGACCAACCTTGCCTCATTGCTCCTAAGCCATGCCCACGCATGGCCCGCCGTCTCCGATCCTCCAGAAAAGCGTCAAGCGTCAGCGGCAGGACTCGTACGACGGCACGTCATCGCGCAACGGCTTCTCGAGCCCTGAGCAGCAAGCCGGCGATGCGAATCTGGGAGGGGCTGCGAGGAGCACCACCAGCGGTCGCAGCGAGGCCAGTACCTCGGCTGCTGTGTACCCCGGCGCCTCTGTCTCATCTGCCTCTGCCTCTGCCTCTGCTGCGCCAGGCCCCGGCCCCGGCCCCGGTCTCGGTGCGGGCGCAACTGACGCTGCTGGTGTTACGGCTGATGGCAGCACCGCCTCCACAACCACCACCACGGCTGCTGCCGCTGCCGCCGCTCCCGACGGCCTTGCGCCGACTGGCAAGCCTGGCCAGAGCAGCAACTTTCGCAACGTGAGCGCGTGCAATCGCTGTCGACTGCGCAAAAACAGGTGCGATCAGAAGCTGCCCAGCTGTGCAAGCTGCAGCAAGGTCGGCGTCTCTTGCGTTGGCTATGACCCTATAACCAAAAAGGAGATTCCGAGAAGGTGAGTGGATAACGTTGGCAGAACTCACACGTGAATCATGCGTTGCGAATTCTTTCTCTTCATCCGAGTCATTGAGTTTGCTTGTTTGCATTCCCCTGATTTCGGCTCCAACTGTTTGTGTATAACGTTGCTGACCATGATACCCGCAGCTATGTCTTCTATCTTGAAACCCGCGTGGAGGTGCTGGAGAAGCTCCTGGAATCCAGCAATATCCCGTTCCCGCCGGCAGAAGATCTCGACGTATGCTCCCGCCCTGGAGCAGACGGCAGCTTCCCGGCCGTACGAGATACTACCAACTACTCCAGCCACTCGGAATACGCAGATCACCGCACCCCGCGGCCTCACAGCCACCATGGCCAGAGACTGGATGGTGCGATGCTTCCAGCCAAGAAGCAGGGCGACCAGAGCCCTGCCATGATGAATATTGTTAGCTCATCGAAGCCGCGATCGCTTGCCTCTACATCAGGTGTCTCGTTTGCCCGTGTTGTGCTTGCAGCCGTCCAGTATTCGGTTCCAGACCAGAATGGCGGCTCAGAGAAGCCTGTTTCTTCTCATCACCCGAATCCGGCTGGGGCCGGTACTTCTATGCGCGACTCTTTCTTCGGGCTACATACCCGGCCCACCATCCAACCGGCCACCTTTCCGACCCGGGACGTGGCTATGCGTCTAGTGACACTTTACTTTGAGCACGCAAATCCGCAGATTCCCATTCTGCACCGCGGGGAGTTTATGCGCACCTTTGAGCGGGCGTATGCAACCGATGGCCCGGATCTTAGCGCGAGGGAACTGTACATGCTCAACATGGTCTTTGCCATTGGCTGTGGTGTCATTGTTGGCGAGCCAATCAAAGCAGAGGCTTCCAGTGGTGGTGGACTGTCGTTTCAACGCAACAGGAATCAGTGCCAGCCGGAGGAGTACCATGCAAGCGCAATCGTCCACCTGGAAGAGTGTCTCAGCAGCAGCGGAGGTGGGCTTGAGGTGCTGCAGGCCGTTCTTTTGCTTGCCAACTTTGCACTTCTCCGACCAGTTCCGCCTGGCCTATGGTACATCACTGGCGTGGCAGTGCGTCTTGCGGTTGATCTTGGCCTCCACCACGAAGACGGAGGGGATGTAGGCAACGGCGGTGGGCAGCATTCCTCTGGCCATAATCGCCCTGATGGTTCTGTAAACGAACCGCGGGACCCCAGCGGTGGTGGCCCTGACCGACCGAGGCGTCTTTGGATCCGTGACATGAGACGGCGATTGTGGTGGTGTACTTATTCGTTTGACCGGCTTGTAAGCACCTGCGTTGGTAGACCGTTTGGTATCAGCGACCATGTCATCACGACCGAGTTTCCTTCCATTCTTGACGATGACTTTATCACACCCAATAGCTTTGGTAGTCCACGCCCATCCAGCGAAGAGCCGAGCTACAAGCGCGTGGCTCACCATTATTTCAGGCTGCGCATCCTGCAGTCGGAGATCCTTCAAGTCCTGCAATATAATCAGGCGCAAATCGCCAGAACTGGAGCCCAAGCGAGGACACTCTACCCTGAGATGAACAGACAGCTGCCATCCCCGTATCTTGTCCAGTTTGACTCGTATAGATCATGGCGAATTGACATTGACCGGAGGCTTCGTGAATGGAAGGACCAAGCGCCTTCAAAGCATGAAACCGGGGTAGCATTCTCGACCGAGTTCCTGGACCTCAACTACTGGCAAGCCATTGTGCTGTTGTATAAACAGAGCCTGAGTATCCCCGCCATGTTTGAGGGAGAGTATAATCCCTCCAACGAGGTCAACAGCCCTACGGCCTTTACTGCCGAACTGCGAGAAGATGAAGAGCGCATATACCTCAAAGTTGCTGAAGCAGGGCAAAAGATTCTGCGGATATATAGACAGCTGCATCTGAGCAGCCTCGTAAGCTACACGTATCTGTCTACCCACCATTTGTTCATGGCAGGCATATCATATCTTTACGCTATATGGCACTCTCCTACTGTGAGAAGCCGCCTGGTAAGTGCCCCCGTGTTGCCTCATCTCTTGAAAGGGAGAGTTCTGGAAAGGAGCTGGATCGCTGACTTGAGTACCCAACGTATAATAGACTATGGATGAAGTAGACTTTACAGTGCTGGCAGCAAAGTCGGTATTCACCGACATGATTGACAAATGCCCACCGGCAGAAACTTGTCGCGACGCTTTTGATCGAACCGCCAAGGCCACCATCCAGATGGCCACGTCGAAAGGCGGCTTTGGTTCGCCCGTCATGCAATCGCGGCGACCACCCACTCGAAGAGAGACTACTAATTGGGCTTCCCCTACGCCTTCAGATGTCACGTCCAAGAGGCCGCCGGCGCCTCGACACCGGCATCCATCCCAGCATCAGTATCAGCAGCCTGAACAACACCACCATCAGCAGCACCAGCAGCAGTTCCAGCTTGACATGGCAATGGGCGACAGCTTATCCTCACCCAGCCTCTCAACCGGTGGAGATATGGCCACGCCACCAGTGACAATGGCTCACTCACACAGCCTTGGCCGACCAAGCCCCTCGCGGCGAACAGGCAGCTACGACGACGGAAGCTCCGTGGTCGACCAATCAATGATTGCCTCGCCTGCTGTGCCTCGCCAGGCCACGCCCAGCAGCACCAGCGGCGGGAACCCGTTCCTGACTCCACAACCCCAGCAGCAGCAACAGTTTGGGATGCACGAGTACCCGGATGCACAAACAATGGACTTTTTGCAGACACTGGGCACTGGGTCCAATGGCGGTGGCTTTGGAGGCGGCATGGACCAAGGCCAGATGGACTTTGGCTTTGGCCTGAACTGGGAGGGCATGCACAATGACTACGCAGAGGCATCGTCGTCGGCGATGAATCCCTTTGATTCGTTCTTCTTTGGCGGGCCTCAGGGAGGGAATGCCGCATTTGGTGGATCGAATGGCTCTGGCGGACAGAATGACGGGAATGATATGGGATCGACGGGAAGAGGAAGAGATGGACCGGACGAGAGATCGATGGACTTGTGAGAGGATGACTATGATTTATTTCTTTTTTCTAAAGAAACATATATGTGCATACCCAATAGTTTGCTGTTTAGCTTTGTATTTATTTTTTGCGTTGTTTCATTTTTTTTCTTTTCCGGGTTTATATGCATGGAGGATTACTGTCTTGATGATATCTCGGGACTATTTTCGTTTTCATTTTCTTTATTCTTATTTACGGATATATGGATGGAAGAGCTACGAGTGACTGCATCTGGAAACAGAAATATACCTCATTTGAGGGTTTACATAAACATATATGCACATATTCGCAGATTCATAGCTACATCTCACACATGAGCGTATAAATTGTATAGTGTATTAATGTTGGATGTGTAGTGGAAACATCGAATTGCGCCATCCAGCATAGGTACTTGTTCATTCATCATCGCTAATATGCTCGTTTGCCTAAGAAAAATACGCCAATAGTAACTATTCTATTAAATTGATTTGAACAAGCGCCCGACATAGCATCATCATCATCATACATTGCCTGCAACATAAAGAGACAAGGGAAAAAAAAGATACAGAAAGAGGGAATAATCATCAAGTGCCAACTGTCAAGTGGCAGTTTAACGGCGGTATCTTCTGTCGTCGTCTTCGCTGTAGCCGGATCTCCGGCTGCTCGATCTTCTCCCCTTGCCCGTGTTCCTCGACGGACCGGCTTTGTGGCTGTGCCGTTTCGAGGACGGCGTAGTCTCTTCAATGACAACCACTTCATTCTCCTCGTCGTAGTCGGAGGGTAACTGGTCTCTTGGTGCTCGGCCGGGTGCCCCAGAGGACGATGAAGTGATGGTGGTCAGTGGTGACGGCTCCCTCTTTCTCCTCATGGGCTCGACTACTTCAGGCGCTTTCCCTCTCCTCTCAGCCCTGCGCTTGGTCGTCTTCGTGGTGCGTTCTCGTCGGATCGACAGCATTGTGGGTACTTTTCTCCTGGGTTTCTTGGTCTTTGGGCGTGCCGAGCTCAGCATGCTTCGTGAGACATACGATTTGGTCTCGACAACTTCCTTGGTGCGGAAGAGGCTGGAGAGCGGGCCAAAGCCGAGGATGGTGTACAAGATCAGCAGCAGCAGGATGAAGCCGGCGGCGGAGCCGATGACAACGCCGACGATGGCGCCGGTCGAGAGGGAGCTGTGAGTAGCATTGTACGTCTCGGGGATGACGACGAAGGTGGGTGACTCTTGCTGGCGAGCGACGAGGGTGGCGGCGTCGCTATCGATTGCTCTTGTTGGAAGCGATGAAGAGGCGGCAAAGGCTGAGAGCTGGGGGGGTTTGGCAAGCTCGCCGATCGGCCGTCGTGGAAAAGGCGGCAGAGCAGGCATGTTGTTTTCTCTCTCTTCTTTTTCCCTCCGCCTGTCTGTCTGCCTGTCTGTCTCTGTCTACCGAAACGCTGATGGGTGCGCGAAAGCACCAATCTAGCTGACGGTGGATTTGTGTATCACAGCTAAGCGCTGGAGACGGCAAGACAGAGAGACACCAAGCGGGGCGAGAATCAAACGGCGAGAAGAAGAGAAAAAAAGAGAGCCGAAGTGCTGTCGTGGGGAGAGAGAGAGTAAAAAAAAAAAAAAAAAAAAAAGAGCCTCGAGAGCCCAAAGCGAGATCGGGTACGGTGAAGAACAGAGATAGACGAATCGATGCGCGCTATGCAATGCAACGAGGGTCCTCTCAGTAGGATGACGATGACGATGACGATGGGCTGTAGTTGTCCAGCAGCTGCATCATGTCGCTTTCAGGGGTCCGCTGGTTTCCTTTTGTATGCCTCGCTCACCAGGGCATGTTGTTGGGAATCTCGAAGACAGCCAGCCAGCCGAGTAGGTGAGTGGGTGGATGCGTAAGCGAACAAAGAAAAAGTTTGTTCTTTGTTTCCCCTCGCCTCGAGAATTTCTGCTTGCTGGGGTCAGTTTGTTGGCTCGAGCAAATCCTCACAAAGCCAAGCTCAGCCAAGGTCAGGCACAAGGTGGGATGGATGGGCGGCAACGAGCCGAGACTAGAGCAGGAAAAAAAAGGCGCCCAGCCACCCGCAGACGCCAAAAGGTGCGCCCAGCCACAGCATTTTTTCTGTTTGGTGGAGGTGGAGTTGAGGCCAAGCTGAGGTGGGACAGACGGAGCTGAAAGCCGCGGAGCTTCTCAGCCGAGACGGAACGAACCATGTCGAGAGCCTGCACACGCGGGACGGGAGAAGAATGGCTTTGATTGCATCTTTGCAAACAAAGTCGGCATTATGATGATGGAAATTTGTGGTTTGTTTAAGCGAAGCTACTGCTTCTCCAGGAACGAGCTCGGGCCGGGCCATGAGTGCGCCGCGGCACCGGATTATAGTTTCGTCGGCAGCCCACGGCGTCCCTTGCGTGTAGCTACCGTAGAGTTGCCTGTTGACAAAGTTGCTTGCATGTAACTTTAGTACTACAAGCCGGGTCAAGGTGATGAGAATTGAGCGGCTTGCATCACTTTCCGCGACGAGGGGCGTCGCTGTAGACGGCAAGCATTGCTCAATATACGATGCCGGTTTCAGGCAACATTGCGCTGACCACCAGATCCACTGCATTTCACGGCCCCCGAATCTCGATAACACCCTTCAAGGTTTAGAAACTCTGGGGGGATTCCGCTCACGGCAGAATGTTAGCAAGGCTTCTTCAAAAAACCCATTTCGTGATGGAGTTTTATCCGAAACCGTGGACAAGGAAGGCAGGCGTGATTACAATCAGGAATTATACCAAATTAGAGGCGAGAGGCACCTCTGTGACAAGAATACTACATCACCCAATCGACAGTGTGTCCAGAGACGACCAATCTAGTGACTTGGAGGAAAGTTGGTGCAGCATTTGGATTAGTGGATGCTGGTAAAGAGTATAGTATCGATCGAGTTGTCGAGAAAGCTAATGAGAGAGCGAGAGGGAGAGAGCGCAGCCAAAGCTCAAACCTGTAGCCAAGAATGAAGATGGTCTTGTTAGCGTGGAAAAGGAGTAGCAAGAGACAAGATCTGGAGACCTCTGCATTCATTATTGCACCTGCTTTCATAGAGGTGGTAGCCATCTGAAGAGGCGTAGCTGAGAGACAATCTGGAGAAGAGGAAGCTGAGCAATGCCGGATGAAGTGTCTTCATATACGATATACTGTTGTATTGGTTACTGCTTTTGCACAACTTTTGAACAAAGTCATTATTGTGAAACTTTTAAACACTGGAAGAACTGGTCAATTCGCCACGTTGGCCACGATACGCGTAACTAGATGTGACCAATACCAAAGTACATGCAGCAGCTTCACTGCCCCAAGCATCCTTCTAAAGTGGTGCAAAGTCTGTTTCAGTCCGAAAAAGCCATACCATGTATGACTTGTTGGGTCCCGCAACGCACAGCTTGTGCTTTGTCTTGTCTGCCGGTAGATGCAGCTTCTTGCCAAAATTCAACGCATGGGAAAACTCTCCATCCGTGATTGTGCAGCCAACACATGGATAGAGTGGCAGCAACTCTCCGCTTCCGCGAAGCCATTCCGCTGCTCCAGGGCGCAGTTGACATAGTCTGGCGTTGTAGTACTATTCAAGTAAATATCACAAAGGTAATCTAATCAGCGTTGCGGTCCAAATCATACGTACCCCTCCATTCAGGCGTAATGGATATACCAGTTTATCTAACACGGCAAACTTGCTGGGCTTGTCAGGAGCGTCGTCCCACGGAACGTCTGGGTTGAGAGCAAGCCAGCTGAATGCCGCAGACACAACCTTGTCTTCTAAATAGGTGACACTTGTTTCATACATGTCCTTTTTGGTCGCGTCCTCCATGGTTGTAAATGAATATATATCGTGTAGTCCGGAGATGGGTAGGTACCAAGTCAGGTACATGCAGACACTGGCTAATAGATGGTACTGATCAGGTAGAGAGGGAGGGAGAGAGATCCGGCGGGGTTGGTTGGTTGGGAGCCCGTCTCCCAACTAATGGAGTGGAGCAGATATAAGCAAATAAGGTATGAATCTGGTTCCACTTTCACCCGGGCAGTTAGTATCCGTTTAGATGCTGATCGATCTCTCAAAGTGGAACCAACGAGGAGCATTACGACTTACACATGCTAGACATTGGAAGAGTCCAGCAACAACTTGAGACGAGAGACATGGCCGATTTGCCACTGCAGGATTTTGCATGGCCCGCAGCCTGTTTTCTTTCTCTTCATTTCTTTTTCTTACCCCCCTTGCATTGCAACAACTCACCAAGGCTGTGTGGGGCCAAATGTACAGGTTCAATTCGCCGGCAACGCTTTCAGCTGGTGCTGCCCGAGGGAGAGAAAGGCGGGCACGGAATGGCTTAAATACGCGCCTGTTCACCGTCTCGAGATACACAAGGCCTTGTTCTCTAAGCGCTGGCTTTTGCTGTATCTAGCCTTGTCCTGTTATACCCGCCACAGTACGACAACCTGCGAATATCCGTACACGCACCCTCGACTCGTTGATACAATGGAAGCTCTCTGTCGTAGTGAAGCTAAAAGTAATGAGGGGCCGTCATGCATCTGCATTCATCCCCAATGCGGTGCTTGTGGGCAGCTATTTGTACCCGGTGACCATATTGTCGCTTGTGAGACGGGATACCCAGCACGCAACAAGATGTTGAGACTGACATGTATCCAGTGCTCTTTAGGAACACTACATGTCTCGTGTATGATGCGTGCAAGTTTTCAGCCAAAGGATATGCTCAGCAACCGGAAAGAGGCAATCACACATTCTACAAGATGCCGGACCGTCCTCTCACCACCGACGCGGAAGAAAGCATCACGATGCATACGGATTGTTTCAAGTTGTGCCACCAGGCGTTTAAAAGCTATACGCGCGACTCCTCATACAAGGGTGACCCCAAAGAAGAATTCAGACGCCTATGGCTAGCCGCAACTTGGCGATATGCTTGGAAAAGCATGCCACCTCTCAAGTTGCCGAGCCATAGTACTCTTATAGACCCGTCTCCTAGCCTTATAAGCAAGCTCTGTGGCTTCAAGAAGGAGTTTCTTCCAGAGATTGCCGTGCTCATCCAGAGCTATTCGCAGTCCAGCATACTCTGGAGATTTGACGCTACACTTCAGCTTGTGGAGGAGCTGAGTCTTGCTACAGCAGATGACGCCGTCACCTGCTCGCTTTCCAAAGTGCTGTGCTGGTCTCGCAATGGCTCTCCCAGATTTGTGCAGGACGAGCTTGCTGACCCTTTTGTTTGTCTCGCAATTGACTCTCAAGGCATCAGGTCGATAGACAGAGTATCTGAGCTTTCAGCAACTTTGGCGGCCCAAATGTCCATTCACCCCAATGTACTATTAATAGAGCCGGTGGAGGCAATAAAGTCAATTGACATGGAATTCAAGGTATGTACCCTACTTATACTTAGACCTTTGATATCACCATTGACTGACATCCCCAGCTCGGGAGAAGTCGCTTACGCCTCCCCACTACAGCAAGTCTCAACGTCTGGAGCGCACCGCTGCCTGTGTCGAATCTTTTAAACATCAAAAACCATGAGCGCGATGCAGCCTCGGCCTCATCTGCATCTTTGTCTTCCCATCTCGTCGCTACCAGCTTGGATCCACGCTATTGTACGGGAATCTCCTTGTTCGTCACAGCTACACCAGGTAGTAAAATAGTCGGTATATATGGACACAGTCATCGCGAATCGCGACACCCAGAGACGTTTGAGTATATGACCTCTTTTCACGGATGCCGGCTTATTTGGATATACATTCCTCTTGCTACCAACGACAAAATCCATGGTATTGGTGTCAGGCGTAGCGCTCCACTACGCGAGCCACACTCCATCACAGTAAGTCTTGAAGCTTAGAATTGGGAGACCATGTACCATTGAAGCTAACATCCATGTTTACGTGTAGTTACAAATGACCTCTGGACAATACATTGTTGGCATTCCACCAACAAAGGCCCCCGTCTATGAGACATTATATATAGCAGGGCAGCAACATCTTACACTCATTCATAGCAGCCCAAGCAACAGTGGCATCTCAGTCATTAAAGCTGATGCTGATCATCAGTTTAAATATTGTGGCATCCCTTCGGATGGACCGCCCGTGCCTGCTGCATGCTCGTCTTCAGCGCCACTAGAGAATATCTCAAGCATCCACGTCTTTACGGATGAGTCAACTAGACTATGCAAAGGCTTACTGATTGAGTATAACGATGGCTTGAAGAGATCTCTAGGGCAGTGCCGCCTAGGCATGGATTCTGTCCAAAGTTATAAGAAGCCATCAAGCATATCACATGCTAGTACCTATCAGCCGACATGTGAAAGGCATCTGGTGCCATGCAAGGGTGTACACGTTATTTTTGACTCTCAGAATCATCATTATGGTGAAGATGAAGGGTTAATATGGGAGCATTATGAGATGAAAGGGCAGTTATACTTTTGGTTTACGATGCATGAGGTTTATTTGAAGGTCTCTCAAGATTAGGCACTTTCTTAGACTATAGATAGGTACATAGGTAGGTACCTAGTAGTAGGTACTACTAGTAGTACTACTAGTAGTATATCAGATTGAATTCTAGCTTTAGTCTACATTAAATACGCAAGCTAATAAATATTTGGTGCATTCATTTACGATATATATCTGGACTAGCATTACGACACAGTAAAGTCGTCATAAGATCAAAATTTTATACATTGTAACATGATAATCACAGTACGGGCTGCCGTCGCCTTTTGGCCCGAAATTGAAAGGTGACCCTATTCGCACAGCGCAGATATCTCCCATCAAGAGAATATACCTACCTAAAACGTATGGTATCGTCTCTTTAACTATTCTTTTTTTCTTGAACAAGGAATATTTACTTGGAGGCCATTGAAATGCAAAGTAAAGTAAAATAATACAACAAACACGATTTTTAATTTCCTTGACCATATAGATTACTGGTCTCACTGTGTTTTCACCTTTGACTCACTATAAACAGTACTTGAATAAACATGTAATTTCATTACCCAAATACCTATGGATGTTAAGTACCTAGATGTAATAATTAAAATCCATGGACATAATAATTATGGGTCTGTTGTTCTTTCTCTCCATCACTGCTCTTATCAGCTATTGTGGCACGCAACTGTGCACATGCACAGCGCCTGCCCGTTTGCAACACCAACAGATGTTTCTTTTCGTTTCCAGCAAGGCCCAGGGCTTTTTTCTTTCTACCTTTATATGACCATATTCATCATTTCGCAGCTACTCAAAGTACGCAATCTTGTCCGCCTACTGCAGTGGCGATCGTCCTTCTCCTGCCCACTCGTTGCAAAAAACAAATCGATTTAATCAAGACCAGCGATTAGCAAATCACCAGCAAGATGCCTCTGAATCATCGTCAGTCAAATCAAACCTCGGGTAAATTATGCGTATGGCTAATATTCCTCAGCATACAAGAAGCTCCCAGTGCCTGGCGATGCACCATTCGAACTGAAGCCGTCGCCCGGGAAGGGATGGGGAGCTTTTGCAAAGAGACGAATCAGCAAAGGAGCCACGATTTTGGCGGAAAAGCCGCTCCTTATTATCCAGAAGCCGGTCCAAGAGATTACAGACCACGATGTTGCGATGGCCTTTCTCCAATTGGCACCTAGAGATAAGGAAAAGTTTCTACGCCTAGGCGACAATGGTCCTGGGCCCTTCGAAAGCTGCTTGGCTGCCATGGCTCAGAATACTTTTGAGTTTCTCATCCGAGGTAGCAATCTTCCAGTCTACGGATTGTTCGTCCTCTTGTCGCGCTTCAACCACTCTTGCGCACCCAATTCCAAGGTCCCGCTTTTGGTTACAGAGCGCGGTCAAGAGACTCTTGCGATTATCGCGAAAAAGGACATTAGCGTTGGCGAGGAGATCACGTTCTCCTATCTTCCGGGTTTCGAACTAAAGGCCCAGCATGAGCGTCATCGACTGCTGCAGTTTACATGCAAATGTGACGCCTGTCATGCAGGCATCGAACAAAAACAAGCCAGTGATTTGCGCCGAACCCTCGTACGAGGACTACAATACCTTTCACGAGGTAACGATCCAGATGATCAAGCACAGGACTCTACTTTGCCATTTTCCATCGACCCCGAACTAAAAAAGGCAGCAGAGGAGTTGCGCATCCCTCTCTCCTCTAGGTTCGTCTATGATCTTCTCAGTATGGTTCTCTTGGAGGAGGAGGGTTTAATGGACGATTTAATCGTCAAAAAAGTACAAACCGTATCGGACTGGTTTGAAACGGAAAGTAATGACATGATTGTCAAACTTGCCATGGCTCAGACGACCTGGCGAGAGAAGTTCAACGTTGCCGCCAGGCTCTATGGTCGAGAAGATGCTGCCGACGATGATGTTGCCAATGAGCTAAGAACGATGCGGGACCTCAACTTGGGGCAATGACTGGGACACTTACTCTCGTCGGGACTATGTACCGCATGGAGAGCTGAGTTGTATCTAAAGACCGTTAGTGGTGTCTCGGACAGAAGATAATCACCTGCCAGTATGCGGGCATAAAGAAGCAAGAGGTGCTCCAGGGAGGTTGTTACATCATTCGGTTACCTATTATTGGCGAATATGCATGGAATTGTGCTCACTCCACGGAATGAACAATGGCTGGCAATTTGGGGAGGATATAACCTGAGTTGATAGTTCTAGTCTACAATGTAACCACACACAACTGTTTTTTATTTAGATACACCATTCGTCTTCTTCTCGACTGCACCGATTAATTCCTTGGCGTTCTGAACCGAAGATTTGGCAAGGTTCGCGATGCCCCACACATCAAACATGGTAACGACTACTCGGTGGCCTGACTCTACCATCATGGGAATCATCTCAGGAGCCAGAGCGCCACTATTATGTACGTGTTAGCTCATGTAACAATGATATAGGTTTGTACTGCACGATGGGGTTGAACTCACCCAACAAGCGGGATGTTGTATTTCTTGCTGGCCTTTGACATGCTTTCCATGGCAGAAGCCAAGACGGGATGAGGAGGGCCTCCCAAGACCATGGGCACTCTTGCGTCTGCCATGAAGTCGCCGGGTCCGAACATGAGCGCTGAGACGCCGGGTATTGAGGCAATCTCCTCGACGTTTGCAATGCCCTTTACGCTTTCGATCTGGGGGATGATGGCGATGTGGTTGTTGGACGTCTTCATGTTGAAGGCATCCTCTGGGTATAGAGAGAGATCTGAGATGCCGGGCGTAAAGGTCCAAGGGCTAAATGAACGGGCACCGACGGGGGCTATATTCGTGTGTGAGCTCAACTGGTTCCGAGGTTTTCTTCTTTTTTCCTTTGCATTTTGTGCAGTTGATACTTACGGTAGTACATCTTCTGGATAAACTCCTCTACCTCTTCCTTGGTTTCGCAGTGGGGGATGATGATGCCAGACGCACCAGCGTCCAAGGCCGTAGACAGTGCAATCTCATCTTCCTTTGGTACTCTCACAATGACTAGTGTCTCGCCCTCAGAGTGGTGCTGGGCGGCGTGAATAGCGCTATGCTTTTGGTCAGCACTCTCGTCTCGTCAGATATTGATGGAATCCTGTGTCATACTCGTTGAGGGTTGAGCGATCAAACATGCCGTGCTCAACATCCATCCAAATAAAATCGGGTTTGGCGGAAGCCAAGACCTTTGTCAAGGTGGTGCTGGCAATGCCCTGAGCGACGCCGAACAAGGTCTTTTTAGAGTCCTCCTGAGCATCTTTCAGAGCTTGCTTGAGGTTTCCAGGATAGGTCAAGAGCGCCGCACGATATTTGGCGCGTGAATGCAAGCTGGTTTGGTTGAGGAATCCTTCGCCAGACATGTTGAAGAAGGCAGTTGTGATTGTGATTAAAGCTTGAAGGTTTGATGAGATGATGTAACTTGGAGATGGTAGAAAAGGGTCAGGGGCAGCTCCTTCGTTTAATACTTGTTTCTATTCCCTCTTTATATAGACTTTGGTATTCCCTGTTATTGGTGGAGCTGAGCTCTCCGCTGGGTATCTCCGATCTAAAGTCTCCGCCTCACCAGACGGCCGCTGGGCAGATTATGTGAGACACGAGTATAATAGTACGTGTCATAGTACATACAAGCAGTAGGCCCAGGGCTAGCCGGATTTATAGCGTCAACATGTGCTATGTCCGGAGACATGGCATTGATTAGACCGCTTCATGCATTGGGCAAGTCTTGCGGAACACAGAGTGCCAAGACGGGACAACTGAGAGTGCAACGCTGCGTTATCAAACCAATGTCTCGACAAATGATGAACAAGCCATTCAGACGTACAGCACACAGACGGGGATGCATGATTAGCCATGCACCATTCGACGAACTGCATTCTCTAGCCGTCACCGAAAGCTGCTATTTTAGAGCTGGAGGCTGTCTAGGCGGTTCCACTTTTAGGATCTAACTTTGAAGCGCCACGACTTGATTACCGCAAGTGGAACTAGCCAGTATAATGCCAACAATGCCAACAAAGACTATCAGGTTAGTTCTCACATGCCAGCGCCGAAGGAAGCTTGTTCCGGGCGAGTCAGTGCTGGTGCTTATCCGATATCCACCCTGCCAGATTTTAGCATTTCCTACCGTGAGCCCTTCTGCTTCCCCTATCAACAGCCTTCACCGCACACCGTTACGCGCATCTCTCTCTCCAAGGGTCTGCCAAAGTCCGAAACAGAGGCGCTGAGTCATGAGCTCCGATGTTAATAAGCCAATCACAAATACAACGCTCGATACATACCGTCGTATTCGGCGTTGATGCGACCCCGAGGTGCATCGGAGAATAGCTGCTTCGCTGTCCGCAGTCGCAGTCCGCAGTTGCACGAGATGCGTATCTGCAGGTGTTTGCGACGATGAGGTAGTATTTGAATTGTGATCGGCGTGATGATGCATCATCAATTATGTAATCGAGATACAGCCTCAACTTTTTCGATGGGCATGAGAGCTACAACAAAAAGGCCGCCATTGCTCGGGAAAATGTCCGTTTTGAGGCAATGCATGTCGCAAATACCAAGCACAAGCAGACGCTGCCTTTTGGAATCAAAAGCAAGAAAAGGGGCATCATGCGGCGCTGCTGGATCTGGCGTTACCGCGGATGGGGCAGCAACTGTGTCGTAAGGCAGCCTTGATGCCGTGGCGAGGGGCACGTAGGATTGCAGATGGCCAGGGTTTGTGACAAAGTAAATTTCTCGGTTATCGTTTATCGCTTGTCGGTTTGTTCAAGCTGCGTACCTGTATTGCTTGTTTATTTTTCGTTGACAAATCGAAGTGGTATCTGTACGTTTCCTTTTCATTCTCAATGGCGTTGATGAGACTTCTTCTACTCACTAATAGAAATACACACAAAAACCGATAAAACTGTACACATTTGCTTTAACGAATTTATTTGTTCAGAAGTTGATCAGTAAAAAGACTTGGTAGAAGGAACTAGCAGTAGTTGTAGCTAACTCCTTAGTTACTGCGCTGTAATCTTTTAGTAGGCAATTTCCATCTCTTAGTTCCCAGTCTACTGCACGCAGGATCTATACCAGTGGACTATTCTGTACTTATGTCGCGATAAAGCGGGCACTGATTTTGACCAACGAGTCTACTCTTTGAATCAAATCTGATATAATTGTTACTATATTTGGTCTTTGCACAGTTTCATTACATCTTCAGACACTGTACTGGTACCATATCACCCAAAACTAATTATTTCACAAAGCTTACAGATGCTTACGAAAGCGCGTCGCGGCTCTTTTATGGAAAATAGTATATATATTGACACGTAGAATGTAAAGGACTAGAATAGTAGTCTCGTGTACAAACTAATCTGCTCAGCTTCTAAAAAGGTCGAATCGTTATTTGCATTGTGGACTATGTGACTTACCTATACGTACTTGGGTAGCTACAATTGCTCCAACGAGACTATTAGTAGTACATGTATCCTCTATGGACTGTCCTTGAATTCCTTAGCTGGGGTTCTGCGCTGTTCTAGAACAATAGTACATTGATGATTCCAAAGACTGCGGCCTCTATACATGGCGGGCGCATGAAGTTCTATTACTAGTAGATTTTCAGATTAGGCATTTATCATTGGGCGATATTAAGTTAATAAAATTATATCCGCACCAACAAGAGGAAGAAGGCGTCGAGGAGGGCCTCCAGGTTCCAAATTTAGCGGATACCTTGGATGAGTACAACAAATTCACCCAACTAGGTACTCATCTATGATGAAAGCGACACGGAGTCGGAGGTTGACCCGGACACAGACGAAAGTTTCATGTCGATGGAAGGTTTGGGTCAAACCACGATGAGTGGTACATATCTATTATGAACGCCATCTTTTTTCATGCCGACAACACTTCCGATGAGGTCCACGGCTCAATCTACTCAAGAGCCATGCTCTATTGGCTCAAGGCCAATTCGGGCGAGAAAAGCAGAAACTTTACCTCCGAGTTTCTGCTTCATCCTCACATTCGGTCCCTCCGTTGCCGAGCCGTCATGGGTTGCCATGACTGGGACAATTATTTGAAGAGCTGGAATCTTTCCCATCATCTTCATCAGGAAAGGATATCCCGGAAGTCATAGGGATATACGCTCTGAGTGCAAGGACCACAGACGCGCAACAAGAATTTGCATACGTGGGACAAACAGCCACAGGGCAAAGGGCTCGTGGTATTCGGGGGCGTTCACAAACCCATTGGGCTGAATTTTCGAGTGCTGAAGCACACAAAAACGACTCCGGCCCACCCTGTCGGAAGAAACGCCTTTTTCTATACAAAGAGTTGGCAGATTCAAAGGTTGAACAGATTAATCTGTCTGTCTTATCTGCTTTCCCGTGGCCAACTCTCGAAATGGGGTATATCATCGCCCATTTCCCATTCCTCCTCACGCTTGCCGAGACCATTGACTTAGTCTATCTCGATACCTTTGTATGGAAAATCCATCTTGACCTCGCAGGGAACGCGCGAAACCCCGTGACTTGGTTCAGGCCACCGGCGATGCCACGATTATTTCAAGGCTTGAACAGAGCCCTTCCGATCAATCAAACAGTGCGGCCATTTGGTTGTCTATGATTATGCGAACAGAAAGATAACCTAGCAGTTTATTTATGATTGCTTGCTTACAAGAGCATGAGATCAGTAAGCCAAAGAAGTAAATCAGGTGTTTTTACGATACACTGAGATGCAATTCAAATTCTGGTCTGGTCGGGATGAGATTGAGCAGATTGAAGGCTGTCTGGGCTGTTGTCAACGGCCTGAAAGAATTCCTTGAGGAGAAAAGGCTCGTCACGCCTCCACATGACGACAACGATTTGTTTTATCACATACCTGGTTTGGAAAATCACAGTGACGCCCCTTACACCGTGACAAACTTCATGAGAATACACGGATTCGACATGAACAGATTCAGCGTATGCAACGATTGTGTGAATGAAAAATTCATTCAGCGGTATTTAGCTCCGCTCCTCCACAAAGATGTATGGGGGAAAGTCTCACTCAAGTCACTTCCACCAGACTATCGCTGATCAGAACTAAATTGCCCAGCTACTTGTCCCACACGCATCGACATGAAGGGAGGCAGGTTCTAGTCTAGGTATATTTTGGAGAGGATAGATTTACTTGTTGGAATCCATGCCCGGGACATCTTTGCCCAAATCGATGTGTTCCCACCTGGGACTGATAGCAGTACTTGGACTTTTCCAACAATGTCCTGGTAGACTTCCCGGGAGCTGTGGCACAGAGTCCACTCACGCCTGCTAGCAGATGGAGTCCCAGGTGGTCGCTTGGGTAATAGAGGCTTCTACGTCGTTCTGGGTCGTTGGCATAGAAACAAGAGCCAATACTGGAACAGTTCTTGTTCTGACGCGATTCCGTCTTGGGCATACGATGCCGTCCAGGATGTCGAAAGCCTTCCACCGGTGCGCGAGTGGAATCCAAGACGTCAATACTTTGAAATTGATGCCAACAATGCGGTGACGGAACCCGGCGAAGGGAGTATCGAAGCTACAAGTGTGTTTTCGTGGCCCTCAGAGGTATCACGATACCTTGCTATAAGCCCAAAGGCACCCACCAAAACCGCGAGGTGAAGGGCTACACAAGGGCAAGGTTGGAAACCTGCTTGGATAGAGCCCTTCTGGACAGACACCCGGACCGTCTATCCGATAGAGGTGGTCTCTACATCAAAGACTTGAGATAAAGTCCTAGCACGGTTCAAAGAGAAGTTCCAAGCCAATGAGTCTGCCCTGGCGATAAGGACTAGAGTCAAAACACTCAGTCTCAACATTAATCATCTCAGAACTCATCAGTTATTCACCAAGGCTGAAAAAGACTACTTCAATGAACTAGTAGAGTCCGGTTTCAAAGGCAAGGAGATGTATAAAAGGTTCTGGGAAAGGTTTAGCGAGCGCATAACTGCAGTTTCGCTTGAAAGAAGACTTGCAGCAAGGATGAAGAAAAAAAGGAAGCAGACCCCTCATTGCGAGTATCAAACAGCCAATGGACTCCGGAAGAAACCAGTTTTATGCAGGAATGTATGAATAGCGGCATGCGGCAAGCCGAAATCATAACCCAATCATAACCCATTTTAGACGGAAGCTTAAAGATGATCGATCTAACTAGCCAATCTGTGCTGCGCAGGGCAGGTTGGTGAAGGCGAAGGATGATACTCAGGACTAGGTCACAGGTATACACCACTTGCAAAGGCACCAGGCAGCATAAAACCATTCACGGTCGGTTTCTCATTTCCTTATTCAGTTGATTTTAAGAGGAAGAGCTTGGTACCTTGGGTTAATTTTCTGCTAGGGAGCAATCGTGCGGATTAGGGGTTCGTTTATGGCGGTCTTCCTGTGTTGTAGAGTCAATCTTTTCCCTTGCGAAAAATAGAAATGAGTGTAGTTAAAGCTATCACCACTCCAAGGTTCTTACAAGGCTTGCGTCACCATCATTCAGGCTCAACCTTCTCCTCAGAATAGCTCCCCAGGGAGTTTATATTCTAACTACCTAGTAGGGCCATAAATTACTACTTGCTCCTGCAACAGCATAGCAAAGCTCACAAGCAACAAGGGCGCTGGGGGGACCGTAACCAAGTCCAATCCCCTGAGCAGCAGCCTGCCCAAGCCGGCGACAGCGGCTCCAGAGACAGGCCCATCCTTCCAAGAGGTCTTCTCCAAGCCATCAAAGATTATCGGCAACATGGATGGATGGATCCTTACCTACACATGTAGTATATGATCCCCCGACGACGATGTAGCGAGTGCGTGCGTGCATGTATTCAGTATTTCATGACTGCATAGACCAATTTGGAGTTCCCGCTATATAATTTCTGACTGCATCTTTATCCCCGAGTTAGGATAATTGCACCCAAGTCATAGCACTCCTTATTGCACCTCTGTAAACCTCCTCCCCGTTCATCAAGATAGAGAGAGGCCAAGGCAGCGGCTCCTCTATGCGCCCTAAACCAGGGGTTCGCCATGTTGGATCTTGGCCGCGCCATACTTCTCCAGGCGAATCGCCTGGATGGCAATGAAGCCACTGGTATCCTCTGGGCTAAATCCCTCGAGAGTATCCATACTAGCCTGTTCCTCACTGTATAGGTTGCTGTCCGGCGCAGAGCGGGAAAGGACATGAGCTGCTCCCTTGTATACCATCATGTTGACTGTGCCATTCACATGCTTCTGGCTGTAGATGATGGAGTTTTCGAGGAGCTCACGCTCGGGAGAGAAGTACATGCCTAAGACATTTGTTAGACAGGACCGTCAAGATTATCCAAAGAAGGTATACCATTGTAGAGGCACTGGGACCACTCGTTTCCGATCCAGGCCATAATTCCGCGAACCTTGGAGTCCACGGTCATGCCCTCGAGATCAACGTGGGCTTTGGGTTGTTAGCATCGTCGATTGAGGGGTAGAATTCTCACTTACCTAGACGCAGCACCGTATGGGCTGGGGCATCGTAGCAGCCTCGGCTCTTCAATCCGATAAAGCTTGTGATATTGTCAGTACAAGATCGAGTCTTGGGGGGAGGTGCTGATGATGGCGGCGGGGATGGTAAAATACCGAGATTCGACGATATCAACTCGACCGACACCGTTGGCGCCTGCAATCTCATTGAGCTTCTTGAAGAGCTCGACTGAGTTGGTGTAGGTTTCACCGCCTTCCACATCAAGCTTGACGGGGATGCCGGCCTTGAAGGTGACAGAGAACTTGGTCGGGACATCGGGCGCATCGAGCGGATCTGGGTAGCGCAAGAATTAGCTCGGGAGTCTACCGCGGTGAACCGGAGCCAGTGTAGTATATTACATACCAACAGATTTGGTCCAGACATCCTTGGGCGCAACCATCTCGGGCTTTTCGAGGATGCCCGATTCAGCTGAGGTATGTCTTGTATACTTGTTAGTTTTACTTGAACTCCTTCATGGTAATGGGAAGAAAGGTGAAGTTGAGGGTGATGAAGGAGAGAAGAAATAGCTGTAAAAAGCAGTATAGTCGAGGAAGACAAAAAGGGAGGCCATCGTTAAGTTGACAAGCCTCCAGAACTCCCTTTCTAGTTTGAAAAACTACTTACGCGAGGTTGGCATCGAGACTCCAGGGAGACTTGGGAGAGGACGAAACTGGGATGTTGTTCTCGGCGGCAAACTTCAGGAGGTCTTGTCGGCCCTGGAAGCGGTTGAAGAACTTCGGCATGCGCCATGGGGCGATGACAGACACAGTAGGATCGAGTGCTCGCCAAGCTAATTCGAACCTAACCTGGCTTGATGGATATTAGCTTCCGTAACAATTGTGATGTTTGACCTTGAGTAAATGGTCATCCCATTTATGTATTTTGACCACTTGATGGTGTTGAGAAACTTCCGGGCGCCGTGTGGGTCCCGGAAGCCTTCAGAGTCGGGAGTGAAGCCGATCCCGGAAGGTCATCATTGCTGGCTGCGAAGGTCAGGATCGCAGCTGCCGATGAAAGGCTGCCAAGGCTGCTGGCAGAGGTCAGGCTGACCTTTGCCAGCTACGGTCCTGGTCTTCACAGCTAGCTATGATGACCTTAACTAGCAGCTCTGACCTTTGTGACTGCGGTCCTCGCAGCTAGCTGTGATGACCTTCGCCGGCAGCCCGGTCTTTGCCAGTACTATAGCCCTGGCGTACAGCTAGCTGTGGACCTTGACCGAACGCCCTGACGATGACAGCCTTCGCCAGTGCTGCAGTCCTGACCCGCAGCTAGCTGTGATGACCTTGACCAGCAGCCCCGCCCTTGACCTAGTATAGCCGTACCATCAAGGGGACCAAATATATAAATGGGGTGGCCATCTACCTAGGGCCATGGTTTTTGCAAGAACATACTCATTCTACTCGCAGTTAGTGGAGATACAATAAAGATTTGGGAGGTAGATTCGACTCACCCCCTTGCCAGTGCATCCGTGGCTGAGAATCTTGCAGTTGTACTTCTGGGCGGTGCGGACGAGGGCTCGTGCCAATACTGGCCGGGCAAGACTGGTTCCGAGAAGATATCGGTCCTCGTAAATGGCATTGCATTGGATGCCACGGAAAACAAGTTCCTCAAGGAACTCCTGCTGAAGGTCATCGATCACCATGCGCTCGGCACCGAGAGCCAGAGCCTTCTTCTCGACGGCGGCCCAGTCCTCGTCCTGGCCGACATTGCCGAGATAAGCAACCACGGTGTAGCCCTATAAACAGAATACATTAGCGACATGATTTCCAGAGTTTTCCTGTATCCTTTGTCTGGCACCATCGCTCTAGTCGAGTTGTAATGATGGAAAGAATGGTGCAGTAGAGGGTGATAAAACAGAGAGAAAAAACAGCCGACAAGAGCGTTGTTATGCTTCGTAACCAAAAACACTTGTAAAAAGCAGTATAATGATGGGAAGGATGACGCAGTATAGGGTGATAAAGGAGAGAGGAAAAAATAGCCATATGAAGCAGAGTTGAAGAAGACAAAAAGTGAGGCTATCGTCAAGTCGACAAGCCTCGAAACAAACCGACCTCATTAATTAGATACTTGAGTATGACGGATGTGTCTAGGCCTGTGCTGTATTAGAATTCGTCAAAAGATTCGAGGTCGGAGAGCAGAGGTCGGAGAGAAGAGGTCGGAGAGAAGAGGTCGGAGAGTGTGGTGGGTGGAAGTCAGCGAGGGTAGCACGCACCTCCAGAGTAGGCACTGGAACAGGTCAGGTCAGCTCAATGCACCATAAAATCAAACATTGCATCTCTTACAGGCAGACTCGTTTGTCGTCAGACATCTTGTACGGCGTGGATTGGAAGCGTAGAGAGACACAATGGCAGCAGGAGAATGTGGCAGTAGGAAGAGTTGAAGGAGGAAGATAAGAAGCTTCAAATTTTCTTGCTTTTCTTGCCAGTAGAGTGACTCAATTCCCCTACCCCACCTTAGTACCTACTACCTAGGCGGGCCGGTCTCTGGAAATAGGTCCTGCAATAGGTGCTGAAATATCACAAAGTGTAAGATATCTCATGATCAATTGTTTGTACCTATTTCATTTTACAGAATATTTTATCTCTTCTATTATATGTCGGGCGCATTTAATGTTTCAGTATGTAAATTCTATCGCAGGTATTCGGTACCTAAAAAAAGGCATTGCAAGTACTTTTTTTACCAGGTACCTCCCCGCTGCATGCTGCTCCAAATAGCACCCAAAAATATATGTTCTAATTCATCTCTTTTATTCAATCCGAGTCGGATTCAAACATGTAATTCGTTAGAAGAGGTATTCAGAAGGAATAATGTTTGGTAAAAAAAAATAGCACCTTGAAGAAAGCTACTAGTATTATAGCTATAGAAATATTTTAAACCTGTCTTGTGATTTTTTGTATGTAAATTTGTTGCATGATCTATTTCTGAAAACATCCCCCGCCTAGGTATGATGTAGCTCAATGAGGGGTGGTGGGCACCCAATGCACGCTAAATGGTAGCTGAAGTACCCGACATCGGATCTCCTATCGGGTGCCCACAGCTTTTTTGATATCATGATAAGAGCGATCCCTCTTTCGTTGAATACATTGCGCCCTTACTAAGCCGGTTTCGGATCCACATTCTGAAACTTTGTATTGTGGAATCGAGCGTAGGCAATCGCAGTGAGTATAGAGTCATAAATCAAGCTTTTCTTGATGCAACTCAGCCGTAGTAACTACTCAGCAGGCAGGCGGCTACCCAAGGTAACTGCGAGAATCACAGGTCGCTCAAGGGACCTCGAAGACAGTGGCAAGTTCATTTCCCTTTGTTAGTCACAATGCTCGAGAAAGGATAGAAGAAGGACAGGAGGAAGGGAAATGGAGAGGAGGGAAAAAAAAAAAAAAAAAAAAAAAAAAAAGAAGACTCTCACGAGCACGTACAAAGACAAAGATGAGAAGGAGGGGATTAGGGTTTATTCTGCGTGCTAGCCCCTTCAATTACATGTTTCTTGTTCCTCATATATGATACCAGTATCGAAAGAAGCATAAAGAACAATTATTACCGATGTTGTATGGACTTCAAGGGCCTTGCAGAGCTATGTCGTCCCTACTGAACTGGCTTTTCGTATGCGTGTTCTTCTTTTCCTCAGATGCCAGCTATTCTCTTATATCTTCCCGGAGCCTCTAGTTGAAAAGCTATTCGTCTCAAGCATCATGGCTCATGTCTTGCATACAGGCTATTCTCCCATGTAATTTTGCCCCACTATTACCACACCGGTCAAAAACGCGGGTCAGAAACACGTCAAAAACACGCCAGGAACACCACATTGATCAACAACGTCTTGTCACTCCTCGCTTAGTATACGTAGGATAGTACTTTTAGAAGGCTGCATCGAAAGACTGGGCTGCAGCGGATCCAAAATGGCAGCTCGAAAACGCTCGTCGAGCGGCGTTTCCGCAGAAGATGCACCAGCGCCGAAGATGGCCAAGACGAACACCAACAACTGGCGAGATGTTTTCGAGATTGATATCAAGGTTCCCTCAAAGGAAAAGGCTTACCAGAATGATTGAGGGCCATTAGACCCAACGCAGCTCAAGATCAATGCGCCTGATGAGGACAGCTATGGATGTGAGGACGAGGACGAGGACGAGGAGTTTGATGAGAGCAACCATGATGCCCATCATGAGATTGTTTGGCTCGAACCTATTAATGGATTCGTGCTCTCAAAGGAGATTGCTATTGACAAGAGCAAGCCTGATTGTATTGGGTCGTGCAACAGCGTCCTGATTCGACGTAGTCTCATGAGACGCAGCTTCCACTCTGACATTGGCGAACTATACACAGACACTTCATCCATGGGATTCGACCTCTTTGATCGCTATGGGCGGCTCAAGCCTGCCTTCAAGAAGGGCTCTGATCGATGTGGTTCTGGCATCTGGGGCGATGAGCTGGATGACGGTGACATTCTCTTGATCCAAAGAGTGTGTATGGACGAGCCCCATAGGCGCCAGGGCATGGCCCAGGAGATGATTCGCGACATGCTGCAGAAAGCTCTGTCCAAATGCAATCCCCAGACACTCATCGCCATCGCTTGTGCCGGCGGGGAGTGGTTGAAGCTTCACAGTCACGTCGAATTGGAGGGGAGGAGCAGCGAAGAACAAAGTGCCATGTATGACAGAGAGAGGCACAAGCTGGAATGTTTCTACAGGTCTTTGGGGTTTCGACGCATTGGCTACACTGAGTGGTTCGCCCTCCTGCCCGGGAATGCGCAACATGTGTCTCACTCGGTGCCTGCCAACCTGGATTTCTTTTTGTCCAGGCCAACATCAGACCGTATGACTAATGCCATCTTTACGAAATTGCTAGAAGCATTCAAGACCATAAAAAAGGATAATGCTCGATTTATGTTGACTCAGGCGGCTCTTGGTTCCTACGGGCCGGAGGATGACGTCTGGATCTCAGCTGACCGCGACGGCAATACCTTGTTGCATCACGCAGCAACCTCTGAGAGCCCGTTATGTGTCAAATGGATCATCCACAAGTGTCCACGCCTGGTCTCTGAACAGAATTCCCTGGGAGAAACACCACTCGACGCGTGTCAGGAACGCCTTGAAGCAATCCGCACACGGCAGAAATTGGCGGGGGAAAGCATCGCGGTTTCAGATAAATTCACTGGCTACTCGCAACCATCTGTGGAAGTCCTCTGTGCCTTGAAAGGATTGAATCACCTTTCACTGGAAGGTTTATTACAGCTCAAGTACGGCTGCACATGCGGACAGTGCCAAGAGGGCTTCTTCAGCCCGCGCATGCGTATGGCGGTTCTCTATAACGCAGAAACCACCTCTGACATGCTCCTTCACTGGGACAACGGTACCGATGGTGACGAGTTTGTGAGGGAGTTTGGGCGCTTTTTGAAGTACCTGCCACCCAGGATGTACAAGAGCATGCGTACAGATGCGCGCTTAAGGAAAGGATTCTCCAGCATGTTCGGCTCCTTTGCCCAGTGTCTGTGGGACAGTAAGGGGCCTCCTCGCGAGCTCAAGGTCGTCGAAGCGGTCATGTCCGAAAGCAATGGGTCATCCATCGCCAAACACTATCTCGACTGCGGCGGCACAGTCGAGGCTGTGGGTTCTGCCCTCTTCTGGAGAGTCATGGATGAATCGCGATCTGCCGGAGATGGAGCAACGTGGGATTTGTTTGCGGATGATTTAGAAGCACTGCCGGCTTGTCGCAATGATGACGAGTTTGGATTCGTGAGCAGCATGTGTGGCTATGCGCGTGTCCACCAAGGCCAATGCTTTTCAGCAACTGGGCACCCAGTGGATGAAAACGATCGTTAACGGCACAACCACCCATGAGATTCACGTGCAGGCAATTTCTCTCAGTTGTGTGTCCTTTGCGTTTACGCCCGCATCTTTCGATTGCTTGGTTTTGTGGCTAGATTTGCCATTGTATAAGCAAGTTACCACTCTCGTAATCCGAGTGCGGTTTACATGTAGAAGGTAGCCACAATATCTCTCTCGTGACTACCCAACAAGGAATTAGTAATGAGTAACGTTACTAGATGTACAGAATTATGATAGAAAAGCGATGTATAATTCAAGATTATAAGTTTTGACTGGTGGAGCAGGATTGGCCTATATATTACGATTCCGAAAGCCTTGATGTCGCACAAAGACGGGCCAAGATATGAAGCTCTAACTTGTTGCTACAATAACGGAAAACATTGCATTGAAACGATTTGGAGAGTTTGTTTAATGAAAGAAAACCCTAATAGATAGTGTCATGAAATTTAAGCAGCTTGCTGGCAATAGAACGTGAGTGAACAGAAGTGATGGTTTCATTAGGAGCTGTCCGCAGTGGGATTGAGTCTAACGTATGCTTTGTGTTATCCTACTTGATCGAGAACACAGATGTTGGAAATCATTGACTCCGCCAACAAAAAGTTCTGGTAGTGCGAAGAAGGCGGCAATGGAATAAGTGAAGATGGTGAGTGGCGCATAGGAGGTTTAAGCCTCGCTGTTTGAGATACATGTAGCCGGTGAGGTCATGTCACATGATTCCTTCGAGTACATGTTCGCAGTCAGGATAACTCCAACTTGGATCCTATACATTTCATCGTCAAGTCATCCTACGTTACAATTGCTCATAGTCATGGCGCTACGAGACTCCGCCCTCCGCTGGATCCGTGGTATAGTCCCTATTCCTCAGAGTAACCAGAGTCTTTACTGCAGCTAATGGCAATCAGCACTAGGATGAAATCAACACTCAACGATTCGGCATTAGAGGAACATTCGGCATTAAAGGGCCAAGTTTCACCACAAAATAGGTTGTCAGGGGAAGTTGACTGGGCTCCCCTGGTCAATAACAGCGATCATGCCTAAGCGGGCTAGACATATGCTCCGGCGGGCTAGATTCCAAGGCAGCAACGTTTGACTAAAGAGTTGCTAATGTGCAGCATCATGCATCGGAAATATACTTGTAAGAGTTTCTTGAAAATTACGGCATCTGGCCATTGTTTCAATGAATCGCACTGACTTGAGTTATCAGACCACCAAAGGGTGTAGACTAGACGCGAGACAGAGCTATACCAGCACCAGCCCGAATCATTTGACTTGTTGGTAACATTGACGATTGTTCAAATCTCCGAAATTCCCATTCAAATAAAGCTTCATCTTTGAAATCCTTATGCAAGCTGAATCAAGTTGTTGGAGTTATGCCGATTCGGCTGTGGGCGCGTTTCGCGTTTCGCGACTCGCTATTTTTTTTTTAATATGCCTTGGCAACAAACATCTTTAGATGACTCTGCAACTCTACTTCGTTGTGGATTTCTAAGACAGAAACGACTGCTAGTTCTAGCCCCTTATAACATAATAGCTTGGAAACTATTGGCCAAGTCTGGATTAAGTCTCCCAAAGAGGAAGTTCAAACATGCTCTGGGCCGTCTTATTGGCGCGCAACATGCATCTTGATCCTTCTCGTCGCCAAGGAGGCTAAGAACACCACTGCCGAGACTTGTCGCTATACAGATTGGGTACTGGCGTATCTTGGACAGCGTCATGCGGATTTGTTTCCACCGATGGAGGGCCGAATGGGCTTCTAAATAGTCATGGGATATATAAGATGACCGTCTCCCTTAAATATGAAGCGAATAACCACACAAACTATCGGCTTGAGATAGTCTGCTTGTATCTTCAAAATGAAGGGTTTTGTCATTGCTTCGGCTCTTGGGATGGCTGCGGCCGCCCCTAATGTAGCTGTTCCCTATGCCAACACAGCTCCTTCAGCCAACATCACTCTCGAAAATATCCAAAAGATTGACATGAGCATGGCTGGAGGCCGACCCAGCAAGCGTACGCTTCACGGCCCCTTTATGGGTGACTTCCCCGACCCCTCGATTATTTGGGGCGATGGTTCTTGGAAGGCATATGCAACTTCGTCACAAGGGAAGCACGTCCCTGTTGCTGTATCCAACGATGGCCTCACCGGCTGGACGCTGCAGTCTCAAGATGCATTGCCCAACACCGGATGGGCTAATGCTGGCGCTGGAATCTGGGCCCCGGACGTTCAGAAGAATGTGAGCATCAACTACTGGCCATCAGGAACGGCATGTAAATGCTAATACTTTGACAGGACGCTGGCACCTATGTCATGTATTTTACCGGCACGAACAGCAACGGTGCTCATTGCATCGGCGCTGCCACATCAAATGCTGCCGCCGGCCCCTTTACCCCTACGGCAAGCCCTCTGATCTGTGATGATGCCAACGGCGGCGTCATTGACCCTTCGGGCTACGACGATGGAGTCAACCGCTGGATCCTGTGGAAGGTTGACGGCAACAGCCGTGGTGGTGCCACCACCTGCCAGGGCGGCACGCCTTCGGGATCTTACATGCCAACGCCCATCAAGATCCAGCGCATGGCTCGCGATGCTTTGACGCTGCTGGATAGCCCCAGCACGATCCTCGACAACCAGGGAGCAGCCAACGACGGCGTTGTCGAGGCCCCCGTCATTTACAAGATTGCCAACAACAACTACGTTCTCTTCTACAGCGCCCACTGCTACTCAAGCGATGACTACGACATTGAGTATGCCTTTTCATCGACAATCAACGGGGCTTACACCAACCGTGGCATCTTGGCCAGGACCATCTCCAACCTCGGCATCTACGGTCCCGGCGGCTTGGATCTCGACCCCAACGGCGTCAATGTTGTCTTCCACGGCCGAACTACCGCCAACACTCCCAACGGCGCGAGGAACCTGTACACCGCCAACCTTGCCATCAACGCTAACCATGCCATTACTGGTGCAAACTGGTAAAAAGTGACTCAGGCTAAAGGTGGATGGATGGGCCACGCTTGGTGGGCGATGGGTGATCCTTGGGTCTTTCGCTCAGGGAAATATCACAAAAAGACAGGTCCCAAATCCTGTAAATGCTCTATTTCTGTTGTACATATAACGCACTTACAAATGTATATGATGGATGATGAGACTAGATGATGACAAATGTTGTATATGAAAAGATGAAAGTTGAAGATTGAATATATGTTTTTCATGAAGTTGGAGCCAGAGTTTCGTCCGACTAATCTTTCCTCACAAGTCGTACATTGTGACTATGCCAAGCTAATGGCCATGCACTAATTCGAAGCACTGATCCATCTCGCTAATACGCTGGATAGGAAAACTTCATTGCGAAAATGATGCATACCAACGCGCTTGGTGATGTTTCATCCCGTCCGGACAAGTATTGAACTTGTGAAGAGTGTTCTTCCTAGTCTTACGCAAAGTAAGACTACTGCCATTCATGATTTCAGCTTATTCTACAGCCGTAATTATACGGATAATATGTTTCTGCAACAAGCAAGGCCGAGCGGGATGAGGGCGGTTGTGTGCGGCCAATACGCAAGTAAGCTGAGAACTGGTGGGGTAATCCTTAATTGGATAACAAGGATTTCTTTTCAAAATAACAAAGGAAGGTAGATATAAATATGGCCATTGGTTGGCATCCAAGAGCTACCTAGGAACAAAGACGCCTCGAGAACCCACGTCATCCTCCTTCGCTCTTCTTATAAAAACTTAACTGTAACACCTCTCTAGTATAATTGAGTTTCTCCTACTGAGTAATATATGAGTTTATCTTATTTTTTGTCATTTTCTACGAAGTTGATGATTCAAAATATATAAAGGAACAAAGGAGCAAAAGAAATTATAGTTTTTTTTTTTTTTTTTTTTACCAATTTCCAAAGTTTGCGATCTCGATTTTGCAAATGGACGAAAACAGCGACGAGGGCTGCTGCCTTAGGGTCGTCCATGAACCCCCAAATAATTCATCTCATCCTATCATAGAGTAAGTTCATGCTCTAGAGCGCTGAAACAGATCTGCAAGAGCTGGGCTGACACAACCGTCCCAAGCGTCGTCGCGATTCATGGCTATAATAGCACATACCGTGCTACCTGGTGCACACAAGAGGTGGACAGTGAAGATTTAGGTCATTTACAAAGCCTACTTTCGCCATTCTCTCAGATATTTGCTTTTGAGGGGGAAATGAAAGAGAAAATGCTGTTAGACAAGTCTTACTTGGAGAATGCTGCGGCAGACTTACTGAGATCACTATCTATGGTAGTGAAGACAAAGGTCACACATTCAAAAGCACCTAAACCCTACTACAAAATGATTGCTTTGTGCTAACATGATGTCTAGCGGCCTATTGTTTTCTTATGCCACGATATGGCTCTAATTTTAGTCAAGGAGGTAAAAAGCTCATCATAATCTTCCATTGATCGTGGCTAAATTAACCAAGCTAATGATGTTTTATCACAGTTACTTTGGATTGCAAATCATGACTTGGAGTATATTGATATTGCGCTTTCTGTTCGAGCCATGGTGAGCTCAATCTCAAGTGCCAAGCAAGAAATGAACAAACTCTGAGACTTGGACAAATAGATTTGCTTTGGCACCCCAGATTCATCACATAGTCATGACTAGGATGATGTCCTCTCGTAGCTGATATCCGAATCCAACCAGTCTAATACCCCCGAAAGTGTAGTATTCACACAAGTAGCACAGGGCCGACTTGCGGCAAGGGAGGCATGCAACCTCAGAGCGGTATCAGGAAGATATGAGATGATCAGTTTTCAATACGACACAGCTTTTTACAAGCCACTCCACCAGAATAGCAATCTCTTCAGCATTGTCAAACTGATTAAAGAGTATACGATCAAAGAAAAACAAGGTAAGATATGCTCGCATTTATTTATTTATCTTTTCATAGCGCACGGATGTTGACGGATTCTTGAGCTTGCCGATACGATGCGGTGGCTTGTCGTCAGACTCTCGCCAGTCTGTATGAGCAAGACGACAGTCCAGGAGATATGTGCGCTATATCGCCGACTATAACCGAATGCCTTTTGAATAACGAGCAACTTCTTCGAGAATCAGGAATTATAACCATATATGGAAGTGCGGGATCCGGAAAATCTGTGCTCGCTACCCAAATTTCAAGAACAAAAGACTTCAACACTGGGAATAGCATTATGCTTTCCTACTACTTCTGTACCGGCGATTATAGGAGGAGGTCTTATTTTCAGCTCTTGCTTTCGTTTGTCCTTCAAATATTACACCGAGGATATGACTCGTTCGATAGCGCTTACGTTCGGCAACTACACTCACTCATGCGGCCTCCTAATGACATGACAGCATCTCACCTCTATCGGCTACTATGTGGCATGCTGAACAGAATGACAGGGCTCAACGTGATCTGCGTGATTGATGCCCTGGACGAATGCGACGCAAGTTGTCGTTTAGAGCTAGTAGGCGACCTACAGAGATTAGTTTCTCGCAGTCCTACCAGATACAAGATCTTCATAACCTGCCGGCCAAGTGACAGCATAGTTCGCCTTTTGGGGCCTTTGAATGAATTCAACAGCATTAATCTAGACCAAGGTCTTGAAGAAAAGAAGGCTCTTCTTTTGAGCAGAGAGTTATGCGGCGATGAATTCGCGGATCTTCGGGACAGGCTTGGCAAAGATAACGCGACGCCTCTGGTAATCGGTTTGGTGTCAGCCTTGAGCCGGATGATGGACACGAATGGAATGTCAGACCTTTCCAACTATGATACCATATATGAGCATATGCTGAAGCAGATAGATGCACCTGATGCCTGGCTCCGAGAAGTGTTGCTTTGTGTCGCTTTCGCCAAGCGGCCTTTAACTGTCAACGAGTTGGCAGGTTCAATGTGGATAGCGCCCTCAAGTTCCAATATCTTGGGAAGTGGCCAACTTACGCTGCAGAAGATGCTAATTGCAGCTCCTAAGCAATTGGAAAGGGATCTGGAACTCGCCTGCAGCTCTCTGCTCCGTGTAGACAATGGCGTTGTCGGAGTCCTACACGGCACACTGCGAGATTTTATTCGGAAGAGATCATGCACCCTTATACGAAACGAGGCTCCACAGCACGAGCACATCAAGACACAATTTTGCATGCTGCAAAAGTGTTTTCATATGCTTTCTATCCCTGAGCTTTGGAAGATGAATGGTTTCTTCTCTAAAAGGCGCCCCTTTGATACTCTGTGCGATCCACCAATGGTCTCACAACCTCATATGTTCGGACTCTACGCAGGATTTTGTCTAGCTGTTCATATGAGAGAGGATGCTGAAGATGTTTGCGGAGAAGATGATATGGCCGTGCCAGTCATGAAAGACAACTCCGCTTTCTTCTTCGATAACCAAGATGCCAGACACTGGTGGATCCGAACATTTATTACGCCATCGGCTGCCACGCCTGATACTACAGGAAAAGATGTGGCGACTGTTGAAACCTCCAATTTCCAGCTCTCTGCATCGATAGGTGCCTGGAATATGGTAAAATTAATGATGCCAAAAGTTGGTGATGACGAAGAGAAGATTGAGCTCGCTCTCTGGGATGCTTTGCAACAGAGGCACACAAGGGCTACCAGATTGCTTCTTCTTAGAGCAGGGAGCTTCAATAAGAACATATGGCTTGAATCCCTCAAAAGATGCTGCAGATATGGCTACGCAGACGTGATGAACCTTGTTCTTTCATGTTGGCCCGAAAGTTCCGAGCTTAAGCTTTCGTTGGAGGATGTACAAAGCTGTCTTGATACAATCGCTGAGTACGGCCAGTGGCATGTCATTTCACGGCTGCAGGAAGCATTTTCAGGCTTGTTTGGTTCTATAAAGAGGGAAACATTGGCGGTTTTGATTGAAAAGGCTGCCAAGCACGGCTGGGACGGCGTCATCTATGAGCTGCTGTTGATAGATTTACGCAAGCGGAAATCTGATACTCAAACGGTGTTTGACAATTCGAACAGCGAAGATGGAGGAGAAAGAAATGTGGATCAAGATGAGAGCCAGAATAGGAATGATGGAGCTGCAGCTGGAGCTGGAGATGGAAACGAAGATTGGCTGAGCGATGCGGTTATCCAGGCCGCAAAGTTTGGTAGCACATCCGTTATACGCCTTCTCGCGCCCCATGCAAATCTACAGCACGGAACAGGGCCACTCAAATTCACAGCCCTTCATTACGCAGCTATAGGCAAGTGCAGCTATTCCAGCACCTCTTTACTGAAGTTTTACGCTCATGAGCTAACAAGCAAATTGATGTGTAGGAGGCAGAACCGAAGCACTGGAGCAACTACTGGATCAAGGAGCGGACATTGAATCTGAAGACGGTCAAGATGCTACACCACTGCTGCTGTCCTGTCTCACCGGCCGTGAGAGGTCTGTCCAGATTTTATTAGACCAAGGCGCTGATCCAGACCATGTTGCGTTCAGATCAGCACAATACCGCGCTCTTCATATTGCAGCTCGCGATGGTAACGGGCCCATTATTCGAATGCTACTGGGCGCTGGAGCTTCAGTAAATGCTAAAATAGCCGCTCCTGACGGTGATACTCCTCTGCACCTTGCGATATCCAATTACGCAGGCGATAGCCAGTTCCTAGAGGCAGCCAGAATCCTTCTCGAGTTTGGCGCCGACGTCAACGTCAAGAATGGCCACCATAGATCCCCGCTGCAAATAGCCATTGACCTAACAAAGCGTGAAGATATGATACAGCTTCTTCTGGATGTTGGTGGTAAGATTGACAAGGTGGACGAAAGTGAAGAGTCTGCTTTGGACTATTCGAATCTCCTTTCAGCGTATTGGTGGGCTATCGATAACAACAGGCCTAGGATAGTGCGATCGTTGGTCAAGAAGAATCCACGTCTGCTCAGCGAAATATCCGAAAATGGCTCTAATGGATTGGAGACATGTATGCGTAGGTATTGGCCAGAATATGAAAATGAAAATGACGCGCTATACGTTTTATTCATTGAACTTGGCCTAAACCCTTTCACACGACGTCAAGACGACCAACTCTCTTGTTTTGAACTTGGCGTGAGATCTCGGCGGGAGGTCAACAATATGTTCCTTGAGGCCTGTTCTAACTATTTACAAACTCACATCATATCATTACGCATTACTCTAAAAGAGTTACGGATTGCTACAGAAATAGACGACCCAGATTTATGGACAATTTTGAAGCCTTTTTCAAAGGCAATTGAACATGCGACTGACGAGGATGATTGGAATATACATCACTTCCTTCATCAAGCTAAACCCCGAAGGGATTATTCAGAGTATGAAAGAACAAGCTTGCAGGCAACCCTGCTCCCGACAACTCTTTGCTGGCCGGCAATATGGGAAGAATGGAATAAGGCTGAAAAGCCGCGCTTTGAAGCTGATGGCCTCGAGGTTGTTTTCCAAGGCAAAGGTTTGAGGCCGCCAGAAAGTCTAATATTTTAGTAGTTCTCAGGCTAACATTGCATAGGAGAAGAATCACCGCCTACAGTCGACGAGAGAGCCATCACTGTTCGGGCCGACCATCCCTTTCCTCCCCGCGAGCTGGGTTTGTCATATTCATACTTTGAACTAACAATTCTAGAATATGTTGCACAAGAAGATTCTAATAGCCTAGAATGCGCGATTGGCTTGACTGGAGAGTTCACCAATCAAGTTCACGCTTTACCAGGGTGGAATGTATGGTCAGTTGGCTATCATAGCGACAATGGTGGGATTTATGAGCAAGGCCCCCGTCCCATTGCTACGGTCGAGCCATATGGTGTAGGCCAGACTGTTGGCTGCGGTATCGACTATGAGAGCGGTCAATATTTCTTTACATGCGATGGAGCGGTTGTATGTAAGTACCAGCTTCGAATCTTTACTTCAAGCTACCCAGATAGGACATTATTAACAACTTCAAATTTTTACAGTTCGGGGATCAAGCACTCTAATATATCGCAAACTATATCCTTGCATTGGTCACTCATCTAGCGGTCGTACTAGAATCCGTGTCAACTTTGATATAACCAGTTGCAAATGGCAGAAAGCAGATAGCACATGAGTGTTTTGAATGGAGCATTTAAATCACCGAATAATCATAAAATGCAACTTCAGTGGCTAAAAATTGGGCTTATTATTATATATTCACATAAACTGAGTGAAAAGATTCTTGTCAATAAGGTTTTGTACCGACAATGCTATTACAACCATCAACAAGATATGACATTTGTAGCGCCTCCACTCAGCCATCTATCCAAAATTCGCTTGGAGAATTACTTTAATTGCAAGTCTGAGCGGCATTAATAGCTAGGGCCGGATTAAGCTTTCACAATGAAGTCGTTATAAAACCTTATCGGAGAAAGCTTATGCTCTAATTAATAAGTGAGTCACTCACTACATGTATCTACGCAGGTAGGTATATAAAGGCAAGCTGCCGACTCGATACCTAATTAATGTCAACCAGCTTTCCAAATTTCCATCACCTAAAATCACATACGCCTGGTGCACCACGAGTCGATTATGAGACGGAAAAAGTCGAGTTTACGAAGATGATGTCCAGTTCCACGTCCAAAGAATAGCATCCGAAGTGGGATCGATCACCCCATTGAAGAATCTGATCAGCAGTGAGCATAGCTGTGTTGGGCAAGAATTTGTCAGAGTCAAATTCGGATGTTTCGGGCATCTTAAGCAGCAGTACTTCCGATCCGCAAAGCGATGTAATGTTCAGGGGGTCGTATTAGGCTGCCGTCGAACTCAAATCTTGCCTGAACAACGCAATCCGGTCGACTGTTCTGGCTGGTCGAGTTGTGCAACCTGGTCGAGTTGTGCAACCTGGTCGAGTTGTGCAACCTGGTCGAGTTGGCTTGGCACAGCTTTTCAATACTGTTTAAATCGGGGAGAGGTTCCGTTGTGGCAGACCTAAAATGACTTATCCAGCGGCAGCAAGCGTAGACAAAGAGCTCGCCAAGTCCACGATCCGCTGGGTCGTACCGGATCATCCCCTCCTCCCAATTCTCCCACGAACAATCAGCATTATAGGCAGCGGCGTCATTATCGTCGCTGAACAAATCCAAGTCTTTAGGTAATTCCTCAATGGTATACTGCTCATCGTAAAACAGAGCAACATCGTTGATTTCGTCGAGGAGAAGGTATCGGACGCAGATATCGAAGATGCTCTTCTCTAGGCTTAATGTGCTAGCTGGGGCCGCCGTTTTACTTCCTGTTGGGGGAAGTTTTTCCATATTCTGAAGCCCCCGCCGACTTGAAGTCCCTCAATTCAATATGAATTCCTTTGCTGACTGGTGAACAAGAATGACTTGGCGTTTCTTGAGATTGCTGAATTCGACGGTAGCAATCAATGGTTGAATGAGGACCAAGACACCCTGATGATCCACCAGTTCAGCAACCTCGGCGACAATCGTAACATCTGGATCGCCCAAGCGAATTCGAGGATGTTTAGCCGTCTTCGAGCTATGGCGAGAATTCCCAAGGCCGTAGCGGCCATATATTGGGTCTCCAGCTCATCTCCAGCGCATCGAATGGATGAATAGATTGGAGTATAATCCTGAGAGTTGCTGTGGTTGTGTATATCATCCAAGAATTTTCTCATGCGGCCAAGTGCCCGGATTCTACGGGCAGCAATGACTTCGACTATCATCTTCGTCCATATGGCACTTCCTTGTGCCAAACTAGAGAGCCTCTTCACGACGAGCTGTTTGATATCCGTAGCTAGAGAGGTTAGTATTGTTTCGACGGTTTTCTGAGCGATAATACCATCTCTTTCGGTATCAGAACCGATATCAATCTTTGAAACCCCATTCAGTTGATCCAGCATCTCTTCCCAGGGGCGAGAAGATAGCACAACTTTCAATCCTGGGGTCTTGTACGATAGACTTTGTAGAAATTTGAAAAGTATACCACGAGATTTCGTGTCGCACTCGTCCAAGCCATCAATTACTAGGTAAAGTGGCCGATCAAGTTCTTCAACAGTCCTCTGAAAGAACTCGGCCAACTGATGGGCATTTGTCGAAGGCTCGAAATTTCCAACACGCTGTTCCAAAAGCGATAGAATCAAGGAAGAGGATATGTATAACGCGTGCCCCGTCTCATCATTCTAGCAGTAGTGGTATAGAATCATGGGTTGTGGCAACTGGTGGTTTCTTCGCTGACATAGCTGATCAATGAGAAAGCCCATCGTGACGCTATTGCCGCTTCCTATATCTCCGAGAATGGCTAGTTGCTGAGAATCGAATACCCAATACCAAGTTTTGAACTAGGGCTTTTCCAGAGGGAGTCCGCAAGCTGAATCAGCTCGGAGGGACAGTAAAATAACATGATGGCGACTCTGCTGAGGCGGCTTATCGTGACCTAACCATTGAGAGGCTGCGGTTGAATTAGCAATATCGTACAATAAGTCCAGCGACTGCAACTAGAAAAGAGGAGACTTACTTTTCTCATCGTAAAGCAGCGCTTTAATGTCCTGGACAATATCGAGAATGGCTTTGTCCACAATCTTTTGGAGGTGTTCGGCTTGTTTCAAGAAGTCTTTGGCAATATCCGGTAGAGTGCCGGCATCTGATATTACAGCCAACACCATTCTAGCCCCTCTCTTCATCAATAACCCGTAGGCAGAGACAAAGAACTCGAGAAGTTTCTGGTAGACCGATACGAGTGCCTGTATGTTGTCAGAAGGCGCAGTCACTAGAATTGTCGAAGTACGTGAGGCCCTACTCTGTGAATATCCGCCCTGTCTTCCCTTTGGCCGAGGGTATCGCAATCGTCAAAATACGAAAATCTGCTCCAGCATTTGCCCAATTTTCTTCGCAAACTCAAGGTCGGCAGTAGTAGTCAGTTGGTTTTTATCAACCTCTTCAAGCTCTTTCAGTAGCTGTACTGCCACGTGACCCACTGCAGCACGCCTCCTCTGCCTGTCACTAGCTTAGCTCTTCTTCATCATCACAGTCTTCAGTCACAGTCACTTCTTTGCTCCCTGAGCGTTGGTGCCTTTGATTGTTGTGTTTGTTCTTTGTTGTGTTTGTTCTCTTCATTGTGCTTTCGCTCGTGGCCCTCTTTACATCGTGATCCCTCACATGTGCGATGTTCTCTCCTTTGAAGAGAGCAACGTCCACGTCTTGAACCACGGTCTGTACTGCCTCACGGTAGGCCTCACTTCAAAGATCCGAAGGAGCAACGACAACCTCATTACCACACTCAAGAGTAAGTACCACCTCAGCAGTAGAAGCAGAGATAGGGACAGCGGTACCTGGGCCAGAGGCAGAGGCAGAAGCAGAAGCAGAAGCAGAAGGAGAGCCATTCTGAGTCCCTCCCCGCAGGGATCGCAACGAGGTTCGTGCTCTTCCCTCCTCGATCACCGATAAATCTTGCTCGACTTGTCCTGGTTCCTTTTGTCTCCTTCTCCGAAATCAAAATCATTCCATCACCCGCCTTCCTGCTCGTTCCCTACCGCAGGCGCTCCCAAAATTATGGCATCAAGCAAGAGAGTCGGAGGCTCGCCCAAAGATGTCTTCTCCAACATGTCGCCAGAGGCTCGCGGCGACGCTTACAACGAAATGCTTGTCGCCCCGGGTCTGATTTTCATCTTCTAGGAATCAACAAGCCGACCGGTAGAATTCTTTTCGCCTGGCAAACCAACTCAATGGCCTGCGCTGGCGTTGACTAAATGTCGAGATTACAACGAACAAGAGACCAACGCAGTTTTTTACGGCTCGAATCACTTCCACCTTGTCGACACCACGACGCGAAGCGAAACTTTGGATCCTACAAGCCCTTTCTAGGCTCAATTACGTCAACCAATGCGCATCTGCTGTCCCATTTATCCCTCAGCTTCCCTGCACTTGAGGCGGTATAAGGATGATTTGAGGCGTCAGACTCCGGCAGGATGGAATGTGCAGCTTAAAGCTTCTCCAAGATAACTGCGCCAATCTCAGGACTTTGGAGTTATCTGTACATCACGGCAACGCCTTTGGTCTCGTCAAAGAAGCTCCTAGCAATTCGCAATCCCTTAACGAGGGTTTGTCACAGGTTGACACGCAGTTAAAGGCCATCTCCTCTTTACAGAGAATTGTCATCAGATATTACCATGACCGACCGACCCCCGGGGTAAAGCAGTTGATGCAGGGCCTTGGGTGGATCGTCTTGATGGGTGATAAGGAGTTATCGTGATTTGAGGAAAGTATGTGTGCATCGCTCCTCTGCCACACCTCACTACTACAAGGAGATGAAGGACTGTGGCTACAAAATCTTTGGCTTGACTTGGGCCGAGTTGAAATGGTCTAATCCACCCAAATCATACATCGAAAGAGCGTCAACGTATTTTTATCGTTGGGAACAAAGAGGGGTTTGTAGACGATCCAATCATGTTACCCAGGTGGACTGCGCAGACACCACGGTTCCATAAACGTTGGCTGTCTTGCTGTCTTCAAGAATGCCGGCACGGCACATTACTCGTCATCCACAAGACCGATTTTTTCGAAACCAAAACCTGCAGGAAGGTTGATGGGCGATGTCACGTCTGAAAGGTGATTGGCGAGAACGATAAGATGGACAAAGAGCGAAGAGCCTGTTTCGCACTGCTGGGATCTTCTTTTGGCGTATTGGTGGGCTATCAATAACAACAGGCCTAGGGTAGTACAATTTGTGGGTCAAGAATCATAATCCACGTCTGGTCAACGAACTATCCGAAAACAACTCTAAAAATTTCAGACATTTGAGCGGCCCATGCCGATGGACTGAGTCTAAAGCAGCCACGATTCGTCTCCTAATGACGCGTGCCAGCCCTTGGTCCAGGATGGTAACCTCAAAATATTGTGTGAACAAAAATCGAGAGACCATTCTGGGGTATGGGGTTAGCCACTTGGGAATGAAAAAGGGTACGTGCTTGATTGTGCTTAGTAACTAACTGTATATAAGAGACATGTTAATACCGCGTTTAGTATATAGATTATTATCATCCATGGTTACATGAATGTTCACATATATTCAGGTGCTACTTATGCCAATGGATGTCGCATAGATATCTTGCTGTCAAAACGTTTTAACATCAAAACCATCAAAGTGTACGCAAAGCGCAAATAAATCGTTTCTCACTTTATTCGAGGTCCAAGTCTAATGTCTAACAGAGGAATTTCTTCGCAGCTGTTTAAACGCATCATAGCCTTGGTATAAGCACGGCCCGTTGTTTATCACAAACACACCATCCTATCCGTGGTATCGCAAGTGCAATCGTAGCACAACCTTGCCACGCTGTCCTCACATTTTACTTGATATATTCTTCTGGCGAAATCATGCCACGTTGACATTACACAAGAGCACCGTGTTCTGCTTGTTCAAACTTTAAATGGATACGACACACTCTCATAGCACAAAAGTCAAAAGTGCCATGCTATCCGTACACAAACATGCTACCCTCTTCCTGTACAACGAATCACGCTAGCCTCGCAGAAGCAAACGATAAAAAGAAGAGAAGGCATGTTTACTACTTGTGCTGACCAAGGACCAACCATGTTGTATAAAGCTTGGGCCTGGAGCTTCAATTCATACATCCTACAATCAAGCTTGAAAACCACTCTTCTGATAACCGGGTTTCCTTGGCTTATTTCATCGAGTCATTCTCTACCCCCCCCCCCCCAAGACAATTCCCCCTCATAACAGAAGAAAAGGAATAAATCATGTCTACCAACAGATTGATCGAAAACATCTCACAGTTGAGCGAGGTTGAGATGGATGTGTTACACGCCATGGAGGGTGAGGTCAGCAGCGCCAGTATTCCATACGAGACAGTCTATCGCGAGTTTCAATCTGGTGGTTGGCAGACTGCCTTGTTATATACGCCAGAGGGAGGGAATGAGGATGGCACTGTGCGCGATGGCGCTGCAATCCCGACAGAATTGGTCCGTAAACTCCCGGCGGTATACCAATTTCTTGAAGATTTAGGTCTGGATTATTTTACTGTGAGGATCGCACGGAACAGTCCTGATTCCTGGCTGTGGGAGCATCGAGACTACAATGAGCTTGCCGCTCAAAAGTCCAGATTACGGCTGCATGTGCCTTTGGCATCCAGTCCAAGTGCTTTGATCCATTTTGACGAATCTGCGATATGTATGGCATCCGGATGGATTTGGAAACTAAACCCAACCGCCAGCCACGCGATATCCAACACTGGCTTGGAGCCACGTACGCATCTGATTCTCGATTGCTACGTCAACCAACGCCTACGAGAAATGCTAAATCATGAGATTCTGCAACAAGACCGCGTTCAACGGCTGCCTCACCTAGCGCCAGAGGAACGCAAAGCGCTTATCCACCAAGCGGGCATTTTGCTCACTCAAAACGGCATGAAAGAGGCTGAGGAGTACCTCCTCAAGACATTTCACAAGTTCAATCTCGGTGGGGAAACAAGTTACGACCTTGTCATTGACTTTTATAATGAGATTGGCTTTCGAAGTCGTGAAAATTATTGGATCTCTGTGCAGTTCTCTCACATTCATCGTCGTGCCAAGGTCGATGTTGATGAGACGATGGAGAGCCTACATGGTACCGTCTTCTCAGACCTGCATAACTTGAGCAGCTTGCCGCAGTTTGAAATTCTCCAGAGCATTTCGCAAACTTGCCGCCACTGCTCGGGTCTTGAACAGCTTTTTGTGCGTGGGTCTTTGGCGCGTGGAGATTTCGATTTGAACTCGGATGTCGATTTGCTCTGTGTGGTCGCAGCGCCGGAATACATCAATTTCATCAAAAAGGTGGATTCTGACATCAAAGAGCACCATGGAGCATTGATGGAAAGATGGGTTGATACCATTGTCAAGGATTTCGGCGGCATCGGCTTCGTCTACCTACTGCAAACTGAAAAGGGCCCATTTCAACTAGATCTCTACGTCTCCTGTTCAGGGCACCCATCTTTCGCACGTTTGGCAACTGTTCCGCACAAGGTGCAAATATTTCGTCAAACCCCAGATGAGAGCCAAACCAAAGCGCATCTCGATGAATTGCTCTATCGACTACACAGCAAGGAAATTAAATGCTACATCTCTGCTTTGCATGGCCTCGAGCCCTCAGCCAGCCGGCTTTTAACAGAACTGGGTATTCTGGGTTTCATGATTGCAAAATGTCTCGGGCGTGGCGATATCTTTGTGGCTCTTAGCGAATATCACATGTGGCAAAGGTGCTTTATCAAGCTCGCGCGCTCCAAATTCGATAAACCGCATCTAGAGTACGGCTTCTATCATTTGAAGCGGCTCATGGCCAAGCCCAGCGAGAGTGGCCATCTGTGACGTCCTGACCTATATTATCGTGCTTAGGTATAGGGTAGGTTCCTAATCTATAAGCCAAGGCGTTGGTTTATGTTAGCAAAGAGATGCGAGAGATCTGATAAGCGATGTAATCATGTAGCTAACAAGGTTATAAAATAACTAATCTAATTATTATCTGAAAGTGCTATGTTAACGACTAACTATCTAAGTTCTATCTAATAAGCGTAATAAATAGTTCTTATATAGTAAGTTGTTCTATGGTTATTACTAGTGTAAGTCTTATAGTACCTAATGAGAATGCACTCCCAGAGCTGCGTTCTTATCTTATAAGTAGGTATGTATCCTACTGAGAGAGGGAGTCCCACACCCTGATTAGTTATGGCCTTCTGGTGTATTGCCGAAGGTACATACCAAAAGGATCCTTGTGTGGTTAGTTTATAACATAATGCCCCTCTTCCATTAATCTTGTCCTTAAGGCTATAATAGTACATAAGGTCTATAGTTCTTCTTCCTTAGTGCAGTAAGTAACTTCTTTTCTTCTTGTTATAATGCCTTGTAGTATTTCAAAGCGTTGTCCCATGGTTTAGAAAAGTTCAACTGACTACTGTAAGGCAGCTATAGTAGTGATTAACGCTATTGGACTTCTTATTATGCCTTGTTCTTTTTGCAATACCTGTGGTTTATTATGCAAGATGGCGCCAGGGTATTGGAAGTGTTTGAAGTGTACTTGTAGAGGTTAAATATGCAATGGAAATGGTATTTCTTTAGCAGCTGGTGAGTTTATAGTTTTAAAATAAGCGAATTTTTTTAACTCTTCTTAGCTTAACGTCTAGCGTCTAAGAAGGAGAGGTTGGATGCTGAAGAGCGTTAGGCTAAGCAAGAATTGCTTTAGTAATAACAAAAGCTAATAGAGTTTTAACAATAGTTAATGTTATTGTCTTAGTTAATAAATGAGAGTTTTGCGCAATTATTGCGTTTTTGTGAATAGCATTAGTAAATAAATGTGCAGGGTAAATAAATACTTTGCAGGGGTGCTTAGTTGCTTAATGAATTAGATGATATTAAGCGTGCTAAGTTAGGGGTTGTGGCTAATGTGCAGCTTAACAATAGCGTCAATGAGATTAATTAGAACGCTGTGTTATCTAATTTTGGTTTATTAATCCCACAGAATGGAGAAACTTCTTTATTAGCTCCTGAGAGTTAAAGTGTTCTACTGGTTCCCATAAGTTTTCTAGGTTAAAGTATCTTATTCATTTAATAAGGTACTTGGTGTTATTTATATTAGAGTTCTGGCATACAGCAAGCATGTTTTCAATTTCATATTCCTCTTCTTGATCTTTAACAATGATTTTATTTAAAATGGGTCTTCTAGTGTTCTCATCAACTTATGCTTTTTTAAGTTGTAACATATAAAATACTAAAATTCGGAGTTTTATTATGTCTAGTAGGGCTAACTTATAGTTTACTTCTCCAATTTGTTTAAGAATTTTGTAGGGTCCTATTTTTCTGATGTTAAGTTTGTCACTTGGCCTGTTTATTTTGATGTTTAGTAATTTGTGGCCTTGTGAGTGTTGCAGTATATAAACCATGTCTCCCTTCTGGAGAATTAGTCCTATAACTCTGTTTTAGTCTGCATATTTTTTTATTCTATCTTAGATAAGTTTAAGTTATCTGCGTATTTCTTAGTGTAGATTAATTATTATTTCTGCTATAAGTTGGGCTTTTTTAAAATTAGGTCTGTCTTGTGGTGGTCTAAATGCTTCTAGTGTGAATCCATAGTTAGCATAAAAGGGTGTAATCCCTGTGGATTCTAAGGGTGTACTATTATAGCATAATTAAGCTACTGGTAGTTTTTCTACCTAATTATCTTGTGTAAAGTTAATATAGCAGCGTAAGTAGGCTTTAATAATCTGGTTAACGTGTTCTGTTTATCCATCCATTTAAGGATGGTATATAGTACTTAGTTTGTGGTTTATTCCTAATTTAGCTATTAGTTCTTACTAGAATTTGGAAGCGAATGTTCATCCTCTGTCTAATATTATTTCTTTTGGCAGTTCATGTTCTGCGGTAATTATTCTTATGTAGGTGTAGGTAAGTTCTTCTGCTGTATGTGATTTATTGTGCGGTATAAAGTATGCTTACTTTAATAGGCGGTAGACTAATATAAATATGCTATTGTATTTAACCTTTGTGAGAGGTTTAATAGATAAGGGTAAATTAGTAATATGGTTAAAAGTAACTAATTCCTATGGCTGTTCTAGTACTAGTAGCAGTTATAGTTTTTTATAAAGTTTATGTCTTTTGTCTTTTGTTTATTGGCATATGTTACAGTGTGATATAACATATTATATAATAGGCTTAAGTCCTTTGATTTTATAGTAATTTAGGACTTAATTAACTATCTTAGTGATGCCTTTATGTTTATGCAACGGGTGTTTATGGATGTATTTAACTACTTTCTTTTATAGTTCTTTAAGTACCTATATTTTATTATTTTATTTAGGGTATCCTAATTCTGTAGTAATATCTTCTGGATATTCTTCGTTTAGGTGAGTTTTCATGTATTCCTTGATTTCTTTAAGCATTGGATTATTCTCTAATACTTTAAATATGAGATGCATATGGACTTATTTAATGTTTCCTTTTTTATTATACTGGAGTGCTTGTGCTGTAACATTAGGTATTTCTTGTTTATAATTAGTTCTTCTGCTTAGAGCATTAGCTCTTCTGTTTTTAGTTCCTTTGCAGTAAATAAGTTTATAGCTGAATTATGATAAAAATTTAAAGTATCTGACTTATTTACTGGAGAGTTCTTGTGTGGTAGTAAAGTATAAAATATTCTTGTGATTAGTGTATACTATGATCTTGTGTTCACTTCTGTGACAGTAATATCTCTATTCCTTAAATGCTTGCAGTATTATGTATATCTCTTTGTTGTAAGTAGGATATTACAGCACTAGTCCATTAAGTTTATGTAAAAAGAAAGCAATAGGTCTAAGTTTGCTGTTATTACCAGGTTAACTTAATACTCCTCTAATTGCAAAGTTTAATGTGTTAGTTTTAATGGTAATAGGTTTCTTTGGGTTAAATATAATGAGAACTGGTTTTAAGATTAAAGCTACTTTAAGATCTTCAAAAGCTTTTTGTTATTCTTCTTTCCACTTAAAAGGTTAATCCTTTTTTGTTATGTTAGTTAACGGAATGGCCTTAAGCGAGAAGTCTTTAATAAACTTTCTGTAGTAATTAGCAAGTCCTAGAAACACTTATAGTTCCTTAAGAGTTGTTAGTGTTAGCTATTCTTTAATTGCTTTAACCTTATTAGGGTTTATGTGAATTTCTTTAAGGGTAATAACATATCTAAGAAAGTTAACTTTCTATGAATAAAATATACATTTTTTAGGATTAATAAGGAGTTTGTTTTCTTTAAGTTTTTATAATACTAAATAGATGTGTTTCTTGTGTTCTTCAAGGGTGTCCAAGAAGATAAGAATATTATTAATATATATAATAGCGAAGTTGTCTAAGTAGGGTCTAAGTATGTGGTTTATTTGTTTTTGGAAGGATGCTGGTGTGTTTATAAGACCTTGTGGTATAATAGTGTATTTATATAATTTGTATCTTGTAGTAAACGCTGTCATCTATTCATGTCCTTCCTTTATTTTAGTAAGCTTATAGGCTTCTGTAAGGTTAAGAGTAGTAAACTATTTTTTTCCATGTAATCTGTTCTTAATTTATAAGATTAAGGGCAGTGGGGTTTTGTCTTTAATGGTTATTTTGTTTAACTCTCTGTAATTAATAACTAACTGAAGTTTGCTATTTTTCTTTGGAACAAAGATAATAGGGTATCTAATAGGTGATTTTGAGACTCTAATGTATCCCTTCTTAAGTTGTACTTTAATTTATTCTTTAAGTGTTTTAAGTTTAGTTTCACTGAGATTATAAATCTTATGGAACTTTAGGGATGCTTCTTCCTTTAAAACTATTTCATGATCCCATTCTAAGTGTGGCGGTAGCCCTTTATCTAGTTGATCCTTATAAAGGTTGTATTTCTGGTATTGTTTTGGTACTTTTGCCATTGGGTTTTCTAAGTGCTTGACTTGTTGCAGTTCTTTGTTTAGTATTATTAATTTTTTGCGCAAGATTGCAATGTGTCTTTGCGTTTGTTGTTCTGAGGTCCTCTTTCTTTTCTTGATATATTGAGGGGGTATATTGGTGGGCGGTAGGAAAATCTTAGGTTTCTGGCTTCCTAATTTCCTTTCTTCTGGATCTTTGTTATGTCGCTAACGAATTTGGCCGGTTTTCCAGTCTATATTGGGTTTGTGTTTGCATAACCAGGGTATACCTAGAATAAGATTATATTTTGGGATATTGGCTATGTTATATATAGTTCTAGTAATGTGATTTCTAAAATCTATTGACAGGTGATTAGTCTGTTGTTTGATCCATCTATTGTTATACTGAAAGTTTTGTCCTTTAGCATGTTGAAGTTAATATGGTTTCTTCTTCTTGTATGCTGGCAACTGTAGGTGTATTACAGTTGTAGTAGACATATAATTGTATTCCGACCTATTGTTTATTAAAACTGTGAGTGGATTCCTGTTTAATAACACTTTAAAAAAGAGTCTCTTAACTGCTCTTTTATCTTTATTGTTGCTGTTGTATTCTTCTTCTTCCTTTTCAAGAGACATTATATGTCTTAAGTCCTCCTGTTGCCCTCTTATAGTGGACTATCGTAGTTTTTTAAATAGTGCTAGGTGTTAATTTTTATGCTTGTGTGTTATTTGCATTTTAGCTCTGGATAGTTTTTATAGTCAAATTATCCTTTGTCGCAGTTATACTTTTATCTTAAGTTACTACGGTCTTGCTATTCCATAAGTTTAGCGGTTTTATAGTAATCGCAGAACGCTAATCCGCATTCCCATAATTCTCCTTTACTATAGTCGCAGTGACCTGGTTCTAATATAACGACTTTAAGAGACTGATACTGTTAAGTAGATATCCAGTTGTAGAACTTCATGTTATGGTGTATATTTTCGTGAGTGGTAAATGGAATTCATACTAGAAAGATATTATTGTTATGTTTTTCTTTAAAGTGTCCTATGCATATGTGAGTAATGCAACTGGTTTAACTAATGCGATAGTGTAGCAGGTAATTAGGGTTAATGTGTTTATAGTCTCCATGAATATAGCGGTATGGAAGATTATGTGACCATGCTTTATCTAAAGTTACAGCTCTTAAGATGAGTTGTGCTTTAAATTCTTGTTATTGCATATCTTTTAGCCATTTATATAAAGCAGCCAGCGTATTTCCTTTAACAGGTTCTTCCGCTTCCATAATGCTATTATGGAATTCATTAAGCCTTTGCATTTCTAGAGTAAATTTATTATGCATTCTTTAAACATTATTGTCCTAATTATTGGTGGTTCTGTAGTTGCGCCATTTGGTATTGTTATCTTGCTCTAAGGCATTATCTTTTATAGTGGATAATAGTTGAAAATTAATCTAGGGGACTGGCTGTTAGTTAGGTATTTCAGCTTCTAGTTCTTTATCTAGTGTCTTAGAATTATCTAAGAGTTTAGATTTAGAATAATAGAATTCATAGTTGTTTTTGTTATTAGATGAGGTTAGGTGTTCTATTATATGGACGCTTTTGTTATCTTTCTCTATGGCATGGTTGTTTTTTGGTTCGGGGATCCTTTCCTTTTTGGGTAACTTGCAGTTATGTGCTATATGATTTAGCTTCCCGTAATTATAACATTTAAAGTCCTTCTTTTTCCTATTTCCTTTTTATATTATGCTAATGTCCATAGGTCCTGGGGTGCCACTGTTGTCTTTAGCAACTTGTTTATTTTAATTCTTACCTTTGTTTAGTTAATCTTTCTATGTGTTGCGGTTCCCTATATTAAGTTTATAAAGGAGGTTATCTACTTTAACACACTTTTCTATAAATAAGATAAGATTGTGCTTGGTTCGGTTAATGTTATAGACCTTTTCCTTGACTTTTATGCTAAGTCTATTATAGAATTTTTTAATAAGTGCGGATTGTCCCTAAGTAACTCTAAAGGCCAGGTCTCTGAATTTCACAGTATAATTAAAGCATCTTCCTTTCTGATAGATTTCCAAGAGTTTGTTTTCAGCTATTCGTACTTCTCCAACATCTCCAAAGGCTTTGACGAGTTCTTCTTTAAACTTCGAAAAGTTAGTGAAGATTTCATTAATATAAGCAGGCTATGGTCCAGTAGGGTTATTAAGATACACGTCCTAAACAGGGCGAAACCATTTAAGTGTAGTTCCTTTAAGGCGAGTGGCCGCAAAGGAAACTTTCTTAGTTTTAGTGTCAATAGTGTTTTCGAAGTCGATAAAGTAAGCCTTAAGTTAAGTTTAAAAGTTGTGAAGTTTACTGATTTTTCCATTAAACATAGGAGGCGGTTGACGCTTAATAAGTCTTCCTATATCTTCGCTTGCGGACTTCTTGGTCTTAACTGCCTTTACAAGAAGCTTGTTAAGGTTAAATATGTCTTAGAGGAAAGCTCTAATCTAATCCTTGGATATATTATCCTAATTAGGAGCTTCTCCTATAATAATATTTCCATTAGCATCTTAAGTAAAGATGGGGGTAGTCTCAGGGGTTAGGTTAGCAGAAGTGCTAGTTAATCCAGCTGCTTTAGGCATAGTGGTTCAGATTTGCTTAAGAGATCACAGGTATCTTCTAAATAAGAGTTATTAATATGTAATGTCCTGACTTATATTATTGTGCTTAGGTATAGGGTAGGTTCCTAATCTATAAGCTAAGGCGTTAGTTTATGTTAGCAAAGAGATACGAGAGATTTAATAAGTAATGTAATCACATAGTTAACAAGGTTATGAAATAACTAATCTAATTATTATCTAAAAGTGCTATGTTAACAACTAACTATTTAAGTTCTATCTAATAAGCGTAATAAATAGTTCTTATATAGTAAGTTGTTCTATGGTTATTACTAGTGTAAGTCTTGTAGTACCTGATGAGAATACACTCCCAGAGCTGTGTTCTTATCTTATGAGTAGGTACATATCCTACTGAGAAAGGGAGTCCCACACCCTAATTAGTCGTGGCCTTCCGGTGTATTACCGAAGGTATATACCAAAAGGATCCTTGTGTGGTTGGTTCGTAACACCATCTATATGAGGCTTTGCAAGCAATATGTGACCATCCACTAACGATACAGAACTTTAGAGAGGTGCATCGCTTCGCCATGCGATTTGCGCTACAACAGTTCCCTGATGAGTATAACCAACTCAAAGGGATGATCCAATCCATCACGCAATGCATCGAGGGCCGTAGGATTGGATCTCTCGCATCCCATCTCAGTCCTTGGCCCAATGACGCTTTGCATCTGCTCAAATTTAGCTAAAGCAGTGTTTTACGGAGTTGTTTGACAACACCTATGCTGGTAATTAAGAGTGACAAGTTTGCAGAGCAAGCCAGATGGATCATGGCTATATAATTTCAATTTTCTTACCTCTAGCCTTTCTAATATTTAGTGTCGCGTTTTCTCTTGTTCGATAGGTATCTCTTTATTGAGTATCTGAAATTGTAGGCAATGCTACACATGCTGAATTATAGCTAGTAGAATTAATAATTGAGAATGATTTTTTGTAAAGAAAAGCATCAAGTTAAACATCTATGAAAATAATCTCTAAAGCGATCAAAATGGCGATTGATACCATGGACCCGAAATAATCTAAAACTTGGCGGCTACCTCAGCCAGGTGCTCGTATATTTTTTCTGCAGCTTCGGATGCCGTTATATTGGTTATATCCAACTTTAGCTCATATGGCCCTCCAAATGTGTAAATATCTTCCTTTCGCCTAATTGTTTCCAAAATCGCGGCATCTCTGAGTTTGGTGTTGCCGGTGCCCCTCTCTTCACTCAACAATCTTGTCAAATTTTCCGCCATCTCACAATGAAGGATGATGGGAATAAATAACGCTCCTCGTAAATTAGCAGCGTTTTGATAATCTTGGGCGCCCGTACTGCCAATCGGGTCTGAGGATCGGGAATCGGTGAAAATCCATGTGGATCGAGCTGCTGCTTCAGATGTGGCGATGGTATTCAGGATGTGACGTCGAAAGCTCGTTCGTATATCGTGATAGTGTGGCGAGTCGCGATCAACCAAAGGGGCAATGGGATCGATAAACAAATGGTTGTGGTAAACTTTGGAATTGGGCACAAGTTTCTCCAGTTCCTTGGCAATAGTCAGCTTGCCAATGCCTGGATATCCGTTGATGTAAATATATAGTGGCATGAGAGTAAAGAATGTAGCCCTTTTCCGGCCAGAAGCATATAATGATGTTTGGCAATGGGAATTTGGAAAATGATGGGCACTGGTTGTTACATCGGCAGCTTGCCTTTATATACGTACGTCATGTAGGTAGTGAGTGACTCACCGCCATTTAGGAGCACAAACGTTGTCCGATAAGGTTTTGAAACTTCATCATCATAAAAGCTTAAACCGACGCCAGCTATCAATGTTGGTAACAGTGTATTAAAAAACAACAAGAAAGAGAAGAAGGAAAGATGTAGAGAATATTATGATTATTACAGGTACTATATTGAGAAATTACTAATATAGTACCCTGTTCTTTGTACCTAGTTGCAAGTATCCTATAGCACGTGTCCTGCGGTTTCTCCCCCAGGTGTCTCTCCGTGCTCTGCAAAGCATACAATGACGCTCTGTTCTAGGACAAAACTACATTCCCGAGGCCTAGAGACAAAGGCTGCCGAATGTTGGGAAAAGGGTCAAGAAGGGTCTGAGTGGCGTGCAAGGGTCGAACAAAACGGGAGAATCGTTCCCGTTCCACGCATTATTCGGCGGTTCTTTGCAGACACCAAGGTTGCACATGGACCACACTCAAGATTACACACATTGTTTGTTCCCGATGAAACGTGTGGCACTCATCCCGGTGCCATAATGTGTTGCTCCGTGTCGTCATTGCGCGAGATGGCCAGGGACCGATGTGTCGCTTGGTGGCCGATTTGCCGTCCCCCTTCCGGCGCGACGCTTTTTTCATCAGAGTCCCAGATGGACTGCTCAGAAGCGGGATATCCGTCCATACCTCGAAGCCACATGGATATGTTCTGGGTGACGGATTCCGAGCAGTCTGTATCGAGATGCAGATGGCCGTCAGGAATGGTTATATCGTTGTCCCCCATCTCTGCCGCTTGTCGTGGCAAATCAATGGGCGTCCTTGTCAAATGTCCATGACGAGGCCGCGTACCTCACCTCAGCCCATGGTTAGCTGGACAATCAAAATATAAATGCATCAGCGCCATGCCAGCCAGGTTGCAATCAACCAGTGGTGGGCCGCAGACGCGCAGACAACTAGTTGGCCCTTGCACTTTTTTATACGTTGGATCGGGCCGAGGATTCGTTTGTGCATCGGGATCCAAGCGTTTAATCTCGCTTCCAGCGACTGAAAATCGTTTATAGCTTGCGTTACAAGCTTTTTTGCGCAGAGTCAAGTTCCATAAGCAGGAGGCGCTGGAGAGCGCTCCAAGAATGAGCCATGGTTAATCTTAACTTGAATAGAAGTGAGGTGTAAAAGTAAAAGCTAAAATGCAAAACGTACTAATGTATTCTAGGTTGTTGATCAATTCTATTTAATTAAAGCGGGGTAAGATTTTAAACTATATAATACTAGTAAAAGTAAAATTATAAATGGATATATAATTATTATTTTATACATATGTTATTTTATCTAGCTTATGTATTATTTTACTCTGATATATATATATTATATTATTGTTTCCTTCCCTTTGTTTCCGCGCGTCTTCCATCTTTGTCTCGAAGCATCGAATAATTCGTTTCCTTACCTGCCTCATGATGGAAGCACAATACGTGCAACTCGACAACAGTTCTTCACAGGGCTGTGCACCCTTTAACGCTCTAGGCTTTCTCAAACACGCGTGCCGTCGTGCCGATCCAAGAATAAGGGAAGCCCACGGTCCTCCGCTTTGATGAAATACCGATTACAACGCCGAATCTCGACTTGGCGCGAAATTCAAAGCATCACTCGCCAACCTGGTATATCCATCGGCATTATTTATAACGGAGATGAGATCCTCAAACACAACATGGGGGTCATGGATATCGCCACCAAAAGGGAACCAGATAGTGATACTTTGTACTGCATCGCCTCTTTATCAAAAGCATTCATGGCCGAGTCGATAGAGCTTCTCATCAGCGACGGCCACATTACGTGGGATACTACTATCCAATCCGTGATCCCCGAGTTCAAGCATCACGAAGATGCTCAACAGTTCTCGAAAATGACGTTGCGCGACATCTGTTCCCACCGTACCGGCCTGATTGGCTTAGACGAAATTACCCAAGGAATGAATGGGAGAATCCTCATCCCTAAAAAGGATGTGGTCAAAGTCTGCAGCGCAATGCCTATCAAGCATGCGTTCCGGACCAAGTTTCATTACAACAATGGCATGTACGAAATTGCGGGTTGCGTCGTCGAACGCCTTTCACGCTCTCCTACTTGGGGCCATTTTCAGAACGATCGAATATTCACTCCACTGCAAATGACAAGAACCACGGCGTTTAGATCCGTCCACGAAACCGACAAGAACATAGCGAAATCCTATATGATACTAGAAAATGGCGAGCCACAATATATTCCACCGACAGAGTTGTCCGCCGACTCTATGAATGGTGGCTCGGGTGGCATAAGGAGCTCTGTGAATGATCTTTTGAAGTGGTGCTCGTATCAATTGAATAAACCGATCGAGAAGCTTGGGGGAGCAAACATGGATGGAGCACACACCTCGGTCTTTAACAGAGCCATTATTGCGGATTCTCAATCTCCTCCGGACGGTGACTACTGCACAGGCTGGTGCTATCATCAAACACCAGCCAAGCTTGGACTAATATCGCCAAATAGGACCCTGGAGTCTCCGCTGGTGGGCTTGAAATCTTCCTCTCTTGTCATTTACAGTCATCAAGGCGATGTCCCAGGATATACCTGCAACCTCTACATCATTCCCGACGCCCAGGCAGCCGTTGTAGTCCTGTCTAATGGGACTGGGCTAGGGGATGCTACCGATTGGATTGCGCAGGACATTGTTCAAACCATGTTTAAACTTAAGCCAAAGGTAGACATGATACAAGCTGCTCGGAAGGCTACAACAAAGTATTGCGATCACTACCATAAGAATTTCGAACAGCCGCTGAAAAGACACAAGCAGATAGACCTAAAGCCTGTGCCCCTGGACGAGTTCGTTGGTACTTATGTAATGAAGAACTTGGACATTGTCACACTCCAGATGACGACTACGACTGGAGGGTCAGAGAGCCTGCAAATGATGGTCAATGACCAGGCCGACCAGGTTTGGAAGATGGAGTATTATGCAGATGATACATTTTGCCACTTGCCAGATACCTACAATGAATGTCTTGCAAAGGGAATTAATAGAACGAAGTGGAACACATTTCTCATTACTTTTAATCGAGATGAGAAAGGAAAGGTAAATAAATGCTTGTGGAAATTAGATGGGATAAATGTGATTTTCAATCGAGTTTGAATAGGATTCAATTGGTTATATGACGAGGTGCAATATTATATTTCAAGTTCACCCCATCGACCCGTGATCCAGTCATCAGCTTAGTTGTTCAATACGAGAGACTGGCTGATCCAGCGTTCTGCTCGGTGACCTGCAAACAAGTGGATAGCTCTCGAGGAGTCTGCTTAGAGGACCGACAACACTCTCAGGCTAAATTGATGCATATGATTTGCGGTCCCGGTATACTAAAAATACGCGCTCCAATCGCCGGTGGCAATTAGACACACATATTTTGGCTAATGATGTTCCCCGTTGTATGTCCCGTGTATGTCGATGTCATTGCAGTGCTATGGGGCAACTCGACATTTAACCGTCATAAGTCACGATCAGGTCAATAGTAAGACTGTTAATACAATTCTACTCTCTCTCTTTTGCACATACAAATAGAATTTTTAAGCATCTAATGCTTACTCCGTATACTTGTATACCACTAGAAAAAACAAAAGCGCAGTGATCTGTTCTCCGCCAGCTGCTGAGGCAATGCTCATTCCTGGAGACGCATTGCGAGAAAGCTCCCATTATCATGGCTGGTCTTCATGCCTGTCTACATGGCAGGTATAGCCTCACGTTTGCTGTTATTCTGGTAATCGAATCCATTCTTGGTCATGCCCATGTGGTTCGAAATGCAGCGGAATACAGTGGTCGGCAACGCACGAGCATCGATCGTGGATGGCGATTTATGCGGTTTCCCACCAACCCCGATGGGCTGCTCTATGATCAACGACCGGACACGGCCAATGTGACTGACCCGGTCATACTGAAGCCATGGGTGCTGCCGTCTGGAAACCAGTTTATCAAAGATCCTGCCAACCGTCACCAGCGTCCTGATGGTAACGCCAGAGGCAGTGTTCCATTTGTGCAAGAGACATTTGACGATGGTGCCTGGTCTCAAGTTGACCTGCCTCATGATTGGGCTATTGCTGGTCCGTTCTATACGGATGATGACCCCCTGGTTCCCGGAAACATGGGAAGGCTCCCGGTATTTGGGGTTGGCTGGTATCGCAAGAAGCTATCGATATCTCAGAACGATGTGGGCAAGACATTTTACCTGGACATTGACGGAGCACAATCCTACGCCATTGTCTGGCTCAATGGGCAGATTGTTGGTGGCTGGCCCTACGGATATGCCTCATTCCGTCTAGATCTCACGCCGTATGTAAAGGCTGGGGAGAACCAGCTCGCTATTCGACTTGACAATCCGAACGAATCATCGCGGTGGTATCCAGGTGGAGGCATCTATAGAAATGTTTGGCTCACAGCCGTCGAATCCACACACGTGGCGCAATATGGCACTTTCATCACATCCCGGGATGTGTCAATGCAATCAGCGACCCTCGACTTGACATTGGAGGTGCAGAATACCGGCAAGGAAAGTAGCCATGTAGAGGTTATTACCAAAATTTACCAGGTCAGCGCAAAGACCAGCAGCTTGGAAGAAAAGGTAGCCGAGTTTCCTACTTCAAAAATACGAGTTGATTCCGGTGGAACAGAGTCGGTCAATGTAACCACTTCCATTAGTCGGCCGCAGCTTTGGGGACCACCTCCCACGCAGACGCCCAACTTGTATGTTGCTGTCACGCAACTCGTCACAAACGGGCAAGTCGTCGATACATATGAGACTCGTTTCGGCATCCGGACATTCGAGTATAGCGGCGACAAGGGGCTTTTGGTCAATGGAGAGCATGTCCCTGTGCAGGGGACCGACCAGCATCATGATCTTGGAGCTTTGGGAGCCGCCTACAACCATCGCGCCGCTCAGCGCCATCTTGAGATCCTCCAGAGCGTCGGTTCAAACGCAATCCGCATGTCGCATAACCCGCCAGCGCCAGACCTCCTGGACCTGTCTGACGAAATGGGATTCCTGGTCTTGGATGAGATTTTCGATTGCTGGGAGCTTGGCAAAGTCACAAACGACTTTCATCTCATCTTCCCCGACTGGCATGAGGCAGATCTGCGGTCCTTTATCCGGCGTGATCGCAACCATCCGTCTGTCTTCAGTTGGAGCTTTGGCAATGAAGTTGGTGAACAGCAAACAGGCCAGAACGGTGCAGACTTGGCTCAGGCACTCATCGATATTGTGCACCAGGAGGACTCGACGCGCCTAGCCACGACAGCCATGAACTCGGCCAAGCCCAACCAGCCATTTGCCGCGGTACCAGACATCATCAGCCTCAACTACCAAGGGGAGGGCATCCGCGATACTGCCGACTACTCTCAGTTGGCAGGCATTGCGACGCCTCCTTTATTCCCAGCGTTTCATGGAAACTTTTCTTCCAAAATGCTGCAGCACAGTGAGAGCGCATCTGCCCTAAGCTCGCGAGGCGTCTTCATCTTTCCAGTCCTAGAACAAGGCGACAGTGCCCCTGTGAACGACTCGTCTGGCGGGGATTCCACCATTTTTCAGGTCAGTGCCTATGAGCTGTACAGCGCCGATTTCGGATCATCTGCAGACAAGGCCTTTAGATCCCTCGATGAGAATCTGTATGTCGCGGGAGAGTTTGTGTGGACCGGCTGGGACTATCTCGGCGAGCCCACGCCATACAACGTCCGCAGCTCCTACTCGGGCATGATAGACTTGGCAGGATTTCCGAAAGAGCGCTTCCATCTCTATCAGTCGCGCTGGAAGCCGGACCTGGCCATGGCCCATATTCTCCCTCACTGGAACTGGCCAGACCGCGTGGGCAAAGTGACTCCTGTTCACGTCTTCTCCTCTGGCGACGAGGCCGAACTCTTCATCAATGGAAGATCCCAAGGGCGCCAGAAGAAGGAGGATCTCACGTATCGTTTCCGATGGGACCATGTCACTTATCAGCCCGGCGAGGTGCATGTAGTTGCTTACAAGAATGGCCGGCAGTGGGCAAGAGATACGGTGCGAACGACTGGAGAGCCGGCAGCGCTGCGCTTGCAAGCTGATCGCTCTGTAATCAGTGCCGACGGCGTCGATTTGGCATTCATCAGCGCACAAGTCGTTGACAGCAGGGGAGATGTAGTTCCTCAGGCGACCAACAGTATCCAATTCAGCGTCAGCGGAGCCGGACAGCTTGTTGCTACTGATAATGGCAACGCCTCTGACTATACGTCGTTCCCGTCAGCAGAACGACGGGCATTCAGTGGACGAGCCCTGGCTATTGTAAAGGGGAAGACTAACAAAAAGGGCGAGGCGGTTGTCAAGGCCACTGCCAAGGGGTTGAAGTCTGATGAAGTGATAGTCCGTACTGGATAGATGGTAGGCCTAGATGTGAAAAGCCAATACTTCTGTAAGGCCTGAGGAAACCTAGTAACAGCCTTTGTTAGCTGGACAAGGCATATGGATTTGATGTAGAAAGATGCATTGGGTTTCTACCGATCTGGACTGGCACCCTTTCTGCTAGATAGGATAGACAGAAATCTGTTTCTTTTGTCAAGAGGCTACATACACATCTAATATACACGTTTCAATCCTCTGGTCCCTGCTAATACTTACTTACATCAATGGGGTACCTCGTCAACCTCACAGCTCTTTATAGAGGATCCTCATCCATCGCCCGTTAAATAACACCGCACACCGACTTCTTCGAAATCTTCTGCACCAAAGCATCCCTATCGCGAAACCTCTGCGGAAACTTGGCCAAGTCCGCCGCCTTCATCAGCCCCCGCGCCTTGGACGCCTCCCCCAAGCTCTCCGTCTTTGACAACTTGCCGCCGCCGCCCGCCGCGCCGACAATGAGCCCCAACATGGCAAATGGCGCAGACGTCGGGTCCTTGATGATGTCGGCAATCGTGACGGCCGCGTTGCCGGCCTCACTGACGAGCAGCGCAATGCGGGCCAGTGCCGCCGCGCTGCCCACCAGGGGGCCCAGTGCTTCGCCGACAAAGGGGAGGGCCATGAAGACAAAGGTGAGGATCTTGAATATCAGCTCGCGCTTCTTCTCTTGCATGACCCGCTCGCCGATATCCTTGATGTCCTTCATGCTGTCAATGGACTCGGCCAGCTGCAGCACCGGCATGGCAAAGGCGACGACGGCCTCGAGCTCCGGCACCTGGACGGTGGCGTCTTTGAAGATGTCAATGGCCACCTCGGCAAGGGTCGACAAGAGCGTCTCCTGCAGCGTTGTGATGTTCGTCCAGGCGTTTTCAAGCATCTCCTTTGGGTTCGCCACCACAATGTCGTCGTCCGAGGCCTTGACCGGCACGTGGAGCCGGCGCCGGTAGATGCGGCGGCAGACGGGCATATTCCCGTTGCCGTAGGGCCGCCGAGGCATGTCCTCGGCCTGGGCGGCGCAGTCGTAGTCCTTGCCCCTGTCGCCCCAGGCGATCCAGTCCTTGTCGATGCCCAGAGTCGCGGCCACGTCGTCGTAGAAGCCGGCCTCGTCCGTCAGCTCGTACTCGACGCTGAACGTCTCTTCCAGCTCCCAGAAGTGCGGCACGCCTGTGCAGGGGTCGGTGCCGCTGCTGCTACCGGCCTCCCAGTGGCAGGTGAAGAACTGGTTGCCGGGCCCGTCGCCAAAGCGCATGTAGTCGTCCAGCTTGGGGTCGACGAGCTCCTTGACCCATTCCTCGTAGTACTTGAACTTGTCATCGTAGCCGTGCGAGTTCGCGTCGAAGAGGGACAGGCTCTCGAGGAGCATGTTGTAGAGCGTGTCTAGGGTGAAGTAACTGAGGCAGCGGTCGTCGAAGCTGTCGATGGCGTCGGCGACGCCCTCAAGCGTTCCGGGATTGTCCCCGTCGAGGCAGCCATAGCCGGCGCCGTCGCCATCGTCTTCCTCGGTGTCGTCGTCGTCGTAGAGGGGCTGTCCGCTGGTATCAGCATCTCCGCCCGTGTCCTCGGTTGCAAAGGTCTCGAGGTCAATGGCCCAGTCTGAGGAGCCGGCAAAGTTGAGCGTCTGGATCCATTTGATGCGCTCCGCCTTGAGGTTTCCGTCCATGTAAGCGACCCAGTCGACTGCCCCGTTGTTTCCATATTCGAGGATATTGGAGGCGGAACTTCCATCTATATAGGTTTTAACAATAGAGTAGTTACCATGGTTTTTGATGATCTCGGTAATCTCGGCGTTTGAGATGTATCCGGCCGTGCTGGTGCAGCGTCCCTTGTACGCCCTCGAGTCCTGCTTTCCGCCAAGGAACGTGCACATTGGATCTTCGCAGTTTTGATTTGCCATGCGGAAACTTCGGCCGTAGCTTGTCACGCCAACGGCAATCTTGGTGGACTTGACGCCAGCCTTGGTAAGCATGGCGAGGGCGTTGTACGTCTCCGTCTTATTGACGTGGGAGCGGAGGCAGTTGCCGCCTTCACAGCTGGGAATGGCCCATTTGTTGTCCACATCTATCACTTGCTGTTAGACATTGAGTTGATGCTCAGTAAGATCAAACATACCCCATTGGCCGTGCAAGTCATATGTCATGTAGATGAAATAGTCGACGTATTTGGCCATGTCCTTGACGGGGTATGCCTGCAAGTACCAGAACGATGCGGGGATGGCAATTGAAATGCTCCTGTCTTTTGGGAGCCTGGACTTGAGAAGAGACAGAAAATCAAGATAGTTGTCTCCCTCACTAGCACTGCCGGGAGGAACGTCTGGGATATCAGGTGCCTGTCGAAGCTAGCGTCAGCATGTTACCGTCACTAAGTAGTTGGAGACATCGACTTACACCTGGATATTCCCAATCAAAATCAAAGCCATCAATGTTTTCCTAATAACAAAAAAAAAAAAAAAAATAGTCAGCCCCTGGCAGGTCCCACAAGAGCGTGTATAGAATCATGACACACACACCTTCTTCATAAAGTTGACGAGATTATTCACAAAAGTCCCCCTGTACGCCGACGTAGTCGCCTGGCGAAACCTCTGAAAAGTATCAGATCCCGTCGAAAAGTCCCATCCTCCAAAAGAGAGAATCTTCTTGTATTCGCCCTCCTTGAATGCACTGAACTCGTCTTGGTAGTCAGAGATGTCGACGTCAAACTCCTTCGTGACCGTCGCAAAGGCAAAGTGCACGTGTGTAAAGTTGTTTTTGGGGATGCTCTTGGGATGCATCGCCAAGCAGTCGCGGTCGTAGCTGAAGGCCTCGTAGTAGCCGATCCTCTTGAACGAGTCTGGGGCTTCGTCGTTGTTCACAACGTCTGAGCCGCAGTGGGAGATGCAGCCATTTGTAAAGGGCTTGGCTGTTCCAGGGGCTCCCGTGTCTGCCGGAGAGGGGACACAGAAATCATCAGTCGTTCCGCAGAAGCCCCAGACGTTGCAGCACGCGTTGAGGGGGCATGGATTCAGGTCCGCGAGAGAAGTGCCGTCGGTCGGCTTCTTCGTGCCTGGAACCAGGGGGCCACAGGTGGCGTCGGCGACTGCTGCGGGCATGGGGGGATCTCCTGTGCTCAGACAGATGAGCTGCCCGACCTGGAGATTTGCATCACAGCCGGCCCAGCCCCAGGTCTTCTTGTTGAACGACTCAATGTTGGCCACGGTGATGCCGAAGGAGCCTGCGATGGCCAAGCATCCGTCCTGTGCGGCGATCTTGTAGGTGTGGCAGCTGCCGTCGGGATTGGGCTTGGGGCGCAGGTCGGGCAGAGTCCCGGCGCTGCAGCAGTAGTACTGGCCTGGCTTGAGCGTGGAGCAAAAGTTTGCCTGAGGGTTGAACTTGGAGAGGTTGGCGCTGGAGATGCCGCAGCGGGTCGCCAGGTCGGCACAGCCATCTCCGAACTTGACCTGCTGGGTCTTGCAGTCGGCCCTGGCATGGAGGCTGCGTGGCCCCTTGGCCCCCAGAGTGGAATTGCTAGAAAGGGGAGTGATTGTGGTGTTTGTGCTGATTGTTGAGACCAGAATATCCATGTTGATGCCGGCCGAGGGAGTTGAGCCGCTGAGGCAAAGGCCGTTTGTCCAGCTCTTGACCGCAGCTTGGACGACGCCGAGATCGGGGAAGCTCGCAGCATAGACACCAAACGTCAAGGCTGCCCTTTCAGTCTTGCAGATTTGAAAAGCAGTGCCGCCATGTTGTGCTTGATCACGGAAAGTCGACAGCATCGCAGAGACGGAGCTCTGCGCCACTTCAGCTCCCGAATAGAGGCCAACCACGGCAGAGTTTGACTTGGCAAACATGATGGTGGTGCCACACTGAGAGGCCTTTTGCAGAAACGTTGTGAGATGGCGGGTGGCCAACAAGACGTCGGTTGCGTTTGGTTTCGAGCCAGAGCCCGGGTGGGACACGCTCCCGTCGACCTCGGGAGTCACGGAAGATTTGACTGTCTTGCCGCCGCAGCTGTTTGAAACGGTGAGATTTCCATGGTCAACTCGACTGCCATCGTCTTGCAGCGGCGGCAGAGACTTTGTGTTGTATGTCTCTTGACCAGTGGACACGCAGGCCCGAATGGTGAGGATGGTCTGGGGGTCGTCGACCAAGGCTTGGACGTTGACATCGAAGATGATGGGTAGATGGCAAGTCTTGAGCTCCCTCAGGTGGTGGACGTGCGTCCAGTTGGAAGGGTTTGGACCAGCGTCATTGCAAAGGCGAGGACATTCTTCCGCGTACTGGCCATTGTAGGTGGTTGTGATGGCGCGGCACAGAGAGACGAGGTGACCCAGAGCGGCCCAGAAGGCAATTGAGCGCCGCATGGATACGCAGACTTTGCCACAGAGTAGCCGAGGGCGAACTTGGTTGAGGACAGAAATTCAGCAGCAAGAGGAAGAACCAAAGGCTTCAATATAGGACCTCGGTGGTTGACTGCCTCTGGGAGTTGAGGGTTGCAGTCCCGTGACTCTGGGCTCATCGGAGCCGATATATTCCATAGCATCTATATCCGCCGCCTCGGCATGTCCTGTTGAGCCTGATGCCGACCCTCGACTCTTGGCATCTTGTGCTGTTGGTAAGCATCGTGAGCGATATTGTGATGCAGCCGCCAGGAAGCTCATGGTGTTGAACAGCCAGTCACCCGAGATTGGCTACGCCACCCTGGATGCAACATCATACGGCCCCATGGCGGGTTAAAGCCGGTTCCGACAAGCTTAACCAGATGCTTTGTTTTAGCCATAAAAATCTTCAACGGATATACAGGGACCTCTTGTTGTTGGTTCTTTGTGGGGAGGTGGGGAGGTGGATCGGTTCAGGGATCTGAATCCCTAAAGTTAACCAAGACGCTCGCAGATTTCCCTTTTGGGCAGCGCTTGAACTTGCCTTGGGATCTTTTGCCTGTCCAAGCCGAGATATGGTCGATATTTCCGGACTACACACACGCTCGTTATCAAACTCGTCTACATAGGAAAAGGTGCCTTTGATTCGTGTCATTACGCGTTCCTTTGCCATTCTCACCTTGGGTCTCTTGTCCTGAACCTTCACCTTCCATTGCCAAACATCAGACTTGGTGCTCTGCGTCACTTGCAACAAAAGTCACTACCAAACACAATGCCCGGCAGCCCGTTCACGACTCCTGCCTTTCTGGACAATGGCGAGTTCTTCATGGATCAGGGCAACGTCATCCAGATGAACTGGCCAAACGTGTCCGATGCGTTTTCCACGCACGTGGCCATGGCCTCTGCCAGCTTCCCCGGCTGGGACTGGACTCGGCCCTGGCCGGGAGGCGACATGGTCGACGGCCATTCTGTGCATCTCACAGTCGCGCCAGAGGTTCTCACGGACCCGGCAGTCGTGGTGGATGCGACGACGGTGCTGTCTTCGCTGACGTTTGGCATTCCCGACAGCATGGTTTCCGGCGGAAAGGCGCTTCCCATGGACCCTTCGTGGTACATCTGCCGTCACGTCTTCATCACGACGAAGCCTGAGGCGAAGAAGTCTGCTGATAGGGGCCACGGCTGTGGCTTTCTTGAGCAGGCTTGTCTGGACGACCTCGAGTTCATTCTGAGCAACGGCTGGGGAAAGACGGACAACAACACCATGTGCGCCCAGTTGGCTTTTGATCCGTTGCCCGAGAGCTGCGGCAGCTCATTTGGATACGCGCGTCAGGATTCTTGGTGTAAGTCTCAAGACAGCTGGAAGAGATGATGATGGAAGCGTTTTTGACAAGACTGCATAACAGTTGCCGACAACACGGTGATAGCAAACTCTGTCCTGGGGCCTCTCGAGACGAGCCCCAAGGAACAGCAGTACAGCTGGCGGATTGGCACCGGCTATCACTCTCCCTACGATCCCATTCCCTATGAAATAGCCGCCAACAGGACCTATCTCGTGGCCACAGCCTGGGGCTACAGCAAGAAGCTAGATGCCAGTGCTAGGAAGACACCCAAAGTCACCTTGGCCTGCATCTCGTCTGGAGACGCCCATGTGCCGCCTCCTCCTCCGCCGCCGCCGCCTTCGTCGACCACTACCACGACTCCCAGCAAGCCAACCTCGACTCCTACGGCAATTCCCAACACTAACGCCTACTACGATGATTTTACCGCGGGCTTGAAGCAGTGGACTACATACGGTGACTCATTCAGCTCGGATTCTAGATTGCTTATTGCAGACTATTCCCTTGGCGACAAAGCTTTGCTAAAGAGCAGCTACTCCAACTTCACGTTCGAAGCCGACATCACCTTGCCCGGTGACTCGGGCAATGCAGGTCTCATCTTTCGCGTCTCGGATCCTAGCGACGGTGCGGATGCTTACAAGGGCTACTACGCCGGCATCAGCACGGAGAACAACGTCGTTCTGGGACGTGCATCCAATGATTGGACCCAAATCAGTCTCGTTGACGTTGATATCGCGGCCAACAAGGCTCATCACCTCAAGGTCAAGGTCCGGGAGGACAAAATCGACGTCTATGTCAATGACATGACCAAGGCATTGATTAGCGCGACAGACGGCACTTACGCTCGTGGCATGGACGGTGTGCGCCTCTATGACACAGGTGCGACGTTTGACAATGTGCACATCTTTCCGCTGGCCTTTAAAGATGACTTCGCCTCGGGCTCGATGGACAAGTGGATTACCTATGGAGGCGACTATGCGACCAAGAACGCCGCGCTGGTTGGCCAGGCGTCATCTGGTGGCAAGGCATTGATCCGCGATACGCTGTACAGCGACTTTGTCTACGAGGCGGACGTGACCATCTGGGATGAGAGTGGCGATGCTGGCCTTGTCTTCCGGGCTTCCAGTCCGTATGATGGAACGGATGGCTACTACGGCTATTACGCTGGTTTCGGCAACGGCTACATTGTCTTGGGCCGTTCTGACAACGGTTGGAATGAGCTGGCCAATGTCAACGCATCGATCCAGCATGGCACTGCTCACCATATCATGGTGCGGGCCAAGCAGAACTCTTTGTCCATCTTTGTGGACGACATGAACAAGCCGAAGATTCAGACGGGGGATGACACGTACCTTACAGGCTTGAACGGCGTAAGAGTGCATGGAACCAAGACGACGTTTGACAATGTGGTCATTTACACCATGTAGAGTACGTAGACGACGGTTGCTGTATGAATTTTACCTTTTTTATTTTATTGTAGCCTCTGGACTATTGTACCTAATGTTGATTGCGAGGTTAATTGTTGTATGAGTTGCGTTGTTGTAAATTTCTAAGCTTATTCTAAGCTTATTCCAAGCTTACCCCAACCGTAGCTGAAAAGCTGGAACCCTTTAGTTCCCGTCTTCCCGTGAAGCCACCGCTAACCTCTACTGAGAAAGCGCCGCCCAACTGCCATCGAAATGAGCTCTTACATGCCACCCACTTTCTGCAACCAAATCCCCATTTCCCGCACTAGGTCCTCGGTGGAAACAGCAATTTATCCGGCAAGCGTAGACTTGAAAGTTCAACCATGGCCTGCAGCGCGATGTCCCGCCCTCCCTGTCGGCCACTTCCTCTTTTCACCTAGTCGCATACAGCTTCTGTTGTTGGTTCCAGCAACTGGACCCCTGGAGAGGAGTGGAATCTCTACAAAAACCACGCAGCCGAAGCTCTAAAACTGACAACTGTAACTCTATGTTGGGCCGCGCCGTGAAGAATCAAAAGTTCTCTGCTTCATTCCGTTTACCCGACACAGGAGTCATATCCGAGCCTTGCGTGAAGTTATTGACTTGCGGCCCTCGTAAATTTTCCCTCGAATCAGGTCTGTCATTATGTAGAACAACTACCTATCCATATGCTTACGCGCCTGACATAACACAACAAGCTGCAAAAGGACTCCCGACGCCAAGAGCTCTAGAACTGACAACTGTAACTCCATGTTGGGCCGCTCCGTGAAAAATCAAAAGTTCTCTGCTTCAATCCGTTTGCCCGATATAGGATTCATGTCTGAGCCTTACGTAAAGTTGTTGACTTGTGGCCCTCGGAAATTATCCCTCGAATCGGTCTGTCATCTGCTCCAACAAAAAAACAAAATCGTTCGCTGTGCAATTGACTCAATGAGCTCTACCAGCCTTCATTCTACGGCGTTGTATTGACGTCGCCGCTGTCTTCTCGAATCAAGCTCATTGTACGCGGGCTTCAATCATGCGTCTACCCAGCCTATTGCTTCTCTGGCCATTGGCCCTCCTATGTCTGTCTGGCGTCCTCGCCAACCAAGACTCTTCAAAGTACGAATTGATCTTGTACTGGCGCCTCAGGCAATTCATGATTGACGCTCTCGGAGAAAAGAAAAATGTTGTCGCACCGCTATGCGAGAGCCCATGCGACTTCAAAAAATTCATGGAAACAGTCACCGTCAAGAGGAAAGGACCCAAGCTGAAGGAAGCAGACGGCGTGACCAACCGTAAAGACGCCAATGGGAAAGTACTCTATCAGTGGTACCCAGACTACGACAAAGACTTTTCCGTCTTCACCGATGACCTATTTAGCGATCCCGAGGCGGCTGCCAAGGAGATTGACAATGTTCACTTCACCGGGCGGTTCGGGAGTGAATCACAGTTCGAGGGCGCGAAGAGCTTCGATGATATCATTTCAAGTGTCACAGATGCCATTAAGAAGTCCCAGGCCGCCCTCACCGCCGCCGGGAGGGACCCCAACGGCGGGTGGTTCAAGGAGATCAAGAATCTGCTCCCGATCGTGGCCAATGCGCGTCGCTACAACCGGGCGATAAACCTGACCAAGGAGTTCAAAGCCTGGCTAGTCGAGAATCCAACGCTCAAGTTTGTCAACGTGAAAATGAGCGCTCCGATTCATCGCGCGCCAAACTTTGTCTACCAAAAGGTGGATCTCCATGGGACATATGATGCAAACCGGGCCGTGGTAGGGATAGAGAATTGGCAATACGGTATCAAGACCTTTGCTGTGGTTCAGAACTCACAGGGCAGTGCTCTAGGCCATGTCATGTGTATCCGTTCCCTTGAGAAGCTTGAGAAGAATCTGGACGCTGGATGCAAGTAAACGGCTTGCCTACCCCGAAACGAGAGGTGGTTATTGATTTTCAAATGGGCGTCTCCTCACTTTAGCAGAAATATTATATTCAGCCTACAAAGATACCTTCTCTTAGTTAATACTTGCTTCAAGTGTCATCTTCTCGCACCAATAGTTGCTTCACTCCTTTATCTGAGACCTGATATTGAAATGATTGTCTATTCGACTCGGCTTAAATATCATAAGGTTGGCTATAATCATATTCAGAGATGCTCATAACTAGAAACTTCAAAAAAATCATTTCGAGCAACCGGATGCTGTACAGAAGGCACCATGCCCACATTCCCATCCACATCGCAGTCGTCGGTACAAAGCATGAACAGGATTTTGGGTCTAACTCGCGGTAGCTCTTTCTTGGCCTGTATAACCCAAGGATTGTCATGGTCGAATCGATTCACGTTGTCTTCACCGTCCCCCATGTAGACCTCCCGTCGGCCGTCTGGAAATTCGTCAATAATTGGATTCCAGGCTGAAAATGGATCCCCATCAAAGGGTATGCAGTTTTCCCACTTCATCTTTGCGCGCAGCCATGCAGTTGCCATCATGAGCCAGTCCACCTTTTCCGTCCAGTCTTGTACGCGAGACCGAAAGATGGGCGACAGGATGAGAGAAAATAGTTTGATGACTTCAGTTCTTTTGCGGTTGTGCATGTCTCTCTCAAAGAGGGCGTGGAAAGATCTGATGTTTTGCTCATCGTCAAAATCCACTAGTTGAACTGGTGCATCAAGCAGCAGGCCAAAGAGACCCGACGCAACGGCGTGTCTTCTTTTTGCATGTATAGTGATGAAGACCATGGTAGCGGACAGGGAGATGTTTGTAAAGGGCCTCGGACCATAGTAAGCGTACTCGTTGTAAACCACGTTCAAGTCTTCATCTACAAGTTCGTCTCTGATTTCAATGCGCGGAAGCCAGCGCCTCCGGGAGACGTCTTGCAATCCCAAGTCAAACTCGAAGTAGTACTCGCAAGGTATTGATAACGGGACCGCGTCGAGCCAATTTAATCCGTCCTTGATAAACTCATCGACCAGCTCTTTATCCAACCCGTCCTCCAAAATTGCCTCGGCTGCCTCAGACGTAAAGTTAAGATGATACGTGTCCAAACGAGGCTGGATCCATATAGGCCCCAAGTTCCAGCTATAGTTTTGCGAGACCATCTTGCCCCAGCGCATGGCGACCCGTCTTGATTCGCGACAGACTGAGGCAATGCGTGGCGGAGCAGCATTCTTGAAAGATGGTCGCGCAGACCAACATTTGTGCTCGTTGCGGAGGCGCTCAACTTCGTAAGGATCGTCTCTCTGGACAACTCGATGAGGCAGACAATAGAACCAGATAGCAAGGCGAAGCTCCACTGGCAAGAGTGTGAAGTGGGGGAATGCGGTCGATTGTGTTTCCATGGTTGAATAAAAGAAATTGTTCTTGTGCCTGATTGGAGTGCGTTTATAAGTGTATAGTAAAAGGGGAAGAGATTCTCTATATGGGACATACAGAAAATTTTAAACTTATATTACTAATGTAACCTTCTTATATGAAATCTTCTAGAATAAGTAAAGTTTATTATATTTTAAAACTCAAGTTAAAATATTAAAGGCACTTGCTTTTATTTTTAAAGCATGTTACTACCTAGGCTTCTCTTTGGGTTTATAGTAGACTAAGAAACCTGACGTCGACAACAAGCTCTCACTAAGAGAGTTCGCCTGATTACGTAATCGGATGGCTCGCGTAGCTCAGTTGGTTAGAGCTTCGTACTAATACTTCAATTGCGGTTGAAATCTTGGTAATGCGGAGGCCGCAGGTTCAAGCCCTGCCGTGAGCATTGTTTTTTGTTTTTTGCTCGTTTTTTTCCTATAATCTGTTCGTTCACTTTTCACCTTGCGTAATGGATATGTGAGTGAGCTAGAAAGATTTTATTTAATCAAGGTATTTGAATAGCCAGAAATTTCATAGCTACAAACAAGACTCTTCGAAATCTTTAGTTGCAAGGTTGTGGATAATTTAGGCAGTGGGCCCTAAAAGTTAGGCGGCGTAGGGAGATCGACAGCGGGCGGAAAGCTTAACCCGATATCAATACCTCCACCAAGCTATAGCTCAATTCTCGCCAGCTTCTTCCTGCAAAGTTGGACCGGCAGCAATTTTTCTAAACGCTGACCTTACATGAGTAAGTACCAAGCCCAGCTTCATGACAGCCTCAAACGAATGACAACCGATAGGGAGAGTATCCCTGAGAGCCGTCTCGTCTCATCGGCTCCTCATCCCATCAAACCTTGTCACGACGCTCAGTCGGGATACACCGCTCCATTCTGGAGGCTAAGTCTGGACCTGACGGAATGGGCTTGTTATATCGCCCCTCTTCCCTTCTCCCCCATGCCAGCCACCCTTTGTTTACGCTTTGGCGAGGATTGGGCGATCGCAATCCCTCCGCACAGCGGTCTATCATCTAATCGGGCAAATAGTAATGATTGTCACCCTGATGGATCACGGTGCGGTTGTTGAAATGATTACCGGTAACGTCGCGCTGGTCTTGGAGAGGGCGCTGGTCCACTAGGTTGTCTCGCCATCGTGACGATTTGGCCTCGTCGCTATAAAGGTCTTGCGTCTTTTTGGGAGCAGGTACGCTAGGTCCTCTCTTGACTTTATTCAGCCTTACCTCGGCCTCTGGCCTATTGCAATCTGTCAGTTGCACACATCCAAGGCATGTGGGGCAGAGCTTCCCAAGTTGGTGACGAACCTCGATGCTCTTCGACCATCTTGAATCCCGTATCGGGGAGTTGGAAATTCTTGAGAGGTCCGAGAAGTATCAAGAAGTGTCTCCGGCTTTGACTTCCCTGAATCAGGTCCTTCATCTTTCAGTCGTGTAGTCGCGCCTTTCATGGAGAAACGTTGGATATTACCCAACTCGTCGACCCAACCAGTAGTCCGAACCATCTCCTTGAGGGGTGCAACAACCTTCTTAAAGAGAATTGCGCGCCTCTCTGCGATTGTTAGCTCTTCCTCTAGCTCTTCTGCCGTTTTATGAAGACTCTGCTCTGGAGAGTTCGGCGACTTCTCCTTCAAGTCCGGCCGGAAGAAGTTCTCGCTAGCACAATTTGCAACAATAACGCGATATTCCTCCAATGTTTGGGTATTCTTCAAGTTAATGTCCGGCCATTTCTTTTTCTGTACTCCTTTGCGAATCTTGGATGAGGTGTCATTTATTATTCTCTCAAGGGTTGGAGGCTCAATATTGTTGGTAGATGAGGCCAGTCCTAAAGAAGCTGCTTGCCTTTCCCAACTCTTCTTCTGACCGAGCTCGTAAAGTATAGCGCCAAGTGCCAGAACACGAGGGTATCGGTGAAGGAATTGTCCCGGTGGCAGTCGTTCCACGGAGTCTCTCTCTGCCATCTGCTCCAAGGAGAAGGCGTAGTATGGCGCCCAGTCAACCCCAGGCTCATCATCGTCATCATCATCATCCTCCCTCTCTCGGAAGAGTTGAATAGACCTCGTCGTCCAAGAAACTCCCATAAAATCCGAATCATAGAATTGCCAGACAGATTTGGCGAGTATATAGGCGAGGACGAGCTTGGTTTTGGGGACTAGGGAATAGTTACTGAGCACATCGGCTAGTGAGATGCTTCTTCCATTAGCGATGTTCACTTCAATCTCTACAGCGCGTTGAAGGAGAAACAGCGTTTCGTTCCTAATACGAACAACCATACTCCCTGAGCCGATATCTCTGCCAAGGAGCTTGCAGAATTCAGAATTTGATACCACTTCTGTGGCATCGTACCGTCTCGCCTCGTCTTCAACACCATTGTAGCGTATCTTATCTTCAAATCCCACCGCCCGCGCCTTGCGTTGTTTTCTGGATTCTTTGGGTTAATAGTAGCATTTCGTATTTGGACGGGCCAACATGCCTTGGAACACGAAGTTGTAGGTGCTGCCACTCGATCTTCTCGTCATATTCGCATGATCCTCTCTTTGAGAATACCGTATGAAAAAGGATCTCATTGTCAATTGTGCCAAAGTTTGCCTGAAGCTCGAGTCTTCCCCAGTGCCTTGTCGGTATTTCCGGCGACCGATTAGGCAACCCACAATAGCATTCTGAGTATTTATTGATCACTTTATACAGTGTGTCATAAACATGCTTTGGATAACTTTCATCTTCATCTGATTTCGTCTTTGCATTCCCGGGATTTCGTTGTGATTCAGGATCTCGTTGCGCTAATTCGGCATGCCTCCTGGCCTGGTCTTTGGCTTCGAAGAAGCTTTTGAGAAAAGCAAAGTAGGGGCCAGTTATGTAGGCTGAGGCTGACGCAAACTCTTCTACACTCTTCTCTATTCCACGGAGTATGCTGTTGTCTGAATCTGATCGGAAAGTTTCTGTAGAGCTTGCAGTAACTAGAGTATTAAGCTTTGGAAAGCGAGCAGAAGGCTTGTTTTGTTCGTTGGACTTGGCTAGATAGTTTATGGGGTACTTGACGCGCTAGTTAATTGGTAGATTTCCCTCATACGTGAAGATAGGTAGGATGACGGACAGTACAAACCAGCTCCAATCCACACAAGAACGTCTCCAGCTTGACCGCCTCATCATCTTGCTTGTCCCTGTAACCCCCCTGTTCGTATTTGTCTTGACTGAATGAGATACACATAAGAGAAGTGGCTAGAACGGCCAAATTCTTGATGCGCTTCTGTCTGGAAGGATTCATGATCCAGGATCCTCGCAATTTTGTTTGGAGATTCCCAGCAACTACTGCCACATCCTGTGCCGCACGCTGGGCGAGCTCCGCTTGCGAAAAGGGCGCCTCCATGACCAAGTAGCTGAGGTGTGAGAAAATATCGCTGTAGGATAACAGGGGCGTTCGGGTGTCGGGCGGCCTAGGAGTGGCGTAAGAAGGGCCTGATATCTCACAAGGCCAGCTGGCACGCGATTTACATGTAACAGACTAAAACAGATACATGCAGTGTTTGTATCCGCCTATGCCATCCTCGTAGACTCACTCATGATTTCATTGCTAATGCCTCATGGTTTCCAATCGCGATAGTTGTGGGAGCGATTGCATGTGTAAGGCTGGAAAGGCGGGGTGAAGCCACCCTGCAGCCTGTTATCGAACAGCGTTCATCACGCATGATAATACTACTACTAGTACTAATAATAGGTTGCCTTAACGCCGAGAAAAGTTGCTCGCGCCGCCAAGGAAGCTACATATACCTAGACGATCGGATTTAGCGATTGCTGGTGGCCCAACTAAGGGACGAGCCGAGCCGGAGCCGCACTACAGGGCTCATAGCGTGTCCGCACTGCGGTTTGAATACATTACATGGACAACAAAAGGATGATGACCATTTCATCTAGCTAGCTATCTCTGAATTTGTGATATATCTCTTCCAAGCCCTTGGGGCGCAACAAAGAGAACGACGCTGTGAAGGCTGTAGGGGTTGGTTTGCTAAAAGGTCACCTGACCACAACAGAATACATTGATGTATCAAACGTACATGTATGTTGCCTGCCATTTGCTTCAATTCCACATGCTCCAACCATTCGACGCGCATCACATCTCTGTCCATACTAAGGTTCAAGTCGCTAACAACGAGAAATCAGTGCGGGCTACCCTTTGCAAAAGCACGCTCCTCGCTATTCATCAGATGCCGGCCACCAGGCCTATTTCTTGGGACGTGGTCCAAATATCCCCGCATTCTACGCATACCTCAATCGCAATTATTAAAGCCCCATTGACATTGCCCGCCTTGCACTATGGCTTTACCGGCTTCTGAGCTCCAGATGCCTGATTTTGGAGACATCCATCATGCAACAATGGGATGCATCTCTGACTTCAAGGCTTGCCTGTCCATCAAGCCTCTAATGAAAGAGGGCTGGGCCGAGAGTCGACTTGCCGACCTAAATCTTTGGGCCTCCGGCGTCGGTGCATTGGCGAGGCCTGATATGTCGCTTGATCAACGACTGCAGTTTCAGCCAAAGCCTCGGCTGGTCCTGATCAGCCTTCTCCTAACTCTTCGGGAATTCATCAGTAGCTGCCGCGCGTATGCTTTCAGCGAGGCTCATGGCAACAAAGAAAGCACCGACAACAGAGCAGAATCTGAGAGCGTTCCCGTATCTGCTGCAGAAAGTACTCCGGAGCTAACTCTTGGTGATGATTCGGGTCCTACTCCAAGTTCTGCGTCTTGGTTTACAGCGTTGGTTTCTAGCCCAAAGAGCACCTCGGACTCTTCTACCGATTCCGACGTAGGAGATGAGCCAGACGATCCAAATTCTGAAGTAACGCTAAAGGAAGTGATGAAAGACATTGACGATATCCTAGACCAGCTCATCATGCTTGGCTTCGCGATTCGAAAGTCGGGAACCGTCGCCAGACTACGCAAAGCCGACTCGTCATTCAAACCCAGCGAGAACAAGGACTTACAAGAACATCTCGAGTTCATATTATTCAACAGCGTTGCCAGAAGGCAGAAGAATAGGAAAGGCGACGTGGGGAGCACTTCTGGTGAAAGAATCCAGGAGGTGACCCCAGAACAGCAGCATCTCATCCTGGCAAATTTGCGCCGTCGACATAGATTCCGATATGCAAGACGCCATCAACAAAAATTAGACCGACTCACAGCGTTTTCCCCCGTAGCGAAGACCAAGCCGTTTGTACACACGCCTGAGGAGCACCAAGAAATGACTCCTGGGCTTAACAGATCGCTCGCTTCAAATGATGGAAAGTCGCCACCGACAAAAGGTTTTGTAAGCACAACACCATCCACTGCTCCGCCACAAAATCTTCAAGCCCTAGAAATGAGCGTGACGACACCTTCTGTGGCGGAAGGCGACATATTGCAAATAGCAATGCCTGCAGAGGCAGCTGCTAGTCGCGTGTCGGTATCTGTCGCAACAATGCATTATCCCTCGCCTCCTCCAATATCTCAGGGATTGAGGGGATTTAAATGCCCTTGTTGTTATCAGACATTACCAGAAATGTACAAGAGTTGGTCGAGATGGAGGTATGTCTTAATTCAACCACATCCGCTTAATTGCTTGTTATCGAATGCTCATTAGTGTTTGCAGGAAACACCTCGTGGAAGACCTTTGTCCCTACACATGTCCTTTTCCAGATTGCCCTAAACCAGAAGTTCTTTACATCTCACGAGCAGCCTGGCGTGATCATGTGCTCCAGAGTCATGGAGCAGGCCAAAACTGGGAATGCCTGGCTTGTGTTGGAACTGAAATATCAAACAAGTTCTCATCTGCCGAGGAATTTGTCAGCCACAACCGGACTAAGCATATAGACGCCATATCGGAAGATCAGATCGCTGTCCTACAAGACACATGCCGCAGAATAGTTCCTCCAAACATTGCTCAGTGCCCCCTGTGTCCATGGCCACAAGATGAGGAGGCAATACCAGATGCCGTCGCGAACCTTGAGCATGTCGGTAATTGCATTCACGAGTTCTCACTCTATGCTCTACCTTGGGCTGAATCATTGGCTGTAGATGCAACTGACCAGCCAAATCTTGCTCTTCGTGGAAAAGTCGAAGAGTGGCTTAATAGTACATGTACCGAAGAAGAAGAGAGCGCTAATTTTCAAGAGATCAATATCAAGACATTCATTTTCTTTCCAACACAGTCCCTGCCAAACAAACAAGAGTATGCATATATTCGCGAAGAGTACTTTGCTGAAAGCTCCAATGAATCATCCCAGGTAGAGCGAGGGACCTTATCGTCAGACTCTGATCTTCCTGAGGCCAGAGGAACGTATTCTGATGATATTTCGGACAAAATTTCCGAAGAAAGCGCGATGGAGCAGATTATGGAGAATCCCCAGAGCGTGAGTGAGCCCGAATACGCTCCCGTTCATGCCTCTGATTATATCATACGCTAACAATGTGCAGTCAACGGGGGCCGAGCCTCCTTTGCGCAAGTTGGAGTCCAACGACTATACCGTTGGGTGGATCTGTGCCCTAGATGTCGAGTACGTTGCTGCACAAGCGCTCCTTGACGAAGTGCACGAGCGCCTAGAATATGCGCGTCCAGACAACAACCGTTACACATTGGGCAGAATTGGGAAGCACAATGTTGCTATCGCTATTCCACGTTCCTTCAAGTACTCTGGTTCGGTAGCAGAGTCTATGGTGCTCTCCTTCTCAAACCTCAGAATTGCTCTCCTGGTCGGCATTGGTGGCGGGGTTCCAAGCAAAAACCACGATATCCGTCTTGGTGACATTGTAGTTGGCGCTCCGAAAGATGGGCACGGCGGATTAATCAAATACGGCTTTGGCGGCAAACCCCTAAATGAGAGGTTCCAATTCTCAGAATTCTTGGACCAGCCGCCGCTTGTTCTACGAAGAGCACTGGCTGGACTCCGGGCCCAGTACGAGGAAGAGGGACATCGGATTGAAGAAACAGCCGCTAATGTTGTTGAGAACAACAAAAGTTTATGGCAACAGTATAAGCGGCCGGACCAACTCAGCGACAGGCTGTACCAAGCGTCGGTCATCCACCCAAACACCCAAGAAAGCTGCCTCCTTACCTGTGACCCACATGCACTAATACCGCGACTCCCACGGGACGAAGCTGAAGACACCCTGGTGATTCATCATGGCGTGGTTGCTTTATCACCCCAATCAATGGAGAACGCATTGCTTCGGGATAAGATTGCAGCAGAGAAAGACGTGTTGTGCTTTGAGACGGAAGCAGCGGGACTCATGAACAATTTCCCCTGCTTAGTTATTCGTGGTATATGCGACTACTCAGATTCCCACAGAAATCAGGAGTGGCGAGGATATGCAGCATTGGTAGCGGCTGCGTATGCGAAAGACCTTCTATATCGGATCGCCACCAACAAGGTTGAAGCGGAAAAAAGGATTAGAGACATTCTTTCAGGTCAGTCCAAGAGATCTTTGTTATTATTAACTCAGAGCACATAATGACATAATTCTATATTAGGTATGCAAGAAGTAGTTACTAAAGCGGAAAAAGATGTTTATAAACTTGTTCATGACCAACATAGTCGAGAACATCAAGCCATCCTCGACTGGCTTACACCTATTGACTACTCACCTCAACACCACGATTTCATCGGCAGACGACAGGAAGGAACAGGACAGTGGCTCCTAAAGTCGCCACAGTTTCAAACATGGCGGGAAAATAACGGGCAAGCATTATTTTGTCCAGGCGCCCCTGGAGCAGGCAAAACCATCATCGCAGCAATAGTGATCAGCCATCTATTAGCCAAGTTTCAACATGAGCCGCATATTGGCATTGCGTACATCTACTGCAACTTCCAGCGGCAAAATGACCAAACTGTCGAAAAGTTACTCGCAAATCTACTAAAGCAGCTAGCCCAGAGGCAATCGTCTCTTCCAAAGACTATACATGATCTCTATGAGGAATATGAGAAAAGCGGGACGCTCCCATCGCTTCATCAGATCACGGCAGCACTCCATTCTATAACCGCAGCATATGAAAGGATCTTTTTTATAATTGATGCGCTTGATGAATGCCAAGATTTAGCTCGGACGAAGCTCCTCGATGAATTATTCAATCTTCAGACTACGACTGGAGCAAATATTCTTGCGACTTCCAGGATTAATGACGACATAAAGAGACGCTTCGATGGATGTGCAACTGTGGAGATCTCTGCGGCTAATGAAGATGTGATAGCCTGTCTAAACGAAACGTTATTACTCCGGCGCTCGAGTATCATTAACGATGACTATCAAAAGAAGATCAGGGATGTATTGCCCAAAGCCGCTGGTGGAAGGTACGCCCAATACTCGGTGAAATTTAGAGAATAGTTAAACTGACGGCACTGTTAGCTTCGTCTCTGCAATTTCTTACATGTATACAATTATGAATCAGCCTACAAGAGAAAAAATCGAAGAATTCCTACAGAAACTAGGCAAAGGGATGGAAGTTCCACAGGAATTCTACGAGCAGGCCATGGAGAGAATTGAAGGGCAGCCAAATGCTATTCGATCTCTTGCAAAACGAACCTTGACTTGGATTACTCACGCCAAAAGACCGCTTTCCATCACTGAGATCCGGCATGCACTTGCAGTCAGGGAACATGGGACGGAATACGACTCTGATGACATGCCCGATGCAAAGGCTCTAGAATCTGTATGTGCTGAGCTAGTGACTATTGACGAAGAAAGTGGGATTATCCGGCTGGTGCATCACTCAGCTCAAGAATTCCTCCAGCAGTCACAAGAGAAGTGGTTTCCCGAGGGAGAGTCTTACATCACGAAGATATGCCTCAAGTACCTGTTGTTCAATACTTTCGACGGTGCGCTTTGCCGGACGGCCAAGGAACTTGAAGACCGTCTGAAATTTGATCCTTTTTATGGCTACGCTGCATGCAATTGGGGACATCATGCTCGCGAGTCTGCGATAACAAGCCAAGAAATCATGCATTTCTTGGAGAACACGGTGAAGGTGGGGGCATCAAGTCAGGTACTAATAGCAGAGAGGCATAAATATTTATTACTTCAAGTATTTAACAATCGACATAGAAGTCCAATGACGGGGCTACACTTAGCAGCATACTTTGGGCTAGAGGGAGCAGTCAACAACTTACTTCAATGGGACAGTCCAGACTTAAAAGACATATATTATCGGACCCCCTTATCGTGGGCTGCCGAAAATGGCCACGCACATGTCGTTGAACAGCTGATAGCGACGGGACAAGTTGAGGTAGACTCGGTGGATATACTTAACAGGAGACCATTGGTATGGGCTGCAAAGGAAGGACATGCAGAGATCGTTCAGCTGCTGCTTGATGGCGGCGCCAAGACTGAGATTCGGAATGAGCATCAGCAATACTATGAGATATCACCACTATTATTTGCAGCAGAGCAGGGCCACATAGCGGTCATTGAGCGACTGTTTGAAGCAGGCGCTGGGATTAGTCCTGAGTTTCAAGACTTGACTGGGCGGACACCGCTTATAGGGGCAGTACGGGGCGGGCACAAGGCTGTGGTTGAGTTGTTGCTTGACAGCGGCGCCGACATTGATGCAAAGTCTCGAGTTGGGGATTCACCATTATCAATTGCAATGGGGCTGGGTTACGACGATATCGCTCAGCTACTGCTTGACAGAGGCGCTGAGCCTGAGCCGCCGTGAACGACCATGTCTCGTTCCATCCCCGAAAACGAATCTTGAATATACAAGCATCAGATCCTTTGCCAAAATGAGTCATCTTGACGACAAAAGCTGCTGCGTTGCCTCCTGCAGAGGCCGAAAAACATGCCTGCTTCGATGTCACCTGTAAAGGTTCAGATTATTTCACCTTGAATTGGTCAAGTCATGCACAAATATAAAGATGAATTAATATTTAGTCGCAGATACAGTCGTATCGATATACTACATGACTCGAACAAAGAAAAAAGCCCACATCCAAAACACCTTTTTGTCTCTGATCAAATCTCAAAAAAAATGCAAATCCAACTATTTTTTCCAAGGATCTAGACTCATCAGAACCCTTGCCAAATCCATCAACAAAATATCCCATCCAAAACATGTGTTTGCGTGCAAGTGTCGTAATGCACCAAACAGGTATTTCCCTGCTCTTGACGTCTCCCGTACCAACGCTCTCAATTGCCTGTACAAAAGGAAGATAAAAAAAAAAAGGTATAAAAAAAAGAAAGAAAAAAAAAAACTTGTATGATGCGCGCGCAAAGATATATCGGCTAGATACAACGCACATCTACAATTTTCAACGCCAATCGCCGGTGTAAATGAAGTTGTCTCGCACACAATGCGGATATAGTACACGCCCGTATGAAGTTGACGGGGGTAATAAAAGACACAAAGGGAAAAAGGAAAGGAAAAAAAAAGAACAGTGGGAAAGCAAGTCACTCAATCCCCCTCTTATGCCTCAACCGCAGCCTTTGGTGGCAATGGCGGAAGGGCACATGTAGGAGGTGGTGCTGGCGGAGGCATAGCCATCCGCGGCAGGCTCTTCTTGTGCTTCATACTCTTGGCGTAGTTGCTAGAAGAAGACGAAGGCCTCGAGGGAATTGCCGGAAGAGGCCCTGTTGGCGGCGGCGAAAGCTGAGGAAGCGACTCTGCAATATTTGCAATGGGATGCGCCTCTCCGGGGAACTTGTCAGAAAAGGCAGACATGATGCTAGCTCGATTGGTTGCCCAAGAAAACCCCAAACTAAAGCCCCGCGAGAATTCGTCCACATCGTCGACCGAGGTTCGACTCTTCTTCGTCTTGTCGGTCCAAGAAGCCGAGAGGGGTGAAGGCAATGGCGAGAATGACCGGTCAGTGGCGGGCGATGCCAGGGGGCTAGCATCTCTAGACTTTGATGATGAACCCTTGACCTCGAGCTGCTTTCGCAGTGCGTTGATACTGGCGAGTCTCCGGGGGCTATCATGTGCGTTCTCATCAAGTTGAAAGCCAGGTGGAGTGGCAGGGCCCGGGCTGGGGCTCCGTGTTGTCAATTTAGGCACTATGCTCAGACGTCGTGAAGGCAAAGACAACCGTCCCAGCACCTGGGGGACGTTTGACATGGACACAAGCCTCTCTCGAGGTAGCTTGGGAACACTAGGAATGTCCGAGGGTGGCCGAGTCTCCGCATTGTGGCTCGTCACAGGCCTTTCTGGCATGACATTCTCTTTGGGAGACGGCTGGTCTTCAACCGTGGATAGGGGTCGTCGCCCTACACGGATACTGGACAGCTTACGCTGAGATCCCCTGGATGTCGGGGCGACAGCATCTCTTGGCGACGGCGGAGAGAAGAAGTTTTCTACATCCAAAGCAGAAGCCACCTTCATATGGGAAGCCCGACGACCCGTAGATTGCAAAGTGGAGATTCCAAAACTGTGAGTGCCAGTGGGAGATGGAATCGCATCATTTCCAGCAGCGTTGGCCCAGGAAAGTAGGCTGTGTTGGTGATGCTCCAACAGACCGTCTCCACTAAGGCTGACCTCCCCAACGAACGGTCCCATAGTCTGCAGCGATACTCGTCGATTGGCAATGACGCTGGCGTTGGGTCTAGGCCGCGCCGTCTCTGGGATAATGGTGATATCTGCTGATAGCGGGAACCTGTCGCGCACGGGTGAGCCCGCGGGCGAAGAAGTGGTCGATGTCAAGTTTGTCCGCTGGCTAGACGACATTTGCGATAACCGCTGTGAGCTGTCGCGAAGATTGTCCAATTGGCGGCCGTCATGGGATGCGATGCTGTTCGTTGCCGACTTGTCATCGAATGACAAATCGTGGTTGAAAGAATCAAAGTCAACCACGGGAATTGAGTAATCAAGAGTCCTAGTATTGCGTTCTTGGTGGGGTGCCGTCGAAGGGGTTGTGGGAGTGGCTTGTGCAGAACAAGAGACATCTCTCAGCGTCATGGATTTCAGGCTTGGCTTTTCACGAAGACGCGAAGAAGGAATGGCGTCTTCATTCAGCTTAGCCTCGGCTTCCCTGAGCAGGTCAGCCTCGGAGATGCTCCTCTTGCCGCCAAGCTCCTCAATCTTGGACCGTAAGCAAGTCATCCAATCATCCATGTCCTCGGCGTTTTCAAAAACCATAATCATGTTGGATGTGTTGCGCTTGTCTGATGATCGAAAGGGAAGTTTTGAGAAAAAGGATCGGGGGTCGGTGGATGGTGATCTGTCGTAGCTGTCTGTGGTGGATGTAACCTGCAGGACGAAATGACGTCCCGGAATCACATCAGTTACAAAAGCCGCCGAAGACGTACCCAAGCGCAGCACCTTTTCAGGCAGGCGGTCGGGAGCGCCGTTTCCAGTATATTGGAGTAAATATCCAGCAGTGACAAGAATGTAAATCTTGGTGGTCCACTCAAGATTACCGGCAGACAGGGAGTCTCCGCGGTTCCTTCTCCTAAACTTGTCGCCGGGGCTAATTCCAGCGCTGCTCATGATTGTATCGGTTTCGGTGAGAGGCACTATCATGTCGGTCACGCCCGACTTCTCACTGCGTCTCAGAACGGTCTCGACGGGCTTGACGGTGGCAGAGAGCGTTTGCTGCTTGAGCTCCTGCTGGTTCGCCCGGCTGAGGGGCGGTATCGTCCAGACGGTGAGAGTCGGACGAGGCTGTCTGGTGATTGACATGCCTGGGGTGCGCTTCCCGGAAGAAGCAGAAAGACCGGCGGCAGGAGTTTGTGGACGGGAAACATGAGTGTCGTCCGGTGGCAGCTCGTGGGAGGGATCCCATGGATAATCTGGCGTAGAAAGGGCAAGTTCAGACTTGGCTTGCGGTCCATATGGCCAACCGCTGATATCCACGAGAGACTTTCGAAAGCCTCCGGATCGAGAAGGCGGCTTGCCCAAGTTGTTGAGCATGTTGAGCGAGTTGAGCGAGCTGGGTGACTTGAGAGAAACAGGAGAGGGAAGGCTCTCGCCCGGTTTGGAAAGTTTTCGACCAAAGAGGTGTCTAAGACCGAGCTTGGACCCTCGACGGCCCAGTTTGCTCTTTTTCAACGGAGCTGAGGTCGAGACATCCGAGTCCAGCGAGAATTCGGAGGCCGGTACATTTTTCCTTCGAGGAAAGGTGTTGCTGCCCGGGAGGGATTCGAGTCCACTGCCAGGGGTGGCCATGGCGAAGCCCAGTTAGATGGCCGATGACTCGCACTGGACAAGAACCAGGATTGACGACAAAAGATGAGACTTGATTTGTGTAATTGAGTGCGTGAGTGGGAAGCTGGAGTTGACTGTGACGACGCTCGGTGGACCCATCCAACGTCGGCGATGTGAGAATGTCAGTTGTGGAGAAGAGCCTGTTTCAGAGACGAGGGCGAGAGAAGCAGAAAAGTGGAAATGAGCGTTGGAAGTATGGTGTTGTAACACTCGTCAGTGGCTAGCCCGGTGTAGTTTCTTTGTTGGCAGCAGCACAAAGGGCCTTTGCAGGTGTTTCTGGGGGATTGACGCAAGAGAAATCGATACAATGGACTGCAACAAGATGTAAGACGTCGACGAGGTATACGGCAATGGTACAATCAACAGGCTGAAGCTTGCTTATAAGACGTGAAGAGAGCGTGATGGCGGTGCTGATGCTGTTGCAACGAAGCAAAGGAGGGCACAGTGGCAAAAAAAAGGCAAAAAAAGGACTGCGTAAGACAATTTATGCTTTTCCCCTCAAGATTCCATTATTCCAAAGAATTGAGGCTCACAGAGATGCAGCAGCCGTGGGAGGAAGAGAGGCGGACGAAGGTGGGACTGGCGGACTAGTAATACTTGGAGCGCTTCCATTCATCTCTGCCGCAGCGAGGCTAGTGCTGCGTGCAATCTCAGTGAGTGAGAGAGGCAGCCTCCAACGGCAGTCGGTACATGCCGCCGAGGTATGAATCACGGACGCTCACAGATCAAAGCTTTTCAAGGCAGGGCACGAAAAAAAGAAAACAACGACATGGACAGGGGCCCTTTGACGCCTTGTAGCGCATGTCAAAAAAAAGTGCATGCATCCGGGCCCACCCAGCAGCGAAAAAAAGCTTTCATATTGGAAGTTTGTGCCAGGGGTCAGGGGTCCAGGGCCACGGCCCCTGGTCAAGAAGCTGAGGCTGAGGAGTCAATTCAAAGGGGTGGGCCGGATGTGGTGCTGGACAGTGCGGTGACAGGCGGGGAGGGGCAGAGGAGCCGCTGAATCCATCGCCTGAAGTCTGTTGTACTGTATGTAGCACAGGCTTTGCAGGGCTGCGCGATGCCTGCATACAGCGCGCGATGCAGGCTGCCATGCAGAGGCGGGAATACCTGTAGACAAACATCCAGGCTTGGCTGAGCTGCGTGTGTAAACTAAAAATAAGGACCGGAACCGAGAGCATGGATGGCGTGGCTTTGGGCTGGACTCGACTTTGCACCGCTATCGGTTAATGCAGCGCCCCCCGAGTACCGTTACAAGTACCGTGGGCGCGACGAGCTAAACAGGGCCCCAAGCCCACTAAGAGGGCCAGCTGCGGATGGAGGTTTCCGGGCATCCGTAGAGGACTGTTGCGCCTGAGAGCAGCAGCATGGCGTACCGGTACTTGCACATAGATTGCGATGGCGCTCAGCTTCAGGCTCTAAATATTACCTTGGAAGAAATTACCAAATACTGCCGTGCTAGTTAGGGTTGAACAACGCAAAAGGAAACAAGACGACAAAAGAGAGGGCATTAATTACTAATGGCGGAATGGCTGTGTAGTGAGTGGCATTGGAAATTCAACTCTCTGGGCACTTTCTCCCCTCTGATGAGATAATCTCTGACCATTTTCCCTCCTCGAAAACTTTGATGCAGCAAACTGCTGATGGATCAATATAATTTACTTTTTTCCAGCAGAGCGCAGCTAAACATCGCTCGCCACCCACCACGTTCCGCCGATAGACGTGGGAATGTCTCGCCAAGCGAAATAGCCGCAGCGCATGGCCTGTATGTGGTGGAAAAAAGTGCGGGGGGGAACGACGCAACCACCACGGCGCAGGACAAAGAAAATTGATCATATGTGACTACCTATCAACACGACTAGAGCAGAGTATACCACTAGATTTTGATCAATTTTTTTTTTTTTTTTTTGCTTTTTATTTTACTTTCCTAGCTCAAAAGCTGTGCCTCACGTTTACCTTGTTTCGTCCAGGTCGCCAGCAGTAGCGGGCAACCCGGCGAGAGAGTCGAGAAAAAATCGCAAAAGCTTGATAAGACTTGGTCGCCAGTTATTCGCAACAAGGCGATGGCTTCATCCTACTGGTCACTTTTTGATGACCCGTCTCGCTCAGGTATTCGCGAGATAAACAAGCCAAGCTCTGAGCTTATATACAAACACGTGTTTTTCTCCTTACGTCCGAGGATTTTTGCCTCTTTGGCGAATTACGAGAGCTGTAATACACTCTCCACCAAGATGTGAGGGGGGAAAAGAAAAGCAAAGATGGGCATATACCCAGCTTGGCAGGGGCCTCTGCAAGGAGCGTTGAACAGGCAGGATTGCTACGTATCAATTGCACCGAGATGAGAGATGAGATGAGATGAGAGCGAGTGCCGGCACTTGCACAGGCTCGCAAACAGACAAGGTATAGGTATCGTCGTGAAGCTAGAATCAAAATACAGCCGAGTCCGTACAAGCAGCGCCGCGGATAAGAGTGATCATCGTCAATCTCGATGCGCAGCAGCACCAGCTCCCGGTTTCTCGGATCCTTTGCCCCCTTTAATTCCATGTACCATCGTCACTGCTAGTCCTTGGAGGCATCACAGCTCTGGCTTATTAGAGCATGACTTGATACCAGGGCAAACATGGCCCGAGGGCCACGGCTTGCATGTTTCTTTGTCTCCGGCGCTTTGGGATGGCCCTGCTAGTGGCCTTGGTCCGACTAGGGCCGCACAATCTTAAACGCTGCTGACCCACGGTGCTCCGTAGTACGCCGACGGGCGATCAGCGGTTGAAAACAAAGCAAAGCAAAGCAAAGCTGAAGCTACTGTAAGATGGGGGGGAGAGAAAAAAAAAACTTGAAACTTGCTTGAGGCTGCGTCCCAAGTGGGTGGGAAAGCGAACCAAAGCATCGTGGGCTGTAGGGCCGAGTTGCATCTCATGGCATCGCATGGCCTCGCTTCGCTGTTTGTGCGCGGGGAAACAAGACGATTGGCCTAAAAGGCAAGATGGACAGATGCGCCATACAAAACTCTCGTCCGCGGCAATGGCTGGCCGATCCCGATTCGCCAGATGTTAGCTCCGAGAACTTTGCGAACGCCCTGTAGGGCCAGCGATAGCGCAAACCTTTTCCACACAGCGTGCAGGAATAGAGTCGCTCTAACGAAGCACGAGCAGAAACACACGCATGGCACGATAAGCATGTGCTCTGCTGGGCTGTGGGTTGGGTCTTGCGTGTTGCTTGTGAAGTCGGTACATGCAGCATCAGCATCAGCAACTGAGTAACACAGACGATGGTAGACATAGACTTTCCGTCGGACCGTCTGTCGCAGGGGTTCGCGTTGAATGCAAGCGATGATCGTGCAGCGCCGAGATTTCAGCTTCGTTTCTTCATCATCATTCTACCTCATTCCACTGACACTAGGAATCGATGCGTGGCCCTTGATGGTAAAATCGGACCCAACGCTGCCAGGTTTTTTACTTGTACAAGAAGATGGCTCGTCATAGGCAATTACAGCTGCTATACATTTACTAATAATAACAACAAGCAGTTCGTCGTGCCCGAGTGCTTCAAATGCTGGCGCTATTACGGGCCACTCCGTAATGGTATCCAGCGATCTGCACTCTGCACAGTGCAGCAGCAAATCGTATAATCCGTCGTCTAATTTACAGATACGAGCAGTTGCAAAGTCGCATGCAGCCGCAGTCGTTCGTGTCTGCGTGTGCCGTTTCCGAAGATGCAGCTTGTCCAAGAGGCGCAAGGCGATGGCCCCAGATGTGATTCGTCCACGGCTTCAGCTCTCTATGAAAGCTGCATGAGATGTGAGAATCAAACAGCCACTAGGGTTCAAGCAGTAGTCTACTTGTAGCACCAAGTCGCAAGCTGCTGCGATGGATCGAAAGCATTTGATCCACTCGCTATGCCCGTGTAGGCAGCCAAACTATCAGCCCATCTCGAGATGCTGCATGTCTGTATGAGCCCATGCAGCAAATGCAGCTCGGCGGCCGTTTGGCCATGCACGTCTGACTCTCTCTCCAGGTTTCATATCCAAGCAGCTATAGTATAGCATGCCGTGCCATCCTACTGGATGACACGACTAACACGACCAACAGACAACCAACAACTCGTATGGGCCTACATCATTTATACAGAGTTTCGGCCTGTAATACGGCCCGTTCTCTGTACCTTTCTGCCTGTTTCCCCAGACCAGCCTCAGCCATGTTTCCTCTGTTCACAGAGCAGAGCAGCGCCATGCCACGCCGTGCCAGGATTTACGAGGCAATACGAGCGCACATGGGAGGGGCAAATGTTCCTGCAGTAGCGCGTGCTGCACCGTCGTTGCGCATGTCTGTGCAGCTGCAGGCCTCAGTCTCGGCAGATGCTGTTTGGCAGCCTGTTGCGGCCAAGATGGAGGCATGTCAGCGGCAGCAGGCATTGAAGCTTTGCAGTCCGCATCGCCCAAGGCCTCAATTCCTACTTACAGGATGCTCAATCCTACCAACAATCAGCTATCCGTTGCCAGTTATCCATGCCATTGTTACCTGCTGTAAGATGCGATAATTAGTCCAAAAAATTATAAGTAATATCGGCAAGGTCGCGCGGCATCCCATCTTTCCAGTGCAAGCCGTCATGTGAACCGTCATGTGGCCATCTACAGTGGAGCATCACGGCAGCACTCCTAAAATGTTTCCTCATTCTTTGTTTCCAGCAATATCGGAGCAATCAACACATCCACCCAGCCGCATATTTCCGAGCCACGGCAGGACTCGATGACTTCATGCTTTGAAACTCGACGGTTGGGGCCGCGGGCGCCGTGCGGCTCTGGGGCCGATGCGATGCGATGCAATGCAGCCTGGGCCGCTCTCCGGCTCATACGGCGTCAAGTCCACGTTGAGCTCGCTCGCATTGGCGAGGCGAGAGAATGAGGTGCGTTGCCTCGTGACCATGGATAAGATAACGATGACGAAACAAAACAAATAAGATAAAATAAAATAATAGGCACTAACAGTACAGTAGTAGCAAATTCAACAAGACGTCAGTGGTAATATCCCTTGGCCAAGCATTATCACGTCTATTTTTACTCGGCACAGTATCGCGGACGGAGCATCCCGTGTCATGGGGCAATTAATTTCACTGCATGCATGCATATATACCTGCGAGTATTGCCTCTTGCTGCCCCATGCTACACGCAAGTCGGTCAAGGCAATGGAGAGCCAGGTACAAGGTCCTTTGGTGACGACTGAATCTTGAGGATAGCACGATAGCCGGCCACCAAACTCGACAGCCCGCAGTTCTCAGTTCTCAGCCATCTCATCTCATCCATCTCATGAGCCGGATGCGGCCCAGGGCCTGAAGCGACGGCCATCAAACCACGCTCATTCACCCTCAGCCCCAGTCGGTGAGGCAAAGCGAGGCTGGCACGGGCCGCAGAGGAAACATGACCCCTTGATGGCCAAGGCTGGCTTGACCATGTCGCTCCCATCCTGCTGGAATGCTCGATGCGACTCTGTAATTATAAGCCGTTGTGCGGATAAGATGTCGTGAGATGCGGACAGAATCCGACAGATGGGCTTGCTCGAGCATGCCTCCCCAGCCCGGCCACGTTTTTCTTCCTTCACATCCCATCATCTTCCCTGCACGTCCTTCTTCACCCTTTCCATCATTTCTCTCTTCTTCCTTTGGCTATTAGTAGTACTTTTTTTTTCCCCTCTCTTTCTCCATCTCCAACTAGGGTCTTCCAAGGGGACCCGTCAGTTTGGGACGAGTTCAGCTGAGGCCTCGTAGCAGCCAAAGTGCATGCACATCTAATTTCGGCGAGTTTGGCCAGAGGGGCACCGTCATGCGCGCTTCGCCAATCTATCCTGTCTGGCAAATATTGATGTCAACTTGAACAAGGGAACAGATTGTAAGTACTTGACCATGTAAGCATATGCGAATTGACAATGCACGGCGTTGCGTGGAATACGCGTGTGCATTGGTGAATTGAGCATTAGTCATGAATGTTGAACTTGCATGGTAACAAAGCCGGACGCTCAACAGACGAAAATCATGGAATATTCTCGTCCTCTTTCCCGTTCCCGCGTCTGCGGTAATTCTTTTGGTTCATCATACGCACATGTGATTTCTTCATTGCCTCTGTTGTACTCATTATCCTCCTAGGAAGCCTTGAATATTATGTAAAATTGTTGAGCCAAAGACGTGGCGGCTACGAGTAACCGGGTAGCCTATTAACAATCCGCCATTCCCCAACACGGTACACTTTGCACCATCACGGCCGAGGAATTACTCCAAACGTTGCGAAAATAAAACCTGTCTGGCATGTGCTAGGGTAATCCAGTCCAAAATAGAAATAACATTAGCGTCTGCATTACCACCGGGCTTGCAGAAGCTGAAGAAAAGTCGTGGTTGAGATGCACGCTCGACCACAGCGGGTTGCCGTTACGGGTTCCCGAGCCACCGAAAGAATCGGCCAACAAAATCCGATGCTACTTGTCTTTAGTTGGGGTATTGAGTTTGTAGATTTGGAGAAATCTGGAGAAATCTGAAGAAATTGATCGGCGGAAAAGACGGGATATATATAGCCTTGACGTCGGCGTTGTGTTTTTGACAGCTGGATATATAGCATTATACATCAATCACGCATCAACTACACATCAACTTACAACACCACTAATAAACACCACACCACAACATCGTCACAATGTGCGACTCACACTCAGACAAATACCAGGTTGTTGACGACGTGCCATACCAACCAGGGCAAGTTTCCACCACCAACGTCCATTGCCCATTCACTAACATGACGAATATCCAGCCGCCCTATGCCCGAAGTCAACATCGTCTTCAACAACAAGCTGCCCAACAGCCCCGGAAAGTCCTCCGTCGGCCTCTTGGTCGACTTCCCGCCAAACTCTTCAACGCCGCCTCACACCCATGCCGGCGCCAGTGTCAGCGTCTACGTCCTCAAAGGCGCGGTCTTGAACAAGATGAATGACGGTCCCACGTACGTGATTCCCGCGGGCGGCACCTTTTTCGAGGCTCCTGGATGCCATCACGTAACGAGCGACAACTTTAGCACCACGGAGCCGGCTCAGATCCTCGCGTCAATGGTTGTCGATACCAAGATTGTGGAAGAGGGCGGCTTGGCGGCACTGGTGGTGATTGATCCAGAGTATATGCCGAGCGCATAAAGGCGTGCTAGTAGTGAAGGGGGAGAGCATCACCATTTATACTTTGGGTTGCATGTTGCAGCAAGATGCAAAGATGAAGGCATGTAATTAGTTGGTTAATGAAATGAATCCCACAAAAATGAACCGTCTAGAAGCCCAATTGTTCACATCACGGCTGGAGTACTCGGAACGTGTTGACCCCGTTATTATTGAGTTGATGTCAGGACTGGCAAATGTGCACTACTACCCCATGTTGGTGGCGTCACGGTTACAAGCCTCCGGCTGCCGAGTGTTTATTAGTGAAGACTGGATATAACCGTATTATCAATCAGCCGTGGAGCTCCATGCTCAGACGTCAATTAACATAGGCACTTGGGCTGTAGTCGCCAATTCCACAGACATCGCCTGGTTGGCGCATCAATTCCGTCTTATAACAGAACATGTTACTGCCGAGAACAGAAAATACAGCCGAGGGTCATAAAAACGATGGCCATATCGGGCTCTAGGCGTCCTCTACGGCGTCGACGGATGCAGCAACTGAATTGACCCTATGACTCCTCCCAGTGCCGGTGGTGGTTCGAGGTTCGAACCACTCGCCATCGGCTTTTCGCCTTCGCCCGCATATTCTCGAAGCGGTGATCAGCGGCACGTCACGCACTTTGTAAGCCTTAAGCTTTGCGCCCAGCAATAAAATAACCAGACCCACGTTCTCATACTGTACCGCATGTCTGCATCTCTTTGTATTTATTCCCAATCGCATCGCTCTATCCATTCACTGCATTGGTCCCTCGTCTCTCAATCAACCCACAAACAGCCATTACGTCTTCAGGCATCACACGTGCTACTCCATCCAACGGGTAAGCGCATGTACCTGCCTCCAGCTACCACACCTCAACAATTCGCAAAAGATACATCTATAAGAGAAAGAAGAAAAAAACGCTGCGGCACCAGAGGCGACGTTTCTTTGACTTATCTTTCGACTTTGGCTCGCCTGTGCCGATCGATTCCTCCTCCAGCGGCGCTGAGCCAAGCCCCGTACGGAATAATTCAGCACAACCTTAAACTGACCAGATACCTACCGAGCCAAACAAAGCAACGGGCGAACCTTTTTCCTCGGATCAACATCAATCAACCGTTCAATACCAATTAACCTTTTTATATACCACCTGCCTTCTGTTTCTTCACCACGGTACCTGCTATCCAAAGTCGCCTCGATCTTATTCTTCTTTCCTGTGCCACCAGCAAACAATCCGCAAACAGCAGCAATTATCTTCTTGTCACGCGCAGCTACCAGACTATGGCGGCCAACGGTGACGTCTCCGTGCCCCGCTCCGAGTCCCCCACTGGATCGCCTCGATCCGCTTCCATCTCCCTACAGGCCGCAGCAGCTATCAACTCCGGCCTTCACCGAGAAACTTCACGCAGTACGTCGGATCCAGCGAGTCAGAGCTTGGCCTTGTGATATACATGGCTCGATTCCGCCTTCTCAACCCTTTATTCTTATTCCGTCTCTAACCACTGAACCTTCTCCAGGATCCTCCAACAGCTCCCTCCCCCGCGGCTTCCCTTCTCCCTCCTCCGGTCGGCGACGATCAACCATCCTCATGAACCTCCAGCTCAACGACCCGTCGGTGCCCGCGCCGGGCGAGATGTTTCAACAGGATCCCATACGGGCGAGCCCGCAGCCCATCAGCGGCGCTGGCCTGCCGCCAGACACGAGCCGTCACCACAGAACTCCAAGCTTGGGCGAGCTTCACCAAGAGCTTGAGGCAGAGCAGGAGGGCCACGTCGTAAGACATCCTGCACCCATCGCGATGAATGAACAAACACAGCTAACTACCTGCTCTTGGCAGAATCGACTGCTAAACATGATCCGGCAACAGCAGCTGGAGCTTCAGCGCCTTCAAGCAAGCCACCCACAAGCAGTTGCTGCTGACGAGGCTGCCGCAGGCTCCGAGAGAGCACCTCGATCGCTGCCTGTTCCCGTCCCCATTAATACTCAATCTCCAACCGGCAACCACGTCCCGTCAGCGTCCAGCTCCTCCTTTTCCCGATCGCCAATCTTCCCCCACCACCGAAACTCCATGGAGATGGCCCGCGCCGACATGCAGCGCCGGTCTAGGACGCCGAGCAGAAACGCCTCACCCCGCCTGCGGGCAACATCCATCAGCGCCGAGAGCGGTGACTGGTCCCTGTTCCGTGATGAGAGCGCTTTCTATCAAGCTGAGACGCAGATGTTGACGCGCGAGAATCAGATGCTCCGGCATCGGATTCGTGAATTGGGTAAGCTGTCACCTTTTCGTCTCTGCTGCCTAAATGAGGAAATTGCTGGCCATACGACTATCACATATGTATACATGCTAACTTGGGTTATGCGCAATTCAGAAAAACAAGTCAACGACTTATCAACCAGCTCTCCCATACCAAACGAGCCTTCAGTATCTTCTAATCTCAGTCGAGCATCAACCTCGGCTGAAGAGGTCGAGCCTGCAGCATAGGAGGCCTTGATCTATGAATCTATTTTATCATTATGTGGCCAACCATGGATTGTGGTTGATGGGCGTGAAACTGAATAACTCTTTGAGATTGGCGGTCATCTTTTTTTCTAATTACTTCTTTTTTTGTTAACATGAGAGCCAAACATATTCTGAATTTCTGTTACGCAGGTATTGCAAACGCGATGGTCGCGGTTTGGTGGTTTAGCTGGCGTCTAGGACGAAGTAGAATGTTTTAAATTCAAGACCAGCACGGGGATACTTTAAGAGGACAAATCAGTTTTCAATAAAATCAAGTTCCCTCTTCATTGTCAATTTTATGTAAACGTTGCGTTGCCGGGACCGCAGTTCTAGGCTAAACGCTGCAGATCCAAGACTCCGAGAACGCAATAGGCCAAGTCACATCGGAAACCTACGGGCATTAGCAACCTCAACCTCGGCTTTGGTTACAACCACGTCTGGTGATGAATTAATTGAATTACGGACATCTTCTTTGAAACAAGACTCTATTTTCCTTATTTAATCATCATAATCTCCTACCTGACAGCTTCATGTTGGAGCTATCGAATTGATTCCGGGGTTAAAAGTGGGGCCCGCCTTACTTTATCATAAAGCTTCGCACTCAGCATCCAACTTACCCTGAAATTAGTCCAAGAGCTTCTTCAATCCATTACATTTCTTCAGCTTCTTTTTCCAAGAAAAACAATAATAACAAAAACAAAATGTTGACAAGGAGAGCAGCGAGATTGGTCTGGCCATCCAGCCGCAATCATGTCCAAGTCTCAAATTTCAGCTCAACTGCAGCTGTCAAAGCAGACTTTACTCATGCGGTAAGTGAATGAGCATAAGGGTTCACAACGCCAAGTGACCTTTTTACGTACTACAAAATAAATGACAAACCACCATTGCATAATCTTTTACAAAACCACAAAAAGCTAATCCACGTCAAGGTCATCGGCGGCGGCGTCGTCGGCCTCGCCATCGCCCGCCACCTCGCCCGCCACTCCTCTTCCTCCACCGTCCTCATCGAGCGCCACCCCGCCGTCGGCACAGAAACCTCGTCGCGCAACAGCGAGGTCATCCACGCAGGCATCTACTACGGCAAATCCAGCCTCAAGACGAGGCTCTGCGTCCGCGGGCGGAACCTGCTCTACGAGCTGTGTGAGGCGCATGGCGTTGCGCACAGGAGGACGGGCAAATGGCTCGTGGCGCAGAATGCGGCCCAGAGGGAAGGATTGGAGAGCATCTACGCGTTGTGTAGAGATGAGATTGGCGTGCCGGTGAGGTGGGTTGACCAAAAGGAAATTGAAGAGAATGGGGAGGGTGTCAGAGCTGAAGCTGGCGCGCTGGAGAGTCCTACGACGGGCATTGTTGATTCGCATGGCCTGATGCTGTGCCTCCAGGGCCTCTTTGAAGATGCCGGCGGCGTAGTCGCTCTCGGCTCTCCCGTCAAGGCCATCCGAGCCCTGTCTTCTTCAGCGGCGTCATCAACGCCCGGCAGCTCAGGCTGGGAAATCGACGTCTCAGACGGCCCAGACGGCGACATCTCCACAATCACGGCCGAAACGCTCATCAACGCCGCCGGCCTCGGCGCCGTCGCCATCCACAACATGATTGTCCCCCCCTCGCAGCACAAGCAGCTCTTCTACGCAAAGGGCAACTACTTCTCCTACTCGGCCTCGCGGCCCAACATCTCGCGCCTCATATACCCCGCCCCTGAACCGGGCGCGGGCGGACTCGGCACGCATCTCACGCTCGACCTGGCCGGGCGGATTCGCTTCGGCCCAGATGTCGAGTGGGTGGACGATCCGAATGACTTGACGCCCAGCGTCTCACGGCTGGACCAGGCGGTTGCTGAGATCAAAAAGTATCTTCCGGGAGTGGATGCCGGTGCTCTTGTGCCTGACTATGCCGGCATACGACCCAAGCTTGCTCCCAAGGGCGCGGCGTTGGCTACGGACAAGAATTTTAATGATTTCATCGTTCGAAAGGAACAAGGGTACGAAGGCTGGGTGAATCTTCTGGGCATTGAGAGTCCCGGATTGACGAGCAGCCTTGCCATTGCAGAAATGGTGGACCAGCTATTATACGGTAGCCAGTCAGGCACTGCCGAGTCAGTGCATGCATGATGCCTATACCCGCAGAGATACACATGCATACACATCACCTCATCAAACACTTTCATCAGCAAGTAGTTGGCAGAAACAGAAAGAAACAAATCTGCAATTTTCATAGAACCCGGATATCATATACATTGAATAGCCGAAACCCAGCAACAAATCTGCATGCCCAAGAGGCTCAAAAGAAACTTGGATATAAAGAAGAAAAAGGTGAAAAGGGGCAACAAAGAGACATCGACTAAAACGTGTCCAACAGCCCGTTCCGTTTCATAGATAACAATTTCAGAGGCCATTAAAAAAAGGAGTGAGGTATAAGAGGAAGAAGAAGTGTAACGAGAAAGGGGAAAAAGGTTAAGCAGAAAGCAACAGCCAGTCAAGTGCAAAGAGAGTTCCTAAACTTTTCTTCCCGGTGCTGCCCAAATCGGCAGCTTGCTGTGCCTTGGACACAATAAAAAGAGAATGCCAACGCCATCCAATTCCTGCTACACGTGCAATAAAATAGAAGAAAAAATGCATGTTTTGTCATGAGGGTATGACGCCTTTACCAGCAGGTCTCTCTGTGCCTCGGCAGATGAGGTCGTATTAGCGCATTGAAATGCTGTTGTAGTACTGCCTGGCATAGAGGTCTACGCGCAATTGGTAAATGCCATTTTGAGCACCAATGAAGCTAGAAAAGATGAATTTTGTTAGCTTTAGTAACCAATGGCAGAGAAACAACTTGAACTAGGCAAGGATAGGTGGGCACAAAGTAATCAAGGGCGGTTAAAGACTCACAGAATGGTGCCGTCTGCGCTCCAGGACAGTCCTGAAGTGTTATCTGGCGAGGGTGGGACCTCAAATACCCCGTGATCGGGTGCCAGAGTTCCTCTCACGGCGCTTTCCTCCCAACGGCTTGCTACTTGAGTAGGAATGCCTGGCATGGGGCGGTCATCAATGGCACTTTCTGCCGAGGCCCGTTCCCGGGCTTGGAGAATCTCAAGCACGGAGAGATACGATTGATCCTGTCTCTCTCGCTGTTCCCGCGAGGCAGCCATCATCTCGTTGATGCGTTCAATCCACCGCTGATCTGCCCGTCCACTGACCATCCCGGAGTTTTCCCGCATGAGCTGGCGAGCATTACGAACCCGCTCCTGAGCTCGTTCCCGATGGTCTCTGTAGACATTCATAAGGTCGTTTGGACCAGAGTTGGTGCCCTGGCGGGCGGCTCGAGTTGTGAATGAGGATGTCGCCGGGATCAGCCCGCTGCCTCGATCATCGCCAAAAGGGGGGTTGCCCCTCTCTCGGCGCCGGCGTTCACTCTGAATTGCTTCGAGGACCCTAGTCTCGGCAGGCGTCAGTGGCTGGTGCATCATTTGAGCCGTGAAGAAACTCGTAGCCGTAAGAGGGGGGTTCAGGGGCTCTCCCCTATTCATCCGAGTTTCCAGCAGCCGCGGATCAATAGTCTGTGTATCGAAAATGCTAATGTGCTCATATTCCTCCTCTTTATTCAGATCAATAATTTGCCGGACGATGAAGTTGTGCCTCACATCGGCAATGCCAATGCGGCCGCGATCTTCAGTCCATGCCAACAAGTCGTACGGGCCAGGGCAGAAAGCCATGTCCCGAACGGCTCCCGGTCCGCTATTAGGACGGGAAGATTGGAAGGTGGTGATGAGTGGGTCAACCGTCTCATCCTCCAACTGTGTCGCGTTGAATATCGAGATAGTGCCGTGCTGAGTTCCAACGGCAAGATAGGTGCCAGACGCAGAGAAGGACGCCGCAAAGCTTCCGCGGCTATCAGTCTTGTCATCCTTTTTCTGGCTTCTGAGCAGGATCCTCCGCCGAAGCTCCCATTGCCCGGGGTTTGCGGAAACTGGAACACGCCGGTGAATGTATAGATATGGGTCGTCCAAGATTGCAATCAGGAGGCGCCCATCAGGCGAAATGATGGCCCTGTTAACGAAGTCTGGGTATTGGACAACCTCTAGGGGCTCAATGTCCTCATGTTCTTCGAATTCATTCAGACTAACAATGGCCACAGTTCGATCGTTGTTCGCTAGAACTGCTACGGGCTCATCGTAGGCATGTCTGCTGAGGGGTAAACCTTGGCCGTTGGGGGGAGGGAACCACAGCGTGATGCAATTGACTCGCTCTTTGGCGAGCTTCATGCTCTTTGCGGTGACCTTGTGCGCCTGTTGAGCCGCAGTTGTGAGCATGTTGAGCGCAGCTTCCTCGGGCGAGGTTATGGTCTCATCGCCGGTCAGAGAGGGGCCGGCCCCAGAAGCCGAGTCAAGAGTAGCGTTCTGGGAGGTGTCCGATGCTTGGCCATCCTCATCGTCAAGCCGTATAGCCACAAACTCGCCTGTCTCGCTGCCACAGCACAGCCATCCGTTCTCGCCCACAAGACACCGCGGTGCAAACGTAAGATGCTTAATAGTTTCGCAGCTGCGAGCCTGGGTATTCAGCCGCTGGATTTGGCGGCTTCCAACGCCGCCGGGGTAAAAGAGGTTGTAATTGTTCTCAGCACTGATGAGGGAGCGCAGCTGCCAATGTCTAGACGCAAGTGGAACCAATGGGTTAGTAACTGACATAAGCTGAAGCTCAAGGTATCAGAAGACCAAGGATATCGACGTACTGTGAGCGAACCGGAACCCGGAAGTGCGTGCGTTGAATTCTGGAGATGAGGCGGTCGGAGAAAACGAAACTGCATGGCCATTTAGCATTGATGTGGTTAATCAGCTTGGCGAGGCGAGCGATAGGACTCACGATTCATCGTCTCTGCGAGCCATGCTTGCGTTGTCCGCGGATAACTCGTCGTATTGCATTAGATCCAGTCCAATGGCCAAATTGGCCCAGCTGCGTGCGCTGCAGCACCCAAAAGAAGGCGAAACCAGGCACAAGAAAGATGCCCAAGATATAATACCACTTTGGGTTCGGTGATGACGCTGTTGTGGAAATATGTTGCGTGCCTCGAAGAAGAGGATCTCGAGCCGGAGGAAGGATGCCGCAGGACCGAGAAGCCGAGTCAATGCTCCAAGCAAGGAGACAAGGAGATGGTCTTGTTATAAAAGCAAAGCGCGGAGGTGCTGGCGCGAGGGCACAGAGAAGTGTCGAAAGAAAAGGGGGGGAGGAGAGCAAGAGAAGGGAGATGGCGTGAGGAGAAGCGTCGTGATGCGATTGGGTTGCGAAGCAAGAAGCAAAACACAGGCCTGGGCGGGCTGAGATTGAGGTGGCGGGCTTATGCCGGAGCCTGCACTGGCCTTTAGTGAGGTCGCAGCGCAGCTGCAGTGCCGTACAGGGTACCTTTGCGCCTTATCGACGCCTTATCGCCCGCTGGAGCGTCGCACAAGTACCCTAAACCTTTGGCCTGGGGAAGAGGCAGTCGTGCTAAGGTGCGCGCTACAGCGGCTCCCCGGATAGAACGAACCGCGGAATGGTGAGAAGTGGATAAATGACGTCTGACAGTTTGAACAAGAGCGGAAAGATGCTGCTTTACACTATAAGTGATGTTGTCACTGCTTACAACTTAGCTGGATCAAAGAGAGAGTTGGCGAGACTCGTTCTGATATACCCAGGTAGCAGTAGTCGGTACAATAGGAATGAGTACTGGCAGTGGTCTCTCAGAGCATATGCATTTGAATGTGCAGCCTGCAGCTGTGTGATGTGTTATATGCTGGCACGAGTAAGTCTACTTTGCTGTGCGCCGTATATGTGCAACGATGCATGGGACATGTTACCATGCCCAATGAAGTCGCCTCGCTTCAGCGCCTGGCCGAGAGCCTACTGCAATCAATGCCTTAGTACGGTAGCAGTGCTCTAGTCGAATGCTACTATCGAAGCAAAGGAGTGCTCGATACCTTGGGAACTACATGACAGCTCCCCGGCAGACGTGACACAGGCTGTGGCAACAAGTGCTAGCTTCAGCTACGGAGCCATCTCGAAAGCAATAAAGCATACATCAACTTGGCCCCCAAGTGGTATTTGACTTGTTGACACGGCCATTGAGGACGTAGCTGCAAAAGCAAAGAGAGCAGCGACAGGGTTGTCGGGCTCTGCAGGTTGCGGGGGCCGTTGCTCGAGACATGGGGCAGCAGTGCATTGCATGTTTGCCTGCGTCTGTACGAAGTACTTCATACATGCAGTATATGTGGTTTGTGGTGTCGTTTGGGCTGGGCTGCTTTGCACAAAAGCCTCTCCTTCATGCCGTACACCGGGCTGCGTAGATCGATAGCTTAGCAATCGTCGCTGTCCGCTTTGCAATGCTCTTCCAGTAGATCAATATCATTGTTAGTATTCCAGAGCAGAGGCAGTCAACAGTGCAACGACATTTTTGATATTGAGCCGATCATAGCCTTGGCTATAGCTCTCATCGTGCCGATTCACCCCTGCTTAGCTCTCGCTCTCAGCTCTCTCTCTTTTTTTTTTGTTTCGCTTGTCCCGCGGCTCGCTTCTCGATAGATCCATCCATCCGTCCCCACCGAGGCTGCCATCCATCAATTAAGGTCTGTATCAACCGCCATCAACGGCTAATCGCCTACTACGGAGGTACATTACTCGAGCGCCCGAATGACCTCACGCCGGGAATGCCTGCCGGATCAATACTTGCTCCGCCCGCCTAGACCCGGGACTACGGGACGGGGGTCCTTCGTTGCCTCTTTCTGTCGGCTTCTATGGCCGACCACTCACAGCACCAGTTGCGGCTTTTCCAAGGCTAGCGGAAAAAAAAAATTCGTCTCTCCACCATCTTCTTCTCGAGTATCCATCCAATTCTTTCTCTCCATATCTAAACACCTCCATCTCCTCTTTCTCGGATCGCGTGTCCTTCTTTTTCCTCTTCTCTTTTTTTCCTCATCCATTGTATACCCCCCCAATTCACATTCGTCATGTTGGCTGCGCGATTCTCCAGAGCTGTAAGTGCTAAAAACACATGCCGAGTTAACAGCGTCCCGCATTGAATGCTTGCTAACAGCATCGTCTGAATAGCTTCCCCGAGCTACTCCCTTCGCCGCTCGCTCGGCTGCCTTTGCCAGAGCGCCAGTCGCCAAGTTTGCTCGCTATGAGTCAACAGCTGCTGAGGGCGACGGCAAGGTCCAGGGTGCCGTCATTGGTATCGATCTGGGAACCACAAACTCTGCCGTCGCCATCATGGAGGGCAAGACACCCCGCATCATTGAGAACGCAGAAGGTTAGTCACATTCTTGCTTGGCGCCGCTGGTGGTCGGCTCATTCGGTCATTGATTGCATCCTCAGTCGCCTTTGCGCTTTGCTGACAACATGTTTCTCTCAATCTCTAGGTGCCCGCACCACTCCCTCAGTAGTTGCCTTTGCCGAGGATGGTGAGCGTCTGGTCGGTGTTGCTGCCAAGCGACAGGCTGTTGTCAACCCTGAGAACACTCTCTTCGCCACCAAGCGATTGATCGGTCGCAAGTTCAAGGACGCTGAGGTCCAGCGAGACATCAAGGAGGTCCCCTACAAGATTGTCCAGCACTCCAACGGCGACGCCTGGGTCTCTGCTCGTGACCAGAAGTACTCTCCCTCTCAGATTGGTGGCTTCGTCCTCAACAAGATGAAGGAGACTGCCGAGGCCTACCTGTCCAAGCCCGTCAAGAACGCCGTTGTCACCGTCCCCGCTTACTTCAACGATGCTCAGCGTCAGAGCACCAAGGATGCCGGTCAGATTGCCGGTCTCAACGTTCTCCGTGTCGTCAACGAGCCTACTGCCGCCGCCCTGGCCTACGGTCTGGAGAAGGAGGCCGACCGCGTTGTCGCCGTCTACGATCTTGGTGGTGGTACCTTTGATATCTCCATCCTCGAGATCCAGAACGGCGTCTTCGAGGTCAAGTCCACCAACGGTGACACCCACCTTGGTGGTGAGGATTTCGATATCCACCTGGTTCGCTACATGGTTGGCGAGTTCAAGAAGACTTCTGGACTCGACCTTGCTGGTGATCGCATGGCTATCCAGCGTATCCGTGAGGCTGCCGAGAAGGCCAAGATTGAGCTGTCTTCTTCTCTCCAGACCGACATCAACCTGCCTTTCATCACTGCCGACGCTTCCGGCCCCAAGCACATCAACCTGAAGCTCACTCGTGCCCAGCTCGAGAAGATGGTCGACCCCCTCATTACCCGAACCATCGAGCCCGTTCGCAAGGCCCTCAAGGACGCCGGTCTCCAGGCCAAGGACATCCAGGAGGTCATCCTGGTTGGTGGTATGACTCGTATGCCCAAGGTTGCCGAGTCCGTCAAGTCCATCTTCGGCCGTGACCCCGCCAAGTCCGTCAACCCCGATGAGGCTGTCGCCATGGGTGCTGCTATCCAGGGTGCTGTCCTCTCCGGTGAGGTCAAGGACCTCCTCCTCCTCGACGTCACCCCTCTGTCTCTCGGTATTGAGACCCTGGGCGGTGTCTTCACCCGTCTGATCAACCGAAACACCACCATCCCCACCAAGAAGTCCCAGGTCTTCTCCACTGCCGCCGACTCCCAGACTGCCGTCGAGATCAAGGTCTTCCAGGGTGAGCGTGAGCTGGTCAGGGACAACAAGCTGCTTGGAAACTTCCAGCTCGTTGGCATCCCTCCTGCCCGCCGTGGTGTTCCCCAGATCGAGGTCACCTTCGACATTGACGCCGATTCTATCGTCCACGTCCACGCCAAGGACAAGTCCACCAACATGGACCAGTCCATCACCATCGCCTCTGGATCTGGTCTGTCTGACAACGAGATTCAGCAGATGGTTGAGGACTCCGAGAAGTATGCCGAGTCTGACAAGGAGCGCAAGTCCGCCATTGAGTCCAGCAACCGCGCCGACAGCGTCCTGAACGACACTGAGCGTGCCCTGGATGAGTATGCCGAGAAGCTCGACAAGGCCGAGGCCGACGGTCTCCGTGAGAAGATTGCCTCTCTCCGCGAGTACATCACCAAGATCCAGTCCGGTGACAGCTCTGCCACCGCCGCTGAGATCAAGGAGAAGACCGACGAGCTCCAGGTCGCCTCCCTCAACCTCTTCGACAAGATGCACAAGGCCCGCAGCGAGAGCGCTTCTGAGCAGCAGTCTGGCGAGCAGTCCAACGAGGGCGAGAAGAAGGACGAGACCAAGCCTTAAGGTGGATCTTGGAGAGAGCCTGAGCGAAGAAAAAAAAAATCCAATTTAAAAAAAGAAGAAATTTCTCATGTATCAAAATCACATTTACTGTTCGGATATTCAAAAGAAGCACGGGGCGCGGCATAGACCCCCCTTCTTGTTGTATTTATGATGTACTCATATCGCGCCTAAGCTGCTATGCAACTTGATCCTATTTTCTATCTCTTTTCTTTTTCACAATGTCGTTAATACCTATTGGCTGGCGGAACAGGCGTTGGAGCATCAAAAACACTTTCCGGGAGATTCTGTCTCTTGTTATTTATTATTATCATTTCTATTTGAAGCATTGAACTATGTGCACGGTCACTTGGGAGGTGGGAGGTATGGACAAAGGGACAAACTGAAGAAAAAAAAGAGAAAGAGACCCTTGGTGGGATAGGTAGTTAGATGAATAATGATTTTCTCCCCTCTATTTGTGTTTGGATGTGCTCCAGCGGCTTTGTCATATGTATACGTGATGATTTGATTCACAGCTTTCAAGCCATCCACCCCCATGACGTGTTTAGTGTATTTGTCCCATGCCAGTTGATTGAGTTTTTCTTCTGCATGTTCTTATGCTGTCCTGTAACAGTATGATCCGACATTGTCTGCACCAGCGGATCATCATACAACTCGCCCGGCAGCAAAGGCTGCAAACCACTTTCTTCGTCACCAACATAAACCCTTTCGTCGTAAAGAAAAACATTGCGAATATTGGTCATTTTCCTTCGAGCATCCTTTTGAGTGCGCAAGGTGAGATAGTCCGGCGAAGAAGCCCCATCTAGCACCATCTCTGGGCATGGCGAGGTGTTGTTGTTGTTGTTGTTGGTCGGTTCGCGCTGCAACGTGACATGATGCGCGGTGGCGCGAAACGTGAAGACGACGAGGCAGAAGATTATGGACATGCAGAGGAAGATGGGAAGGATCGTGCATATGAAGTTTGTAGAGGCCATGGCGGAGAGTAGAAAGGATATGAAGATGAGAAGATAAGAAGATATGCTTCATGAACGATGAGAAGAGAGAAAACGGTAGTGTTTTGTTCATTTCTCTTTAGAGCCGGTGGATTTAATAGTAATTCAAACAAAACACAACAGTCCATGAGACAAAGTCATTGGGCGGGTCAGGAATTTAAATATTTCCCCTGTTTGCTATATTCGCTTCATCCCCCCTTCTCATTCCAGACACGCGATTCACAACGTGACTGCCCGTGAGACAATCCAAGCTTAATTAGCATGACAATCAACTATTGAGACAAGCTCCAACATGCGTTTGGCACTTGAAAAAAAAAAAAGGCACAACGGTCATCAGGCTCTTCGGTCACCGGGTTTCTAATCCCTAGACATTGATCTTAATACAAGGGAGAATATTTTGTTAGAATTTTGTAAAGAGGTAGAACAGCTGCGTAAATCAAGTCCATCACCTCCCAAAGCCAAACCAGCCTCTCTTCTGAGCAGGTTTCTCAGCCTCGGTATCAGGGGTGGCTTGGGCATTGCCCGCTTGAGCCTCCTTTTGAGGATATTGAATGTAATTCCAGGCAACGTCGAGGAAAATGGGCTTGACGGGCATCACCTCCAGACCCGGAGGAAACTGGACAACATTATCGAGGTTAACACCGCCAAAGGGATATTCGTGCAACTTCTCGACAACAGGAGCGTGGCTTTTGTACTCCTCGCTCTGAGCCTGCATCTTCCGCAGGTTATCGACATGGACAATGGCACGGTGGCGCTGCAGCTCGCCATCAATCACTTGTTCTAGAAACTTGACGGAAGCAGGGGATATGTCAAGGCTCAAGGGGAGCTCGTCAGACGGGGCCTCTGCGTTTGGAAGTTTGGCGACGGCCTTGAAGCTGAAACTCAGAGCACGGTTGATGAGAGCCAAGGCGTTTGCTGAGTTGCCGATGATGGCGTGTGACCGGGCGACGGCGAGGTGTCTATGCGCCTTGGTTAGCAATCTGCTCAGATTTTGGTCATGTCTCCAGGGTCAAAGAAATAGTACGTACTTTAATGCGATAAAGTATTGCTCATAAGCCTCAATCCGTGCAGCAAGTTCTTCATCGGCAGCCACACCAGGCAGCTCCCTGATGGACTCCAAGTTCTGCAGGATTCCATCGTAGAGAGCACCCTTCTCCTTGAGCTTGGCCAGCTTCTTGCCAGACGGCAATTCCCTCTCGTTCTTTGCTTCCTCCGATGTTGCGTCCCTCTTCTTTCTCCTTCTTAGTGAGCCATACTCCTCTGTAGCTCCATCATGAAGACCTGTAAGAACGCGGTTGCGACCGATTCTCCAGCTAATCATCTCATAGTTGACCGCCGTGCGTGTAATCTGTAACCGTTGCATTCTAGGGTCGCTTTGGCTGACACCGTCTGCCTTGATATCATCAATTGCTTGCTTTGTAGCATCAACGGCATCTTGTGTGGCTATTAGAATCTCGTCATAAGCAGCAGCTACCTCGTGGAGACCCTTGTCCTGAGATTTGGCCACAGCTTGTGAAAGCCTCTCCTTGGCCTCACTGACAGCTGCCCAAGCTGTGGCTATTTGGGCGTCTTCAATTTGGACCTGGTGGCGGCGCCAATTGAGTGTCTGAGGAGCAGTTTCGCTTCCCGCAATGTTATCTGTCGACTCTGGCTGCGCTTCGCCGAGAAGAGTGGAGTCAATCCGGTTGATTTCCTGAACTAGAGCGTCGTCTGATCGCGGAAAGGCATTCTTTGCAAGGGTAGCAGCAGAAACCGTGCGAGGTGTCTTGAGTTGATACGCAGCAAACCGGATTGACGGCTCCACGGTCTCAGAGAGCAAATCTTTGTACAGGTCGCTTTTGCTAGCGGTGGCCAGCGCATTGTAGATGACGTATGTTGTAGCGTAACTCCTCAGACACGACTCCCAGCTGTTCTTCTCAAACTGCATGGCGCCTCGGACGAGGGCCGCATATGCTTGGGCCTCGAGGACATCGATGGTGGTGGCCCCGCTGATGTCGGTCTGCGAAAGGATGCGGACAACCTGCTCGGCACTTCGAGCCGCCTTCTCGAGCCGCGAGACAATGTGGGACCGGGCACGGCCGACAATTCCCCTCTGGTCAATCGAATGGGCGGCCTTGATGCTCATTGCCTGCGCCCAGGCACGCTCGCTGGTAAGGAGAAGCACGTAGACATGTCTAGGAAGCGCGGCAAGGCCAGGTCAGCTCCACTGCAGCCACAGACGGCAAATAAGAGGCAGGGGAGGAGGAGAAAGGCAGGCAGAAGGGACAGGAGGATGATCTCATACTCATTGTTTGTCTTGACGTCCTCGGCGGTCGCTTGCTCGGCCTTGCGGAACTTGCCCCGATTCTTGGTGACGGTGCCCAGCTTCCTGCGCGAGTTGAGGAGGCGCTTGGACAGCTGGCCGTGGTAGGTGGAGTAGTCGCCGTAGAGCAGGGCCTTGTCGCGGCCCTGGATGATGAAGCTAGTGATGTCCATTGTCAGATGCGCCTCTGGTCGCTTCGGCGTCTGGCTGCGATCAGTGTCTTCTCATCCGCCTGGAGACTGAAGGTGTCTTCGCAGCGGCCAGGCTGTTCTGCAACCAGCTAGCAGCAGGTTTCGTGGCCTGGGATTGGCGGGGATGGCGGGGCAGCCTCTTTTTTTTCCCAGCGCACGAGACAAGGCTCGCAGATTCGTGGGCACCAGTCGTGGGATGGTGCTTACATAACGCTGCTCGGATGCCGATATAAAGTTTGCGGTTTAAGTTCACTAGCGGCACCTGTCCGTCGAGTGCATCTACCTTGGGCAGAGGCAGCTCGACGGCCTCGACGTCTGTACTGGTACATGCATGCAGGCAGGCTTCAAAATTTCATGTCTGCACAAGCAGCATCGCTTACAGAACACTGCATTATTATGCGCGATTTGATTTTAGAGTTTCTGGATGTCTTTTGTCGGCCTTAAGAGGTGAGCTGGTACGGGCTCATCATTGCCATTTGGAGCATTGCCTGCATCTGCGTGAGTGAAACATGGCTTTCTTTTTCATTTTGCAGATACGAGCAACGGCCAGCTCAGGCCAGGTCTTTGGGCTTGACAGAATCCTGCTTGTATAATCAATGTATGGTTCCATAAATAGACCCAGGCCAGCTATCGACACCGAAGAGGACCCCCACTATTGGATGAAGCAGGCCGGCTGAGACATCCATCCACTGCAATATTGGCGATCTTGCAATGGTCACCGATTTGTCCCCTCTCTGACTTGATCGATTACGCTGCTGCGATACATCTGGATCGGCGTCACTGTGGGGTGCACAAGAGTCTTACGATGCTTGTCTTGAACACATACGACCGTGCAGTTGTGGCAATCGATGCCAGACGGTACTATGCATGTCTCGCCTGATGGTCTCGGATCCATGTCCAGAACGGTAGTAGTATCTGTCTCGTAGAGTACTTGCCTGTGCTCGGCACCAGCAGCAATAGCAGGTGGGCGTAATACGCACATCGCCGACGTGTAGAATGTTACCAGTCCCATTGTCGTCAGCACTCGTCCAAGTTTTGCTGGGTATGATCCGACGTGGTGGTTGGCTCTCTTCATGCAAGCACGGCTTGAACGCTCCTTTGAACCGGGGTGTATGCGGCTCCATCGCCTTCAGCTCGGATGATCCGAAGCTAGCAGCCCTGTGAAGTTGTGACGGTCGCTCGCTATGATGCCGAGTACTAATACCAGTGCGCTACTGGGTAAATCGTGTCTAGTGGCCTTTTTCTCACCTTGTCTTGCTCACCAACTCTTGGAGAGTCCAACTTGATATCCCTCGCCTCGCTGTCTTGCTTTCCCCGCTTCTCCCAGGCATCCGGTCGAAGAGACAAGAGCGACAGGTCCACCTCGTATCGTCGATGGAAGCACATGCAAAATTGTAAAAAAAAGGCAGAGCGAGAATGCACTGTACCGCGTATGCACTCCGTCTGCATGTCTTATTCTTCAGCCCCCTCCATGAACGAATGGCACTTGGCAGCGGCAGCGATGGGTGTGGGTGGTTGCGTCCAATCCTCATTGTCGAGCGTCAAAAGTCGGTTGCGACTCGTGTCAGCCATGCATATGTGCGGGCAACGCGCTGGAAGACGTAGCTGTTACGAGCAAACGAGACCAAGGAAGGCAGAAAAACTGATATGATACAGCCCAATACGTTTGGACGGAGGTCGGCAATCGTCGATAGTCGCTCGGGGGATTTTGGTGCGCATCAGGCAGGGATCACAACAGCCAGGGTGGTGACCTTGCAGGACGAGATGCTGGACGTTTGCATCACGTGCCCCCATGCATCTTGGGTTGAAGGGACCATCCACAGGGCAGCGCTTCCAGGCCTCGAGGCGCTGGAGACGCATGGCTTCGGGCTTCTGGGGCACTGGAGCACTGGAGCACTGGAGCCTTCTGGGGGCGCGCCACTGGAGGGTGCACGGTCCACGGCGATCCCTGTCGCTGCAAACGGTGCTGTGCAGGTGACCTGCTTGGCTGCAGTAGCCGCTGCTTCTGCTTTTTCTCTCTCCGGCTTGCTGCCACTCATACGGCGGGCTGGCGTGGCGGTAGCTGCGGCAGTGGCAGGCAGGATTCCGTCCGTGTTTGATGCATGATGGCATCTGGGCCCGAGTTTGCTTCTCTTTTTTCAGCGGTCGATGGAGCAATCAACTTGGATGCCTCATATGGCATGCAGGCTGCAAGGTAGGGTGGCAACATGTAGTTGTATGCAGTCCTCGAATCGGCAATGCTGTAATCGCAGTGACGACTTTTAATAAAGTCAGCTGCCAAAGATGAGAAAGAGGGTATAAACTGGAGAGAGGGCCCATTTCTCCACTATGAAATCGTGATAACCAAGCCTCTCTCCGAGTTGCACATGGCAAGGCTCTACTGCAAGGCGCGGCTTGTGCAGCAACAGTGCTACTGAATACCTAGGGAACAAAAGTCAAAGAAACAGCATGCATCATCAATTAGTTACATGCGTCTAATCAACATCTCCAGCGAGGCCTTTTTGCAGCTGCTCTCGCCCTGTGCAGCAACCTCCAGCCAGCCTCTGCAAGAAAAGAGCCCACCTCCAGTTTTCTGCAGTCGATTTAGCGCCCCGCCTTGCAGACTATTTCTCGCTGCTGCAGCCACTCAGCGTGCGCCGATACCAGCTGCACGCTCTGATCAGAGGCCCGCAGCGTGCTTGACCGGCTTGACTGGCTTGACTGGCCCGCTAGGCCGCCGCCCACGACCTACTAGTAGATTCCCACTACCGCTGTGACCTGCCTGGCGACATGTCGAGAGTGCAGAATCATGACCTAGACTCACTCACAGCACGCATTCACTCACTCACTGCTCACGCCAACTCCATCGCCAGCAACGGGCTCTGTTCTTCTTTTCTTTTTCCTCTCCCTTGTCCTCCACTCTATCCCGCTCTCCCTGCCTTTCCACCGCCACCAGCCGTGTCTCTGCCGCTGTCTCAGCCGGCCGGAAGAGAAACGAAAAGGACGAGCGCGTTTGCGGCTGAGACAGAAGCCATTAACAAACGTGCATTGCGGCCTCTCCACGGCCTCTGATGCTGCTGCGGCCACCAGCTGGAGCCTTGTGCTCTATCACCATCAAGATTCCAGCCCCTTGTTGACAGCTGCTCTTACTTCTCTTCACTTCTCTTCTCTTCTACTCTTCTCCCTTTTCTTTTCTTTTCTTTTTTCCTAGTTGCTTCTCAGTGTTTCGGACCATCTATTCATTCTCCTTCTCATCCCGCATATTCGCCTCCCGCTATTTTTTCCACCCGCGCTCTATACCGAGCATAAAAATTTCCTCAGCGCCTGCCTCCCTCTTTCTTCTTTTCTTCGTCTCAACTCCATCCTCGAACAGCATTTGCTGCTCCGCATCAACTTTCTGCAACTATCGTCTGGGAGGCTTCGCTTTGCTATCATCGTTTTGACCGGCTACCAACGGCGCATTCACGCTTCATTGTAACGATACCAACCAAAGCATTTATAATACGGATACCTAGTTCTCGCTCTACGCCATCGCAAGAAAGGGGAGAGTCAAGTTCTAATCACCCCAATCCATCGTCGTTCTTGCATGCACGTTTGTGATGACGGATTAAGCCTCATCGCACATGTGGTAAAACGCCATTCTTCTGTCTCCTTAATTCTGAACTTTGCATTTGCAGGCTCACCTTGTGTAGCCTACAAGTGCCACACAATATACTACAAATGGACGCAAACGGTAATATCTGCACCTTTTCCTTAATGTTTCCTCCATTACTTTTGTTCTTCACCTTGATCTTTCATCTGTTGCCCCGCTCCCATCACTACGCCCTGCTTCAACAAGACCGTGGGCAAATCCATGCTTCTTTCTTCTATCCCCACTGGCTTCGCTCAAGTTCAAGCCATGGCCTTAGATTATGCTGACTCTCTATTAGGAGGACCTTCGCAGCCCCCTGATCGTAGTTCAAATTTTGTGCCGACATGGAGTCCTGATGCGTTTCCTTTGTCAAATCTTCCGTACGAAGGGTACAACAGCTCGCAAATCACAGACAATGGACCAGGTCAGCCCATATTACCCTGGCAGCAGCTCCCCGGAGATATGCCAGGAGTCGACTCTACTTCTTTCACGGCGCTGCTCAATAGCCCCTTTGATTCATTCACCACGAGCCTGATGCCCACGGCGATTACATCAATGGCCCAGATGCCGGTCGCTCAAAATGTCATACAGAACGTCGGCCACGTCCAGGCTCCGCAGTACGGAACTGCCAATGCATCTCGTCCACAAACTACTCATGTCCTGATACGCCCCAAACCCACGCCCAATATGCCCCAGGACGACGACTCAGACGATGAGGATGAGGATGAGGATGATGAGCCCGTTCCTAAGCGCAAGCGTCGGCTTCCAGCTTACTTGAGAGAAATCCAAGCTCAAGCGGCGAAGAGGCAAGCTGAGAGGTGGGCGGCTTCACAGGGTCTGGCTGCTAACCCTCAAAACTCCACTGTTGACTTGACAAATGGTATGGACCGCCTCTTGCACTAGGTACTTGGAGCTTCTCTGTTCTTTGCTAACTTTGAAACCCTTCAGTCAACGACGATGTTTCTTCGCCCGGCCCTGTTGATCCCAAAGAAGAAGAAATTTGCTATGGCATGATCAAAACCCGCGCAAATTGCAACCGAGTTCCATCTCCAAAGCCCGGCATACAGAGTATGTGGGGCGCTGGTTACCAACCCAGCATCAAGGTCGTCCTCAGGAAGAATATCGCCGACCGGAGCTCCAAGATTCCTATAATTGATTACACAAGACAAGTCATCGGCTTCGTCGACGCTTCTTCTGCTAATGCGTTGGGGCCTCTGTTGGATTTGAACCTTCGTGTCAGGACCGACGCCCGTATCCCACCACAACCTATTGCGCCTGGGCAAGAACCTGGCCAGCCTGTGTCGCGTTCCTATATCCTCGACATCGTCCTGTATGGACCTTTCAAATACGCGAGAAACGTTGGCCATTTCATGTCGCGATACGATTTAACTCTTCAACAGCCCTACATTGTTCAGAGTGGCATCAAACTGTTCAACCCGCACCACCCGGATCACTTCCAATCCCTGAAGAAACTACCTAGGGCAAATTCCAATCGTGATCTTGGCCGCTCTGGCACTGTCACCAATTCCACCCCCAGGACTGTTGAAGAAGTCCGCTCCGAGGTCATGGGAGTATTCGATTCTCTTACTAGGAATGACGAATTACCCACCATGGATCCCCCAGCTTCCATCACGACCCCCTTGCTCACCCACCAAAGGCAGGGGCTCTATTTCATGATGACCAGGGAACAGCCACGTGAGCTGCAGCTACAGGAAAAGGCCATGGTATCCTTTTGGCGGACCAAAACAAACGTGAATGGACATCAGGTGTTTCATAATGTCATCACTGGCGAGAGCCAGGCTACCGCCCCCTCGGATACTCGTGGTGGTATACTTGCCGATATGATGGGCCTTGGCAAAACGCTCAGCATCCTGTCGCTCATCTCGAGTACAGTCGAGGAAGCCCGCCAATTTCAGTATCTGTTGCCGGAGCAGCCTTCCGCTCCAGAAACTAAGCCAACAAAGGGCGACATGGATGCCTCACAGGCGCCGCTGGGCCTCACGCCGGTGGTCCGAAATACCAAGGCCACCTTGATTATATGCCCCCTCAGTACCATTACTAATTGGGATGAGCAAATCAAGCAGCACATAGCTCCCGGTGAGCTTTCCTATCATATTTACCATGGACCCAGTCGTATCAAAGATATAGCGCGGCTCGCCTCATACGACATCGTCCTCACTACCTATGGATCTGTCTCAAACGAGCTCGGCGCTCGTCGCAAAGCCAAGAGCGGCAATTATCCGCTTGAGGAGATTGGGTGGTTTCGCATTGTTCTGGATGAGGCACACATGATTCGCGAGCAGTCCACCATGCAATTCAAGGCCATCGTTCGTCTTCAGGCCCAGCGGCGATGGGCCGTAACCGGAACTCCCGTCCAAAACCGACTGGATGATTTTGCGGCTCTCTTGTCCTTTATTCGTCTGGAACCTTTTCATCATAGAGCGAAATTTGTTCGCCACATTGTCGAGCCATTCAAAGCCTGCAATCCTGAAATTGTTCCCAAGCTTCGAATCCTCGTCGATTCAATCACTCTTCGTCGACTAAAGGACAAGATTGATTTACCCTCTCGAGAAGATCTCATTGTCAAACTTGATTTCAGCCCAGAGGAGCGGGGCGTATACGATCTCTTTGCAAGGAATGCGCAGGACAGGGTCAAAGTCTTGGCTGGAAATCTCACCTCTGGGGCTCTTGGCGGGAATACCTACATTCATATCCTAAAAGCCATTCTTCGCCTCCGCTTGCTTTGTGCGCACGGCAAAGATCTACTTAATGAAGATGACCTGGCAACCCTGCGAGGTATGTCGGCAGAGATGGCCATTGATATTGACGAGGATGACGACAAGGTGGATGGTCTTTTACTTTCTCACCAGAAAGCACATGAAATGTTTACCTTGATGCAAGACACCAACAACGACTCGTGCATCCAGTGCAACAAGAAAATCTCCTCTCAAGAGACACAGGCGGTAGAGGCAGAGAACGAAAACGATACCCTAGGATACATGACGTCTTGCTTTCATGTTGTTTGCCCATCATGCATAAAAGCCTTTAAGCAGCGGTTTAAAGCTGCCTATGCACCTGGTCAAACTTTTGCCCCTTGCATCGTTTGTAGCGCCCAAATCCCGTTTGGATTCGTTGATATCTGCAGATCAGACGTGGAAGGTGAACATGAAGGCAATCTCAAAGCCAAGAACAATAAAGCAAAGCCAAGCAGCAAAGCACTGGACAAATATGATGGACCCCATACCAAGACAAAGGCTCTCCTCGAAGACCTTCTCAAGTCCAGAGCTGCAAGTGAAGCCAACCCTCATGAACCTCCTTTCAAGTCTGTTGTCTTTTCCGGTTGGACCTCACACTTGGACCTCATCGAGCTGGCGCTCAACGAGGCCAATATCTCATTTACTAGATTGGATGGTAGCATGACCCGGCAAGCACGCACAGCGGCAATGGATAGCTTCCGTGAAGACAATAGCATCCATGTCATACTTGTCTCTATCATGGCCGGTGGACTGGGTCTGAATCTGACTGCTGCCAACAACGTGTACGTGATGGAGCCGCAGTACAACCCTGCAGCCGAAGCCCAGGCGGTTGATCGTGTACACCGCCTTGGCCAAAAGCGACCTGTGCGCACCATCCGGTACATTATGCGCAACAGTTTCGAAGAAAAGATGCTTGAGCTGCAAGAAAAGAAGGTGAAGCTGGCCAGCCTCAGCATGGACGGCCAGAACAAAGCGCTTGACAAGGCAGAGGCTGCGAGACAGAAGCTCATGGATCTTCGCAGTCTTTTCAAATGATGAGACTGTGATTTATCACGACTCTCATAACGAAGTAACGAATTTTAATATTGCTTGTTTCTTCTTTTCTTTTCCCAGCTCCGATATCCCGACAGCTTTTTAGCATTATAACTTTATATTTTTCTTCTTCTTCCCATTTACATGGCATACATACGCATATGTGCTGTAACCCATTTATTTCATTGATACTCTCGCCATTCCACCAGACAACATCTTGACACTGGGAGAGCAAAAGCGGATTTCTAGGAGGCTGAAGAGGAAACCTGTTCCTCCCCTCCTTTTGTTTCTCATTATATATATATATATCATTTCATCTCATTTCATCTCATCTCATCTCGGGTATGGCAAACACTCTGGTTCCGCGGCATATTGTGGCATTTTTTACATACCAAAGCTCTCACGAGCCACGCCTGATCTTAGCGGCGCCCGGGATCTGGTGATATTTGGCTTACATTTTCTTTTTTGTACTTCATTGATTCCCCTTTTCCTTTTTTGCTCTTTCTCATTTATTTGGGGAAGGATGAACGAGAGCGCATGGACAACTCGTGACCATATGGGAGGGATTAGTCTGCATCTATGATTGATATTTGCTCCCCAAAATATTATTATTTCTTTGTTATTCTTCTTGCAAGTTTGAATTGTGAAATGTGCCTTAACTTCAAGCGAGCATCAATCATTGTCTTTTTTTCCCCTCTCCACATCAACATTTGCTATCAAAACGCAACTTGGTAGGGACTGAGAAATGACTTTGGTATAGTAAAATCCTTGTGAAAAAAAACATGTGCCTGAATACTGGCGCTCATTGCCCATCCTCCTTTGGCCCATTTTATGCTCTTGACACGTCAAACGCCATACACCAAAAGACCAGCAGCTAACCGATTTAACTCGTCTAACAAGAATTCATTAAGAGGTCGTTGAAAAGCAAAATAAAAGTGCACATTGAACGGATCCCTCCTCCCTTTCGATATTGAGAAAGCAAAGAGTCTCGAAAACGGGAAAAAAAAAAGGTGGGATTATGCCTGGTCGTCTTCCTCGGCTCCAATAGCAGCCCACTCAGTGCCCTGATTCACAGAGCTCAATCTGGCACACAAACTCAGCAACACCACAGTCTCCGTCGCAGCGTAGTGATTAAGCGAGTCTGACAGAATCTTCATGTGACGGCCAAAGTTGCTCTCCCACTTGCGGATAATGTCGGCAAGATTGTTGACCCGCGACTCGACGCTCTCCAGGGTCGAAGCATCGTGCTGTGCTGCTGACCCTGAACGCGGGGCGCTGCTCCTCGAGGCCTGGAAGCGCCGCCATTGGTCGTCGGTCATGGTGTCGGGCTTATTGCCGCTAGACAAATCAGGATCAGACTTTTCGATCTCGCGGGATAGGAAGCTCGTGTAGGCAGCGAAGATGCTGCAGGACTGCATAAGCTTTGAGTTGACCTAGACAAGCAGTGAGATGTTTAGTAAGGCGTTGGCGAGGGAGGAGAGTGGGGGAATCAGGTCATTCGTCATACCTTTAGTAGCTTGCTATTGGTGAGCATACACTCTTTCAGGCAAGTGTCCAAGAAGTCTACATGGTCTTGCATCAGCTCGTCTACCGTCCGATTGACTCCGGATTTCCTGTCAAAAGTGTCGTCCTTGGCTTTCAAACGGGACATGAACTTTGTCCAATTTGGTTCGATTACTTCTGCAGTGCAGAAATACAGGACCTGCTGGACGTAGATGAGCATTCTCGCTCGCAGCGTCGAGGCTCGTCGCTTCCAGGTCTCGAGCTCTTGGTTGACGCCCTTGTGGGCCCAGGTCACGCTCTTTGTATGTGTCTGCCAGGTCGACGACAGTTGAGACTCCAGGGTGCGTAGAGAGAGCAAGAAACGGAAGAGTGCTTGGTAACGCCACACGGTCTTGCGGCTGATCACCAGAGAGACTGGGAAAGGAACCGAGTAGTCGAGCTGAAGAGATGTAAAGCCAGTCGCGTTCTTATCCGGTTCAATGGGCGGTTGGTTAGTAACAGGCTGCATCACTTGGCCTGACTCGATTCCTGTGATGTTTACAACCCGCTGGAGATTGTTGATGAGGGTAATCTCGTTCATCTCCACCTTTACATCCTCTTTGAAAGGGTCAAGCGAGGCCACAGTCCCCGGCTGGCGCAGAACTATATCCAGCAGAGACTGCAGCTTGCTTGTGTTGACCGATTTGACGGGCTTCCTCAACTCTGATGAGCCAAGCTCGAGGAAGTATGAAAACGAGTCTGACGGATCGAGGAAGAAGTAATGTTTGAGCGAGCGCAGTCTCAACGGTAGCTCATGCGTGGTAAGTAGCAGCTGCATGAGAGACTCGTTGGCATGAGCATAGGCATTATTGACATTCTCAAGGAACCGTTTGTCGTCGAATGAGGTTGGTAGCTCCGTCACTATTTTGCTCACGTCCACTCCGCCACATTCGCGAACGACGTTGAGATATTTTCCAGCCAGCAGTACCTTTTCCTTGACGCCCTCCAGCTGCGGCGGTACATCTTGATCACGGATGGTATATCTCCTCTCCCAGTACTCGTCGATATAATCTCGCTCGAGCCTCTCTCGTCCTATGCTCTTCTGTTCCCTAATCATAAACTCGGAGTGAGGATCGTGAATACTGCCATGGTGCAGCCACTCGTTCAGCATCTTCATATATGGTCGACTCGCGTCCCGCAATAATGATGTCAATAGTGATCGGGCAGCCGGGTCACCGCCCATCGACTCTAACCTTGAGGCTAGCAAGCCCAAAACCCCGCCGCCCTTGCAGACTTTCAGAGCTTTAGAACTTCCAGGAACGAGATCTCCGCCCTCAGCAAGCCTCTCGAGGACTTTTTCGTAGTCGTCTATATCATCGTCATCTTCCTCGTCGCTTTCATCGTCCAGCAGCGCGTTCTTCTTCAAGAGCTCTTGTGCCATGGCGTAAAGGTGGGACAGCATCTGGCATGTGGGCAGTGTGTGTATGTGGAGGACATGGACGGTGAATGATTCGCTCGTCAGAAATTGTGTTTCCAGTTGAGCAATCATGACCAGGTAGTCCTGCAGGCACTTTCTTACGGAAGCGCACAGCGCATGATTGACCGCGCCGAACTCTTCCCGACTCTGCACGTCGACAAAGGCTTCCAACGCTGAGTAGTAGGTGGCCATTTTCAGCATGGACTTTGTCAAATCGTGCAAGCTAGGGTCAAGACCTGGCAGGATCCGAAATGGCGGCCCGGACAGTCGATCTCTCTCCTCGTGAGGAGTATAGCCCCTAGCATATCGAATGTACTGCCCCTCGTAGCCCATGAAAACATATAATAAATCTTCCACAATAGCTGCCTCCTGAGCCTCCAGCGTTAACTCGTTCAGGGGCTTTGGCTGCGGCGCGAACGGAATCGCGAACGCAATGGGAGGTATTGATATCCGCGAAGCAAGGGCGGCAGAAGTATGCGGCAGAAGCGTCGCCTCGGGGTTCCAGGTAGCTGGTCATTCAAAGTGTTAGCTCTATATAACAGAACAAAAAAAAAATGTCCAGCGTGTATAAACAATCTCGTCTCTCGTCTCGCTTCAATAAAAGAGAAAAAAGGTAGATCGTACCTGGAGGCGTCTCTGCCCGCATCTCTCTCTGCCGCAGATCAGTAGACGATTTCTGTCTGCGCATCTCCGCCGGCCTCTTCTCCGGAGGCTGCTGCTGCTGCTGTTGCTGCGACTGTTGCAGCGTCGACCGTCTTTGCGGCTGCTTCACAGGGCTGTTCGTCCGCGAAACCACCCGCTCCACGTGAGCTTCAAAGGCCCTCTCGGTGACTTTGCGCTCCTCGTAGCGCCGCTCGTCCTTGGCTCTGCCCGCGGCCCTCGCATTGCCTGCTGGCGACGATCGCTTCTGTGATTCGTTGCTGCCGAATGGGCCCGCCTCTGCATTCTTTGCATCCGCCGCGACCCTTCGCAGGTTTCCATTGGCTCCGGGAACCCGGGATCGCTCGTCAGCAAAGACGCTGGCGCGGCTGGATGCCCTCGTTCTTACGCCAGACATATCGCGGGTTCTAGCTACATCCGAAGCTGGTGTGTAAATGGACGTGCCCGCCTCGTGCTGTCACTTCGGGCCAGGCTCGGTGAGAAAATTGAAGGAAATTTTCATATAAAACACGCCTCCCGCACTTCTATCATGGAGAATTGTTACCAAGTTTCTTCGTCTCGTTGTTTGTGGTGCTGTGTCCGTCACAAGTTTTGGCCAATGCTGGGTATAAGTTGATTGTGGCTTGTATGTCATAAAGAGCAGGCAGCTTAAGCTTGCACCGCTATTGACTGGCCATAGTGGGGTGAAACACGGCCATCAGGCGCGTCGCGGTTGCCAGTTCCATTGCGCCGGAATAACATTGACCGCGCCTCCGGCTGCAGCTCTGCTCTCGTTGTGGCGCCAGCTGTGGCGGTGCGCTCGAAGCGGCGTGCTTTGCTGCCTCACCCCACCAGGAGGTACCTACGGATTGCGTACCTGTGCTGGAGGTAGCTGGATGCGTAGGCCCAGTGTTTGCCTGATAGCAGCAAACACCAACACCAGCTTCGTCTTTCTCTCAGCCTTTCCTTGCAGCCTCACCATCCCTCCCCTCTGCCATTCTTTCTCGCCGCTTGATACTCTCACTGGCACTCTAGGCCAAATCCACAATCCACACAATCCGCCAAGATGTTTATGGCAAGATCTGAATACGGCAAGCATCTCTTCCCCCGCGCCCTCATCTTCCCTCCCCTCCCCGTTGCTGAAGCTCTTGGCAAAAACGCACACGAAGAGGCAGATGCATCTTGAAAAGGAAGAAACAGGCCTGCAGTCATATAGATGCACCAACACACGGCCAAATCACTCAAGATGCTCTGTGCTAACTGCATTCTCTCCCACCTCCAGATCGGGGTATCAACACCTTCTCCCCCGAAGGCCGTCTCTTCCAGGTCGAATACTCTCTCGAGGCAATCAAGCTCGGCTCCACCGCCATCGGCATCGCCACCTCCGAAGGCGTCATCCTGGGCGTCGAAAAGCGAGTCACCTCCTCCCTCCTCGAAACCTCCTCCGTCGAGAAGATTGTCGAGATCGACCGCCACATTGGCTGCGCCATGTCCGGTCTCCAGGCCGACGCCCGGTCCATGGTTGAGCACGCCCGCGTCGAGTGCCAGAGCCACGCCTTCAACTACAACGAGTCTCTGAGTGTTGAGAGCTGCACACAGGCCATCTGCGACCTCGCCCTGCGCTTCGGCGAGGGTGCTGACGGAGAGGAGACCATCATGAGCCGGCCCTTTGGCGTTGCGCTTCTCATTGCGGGCTTCGACGAGAACGGACCCCAATTGTTCCACGCAGAACCCAGTGGCACTTTTTATCGATTCGATGCCAAGGCCATAGGATCAGGCTCGGAGGGAGCTCAGGCAGAGCTGCAGAACGAATACCACAAGGTCAGCTTCCTCACTTATACAACATACTAGACTATACCGAGACAGCCCGCTAACGAGCACATATTGATAGTCTTTAACAATTGCCGATGCAGAGACCCTGGTTCTCAAGACGCTGAAACAAGTAATGGAAGAGAAGCTGGACTCCAAAAACGTGCAGCTAGCCAGTGTCACCAAAGACAAGGGCTTCAGAATATACACAGATGATGAGATGGCCGCAGTTGTCGATCGACTACCATCAAACTAATCAACTATCAAATGCATAACGAGAATAGAAAATAATTGCATTGCAGACTCTTTTCCTTTCCCATCACTCAAGTAGCCAAGTGAATGGGTGCGTGCCAAGGGTCACTCGGATAAGCTCCATACATATGTCATTATGACTATCTAAGTGGTCGTGGCATCATACATAACATCATACAATAAACTCTTAAAAAGAAACAGAATACAATTCTTAGAATGCAAAACAAAATCATCGCAGTTGTGTCGCAATTGTGCTGATTTTTCTCATCATTAAATTTCTCACACCAGTTATAAAAAAAAAACCTCTCCTACCATTTGCCACTTTCGTCAAGCCATACCCTCCTTTTTCGCCCTGAACAAACTCTCATTACTCCTTCCTAAATGCTTCAACAAAAAATCCGTTTCAAAAATCCCTTCAAAATGAACGCTGCATTGTATCTCAGTGCTGTGTATTGCAAGCAGAGAGAAGCAAAGCATAGTAATGACAGATAAAGAAAGAGAACAATCCCTAAGACTGTGAGCTTGCATTCCTGCCAATCGGTTACTTGAGCCTTTCTCCCTTTTCTTTTTTTCCCTCTTTTGTCCCATTCATACTCTTCTTCTTGTCCTCTTTCTCCCTGTATAAGCTGTCTGTCTCTCTAAAACATCACGCATTCTATACCGGTGGTTAGTTTAAATCGTCCCGTAGTTCGAGTCTCGCGAGTTCTGTTTCGATTGCTAGTATCCCGATTGCGTAATGTGTTCTTTCAGCCTTGGCCAGTACTAACCGCCGTTCATCGCTTGATTCTAATTCGTCGATTTTCTTATCAATTCGGCGAGGGTTCTTCCATATGGAAGATGGAAAATCATTGATAATGGTTGGTCGCGAATATTCTGGCCCACCCATGGTGCTTGCCTTGATCCATGCAGATTCACATCCACAGGCAATTTGCATGGCGGACTGCCATCCTGTGAGACGAGCAATGTCATGCATTCTCTGGATTACCCATTCTCTCTGTGCAGTTTCTTTATACTAAAAATATGTCAACATACATTGCATGCAAACAGAAAGGAAAGAGAACGGGAAACGGTATACTCACTTGTATCCCTGCGACAAAGACACAAAAGGAGCTCTCAATAAGAGCAGCACCAAGATAGGTGTTTATATTTGCATACTCCGAACAATCCGCAGCAAGCCCAAAGGCAATTTGTCCAATCTTTTGGGCAAAGCCCGCCGTCTTCTTTGCCATTTGCCCCGCTGCCCTCATGGCCACTGGAGGCATCGATGGGTGGCTTCGATACAGATGGATAAATCCCATGTAATAGTTCATCCAGATGCCGGCAATGGAGTACGTTTTGAAGTAAATGGCGTTGCCAAAAGGCGTTTTTGTTCCTTTTTGATCTCCAAATTCATCATTTATGGGCTGAAATCCGGGCCCAAGACGGCGCTTGAAAATATCAAAGGAGCGGTAAATGCTATTCCACTCCTGCAGAGCGGCTTCATAGCTGGCTTCGGGGTCAATATCATCTTGGGAATCGCTCTGCGGCGTGTCGTCTCTCGGAGGACTAAAGCCCATCGGCGCTTGTACTTTACCAAAGGTTGGAAACATGCCTGGAAACATGGTTGGGGATCCAGCTCCAGCTCCGCCACCTTGAGCTTCTATGGCCTTTTGTTTTCGAGATAAATCCTTCGAAACAAAGTCTGAAAGCCGCCCGAGCAACAAGATCAAGTGATCATATGTTCCATACCTAATAATGCGCAAATTATTAGCAGCTGTTTTATGGGAACCGGCGAAACTAAGGGAAAAGACAGGGGTTTAGGGGTCACATACGCTGCAGAATATGTCGAAAAGGGTGCTCTTGGAGGAATCTGTGTCCAGTATTCATATTCCATGCTGTGTTCCAGTTAACATCACATACTCGTCCAATTGATGGAGCGCAGAGAGCTTACAAGAGCTTAGTACCCCCTAACATGCTTTGATATACATCCATTTTGCAGTACCACCAAAAGAGATCGCAAATAATGTCATATTTTTCAATTTCTTTATCGGTTGCTGGAGCACTCCTTTTGTCAGAAGGCTGTCTCTCTCCTTCACCGTAATCTTCAGGGGTTACGACGAGCCCTGTTATAGCGCGTAGAAGGTCGTAATCCAGATTATTTAGTCCACCCTGTGGTGATACTGGCTGCTGATGAGAGCCATAAAATTGGGAGTTTATGTGCCCCAGTTGGTATCCATTGGCTTCTTGACCTTGGCGCATACGCTTCACAGGGAAGCATGATCGAGTCATGTCCCCCAAAGACATCTCGCGGAACAAAATCTTGGCACCGAATAGGTGATTGCACCACTTTGTATGATCAGACGACCAAACTTCAAAGTATCCGAGCAAGAGAGTTGCGGCAAGAGTTGCCGGTTGAGTCCTCTTAGACGGCGACTTTACACTATTGGCCACACGGCGAATAGCGCGATGGTAATGCTTCAGTGCTGCTGTCGGAGGGCTGTCTCGAAGCTTGGCAAGCTGAAGGCTCGCCAACGCAAGCATAGCATGAAAGAGGCCCAGATGCTGGAGTGCCAGTGTTGGAATGGCGTCTGTAGAGACTGTCAGCGACATCCTACATGTACTTTGGCCTTTTCAGATCGCATGATTGACTTACAGCTCCACAGACTTTGCCCAGATCCTGCCGCTGTTCTGCTTTTACCTCTCTCCGCTGCACAAGATATGTTTCCTTCAAAAATTGAAATCCCAGGTCCAGTGACATTGATAAAGTGCATAAATACCATGTTTAGGCCACTAGCCCAGTATTCAGCGGAATAGGGAGCCTCCATGTACGCCAACACATCATCATTCTGGGCAAAAGCTGAAAAAATGCTAGCGTCTGCAGCATTCAAAGTCCAACGCTCTGATACCATGTTCTTAATAGGTGGCAGATTTCTTCTAATGTCCGGCATATCGTCATCAGAGTCAGGTATGGAAGCTTCATCATCCAACATATCGGGTTCCCATTGGTTATTCAGGGGCTGGGGGGCAGCGGCGCCCGGGTAACTACTTAGTCCATTGTCACCATTCAGACTGCCAAAATTGGTAATCGCATCCTGAGTTGCGGTTCGGTCTGGGGCCGAATAAAAAAGGGCCTCGGGAGGAGCGGTGGCAAAATAGCCAGGTCCTCCATTAGCTTCGGCTACAAGCAGGGGGTTAGGGAACTGTGTGTCATAGGGAACCTGCATATATTGATTGGGAGCCATGTTGTATGCGGGAGCGTTTTGTAACAATGTTCCTTGATGAAATGGATGCTGATATGGTGCTACAGTCGGCTGAAGAGGCATTCCATGTTGATGATGGTCAAGAGAGGGAGGTCTCGGCGCAATTGCTGGAAACAGCCCTCTTGATGGCTGCCTGCCGGGGTGCGTGGACAGCGGATCACCTGCAATGCCCGAAGGACCCGAGGAGTAGATCCCTTGGCTAAAAGGTGAGGAAAACGAGCCAAGAGGTTCCTTGAATATGACTCTTTGGCTATATCCTTCGCAGTCGCGTCTCGACTTGATGCAGTTGTTGCAAATTGGCCTGCCTTCGTCGCATTTAATTCGTCTCCTACGACAAGCTATTGACAATATTCTGTGTTAGAAAGGGAAACACAAGGTATAAGGAAATCGAAAAGCTCTAGCATCAAGAAAAAGGCAGATTCAAATCAAACAACCACTCACTGAGACAGCCGGTCTTGGTCCGCTTCCTGGTAGTGCCTGTCTTTTTGCGGTTCGCCTCGTCCTTGTCTCCGTCATTTTGCAGAAAAGAGTTTCCCTGGTGTTCATGGGCAGGGGCCTTTGCTGCCGCAGGTTGTTTTTCCATCATGGCGGTATACTTTGTTCTGAGAAGGGGATGCTGAATAATGAATTATAGATTCCCTTTCTCTTGGATTTGAAATCGAACACAAATGCAAGAGAGTATTTCGACTGTGTTGAAGAAGTGGCCAAAATGATTCCAAAACGATAACTTTATACAGAAGAAGATGTGACTCTGAAGCAGGCGGCAAGATGATATGCCGTGGAATATAACAAGGGAAAAATCGCCATGTGAGGGGGGCAAGACACGAGTACGGCGGCCACGAAGCCTACAATGGCACGGCAGAAGAGAAGAAGGACTGCACCACTTGCTGCTGTGCTCAGCCACTGGGAGAAGAGAATGGTATTAGCACGCCTCGCCGAAAGGATGAAAGCATCAAATAGCGGATGGACAGGAGGAGGAGGATAGTAGTCAGTGGAACATGGCTGGTGTAACTCGAGGGCAGAGCGGATGCCAGGATGGAGCGTCGAGCGGTACGAAGATGAGGCCCGCTCGTGATCACGATCATGCAGCCGCGGATGATGCCGACGGAGATGGAGCCAGAAATGGAGCAAAAGGGGGCGGTAACGGACGAGATGGAGGAGGATAACAGAGAAGAGAGCAGCAAAAGGCCTGACGTATGCGTGTAAAGGAAGAAGTCATACGCCAAGGGGAAAAGAGAAGGAAGAATAGACAAGTAGGAAGAGGTCAGAGCAGGCGCACATGTGAGTGACGAGGAGCCGTATCCCGGCAAATGCTTCTTTCCTCGTTGACGCAAAGTACTGCCGGGTACGGGTACTAGTAGTAGAGCATCTCGAGATGTTTGACGAGGTGTTGAAGAGGGCGTGGCGCTTTGAGGAGGGAGGGGTGGAGCAATAATGACGACTGGAGAAAATACGATGCTGGCGGTGGTTGCCCAAACCAGGGGAGGAGCTCCCCACCAACTCACCTGTATTTCCGTTCCTGGGCCCAACTCCCGCCTTATACCTGGCCGAGGGGTCGCTGTTGATGCCTAGAGTTAGCGAAGAAAGTATCCCGCCGGCAGATGCTGTGGATGGAGATGTCTTTTTCGACGCCGTCAGTAACAGCGACAGCATAGACTGCGCGTACCTGAGAGTAGAGATGGCGATGTTACCAGTGGCAAGAGACGGATTCGGGGCGCCCAAGGCTCGCGCCTAGAACAGCTGGAGGATACAGTCAGTCAGTCACCTTGACATGTGCAAATCCCACCGTTGTCCTTGACCACCTTTGAGGTATCTATGACGCCCAAACCAGCCTTTGGTGTCGAGTGCTGAGAGCAGTCGTTAGCTGACATTGACGGTTTGGATAGGGCAAACGACAAGCTGGAGATGCAGCGAGAAGGACGCAATGACAATGTACACAGGTATACATACATACTACTAGTACCTGTCGTCACGTCCGCAGCCAGTGACACCAGCAGACGCAAACACCAACCTTGTGCTGTCTCAGAGCAGCTGGGACTAAAGGGTAGAGGCAGAGGGCTTGATGCGCAGACTCACAGAGACTCGGGTTGTACCTACAGCGATGGTCGTACCCTGTTGCTTCAGACAGCCGGCAAGCCCCCAAACTAGGTACTTGTTCCTTTAGATCGAGACCCAACTGGGGGGGACCAATCAATGATTCAGGTCGGCGCCTGTCCGGCAACCACAGGCGCAGCTCTTGGAGGCTCTCTCGCTCGCCGCGGGAGTTTGCAGAAAGGTCGCTGCACAGATGGGGAGGGGCAGAGACGTGGATCGCAAGAAGAACACGAGGGTGCTAAGATGCCGGGATGTCAAAGATGCCAGCTTGGCGGATGGAACCGTGCTGTTGGGAGACGCAGATATAAGGGAGAGGGGAGAAGGGGAGGCGAGCTGGGGAGAAAGGTACCAACCGATCACCTCCTTACTTGTTTACTCACAGCGTGACTGGCTGGGCTGAAGGGTTCGAACCGATGGACACTGGGGAAGCAAAGGACTCGAAGCTAGGTAGGGGGCAGAGACGCCAAAGTTCTTGGAAGACTGGGATGGCTGTTCTTTTGTTCCCCTCCTTTGACTCCTCGCCTTATCTGCTCAGGTGGGTGGTATCACCGACGGAATTGGTCATCCAGACCTGCAAGAGGGGGAGCGAGGAAATTTGTCCAACGCTTCTTTTTCCAGCCCCAGAGCTCATTGGCGAGCGAGAAGAGCAAGCTATATAATCAAAGAACACCATCCCTTGCCTCACATGGCAGACACCGAGGACGAATAGAACGACTCTCCTGCTGGATGGCAACTCCAGCCGGCCATCAACCCCGGCATTGGCCCACAAGGCTAGGTATGCATGTTAGACGCTCAACTTTGCTTTTTATTATGCCATGCCAGCTTTACCCATGCACAGAGCTCAGTCCAGTTCCTCCTCCTTGGTGCTGATTCTGCGGCGGGCACAGGCCAGCTAGTGAACAGGAATGGGATGCTGCCTCGGGGCTGACAGCGCCGTCGTGGAGATGCGCCCATTGTCCGCTGTCCGGATCTGTTATTCTGAACCTGGCTATTCGGAGACATGTCTGCAGTCGCCAGTTGCTATGGTGCCTGAAGATATCCTGTCTGTCCTGGAGAGAGGACACCTAGCAGGCCTGGAGAAAGGCCAAGGTCAGGAAAGGCCATGGATGATGACTGGGTACCGCTGCGGCGGAAAGGATTTCGATCCGAGAAGAAACACAGACCAATAGACACAGAGGCTTGCAAAAAAAAAAAATAACGGCGAAAATGGGGGCGAGAAAGGAGAGCTGAAGTCATTCATGCCCCCCCTGGTTATGCATAGCTTGTCAGCAACTGCAGTAGGAAAAGCAGAACGAGGCTGGCCTATCAGCAATCGACTGCCGGCCTGTACATTGACACCATGGCCACTTCATCGCTGCGTATCGCGTGGTAGCAGAGGGATAAATTGCCTTGCCAGGCCACTCGGCACTGTCAATCAACTGCTCGACTGTTGATGCAAAAACCACGCGCTGGCCATGATCTGGATGGCAGTCGAATGCCTATTATCCCGGCATTTTGCTCAGCCAACTAGGCTACCTATCTATCCATGCCGGGCTGTGTTGGCCACCTCTCACGATGCCACACTTTTTATTCGCCAAATATCAGCGGTCCCCCTCTCAGCTGCGCCATACCCCTAGCCAGCCTGCTTCACACCAATGTCAAGAATCCTTGTCCTTTCATTTCTTTCTCCCTCTGCAACGCCAACGGTGAAGCGGCGAAAGCAAGGGCGCCAGACAGGAAAACACTGTGTTACACAACCAGGACGGGATGTTGTCCAAGGTTGCAAGAGTTCAGTTGTACATTGTATATGCCCACGCCAGCCACAGCCAGGCTATACCAGACGGCAATTACCGCCCAGGAACGTCCTAAGTGGACCTCAGCAATTAGCTAATACAGGCGCTAGATACAGCCTTGCGGGCTGTGGTTGCAGCAGCTCCGAGTGTTTCAAAGCCGGATAGACACTCAGGACCTGAGATGGAGAGACACCCGATGCTACCAGGCATCGATGTCGGTATTCTTCCTCGCAGCGCATCCAGTAAATTTGTCAGCAAAGGCGGGCAAATCCTTGTGCTAGGCGTATCTCTCAAGGCGTCTTATTGTCTGATGGACAAGGGAAAGGCGCGAGCTATTCGAAATACGGCGTCTGTTTATTAAGTCGGATTTATATTCAGCATCACCACTTCCAGGAATTTTTCTCTTGCTTCTGTTTACTCATTTAGCCTTCGCCATCCTCCACTGGAGTATAAAGTCTCCAGCTACTTCCGACACAAATATATATTCCACTCACCGCCATCCATCCATCCATCCATGGTCCAGCCGTAAACTCAGCTTCTGGCTGGCTTGCGGAACACGGTTGCTCTAGATCATGCATCTCATCGCCCATCCGCCGCTTATGCCGGTCGAATTATGTTTCTGTGGTACACAAACCAGTCGCCACGTGCTACCCAAACTCTCTTGACTCACATTTCCCATGACATGATCCTTTACCGCTTTTGCAGTTCAAGAACAAAGGCCTGCCGTGGCCGCGGCAGCAGCAGCGTGCGAGCACAATTGTGGTCACGGTCGTGGTTATGTGGCTGTCGTAATGCATGGGCAGAGTTGTACCAAGTCCTGGCTCACGGCTTCCTGCGTCATCTCCAGAGTCACATACCGCCTACCTTGCATGGACGAGATGGATGGATCAAGTGCTCAATAGGCGTGGAGACCAGTCTACTGTGTAGGCTGGGGAATCAGCACACACGGACACAAACTTATCAGATCGTCAGCATTTGATAGGAGCCGGTGTTGGCTAGACTTCATATCCGCATCAACAAATCATGGACCGCCATGACGGAAGAGGGCACATAATGATCTATGCCCTCCTTCAGCTCCTGCGAGGGGTAATGGCCAAAGCACAAGCAAGCCCAGCCCGTTCTTGGCTTCCCTCTTTTTCTCCATCATCGCCAGTATCCATACACTGGCTCTGGGCATGTCTGAGACTGCCGCTTCCGCGAGTTGCTGCTCCCCTGCCATCACCACAGGGCCCTCGCTCCATCTTTGTACGTGGCAGCACACACAACGGCAAGGGGCCGGGGCCAGACCAGATCTGCCGTCGTGGATCAAATCTCTGTAGCACCTAGCCGCTGTATCGGAGCGGGTGAGAGATTGTTCATGCCACCATGCGCCCAAATAGTGTACTGTTGCCCCGTGGATCAGACCAAAAAGCGCGGTACATGTTACGCCGCGCTCCCACTTCGCTTTGAGGCCCGCAGCTCGCCATGCAAACACACCCTCGCTGCCGTCTTGTCCCCTGCCGCCTCGACCAATCTGTGTTTCGCCAGAGGTTGCGGATGTACTCGGTGCCTCTGTCAAGTTTGGCCGTAGAAGCTCATCGCTCACGTGTGTATGAGGAAAAGATCCGGTCTTCTTTTTGCCCCCTCCCTTTTTACGTGTGTACATCTACAACCTCGTCTTCTAGTTACACGCCCCCTTTCTCTTACTTTCTCTTGGACACCACTGGCCGCGGTTGATGCGAGAGGATAGGCATATATGCACCCTTCTCTTATACTACAGCATCTACCCCCGGCATATGCACAATCAAAGTTCCGATTTTCTCGGGTGAGTGCTTATCCCGAAAACTGCATTCGTTTCCTCCAACCTTGAGTGGCTTGCTCTCCCCTACCCACACACACGACACCACGGATTGATGGCGATGAGGGGCCTAAGCTTGCGAGAGGTAGTGTAATCTTCAACAGAATCCGACTTTTCTTGTCGGCAGCTAGCCATGATTTGAATGCCCTTATAAAGGACTCTCGCATCAATTTCCCATAGTGGCGCTGATTTAAACGCATAATGCATCCTCTATATCCAAAGATACCGCAGTGAGATGACCCCCCTTTACCGACTCCTCTTGCAGCACTCCATATGTTTAAATAGGAAGGAAATGACCCTTTGTCCGAATTGCAAGTCATCGAGTATAGCTTTTTGGAAAGTGAGTCGTGATAATAGTAGTACTATTAGAACTATATAGACTTTGGACTCCACATTACTTTGGGCTGTTCTTTGCCTTCTAGAAGCTTTTCGTGAGGGGTTTACGAGTGTTTGATTGAATAAGCTAAATAATTTGCTAATTGAGCTATGCCAGTTTCCATCTAGAGTCTAGGCGACTGTTGTTCAAAGTGAGCATTGATGTCTTTCCGATGTCCTAGTATGTGTGGAGTCTAATCCATCTGCCATCGTGTAAGCATGAACTAGGAAGAATCTCAGATGGCATTTTGCTGGTAGTTTGCAGTAATACGGCAGAAGGATTACCTGGTGGTAGATTCGCTCTCAATTTCTTACCTATGGTAGATACTGAGATTATACAGTATTTTGGCCATGATAATAGTATATCCTCTAATAAATAACACAGTCCTTTCCGTGATTCTTGTCTGTGTCCCCCACACTCTCCATACCAGGTAGCAAAACATGAATCGAGAAAAGGTGTATATAGGTACCTAGGTACCTACTGCCCATGTATTGGACAAAAAAAAGGGCCCCGCTCTTACCGAATGAGGTTCTTATCCTTGAAAGGATTATCTATTCCGACAATACGTGGTGTATGCCAGGCAGTGATTCTCCAATAAATGCCGTTTATGTGCCGTGTGGATGACTGATACTATCAATTCCTACCCCGCGCTGATATCTATTGGTACCCAGCCGCTTTCTTGGAACATTGGTACCCGATGTAAGTACCAAGGTGACCAAGCTGTATCTTCCCATTCTACAACTTGAAATTACCAGGTATCTCGTTTTTGCCATACTGTCACAGCATACCTACAGTGGGGACAGCCATGGGGACAACCAAAACCACCTACCGCGTCCAGGGTATTCCTGTTGATGCCTCGCCTGATGACATCAAGATGATAATTTCCCAGGCCTTGGGTGAAGACGCAAGCAGGCTCGATCCTACCATCCATTCGCTTGCATCAGATCCCTACAAGCCTCCCAATTCCAGCACAAACGTCGCCACCGTCACCTTTAAACACACCCCAAAAACGCTCAAGGACAGCGACAGACTAACGGCCGATGTGACATGGGACAGCAAGACGCACTACATCACGGTGGACTCTTCTTTTGGGGGCTTTACACCTCTGAATGATGCGAAAACCAAGCTTGGTTCGAGGATGGAGTGAGTGTTCTCGCCGACCAAGAGGCGCCTTGTGTGTGCTTACAGAATGCAGCGTGATTGCCGTCAGCGGGCTCAGCAGCCATCCTTTTGGTTCTTGGAAAGCAAGAGGGGGCACATTTATGTGGCTGAGAGATGAGGTTGCAAAAACGACTGAAAAGGCCCGTGTTCTACTTTATGGATACGATACAACACTGGCCAACTCCGAGAGCTTCCAGGACGTGAGCGATATTGCACAGCGACTGAGCTCCGATCTTAACGCGATGCGGAGCGGGCGAACAGTGAGTATCAGTTGCCCACAAGACGACTCACAAGCTCACTCATTCCCGGCCCAAGACGTCGTGGGTGCCGACCCCAATTGTCTTTGTGGCGCATAGTCTAGGAGGACTTGTCGTGAAAGAGGCTAGTAAACTCTTATTCCTCGCTACTGTTCCATCTTCTAATGCCACGTGGCGGTGCAGGCTATCTATAAGATGTCTGAGCACTATCCGGATGACTTTCTGAGTATATACGGTCTATTGCTGTTTGGGGTCCCAAATGGCGGTATCAAGACCAAGTATTGGATGCCGATTGTGGATTCGCAGCCAAACAAGAACCTCATAGACAGCCTTGCACCCGATGCCTACTATCTAAGAAATTTGCAGGAAAACTTTACCAAGGTGTTTTGTTTTCCCGGGGCAAGGGTAACATCGGTGTTTGAGACAAAGAAGAGTGCAACTGCCAAGGTAAGTAGAAACACCAAGGTTCTATGCCACATAGCTGATGCATTTGAGTACCCAGGAAGAGTCGCCCGGGCAATGGAAACTCACCGGGCCTCCAGACATTCTGGTCACACGCACCTCGGCAACAGGTCATTACTCTGATCGGGTACAGCATAAACATATCGCCTTTAACCAAAATCACTCTGATCTACCCAAGTTTGGCAGTAACTACGATGAGAATTACAGGGCCATTGAGCCTTTCTTCAAAGAATGTTACGACGACGCTTTGGAAGTAATACACAAGAGATTCAATAGCGAAGGTTCGAGATTGCACTTTTAATCGGAATCCAATGAACAGCAGTCATTGCTAATCAGCCGTCGTCAGCTCTCAACCCAAAATACACGGTAAATTCAACAGGCAGAAGCCGCGCAACATGTCCAAGCTGTTCAAAAACATGCATGTCGCAAGTCAAGCTTCTGCAGCATCTGAAAGAGAGGGGGAATGACATCTGTTACCAAGACGCGCTTCGAGTGGCTGTTCAAAGGGGTCGGATGGGCATTACATCCTTGCTGCTCATCGGAAATGAAAGAATCAATGCAAAAGATGAAACCGCTAGTACACTTCTTCATTATGCAGCAGCGCATGAAAGGCTGGATATAGTCCAGCTCCTTCTCGATCGAGGTGCCAGCATTGAAGCGAGGGATTGCAACGGATATACACCACTTAATACGGCCGCTCATTATGGGAAAACAGATTCAGTCAAGCTGCTTGTTAATCGAGGCGCCAACATTGAAACAAGGACTAAAGAAGGCCAAACGCCACTTATGCTTGCAGCTTGGAATGACAGAATAGATGTGGTGAGATGCCTTCTCGAGCAAGGGGCTGATACGGAGGCGAGGAACTACTACGGTCTTACGCCGCTTACTGGTGTAACTTATGATGGACGAGCGGATATAGTCGGGTTACTTGTCGACGGGGGAGCATATATTGAAAGCCAAGATGATAGCGGTAAGACGCCGCTTGCGTGGGCAGTTGAGGGTAATAACGTGGATGTGGTCAAACTACTGCGGAGTCGAGGGGCCGGGAAAATCATATGGGATGCGACAGCCGAAGCTCGATATTATTAGCAGATTCTCAATCGAACATGACGATAATTCATGCATATCTGGTACATGTAATCTAGGTACCTGATCTTTCAAAGCCGTTTTTCTCAAGATTGTCCCAAGTGTGGTTTACCTCCGCTTTGACAGCCTTTCAGCAAGGAAATCAGTCACTCACTGCTCTGTATCCGTAGTTGGAGGCCGCAAATCTGATAACAGTACCAGAAATAGAATAATATCTATAACAACAGAAAGAAACCACATGTAACATTATTATCAGTCTATAATCATCTCTATAAATAAGACATCTAACTTTAACCATTTGTCCAGGTATTTTGTTAACCCGAATTCCAACAACTAAAAGAACAGAGAAGATAACATTCTCCTCACCCTATCTTGCGTAGATTTCCATCATGCTCGTTCTCGTCCAACTCGACAATGTACCTCATATCAAAGTCGCGAGCGACAATGTGGTCAAGCTTTCTAGTAAAACTCCAGGTAATGAACTGCAACATATTTTTAGTATAAACCTCCATGATTCATTTTCTCCAAGTGGGATACTTACCAGCTTCTGCGAGTGTATATCACAATCGAATATTTTTTCGGCTGGGCATTCAATTTCTTTCTCGTCTTCGTCTTCGTCTTCGTCTTCGTCGCCTTCCATTTCTTCGAAATTCGATTCTTCAGACTCAAATTCTCCATCATCTACTGTATAACTTGGGTTTACAACTACTCGCTGTTCTCGAAGGTGGCTAGTATGTGCGACGATCTTAGACATGTAGTAAGAGGCCTCGTTGACGTTGGGCAGATATGGCCTGAATGTCAGATGGAAGACTAGGCGATACAGCTCGCCGTCGGTCTCAGAATCGTAAATCAGCTCAGACGGTGTCGTCAAGGAACCATCCCAACATCCAACAGTCTCAGTCGAGTCATCAGTATGATGGATCAACAATCCAGCACAACGCAGGCCCCAGTGAGGCATGATACGCCGATATTGAGCTCTCAGCTGCTTGATTCTAGTCAGCTCAGCCGTTGTTACCTTTACTTGACCGGGAAACCAGCTTTTCATCACCATATCTGGCATGGCCGGATGAGAGACTTGCCACTCAGGCACTGACGCTATTTTCTCTGTTATACCTGGATATTGCCTAGGCTCGCAGTGAGCTCCAAACATTGTGAGCTTATTCTCTGACTTCAACAGAGTATTCACTATCAGACCTGCAACGGCGCATCCCGGTTTCAAGCGATCAGGTATCAAGGACACATATCTCGCAATTGGGCCATATAGCATCAACGGAGGCCCGAAAAACATACTTCGCTGTTGATTCGTTTTGAACTAATTGGCCACTGTATCAGCATATGCTACTACTCATGTCCCCTCTTCAAGACTACAAGTACGTCAAGTACATGTATATAAGAGAGGAAGTGCCTTACCGTAAGATACGGGCCATACTGGGCCATACCATCGTCGATAGCCGCCAGGCCCATCGTGACAATCTCCTCGCCGTCGCGAAAATAAAAAGATGTTGGTGTCCCTCGTCGGCCAGTTGCTGAAACTACCAGGTCGGAGCTTCTCGTATGAACAATAACGCTGTTGGTACCTTTGTCGCAAGCGTACACGGTGATACCCTTGACGGGAATACCATTTTCTCGTAAAGGCAAGTAACTACACATCACTTGCGGCCCAAAATACTTTAGCACCCTGAAGTGTGGCTCTCTTTCTTTGTACGTTTCGCCAAGAAATGACTCTCCTGAGTCAGGCAAGTCCCGAGTGACGTCCCAAAGAACTCTTAGTGGTAGCTCTTCCGAATACTTCACGCCGCCAAACTGCCTCTGGTATGCATGGGCAAGCTGGTTGAGAACATTCTTGTGGCCCTATAAGTCTCATGTGAGATTCAAGTAATAGGTAAAAAAACACACAACCCCTCTCTCTCTCTCTCTTATCGAGATTCTTTTGACAAAATTTACTTACATTCTTCATGAGATGAATGTCCTCGAGCGTGATATCAATTGGCCCGCAACGCCATCCCCGCGCCGCATTTCCCAGCCAAGAGGATTTGGATCCATCCGTAGAATAGAATCGAAGAGCTAAAACACCGACTGGTCCGAGGGTAAACTCTATGTTGCGGATTCGGTTGATGTTGACCTCAATGCGAGCATATCGACGAGTCAAAGTGTCGCAATAAATGGGCGCGTTGAGAATTTCGACGTGGCTCAAGTAGTCGACCCCAAATATATTGTTGAAGGAACCACAAAGATGAACAGTTTTCGTATTGAAATTGGACATGAGATCAGTGATACCATCGGGATGCGGACTTACTGCCAGAGAGGAAACAAGGCCAAGCGAGGAAGTCGTAAGGCCTGTCAACAATGAAAATGCGGTTATATCTGCGCTGGCGTAGCCTAATATTCTCGACTGTACTTCAAAGGGAAGCTGAGCACATTTTAAGAGAAACATTTTCCATTCCGAGCCGGCAATGGTGCCACCGCTGGCAAATGAGGCCAGGTACTCTGGATTTAACGCCTTGAAGCAATCCCTAGGCATGGTTTCTCTTAGTTGCAAACCAAGATTGTACAAGTCGGCGTACGAAGGCTTTGACTCCGACATTTGGGCGAGCTCCCGGCACGCGGAGTGAACGAAGAAGACAGGTCCAGCAGTGTTTGGAGTTCCACAAGGTTTGATACAAACGCGCATATTGGAGTCCGCCCAATAGACGGAATCTAGAAAGACCATATGGGCCTCGAAGCAGAAGACATGGGGGGTGGTGTCCGCATTCCCACTGGTCTTAGGGTCCGTGACTATGACAAGAGATAAAAGTAAGTAAAGTATGAAGAAGAAGAAGAAGAAGAAAGAAGAAGAAGAAGAAGAAAACTGTAGCCGACTAAGCGGAGAAAGGAAGCTTTGCTATGAAATTGTTGCTTACAGCCTAGAGCCAGTACCGCCGTCTCCCAGTTCTCTACATTTTCCAAGTCGATTTCATCATCAAATTCGCTGCAAGTACTGCTATAAAATAGTACTTTATTCCGACAGAGAACGCAATGCTGCTCCGCGGCATAGTCGATCGAATCCATTCTACCCGATTCTTGCCTTTGGGATTCCGTATATTGAAGGTGAGCAATAAAATTCGATATTAGGAGCTGAAGATGATGAATGTTTAAAGTGTTTAAAGGTTTCTTGAGTTCTAGAACCTAGGCCTGGGAATATTTCACAACTTATAAGAATATCGCAGTAGCTGTAGTTGTTACTGCGATTGACATCTCAAGACAAACAGAATCCGTTCATGCCTTGTAACAAGACAATGCCAGCTCATAGAAGGCCGAATTAGCACAATAAATACTGTCAAAGCATGCATTGGCTGATGAACATGGACATTGAAATATACAGATAATATTTTTTCCGTACTGTCTTCCATGAAGAATCGTGGATTCCAATTTTCACATTGAGGCTCATCTGTTCGGAAAGAAAGACTCTTTCAGATTTTTTTTTACAGATACCTCAAAATATTCCTGCTATCATTTCATGGTTCGACCAATGCTTTGGTGATTCATACAAGTTGCCTTTCAATAACCTTTGAACACTCAGCCATCTTGGTTTGCACTATTGATATATCTATGATTTGCCTAATGCTAGCTGCCACTAGCACAAACAGAATAGTTCCTTTCTGAAATGACAAAAAGAGGAGCGACAAAAAAAATGTTCAAGTCAAGACACACCAAGAGAGGGGAAACAAGGGCTCCGCGATCTGTATCAATTTCTTGGCCGGCTGATCATGTCGGCTCCGCTAACTAAAGAACATGATGCCGAATTCATTACCATGACCCATTTGCGAGTTCCAAGAAAGGATTAAACAGATTAAAAAAAAGATTGTATGATGAATTTATTTATAGATGTCGAGAAAATTACCTAAAATGGTAACCCAGCCTAATTTAGACAGACCCATCATTTCTGGCTGCAGCAAATTCTTATCGATAAGATATTCAACACAAAAAAGTTCGTGAGCAACTTCACACCTAAACCGTCAAGCCAGACTTTTTCAATCGCATCGCCAGTAGCGCATCTCACCAGCACCGCGCAGCGTGCCCCCAATTAAAATCAGAAGAAAAAAAATACAAGAGATAAAAAGGGACAAAGAAACATGTTCGCCGTTCCAGGGTGGTCGGTATCATCCGACGCTCTCAAGGCTGAAAAGGCCACGGCCGGAGCTGGCCCTTCAGGCGCAAAGACCAGGAAGCGAAAGAGGACAACAAAGGAGGAGCCTGTGACAGCCGCCAACGTCGCCGATCTGTATGAGACCGTCGTTGAGGGGAAGAAGAAGCCCAGCGCAGAGAAGCCCTCCCAAGACTCAAAACGCCAAAAGAAGGGACCCGATGAGAAGAAGACGGATGGTGGATTGAAGCCACAAGGAAGCGAGAAGAAGAGCAAAAAGGACAAGAAGAAGGAGAAGAAGGAGAAGAAGGACAGAGAAAATCCCAATCTTCAGCCTGTGGCCAAGAAGAACAAGAAGGAGAGCCAATCCAACTCTCAAGACGATGGCGCCACAGTCGAATCCTCCGAGTCCAAATCAGACGCCACCGCCGCTGCCAAACCTCAACAAGCCGCAATTCTCCCTCCTGCGCCGCCCAAGTTGACTCCCTTACAAGCCTCCATGAGGGAGAAGCTCATCTCCGCACGATTCCGCCACCTAAACGAAACTCTCTACACCGCGCCCTCCGAGGAGTCCTTCAAGCTCTTCCAAGAATCCCCCGAAATGTTCGACGAGTACCACGAGGGCTTCCGGCGCCAAGTCAAGGTGTGGCCCGAAAACCCCGTCGACAGCTTCCTCAAAGACATTCGCACGCGAGCCAAGATCCGACAGCCCCACGGCAAGGGCAGGCCCAACGCCCCGCAGGTCAAGCTCATCGACAGCCATCTGCCCAGGACCGCGTCGACATGCACCATCGCCGACCTGGGCTGCGGTGACGCCCGTCTCGCAGAGTCTCTCCAGGCCGACAAGGACAAGCTCCACCTCGACGTCCGGAGCTTCGACCTCCAGAGCCCCAGCCCGCTCGTCACAAAGGCCGACATTGCAAACGTCCCCATGGAGGACGGCTCCGTCAACGTGGCCATCTTCTGCCTCGCCCTCATGGGCACCAACTGGCTCGACTTTGTCGACGAGGCCTACCGCCTGCTGCACTGGAAGGGCGAGCTCTGGGTCGCCGAGATCAAGAGCCGCTTCGGCCCCGTGCGCAACAAGCACGCCCCCGTCACCCACAGCGTCGGCAACCGCCGCAAGCTGCCCACCAAGAAGGAGGTCCAGGCCAAGGAGGCCCACGCCGCGGGTCTGTTTGAGAAGGACCTCGCCGTCGAGGTGGACGGCCAGGACGACCAGCGCCGCGAGACGGACGTGTCGGCCTTTGTCGAGGCGCTGAGGAAGAGGGGCTTCGTCCTGCAGGGTGATGGGCGCGAGGGCGTGGACTTGTCCAACAGAATGTTTGTCACCATGCGCTTCATCAAGGCGACTGCTCCTACAAAGGGTAAAAACATGAAACCAGACGATGCTGCTCCCAAGAAGAAGAAGATGTTTGGTCGCGTGCAGGATGAGGATGCAGACGACAAGAACGGAGAAAATGAGGGGGGCATTCTCAAGCCTTGTGTTTACAAGATTCGATGAAATAATTCATTCCCAATAAGAGCAGGAGAATCGTCTTTTTACTATATATTCTTGTTAATGGGCAAAAAAGTTTCAGAGGCTTTGATAGAAGCCAGTAGTGTATATAAATGTACATGTCAGCTAATGATGAGTCGAGACAAAGCATAAGGATCTCAGCATAATACGAACATCTTTGCTTCATTCTTGTTGTTTTCTACCTATTATATCCATCACTACCAACTTTCCCTAAACGCCTCTAGATGCTGCATAGATTTTTAGCCACAAGGTTCGTGCAAACGCTCTTCTTCTTAGGTACCGAGAAGGAAAAGCAGACAAAACGCGCGAAAGCGCAAGGAAACAAAAAGCAAAAGATTCCCGCGCTCTACCCTCGTTGCAGGGCAATGCTGATTATTCATACTCTCATTAGGTAAGGAGTTTTAAAAAAAGATTAAGCTGGCCGCCATATCAACGTTGTCCTCAGCGGCCTGAAGGGCCTGGATCGCCTGCTCCCTAGTAGCTCCCATGGCCATGAGACTGTCGATATGAGCTGGGGTTACGCCGGCTGCCGGAGCTGCCGGTTGGGCGGGAGCCGCCGGCTGCGGTGGCCGTGCTTGTGCCTGAGCTGCAGGCTGTGAAGAGGTTTGCGAGGGGGCATCTTGCACCGGCATGACAGCTCCAGATCTTTGGCCAATGGCAGTGCCCGCCGGACCTGGTATAGTAGGTTCTTGAATGGCGGCTTCCTCCTCCTCCTTTGGAATCTCAGCTTCTCCAAGAAAGGAAATTTCCTGGCCTTGGATGATGAGCTTGTCCTTTGCCAGGTCGATATGGGCTTGGTATCTCTTGAGCATATCCAGGCCAAGAAGCAGCTCAACCGACTTGCCCTCCATCACCGTAAAGCTACAGGGCAGGAACAAATTTCCAATTTTGATCTGGGCTGAGTGAACGCGGCCAATAATAGTAGCCGTTCCAACACCCCTGGCTACACCAGCAAACCGCTTATCTACCAGGCGCATGATTCCGCAGGCCTCGGCGCACGATGGCGACATGATGGTAGCCTGCGCGCCTGAGTCGACAAGCGCCTTAACCTTGTGGCCGTTGACCTCCACATTGGCGTAAAGCAGGTGAACGCGACCAAAGACTGGCAGCAAGCGTGGCAGAGTCAGCCCCCGCATCTCACAGGGGTCATGGGACGTCATCGTACATACCTTCGGGGTTGTGCTCCATGGCATTTTGCAGGTTCTCCATGACCCTCTCCTGGCGGATCATCTCCTCGATCCTCGTCTGGTTTTCCACGTTGAAGGGGTCTTCGTTCAGCCTTTCAATCTCCCGCTGACGCATCTCTCGCTCTCTGCGCTCTCGGTCCTGGCTGTCAAGGAATATTCTTCGAAACTGCGCGGGGTCTTCGACGGCTGCGGCGAGCTCCGGATGCTGCCTGGACAGCTGCTGTCTGACGGCGGGGTCACCCAGAATCTGAAGACGAAGCATCTCGGTGTCATTTCCAGCTCCAGCTGCGGCGGAAGCGGCGCTTTGCTGCTGGCGAGCCGCAGTTCGAGCTTGCCCTGATGGCTCCGGTGGGCCGGTGCTGCCTCTCATATCCCGGACATGGACGGCCAGCATGTCACCGTCGCCGATCTGCAGCTGCTCCATGGTCTTGGTATCCTCCGAGATGAGTCGGCCGTTGTGATAGATGTGCTGCGCTGCCGGAGGAATGCCAGCCTCGGCCTGGACAGATTCGCGCAGGGTAGAGACGGTCATGTCGGAGAAAACCTCGAGGGTCACCAGGCTATCCTGGTCTCCTCCCTGAGGATTGAAGACGTTGAGTGTGATGCGCCTAGTAAAACGCTCCATGTTAATTCCGTCCTCAGTCCGCTTCGCGTGTGACAAGGCTTACATTTTCGTGTGGAACAGAATTTCGTGATTCTAAGGTTTAGCAATGGGGGGAACAGGAGAGACAAAATGCAATGTGCGGGATGAGAGAGAAAAAGGCGCCTTGCTTTGAAAGTGAGATGGAAATGTGCAGAAGCTCGACGAAGTGTGGTAGTATGGAGACAGCCCGGCGGCTTTAGTAAGAGGCTTCTGCTTCTGCTTCTGGCGCTGCTTCTGGCGCTGCTTCTGGTTCTGGTGCTGCCTCTGGTGCTGCCTCTGGTGCTGCCTCTGCTGCAGCGTCGACCAAAAGAAAAAGGGGCTTCTCGAAGATGAATTAGAAATCAGGCGATGGCCAGCCTCAGCGTAGCATCCGTGGGAGGCAGGATACTGTAGCAGCTAGAGGAGGTGGTATTGATGCGCTCGCCGGCGTGTGTGCGTGCAAATAGGCAGCTTGATGTGATGCAGTAGATGATTCGAGATGCGGGAGCAGGACGGACCGGGGAGGGGCAGCGAGTGGCGGAGGGGCAAAAAGCTTAACAGGGCGCGGCAGCTCAGCTCTTCAGGCTGTTCCGAGCCACTAGCACCAGGCATGCCTCGTGGTGACGACAGCGGGTAATGACCTACCCATAGCGTTCAGCGGCCGTGGAGCGCCTTGGAGCCGGCACCATACATAGTAGTCCCATCATTGATGTTTACAGGGGCAGGGGGGCTGGAGCACTAGGCACATGTGCTATTTTAGAGTGGCCAGGATCAGAAGCTTCAATCAGTTTCAAGTCCTCAGCTACAGCCACATGTACCTCTGCGATATCAATGGATGTCAATTCAGCCAAACCTTAGTACCTATAGTCCAACTGAAAATGCCATCAATCAATTTTTTTTCACCACTCCCAACCCTTCCGCTGAGGCACCACGAGATGCTGAGATCGTCCATTGAACCAAAGGAATACTCAATGTACAAGCCACCACGAGATTTGTGATGTGTAGTCCTAAGCTATACTCGCCAGCCAAGGAGGGTATATACGAATCGCTGAATTCTCCAAGCCAAACTCAGCACACACAGTCCTGGCAGTGAGAGGAAGTCCTAGGGAGTTCGTGCGACTCACAGTCACAAGATTACTCTTCAACTTATTTTAGATACGATCTCTATATTCCAAGACACATCAGCGGAGGAGCAGGGAGCGATGAGGATGAAAAGTTGCAAGTTGAGCCTCCAGAAGACATTCCGGCCATATATGCCAACTTCATCACGCGCGACCGATTGCTTCTTCTGGCACACCATCTTCTCATATGGCCTAATATCACCTCCCCCGGCTCGGGATCCTTCACGGGAAGTCGTAGCGGATATATGAAATACCTCGCAGCGCCAAACAAGGATGAAAACAGCATGGACAGCAGCATGGACGGGATCTGCGCTGCAAAGGTGGACCAATTGGGATTGGAGCAAGTGATCAAAAAACACCGCAATCAAGTTTCCATGCTCTGGTGCTGCATCATTCACTCCTCAATGCTCGTATCCAAAGCCTGGTGCGGAGATGGTCCTTGATCCGATATACCGTTACTTGTACCTGTAGCCTTACAGTAGCAGGTACTAACCTGTACAGGTATTACTACTATTACAAGTACCAGCAAAAGCGTGTAATGCGAAGTCACGCTAACAGCAGAGCCTAAAGCTTACTTGTACCTGCTCGAACTTCTTCCCTGCTCTGTCCTCTGCTTTTTTTCTTTCTCTCCATCGCCATCTCGTCTCATCAACGTTCAACACCAATTGCTGCCACATACATACCTATCGACATATTCAGAGCGGCACCACACACCACACACCACGCACACCACATCCCATACAAGAGATTTGGCGTCTGATTCATGTGACTGTGCGGGGGCCCAGCCCCAGAGTATCATCCGATGGCATCTAGACTCTGAATCTTGTACGACGTGACGGTGGATGCACATGTACGGTCTTCATGCATACCTACCCAGCAGCATCCATGCAATATGCAAATACAGGCGAATACGGAGCGAGCATCGTGCAGGGCCCTACGAAAACTACTTTATCCAGGTCGCACTGCTGGCAATGTTGCGGGGCGATATCTCGCCTGTACCCGTGGGAATCGTGGCATCTCGACGACAGGCGTACGAGCATCATCGGCTCAGGCTAATGCAACGCAATGTGCAGGCATGTACATACACGGTCTTACTTGTCCTTCTTTTCTTTTCTTTTTTACCCCTCTCCTGCAACATGCATCAGTAGTACTTCGGACTAACAGATATGACTTAGGGCCGCATGCAACATTACACGCTCATCACCGTCTCCCTGCTTGGCCTTTTTATCTCTCTCTCGCTCGCTCGCTTTAGCCAGCTCTCAGCTCTGCAGCCACTTGCAGGGCCATCAGCCGGAGCTGCGTCTGCCTTTGCCAATCAGAAGCAGCCAAGCTTCACCGGTGCGGATCCTGTGGCTGCATGTCTCGCAGCGTTGGCAGGCAGATTTGCTCTTTTGCCGTGTCTCTGGCCAAGCACGCATTAGAGCCGTTTCATTTCACTGGTCATGGAGAATCCTTTTGAAACCCAACTGCGCCATAATTACTCTGGCTACATGTATTCGGAGAATGACACAAAGTGCATAAACGAACTATTGCCTCTGCTTCGCACTATCTACTGTATGTGACGGGGTTGCATATGCATTGGTCCACCCGCAAGGCCAGATCATCTACCACTTACCAGCTACCGGCGGCCAGCAGCCAGCAGACGTCGGCGTGGCATACATGTAGACTACGTGTTTGCAGCTCAGCCAGTACTACTTATTCGGCATCATATGATATCTCTCAGTGGCTTGTCGTAAGTCATTCTTGTCATCTCCAGCATCTTTGCCATGGCCAAAATGCGCCGTCACTATGAAAGACACAATAATGAATTAGCTGGGGATTTCATCTCTTGGAGAGGAGCCATTCCTCCTTACCAGGGCTACTCCATATAAGGAAGGGCTCGCGTTCTTCTCTCACCGAATATGCGGCTGACTACCCGAAATGGCATCAGAAGCTCAGTTCCATTGGATGACTCGCATCGAATATGTCCTCTCCCTCCCTCCTTGTATCCGACGCAATCATTAATTCACAGGTAACTATCTCTAACAGGTAACCCGGGATGGGTCGTCTTTGCAAACTGTGTGCAGAGCCCGCCTCAGCAAGCGCTGCTACAGTAGTACTTTCTTTCCTTTTTGTAAGCGCTATGCTGACCCCTGGCCAGCTAGCAAGCACTAACCGCCAAGCCGACTGTTGTTTGTCGGAGGAGTATATACCTGTAACGCACGGGGGGAAGTCGCCGGTCATGCAGCACGAGACACACAAAGCCGCTCGATGTGCTGGTGCCGTTAGGCCTAGTCGGATGCTCCAAATTACCGCCGTGGATGGTGCATTTCGTCTTTGCGTTGGCCGGTGCAAGGCCGGCAGGGTACAGGACAGCATGCATGACACTGTAAGGACTATCGAATATGGCTCCATCGCCGGCCTCCTCAGCCTCATGTATTCACAGTTGAGGGCGTAATGTGCCAACGCTAGCTCTTCTTGTCCTTACTCTTTCTTTATTCGCGGTACAACGGTATACTTTTTCTCCATCCTACCTACCAGGTATGCCCTCAATAGCCAAGACGCACACATGAATGCTGCCTGGGTAAAACTACGTACCTGTATTAAACAGGATATCAGATGACAAGGCTACGTCACCAAGGCGCTACGCAAATAGTGTTGCGATACGGAACCGTCCTCTCCCTGCCTAGGAGCTGATGATATGGGGGCTAGTCACCGCTTGTTTTATTACGCAAAACTCTACTATCTGCATGGTCTTCTGAGCAAGCCATATCGGATATCCTGTGTTATGATTGGTAAACCGGTGCATTTCCCCGCCCGGCAATTCTTCCCTTGCTCAGATTATGATACAAATTAGCCGTTCTAAAGGTCTCTATGGGGTCGTATCACTCTGATGAAAAGGCAGATGCAAAGTTGCTTATCCAGCTCATATCGCTATACACGTGTGTTGCCTAATACCCACCACACAGAATCGGCTTCTATCCCGCCTTTCTAGGAGGTGTGCGGGTGCTGTTCTAGCTACTAATGATAGGGCCACGACGAGTACGGAGTACTACATGGCATGCCATATATTCATCTTAGGTTGGCTGAGATCAGTACTGCTCCTAGTAGCGCGTCGAACTTCAACCACAATGCAGAGAACTTACTAGCCACTTTCATGCTGGTCGACTCAGCCTTGGCTACTGCGGTTGGGACCAAGGGGGGCTGGCATCGGGCATCTGAACGAATGAGCGTTGTTGACGCTCAGCCGGAAACGAAATATTGTCGGGATCCATGCACCCATTCGCTTGATGCCATGTAGCAGACAAGCGCTGTTAGACTGGCAGGGGAACAGGGATGGAAGAACCCGAGGTAGTAGTGGATTGGCGTCTCCTCTGTTTCTGTTTGTCGGTCTGTCTCTCTCTCTACTCGTCCCCTCGGACGTGGGATTTGCAAAGTGCCGTGGCAATCTCAGTAACCATTGCCCTTTCTCTCTGCCAGTGAAAGCCGAAAGTAGGTTTCTCATTTCGATGAATGTGCTAGCAAATTCAGTGTCAGCTTATATCATTCACATAAGTATTGCCTTTTTTAGAAGGGATTCACGGAGATCCGGCCTGAGCGGCTGTGACAAGCCGACTACGGCTGCAGCTGCAAGCTTGCTCAGCGTAAATTATTGTTTTGCATTTGAGACTCGGTTCGCTCTTTTCTAGAGGCGTTCCTACTAAGCGTCCCCATCCAACATATCAAATGTATGTCTTCAGCCGCGGCTGTCCACCAATGTTAAAAATACCACACCCTCGCATGACTAGCCGCCGTTAAATTCAGTTGCCCGCACGGGTAATCAGTCCATCCTACTCATCCCTTATTTAGCTTTCCATCCCTTCACCAGTCGCCATCTCAGACTTGGAAGTAATCAGTCGACCATCCGTCTACACTATCAGCACAGGACAGTGAGAAGAAGCCAAGTAAGAGGAGGGGAGAACCGAGATACTGAAGAAGATGCAGCGAAGCATGAGATATCAGACATCAAACGCCGGGGCTGTTAGCACACACAGGGAACCCGCGTTAACTGACTTCTCCAGCCTGGAAATGTGTCTAGATTCCATCGCGGTTATACCAATCAGCGCCAACGATGAGGTCGATCTGATTGATGGCAAGGTGGAACCTGACACCACAATAGACGACAGACTTTATCAATTTCAGTTCTTCACGCCTTGTCTTTCGAAGGAATTTCTCAAGTCTATGCCCTTTTGCTTCAATCCCAAGCTTGCCTTCCTTCAACCACAGCACGTTGCCACCACAATCTTTCTCGAGCAATGTGCTTTTGAGCACTCACAACGAGGGTTTTCCAAACAGCTGGTTAGTCTCTTCAAGCAACTTCTTTCGCCCTTTTCACCTCCGTGGCGCGGCCACGAGTTCTCAGCAGAGATTTCTAACTGATGACAGACCGAGTATCGCATCAGGTTTTCTGGAACCCTCAGCTATGGTCTCTTCAACATCTGTGATGTGACTGAGCGAAAGGACTGGTTGTTAAAGATGAAGATGAGAGGCTGGAACATGCCAGACTGCCGTGAAGACGTGAGGAGATTCATGTTTGTCCACATGGTCGCTACGATGGGATGCGACCCCGTGGTGACGGATAAGGATATGGACTGCCCCAAGAACTGGAAGGAGGTCCTCCACGGACGACAAAGATACCCCAGCGAACCCGTCGGCCATCGATCGTACGGAAAGACGGTCTGCCTTCACTCTATTGTCGTCAACCCTTGGCTTCGGGGTCTGGGCCTGGGTACCGCAGCCTTGAAGTCTTTTGTTCAACGCATCCATAGCCGAGGCCTTGCAGACCGCGTTGCTCTACTCTGCCACAAGCATGAGATTAGGTTCTTTGCGAAGTGTGGATTCAAGAACATTGGCCGTAGCGACACCACCTCTCTTCCTGGGCAATACTACAACATGGTTTGTGACTCAATCTGCTACTCATGTGTCTCTTATTACAAGACTAGTACTAATTCGGTGTTGTGATTTTAGATATTCGATCTCCCTGAACGTGATACACATATCGCCTGGAAAGGCATTCTCGAAGACGCCGAGAAACTGTAAATTACCTGATTGTCTTATCATTTTTGCATCCCGATTTAGCGTTATCATTTTCATTGTTCTCACATTAGTTATTAAACACAAAAAGGTCAAAAAAACATAGAAAGTGAAAAAACAGCACCAAAAAAAAAAAAGAAAGAAGAGGGGAAGGAATACGAGAGGAAGACTCGACAATATAAGGAGCAAAACAGGCTTTATACGCATTTGAGGTTGAGCTACGACACGACACATACATGATTATACGATTTGGCCAATGGCTACTTTGTATGGGAGAAGAATGTCTGTCACATCAGGTGCGGCAATGTAAGTGAGCCACTACTATAGTCCTGCTATGTTACTGACCTCCATATAAGATAGAAGAAATGAAACAAAAGGGCCCGGTAGGGAGGATAAATAAAATGGGAATAGATTAATGTCATGTTCATGAAAGAGACTAAAGAAAAAAAAAATATGACATTCATGACGGATATCAGATCCATCTAGATCTAGGTAGGCTAGATAAGTAGATAGGTAGCTGGCATCTAGATATGATCCAGGGTATTTTTCTAGGTATAGGTGGAATATAATGAGACTATTTTCAGTTTACTCTTTTTTTCTTTCCGTCCTGTTCAACCTAGAAATAGGTGAAGACCTATGACTACAATGCATCAACGTCTTTGACTTGTTTACTCGTCTACGTTGCTCAAGCACCAAAAGGCCAAGCTATAGAGGTACTTTTTAATCGGTCGCCTTGTACTTGGCCCGGTACTCCTCCGTGTTCTTGATATCCTCCGCAGTAGCAAACCCCTTCATTCCGTCGATAATGTCATCCAGGGTCAGGATGGCAAAGATGGGAATGCCATACTCCTTCCTCAGCTCGCCAATAGCACTAGGGCCCGGCTTGGAGTCATCGCCATCAGCAGCAGGAAGCTTCTCCATGCGGTCCAGAGCGACGACAATACCCGCGACGATGCCACCCTCCTTTGTGATCTTCTCAATGGCATCCCGCTTGGCCGTGCCAGCAGTAATGACATCGTCCACGATGAGGACCTTCTTGCCCTTGAGCGGAGCGCCGACAATGTTGCCGCCCTCGCCGTGGTCCTTGGCCTCCTTGCGGTCAAACGAGTACGAGATGGCGTCCAGGTTCTGGGGCGCCAGCTCGCCGAGCTTGATGGTGATGGCCGAGCACAGCGGGATGCCCTTGTAGGCGGGGCCGAAGACGAGGTCGAACTCGAGGCCGGATTCCTGCTGCGCCTGGATGATTGTCTTTGCAAAGGCAGAGGCGATGGCGCCGGCGAGGCGGGCCGAGTGGAATTCGCCCGCGTTGAAGAAGTAGGGGGATATCCGCTTGGACTTGAGCTCGAAGCTGCCGAATTTGAGGACGCCGCCGTCGATGGCGGATTTCAGGAATTCCTGCTTGTAGGCGGGGAGCTGGGAGGCCATTGTTTCTTGAACTATCTTCTTCTTGTCTTTGGTTTATGAGTTTCTTATCTTATGAAAAGAATGAGTTAAAATGAAGGATGTCGTGTGAGCTCGAAAGCTAAAGCCGTCATATGAGCTTTTTTTGCCACTGACAAAGACATGGTTTTTTTCTTCAATCAACCTACCTTGTTTGATATAATTTGATAGCAATGAGAGACAAAATCTAAACGATTCGTCACCCTTTTCAAGCTTGCTATGTGTTTCTTGTCAGTATATGAAAGAAAAAGAGGATCTTGGAGATGGCGGGGCACGAGATAGATAGCGGGCGTAAAAAAAAAAGTTTAGCTATCAACTAACATTTTTGCAATTCGCACTGTATCTACAGTCCCTGTATTTGTTACTTGGTAAGTGCTCTCGATCAATATCCAGCGCCTTTCAATCCTGTAAGTGCATTTATACAAGTCCAATCTGATTCGATTTGGCTCATCTGTTCTTCTTATTCTCACACGCCTGTAATGGAAAGGCTGGCAATCATGTACGGCAATTGGGGAATTTATCGTGCAATGGACGCTGCTATGTTTGGCCTTTTTAGATAACGGTGACTTTGAAAGGTATCAGAACACGCGTTAATAGTTATAAATAGTAAAATAATCGATGAAAATGCATCCGATTTCATTCTCACAAGGCCACACAGTCTTAATGTCTTGAGACCTCATAAAGGCAATGAGAATCACGAGCCAGACTCGCTGCCTTATCTAGATCTAGCGCACTGTAATGCACTGTACCATTCAGCTGCATTAGCGGGGTTGCTAGACTCTACGGAGTACTCTGCGATTAATTGGTTATCGATAAGATTTTTTCCTCCACAGAGAAAAAAAAATTCACCGCCTAGCCCAAGACCCGGCATTTCGCTAACCTAAAAGTCCTTCCCCATCAAAAAATTCCTGACAACGAGGACATCTCAAGCTGTAAACCTTCAACCTTTACAGCGTCCCTCGATCAGTCAAATTGCCCGCCATGAAGACCACGTGGAAGGACATTCCCCCGGTCCCTACTCAGCAGGAGTTCCTGGACATTGTGCTGAGCAGGACCCAGCGCAAACTGCCCACCCAGATCCGCGCTGGCTTCAAGATTAGCAGAATCCGAGGTTTGTCGCATTCCACACAGCGAGTGTTTGCCGGATGCAAATTGGCTCCTCTACTCACACAATAGACAGCATTCTACACCCGAAAGGTCAAGTTCACCCAGGAGACCTTCTCCGACAAGTTCGGCGCCATCCTCGACAGCTTTCCCCGGCTCCAGGACATCCACCCGTTCCACAAGGATCTGCTCAACACCCTCTACGATGCGGACCACTTCAAGATTGCCCTTGGCCAGATGTCCACTGCCAAGCACCTGGTAGAGACCATTTCCCGAGATTACGTCCGTCTTTTGAAATACGCACAGTCGCTGTACCAATGCAAGCAGCTCAAGAGAGCCGCCCTCGGTCGCATGGCCACGCTCGTCAAGCGACTGAAGGACCCTCTGCTGTATCTGGACCAGGTCCGCCAGCATCTCGGCCGTCTTCCTTCCATCGACCCCAACACCAGGACCCTGCTCATCTGCGGTTATCCCAATGTTGGAAAGTCCAGCTTCCTCCGAAGCATCACCCGCGCCGACGTGGATGTCCAGCCCTACGCCTTCACCACCAAGAGTCTGTTTGTTGGTCACTTTGACTACAAGTACCTGCGATTCCAGGCCATCGATACCCCCGGTATTCTCGATCACCCTCTTGAAGAGATGAACACTATTGAAATGCAGAGGTATGTTGACGCTTTCTGAGCCTGTCGAGAACTTTTCATTCTAACCAAATCCTGTCGCCAAACAGTATCACGGCTATTGCTCACTTGAGATCTGCCATCATGTACTTTATGGATCTGTCCGAGCAGTGCGGTTACACTGTGCAGGCCCAGATTCAGCTTTTCCGAAGCATCAAGCCCCTCTTCTCAAACAAGCTCGTTTTCCTCGTCGTCAACAAGATTGACGTCGCCCGACCCGAAGATTTGTCGCCAGAGCTCCAGACGGAGCTGCAGTCCATCCTCAAGTCTGGTGAAGTTGAGATGCTCCAGCTTTCTTGCAACACCCAGGAAGGTGTTCAGGAGGTCAAGAACGCCGCTTGCGAGCGTCTGATTGCCGAGCGTGTCAACCAGAAGCTCAAGGCCGGTACCACCAGCAGTGGAGCCGTTGGCGGTCGACTGGCCGAGGTCATGGCCCGTATCCACGTTGCCCAGCCCATGGGTGGCCAGACCCTGGAGACTTTCATTCCTGAGGCTGCCAAGAACAAGAAGAAGTACGACAAGGAAGACCCCGACCGACCCAAGCTGGCCAAGGATGTGGAGGTGGAGAATGGCGGCGCTGGTGTCTTCAACGTCGACATGCGCGCCGACTGGATGCTCAAGAACCCCGAGTGGAAGTACGACCATATGCCCGAGGTCTTCGAGGGCAAGAACGTCTACGACTATGTCGACCCTGATATCGAGGCTAAGCTGGCCGCTTTGGAGGAGGAAGAGGAGAGACTCGAACAGGAGGGATACTACGAGTCTGACGAGGACATTGAGGACGACGAGGAGGCTGAGATCATGCGCAAGGCAGAGCTCATCCGCGAGAAGCAGCAGCTCATCAGAAACGAGGCCCGCATGAAGAAGAGACTCAAGAACCAAGCCATCATCCCTCGCAAGTATGTCAAGAAGGGCCTCACCGAGATGGAAGACGCCCTCGACTCTCTGGGTGTGGACACTACCGAGATCACCGAGCGAGCCCGCGCCACTGCCATCCGAACCCGCGGCCGCTCATTATCTCGCGCCGCCACTGCGGATGCCGACGGCATGGACGTCGACACTCCCAAGACGGATCGCGAGCGTCTGCGCTCTCTGAGCAGACCGGCCAGCCGAAAGCCTACCGTGAACCGCAGAACCGACGGCGTGCAGGACGACGCCACCCGATCAAAGGCCGAGCGGATAGCCAAGCTCAACCAGAAGCGCATGAACAGAATGGCCCGACAGGGAGAGGCCGACAGACATACTACGGCATCTCTGACAAAGCACTTGGTAAGTTGGATTCTCGAATTGGGCTTTGGCTTATTTCATAATACTAATTTTTTTAATTCTAGCTTGCCGGAAAGCGTGGTATTGGCAAGACCAACAGCCGATAAGCCTTTTGTCTTTTTTCTGTTGGAGCAATATTACCCCCATTCATACAACATTCTTGCTGGGCCCCTTTTTTTTATATATATTTTTCACGGCTTTCTCTTTTCGTAATTTGTCAGTATTTTCCATCTTCGTACCATTTTCGAAACGAAGAGAAATACATATATTGCTCAGGAGTTGGGCGTTCTTGAAGGGTGTTTGAAATCCAGAAAGAAAAGAAAAAAAGGCGACGGATAAAGTGGGGGAGGACGGGTAGTAAGACGTGAAGAAGTGTTGAGTTGCCTATGACACATGATTCCATCATGAGCAAAAGCTACATGTAGATAGATGCATGAGCATGACACTGTTGAGTACCAAGCAATGGTTTACAGTGATTCCAAGTCTGATTTAAAAAAAAAAAAATCTCGATGTTATATCCTCTACCAGGGTAAAAAGTGCCCCCAGCTTGTTGATGTACTAAATATTTTCATCATGATTATTTAATTGATTGATATTTACCGAGCCAGCAACAAATAGGAAAAAAAAAACATGGTCGCTCTTCGCAAATGGTTGAAGGGATCAAGTATCAACTCCAAAGATCTCTCAATGGCATGGTTTTTTTAACAAGAACAAATTTGGCAATACTAGTATTTCGCTTTCTTTACTCCTCCGCAACGTTGATACCCTCCCTTAGGCCTTCAACCTTGAGCTCCTCACCGGTAGCACGCTGGTAAATGTCCTTGACGTCATCTGTTGTTGTCTCAAAGTGGCTGGTGGCATCGTAGCTCTTGGAGATGAAGATGTTGTCCTTGGTGCCATTCTCAAGAGGCTCAGAAATGGGGATAGGAGCTCCCTATAAAGACAGTTTGTCAGTATTTTGAATTGTTTAAAAAATAAAAAAATAAAAATACAAGCATTCAAGTAGAGGAGAGCGCTTACCATGAACTGCTCCTCAATAGCACCAAGGCGTTCCAGACCGGGCTGGAGCTCGAGGTGGTGGTTGGCAGTGGTCTCGGCAATGGTGGAGACAATGGCAACCCAGTATCCCTTGGGGCACACGTTGTGGGCCGATGAGACGCATGCAACGTAGATGTCTATGAAAAGTTAGTATCATTCTAAGAAGATATCAAGAGATTCTCAATTCTTACCGTTCTTTCGGCCGACCTGGGACTGGGGAATGATGATCTGGGCAGAGTCGCTGTCGTTGGTGCCAGCAAGGGGGTGCTTGAGGATGCAAATGGCCCTCAGCACGTGGCCGACAACCTTGGTCTTGCCAGGGAAGTATGAGGGGTCACCAAGGATCATCTTTGCCTTGGTCTCAAACTTCATCTCCTCGACGCCGGTCATGGTGGCCTTGATGCCAACAGCCTTGTCACCCTCGTACAGAATCTCATCAATGTTGGTGTTGAGCATGTAAGTACCACCGTAGATGGCGGACAGACGAGCGAAGCCCTGGGGAAGCTCGCCAAGACCGTACAGGGGGTAGATGTAAGGAGACTTTCCGTATCGAGCAACGGAGTTACCGTACAGGCGGATGCGCTCAATGGCATCAGGAGCCTGGCCAGGGGCGGTGATGTAGTCGTCAGTCAGGTACAGAGCCATGGAGTGGCCAATGAAGTCCTTGGTAGCATCCTCAAGGCCAAACTTGTCATAGACATCCTTCATGGTGCAGGTGTTCATGTCAAGACCTATCAAGATGAAAAATCATCATCAGTCACTGCCAGACAGCGTCAAGTGCGCATCAAGACGGAGAAAACTAACCCTTGTGGGTGGCCGGGTCCTTGGCATCAAAGGTGCCAACCCACTCAATGAAGGACTTCATGCGGCGCTTCTCAAAGAGACCCATGAGGGGTGACTTGAGGGCCTCTGCGGCATCTGAGGGGACCTTGGCCACGGTGGCCTTGGAGCCAGTGCCCTGCTGGACGTAGCTGCCGGCAACCTGCTTAAACTCCAGGTATCGGGTAACATCGGTAGAGACGAGGATGTTGGTCAGCTCGCCAGATGACATGAGCAGCTTGGGAACAAGGTCAATGTTCCAGTCGTTGACGCGGCCGTACTTCTCCCATGGCTTCTCGCCAGCGGCAACGCGGCCGTACTTCTTGAAGAGCTACAAGGGGTGGGAAAAAAGGAGGTCAGATGCCGTAACAAAAGTAGACTTGTACACAAGCGTGCAATTGCACAGTATTGCGAATCGGGGAGTGGAAGTTGATTTACCGTCTCGATGTTTACGGAAGCAGCCTCTCTGTAGAATGAATTGTCAGTAACAGTTGCTTTGAAGTGGTGATGCCAGGTCCGACGTGGTAGCATAGCAGCCAGGGGCCAGGGGATCAAGCATACCCTCCGTAGTGGTCGTTGCGGTCAATGTGCAGAACCTTTCGGCCCTTGACACTCAAGACACTTTATGACAAGAATCATCAGTATAAGCTCGATTGTGTTATTGTCCATTTCGATTTCGATCAAGTCGTCGCCTTACCCGGAAAGGATACACTCGGTGAGACCTGCAGAATAGGGGGGGTCAAGTCAGCGAAACAGGGACCTTTTGAAACAAGGCAATGGAGCAAGTGGCAAGCTCAACAGCAAGCAGAGCAGCCATCTCGAGACGCCAGAGCCCGTCTCGCCACGATGGTTGATGCTGGGAGCTGGAGTTGAGGCCGAAGCTCCAGGAGGCAAAAAAGGGACCACAGCTCTTTCGTTGACGTACCGGTGCCCAACACGATGACATCGTACTCCTTGGCGATTTCCTCCATGATGCTGGGGTATATAGAACAAAAAGCGGGTGGTGCCGTTGATAGGAAATAGTGCTGGAGCTTTGAGCCGAAAGTCGGGAGAAACAAGAGAAGAGGGAGAAACCGAGAGTCGTGGTGCAAGAAGACGGTTCCCTTTTGAAGGTTGGTTTGAAGTAAAAAGGTTAGTCGGTACGAAAGTACTTAGAGGGGTTGACGAGAAAAAGGCGGCGGGGTTTCTGGCTCTTGGGAGCAAATCGGTCGGTGAGGTGCGGAGAAGGCTTTTAGGGGGGGCGCTGCCAATTAGGACTCGATGCGCTGAGGCACTAACGCTTAGCGGGCTGGCAGCTTCATCAGCGAGCTGCTTCTGGCCAAGGCAGCCGCCTAAGATTAAGAAATTAAGAATGATAGACGCGGCATGATGCTAATCTCGACATTTATTTTCGTATTCTGCCTCGTACGCTCTTCTTTTTTTTTTTCTTCCTTTTTGGCTTCTCGCACCGTTCTGGAAATTGAGACAAGCTCGGCAGTTCAGCTCAGTCTGTTGAGCCATGGCCAACTTGCTGAAATTGCCCCGCCGTCGCAGCACCGTCTCCAAATCTCATCTCAGCTCCCCTGATTCCAACTTTATACGTGCCCCATTCCAACTCTTGCAGTGAAAAGCTGCAAATACACCACTGTCCCAGAAACTCAAATGAAAACTAGAGTTATACTGCTGCTGCTAGTAGTTCAATTGATCCAAGAAAAGAGTCGAGTCGAGGATCAGAGGAAACAAGAGTTGACCGTCCAAAGCACCCACCGCTGTCAGCTCCAGCTCCAATTAGGCGGTGGGCATTGATCCCATTACCGTCTCCCCCCCCCTGGTCTCACTTCATCTCAAATAGAACACCAAAAGGAATATCCAAGAATGCTCCACCGCCCCGTACCTTGCTAATAACCAACCTTGTTTCAGTACCTCCATCTGGCGCTGAAGCAAGCCCGGCGGCTCAGGTACCGTCTCCGGACCAAAAGTTACGGAACCACTTCCCCCGTCAAGAGTTACAAGAGCTCAATACGACCGTCTCCTGATACTGCGCCCGTTGCAGATTTTCAACAATTAACGAGTTACCTGGGCAGAACCCCCCTGCTCAATGACCGAATGCAACGGTCACGTTACGAGTAATAACTACTACTAAAAACCGGCCATAATGAAAGGAAGGGGGTCTTAGCGAAATCGTTGTCCAGGGAAATAAGGGGGGGCCTTCTAATGAGCACGTTCATTTCGTCTCCGAGCCCATATTCCGATATCCTCTTGTGCGCACGTCAAAATCATTTCGATAAATTCGATATACAACCGTTCTAGTAGTAATATACATGCCAATTGCTTATTTAGGAATACAGGTAGGTTCAGGTAGTACCATACATCACATCTCATACTCTTTCCCTGTGATATCATATCAAATTCATATCAAGCCTCCCCCCGCGCCCCCTTTTAGCCTTGCCCAGCTTTTGATTTCCAAAATGACCATCAACTCTCTTTCTGTCGTTTTTGTACATTTCCTGCCCCTCTCGTTTACCGCACGGGCTCCTTCAGCTCCTTCTCCGCTGTGACCCTTGACGCCTCGTCTTCAATAGCCGCAACATCAACTTCGTCGTACCCCTCTTCGTATGTGGATGGGTTGTACACCTGGCCCTCTCCTCCACTCAGGTTAATCTCGGGGTCAGACTTGGCAACGTCGACGGCATCCTGCCATGTGTAGAATCGCTCTGTAAGAGCATGTTTGATCGCCCTCATCGTTTTGGTGACCTTGATAGCCCGTCAGTAAAAGAGAACAATAGAAGGAGATTGATATCAAAGCATGCCATCCCGTCAAGAGACGCAATGGAAAGAGAATGTGTATCAAAGCATAATCAGAAATCGAAAACATCACACTTGCAAGGCTTACCTCCTCATTCCGTGAATCAATCTCCCGCTCTCCAAACCCCAGCTTCCCCCTCAACAGCTCCTCCCTCGCCGTAGCAAGCATGTTCCGCTCCTTGCAGCACTTCCACCACAGCGCATGCAGATCCTCCCACGACTTGCGCCGCAGCTCCTCGACCGTCCACGCGCGCCCGTACTCCTCCGTCTCCTTGGGCGTCAGCAGCAGCTTTCCGGGGGCGGGGAAGAACCCCCACAGCCCGTGGCTCTCATCCACCTCGATCTTGGGCTTGAAGTCGACGGGCTTCGGCAGCGGCATGTTGGACATGGACAGCGGCTCGCGGGGGCCCGACCCGTACAGGCTGCTGACGCCTCGTCGCCTGTTGCTGTCCTTTGTCTTGCGCTTGCACTGGGGCGCCGTGGTTGAGAAGTTGGCTGCTGCTCGCATCGTCGTCGTCGCTGGGAATATCGAGGTCTTGTGGAGGGACAGGCCCAGCCGCGATGCGCAGCCTAATGAGGCCCGCAGCGCATTGGGTGCTGCTGCTGTGACGGGCATTGTGACGAAACGTTTCTCTGCAGATTGAGGGCTTTCCAATGCTTCAATCCACCGGCATCAATCCAGTCGCATCCGCTTAGATGGATCTAAGACGAGGCACAAAATTTAGGAAATCGGCAGCCGCAATCTCGCTCGCTGATTGGCCAGCCTTGGTCTCCCGTTGCGCCACCGCCTTGTCGTTGGATTTGACTGCTGAGTCAGCATCTGATAACGATAGCACGATAAGGAGCTACCCTATAACATCGCGATGCGACATCAGAGAGTACGATTTCTTTTCTACTACTTGGTAATTTTGATATGTTTAGCTTTGCATTGGATAGAATGGTCGTGAAGGAGCAGTGCTACATGTGAGAGTAAAAAAAATCTCAGTTATGTAGTCGTCCTTACTGCTCAATGAGAGATGCTAATAACTAGTAACAAAGAGCAATATCAGACTCGAGCCATGGCACACCACAATTCCGTCTTTTGCGGCTTTCGATTGAAGACTGGTTTCCTCTTGATACAAAATGCAACATGATACTTTACCGCTATTCAAACCCACCAGTATCTTCATTCTCATATCCTTCCACCTGCCAATTTCCAAACGACCACGTCCAGCCCTCCCACGCACACTCGCCCACTTACATCTTCACATGTCACAACAACAAGTCCACATCTCCCCCTACTTCCAAATGCAACTCTCACAATTAAAACACGTCTTAAACAGCCACTCCGCCACAAGCCGCTTTCACGAGCAAATCACACCATGCCAGCACTTGCAGCAAACAAACAAACAGATAAATACCACCAACAGGCACTGTCCCCCTCGATATTAAGCCGAGCTTCGTGCATCACGCCCTGCCTTCTTTCTCTCACCACTACCTATACGGCCGCCCGCATGGTCGCCGTAGAGCCACCGCAAGGCCGAAAACATGCATATTAGCGAGTGAGGGGCGTGAGAACATCAAAGACCCGTAGCAGCAGCAGCAGCAGCAGCAGAGTAACCCCCCCGGATCGCGTCAAGTGAGATCCGGAACAAAACATCCATGGTCAAGTCTCAGGCTAATGCACCTTAGATTTGGGTTACTGATGTACTGTAGGTATGTAAACAAACTGGCAAACAAGTCCAAAAAAAAAAAAAAAAATGGCACCACCACTTTCGATAGCTTCTTTCTGAATCCTTCTCAAGTGACCCCTATTCCCCATGCAAGGCGAGAGAAGCAAATGTGAGCTAGAAGAAGCAGACACCAACACGGCACAGCGTCCAGTGCTCGCCACCCTGCATCGCCGGTTCTGCACCAAGGATGACTCCCAAGAAGCAAGCAATACTGCACACTAAAACCGGTTTTCTGTCCCGTACAAATACATGTCAAATCGACAGAAATATATTCTCCGGTCGGCCGCTCCCGTTGCACACGCTAGCAAGGCAAGGAGGTTGATATGTACATGTAGTAAGAGCAGTAGCAGCGGCAATTGTACCTGTACTCGTGTACCTGCACGAACATGTAAGTCTTGCCCTACATATAGTACGCGTCCATCGCGTCCCGGTACCCGAGGTGGCATTCGTCCATGTACGTGATTGGTGGTGATGCGTGCAAGTACATGCAGCAAGCCATTACCCCCTCTCTCGCAAACATTGAACCCAGCCGGATTATGTACATTGCTTGGAGCCCGTCAAATCGGATCCCAGATGCTCACCGAAAGTGCCTGCTTGGTCGAGACTTCTCATCCTCCGCCCTAACTAACATCACAAGCTGCTAAGAATAAACAAGGAAGCACTTTTAAAGCCACAAAGTGCTCTCTGCCCAGCATGCAATGAAACCTTACCCGGGGCAAGGTCGAGGGAACTGTCTCCTCGCAAACAGCCTAAACCAATGATTTCAAGAAATATTGGTTTCACCGACTTGTTTGTCTACACGTAGTATGTCTCAGCTGCGGCTGAACTCCTGGTCCTCGCCTAGCCACCGAAAAGCCCAAGAATGGTCGTACGTTCCCACTTATGGACAAATTTAAAAGTAGGGGAAAGCTGAACGAAGATGGGCAAATGAATAAAGATGTACAATGAAAGCGTGAAAGCACTCAATTGTTAGAGCTCAAGAAGCCCGCATCACTGGATACTGAAAACGTAGATCAAAAGGGCGAGAGAGGAAGCAGGCAACGCACGCCTTGCTGGCTCCTCCCCTGATAACCGGCTCAAGGCTTAGCAGGTCAAAACAATAGGAACTGAACATATAGACCCATGCACTGACACGACGTGAATAGAAACATGGCGCCCCCGAACCACCTTTAGCCACTTGGCCGGCCGGGATCCCGCGCTGCATGGCGTACGACGGCCGCATTCGCCGGGATCCACGTAGCACACTCGGCGCCGTCGAGTGCATCCGACTGGTGCACGTATCCATTCGAGGCGCTTCCCCGTGCTTTGTATGTACAAAGCATGTCGCCCCCGAGCAGAGGAGCTGCAGGGAAGCGCTCAAGAGAAGGCGAATCAAGCGGTAGAGCACCCTGAAAAGGAAGAAGAGGAAACACAAGAAGGAAATGAGAGCAATAGTCGGACAGCCTCTCCCTCAAAGCACCGGAAGCAATTGTCCGTAGCAAACCCCCTTTCCCCTTTATTGCTGCGCCAACACTTGTTGCAACGCGGCTGTTTGCTGTCGCCTCAGGCTTTGTCAATTAGCCAAGAAATGATGAAGAATCAGTCATACTCTTCTGCAGTAGCAGTAAAAGCTATAGCACTTCCCTTGTCCGGTCGATGGAGTAAAGGTAGCAGTACTAGGTACTGGTCTGGGTCATTACCACTAATGATCTTGGTGTGCGTGGACCAAGCAAGGCCCGGCTATCGGGTTTTCAAGTCGCATTTGGGGTATCCGTGTGTCGGGCAGCTTTGCCTCTAGAGACTGACAGCTGGATACGGGAATGCGGAGTAGTTCTGCCTCAAGAAGCAATGTGGACATGCCTATTCCCACAATTACCGACACCTACCCATTTGGTGTTCTCCCCAACCAACTCTGGCACAATACAGGCGTATGGCCAGATGAGACTTCTTTTTTGTTTCCATCTCTTTTCCTCTTTGATCCAAAGGGCCCCGTTCAGCCCTTCATATGGAGTACATGGCGCAATGTCAGCGGACTGGGTCCGCAAGAAGGCGGCTGATACGGATCGCATCTCAAATGCCGGGGGTGGAGTATGCACTCGTATATAATAAAGGCTGCTCGTACGAGTTTTTGAAGCTTGTATGAGCAGCATTCATACCTAGGTATCAATGCAACTGCCTTGGCCGCATTTTGTTGATGTCATCTCAGATAACGCCGCATGTTACCTGTCGAAGCCCAGGGATAATGATAACAAATTGGGCTCGTACAAGTACGCCCAGCAAACAAAGTACGACCAGGGTATCTAATACTACTAGTATATTAGCAGATGTAGTCGTATAATAACGAAATAAACCGACCCAACCTCCCCTCCTTCCATCGTGGCATGGCAGCAGGAGTTGACTCTGCAAAGATGACGTGTCTTACATCATCCTCCTGATAAAACCGAGGGCAACGTGACATGGCACAGGTACTATGTACATACCTCATTGTTCAATGTATAGAGTCTTTGTAGAATCGTAATCAATGGCTCAGTCAAAAGCCCTCTCGCCTTCTCACCCCGTTTTGGGAGCAGCCCTTCATGCATGGTAGGGATTTGCCGCGGTGGGCTGCCTACAGTAGCTCTCCAGCCCAACGCCTGCTGATGGGCAGCGCGGTAGACGAAACTGGATTCAGATGCATGGAATGGCGACGGCTTTCGACTGCTGCATATTATTAGTGGTGCGCGTAGCCTGAATACAGCTGTTCCGCACTAGGTAGCACTACCTTCTTTCTTTCTTGCTTGCATGTGGCTGCCGCCCAGCACGCACAAGCTCCGCTTTTTCAGATTTGAAAATCAAGTCAACAGAAACAAACCGCAAAGAAGAATGTATGCTAATAATAGCACTGGCTTCTCATGTAGCAGGTGGCGTAAGGGGGAAAGAAGCAGACTTGGCGTTGACGTTTTGAATCTACCATTCGAATCCATACTGCTATACCCATCGTCGTCTGCTCATTCGGACAACAACGGCCTCTATCCTTGCTGGCGACGTTGACGTGTCTCGGCAATGTACTGTCCATGCATCGGTACCTAGCGTGCTGGTCGAGAGAGTCCCATCACGCCGCAGCTGCCGCTCCACGCCTGGTATCTGATCCAGCGTGGGGGTCTCTTCATCTGAGACCACTCGGTGGTACCAGAACGTTTCCTGCAAACCCGACTGGCCAGTAGAGGTGTTGAGAGGGGGTCGGAGAGCTTGCCCCCCTTTTCCCCTTCGTACTTTGCGCGTATGGAGAACCTGGTACGAATGGTATGAGTACTGTACAGCAGAGCTTGGGCTTTGGGTAGGTACTTGGGTACCTATAAAGCGGTCCGATGCTTTTCGATAATGAGAGGCAACCCCTGTCGCTGCTGGTAGGGGTGGTTGGGTTGTCCGAAATGCCCAGCCATCCCAGCCATTCAACTCCATCCAAGAACAGCAACATACCTAATACGAGCACAAGCCCTGCCCTCTTCTTGGTGCCTGATTTGCATTTGCTAGACCAACATCGGTGTCGAGGGCTCGACGTATGTCCATAGGTACTCATGCCGCATATACATTGATAGAATCGGCGCCCATTCTCTGAGCCGGAACAAGTCGCTTTTGTGGCCCCACAAGATGAGCTGTATACTGCAGCTGGGCATACTTGTACATTCTGTACAAGAGGTACCTACTGTAATGGTACTCGGGTGAGATGACACGAGCCGGAGCTGCTAGATGCCATCTCCTAGGCAGCAGTATTCTTTTTTTTTTTTCATGCTCTCGTGACAATACATCGCATGGCAGTACTGATAACTACTCGTAGCGGTACGTCCTGTATATTCCCCTTTTCGCCGGCGCTAGCTTGTCAATCGTTGGACAAAGCGCTTCTCACCCGTACTGTACCAGACCTGGGCTTTTCATCTCTCCTCCAGGATTCGCTGCGAGTTATGTAATCTGAATGGATGGCCTGGCAATAGCCTGATCTCAAGAGGCGAGCGCACGTCGGCTCCATTCGGTAAACTTGCGAGAAAGTCCTCGGTTCCACTCGGCGCTTGTGCTAGCAAACGAAAGCATGGGTGCCGGAGCTAGATGGACAAGGACCCTAGAACGAACACTGGAGAGTGCTGAATCGGAGTTTAGGCCCGTCGGCAAAATGGGACTCGACAGGGAATCAATGCTCGTGGTGTCCTCCGTACTCGTACGAGAGAGAGAGAGAGGGCACAAGGAAAACGCAGTTGTATCGTGTACATGTTCCCTGCAATCTGATGCGTGGCTATTGAGTAGCATGCAAGTTGATATCCCAGCAGCCACACCATTACGTTTTCTTGTGGTAATATGTGCGAAACACAACGCAGCACATCATAAACACCTCCCACTGTTACTGCTTTTCGACGCTGGGGAGTACTGTAACAATTCCATCATCAGGTGATATGTCTGATTTTTGAACAGCATGTTGGCCTCTTTCCTTGTCAAACGCACCGGCCTGTCTGACACAATCGCGGCAGTGACAATCTTTAGCTGAATGTAATGTTTTGTTATTCTCATTCCATACGAGTGTGCGGGCGCGAAGACGTCGGCCTTGGTTAGCTGCTTTTTCTGCCTTTTGGTTGCTCTGGCCTGTGGTCAGCATCATCAAAAAAGGTCATTTTTGGCATGACAATGAGCGCGCTTGGCTATTTGGTTGGCCCTTGTTGTAGCTGCACCACCATGGCTTGACACCACATAGCCTTTTTCCCGCTTAGCACCGCAAATCGAACGAAATGGCTGCATGGCGGAATTCTCCTCAGCGGCCACTCCCACGTGGAAAGTCTCCAAATACCTAGTATAGCCCGTCAAGGTGTCCACAGCCCAGACCTACGTGTGCTTCGCGCTTCAGGCCTCTTTTTCTTAGCCTGCCCAAGGCCAATCAATCTACTGCCTACTAGGTCCCCTAGTAGCAGTATCATAGCGCAAGAGTCTCGTCGTCGTTAGCTTCAACCAACAACTAGCTTATTGTCACCGCTCTTCGTTGCACCCCCAGCCGCTGGCGGGATTTGACCTCCTCGGGGAATGTAGGAAGTTGAATCCAGAGAAGCCATGCTCTCGTCACAATGTCTGAGCTCGTACAGTAATACACTTGTACATCTGGTCCGGAGCACACTTCGCATTAGGATGAGCCAAGCAACAAAAGCTGGCGCTAACATGGCCAGTATCCCTGCAATTTCGGGGTTATATGGCGGGCCTGGACGTTGAGAGTGACGTCGAAGCGACTGAGATGGCCTCCTGCACGCCAAAAACTGCGAGGGTCGAATGGTAATGGCTGGTTTGGGGTTAGCCCCAGCCTGGGCTCCGTCGCAGCCGGCGAGAAATTGGGGCGTATCTTGATGAGCGGGAAAGAAGTTCGGCAACAATGGAGACACCCTTCACGACCAGGCCAGGGTCTCAGGTAGACAGTACTTGTATAAGCGACCAAGTCCGTCGCCAACCCAACTGCATATTGCGGCGACGGTGTACTGTAGTTGCGCAATCACAAATGCCTGTTGTAGTGCCATGGCCGAGCGGCGGGAAATGAAGCAAGGCAAATGAGATGAGTTTATGATAATCACTCTATTCATCACAGCTGCTTTGCCTCCTTTCGTTGTCGGTACCGGCCCTTGTTATGGCGATACAGCGCCTGGCAGCAAGCCTAGGCTCTGTATAATTCGACGAGGGTTGTGAGTTGGCTGGGCCATCATTGCGGCCAGAGGCTCGCAAATATGAAGCCGATGCGCAATGTCTTGTACATTTCGTTGTGAGGGGCAGGTAAACAATTCTAAACACGTTGATACATGGCCTACTTCGTAATTCCATCCCAAAATAGAAATTTGCTTCCTGGTGTGGTGGCTGTTATACTGCACAGGATGGGGGTCACGACGTTCTCAGTCGCATGAATGCATGAATGCATGAATAGCATCTCGTCCCAGTCTTACTCGTAATATGGAGATCCGTCCTGGCGCATGTCATTGTGCATGAAAAATCGTCAACGGAAAAAAAAGAGAAACGCATGTATGTACGGAGAGATGTCCGCTGTGGTTCTGCTCGGATGCGGGCGTTGGTAGGCTATTAGAGGTCCTGAATCTTGATTCCAACGGATCTGACAACGCAGTGGAAATGGAGCCGATGGAGAAGTTCGGAACGGGCAGCCAACGTGACAACTCTCCACTCGTGCCACCGGTCCCGCTGCATCGCCAGGAACGTCGACCCCAATGCCGAAGTATGCGGACAGAATGGATACCAGACGGCCACCGTGGTCCTCACCAGCGTTACACAAAAGGCTTATTGCATTCGCCCTCGATCGATCGGATCCCAGAAAGTTGGAGTCGACGTTGGCGTACCAGGACATAGACAACATAACATAAGCTGCCCAGCCCCTCCCTCCAACCAAGGACGCACCATGGATTCGCCAACGCTGGCTTCAATGCGTATGTCACTTTATATTCCCGCCAGCCACACAAGAAATGTCAATGGATGTCATTCGGTTTCCCGCTTTGAGCAACTCCGGTTTCAAGAAAAAGAGCAACGGGCAAGGATTTTCAACAGCTGATAATGCGTGAATCGTGATCATGCTTCGGGATCGAACATCCAGCATCTCAAGTATAGGATACACCGTACAAACGGCCTTCCTCATGCCCAAAACTGCGCGCGGGTAATGTGAATCTTCAGCACAAGCAAGCTAAGCGGGTATGTCACCAAACGCCGTCTCCTATGCCGAAGCAGGACTCGTGCAGGGTGTGTGCCGCTTCGTTCCATCCCATTGCATTCCTTACACCCGTTCTATAATGCCCAGGTAGCGCACAACTAGGCCGTCCAGACTTACTCGTATCTGACGACTCGGTGCCTTTCGTTAGGGGCCATTTTGGGACTTGTCTCTGTCTCTGTCTCTGTCGCCGGCGATGGCTTGAATCTGGTCGCCGGCGGGCATGCTGCCTATTTAGGCCATGGCGTAAGAGATATGGCTTTTGCCAGCTCTTCATTTGTCAGCCTAGCCGGGATGCCCTCCATTGTCTGAATTTCAGGCCGCGCTAGTGGTGGGAATTGACTCGTTGCTAGAATAAGATGCGCACAGAGATGAGGCCGATAATCTGCACGTCAGGCGGTGAGGCGCAATGGTGCCGCCGCCGATTGAGCGCTAGTCCTTTCGGGGAAAGCTCGGGAGGGTATTCTTGGATGTGCTTGCTGTCAAGTCGGAATAAAAACAGAAAAAAAAAGAGAAAAAAAAGGAAAAAGAAAGAAGAGAGGCAGAGAGGCAGCCGTGACGTAATTATGCGCGACCCCCCAATTAACCGCAAATGTAACGGGGCTTGAGCCACGGAACGCCACAACAATAAGAGTTTTCGACATTTGGATCTAAAATGATTTTTCTTCTCTGGTTGTTCTTAACACGGTTTCAGATCTGGCAAAGAGGCGAGCCAAACTAGCACTGGCCGAACGGAATCCGTGAGTGACCCATAACGCTTGTCAAATCTCTCTCGTCGGTGTGTTGTGCTGTTCTTGTATACTTGTATATACTGTACACCCTAGTCTTGTTAGTGCACAAATATAGGCAGTGTCTTGAAGCAAGTCTGTCCGTTTAGGAACCTGCAACGGAATAAGAGGCGGAAAAGGGAGCCAGAAAACCCCTGTTGCTAGACAGGCATGGGCGTGAGAGAAGAAAAAATTGGGAGTAATGAAAAACTAGACGAATAGTAGGAAAATAAAAAAATGTAAAAAAGAAAAAAAGGGAAAAAGAGTAGATGCTGTCTACCAGGGTTGCCTCCGCGGACAATTCTCGCCAATGTTACGGCTGGTTCTCTCCTGAGCCCCTCGGCCGTTGTCCGACGAAGGCGTTGGTCATATCATATGGTAGGGGAAGCTAGGGGCGCATCGGCCAAGGTCATCTTCTTCATGAGAAATCCGAGACTGTGCGAGGTGCGATACGGTCCGGTCAGCATTCAACAGGCGCCACGGAGATGATTATACCGTTTTTCGAAGCCTTTATATGGTGAGATTGGAGATTCTAGTCAAGAGCCGCAAAAAGCTAAAGCGAGGCGTTGACACCCGGGCCAACGAATCTACACGAATCTGCCTGGGGGCGAGAAACGGGGTCTTCCAAATCTGCGTCCCTCAGCGGGAAGACTCCACTACTCACAGTCTCCAGAGCTTCTGGATTGCACGTCGAAGCTTTTTGGGCTCTCTGCCCGCCGGATCGCTAACCGCTGAAGAGTGGACGCAAGTAATGGAGCGAGCATGGGGCCTGAGGCCATTTGCGAGAGAAGAAAAACAAAAGAGGGTGTGGCCCTGGGTCCACCACCAAGATCTGCTTTGTGGATTCGATGCCAACTGCGAGGCCATGGTTCAGATACTTACTTGGCCAATTGGCCGCTGTCACTTGGCAGGGGGTACTCTGGAGGGCGCCTGCACTTGTCGGCGCGCAGCGGTAATGATTGGTGTATGTTTCACAACCAAGTTGCGTTTCTGCCGCCATGATCGGTCCGTAGCAGGCATCTCGTTTCGTAATCCAACAAGTGCTGAGATGGGAAAACCACACAGTACGTGGCGGAAGAAGCAAGAGATGACGTGATCTCCAACGAATGAAGCCTGATGCAATATTTGGGATGAAGCGAGCATTTCGGCTGGTGGGGGGTAGCTGTTGATCCTTTTCTTGCGACACTACCGGAATAGCACCTAGTACCAGTACTTGATCCTCGCACGAGCGGAATTTTTTCCCTAATTAGTAACTTCGTGCAGAACTCAGAACTCCCTTTTCAATGCTCCGAGGTACTGTAGCTTGATATCCCAGCAGTATCTCATATATCGGACCGGAATCAAAACTACAGGCGCACTAGGTACTGCTAGTACTACGATTACTAGTCCTCTTGTTAGCATGCTCCTGCTTGACTCGTGCGCAGAGCTCATACTACATACCTAGTACCGGCTATACGGTGCTGGACGTTGTGCTCCGCGCTGCATACTCCGTACGGTAGGCCTATATTGTAGTCAAAGATTATGCCAGCAGAACGATAGGGATAGGCTCAAGAAAAGAGAGACAGAAAGAAAGAAAGACAGAACTGCCTTTTTTTGGAGCCAAGATTGCGCTAGTAGGGTACTGTAGAGCATTGCAGCTGATCTCTCTTTGTCGGAATCCCTTTGTGGTGAAGCGTATATCAGCGACTTGGCCGTTTCCTTGTGCGTGTTGCCGGACGTCCACCAATCAAACCCATGATTTGCATCTCATGTCGGGAAAATAGCACTCTTCCCTTGATCCAGACAGGCATTTTTGGCAGTCATGTGATGTAGAAGAGGCTGATACTTCGTGCCACATTAGCGGTGATACCCTGCGCAGCTGTATTTCGACAACCCGCGTGATGCAGAATCCGAGCGCTGTTTCAAAGTGGCATTGGGCATTGCTTTGATGTCCACGCAAAGCAGTTGCTTATATCCCAGGATGGAGTACGGATGGGTACTACTACAAACAAAGTAATGGTATGGCTAGCACTTGCAGCTTTGAATGGCCGCTCACATGCACCACGCTACCAGGCCACTAGGAGCAGTAGCATAGTAGGATTGCATTGACAGTAGGCATGTAGGGTCTGCTGTGCCATGCCATGCACGGCTAAGGCAGTCAATTCTGATTAGCACGCCGTGAAGGATGTGTAGCTGCAGCATCGAGGCCAAAGTAGGTTGAGCAGAGCTGGCGCTTGGGTTGTATCGTAATCCGGTCGGATTAGCAGACGAGACAAAGCGACGAAAGCAAGGGAAGAGAAACAGGCTAGTGTTGTGGCTAAGCCATCCTATGCTTGCATGTCACCGTACGAGCCCTGATCCCTTACTGGGTGGCAGACTCTCGTACGAGGAAACAGGTGCTGGTGGTGGCAGGCAGCCGGGGGGATGAAGAAGCGTCCTGGGCTGCTGAAAAACAGATTGATAATACAAGAGCAAGCGCCGAGGAGGCTGGATACGGCACATAGCGACGTCGGCGATTTCGATTGACCGCCGGGCCGCTGTCTATGAGGTAATTAGGAAACAGAATGTGCTGCCGTGACTGAAGGCGAAACGAGAAAGATGCAGCAGCGTACGGAAGAAGGGCTCAAACGAGGTTGCAGCAATGAACTTTTTGCGTCCCTCGGGGTTGAAAAGGATGCAGCCAGCAGGCCGTCTCTGCTATTGCCACGGAGGGAGGTAGACTCCCAAACGAGCATTCATTCATTGTAAGTCGAGGCATATCGCCGATGCCACTACCACGTACGGGGAGTGTGTGTGCGTTGCTATGAGATGGTAGGTAATAGTGATGGTGATGGTGATGATGATGACGATGCTGCTGCCGCTGCTGATGCCCAGGTGCCTACCTATACAGTAGCTACTCGTTACCTAGGTAGGCAATCGTAGTAGGCAAGTAACAATAGCTGCACAGCGGTTTGGGCTTGTTTCGGTCTCTCGCTCTCTTTGGGTTCCCATGCGGGCCGTGGCTTGAGAGCGAAGCATCCAGCCAGTACTGTACAGTACATTGTCGTGGCATCCCAATACCCGGATGTGGCATGTAGTACAAAGTCAGATAGACGGGATAAACGAGCACGTCAGGCGCCGCACACGGTAGCATTGGGATGCCACTTGGCAGAGCCCTCACAGCACAGCAGCTAGGAGCGATAGCGCCGACTCGTGCAAGTAGGGAGCAGGCTAGGGAGAGATATCAGAGACAAGGGGATATTACCAGCGCAATCCGCGTCTATTTCTCTCAGACAGACAACTCACGCCAATGACAATGGCCAGGGCCAGAAATGATCGCTTCTCGCTGAGACGAGTCGTGTCGTGAAAGACACCCCCCCCGAACATCGGCACCGTCTGCCGCCAAACTCCATTGACGACCAGAGATCCTTGTCGCTACGCAAAAGAGCAAAAAAGTGCCGCCCCCTGGTCGCGGCGCCGGGATCATTTGAACCCTGAGCAGCGTTTTGGAACTGTCTTTCGTCAATTTGCCATCAGCGCAGAGCGCCGAGACAGGGCGGCTGGGCATTCGCTCGCGACGAGCAGCATCGCATCACGCCAAAGTGACAATTGTGACAATTGCGCCGTGTGTTGGACGGGCAAATGAGCACTGGCGCTCGCCCTGCTTTCCAGTTGGCGCGAGTTGATAAACTTTGCTGGCGCTATGTGGTAGCAGGTCGGCCGAGGTGTCAATAACAAAAAGATGAATGCCCAAGGCATCGATGCTGCAGCGAGTACATCGCAGGTACCGCCTACCGCCTGCGACAGCCGCTGGATGCGGCAGGTGTGCGGCAAGTACCAGGCCTGGCCGCTGCTTAATTGATCATCCGGTGGCGGTAGGTCGCCGGACTAATCAAGAAACGAGAGGAAGGGAAAGGAAAGGTGCGTGCGAGCGACTAGCCCCGAGCGCAAAGGCCGCTGTAGCCCCGACGGGAGTTGTGCGTACATCGTACAGTAGAGAAGCTCGGGATGGGCGACGGCGAAGGCCAGCTGCTATTCTATTTTGATTATCATGTCATGTACTCCGTACGAGTACGCGGCATTGTGGCTGCTGGGATGCGCCGTGGTGTGCGTTGTGGCAAGTGATGCGCAAATGCAGAGGCTGCAGCAGCACCGTAAAAAGCAAATTCTTCCTAGCGGGAAACTTTATACGACCCAGTGCTCAACCGGCGCTTTGGCTGCGACGACGTTTTGTTGCTGCAAGCAGGCATATAGCAATAGCTGCTGTAAGCATGATGCTGATACCAACTACTGCATGGTGCTGCTACAAGTAGCATTACAAGCTGCTACCCCATGATAATGCAAGGTTGTAGCAGATATACAGCCGTAGAAGCCTCTGCTTTATTTTCGAAATAATCCTTTTTGGCTCTTCTTCAATTCAGCATTTGGCCGACGCGTCAAGCTCAAAGTACCAGATACCGCCAAGCCTTGGTACTGTATGGCCGACTAGCGCCTTTATCCCTTCTCCCCTGCCCGTCTTTTCTCCGGCACTCTAGTCTATTTTTTTTTTTTTTTTTTGACGTGACGAACTCCAGCCTACAAGTACTCTTTCCTTTGAGACCTGGGCTTTTCCCAACTCTTCTTCTTCCTCTTCTTCTGCCAGCTGTCTTCTTTACTCCTTGATTCCTCTCAATCTTGCTAGGGCTCATCATCTGGCCGTCTTCTTGTCTTCGTCGCCCTTTGATCCCGTCTCGTGAGCAAAAGCTACTGAATATTGGAGTCGAGTCCAGCCGCGGCACAGCTAAGGTGAGTGCACAAAAAGAGGGCCCCTCAATGGCGGTTCCGTCCCTTTGCCTTCTCCAAAAAAGACCACAAAAAAAAGAGCGAGACGTCGACTTCCTCCTCTTTGACGCCAGATCCCCTCCATTGCCCCAGATCCCTTGCTGGCCTTGCTCTGCTATTCCCGTACCCATCCTGCTAGGCAGTACTCGTACATGCCACGATGCCTTGCCCACATCCCCCAACGCTGCACTCGCAACGTTTTTCCAATTCGGCGCCCTTTGCTGTTTTTCTGCTTGCGGCCTCTGCGATGCCACCTGATAGCGATAGCGCTGCCCTCTGCGTTGCCCCACTCGCCACCGCCCGCTGAGCGACCGCTACGGCTCAGCAGCTGCGTCTGCCAACGTTCCGCTGCAGCGCACTGTCCTCGCTGCCTTGTACCGGTACAACTGGCACCCTCCTTGTTCCCCACTCTGCGCTTTCGGCATCCTGGAAACGTTCTTGTTGCCACTCCACCCTCCCCTTGCTAGCGCGTTGTTTTTTTTTTTCCTTTCTCACACGCCTCGCCCCACTTCGCGCTCGACCATTTTGGCACTTTTTTTTTCTCTCGCTTTTTTCCTGATACAATATACTTTTTCTTTGTACCTGACAGTTCTTGCGCTCTCCAAGGGCAGATAAAATAGGAACGAGGACCCAGTTCTCCACCCCACTCGACTGTTCCCTACCTAACCAACTTTCTCAATTTGAGGGACCTGTTCTACTGAGAGCCTCATCCAATTGACCTCCACCTTCCCCAGAGCCTTTCGCAACCTCACGCGTGGGCCTCATTGAGAGTTGATAGCAACATCAATTGCAATCCTCGCCTTCTATACTCGTGACGAGCTCTCTCCGTTGTCTTCGAGTCGATCCAACGCCAATTCCTCCTCTTTGCGCACTCGCTGTCTCTCCCTCCCTTGAGGTAGACAAGAACAACAAGGACAAGAACAACAAGGAAAACAACACACAACACACGTCTCCCAGCTCGACGCGTCTTCTCGCAGGATTATGGACGGCCCTCAATACCCGACCAATGGTGTAAACACATCAGCGGCTCAAACCTACCCGTCACCCACGGCCATCTCGCCTCACCAGCTTCAAACTGGTTCTCCTCTGCCGCAGACGCTCCCGCCTCTGCAGCCCCATACCGTGGCCATGCAGCCTCTCTACGGCAGCCACCCGCACACACCGCGAACTCCGGGCACTCCAAACACTCCAAACCAGAGCCTGCCCAGCTACCAGCAGCAGACCTCGCAGCCCGGCCACCGTCCTGGTATCTACTCCATGGCTCAGAACCCATACCCTCACCAGGGCTATGCCACCTCTGCTGGTATGATGCCTCAAGCTACTACTGCAGTCTCGCACCCGCAGCCCATCGCTCCCGCGCCGTCTGGTGGTCGCGGACCTCCGGTTCTGCGCCCCATGCCCCCGGGTGGCATCATGCCCCAGCCCGGTGTAGCCTCTCCCTATGGACCTGGTTCTCTCATGCAGCCCAACTCCATGCTTCAAGATGGTGACCAGCCTACCCACGTTGTTGGATCTCAGGGCCGCCGAGGAATTCTGCCTAGTGCTCCTGGACGCCCTGCTGCCCAGGCTGCTGGAACTGGCGCTAAGAACACCGTTATCCCCGTCAAGGATGCTGATGGAAAGTTCCCGTGCCCTCACTGCACCAAGACTTACCTCCATGCCAAGCACTTGAAGCGCCACCTCCTGCGCCGTAAGTCATTCCTATATCTGCATCATCATCTCGCGTGAATTCATTGTGTATGCTGACCTGGCCCCCTAGACACTGGTGACCGCCCCTACATGTGTGTTCTCTGCCGGGACACATTCTCTCGAAGCGACATTCTCAAGCGTCACTTCCAGAAGTGCTCTATTCGCCGTGGTAACCCCACCGGTGCCAGCCACCTGTCCCACCCGCAGGCTCATGTCAAGAAGAATGCTCAGGCTCAGCAGAAGGCAGCTCTTGAGAACGGAGGAGATTTGAACCACTTGAATGGATTGGGTAACATGGGTGGGAACAACATTGTTCATCCCTTTGGTATTGTTCCCGTTCAGGATGGCATGAATGGCATGGGTGGTGACCAGAGCCAACTCTCCAGGTCGAGCAGCATGGGTAGACTTGATAATGATGCGGACCGGAGGAACATGACTGGGCCTGTAATGGGCGCCTCGCAGCAATATGCGGGCGACGTTTCTAGCACCATGACCAATCAACAGATGCCAAACTACAGTATGCCCCCTGGTCAGAATGGTATTCCCATGTACGGCGGTTCCAACCCGAACCAACAGCCTGGCCTTGACTGGTCTCAGGTCTTCCAGCCCGGTGCGCACCAACCTCAGATCCATCATCCTAATTCAGCCCCTAATCATGGACAGACGCAGACCGACATCAAGGCCGAGCCTAATATGGCCGGTTAGAGACCACAGCCGAGTCCATATGATGAGGAAAGCCCCCCTCGCCAGCCAGATGCAGTATAAAGAATTTCTTAGTTCTCTCGATCCAAGTCTGGATTGTGGCTCCTCATCTAGTACCCCTCCGCATACGAAAAGCTAAGACGAGCGACCTTTGAAGACAAAAAGAGAAACGTATGCCCCTTTCGAAAAGCGGGGATTGCTGGAATAACACCAAACTGCGCTTCTAACTAGTATGCTGGTTGTTTTATGTCGTCTTCCTCTTCGTTGGAGAAAAAAAAAAGGTTGCAAGACTAAAAAAAAAATCCCCCAAAATGGTAAAAAAAAAAATTCGAGGGTTGCATTGAGAGGCGTTTCGATTTGATTTTATGTTTTCCTTTACTTTTACGGTTTGGTTTTTAACGCATTTTCTTTTAATTTTCTTTTGGTGTGAGAAACGCAAACGATGGAACCGCACATATTGGCGACTCTATGGGCGGTAAATCCATTCGGCTTGCTTTGCATACATGAGGGTTCGGCTTCGGTGGCGTCTTGTGTGCTGCAAATTGCATTTTCAGTACGGATAGATAGGGTGTGGAGTTGACTTTTATTAGACTTCGATCCGACATAGAAGGGAGGAATTTTGGCCGACTGTGGTAGTTGGCCATTATGATCTCGTGGACTGGGCTATATAATGAGTATTGTTCCGTCTTGCGTTGCTAACGCTAGATGGCTGATGTGAAGGAACGATGGCAAAACAAAACAAAATGGGGATGGAATTTGGATGGTGGGAGTGGAGGATGGAAGGTTGGCAACTTGTTAGAGACTTTGTAAAAAAAGAAGAGCCCCCCTGATGGTCAAACAGGGCAGAACGAAACAGAACGACAGTCAATCGCAATAGAATCAGGTTTTTCACAGCATGGCTTCCCATAGCTTGTTATGATTTCTTTCATATGTGATTCATTGACCTTGAATATTTACATGCGCTTCTATGAGCGTCGTCTATTGTGATGTATGATTTTGGTGTTGCTACTATGAAACAAGGTTGTGTCGGGTCCGACAGCAAGTTGGCTGTAAGAGTTCCCCGAGAGCAAATATACAAAGCATGGAAATTGCTAAAGGGGTGCTGCTGCTCACAATGACAACAGCGAGTGAGAATGGCCGAGAAAATATGAGACGGTGTGTATGAGGAGAGTGGAAATCACAGGGCCTATCTTCTGTCCTTCAACGCCTCTTGGTTCTTCTCCACAGTCGTGATTTTCGGCGCCATGTCACGTAGCGCAGACTTGTCCTCTTCCGTTGGCGTATATCCAAACTTCTCCTCGGCCTTGTCGGATAGGTAGAGCCCAGCGCAACCCCAAGCGATGATGGCAACACCGACGCCAAGACGGGTCCTGGGGGCCAGATTGGTATAAGCTCTGTAAAAAGTTATCAAGAAGGGGGGTTTAAGTAAGAGATTTATTTTTATGAAGGGAGGAAGCTAAGTTCTTTGCTATGATGAGATGGCTCACTTGAACATTTTTTTTTTTTTTTTTTTTTTCCTTCAGAGGATTTTCGGGAAGATGGTGAGAGTTGGGCAATTGTGGTTGAATTAAGGTAAATGAAGCTTGAATTTAACACTCGGTCGAAGATTCGGGTGGACCAAGGTACGGAGTGATGAAGGCAAAATAAATAGACACGTGTGAATACTATTTTTGGTTCAAAATGACTGCATGGCGTTGAACCCTCCGTATCAAGCTCATGGATTGCGCATTCGTGACGAGAGAAGAAAACGATGTCGTTGAGAATGGAGTTGATGTCACATGACATGTTTTGCAACTGCTGAGAGGCTTGTACCTCTTAGCGCCAAGACTGCGCAACATGGCACTAATCTGCTAAAGGTGTACTTGACACGAAAATACACTTGGACGAAGAGATGTTGATGAAGCTGGTTTCCTCGTTTGCTGATCAGGAATAGGTATTTGTATAGAAATGAATATGGAGTTAGAATATTAGATTTGCCGAATTTAGATGGATGCAGAACTTGCAATCGTTTGGGTCAAAATGTGGTCATAGAATGAGAACTGTCACTATGAGGTTGCGAGACTTTTTTTTTTGTCAATCTCGGCCTCATTACTGCGTACGATACGGCCGATGGCGATAACAATCTACCAAAAAGTAGTTATATTCTAGGTCTTTAAATGCAATGGACGCACGTTGTCGTCTGGTGTTGAATCTGAATACAAGCAAGACAGGGCATGTATATAGACGTTCCCATCAAAAGGCTGTGATGATTCAGACAATGCAGAGAGCCATGTCATTTAAAAGGTGTAAACGTCCGAATTGTCGTTGGCGTATTCTTTGGGAAAGAAGCTGCAAAAGAATTAAAGACCATGTATATAACTTTTTGTTCATTGAATGTGAAATAGCCTCTGGATTAAGTTCAAGCCTCACCCGCCGCTGGGTGGGTTTTCTCGTATTCCACAACAAGTAAACATAAGAAAAAAGAAGAATAAATACAGAAAATGGACGTAAGTGGGAAGAAGGGGCGTCAGCTAGCTACGGCGCACGAGGCCAAGGAAGCGAAAATGCCGGAAAGCAAAGGTAATGATGGAAACGAAAACGCTTTCGGCATCTTTCTTCATCAGAGGCGCAGCGTTGGAAAAAGTAGAGCAACCTTGCGGGACAGATTGGATTGGAGGGGATTATAATGGCTGGATGTGATAGACTGGGATTCCCTCCTTTTCCATTGCATTTGGTTTCCGTTGAGGACTGGACCTTTCCAGCTGACACGGCCGACGCTGCCTCACTTCTAAGCTAAGATGGTGTAAGCTATGATGCTCCCTGGCTCCCATTGTGAAATTAAACATAAGCCAGTCGCACTGCTACTATTCCGTATTTGGCTCCCGCCAGGAGGAGAAAGAAGGCAAAGATGCTTCAGTGTATTAGCCTCACTGGCGCGGAGTGATGAAGCCGGCGATTAGATGGCCTTTGGTGCGGCGATGGTTGCATGAAGCGCTTGGGCTATTGACCGCGCGAGGGAGGGGGACTCATCCCTTCCAACATGGGTACAAGGTGGCTGTATGAGCAGCAGAGGCGGCCCAGTTGAAATTGAGTGGTAACACAGAGGAGATTGCTGCTGCATCCTTTACCATTAGGGGAATGTATGTTTCATCACATTCTCTTGGCTTGGGGAGCATCGTAGGGAAGCGGCATCACAGTCGTACAAACTCGAACGCCGAGAATAGATGAGATGAACGCTTGTTCTTGGGCCGGCGGCAAGGTCTCGAGTCTCTGCAGATACCCAAGGCCCCTGTCGCCATCATGCCCCATGCCTCAATGTTTGTTTGCTGCCATCTTCCAACGCAGCGACGGACTGGTCTAGTCGCAGGCCTATCTGATCTCGGAAACGCGAGCGAGAATCCAGGGCTCATTGGCGCAAGCGAATCTCATCGATCGGCCTCGTGTCGTCTCCTTTGCTCTAATCCACGACAATAGCGCACCCGGGCCCTCTTTTCGACTGTTTGACGGGTCCCACAAAGTTAGCAGCGTCTTCGCAAGACATGGATCCCAGGGCCATGCGTTTCTCGCTCTCGCTGCTGTTTCCCGCGCTCTAGCAGCCCTACAACGTACAAGTGCACTGCGCCCATCGCATGCTGCACGCAAACGCCTTTGCTCAATTGACGCGTCCCATAATTAATTCCAGTAAAAAACGGGTTTCCGTAGCTATCTGGGTGGCGATCGGGGGTTTTTACTGGATAGCTCGGACTGCAATACGACGTCAGCATCACCCCCGAACAGATGCGCTAATCGTTTTGATATCAATGCCAAACAGGGGGAGCTCGAGGGGAAAGAGAGAAGGAGGGCGAAATGCATAGAAAGGCTCTTTGGCCCTCTTTACTCCTATTCAGAGCTGGTGAAGAATGAGGCGAAGTACATGCAAAAAGGCCTGTGCTTTAATGAAGAGCTCATTTTGCGCGGGCCTCATTGTGGTGGAGTCTGCATGTGAATCACTCGTGGATGTACGGATATGTGCGAGCAAGCATGGCGCGAGTGGGGATTGACGCATTTGAAGCTCAGAAAGCTTAGAATAGCAGCTGTGCGATTCGTGTCTCGCCTCCCCGCTTGTTTGCTTGAGATGCCGCCAGCCTGACTGATGAAATACGAAGCGTGTGACGACCCCGAATCAGACCATGGGGGGAGGGGAAATTGAAGGCAAAGCCCCCCGCCCTTGATGGCGAACGCTGATCGATTCTCAATGCCTTTGAGCAGCGTGCCGCATGTAGACGAGATTGGCGCAGCCACGAAGGAAGGGCCGTCAATTTGGCAGCCTGCATTTCGTACGACAATGATGCTGCGGTGGGAGATGCTTCGGGCAAGTCTGGATATCAGTAGTAGTACCTAGGTCGCAGTAACAGCAGCAGTATTCGTGAGTCGCGGGCAAAGAGTGCGGAGACGAGATTGCTCAGTTGTACAAAGGAGTTTTGCTGCTACGCACAAGCGCCGCGAGGCTGAGGTCGGAGATACTTGCTCCACGCAATCGTGTTTTAGTTGTCTGCGGTGGCTGTCTCAGTGGACGCCACGTACCACCGGTCGGAGATTGAAAGGCGGAGAGGCACGGAAAAACAAACAAACAAACAACACGCCTGTCTGTCTCTGAAACGAGAGGCATTCCGCTGTGCTTCTCAGAGGCATCCGGCCTGCCATTGTGTTGTGCCGTTGAATGCACGCAAGCTCACCGTCGTCGTCATCATTACCAACTGGACGCTGCTTGAAAATGAGCAGCCCAGTCAGTGCGACTGCTAGTCGGTTCTGGCCCCCCTGTATTTTCGCAGCACATTGAGTCCTTCAGGCCTGCTTTGCCTTGGTAGCCCGCTGCTTTTTTGACTCGTAGCGGCTTTTCAACCCCTGGGGCCTGGTGTCGGCGAGCCACTGAACGCCAGCTGGGCGCCTTGTAGCCGGGGTCTAGTCCCAGGCGGTCCCAGGCGGTCCAATCGCTGGGCTCAGCTCACGCCTTGATAATGGATGCGGCGCTGCAGCCGGCCATGCACTAGCAGGTTTTTTTTCTTTGAATTTTTTCTTCGTCCTGTGTTACGAGCCGGTAGCGTCACGACTAGGTGACGAGTAGCGCGTGGGTTGACACCTCTGGAGCCAGATCCGGGCCCGCGCCCGGTGCCACCCAAAGAGCCTGGAGCCAGGGCCCGAGAGGCTCTGAGGGCTGGGGCCTGCTTTCTAGCGTTTTAGTGAGGGAGCAGTGCAGGTCAGCGCTGGACCGGTTAGTGATAAAGGCTGGAGCATGCCGGCTGGGGAGCTTGGACTCCAGCGCCCGAGACCTTTTCCTCCCTACTTGCTTTGCATCTTGCTGCAAGGCTTTTTGCTTGTCCATCCTCCAACCCGCATCGCCATCCGCCGGCTTCATCAGTGTCGGCGTCCAAGGGCTTGGCTGATGCTGTCCGCGTCCCTCGCCTGTTTCTTTCTCTTTTCCCCTCCCAGCGGTTCGCTTCCTTTCGCTTCATCGTCGTTTGTTGCGGTGACGGCGCTTACGCCCTAGACGGCCGAGAGAGGCGGCCCCTCCAAAACCCCCTTTCGATTTACACACAGCCATGCAGCGCGTTTCTGCTTTCCTGCCCTCGTGGGAGAAGAGGAACTCCGGCAGCAGCAAGACCGGCACCTTTTTCGGCCGGAGGGCGTCGCAGCCTCCGCCTCCCAATGGCCTGGCCAAGATCAACACCGAGACGGCGAATCTGGGCGCCAAGCGGGTTCAGCGAGAAGCCTTTTGGCCTGCGACGCTGGACCTCGAGTGCGACAAAGCTGCCCGAATCCTCAAATCCTTTTGCGGTATGTGATTTTCTTTCCAAGTGCTAGCGTTTGGGATTGATTCGTTCATTTCATGTCTTGAGTCATTGAATTCAGGAACAAGAAAGGCTAATTGGCATCGATTCGCAGTGGATGGCTACTTTGCCCCTACAGGTCCCGATAGCGACGCGCCGGCGTCTCCCTCTTCCACCTCGACGGGCATCAAGACGCTGGACCAGGTCCCCAAGAAGATTCCTAGACGAATAATACAAAATGCGGCCGGTATTGCCGTCTTCACATGTATGCGAAGCGGCCTGTGGATGACCGGCTCGGGCGGCTCAGGCATCCTGATAGCTAGGAAGTCTGACGGAACCTGGTCTCCGCCCTCTGGCATTATGCTCCACACCCCGAGTCTCAGCTTCATCATCGGAGTCGACGTCTACGACTGCGTGCTGATCATCAGCAGCCATACCGCGCTTGAGTCTGTCACCAGACCTCGCCTGACCCTGGGCGAAGATGTCGAGCTCCGGGCTGGAGAGACGGTCTCACTCGGCTCTGAGGAGATTGAAATCAACTGGAAAGAGCTGGGCAACACCGTGCTGACGTACATGAAGGCCCGAGGCCAGCAGCAATCGGTCAATCTATACGGATGCATGCTGTCCGAGCGCAGCAACGAAAATGAGCGCTTCTACGCTTCTGACGTCACCCACATGGATATCCTTGCCGGCAACGTCGCTCGAGATGTCGAAGAGACGACTGCTTTGAACGAGGTCCTCAAGATGGCCGAAGGAAGAACTGATTACGACTCATCCGTCATCAACAAGGTTGCCGCAGAGCCGGCGCCGAGCGATGCCTTGATCACATCAACCCCCCCAAAAACAGCATCCATTCCCTCGTCTCCCCACTCTTCGTTTGGGCTCCCGCAGGCGGATGACCCCGACCCCTTTGGTATTTTGGCACTGGAAATGGCCGGACTTGAAATCCGCGAGGCTGGCTCTCGCATCCGGCCGACCAGTAGCTTGTTCGACATGAACCAGAACCCCATGAGCCCTGTTGCTTCGTCCAAGCGCAGCCGGCAGAGCATGGATACCTTTGTATCAAGGAGCAACCGAGGAAGCTACGTGTCAATGCGTACCATCAGGAGTCAAGTCACTGATGCCGGTACTCAGACTGACACGGGCAACACTCCAGAAACGTCCCCGAGCCCAGGTCTTAGCGGTGGTAGTGGACGAGCTTCTCCTGCTTATATTCCTGTGGTGAAGGAAGAGGATGAGGAAGAGATGGAACAAGAGGAAGAGGAAGAGGAAGAAGAGGAAGTGGTCATCCCTCCTAGATCTGCAAACAGACTCTCCAAAGATGTAGCCGTTGGCCCGGACGCTGTCGACGAAGATGAGCTAAGCCAAGGTGATACCGAATCGCTCTCAGAAAGCCTTCGCCGTGAAGAAGATGCTTTGAGTCACGGTGAATCAAGCGAAGAGGACGAGCTGTTTGAGGACGAGGACGAGGATGACGAGAGTGACGAGGAGTTCAACGACGCTGACGACGAAGACGATATCGAGGAAGAGCCCGTGGTTTTCGAAGTCGCTGCGGTACAACGTACCAGCACCCAGATGCGCTCCTCCGGCATGATCCAAGCTCGGGGTAACGTGGTGACCATCGCCAAGAGGGTGCCTCCGCCACTGCCCACACGCAGCCCCGCCAGGATGTCACGCATTGCCAAGAAAGATGCCGACGGTGAGGGAATTGACCTTCAAAGTCCCCTGAGCCAAACATTCAGCAGCGATGGCGATCTGGATAGCCAAGACGCCGATGCTAAGAGCATCATCGAGGCTGGCATCACAAAGGAGGAGGAGCAACAGCCGGAGATTGAGCACTCTGAAAGTGAGAAAAGCGATGCCGCAGAGCCCCAGCATCAGGCTGTAGCTCAAGAGGATGAGGCTTCCGAGGCTTCCGAGGTTGAAGAGCCAAGTGCCGATGAGATTGGGTTGGAAACCGGCAAGCAGGACGATGCCCTCTTGAGCGAGCCCCATAACGAGCAAGCCGATAACTCGGATGCCGCATCGAACAAGAAGAAGCATACCTCATCCATCTACACTGGCGTGACTGAGGATCGCTGGAGCTGTGACGGATCATCCGTCACCACGCCTACCTCTGAGCGACGGTTTTCCATTACTGAAAACCAGATTACCGATGATACAACCAAGAAGACTATACAAGAACGAGTAGAAGAAATTGATGACTCCCCTTCTGCACCCACCGAAGCTGCCCACACTCCCGTGGCTGCAGCCAACTAAACAACGAAGCAACTCGAAACACGCGACACGACGTCATATGGCATTCATTACCCAGCAGCCACATAAACGGCTACACGACATTATCATTGCTATTTATTATCCGCACTCTCTTTACATGTTTCTTTACCACCTTCGTTTTTCATGGATATCGACTATAATAATTGGCATGGCGGGTCTTTACTGGGATAAAGCTCTTTATATATCGTATCGAGATATATATACGGGCGGCGCTGTCAGCTTCGAGAAAGGAGCATTTGCTTGGGACTAGTATTTTTATGAAAGAAAAAAGACAACAGCGGCGTTTTGTGTACTTGGGGAATGCGATTTTTCTTTCTAATATCATTATTATATATAGATACAATGCGGTCTTTACGCGATTGCATGGAGAGATGATGGGAGTTGCAAATTGCAGAAGTTTGCTGCTGGGAAACAAGTTTTATTCTTTTTTTCGGATGTATGATTATGATGGGGAGGGCCATCGATGGGGCCAACTATGTCGCAAACAGGATACATACTGCACACGCGGCGACTATTAGCTTATTCTATTTGGAATTTCCAAATATTTTCTCTGTTGGTAATTCTAATTGAAGACAACGACAAAAGATTTTGCTGTCCTGTTGAACGCTTATAATGACTTTGAAAGGTATTGTCCATGTGAATGAATACACTACCCGAGGTATATATCTAGTCATCAGCATTCTTCTACAACTGTGCCTTTCTAAACGTTGAAGGTTTTCGATTCTGAATTGAACAAGTAGTGCAAAACGTGAATGCATAAAGCCGTAGAGATGGATCCCTATGGCGGACAGCTGCTGCTCGTCTTGACGGGAGCTGGCAGCTGGCAGTGTAAATGGAGGCCATGGAGATTCTGCTGTTTTCTCTTGATTTCTTTTGCAAACGAATTCTACCTGATTTTTTCACTCTTCACTTTTCATCATCTCTTGCTCTGCTACTCTTCACTTTTGGAATTTTCCTTCTCTAGATTTTCTCACATGATGCTTATTTCGGGCTATACCTATCACGACGGTATATAAGAACTCTAACACGAGAGAGAAAGGCAACATGATGTCAAACAACACACAAAATGGCAATGCGGGAAATGGCGACTCTGACAATGCCTGGCCAAACAATGGAAATCAAAGCACAAGTGCTATCCAAACTCCACGAAAACAGCAAAGGCAAGCCGCGATCAACGCCCAAGACGCTCAACCCGAATCCCAGCAGCAAGTTGCTGAGCCCTGGCCTAGCCTGATTGGCAGCACCGCCACAGGTCCCGTCCACGAAAACGCCACACCTACGCCACACCGCTACGGTTTGCGCGCGCGCAGAGCATCTCGAGGCTCGTTTTCGACTCCCTCGCGTTGTGGCCGCACAGCATCCCGGCAGACGCTCCAGCAGACGCTCCAGCAGCGCAACAACGGCAACGGCGGCGCGGCAGCAATTCGGATCGGCTTCCAGCTCGACTTTGGCGTGCTTTCTCAAAAGGCCGATCTTCGTCACAGAAAAGACATCAACAGCATCCTCGCAGCTGCTGCAGCCGCTCACGACACCTACATCCACGCCTACGGTCACAGCCACAGCCACGGCCACGGCCACAGCAACCGCAATACTCAATTCGCCATGGCCAGCGGCGGCAAATGGCGCGAGGAGCAGGTGCTCGTCATCTGCCCCGGCAGCAGAACCACCATGGCCCAGCTGGGCTGCGGCGAGCTCTCGCCTCCACACCATCGCATCCCCACGAGGATGTTTCGAGACGAGGAGGATTCGAACCTGTGGCGGCCGTACTACACATACAAGCGGGTGACGACGATTGACGGCGTGGAGAATGAAGAGTGGGTGGAGGATGTAGACGAGGACAAGGGTGCCGTCTGGCCAATTGAGGGTATGTTTTGTTTGTCCCCGGAATAAAGACGTGCGAAAGAGCAAGAAGCAGAAGAGAGAGAAGAAAAGAAAAAACCCGTGTCAACCGAGAGAATGGGATAGCTAACATTTGTTGGATTCTTGTGTCGTATAGGTGGCCGCATTGTCCAGATGGATGCTTTTCTCGCCTTCCTGGACCACGTCCACGGCCTGCTCACCACGACATATCACAACACACCCATCATGCTGATGGCATCTCCGCAGTGGACGCGCCCCGACTGCGAGACCATTGCGCGGTACATCTTCGAGAAGACAAAGACTCCCGCGCTGTGCTTGATCCACAGCGGCATTGCCACGCAATACGGCCTCAAGTGGCCCAACATGACCGTTGTCGACATTGGCTACGAAAAGGTCGATGTCACGGCCATCCACGACGGACGAGTCATCAACCACATGGATCTGGGCCGGCCGCAGCCTGGACGACACATTAGCGGCGGCGAGGTCTTTACACAGAAACTGCAGCAGCTGCTGACGGACAAGAACTTCAGCCATGACATGGCAGAGCAGCTGAAGAAGAGCGGCATCTGTGAAGTGCTGCCTTACGCCCCATCCCAGAAGAACCTCGTTGTGCTCCCCGTTGACACTCCAGACGCAGCGCGCTCAGCGGCAGCCCCAAGCAAGGCAGGAGGAGAGCCTGGCGCAGCAGACTCTACAACGGCGGATGGGCCCGCGGCGGATGTTCCCAGGATCGAGGAGCCTTCTAGGACAGATGACGTCGTCATGGAGGACAACGAAGGCACGGATACAAATATTGACGATGATGGTGTCCTGGATGTGGCCACCATCGTTACCAGCGGCCAGACCAAGGAATTCCTGGCCAAGAAGGAGAAGGAGAAGGAGAAGGGCAGGCCTGGGCGAAAACCGAAAGCGGATAAGGAAGCAGAGGCGGCTGCTGCTGCAAGGCCTGTTCGACAGCCCAACTCCAAGAAGATGCGCAACACATTTTCGTACGAGGAGATAATCATGGAGGAGGTGTCCAAGGCAGTGCCTGTATCTGTAGTTGAGCTGGAGCCAACGGCCATGCAGGGTGTGGAGAGCAGCAGTGCCGCCGAAGGTGTTCCTGCGGTCGCAGCTCCAGACGTTGCGCCAACAGCAGAACCGGCGGCAGAATCGACGGCGGCGCCGGTAACAGAAGGATTGCAAGCCGAGAAGCCTGCTGAGCCCACCTCCAACGTTGCGGCAGTAGAAAGTGAGGCTGCTGCCGATGGCGCCAACAGCAGTGCAGACGCCAAACCCCCTGCCCCTGAAGCAGCAGCACCTGCAACAGGAACCGACAACGAGCCTGTTATCAAGTCTGAAGTCAAGTCTGAAGAGACAAATGTCAACGGCGATGGCAATGACGCAACTCTGGCCACGATCCCAGACTCCAAGCCCGCAGAAGCCATCAACGGCAGCAACGGCAACGACACCACCAAGGCTGACGATGCCACCGCCGCCGACTCCAACGAACCCCCCGAGCTGCGGCCGCGCAAGATCCGCCGCGAAATCGAAGTCGGCCTGGAGCGCTTCCTCTTTGCGGACCGCGACGAAATCGACCGCATCGTCACCACAATCTACCGCACCATCCAGGGCGTCGAGGACATGTACATGCGCCCGGCCTGCTGGGACAACCTCGTCTTCGTCGGCAACGGCTCGCGCCTGCGCGGCCTCAAGGACAACATCCTGCAGACCCTGCACGCGCGCCACATCATCTCGCCGTCCACGGCCACAATGTTCACGTCCGAGCTGCCCTCCAACGTCGCCACGCCCGCCGGCACCGGCGCCCAGACGCCCGTCGGCAGCTTCGCCGGCGCGCCGCACCAGCTGTCCACCAGCAGCGTCAACCCGCTGCTGCAGGCCGCCACCACGGCCAGCACCTTTGGCGTCCCCGTCCCCGGCCGAGACTCCAACTCCATCCAGGTCGCCTCGGGGTCCACGCCCGCCGTCGGCTCCGAGGCTGCCGGCCCCGCGAGCGGCCACCACTTCCACAGCCAGACGCCCACCAGCATCAAGACGATTGCGTTGCCGACGTACCTCAGCGAGTGGAGCAAAAATGGCTTCGAAGAGGCCATGTTCCTGGGCGCGCAGGTGGCTTCGAGGATAGCGTTTTGCCTGCACTCCAACATGGACGCTCAGGCTATCGAGGCGCAAAAGTCTATGAGCTTGAGCAGAGTAGATTACAAGTGAGCACTTATCCAACTTCCCTCTCTATATATCTAAACTACGCAAGATTTCAATGCTAACCAACCATTTTCTCATCAACAGCGAACACGGCCCCAAGGGTATCCGAACACACTCCATGCTCAGCTAAACAAAGCAAGCCATAAACTATAACAAATGTAACAAAAAAAGAAAATTCTTCCATGTTTCATCTGGAGTTTTAACGGACGGCACGAAATTGGGCGTGTCAGGGTGAAATTGTAATCAGTGATACAAACAAAACCGGAGGGGAAGGGAGGATTTTGATAATTCCAGAGACCTAAGGGGGAGACGGAGCCACGGGTAGATATAAATGTTCAGATACTTTTTCCTTCCTTCTTTTCTTCTCTACAAGTTATTTCCTTTCTACCGAGAGGAGAATAAAAGGATACCATGAAATAAAATGCCTGAGCCACACAAAATAAATGATGAATTCTGAAGTCATCTTTTGATCTTTTTTGAACAGAAAAAAAAAAAAGAGAATTATCCAACACGCAAACTAGTAGCATATATAAATACATGTGTAAACATGAGAGGTATATCGTCTGCTTCCTTACTCAAAGCTTATGCAAAATGTTCCCATGCAAACTCCCCTCCTTTTTAGCCTTTTAGCCTTACCAGCCTCTACCATCTTGTGAACAGTGAAACAAGAGCTGGCTTCGCTCAAGATATTACCATTCAGCTGCTTTTGAGCCGTGGATATCACGGAGATACTTTCGTCCTCTTCTTCCCAATTAAAGACAGCACGGCCTGATGCATGGAGTTCCGCAAAGGGACATGGAAATGGGTGAGCGTGCGCCATGATTGAACGGTTTCTAGCCCGCTGCATTTCTGGCGGCAGCTTCTCGAGCTGCTTGATTCCAGTCCGTCTTCAACAGATAGGTATATTCAATCGTCGTAACCCTAGTTCAAGTTAGTATTCGGGATTGGCTCAATTCAACGTGCATATCACAGGGAAAAGGGAACATACAGGAATAAGCCCACGCTGACACCAGCCCATAGACCTTGCAGCTTCCAGCCAAGTCCAAAAGCCAATGCGAGCGAAATGGGCAACGAGATGGCATAGTATGAAATCAAGTTCACGGGCCCGCCTATGCTCTGTTTGCCAATACCACGCAGCAGTCCGTGGGCACCAGCGCTCATGCAGTCGAATACCTGCATGACGGCGACGACAGGCAAGATGCTGGCGACAATTGAGATGACCGTCTCATCATCGGTGAAGAGCAGCGGTAAGTGAAATCGAAGGCTGCTGTACAGTGTGAAGTTGAGCAATCCAAGGATGAAGTGGATAACAAAGGTCTGTGTCAAAGTAAGTAAAACAAGAGCATAAAGGCACCGTGGAAAGAAAAAGAAACGTACCACTTTGCCAGTCACCCTGGCCGCGTCGACAAGCCCGGCTCCAATCAAGTTGGCAACACGGGTAGAGGCAGCAATGGACATTGGGAAGGGGATCTGGTACGAGATGGACGCAATCGTCGAGACAACGCTCTGGGCCGCCAAGTAATCAGATCCGAAGCGGCTGGCCAATAGGGTCAGGATCTCGAAAGCGAGCCACTCGGCTTCCACCATGATCATGCCCGGCAGCGCCAGCTTGATCATTACCCACCAATTGGTGAGCGCACGCCGACTGAAGCCGCCCCAGCATTCTCGGCCATTGACAAACCGCACGTAGCAGAAGAGGAGCACCGGCAAGATATTCTCCGTGATGGCAACGGCCATGGGTGCGCCGACGAAGCCATACTCGAGCTTCCAGACGAGCAACCAAGTGAGGAAGACGTTGAAGGGAGCAGCAAACAGCAGGACATACGTGGTGGCCTGGAAGAGGCCCTGCGCCTGAGTGAAGCGCTTGCCGCACTCAAAGAGGATGACGCCGGGAATCGCAAAGATCATGACTCTGAGGTAGAGACCGGCAAGTCGAGCAGACTCGGGGTTGGGCACCATGCGCTGCAAGATGGGCTCGGCTCCGAAAAGCCACAGGATGATTACGGGCACGGAAAGGGTCAGCAGGAAGCATGCCATGCGCTGGCACTGCAAGCCGACGAGATGCTTGTGGCCAGATCCGTAGGCCTGGGCGCACAGAGTATCTAAACTGGTGGCCAAGCCTTGGAACGGGGCCAAGCAGGAGATGGCTTGCGACATGTTGGCCACTGATTGAGTTAGTCTCCCTATTCTTCGCTATTTCACTTTCCTTGTGTTGCAAAACTTACAAGAAATGGCTCCCAGCTCGATGGTGCCAATGCGACCAACGGCAAAGATGCCCGCAACGTTGATTGAGTATTGCAGGAAAAAGGTGACGATAAGAGGTCCACAATAGGACAAGACCGTCTTTGCTTCACGCTGCCATGTCGTGCGAATCCGTCCGGCAGTGATTGCCTCCTCCCATTGCTCATCCACGTCTTCCTCTCCCTCCACAGCGGATCGCTGTCGCCGGGCTTGTGTGCCGTAGTCACGGTCTGGATCACGGGAGAGCAGCGGCTCGTCCTCGTCGGTCTCGTCGCCGGATTCCTCGACGGGGACCTTTGTGCTAAACATCTTTCGGTACATTCGAGCGGGCAACGACTGGCTCTTGTGAGCGTGTTTCGGCGGAAGGACGTGGTTGTCTCGCAGCAGGCTGCGCTCGGCATCGCGAGATTGCTTTCGCTCCAGCGGCGTCAAGATGGGCTCCTCCAGTCCGCTGGGGTTGAAGGCAGGCCGGGCTGCTCCGTAACCCACGCCGCTGGGCCGGCGGTACATGAAGTGGTGAGGCTGGTCGGGATCGAGAAGATCATCGGCGGGGTCAAAGTCGTCGTCGGAGCAGGCCGCGATGTCTTGCGCCAGAACCTGCTCGGCAAGAGGCGAGCCCGAGCGGAACGAGGACGAAAAGGCCGGGTGCTCAAGGCCGGAGGGCCCAGAGCCGCCGTTGGGAGCGCGACTCATGACGGCTATGGTTGGTCTCTTCTACAGAGAGACGATGGAAGAGACAGAGAATGGATATTTCATGTGTTTTTTTCTTGGTTTCAACGTTTGTTGTTTCGGAAGAAAGGCTACTATCGGCTGAGGTTTCAACTATAAGAGCTCTGTTCAGCTCCCCTGCTCTAGATATTTCCAGGCCCCGTTGAGTCACACAGCGTCTGCGGATCGTGCAACCAGGGAGGAAATCGGAGAAATATATAGAGACGAGGCGGTTTGCACGAGACAAGTGGTGAATAGTCGAGGCTTTAATGTCGAACCGAGCGACGGGCAAAGCGCCACCGACAGAAGGCGAGGGTTTGGAAGAGGAAAAAGCTTCTCGCAATCGGCGCTCTTCCACTCCGGCGTGCGCCCAACTGGCAGCACAGCACACCGATGGAGAGGGAACAGGACAAGGAGTCGGAAAGATGGATGGTAGAAAAAGACGTTTGAGCGCAGCGAATCGCTGGAAGCGAAGGATTGACAAAGGGAAGAGAGAAGTTCGACAGAGGAAAGGAAAGAGGAAAAAGAATGACAAGAGGTGAGGTGATGAGCCAGAGCGGAAGCGACGCCGCCACGAAGAGCACGGCTAGTACAAGTAGGTACTGCTACTATGGCAAAGTGGTGGCACAGAGACACGGCTACGGCGCATCGGTCCTAGCAGCTGCAAAAGGCGATGCAAAAATCCTGGTGCTGGGACCGCTACGGCGGGCTAGCAGTGATTCCCCGTAAAACTAGGGTGCTCCGTCCGGCCTGTTCAAGGTAGCATCGCCGCCAGCTTTGGTGGACAAGTCGCCATGGAGCTGCGGAAAAGCGAGGCCAGCCCACTGATTCTTACTGCGTTTGGCCGCTGCAGAATACGGGGCGGAGCGGTGCCGTAGCGGACGCAAGGGACTCGTTCGATGCTTGGCCAACAGCTACAGTACAGTACAGGACAGTAGCATTGGCGCAACCACACGGAGCGTGGATTCCAGGCAGGAATATGCCAGAGTAGCACCATAACGTAAAATGTGCTTGTTTCAAGCCGGCCGTGTACCTGTAGATGTGTGTCGATACAACTTGAAATTCACCATTGGCGGTACAAGCTGCGTGATCGCGCCCTTCACGCCCTATGTACAAGTACATGTATCTATTCCCGGCCCCATCTAACAAGATCGGCCGATGTTGATCCGATTAGGCGGGCGGCTAATCCGAACGGAAAGAGGAAAAAGTCGAGCCAGCACGTGTGCGGCCAACTTTTAGGCTCTTATAGCACTCCTCTAGCTTCAATTCTTCCCTGTCTCGGCCCGGCTTCATTAGTGGAGGAGATGGCAGTCTCACAACATACCTATAGCAGTAGGCCGGAGGTAATGTGTGCAGCTTGGTAGCTACCAAAAGTCGATATTACGTCGTCGTCTCAGAATCTTTGCTCATCCTTGATGTACTTGTATCAACCAATACACGCAAACATTCACTGCTGATGGAAATGTAGCACAATGTCTGGTCTGCGTTTCTATTAAACTTGGTCAGATATAGCCAACTGCGTATGTAGTCGATAGAGCATACTCTCGCTCATTTTATGCGCAAGCGTCAACTCTGTACTCCACATCTGGAGAGTCAAACACCAACAGCAGATATCTGAATCTCGCCAGCAGCTCCCTCCCAAAGCAGGCAAGAGATAGACGAGGAATGAAGAGGTCAAAGCAGCGTGCAAAGGTCAAAGTAGCAGTTGGGCAGAATCGCCTGCGCCACGTCAGCTGTCAGGCCTGATCGCATATACCCATCTATACATGCCCGTGCATAATTGCTGCAGACACAAGTGCAAACTCGAGAGGAAAGGGACATGCTTTTCTCTTTGTAATTCTGCACCTGTTTCCGCTGGCTGGGTGGATACATTGGTTCTACACCGAGCAATCACAGGTTCAAGTACATCTTTTGCCCTATTTTTGGATTTTTGGTGCAATGCATGTCCAGATGGATCCGGATCGACCCAGACGCCCATCACCGCCATCATAGAGACTGACCCGCCCAATAGCGAGCCTCGTTCCACCCAGACCCTTGTTCACGCCACGCTTTACATTCTCTATGCTTGATCTAATTCACGTCAATCGTCATTTTGCGCACAAAGTTAGTACCTACTAGATTATTGCACTGGTGTTGAGTTGTGGGATCCATAGTCCGCTAATCTGTAGCGTAGCTCCTCTTATATCTTGAAATGACACGCCTTGTTTACTCACTGAGGAATGCATGTGGCTACATAGATACACTACTATTGATTTAGCAAGTCCAAATCCGTGTGCCTTTTCCGTGATTCAGAGTCTTGCCAGGTCGCCAAAATAAAGTAACGGGAGCTGCTGCGGGAGCTGCCGAGCCGCCCCACTTAAACCACCACTACTAATTGATGCCATCACCGACATAGGTACGCGGTTTACGATTTCCCAAAGCTGCTCCCGTTTCAATTACTGTTGTTAGATGATCAAAACAATACATTCGTAGTACTTCTGTGTTATAAAAAGTCATATCAATGGAAAATCAAGCATCTCATTCCACGGACACGATCCCATGACCGCAAATGCCACTCCTCCGAGAGCATTTGTTTCTCGTGGCATTCGTCGCAATATAGCTACTTTGTTATACTGTACTTTGTTTCGGCCAAGATGGACTGATTCGGGCGAAAAGAAAGCAGTAGCACGTAGGAGGTCATCTAGAGCGGACTGGTTCGCGCCTACAAGCTCATTCCGATGTGGTGTCGTTGCATATAACAGAGCGGTGGCTGGTGACATGGCAGGTATATTGCTCGAGGCAGCTGCTTCATCAATCTGAACTGGCTGGTCGATAACTCCCCATGCCTGGGTATAAACAAGCCGCAGTTTTTCCAACAATCCAACAGTCGATCAGAAATCTGTTCAATATTTTAAGCCACTCTAATCACTCGTCTTAAACCGTCTTCAGTGGCATGATAGCATCGTCCACATTAGCAACCAGCTTGAAGATCGGTGGTTGATTCATCTCAAAAAAACAAGTGTCATGAGTGGTGTGGGTTTGGATCTACTATTAAAAGACATGGAGCCCTAGCTACTCGTGCCTCCAAATACCCAGCCTGTGAAACGGACTGGAGAGCAAGTCAGCTCTCCTCTACACCATATTTTTTCAACATGCCCTCAACAACGCGTATGTTCTCCCCCCAAAACTCCATTTTTTCGGCCTTGGGTATTTTGTTGGAGCAGTACTCAGGTTTCATAAAAAGAGCAAATCGAAACCATTCCATAAAGTCCTTTGCACCCTGGCCCTCCCAATGAGCCCTCCATTTGGGAATTGTATCCCAGAAAGCGCGGCGAAGCTGATGCGCTTGCGGATACTCAACTCCAAAGCCGCTTGGAGCTCCCCTCCGGAAAAGCATTTCGAGGCATGAGTGAGCTGCAAGGAATGGGGCGCTGGCACAGAGTTCCCAGTCAATGATGGCATTGATTTCCTTGTGGTCATCCGCTGATACTATCACATTGTGAAGACCCATATCAACGTGGAGAGCAACGATCGGACACTCCTCGACAGTTTGAGGGATTTGGTCCAATCGATTGTCCACAAATGTTTGGATAGAGGCCATGTATTCTTCCTTGTAGTCATCAATGCCACTTGCTCTCCCCAAGCTAGCAACGGCATGCTGAAGCCGAGCCTTGAGCCATTCGCGCACGGATATGAACGGCCCTCCGAGACTATAGTGCCGGTCAGGTCCGACAGTAAGGCTGATGCTACCGTTGTTGTCTGCAGCGGTCAGTTCGCCGATCTTGCGAGGCGATGGAAGGGGCAAGTCCCAGCAGGCCTGCCAAGCCAAAGCCATTTTGCGCACGAGTCCGAGCCTGTCAGCATGAGACATGTCGGGATAGACCGATTCTGCTATAATGCCGGGAACAAATTGCGTCATCTGCCTTCCGAATCCTGTAGCTTGCTGATGTTCTGCCTCGCCTGGTATAGAATAGATGACGGGCATTGGTATTACACCTGGATCATTGTTGGCTTGGACGAACTTCATGAAAGCGTCCATGGATGCCACGTTGCCGTGAAAGCGCAGCTGGACAATATAGGTAGTATCGGGCTTATCCACCACGGCTACTTTGTATGAGATGCTGAAACCTCCGTCGGTGAATCTGCGAGAGGATGCAACAGTCTCGCCTGTTGCAGCCAAAACAGCTTTTTGCATGTCCTCGTTCGTGATCTCGATCTTCTTTGGAGCTGAGGGCTTTCCACTTCGTCTATCAATTTCGATCTGGTACCTGTCGAGAGGGTTTGGTGTATCATCAAGAGGCTCGAGTGTCGTTGAAAAAGCAAAGATGCTGTCTGTGGTGCGCATCACGGCGCAGTCCACGGCCATTCCCTTACAAGGGCCGAGGATGCCTGAATAGACATATTGAAGAAGCGCATCCGCTGCCTGAAACTGGTCCATGGTGGTGGGAGACGTCATTTTGCTGAGGACGTATAGGTCGCAAAAGGGCACAAGAAGGGCTATATGTCGAAGCCTTAAGAGGTAGAAACAGCTTGCATTTCCCAACACGCATGTTTCAGCCAGTGGAAAAACAAGGGACTATGGAGGCAGCTATTAAATACAATATGCTTAATAAGGGTTAGTCAGTAGCTTTTTTTTAGTACTACTTATAGTAACTTCTTCCATGGGGGCTTGGCCAGATGGAGGCTCGTTCACGCAGGGGCGACGTTCCTATTTCACCTGGCCGTCGGAATGAGTGGCCCGTTCGTCTGCCATTATGAAGAGTAAGTCGAGCTTGGCTTATTTGAGGCGTATAGAGAAGACGGTGAAAGTTTCAGTGTAGTTGGCATGAGTTGGTCTGCCGGTTGGATAGACAAAGCCCCAAGGCCAGAGTATGCCGCTCCGTATAGTATAGAATACGAGTAGGACTGCAATTGAAGAGCGATATGGAGTTGGAATTGTACCTGGATGGAAGCTGGGCGGCTTATATGGATTTTGGTTGGATTTGCCTTTTTGGGTTGTAATAACTGAAGCTAGAATTGGCTCTTCAATGCCGTGTGGCAGTTAATCCTGCATGATACAACATGGTCATGCTAGCGGTGAGCTATAAGTTTCATAACAACACCTGATGGCGCAAGGTCGATAAAGAAGTGTCATGTCGCCCTAACTGTTGCTGTTCATTCGCAACATGAAGATTGTTATCGGGGCGGCATCAGGGTGATGTTTGATCGCTGTTCTCCTACAAGATGACATCATGTTAAATAGAAGCCATGGCCCTTGAAGTATAGATCGCATTCAATCCTGTCTACTGTACTTTACTCGCGTATACAACAGTAAACAACTGAAGTCGCCAAAGTCATCCTTGTACTCGCATCATCTTACACCAACGCTTAAGCAGTATTGTACAGGAATAGATGGATAACACTCAGAGACTCTCTCACCCATCTTGTCTGGCGTCAGTGAAGAGGTATGCATGCAATTATCCTTTTTTTTCTTCTGTGTCTCGCCCCTTCTTCGAGCTGCTCCTGGTCTAATCAACGCTTCTGATCCTCACGTATGTTATGCCTAATCTTTTCTATTAACCAGAGCACCGAGAAGCGTGAGCGCCAAGCAATCGTCTTAAAAGGTATAAGCCAGACAACGTAACCGCTCCTTTTTTATTCAGTGAGCCTGCCTCACCCGAAAACATCTTAAATCGTGAGGCCAGGTTAAAAGCCAGCGTCGAAAGGCTAGCCAACACTATTGAAGAAAACAGAAAAGGCTCACCATGAAGTTGAAGGAAACAAGGGCCGTGGCTAATAGTAAGCTTAATACACTGGTATATGAAGATACGCTTTTTTGAAGCCGGTTAGGTCATACAGTACTCATCAACTCCCATATCGATGCTTGCAGGCAGCACCTATTCCCGCTGAACTCCAAATCTAGCTCCCCGCCCAGCCTAAGCATTGCCATTAGCATTGCTGCTCGGGTACGTCCACATGACGCCCTTCCAATCAGGCTCAGGATGGGCCGCGGTTGCAGCCCAAGGCACTTCATGCCACTTGTAGGCCTGCAGAGGCATGCTGTAAGGTATCCGGAGAGCCACGATGGGTCTCTGTGCTTGTGAGAATGGCGACATGTTCACCGTATCTGACTGGAACGAGCTCAACATGACCCCATCTTTACAGAGCAAGTTCGGCCATACCAGCACGCCAACTTCCCAGGAAGCGATCCGAAATTCCCCAGTGGTGGGCTTCAGCGTCTCGCCCCACGCTTGCTTCGACATATTTGCCGACGTTAGCATGGCCCAGTCAATTGTAGTGTTACAATTAAACCGAATATATGTTTTGATGTGTGGCGCAGCACGATTTCGCCCACTATCGCCGTAGATAGATGCCCCTGCGAAGAGCGCTATCCAAGGTATCAGCTCAAGCTTAGACGTACAAACAACACATTCATAATCTGTTCACAAGTGAAGTATCATGTTCGTTCACTTGGAATTGGAAGATTGGTGCGAAAATGGAAAGGAATATAACAAGCAGAACTAAACACTGTCAATACTCACCTGCTCCATCTTTGCTGTCGTTGGCCCAGTGATGCAATATTGGATGGAGATAGCGCAGCTGGCTGATATGTTGTGCCGATTGGATCTTGGTATGGATGGAATTTCCCGAGGCGTATCCATCCAGGGAATTCCGGATCTCGTCTGCTGTGGGGAAAACAACCTTGAAGCTCGGCTTATTCGCATTTGGAGTGAGAGATGTAGCTAGTGAATTAAATAGCGTGCGTTGCAGCCAATCGTCATTGGCACCAAGCGTCGCAATGGAGGATATTTGGACGACGATTGCTGACCCTCCTGGTCCAACGGGTACGCCCTGCAAACACCTCTGCAGTCCAGCCCAGCCCCAAGCAGGCTGAGAAGCATCGCGAATGTCATGTTTTCCAGGAACACTGGCAATGAATGCTGCCCGTACGCTGGAAAAGTCAAAGTAGCCGAGACGATCCGCCAGTGGCTTACAAGTGACTTTATAGGAGTCATATTTCATCAAATATGATAGCAAATCCGCCTTGAATCTTAGTCCGCTGCCAAGTGGAAGCGTTTGTCCGTGCTGGGATATAATATCTGGCACCGGTAACAACGGGAGTTTTGGCGATTGCCACACTGCATTGGTCATATTGGTCCAGTCTCTTGGGATCATGTTTGCCGTGTGAATGATAATTTGGGCCGTGTTGTCGGAGCGAAACATTACCATCATCTTGGAGTGGTGTGTCCCAAACATTTCGGGCATGGGTGCGCAATGCAAATGAACGTTGGGGTATCGGGCTGCGGCATCCTACATCATTTCAAAAGTGAGAATAATGATAGCATAAGCATAATTCAGCAATATATTCTTTGTAAGGATGAAACAGAGATAGAGGGAGGGACAAGAGGAGATATCTGAGTGAGCAGTGGGTATATATTGGCAGCAGCAAAGAACAAGATGGCCTACCGAAAGAAGAATCCGATTCAAGTCGCTTTTCTTCCAGAATCCATGAACTACATGCAGCTGAACCAAGCGCCTGACGGTTTCATCAAACGTATTCACCATAAAGGGGATGTCGTGTAGAAAGTTGAACTGCCAGCACTCGCGAATCAGAGGATCGCCGAGAAGGTCCTGAAGCGAAACGGTATCTTTGTTTAATTCGTCTGGGAGATCTCGAATCCGGGTGAGCTGCCACGGCGATTTCTGTATATTTATTTGACGAAATTTCTTGCGCGGTGGACTGATGGGTCGTGAAAGAGATTCTAGAGCTTCATCTCCGTTGCCTTCATCACCATCGGCAGCATCTCTCGAACGCTTGCGAGCGAAGTCCATGATCCCAGGGTAAGCTTGCCAGACTCGAGACTGTCGATGACAGGAGGAGATGATTGGGAGAGATTTGATCAAATGAATGTCACAGCGCATAAAAGAGAAAAGAAGGGCAGAATCGACAGAATCAATTGCCGACGCTGGTAATGCAAAGTAGAGGTATTGTCAGTTCGTTATTCTTGTATTTGAAAGGGTGTATGTCAGTACTACTAATCTCTGAAGGTGCGCTGCAGCATCAAGTACAAGACCGTTGTACCCTCCTGCCCGTCGCAGATTCCCAGCAGGCAGCCACAGGCTAGTTCCAAATCCGGCAGTCAAGCCACACCACTCGCCTCACCGCGCTGTGGCGCTGATTCTGCTGCAAACGCAACCACTTCGTCTCGTCTCAGGCTCCGTATTTCCAATCTCTCCTTGGACGTGTTAGAGGCAATCATCTCCAGCGTGGGCTCGCATTTCAGCACGCGCCTCCATCTGGCCCTAATCGCCGAATCACGGGCTCTCCAGGCATCGCCGGGGCTGCTCGCCACGATCAGCATTTGTTTGCCAATACATATTTGCGACTCCATTCTCGCGGATGGATCGATTATCCTTCTTGATCTAATATCTTCATCATCGCGTTATCTGCGCTCGCCTTGCTCATATTTCCAAATCTCTCAGCGCCTTGAAGGCTGCTTTGCATTTAGCCCACCATGCGGCTGACGTCTACTACTCTGCTCTCTGGCCTTGCGGCCTTTGGGCTGTTTGGATCCTTTGTAGCCGCCGCCGATGAGGATTCAAAGGCTCCGAAAGAGACCTACTTCGACTCTCTTCCGGTGCCCCCCCTTGTGGAACTGACTCCTAAAAACTTTGAAGAGGTGGCAAACAAAACAAAATGGCTACTTGTGAAGCATTATAGGTATAACATCCCCCCCTCTTCCTCCTTCGCGCATCGCTGCCATCTACCAGTTGGAGTTGCTTGCTAACCTGCTCCAGCCCCTTTTGCCACCACTGCCTGGCGTACGCCCCGACCTTCCAGACTGCATACGAGTTCTACTACACATCTAAGCCAGAAGAGGCTGGCGAGAAGGACTTCACCAACTTCTACGACTTCAAATTCGCCTCCATCAACTGCATTGCTTTTAGCGACCTTTGTGTCCAGCATGGCATCAAACTATACCCCACCACAACCCTCTATGAAGAGGGCAAAGAGGCCCGAAGCGAGACTGGTGGCCTGAACATGACCTTCCTCTCTAGCATTATCGAAGAATCCTTGGAAAAGTCGAAGCCTGGCAGCCGACCGAAAACTCTTGATCTGCCTAAAGCAGGGGAGAACAAGCGCCCTGCGGTCGATCCGAAACGAGCAAAAGAAGTTGAGGCTGGCAAGACACCTAAGAAGCCCGTCGCCACAGCAAATGAAGAGGGAACATCGGTAGCCTTGACGGCTGAGAACTTCCAGCGTCTGGTGACAATGACCCAAGATCCCTGGTTCATCAAGTTTTATGCTCCTTGGTGCCCTCACTGTCAAGATATGGCACCTACCTGGGAACAGCTGGCCAAGACCATGAAGGGCAAGCTGAACATTGGAGAAGTCAACTGTGATAAGGAGACCCGTCTGTGTAAGGATGTCGGTGCTCGGGCCTACCCCACGATTCTCTTCTTCAAGGGTGGTGAGCGGTCCGAGTATGAGGGGCTTCGAGGCCTAGGTGACTTCATTCAGTATGCTGAAAAGGCCGTCGATCTCGCCAGTGGTGTTCCTGATGTCGACCTTGCGTCATTCAAAGCATTGGAGCAGAAAGAGGATGTCATCTTTGTTTACTTTTATGATCATGCCACCACTTCCGAAGACTTCCAAGCCATAGAGAGGCTGCCACTCAGCCTTATCGGGCATGCCAAGCTTGTCAAGACCAGAGACCCCGCCATGTATGATCGCTTCAAGATCACCACTTGGCCGCGGTTTATGGTGTCAAGAGAAGGCCGCCCCACCTACTTCCCCCCTCTTACACCCAACGCTATGAGAGACACGAACCAAGTGTTGGACTGGATGAGATCGGTCTGGCTCCCTCTTGTTCCTGAACTGTTGGTGACAAACGCGCGCCAGATTATGGACCACAAGATTGTTGTGCTGGGCGTCTTGAACCGAGACGACCAGGAATCTTTCCAGGGTGCCCTTCGAGAGATAAAGAGTGCAGCAAATGAGTGGATGGACAGACAGATCCAAGAATTCCAGCTGGAGAGGAAGAAGCTCCGAGATGCCAAGCAAATGAGAATTGAAGAAGCTGAAGACCGAGATGACCAGCGCGCCCTGCGAGCTGCCAAGGCCATTCATGTTGATATGAACAACTCTGGACGGAGGGAAATTGCCTTTGCCTGGGTTGACGGCGTTGCATGGCAGCGCTGGATTCGCACCACCTATGGCATTGACGTCAAAGATGGAGAAAGAGTCATCATTAATGACCAAGATGTGAGCTGCTCTTCTTTTCTAAACTGCCTCTGATGAGATGGACCTTGTTTTCCCTCTTGCGTTGAAATACAACTGAATACTAACAAAATTCCGCGTAGAACCGAAAGTACTGGGACAATACCGTGACTGGCAACTACATTCTTGTCAGCCGCACATCTATCCTCGAGACCCTCGACAAGGTCGTTTACACCCCACAAGCTCTGAAGCCCAAGCTCACCATTTCTCCGTTTGAAAAGGTGTTCTTTGATATCCGCCTCTCTTTCACTGATCACCCCTACCTGTCGCTTGGTTGCGTTGTTGGCATTGCCTTTGGCGTCTTCTCCTGGCTGCGTGGCCGCTCACGTCGTGGCCGTGGCCACTTCCGACTGGAAGATTCCATCAGCATCAAGGACTTCAAGGAGGGTTTCCTTGGTGGTTCTAACGGCAACACCAAGGCTGACTGAAAGGGTGATGTGAAAAGACTAGTAAAAAATTAATATTCTCTAATTTGGAGTTTTTGAGGGGAACGGTAAATGGGTTTGGCTAAAGGATTAAAGAGGAGGGCGCGCACGTATGGAGCTGTCAATGAGTCTCTGGCAAAAGGGTCAGCTATGCTGGCTGTTTCAAGAAGTGAAAGTGAAAAGGGGCTTATGACCCTGCGGGGTTGAAATGTAGAAGACGGCTGGCTCAAATCTGACTCTGGTAGTAAAGATACCCAAAGCCTTCGTCATGACTCATTCGGCCTCTTAAAGAGTGAAAGAGTCCGGGAAGCTTTTATGGAGAGAGTGTGTGTTATTGGTTGGGTTTGTGCTCTGCATATGCTCTTTTTGCATGTCTTTGTAACTACTAGGTGGCTCTTGTTTGAACGTTTTGTTACTGCAATCATATTTTACTGTAAATGGTTTGTCGTATATTTCATGCAGTCTATCACTCTCTATCTAGGGACTCCAACTAACGTCTTTGCCGAGTGCATCGAGGCTCTCTTCTTCATGTGTAGAGCTCATCCGTCAGTCCGTTCAGCGTCAGACCCTCCTTGGCAATCTCCTCAACCTCAATCAAAAACTGCAGAGGCATCTCGATGAGGTTGCCACGGATGCGGCTAAGCCATTCCTTCAGCTCTTGCACGCCACCAGGGAATTCCTCGCGAACGACGTGTCCGTAAGGAACCTTGCCGTCTTTGTCATCGTCGTCGTCCTCCTTGTTCTCCTTGGCACTGGGAATAGTAAAGTACTTGGAGAAGAACTGGTCGTAATCATCCCAGTTGCGGACTTTGTCGTCAGGAACAGGGTGGAACGCCCGGCTGAACACTTCGGTGTTGGTGGCGGCCGTATCCTCCCAGAGCTGTAGGAAGTCAGGGCTCAGGGGGTCCTCTACAAGCCGGTCGGCAGATGAGCCCCAGTCATAGTCGTTGGGTGCGTCGGATACCGGCAGCCAGTTTCGGTTTGGCTGGTCCCATCTCTGGTCGGGGAGCAAGCCGAGATGCTTGCGGAAGATTTGTCTTCGGAGGGAGGCGGCAAATTCGCTTGCCGCGTACTGCTCGCCGTTCATGTAGGATTCAACGGATGGAGGGCCCTCAATCACCACCGCAATCTCAGAGTCGTGGGTTCCGAGCTGCGAGCGATCGTTCAAGTTGGCAGAGCCGCAAATCACGAGGCGGTCATCGGCAATGAGAAGCTTGGTGTGAATGTAGAGCTGCTCGCTGACAAAGGCGTCGAATTCATCCTCGGGCTCGCCATCCCATGGGATATCGGCAATATTGGGGCCGTGCTTCATGTAGGCGGCACTCACGGTATCCAGAGTGTCATCCTTGACGGACTGAGCCTGGCGCTGGTATCTATCATAGTATTGAGAATCTTCATCGTCCTGGCCGTAACGCTCTTCGTTGACATAGTCGTCGTGATATCGTCGTGCGTCTTCATACTTGACTCCGGAGCGGGATTCGACTTGTCGCATGGTTTGGGATGTGTTGATCCTATCATAGTTTCGAAGGTTGTAGAAACCAATGTACTCCCTAGGATTCTGAATGCCTGCAGCAACAAGCTTTTGAATAATGGAATGTCCACCTCTGCTGATGGAGTTGTATTGGTATTCCATAATGGCCCTTGTTCCAAGAGCGTCCTTGGACTTCAAGTCTCCCGCAAAGGCGGGGACAGAGGGCATCACCACCCACACCTTGAAGGCCTGGCCCTCTTCATACGCTCGAACGATACGGTCAACAATAGCTGCGCCGATCTTGTTGGAGACGGGGCGCTGCTCATCACTTGTAGCTGTGATGAAGAACTAGTTGAACCATGTTAATCGCCTCTCCGGGCTCTTTGCTGGCGCACTTGTTTACTTACCTGATTCTCGATATAAACAAAGTACCTGGCATTCGTGATCGCACTAACATAAGCGTTCGCAATCGAATGCTCCGTTGGGTGGCCGGATGACCACTTGGTGCAACTGAAATGAGGCTTAGCAATCATCAACTGTACAAAATGTCAGTCATTTCGGCTTACCTTCGTGTAAGCTGAATGCGAGTAGCGCCTGAGCCCCCGCGCGCGTGAGCACTCCTGTCATGGCGCTCATATTCATCAGAGGGATACTCTCGCTGGCCATCTTGATGCTGGCTGCGTCGATGGCCTTCCCCGAGGCCAAGGTTTCCCATTTCTTCAGATAGGTGTTCGGCAAAGCGATGGAGCACGCCACGGCTCCGCCCTTCGCCCTCCTGCCGCTCATATTCTTCTCGTCCCGATCCCTCTTGTTCATATGTTTGGTGCGAAGGGCGGTAGCTTCCGCCCAAGCTGAGCTTCTCATACTTTCCAGGATCCTTGTCATTGTATTTGGCGTCGAATAAGTAATTCCTAGCTCTGTTAATCAAAGTCACAGCGATGAAGCTTGGGATACTATCGCTCATACCATCTGTCAACAAAATGGGCAACAAGATCAGACACAATTGAGCCATTCATGGACAGGGCCACGTCCGACCAACCCATTCTCGAGCTCTTGGTTCGATCCACTACATAAGCCATTAGCCCTTGGACCTCTGATGTGTGAAAATAGGGATGACCTCACGTTTGTTCTGATCCCAGTTGCCAACGTCAGCAAAGTCAAAAATTCGAGCGTTGTTATAGTCCTGGCCAGGAAAGATGATGTTCTCCAAGTTTCCAGGGTGAGCATCTGCGATGGGATGGGCTGAATGCATGTTAGTTGAGGCTCTTCATAGGTTGCGATAGGGGTACCCACAGTTGGTATCCCATCGACCGAAACCTAAAGATACAATTAGCAAATGGAATCTCTGCGTACGTTAAGAGACACAATGAATGCATACAAAGATCGAGGCCTCCCATGAATACAAGGTCACGGTCAATGACAAGGAGCTTTTCATGGTGAGCCCAGTAGAGGACAACATCGTCTGCCGCGCCATAAATCGCCTTGAGTGCGTCTTTGGACACAGTGGCCAAGTCAAAGTTGGTCAAATTTTTGAACGAGTTGCCAATTTCTGAAGTCAGATCGTATCCAGTAGGGACATGGTCAGGATGCCGGAAAACTTTGATGTTAGGGTGCAGCTTTTCAAGTGCATGTTTGGTGTGCTATACATGTTGCGAATGAGCCACAAGAGAACATGTCGGATGATGAAGGAAAGTGAGGTATCTGAAATGCATACCGCAGAATCAAGAGTGAGGGCAGCCTCAACTTCCTTGTACACAATAACATTGATTTGGACCCCACGTTCGGCGGCAGCTTGAAGCATAGCATCGAGGCGATACTGCTCGTTGCGAGAAGGCGGCCGACGAAGATACAGCTCAGGGCTCAGCCACCAATCGAGAATATAGATACTTTCCTGGGCGCCTATGAAGAGCGAGATGTCAATATCGATGAAACTGGCGTCTAGCTAGTAAAACTCACGTTGAAGGGCTTCAGATACTGCCCAAAAGTAAGACGCGCCATCAACGAACCACTTGATGTTGCCCGAAGAAGGGGCTGCAAAAGACTGAAACCGGTTGGCAGCATGTTCAGCGTGGAGATCATCGCACTGATAGCCCGTGTGAGAGTGAGAGTGTTGTTCAACGTTGGGTTCGCCCTCAAAGAAGGCCTCGACTCTATCGAGAAGACCCATGGTGCGGCGTCACGGATTGATGGTATATCCCGGCGAATCAGATACTGGCCAGGAAGACGTGGCTTCGGAGAAAACTGTAGACGGGGCCAGCCGTGGTGATGAGCAAAAGAGATAAAGATGGAGAAAGAGGGGAAAAAAAGCTACGGAGCACAAGTGCTGTAAATGGATTTCACAAATCTTTGAATCACGAAAGGTGGCCAAGAGCAAGCGCGTGATGGCACAAGGTTTACATAGCATATGGTGAGAGTGATGAGGGGTGAGAGACCCTTGAATAGATGACAGCGGCCTAGCACGGAACTGTCAGAATCATAGGGGGTCAAGTTGCGTGTTTGTCTGAGGACTGCATCGTATCACTGGTCCAGAGCCGAAAGCCCCGTTTCTTATTGGGCTCAGTGGATCGAAGCACAATGCACGCACAGCCACTGACCCTCCGTTTTTGCGAGTCTTTGTGCCGGTGGCAGGCGTTTCTAAAAGGAGGGCGCGGCATTAATCGAAACATGCTGGCTCTGTGCAGAGCAGATCAAAGGAAGAGCATTCCTTGGCGAGCTGATTGGTTGAGAGCCTAGTGAGAGCGGCCAATGCATCCAGACAGACAGAGCAACAAGTTTCGAAGCAGAGCCGGTGAAGCTCCTCTGCGAAGCTGAGCTGGAGCTCCGGCATTAGGACGAGTCAGATGTGCGGGGTTACACGATGGAGCAGGGGACCGATGATTTGCTCCATCCTTGGCTAGCTGCTTCAACTGCATGAGCCAGGTTGCCAGGTCCATGGTGGTCCGGGATGCTCCAGGAGCGATGGTGCATCATCGCTTTGCGTAGAGGCAACAGGATTTGGAGAATCGGTTTGGGGCATCGTGGACCCTGGACGAGTGGCACTGCGATCTTGACGACACGCGAAACGTACAGTACGGAAGACGGAGTAATATGTACGTGTATCCATAGCTTGGCGGCTTATTCCAGCACTATCACCTAGTAGTATGGTTAGCATGAGCTTGAACAAACGACGCGATACGTGCGATACTGTACATGGCACACTGTATTTTCTTTTCATTGCCTAGGTGGGCACCTGTCTGTTGACATTTGTACTCATTTTGTCTACTATGAGAGGTGGAATGGACATGTACAAGATATAGATGAGGGTTGGAGTTGCAAAGAGGAAAATGATGGAAATCGCGGGCTGGACATCACCTCGTCATCACGTGCAACGCAACCGGTCAATATCAGCTGCATTCATAGGTATAATCTATACTTATCGTTCAGTTATCAGTCCTCAAAATTCCAGGCGCTTTTCTATAGCTCCATGTCATGTACTCCATTGGCCCCTGAATTGGTCATTGGTGGTCGTCGCCCAATTCTGAATCTCATTTGCGTTACAAAAGGCCGGCCTGGAATAAAACTTCTACATCTCACAAGGATACCAAGAAAGGGTAGGCATGTAATATGGCCAAATGCTAGAATGGCAATGGTAGGTATTACCAGCTCGTCAATATTACATAATTTCTATCATCATAAAACCAGTAGTGGTGTAGAGCATCGACCCTGGAGTCTGTTTAATTCCCCTCAGCCGAATACGCAGAAATGGAAATCGGCTTCCTTGTCAACGATGACGCGGATGAAAATCTATGACTGCATTGAAATGATCATCTCTCATATCATAGGACTCTAAGGGTTTAACGGAGTGAACAGCTATATTGAAGCTCTGCGGAAGATGAGAACGTGTAGCGGATGTTATGGCTGGCACCCAGCTCATGTAAGTGCTCGGCTCTGCCCTGCTTCAGGCCGGAGACAGAAAATCAAGACATGATTGCAGCGAAAACAAGAATTATAGGTATTGACCAATGAAATGACCATGAATAGAGGACTCGCACGCCTAGAAAATAAGTTGGCAGGATGTTGACTAGAGTGAACTTGGAGAAAGTAGGACAACGCAAGTATGAGACTTTTATAGACATGCAGGCGACGGGAATTGGATGCACTGGGTATCGGTTCCCCGTAGGAACATGACTACCAGGCTCTGCGCGATTTGATTTCCAGGAGCAAGCAGGTTTTTACGTCATGCTTATATCTTGCAGTCGGTGGTAAATGAGCCAGGCAAAGCAGAAGATGAAGGTGACGATAGTCTGGTATCAAACATCAGATGACAACATCAACTCGGATGAAGTTGGACCGGCCTGCAAAACATCCGTCCATCGTTATAGCGGCCGTCAGGCTCTAGGCCCCTTGAGGCGACAGGCATTAGCGCGCCCTCAGGCCTCCCATTACGGGACCTCGGCGCTGCAGCGGTCGCTAATTAGCCTCAAGCTAGGTGCCATCCCATGTAAGGTACAGGCACGATGACGATGCTACTGTGCACTGAAAATTGTGCTCGCTTGCCGGGAGCTCGAAAATTGCAATTGCCTCCCTCGAGCAGAATCACAGGGACGCGTCAAATCGCTCATAGGCTGGCTCGAGCTTGAGATATTTATTGTCGTCTATTCTGATATTTCAAGACGGTATCTGCCGCTCTCGTTTTGTTGCTGCTGACCTTCATGGGCATACTTCTCTCAGCTTAAAATATACCTAGAAAGCAGTTGAACACTGTGACATCAGTGTTAGGTAGGTTCACCCAATTTTTCTGATATTTATATCCCTATTTTCATTTTTTTCTTGCTGTCGTCTCCTATTTTCGGAGAAATGTGTGAAAAAGAAAGATTCTCAAGATGGGAATATGTAATCTTCGTGTTTCACTGCATGAGTTTCAAGGTTGACAAGATTGCTAGGCAAACTTTTTTTTCTTTTTAACCTTTTCACCGCCATACTTCTGCAGGGCGTCGAGTCTCATCTCTGTCAGCTTCAGAAAGCAAAAACACATCTACCTACATATCCGCCTTCCACTGAGACTTGAAGCCTTTTTATTGTTCACACTCATATACATTCTCCCCATCATATATTCCTTCTCTTTTCAGCGTCATCTTCTATTCGATTCATCAGCGTCATAAAATGTCCACTCCGGGCATCATCGTACCCTTTGACGTCTCGGCTCATTCTCATCTTGTTCCTTACCTCGCAGCCCTCCATGCTTCATGTATCACACATGATCACACAATCGCCACCTTTCTGCTACCGCTGTCACACGAGAAGCTGCTAGCTTGGTGGAAAGAACGCATTGGGGAGACAAATGGAGAGAAGAGGGTGATGCTGCTTCTGGTGAGCGACCTCGATCCAAATGGCGCCATCAGAGGCCCAGAGATCAAGGGAGTCGTCATGCTATGGATGCCGTATTCAGAGACGGGCTCGTTCCGAGGCTTTGTAGAAAACCTCCTCGTGCACAAGACACATCGGGGCAAAGGCGCCGCAAAGGCGCTGATGAGCGCGATAGAAACGGAAGCTTTGAGTCGTGGTCGGAAATTACTGGTAGGCGCATCAGCTATTTGATATTTTCATTCTTCTCACAATCTCCCAAGACGAGCTTCAAAAGATGGCACAGCATTGGCATGATGAACACAATACTAACTTGTCTTATTAGCTGCTTGACACCGAGAGCGGCAGCCAGGCAGAGGCCGTTTTCAAGGCTCTTGGTTACACCGAGCTTGGAAAGGTCCCAGGTTACGGCATGAGCCCGGCGGGAGGTTTGAAAGACGGCACATTCTTCTATAAGACGCTTCAGCTATGACGAGAGGACCACGGCGCCAACCAGCATTAGATGGGGGAAATCGTTTTAGCGAATGAGTTGCAATACATAGGTAGTCATGAATAAGACAGACTTGGCGTTTTTGGGATACAGATTTGGCGACGCCAGCGAATAGCAAGTCTCCAAGCTCGCTTTTGCGATGCCACGTGGGTGTAGGAATCCATGTAACTGCATGTTATAGGCTAATGCACGATTAACTTGTAGCCGGTCGATGAGATTTTGGAAATGGCAGCGGCTGAGATTCTCTTCCCGTTTGAGACCTTCGGTGAGAGAATAGAGGAAGGCTGGCTTTCTTTTTCAGAGAAGCTGAGTAGACCACCAAAGCTCTAATACTTTTGTTTTTAAGCTTGATTTGATACAGATTGTGTATCGTCAACAGCCTGTAAACTCATAGAATAGTAGTGCCAAAGCGTTTACTTATGCGTTTCAACTAGGAGGCACAAAGAGCTGTCCGTTCACTCTGACATTACTACTAGTACTATGTACGTGCAACCAGCCAACTTGTAATTGAATTAAGTGCAAGCGAACCAAGGCATCGATAGAAGGACAATCTTGCACATGCTCCGTTGGTGGCGCGTCAAGCTATCAAAAGTTCCGAGGAAAAGGTCCTTATCGGAGGACGCCGTCATTCAAAAATAATCCCTGTCCGCATACACAGAATCGCTCCCATTCGCCGCTTCTTCGCCTTCTCAACCAGGGTCTCTGCACCGTTCCTGGTAGACAAGAGCAGACCTTGCTCAATACGGCATGTCACAAAAGGGCATTTTGAAGCGATTTTCTCTTTTCTTGTTCGCTTTCTGTATCGACTGACAAGGATGGCGGTGTGGAACGGGCGTCAATTGTCGGCATAGGAGCTGCAGCTTGTGCTCCATGATCTGGAGAAGCGCATCCCTCCAACAAGGGAGGGCCTACAGTACATATAAAGCCATGGGTGCGACGGAGCTGCAGACGCTGATCTTCTTCTTCTTCTTCCTCCTGTCTGCCTCTTATTAGTTCTAGATCGCATCTAGTTCTGGGATTGGCCCAAGGAATCGAGAACTGACATCCCACAACTCGAAGCCATGCATCGCAACACCATTGCCGTGCTTGCTGGCGCCCAGCTTGCTGCTGCTGGCCTCTATCCCGGCGTCACAGCTGACAATCACACGTGTGCATTGGGTGAGTTTTCAAGAGTCCTACTGTCTCTTCAGTTGATTTACGTTTAAGCTAATTGCCCATAGCCGACCCTGTCTTGTCTTGCTCCAAGGGCGCTGTGCCCGGAAAGGTGGACACCTGCTGGTATGTAACAGGATAAACCACAAACTTAACGTTCTAAATCAGAAAATTAATGATAATCATAGCGTCGAGACCTTTGGAGGACTGGTAGTACGTATTGACGATTTAAAATTACACCCAAACATCAACACTACACAGCTCAATTGCCATGGATACTGATTGACCGGAATCGCAGCTCCAAACCCAGTTCTGGGACACTCAATCCGGCTTCGAAAGCCAAGGACAGAAGTATCCGCCGGCAACATGGACTATCCATGGCCTTTGGCCTGGTACGATTAGCTACTATACCCATCTCTTTCACCCATTGTGTAACTCTAGAAGCTAACAGCTCGCCCAGATTTTTGCAATGGAAGCTACACTCAATACTGCGACCTAAGGTATGCCCTGCTCGCCCTCAATAATTGTGATTGGCAAACGTAGTAACTGTATCATTCATATATAGCCGCCAATATGACCCTCACCCTGCCCCCAACACAACCGACGGCACTCCCCATGGAACCCCCGTCCCTCCATACACCGGCCCCTCGATCGAGACCTTTTTCGAGCCATACGGGAAGATGGACCTCCTCGCTTACATGAAGAAATACTGGATCAACCAGGGCGCTCCTAACTGGGAGCTCTGGGCCCACGAGTTCTCCAAGCACGCTACCTGCTACTCTACCTTTCAAAAGGAGTGCTATGTATGACTCCTTACAACTCCCGCCCATATATACCAGTCCTCCAACTCACAATTGTATCACACAGGGACCCAAGGCCAGCGAGTACGACGACCTCTTCCAATTCTTCGAGACCGTCATCTCCTACTACAAGACCCTCCCCACCTGGCGCTGGCTCTCCGCCTCCAACATCCACCCCTCCAACAGGACCTCCTACTCTCTTTCCCACATTCAAGCCGCGCTGACCCGCGAGTACGGCGTCGTCCCCTACCTCGGCTGCGGCGGTCCCAGGTACAACGAGACAAAGGCCGGCAAGGGGTCTCGTGACAACGGCGGCACGCAGCTGAACGAGGTGTGGTACTACTACCACGTCTATGGCGCTCCCCAGCGGAACCAGGCCCTGCGAGTGCCTGCTGATATTGCCGGCGGTTCGCTGACAAGTTGTGCCAAGACTCCGGGCGCCATCTGGTACTATGAGCGTGCCCCGGGCAGTGAGACGAAATAGAATAGGGCTGGGCGTTGGAAAAGAAGACGCAAAATAGATGGAGAATGAAATGAAGAAAATGATGACCCTGTCCATAGATAAATCGTACAAACGCCTGCTCCATATTGGAGCATCATGAAATAGACTCTAAACTGCCAATGAAACCCCCTTTTGCTATTTCGTTCTGTCCCCCATCTCACACCGCGAGCAGTTACGCCGATAATAAAGCCCCAATACACGCCACGCTCTCTCAATGGATGCGGCCTACCTCAGCTCGTTTCTTACAAATACATTTTCCCCTTCTTTATTCATCGTCCGCCAATTCCTCCACCCTGGGGGCTTCGTAAGCCTTTTGCTGCTGGGGAGCGACGTCGAGCTGTGTGTCGGTGCCCGTTGTCGTTGCAGTAGTCGGTGCGATTTGTCCAGTAGCCGCGGCCATGACGGAGTTGGTTCCAACAGCCTTTGACTTCTTCTTCTTCTTTGGCTTCTCAGTCTGGGGAGAGAATTGGGTTAGCCGCTGAAATTATTCGTAGATGACAGGATGAGAAGAGAAGAGAATAGCTTACCTCATGCCAAGCCCAGACTGGTCGGAAACTGTCCATGAAAGAAACGTCTTCCCAGAGATTGGGGTACAGCCATAGACCAGGAGACGCAACAAAGTATGTAATGCAGAACAGGATAACACGGAAAATAGCCATGGCGAAGAAGAGACCAAGAAGACCAAGCATGCCCCAGCTCAGGTAGTAAACGCCCTGTCGCAGCTTCAACGGCCAGAGAGGGTACAACACAACGATGAAGATGATGACCAGGGCCAGGGCGGCGTACAGCTGGCGCTTGACCTGGCTGCCCTCCCAAAGCCACACGTAGTACATGTCCTCCTTGGCCTCTTGCTGCTGCTCTATCCTGACGTTCCACTGGCCCTTGACACGCTTGGGCTTCTTGCCGTTGGGGCCGGGCTGCGGCTCGAGCTTGGAGACTCGCAGCGCAAGCATGCTGAGGGGCAGCAGCTTAAAGGTGTTCTCTAGAGACGCCCGGTCGGTGATTTCTGGCAGCAGAGGATTCTTCTTTCGAGCCTTTTCATAAGCAGGGGACTGCAGCGCTCGCAGGGCACGCTTGACTGTAGTTTTGGTTAGTTATGTTAACTCTGCATGGGAAGAAACCTGATTACAAACCCTTGAACATGTCTTTGCGCTCGCCGTTGAGAATCGAGGTACGTGGCTTCAGGTCCTGGCCGCGCAAGAACTTGGCAACAGCCAGTCCCTTTGGATTCGGCGGGCCTGGGGTGATGGGCTGAGGCTGGCCCTGTTGCGGCTGGCCCTGCTGAGGGTGCGGGTGCGGGTGCGGGTGAGGATGAGGGTGGTTGTGGCCCTCATGTCCTCCTTGCTGCTGGGCCTGTTGCTGCGCGGCCTGCTGCATTTGCATTGCGCGCATGCGCGCCATCTGCTGCTGCTTGATGTGCTCGATGAATTGAGGCACCGTCATGCCTGCCTTGGCGGCATCTTCAGCAATCCTCTGCTGGATCTGCTGGATCTGCTCGGGCGTGGGTGGCTGTCCCATGAAACCTGGGCCCGGCATGGGCATTCCCATGGGCATTGCGCCTGGAGGCGGGCCTTGCGGCGGCGGCGCAGCCATAGCTGTTCGTTGTGCTGGAGGATATGATACAAGAAGATGGGGCAGATCGGGTCGTCGAGAGTTACACAGTCGTAGGCGACGGGAAAATTTTCAAAGAAAAGTTTGAGTGAAAGACGCACGACCGCAAAGTTGTCGAGCGGGCCTTGACGCTGTATTATAAAGTGGCATCTTGAAAGTCACTGGCGCTGCCAACTGGACAGATAGCAATGTGTTCACTTTCGTCTCACTGGTTGCGCCGGATCGTTTATTCCCCGATTTCCGGCGATTCCCCAGCGCTGCTGCTACGTCAGATTACACTGTCTTCCGCACAGTATGGGAACTTTATATCACATCACATCGCATCGCATCGTATCGCGCACCTACTGCTTTAGGCGACATCTTCGGCTTCTTAATCCAGTCAAACGGAATGGGGGACCGACTCACGCAGCTGCAAGATGCAGTTGACCAGGTACAATCTGCCCCAACATATTTTCTAATGGCGATGCGCATTGAGAGCTCTGCTTACTGACGGTTGATCATCTCCAGTTTGCTCAGCAGCTCGTTGCTGCTCTGCACTTCGTCCACGCCCACCACGACCTCCAGACGCTAGGCCCGAAAGACAAGATCCGCGAGCCCAAGGAGCAAGCTCCAAGAGAAGGTACCGACATCATCTAATGGCATCTCGGGTGATCATGTCGCTAATAAGTTTCCTGTAGTGGACGCACTGCCTCCCCAAGACTTTCGGGCCGGCATGGTCGAGCTGTCGCGCGACTTGATTGTCAAAGAACAGCAAATCGAAGTCCTCATCTCTACACTGCCCGGACTCGACAACAGTCAACAAGATCAGGAGCGGCATATCAAGGACCTCGAGGAGGACCTGAAGACGGCCAAGACTCAGCGCGTGGAAGCGCTGAAGGAGAGGGACAACATACTGACCGAGCTTGACGCAATCATCCGCACCTTGCGACGGCCGTGAGCTGCGCGTGTGCTTCTATTCCGCACGTGTAGAAGCTCATCAATCTGCTTTAATTGCATAGCGAGGCGTTTGGGTAAATCTGACTGGGCTTCGGCAGTTCTCTTTTACAAGACCACCGGGTAGATTTGGGAAATAATGCGGACCAGAAAGTGTTATTCTCCGCTATTTCCAAGGTATCTATATGTATTGGATATGTCTATGTGGCTATCAAAGGAGTTTATCGTAATTGCAGGGTGTATAATGCGCAAATCACCAAGTCCAAGTCGATGCTCCTTGAGTTCTTCAGGAAGCAGCAGAAGTGCTCTTGAAAAACTGGGGATAGACGTCTCGCAGCTCGCGTAGGTGGCGAATCTGATACTGCGACGCTTGAATCTTGGGAGCTGGAACGTCTTCCTCCACCAGGTGCGCTGCTGTCCAGCCTAATTTCTTCGCGGCGGCGCAATTGGCGTAGCTGTCGTCTATAAGCAGAATCAGTGATTTTATTCTTTCAAGATTTGAGAAGCAGTGGGAGGGCTCAAAGAAGAAACAAGTAATCTTACCAACGAAAAAGCAGTCTTCCATTTGGTCCACTCCAGCGTGTCTCATGGCCTTCTTATACATGTCTTCGTGAGGCTTGCAGACCAAGGGCATTTCGGCGTAATCGCAAAATGTGAGGCCTTCAAACTGATCATCGATGCCGAGCAATTTCACGACTCGTTTTCCGTGATTGACGTAGGCATTGGTGAGAAGCCACACCCTCACCTTGCTCCTGTCGATATCCTCGAGCAGTTGGCGCAGTTCTGGGTTGGGCTTGATGATTCCCTCTAGGGGCAGAGCGTCGTCGACCTTGGCGTTGTACTCCAAGGGGTCAATCTGGTGGTGGCGAACCAGCCCTTCAATGGCCAGTCCATAGTTGGTGTAGTATTCCTGGTGAAGTTTGGCGGCCTCGTCAAAAGGCAGGCTGAGATGCTCTTCGAAGTACTTGTCAATCAGCTCAGCCATGAGATCTTGTACTTTGCTGCCTAAGGCTTGGTTAGTATGGGCTGAATCATGAGACATGAGGTGCCGTTTGCTTCATACTCCTTGGGTAGAGACAGTTATCAATGTCGCTTGCATATTGTTAGAGGTATTTCGTTGTTTCGCAATGGGATTTATCAATAATTTACTCACAAGAAAAGAACCGGTTTACCGGCCTTGGTGCCATTGGGGACAGTCATTGTGAGAGGTAAAGAGCTGGGAAATGCGTGGAGGGCTCGCAAGGTTGGACCAAGAGATGGCTGCGGGCGAAAGCCAATATGTCTCTTATGAAGTGTCTGACGAAGATTATTTGTGGATTGAAGAGCTAATGAGACGGGGAGCCTGTATATGCGCATCCGGTCGAAGGTGTGTTGAATTAAAGAAACAGATATTTATGCCAAGTATGATGACTCCTACACCGGCATGGACTAAAGCGTGCTAATGATTGCTAGCTTACAGGGACATTAGAGTGGCGGAGGTCGCCGAGCAGAGACTGTGTCTAAACTGCTGTATCACTCATCTTCACAGTAAGAATATGTGTTCAAAGAAGAGGCGTCCCTCTAATATAAAATATGAGCAGCAAACTAATGTGAACAGATTAGATTTCTGAATTCCTGTCTCAACAATTTACCAACATCTACTGGGCTCGGGTAAAGGCTACTTCAGCTTTCTCGCTTAGTCATTGAAAGATATCGGCTTTGGAACCGGAAAACTGAAGTCTCGGCTGGAATATTGCGGAGATACAATTAAGAGTAGCATTGAGATCCCGGACTTTATACAAATTCTTGCGCGTGCTCGAAAACTTCCGCCCCGTGGTCGTCGGTTTGTACGTGGAAGCTGGGGGAGCGTAGTCAGTGAGTATACTGGCAATAAATAAGAAAGTGTTTCAATGTGCCTTAGCCCCTATTTTGAAAAAAAGAAACACATGTCGATTCATATTATGGCACGTCATAGCTGCCGTATCATACCGTATCATAACTATCAAATATATTGCCCAATTCGTAGTTCACATGGGTAGCTTCTTAATGCTGTGCCGTGAACTCCATACTTCCCTCAACAAAGTGGCTGCGTGTTTTTCACCTGCATCACAAATATATCATCTTTTTCCGTAGATAGAATTCAACATGCGCTATATCTCTCTTTTATGCGTAGGGAAGGTACAAATATTAAATACACTGTGTTGGTGGTGATTAAATACGAGCGTTGTGAGCTTTTGAAGTGCGAGATGCAAAGTATAGCACTACCGACCCAGAACTTACAGGGGCACGTGGTCCACTTTTAAATTCTGCCCAAAGAGCCCTGTCACCGCCCAAATTATTTAGCTAAAGTTGCCTCCATAGCGCCTCCTTACGCCTCGAAGCTATCGCTACTACTCCAGACATCAGCACACATCGATCACCCATTATGAGCGGTGTATCGTGGGAGCAACCGCTGATTGTTTCTTCTGCCAAGACGCTTCTGTAGCTTCTACAAAGAGCAGTTTCTCCAACGACACGCGCAGCCCTTTTTTCCCCTTCGCGTATCTCACCGCGCATTGTTGACGCGGCATTCCCGTCAATGCTAACACAAAAGGCCATTATTTGCCATGAGTTCTAGAGACAATGGCCTGGCCGCCGCCCACCAGGCAAATGCCATTACACCACGCAAGCTGACAGAGAAGGAAGCAAAGGAGATTGCAGAGTACGAAAAGATACTGCGATTTCGCGATGCTGTCCTTTCTGGAGAGCACCCAACCATCAAGGTCCAAGGGAACGTAGCTCTCTCGTCCAAGGCCATCCTCACCGACACGAGAGCGCCATCAGAACCGGGTGAAGTAGACGCAAAGCCACACGCTCCAGAGTCGTCTTTTGCAAGTACTCAGAAGCAGAACCCTTCTTTGCTGCCGCATCTAGCGGATGCTGGTGCTAAGCCAGCTGATTCTGACATCCCAAGATCACTGGGGGCTGGGGCTGGTGTTGGGGCCGGGGCCGCGACGACGCAGATCAATCCCATTTTTCTTGAAAAATCTGACGAACTTGTTAGGGCTGAAATCCAGCTGCAGAGACAAAGGCTTGAACGTGCCCTCAGAGAAGAACTTGAGAACCATCGAAACACGAGGCACGCAGAGCCCGTCATCGAATTTGATCTGCCTGATGTGCTCGCCAAGGCTCTGACCCTTGTTCAGGCCTCTGCTACACCTTTTGCCGCCAATAGGGGCTTGACTGCTAATTCTGCAAGTGATTCTTTCGACGATAGAACATACTACTCCTCACAACATGAGACGCCTGACTCTAACCTGACTTCACGTGTGCGCCGCTCGACTGATGAGGGGATGATGGTTGACAGCCGCAGGGAATCTCAATCAGGGCCTCGTGAAACCATCAACAGTGGTGGCCATGTGGCCGCTACTACTGTGAGAGACTACCCAGCCGCAGGTTCTTCATCTCAACCCTTCTACCAGGCTCCTGCCCCAGTGGCCAACGTTACTCTTAGTAGGCCAGAAAAGCAACAGGTTCCTGGCCTTCATCACTTGCATGTCGATAGTGGCAGCCTAGCAGTTACCCATGCCCCAGCTATTGCTGCCATCGCTACTGGTGCAGAGGCCAGCCGGACAGCAGAAAGAGGCCACCAAGGTCCTGAAAACAGCGTTCCTAAGCCTGTTCAGAATCAACCCGAGCAGCCACTCCCCTTGATTCGAAACCATGACTTGGTACCTGTTGCTCCGCAGCCGGCAAAAATTGCACCCTTGACTGTAGTCAACGTGCAAACCCCTGTCGCCGAAACGGTCGTACCCGCACCTCTAGCAGCGCCAGCGCCAGCGCAAGCGCAAGTGGCAGCTCTTAGGAATGAGGCTCCTGCTGCTGCTGCTGTCTCCGATAGCTCTTCTCAGGGTACGAAAGAAGCTGATCAGAGAAAGAAGAAGAAGAAGAGAAAGGTCGAACGGCAAGCGCCTGAGGCCGAGGCCAGCCCTCGTATCAAAGTTGAGCCTCGTTCACAATCGCCCGTGACCGCTCCGGCGTACACCAGACCTACCAAACGACAGAGACAATCTCAAGGACATGCTAATGAATCTGAACGACCTGAGCCGAGACATACTCAGCCTCCATCAAATGCTTCCTATGAGCGGCAACCATCACAAGTATATCGAGGCGAGCGAGCTCCCGTAACTTACCAGGCTCCCGAGCCTAGGCGAATTGTTGTTCGCCATGCTCAGGGCATAGAGCCTGCTACTGCTCTCAACTATGATAGAGATTTCATTGATGACCGTCTTGCATCTGGTGAGGGCTTCATACGCCTGCCTCATTCAAGCGAGCGCTACGTGCGCCGGGATTACGCACGTGAGACGGATGCTTTGGATAGAGCAAGGCATGGGACGATTGTTAGAGAGCCATACGTCATCTCAGAAGGCCCATATCGAGAACCCACACGCGTCTATCATGAGCCTCTTGAAGCACCACGCGCGAGCATACTTCCAGAGGGTGAGTCTTTCATAGTTCCTCCCCGGCCACCAACACGGGTTATGGTAGATTCATACGGACGAGAGTACATCGAGCCTGCGCTTTCCTCCGCGCGGCAATCTGTTGCCCCCTTGCCCCGATCTGGAGAACCAGAGGTAATTTATGAGCGACGACCACCCACTCAGTCCTTGTCAGGCCACCATGGAGCTGGAGTACCATACAACGAAGGTGGTGTGGTATACACCAGACCTCTGTCCGTCTACGATCCCGTCAATAGAGTATTTGTATCACAGCCACCCGAGTCTCCTTACGATCATAGGGATGGTCAGTATCGCGAACATCAGTTACAGCAAAGAGGCTACATTCAACTCTCGGGACCTCATGACCGCAGAATCGTCGAGGAGCGGCCGATAGAGTATGCTTCGCGACCAGTTGGCTACCAGGCGTCGGACCGAGTGCGGCTTGAACCTACCGGCCAACCATATTATCGTATGCACAGCATACACCCCGATGCTAGCGGCAGAGAAGCGACTTCTGCTTCGACTGTCCGCTATGACAGTCGCCGCCCAGAGGGCTCCCAGCCGTATATCAGAGAATACGTAGGCAGTCCCATGCAGCGACCTCCGACTGTTCACAGAGAATACAGCGCGCGGCCCTCTGAGCGATACCAGGGACCTCCAGCACCTACAAGGGGATCCAACGAGATTGCCTTTATTGAGCAACCTCGAGCGGCAACCCGGGAAATCGTGTACCTGGATGACGTCAGAAGAGAGGTTTATCGGTAAGGAGCGGCTACAGAACCGACTCTTTGTTTCTTTTTATTTTTTTATGTTGCGTTTGTATAAGATCTTGTAAGAGTACATTTTCGGAAAAGGCACCTGGAACCAAGCACAATGAAATAAGGAATAAGGCATCTGGCATCAGGCATCAGGCATTTGGCATCTGGCACGAAAAAGGTCACCGGTATGAAAAGGATATAGGGGATTGACATTCAAGATAACAACGGTGGACAGTGGCATAATTGAGGTTGTGAATAGGTTACTTGAGCATTTACCCTTTGCGATGTAATAGGGCTATTGAAGACGTCGAAAGTATGTGAGAGTTCATAGTTGATACTGCAATATCATGGAATAAACGTTTTTAAATATCGATTCACTGTGTTGCGCCATAAACCACCTAGTCTAGCCAGCCGAAGGCGTTTACATTTATGCCAGACATATCATCAGCCAATGATAGAAACAAGCAGCATCTGGTCAACATCCACAATAGTCACTTCTCATGTTTGTTTCCTTCTTTTGAATTCAACCCGGTTTGCTTTAGACAAGTTACAAGCTTTTCTCTCTCCCACACATCATGAATTAGTTGTGGCGATCTTTGTAGGTAGCTTGCCCCTGACTTGGAGCAAGAATCGCCATGTTTTGTTTTTGCTAGACTTATTGTATGGGGTGGCTTTCTTGCGCGACATGAAGGAAATCAGAAGCGAGTCAGGGATTCTGGGACTTTGGATCTCAGGCGGCAGAGGTAGCGATACTTGCGTCTGGCTATCACGAGCCAAGACGTACCTCTAGGTCCGCGGCAGAGATTTGGTGATACTTGTGTATGTGCCACCCGGATCAGAGCCCGAGAACCTGACGGGAAGAAGGAGGGCCGTTGACTGTAATGTAGGCATGTTCCAGATTGAGATACGATGGGCAGCTACATTTTACAAAGAGTCAGAAAGGATGAGTTGGTTGGCTGGATTAGCCATGACGGAAATCAGAGCTCAACGACAAGCCATGAGGTCATCAAGTACATGCAGCCAAACAGAAAAGAAGGGAGCTTTGAGCTCTCTTCCCACCCGGCCCGTGTCGGCATGAGGTCGTCCGCCGGTTACGTGCGTGTCTTTCACTCCTACGAAACCTGCACAGCCTCTTTACTACTCACTTGTTTCCTCTTCTCCGCCGTCTTTGTGGTCTGTCGGCATTCTGTGGGGAACAAAAAAATGCCACTGCACATTGCAAGAGAGGGGAGGGTTCCGGCAGATTGTTGCGCTAGAGCATGTACGTAGGAGGTTATTTTGCTTGTTAGCTGCAAGTATCCGGGCACCGGATAAGACGGGACACCCTTTTTTGTGTTTTAAAGTCGCAGACGGCAAAGGCGGAAAGGTTCGAGGATGGGTCAAGGACCTGGTCCCGTTTGGAGTATCAGCGGAGGGGCAATCCTAGTCCTCCTTTTGTAGTTATTTGGGCAAGTTGAGACGATGTGCTTTATAGACGACAGTATGAACAATGGTACTTGATACCACTACTGGCGTGGCGATTGAAGGCGACAGTGTCTTGTCATCTCTGATCAAACGATCGTGTCCACTTCAAACGCGACCCCCATGCGTACCGGATTCGCGGAATGGAATGGAGGCCCCAAAGTCGGTGCTTTCGGCTGGCCTTTGCTGGCGCAGAACCTAGTTGAGCTGAACGGACGGCGGAGTTGGGGCGACAGAATAGGGAAAAGCCGACGGGACTCGAGTGTTTCAGAAAAGCTTGAGAGTTTTTTCTTTTTCTTTATTTTCTTTTTCTGTGTTGGTAGCATCCGGCCCATCACTTCTCTAAACAGGACATGATGGACGATGGTGTTACAGAACACGCAGCCATTCCAGGCGTAACCAACGACCTTATCTTATGGCCGCCACAGTTCCAGGTCAGCCGCCTTGCGTATGTACATGTAGTTGGTTCGATTAGGCAGGCAGAGTGGTAGCCGGCCGAATTGATGAAATGAGTGCGACTGGTACACGGCCTGAAATCCGCAGAGGGTATCACGGTGGCGGCAGTAACCTTTTTCTTCTCATTTCGAGACAAGACACGGCATATTTGGTAGTGGGCTAAGCTAGATGGAGGGAGAGAGTGAAGGACGCATGTCAGTCCCGCCAGCCTCTGCTCGTGCAAGAAAATTGGGGGCCGCTTGTCACCAACAACGGTAAACCACAGCACCACAGCTGTACGGATACTGCATTGGTAGCTTTCTGTATCTGGTGGCTCTTTGAGTGTGGAAGCAGTATCTGGGCATCCCGGTAATATGCATGCCCTATGAGCCTTACGACAGCCGGTTTTGGAGTTGTACCTGGCAGCCGTTCTAGCAGGGTTTCCTCCTTGATTCATCTAGGTAGAATCAAACACCGACCGGAGCATGCCAACTCCCGGGGCACCGACCCGAGCCTGCTCGTATAATGGATGGGTACGAAGCCTCGCTTGAGTGAATGAGCCCTCCCGTTTCATCGAGCAAAAGGGAAAAAGCTTGGTTGCTGCGCGCCCCTCTCTCGCACATGCTCGCACATTATTCGTATAAAACAGCCATCGTCATGATTTGCTGTTCTTCTGGAGGGCGGACCCACTGCATTTGTCGCTGAACCTGAAGATCTGGCTGTCGATCCTGGCATCACCGAGAGATGAAAATGCCAGTCAAACCCTAGCCGTGTAGCAACGCCCCAGCAAGGGCAGGAGAGGGAGACGCCGGCGAGACAGACTCATTTGCATGGGTGCGGTACTGCGCTGCTGTACCAGCTGATATCAACAACGCTCGTACCAGTACGGATAGCATCCCCTACTCTCGCTTTCGCACAGCAGTGGTGATCCCCAGTGGCTCAGTGGGTGAGGGCTGCAGAGCTTGCGTGTGCCACGGAGAGCAGCATGGATAGTCCCGGCCAGGCCAAGCCAGGCTATGGTAGGGAGTGGACACGGCGGTGGAGTCCGGGATCGCGAGCCTTTGTGCCTTATTGTGGTAGCGAGTGGGTTCGTGAGAGGGAGAGTGGGCTCGGCCTGGTGCTTAGCCTGGCAGCAGAGAATCTGATGTTTGCACCGACAAAAACGCTAGAAGCAAAAGAAGCCAAGAGAAGGCCGAAGCACGAGAGAGAGTGAGAGATTAAACTCTGCGTGCCAATGTCTTTGCGTCTATCCAGAGCGAGGGTCTTGTGGCTCGCAATGGCTTCCGACGAGCAGACAGACAAACAAGACAAGTGCAGAAGCCGGTTAGGGGTGCAGCCAAGGTTTCGCAGCAAAGCCATTCTGCTGACCACGGCATCTCGTTGGCTCTGCAGGGCCTGGCGTGGCCTCAGCCAGTAACGGCCGCGAACTGCAATGTCTGCAGCAGCTTGTGCTAGCCCGCATGCCTTAGCAGTCGCTAGCCCAGGGATATCTTGGCAGCACTGACATGCATTGGAGTTGCCAGCACGGGAAATGCCTACAGTACATACTAGTAGCCAAATACCAGAGTTGGTAGAGCCATGCTGTGGGCTGCTGCGAGCTGCCGTGAGCTGCTGTATGCCGCTGTTTGGGGGCAAAGAGAGGAAGCGTGCCGTATCTGCTGGTAGGACCGAGCACAGACGATGCCTTGTTGTTTTGCACAAGACCCGACCCGACATGGATCTGCAAGACTCAGACAAGCTTTCAATTCATCGTGCTTCCATCAAATCTCACCAGACAGGTCGGTACGTACCTGCCTCCTGCTGGGTGCGCGCACTAAGGCACGCTCCATTGGTGGCTGCGTCTAAAATCCTCCCCAGCCGCCATCAAAGTACCGAGACCTCGACTACCGTACTGCTGGCTGTACTAGTAGTAATACTGGTAGTACTATTAGCCTTGCTTGACGGCAACCCGTCCATTGTTATTGTCCATCATGTCCCATATCGGGACAGGCCTCTCTCTCCCCAAGACAGCGCGCCGTTGCTACGAAAGCGCGCAGCATTCCGTTCCAGGTACTTCCCCATACGCAACACGCACCAGCGGTACTTGTGCCCGACAGCCTGCACGAGTCCCCCCGGCCAGCTTGGCGTGCCTGGCGCCAGCGACCCACCGCAGGTCTTGCCCAGCAGGCTCTAGGAACGCAGCGCACCGGAGAACGGAACTCGAGGCACTAAAAATCCCAACCTAGCGTGCACGGAGCCCTGGTGAGGCTTTGCTCCCGCGATGCTGGGTCCGTCATTGTCTCTCTGGATCTCTTGAGCGGTACGACAGTGTCCGTACCTGTACTTTGCCGTTGCCCGGCAGTTTGCAAGACTCGAGCAGCATTCAACCAGATTAGCATGTAATACAGAGCGCGGTGCACTGCATATTGATCCGCCTCACAAAAGAAGTAGAGGTCTGTCTGTCTGTCTACTGCTAGTATTGGGTACTACTGCTAGTATAGAGCAGGCTTCATCTACTACCTACTCGCGAGGGTTGCTGATGCGCACAAGAGGGTGCTCGTGCTTACTTTAGGCCACGCTGCGACTCCGTAACAGTGCAGCAGAATATGCCCGTGTGGGTGGTGCCGGTGCGGTGCAGCTCCATGCAGCATTGCGGCCCATCCTTTTACAGCACGTTCAATTTACCTGGGCCTGCGCTGTGCCGCGCAAATGCAGGCGATGCTGTTGTTGTCGCCACTGCATCTTCGTATCATATCGTGTACATACATGCTGCAGCGGCAGTATATCCCTTATTTGTGCGCCTGCATCCTGCTGTGCAACACCGTTCCTTGCTTTGCCGTGCCCAGACATGGCCCTCGAGTTTGCACAAGGTGGATTCCGTGAGCCGACATGCAGCCTATGAGAAGAAGAGAGATGCGACCAAGAAAGGCCTGATCTTGGTTGCTTGCTCGCATCGTCTTACCACTTTTACCGCAGTGCCTTATCGCAGTGGTGCTGTTAGTACTGTACACAATACAAGCATTAGTGCTCGTACAAGGAGACGGCACAGCCCTGTTTGAGCCAGCCCTTGCTTGGGCTGCCTCAATGCTCGTGATACCAGCGTCTTTCGTCGGGAGTGTTGTGAATGTGCAGAGCCAAGCTGAATCGTGCTGAGAAGGGAAACTCCGTTTTCTGAGCGTCTTCGAGACTGAATCGTCCAAAGAGTTGATTGAGACAACAGACTCGACTCTTGCGGATCGAGGTACCTGCCCGCGTCCGCCAGCCGGTACTTGTACCACCGGGGGCTGCTCAGCGCGGTCCAGGCCCCCGACAATCCCACAACTGAACCACTAACCTCACCTGACTAAAACATGCCGGGCTCTCTCAGCGGCTACCCTCCAGTCTTTTCTTCCATGTTCCCTCTTCTCCAACCTGCTCTTCCCACCTCCCCTCTGGCTCTCCAACCTCGCTCGAGATAGCTGGAAAAGGGTCTGTGTTTACCGGCTCTTGTTCCTTTTCTTTTCTTCTTCTTCCTTTCTCCCAGCTGGATTCTTTTTTTTTCTTCTTTTCTTATCTGTGCCCTGATCGATACCCCCTTGCATTTTCAACCTCCCCCAGGCCTCGTCCTGCTGATTCCCACCTCGCCGGCCGCCTTTTCCTGTCTTGCTCCCACCATCGCCAAACCGACCCGACTCGACCTGTAGCCCGGCCCTTGCTTCTTCTCGCACACCATGAATAAGCTGGCGAACATGCGCCACTGGTCCGAGAGGATGAGTCCAAACTTCGGCATGGGTCGACCCAGCGTGCCCATGAACAACCTGAACCAGCACTCCAAATCCGTCTCCCAGCCTGGCCTGCCTCTAACGTCTCCCGCCGCCGACGCCACGATACACTACTCGTTCAACATCCCGTTTGCCTCTGACCTGGCTGGGCCCAACACCGAAGACATTCTGCACGCTACCACCGATGCCGTCTTGAGATGGACGCACCCAGAGGACGCCCCCGACGACGTCAACATCTTTGAGCTCCCTGCCCACGCCCAAAACCTGGCAAACCTGCGCAGGCTCTGCAGGGATTTGTCCGGCGGCCCTCTGCCCATCGAAGCTCAAGTCCTCGTCTCGGCCCCCAAGAATGGCAAGAGCCAGCAGATTACCACCGTCTGTCTGACGGGATCCCCGGAGCTCGTCAACAAGAGCCGGGAGACCATTTTGAACGAGATTCCCATCTCCATGGTATGCTCAGTCCTTTCCTTCCCGGGCCCCTTGGATGTACTCGCAGTGTGCTAACTCGCCTTTTTTCAATTGCAGCGATGCATCACAATTGACATTGATGGAAACTTGGTCTGTGACCTGGCTGCGGGCGTACTCAAAAAGCCCGTCCTGGACAATCTAGACTTCATCTCTAAATACTGCGGCGTCGACATCTTTCTGTTGGGACCCAAATTGACCCCAATGGTTGATGGAATGCTGGGAGATTCCGAGATGCGAATGGACCAACGTTGGAGAGTTGCCATCTACGGCGACATCTTGTCGTCCGAGCACGCCAAGGCCCGAGTGCTTGTTCAAATTGACACTTTGGTTCGTACTTTTGTCCCACTTATACCTTTGCATACAACTTTTCTAACATGACTTGTCGTCTCAGCTTGGCCGCATGGTGGATGGTTTGAAAATCGAGTCGTCTCTTCACCAACTTGTTTGTGGACGACATCGCAAGAACATCAAGCTCATCGAGTCTTCAACCGGGACTGCCATCTACTTCCCTCCTCTGTTCTCGCAAATGTATCGCTACTGCCCACCCAACGCGAATCGCCGTGAGCCTGCAGACGTCTACATCACAGGAGACTCTCATCAGGCCCTAGAGCTGGCCAAGCAGAAGCTTCTTGAGACAGTTTCTCGCATCCGCCTCTTTGTCAAGGATGTTAACATCCCGGCCGCCAAACTCGACAACATCCTTCTAGGCCGCTTGGACAAGGTTCGCAAGATCCTCGAGGCCAATGGAACGTACATTATGCTTCCTCAATTGGCGTGCCAGCGCACGGCCGTCCGAGTCCACGGAAGTGAGGGCCTGCCGGTTGAACGAACCGTCCGGGAGCTCATGTCACTGGCTGGCCAGTTCTATGGCGCCGGATGGTATCTTCAACAGCCAGAGAACAGAACTCTACCTGCCGCTCATGAAGTTCACTCCATGCTCGCGGATATTTGCGCCAACTCGGATGCGGAAGTGTCCTTTGATAAGGCATCTTTTACCGTCACCGGTGCCGATGACTCCGTCAAGTCTGCCATGGCCGCCATCTCCGAGTTGAAATTCGCAACCATTGCTCCCTATCAAATCCGTGTCAAGATTGAGCTTGCAAACGAGCACAAGGAGTTTGTGAGCGGTAAGAAGAATGGCAAGATCAACAAGATCATGGGACAAAGTAGGTTATCCCGACCCCACAACGAAATTGGTTCGTCATCGGACTTTGAACTAACAAGACATTTTCCCTTCTTCAAGGCAATGTGCAGATCATCTTTGACGGCTTCAACGAATACAACTTCAACATCGACGTCATGGCTGCCACCTATGAATCCATGAAGCAAGGTCTGACCTTGGTTGAGCAGGAGATGCCGGCGTCTATCTCGTTTCATGTGCCGGACCAGTACCACAAGCGCATCATTGGCATTGGCGGCCAACACATTCAGCGCATCATGAAGAAGCATTCCGTCTTTGTCAAGTTTTCAAACGCCATGGACAGAGGTAAACAATTCATTAATTCATCAATCTATTTTGACAAGAGTGTTACTAAACAGCATATTCACTAGGTGGCATGGGACGCGAAGATGACGACATCAAAGTCGACAATGTCATTTGCCGCACTCCGGCTCGCAATGCCCAGAACCTGGATGCTGTCAAGAACGAGATTCTTGAAATGGTTGACCGAGCTGTAAGTAGCCCACCAAGGTGACAAAAGGTGACAAAGATGATTGTCGACTAATCTGAATGCTACAATAGGACTCCGAGTACACTTCTCAGATTGTTAGCGTTGATCGGTTGTACCACCGCGAATTGATTGCTCGCCTCTCAGAAATTGACGAGCTTGAGCAAAAGTACAACTGCAAGATCAACTTTCCTAGCACTGAGCAGGCGAGTGACGAGGTTACCGTCACTGGCCCCCAGTGGCAGGTGCCTCATTGCGTTGACGAGTTCCTCGGCATGGTCCCCGATAGGCATGAATTGGTGCTTGCTCGTAGCGCCAAGTTGGTCAAGTTCCTGGAGTCTCCTGAGTTTGCGCATGATCTTGTCCCCAAGTTGAAGAGTCAGTACGAAGTGGAAGTTACTGTTCATCAGAACCCTGAAGAGACCACTGAAGATGGCTCCCCCACCGCTACTCTCGTCTGGGGCTTCACGCGCAACAATGCAGGAGGTCTCCGAGACGCCATCGACTTCTTGCTCGCCCAATTTGCTACCGCGGGCGTCGAAGCTGATATTGTCAAGGGCTCCATCCCTCGTCCCAAGTCCGACTCGTTTGAAGATACGCTTCAGTATTTCGATTCCAAGCTTCTTCAGCACGCACCCGCTTCTGCAGCCGGCGACTCTCCCATCAAGAATGCTTTCAATGCAGACATTGCCCGAGAGCGCAGCAGCATTCTCGATCGCCTCAGGCGCCCGGGGAGCATGACGTCCATCTCTTCTTTCTTGGACCGCAGAAAGAACAGCTCACACTCGGCCGCAGGCAGCTTCTTCAAGGGCTCTGCCAATGTCTCCAAGTCGTCACTCATCTCGATCGAGTCGACACGCAGCTTCAACGCCGATCGAAACCCTTGGAACGACAGTGGTGTCAACCTGGCTGACGATGAGAACCCTTGGGCTCGTCCCATGAGCAACCACCACTTCGAGAGCAAGTTAACCATTCCCCTTTCCAAAGACGCCATCACTCCGCGCCACACCACCCGTGCGTCCGGTGATAGCGGGCGACCTTCTACTTCACATTCTATGAATTCAGGATACCCCGCCCCCATTGGGCCTTTCCGTTAGACTTTGCCGAATTAGACCCATTACATGCGAATACCCCCCCGGCTGGATATACCCCGGAGCGTCCAAGATTGCATCATTTTCTGGCCCTTCACTTTTGCTGGAGATGTTGGCGCGTTCCTCCTTTTTTTCTTTCTGCTTGTTGCTCTGTTCCGTCCGATTTTTTGCGTTTTGTTTTTCCTTTTCCTTTTCTTTTTTCTCTTCAATTTGCTTTTCCCATCTTTGTGTGTTTGTTTGTGTTGAATTTTTTGTTCTTTGCTTGCCGTCTGTTTCCGAGTCATTTTTCGCTTACTGAATTTCGTGACGTCAATCTTGATGGTTGGCATTCACTTTTTTATACCCATTTGAACGTCCCAGACGTTGAAACATAAAAATTGCGAAGAAAATACCCATAGGCGCAGGAGCCGCAGAATCTGGTTTGCAAGATTGATGATTTTTTATTCTCTCATGGGGGTCTCGCCAAGTAACAGCATTTATGAGAGATGGTTGATGTCTTGGTTCAGCAGGAACAAAGGGAGAGGCGTGAGGAAGTAGGGGAAAAACACGGGGGGGTTCCGGTATACGCATTGCAGATGAAAAGCGTTATGTGTGTGTGTGCATGCGTGCATGTGCGTTTTACATTCATGTGAACAGAGAAGATCGATTTTCACATCCTGGATGAGAATTTTTTGATTGCCTCTTGTTTTATATATATCCATTTTTGAGGGGGGCACAAAAGTGTCTTTTTTTTTTTTCTTTTACTACACCATGTACGGCTACGACCTGTCAAATGGAAAGATCATGATACCCATGGCATGAAACTTATTTATCCTGAACGATGCAACAAGTGACCCTGGTGCTGTACTGTAAATATTCTGTCGAAAAACTTACTTAGGTTGCAACAACATATCGTGGCGGAGATCCATTCGATGATACTCTTGTATACTATAGTCACCTTCACACTGCTGCTGCTTTCTATAAACACTGAGAGTATCTTTTTCTACGCCATCTATCCTAATCATACACTGCGTTGTTCATATACCTAGGTATGTAAATTTATGTTGTATTTCCCATGAAATATCATCTTGATATTCACCAAGCCTTCTCCTCCAAAACGCCAAATAACGCCACAGTCCGAAATATGCGCCCTCATCAGTACAAGAAGAGTCTCTTGTCTTTTTCTCCCATCAAGCCGACAGCGGCCCGACCCTGACGTGCTCCCTATGCCGCCAGTCACCGAGCGTAGTCTTCGTCTTCTCCCTTCTTCGCATCTCTGCTTCCATCCGCGCGAATAGGCCTCGCGCCCCGTGCTTCAGCTTCGTAATCATGTCGGCTGCTTTGCCCTTTGTCAGCCCCATCGTCGAGAGAGGGCTGCTGCCTTTGCCGCGGAGCTTGTTGATGAGGTCGACCTGTCCTTGCGTCGGGGGCAGCCTCCTCCACGACTGGCGCCGCTCTATGAAGCTGTGTGGGAAGGCGCCGGCGGCGTAACTGTCGGCGCCGTGGACCGCGTCGTCAAAGGTGGCGGCTTTGAGGATCTCGCGAGGGGCGCTGTAGGGCGATTTTGCGACGCCCTGGGGCAGCGCGCGGATCTCGACTGCGTGGTAGGTGGGTGCTTCCGAGGAGGGGCTGCTGCTCTTTTGTTCGGCGGCGATTCTCTCGATGCGGATGTATGACCCGCTTGGGGCGGAGAGGACGAAGCGCTCTGGGCCGATCTGGACCCAGGCGTATTGGCTGATGGCGCGGATGTGCCGCTCGCCGGAAGTGTCGGCGATGAGATCCAGGACGGAAGAGTAGTCGGTGAAAGTGACAGCCGGAGAAGCGCTGGAGCTTGTGCCGGGTGAATTTCCTTGCTGTTGCTGCTGCTCTGCCTCTGCGGCCTTTTGGTCTTTGATTTTCCGCATGTCGTCGACCGAGGCCTTTTCGACCAGTTCGTTGGGGTCGAGGCCAAACAGGGTCGGCGTGGTGACAATGCCCGTCTCGAGGCTGGAGACCATGTCGATGATGTGGCAGTTCTTCTTGTCCGGGTGCAGCCTCATGCCGCGCCCAATCATCTGCACCAGCAGGTTGCGCGACCTCGTCGGCCTGCCCAGCACGATGCAGTCAATGTTTGGGATGTCGGTGCCCTCGGTGAAGACGCCGCAGTTGACGAGCACGGGGAACTCGCGCTTCTTGAAGCCCTCGAGGATGGTGCTCCTCTCCACCTTGGGCGTGTCCCCCGTGACGAAGCGGGCGTCGAAGCCAAACTCGCGGAACTTCTTGGTCAGGCCTGCGACGTGCGCGAGGTCGACGCAGAAGACGAGGGTGGATTTTCGGTCTGGTGCCTTGGCGAGCCAGCTGCGGACTGTGATTTCGTTGATGGTGTCGGTGTTGACGACCTTGGAGAGCTCGCCTGCCTGGAAGTCGCCGAATGCGCCGCTCTTGACTTTGGATAGGTTGGCGGAGGATTCGACTGTGGTGAAGACGACGTCTGAGAGCCATTTGTCCGAGATCATGTCGACGTAGTCCTTGTGGTAGACAATCTCATCAATAGCGGCGCCGAGCTTGACTCCGTCGAACCGGGAGAAAGTGGCAGACACTCCTATCAGGATGGGCGAGTTGTATCTCTTCTGATCAAGGCTAAAGTGCTTCAACGTCCTGAGGTAGCCCGGCGCAACAATATGATGAGCCTCATCGACAAGGACGAGCTTGAACTTTGCAGGATCGTACTTGTCCAGTCGGTCCCTGGACGTTATGCTCTGGACACTCGCAATGGTGATGTCTGCCGTGCCTGATGCGTGGAGAGAGCCCATTTCAATCTCGATCCTCTTGTCTGGATAGGCGAGCTGGCAGTGTTTGGCCGCTTGCTCTACCAGCTCACGGCGATGAGCCAGGATGAGAGTCTGGCTGGCATTCCTGACCCGGTCGTGGACCTTGTCTATGAGCTGAGTGAAGATGACCTATTCACGAGTTAATGAGTTTTCTTTTATATATATGTACATATCTTCATGAAAGGGATGGTTCACTGTCTTGCCACTGCCGGTGGCCAAGGAGATGCCAACTCTCTTATGCCCTCGCCTGAGAGACAAGACTACGGATTTGATGCACTCTTGTTGGTAATCCCGGAGCTTCAGCTTCTTGCTGCTGCCCAGAGCAGCGGCCGCTGCCGCATATTGCCTGGCCTGGCCGATCCAGGCTGCAGCAGGGACGCCAGTCGCAGAATCAGGCCGGAAGAGACGTCTCACGACGGTTTGGAGCATTGCACATGGCTGTAGGTGTGCCTCTTCTCCAGATGCTTCGAATGGAAAAAAAGTTGGTGTAAGAGGAGCCTTGTCTAAATTTCAGCCACTGTGGCGCTAGTGCTGGGTGCTTCAGAGAAAGTGGCTGAGTCAGCTAACTGTGCGACTGAGAGGCATGATTTTAGACTCCCGCAGCTGGGCTCAAGCTTCATAACCACCTTCTTTTGCTACATCAGAAATGATATCGAATTTGACCTTGATCTTTCACCAACCATAATATTTGGTCCCAATTCGGTCGCTGCTAGATACAATGTTGTCTCTCTCCATCGCAGTCTTTAGCGCCCCAGTGACCGAACGACCATGGACCAAGATTCCGACTTCTCTTATGAGGAGCAAGATGCGGCTGCCATCTCATCACCGCGGACCAAGATGAAAGAGGAGGTTTTCGAAAGAGTTGCAGACACAGAACTGAGCACTGGATATGAAGACGAGCTTGAACGACCAGCCAGTGATGAAAGCGATTACGTTGGAGAAGACGAAGGAGAAGCAGATTTTTCATCGGCTGCGGAAAGCGAAAGCCAAGAGCTGCGATCGCAGCTAAAGAGACCGCTGGATGATGCGGCACCGATATACAGGCCATTCAAGCGGCAAAGAGGAGAATTGAATCTCGAGTACTTGGAGCTTCTCAACAATGAGATCCAAGATGCCGCGCAGCAAGCCTCATTTGGTGACCTCAAGCTTCTCTTAGCGAGCCACATTGGCCTCACTCACTGGTCTACGGCTGAAAAGCAGAGTTTTTTCGAAGCGGTAGCACGCCTCGGGAAATACGACCTCGTTGGTATCGCCGCCAAAGTCGGAAGCAAGAGTGTGGCAGAGGTCAACCACTACTTGGGGATTCTCCAAGAAGCCAGCGAGTCGAGGCGGCAGCAGGGGTTCCGCACCAACTTGGAGCTTGCAGATTATCCTGCTGCTGTCGAGGTCAGTCAACAGTGCTGCCGTGCGGAAGAAGAGGCTGCAGATGAGATCTCGCTCAAACAAGAAGCGCGCGAGGAGATTCGTGAGCGAAATCGATGGGGGGACGTATGGGATGTTACACCGAAAGTTGCGAGAAAACTCAACAGAGCTATCCATAAGCAGGACGAAAACCTGGCCAGTATTCCACATTCTGCTCAGCTGTTCCACTCTTCGACCTGGCTGGAACTTTCTGCGCGGATGTTTATGAACTCTTCGATTCCGGGTAATAACTGGAACTCCATAGGCGGAGAACCACCGTCAATGTGGGCGACTACTTTTGAAGACTTTCACTCGTTGGCTGTATCGCTCACTCGGAGGCTTGTTCAGACATCCCTCTTTATTGCAATGTCCAGGATCAGATCGAAGAACGCGTCGACAAAGAAAGTTAGAGACATGGTACAACAACAGGATGTCGAAGCAGCCATTTCCTCTCTGAATATGACCTCCAAGTCGAATGAATCATGGGTTGGCAGTGCTCGAAGATTACGCCTGGACGTTTACGAGAACCCCCCTGAAGGAGACGAGGATTTTGACGAAGAGCGCATGGCATATGAAGAGGTAGAGAGAGCGTTATCCGACGAGAACACTGTTGCGCCTGGAGAGCAAGTGCAGCCAGATACCCCCTTTTCCACTCAACTGAGTGATGTTGAGGATGAAGACGATGAGTTGTCAGATTTGCCATCCGAATCAAGCAGGTCCCCATCCCCTACAAATGAAGAAGAGCGACAAATCGACATGGAGGCAGTGGAGGTCTTGGAGTACTCCGCCATGGGCATCCGAACCAATAACGCGACAAGGAAGGCTCTCAAGGCGTTCATAGCCACGGATCGGCAACTGGAGAGACAAGCTGAAGACATTGACCAATATGCCAGCTACAAGGCAGAGATTGAAATGTGGAACATTTTGCAGAAGAAGCCGCCCATGGACTTGCCTAAAAAGCATGATCCCGGCCCGGTGAGACGATCAAACCAGAGCTTGGATAGCTTTTACCCCAGCGGGCAGGACTGGGCGCGCAAGTTGGCGTATTACAGCGAGTGGGAGACTCTGCCAGTGCCTGAGGCGACATTGAAACCAGAGTTTACGGAAGGGGGGGTTGTAGTAAAGGAAGAAGCTGAGGATGAAGGGGGGGATGAAGCAGAGGAAGGTCAAGAAGGTGAAGATGAAGAAAATGAAGCCGATAGTGCAGATGATGATGATGAGAGTGATGATGACGAGAATGAGGAGGAGGAGGAGGAGGAGGAGGAGGAGGAGGAGGAGGAAAGCAATAATATAAAACAAGAATAGATGAAATCAAGAGGCTTCACGAGGGACACGCACGCAGAGCCAATAGAAAAAGTTAGAGACAAGCAAGCAAGCCATCTGTAATTTCTATAGTTGTATATATGTTTGAAAACCGGGTATCTTGACTTTTGATCCAAGGTGCTTTGCCAAGTCCACAAAAGAAAAAAGCAAAGAAACGCCACTATGCAGCTTTTATCCAACGCCTTAGCCTCCCCTTCCTCTCCCTCTTCTGCCTCGTCCACGGCCTCGTCCACGACCTCTCCCAGGGCCTCCTCTCGCTTGTTTCGGCGCGGGAGTTCCGCTTTCTGCGCTTCCACTGTCACTCTCTTCTGAGCCAGATTCTTCCTCCTCCTCGTCTGATTCTTCTTCGTCATCGTCTTCGGAGTTTTCCACCACCTTTTCCTTTTCCACCTTGGGCTGGCTCGTCGCTCTTTTGCGGCCCCGCGTGCCTTTTGCTGGCTTTGCTGCTGCTGCCGCTGCCGGCGACGGTGCAGAAGAAGACACAGCAGCACTCTCGGGATTCTCGACTGATACGCCCCTCGTCTTCGATGCAGCGCTTGCTCGTGCGCGCTTCTGCGGTATAGAGGAAGATGGCGGCGGCGAAAACTCCAGCTGGCGAGGCGACGTGGGCGCTTCGCTCGGGTCCGCAATGGCCCGCTGCAGCATCAAGTCGCCGAAATCGTGAAACGGCAGCGAGAACTCGATGTACTTATCCTCGGCCTCGTCGTCGTCAAAGTTTTCGCGCTCGTCAATCAGGTCGAGGTCGTAGTAGGTGCGTAGCTTTTCCCATATGTATGGGATTCGCGTGTGTCGGTGGATGTCGGGATCGATGCCGTGGTTGCGCAGATGCTCTGAGATTGCAATCATTCGAAAGTGCTTGTGCATTCCTAAGAAATGGGCATGTCTGGTCAGCACGGAAATTCACACTCGCTTCTTCTTATGTAGTGCAGGACGAGGCCAACCAGCAGGTTTCCAGCGAATGACGCCTTTGAATAGTGAGGATATCTGGTCATCCGTCCAGAGATTGTCGTACGGGGTCACGGGTATGATTGGTTTGAAAGCCGAGGATGAATAGCCCGGGGTCACGCTTAATCGAGGCGTATCAACGTCCATAGCGCTGTCTTCTCTGATGGTGGTTGGCGTTGAAGACACCTGCAGCCGCGAGCGCTTCTTTGGAGGCATTGTGGCGCAGTTTCCAGGCCTGTAAGGTAGTATCTACAGTAGATAATGATGATTGAAAGAGATGCGGGCGTGTTGGAAAGAGTGATTGATGCGCGGTTCGAGATGCATTGGGCAGAGCAACAATGCCGATGATGGATAAAAAAAGAACAACAGAGCACAGAGCTCGAGGCGTCAAGGTTTGGTGTTTTGTTGCCGAAAGCAAAACGCATCAAATGAGATCATGGCTAGCTCTGGAGCTATCAGCCACTAACGTTCACTGACACTGACAGCTGATTGTTAGCGGCCACCAGCACTGGCACTGGCACTGGCACGGAGACCTGCCCGCGAAACAAACATGGACGCCGGCTTTGATGCTCTTCAACGCCAACACCGATAAAGCTCCAGGGCTGCCTTTTCTCTCTTCTTGGACAGCGCGGTTTGCGCTGATGGCCTCAGTTTGCGCTTCTGCCGCATCTTATCCTCTATGCATCAATTGCTGAAGCGCGCGAGGAAGCCATGGCCAGCGATGGCTCCGACGAATACGTCTTTGCCATTCCCAATTTCTGGCAGCCCTCGAAGCTGCTGCTAGACCTGGGGGCAGAGGCGCCCTCAACCTTTTTTGCAAACGATTTCACAAGTAAGCCATTGGATAATCGAGTGCCGTTCTTTTGGGGTAGATGGGTGTCAAAATGCTAATTTCTCTCTCTGTGTGTGTGCGCGACTAGATGCCTTGTCAAAGACAGACTCTGACCCCTTCGCGCTCGATCCCTTATCATCAACCCACGATGGATTCTTCAAACTGTTACCGCTGCACGACACCCACATAGAGCATATTGAAACGGATAGCGAGAAGACTTCGACCGCGTCCCCAGACTCAGAACCCATAGAACAGCCAGAAAAGCCGCCGGACGAGCCCCCAGCGGCGCTTGACAGTGACGATGATGAGGAGGGCGAAGAAAACGACATATGGCTGGAGCCGAGAATACCTGCCAAGCCAAAACCTCCGCATAGGACATGGAATGGCTTCTTATCCGGCAATCCAGCCACAAAGTTCCAGCCCATGACGGTCAGCGAGGCCGGTCCCGCTGCCTACGATGCCCTGCTGCGTTCTCCAAACGACCCGATGAAGCTCAGGAATACCGATGTCCCGGTCGTTGATACGAAAACATACTTGTCTTCCTTATTGGCTTTGGCGCTCGGCGGGGAATCCGTCCTTTTCACCAGAAAGGACGGTACGCAAAGCCTCAGGCCAGCGCTGCCCAAGATGAGAGCCTCGGGCTATTCCAGCCATGTCCTCCAGGCGCTTGAGAACAAGTGCCTGAGATGCGGAAACACCTTGATGGGTCTGCGCGCATTTGTCGATTCCGCCTTCTTGGACCATCCAAGCCGATGCGGAGTGGCTCTGGCTAGTACTATCAACCAGGTCCTCCAAGTTGTCCAGGAATGGGTAGCTTTTCATGGGCGGAACCCCCGTTCGCTTCTGCAACTTCAAGCCACCGTCAACTCAGTCGTAGCTATCCTTCGCCCGTTCAAGGCCCTCATGTCCCATCTACGCCACGGCATCACTGATGAAGATATTTTAAATCTCGTGTTTCACCAGGCATACTCCGTTGATAACAATGAGGAGTATCTACGTCAGATTATGCGGGAGGTGCTGCGGAGAGTATCCGGGCCTTGGATAGAGTTTCTTGAAGAGTGGATAGGAACAAGACGCGAGCAAGGACTGCCTTTTACCAAGTCCAATTTAGGCGAAAGTAAGGGGTTTGTCAAGGTTGAGGCACGGGTTTTTAGGGATGATTTTGGTCGGGAGCTCGCAGAGGTTGACTACATCCTGGACTCTACAAAGATGCCACCTTTTATGCCCGAAGATGTGACGGAGACAATATTTGAGACCGGGCGCAACTTGCGATTCATTCGATCGTTTCATGAAGATCATCCACTAGCTCAGCAGGATGTCATTGCATCTAGTGATCCTCCCCAAGCCAAATGGCTTTACGACTGGGATGCTATCCTACGGCTTGAGAGCCGTGCTGTTGCGTACCGCGACTCTTTGATCGACGCCATTCGGTCGAGCCGTGATGGCTACTCTCTGGATCCCATGGCCGGATCCGTTCAGTCACTAGTTGATAGGCCTGGTTCTATTCTTTCCTTCTTTGGATTGGACCAAATCGGAATGGAAGAGCGTATTGCAGCATCTATCGAGCAGTTTGCTCAACCAGTTGCCACCCACGACTCGGAAGATTCTTTAAGTAAGATTGTGCGCGATCGACTTTCCGGGACACATATATCGACAATTGAGCTCTCAAACTCTACCCCTCACTGGACGTTGCTCCCCGTCCTTTCTTTCGGCGTTATTGCTTCAGCACAGGCCCAAGTGGTTAATAAAGAGACGCTCAAACTCCTTTTTACAGAGCACAACCTGCGAGATCATCTAAGGCTACAGCGAGAATGTCAACTTTTAGGAAACGGGCTTCTTTGTAGCCGCCTCTCCCACGCTCTATTTGATCCCAGTATGGATACGGCGGAAAGACGTTCAGGGGTCGCGAGGAGGAGCAGTGTCATGGGCTTACGGCTAGGAGGGCGCGATAACTGGCCCCCAGCAAGCTCAGAGCTACGACTGGCGCTGATGGGCATACTTTCTGAATGTTACAACGCTAATCAGGATGATGGAAGAGTGGGGAGAAGTGGCCGCCTCTTTGACAAGGAGAAATCCGGCTTGCCAGGGGATATGAGCTTTGCTATAAGGGATCTATCCGAAGAAGAAATCGCCAAGTGCATCAACCCGGACAACCTTGAAGCCTTGGACTTTCTCCGTCTGTCCTATACAGCGCCGCCGCAGCTGAGCCCCATCATCACGCCGATGAATTTGCTCCAGTACGACGGCATCTTCAAATTCTTATTGCGTGTCTTGCGAATGACATTTGTCGTTAACCAGCTCTTCCGGGACACTAATAGCTTGGCTCGTGGCTGGGAGGATCCAGGCGACGCAACGCTGCGGTTCGTAAAGGAAGCCCAGCATTTTGTGGCCAGCGTGTCGACATATTTCCTCGACACAGGCATCGCTGTTCCTTGGCGCGTATTTGAGAGGAAATTGGACAAGGTCGAGGCGGATCTCCAGCGGCCGGGCATGAACAGTTCATCAGAGGATATTCAGAGCCCGGATAAACTACAAGAGTTTCATTCTCTCGTCCTGGATCGAATCATGCTTGCCTTGTTCCTCAGAAAGAGGCAGCAGCCAGTACTGAAGCTGCTAGAGGACATTTTCAATACCATTTTACGATTCGCCAAGCACGTCAGACTAAAGTGGCTTGGAGCACAGGGCGAAGAGACAGACGCCCAGACAACAGTGGAGGCGGATCCCTCTGCTTTATACGCAGAGTTTAAGAGAAAAGTGCAAATCTTCATCACGGTGTGCCGTAGCCTCTCGGAGAAGGCTCGTCGCACAGACGGTAAGAGGGGGAGAGAAGATAGAATATTCAAGGAGCAGTACGGGACTGGCGACGATAGCATGGTTGCGCAGCTCCTAGTGAAGCTTGACATGTTTGATTATTATCTCAAGCGATAGATGGGCTGCGTCGAGTATATTCGAGGCGGCTTTGCAGAAAATATTAATGACAAATTCATAATGACATGATTATGAGAATGAATTCATAAGCGTCGAGTATGTTCGAGGCGGCTTTGCAAAAAAGATCAACAACACATTCATAATAACATAATCATGAGAATGGATTTTGAGAATGAATTCATGAATCATTCTCAATTCATTCTCAATTCATTCTCAATTCATTCTCAATTCATTCTCAATTCATTCTCAATTCATTCTCAATTCATTCTCAATTCGCATCTTTGTCTTGAGAACTCCACGATATAATTCTTCTACAAGTCCACTCCGACTTTATTGTCCATAACAGCAAGTCTTTCGCGGTTCGCTGCCCCTCCATGCCCGCTAAAGAGGTACAGCGAGTTCTAGTGCCCCTCGTCGCGTGGAGACGCGACCGAGACTAAGCCTAGGGACCTAAGCTAAACAATGACAGTCCATCTCATCGAGCCTTGTAGCGTCAGAAGCATTTTGTCCGTTTACAGACCTTCCATGCTCTGGACCAGCTGATTATCTACCTCTAATCTGTTCCTCCAAGGTCCATTGCAGCAGCATGTCTCAACAGGGCGCCGCTCCCCGCAATCTCAGCTTGACAGAGGAGCTCGAGAAGCTGGAGCAGTCCATCACTCTGACTCTGCAAGGTACGGAATTTCTGTTTCTTCTGACCATGCAAAGGAGCTAACCATGCCCCAGAGATTGACCACAACTTCAGCAAAGCGCATCGCATCGTCACAACGGGCATCTTGCCGGTGGTGGAACGCTATGGAGAGCACTCGCGAGCTGTCTGGGAGGCATCCAAGGTATGGCAGCAACCCAAATCAGCTCTAATGCATAACAGCCAGCTAATTGAACCTTTGCTTCGTCAGTTTTGGAAACAATTCTTCGAATCCTCGGCGAATGTATCCCTATCTGGCTATGAAGACCATGCTCGCGACAACGAACACGACGTCAGTGCCGCGGAGAGCAGCGCCATGAGGGAAGACTTCACGATCGATGTGACTGCCGACCAAGACGAGGAGGCAGCGAAAGCGAATGCGTCAGAGCATCACTCAACACTCCACGGCGACGAAACGATGCTGGACGACGCCGAGCTAGCAGGAAGCACGCCCCGGCCTCCGTCGACAAAGCCCATCAAGGCCGAAGCCATGGCCGAAGAAGCGTCTCAGCTCGAGTCCACGTACGAAGCCATGAGGCGAGAAATGCAACAAGAGGAGGACGTCGAGATGGCCGACAAGGAACAGGAGTCAGAAATGGACGAAGACTCATCCATTGTGTTTGCCCAACATACAGCGCGGCTACCAGATATCTCAAGGACGCCAAGGGGGGCAACACCAAAGGCACTACCCAACATATTCAACAAGGACGGATCAGTCCAACGACACGGCCAAAAAGATCCCCTACTTCACCGTGTCCTTGACAAGTCATATCGCCTTCAGGCCACCCCTCACAAGTCAGCCATTCGCATCTCGCCGTTGAAGGGCAAGCAACCAGAGCTGCAGCCGCAGAGGAGCGCATGGCAAGACTCCCCCCTGTCGTCTCCCGAAATTGCCATCCCGCAGCTGAGAAGCGAGGCCTTCATGTCCCCATATAAAACCAACGCGCGGCAGCGGCTGGTGGCGGCAACCCAGGCCCCGAGAACGCCTGGCGTCAGCGTGCAGACGCCAGCCACTGCGAAGAAGACGCGGGACGTGTTTGCGGCAGAGGGTGGCAGCGTCGCCGCCGGTTCTAAGAGAAAGGCGGATGAGATTAATTGGGAGAGCGATGACGATGATCATCTCGGGATGAGCCCGCCCAAGACAATTCAGTTTGCTCTGCCGCCGTCGAAATTGCTTCAGACGCCCGCACGAGAAGCTAGCAAGAGGATCGTTGACGATATCCTACTTGATGCTGGGGCGGGAGCAGACTCGTCCGAATATAGTCCATCCATGGTCAAGATGAACGAAGACATTCTCAACGATAGTTTCTAGGCGACCAAGAATAGAATGAAGAGATTGTTGACCCAGCAGGCCCAGCAAAACATGGCAGTTCTTGTGACGGTAGATCTAACTTACAGCTAATAGGTACTCACCCCATTTCGTCCAACTTGGCGTGTTCCAAATCATCATTTGAGTTCATGGAGTTGTATTTTCCACAAAATCTATTACCCTTTTAGCCATATTACTCGGCTTCTTCCACTAGAGATCGTCGGCTGTGCGTCAAGGTAACGCATGGGATGTCTCACCAATATCCGACCCTCACCCAAGAGACAACATCGGAATATTACCAATGTACCGGTACTCTGCATAAAAAAATTGGCAAAAGTCACAATGTCCCGCAGCCCAAGGAAAACGGTCCAAAGCTCTCAGCTATGAACAGACTAAAATGTTCAAGCCTGAAGTTTCCGATAGCCAGCATCCGCACTAAAAGAAAAGGATGAGAAGAGGGGTCCTTTTTTTCTAAATGCAAGGGAGGGCAGCCTGACATATCGGTTTCCTCTTTCAGCTGGGCAGTGTCTAATTACCTCCTCGACAAATGATGTAGGACTGAATCGCGAGCCCGGCGTTTTATGGTGTTGCGAGCGTCAGGTGTGTGTGGTGACATTTGGCTGGGGGCAGCCATGGCCATGGTAAGCCGCTGTCTCATCCAACGCCCCTATATTACTCACTTCTTCTCCTCTAAAAATATTTAGTCTTGCTTGTCTCTTTTTGTCTTTATCTTGCGCTCTTCTCTTGTCTGATTCTGTTCTTCGTCTTCACTCATCTTCTCTTCTCTTGCTTTTTGGGGTTGCCCATCCTTTTCCTTCTTATATCATCGTTCTCTGTAAATGGACTCCTACCATGGCGGCAGCTACGAGGGACACCAGCAATCAGCCTTCGATGAACCGTATTGTAGCTGAACACGTTCATCAAAGAGCAATGTCAACCATTTTTCTCAACGAACAACTCATGAAAGGACCACCCCGCTTCCGGGAGGCTGACCTGAAGGATCCACGCCTCCGCCACTGCGCCTTTGATCCAGAGACTGTCGTTTTCGAGTCTCGAATTGGGGGTGGAAAAGATGGATACGTCTGGAGGGTAAACTTTGGCGGCGAGGGACCATTCGTCCTGAAGGTTGTGAGTAGCGACTCTGTTTGAACGATTGTTTTATTCGCTCACTAATTGCGGCGATGCTACCCTGACTAGTTTTGGGATCAAGTACCTCCCATCAAGGCCGGGGACTATTATTCGATGCAGAGAGAATGCCAGAATGCTGCCGTTCTTCAGATGATGGAGGCAGCCGTGGCAACAAAGCCAGTTCTTGTAAACGCTCGCCCCGAGACAAGACAGGCCGCCATGGAGAATTATCTATCATTTACCGAAGAGAACTGCTCCCCGCGATATACTAGGGATCTTCCCGAGACAGCTGCACGCCCGAGGACCAGGCTTATCTCATCATTACCACGCATGACCAAATGCTATGGCTGGCTGAAGCTGCCCAACGAGGTGTGGATTGATCTGCCACCCCATCTGCAGGCCGAAAACGACGACCCCAGGAAGATTAGGACGCTTTTTGAAAATCACATGGGCTGCGTTGCCGTCATCTATGAGCTTGTCGAAGAAGGTGAAAACGAGATGGAGACTGTGGAAGATGTTGACACTTTTCTATGGCACGCTGGTTTTGCCTATGCGGTCGACCCGCATCCGAAGAACTGGAAAAGCGGCGTCTTGGTCGATCACTCCGAAATTGTTCATATCCGCGGGTATAACTGGAACATGGGAGATTACGTCGGAAGAACAGCGGAGCAGATCCTAGAGGGCGAAGGGAATAAGGCATAAAAGGTTTGATCAGGCGCAGAGAGCATCTACTGAATCCCTTTCGATCTACAGTGAGTATTATTGCATGGATGAACGGCACGGCATAAATTGTATGGGCAATGAGGGGTCTGATGGGTTATATGGCAACTGGATTAGACGGCAATCATTTAGGCTACGACACTGGCAGTTCAACAGGCTGCCAACACGTTGAGCTCTGACAGAAATGGCGATATGGAGGAAATAGAAATTTGATCTACACGTTTACCCATCTGCCGAGTATAGAATGACCATGTTCCCTATCATTCTAGAGTATGTACGAGGGCCATCGTCTCTACCCTTCTGCCCAATACGGCCGACTCCCTCGCCCATCTATCCACGCCCCCTTTCCGTTCAGCTCTGCGCAGTTCCCTATGCGGCTGAGTCCAGAAGCTGAATTCAGAAGCTGAATCCAGGATTACCGGGACTCATCACATCCGAAAGCACTACGACTATTGCCAGACGAATGACAACAGACTAAATGGAATAGGGAACCACTCAGAGCCCAAGACACGGCACAGTAGCGCTCCGAGACGACGCAAGGGAGGCTTCTCCAGCTTTTTTTTCCGTTTTTTTTCGCACCACATGAGCCATTGGACACAACAAAACGTGAAAAAAGCGGTTGGGCGCCAAGGTTGTTCGGTATCGCTGGTGCGGAGCAACTCCATGTAAACCCCTGCCAATCGGTTTTTTGTGTGGGAGTGGGCATGTCACCATGACCAGTTTTAAATACTATTCATCCCTTGAGGTGAAAGCCACGATGCTATTGGACGCCATGAAAAAAAGTTTCTGCCTGTCTCGTGCTTTGGGAGAAGGAAAAGGAAGGAAGGGAAAGGAAAATTAGGCGCCGCTAAATGCTGCAGGGAGAAGCTGAAGTGAATAGAGGCAGACGGTTGTAGAGGTATCAGTGCGTTGGGTAGTAGAAAGAGAGAGAGAGATGAATGAAAACTCAGTTAATATATCTATATACACGATACCAAACATGAAACCAACACAAGCAAAAAATCAAGACTGAGAGGCTTTTTTTTTTCTTTTCTTTTTTTCCTGTTTCTCCCTCTTTTTTTTCTCTCTCTCTCTTTTTGCTTTTTCTTTTACCGCTCTTTAATGCAAGACATCTCTCCCTGCCGCCTTAATCCAAGCCACGAGAACAGGACAAGGCTCAGACAACTAGTATCTTTTTTTTTTGTCCCCCACAGGCGGAAAAGTCTCAGACCAATAAATTCTAGGCGCTCGGATATGATATCCTTACGCACAATTTTGCTGCCGCATTTGGAACTAGCTGGGGAAAGATTGTCGGATGTTGTTTGGAGGCGTAGGGTCGGGAGCTGGTGGGCGATATCCGATGGTTTGAGAGAACAAGATTTTTGCTGGGATTGGGTGGTGATGGGGATGGCATTTGTGATTTCTGGTGGGTTTGTGTGGAATGGCAAAATCTATGCTGGCGACTTACACTTGTTGAGTGTATGATGTTTGTCGTTGTTGATATAGCTGTTTAAGAGATGCTGTATCTTGTGATGGGAAGTTACAAATGGTGGCATATGCTAGTTGCCATCACTCTCTGCCGGGTATGATGCTATAGAATGGCAGTCGACTCTCCAAAAAGGAAACAAAAAAAAAAAAAGTGTTACATGTATACATGTATAATGAAATACGACTGGTCTGCTATTGTGTGGAGAGCTGCGGAATTCCTTGAAGGCGTCTTGTTTTGTTCGCTTCAAGAGACAAGTTTGTCATTTACTTCAACAGTAAGGTCATGGCAGATCAAGCAGAGTTTTAATAATCACTTCATGCCAAGAGGCTATTAATAGGGGCATATCTACGTCGGATTATAACTCGACTTGCCTCTCTGTGCTTTGAGATGCAGTGGTGCTGAGCATTGGACAAAGTATGACTGATGGGGCATCAACATCAGCTTGATTGGAAGCCTATTTGCCTGTAGTCCTTGCGGTGTCGCCATTCTCTGTCTCGTACGTATTCACTGCAAGTATATCGGCTTTAGAAAGTAATTCTTGTTGGCTCTCTTGCACAACATGCACCAAGAGCTCCAGTAACTTATGCCTGCAGAGTGAATATCACGGGTCCAAGGGTCGCAGACAGCTGAGCCGTATCCCGATACGCAGTCTCTACGTCACAGAACGAAGGAGGCGTATCATGGGGATAAAACAGCTTGGTTCTCATCTATGATACGGGCGTACTCCCGGTCCATATCTAGACAAAGATATGCACTCACTACCTAGATTACATGGTGTTATTGAGAATTCTTTTCTCATATTTTTCGGTCACAACGTCATCAGTTAGTTACCCTTGATAGTACAAGTTGAAAGCTCATGTACAGGTACTCTATATGCGGAAATACAGCTTCAGAGGCTCTGGGTAAACAATTTTGGAAAGAAAACATCTTACCTCGGCATCTCATATTACCAAGGTACACAATACTGCGTAATTCTAGGGGGCCCCTACTTCAAGGAAGCGTCAAGTACAAGAGTTGAATGCTGATGAATCGATATTAGTTGAGCAGCAAAATGAAAAGTTACTCATTAGAGTCAGTAGAGAAATATAATTCAATTAAGAAAACTGTTTAGTACGCCCGTAACTCATCACTAACATTCGCCCAGTCCCATTATTGTTCATCATGCTATGCTCTTTCAACGCTCTTTGTATACCTTGACCCCAATTTTCCCAAGATCAAATAATAAAGGAAAGAAAACAAAAAAATCCAAAAGCAATCGAGTAATTGTATGTGTCCGCGTAATGTATATCTTATAGTCATCGGAGACCACCGCGAGGCACCATGCTCTCGTTGATATTGGGCATTCTTGGTTCTTTGCGGGCTGAGGAGGAGCTTTTTGATGGCGATGAAGCCTTGGCCTTTGCTCCTAGTAGAGCTCGCTTCTCAGTGGCGACAGACGACAGCGAAGCAGTTTCGCTGCTGTCGTCTGCTCGAAGGTACGCCTCATCGCGGCGCTGTCCGTGGAGAATGCCGTTGAGCATCTGGCCGAGGCCGCGACGCTCAAGGCTTTGAGAGCGAGAGCCGGAGGGAGAAGAGGAGGAGGAAGAAGTGGGTTTCTCGGCCTTTTTGCCCAGAGAGGGTCCGGGACGTTGAGCCTTGCCGATGGAGAGGCCGCCGTTGTGTCCAAGGAGAGACATGTTGGTGTTGTCTGAAGAGTTGCCGGAGTTGCTGTTCATGATGGTTGGTTTGGTGTTTTTAGTTGATGGAAGGGAGGTAATGAGCATACAGTTGAGAATCAATTGTGATTGATTGCTTGGGTTGCTGATGGCAAGTTGTGTCAAGGCTGCCAGGAAGCTGCTGCTTTATAGAAGCGGTGATTGTAGTGGTGGTGGTATTAGTTGTTGCTCCTATTGTTTTGATGTGATTGATGTGATTGGGTTGATTGATGTGATTGAGCTGATTGATGTCTGCCTGAGATGGACCTCAACAACCAGGCATCAGCGAATCTATATATACTCGGAATCCAGGGGCAGAAATCTCCAACGTCTCTGCTCCTTGCCAATGCCACGCCCAATTACACCAAAATAGCCAAACTCTACTGATTACACGTACCCACCGCCCACATCATCATCCTCATCACGGCTACGAGGCTAGCGCGAACCGTTGGTAGCAGAAGCCCAAACACCCTTTTCCAGAAAAAACTGCTGCTCTCCATTGTCCTCGTCCGACGCTCTGATAGGCCAGACTGCGGTAGAGGCTGCTTGGGAAACGTCTGTAAAAACACGCAAAGTCACGACGACTCCACCGCAACAGTCACCGCTGCGCACAGCCCGCGCAGCCTTTGACTCATGGCGGGTCAGCCGTCGTTCCGGGTACAAGTTGCGCCAAACGGGTCACGGAGCCGCGAAGCTTGTCTTGCGGGGATGGCAAGGATGGCCAGGATGGATGGAGACGGGGATGACGATTTTCTGCCTGAATGCTGGAATAAGGCCTTTACTTTTGAGGGCCGGGACAGCTGCTTACACAAGGCCTACGCAGACGCCTACGCATGGCTTTGCCGTTGTACAGATGGATGATGGATACATGTCATCGCAACATGTGCTGAGACGGCGATGCCGGCAAGGCTGTAGATGCATCTCAGCCACCAGAGATTCGCAGCCACAATCATCAACTGCAATGTACTTGCCATGTTACTGAGTGTTGAATCCATCCAACCTCTTGTTGATAAAGCCGATGCCTGATCTGCATCTGCGCCCTGCTACAGCCGCTGACACACGCTTCCGTAGGCGACAGAATAACTTGAAAGCTGCCTACCAGGTATCTACGTATTTGACCTACAGGTTTCTTTGCTCCATCTTGCCTTGTACTTGATGAAAAGGAGGGCAGCATCGCCAGGAGGCCGCAGTATCTTGCCAGAAAGGGTCAACTGGTTCACATCCAGCGAGGAAAACAAGCGCTCAGCAATCTACGGGTGACGACAGCTCAGTACGCAACGCTGCACGACTGCACTCAAATGGCAGCGCTGGTGCGTGTGCGTTACGTCGCCCCTCATAGCGCTGTATTAGAGCCAACGGTGCTATCGTCGATAGAGGTTTAGGTCTGGTTATCGCATGTACTTGTAGGAGACTAACACCAACAGAGTAGGTCGATGTAGTCTGTTGAATATCTCTCATCTCGGCACAAGGCCTCTTAAATCCGCCAGCCTTTACTACTTCATCAAGCTCTAGACTATACACATGCATCTCGACAATCTTAAGCTTTACATCATCCATAGCCGGCATCGACTCACTCATCGTGCAGCAGGGCGAAGCAGCGGCTGCAGCCCGTCGTGACTCTTTTGTGCGTCCTGCAATTTCAGCCATGACTCCTCCCCAGCTCCCCCTGCCAGCCTTGTCCCAAACCAGCACAGCAGATGCTCCATCGGCTGCGCGGCATTTGATGCGATTTGCTACAGCGCAGCGCCGTGTCCACTCCGGCGCTGTCCCGTGGCTCGAGATGGCTCGAGATGGCTCTAGATCAGTTTCTTCATGCAGTCATTCATGTCGCTTGGCTGGTCAATTGAGATCAAGGTGCCGCTCTGCGTCTGCAAAGGGTGGCAGGTGCACGGCATCTACATCCAGGCGTGAAAGGGCATGTAAAATCAGACAGTTGCTTGCAGGGAATCTCCACCGCAAATTGCAGTCAGATTCAAGGTGGATCGATATCTATCCTGAAAAGAGTCTTGCGAAAAAAATCTCCACGAAATATGGTTACCTAGCTGCCAGCACCATCTGTATGCCTACGCGAGGATGAATACTGCTTTGCATGTGTTGGCCAAGGCAGCAACAAAGGCCTAATAATTGAGCCGAACGTTCGTGACGACTTTGCCCCGACTTTTGCGAGGCTTTGACGACGCTGACTGCGAGCACCAAAGCCAGATCGATCTCTATACGAGTATCGAGTACACGTATCTGGCCGCAAATAACCCGTCATTCATGATCAATGATCTTCTCGTTTCTCCAGGTTCAGTGCACCTGGCTTATACGAAGTAGTGAGAACAAGAGTCTCATACTAAAAGGCATTCCAAATATGATTCATCAAACACATTCAACGTGGCTTAATTCAATTGTAGTTGATACACACGTAATTTCAACAAAACAGCTAGACAAAACATGTTAACTGCTGAAAAACAAAACAAGAAGCAATCAACATCCTCATCTTCATCTTTCTCCGCACTTACTGCCATGTGGGGCAGTATCCGGTACTCCACCTTGGCGTGCTCGGCCTACTGGCCGCTGGTAGCTTGTACCTTTTTGCCCGGTCGCTATCGCTTATCGATATACGCAGCTTATCGCTATCAGTAGAAAAATTTCCCAGTTGGAACTCTCAAATTCTGCTGCTGAGCGGCGACGGCGAGCGCTTGACGGACGGCCACGACACACCACCATGGACGACCAAGTGCACAAGCCGCATCGCAAGAGCAAGGAGAAGAAGCAGCACTCGGGAGGTAAGTTGCGCGCTCAATTTGGAGGCTTGAAGCTCCCATGAATCCGCCATTGACTGAACCTGTGGCAGAACGCAACCCCAAGGCTTTTGCCGTTGCTAGACCCGGCAAGCTTCAGCGACAGGCTGCCAGATCGTCTGATGTACGTCTTCCATCTCTTCACTCTTTACGAATGCCTCAAGACGACAAGGCCATCAGTATCATTCAATATACTGACAACTTCATCTCCAATTAGATCAAGGAAAAGCGTCTCCATGTCCCTCTCGTCGACAGACTTCCAGATGAGGCGCCGCCGCGCCTCGTCGCCATCGTCGGCCCCCCCGGCGTGGGCAAGACGACTCTGCTAAAATCTCTCGTCCGACGATATGCCAAGGAGACTCTTTCCGATCCTCAGGGCCCCATCACGGTCGTTACCTCGAAGAAACAGCGATTGACGTTCATGGAGTGCCCCAACGAGCTGGAAGCCATGGTGGACGTCGCCAAGGTCGCCGACATCATCCTTCTCATGATTGACGGCAACTACGGCTTTGAGATGGAGACTATGGAATTTCTCAACATCCTGGCCGCTACTGGTATGCCTGGCAACGTCTTTGGTGTCTTGACCCACCTGGATCTGTTCCGCAAGCCTGCCGCTCTAAAGGATGCCAAAAAGCACCTAAAACGAAGACTCTGGACAGAGCTCTACCAGGGCGCTCATCTGTTTTACCTCTCTGGTATCATGAATGGCAGATACCCAGATCGTGAGGTTCACAACCTGTCTCGCTTCCTCTCCGTCATGAAGAACCCGCGACCTCTTGTGTGGAGAAACTCTCACCCATACACCATCATCGATAGCTTCCGCGACATCACCCACCCCACCAAGATCGAAGAAGACCCTAAATGCGATCGATCCATTGTTCTATCAGGATACCTGCGAGGAACCAACTTTGCAACCCAGGGCCAGCGAGTGCATGTTGCCGGTCTGGGCGACTTCACCGTGTCTTCTATGGAAGTGCTGCCTGATCCTTGCCCCACACCGGCCATGGAGCAGGCTTTGGCCAAAATTACTGGCAAAAAGGGACGAAGAAGACTGGATGAAAAGGAAAAGAAGCTCTACGCCCCCATGTCTGACCGCAGCGGCCTGAAGATTGACGGCGATGCCATCTGGATCACCAGGGATAAGGGATTCACATTTGACAAGGATGCGGACACTACCGAACGTGGAGAGGGAGAAGAGATGATTATTGGGCTTCAGGCCGAGCGAAGGCTACTCGGCCAGACAGAAGACGGAGTGCAGCTGTTCAAAGGAGGCCGAGAAGTCAAGGAGCTAGCTGAGGAAGAAGATACCGGCAGAAAAGAGCAGCGAAAAGCTAGGATTGCTGAGCGAGAAGATGGAGACGATGAAGGGAACGAAGACGACGAAGGCTTTGTCAGTGGCAGCGACGAAGAAGACCCAGACGACGAAGAAGAATTCAACGAAGGGAAACTGGGCAAAATGTTCCGCGGCAAAGCTGACAAGGAAGCCAACGGCGATGATGACCTTGCCTTTGCAGACAGCGATTCAGATCTTGGTTCCATCTCAGATCTTGACAGAGATGCAGAGGGTGACGAAGAATACGACTCTGATGAGGAGACTGCGGCCCTGAGATGGAAAGAAGGAATGGCCGACAGGGCTATGAAGCTCCACTCCAGGAAACGCTCGTATCACACTGCAGACCTGGCTCGTTATATCTACGACGGCTCCATGACTGCCAGCGAGGCATTGAAGAAGTGGAGGGGCGAAGAGGACGACTCGGAAGAGGAGGACATTGAAAATGACTCTGAAGACGAAGAGTTTTTCAAAAAGAATGCACAGGAGAGCGAAGACCTGATCGAGGATCGATCAATACCAGAGTACGACTACGAGGACTTGGCGGCCAAGTGGGCCAATAGCGAGAATATTGAGGCTCTCAAGACAAAGTTCACAACGGGCAGAAAAGGTGGGCGCGGAGACGATGAGGATGAGGATGGCGAGTTTGGCGGCTTCGATGATGACGAAGGAGAGGGCGACGGTGAGGGTGACGAAGATAGCGAGGGCGATGGTGAATTCGAGGATTTGGAAGCTGATGCTCAAAACCCTCCTCAGCAACAGTCAACGGAAGATATCCAGGCTGAGCGTGAGAAAAACGCAAAGAGGAAAGAGGAGCTCAAGGCAAGATTCGAGGAGGAGGATCGAGATGGTTTCATGAACGACAAGTCAAAGTCCCGACGAGAAGGAGGCGGCGATGGCGAAGAGGAATTCGGCGAGGACGACTGGTACGATGCCCAAAAGGCCATGATCCAGAAGCAGCTCGACATCAACAAGGAGGAGTTTGAAAACCTGGACGAGCGCCAGAGAGCCGCCGTCGAGGGTTACCGAGCCGGCAAATACGCCAAGCTCGTGCTGGAGGGCGTGCCCGCCGAGTTCGTCTCCCGCTTCGACGCCCGGCAACCCATCATCGTCGGTGGCCTCTCAGCGACAGAAGACCGCTGGGGCTTCGTGCAGGTGCGCATCAAGCGCCACCGCTGGCACAAGAAGATCCTCAAGACAAACGACCCGCTCATCTTTTCGCTGGGCTGGCGCCGCTTCCAGACGCTGCCCATCTACAGCATCTCCGACTCGCGAACGCGCAACCGCATGCTAAAGTACACGCCGGAGCACATGCACTGCTTCGCCACCGTCTACGCGCCGTTGATTGCGCCCAACACGGGCTTCGTGTGCTTCAACTCCTTCTCGGCCGCCGGTTTCCGCATTGCCGCCACAGGCACCGTGCTCTCCGTCGACGAGTCCACCGAGATTGTCAAGAAGCTCAAGCTGACCGGCTCCCCTTACAAGATCTTCAAGAACACTGCCTTCATCAAGGGCATGTTCAACTCGTCGCTCGAGATTGCAAAGTTCGAGGGCGCCTCTGTCAAGACCGTCTCCGGCGTGCGCGGTCAGATCAAGCGCGCGCTCTCCAAGCCCGAGGGCCACTTCCGTGCTACCTTTGAGGACAAAATCCTGGCCAGCGACATTGTTTTCCTGCGCGCCTGGTACCCCATCAAGCCGCACCGCTTCTACAACTCCGCCTCCAACCTCATCGGCTGGCAGCCCATGCGTCTTACCGGCGAAGTCCGCCGCGCAGAAAAGGTGGCCACACCGCAGCTCAAGAACTCGCAGTACCGCAAGATTGAGCGCCAGACGCGCCACTTCAACGGCCTCAAGGTGCCGCGCGCCCTCGCTGCCGACCTGCCCTTCCGGTCGCAGATTACTCAGATGAAGCCCCAGAAGAAGAAGACTTACCTGCAGAAGCGCGCCGTCGTCCTGGGCTCTGAGGAGAAGCAGACGCGGGCCTTTATGCAAAAGGTGCTGACCGTCCACAACGAGCAAGTCGCCAAACGCCGTGCCAAGAAGGAGGAGAACCGCGCCTCCTTCAAGAAGAAGTTGGCCGAGGGCGATGAGAAGAGAGAGGCCAGGGAGAAGAGGGAGAGCAAAGAATACTGGCGCAAGAACGGCCGCAAGAGGAGTGGCGGAGATGAAGATGGCGGCGGCGGCGGCAAGAGGAGAAGGTGAAGAGGCGTCGGTTTATAGATGGACATGTATAATGGCGGGAGTTGTCAAGCATCGCAAGTTGTTTTATTGCATTGGGGATAGAATTGGTTACTGTATCTACTACCATCATATATACATACATGACACTAAAATACTAGGTACTACTCCCACCTGCTTCGCAACTTGACTTTTTTTTCTTCATTCTCTTTGCTTCATTTTCTTTGACCCTTTCCATCGCATCTTTCTTCTCCATGCTGGCGGTCAAGAATGCTGTGTCTGCTCTTTCCGTCTCCCCTTACAGCAAAGAAGCCTGCGTCTTTCTGCCTCGGCACCAGCATATTATCCAATCAGCCAATGGCGGCAATGGAGCACGTGCCCCTCTGGAAGCAAGCAGCTGATGTTTTCTAACTTTGTAACTTCAAGGGTTTTTCTTCCCTCGTGCCTTGAAGCTAGACGGGTGGAAGAAGAAGCACAAGCAAGCACTGGAGGCAGCTGATTGAATGGCCCGTGTATGGGTGCGTGCTGCTGAACGCTTCTAGATCCGCCTAGAATAGTACTGTAGCCGTCTCTTGCCCAGCGAGATGAAGATGGAGGTAGACTAGATGCCGCCATTCTTCAGCGTATGAGAAGCCGCCGAGTAAGCGGTATCACCCATCTCGAACCGCTACAGCCTACAGTACACCATGTCTGATACAGGACACTTCCGGCGGCATAGATTGCATGGGGAGGGGTTTCGCACCAGAGAGGGCCTAAGCCTGTCTTGGTACTAAAATCTCGAACCTCTTGCTCGGAGCAGCTTTTTCATGCATGCGCGCACGGAGTCGATGATGCAGATGCCTAAAATGCTATGATGGTCTGGGTTTTTTGCTTGGTTACTGTACCACCAGCAGTGAATCCGCCCAAGGACCTACAGGTACCAACGAGCTTACCATCTGATACACTCAAACCCGCGTTGCTGTTTCAGATGCCTTGAGCTGTCTGTTCAAGGAAGCTGCTTGAGACGGGCCTCGCACGCACTGCGACGATAGCGGGTGCGTCATTCATTGGTGGGCAGGTGACGACTCGCTCTTGCTGCTTCTGCAGCTCCAAGTCCCGACCCTCGCCTTAGCGCCATCGAGTTGCATCACATCATGCCCGCAGCAAGGTCCAGTGGGCTTTTGCCTTCTTCCCTCTTGTACCTTTGCTAGTCACGCCTTGTATCTTTCTGCGTGCGCTTTCCCGCAGAGGAACCCCGCAGACGGAGCGACGGTACTTGTCGCAGGCAAGCCGTCAGGGAAGCTGCGGCAAGGAGTAGCAGCAGGTAGCAAGTAACCCCACTAGCACATGTTAATTTTGATTATGCACTTTATTGGAAGGCGTTTGTTTCTTTGGTGGATAATACAGCAGGTAGACGAGAAAGAGGTTAAAATAAAGGGAGTCGAGCTAAAAGCAGGTATGGGGAATATAATTTTAAAAAAGAAGCGACAAAGCAGAGAGTTGCTTCAAAAAGCAAAAGATCAAGAAGTTCCAGAGCTGTTAGAAAAAGAAAAAGAAAAAACAGGAAAAGCATCTACAAGGAGGGGCGCAAGGAAACCAAAAAATAGAAAAAAATAGAAAAAAAAAGTGCAGCGTCACAACCACGTCGACACCTGCCGCTAACAAAGCTCGCCCGTAGCTTCCACCAGACTTGCTTCGGTTCGGTACCATCACATCACCTGAAAAAGAGCCTGGACCCAGGTTTCCATCCCCCTAGCTCTCTTTTTTTCTCTCTCTCTCTGTTCAAATTCCTTCTAAAAAAAAGCATCCCACCTGCCTGCTCCAGCGCACCTTTTTATCTTCCCCTCTTCCGAGCTGCGACTCTCTTCTCTCTTCCATCAGTGTCCATCACCTGAAACACGCACGCAGGAAAAAAAAAAGGTACGCAGCGAGGAATTACGAGCAGCCCGGACAGAACCAGCTTCTGCTTCTGCTTTTGCTTTGATTTCACCCATCTGAGCTCTGCGAAACAAGCTTCTTCTTCTTTTCTATTTGGCGCGCTTCTCCTTTTTTAATTTTCTAGCTCTGATACTGAGACGACAGCTTTCCAGCCCCTACGAAACCAAAGCCCAGAGCTTCCGACAACCTCCTTTCCGCCGCCACCGCCGCGCAACCGACAAAACCCCTCCAACCAAGCTTCTCGACGACATATAACGAAAAAGCCCCCATCGTCACCATGGCCGATTCTGCTGGCGCGGTAAATGGTCAACCCAGTAAGGTATGTGGAAACCGCAACTACTACACTTTCCATTTCCCGCTTCTTCTACAGCTGCGCCGCGCTGCGCTGCGCTGCGATCGACCTCGTACCTACATATATGGGAACGAAGTGGTCTTTGTTTTTTTTATCCAGTAATATCATTGGCAGTGACGGGATGCTGACGCTTGGGTTGGACAGTTTTGCATGTGACAGCTATAGGGCCTGTAGTCGCTGCCTTTGTTTTGGCCCCCATCTGGACGCAACTGACGATGAGCTCATAGAAGCTGCCAACGGCAATGCTGGACAGACTCTGACGCCGTATCACTCGCTCTTCAGGCATTTGTTTTCCTGGGAGAAGCCCCGTGAGTAGCGCCCGACCCAAATCTTTTCTCTTGTTGTTTTTACTCCAACTGCCTCACCCCTTCGACCGTACCACTCTATCGCACTACAGCTTTCCCGCTGCCGAATAATAGACATGGCGCGCCTCTTGTGCTAACATTTTATTGCTTACCAAAGGTGACTCGGCCATCGCATATGCTTCCGTTGTTACTACCATTATTGCTGTGAGGTACCTGAACCTCCTTAGCTGGACCCTTGGACTGTCCTGGATGGTCTTGGCCACCACTGTCGCTGCTGAGATTTCAGGCAAGCTGGTCCTTAACAATGGCCTGGCTTCCCAGTTCCGCCCGCGCGAGTACTTCACCATTTCACGCGATACTTTCGAAGCAATGGTCAGCGATGCCCACGGACTCATCAACTTCTTCCTCATCGAAGCTCAGCGCATAGTGTTCGTTGAGAATATTGGTGTTTCGGTTGCCGTGAGTCGCGCACTTGTTTTCCACTTTCTTTATAAACCAGTGTACCTGTGAATATGTAGAGAGCATCCACGTTGGACGAAAGCGCTAATCTCTCCCTTTTTCTAGGCCTGCGTTGCTGCCTTCATCTCAGGCTTCCTCATCAAGGTCGCTCCCTACTGGGTTCTTACCATCATCGCAACCACCATTGCTTTCTTTGCCCCTCTGGTCTACTCCTCCAACCAGGAGTTCATTGATGAGCAGCTCAAGACCGCTGCCAACGCCATCAACGCCCAGACCGCCCAAGTCCGAGATGCCGCTCAGAAGCAGGCCGACCACCTTGCTGCTGTTGGAAAGCAGTATGCCGGAGACTACACTGGCAAGGTTCAGGAGATTCTGCGCACTCGCAACCTTTCTCCTTCGGCCACTAAGAAGGCTCCCGAGTTCCCCTCCCCTCCTACTGAGGAGCCCAAGGCTGCCGAACCAGTTGTCCCTCAGGAGCCTATCATTGCCTAAATTGGGGCTCTAGACCCGTAGGTGTGTCTACAGTGGAAGAGAAACGAAAGTGAGCGTGAGCTGTCCTAGTGGCTGCTCGTTTCACGTTCTCTACGCTGTGAGTCATAAACCTACCACCGAGGTGATAGAGGTCTTCAAGATTGGAATCAAGATAGGCAGGATGCATAGTTTTGGGAGACGACGGTGATCACCGTATCAGAGCATGATGATATCCGCTCAATTGGCACGAAAAGTTTAACGTTTGGTGAAGAGCAACTTTTTGTGCTGAGAAAGGCACATTCAACGGAGATGAGCGTGGAGGACATTGGCGTTTGCTACGAGACCGATAGGTTTATTTTTTGCAAATTCTTTTTTCCGTTTTTCTTGTTATCAGTTTGGGATGGTCTTCTTTCTTTTTTTACTCTACCTCTCTTTACGCTTGCCCTACGATGAAAGTCTCAATTTTCCTATATGGACTCTAGAGGCTAAGCAGACAAGCTGTTTGGAATCCTGTCTAGTCTACGCAGTGTGAAACGATTTTGCAGGTTAGGTTGCATTGGACTATATATTTTTGAAACTTTTCGAGGCTGTCTAGCGTGATGTGAATGTGACATTTCTGAATAGTAACAAGGCGAAATTCATAAATTAGGATGTGTCACAGAACCGAAATCTCACTGCATCTCAACTTGTGTTTGTGTGCTAGTATTCGCGTCTGCTAATGTCTGTTCTGTTCAAAGCTATCTGGCAAGCCTTGTAGCTTGCATACATTGACTGTCATCTTGACTGACCCATTTCCTATACCATCAAGGAAGGTATAACAAGAGAACAAGTAGGAAAAACTCCGTGCTAAACAAAGTGTAAAAAAAAAAGATATAAACAAACCCGCTCCATAAAACATGGGCTTTGTTTCCCTAATACATAGATGAAAGGAGAGATAAGAAAGCAAAAGATGCAGGTGACTCGTTCGTTGGTCTACCTCATGAGAGAGAAAACTATGTCTCTTTCCGTCTAATTCGTTGTGTTGCAAAGGTGTAAAAGGTCCTTGCATCTCATAACGGTGCTGTGGTTGTGTTTCTGCTGTGTCGTGATGTACTGAATACTGTGTGTCCCCGTGTAATGACTGCGACATGGTTGAGCAAGCCATGCAAGAGGGTCATTCTCAACCATGTGCGCATGTAATGTCAAGGCACCCAGTAGACGGCGACATGATACATACATATATATACATATATGTCTGTGTCTGTGTCTGTGCTGTGTGTTGATGCATGCGAATGTGTGCGTAGATGGGTATATCTCTCAATCCAACTTGACTTTCCCCATTGACGCATGCTAATATCCCATCTCTTCCATGCAGTGCTCTCTGCGTCTCTCTCTCTTCGCCTTACAGCTCTTCTCACCTGCGCCAGCCCCAGAAACCACCACCACCTGATCCGGGAGACGTAGCTGCAGTCGCAGCAACTTTAGCGTTAATCGAGCCTGGAGATACAGGACCGTTGGGAATGTCTCCTTGAGCTTGGGCCTGAGCTTGAAGCTGAGCTTGAGCGTGGTTGTACATCTTCTTCATCGCTTCCAGCTGCTGCTTCGCTTCTTCCGCCTCTTGCTTTGCAATGGCCTGCACCGTCTTTGCCTGCGCAAGCTCCATCAGCAGCGTATCGAGGTCGTTCTGAGACGACTTGCTCTCGTTTGACGCCAATGGTGTCGGGGGCATCGACGCTGGTAGCGGTGGCACCAGGTCGTTGCTTTGCATCACCGACGACTTTCGCCGGTCATATGTTGAGCCCTGAGAAGCCATCGACTTACTGCGCCCGAGCTTAAACTCCCTCAACCCAGCGGGTGGCTTGGGGGTCCATTCCGTTCCGGAATCAAGGCTGCCCAGGCCCGGGTCGCTGGATGCTGGCCTGGCTCGCAAAGCTTGTATCTGCTTCTCCAGTCGCTGCTTGTCCTGGTGAAGGGTCCTGACGTGGCTGTGGCTTTCCCGGATTTGCTCCTTCAGAGACGACATTTCTTGGTCCAAGTCGTGTATCTGCCGGCTGAAGTTTTGGTTCTGCGACATGGCACTGGCCAGCTGGTCTTTGGCCTGTTGCAGCTCAGCCTGCATTTCCGAGTTTGTGCCAGATGCTGATGGCGGAGATTTGCTCTTGTCGCCATCGTCGCCCTCAGTTCCACTGCCGAAGCGGCTTTCCACTCTATCAAGCAGCTCTGACAAGTCTTCTGCGGATGGCGCATCTGATGTATCGGCCGAATCATCCTCCTCCTCCTCATCAGCTGATTTCTCTACTTCATCTTCCTTCTCCTCCTTCTCGTCCTCTACCTCTTCTTCATCTGCCTTTACTTCTGCATCTTCAATAGCCTCTTTGGAGCTCTTCAAACTCAAACTGTCTTCTCCACCTTCCTCTTCCTCTACTTCATCTTCCTCCTCCTCCTCATCATCATCCTCCTCCTCGTCCGATTCCTCGTCTGCGAGGCTTGCTCTCTTCCTGAGCCCCTCCAAGAGGGATCGAACAGCTTTTCGGTCCTCTTCTCTCTCCTCCCGCTCGCGTTTCAGTTCGTTTGACAGCAGCGCATGATTACGCTGCAGCTCGCTTAGCACGGTGAGGAGATCTTCAATCTGGCCATGCAGATGTTTATCGTCTGTGTTTTTGCTACTGCTGACGGCGACCTTGGGAGCTACCGGGGTTGATTCGCGGCTTGCAGAATCGTCCTCGACAGTGTTTGAAGAGTCCCTTGACACAGTAGTGGCATCTGTCGACGATGAACTCATGACACTGGCGGAGCTTGCCTCAACCGAGTTTAGGGTGGAGGCAAGGCTTTGTTTGGAGGTGCTGCGTCGCAACATGCTCAGTGGCCTTGATGGTGCACTAAAACCTGGAGCCAGTCCTGAGCTCCTGGGGAATGCACCGGACGAAGCCCAGATGCGACCGAGGAATCGGGCGGCGGCGGTTGCAATATCAGACGTGCGGGCGGTGTTGGCGGTCGCAACTAGAGATTCGCGGTATCCCTGCTCCAGCTGGGCGAGCTTCTCTCGAGTGACAATGCCGGTGAGGCTGGCGAAATCTTGCACAAACTCGTCGGCGTTGTAGTGGTAACAATCCCACAACCCCCTGGACAAGAGGAGCTGCATCACGTCTTCGAGCTCGGTGCAAGACAGCAATCTGGCCTCGTTCCTCCGCATTAGTGATAGTGCGACGCGCATTAGTGTCTCAGGGGCACCCTCGGCGAAAATCACGTCGTAAATGCGGAATAGCATCGGCAGGGGGCAGGTGGTTGCAAAGAAACTGAGGAACCACTGCGAGACATAGGCCGTTTCTACTTGCAGATCTTCCAGGTGGCTCCACAGCGAGGGGAGATTGGCTCTCAAGAGCTCTCGGAATTGGTATATTCGCACATGGAGTCCCGAAAGGTCTGGCAGAAAGCAGCTTCTCAAATCATAGCGCTCCATGAGTCTATACAAAAGCGCGAAGAGGTTAGTATCACATGTGTTACATCATATCGGGTTGAATCGGGTCGGGTCGATTGAAGGGCCAGAGTCGTGTCACCATTTGACTCTTGAATTGAAAGCGGCAGAGGCAGCAGGGGGGGTGAGTAGGGGAGAACAGAAGAGCACAAAGAAAAGCATTCTTACCGAACCAAAATGCAGAATGCCTGCTTGTCAGGCATGTGCATCAACAGAGGGCCAACGAGAAATGCGAGGCCTTGGCAGTATCCAATCTTGGTATCGTACAGACTGAACGTCTTCAACACTCGTCCAAGCATGCGCTGGCCGTCTCCGTCAGGGTCGCGAAACATTTCAACGCCAGGAAAACTCCGGCCGAGATCCTTGCCAATGAGACCCTCATACGGGCTGGATTCGCCATTGAGTCGCTCGTACTGCTCCTCCAAGTCGTGGTCTCGAGAGCCAGACATGCTCTGCCACACCACGCCTCGCAGCGGCGGGGGGATTCCCTTGCGGATCTTGTTGGACAGCAGTGTGGGCAGCCTGGCCGCGGTCTGCTGGTAGTCCTTGACGAGAGCAGCGTAGAATTCGAGATCTGTCATGGGCGGCGGAGGCAGCATCGAGTATCGCAACGCGGCGGGCGTGGGCCCTCGAACCATCTTGCGGAGCATGGCCATTGATGGCGGGCGCGGCCTGTTTGGCGGAGGCTTCTCGACGAGCTGGACTTTGACGGTCTTTGGATTTGTCGCCAGCTTGGCGTTTTCCTGTTCTAAACGGGCCAGAAGCAGAGCGGTGGACTAGAATGCACAACAGTCACAGTCAGCGAGGAGGCTTGCAACATCAATAATGAATGGCCAGCATGGTATCTTCAATGCACGTACGTTATCAGTCTCTTCGTCTTTGGTCTGTTCGTCTTCCGTCTTTTCAAGCTTTTCCCAATTGACCTCCTCTGAATCTGAGCCATCGCTATCGGCATCGTCATACTCTCCGAGTTCATCATGGAGGCTACGGTTTGCCTCGGCGGAGGCAGACAAAGTGGCGGTCGAGTTTCGGGCGGCGTCTGGCGCATCAGAGCTGGAGCTGGAGCTTGTAGGATCCTCGATCGGCTCGCTGGTCGCTGGCAGCGCAGGCACCTCGGGGATATCGCTATTTCGAGCAGAGGCGGTCTCCAACGTCAGCGTTGGCGGCTCCGAGAGCCTTACGGTCACGAGAGAATCACGGGTCGTTTTTGGGGTTACAACTTCGGCTTCGTCGATGGGCTTGGGGACTGCGTCGGCGGCCGTCATGACTGGCGTGGACGGCTCGCGGCCGCTCAGCTTCTCGCCCGAGTCCATTGCCATCGAGGAGGGCCCTCGTAGCTGGTTGACGAGAAGTGGACTTGGTAGGGTTTGGGTTTTGCTGTAATGTGCTGTGGACTCTCGACACTCGACAGTTGGCGATCAGCTACTCGCAGTGCCGGGCAGGCTGGGTTGCTCCAGCGCCTCTATCCCTTTGCTCAGGGGCCTTGAGAGCTCAGATACGGCCTTGCTGACGCTTCAAAGGACAGGCAAAGGCAGCAGACAAGCGCAGAGGTGGTTCGATTCAATGCCTGTTATGCGAGGACCCAGTAACAGCAGCTATTTCGTACCAGGTAGCAGCAGCAGCAGCAGCAGCCCGTAGGCAGATCAGATGCAGCAACGGCACTAGAGACTCCGAATCTGCGCCGGCAGCGACAGCAACAGTAGCAGTAGGTATCGTTTGGCTGGGTCGGTTAGCGGTCTTCAGCATGCGTAATACGGTAAAGACTCTGGTGTTTCATCGAGGGGCTGCAGGCTGGTCGAAGCTAGTCGGTGCCAGGAAAGGAGTTCGTTTTGACGCCGGGGGGGCCGTGACCTCTGGGGGGGTTATTTTTGGCACGGGTTTATTTTTTCCCTGTGAGGGAGAGAGCGAAACAAAGAGAGTCGACAAGAGACGAGAGACAAGAGATGAGAGTCGACAAGTGAAAAAAAAAGAAGAGAAAAGAAAAACAAGCGTGGGACAGACCCGGACTGTGGGGAAGAGAAGCTGCCTGACGGATCGCAGTCTATGGATGTAATCAGAAGGTGCCAAATAGTGTGCCGAGAAGCTATCGTGCAATTGACGGCGTAGCTGCTAGCCTTTGCCCTGTTTTCTGCGCTGAGTCGAGCTTCAGTCTTTTCTCTTGTGTCCGGCTTTTGAATGGCCTCGGAAGCGCCGTCAAGGTTCAGTCAATTGGCCCAGCAGCAGAGAAAAATTGCAGCAGCACGACGGGCTCATCGTCGAGTTTCGGGTGCTGGGCCTGCCATGCAAATGGGGTCGCATCAGGTCAGTTTGGGCGTGCTATTGGATGCTAATTGTCCGGGCTGCCCAATGCTAGCAGCGGCCGGACGTAGCGGGTACAGCGCCTGGTGCTGTGGTCCGTGGGCAGCTCCAGGTTCCCAAGACTTCCCCGGCGCTTGTGGTGGCCAGGGCGGGTCGGCGAACCCCTGACGCTATATTTTATGCTCCAAGCACTATCCGTACACCTATTCTGCCTGTCAGTATCACTGCGCAATCAGGAATACAGCGGTGGTGAGTGTGAGTGGGCGCAACATTGGCCACTGGCTGGGGGCTCAATCAATGCGTCTTCCTTCTGTAATCATCGCTAGCGCCATGCAGCGCCGTCCATCTGGCGATGACCACATTCCGTACAGAGTTGGTGCGGTATACTGTAAGATTTGTTATACAGCATCAACAGACGCCACGCTTCTCCGCGCTCAGCTTCCTGTGTTAGCGATTCTCAGCTTGGACCCTGCGTCTGAACTCAGTTGTTGGTCTCTTCTTTGTCTGTTTCCTTGTTTCTTCTTTTAGAATGGCGTCTTTCAACAGTCGATTTCATCTGACCTCTTTGTAAGATTTTCGACTTTTCCTACGCGCACCCGTCAAAATCCACCCCCACGCATCTCAAAGATTTACCGCGTATACAAATTATGTCAAACACTATATACTATTTATTGGTCTTGGTAATATATGAAACCCAGAAATATCTCATTAAATTCGTCCATCTTCCTAACCAAAATCCACTGCTCTTCACCAAATGCTGCCCATGAAATTACTGCTCAAAAGCAGAGGTCCAGCCCAATAACCGCCGGCGCTCTCTAAAGGGAAGATCCGCCCCACACGGGACGACCAGGGTGGATCCTTGCCACCTCCTGTGGCGCGAGCTGGTGGGAGCAACTGAGCTCCAGCCACCGCCAGAAGACGCCTCTTACCCAGGCGGGTAGGCAAAAAGCACTGGTGGCATTTTAAAGTGACAGCCACCAATTTCGTGGCAGCGGCTTGCCGTAGCAAATCAGAGGATGCTGTGGCTCAATCCTTGGACCTGCTCAAGCTGCTGTGCTATTCGAAGTGAAATGAGATGCCCTCCATGATACCCCTCCATGATGGCCCTCATTGTCAGGCAGCAGGAATACCTGGGCTTTTCATTCGCTGCATGGAGACGGGCAGGTTTCCCCGGGCTGCCAACTCACGCATGCTGTACGGAGTACTGTACAGCGCTTTATAGGTCGCTAATAAATATGATCCATCCATCAGCATTGCCAACCCAGACGAAAGAGCAGAGCCGACAGCGAAGAAGATGACAACCCACAAATTCGGTGAAAAATACTGATGGTGCCTACTAGCAGCACAAGCGCTCATCAAGAATTGCCACCGTGAAAACTGATTCCGCGTTCAGTTCACCGTACGCCTGGCATCGAGAAACGGACACTTACCTTGCCGCATAGACGAGGTTTTTTCCCCTCTCTTCTCTCATGCATCATCACACCGCTATTCTTTCAGCCAGAAGCTAAGCACCGCTAGCATAGCGCTTCTGCAACAGGGATCAGAAGCAAGCTTCATCGCATCGAGTGGATGGTGCAGTTCTCCAAAAATCGAGGACGTTATGTACTCGTAAGTTGTTACTGGTACTGCTGCCAGGTAGCAATAGTGCCATCACAAAGTACGGGTATACCAACCACAGACTGCATTGAACTAAAACAGGCCACTTCTGCATTGTTTTCTTGGAAAGGCAACGATAAACAAACGCGGTTCGATTCTCTAGCCGAACGCTCCATGGTCCTTCCGTCCGGCTCTCGGCTAGGGACCAACGCTTCTAGCTTGAGTCTAGGTGGTTGCTTGGACGTCGCGGAATGCCTACACAGCTGCGTTTTCGGAAGAGCCATTTGAGTGGTTGTTGTAGCGTAATTGCAGATCGACTGCCGAGTATCATGGCATTAATTTGCTCTTCCAGAGCATCGCCATATTTGCAGATGCTGCCCCCACGGCCATGAAGTTTACCTTTATTAAGTGGAACTCGCAGCAAGTCTCACCTGGTAACATCTCCATGGCGCAACGCACATACCCTGCTTACTTGCCAAAAAATGGACACTCTCGATTTGCAAAATAGTGACAGCAGTACGGTGGCGCATAGTAGTTTCAGTTTAAAACTCCCGTCTTGAAATTATACATTGTAAGGCTGACAAAACGACACGCAATTGCAATTATACCATCTTGGCGTTCTGTCTCCGAAAACACGCAACGCCAAGCAATAAGAGAGCCGACTCATATAATTGTGTATCGAGGCTATATTCTGCTTTAAAATCCATGCTGCCCGTATCTGAGACACTCGAATATAGTATAGACACTTCGACCTTTGATAGTTAGCATTATAATGCCCGGCTCGCAACAATGTAGTCCATATGCCCTTGTACAAGAGAAGCTGTACTGGTATTGCTATCTCGGCACCATTGCCGATAGACTCGAGGCAAGTGGCCAGGATGGTGAACATGCTAAACACTCGTTAGTACGCAATAGTCTCTACTCTAGAGCAAGTAGCCGATAGCGTATCTATTTTTCGCTAGGAGAGCCAGCCGAAAAGCCACAGGCAAGGACTATACGATGGTCAAGGCTCCTCCTGATCTCTTATCAATAAGAGCAACAGTTGTTGTCTGCGGCTGGTCATACAACAAGGACAGGTGCTTAATTACGTAGTTGTAGTTCAATTTTCCAAATCTCTCTAGTATTTTGATTCCTTACAGCTTGCGGATTTCTAGCATTCCCAATGTTGATACGGAGCATCATCGAGATGTCCGCTGTTGATGGTGTTTTGAAAATCCAGGACGGTGATGCACGGCTGCTGCGTACCCAATGGATACATACGTCTACTACAATCTACTTCCCCTCAGACACCAAACCGCAGATATTGCAGCAAATAAATTCAGGCTGCGTGGCCTGAACTCGATGCAATGACGGTGTTGGTGGCATTGTCCTTACGTCAGCCGCAAGGCCATGCACCTGAACGCAGATGCCGGCTTCACGGCGCGTCTCGAGCAATCCCTCGCTCCTTCGATTTCCTCTCCATACAACCTTGGCCAAAAAAAAGCCCGTCCCCCCTCCATCGGGTAGGAGCACAGCTTGTACCGTTTCATCTTGCTCTTCATCTCTCTCTCTCCATCCCAGACGCACACGCTGAAGCCCTCGAGAATATCAATATATACTAGGCCTGGTCCACAATGAAAAGGGCTACAACTCAAGAGATGGCTTCCGAGTCTCTCCAGCAGCACCGGCGATTCCTAGCGGCCGTGCTAAACACTTCGCGCGAACCGCTGGATGCCCAAGAGAACGCCCTGGGCAAGGCCAAATTCTACCGCATCATTGATCTCTACAGTAAACGGAAGCGTGACCGCTCCAAGTATAAACGCCACCTGCTGATCCAATACTCTTATGAATACGCCCTCTCCGAGGAGTCGCGAGCCCACTTCCTGCAGACCTTTTTCCAGGCGCTGGAGCTCTCAATTGACGGTCAAGCCCGTGTTAATCTGAGCGATAAGAAGCAGGCTAGCGAGCTCTGGCTGAAGATCTCTGCCTTTGCAGACTTCTTGGTGGATAACTTTTACCTACCGCGTGCGACATTGTCATGTTCTTTATTTTCAATTCATCCTGACCTTCATTTACACGCCTACTACCTATCCACGCACACATACATGTTGATACTACTGCCACTACGACATATGCTACACACGCGCCCTCATGTATATACCTATATGCGCTGCCTGTATATACTGTTGCTAACAGGTAGTGTCTCTCTTGTTAGTCAAGGCCGCTGCGAGACGGGCACCCCTGCCGAGTCTGACGTCGCAGCCCGCCGTGCCGGATCTCATCACAGATCCTCGTGAGGATTGCCTGATCCGCGATCGCCATCGCTGTATCATCACGCATGCATTTGATTTCGATGAAGCAGTAACACGACACAAAGAACAGACCAATGAAGCCAAGGACGACGAGGGGAGGCCGCTGTTTGGCGGCAATCGTTTCCTCCACCTGGAGGCCGCGCCGATTCTTCCCCACTCTCTCGCCGAGATTGGATCAGACCCCTCTGAAGAGGTAAGGCTTCAATCATGGGCTCGTTCTTACATACCGAGCACAGTCCACAGACGTTGGTTGAACAGCAAGGCTAAATGAGACGTTCGAGGTACAGAGTCGCGCCAAGAAACTCACGCTGGCGATTCTCAACATATTCGACCATGGCATTCAAGATTTAATCAACGAGTGCGTTGGCACGCCGCGGAATGCCGTGACTCTCACCAAAAATTACCATCACATGTTTGCCGAATTCGAAATCTACTTTGCGCAGCATGATGGGCTGACCCACTCGCCGCACACGTACAGGATCGAGGCCTTTGTCCCTTTAGCCATGAGAAGAGAACTTCCCATCACTCGAACATTGCGCCCAGAGGGAGATGGTGAATCAATTGCCTTGCCAGAGCCTCGACTCCTGGCTCTTCGTTGTGCCCTCGCTCATGTGCTTTACTATTCTTCAGTGGGCACTTATATCGACGAATTGCTTGAAAAGCGCAAGGAAAAGCCCACCGAGGAGAATGAACCGGCAGAGCTGGACCTCTTTGCACAGCTGAGATTAGATGGGCGGTGTGCCTCTTCTACTACTACTAGCACTGCTACTACTGCTGTTGCTAATACTGCTGCTGCTGCTAGTACTGCTGCTGCTGCCAGTACTACTGCTGCTGATAGTAATACTGATGTTGCTAATACTGCTGCTGCTGATAGTACTACTGCTGCTGCTAATACTGCTGTTGCTGCTAATACTGCTGTTGCTGATGGTACTACTACTGCTGATGGTACTACTACTGCTGATAGTATTACTACTGTTGATAGTACTACTACTGCTCCCAGTACTACTGTTGCTAGTACCAGTGGTGGTGGTGATGGTGATGATGATGGTGAGCGCCAATGAGAGAGATGGTTTTTCTTATGTTACTCGGGTTTGATGAAATGGGCATTTATGATGTTTTGAGAGAACAGGCTCACCAATACTCTCATTAAGTTATTTTACTTTAATTGTATACTTTAATCAACTTTTGAGCATCTTCACTAGAATCGGATAATGATTTATCATGGGCCGAGTTTAGCTAGCAAATGTAGATGGGTATAATAAAGCAAATTTTGCACATACTTATAGATGAGAGTCCCATGAGTGATGGTGAACTAAGGATATATAAATGGCTGTCATGATAGGTATCAATAATCGAGACTTCTCATAGTGCCACATGTGCTTCTGTCTGCGAGAAACCTCTTACAGTATCATCTTTATACAATTGAAATATGTTCTAGATCTGTCTTGGACACTGTAAACTCGTCCGAAAAAAACTGTGTGATATGTAGGCAAACCCAATGTAAGAGGCTCCAAAGTCTTGCTTGAGTGTACTGTTGATAGACTTGGCATCCTTACAGGTTTCCAAAGCTACCTGTATTTGCAGATGCGGAGCGGCAATTCGTGGACGAGGCAGAGTAGGCTTTAGTGATGCTAGATGATAGCAATTGGTTCAATGCCGTCATTATCATCTGTGCTCAGTATCTTTTCCCTTGTCCATCATTCGACTTCATCGGCGCCCATACTCCATTCCAACCGCAGCAGAGTCATGAGCGCTGAAACTATTGCAAATTAACAATTAAGCTACACAGCACTAAGCGTCTGGCATCAGCCCGCAAAAGCTTATCACGGCGCTGGAATCTAACTGCAAGCTACCTAGTCCTCTTGCGCAGAGGCCAGTTTCGCATCGAGCCGGCGATCTTTTTCGGCAGAGCGCAGAGAGTCTTGGTCACGACACCACGAGAGACCGAAAGGATTGGCAATGCATAGGTACAGGCAAATGTTACTGGTAGCAAAAGGATTCGCCCCATCAGCCGGACTAGGCTCAAGCCAGACCTGATAAGCCAAGGACTAACTCAAGCCACGGCGTCGAAAACCCAAACAACGACAGGTTATATGCGTGTAGCTCGAATAGCGTCCCCCTTCTCAGCAGCGTCTGCCCGAAAGGGCTCCCCCAATGGGCGGCACTTGTCTGGCATGTGGGAGCCCACCTCGACCGTGTCATGCGTCCTTTGTGTGTGTGGCTGGATCCAACCTATGCCGCCTCTTGTTGGCCAGACCTGGCTGCACGGCATTTGTGGCCAGACCAGACCAGACCAGAGCCAGAGCCAGAATCAATCAGCAGAGCCAAGGGTTGCATTGCTCCAATCAAGCAACCAGGTCGCTGCAAAGGCAAATGCAGGGACTTTTGTGCCACCCCAGAAAACGGCAATGCGCTGCTGATCTCATGATTTTCAGAGCTGCTGCTGCTGCTGCTAATCTAATGCACGTACCGTCCATGCAGCGTCATGCAAACACGTATATAGGCAGAGCGAGCAGCAACGACCTGTCTTGGATCTCGACGAGATGGCGCCTTCAGACAAGAAGAGAGAGAGAGACAATCGAACCAGAAGCCTGGCCCGCTGCGGAAATGGATCAGCGACTCCATTACCGCCCAAGTCTTGGGAATCCCGTGGCGGCCCTCCCTTGGCGGGTCAGACTAAAGAAACGGTCAGGCTGGACGAGGAAAAAAATTGAATGGGAAAAAAAAGTAAAGCTTACCCAGAGCCAAACCGTGACCGATGATACGGAGCAAAGCAATGCAACGCCACTAGTAACGGCACGAGGCCAAAAGCACGACAGCCGATGGTTTGATGTCATTGCAAAGTTCGACGAGTTCGACGTTCTGGCTCTCGACTCGCACAGACAGCGCTGCGGCTCTCCCGCGTCTTTCTTGCCTGTTGCCAATGTGTCTTGCATTCTGCTGCTGTTGGTGATGAGGAGCTGCTGATGCTGATGCCGATGCTGATGCTAATGCTGAGATGGGTCAAAGCATGGATGATCAACCTTCTAGCGAGGGCCTTGATGGGAATCAGCGCCGCACAGAAGCTGGAGCTTGGACAGATGGAGCTCGTCCTAGTGGCTTTGGCCGTCCCGACCGCTACGAGCTAGCTACAAGCAGCTGGGGAAGACCCCTGTCGGCCGCTATCCAGCTCGTTATTGCAGGCCTGCTGAGCCCTCTTGCGCTCCGCTGTGGGCTAGAGCTCCCAGCCCAGTAAGTCCCTAGCATAGCAGTAGACGATTATAGTAGAAGGAGCAACAGCTGCCCTGCCCGTGCTGCTCTCGCGATCCCTCCTCTTTCGCCTCTTCTTCGTTTTTTTTGCCTTCTTCTTTCCTCTCCACTCCAACTCGCAAAGGCGAGAGCCGCTTGTTGCCTCCTCTCTCGATCCTCCGTCTTTCTTTGTTCCAGTTCTAATGGCGTGCCCGGCCAAGCTGTGCTGACAGTGACGGGTCTCCCAGCCGCAACCTCGACTCCGGCATATCTAGATTCAGCCAAGGACTCAGCTCAGGCAGGCCCCGAAGATGTCCTCCATAGCCCAGCGTCGCCCTCGACCGGCTCCCCCTCGCCGCGTTTCTGGTCGGCACGACAGCATCTCGCCGTCTACTGTCACGCCGCTTCGGCCATTCCCCGCCCATCGAGCCCATGCCACGGCGGATTTCACAGAAGCAGACGACGACGATGAGGACGAAGAGGACGGCTTCGATCACAACAACAGCAATAATAATAACAATACCAGGAATGACTCGGGCCGTTTCGATGAGGGCAACAACAACAACAATAGCAACAGTAATAGCAACAGCAACAGCAACAGCAATGGCAGCAACAATACTCGTCGCCGTCGTGCTTACACGACCGATATGCCTCCCGAAGGAATTCGAGGGCAAGACCAAGAAGACGATGATGACGATGGGGAAGAAGAACGCCAGCCTCGGAGACGCAATACTCTGCCTGTTCTTCCGCTCTTCTCCTCCTCGCACCTCGGTATGATATTCAGGCTCGCCTCTTGATTTTATGAGCCTCCAACAAGTATACCCAAGGCCGACTAGCTGACTTGTACGCCCGCTTTTCTTTTACCTTCTCTAGATGCTCTTCCAGTCTATAGCTTGACTCATGCTATCCGAATCATCGTGAGCTCTCGCACTGAGACGACGCTTACTTGGGACCAGCTACGGTCCCCCCAGGTCTCCCAATTCCTTGTCAAGCCGATGCAGCAGCAGATTCGAAGCCAGCACTTCTCCCGAGCCACGATTTACGCCCTCATGGCAAACTGCCTCCAGTTCACCAAGGAAGGCCAGCTGTATGCCGCCAATGCTGGAACCAGCAACACAAGAGCCAAGGTCTGTGAGCTGTTAGCCCTGAAGATGCTCAAAGAGTACTCCACTCGCGAGCTGATTGATGCATTGGCCTACGACTTTTATCCCCTCCAGGGCTTGCCAGGAGCACAACCACCTCCCACGACGGCTGGCAGCACTGGCAGCAAATCCAAAAACAACCCCCTCGTAGCGTCGCGGACATCGACTCTGGAGGTTGCCATTCGGGCCTCGGCCAAGCATTTCCTTGCCCATCCCGTTGTGGTCCAGCAGCTTGAGGCTATCTGGAATGGTGCCATTTCTTTCTACTCCTCTGCCGATAGCCTGCACCGGGAATCGCCTTCAAGCCCCTATTCTCGCTACAATAGCCAGCCCAAAGTTGATGATAGGACTCCTCTCTTGGGCTCTCTGCCTCCCAAGCCGGGAAACCTTGCCGCCGCCCCTGGCAGGAGAACTGTGATGTTGTACGATCCTAGACAGGCGTCCTTGCTGAAGCTGTCTCGTCTCCGTGTGCCGCGATATAGATCGTTCTTGTCTACGCTGTCCCTTGCTGTCTTGATTGGGCTCTTCTTGGCCGTCTTGGCTAAACGATCTGCGCAAATCACTGGCCTAGAACTGGTCTTTTGGTTCTGGAGTGCCGGTTTCATGCTCGATGAGCTCGTGGGCTTCAATGAACAAGGCTTTGCCCTGTACCTCATGAGCTTTTGGAACATCTTTGACTTGGGCATCCTGGTGCTGCTTATTGCCTATTACTGTATGCGTGTCTATGGCGTCTTCCTCGCCGACCCTCACCACTGGAACGCCATGGCCTTTGACGTGTTGGCTGCAAATGCCATCCTGTTACTGCCTCGCATCTTCAGCGTCTTGGACCACTACCAGTACTTTTCCCAGCTACTGATTGCGTTTCGGCTGATGGCTGTTGACTTGGCAGCCGTCTGTATCTTGATTCTTATTGTGTGTAGCGGCTTCTTTGTCTTTTTCACTTCTTCTACCACCTCTAGTAATGGTGCCGAGGTTGCGTACAAGATATTCCAGATCCTCATGGGCTTCACGCCCGCCGCTTGGGATGTGTATGCCACCCCCCCTTTTCCTATATTTCCATTGATTGCGGCCTAAAAAGCCGAATGTTTCTAAAAGAAAGAACTAACGTCAAATAGATGGCCATCGTACAACTGGCTTGCGCGAGCATTGCTATGCTTTTTCCTCATCATTTGTCACTTCTTGATTGTGTATGTCTCTGGACCCCAGCAACAAGACTGATCATTGCTGATCTTTTTACTTAGGACAATTCTCATCACCGTTTTGACAAACTCCTTCATGGCTATTGCGTCCAATGCCAACGAAGAGCATCAGTATGCATCAACGGCTCTCGTTATATCTTCGAAAGCGCCCATTACTGACGCTGCTTCCTATAGGTTTCTCTTTGCTGTCAACACCATCTCCATGGTAAAAAACGACGCATTATTTTCCTACATTGCACCCAGCAACATCTTTGCGTGGCTGCTCATGCCTCTGCGTTACTGCATGCCCCTTCGCCATTTTGTCTTGCTCAATCGCATAATCATCAAGGTAACTCACTGCCCTCTGCTGTTCTGTATCTACTTGTACGAAAGATTCTGGCTAGCGCCGTCCATGTATGAGCCTACAGATCTGGTCGAAAACCCAGGAAGAAGTCGGACTAGGGCGATTTCTTTTGGGGACATGGCCAATAGGACCACCATCTTCAGCCCGAGCATGCGAGTGCGCGAAGAATCGGTGGCGGGATATCAAAAGGACAGGGCTCTTGACGAGCTATTTCTGCGCATGCCTGATGCTACAAAAGCACAGAGACGGCACGAGAGACGCAAGACCAAGACTGCGATCCGTAATTGGATGGATCGAACTGATCAGGACGGAGGAGGCCCCAATTGGCCACCATCGGACAGTAGAGCTGTGCCCGATTGGCAGAGAAGGATGAGCATGGGTTGGGATCTGCGCTCAAACTCCAGACAGGTATCCGATATCAGATCCATCGTCAGTGATCCAGCGGATCTGGCGTCCAATGCAGGAGGGGCTTCGTACGGGGGCTACCGCATGATGATGGACCCTCGCTTCGCCCACCTGACACCCGAGTACAAAGACCACACCGACGCTGATGGAGATGATGAGCTGGTCACAAACGATGAATATGAAGACGAAAACGGCACAAACACAGAAACTCGCGGTGTTAGGAGGGTGAATGCTCTCGCCAGTGAGACAGACGACTATTTCACAACGACTCCTACAGGGGTACAGTCGGCCGCCATAACTTCGTCTCACAGCTCGTCGGACAAGGGAAACTCTTCCAACAAGCCTAGGCGACGCGTAGCACACAATCGCACGCTGTCTACCAATACCATACTTTTCAATCCTGGCGAAATGGACCATCCGCCCGAAAGCTCTGCGTCAGCTTCGCCGCCCAAAAGAGCAGCACTTACGATGAGCCGAGGTGGAAATGCTGGAGAGATGCCCAATGGCGTGCGCAGCCCCCCTAGCCGGCGATCCATGTTTTCCCCGCCAGCCCTCAATACTCGCTCTACTATGCCTTCACAGGCGGGCACTAGTGGTTTGAACAGATCGGCTGTCATGGGCCTTGATCCAAGGAACCGCGATCGTGCCGTTAGAAGGCTGTCGTCCGCCGACCTGAGCATTTTGTCTGACAACACGAATCTTCCTTTTGCCGGAGACATTAACGCTGGCTTGGCAGGCAGTTTCCAGACGCAGATGGCCCTGGCTCTCATGAAGGACAACCGGCTGCGAGATGTCGGAGGAGCTGATACGGCAGATCGCGATAGGATGGGAAGGTTGGTTCTTGCTCGGATGAAGACTCTGGAAGAAAGCTTTGCAGACGTCGTCAAAGAGATGCGAGATTTGAAGAGCAGCTCCACGGCGCCGACGACGAGACGAAATTCATCAGGCGAAGAGCTGAGGATAGGATCTCCCCTTGATGCTGCCAGATCAGACCGACCAAAAAGTCGTAGGGGGGGCACAGCAACTCCAAAGCGGCCGGCTAACAAGCGACCTGTTAGTCGACGGAGTATGAAGGAAAGCAAGCTTGGATTGACGATGACGGGAGATGTCAAGGGCAAAGGGAAATTTGTCGCTTCTTACTCGACAGAAGAAGAAGGCGAAGGGGCGGGTGACTCCTTTTTGGACAAGACAAGCTCCCTGTAGCACCCTCTAGCAACCATTTTCTTTTATTTCTCTCATTTCCTTTCATGTCAGGCCTGTTCACTCCGGCACCTTTGGTATCTGAAGAAGTCAGGAGGGACAGCCAAGAGCATGCACCGGCGTTGGAGGAGAGCGTTTGATAGCTTTTTGCGTCCAGTTTTGCAAATGAGGTCCAGGATATCCTACTTTTCGGTGGACGAGAGGCGTGGTGTTGGAAAAAAAAGGGGGATTATGTTTTGTCACAGCTGACAAAACGAAGTTGCGACTCGGTGGAGATGGCGCTGGAGAGGTCAACTTGCCCATGTTTTTGACTTTGTTATATTTCCATTTTTACGTGAAATCGCCTTTCCAGTGCGACTCGAGCTTGAGCTCTATGACATCATTTTTTGTAAGACGATTGACGTCGAAGATGATTACATACTACTGAGTACCTACATACATACATATATACAAATATCAAGTGAAACAGCACAGCTGGCTGATGTGTTTTACAAAAACTCCAAGGCTGTAACATGAGATGGGGGTGCAACAAGGAGTTTGGGTTGAGATGTATGAATTGTCCATACACCCGTCATCTCATGGGCTGTGCACAGTTACTCCTAAGAGCCCTGGCAACGGCTTCCGCAAATGGCTCCGGGGGTAGCTTTGAGGCCTTGACAGGATCGTAAAGCGTGATCCAGACGGTGCCCCTGATCTCCTTGTGCTCCCCAACTCCATTCGGAAACCCGAGATGTTCCAGGCAGCGGTATATGGCGCTCTTGAGCCGCCGCTGCGTCAGCACCCGCACCACGGCCGACGTCGCGCCAGCGCTTGTCACCATGATCCAGAGCGGCTCCTCGCGCGCCTTTCGCAGGTACTTTTCGCGCCTCGCCGCGGCCAGCGGGTGGCCCCTGGGATCGAAGAAGCGCAGGTCGTGCGGATGGACAATGTGCCGCGGGCTAAAGGCCACGACGGCGTTGTAGGCCTTTGCTGCGTTTTGGATGGCCGGGCCGGCGGTGAAGCGGCGGGCGGCGCCGTTGTCGGGCTCGATGTTGTGCTTGACGAAGAAGGCGGCGGTCTCGGGGGTGGTGCAGAGGGTGCCGGATGGGCGGATGAATTTCTTGGCTTCTTCGGGGATGAAGCGGCGGATGGTGTCTCGGAGGAGCTTTTGCTTTGGTTTTGGGGGATGCTGGGTGAAGGCTGTTTTTGGTGGGGGTTTTGAAGTTTGGCGAGGGGGTTGGATTGTGGAAGAGGCGAAGAGACGGATGCTTGACGGAGAAGAAGAGAGAGATTGTGTGGCGAGTTGTTTGAAGGCGAGTGGCCTTAGATATTGAGATGTTGACTTCATGGCTGGTGGTGTTTTTTGATATTGCATGAGAAGTGCAATGCTATGTGTTTTTTTCCTCCTCTTTTCTATATAATCCTATTGAGAATGTTTATGAATTACATGCGAGTTGAGGGAAAACAAAAGACTAAATCATGACTCTTTGCTTGTGAATGCTGGCCAGCTTGGTCAACCGACTTTTGTGTGAAAGTTGGTGATGTCAAAGATGAGCTTCAAAAAAAGAGCTTGAGTGTGCTTATGTAAGCCAACTACTACACAAAACTATCGGCTAGCGGACTTGTTCAACTCCCTCTTGTGTATGCTCTTGGAAAAGAAAATATAAGAGATGAATATAATTTTGCTATGAAATGGCTCCTTTTGCAACTAGCATCTCAACAATACCCTCATACCCTTTCTCAGAAGCTACTGATAATGGCGTTTGGCCCTCATTATCCTTTGCCTCAATATCAGCTCCGATGTCTATGAGTAGTTCAACATAATCCTCACGCCCCTCCTTAACAGCTATTAATAATGGCGTTTGGCCCTCATTATCCTTTGCCTCAATATCAGCTCCTTCCTCTATAAGTAGTTTAACATTATCCTCATGCCTGTCCTGAACAGCTATCAATAATGGCGTTTGGCCCATACCGTTCTTTGCTTCAATATCAGCTCCTTCCTCGATTAGCAGCTTAATAATAGTTTTATGCCCCCCACTAGCAGCTATTAATGATGGCGTTTGGCCGTCACCATCCCCTTCCTCAATATAAGCTCCTTCATCAAGTAATAGCTTAAGAATAGCCTCATATCCATGTAATGCAGCATGATATAATGGTGTGAAGCCAGCAATATTCGCTGCATTGATATCAGCTCCATTATCAACTAGTAATTTCACAACTACGTCATGTCCTCCTTTGACAGCCCAGATCAACGGCGTATTGAAGTAGTCATCCATTGCCTCAATATAAGCTGCATTATCAACAAGCAACTTGACAATAACATGAAGGCCAAAATATGATGCTATTATGAGGTCCGTAGTTTCATCAATACTAGGAACTTCGTAAGAGTCCCTTGACTTCGAGTAATAGGAATAGCTACATGATTCGGGATCGCAAAGTTTCAGTGTGGCAGGTATAATAGGATCGCCATCAATAATATGTGCTTCGCGGAAGTGAGCGGCCCATTGGATAATTGCGTAGTCAATAAACGGCATTTCATACCCATCCTCTTCTGCAAGCAGGTAAACATGGGAATCAACCATGTTTAAATAGAGAATGCAAAGCCTTGCCAGAACATGATGTGCTTGGCGAGTAGTAATAGAGTGATGCCATTGTCGTCCTAGCAATGTAGGAAATGCCGAATTAGCGAGGAGAAATTCGCGGGCAGTCTGATGGAGGAAATAAACCCTGCCTTGGTAGATTGAGATAAAGAGCCCGCACCAAGACCTTAGGCGCGACTTAAAGTCATTGTCATCCTCTAGATCAAGACTATCAATAGACTTTGTGGTGTCTTCCGTAGCTGTATCGTCTATACTCATTGCGACATTCATTTCCGAGAGTGTCAGTGGTCGACTGGCGGCTAAGATGATGCCCAAGGCCTTCCGAACAATAGGCTCCTGCTCTTCTTTAGATCTATTGAGAATCCGCTCGTATGCATCATTGACATTTCTTGGGAGCGTTTGGATTAAGGACTCAGCTCCTTTCAAGGTCTGTTTAAAATCACCTTGTTGTATGTGATCAAATATTAGGTACACCCATAGATAGGTACGGTGCGGAATCTCTCGCAGTTTTTCCTCCAGGCAATCCCTTATCCCGGGTGATAGTGATAGTTGGTTAATCCGATGTTGGATAACAGAGTCTACCTCTTGGCTAATGACCTCCGACTCTTCCTCGCCTGGAATATGGATATTTGGGAAGTTTCTGAATAGACCATGGAATTTGGAGATGATTTGCTGGTATGGACGGCATGTGAGAAGAACTTTGGACTTGCTTGACTGATGATTGTGGAATAGGCTCTCCAAGTTTTTGATCAAGCTTGTCAATTCCGATTCGCCACACTCGTCGAGAGCATCAAAGACTAAAATTATAGCCCCTGCATCGGGATCTTTTATAACGCTCTGCAGAATCTCCCAAAGGATATTTGTAGAGTATATCAATTTCTCCCCATCCTTGCTGTATTGTAGTACGGCATGTTTCGCAATCATAGCTGGCTTTTGCGAGAAGAGCTGATGAAGCAATGCGCAAAGCGCTTGGCGACATGTGTTTTGATCCTGGTCCTTGAAGAAGAAGTAGCAAATACTAGTAGTAGTTGCTGATTGTGGTAAGCCATGGTCAATGAGATATTTGGCCAAGACTGATTTCCCGCAGCCGGGATCCGCTGTGATGAGGAGAGGTCCAGATTCATCCTGTTGCAGCCACTTTTGAAAGCGCTTATGCTGTAACAGCCACTGACATGTGCCTTCAACCCTTTCTTCAACTTGGTCTTTGTACCATTCATACGTTGCATCATTGCTGCTACTAAGGCGAAATAGTTGGTGAATTTTCTCTTCTTTTTCAGAAAGTCTTTCTCTTACTTGATCCTTGTGGATTTGAAGCTGCTCTTTTGCAATATCTCGAGATTCTTCTGTAAGTTTGTGAATGCCTGGAGAGACAAGATTAATAAATACAAAAGATCCTAGCACGCAGATGGTGATCTCAGGACGTACCAGATAAGATGTCACTAATCTTCTCCTCGGCCTCAATCTTATTTGGAGGTATCTGGAGGAGCAGGTCTCTTGCGTATGCTGCAGCTGCCATTGCCGCATAACCCTGCCATTTCTTGTTCTTGTGCGAATCTGAATAATCACAGATGCCGCGAATAACCAGACAGGGAAAGTGGTTCATTAACCCAGCAGCTTCCATTTCAAAACAAAGAACGTCCTTTTTGGTTATAAGCCGATCTCGGATGAGGGCATCCTTCATCAGGGTATTCGCCGAGGCGATTAGACCATAATGGATCGCCACAATATCATCACCACCACCATCATCTTCTTCTTCTCCTTCTCCATTCCGTTCCCGCCGCTCAACAAAGCGTGATGGATCATCGCCACAGGCTACCGCACAGGCAACATCATCACCCGGAGGATGGATGACATCTGACTGGTAGAGTCGATCAGTAGCTGCTTCAGGTCGCTTATAGCCTTTCTTTCGCAGTCGTTGATGTATGCTCAATGCGTTGTCAATGGCCTCTTCCAGTTGGTTCCCGTTAAACTCGTGCTGTGCCATAAGGCCACTGACAGCTGCCCGCAGCAGCGTTGGTGGCTGGTTCAGGAATCCGGCCTCGTGAAACTCTTGGTTCTGAATAGCCTTTCCAAAGTCATATTGGAAAACTCCGCCCTGTCCGCTTTTGACGCCAACAACAACATCGCCAAGTCGAATATCGTGCCTCACGCTAGGAGCACCGCCACCGATGCCAACCATGAGACCGATTCTAATGTTTGGAAAGCTATGCAGCATGTCTCTTGCCACGCTCGCCGCGGAAGACAATCCGTATTCGCTATTAGGCAGGACCGCAATAACAACATTGTGCGTTCCAATTCTGCCCAGAGTGTAATTGTTGTTATCATGGACGGATACGTGCTTGGGCCCATCATGCCTTTCTTGCAGAAATGCCTGAGCAGCAACGTATTCTGTCGTGATGGCGCAGATCCACCCGACGCTGTAGTTGTCTGGATCAGACATGGCTGCGTAATATAAACCCTTGGACTCAAAATTGGAGGATCATCATAGAAGTAGAGTTCACTGGGTTGATGATTCCTTGGATGTATATATTGGGTATCGAGGCAATTCCCCGCTCCCTACCCAAGGTAGCAAGTCAGCAAATACGTACCAATCAATGCGTGACTTGTATAGTAACATTTTGCCAGCCGGCTGCGTCCATTGAGCGAGCTTCCTGCTTGACTTGCATCCAGTCTATCTTACATATTTGCTACCCAATGCGCAAAATCCTCAGAATTAATACGAGAAAAGCTTTTGCAGCTAATTATTCCCATTATGTAGCATTCATAGTGGACCATGGATTCAAATGGTCGTGATTGATCCGCCAAGCTGAGAACGGTTCATGATGATCCCTCTGCAGGATCTCTCGATCTAAAAGAAAGCGGCTGCTTATACCGCTTTCTGCCGTGTAATTCGCAATTCGTAGAGGATCGCATAATAACCGATACAAAGCCGAAAGAGTCTGAATTCTTCTTCATTCTTGATGAGCATCAGGTTGGTCATTTATAGATACAAATGACTTCTGCTTGGTTCTTCCAAGATACAACGAAAGATCCAGTATCCGTACCTGGATGAAAGATGTGCACCAATGATCCTGCTTATGTAACCCAACCATTACGCGGATAACGCAGATCAAGTGTAAATTTTCGCTAGTGGGTCGTGGACTTTTCCAAGTTCCACCTATTTTTGCCTTTGCGCGCCTCATAACGCCACTCGATATTTCTGCATTGGGCAGGTATACGGATACATACAATATTGCATGTTCCGGAACTGGCTGGCATTCTTTGTTATCTCCGAAGCTTTGATGCCAAATCTTTTGTCGCCCCTTCTGGACTCAGCCACAGTTGGCTCTGCTTTGGCATACGTAAATACAGACCATATACATGCACCTTGACATGCACCTTGACATGCACCTACCAATACACTATTATCGGTAAATGACTCAAAGAAAAACATACATCCTCTCTCCTAATCTACATCATATTGTTGTACCTGTTAGTGGGACTAGTGGTTAGTAGTACAAGTATCTTGGTCAACTGCACGATGTAGGACTGGTACCTGGATGGCTGAGCCTTTTCCAGCTCTGCCGTGTAGATGCAGTGTTGCTACCTTTGCTACATAAAAAAATGCTGAGAAAACCCATATTATTATTAAACACCCTTGTTTGCCTAATACTAGCATGCTTTAAAATTAGAAATAGGGTTATTATACCATTTCCTTTGAGTCGATGAATCATGAGCTGACGCTGTCTGACTTTGAAAGTGACTCGCATCACGTGACATTGAGTCACCATGCCGCATAGAGTTGCGACGACTGCGCCTGAAAGCTAATATTTTGCCCCTACATAAGAATCTGAGAGGCTGCCGACTTTTTGACCCTCTGCATCCCCTGGTCACCGACACTCCAGATTTCTCGAGCCAACAGTCAAGATGCCCAAGAACAAGGGAAAGGTACGTTTTCCGCATCTATCTGGGCCGCCGAAGAAGACAAGCACAGGAAGAATAAAAAACAGCCGTAAAAAACAAGCAGAGGGAAGCTGAATTGGATCAAATTCAACCCCTCCCCCGCCAATTTTTTTGTGTTGATCTTTTTCTTCCTCTTCTCGCCTCCGACGCGGCAGCCGACAGCTACTCATAATATTGAGAACGCTACTTTTTCTGAGATCCCTAAGGCTAACGTTTACTTTTCTTTGCGCAAAAACAGGGCGGCAAGAACCGCAGACGAGGAACCAAGGAGAACGATGACCAGCGCCGAGAGCTGACCTTCAAGGAGGACGGCCAGGAGTACGCCCAGGTCGTCAAGATGTTGGGTAACGGCCGGCTCGAGGCCATGTGCTTTGACGGCAGCAAGCGACTTGCCAACGTACGTTCAGTTTCTCCTGCCGAGAAGAACAACACCCGCTCTCCTATATCAATAACTAAATAAGCTAACCATGTCCACCCACAGATCCGTGGCAAGATGCGCAAGAAGGTCTGGATCAACCAGGGCGACATCATCCTCCTCTCTCTCCGAGACTTCCAGGACGGCAAGGGCGACGTCATCCTCAAGTACACCTCCGACGAGGCCCGTAACCTGAAGAACTTGGGCGAGCTCCCCGAAAACGCCAAGATCAACGAGACCGACTCCTACGGCCAGGACGGCGACGACAATGCCGGCTTCGAGTTCGGCGCCGACGAGTCCGAATCTGACGAGTCCGGCGACGAGAAGAAGGAGCTCGACATTGACGACATTTGAGCGCCCCGTCCCCCGCTCGCTGGGTCTGACAGGGGGATCAAAACATGTCGAGAGAAATGGACCACTTCGCCTTACAGCCTCATGCCTCTCACCACATCAACTTTTGCAAAACTTCTCCCCATTTATGCTCTTTTCCCTTTTACCGTGCGCTCCAAATTGAGGAAAAAGGAGAAAATGAAAAGGAAGCAGGGAGCCAACCACTATTGTGCGCACCCTTGGGGGGGATTTGGCACAGCTGTCTTCTCTCTCAAACCCTTCTGGACCGCGGCACCAAAGACGGAGAGCGCAAGGCAGGAAAATTTTCAGAGCTTGCAAATGTTCTCTTTAATTTTTTTGCACTTTTACCTTGTTTCTCACTTTTTTTGCTGCTGGTGTTCGCTGGGTCCCACGACAGTTTTCTTTTTTCGAGGGCGGAGGTTTTAGATGGCCGCGGTGGGAGAGACGGCGCGGCTCGTCACTTGGTGCTTTTAAGTCCGTTCACACGTTCATGTTTTTGCCGTCTTGATACAAGAATTGCTTGCAATGTAAATCTTTTCCGCTTTTTAAATAGCAATGACCACTTAAAAAACTCATCATTTGGTGTGCACTCTTTATGCGGTGCGACTTGTCTTATCGGTATCTTATCTTCATCGGCTGTGTGACCTTTCTCTTCAATATTTCTTTTCATCAATAATTTTTATGCAATCTTTGATTTTATTTCTCTCCTACACCCGCCCCTCCTTTCCTCCGCCTAATCTTCAAGGCAGAGAAACTCCCCCGGTAACGTATCTTTATGCTACAAAGTAACTTGAAGCAAATCAATCTATCGAGTAATGACATCAAATAACCCTCCAACCAAGCACACAACTCCGTGACTCCTGTAACGCGGGCCTCCACTCACTCATCCCGCCTCCTTCACTCAAAATTAAACAACAAAACCACCTTCCATCATATTTCTCTCTCTTTGTCTGTAGCCTTGAGTTCTTGACTAACCCTACTTTGTAGTAGCCGCGAATTGCGAGAATCTCGTTGAAATTTGAACAAGCCAGATGGCTTAGTGTGTACCTCGTATAATTGAAACACTGTGACTTGGGAACTTCATTCTTCTCTTTTCCCCCTTTCCCCTTCCCCAGACAGCCACCAGAATTATGGTGCCTGATGGCGTAGATATCTCTTCATCTTCTTCTCCTACATTCTCAATTTCTTTACCAATCATCTTCCTCTTCCTCTTCATCGTCTATAAGAGAAGCAAAAATTAGTACACAATATCATTACCTATAGACAATAAGAAGGAGCAAAAAAAAAGAAACTTACCACTCTTGCTAGCCTTGTCTTTAATCTTCTGCAAAGCTGCTGCTAGAGCATTTGGCACACCTCCCGGTCCAGCAGGGGCAGCAGCAGCTCCCGCACCTGAGCCAGAAGCTCCACCAACAGACGCTGCACTGCGGTCGTTGATCTTGGTCCTGTCCACCTTCTTGAGGCCTCCGATACCTCCTGCTCCCCGAATGTCTCCCAGGAGAGACGCCCGTCCACCCTCTACCTTGGGAAGAGCAGCCGAAGGGGCGCCAGACGAGTAGCCAGAGTCCCGATTTGGCATCGCCGCTGGCGGCGGAGGAGGAGGAGGCGGGACACCTGCTGCAGATGGAAATGGAGGTGGCGGTGGGGGAGGAGGAGCTCCAGCTCCTGGGATCGGAGGGGGGCCAGGAGGCGGAGGAGGAGGAGGAGGAGCGGCGCTGGTCACGGGCATAGGAGGAGGTGGTGGTGGAGGTGCCGGCGGAGCGCTGCCAGCTCCAGGAATCGGCGGAGGACCAGGTGGAGGAGGAGGTGGAGGACTGGCAACTCCCGGCGATGGCAGCGGCGGCGGAGGCGGAACTGCTGGTGGAGCACTGACCGTGGGCAACGGAGGAGGCAATGACGGCGCTTTTGGTGATGGCAGAGGTGGAGGCGGAGGAGGAGCTGGGATGCTGCTTGCTACCGGCAGGGGGGGAGGCGGCGGCGCATGATTTGCCGCTGGTGGAGGCGGAACTGGTCGAGCACTTGGCGGCGGTAAAGGAGGAGCGCTCGCGGTTGGCACCTTTGGAGGCAGAGGAGGAGGAGCAGCGGCAGGAATCGATATGCCGGCATCGCTGCCTCGAGGTGGTGGTGGAGGAGGAACCGGTCCACGGCTGGGTGGAGGGGGCGCAGAAATGCGCTGGCCTGTGAAGGGAGGCGGAACGTTGAACTTGTGGTCGTCGGCCTCGAGAGGAGTCTTGGCAGGTCGCGGGGGAGGAGGGGGGATAGACGAAGTAGCACCAGGTATTATTGATAATACGGACGACTTCTTCTTGTCGGCGGCTTGGTTCGCAAACTTGCCGGCGTCGGGCAGGGGAGGCGGGGCATTGAATCTCGGCCGAGGAGGAGACGGTACTCTCGGTGGGCTGGCGTCTCTGGTGACCTGGCCGCCCGATCGCCGAGGGGCCGGAGGGGGAGGAGGCCCTGCTCTCCGTGCAGAAGGAGAGCTGTTCAGGGCAGCAGCGGCTGCTGCTGCGGCGGCGGGTGGAGGTGGAGGCGGTGCCCTCACAGTTCTTGATTCGAGGCCGTTGGTCGAAGGTGAAGGCAGGGCGGGTGGTGGTGGCGGCGGCGCTGCCTCATTGGCCAGCTTGGCTTGTTCTTCACGGAGAAAGTCGACAATGAACTCTTGGTTGTCCTTGATAAAGTCATCGTTCAAGCCCTTGTCGCTAAGATCCTGGCCGAAATGCTCTCGCCAAAGGGGGTCGAAAGCGTCCAGCAGAGCAAATTCAGAGCCCTTGTTATCGTTCAAGCTAACAGAGGAGCCGGAGTTGTGGGAAAACCCGGACAAATTGGAAGTTGCAGTGTCCGGTATCATGGACACGGTCGAATGTCGGTGGAAGATGTTGCCCAGCAGGCTATGCTTCTGGCCTCCTGAAGCCTGGTTGGATCCGCCAAAAGGAGCGGCTCTCGTGGCTCGGCTGGCGTTCTTTTCTCGCTCGTCCATCTTCTTTTTGAACTGCCTGGCCTCCTTCTCGTCGACAAAACTGAGCGCTGCGAGACATTCCTCCAATTCGAAAGTGTGGAAAAAGGTTCGGTCTTGGTTATAGCTCCATGAATCGAAGATTTCTTGGTCCCAGATGACCCCGCGGTTGGATGGCTGTTATAAATATACCAAAAGCTGTTAACACGTTGATTTCTTCTCTTCGTTTCTCTCCAGATCGGTCACTTGCTTCCCACGGGCCTTGTTTGCGAGCAAAACCAGCAGTAGAGTAAGCTGAGAAAAAGCGATTCAAAGGGAGTCACACGTACCGAGATATCCACCAATTTGAGCCAGTAGGTGTTACCGACCAGATCGTTGGCCAGCACAACGGCGCCCTGCAGTCCCGTGTAGGTCCATTTCGAGCGATTGGGATACGCAACGTAGAGCTTGGCGACGGCGACGGCCTGGATTTTGTTGGACTGCTTGGGCACGAAGCGCTTGACGGTATCCTTATCGTCGTCGTTGAGGATAGAGGGCATGTTTGCGGCGGTGGAGGCCGCTCGGGAGCGGTCGCTGGGGAAAGGCGCGGCGGCGGCGGATGGTGGCGGGAAGAAAAAAAGGGACAAGAGGTCGATTCGGCAGCGAGGAGCTGTTCACGAGCGACTGTTTGGCGGTCGTCGGTTTGGCGGCGTGGAAAGAGGGGGCGCCTAATAGTAGGTAGTCGATGGTAGCTGGACTTGACCGTCTCCTCTTTTTGTCCAAAGTTGGCGCCCGCTGTCAAAAGGCAGCAGGATTTGATTCAAGGGCCGCAGCCTCCAGGCAGGCGTGGGCAACGGCCGCGGGCCGAGCAAGCGCTAATAGGATGGCTGTTTCGTGCAAGGGAGGAATCGAGTCGAACATGCGTCTCCGGCGGCGGAGGCATCAAGGGAGAGATTTAGGGAGGACAGGAAGATGAGAGAGAGAACAAAGCGAGGGCGAAGGTGAAGGAAGAGGACGTGCTGGCGTGAGGTTGCGCTATTCGGACAAGGGACCCGGGAATCCGCAGCAAGCAAGTTCCACTGGCAGTTTCGGTGCACAGCTCCGCCCCGGGCGCTATGGAATCCGCAGCAGCGCAAATTACACAGTGTTCGTCGCCCTCTCGCATCGCTGTAACTTTGGGGCTAGGCTGCTGGAAATTAGCGGGGAGGGGTGCTATAATAGGCCCAAGGCATCCATGGATACTGTAGCAGCTCCCCTGCCTGCTTACTGTACAGAAGCTGATTCTGCCTCAGTAGCAGAAAGCCGCGCCAGTCTCTGTCGTCATCACGCAGAAAAGGCACGAGACCTTCCAATGGTGACGACGGTTATCGATTGCAGAGCCATGGCAGAAGCTATGGGGATTCAGTTTAATTAATCTTGAGCATTTTGTGAGATGACATGCACAAGATGTAGAGCATTAGTACTGGTGGTTGAGTGGGCAGTATTGAGTGAGTGGCTCAGGCATCCACTGTCTCGCCGTCACACCCCGCCGTTACATTCTGCTGCGAACATCAAATCAGTACTCCATCAGGCAAGATAGCCTCTTTACACGAAATTGAAACCACATCAAGTCGTTCGTAAAGGAACAGAGTTTCAGATAAAAATGATGTATTGATTAATGGTAAACGCTCTATTGTTGTGTATTATCCTCTCTTTATTTGTTCAGCTCCTCCTTTCTAGCCTGGCGCTCCTCCTTGGTGCCCTGTTCTGGAGGCATGTTCTTGGCCACGGCCGGGCCTGGATGAGCCTGGTGCGCAGCAAACTTGGGGTCGACGGCGGCGTTGTCCTGGATGGGCTGGATGGAGAATTGCTTCTCGCCCTAGGAGAACTCCGTGTTAGCGACTCGGCTTGTCAAAGGCTTTCAATAGATGAAACGATGAATGCAAGACATACCTCCTTCTTTTGCTGGTTGTTGCCGGAATCCATGTTGATATGCTTTGAGACGAATGTTCTCCTTGTATATGGGTTTATGATATCGCGTTTATAACGTAAATGTGCAATAGTAGTTCTGTTACGAAGAATAATCATGCAATTTTGTGTTTTTACAGATTGGAGAAAAAGAAGTCAGAACTTGGGCAGCAAACCCGCAAACTATATATACACCCAAAGCGCCTTAGCTGAGGCCTGCAGGCTGAGGTTCGTTCGATACGGCGCCGCTTCTAGGCGCTGGTGGCGCTGGGTTAGATGTGGATGACGTTTCTGTCAACGTCATTGCAATGTTGGCACCGAGTCGAACCAAACAAGAATGTGCTTTAGGGTGTAACCACCGCGCAAGCAAAAATCGTAATCTTGATACGATGCGGTTGAACGCCAGTCATGAACTAGAACAAGAATTAACACAAGAATCATTCTGTGTTATCTCTTCCTGATACGGGCTTGTAAGTGATGGTCGTAACATGAGTACATTGGGGGCATCAAGGTACTGCAGTACACGCTTGTAATCGGTAATGCCCCAGATTTTGAACGGGAAGACAGCTCAAGCATGTTAGTAGTCACGTGAGTTAACGGAGCCCCGCCCGGAGCAGCGAGCTTGCCTGCGCTAGAAAACGGTACCCCGTCAATACGCCAGTCGGTCATACTAAAACAGGCTCTCTGCAGGTACCTTGTAACGGAAGCTGCCGAGCCACTCTTGACTCGATCTCGATAGCTCTGGGGAAACTTCACGCTCTTTGGGCCATGAAGCATCACCACCAACTCTCTCGGCGCCCCGCATGTCGACCAGCAATGCGCCGCAGCCAGTCAAGTTATCTCTGCCTCTGGTAGGCCCAGCCTTTTGGCTTGTAGCTTCTTCGGCCCTGTAATTGACGCTAACAGAGTGCGCATAGGAATACCAGCAGCAGCTGTTCCAGGAGCTTCGAGCCGAAGATGAACTCGTGATCCTGGCCCGCGGGCTGGGCCAGATGCGCCTTGTCACAAACCTCCTCCACTCCTACGATGCCGCCGGGAGCAACCTCATCGTCCTCGTCGGCGCAGACGAGCGTGAGAACAACTGGGTTGGCGAAGCACTGGCCGAGCATGCCGCCATCAGCGCATCTCCCAAGGCACGGGGCCTGACCGTTGTCAACACGGATTCTCAAACCGTCGGCGCCAGAGAGAAGATGTATGCAAACGGGGGTATATTCAGCATTACGTCTCGTATTCTCGTCGTCGACCTCCTTACGGGACTGTTGAGTCCCGAGCTCATCACCGGCCTTGTTGTCCTTCATGCAGACAGAATTGTTGCCACTTCCTTGGAGGCCTTCATCCTTCGAGTGTACAGGCAAAAGAACAAGGTCGGCTTCCTCAAGGCCTTTTCGGACAATCCGGATCCTTTTACCACGGGCTTCTCACCATTGACCACCATGATGAGAAATCTGTTTCTCAAAAAGGCGTCTCTCTGGCCAAGATTCCACGTTGCCGTTGCACAATCTCTTGAAGGCAGGAAAAAGGCCGAAGTTATTGAGCTTGAGGTCCCCATGACGGACTCCATGACGGATATTCAGAATGCAATCATGGAATGCGTCGAAGTCAGCATCCACGAGCTCAAAAAGGGCAACTCGGGCCTGGAAATGGACGATTGGAACCTTGATAGCGCTCTACTCAAGAACTTTGACGTAATTGTCCGTCGCCAGCTCGATCCCAATTGGCATCGGGTCAGTTGGAAGACACGGCAGATTGTCAACGACTTAACCATCCTCCGTGGGCTGCTCAGCAACATCCTCACCTACGATGCTGTGTCTTTCTTGCAGCATCTCGACACTATTCACGCCGCACACTCCCCTCCTCCCGGGTCGACCCGACAATCCCAATCACCTTGGCTGTTCTTGGATGCTGCCCAAACCATATTTGACACCGCCCGGAGGCGCGTTTACTCTGCGAGTCCCAAAAACGTATCGCAAAGCGGCGAAAATATTGATTCTTTGCGACCCGTTCTTGAGGAATTGCCAAAATGGGGTATCCTGGCAGAAGTCCTGGAGGAGATTGATCGAGATCTGTTTTTTGAGCCCAAGGCTCGAGATGACTCTAACGGGGGCATATTAATCATGTGCTCAAATACAGATACCTGTCGGCAGCTTCGTGACTATCTTCAAACCATGCATGTGAAGCCAAAGGTAGACAAGGAGAAGCTTCCTGTCGTAGACGACCCCGAATTCGAACGTGAACGCACCGAGGAAGCCCGCCGACCGTCTGCCAACTTTATGATGAGGCGGAAACTTCGAAACTACCTACGGTGGAAACGACAGTTTGCGCAAGTCAGCGCCAGCTTGTTCGCCGAGAATCAAAAGGCTCTCAACGGTGCGTCGGACCCACGGCCGGGACACGGCGGCCTGAGAGGAGGCAAAGCGCCAGCAAACAAGAGGCGGAGAATGCGAGGCGGAGCCAGCTCAATGGCCATGTATGGACGTACTGACAACGGGAGCATTGCGCAATATTTTGAGAAACCGGCCGAGGTGGCCGATCTCATGGCAGAAGTCCAGATCACAGAAGAGGAAGCGCAGCAGCAGAAAGAAGACATTATCGCCGATCCGCTGGAAGACATGGAAGACTACTATCAGCTATTTGAGATGCAGGACCTGGTTGTTGTGCACGCCTACGACGGAGACCAGGATGAGCATGTGTTGGAAGAAGTCAAGCCACGATACATCATCATGTATGAGCCGGACGCCTCCTTTATTCGCCGGGTGGAAGTATACCGTTCATCTCACAATGACCGCAATGTCCGAGTGTACTTTCTGTATTACGGGGGCTCAGTCGAGGAGCAGCGCTATCTGTCTTCCGTCAGACGGGAAAAGGACGCCTTCACCAAGCTAATCAAGGAGCGAGCGAGCATGTCGTTGGTCATGACGGTCGACCCGCACGGCGCAGAAGACCCGCAGGAGGCCTTTCTGCGAACCGTCAACACCCGCATCGCCGGAGGCGGTAAGCTGGCGGCGACGGCCGAGCCGCCTCGGGTCGTTGTCGATGTGCGAGAATTCAGGTCTTCGCTGCCGTCGCTGCTGCACGGACGCTCCATGGTTGTAGTGCCATGCATGCTGACGGTGGGCGATTACATCTTGTCGCCCAACATTTGCGTAGAGCGGAAGTCCATCAGCGACTTGATCTCGTCCTTCAAGGACGGCAGACTGTACAGCCAAGCGGAAACCATGTTTCAGTATTACAAGAACCCCATGCTACTGATTGAATTCGACCAGAACAAGTCATTCACCCTAGAGCCCTTTGCCGATCTGTCGGGCAGCCTCAACAGCGTGGCCCCCACCAACGTGTCGTCAGATCTCCAGTCTAAGCTGGTGCTACTGACGCTGGCCTTTCCTAAGCTGCGCATCATCTGGTCATCTTCCCCATACGAGACAGCAGAGATATTCGCCTCTCTGAAAACCCTGGAGCACGAACCTGATCCGATTGCAGCAGTGCAGGCAGGCCTGGACAAGGACTCCAAGGTGGAAGATCAAGTCTTCAACCAAGAGCCGCAGGAAATGCTGACCATTGTACCGGGCGTGACGCCGCAGAACATCAAGAGCCTCGTCATTGATACGGAGAACATACGGGAGGTGGCCAACATGGAGCCCAAGGAGCTAGAGCCGATTGTAGGCAGAGCATCGGCCAACAAAATTCACGGCTTCTTTAATAGGAATGTGATGGAGGAAGATGACTGATATATCTCCACCTTACCAGTGCTATTTCATGAGACTTGTACATATACGACGGTTTTCACATTTCACATAATGAGCAAGGATAAAAGTGTGCCAATATAGCGTCTTATTCAAAATTAAACCAAAGCTAATATGTAATAATACATGCAGTAAACAAGAGACAAAGAAAAGAGGATATACCGCATAGGTAGCGACCCGGAGGTCGAGGTATCTCAAAACCAGAGTCCAAACAATAAAACAATAATCGTACAGCACAAGGAAAATCGGTTTGTTTTTGTGGTAGTGCGTCCTTCTTCCATTCCGTTCATGGTCGTTATTCATAACCCGCTCGAGGTGAAAGTTGAAGAAAAGATAGGGCCGTCCCAAGGATCAAGCCAGAAAGGAGGCATCAACATCGGCAGCTGCTCATATCTTGGGCTTCTTTTTTTTCTAGTCGGTTTGTTGTTGTTCTTTATACCGTGCTCCGCATTCTGGAGCCTCGCATTCCTCGATGCCTGTGACGCCTGCCTCCAGAGCGGCCGCATGTCAGGCAACCGATGATGATGCCGAAGAAGGCGACGATGCCGTTAATGATCGCGGTGAGCATGTTGCCGATGCCGCTGATAATGGCCATGATGACGGAGCCGATGGTCCGGAAGATGGCTTCGAACTGTAGAAAGGGCTAGTTAGCATCTAATGTGTATTTTTAATCGCGGATGGGTAGTACATACGCAAGATACGACGGCACCCATTGTGAATGTTTGTGTGTTGTTGTAGTGGTAGAGAAAGTGTTTGTGTGGTGATTCAACAGGGTATGTTGATTCTCAATGTCAAGATCAGAAAATAGTGATGGTAGTGGTCTCAAGAAAAGTTCTTGTTTGTGGAAAGAATGGTCATGGAGAAGAGAAGAGAAGAGAGAGGTGGAAAGAGGTGGCGAGCTCCCTTCTCTTATACACACGAGAGCTGCCCCCCCAAAACCGCAAAAGATGCCTGAATCCCTGCAACCAACCCCATTGTCCTTGCTCGCCTCACGCAATAGATACGTTTTGGATTAAAAAAAAAAAAAAACCAAGCTAACGCGCGGAATGTACCCAGGGAAAAAGGGGACTATACTGCTGTAAGGTTACCGCATTACACGATACTACCTCTAGCCCTTTCATCTTTTCCAAGGAACAGAGAGTCAGGTACATTCTGCATAGACGCCACATACGCACGGTACCTAAAACGCCCTATCCACTCCCGAAAACTCACTCACATGCTGTACACAGGCACATGAACACACACAGAATGGCCCTATCAATCCTGCTGCAGCTCCCCGTCGTTGAAGCGGTCTCTCCATCCACACTTGGCATCCACTCACACCAGGCAAGGGGGGGCGCTAGATTTGCATCTTGGTGGTAACAAGGCAGGCAAAGATTGGCACCAGATGTGGCTTCTCCAGCGTCATCATTGCAAACATAATTTCTCTTCGCAGAGGGGAGAAGAAGCTCCCCGAAAGCAGCAATTTGGCAGAAGCTTCTTCTGCTGTGGCTGAGGCACCGTCAAGGGCCGTTGCATGACGTCAACATGATTGTTGCATGTCACTTATGTCACCCTTTTATTGCACAAGCGTCATTGCCGTCGAAATCGTCATACTGCACCGTTCACCTTTCACTACCAACGGGCTGCCTCCCCTAAAATTTGCCAAAAGATTCAATGCTGCTATGTACTAATTCTCAATTCACTTGTACTGTCTCTACCCTTTTGTCGGTGCATCTGCTCCGCCATTCTGCCACCACATGCATGCATTCAGTCTCTCACCTCTTCTTCTGCTTTGTTGCGGTAAGGCTGCTGCTCCCGCTAGTTTCAACGGCAGCCGGAGTGGGGCCCCCCTTGACGTATATGCACCAACCCTGGCCCCTGGAAATCTTGATTTTTGACAGTCAGGCCGTCCCTGTGCTCCGTAGGAATTAGAATTCGCCCATGGAAGCATGTTTGCTCACAGGCCGCATGCCATGTTTGATCATCATCTCTATCTGCCTTTTTACTTTATTCGATACGAGGCTGCGCGCATATCTGTGTCTTCATCGAGATTCTTCGTGTTTCCGGTGCCCTAGACCAGAGTTACCCGAAACAGCTGCTCGTGACGTCAACCACTCCAGCGCCAAACTCCAGTCCCAATCAACAACGCCCTTTTTCCCACTGCTTCTAGATGGTCTCACTCTGCCAATATCATTATCACATGTCTTCTGTCATATTCCATATTCCATATTCCCGCCTTCCCGCCTTCCCAGCGTCTGCAATGTAATGTCAGTCACCGTCTCTCAGGCACATAATACCAGGTATCTGCCAATGGCAAGCCGTTACTGGCAGGGCCACTCACTCGCTGCATGCATGCCTGCCTGCTCACCGTTCTTCTGCGTGCCTTGCGCGCTCCAGGACCACCAGCGCATACCGCCGCCATTGGCCCATGCCCAGCGCGTTGCCTGATGCTCGCAGAGGCGGTGTCGCATTTAATGAAGTGCATTTGCCGGCAATTCGTGGGTTCCAGCAGTGCTTTGGGCGGTGAGTGCGCGCGCGCTGTACCGCAACTTTCATATGCTTGCTGTATGCTGTATGCGATGCTTGCTGCATTGCATCTGTCTATCGTACATGGGGGTAGCATCCAATCCTTTTGCAATACTACTACAGGCGAAGTGGTAGGCATCAGTGCCAGCTCTGCCGATTCCCAAATCCGACTCGGGATGATATGCCCGCCCAATATTCCCATCATTACCCGATGGCCGCCATTCTTTTTCCTTCTTCGCAGTAGGGATTGTAACAAGTAGTAGTAGTAACTAGTAGTAATTACAGAGATGAGACGAGACAAAAAGAGGAAGAGGAAACTATAGAAACAAGTAAATACCTAAATCATACACGTAAATTCATTCATGGCCCCCTGCAGCGCCTTCTATATGCCATAGTTGGGGGGAGATACTCCGTATAATAAGGGGGGATGGGTTGGTTAGTAAGCAGTTACAGCCGTCTTTTATATAGATGGATATCCAGAAGAGATCCCAGCGTGTTCGTGCACGCCCTTTTCATCGCGAGAACCACCATTTCTTCCTGTTATTCATCGCCTTCTGCATGTGCGCCCGCAGCAACAGCTCTCTGTTCCTCGAGTCCAGGATGCCAAGCGCTGCGCCGTCGTCGTAAAATGGTTGGCCCCGCGACAGCCGCGGCCGCTCGCCGCCCATCATCTTGATGCGCTGGATCTTACGCAGCCGAACCAGTCCGTACCAGCAGACTAAAAGGGAAAAGACTGTTGATACGGCCGTGACCGCACCAAAACCCCAGTTGGTCTCTTCGATAAAGTTCTCCAGGTTGGCGCCGTACAGTCCAGCAATGAATGTGCCCATTGCCAGTCCCAGCGTCCCGATGCTGAATTTGAGTTCCAAAAGCATGAGAGCGTTTCGGTTGGCATCGAGAATAGCTCGAGAACTGCCATACGAATGATTAGTATAAACGGCATGAAAAAGATTCAAGGCGAAGCATCTGTCAAACTCACAGCTCCTCTGTATTCCGGATGCCAGACACCAAATTGCTGGCCTCTTGTACAATTTCATCTGCAAGCTTATGGTACGACTCGAGCAGCATCTCAACTTCCGTATGGTCGTCGGTGCTTCTGTACAAGTCGTGTACCTTTTCGGTCAGGTACATGGCCGCCAAGTCATCATCCGCTTCCAGCAGCTCTTCAATGGCGTCCCGCACCAGCTTGGCCTTTTGTTCAAACGTGCTAACCCGCTTGGATAAGATTAAAAGCTGACGCAGCTTTTGTCGGTCAATGTCGTCTTCGAGCTCGCTAAGGATGCGCATAACCGGCTCTCGCACGGATTCAAAGTCCGCTTCCAGCTCAGATGTAACCGATGTCAGCACAGCTTCGAGAGCACGAAACTCGTAGGGCAGCCCCGCCACGCCAGGCGGGGGTTTCTGCTGCAGCTTGCCCTGGAGGTCATACATAAAGGCCGACTGCGGGTAAGACGTCTTGGAGCCGTAGACGTCAAAGAGCAGCACGCGGTCGCGCTTTATGAGGACTCTCAGATGTAGTAGATTCAGCAGAATGGCTGACGGGCGAACGAGGATGTGGGGGAGATTGGATGAGTCGATTTTGCGCAAATCACGAGGCAGTAAACCATACTGTTGAGATGATAGCATGGTTAGCACATCACCGTTCTCACAACCACGGCCAAGAATCCTACTTTAGAAACATACCTTTGCAATCAGCTCCGTCTTTTTGAACTCGCCATCCATCAGAATCACCTTGCCGTTCTCGTCGACCTCTGTACATCGTAGTCGCGGCTCCAGCGCTGCCTTGGCAGACAGGATTCGCCGATTGTTGAACATGGATGAGCCATGGTCCATGTCCTCGCGCGAAGGCAAATCATCTGGCTTCAGAGACTTGGCACCTTTGCGCACTCCAATCCCCCAGAGCCTCTCCTGCCACGATGGAGCCGCATTCGCATCTGTCGTCTTCTGGCGTGCAGGCGTCGACGTATAAAACGACTCCCGTTGCAGCGTTTTCGCGCAGGCTCTTCGCACCGCTCTCCCAATCTGTAGCTGTCCCAGGCTGAAAACCGACGACTCCAGCTCTATATGAGGAATCGGTTCGCTAGAACTGGAACTGGCGCCGAGGGCGGTCGAATGCGCTCTCAAGGCTCGCTGGCCCGAGGCCCCGTTCGTCGCTCGGCTTCGACAGACATGGCCGCAGTTGTAGTTGAAGAAGGCGATCTCGGACTGCGAGCGCAAGAATCGCAAGAGGCTTCGCGAAGGTACCGGCGATCGCAATGCCGCAGATTGCATCGCTATAGAGTGGCGCGGCGATAAAATATCTTCAACATAGACGCAGTCGGATGGCCTGTCGAGTAGCCGATACGTACGGATAGGGATATGAGAAACAAACAGCACCACTGCCTCTATTGGCTTAGCAGCAGAAAAGACCTGTGTCGGTAACGAGTGTCGCAAATGCTAATAATAAAACAACCCTGTTGATGGTGTCTGCCAGTTTCTCCAACTTCTTCAGCCCGTTTATCAGACGGCATGCATTATCTTGGCAGTTTGCCTTCTCAAAATTTACCTCGCTATCGCAATCGGGGTGCACGGACCACTTCCCTTCCCGTCCGCCTGCTTCCTGCCCACCTGGTTCCTGCCAGCGCATCTGGAGAGAAACTCGGGCAAGAACGCCTCAAGTGATAAAGTACAGGAATAATGGGGTACCCCGTACTTGTACAACGGACAATTCATTTGTGCAAAAAATACTTTGACTCCATCATCTTCAATTCCTGACTTTGACTTGATTTCCTTCCAACCACGTCGATTCCCAGCAGTTTGGCTCTTTTGCTCGCCCGTCCTCACTGCTACCTCAGCAGGTACTCCGTACTACTGCTAGTGCTTCGATGGCTGACCAAATGGGGCCAAGGTTCAGACTTTCAGCGACCTGGGTCGCTCGCAAAGTGTCGACTCGCCCAATTCTTCCTCGTGCAGCATCCCCCAGCAATTCTGCACAATTCAATTCTTGGCCTAGCAGCCACCATCCTTCGGCTGAAGTCTATTCACCGCCGTCTCGGACTCGACTTTACCGCAACAAGACAAGCTGTCGGTAGTCGAGCCGCGAAGACAGGCAGTCTCCACCATAAATTACCTGCCGTCCGCCCCCCAAAAGAGGATCCCCAGACCGTCCTTCCAGCGGTCCCATCCGTTGCTGGAATTTCAAGTTCATATCAGACGGCTCACTCTTACAAATACCCAATATTCGATTGTGCAGCAGCCGCAATCTCTCTTCTTTGTCTTCTTGGACGCTTGATGGAACTTACCAAAGTCCACGTCAAGGGCAAACGCAAGACGCCTGCCACGAGCCGCCCCCAGGCGCTATGCGAACAGCAGCCGCCATTCAAGGCCCCAAGGACTAGGAAGTCATTGTCCTCCGTCATGGCTACTCGAAAGACACGCCATCGGAATACTCTCGACTCTCTCCCGGCCGAGATTCTCGAAAACATCCTCCTGTACAGCGCCAATCTCGCTCTGCCCCGCGTCAGCAACTTCATTGGCGCGAAGCTATCCGGACGGGCTACTCTGCTGCGTCTCTTCATCCTGGCCTTTCACGACACCTGGGAGCAGTGGTTCGGCATTCCCACAAACCCTGCAATTGTTCACGGGCCTTGGTTGGAAAATGCCCAGCATGTCCCTTGTCGCGGAGACCCCAAATTCCAGGTTCGTCTCATCTCTTGCCTCCGAGATTGAAGTAGCAGACGCAGTTCTAGCATGTGTACTTCGAGATGGCTCGGTCCCCAGACGCGCCAGTGCTAATCTAGGCATGTATACAAATCTATAGACTCAAATGCTTGATCAGCCTTGGATCAGCATTGATTTAATCCTGCAAGCCCAGCAGACGTGGGCTGACAATCATGGACGGGGGTGTCATTACCAACATGGTACCTTTTGGATCGATGATTCTGAGCAAGTCGGCCACGATTATGACGGGGGCTTCTCTCACTTTGATGCGCGCGAGTGCTTCGAGGCCGACTACCAGCAGGCTCTGAAATGGCCCGCATTTGCAGCCCGAGGCATCCACTGGTTCTCGCAAGATATTCATCCCTTGACACGTCTCCCTTCTAAGCTCATTGCCGGTCCGTGGGACGACGAGAAGCAGCGCCAGCTGTTTTGGCTTTGCCGAGGAGGCTATATGACCTGTGGCAAACTCCTTGTCGAGCCTCCCTGGGAGGTCAAGATTGATCTGATTCGCAATTCCATTCTTAATGCTGAAGTGCCCAACATGTTAGCCATCAACTGCTTATATCGCACCTGGGTCTTTGATGGCCTACCTACCGAAGTGATACGGGAAGAAATCATTAAACTCGAACGTCGAATCCTATGGGGCGGCGACCCGCTCGAGATCCGAGAGTTGCTGCGGCGTATTCGAAGCGCCTTTTTCCTCTCTTTGCACGTCCCAGATTCTAGATCAGACGTCATAGTCAGGCGGGCCGACATCTAGCTGTCTTCTCCCTGCAAGCCCTTTCGTCTCCTTCATCTCCTCCATCCTCCATCCTCCATCCTCTATCCTCTATCCCCTCTTTTCTTCCTAAGCCTTCACCCTCCCTCATGTTCGAGTGCCATGGCTGTCACGGAGTCCAATCTTTGTCAAATCACGCGCTGTCAGGGAACCACTGCGAGCTGTACACGTATGGTGCCAACTTGACGAAACCATGACAACGTCCCAAAGAGTGGATATATCGATATTCCGCCCACTACTCGCCTCTCATGGCTAATCAGCACCTCTCCCTCCTGCATACAGCCTTGGTTTGAAGGGCGAGGTGACCGTTGTATCTCGACCAAGTGGAAAACATGTATGATATTGGAGAAATGGCAGCTGTCACACTAGCCGGTGCTGCATATTTGAGGTCCGCAAATCAAAGCTATGGTCAGGTGAACAAAAGATGTGGTTACACAACATCTCTCCAAATCAAATCAAAGACGGACAAAGCAACCTCCAACGCAATTCACTTCTGCGGAGCGCGAGCAAGCACGGCGTGAGCACAACGACTTCTCGGTCAAGGTCCAGATGCATTCCCGTCAATCACGCATCCAAGCACACCCACGTTGGAATCGAGCTCTTTCGCTGTCATTCAACCATTTTCTCTCTTTGGCGTTGAATCTACCGAGTTTGCAGTATCGCTCTCGAAATGCCTCACAGTCGTATGATGCTGTCTAGCCAAAGCCTTACTGGGCATGGAACTGAAAAACCCTCGCTGCACTACGTGCCGTATCGAACAACCGCCGGTAACGTCACTGCCGCGTCTCAATTGGACCTCTACCGAGCCTCTCTCTCATCGTCAATCCCCCCAGAATGCTTCACTCCATTGTCTTGCGAAGTAATGTTTTGACGCCCGCTGTCCAACTCGGCTCCATGCAGCGTGTGTCCCGACCCTCCAGATGAACCAGAAACAAGTAGACGAATCAGCCACTTATATGAAAAGCTACAGCTTTGGTCAGCTTTGGTTGGTCCACGTCTGTCATTTCCGGAGAGGGAATTATGCAACAGCCCACATCTGCAGTACTACTTCAGCTACATGGGAAAAAAAAATGGGAAATATTAATAAAAGAAAAAAAAAACAATCGAGTGCCACAAAAGGAGTTAGAAATGGAGGAATTCTCATTTCGGCCCTGTTAGAGTTGGGGAGTTGCTTTTGAGCATCCCAGGCTGGGCCACTCAGTAATAGTGAGCATGTGAAGGGATTGTGAAAGGATCAAGTGGTTTCCTACTCATGCCATGTGTACGACTTTCTTTTTGGATAATAAGTAGCGGTCATAATATGATATTAACCAGGATCTATTAGTCACAGATTATGTTATCACATTCTACCTTTACTCATATTGGACCGAGCCGAAGGAACCGCTGAGACGCGACAGGATACCGCCGACACAGGTCATTGATATAGCAACGCGTATGAGCAGCCTGGCATCGCGGTCGAAACATCTGTCACGAGTACAAGTCCACCAACGCACGAGTCGCGGCATCAGCTCTTGATACGCGACAACCCCTCGTCCATACGTGTAGTCATATTCACGCCCTTGGCGTCACTTTGCCTGCCCAGCCCCTACTACATGCCTCCTCGCCGTGAACGAGGCCCGTGATATCTTACCCACTATCAGGCACTCATTCTCGCGCAGGATTACGCCAGCCAGCCACACACAAGAAATGAATGACTCCACCGGGAATAGGAAGGGGGTCCTTTTCGGCGAGATGGATCGGGTAGCTCATGAGAACTTGAGACTTTGCTACCAAGCATGATAACCAATACCCAGACTTCAAACTAGCAAAGACTACTAACCCAGACGTCGCGAAGTCAAAAGGCGACAACCAATCTACCAAGGACGTCCGCTGTATGACCTTTTTATTGCTTGTTGATGAAACTTCCCAGTTTATTGGAGCTTTATTTAAAAAGCAATAATCCAAGGCAATGAAGCGGAGGTTTCTCGATTATATCGGCTGTCACTTTCGACTTCGCGACGTCTGGTGTGTAGTCTTTGCTGCTTGGAAGTGGTTTCATGTCAAGGCAAAAAAGGGATGACTCCAGAGACAGTTTAGTCATCAAAGCCACATGCAATCCAAATCCAGATAAAACCGGAGCAATATTTCGTTCAAACAACCCTCCCTCTGTTCGCCACCGCTTACCCAATCAGGCATGCTTCCGACCTCAAAGCGAAATTTTTTAGTTAACCACCCCCCTCCCCATGTTGGGTTTTTCTCCCGGGGGGGTTTTTTTGTTTCCCAATGACTCACTCGGTGGGCGGCCGCTTTTGCGTAGCACCCTTTTTTTCACGCAACTCGGCAACGTCACGCCAGAAGGAACCGGATGTTTGGGTTAGTTTGGGTTGATAATTTCGCGCACAAAAGAACAAATGGAATTACTGGCTTGAGCCCTGAAAGATGTGCACATTATACATGGATTCATACGAATTTGTTGCGCCCTCGTCTATCAGTTCATAAGGTACTCGACGACTGTGGCTGATACAGAGTCGACAACACCAATCAAGAAATACTTACTCGCAGAGGCAGGCTAAATAGAGGCTTTAAAGCTATAAATGGGAATTATGGTGGTTTAGCACCATATCCAAGTAATAGTCGATTTTAGTCCATTCGGTAGTGCTCTATTGGTATACTTTGTAGCAATGTCACTTCACTTTCTGGCTTGCCTTGTACCTACTGAATCATGCGTGTCACTGATGGAGAAACATGGGACAATCAATAGTCTTCCTGCTCAACATGTTTCAATTCTCCCCATTCGCTTCATCCCCAGCCTTCTTTCAAAACAGAGCTGGATCCAAAGCGAACGAGGCTTCAGCTTCTAGAAGCCTAGAGCAAATAGAAAAAAAAAAAAAAAAAGAAAAAAAAATTGGAAAGTGTGAAAAAATAAAAAAAAAATATCAAAACAGCATCAACTGCCTCTCTCCTCTTCTCCTCTGCTTCTACTAGTCGTACATGCGCAACAACTTCTCTCCTCTCCATAGCCACCCCCTAAATCATCAACCATCATCCCCTGAAATTGCTCTCTTCGACACTATACAGGATATCTTTCATCACCATTCGTTGTATAACCATCCATGTGTAAAATTTCCCTTTGTTCCTGGATGAGGAAACAGTTTTAAAAAAAAGATTAAAACGCACTTTTTTCCAAAAGGCATCCCAATGCCTTGGATATCATCGTTCCGGTGGTTTATGATCGTTTTGCAGAAAAAAATAATGTCCCTTTGCCCCCAGGCTGTGCGATATCAAAAGCTCTGTTTGTCAACGAGACGTCCCTTGGTCTCTTTCTCCTTCGAGCGCCATTCCATGGAAATCAATAATCAAATCGCAAGTCTTCTAACAAAGGGAAGAATAATAAGGAGAATAAAAAAAGCGAGAGAATTGAGGGCCAATAGTTACAGCCAAACCGATCCGTGGTAAGTTAACAGCATTAGATTGTTGGCGAAAAAAAATAGTTCGCGTAAAGCTTGACAGGTCATAAACAAACAAACGCCCCAGGTGTAAATTTCAGTTGAGGATCTCCCAAAAGCTTGGCTCTCGGAGGCCATAGTTGTGGTTGCCCGTTGCTACTTGGTAGCCGGTTGCTGCCTCGGTGGAGCAGCAGAGTCTCTTCCTCGTCTCTGCCGAGCTGGGCAGGACAGGCTGCTGGAAGCGAGAAGTGCTTCCGTAGGGTGCGCCGAGGATCTCGCGGACGTGGTCCTGGAGAGGCTGGTCCAGCGATGCGGTTCTGCTACGCTTGGTTCCGGTCTTGGGCGCCTCGGGAGCATAGTAAGCGCTACGGATGCTCTGGTTGTGCAAATCTTGCAGAGTGCGCGCGGCATCCGAGTCGGCTTCTCGCGACTGGCGCTCCAGCTCGCGCTCGTATCTTGCTGACAGGGAGGTTTCCGTCCGAAGGCCTCCAATCTTCGCAACCGGGCCGGTATACGATTCGGGAGAGGACGAGAAACCATACTCTTCACTGCTCTCCGAGACGGTGTGGATAGTCGTCTTCAGGCTTGATCTCTCATTCATCGCCTTCATCAATCGGAATCGCGACTGAGCCATCAACGGATTGTTGAGGGTCGCGCTAGCCAGAGACGAGGCAGACGAAACGGAGGACGAGCGAGAAGTGTGAGACAAATCCGAGACCATCGACTCGGGAGAGGACATGGTGGAGATGGAGTTGGCAAGCGAAGATCGACGAGCGGGGCAGAAGTTCTGAGGAGAGGTGGACAGAGTCGGCGCGGGGAAGCGTTCCAGATGCTGGGCGGCGGCGCTGGTGACACCAGCCTGAGCCATGGCCAAACCCATTGCGCTGCTTCTTCCGAGGATTTGGGTTGCAACACTCGCTGCAGGAGTGCACATACCACTTGATTGCGGCGTGAGACGTGGCGTCGGGAGAAGACCCAGAGTCGGGGCCATTCTGCCGGGAGTGGCCGAGTAGGCCATCATGGGGGTCGGCTCCATGGGAGGCAGGTACTTTGTGGTCAACTTGGGATCGCAAGTTTCTTCCTCAGCCAGGACCAAAGGAGTTTGTCGCTGCTGCTGTTCCGCAGGAAGATTGAGGATGCTGCGAGGCGACAGTGCGCAGAGATCACTGGATCTGGCAGCTGACAGCTGAGCAGCAGACATGAGCACCTCGACGTTGGTCAAGTCAGGGTTCAGCCTGAGAATGGCTTGTTTCCATCTCAAGGTCTGCCGAGCCAGAGTGGGAGAAAGGGCACCCGGCGATGGCGGCGGAGGAGGTGGCGTATGCTTCAGAACGATCTCAGTCCATCTCTGGAAGACTTCGTCTGTAATGTGCAACTTCCAGTTGACAGCGAGGAGGAAAGCCACCTCGTTTTGGTTGATCTCCTGGACGCCGAGGCCGGAGATCTTGCTCCAGGCACGTGCCGAGTAGTTTCGGTCCTGGAGGTACTTGGATGCAAGGATCAGGGCCGCGAGGAACATGCGCCGACCGCACTGAAGAGCGCGGTCAGAGTAGCGATCCTCGTACTGCTCGGTAGTAAAGCCACGCTTGGGAACGTGAGGCTTGATGAGGACCAGGTAGTACAGGGCGACTTGCAGCGTCGAGTAACTCGTACGTGAGCGCCGAAGAGTCTCCTGGATAAAGGTCCGCAGCGGGAGCACGGCTCTGTTGCCAGGTTCCGGGCGGCATGGAGCAGAAGAAAGAGGCCAGATGGCTTCGACGATCTGAGTCGAGGAATCTGTCGCGGTAAAGGCTAATGAGTACGGGGATTCTGAGAGGCTCATGGTTATGTCAGCAAGAAAAACGTACCAACGAGGCTGTCGACAAAGTTCACTTTGCGATCCGACTGCCGGACTAGCGAGGGAGGGTGACATCCCGAGCTGCCGCTGGAACTCGCGGTCCGTCTAGGGTTTTGACGCAGTTCTGCGGGGACGGCAGCAGCAGGAATAGGGATAGGCGCAGTCGGTTGCTGCTGGCCAGGCGCTTCAGGGCGGCGACGAATCGCCTGGAGGAAGACGGACTGCCAGGGGTCGTTGTCAGACGAAGCGGTGGAAGTCGAGGCGTCGTCTGAGGTCTGCGATGCGGTGTCGGAGCCAGACCACACCGAGGCTGAGGCCAAGGAGGATGAGGCGGAGGAGCTGTAGGAAGAGGTGTAGGAGGAGGAGTATTGACTCAAAGGGTCATATGCGGGTGAGATGGTGGTATCACACGGCATCTTGGAGGTGTTGTATAAGGAAATAGGGAAGAAAAAGTAAAAAGAAGAGGGCGCAGATTAAGCTATAACGGAAGAAGGATCGAGGTGTGATATGTGAAGGCGATGCGATGTGGTGGAGGCGTATATAACAATGTCAGCTTGATGCTTCAAGCTGGCGCGATGGTTCCAGTCGCCGTCAGGGCTATGTCAACCGGAATGCTATTGCAGTTTCGAGGGTTACCGAGTCAAGCTTGCTGGTTCTACAGCAGAAACATGCAGTATGCGCTGCTGATAGAACCGTTCGTGGTGTTAAAGATGGCGTTGATTCTTAGATAAGAACGTGAGCCGGCTTTTCACAAACAAGCAGACCGGAGGACGAAACGGAGACGGCGACTGGAGAGATAAATCTGTAGATTGCAAGAGGCATCGCGATTCCAATGCTCTGGCGGGTTTGGTCGGTTGGGGGTGATGAGACTCCTAGAGCAAGTCTATCATCGGTATGCGAGGTCGCTGTGGAAACGGGGATATGGAGTTGAGTCGGATGCGATGACGACGATGCGGCTGTGGTGACAAATTGTCGCTGTGACTGTGTGGCTGTGTGGAAGAGAAGAGAGGCTGTTGGTGCTCGGTCGACGCGCCTACAAGTGCAAGGATGTCGAAGGTCCAGGGATCATCGATCGATGCAATGCAGGTACGGGGAGAGACACGAGGCGAGGCTGTCAGGGCGGCGGCAGCGTATTTATCGCGACGATGGTGACTCTTCACAGCGTGGCCTTAGGGGCGACGGCGAGGTGACAGCCTGGAAGCGTGGCGTAATCGCTGAGCTTCAGGTAGCGAGTGGGTACAGGCTCTCGGTTGTGTGACTCTTTCGCGCTGAGGTGGCGAGTGACAGGGCAGGTGGCCGCACGCTGGCGATTTCGGAGCGCGCCCGGGCAGCTAAGGCTAGGCAGTAACAGCGACGAGACCGCCTGGAGGGGCCGGGGCCACAGCGCTGGTTGTCAACTGAGCAGCACAAGATGCGGGTGGCGAGCAAGGCCTGGTGAGTGAGTCGATGTGCCCACTAGACAAGACAAGAAAAAAAAAAAAACAAAGGGACCGCGATGACACAAGAAAACGGGCTGACAGAGAGAGAGAGCGTGTTGGGGGGGTTAAATGAGCAAAGACACAGGCAGCAGTGCAGTTGCTGTGTGCTGAAGTTCTTTGTTTGTGAGATTTTTCGATCTTCTCCCCTTGTTTCTGCGTCCAGGTGACTGATGAGTTGGCCTGAGATGCGATGGAGCCCGGTTCTGATGCGTTGTTCTTCTCAGTCCAGTGTACGGGCGAAATGCCGCCGCAAGCAGTGCAAATAAGTGAGATGAGAAGGAAAAGTATAAAGAAAAGAAGATGCAGAGTGAGGAGAGATGGTATTTTTTTTCCCAGTATTAATGACAAGAAAACGAAATGCGCCGGAGAGTAGAGAGGCACCAGAGCAGACTTCGAGAGTCGCTGGCGAGCTTACAGGGCGGTACCGAACTTCATGGTGACGGTTCGTAGGGAAGAGAAGAATCGAGCGCCGGCATGGGGGTCGTGGCATAGTTTTGAATGGATTTCGCTGCACGCAGGACAGCAGAATGCGCCGGGGCGGGCGGGAGTCTCCAACGAGACACTCACGGCGGGAGTACAGGGGGCAAAGGTACTATGGAGCAGCAGGGAGCGCGCATTTGGGCCTAGCCCGGTTTCGAGGTACCTCGACAGCGCTGCGCATTTTGGACGCGCTGCCATTGGCCCAAAAGGGAGACCCGTCAGCCCCGCACATTCCCCTCCCGCGTCGACGAATCAGTGGCGGGCTGGGACGCTCCAAAGTTCAATCCAGCGCCAGATTCGTTTCTGCTTGGGGAGGGGTCGGCCCCCCAAATTCTCCACATGCAGCAGAAGCAGCCGTTGCTACTGATGTAGGTTATGCCTCTATACAGAATGAATATGCTGAGTCTGACTCTGACTCTGTAGACTACTAGTATTGTTTGCGTTTGCCTTGGCTTGAGCTGGCAGTTCATCTCCTGTGGTGCCGACAAGATGCGAGATATTTTTATTTTTATTTGTCTTTACCCCTTGCCATGCCACGCCGTGATGCAGTGTTTGCTTTTTGTGTACTGCCCCAAGAATGCTTGCGCTAAAAAGCCGTTTCTTGTAGGTGGCTTGGTTTTTTTTCCTTTTGGTGGCCTCATCGCCATGCGCGGCTTAGCGTGTCTGACCTTTGGCGGCGGCTTATCCCTGGCCGCAGCCGCAGCAGCGTTACTTTTCTGTTTTCGTGCCCAGGCTGCTGTGCTGTGCTGTGCGGTGCAGCGCGGTGCAGCGCAGCGCTATGGCTTTTGGACAGATGGGTATTGCAGCATGTTTTGTTCTTTTTGCTATCAAACGTGCTGATATGCTGCTCCCAAGTCGCTGTCAGGGCGGTGCACGGGCCCCCTCCAAAACCTCATCAGGAGCAGAGAGGTGGTGAGGCAATGAGGTAATGGATTCAACGACGGCAGGGCAAGAGCAGAGCAGCCAGGCAGCGACTTTTGCCTCGATGTTTGCAAGCTGGGCAAGCACTCGCCAACAAAGGGGCCGTCTCGAGAGAAGGAGGCAATGAAAGGCGAGCAAGAAGCTGAAAGAAGCTGAAAAAAGAGGCTCCCGGTGCCTCATTCCTTCCCTTGAGCTGCCTCCTTTCCCGCTGCTTCAATCTGGCCACTACTAACTCGCTTCGGTAGGTACCTGTGGCTGTTGTACATGTCATACAGCACGGCTACTGCCCGCTATTCGTAATCGCTGTGGTGGCGGATGGCGGGCGGGGGAGGCGAGTTGCTTGAATCAGCGGCCCAGCTCTAGGTTTGCTTGTTCTTGTTTGCTGCTGCCTTCTGATACTTGCAAGCCAAGATGATTACGAAACCCTGACTACAGACAAGGCAAAAATACGAAGAGTACCTACCTACCTGGTAGTACTTCGTAATAGTGCCGTATTTACGTATTTGCCCAGGCAGACAGTTCTTGGAAGGATCGGAGCAGATGCGATACGATATCGACGCACGCCATATGATACATGAAAATGTGATGCGGTACGAGCCAAATGGTACTTATGGGTACGTGTTTCGAGCACGGAAAACCACTAATAGCACTCAATCACTGAATCTGGCATGGCTACTGGTAGTACTTTGTACCGCGTGCGGCATACTCCGTGCGGACAGTAGCACTTGCCTTGAGAGAGGCCTCTTTTTGCGCTTTTTCTAATCGTGCACGAAAGCAGAGAAAAGAAAAGAAGAAAATCATTCGTCTTCTCTTTTCATCTTCCAGCCATATAGAAGCCTCGGTTTTTTTTTTTAATTCTTCTCCTCTTAAACTTTGTAATACTTTATGCTTAACCACGCAAGTGACGCACGCCACAGAAACATTCACCAAGCCTCCAATGACCAACATCGCGGCCTGTTCGGGGCCAAGCGCTGGGCTGCTAGCACTGCTGAAAGGTTGCGTGGTGCCAGCTCGACTGGCTGTACCTGCAAAGTTGCTGATACGCGTTCGCAGTGACGCGCACGTCGCTACAGTCGTGTACCCGGTACCGCGTGTGTTCGGCGGATGCCTGATCCAGCCGTAAAGTCCCGGACGGACCAAGGCTTCGATTTCCATCTTCTCGACGCTCTCGCCTGGCACACTCAATTTCGGCCTCGTACAGCCCATTGTTTCGCCAGCCCGCCTTCTCCGAGCCCACTCCAGTTTTTTGCGTCGTTTGCAGCTTGGCTACAGCGCCTTCCTCACCGAAACCAGACAGTGCATTTACACATCATTTGCTGTGCTTTTCGTAAAATGCCCTGCGTGTCTCGTCCAACCAGGGGGAGCTACATCGCGGAGCAGCCTGCTGTCCAGCCGTGCTGTGCTGTGCTGTGCTGTGCTTGGTGCTGCGTGTGTCCTCGTACAAGGATATCCGGTTTGCCGTGCTTGTCCCTCGACGCCTCTTTCTAGACTGCTGGGGCAAAGGCGGTCTGGCCGCCCGTCAGGGATAATCTGGACTTGAGCCCTCGACAAGAGGCATCAGGCGCTACTGGTAGTGGCAGTTCTCAACTAGCCACCTCCAAACCCTGGTCTGATACATACATACAGCGCATCTAGGAATGCTTCCGCGCCGTACCATGCCATCAAAGTGTGTGTCGAACGAGCAAGGCTCTTTGTCGTTTGCTTCTGGCCAGGATTCCCGTGCCGTCACACCACCAGCAGACACAGGGAGAGGTCTCAGCCTGTCACAAGCATGAGTTGGTAGTATGAACATGGGAGCAGCAGCGATTTTACACTCGTACTAACAGCAGCAGTACCTACATAGGTCTCAAGATCATGGACGACTTCGCTCAACCAATTTCCTACAAGGGCCCAGCTGCCGGGCAATACTGTAGGGCATTTGCCAGCGTATGCCTGCCTACCTACAGGTACATGACGACGCTGAGCTGGAAGAACCCAGGGGCGGCGCCACCAGTTGATCTTGATTAATTTGCAATGCTCTTCAAAGGAGTGGGCTGCAAGCCCAGGCTGCATCGCTATAGGCTGCATGCTAGTACCAGGTAGTACTAGTGAGGGAGGTTCATTGCAGGATGAAGCCATCAGCTCTTCGGATGCTTATTACATGCTCGTAAAATACATACAAGCTGACAAGCAGCAGTGAGAGTACGAGTCCTACGGCATTACTCATCGTTTCCGGCAGACAGCAACTTCGTCCGTGCTTTAGTACCCATCGGTACTCCAGAATGTCGTGCAGCTCTTTTTATGGAGGGACGATCCTCATCCGCCACGTTGACCCAGAAGGCGAAAAGGAATTATTCAATACGGATGCAGCTCAACGCGTCTTTTCTTTTCATAGCCTCGGGAGATGATGCAGTGGTGACTTCAAACGCAGTCCTTTGGCTTTTGATGCCTCTGTTGTGCGATTTCATCCAACCTTGAAACTCGCCAGGTTGATCAGAACGCTTTCTACCTACCCACCTTCCAGCAGCAGTTCCTTTTTTCGATTCCAGGCGCTGTGCAGTTCTGTGGCGGCAGGGGCATGTGATAAAATCAGTCGCGTTTGGTCACACCATGAGGTGAAAGCAAATGTAATAGAAATGAGAAGAGCATGTGCTATCGCTCTTCCCAGCCATGCATGTCTCACAAGAGAAACGAACAACAGCCAACAGGACTGGCCTTTTGACGCGCTGACACAAAAGCCGCTTGGACCAACTGTCACATCTAGGCGAGAGGAATGGTCATTCCGAGTTGGCGCCGCGCCGTCTTAGTTGCTGCAGTGCTTCCAGGCGCCAAATGGAGGCAGCCACACAAAAAGAAAAGAGAAACATGGGAAATGAGGGTTATCTCGAGCCATCTCGAGCCAGCCAGGGAGACTCAGCTCGCTGCGACCCTCCTTTGCTTGTTCTTCCTGCACAGTTCAGGGGAGAGTTCCGCGTCGCTCGACGTACAGCGTCTGGTCAATTTCCAACCTGCAGCCTGATGTCGCACCACCACTAAACATGACCCTTTTTTCCCCAGCCACATGTCGCTATCAAGGTGCAGCAACTTCGCCCGAAATTGCGTGGCAAGTCGATGGGAATCTCGGTCCCCGCCGTTCATCCGCACTCATCGAGGCGATATCGCCTGCACTTGACTCTATACGCCCCAGAGATCAGCGCCTATCCCCTCCGGCGGTGGCTCCGGAGTGTGCTTAGCCAGGCTGCAAATAGAAACACGCTGCATCGCCGCCTGTAGCGGGTAGTACATCAGCCTAGCGTCATTGCCCGAAGCTTATAGAAATTTAAGATCCAAATCAAGGGATAAGCTATATGGGAAAGGCGCTTCCAACTACCATCAAATGAACCGACCGCAAAAGGTCTTACAAGTAGGCTCTCGCTCTGCTACAGTAATCTACTGTATGTCAAGCTAACCTTGGACTGACTCTGTTGCACCGAGGCTATGCTAAAAGGCGAGGCCACCAACCATATACCTATGTCTGCTCCTATTTGCAACGCATCAGCCGGAAAGGGGTGTCTTGAACTGAAACCACATCCAACTCGAACCTCTTATTCGTGAATACTGTACCAAGTACGCACAGAGAGTGCCCTCAGTGAGTTCGATGTTTGGAGTATAGCCAGCCAAGTCATCATGATGAGGGGGTTCCGCTCACAAGCCTCTCCGGGTGAAAGCTGTCACAATTCAGAATCCTACAGGCACATATGCGTCTAGCCGTCCACCAGAGAAGAATGGCGGTTGTGACGGAAAAGGTACGCGGTTCGCATGGCTGCATCTCCAGCAAACATACGCCAGCGTCATAATTTCCCCCCTTCTCATGTCATGCGGGTCTCCCCCACAATCTCTGCGTGTCTCTGCCCGTTTTGACTGCATAGGCCTGCATGTGCGTGAGGGGAAGGCAAGGCAAGAGGCGGAGAAGGGTTGAGAAGGCTCCGTCTGCTGTATCAACTTACAGCTATGCTATCATTATTCGCCTGCTCATACAGCAGCAGAGCGCCTTGCCGCTGCATCTCCCACGTCAGACGACAGCCTGGCCAAAAGGGACAGCCTCGGGCCATGCCACAGCTCTGCAAAGGCGGCAAGCGGCGAACGGTTCGCCCAAGCCAAGTCCACAGGCTAGCTATCACCGCCTTCTCCCTTTCAATCAGTCTCAGACACGTATCCCCAATGCCAGGTCACAAATGCCCGGAACACTGGCGGTGATGCCCTTCCTGGGCCACGATAGCTCGTTGATTGGACATGGTCTTACTAGCGACAAGCTCGCTGCTAGCATGGAGTCAAGTCTCTCCTCCTACCTTGAAACCTAGCCATCTAGTGACAGCTCCGGCCAATGAGTAAACTCGGCCAGCCATGGCGCCAGAGAATGAGGCTAGCCAGTTAAAGACGGGACGAGGATTCGGCTCACTCGCTCGCGGATAATGATTCAGCCAAGCAAGGTAAACACATCCGCCGCAATACTGCTCATTCTGACGCTATACGTGGTAGGGAATTCTCATACGCAACAGAAGATTGATACCGAGCGTCTTATTGGCATTTCCACCATGTGCATTTGTCTTCCAAGCGGCGTTATGGAGCGGCGCATAAGGCCGATTATACTACTGGGACAACAAGCGGCAAATACTTCTCAACATCAAGGGGGAGTCTGCGGGCGTGTTAAAGCAAATCCGAGAGCCTGGCCGTTGGGAGTTTCCACTTCTGCCCTCTCTGCCTGATTCACTGGAGCTATGATGCTACACGTTGTGCCTGGCGTCGGTCTACGTCTGGCGGAGCTCTGACGAAGAGTCCACTGCGGTCAAGACACGGATACGATCATGGGAGCAGGACTATGGAGACACGACCTCCTACCATCCTGCTTCGTCACGGCGGTGAAAAGCATTGTCTGCCATATCAGCAGTGGCCCATTCCCGAATAGCGAGCGCATAAGGATGGACGGACATACGTAGGTATCTGGGCTCTCCCAAGCGGGCGGATCTGCCTGACAATCGGTTGCAGCCCAATTTCGTGACCTCCGGCTATCCTTGGCTAAAGCCTAAAGCTAAAGCGAGAATAAGGCATGACTCAGCACGCCGTGTTTGTTTAGAAAATGCTCAGCTTCTCACACTACTACCCGCATTCGGCATCGATTCGGATTCCTTCGTGAGTCTACCTAGCTATTGCTATGTGTATTATCTTCTCAAACTCGAGATATGATTGCCTTCTTGTTCAAATCAAAGAGCAAGGCGGTGATGATATCAGAAGGCAGAGAGCACTGCAGTGCGGCTTCGCTCAAATCTGCTTGGATAATGGAGCCCACTCGCTGTAGGGCATCGAAGACGTGTCAGTGACATTTGCTGGCAGGGCCAGCAGCCAAAGGAGCTGTTATCACCGGATGGAAGCATGTAGGGTTGGCGTTTACTCTCTCCACCTTGCCCGTTGTCCTTTTGCTTTTCCATTGGCTCTTGGTGGGTTAATCAAGGACGATCCCTCGTGCCCAAAGCTATGAGCGATGTTGATTCCCGGCGAAATTAAATTCTGGCTGGTGATTCGATCGCACTACCGGATGCAGAGAGGCTCTATTGCGGCAAGACACGTTGAATGCAACGGCAGCTGAGTCTACTGCACACTGACACCACTGTGACGGACGCGCGAATATCGCCGCGCCGAAGTTTTCGCTACTTTCTTTGTCTTCATCAATCTTTCCGTCTTTATGCGCCCCTGTCTAGGGTAAGCTGAGCTGCCTAGGCGCAATGACAGGGGGTTGCCAACCGCTGTTAAAGGCTATCACCGATTTCCTCTTGCAAGTGACTAGACTAAAAACTCGATAGATCTGTCAACTTGTCGGATTCCATGCCACATTATACGCATGTGAAATCATGTCAAGTTTCGCAGGCTTACACGGCCGAATTTCTGCAGCGAGCGATGATCGGAGGACCCAACAAGAAAAGAGGTGGCGAAGCATTGTGGCGCGTGAAACTGAAACGAACCTTTTGCCATCTTCTGTGCTCCAGTTTTTGCTGCCCACTATCATCCGCTACCGCAGGCAGCCATGGCCGCCATGTGACCGGATGACAGCCGAAATGCTCGACACCGCCGCCGCCGAACATGGATCGTGAGGAGCTGACCGAGACAAAGGAGATGAGTCTTGGATGCGATAGGTAACCCCCGAAGAGAGAATGGAAGATTCTAGCATTCTACATACCAGGGACTGACTACTCCGGCTTAAAATAGCAAGCCCAATTATACGAGATGATTCATCTTCACGTAAACGACCTACTATTCATCATTCTGTCAACTCCGCTTAATAGAAACGGAACAGGCAGGGCAAGCAGTAGGTTAGTAGGTAATAGGCAGAACAGGCCACATCAGCACAAACATTCCTTGTTTTCAAGCGCAAATCCATTTAATTGACCTAGTAAACCACGGCGTTTCAGCCTACCATTTCCTTTGGCTCCTGATAAAATAAGCTACGTAACAGTATAAACGAGTTTCGATTATTCTCCCAAATTTTCTGATTCCGATGGCTCAGGCTGAGAATAGGCTCTCGCCGCCTTTGCTCGTATCAACCCTTGACCTTAAAACGCGCACAAACAAAATAGTACAGGAAGCGTCCGAGTGAATTCGTGAAGCTGCTGTTTTGGTTGTCTAAGACGCCATGTAGGTGCTGGCATCGACACCCTCCTTGGGGAATTCGCTGCAAAGTCATACCGAGTTAGTTGCCATGCCTTGTTACAGTAGTACGCGTAATGGAGAGACGGATTTGCTTACGGAAGAGCGACTTCGAATCGCTTCTCGATCTCCTTGAGAACCTCCTGGTCACCCTCGGTGCTCACAAAGGAAATGGCAAGACCCTTGGTACCGAATCGACCGGCACGTCCCACACGGTGGAGGTAGGAGCTGGCATCGCCGGGCAAGTCGTAGTTGATGGCCAAGTTGATTCGCTCAATGTCGATACCACGTCCAAAGACGTCGGTGGCAACGCAGATGCGCTTCTTAAACTCCTTGAACTCCTTGTAGCGGCGGATACTGTCCAAAAATAGTTAGCAACTGGAGAGTCAAGGTCCCTTTTTCCTAGGCGTTTCTCCAAACTTACCGCTCCTCCTGGCTGACTCCAGAGTGGACAGCGATGGAAGGGAAGTTGCACTCGCGGAGAAGCTTGTCCAGCTCGGTAGCGCGGACAGTGCTCTTGACGAAGATGATGACCTGGTTGAACTGGAGGTCGTCGAGAAGCTCGTTCAGCTTTCTGTTCTTCTCGCGCTCCTCCAGCTTGATGTAGTACTGCTGGAGACCGTGGAGAGTGAGCTTGGTGTCTTCGTCGACGTAGTGCTCAGTGGGATTCTGCATGAATTTGCGGCAGATGGGCTTGATGTTTTCGGCAAGCGTGGCGGAGAACATCATAACCTGCTTCTGCTGGGGGGTAGCACGGAAGACATCCTGCACGTCGGTACGCATATCTGTGTCGTGTTAGAACATGGCGGGTGAAGAAATTGCGCGTTGCGCTTACCGGGCTGGTCGAGCATCTTGTCACACTCATCAAGGACAAAGATGCGAACGCTGCCGAGGCGGAGAGCCTTGTCGCGGACGAGAGCCTTGAGACGACCGGGGGTGCCGACGATGATGTGAGGGCAAGTGTCCTTGCCCTTGAGAGTCTCGACGTCGTTCTTGATGGGGGTACCACCGTAGAAGACGCCGGTCTTGATGTCAGGCATGTACTTGCTGAATCGGTTGTATTCATCTCGGATCTGGTAGGCCAGCTCACGAGTGTGGCACATGACAACCACCGAGACCTCGCCATTAACGGGCTCGACTTGCTGAAGCGTGGCTAGGACAAAGACTGCAGTCTTTCCCAGACCAGACTTGGCCTGGCAGATAATGTCTCCACCAAGGAGGGCCTGGGGGATACATGTTTGTTGGACTGTCGATCGCGAGGAAGTTAGACTTTAGTGTAACGTAACCAAGTGTAGCAACGAACGATGGGTGATATGCGTCAAGGTCCGTCCATCGTCGCAGCATAAACGTGATTTCTAGATGTATAAATTCGTAGCACAAGCTGGAATCTACTTTTCCTCAAGCCACCAAAGGCAGAGGAGCTCTTGGAGCCGTTGTGATCCCAGCTGGCAACCGTCCGTCATGTCACAAGGACACAAGGACTTGAATTTCTTGCTCTTCTTCTCCCCGCAGCCTGGCTTGACTATCTCCAAAGCCTTTTTGGCAGCTCCCATTCCCCGAGTGAATTCAAGGGACAGTTTGTGATATCTGCCCATGCAGTTCATACCGGCAAACTCGAGGAATCTGTACGAGCTGCCGCATTCGTATTTTCTTCTTCTTCTTTTCATTGTGAATGCCACAGGTTTTCGGTCTTTGGAGAGTCTTTGCCATGCCAACTGCAGACACGTCACATATACAAGGATAGTGACCAGTTCAGCTGACTGCAAGGCCAGCCATTCTTTCGGTGGCTCGATTATGCTTTCCTCTCTTCTCTTCCTCCCTCTCTCTCTCAACTAGTTTGCTTGTCTTTGCTTGCGAGATGGACGGACGCTTGCTTTCAAAGGAAAGGGGAACCATTTGTGATTGTGTGGATTGGCTTAGGACGGTGTTAGAATTTCAGGACTGACCCTCCGAAGGATGTTCGAAACCGCAATCTCCAATGGCACGCAGAAGCTCGGGCTTCAGCAGGAAATCGCGGAATCCAGTGGAGTGAATGCCGACGTAGCTGCCCTTCTTGTCGACGGCGCCGCTGGCGGCTGCCTCTCCCTTCTTTCCGTTGGAAGCGGTAGCGGCGGCGGTGTCGTTGGCGGCGCCAATCTCCTCATCGGAGTAGTCAATGAGATCCTCCTCGTGAGACATGTTGGAAATTGATTGTCGTGGTGTAGAGGATGAGGCTGTTTGTTCTGCGAGAGGCACTGACGAGTTGGGCGCGTCAGAGGCAGGCGATGATGCGGCGAAGAAGGAAGAAAAAAAAAAGAAAGTCAAGAGAAGACCAGACAGGTAGACAAAGCCCAGAGTATCAGGCAAAGAGATATTCCGGGATGAAAGAAAAGACACAGACAATGGAGATTGGGGTTGCAGTGCCACAGGTACCGAAGAAACTCGTTCCGATGGGTGGGTGTGAACGAGGGAAAGATGAGGCTGCTGTCAAAAAAGAGGGCGGAAGGGGAAGAGGCGAGGCGTGAGGCGCGATCTGAGTAAGCGGTGGTCCGTGCACGCAAAACAAGTGCACGCACGTGATCTGGGTAAAGGCAAAGCAAAAAGCTAAAATGAGTGTGAATTGTCCGAGCACGTTGAGAAATACACTGTATGACTTGGAGTAAAGTTCGAGAAGCTTGACGTTTTTGCTTTGTGAGTATCTGTTAACATCTTCTTTTGTGCTGTGCAACCGTTGGCATGGCATGAGATGCCAATATTATTTCATACTTGTTAAAAGAAAGGAGATTATTGTTATACGTTCAACCACCCTGGGGGAGAAGATGGCCAAGCAAAAGGGTAACGCTGGCATACAAAACCGGCATATTTACTCAAGGGCATCGTATCTTTACCAGGCGGCCAGCTATCTGGCAAACTGCGCCCATCAAACAAAAAAGTCAACCAGGACTGAAGATAACCAGGATGATACAAAAAAAGACGAACAGCCCGCCGCGGTAGATGGCGATGGCTTTACACACAGCAAGCAGGAGCGCAAGGCAATAATCAACTTGTCTCACCAAGTCATCTCAGACATGAGATCGGTGTCGCTGAAGGCTCAGATCCGGCAAGCCCCAGCCATTAAGCAGACGGTCTGCAAATACTGCGATGCTGTCCAGATTGAAGGCAAGACGTGCCATTCTACCGTGGAGAACCGCAGCAAAGGCGGCAGAAAGCCATGGGCGGATATTCTGGTTACTCGGTGCGACACATGCGGAAACGTGAAGCGGCATCCCATCAGCGCGCCGAGACAGAAAAGGAAGTCGCTTCGGGCCCCCAAGTCTCCAAGGAGAGAGGAGAGCGGCGCTGTGTCTGAGCCAGTGTCTGCATCTGCACCTGAGCTGCCGACTTGAAAGACGACTGCGATGAGATTGGAACACGTTTGTGTAATATCATAGCAGAGTCGATGGACAGCCTTCAAATGAACGCCGAGGGGCACACAGATGGCGTCTCATTCAACAAGGACTGAGGCCAGAAATCAGACCAAGATGCTTATTGGAATTCAGGGCCTGGAGATTGTCTCCTGGATGACTGGATGAGATACCTGAAAGGGGGAGAACATCATTGTTTGGGTTGCCTTAAGGATCATAATGATGATTTTCCCCTGTTCTCAAGTCCAACAAATGCGGTCTTCATGCTTCATTGAATAACTCATTGTCATGTTCATGGCAAAACCCGAAGCCAATGAAAATTGGGCAAAGAGAAGCCCCAGTCTTCTAGGACAAGACTGCCATTGTTGTCCCTTACGAGGCTGAAGAGTTCTTCAAACCCGAAGCGACCACTCTTCTTTACGGGCTGCACTTGGGGATTTCCAAATGCTGCTGGAGAAACAGATGAACGCATTTTGGAAACGCAAAATCATATATATCATTAGTCGCTCAGTAAATGCTAGCAGAACCCGACATCTTTACGAAACATTAGCCCATCTCACTCATGAATTCCATCTCGTAGCCCACACCTTTCAGTGATCCATCATATCTTCTCCCTCCGCTCCTCCCGTACAACAGCCCATCATCACTTCTCAGCCTCCTTCACGCTCTCTTCCCCAAGCACTCTACTCGCAGCCATAAACCTATCGCGTGAGTTAGCAAAGTTAATTTCTTCTTAAATATTCACGAGAGAAAAGACTCACAGGCCACCGTGCCAGCTACCCAACCCCTTCATAGCTTCGGCCTGCACACTCGTCATCCTTAATAAATTCTCGGTATCTGATAGGTTTTGTGACAACAGAGCCAACTGCGATTGTAAATGTGTCTTGTGTACAATGGTCAGTTTGATTGCCAACAATTCGAGGCTCCAGGAAAAAAAACCGAGTAGGAGAATAAAAGAAAAAAGACTATCAACTATAAAACTCACCACTTGTCTCGACTTCATCACACTCCCACTCGTCGTCGCAACGCTGCTCTGCCTGCCCAGGCCCTGCGATCCACCGCCCGCATTCCGAGACGCCATTTGCCTCTGTTTATCCTCCCTTTTTCTTTTAGTAAAAAAATGTATAATATTTGATGAAGATGCAAAACCCGGTTTGCTCAGAATGAAAACAATTTCCTTCTTCTTGGAATCTTTACGTTGCTTCTAATAGGTTCCGTTCCTTGACGCGTAGATGGATAAGAGACTTTGTTTGTAGTGAAGGTTGTCGATTGTCCTCGGCCGCGCCAACTCACGTGATTTTGAGCTGCTACGACTTCTCCCTACAGCAGCAAATCATCCACCTGTATACCTCTCGCACATATAATGAAAGAATTTGATAACATTGGAGAAATTCTAATTCCTTTAAATTTGTCAGTTCTAGTTTATCAGTACTGCTTATGCCTTGAAGGATAGAGATACCCAACTTCAAGCGCCTCGAGTTTGCAAGATGTAGAGCCATAAGCCGGGCGTTTCAGACAACTCTCTGCCTACAATCAAGGTCCAAATACCAAATAAACCCAGAGAATTAAAGAAATTCATACCATCACTTTAGAGTCAAGAAGAAATTGGCTTTTTAAGAATGCAAAAGACGTGTTTTGTCAGAATCAACATGCCGTATTATATTTGGACTATCTTGAGAACAATGCCGCCCATATCTTTTCCCATCTTCCCGTCATTAACGCTATTTGCCCTGCCAGTCTATATCTTTATTGCGTGTTCAACTATCAATTATTCAAGCATTCTGCCACCGCCTGGCATGGCTATTTTCACCTCATTGAGTTCCAACAAGCCCATGGCTGCCAGATGGCTGGCGGTATATGGCATGACCAACACCGTGCCATTCCTGATAAAAACGGCCCATCACAGTCTTGCGATGCTTAGACCTTCTCAACAGACCATGACTGATTGACTCCCCAACATGGATAAAGAAAAAGTGGCGGAGCGGTGCCGAAGTAAAAATAGAACGAAGAAAAGGAAAGGAAACACCAGGAAAAAAAAAAAAAAAAAAGAAGAAAGAACAAAAAAATGAAAATCAACACCCAAAGAATCTAAAATGCTGTGATGTGCACCAGGTAAAAAAAAAAAAATAGTTTGCCGTTGTAGCTCAGCCTCCCTGTCCGCGAGGCTTTTTCCAAAACTCAGGCTGAGATTGATAAAATAAAAAGGTATATATTCCAGGGTCGTCAAAGTGAGCGCCCTGGAACCGTTCGTGTGCCTTGTTTCTTTTTGGAATGAATTAATATCGACGTAAAGAGCCGGTCCAGTGAGAACACTTATTAATGTCATATGTATCCCCAGCATGGCCCGCGGCTGTCTTCAGTTTCGTTTCCACATGTACATATACGGGACTTGATAGCCCCCCCAAGTTCAAAAAGCGCCAGTATCGACCAATAGTCCAAAGTGATCCAAACAGTCGAATTTGCGATAGCTGCACTACGCTGCCGATATGTTGCTGCATGAGATAGAGAGGGTTGGTTGCTTTCCGAGTAGGAAGGAGTGTAAGCTAAACAACCTTTCGATTATTGCTTCTTTATACATTGTAAAAGCGGTTGATGAGCGCATACAGCGGAACAGATGACGTTGACAGAGACGTAGAATAACGCATCTTCATCGCTGTGGTGTGAAGGATGGTCTATAGAGAAGAGTCGGAGAGAGGAAAGTGAGATACAAGGAGGGTGGGAACAAATGAAAAAAGGAGAGGTTAATGTGTCGTGTACGGATTTCATGTGGACGTTCCATGAGGCTGAGGCAACAAGTCGATAGTCATATCAGCTTGTTGTTTCTTTTCCCTTATAGTCCACTCAAGGTCCTTGCTGTCGCCGCCGCTATCATTGATGCTGAAGACTCCCCTGGCCGCTGGAAGTTGATTGTTCTGAGCTGAAGTCACCGCTATTCGCGCTAGCGCTTGCACTACCAGTCAGACTGCGATCGTTTCGAGATTTGGGGTGATTGAAAGAGCTTACCCCAATTTGCTGTTCAACTTGCTGGGGTGCTATCCCATTGCCTGGACCCGGGGGAAACCGAGGAGCGGGCTGTCGAGCGCCACCAGGTGGTGATGTCTGGCCATTTGCAGGACCGAACCCATTTGGCGGCGAAGGCCTGCCGTTCCCACCTCGCATCGACGGGCTGTATTGATTTCCGGGCGAATGGCTAGTCCGACGAGGGTAGCCACCTGTCATAGTCATGGTGTGCCCGTTCACAGGGCCGCCGAACTGCATCTCATCCATCCGAGAGGCCGTCAAGGAGTTGGCACGAGAGCTAACGCCCATGGCCCCACGATCCACAGCCCCGTATCGGTTCGAAGTAAAGCTCAGCAGAGGATCGTCCAAAATGTTGTCGTTGAGCGTGGGCATTTGGTTAATTTGACTCATTTGGCTCGATTGTCGATGGCGACCAAAGGGTCGGAACCGGCTGCTTTTGGATGGAGGCCCGTCTCCTTCAGGGTTTCGTCGCACCTGGGACGGAGGTGGCCCGGGCATCTTGCGGTTCTTCTTGGAGGTGACGCTCATCATGTCGAAATTGTCGGGGTCAATTACAGGAACGTTGGTGGCCATGGATGGATCGAAATAATCGTCGTCTTCGTCGTCTTCGTCAAATCCACCCTTGGGAGGTGGTGGCCCTCGACGAGAGGGAGGCGCAGAAGGCTGAGGAGGACCGCGCCTCATCCGCATCTCCTGCTCCCTCAAAGCTAGTTCCCGTTGGCGTAATTGCAATTCCCTTTCTCTGAGAGCCATATCTGAGTTGTCGGTCCCAAAGGACGGCTCTTGGCCCTCTGGGATATCGTCGTACAGGACTAGGTGGGAGAACTCCTCCAAGTCATTGCCGTCCATCGAGCCACGTCGAGAGGCTGCACGAGAACCTCCGCCATTCATTTGAGGTGGTGGCCTTCCGTAGCCGTTGGGTCCACCATTTGCCATGGGCCTACGCATTCCTCCCGCATTGCTGAAATTGGAAGATGCCCGGGGTCGTGGCTGACGAGGTGGCATTCCGTTGCCATTGGGCATCATGGGCCGGAAGCCGGCTTGAGATGGTCCCCGAGGAGGAAGCGGTGATGCGTTGTTAGGGGAGCCAGGTGCTGCGTCCTTTGGCCGATTGCGGTTTACAATGTTCAGGTTGTGGAGGATGGCGTAGAGGGTCTCGATTCGAGGAACTGGGACTCCGGCATCGCGGGCCAGCTTTATCGGTGATCCGAGATATGTCTCGACTTCCATGGGTCGTCTGGCAACATAATCTTGCCACATAATGCTCTCTGCCTGATTTGGCTTCAACATGTCGTCCATAGTCAGCTGCTTGAAATTGGGCGCAAACTTGCAGCCGTTAGCCTCAGCCAGGCGCAAGAGTTCGTCAATGACGTCGGAGATCATCTCCTTTACTCCCACTTTCTCCAAAAGCGCTGCGTGATTAGATGCGTCGAATATTACACTGGCGGGATGGAAAGCAATGGGCCTGTGCGTGTATTGACTCTGTCAGCTAATCCAAGAAAACATGTCCAGTCATCTCAATGACCAATGGAAAAGCTGACGACTTACCCAATTACTCTCTCAAATTGCTGTTGTCGGATGTTGGGGGATACCTGACTATTCACCTGGCCGGAGCCAAGCGTCATGGATATAGCCTGGGCCATGTCTTCTTGGATAGACTGTGGAATGGCGGCATTCCGACTGGCAGCGCCGATCCAAACATCTGTTGAACCTTTGTGCTCAAACTCGCTCTGGCCAAGCTGGTTGAGCTCAGCCCCGGAGACAAGCGATAGGACGACATTGGTCGGGAAGCGTTCCTCAATTGCGCTTTCGATTCCAAGCGTGTGCGTAGTGTTGACAAGAATACAAGTATGCTGAGGAGTCACGACAGAATCGATAACGGCGGCGAGATCGTATACGTCGGGAAGGGCCTTTACGCAAAGGATGACGTAATCGAAGGGACCGTCTCGGTTTCCCGCAGCATCTTCTGGGTTTCGGACGACTGGAAAAAAGGGGAACAGGCGTCAGTACGTTTTTGCTCATTATTCCATCTCGCGCGAGTTGACGCGGGGGGGCCGCATTGTCATGGCTTACCATGCCGGGGTTTAAAACGCTCATTGCCAAACGTTTGTGACCTGTAATTGCGCAAGTTAGTAAGGAAACAGGTAAGAACCAAAGGGCCGACCATGATGGCTACGTACTTGAAAGAGATGCCATATTGAGAGACGTGCTCAAAACCTGACTTCCATACCAGCGTGACGTCGCAGGCATTGGTAGCCTGGAGTCTCCATGACAAGAAGGCCGAGACGGGATTGCCTCCAACTGAGCATACGCGCATTAGCTGATCACTCATAACGAATGGTAGGATCTAGAGCGCTGCATCTAACAGGCCTCTCTGTCTGTGAGGGAAGGACTCGAAGTTGAGAATCTGGGAGAGGACGGGTGTAGGAGGAAAAAAAAAGAGGGACAAGAAGTTGGAATCAACGGAGAGGAATTGTTTGGGCCAAGCGAGGCTTAGGAAGAAAAAGAATAACTTGGAGAAGAGACACTAAAAGTTTGGGACGGGCAAAGAGCAAGGGTGGATATTCAAGTACAGGAATTGGGGCGTGTCTGTGAGAAGCGGGATGGGGGTGGGATGACAAACCTGATAGAGTCTTGAGACGGGGCGCCTTGGGTGCCATTATTTTGTTCGAACCCAACAGGGATTAGTGAAGTGGCTAAGATCTGGGAAATGGAAGGGCAGCGGCCTCTCACGATGGCCGTGTGGCCGAAGTCCCACGACGCGCGAGCAGGCGGGAAGGGTTTATCCCTGTCGGCGGGCCAAAACAGTTATATCCGTATGTATGTACGGTAAAAGAAGCGTATCTGGCTCTAGAGTGGGCTAACTGGCGCAATATGCATACAGCAATTGGTCGATATCGCGGTTGGAAGCAAGTGCTATATCAATCAACTCGGCTGTGGGATAGTCGGAGCTGACTCGGGAGACGAAGTGGACCGTACCCAATCGTGTGCCGGCTTCAGTTCGATTTGAGGGCTCTGAATGCGGGATAGCGGTAGCTGAGCTGTGAAGAAGACGATGTTGGAGAGGAAAAAGCGATAGAGGCAAAGCAAGCTCTAGCTCAGAGGCAGCATAACTAGCGACTCAATGTTAGAACGAAAAAGAAACCTGTCAAGACTTTGAACAAGCATGCAGCTGGCTGATTGGGGAATATTTTTTTTTTCTCCTTGGGGGGTGTGGGATAGGGGCAGGTGGGTTGCTTACAGCAACGGGTGGCAGATAACGGAGGGCAGCCAGCAACTCAGGCCTTGTTCCAAGGTCTGAAGGCCCGGGGATGGTGGGACGAGAGGGCTGAAGAGATAAGTGGACGGATGGGAAATTGTCTGGGGTTTTCTGTAGGACAGAGGTGTGTGTGTGCGTGTGCGTGTGTGGGCGGAGTCGTGGCGAGTTGGAGTCGAATAAGAATTAAGCATACATGGACAGCAGCCGCGCGGTGGCTTGGGCCTGCTCCTGGAATGATGAACTCCAAAAAAGAAAAGAAAAACAGAAAAAAATAGCCTCGGACGGGGCGTGTTATTCGGATAGCCGATCGGAATTATGTGCTGCGTAGGAGAGCTGGACGGCGATGCTCTGCTCCGGCTGCCTGTACGCGAACGAAACGAAACGACCGACAGGGTGCATGAGCGAGCGAATGGATGGAGACGGCGCGCCAGGCAAGGCAAGGGAGAAAGCGAATGGCCCGGCTGGTACGTTGTACGCGGCAAACCCCAGCCCAGCTGAAAGAGGAGATGGATTCTGTTCGTAGGAGCGGATGCGCAGTTAGTCGCGGATGGTGAATAGCTGAGGTAGCGGAGAAACCGGTAAGTTAGCAAGATGGCCTAAAAAAAGAGCTCCGGGCAGGTCGATCAGTGGAAGGGGAGAGGGAGAGCTTTGGGCTGGCGGGTGGCTGGCAGCCTGGCAGCCTGGCACTCGCTGGGCTTCAGCGCTCAAGGTCCGCTGTTCCGTGCTCCCGGAGCTCCCTGCGGCGCCGAGGCCCTAACAATGGAGCCCTAAAAGGCGGCCTGGATTGTCGACAGGCACCGGCAATAGTGGAAAGGGTTGTGGCGCAGCCCAAAACAGAGTTTTGCTTTTCACATGAATGCATGTGGTCTTTTCAAGGGGGGAAGATGTTTGTTGAAGAGGGAAGAGGACAGAGAGAGGAAGGGAAAAGGGAAAGGAGATGAGATTAGAAGAAGAGAGAGAGAGAAAGCCACTTTGTAGATTGCATGAAATACCTAGCAGTAGTACTAAGGTAATGCCAAGGTACTTGGTAGTGGTATCACTGCTTGGAGGGGGAGGGAGAGAGGACGAGTGAATGCGAAGCCGGCCAAATGGTACGACTTGATGGCATTCATCCATGTACGTGCTCCGAACCGTATCAATGTGCAGGCACGGTAGGTACTACTAGTAGTAGTACAACTATTACCACTACTTTTCGACCCGGCACCTACAACTCCATGGCATTGATCACGTACCTGGCAAAAGGGACGAACAATGAGGCCAAGAACCCTCAATGTCTTGCTGGATATTCCAAGACCGGGAATGCTTGCTCGGGCCTCGTACGTTTGCGTGCTGCGGAGCCCTCGGCCGCGAAGAATTGCAAGTTAGCGCAAACCGAGCATTCCAGCATGCCTCGGGAGCGGCGGCGTCCAGGGGTGGCCAGGCGGATTCCTTGGGATTGCGATCCCCTATTTTCCTCTTATTTTACTTCAAGTCTTGTCAATGCTTTGGGTACTGACAGCCCAAACGCCAAGGCACCAAGCGAGCACCACGCAGATAATGCACGTCTTTGCTTTGGGCTGTGTGTACTCGCGCACGGAGATGTAAAAGGTGTCGGGACAGCCTGATGAAACGTGTGCTCTGCAGCTTGTATCCACGTCCCAGGTATTACGTCTATGTGGCGGTTGGTTTGCTCTTGCGAAGCTGGCTCGAGGGCTTGTTAGGGCTGGCCCAAGCCTCTATAGATGGGAGTACCTAGGTCGCACTACCGTTCGTGTAGGACAAGCAAGTACACGCTTCGAAGTCGAATCAATCCTCAAATATATCATGCTTTGCTGGGCTGTGCGGTGCTGAAACTGTGCAGAGTAGACACAAATTAGGCCATCAGTCCTCTCAGTGTGGGGCATCGCTAACGCACAGCTGCTCCTCTGCTCCTCCGAGTGTCTGTTTCAAGACGTTCGTTTTCCCTCGAGGCACTGAATCCGATCAAGATCCTTCGGAGCCTGTCAGCGCGCGCAGTAACAAGAGCCCAGGCCGAGACAGAGTTTTGCCCCAGCGCGTATCGTGAAGTGACATCAGCCGCCTTCGGCAATGCGGACAGTAGCGGCAGGCGCTAGAGGGGCCCTGCTGGGGAATGAATGAATGAACAAACGGATGAAATGGCGGGGAACAGCCAAAGAGAGAAAGGGAGAGGAGGGAAGAGGAGGTGATGACGAGGAGGGGGAAATGGAGAAGTTTGTTTTACTTCTTCTTTTTACGAGAGCGAAGATCAGGCTGGAAAGACAAAGCGAAAAAAGCTAGCAGGTGCATAAATGGGATCGAGGAATACGAGTCTTGCTAGTACAATTGAAGATTGATACGAGGTCCCTGCATGGCTCCGAGCGCTGAAGATTTGCTAGCAGAGCTGAATCACGGGGATCTCATTGCTTGGCGTTTCCTATCTTTTCTTTTTGTCTTTATCTAGTTGAAGAGAACTGGCCATTTCATCCTCTCACAGATACCCACTAGCTATGTCTACAACTGACCCCAACGGTGCTTTTCTGCTCTGGCATCTCCTGACTGACACGTGGAAAGTACAGGTAAAGCTGGCAGTGATAATGATGGAGGTGCTCACTGGCTAATTGCCTGCTAAGTCGGGCTTGAGATGCAATGCAACTAACTCTTATACGATATATAGAGTCTTGATACTAAATATATCAGATTACCTGCTCTATGCATCTGTTTCCTAATCTGCGGTCCATCCAATCCTATCTCGATAAATACGCCCCAGGGCTATCTCTGCGTATTGGCTACCAATTGACTTTTGCCGGCACAGGCGTAACGGACGCTAGCGCCATACCGCGCGCAAATCGCTGGTTACTGCTGGTTACACTGCTTTTGCCACGGGGCTTGGTGACATGCATTCCAGCCACGGCCCGCGCACTGAAAAAAGAAAGGAAAAAATTCTATAAGCCGTGAGAATTACAGGTACAAGGCACAGGCACCGGGAGCTTAAAGCGGAGCGAGCTTATTACAGTCGTACTACTACTAGTAGGTACCACCAGGTCGGTGCGCAGTTGGTGCTAAATGCCATTGTTGACTCTAATTAGGGCTTTGAGAGAGCCCTTCTTTGGCTACTCGCTTTCGTGCATTTTCTATAGGCCACTGCACATGCTGCAAAAAGAAATCTACTGTACAGTAGGTACCTTGGCCGTATGCAGCCGTATCAAGTATAATCCCTGCTCGACGAATTCGTCAGCTATCCGCTTCGCACTCTTGACAACCCCGGCGCTATCGATCATGGCCTGCCTGGTCCGTCCGTAAGACGGACGGGATAAACTTTCCAAGATTGCAATCTTTTTCCTCTTCTTTTCTTTCTTCGAGTCAGATTCTCTCGCCGAATTGGAGCCTCACCCACCCTTGTCCATTGGGCGAAGCCCCCTGTTGCCTCCGGAGCTATTTGGGCGACAACGACAGATGATGCCGGCTGCCAAGCCCTACCAGTAAGTGAAGCTTTCCATAGTTTATGGAGTCCATTCTATGGAGTATCTGCCTCGTTCTTTAGTAGGCACTAAAGGCCTTGCTTCTTTCTCTCGTCTTCACTTTTCCATGTGCATGTGTCTAAAAAGCTCCGAACCCCGTTTCTCGTTGCATCTTGTTCGGTACTTCGAAAGTGGAGTGGGGGCCATTTCGCGGAGCGGCCGGAAGAAGCTGCCACTATGCCATTTCACATGCCGCCTTCGGTCTTGGCCACGGCGAGAAAAAGAAGGGAAAAAAAAAAAATTAAAATTTGGTGTGTGAAACGTATGGAAGCGGTAGTAGCAACGGTTGGACAGCAGCGTAGGTAGTACGAGGTACCTATGGTAGAACATTTGTTTCTCCTGAATTGACATCACACTCCCGTGTGTGCTGCACAACTCCCTACTTCAAAAAGAACACCAATGTCTTAGCAATTTCTTTTTTCTCTTTTTATCGCACTATTTCAGGGGATTAGCCAACACACGCTCCTACTGCGTTGCTCAATCTTTTGTCTTTCCTGCTTCTATTTCTGGACATGTGAAATGACAAGTTTCCAGTACCAGCTCCTGGGTGAACAGCCACGACGCATAACATGTCCCTGTACCTGGCACTATCGGCCAACCGCAGCGCTCCGATCGCCTCTGCCACGCAGCGCAGCCCCCGCACCACGCACTAAACCTTGGCAGAGGAAATTGCCGTTGCAACAGACGTGCATTAGCCCGGGATTCGTCAGCTGTCTTCGGAGTATGGCATCATAGACTTGTCAAAGCAGAATTTCCCATGTTCAGGTACTAGTATACAGTAAGCTGCAGGAGCCAGGCCATCTGTGCTTGTGTACTGCAGCTTTTTCATTAAACTGCAACAGTCGGGCGCAGGATGTTCTGATAAGGAGATTACCTGCCTATTCACAGCGCGCCCTGCAGCTGTATCCTTATCAGGCGTATATCGGGCCAATAGGATCTAACTGCCATGTGTTCCTTTTAGGATACTTAAACTCTGGATTACTTGCTATAGCTTCATGTTACTATGAGGAATAGAAGAACGAGAAACGGATGACGAGTTAAGCTACGTACTCTATAGGCTTATATAGGTAGGTACGGCATTGGTATATGCCTACCTGGAATACAGTAAGCTGTATGTATCAGAGAGCTTAAATGCAACTATTGTACAAAAGTCAATTTCAAACTGACCAAAGTCCGCATATGCTTGTCCACGGCAATCTATCTTCGGGAGACTTGCCGTGAAACAATATAGCAATTTCCATACGAAAGTCTAATATCCTTTTCCTTCTTTTCAATGCGATTGTAATGTTTGTAAATAAAATGTCTTGGTAGGGCCTTCCCAAATGTGCTGTTCTGCACGGCAGGCGCTCCCCGCCGCTACTATTGGCTTAGATCGATTTATCCTGGCAACTGCTGTGCAAAATAGGCAAAGCCATTCCACTACACTGGACACCCCCCTTGAAATTTTCGACTTTGCACGCTTTTGACAGCACTCCGTCGAGTCTTTAATGGAGCTTCGACTCAACCTGACACAAGCCACGGGAGCAAAGTCGCCGGCTGGTTGTCTCTTGTGCGTTTTCGGCTAGTTGGTTTTGTTTTTATTTGATTCCATGACGTATTCTCAATACTGACTGGCGGATACAGGCAGATTCAGCATGACTTTTCAGATGGGATTGTGGAATCCACAGCCGCTTTCCCCATCTCCGTTTGTCAATGCCGAGTCGTGAGCAAGGGACGCAGCTGATACGACTACCATCGTTTGTCTGGAGCACCCTATTTCTCGTTCGAAATACGAAGTGCGGCGTCCTGCGCGTACTACCACTGCAGGGCAGCGGAGCGGCCACGGCACTCGTACCATCCTTTAACGAATTTGCCCTCGCTCATTGGCGGCGTGTGTATTGCGGGTTTCAGAGAGCACTGCCGTCCTCGTATGGAACAAGACGCATAATATCACCCATTACCGAGTATCTCAGTCGGAAGTCTGCCGCCTCGTATGTGCCGATGGTGCCCCATGGGGCTCGGGATGGACCGTCGAGAGAGGCGATTGGCACGCGCTTGACGCCACAAAGAAACCTACTTGTGTGAGAAGCCTTGTGTCGCGAAACCAACATGATATTCTCCGGAGACCAGTCAAGAGAGTAAGCAACACAAGGAGTATGAAGTAATAGCACCCCAATTGACAACCTTGAACCAATCATACATTGTTGTTAACTGCTGCTGACAGCTTGGATGATAGGCTATGAGCTGTAGCTGCTATACTTGATGCTCCTGGGTAGCATTGATAGTGACACTGCCGTGGGTTGCAATATCAAACTGTGAGCAGAGTATCCTCAACGTACTATACTATGCAGCCCACAAGTGTGTGGATGTGCTCCCAATCCTAGCAATTGGCCATCTTGGCCTCATATCGTTCCTCCCCTGAAGGGACCCAATGAGAAAAGCGGCTCCCCCTGTCGATCATCTACGAGTATGCGCCGCTCCGAGAGCCCAAGCCACCCTTTTGTGACCTACCGACCTGTGTGCTGGCCCGTGTTCGATCTGATTCTACGATTGGCCAATGGCTGGGCGAAATACTACCTACCTAGTGGTAGGGTTTTGGACGATGGACTCTCTGTACTCGGTATAGAATTCTGAGCACCATCTCGTCACTGATGGCACCACGGTTATTATAACGCAGTTTATCCGAGGCCCTTTGCAACATGAAGGCACATGTAGGCGTTTTCTGCCGGCATTTATCGACAATTGTCTGCGAGCAAGACGTGGTCGTTGTATGCTTGCAAGCGAATCAACTGCTCCAGCTACCCTAAGGTGAATGGCAATATAGGGCAAGAGAGCATTTGTCTTGAAGAATCGCATCCCTAGAGCATCGATGTGTATGATTGCCAATACTCAAGCTCTTGTGGCCTCTATCGAGCTCTTTGAGTGATGCGTCATTTCTATGCCTGTCTGTCTGCTGGCTAAAAAGCAAATGGTCATCTATCCGTCACTGCCCAATAGTTACTGTAAAGATTGGAATCGATTATCTTGTTTCCTATCTCCCGTTTTCCATTTTCAAGTTCTGTTTTAATTTTCTACTCGCCAAGTTCAATTTCCAACCTTTTATTTCTAGCCTTCTACATCCATTCTTCTACATCCATTCTTCTACATCCATTCTTCTACATCCAATCTTTTATTTCCAGCCTTATACACCTAGTCTTCTACATCCATTCTTCTACACCCAGTCTTTTACACCCATTCTTCTACATCCAGTCTTCTACATCCAATTTGCAACCTCCAGGCTCCTACTCCTAATTTCTTACTGAGTTTTCTACTTCTACTTTCTACTTTCTTCTTTCCGTTCTTCCACTCTTAGTTCTCTACTCCCGGGTTTCTACTTTCTACTTTCTTCTTTCCATTCTCGACTCTTGTTTCCCTACTCCTGGGTTTCTACATCCATATCTTAAACATATAATTATTTATGAATGCCTGCTTCGTTTCTCCCGTACCCGAGTGACACTCTGATACTGTCGTCCATCAATATACTATTGGAACAATGAATACTTCAGTTAAACCAGCCTGTTGGTACTGGATACCGAGACAGCGCCGATTCAAGCCTTTTAAAGATGGACGTGTTTTGCACAAGATCTTCACTATCCTCTACACCATGCTGCTTTCAACAGATCACTGCTTCTTTCTGCGGCATCGCCCATGTTTGCTTCCTCGGATCTGCGCTACGTCGCTAATCAGGTCAAGCATCTTCGTGGGTCCTTCTAGAAAATTCCTACGGCAGCTAGATCTACTCAAAGGCCACTGCTTCCGATGGACAACCCTCTCTCTGTTGAATCACAGTAAAGCACATGATAGTTACCTACTGCGGCATGAGGTTTCTCAGACATTTCTCAGACATTTCCCAGACATTGATTATCACAGCTTATACTGCAGACTACTTTTGTCTTCCTCCCTCTGTTTTCACAAAGACGACGCTTTCTTGAGCTAATTGTTATTCTAGCTTCGTTTACACTGTCAAGACAACTTCGGCCACCACATCTTACCACTATCGCATCTAAGAGAGTATTTGAAACATAAAACCAACTACTACAAGAACACGGCCCTCGAGAAATCAACAGATACAAATCGAGTGATTATCATGAACAATGTTTCATGCGTCACAACTTGATCGACTCAATTGTTGCCCCACGTGCTCATCAAAAAGATCTGCGGGTTTTCTCGATATTTGTCTCAGAAAAGTGGGTGAAATCTAGCAGTATAAAGCTCAATATTTCCTTGAAAAATGTGTTGGTGTGAGATCCGCAATGTCTCATATTAATGAATTCGTTGATACTGTTTGATATCGAAGCAGCCGTCTTCACAACACGAGCGATTTATTTCTTATTCTTTGAGAATGTGCCGACACGATACACTCTTCTTCAAATGTGCGACGTTCCTTTCATCTTATTACCAATCTCTTTTCCCAATGTCTTTATTCCAAGTGTCTCATCTGCCAACGCTGTCTAATTGACAATTACTTTACTGGATGAGATATCTCTAGCTCGAGTCAAAACAAGGTACGAGCATGCACAAACCGGTATCCTAATGATGGTCACAAAGCTAAAACGCAATGTCTAGGTATTAGACTATTGACAACCTTGACGAATTAATGGGGTTGAAGCTGCGAGAATTATCGAGGCAGCATTGCTGATCCCTACTCAACAAACACGATAGGTGGGACCAATGCTATCATGGCCTGCAGATCGCTGATCGGCCACTGGGGAAACCCTTACAACAACAGCCTACAGGTGGGTAGACCGCGATCAGGCTACTAACCCTGCTTTTCGTGACCGTGTAAAGTGCGCCTGAATGATTCGGGTTGGAAAGACATTGTCTCAAAGTGTGTTGAAGCTCTAAGCTGAAATGCTGGGCAATTTGTGCTCGCCTCGGGAATTTATTGATGCACTCCCTTGCAGCTCCCAAGGCCTTTTTTTGGTTATTTGTTGTTTCACAGCTGTTTTGAAGATGCCAAATTCTACCTTGACTGGCGACTGTGTCGTCTGTCTGAACGCGTAATTGCGAGCTGATTAACGAGGAACAGCTAGTGGAGAAAAGAAGAGTCGCGAAACCGCCCAAGTGGCTCCCACAAACCGAGAAATCGTATGATGCAATTGCTCCAGATCTAAAGAAGCTCCCCTCAAAAGGCGTATTTCGTCATGGACACCCAAGACGTCTGCGGTCCAAAACTCTCGGTGAGAGTGAGGCGTAGCGAGGCGCAGCCGAGGGAGCAGGGAGCGGCAGCTAAGCATCCGATCTTGAGCGCGACGGCGAAGGCCGGAGCTCCACACGTGCCGGGATTGACTCAACTCTAGATCAGAGGCATCCGCCGGCATCGACCCGTTCATTCCATGATATAAAAGCGCTGGATCGTCGATTGGCAACCGTTGAGAGCAGACGCCACTTCGCAACTCAATCCGGCTCGAGTAGCCTTTGCTGGTGCAACAACCAACTGCCGAATCTCACTCAACCTTTGTGGCACTCATCAGCAAAGTTATTTCAGCGACAGCTCGGTGCTACAAGACAAGATGGCGGCCGAGAATGATGTTTATACTCTTCACTATTTCCCCTTTTCGCTGTATTCGCTCATGGTGCGGTTTGCCTTGGTCATAGGCAGAAGACTGGATCCGGAGACGGCGCCAAACGTTGAGATCAAGCTGGTGAATCTGCATCGAGAGGAGAACTTTTCAGAAGAATATCTCACCTTGGTCAACTCGAAAGGCCAGGTTAGTCCATGTTATCTTACCAGTGACCGAATATGCTTCTCAGAAACCTCCCATGAGAGAGGGATGTAGAGGCATCGTCATACTGACATTGGACAGGTTCCCGCACTGACATCGGCTGCATTCGCGTCGCCACTTGCAGAAAGCTATGACATCTCCAAATGGCTGTGTCAGAAACAGCCAGAACTCATTCCCGAGGAGCATCGAGAAACGATCCAGAGCCTCATGGACAAACTGTACAGCTTTCATGCCAAGACGCTGACAATAGGGTCCGACGAAAAGAAGCACGGAATTCCAAACCGGGCTGCTGAGTTACTAGAGCAAAAGGACTTGGCTGAGCCTCATCGAAGGGCACTGGAGATTAAAAGCGTCTTGTAAGTCTTTACTGGTTTCAGGAAGTCGACTTGATTGTCTGCATACATGGCTGCAGTGTTAACAGTCATCTTCGCTTTTAGCCACGACTTGCGTCACAACACAGTATTTACTCCTAGCGGTATTAAAGACGTCGAGGACAAGGCTCGCATGTTCATACAAGAGCTGGACAAGACTCTTGACGAGGAGAACCAGGGACAGCGCTGGATCTTTGGCAAGCGACCTACGATTGCGGACGCACATGCCACGGTAATGGTAGCAAGATTGATGGAGGTGAAGCGTCAAGATCTGCTGACGGAGAGAGTGCAAGAGTACACGAGAGGAGTTCTCGCATCTGAAGAGTGGTACGAGGTTACGCATGGCAGGGCCACGCGCTGGAACGCCTCGATGGGACATGTCGCCGATTTGAACCCGCTGTAGGGGTTTTTGGGTTGTCTTATCAGGGAGCTTCTTATTCTTCTTTTCCTGCCTTGTCTTCTTATTTGCGTCTCAGTGTTGCTTGAGGCAGCTGCTTGTATTTGAAGCCGAAAGTTTTAATACCCAATATATTCACGGAAAGAGAAGACAAATGATGCCTCTTATACCTACGAGGTAGTATCGCCAGACAAGAGAGCAGAGCCTCAGCCTCGGGATTCTACCATTGTCTACAATTGGCTATAATCAGCGTGAAACCTAAGCTGGCATATTGTACCATTCGGCCTATCTGTAGTGGCATTGCAGCTCTCCATCATGCAATCTTATTGTACTGGATTGATACCGAAAAGCTATTCGCAGAGGAGAGGAAATAGGAAAGCTTTTCGACTTGTAGAGGTCAGGGTGCACCCAGTTTTCCTAGACTTCAATGGCGAGATTCTTGTTCCAACAACACTAGGCACGGCGATGTAGGAAACGGTATACTAGATGAAGAAGGCTTGGAGAGTGTTGGAAGCGCATTCAGCCTCATTGCATTATTCTTTTCATTGGTTGATCAATCATTGGTCGCAACAGAATGAGTTTTCGGTGGAACAGCCTACAGCATGGCCTCATTGGTGTTGGAGAGATTTAAACCAATCAACCAGTCAATCAACATAAGTAAGAAAACGGGAACCCGGTTCGCTGGCTGGCAAATAGAAACACAATGCTATGTGGCAAACTAAAAAGAATTGCTGCCGTTCAGAAGCCGTGTGAGATAGATGGAGCTTTGTAACAAACGTTCAAAAAAGCAAAGCCAAAAAGGCAAAAGGCAAAAAAGTTCAGGCAGCTTTTCGCCGAAAGACACACAAAAGTGCCCTGGAACCAAGCTTCTTTTTTTTTTCTTTGGGGGCGTTGCCGTAGCCCGCCCATTTATGTAAGAAGAGAATGGACGGCGCCGGGAAGAGACATGCATTGGGAACTTCTGTTGCCTTGGCCGGTCCGAGTCAAAAGTTCCACACTGTCGGGTGGCGGAGCGGAGCACAGGAAACACGCACACGCAAAAAAGGGCAGTGAGCAGTCAGCAGCTTAAATCATATACTGTGGCTGCTGAGAAGACAGCATCGCTGGTTGATGATACTGTATCCAGCACGCTCAGGATATGATGGGCTTAGCCGTAACATCAACTGCCTGCATCACTGGAAGGCATGCACAAGTAGAAGCGGCTAGACCTCTGGCCAGTGTCCAGGGCATCGGGCTTTGCTTGGCAAACGCCATCACTCTCTGCTGTAGCGACTGCACGAATGAATGCGTGTCCAGCAAGGTGCGTGGCTGGGGTGAAACGGCACGTCGCCCTGCTTTTCGTGGTTGGTGAGACGAGAGAGAGCAAGGCGATAGTACATGCGAGAAGAGCGATGATACCGTGCCGCCTGCTGGTCTGCATACCGTACGCACACAAAAGTGGCTGCCCAGAAGGCGCTCTCACTCACACGCAAGAGCACTCTGGCGGAGAATTGAACGAAACAGCGTCTCTCAGAATCTCTGCCACGGCCCTAGTGCGCGCATCTTCTTGCTCCAACAAGATTAACACAAAAACGTCCGTCCCGAGATCGGATTCAACGTGCACGGCTGTTATCGATTCAGCTGGGCTTCGCGATTACCAGTTGCAAATACGCCATGCGGGGGCGCAAGAGATAAGGACAAACGGCCTCTTTGGCTGCAGAAGGTGCCTCTTCCATCCTGACCCTGCCTGGGCAATCCTTGGGAAGCGCGTTGAGCTAAGAAAGGGATCCCCTCTTGGCCTGTCCATCATTGGCTGGCCGACAAAACAGACTATTTTGCGCCTCGCAGCTAGGCACGGCAAGGGGGAGGAAAAAGAAAAAAAAGGCACATGCTAGCAGTTTAGGTCGTGCTTTCGTACCGGTCGTATTGCAAGGTGCCTCGGAGGTTGAGGTTGTATGGTGTCCGCCGCAGCAAATCAGCCTGAGTAGGTGAGATTTCTATAATCACAGCATCTGCAATACTTGGATGTGTGAAGACAAGCAAAGTAAATCTGGGCGATACAGTCGCGCCGACCAGGTCAGCTTTGGCCGACAAGTGCCTTCTGCTTGTGCGCGAAAGAACATGAACCTTTTTCTGGGTCTCACAGGATTGTCGCACGCCGTGCTCCCGTCGGTTGCTCAGACTGTCCTGCAACGCTCGCTCTATGCTGCTTTAGGAAGGTCTGTCTTCCACACGAGCAGGTTATCGCTGGATTGGCACCCTCTGCACCACGCCTCGACGCTGATTTGCCCACAGCACAAGCCTCACGCCTCACGCCCTGGAGAGCCTTTCCCGCACAGCGTGTCTGGCACATGGTGGATGACAGGAACCAGCAAGGGACCGGCGCTGCTAGCCGCGCACTGTGCCGCGCCGTCTCGTCTCTCGTCTCGGTCTGGGCTCGCGCGCCACACTGGCCGTGATTTGGCGGGGATTTCCATCAAGATGGAGCCGCGGACCTGGGGGGAGGCACTTTGGCTTGGCCGCTTGGCTGCTTGGCCTGGGTCGGCTGGTCCTGTTGCAGCAGCCGCTAGAACGAGGCCATCCAGGATTGGCAGGGCGTCGCTGCTGGATGCGCAGCCCATGGGGTTTGCTCGTTGTTAGCGTCCTGGCGAACATCTGCCTGTGCTGAGGTCGTCGCACTCACTCACTCTCTTCCTCCCACCTCTGTAATCCTGCCTCACCGAGAGAGAGAGAAAGCAAGAGCGACAAGGAGTGTGAGTGAGCGAGTCACACAGACAGACCTCGCCCGGTTCCGACTCGACTCGTTCCATCTGTCGACGACCAGACGGGGCGACGGTGGCCTGCTCTGCTTATAGCGACGACGACCAGGGCGGCAGGGAAAAAAGTCCATAAGACACAGGCGACAACCACCACCACCGCCAACTTCTCACTCAAGTCGACAATGTTGCCGTCCATCTTCCGCCGGCGCCATGAGCCGGAGGAGATCACCCCGATTCCCGGCCCGCTGGAGACTGACACGCCCGGCTTGCAGCATCTCCAGCATCTCCAGCAGTTTGAAAAGGCTCACAAGCTCGACCCCAACCTGCCCATTGACGACCTCAACGATGTCGACGCTGCCATCGCCACGGGCAATGCCGAGAAGGGCTTCGAGATTGAGCACGCCCTGATGGAAGACAACAGCCCCTACCCTGAGGTATGATCTTGTCTTGTTCCTCTTCTATCCTCTTCTTCTTCTTATCCTCTTATTGTCCTCTTCTTGTCTTCTTGTTGTATCGACATGTGAATAGAGCAAGCTTCAACTAAAACATGGCTGCGTATGTAATGATTTGCTGGTGTGTAAAACTGATCCATGGTTCCCTTCTCTCTTATAGGTGCGAGCCGTTGTCCGAAACTACGACGTCGATGTCCCCGCAAACACCATTCGCGCCTGGGTCATCGGCCTGATTCTCTGTACTGTCGGCTCTGGAGTCAACATGCTCTTCTCCCTTCGCAATCCCAGCATCGCCATCACCACCTACGTCATTCAGCTGATTGCCTATCCCATCGGTCGCGGCTGGGACTTGGTCATGCCGGACAGGGAATGGAATCTCTTTGGCATCAAGTTCAATCTGCGCCCTGGCAAATTCAACCACAAGGAGCATGTTGTCATCGTGGCCATGTCCAACGTGAGTATTTCCACTGACCATCAGATCAAACAGCGATTTGATGGTATCCATCCAACAACTGATTTCCTAACTTCTCTCCTTCATAGGCTGCCTATGGTGGTGGTGTATTGTATGCCACCGATGTCCTCCTAGCCCAGCGTCTGTGGTACAAGCAGGACTTTGGCTGGGCATTCCAGCTTCTGTTTGGCATCACCACGCTGTGCACTGGATATGGCCTGGCTGGCCTGGCTCGTCGCTTCCTGGTCTGGCCTGCCGCCATGATCTGGCCCGCCGACTTGGTCAACGTCGCCCTCTTCTACAGCTTGCACGACCACTCGCCATCTGACCCGACAAAGACCAACGGCTGGTCCATCGGCCGCTACAAGCTGTTCCTCATTGTAGGCTTCGGTGCCTTTATCTGGTACTGGTTCCCCGGTTGGATCTTCAAGGGCCTGTCTTCTTTTGCTTGGATTTGCTGGGTTGCGCCCAACAGCGTCGTTGTCCAAAAGATCTTTGGTCCAGCTCACGGATATGGCCTCATGCCCACCTCGTTCGACTGGTCTGTATACAGCGGCTTTTTGGGCTCGCCCCTGATCCCCCCTTTCCACGCCATTGCCAACGTGCTCGGTGGCATCATCGTCTTCTTCGTCGTCATCTCCATGGGAATCCACTTCAGCGGCACCTGGTATTCTGATTATTTCCCCGTTCAGTCATCTGAGTCGTACGACAACCTGGGCCAGATTTACAACGTTTCGCGAATCCTTGGAAGCGACTTGAACTTTAACGAGACAGCATACAAGGAGTACTCTCCTCTCTTTTTGTCGACGCAATTTGCCCTCGCCTATGGGCTGTCGTTTGCCGCCGTTGCCGCCGTGCTCATCCACGTCGCTCTTTACCATGGCAAAGAGATCTGGAAGCAGTTCAAGATGGCTCGTCATCAGGAGGACGACGTTCATATGCGCCTGATGAAGAAATACCGAGATGCTGAAGAATGGTGGTATGCTGGTACGTATTACACATGATTCAGATCACCACCTGCGCCGCCTTGCCATTTGTGTGAATTATAATGCTAATCAAAAGATTGTCGTCGTCATATAGTCTTGTTCGTCGTCATGGTTGCCATCTCCTTTGGCGTAGTTGCTGGTTGGGACACTGGCTTTCCGGCCTGGGCTTTCGTTGTCTGCCTGCTGCTTCCGATAATATGGATTATCCCCATCGGCATCGTTCAAGCCATCACCAACATCCAGCTCGGCCTCAACGTTCTTACCGAGTTCATCATTGGTTATATGGTGCCTGGCCGGCCCCTTGCCATGATGATGTTCAAGAATTATGGCTATGTTTCCATGGCTCAGGCCTTGTACTTTGCTCAAGATCTGAAGCTCGGACATTACATGAAAGTGCCCCCCCGTGTCATGTTCACCTCGCAGCTCATCGCCTCTGTGTGGTCTGCAATCGTCCAGGTCGTCGTCATGAACTGGGCCCTTGGCCATATCCCCAACGTCTGCGCCGTGGATCAAGAGAACAGTTACACCTGCCCAGGTGGCCGTGTCTTTTACACCGCTTCAATCATCTGGGGCGCCATTGGCCCTGCCCGAATCTTTAGCCACGGAGCTCTCTATTCTTCCCTGCAGTGGTTCTGGCTTGTTGGTGCCATTGCGCCCATTGCCACTTGGCTTTTGGCGCGTCGCTGGCCCAGATCTTTCTGGCGCTATGTTAGCGCTCCAGTCATCTTTGGAGGCGTTGGCTTGCTTCCCCCTGCGACTGTCAACATCTACCTCTGCTGGGGTATCTGTGGCATCGTCTTCAACTATTTCATCCGAAGGAGATACACTGGCTGGTGGCTGCAGTACAACTACATCACCTCGGCAGCGCTGGACTGCGGCCTCATCATATCCACACTGTTGATATTCTTCACGCTGTACTTGACCAACATGAACAGCCCCAGTTGGTGGGGTAACGATGGAGCTGTGAATACCATGGACTATGTAGGGACTGCAATTTCCAGGCACGTATCTCCCGGCGAGATTATCGGACCAAAGGAATGGTCGTGAACGATGTGTGCGAAAGCATTAAAAAAGATGGGGGACTTTAGCTGGATGTAACGGCGTTGAAGAAAGGGAGCAAATGCTGGATCTGGGAATTGTTTTTGATGTATACCATCCTTCCTTCCCTCTCTTTCTCTCGCGCTTGATGTTTTGGGAATTTGGGATATTTTTCACACATAGTGTTTTTATGACCTGGGTTGGGCAAGGACGGAGTTAAAAGGGAGTCTCGACTTTGTTGCTTTTGATTTTTTTTTTCCCCTTTCCTTTGGACGTTTCCTTTCACGAGATTAAACTTTTGGCAACGAAGATACCTAACCGCGGAGTCGTGTTGATTCCTAGATGATATCGATTTCATAGCCATGGACGAGAGCTTTTTCATATGATGTTGATGAGGAGACTAGAGGAATGATTGCTTTTTCTATAGCGAGCCTGGTTATCTATATTGTATATTAGTCGCTTTTCCTGCTCAGCCAGTCGTTATCTTGACATTATGATAGTTTATGATAGTGTAAAAGATTCATTGACATGGTCATCTTGGGAAAGGATGCTGAATATCGGGAATTATCATGTAGAATAGCTGCTGAAGACGTTAAAAAATCAGCGACGTCGACTTACATGGTGCATCATCGCTCATGTTGGAGATTGTTGGGCTCTCCAACATCTCCAAGATCGGCTAACACGATTTGGACGAGTGGATGTTGGTGGTGGATGTTGGTGGTGGATATGGCGGCAAAACACAACCCCGCTGACTCAGCCAGAAATTCTGATAAGCCAAAAGGACATCACGTGTAGAGTCGAGAGGGTATCGTCACGTGGTTTAGACGGGCGCCAGCACACGCAAAAAATTAGGGCTGGCAATTCGACACTCCACCGCGAAAAAGGCGTTGCTCTCCCCCCCAAATTAAACAATTTCGTGAAATCGTCATCCAACTTCACGCCTAAGCACAACCGACCGCCAAGATGAGTACGTTTTTGCTCCCAGTTATTCCCAGTCGCCAGTCTCCGAAGAATCCCATTATTACGAAGAAAAATCCCCGACTATTCGTAGCCTCTTCTGCCGAAAGAAGAGGCTACGCGAGAAGAATACATATAGAGGAAACGCAATGATGGGGTTTTTTGTCGAGACTGCGTCGAGATGGGATGAGGATTTTCTCGAGAATTGCAAGGCTGACTGCTGTTTCTGCGTGTAGCGAAGGGTACCTCCAGCTTTGGTAAGCGTCACAACAAGACGCACACTCTCTGCCGACGATGCGGTTAGTCTTTTTATTCTTCACTCCATCCGGGATACGGGCCCTCCATGATGCCTCTTCGCAATCGCAATCGCCGCCGTCTATCCAGGATCGATCGAGACTACCTGTTGGAAAAAAGGAGGAATGATGAAACGGTTACTGGACTATGAGGAACGAGTCTCATATCGACAGATGGATTAGACGAACGGCAATTGCGATTAGACGGCGGATTGGACTGGAACGGATCTCTGAATGATTGACCAGTCATACTGATTATGGATGGATATTAGGTCGCCGTTCGCTGCACGTCCAGAAGCACGAGTGCTCCTCTTGCGGATACCCCGCCGCTAAGATGCGAAAGTGTATGTTGACTTCCCCCTTGTCTGGATTTCACCCACGTTTCGATCAATGGAGAAGAACTTTATGTTTTCCATGTCGGTGTACCGTTGAGAAATGTCATCTAACCATCTCTTCACACAGACAACTGGAGCGAGAAGGCCAAGCGGAGAAGGACCGTCGGCACTGGCCGCACCCGCTACCTCAAGGACGTTTCCCGACGATTCAAGAACGGCTTCCAGACTGGCACCCAAAAGAACGCCAGACTCGGCAAGAAGACTGAGGCCGAGGCTTAAGCGGCCCGAAGCGTTTGGGACTGCTCTCTCTTTACCTACCACTGTTTGTTTTTCTTTTCGTCGCTATAACCGGAACTATGCATAAACACAAGGGGGTAGAAAAGAGGAGTAGGGGGAAGAGAGAGAGAGAGAGAGATGGAGGGGAAACAAACCAAAAAACTAGAAGACTAAAAAAATAATCCGTCCATGAGGTTAATGAAATCCTGGCGAAATTCTTTTTTGCATCAATGTTTTTTTCCTCTCATCTTATTTTTTGCAACTACCATGGAAAAATCAAGTGATGAGCGACATTCCTGCGGCTCAATTTCTTTAACAGTCTTCTCTTTTTTTCCCCACCTCTCTCTCTCTCTCTTCTCTTCTGGTCAACATGGGGGATTTGAAGATGAAAAGGGGGAGTGCTTGAGGGCGGATGATGTACATTTTGGGCGATTGATCAAAGGACAAGGAGGGGCTTGGGAGCAAAGGGACAAATGGTGTTTGTTTTCAAAAATAAAACGGGAACCCCAATTGCTTTTTTTTTTCAATTTTCGCACCGGAGCCAACGAAAACAAAGTCGTGAAATTGCATCTTGATTCTTCAACAAATTTTGTTTCCCAACCTTGTGATATCCCGTAATTTGTTTTTAAGGGATCAAATCTCATCGTTTTCTTGCTTTTGCCAGCAGATGATCCCCCAATCCAGCTCGTAACCAGCGTATGATTATGCCATGCCCAATTAAAAAAAAATAGTCGCTCTGCCTTCAAACGTACCAATACCCAAAAACTAAAATAAATTCGCTCATCATACATGCTAGTTCTAAGCACCCCTCTCGAAAACCTTGACGTTTCCATCTGCCCCAACATGGTACAGATACTCGGCACCCGCCTCTGCCCTGTCGCGTTCAGTGACTCTCACCACGCCGCTCACATCCTTGGCCACGCCCGTGTCCAGCATTCGAAGGCTGAGAATCACGTCTGCGGCATGTGCTTGGGCGAGCACCAGCGCCGCGTGAGAGCGCTCGAGTGTCGTCCCCTGGCTGCGTAGAAGAGCGTCATCCACGGAAAAGGAAAGGACAGTTGCGTGAACACGCTGGTTGTGAACAAGTTAGCTTTTATGTCACTTTTGTTCGCGGAAAAAGGAGAGACACGATTGTCGATATAGTTTGTGCGGAAAAAAAACTCACCTCTCTCAAAGACAATAGCATTCCCTCCAAAGCCGGCCCAGTCACATCCTCGTCTCCAAATATCGCCAGCAGCTCATCCAGCTGGTCGATGATTAAGATCTTGGGGCCGCTTGATCTCACGTCGGCGATTGCTGCCTCCAAGGTCCTCCTCACGTCGTCTGGCTTCCCACTCAAGAGGACTCTTCCTCTGTCTGCCGTAGACTCCGAGCCCCGACCCCCCGAGAGCAAGCCTGTCAGGCCATCCACAAAGCTGAATCTGCCGGCTCTGCTCAGGGTGTCCAAGTCCAAGCCCTGATGTGAAAGAGTTATTAGTAGACATTTAAAATTGAGAGCAGCGGGCTGAAGAAGAACGAAGAGGAAGAAAAGACTTACCATTCTACTTGCACCCTCTCTCCAAAAAGCCAAGTCTCTCATGAAGCTCAGAAAAACAACCCCGGGACCGGCCTCTGCCTCACCCAGGCCGGCATCCGCTCCTCTTCCCGGCTGTAATAGTATTGAGTAAAGGTAGCGTAGAACAAGCCAATTTGATGATGCCCCGAGGGTATTTGCCAAGATGGTGAGGGATGCCTCTCTGGGTAGCGCGAGATGCTGCTCCAAAAGAGGCGGAATCTTGTTTGACATTGTGAGATGTGGTCGTGCTGGATTTGACGTTTGACTGGTAAATATTGAAAGGAGTGATGGCGAGCTTGGCGTTATTATAAGATGCTTTTCTTGAAGGTGTAGTCTGCCTAGACGCGTGAAGAGAGACCAGGGACTAATCAAACTCAAATAAACATGCAAGCATCGCGATCAGTGTTTCTTCATCCAGGTTAGTGAAAATCACACAAAAACGAGGCTGAACGGAGGGGGCGGGGACTGTGTGAATACAAACTTGAGCATACTCGCACGGTAAGAAATCATCAATAAGATGAGACGACGGCGTAACAAGGCTCGCGAATTATTCGTATAGATGCGAAAGTAATCATTTTGAGCACCTTGAACTCTGATTATACCGTTTAGTGTATAGTGTCCCAGACATTGAGTAATGAACTTGGGTAAATTATTGCCGAGATATGCAAGGACATGGTTTGGATATATCCCTTGGTGAGATTTTCTTGGTCCATACATGAGGCATTCAAGAGTGAAGGAGCAAGCAAAGCTTCAACATGCCTCATGCAACAAAGTCTGCTCTGGCGGAGAATTCTTTCTGATATAAAAACACAGAATATTGCAATCGGAAAAAGAGGACGAAAAAATCTCGTACGAGATGAGTCCAAGGATTGGTGGCTTCAATTGAGCAGCTGTTTACATGTAATATTTAACGTGCTGCCCTGATTTTTCTGTATATAAATCAATACAAGGCCATCAGAGGAGATGAAATGATGCGATTTAACAAGCAGCCAACCAAAGCGGGCTGTGACCCTTTGTCTGGTCTGATGGTAAAAGTATTCAAAGGGGATACGATTTGGCCAGTTAGTGATGTCTAGACCTTGCCACTCGTCCAACTATTGATAGTACATACAGATTTTGGTTCATGTATAGCTAGATAGAAGCAAGGTGTAATATCGAGCGAACAAGGCCATGCAATGTCACTCTAGAGGAATAACGGTAGATGGCGGTGTGCTGCCTCTTGGAAATCTGCATTGCTTGTATTTTGCCTCATCGTAATTACTAGTAGTATTCATCTTGGCTCTACTATAATAAGTACCTTGGTAGTAGTCTACCGTTCAAAGCTAGATTGTCTCCTCTTTCATGCGGCTGAGGTTCAATAGCCCGGAGTGGGGGTTTCTCGCTGCAAGACTACGCAGGCGAGGGATTTGGAGCTTAAATAATGACAAATGTACGTATCAAGCGATGAATCAGACTACATTTTGAAGGAGAAGAAAAAAAAGAGTCGTTGACCCCTTTGGTTTGTTTCATACGATGACCCGCCAGATGACATTTGAGGATGGATTGCAAGGAAATGCTACGTGCTACAGCCGCAGATTTTTGGTAGCAGTGTCTGCATGTCGTCCCATTGTATAAGCTTAGACACGACCCTTACACATCCCACAAACATTTTGTTCATTTAAAATCCCCAAAATCTGAAGAAAAGACGCCTGTAGCCTCCCTGCATGCATCGCGCCGTCGACCGAGACCCGCCGTGCACCTTGATCGCACACCAGCAGACCAACGATTACCTCAGCCCCATGTCGCATTCTCGGTCTGGCTGGTGGCAACAGCCATTGTTTCCAACAGAATCCCGACAGCTCCGCCAGGCCAACCGACCAGTCTCAGCAACAGTTTGGCTACTTGGCTATTCCTAGTTGCGTCGCCCGCGTCAGCCGCGCATCCCAACCACCTCCACGCCGAACCCTGCCCGCTCCAAAAATCGGCAGTTTTGCGCTCAGCCTGCGCTGGACCCTGCACCCGCCTGTCGTCATAGCGCGTCCAGGCCTCGTCGCCAGCGGGGGATCGCTGCGCTTAGGGCCTCGCAGCGCTGAGCCAAGCGATGCACGGCGACATGTGCGGCGACATGTGCAGCATCGCAAAGGCCTCACCTGACTCGCCTGGCGGGCACGTTTTGACGCAACGGCGCTGCGACTTGCTGGAGCCGTGGGCGCCGTGTCAGATATCAAAAGATGTGCCGGTGCGGTGGCCAGAAGGCAGACAATCAGCAGATGATCCTTGTATGGTGTTGGTGCCTTGTAGTGCCTTGTAGCATCTGTGCTTGTCTCTGGCAAAAGAGAAGAAGAAACGACACGAGTCAAGTTGCTGCTCATTTGGCGTCTGCTGGTTTTCTTCTTCTTTTACCGCCTATACGCAGAGATGCGACATACCAAGGCTCCCTTGTGCATGATCCCGGACCGCCTCCTCATTGTTTGCTGAGGGATGGGTGGGCCGTAATATAGTACAGTATAGAGTAGTCGCCCAACCCTGGCAAGATCTCGCGCTAAATTTCAAGATCTTGGGGGGTTTTGGTCTTCTGATAACGGCCGTGTTGGAAATGGCCATGATGGAGCAAGCACGCGCCAGCTTCACTCCTCCTCCTGCCATCTGCTCTTGTCTGTCCATGTATATTTTCCTCCCTCCTCCCTCCTGTCCTCCATCCCATCACCTCCGTCCCCTCCCATCTTCAACCTCGCCTCTTTTTGCTTGTCAGTATCAATATTCTCTCTTCTCTCTGGCTCTCGTCTCAGCGGCATCCGGACCTGGCGGAATCAAACCCCGGGAGAGCAAAGGGCCTCGGTCTTCAACACCTGCTCCTCTGAGGCCATCTCGCTCTAGAATCTTGCTTTGATTCTTCTCCCTCCCACTGCTGGCCAGACCAAGCTGTTTGACTCGTATCCGTCTGCTAGTGAGACAATTGAGCCATTCCTATTGATTCAGCAACTCATTCCTCCCTAAAGGACATTCTCAGCTATTCAAAGAACCCGCCTCGGCTTCTTTACCTTTCTTGGAAAACATATCAATACTACCCTCATCTTCTTTGGCTTCCATCCATCCACCATCTTTACTCCTAGCCATTCTGCCATCATCGTGCAAGGCAGGACAAAATGTCCACGTCTCCCACAACGGCCTCGGACGAAAGGCCACAGCGGGGCCGGCTACGCCTTGGCCGTCTCTTCAGAGGCAGCTCCGATTCCGAGCTCGAAAAGTCTGGGCTTTCAAAATGGTCCATGGGCATGTTAAACGACAGGGAGACTGTCGAGGTGCCGGGTAAGAGCAAATGACTGTCCGGTGCTGGTCTGCCTTGTGGCAAACTCTTTCTAACAACCGTCTTCTCTACAGGCTCCGTCTTGCTGCTTGCTAGTGATCGCAACGAGCCGCTCGGACTGCGCAATGTCCATGCTCGTACCTCTCACTCCTCTATCCCGGCCGGGTTTCCCGTCGAGACCCCCATGACCCCTGGCGGCACTCGGCCGTTGCCGCATTCGCCGTCTTCTGGCCTTGAGAAGCCAGTGGTTGAGGCCCCGAGCAAGAAGAAGACAGACGATGGTAAGATCATACTGGATCCGCAGCCAGAAGACTCGGCCAACGATCCTCTGAATTGGCCCACCTGGCGGCGCGATTGTGCTCTTCTGTTCTTGGGCTACTACTGCATGATTGGAGGCGGTATGACGCCCGTCATCGCTGCAGGCTTTACCAACGTTGCCCACGACTTCAACGTCTCGGTCGAGCGAGTTCCGCTGACCACGGGCCTCTACATGATGGGCTTGGGCGTGGGTTCTGTCATTGCCTCTCCCACAGCCATCCTCTTTGGAAAGCGGCCAGTCTACCTCACCGGCATGATTCTGCTCATCGCCACCAGCATCTGGGCCGGATACGCCTCTAGCTTTTCCTCTCTTATAGCCGCCAGAGTGATTCAGGGCATTGCCGTTTCGCCGGTAGAGTGTCTGCCATCCGCCACCATTGCCGAAATCTTTTTCCTGCACGAGCGAGCATATCGCATTGGCATCTACACGCTTTTGCTTTTGGGAGGCAAGAATCTTGTCCCGTTGATCAGTGCCGCCATTATTGGCCGCTTTGGCTGGCGCTGGGTTTTCTTGTACGTTCAACTGGCCTTCTTTTCGCTCTCCTTCAAACTCGTCAAGTGTGTGTATTAACCGGCCATCCTTACTCTCTAGTATTGTTGCAATGTTGGTGGGACTGGGATTTGTCCTGGTGTTTCTCTTCGTCCCAGAGAGTTTCTGGGATAGAACGCCAACTCGACATATGCATGTATCCAAGCGACCGAGCTTCCTTCGACGACTATCCTCCCGCCCAGGCCATAGATCTGCAGAGGTAACCAGCCCTAGGGGTAAATCGCCGGAACCCTCGCAATCTCCAGGAGTTATTAATCGCCGCAGAAGCATCCGCGTCCACGTCGGGTTTTCGCCAGATGTAGAGCGGCAAGACCCGTTGGATGACGCTCAAAAGTCCCCGCGGCCCGAGAGTCCTCAGGTTGGATTTGCCGGCCCGTCTTTTGATCACAAAGAAGAGGGCGGTGACCTGGAGAAGAATCTTGGCCAGGCTCCACCGATAACCTCTCCACGACCGAGTCTCGCTCCTGACCGTGGCCGAAGTATGACTGCGGCGTCTCCTGCTCGTAGCACAGCCGAGAGCATGGTCATTACTGAGTATTACTCAACAGCACCCAATCTCGATCGCGACCGCTTCCCCTCGTGGAAACTCAAATCCCCCCCTAAAATCAAAGCTTACACACACAACCTACGACACAAGCCTGCCCAAACCTTTATCCAGCAGCTCAAGCCGTATCATGGCCGGCTCAACAACGACAATTGGTTCAAGGTCATGGTCAGGCCATTTATCCTATTTGCCTATCCCGCGGTCCTTTGGTCTGCAGCCATCTACGCGTGCTCCATCGGTTGGCTAATTGTAATCTCGGAAAACTTGGCCGTCATCTACCGAAATCCAAGCGGATACAACTTTACGGCTCTTCAAGCCGGCCTCGTCTACGTATCTCCTTTTGTTGGCGGCATCCTTGGCACCGGCGTGGCGGGCAAAATCAGTGACATCGTTGTGAGGGCCATGGCGCGCCGCAACGGGGGTATGTACGAGCCCGAGTTTCGCCTCGTCATGGCCGCGCCCATCTTGCTGACGACCTGTATTGGCCTCATGGGCTTTGGGTGGTCGGCGCAAGAAAAGGACAGCTGGATCGTCCCGACAATCTTCTTCGGCATCACGTCCTTTGGCTGCTCTCTCGGCTCCACTACATCCATTACTTTTTGCGTCGATAGCTACCGCCAGTACGCCGGTGAAGCGCTGGTCACGCTCAACTTTTCCAAAAACATCTTCCACGGCTTGGTTTTCAGTCTATTCATTTCGCAGTGGCTTGCCGACGATGGCTCGAGAAACGTTTACATCTGGCTAGGCATCATCCAGCTCATCTTTTGCCTGATGGCGATTCCCATGTACATCTTTGGTAAGCGGGCTCGCATGTGGACCGCGAGGATGAACCTTATGGAAAGATTCTAGCATACTCCATCTACATCTGCTTCTCCTTGCAATTAGCATCTCTTGGCGTTTTTCTCCTTATCTCTTTCATTCTCTCTTCCTTTCCTTCCTTGCTTCTATTTTCTCTTTCTTTTTTGGGAAACATCTTGCGCATCGGCTGCTGCTGGACAGTGTAAAAGGCATAAAGCGTACGGCGCATTCGTTGGGAGGAAACTTTGATATCAATCAACAAATACCCTTTAGCTTGTCTATTTTTGGTTTTGCAACTTGGTATTGAGCAAGGAGGTGCGAGCGGATGATGTACACCAACATACATTTGAAGTATATATAGGTATATAACTATTCGAATACTATGATGTACTCTTTATCTATGCACAGCTGCTACCTAGTCATTACTCTTTACCGCGTATAGTTTCCCAGACTATCTCTCTGAGATTAAGGTTCGCTGCAAAGACCTATTTCGCGAAGATAGGCTCCAATATGATTTATCCAAGTGGCGATGACTCCGTACTGTGGCAGACGCCGCAAACTCTCAAACTGCTGTCAAGCTCAACATTATAAACGCCGGCTTGAATCCCAAAGGCAAACTTGACTCACAAAATACTGGAGTTGTCTGAATCACGTATAATTCGCTCAAATAGGGCGCCGCATAGTGTCGAAATGTTGTGCCGAGCTCAACATAACGAACGCCAAACTTGTATCCCAAAGGCAAAACTTGGTCCACGAAATACTATTTGTATCATGGCTTATGCAATGGTTGTCTAGGAGGAAGCAGATCTAGTGCGTAATCTCCACGATATCGACCGTAGGGACGCGCAAGGGGGGGATCAGAAGGCTTGTTCCTTTTCTGTGATACGGAATCTATAGCTACTTGTATAGATATGGTGGTCTATCATTCCTTCCCTGGGGATATCAGGACAAGTGTCCCCCAACTATTTGTCCGAATCACGTCAAATTCGCTCAAACAGGGCGCCGTATAGTGTCAACATATTATGCCAAACTCAACATTACAAATGCCAGCTTAAGTCCCAAAGGCAAACTTGGCCCACGAAATACTATATTTGTATAATTCGCTCAAACAGGGCGCCGAATAGTGTCGAAATATTATGCCAGGCTCAACGTCACAAACGTTAAACTTGTATCCCAAAGGGCAAAACTTGGTGCAGGAGATACTTGTCTGGAAAACCCACAGGTGACTCAAGGTCTCCGATATTATAACTTTGGCTGGGAATAATCAGTTGGAGGCGTTTTCCCACTTGATCAAAAGTTTAGGGGAGTGAGTATCCAAAGGGGGGGTTGGCGATAGAAGAAATCAGGTATATAATGAAGCGATTCTTCCCGTTCTTCTGCCCTTTTTTTTTTCCCTCACCATCGATTCGAAGTATTGAGTCTCGAGCCTTTTTGCTTCCTACCAGGTATCGTATATACACAGGTAGATATCGTGTAGCAAAGTCAGAAACTTGTACTTCGAATCCCCCCTCCCACCATGCCTCCTCCTCCTCCTCCTCTGCCCTCGCCCTCGTCCAGTGGGGACGAGGCCACATCTTCATCCCCAGAGCCGGAGGCTGGACCGGCACCTCCCCCTACACCTCCCCCCACACCTCCGGGGGACGTGTCCGACGAGAACCAAAGCCGGGACTCGGCGACGAATACGCCGAATTGTCCCTTCCTCCTGCAAGGACATTGCCCGAGTGGACAGGCATGTCTTTTCGTCCATGACGAGTTCGTGGCGTGGTTGCAGGAACGTCAAGAGTTGACCCTACCAGAGGTAAGGTTGATTACTGCAACTTTAGATGAGAAGTTTATACTAACAATGTACCGTGAAAGATTGATACGCCTCCTGCGCAATCTCAGGACACAACCCCCCAAGTTGCGCCCCTAATCGAGACCAATGGGGCAGCAGTCGGAGCAGCAACCGGAGCAGCAGTCGGAGCAGCAGCCGTACCAGCAGCCGTACCAGCAGCCGTACCAGCATATGGAGCAGCAGCCATAGCAACATATGGAGCAGCAGCTAGAGCAGTAAGGGAAGCAGCAGCCATTGTAGCAGCTGAAGCAGCAGCCGTAGCAGCAGCCAGAGCAGCAGCCGAAGCAGCAAAGGCAAATCCGCCATATGTCAGAAGGCCGCAAATCGTTGGCTCAACCTGCAGGAGCGTGGCCGTTTCCTGGCCCAAGCCCGGCAGGGTGGCCATCCTGGGCTATGGCAGCCTCGACATGGCCAAGGACGAATGTTCCAAGTTCAACGGGCATTCGATCCCAGCAGGCCAGCGCAAAAAGGTCTGCGGCCACGAGGTTGCTGCCATCCTGTCCTCCGCAGCCCGTCCCGCCGAAGCACCGCAGACAACACGAGTCTCCCACCAAGTCGCGGTATTTTTCGGGCCCTCCGTCCAGACAACAGACGAAAAGCTGAGGCGCTCAATCAGAAAGAACTTGACCCCGACTCCTCGTCACGTTCGCATGGGAGAGTACTCGGCTACGGAGGGCGAAACGATTGCGGCGGTGCGCTCGCTTCTGGCAGCTATTGCGCCTCTCGAGTTGTTTCAAGTCCAACAAGACTCGACCAAGACGCGGCTGGAAGCGACCGCATGGTTTCCGGACCTGGTGGCTGCGCTGGAGGCATCCCGACTGGACAAGACATGCCTCTCCTTTTGTGCCGAGGCGGAGCTGAGTGTGCGTGTCCATAATATCAACGACACCTGCTCTTTCCGCTGTCATAAAAGGAGATAGAAAGCATGGGATTGGACAGGATCGAATTGGGAAGGGTCAAGCTGATTGATGGAGACAACGGGAGCTGCCGATGCGACGGAATGGTGGGATTCTTGAAAAGTTTTGATTACCAAGAGGATGTATAAAAGTTTGGATTGATTTTGTCGTGCGTCAAGCATGGGGTCGCATAGGATGAGAGCCGACATCTTACGTCGTGGGCTACGATGGGGATCGAAAAGTTTGCTTTGTTATGATACGGGGTCTAAGGCTGCTATAAGAATGGAGGCTCTCCTCGTCCCTCCTTCCTTGGGGACGTCGGGGCAGGTGTCCCTCAACAGATTTGAAATTGATTCCTGGTATGACCGCACCTTGTGGTTGTTGAAAGCATTTCTTGCACGAGTTTAGTGTCTTTGACTTATTGCCCAACACCTTGGACATGGTTCAACGATATATATGAATCCAGGTATTATTTGAATCCCTCAAATTATAAACATACTTGAGAATTGCAGTATTAAACAACAGTACCAGTAGCAGTAGTAGCAGTAGTAGCAGTAGTAGCGGCTGTAGCAGTAATAGCGGCTGTAGCCCACCTATACGTAGCACCTACTATTTATATTTATAGAACTGGGGTGTTGGATAACCTTTTCCTATGCACATGGTCGTGCAAAATTCAAATCAGCCACTGCAACCAAGATACACTCCATCTAGGATCGTTCTCAATTACATCCCAAGTAACAGCAAATCATGGTAGAGGTAACAACTTATGCCGAATAAAAGCGGGGACGACTGCTTCGCGGTTCATGCACTTTGGCAAGGCTAGCCTCACCAAGAAACAGACAAATTCAGATAACCAGCTTCCATAAGCCGTCTTCTTGCCATCGCTACATCCTGAATCGTCGTCCAAGATGCATTCTATCCTGACGGCCGTTGTTAAGCCTCCATTTGCCCTGACACAGAGACGCCTTTTCAGCGCATCTGCCGCCAGCCTGGCGAAAAACCAAGTTTTTGACTCGTAGGTTCTCTCAGCCATGCATTTATCTGGACACAAACAATATTGCCCGTTTCTCACCACATCTGGATGTATTCCCAATTTTTTTATTGGAAAAAAAGAAAAATGGAAAAAGACCACTTTGCTAACACCACTTGCTAACAAAAAGCATCCGCACGCCAGCCTCATTCAACTCTCAACTTTCCCTCTCAACCTCTCTCGGGATTCCCCTCCTCACGCTGTGGAGCACGGCCTGGTGTCCGTCCTGCCGCACCATTGAGCCACTTCTCCGCGGCCTGGTCTCTTCCGGCGTTGGCGAACAAGAAGGCGGCGTGCTCTTTGCGCCGGTGCAGTTTGACACTCCCGAGATGATGTCCACGCCCATCCCGCTGGCCTCGCGGTATTCCATAACTTCCACGCCGACGCTGCTGAGCTTTGACGCCGGCGAGGCGCGGGCTGGTACAAAAGTCATGGATGCGAGGAAGCTGGCGGATAGGCAGTTTCTGATTGATTGGATACGCAACGAGGCGAAACGACATGAGAGCGGAGGAGGAGGAGCCGCTTCGTTTGGAGGCTTGTTCAACAGCCGGTGATTCTCAGAGATGCCAGGATACATTTCGATGCATGAGAAGCGAATCACAAGAGAAGGAGAAATTTGCATATATGACATATCTTGTAAATACAGACATCTCGTCAGGCAAAACAAACAGATTAAAGCCAAGGAAGGAAGGAACGCTGATGTACATTACCAACTCCCCAATTTTGACCACCTGCCCGTGGTCTTTTTACTACCTACACCTACATACCCTCGACTCTCTACTCTTCAATTGTTAGATAACATCGTTATCGCTTCTGATCCACGTCCTCCCCATCAAATATGTGAAGGAATGCTCAAAAATCAGATCGACAAGGCTAATTGATCTGCTTGAGCAAAGAGTATTTTTACGCCCGATGCCGCTTGATTATTGCAGCCAACTAACTGCTCTCGCCAATATAGGAGCCATCATACAATCATATTGTCGACGCCACCCTCAAAAAATCGATTACGCTTCTCCCACGCCCAAATGCCCGCCACATCTATGCACATGCACACCGATGAGGATCCTCTGCGCCGGCGACTCCGCAGACATTGGCAGCCTCATCTCAGGCTCATGCCTAAAAGAAGGCAGAGGGCACAAAAAATCAAACTGCGGCCTGTGTGGCTTGAACACACGACCTTCAGATAATTTGATGATTGAAGTTGTAACTTCAGTCTGACGCTCTCCCAGCTGAGCTAAGGCCGCTGAATGTGGATTCTGGCAAAGGCTAATCGCCTCATATTGCTTGAGTGGAGCAATTCAATTCAGTCGTGCCCAGTTCAGCGATAGGTTGGGATGTTCCATCGAGAGTCCAACAAGTTGTGGCAGGCCCAAGTATTTGATCCAGAAACCGAAAATGAAACCCAAGGAAACCAATTCAACGACGTGCTGGGTTTCGGCGAGGTTGCAATAGCATTCGCGTCTGAGAAAGCTAAAGCAAGCTTAGAAAAAACACTATTACTAACTTGACATTCAAGAAGGGACCTCAGCTAATCGCCATGGGATCAACTCGTTCGCGCGAAACACACCGAGTCGTCTTACAGGGGCTTCCAGGCACAGGTACGACGGCAGAATTGGTCTTGTGTCCGTCACACGCTCCCTCTTACGGCACAGGATCTGCAGGGATCAAGACCCCGAAACTCTGCTCCTCTCTTAGGTCCGAGAACCTTCTGTACTCGCTTGCGACTAGGCGAGGAAAAGCAACACTAGGCCTAGACGTCAATCCTCTTTAGAGGGGACGAGGGGGATCGACATTCGTGCATACGGACAAGAAACGGCCTTGTACCGAGAGCCTGTCAGCATACCTAATTCAATGGACAAGGCAAAGGCGAGAATAGAAGTTGCGCGGGCGCACAGAATGCGGAGTTGTCTGTAATACCTACGGCGTTAGTCCTCTGTATTAAACTACCTAGGCTCCAGGGTCAAAAGCGGCGTTTTAGAGCAGCACCAGATCCCTGCAATGCGCCGTTGCAGAACGAAGGAGAGGGAGCTGCTCAACAAGCCAGAGAGGGAGCATGAGAGTACGGGCATGCATGTCCTCGTATGCTTTTCAGGTTCTGATATACTCTGTATAGGTGACTCTGGAATGAACAAGATACAGCGACCACAATCACGGAAATGAAGAGTGAAGCCGGCTCTGTGCGAAAGAGGCCTCGCATCAGCTACCGGGTCCATGGCTGCCACTAGCCCCCGGTCACCGTCACCTGTCAGGCGACATCTGCCTCCATATCTAATAATAAGCTAGGATTAGAGCTCGAGTGCCCCAGGGTCACGGTGCCGCTGCCGAAACTCGCATCTTGTGTGCACTTTGTCGCAATGGTAGAGGTATTAATAGGTAGGCATTGGCAACACCGCCCTGGAAACGACGCCGCTGAGCAAAAGATTGTCCAGGTCCGGGTTCGATTCAAAGGATCGAGCATACAACACTACCGCTGGTAGTAAAACACACCCGTCTCCGTTGTGGCCAGGGTCTAGGAATTGTGCCAGTGCGACTCCAAACTCCGCTTGTGGCTCACCCACCCGAAACTACTGCGACGTTTCCACACCCGCGCTGCTTCTTTCAAACTCTCACCGGCAATGAACACTTCTTGACGCTCCTTTGACAGCCGTTTTCCTTCCGCTTTGTGCGTTGTGCGGCGATCAGGCAGGGCAGAGCTGCTGGGAGGTGCAGCAGCATCAGGGACCCTTTTTTTGATTTTCCTTTGCTCCAAAGACAAGCCTGTCTTACCCACTCATTCATTCCTTGACCTTGGCCAGGCTGGGCGCTCGGCGGCTAACTCTTGCTCGTTGCTGCGGCCCAACCCCTCGCACACACGCAAAGACACGTACCCGAAATCTGGACGGCATCTGAGTCGCGAACGCACGCGCCCGTCCGAAACTACGAGACGAGACGACCACAGCAGCTGGCCGTGAACCATTGCCATCCCTTGCGTAGCAAAAGCATATCGGCCGCCACGGCGGTAAATCGCAACATCAACCACGGCTTTGCTTTGATTCATTCCGCGGCACCAAAGGCTGTACAACGCTGGGCACGCTAGGCATAAAATCAGTTTTTATCGAGACATCTTGCTTCCCAACCTTTGCTCTCTTATCGTCCTTTATTTGCTTTAGAGGCCTTCACAATCGATATTAATTCCTGGTCTGGACATGCGCACGCCAGCGACTTCACGCGACGGCAAGTTATAGCATTGGCATATTCTTCTTCTTGTTTCCTTTTGCGCCTCGGACCGATTGCGACTCGATATATTGTTCGATATCAGCTAGAAACCGACAAATAAAGTAGTAATAATGGCATATGACGGAGGATACAACGGGGGCCAACAGCGGCCGTATGCTGGTTCAGCGGCACAGGCTCCCATGGCGAGAGGTTACGGAGGGCCTCGGCCGCCACAGCAGCAGTATAATGGTTATCAGGACGACGGCTATGGTGGTGACGGAGCAGCAGCAGGAGGATACGGGCCAGAGTATGGAAACAACCAATATCAAGATGGCGGCTATGGCCAGAGTCATCCTGGCCGAGCGAGAGGAGGCCGACCTCCGCAAGATGGTGGGCGAGGAGGCCCTCATATGCCCGAGGGCCAACGAGGGGCCAACTATCCTCTGAGAGGCGGTATGGGGCCTCCAGGGAATAGGGGCAGGCCGAATATGCCACGAGGAGGTGGACAACCAGGCCATTCCGCAGGTAAGCCTCATTTTTCAAATATCTAGTACATGACCAATTCCGTAGAATCCGGCTTGGTTGTTGAAATCGAATCCCTCGGCTCTAACCTTCTCCTTCTCTTTCCTCTAGGCGGTCGTCAACCGATGGATAACGGGCCTATGAACCCTCAAGGCGGCCCAGGGTTTGCCAATGGCAACTACCAATCTGGCAATGGATATGAGCTTGCAAACCAGATGTCACAGATGGATCTAAATGGACAAGATCCTAGAAGCCCACCCCGCCGACCACCTCCGGCCCGAAACGGCTCCCAGAACTACGGAGATTCACGACAAGGACAGCCTAGGCCAGGACCTGATGGCTACGCAGGCCATGGTGACGGCGGATACGGCGCTCGACAGCAACCTGGTCCACATGGAGCTCAGCGAAGCATGACGATGCCGTACAATGGCTCCGGAAGCCGTGGAGTGCCGCAGAGACCTGCTACGACAACGGGAAATCGCCCACCGCCTCAAAGAACCTATCCTCAGGAACACCAGGCGCCACCGCCGCTGCCAGGACAGTACAACAACGGATACGACCCATCGTATGCCAACGCCATTGATGATGTCTACGACTCTTATTACGACGAGCCGAGAGCGAGCGTATCAAGCCACAACTCGTCTCACAACTCGCACGCGCATAAAAGCAGCGTCTCGAGCCTGCCAGACTTTGATGCCATTCCCTCTCACAGCAAGCGAGATTCTTTCGAGCAGTCCATGCGACAAGCGCCTGAGCAGCCGCAGCAGGCAGCTTACCAAACTCCCAAGCTGGGCCATGCCCGCTCCATGGTAGAGATGCGTGAGCCGCAATCCGCCGTCTTCGAGATGGCCGCCGACATTCCCGAAGTTCCAGCCATTCCCCAGACGCATGCCTATCAGCCGGGATATAATCAAGGGTACAATGGGCCTGCTGGATACGCCCAACCGCCGATTCCACGAGGCCCGAGTGCGCCTCCAGGTGCAGCCGGGCATCCGCAATCTGGATTCGGGACCAATCGGCCGCCTATAGTCAGGCCAGGCACCGCCGCACCCACCAACCCAGACGGCCTGCCTGCACATCCAACGCCTATACGTCCGGGCCAGATGGAAAACTCGCTTGTGAATCCGAGTGCCAAGCCTCCTCCTATTCGAAACTACGGAGGTGGTCCTCAGACGGGGCCACCACCTCAGCAGCAACAGTATCAGCAGCAACAGTATCAGCAACAACAACAACAGCAGCAGCAACAAGCACCAATGCAGCAACCGCAACAACAGCAGTATCCTCCTCAACAGCCACTAGATCAAGGCATGCCAGCGCCCAGAGCGCCGCCTCCGCCGCGGGAGAGAGAACCTCCAGTAACCCCTGGCGAGCTGGAACACCTAAGGATGATTATTAAAGGCAACCCCAACGACCAGGCAAGTGCGCTGAAATTGGCCAAGCGTCTCATCGAAGCTTCCGACGTGCTTGTGCCAAATATCCCCGATCCGAGAGGCAAGGCAAAAGCTCGCGAACGATATCTTGTGGACGCCCACAAGATCCTCAAAAAGCTGGTCAACTCTCAGAATGGAGACGCCATGTTTGTCATGGCAGATGGTGCGGGTAGGGGTTTGTTTGGTCCCGATGGAGATTCCAAAGAGGCCTTTACGCTGTATCAATCTGCCGCGAAGCTGGGCCATGCTGCGGCTGCCTACCGTACGGCTGTATGCTGTGAGATTGGCCACGAGGAAGGTGGCGGCACTCGCAAGGATCCCATGAAGGCGATTCAGTGGTATAAACGCGCGGCGACTCTAGGCGACCCGCCAGCCATGTACAAGGTCGGCATGATCCTTCTCAAAGGTTTGCTGGGCCAACCCAAGAACCCCAGGGAGGCTGTGGGCTGGCTGAAGCGAGCGGCAGAGAGGGCGGACGCAGAGAACCCTCATGCTCTTCACGAACTCGGATTGCTCTACGAATCAGCATCGGGTAACGATGTCATCATCCGGGATGAGCAATACGCCCTGAGCCTGTTCCAGCAAGCGGCAGAGATTGGATACAAGTTCTCTCAGTTCAGACTGGGCTGCGCGTACGAATATGGTTTGCTGGGATGTCCCATCGACCCGCGACTCTCCATCGTCTGGTACTCGAAAGCTGCACAACAGGAAGAGCACCAGTCGGAACTTGCTCTTAGTGGCTGGTATCTGACGGGAAGCGAAGGCGTCCTAGGCCAGAGTGACACGGAGGCGTATCTGTGGGCGAGGAAGGCTGCTGTGGCTGGTCTGGCCAAGGCAGAGTACGCGATGGGTTATTTCACAGAGGTGGGCATTGGTGTTCCAGCAAACATGGAGGATGCTAAGCGATGGTATTGGAGAGCAGCCGGTAAGTTGATTCTTTTCGCCACATTGCTCTTTCCTTGTCTTTCTGGTCACATGTCCCTGTATTGAATGGTGAATTCGATTGCTAACGTCGAGGGTTGTTATAGCACAAGATTTCCCCAAGGCCAGAGAACGATTGGAAGACTTGAAACGATCCGGCAAAGAAAAAGCTCGTCCGAGAGAGCGAATCTCTCGAAGCCAAAAGCAACAGGAGGGAGATTGTGTAGTGATGTAAAACATGATTTGTTACGATGGAAAGATATCCAGAGGTGCCAAGGTGCAGAGTTTTCTGCCCTTTTTTTTTGGAATTAATGAGAGAAGGATAGCGCAGAAATGTTTCTTGTTTCTTTTTGTTTTATTTGGATCTGAAAGATACCATTGGGTAGAATTGTATTGGGTTTATGGGAAGCTTTGACAAATTAACCTGGATACTTTTTTTTTCCTTTTTTTTTATTCTCTTACCAATTGTATTACTAAGATGGAGGGAATTTGATAAGAAATGATGCTATCGTATACATTTTACATTGGTGCTTCTTTCCTAGAGGTAGAGGTGTGTTATTCGAACAACATTTCTGTCTGTAAGCTGTTACGGCCTTGCTTCAAGGCAACCTAGGGTTGGATGCATTTCTTTGTAAAACAGCGAAGCAGCTTTGGCGAGAAGGAATTGGCTAATGATTGTGTCCATCTTTTGCGTTGCGAGAATTATTGACTTGCCTTTTTTGCTCAGTATCATCCAGCAAATGTATCTCTCTATTCGAATCAAAATCATTGGAGAATCACAGGGTAAATGACACTCCATCACTGGGGCTACTCGACATTCTGCCACTAATATTTACCAACTACTCATGGCTTAGCTGCCATTTGGCTTAGCTTCATGTCTAAGTCTCACCGCTTTCCTATTCAAGCAGCTCTCGCACGGCAATATCAAATTCCATGACGCCACCTGAGCGAGTGAGAGCTTCCTTCCTCAGGCATAACCGAGCTCTCAAGCAAGAAGTGGACGTCACGACTTGGCCCGGCCCTTGATTTTCAATTGCATCTGCCGACTTTCTTCATTCTGCACATCAAAAATGCCTCCCAAGAAGCCTTTCAACTGGGGACTGTGGATAAAAGTCCTGGTGGGGTAAGTAGGCTCCGCGACTTTCAACTCCAAGCATGACACTGATCATCTCTCGTTAAAAGAGGAGCCATCATCAGCGTTGGTGGCCCGGCGCTCACGTACTGGGTGGTGCCAACCGAGGAAGAGCTGAGATCCAGATACAACCCTGAGCTCCTGAAGAGAAGCTTGGAAGGCAGAGAGGAGAGACAGCAGGAGTTTGACGACTTTGTTACGAAGCTGAAGGAGTATTCGAAATCTGATAAACCAAGTTGGTCCCACCAAAGAAATCCCCTTGTTTGATATATTTCCGTGGAGAATCGAGGCTAACGTGAATGGAAACAGTCTGGGCCGTCATCAAGGAGGATGAAGAGAGGAGAAAGAAAGCAGAGCTCGAAGCCAACAGACTTCAAAAGCAAGAGGCTGTAGCTCGGAGAGAAGAAATGCGGCGAGAAGCTGGCCTCGGGAAATAGGTGAACGAAAATGCGGTTTCATTCGAGCTTGGGCGTGGCGCAGCATGGCGAAGACGTCAAAGTCACCTCATCGCTTTTGTCCACGTCATTGCTGTGTACATTATGAAAAAAAGGGAGAGCATCTGTAAGATTTGAGTCATCACCATCGGCATTGACAAATTTCCAAAGTGAGCAAGCTACCGGTCTGTTCGATTTGAAGGATCAAGTTGCTACGATGAGAGAACAGGGATTTGTGTGAACCGGGATACCAGTATAAGAAAACAAGAAGAGGGAAGGAAAAGGAAAAGAAACAGACTCAACATGGGGTATGAGACAGGCATCTCGTCGGATTGTTCCGAGCTGAGGCTCGCACGTGGCGACAAGACAAGAAGCAAAGACTACAAATTGGAAGCAGGGGCGGGAGGCAAACTATTGGATCTGCTGCATGATACTACCTACTCCGCGCAAACTGGTTCAAAGATCGGATTCGCTCTTGCTCCCCATTAGCGTGGATTGGGGCTATTTGCTGCGACCCCAATAAATCAGTTTTTGCCAATATTTCAACATCCGCCATGTTTGAACCGGCATGAGATGGAAATGTTCGTCCTTCACGAATGCGTGATTTGATCGGGTGAAACGAAAGATGACCTAGAAGATATGAACAGACGCCACTCTTCATCTTCATCAAACCTACATGTGCTACAATGCGGTATAAAAAATGGACCAGCGATCACGCGAGACTTTGACAAGGCAGATTGCTTATCTGGAAAGGAAGCAATACGATATCTACAACGATTATAGCCATGCCCCCTCTTTGAACAAATCAGTTGGTCCTTCACCCGGATCCAACGGACTGTTATTATACCGTGGCGATGATCCAATTGGCGAATATCCTCGAGTTGAGCCGGCCGAGCACAGTGCTTGCGTTGGAGACAATTCTTGGCAGCAACAAAAGTCCGTTCCTATTTTGGCCACCAAATGCTCTGCTCTGCTGTTGGGCGCACGACATGATATTCCTACTCCCTCTATTGGCCAGCCGCCCATCCAGCATTGCTCCTACAATTGCGGTACCCAATCACGCTAAATCCTATTCTACTGTATATCCTATTGTTTTTTTTTTTCTTTAATTTCTTTCCTACCTCGGCATATACGGCAGTACCAAGGAATTCGAAGCCGTCTTTCCCGGTCGGCTGGTCAGTTGTTTTTGTTCTTCGCGGACGACAAACAAATATTTGCTTGATACGCCTATTGATATCTCGAATTTGCACCGTATAAGCGCGGCGATAGGTCCTCTCCACCCACAACACCGAGAGTCTGGCGAGAGCAGCGGGCGATGATGGATCTATAGACTCGACTTAGTGTTCGACATTGGCCCACAAAGTCCAGCGCTCCCACACACTATTGAAGGCAGCTTGCATCGGAGATGGATACAGCTGAACGTTATCTGCTCTCCCTACACAATAAAGGAGCATGATGATACCTATACTATATCGCCCATCTACTCCTAGCTATTCTCCTCTTTCGTGAGAAATCCAGATGCCAGGGCGCCCAGATCACTCAAGCTACCGACACACAGTGGGCATTACTATGACTTCGTGACCGTGGCAGCCATGAGCAAAAAAAAGATACCGATGGAGAGGAAATACCCAGAGTGCCTCTTATCCTTTGTTTTCTATAGGAGCGTTGCGCATGTGTGGTGACTACCCCAGCGACAGCCACTTAGGAAGATGTTTTCTGTTGGCCACGCCCTTTGAACCCCGTCGGCCAACTTGGCTTTCGACATGCCTCGGACAAACCGGAAGCATTTGGCAGGTAAACCACGTCGCCTCGGCGCACTTTTGAGAGGGATGCCCCAGATCGCTTGGCGACCCGTGTGCTTGATTTAGAGGGCTGGGCATCTTGTGGCTTCAGCTTGGCGCATATCCGCTCAAGATTGGACGAGCGCCGCCGCAGGCCACCGAAGCTGATATTTCAACCATAGCAGACTTCAATGTTACTTGCGACTTGAGCAAGCAACTCCGGAGAGGGTAGTATCGATATGGAATTGCCGCCTCCACAAGGCTTGGCGATTGAGCGGAGGCGTCAGCTAGACCACGCAAAAGGTCCTGACTGGTGCTAACGGAGACGAGGTGACACTGCCCATGCCGTCCTGCTGGCATGATGATTACTATTACTGGAAGTTGTCCCAAAGAAACCAATGGGAGTGAATAGTTTGCCAAGTGGCCAGTCGTTTCGGCAACCTACCAAGCGGCCTCAATCAACGCAGATTAAGGTTAATCTGGGAGCTAATGATTTATGGAGTACAAGGGGCCTTGGCTGCGAAGGCGCTGCCGTATGAGGAAAGTTCTCATGTGTGATTGCAATTCATATCACGACGAATACCACCATGCTCTACACCCAGACATATTCCGCCCATGGCTGTATCGGAGAATGAGAACGTGGTGGAGAGTATAGAAGAACGGAGATCTTTTGTCATGGCTACTGTGTGATCCCATGCATCTTCTAGGGCCTCGCCCCTTGCTTTTCCCTCTCCTTCGGGCCCATGGTTAGGTTTACAGATTATCCTCAAAGAAGGCTGTTGAGTACTCTACCGCAACTGGAGCCTTATAGCGGTCCTGCACAAACACCTATTACGGGCAAATACAGACACCGAATCTGGCCGAGCAAAAGTGCATCTAAAATAAGACGCAAGGATGGATTATAGCCCTGGTCTAGCCTGAGCCACCCCGGCTGGCTCTAGCTCTAGTCCTCTGCATGCAGGCCATGCGGGGAGCGGCTGGATGCCGGAGGATTTAAGAGCAGAAAATCACGGGTGGCTAAACCCAAAGGCAACGCCGAAACGAGGAAAATGGCGATCCGTTAGTACTGGGCAGGTACTTTTTCCTTCTCTCAAGGGCCTGCGTCCAACGTCCTTGCATACAGAGTACTACACGATCATGTTGTGAAGGAGATTTCTGTTTTATGGCTGACGCTGCCAAGCCACAAAGGTCCTGCGTTTAGGATAAACAAGGCAAGCGTTGGCTACGCTGATTTTATTTGTGGGAAAAAAGCGGAACATCGGGTCGCCGAGCAAGCGGCTGCACAATCTGATTAGCTACTCAAAATGAGGTTTGCTACGTGGATTTGATAATTACCATGATATGTCGAGAACAGAGGCATTCCCGGCGGGAGGAAAGTAGCAGAAGGCGACCAAGGTCACCTCTCAAGTCATGTCAGGGACCAGAGGCTGTACGACTCTCATGCGGAATATTACCTACTACACACATGCCAACGTTCCCCGAACCCTGAACAATAGTTCGATTTCAGCTTCTCTAGTGGGTAAGCTGTTGGCTGTACTAATGCGGTACAGATTGCCATCACAATTAGATACAGGCCAGGTATCAATCAGGTGAGCATGGTGCGAGTCTTGGCACAGATATGGACGGGTGTTGTTGGTACCGCAAGCTGCAGCGGTATCGGCCGAACGCTTCTCGCTCCACGAGCGTCAATCTGATTGTGTTTTGGACGGTGCAGGTGGCGTCTACTGCGCTGTGCGGCTATGAGCAGAAAGAATCTTCATCTCATATCAGACTCAGACACGATGAAGAAACTGTTGGCTGTGCTGCCTGGGCATTTTCCGTCTCTCGATTTTCCATTGACTCTGAGCGAGAAGTGCCAATCTTATTCGAACGGAAAATGACGCCCTATTGGATGAATTCCTCTGATTAGGATGCTGCTGCCAAATGCTAATCCAATACCCACTGCGGCTTTGCTTGACAGGGCAATATTTGTTGGGCGCAAAATCAACCGAAGCAATCATTTGTGCTGGGCATAGCTGCTGCCGTGTCGCAATACCTATCGCCAACACATCGCCTCCGTCCTAGGCTTGTACGAGTATGTCGGTACTATGGGGGCTTCTCTGTCAGAAGTGGTTGTGCGAACGAGGCTCTCTTGCAAGCGATGCGCCTTTATCGATTATAGGGCACGGCTTCAATGGTACAACGACAAAATACGACCGGAGCCACTCTGTCACAGTGAGTATCCATTGATTTTTGAGATTCCCTGTCTCACAAGCTCAAATTGGATATGCCTTTTCCCTCTTTTGCCTTGAATCTTCTACTCGTCTATAGCGTCGGCTGGAAGTTTCCGACTAGCTGGCGCTTATTTGCTGTCTAAATAGAAGCTGGCCGCTAGCAATGTGAGCTTATCCACTAGCCGAGGAACCAAAGAAGGCAAATTATAACACTGCTCGTACCAATCCTCTGCTGGAGCAGACGCACGGTGCCACTGCCTTCTCACAAAAGGGCCTTTGGCTCTGGGACTGGGCATCTCTTTCGGGGGCCTTTTGGCAAGACGCTAGATCAGCGGCCAGGCCTCAAGGCCACCAACCACGGCAACGGATACCCTGAGAGAGGCATTGGCGGATCTCTGAACCCCTGTCGCGTGCCATAACGCCTAAAGCTACAGCCACGGAAACGGAGGGCTGCTTCTGGCAGGTGTCCACACTATGTCTGAGTCTGAGGCCCAGAAGACTATCGCTGAGCATGGAGGATATCCGCTACCAACAGAGGGGCAATCGCCACATGGGATCTTTTGGAGGGCACAGGCCTTGGCATTGGCCTCTGCTTCTGCGGCTAGTACGAACAGAGACCCAATCCCCAGCTGGACAGGCGAGTCAGAGCAGCGATACCCAGTTGCCGGGGCACTTACGGAGCAATGGTCCTAGCAGTCCTAGCAGTGATACCTACTGTACTTACCAAGGTATCCCTCCCTTCAAAGACGCCCCCAGCACTCTTTGCCAGCCCGCAATGCCAGAAACCGACGCTGCCAAGAACAAACTTGCAGCCACTACCAAAGTGCCCGCGTCCAAAGCTGGACTAGGCCCCGTTGTGCCACACACAGAGGCACGAGATAGGCCGCCTCCACTCTGTCCGGCGCTATGCTCGCTGCAAAGAGTCCCTGCAGCCAACGGCGGCTCGCTGCTTCACCTTTGGATGATAGGCGGTACATCACAGAGGAGCAGTGAGACATGAGGAAGCAAGGGAAAGCAACGAGTGAGAGAGACATTTTCAAAGTGGCCACCGGGTCAGCCCACCATTGCCCCCCGCATGCAATTCAAGGTACTTGTGTTACTCAGGACTCAAGTCTCTCAGCCGCACACGGACATTGCGGTGCAATGTTACAGCGTGTAAGACTGGGGGTGATGGCGATTGAAGTGATAGATATAAGGATGGAAGATGTCCCACCTCTTGATGAACTCGCTTGTTCCTCTTCCTCCAGAGGCCATTCTGCTGTTTCTGCTTTTCAAGCTGTGTCAACACTACCACATCTTTCTGTAGTGGCAGCACATACAGCGATTCAAGATGGCCTTTGGATTTGGCAAAAGCGACGCACGCGTCGAGACTGAGGCCGTGTCCTCGGGCGTCGAAATTCTCCCTGCGGATGCAGCCAATGTCGAGGCTGATCTCCGCAACTTCAGAAAGCAGCACCGATGGGATCCCTTCCTCGACATTGATAAACTCGACAACATCGATGAGGCCCTGGCCTCGGGCAATATCGAGAAGGAGGCTGCCATTGATGAGTCTTTGATTCAGGAGGATTCACCCTATCCAGAAGTCCGCGCTTCGGTACGTCTATTCGTATTTCGCTTTGGACATTATTTGATTTTTATTTCTATTTTCTTCTTCTTCAATCCTTGCCTTCCTGTCTAACGTATTATCCTGTTTGCTTCTAGGTTCCTCCAACCGACCAAGATGTCCCAGTCAACACAATTCGTGCCTGGACCATTGGTGCCATGATGTGCACAATTGTAGCTGCTTGCAACATCCTGCTCACTCTCCGACGTGCCCCCATCGTTATTACATCCACGGTCGTGCAGTTGATATCTTACCCGTAAGTTTGCCACCGTGCAACTCCATTGCTCTGCGGCGTCATCATATGGGCTAACTGGTAGCATTACAGTATCGGTTGCTTCTGGGCCCGTGTCTTCCCCAACTGGTCATTCACCGTCTTTGGACACAAGTTCGAGCTCAACCCCGGGCCCTTCAATGTCAAGGAACACACCATCATCACCATGATGACAGCAGCCGGAACGGCTGCGTCCTATGCCATCGACATCTTGTTGGCTCAGGAAATCTTCTACCACCAAAAGCTGGGCTGGGGCTTCCAAATCCTTCTCATCCTCTCTACTCAGGCTATGGGCTTCGGTGCTGCTGGTGTTGCTCGACGATTCCTCGTCTGGCCGTCATCCATGGTGTGGCCTGCCGTGCTCATCACCACAACTGTCATGTACTCTCTGCACAACCACGCCCCCGCCGATCCGGCCACGACCAATGGCTGGACGATTGGCCGGTACAGCTTTTTCCTCATTGTTGCCGCCGGAACGTTTTTCTGGGAATGGGTTCCTCAAGTCATTGCCCAGTTCCTCCAATTCTTCATGTTCCCCGTCTGGATCAAGCCCAATTCAGTGGTGGTGAATCAAATATTCGGAGGAAATACTGGACTAGGCCTCCTCCCCATCTCGTTTGATTGGTCAATTATCTCGGGTTTCTTGCTCTCTCCTCTCCAGACCCCGGCCTTTGCCATTGCCAACGTCTCAGCTGGTATCTTCATCATGCTTCTCGGAATCATTGGTCTCGCCTATGCTGGCCCTGAGTTCTACCGCTATCTCCCTCTCAGTGCTAACCAGAACTTTGATCACTACGCTCAACCCTACAACACGAGCCGCATTCTCAACCCTGATTATACCGTCAACCTCACGGCGTACAGGGAGTACTCTCCTATCCTGCTGGGTCCCGCCTTTTCTCTGTCGTATGGCATGGGCTTTGCCGGCCTAGTTTCAACCCTCACCCATATTGCCTTGTTCTATGGCCCCGACGTCTGGCGTCGGTCTGTTGACTCTCGATCTGAGGAGCCCGATATCCACTTGAAGCTTATGCGCAAGTATAAAGAGGCTCCTGAATGGTGGTTCATTGCCGTGTTCCTGGTGTCATTTGCATTCGGTTTAGGTGCATGTTTGGGTTTTCAGACTCATTTGCCCGCGTGGGCGTATATCCTATGTATCATCATCGGCCTCTTCTTTTTCATCCCTGTTGGCATGGTTCAAGCCATCACGAATCAGCAAACCGGTCTCAACATCATTACCGAGATGATTTTCGGTTACATGCTTCCCGGCCGCCCCGTGGCCATGATGCTGTTCAAGTCTTGGGGTTACATGATGACTTTCAACGGCCTCCAGTATGTATCTGACATGAAGGTCGGCCACTACATGAAGATTCCTCCTCGTAGCATGTTTGGTGCACAGGCTTTTGCCGTGATCTGGCTCTCCATCGTTCAGATTGCTACCTACAACTTCTTGCGTGGCAACATTGAGGGCATTTGTACTCCGACCCAAGCACAGGGCCTCACTTGCCCCAATGCTCGAACTTTCTATAATGCCAGTGTCATTTGGGGTGTTATTGGCCCTAAGCTGGTGTTTGGGGCTGGGCAACTGTAAGTTTTCCATGTTTCGCCAATCTCTCCAAACTATTAGACAGTTGGATTTTTTGCTAACCAAAATCCATCAACAGATACTCCTGGACCAACTACTTCTGGCTGATTGGCTTCTTGTGTCCCTTTATTCAGTGGCTCCTTGCCCGTCGCTATCCTCGCTCTCCGCTCCGCTATGTCGTCTTCCCTGCTTTGTTTGGAGCTGCTGGAATGATTCCCCCGGCGACAACCTGGTACCTTGCCCAGTGGTGTATCATCGGTCTTGTCTTCAATTGGTGGATTAAGAGGCGCTGGCTTGGTTGGTGGAGTAAGTTTCTCCCATTTACTCTTTTTGGCTGTCCGAAAGATGTCAAACTAATCCCTTCTTCTTTTAGCTCAATACAATTATGTCTTGTCCGGCGCTCTCGATATTGGCACTGCCCTCTGCACCGTCATTATTGGTCTGGGTCTAGGTCTAGGTAATGCGGAATTTCCAGACTGGTGGGGCAACTCAGTTACCACTAATAACCTCGATTATAATGGCGCTGCTGTTTTGAGGGTTGCGCCGACCTCGGGTCCGGGTATTGGGCCTTCGACTTGGTAAAGAAGGGGGTGATGTTGAATGTGCTGTTGCATAAATCCTGGTGTGAAGAGTTGGTGGGAAAACTATGTTATGATGTGATGAATTGTCTGTTTCTCAATGTACTATTTATAGCACGTCTTTTCGATGTGCTGTCTCTGAATATACCCATTCTCATTATGAAACAAGGCGTGTGAGTGTTGTCTGTTGAAGAAGACAGCAGGCGTAAAGGTCGAGTGGGTGTTTTGAGCAGATCAAAATAAGCATTGGTTGAGTCAAAGCAGAGTACTAACATTACTCTCAATACAAAACTACCTAATTCATCTTACATGCGCTCGGCAGATTCCCTTTGAGATGCATTACGAGAATATCTTTCCTCCTTTTAATAACGAAAGAGTAGTCGCAGCATAGCTGGTGGTTGCAATAGAGTCCCACTAAGCCATTAAGCATAGCGAGATGCCAACTTTGTACAAGCGTCCTACATTAGCGTCCTATCTTCGTTTGTTGCTGAAGCCATAACCTATACTGACTAGGTATAGTAGTATCGGTTTCCTCCGGTTTGGATAGTAGGTACCTACCTTTGCAGGAATTTTCAAGTATACATGACTATGATATTCATTCATCTTAAATTGGACATGTCCCATAATTTGGCGCAACGATGATTAAATAGTGGGCGTTGGACTTGAATCGCTAAAGTGGTTGAGAATGGATATGACCAAAAGAGTCACGTCAAGCTAGGCTAGATCTCTCCCAATCTTTTCAGTAGACCTGGAACATTGCTTGGCCACTAAACTAAACGAGTTGTGTTCCACTATTTCCAAATGATAAAAAGAGACTTGTTATTACATTCTAGGAAGCATATAAGGATTAAAAAGTGGATATATAAGAAAGGCAAGAGTCTTGCTGCTAGGAACACATGTACTAATCAGCCAAAATATAGAGTTACAGTTTGTGTAATCTACAATCTCTATGAGACATCCATCATTGTAGACCATATAAATGGCCTGTCTCTTCATATTCTTCTAGCCTTCTTTACAGATCAAATATGAGCATTCATTCTTCAATGGGCCTGGTAAAGGCCAAGTGCGAACAAAAGTTGATAGAGTCAAACCCTTCAACCACATGGCAGGGACGGGACAACTCCAAGTCACACATTCACATCTCATCCCCAAGATAATATTTCGGCAGGCCTTGAAATTAGCCAAGTATTCACAGCGCCAACAGTTTCCCATTTGAATAGCAACCATTGCACCGGTATGTCATTTGCTCAGCTACCAAATGCGCCCTATGGCATTCCATGCACAACCCGATATTGTAGAAGAACCGGCCGGAAAGAGACAAGAACCACAGACTCCCATACTTTGTTTCACTTTGCTCGTCCGCTGCGTTACAGCAGACAATCTCTCCTGCCATTCGCCTCGCACCGCATCACCCAAGGGGAGGGGAAGAAAAACTCGCGTCTTTGTATCGTACTTTTGTTTTAAACATTTTGTTTTATTTTATACGGTGTGTTTAGCGAGTTCGGGCAGCGACCTTCTGCTGAGCACCCTTGGCACCCTGCTTGCTCACGTTTCGCTGGGTCTGGCCCTTGGCGGCGGTGGCAGCGCTCTTGGCCTTCTCGGCCTTCTTGACGGCCTGGGCAGCAGCCTTCTTCTCCTTGTCGGCCTTGATGGCCTCGGCGCGAGCGGCAGATCGGGCCTCGGGGCGCATGGAACGGCGCTCCTTGATGACCTCGAGGGAGGCACCAACGATGGCACGCTGGGCCTTGACGGTGCGGCGGGTGCGCTTCTTGGCAACTTCCTGCAAAGGGGGTTAGTCATCACATTGTCCAGAGTCCGTTTCTGTCTTCTTCAAATCTCCTCTCTTCTCCTGTCCGCGTTGATATATATATATGTAGACTTGGATAGTAGATATGGGGCATGGACAAAGAAATGCCCCTCGTCAATGTTCCATCATCGAGGCGGAGACAAAGAGAGAGAGGAGATTGAAGAAAGCGGTTCGGAGTTCGTAGTTGCGTCGTGCGTACCTCAGAGATACCCTTGCGGTGCTGTCGTCGGAAGAGAACGGTCCAGGCAATACGACGGGGGTTCTTGCGCTGGAGGAAAAGTGACTCCGACTTGCCGTTGACAAATCGGAACACCTTGCTGTCGCCACGGACATAGATCTTACCCTGTGAGACGAAAGCGCGGTTAGCATCCATACAGCCTGAAACAATAACTTGAATGTCTTTGTTTGTTTCTTGATTCCTCCTAATGCGACGACGGGGATTTTTTTTTTGGCTGCATCGTTCCTCCGTTCGGTATCTGCAAAATTCTTCTCTGTTCCATATCGTTGATGATCCCATCATGCCTCCAAGCCGTGCCCTTGTTCCATCTCTTTCTGTTGTATCGTCCTCCACAGCCTCATCCCCATGACGTCGCAATCGAGTATCAAAAGTGCAAAGGGAATTGCAAGGAAAGAGAGCATCAGCATACCTTGCCAGGGTAGATCCTCTGTCCGGAGAAGCTGTCTTCGTAGGTACGCATCTTGCCGCAGTGTGTGGGTTATGGGCGACAAGGTGAAATTTGGCGTGAGTTTGGCGTTGACGAAAGATGAGCAGCCGTCTGGACTGTCGCTGGATAGGGTCAATTTCACGAATTGTGTGTTTGCAATGACTAAGCGGGCCTAGGGCAGGCGTTTGTGGGCGCCAAAAAAACTCGGGTAGTGGGCTTTGGCGGGCAGTGCACGTGACTTCAGACCTGTAGTGCCTTTTTGGCGGGGAGAGGCTGCTGGCACATTGCCTGATTGCCTATTCCGGGAGTCGAGACTAGCAGCATCAGCATAATATCAACTGATCTGCAGCGCAGTTGAGCCTCAGCTCTTGCTCCCGCTTACACGCAGCTCCCCATATCCAAGCATACGCTCCCTGTTCTTTTTCTTTTACTCACAAAAATATGGTTTTATGAAACAGTAACATCTATAATCCTTTACGGGCAACAAAGGTCAAGTAAATGACGTCTCGCGCGAATCTCATCGCCCGCGCCGTCATTAGCCAATTCGAGAAGCTGCCGTCTAAGCGGAAGCCCTGTGTTCGAGACAATGGCCTCCACGAATGGGTGCCCCTGAGCGGCATTGTCGCTGAGAGAGATGGAAATTTGACTTGTCTGGCATTGGCGTAAGCTCTTTTACTCTTCCTATTCTCGTTGCTCTTTTCTGAAACTGCGAAAGTGCAGAACGGGCATGAAATGCCTCCCCGCATCGAAGCTTGTCGAGGCAAAGGGTGTGGCTATTCACGACTGGCATGCTGAAGTTTTGGCCATTCGGACGCTCAATCGTTATCTACTGGATGAGTGTCAGAGCATCGTCGATAGCAACCATAATGGCTCTGAAGCATTTCTCCAAAGGAGCCAAGACAGAAATGAAGAGTATACAACGCCCTTCCGAGTAAGGGATGATGTAAAACTTCACATGTATTGCTCCGAAGCTCCTTGTAAGCTGTTTCCACCCCTTCATTACTTCTTCGTTCCTATTTCTCAGCCTTGATACAGCATAACGATACGCCTTTTTACCAGATATAGATATATCGTATCACTAACAGAATCAATCTAGGTGGAGATGCCAGCATGGAACTCATCATGGCCGCTCAAGAAGACGACTCTCCGTGGCAGCTCCCTTCCTCTACATCAGCTGATACACAACCCATCCCCCCGGAAGCCGAAACGGCACTTCCAGGGCGAGCCTACTTCTCTCAGCTAGGCATCGTGCGTCGCAAGCCTGCTCGCGGAGACGCTCCGCCGACGCTGTCGAAATCGTGCTCCGACAAGATTGCCTTGAAGCAATGCACCTCGCTGCTCTCGTCATTGACGTCGCTGCTGGTCAATCCAGCCAACGCTTACATCGACACGCTTGTCCTACCAGAGTCCCAGTACTCTGCCGTCGCGTGTGAGCGAGCCTTTTCCGGCACGGGTCGAATGAAATCCCTTGTGGGCAAGCAATGGAGTGAGGGATATGCTTTCAGACCATTCAAAGTTGAGGCTACGACGGTGGAATTCGAGTTTTCAAAAAGGGTCGTTCAGGCTCGCTCGAGCATCATCTCGGCAAGCAATCTCGCGGCTACGTGGTCGGCTTCTGGGTTTGAGGAGACGATTTTGGGAGGTGTGCTTCAGGGGAGGAAGCAATTCGATGTGAGGGGCGCTAGCAAAACGTCCAGAAGGCAGATGTGGATTACGGCAAAACAACTGTCTGATAAGCTGTCTGCTACTGATGCCGGGGAGCATTCGGGACTTCAAGAGCACTTCTCGTCAGCGGGCAGTTACCAGGACGTCAAAGATGGGCCACTATTAGCGGAGCGGAGGCATGTCAAATCTCAAGTGCGGCAGCTTTCCCTCAAAGGGTGGGTTCAAAACCAAGGAGACTCGGGCTTTGGGATATAGATGAGCTTTTTGGAGGGACTCGGGACTTGAGGTGCAGGGGGACTACTGGCTTTGCTTTCCTGAGGATATGCGGCTCTTGGGCAACGAATTCTGCCGGCGGGAGTGCCAACGAGAGCCATGACGGGGGCACATGAGATTGAGACTTTTTGATAGCTTCCGGTTTTCTCTCTTGTGGATGCAGTTCATGTATTTTTGTACAAACCCGCCCCTTTATCTCTTGGTCGCATCCGTCACCACGCTCTTTGACGTCCGCCGCATGTCTTTTGCCCGCGCCGGGCAAGTCTTTCATCAAATGAGCACCAAGCCGACGGGTATAAAGCGTTCAAGTAATCGTTACAAAAAAAAAACCAGAAAATCATTGGCAAACTTGCAGAAATATCTGCGGAAAGGGGCGGTTTTAAGAGAGTGTACATTATTATTCCTCTCTCTCATCCCAAAGCGCAGTCTCTCAGCTCGTTTAAAACCAAGTTCTTGTCGTCTCGCAAGCTCAGAAGCGTGTCGACAAAAACAAAGAAAGACCAGGCGTGCCCACCAGCCAAAAAAAAAAAAAAAGAATCCTTTCAGCTCTTTTTTGTATCCATTTACAAAATACATGCCCTTGTTTTTTTCTCTTTTTTCTCTTCTCTTTCTTTTTCAAGATTCAGTCAAGAACCTTACTCGACCTTGCTCTCAAAGTTCTCGCCCTCAACCAGGTCGGGGATATCGTCGTCATCCTCGCCCTTCTCACCAGCCTTCTGCATGTTCTGGTAGCTCTCGGCCAGCTTGCGGAGGGAGGCCAGGGAGTCGGGGCCAAGCTGGTTCAGGATGCCGGGAACAAGCTCGGTGAGCTCCTTATCCTCACCGTTGCCGTAGATGGCGAAGGTGTTGCTCTGAACGGCGGCGTGGACTGTGAGAGGCATGTTATGTTAGTGTGTGGTCTCAGGACGCCTTGTGTCGGATTATTGTCGCATAACGGAGAAGAAAAAGCCTACCCTTGGGAGCGGCAAAGTGGATGACGTTGCCGTCGGACTTGAACATGTTGACCTCCTCGATGGCCTGGATGGGCTGAGTGTTGAGCTTCTTCAGCTGGGCCTGGAGCTTCTTGTCATCGGCGTTGGATCGGGCGGGAGCGCGCTTGGCGGGTCTTCGGGGAGTTCCCTTTCCACTGCGAGTCGCAAACCAGGTTAGTTTCTCAAGTTGTGTTCGGCAAGGCAATCCTTCAGGCAGGGCGCTGCATTCTGGATTCCCAAAGGTGGCAAGGATTTAGCTAAGAGTTGGCAACATACCCTGTGTGAGAGACAAAATGTTAGTTGGATGACAAATGGCAATCAGGACATGGCGGCAGCATGGATGAATGGCCATTCATGCGGCAAAATAATGGGATCCGAGGATAGACGTACCAGTTCGGCCTGGCTGGCCAAGCTTCTTGAGGCGCTCCTGGATGTCGGCCATGATGTGCGTGTGTGCGAAAGGCGAACTAGGGGTGGGAAATGCGGGGAGGGGTTCAAACTCGAGAGCTATAGAAAGTCGAAATCAGTGTCTGCTGCTGCTGCTGCAATCGCCGCGTCTATTTGTGTGCTGGAGGTGCGCAGAAAAAAATAGAGGCCGAGCTGGCAATTCTCTCTTTCGGGCCGGGACAAACGTACCGAGGATCTCGAGATTCGGAGGGAGGAGGAACTGGGTCGATTTTTACTGCGTCGCCGTCGGCTTCGATATTGAGCGATGATTGCAGCAAGTGTAGGTTTTGTGCGTGCCAAGACTTTTTCGCAGTGCGGATTTTCTGTTTAGCCGAGCGCTGCCGAATGGCTCTGCTGCCCTCATCCTGCAGGCCTGCAAGTCCGCCAGCCCTGGCTGAGCGGCTGCATCGTACTGTAGCGGTTAGCGGTTAGCGGTTAGCGGTCCTGCGGTACCTGCCACTAAACAACTGCCCGTGGGCACTCTCGAAGATTGACAGAACTTGGCCATGCTTTGCTTCTATATTTCTCCTTCTTCTTGTCTTTTCCATGCCGTTTGAATAGACGACATCGCAGTCTTCGAATTTTGCCTCTTGCTGCACCCAAGTTTGCGCTGCGCCGAATACCGAATACCGGAGCAGGTACCAGACTTTAGTTTAGGCATTCTGATGATGCAAAGTGGGACTGCAAGCTTGTGCCAAAGTCGTAACGTGCAGCATGGCCTTGACAGCTTTGGCTAAACTCTGTGCCGCTCAGCTTGGCTCTCGACTCGTGCCTGTTCCTGTGCGTGTATCGACTACCCTTGTAAGGACTTGGCCTTGTGAAGAGGCAATTCCCCGTTGTCCATTGGCGCAACTTTGACTTTCAATGTGGTCGTGACAATTTTGAGATGAGGCGCAAACAAAAGAAGAAGAAAAAAGGAAAAGGAAAAAAGGAAAAACGAAAGGTAGAATAAAACCAGCATTTCACGTAAAATTCCAGGAAAAAAAGCCAACGAGTCCCAGGCAATCAGTGTTTGAATAATCAGGTACTCCTCGTTGGTGCTAGTCTAGCCCATGCCATGATGCCATTGATCCCAAAAATAACCTCAAACTCTCTCTGTAATACGGAGCTGCCCTTTTATTTTGTTGCGCTTCCCGTATTGAAATCAAAGAAAAATAGTCCCACTGCGCCAGCTCAACTGTGTGTTCGTGAACAACGCTGAATAGAGAGACAGAGAGCTTTTACAACTTGGCCAGAACAGCGTCGGCACCAGAGACATCGACACCGCGCTCGGTCTCCTTTGCGGCGTAAATCACCTTGCCGTGGTCGATGGCGATGGCGTACCGGGCAGTTCGGTCGCCCATGGTCCAGCCAATAGCCTTGCTAAAGGCAAGCTCGGAATCCGAGGCGAAGATCTTTGGTTGTTTCCCCCGGCATTAGCTAATTTATCCCACCTGAAAAAAAAAAGAACCAAGCGGGGTGGAAGAAGGGAGAAGAAACAGCAAGAAGCAAGAGAGAGGAACATGCCGTGAATGAGGGGTAAAAGTAAAGCAAGGCTGTTGTAGCAAAGAACTAAGAAAAGTAAAAAAGAAAATGGATTAAAAACTCACGATAAAGTCGTCCTTGGTGTAGTTGGCCTTGCCCCAGGCAGACATGACGAAGGGGTCGTTGGAGGCAATCACAACCACTTGCTCGACACCCTTGGCCTTGAGGGCCTCGATGTTCTGGATGAAGCCGGGCAGGTGGTTGGCCTGGCATGTGGGAGTGAAGGCGCCAGGGACGGCGACGAGGACGACCTTCTTGTTCTTGAAGGCTGAAATAAACGGAAAAAGGAAAGAATTAGTATGATCTCTCAAACAGTAAATGAAGTAGACGGAATTCTTACTTTCGCTGGCATCGAACTTGGTCGGGATGCCGCAGCTGGTGATCTCCTCGCTGTCGGGCGTCAAGGGAATGTAGCCAAAGGACACATTGCCTGGGAAGTTATCTCCGACCTCAAGGACAGACATGGTGATGATTTTTGTTTTTGAATTGGATTGGATTGGATGTGATTTGCAGGTGGTGCAGTGTTGAAACGAGAAGCTGAATATGGGGGATTTGAAATTAGAGGCGATTAGTTATTGCGGATACTAATGGAAGCTGGTGGAGGCACTCGGCGGAGGAGTAGGAATGAAAGTGGGAAGGAGCAGAGGGATAAATAACCCAACTTGTTGGCGGAATATAAAACTTACCGCTTCCGAATTTTTTCTTCTAAATTTCTTTTAGAGGTAGTCTAGTGAAAAAAAAAAAAGAAAAAGAAAAAGAAATCACACAGCTGGCGAATCGGCACAGAGGAATAGAAGAAGGTGTGTATCTGCAAAGAATAAAAAAAGAGAGTCTGGTCTAGATGCTTCCTCGGCAGGCAATATATATGGCGGCAACACTATCAATTTCCATGTATGTGCATGTATACATGTAGGCATATACCTCCCTCCCTTCCCCGTTACGGGAGCTATCCGGCGAGAAAAGGACCCCAGCCAGTGATGTACTCGTGTGCTATCGTTTGGTGCGGAATTTGGGAATTTGGCATGTCATTGCGCGATGCGGAACCATCAGGCGGGGGGGAAATCCTTGATCTACTGCTGCCTCTAGGCACTAGCCTTACTACATGTGTGATGAAAGAGAGACAGTGCCCCTTACATACAGCGTGGAGTTGGTATGTAATATTCGGGGGCTGAATATTGGCCCATCCGCTCGCCACGAGAATCAAAGAGGGGCAGGACGAGAGAGCCTTGCGTTCAGACTACCGGGTGGACTTGGCCAGCCCATTAAGAGGCCATCTGTGTTGAGAATAGCACCTCGGAAGAAAAAAAGGAGGAGGCAAGAGCTGAACCTTTATATGTATGTCTGAAACAAATAAATTGAGAACGAAAAGGAAATAACAAAAAGCCACAAATGTGTTGGTTAGCACCCGTAGCAAGGTGGCACATGTATGCTTTTGCCCCTCCTACCGTACCTAGGCGAAGCTGCAGGCTGCCACACCAAAGACGAAGCCAGCCCCATGCAGGCCGCCTTTTATGCCTGCTCATCTCCATGTTCAACAAATCGCAACCACGCAAAACAGAGCAAATGCAATAGATATGCAGTTGGCCTTTACTTTTGTACGAAGCCTCTTCATTCTCATCAGAGAATTCACGCGGCGAGTGGATCTCGACTCGGAGATGGCGGGGTAGGCCTGAGTCTTGGCTGGAGGCGTGATGCCTGGCATATTTTTTCTCCCCCTCTAGAATGCCCATGCTGGCATACGCATGCATTGCTTGCATACATACATATGCCCATCTTGAAGCAAAAAGACCTGTTACGATGTCGTTTCAAGTCATGTTACCAGCTAGGCCAGGGCTGTCTTGATGGCACGCACATTTTGCGAGGCTGATGGGAACCTGGGCGATAATCCCAAACAAGCTCACTAGCCCCAAGAAATGGACACCATCTTCAATATTTCAGCTGCTTTCTTCTTGCGGCCCAAATTTGGTACGATAAACGTTCGCGGCTGAAGTGCTGATGCGGGCTATCTGGTATTACTACCTTGGTGAAAAATTGACAGCTGCTCACTAATCAAGGGAATAAGCTTGTTGCTGATGTTTCTTCCTTCTCTTTCAGCCTCAATTTCCTTTTAATCGTGACATACAGTAGCCTCATCGCGACGTGGAAAGCGGCTACTAGATCTCGGTAACAGACGGGGAAAAGCACTTCCCCAGATCTGATTGATGCTGTGTAACCAGCGCTCGTGCCTCGCCCATCTTCCAAACGGGTTACCCAGCAGTATCTACTTGCAATTTTTGGGGGCAGCCAGGGTTTGAAAAGAAATTTGTTCTATTCCAAAGCACAAGCATCGACCACCAGTACCAAGCAGTATCCCGGCTTTGGCTTGTTCCATTCGCCGAGCAGACACCGAGATACTGACGCGGATCACGCATGTCTCAAAGCAATTCCAGGTAGCAGCGCGGGTAGCCCTGCTTCCGAATTTGGTGTGGCATCTATGGCAGGAGATGTCTTAAAAGCCCCTATTCCAAAACGATCATGGTTCTTACCATGCAGTAGGTACTTTGAACCGTGCTTCGTGCTCGCTGGGACAGATTGCCAGAAGCCTGATGGCGGCTCCACGATGCTGGGGTCCCGATTGAAGGCTGGTTGCTCTAGTTCCATCTCCCAAGGTGCTAGACCAAAACTCCGTAAAATGTATGGGGTATCGAGCAACAAGGTCGGCGGATTGCAACAGCGGGGTTAGGGTACATGGATGAATAATGCCTGTACGGCCAGCTGCATTAAAGTCTCCTCTATTATCAATGATGCCATAGTGTCTCAGCTGCCTTGCGGGAGAGCAATCGTGGTGCTGCAACCACAACCCAACTGCCAGGGCAGAAAGAGGACGAAAAATGCCTGCGAGACCTCTGATACAGGCGCAGTCGCTGCTGCGTGGCGGCAGGGCGTACAGGGCACAGCTCCCAGCGAGATCGGCGATAGCGCCTGTATCGCCCATACCGCCCATACCGCTTGGAAGAGCCTCTCCTCATTGCCGAGGCTATCGCGTCTCCTCCAGAGTGCTCGCTTCTTCTGCTTCCAATGGGACAAACAGCACTTCCGGCTCAGGGGCGTCCCAGAATGCATCGACATCAGGCTGGTCCAGTGGCAGCGTCCTGGCTGTGGCCGCTGCGGCCGCTATAAGTGGCTGGGGCCTCTCGAGCTTGGTGCCTCTGCTGAGCCGAGACACAAGGGGCAAAAGCAAGAACAAAGGCCAAAGCAATCAAGACGACGACGATACTAGAGACAATGAAAGCAAAAAAGGCCGAAGAAAAGAGCATGCTTTTCTGGCAGACAATGACGATGGAGAGGTGGGATTCGCTAATCGTTCTGAAATGCAAGAGGTGAGTTGAGACCCAGGCCAAAGATACCAGGTGTTCAAAGATTCTAACAGCCCGTTTGCTCCCGACAGGCCATCTCAGATATAGTCTGGGAACTTGGGAACCAGAAGGACATAATATCCACAGACCCTGAAGACTTGCATGCTCACGGCTATTCCAGCTGGTCGACGGTCAATCCCGACGAGCTGCCCGTTGCCGTGGCGTATCCTCGCACCACGGAGCATGTTGCTACCATAGTTCGAGTCTGCCATCGCCACCGGGTCCCTGTCATCCCATTTTCAGGAGGCACCAGCTTGGAGGGCAACTTCTCGGCGCCCTATGGCGGCGTCAGCATTGATTTCGCCTACATGAACAACATCATCCAGGTCAACAAGGACGACATGGACGTGATTGTGCAGCCCAGCGTGGGATGGCGAGACTTGAACGATGAGCTCGTCAAGTTAGGCACGGGACTATTTTTCCCAGTTGATCCCGGTTCGTTCGAACAACTCCATCAATGTCGATTTTGCCAAGACCCAAGCCACTGACCTCTCTTCTTGCTGATTCATAGGTCCCACTGCCAGAATTGGGGGTATGATTGGGACCAACTGCTCCGGAACCAATGCTGTACGATATGGCACCATGAAGGATTGGGTCATCAATTTGACCGTGGTCTTGTCGGATGGACAGATTATCAAAACGCGCAGGCGACCTCGCAAGTCATCTGCAGGGTACAACCTCAACAGCCTCTTTGTCGGTTCCGAAGGAACTCTTGGCATTGTGACCGAAGGCGAGTGGCGAATTACCCAGCCCTTTTGTGTGATTTCATATTGACGTTTTTTCGATCCTCATAGCAACGCTGAAGCTCGCCGTCCTTCCGGAAGAGACGTCGGTAGCAGTTGTGACTTTCCCAAGCATTCGCCACGCCGCATCGGCCGCTGCGAGCATCATGCAAGCCGCCATTCCCATGCAGTGTCTCGAGATCATGGACGAGGTGCAAATGCGAGTCGTCAATTTGAGCAAGTTCACCGCGCCTCGAGTCTGGGTTGAAAAACCGACGCTGTTCTTGAAGTTCGCCGGCACCAAGGGCAGCGTCAAAGAGCAGATCCAGCTGGTGGAGAAGATTACGGCAAACCACAAGGGCGGCAACTTTGAATTTGCAAAAGACGAACAGGAGCAACAGTTGCTGTGGTCCGCAAGAAAAGAGTCACTATGGTCGATGCTCTCGCTGAGAAAAGAAGGCGAAGATGTTTGTGAGTTGACTCTGCATTCTCCCCTCTCTCCTCTTTGTGTAAAAGTCTACCTATCAACTACCCACCCAACTTGAAATCCATCTATCCATCTATCCTGCAGAAATTCTTACAATCAAGCTAACGTCCTATTTCAACCACAGGGAGCACTGATGTAGCCGTGCCGCTTAGTCGCCTTGCAGACATCATCGAAGTCAGTAAGAAGGAAATGGATGAACTGGGCTTATTTGCCAGCATCCTCGGCCACATTGGCGATGGAAACTTCCACGAGAGTATCATGTACAACAAGAACGACGAGAGCGAGCGGGCCAAGGTGGAGGCTTGCGTCAAGAACATGGTTCGCCTCGCCATCGAGATGGACGGCACCTGTACGGGAGAACATGGCGTTGGATGGGGAAAGAAGGAGAGCTTGCTGTGGGAAGTTGGCTCTGAGACTGTAGGAGTCATGGCCACCATCAAGAACTCGCTCGATCCACGCTGGATTCTGAACCCGGGCAAGATCATGGAGGTGCCATGGGAGCGGCAGGACGATCATTCTGCTGCCAAAGACTAAGCGAGCGTATCTCTCTTTTGTCGTCATTCGTCATTATTACGAGAAGGAGAAGGAAAGGCGGAGAGCTTGTACCAAAAAACGTAGGAAGTTGAGTAGGCAGAAGAAAGAGAAAAGAGAAGAAGGAAGGAGAGTCTGACCGCCATCTCGCAAAATGATGACGAAAGGTCCAATCATTAAGGATATAGAATATAGAAGGTGCATTCAATGGGATCGTCTAAAGTACACCGTATCGGCCCATTGGGCAACACGTAGCCGTCTACCTACCTGGTTTTGAAATAGGCAAGGTAGTTTGCCATTTTGGTAGCTGCCATGCACCGTCGGCTATGCAAGGCTGCATCACCGCGTATGCCAAAGAGAGAATTCAAGCTACAAGCTACAAGCTGCATAGACACTCGCCTCAGATTTGGGAGAAGTTGGGTTGGATGAATCCGTCTGGTACGCATCTCATCCACCAGATGAGAGATGCGAAGGGTGGGTGGTAGGGAGTAGAGAAGAGGAGAGGGACAAGTTGGATCAGGGGTGGGGGACGAAAGGAAAGCGTGAGAGGCAGAGAGAAGTGCAGGCACTTTGACCAAGTAGAGGGAAATTTGCTGAAGCAGCAGCCAAGAGGTTTTGGTTCTGGCAGGTGTCACGCCTGGTCCCATAATGCAGCTAGCCTCGTCGCCTTTGTGTTCATGTTTCCTCTCGTCCAGTCCTTGCACTTTCATCTGTTCTCCACCTCGCAGCTGCAAGAAGCCTTTCATCTGCTCGCCTTGCATTAAAGTTTTTCCTTTCTCTTTGTTTATTTCCGTCCCTTCTTGCGTGCACAACCTTTCTCTTCCTCTTTCATCCTCTCAACCCTTGTTCATCACGCAAAGACATCTAACAGGCTCGCGCTTTGGAAACAAAACAGACTGCATCTACTAGTCACACGGTATGTTTGCAACTGAATTCATTCTCATCTCCATTCAGATTCTCTATCAAATTTTCCATCAGATTCTCTAACGATTTCTCATAGAAAACCACAATCCAAGTGCCATCATGCCGCCACGTCCACAGGGAACTTCACGCCCACGGCGAGGCGGGCAACCGCCTGCTATCAACTGGAAGACCGGCGCAAGCGTTTCCGTCAAAGTGGGTGGTTTGCCGCCCAATGTCACTTCTGCAGATTTGCTGCAATGGTTTTCGGATTACGGCACCATTGTATTTTGTAATATCACATATGGCGCTGCTAGTGAGGCTCAGGCCCCAGCATCCGCTGTCATCAACTTCGAACCTGTACCCAGTACTGCCTTCTGGGAGGCTGGTTCAATCGTTGTTCAACACCCTGATTCTGCAAAGTACACCAAGGGTATCAAACTCCGCCTTTCAGCTGAATCTCGTCGCGAACGATTGTTCCAAAGTCGCGTCAATCCAGACGTACAGTACCCTACAAAAATCACGGCCAGCATCAACTCACTTGGCTTTGGTTCCATGATCGGTGCTGCCGCGATCAATGTTCGCAAATCAGTCACTTCGTCCAACACTACAGAGGACTTCATCCTTGAGCTAGATGTATTGGCAAAGCGCCTAGTCATTTACTTTCCACTTGCCGTCAAACAAGGTGATGGCCATTATCAAACCAAGCAGCTCAAACTCCTCGCCGAAGTCTCTCAATTGCAGACTGCCTTCTACATCACAGAAAAGGGACAAGAGGCCTTTATTTTACCATTTCCAATACCTCCCCAGTATTTCTGGAAATTCGATGAATTAGAGCGGGCTGCTCTTGCCTCACGTCGCACCAACTGGCGCGCTCAAGACTCCTGGAAGAGAGCCACAGACATTATGGAGGACGATACAATCCCACTGGATTTCCCCGTCTCTTCTAATCCTACTTCGTTCAGATCGGCGTATCTAGATGTCGGTCGGTGGACGGCCTTTCGTGTTGCTGTGAATGCCACGAATGGACCTGGCAAGCTGGCAGTCCAACACCTGAGATTAGCGCTGGAAGATTTGAATATCAAACTACAAATCTGTGATCGATTCCACGTTGGTAATTCCACGATGACAATGTGGGACTACCTTGACCATCACAGCGTTGAGGAAGACCAACATGCCTTGGCCAGCTTGCTGCTATCCAATACCCCCTTCGTCCACCTGGACTTTGCGGTTCGGTTTCAACTGGAAGTATGCATCACCCGCCGCGTACTCAACGAACATACGGTATCCTTGGAGTTCTTGCAAAAGCTAGCTGCTCTGCATCCACTCGATGCGAAGCACCGCCTGGAAGTTCTTGTGGATCAAGAGGAGGTTGTGCACAATCCCATGGACATATTTGCAAGGCGGACCATGGCACCCTATAGACCGGCGACAAGAATCCCGCATTACTGCGTGTTGGCGCGGAAGGCCACTGTGACCCCTACTTCTCTTCTACTGAGCTCGCCCGCCGTTGAGACCTCGAACAGGGTTCTCCGATATTTTAACCAAGCCCAAGACCGCTTTTTGAGAGTGCAGTTTGTGGATGAAGCGGAGAGCGGCCGTATGACCATGAACTCCCACAACAAAGAAGAGATATGGAAGAAGTTGCTCAGAACCCTGTACGAAGGCATCCAAATTGGCGATCGGCGATACGAATTTTTGGCTTTCGGCAGCTCACAGCTCAGACAGTCTGGAGCCTATTTCTTCTGCCCAACTGATCATATTTCATGTCAAGATATCCGTCAGTGGATGGGCCAAGTCAGTCATATCAGAATCGTGGCCAAGTACGCGGCTCGGCTGGGTCAATGTTTCTCTACAACAAGAGAGATGAAGGGCGTCCCCATCCCAGATGTGCGACCCATTGCAGATATCGAGCGAAATGGTTACTGTTTTACTGATGGAGTTGGCATGATATCCGGCTTCATGGCTCGGATGATTGTTGAAGAGCTCACCTTGGAAGTATTCAACGACCCATCTGCATTTCAATTTCGCATGGGTGGGTGCAAAGGTGTACTGGTCGTCTGGCCCCAGGCCAAGAAAAGCGAGGTGTATATCCGAGAATCCCAGGAGAAGTTCAAAGCCGACGCCAAAAACTTGGAGATTATCAAGTGCGCCAAGTATACCTCTGCTACACTCAACCGACAAACAATCACTATTCTGGAGCACCTTGGTGTGCCGAAGAAGGCTTTTATGGATATTTTGGAGAAACAGATTTCTCTCTACGAAGAAGCTGCCAAGGACAACAGAGTGGCGGTTGGCATGCTGAAAAAGTGTGTGGACGAGAACCAGTCTACCTTGGTCCTGGCTGAACTCTTGCAGGCTGGCTTCAAGACTAAGAATTGTCAGGAACCGTTTGTGGTCAACTTGCTAAATCTTTGGCGGTCTTGGTCTTTGAAATTACTCAAAGAAAAGGCTAGAATCGCCATCGAACAGAGCGCCTTTGTTCTGGGTTGTGTGGACGAGACGGGTACTTTGAGAGGCCACTCAAATGCAACCGAAGGCACCTCCGACAAAGATGTCAACAAGCTTCCCCAAATCTTTTTGCAGGTGTCTGACTCCAAAATATACGACACAACCAAAGTGATCAAGGGCATTTGTGTTGTCGGGCGAAATCCGTCATTGCACCCAGGCGATATTCGGGTAGTTGAGGCAGTTGATATTCCTGAGCTGCACCACCTTAAAGACGTCGTCGTCTTCCCCTCAACAGGAGATCGTCCGGTCCCCAACATGCTATCTGGCGGAGACCTTGATGGGGATGATTTCTTCGTCATTTGGGAACCCAGCCTGATTCCTGAGAAGTGGAATCACCCGGCCATGAATTATTCTAGCCCACCGCCGCCGAAGCTTGATCGGGATGTCAACGTTAACGATTTACGAGACTTCTTTGTAAATTACATGAAGAATGACGTGCTTCCGCTCATCGCAACGGCTCACTTGGCGTTGGCCGACCGGTTTGACCCTGCATCACCCATTTGTAAGTAGAGGAAACATGTGTTGAGACTTCTGTCCCCCCCCCCCCCCCCCCCCTTCTTTTTATTTTCCTTCTTCTTCTTCTTCTTTTGTGCATACTAATGGATTCGATAATTTGTAGGCCTGAGACTGGCTGAGCTTCACTCCAAAGCGGTCGACTATCCAAAGACTGGCGACCCCGCGGAGTTCAATCACGATATGTACAACCCTCAGAGTTGGCCGCATTTCATGGAGAAGCAGCAAAGATATAAATCGGCCAGAGCCCTGGGAGCAATATATGATAGGGTGATCAAGCAGACTATCGAATTCCGACCTGACTGGGAAAACGCTTTTGATAAGCGAATCCTCAACCGATATCAGCTTGATACTGGAATGCTCAAGAGCGCCAGGCAGATCAAAGGCCAGTATGACGCTGCGGTGCGTCGTATATTGTCGCACCACAATCTGGGTACCGAGTTTGAGTTGTACACGTCCTGGGCTATGACGAAGCCAGCGATCGGAAGTGACTACAAGCGACAGGAAGAACTGGGCAGGGAATTCGACGCCATCAAAGACAGATTCCGTGGCTTGTGCTTTGAAGCCGCCGGTGGTCGCGACGAGGACAAGATTGACATATTCGTGGCAGCCATGTATAAAATCACGGAACAAGAAATCGCGATTGCACTTTTTGAGCATCGTCGTGGAGCAACGAATGAGGCTAGCAATCTCATTCCAGCCCGAAAGCTCGAAACAAAGTCAATGCCTCTGATTAGCTTCCCTTGGATCTTCCCTTGGGTCATGATTCGAGTCGCATCAGATGGAAAATACGATCCAAAAGGCTCGATACTCGCTGCGGCTCATCGCGCTATGCCTGTTCCTGCGCTTTCCATTGTTCATGACGCCTCAGGAGACGCATCCGGACTCCGCGCATCCGAAGCTGTACTCCCACAGAGCGCATTGAATGATGAAGATGAAGAGATCGCAGTCGCTGCTTCAGAGGAAGAGAACAAGGAAGGAAAATTGCCACAGGGCATGGAGGCGATGTCTCTACTTGACGACTTTGACAGCTGATTTCTGGCTCAAGGTTACCTTCTCAGCTTGCCTAGTGTGCTGGTTGAGGCTTACTATGGCGTCCTCGACTTATTTTACCAAGTTTTAATTCGTTACTTGATCCTGACAGACTCCCCTCTGCTGTTTTCTCGTTTTTATTTAACAAGTTGTTCCTATTTCCTACTCTGCCACTGGCATAATTTGAACTTGACTTTACATTTCCTAACTTATCGCAATCCCGGTGATGTCACTTTCATTGATATCCAGTGATATCGTTGTCCTGCCATTGTATGCATGATCATCCCACTCTCTCGCCCCAAGAGAGACGTCCCTACAAGCTTTATGTCTGTGGACCAAAGCAATGTCCCTCCTCCCTTCATCGCCTGACACATAGATCGGTTCTGAGCACCCACTTTTCTCCTTGTTGTACTTCTCTTCCTTCGTGCTATAATTGTTTTGGCTTGTGTTTAGTATTGTTGACTGATAGGCTAGCAAACACGCAAGCAAATAATGAAGCTGACTTACCAGCAGACAATCGTCGCCATGCTTGTGCAAAAGCAACATTCCAGTTTCGAGCGACACAGCGATTTCTTCAGCCGCTGATTTGCGATCATGAGGATAAAATACTGTCTCTCCGCCAATGCATCCCTCTGCGGCAGAAGTCAGATACAAGAGGAGCGTCCAGGTCGTTTTGACAGATACAGAGTCGAGCATCAGATAGTTCGAGTCATCATCTAGGGACGGAAAAAGACCATTGTTTTTCAATTAGTAAGTGTGTTTCTCAAGGGGATCGTTTGGATGTAAAGTAACTTCGTACAGTGGCAGTCAAAGTATTGGCCTTTGGAGTAGCGGTATATGCGGATATTGGGGTTGAGACCGATCGGTTCGCCGCCCCTATACGAATGCGGAGATGGTTCAGTTCATCCATGTGCTGCTTCGTCTTGAAAATATACATTTGACTCACCAAAGGCTTTTGATCGATTCATCCTCCAGAATCAACTCTTTCAGCCCGGTAGTGTCCCACAGCCTGCGGGCAAAGTCTGGATCATTGATCTGGAATCTATCATTCACACGGACTGCTTCCCCCTTTTTCGGCTTTGAAGGGGTTGTCTGCAGTGGCAAAGTCTTGAGATATGCCACATAATCGCGGCAGAGAGAACGAGGGAAAAAAGATGAGACGAGAACAATATTTGACGTTGCGGGATGCAGCTCTGGGTATAGCTGAACAACTGGCAGAGGGGGCTTGAACATGGGCCATGACGGTGCCGCTTGAGGTGCAGCTTGGAGAGCCGAGGCCGATGACTTTGAGGATTTAGCCTTTGGCATTTGGGGCAGATGGCTTTCGGCTCAGCGTTACCGGTGAAGCTATACTGAGGGCATTCGGGGCTTGAGATGGGGAAGTGCGCAGAAGTCAGTGGATCAATGCGGATGGATGGACCAGCCGATTTACATGGAATGTGAGACGGAGCAACCGCTTTCTCGAATCAATGGATGGATTTGGACCAATATCTGGGAACAACCGAACTGGATCACAGGCGCACCGCAAATGTACTTGTTTTGTTTTGAACTTGTGCCGCCGGTTTGAGTCGAGCGTTCAATTCGGCTTGTCGCACTGTCCGCGGGCGGGTATTCGATTGATGCATACTGGAAAAGTGGTAAAGATGCACTAAAACGCGGCCATTGCTTTTATCAAAACTAACCTCGAACGCCCGCAATTCTCATCTTCATGCCAGCAAACTACTGTCCGTCGGCAATAACCAGTCTCCTGGAAATGAAAAGAAACTAGGCACACTCGCAATAATCACAAGAAGAGACAAGGCAAGCTAAAAACCTTGATATGCCCTGTTAAGCCGAAATATCCACCATGTTTCGGGCGCAACAACAAGCCATGTCTCAAGAGGGATCAGCATCGTCACCACCTCAGTCAATTCGCCGCCAACCAGACATCAATGCATACTCGGCCTCTTGGTCACGCCCTCTGAAGCAATTCGGGCTCTTTTTCCTAGGTGCTGCCTTTACCGCGGCATCTGTCGGGGTGTCTCGCCGGTCTGTGGTGCGTCGCCAGCGCGATTCTTTCCCAAAGTTTTACACATCCAACCGCCCTGGGCCCGAGGATGGCAACAATTCGGAAGGCGCTCTACTGGGAATCCACGCTTTAGGATTGGCGACACTCAACGTTTCAAGCTTTGCGGTGCTTCTAACGGGAGGGCTATCGTGGGCGTTTGATTTAAGCTCTGTTGATGAGCTGAGGACGAGGACAAAGGCTGCCCTACAGAGACCTGGGGGTGAAGTCAGTCCGGAAGACGAGAAAGAATTTGAGCAGATGATTGACAATCTGATGGCGAAGTTGGGAATGGATAAGGTCTCAAGCAAGGACGGAGATGATGGAAACCAGAAAGACTCGGGAGAGAAGTAACGGCTTGGTTTCAGAAGTTTTATCACGCAATTTTTACGCCAAGATCTTGCTATTCTATGGCAAAAGGCAGGATCAAGAAGGCGACACTCTGATATGCCAAGATGATGAGAATTCGGATATCGAGTCGATATCGCCGATCATGTACAACTACTGCATTACATGGCTTTGATGATGATTTGCACTAATTGATGAGTGCTTGGGCGTTATTTGTACAATATTGGGACAATCACAGGAAAATTTGTATGCACAGATACCATCTACTACGGCTCTTCTTGAACCTGAGAGGGTGGAAATGGCGGAGCACGAAACAACAGCTCTCTCTCTCTCCTCTCCACAATGCGAATACGAAACGAATACGCACGGCTTTACTTTCCATTTGAGGCACGGCACGGATACCAAGGCTGAAATGTGAATTTTTCCTTTTTCAATTTGGATTACCAGTTGCGACTATGGCGCATTCTATCAAATGTACCCGTTGAAACTCCATATTATACAGGCTGTGAGCATCTCTAAGTGTCTCAGCAAAACGCATATTCTTGGCGGCACTCGGCCGCAGCAGCTTGAAAGAAGAGGTGAGCAAATAAAAAGCAAAAAGAAAAGCAAAGGAAGAAAAAGGAAGAAAATTACAACAAATCCTGCTGGAGAATGCAATGCCCCCCAAAGTCTATATCATGCACGCCTGCGGCGAAAAATTCGAGCTCCTGAAAATGTGTGACAGGCTAAAAACTCTTCAAAACTGAATACCTTGTTTCTCGTCCCTCCATATTTTGTTTCTGCCGTTGACGGTCAAGAAACGTTTCACCTGTGGGCGTTTCTTTTTTCGTGTCTTTTTTTCTTTTTTTCTTTTAGTTTGTTTTTACTTATGGTTCTGTCTTCAGAGCCTTTCGCCATTCTTGGACGTCGTCAAGGCCTTCGAGGCTTCCCCTGCGGCCCCAGTTTGCGGGTTGCCTCTTGAGGAAAGCCCCCACGGCGCCTAGGTATCCCTCATGGCGCAGGAAATATGCCTGCTTCTCGCCTTTGCTCCAGAATTTGATGGCGTAGCTGAGCGTGTTCATGGTCTGACGATGTCCCCTGATAAAGGAGCCGCCAAAGTAAATGTCAGAGAGGTTGTGGATTTGGGACTGCAGATAGGCGATTTGGCCAATGTTGTTGGACACGGCATACAGCAGCGACCTCGATATGTCGGCTGAGGAAAAGGGAGAGCTGTCTTCATCCTGCCCATTGTGGCTCTCTCCGTCATGCACTGGGCCGTCGGCAGCTTTTGCTTCTGCGGCCTCGGCTTGCAGCTTCATGCGGAATACTTTACCAAAGGAAGACGCAATGGCTGTGCTCTTGAGGCCGATTTTGCCATAGTCGGCGCCATAGATGTCACCAACCATCATGTCAACCTTGGTGTTGTCGCCATATTCAGCCTCGGCCAGCATGTCGTCAAACGACCGAGCCCCCGTCAAGAGGGAGAGGAGGCCCCAGAGGGTACCACCACCGAGCGAAGTGCCGCCGACACGCTGGGACGACCGAGGGCCAGTGACCTTGAGCATTGAAACTCCGGAGCCAATGTTGACGAGCAGATATGGGTAGATGATCTCGCGGGGGCTGACGAAATGCATGGGGTCTGTTTCGGAGTAGGTGAAGACTTCGCGGGGGATTTCGGTGATGAAGAAGTCGAGGCCTGGTTCGTGGCAGAAAAAAAAAAGGTCAGTTTCCAATCGCTTTTCCCTTTTCCTCTTGGTTCTTTCTCTTACCGGCTATTAAGCATTCCATCTCGTCTTCCCGCAATACCTCAACCTCCAATGCGTCTCGGATTGTGTCATAGAATTTGTATGCGCCGCCGCCAGTAGCCATGACGCATAGCTGTTGCGACCGCGACCCGTTCAGCGCCTGGTGCTTGTCACGCAGCAGCTTCATAAACTCAATGCAGTCGTCAATGCGATCGGTCTCGAAGTATTGGAAGTTGAGGCGGCCGCCGGGATCCGTCGAGTCGACTTCGCGAGAAAAGTAGACGAGTTTGACAAGAGAGCCGCCAATCTACCCAAAGGGAAAAAAAAAAAAAGTCAGACGACCGGCGCAAAGACTGGCATTGAAAGCAAGCAACAGGAAGAGAGATGACATGAAACAATCCAAAAAGACAAGCATTGATAGTGGATGATGCAAAGACTGCGACTTACATCTACTGCGATGTGGCTGACAATGGCCGTGTGGTTTGGCAGGCGGATATCGCTCGTCTCGTGATGCGACGGACTGACTCTGCCGTTGTCGCTGCCGTTCTGCGCCGGCGTTGCGGCATCCGGGTCGACGATGAAGGCGCCCTGGACATTGATCTTGACGCTGCCGGGCCGCGTGATGGTGTTGTCAATCTCCTCGGTCGAGGTCATGGTGCGCGACCGCTTTGCTGCGCGCCTGGGCTCGTCGTCGGCATCGTCCCGGTGCTCCTGGTTGCGCCGCTGCAGTTGGTGATGGTGATGGTGGTTTGGCGGGGCTGCTGCGACAGGCTCGTCGGTCGCTACAAAGGGCGTCATTGTCGCCGTTTGTCGGGTCTTTTTTTCTCTTTCAGCTCCTCCGCCGGGCGTCTGCAAAGTGCGCTCAGGCAAGGGAGTTGAAGATGCAAATCAAATCACGCCAGGAAGATGGCGACGGACTCGTTCATTTAGGGGAATCCCGCAAACTCAAAAGTACTGAATCTACGCCGCACAAACTGGTACGCCGCAACCAGTCGAGGTCGCGCCGGTTTAGTGGTTCCAACGTTACCTGTGGTCCCTCAACAAAGTCGTCCGGTCCTTGTACCGCCTACCTGGGGGCGCACTGCTGCCGCTGCTTACAGGCAGGTACCGCTACGATAATCACTACGGGGGGTCGCACCGAGCAAGTATTCGTACTCGGCCTGTCGCATTGATTTTGATGCAGATTGCCCAAAAGCGCGGAGAGGCCCCTGTTTTTTGCGCTGGAGTTCGAGCACTTTCTCAGCGCTAAGCTCTCGCTCTCGCTAATAAACAGCGCTGTCGATGTGTCGATTACCTGGGGTAGCGGCCCCAAGACCCCGTAGCTTATCGATATTACCGGTCTGGGAAGCAAGTGGCTGCAGATTTCCGATTTCTAATAACAAGCCGTCGACTCCACTGCTGACCGAGGCAGCCCTCGGGCCGGGTTGTCCGCATTTTGCCCTGGCTGCTCTCCCTTTGCCCCGGCTATTTCTTTTTTTGTTTTGTTGTTTGTTTGTTTGTTTGCTTTGTTGCTTGTCACTTGTCATTGTTGAGCACAAGGGGTCAATACAGGCGAAATTGCCGACTTCACCACCGCTCTTACAATGCGCAATGAGCAATCCAAACTTGACGCAGATGACGTCGTGTTGTTGCATCTCCCTTGGCCCATGCATGCGATTGGGTTGCCACACGCCGGGGTCATGCACGCAATTTACAGTACACAGACACAGAAAGAGCAGCAATGCCTTGGTACTACGGAGCACTTGACGCACAAGAAGAAACAAAGAAAAAGAGAATAAGAGGAGAGAAGAGAAGTCAGACAGGCTGGTATGTATTACGCGCATAAGCATCATCCGGTCTCATCGCACGTCCCTCAAGTCTGCCTTTACGGGACACCAAAGTGTGAGAAGGAAAGAGGGACAGGAATATATACGACATGGAAACAAAAAAAAAATCAACAGCTCTGTCTGCAGCTCTGTCGCATCGACTTCGCCGGGCGAACGGCGCGCTCCCCCGAATCTGGCCACAATCGCCGGCTGGAACCGGCAGAGCGGAGCCCCGATATGGGACCCTCCCGCAGATGTCTGATGCTCCCTTGTCACCCCAGCTTCCCCTCACGGAGTCCTAGATTCGGGGCGCCGAGGGGCTCTGCTCTCTGTTTCTGTTTCTGGTAGCTGGGACTATGGCTCTGGACCCCGCGCTTTGCCAGAGGGCCGCTGGTTATGCGGCCTAGAGGTATTACCTAGGCATCTTATATCCATCAGTCGCTGTGAGTGGCTTCCATGCTGCAAGCTGGCCGAATAGGCGAATATCGCCAGTTAGTGTGCTCTAGCACCACCTATTTTCATAAAACTACTCAGCATCATAAACCTACTCACCTACTAAGAATATTTGAATTCTAATTCAAACAGCTGGCCATCTCAGCCGTCTTCTGGAGTATTTCCAAGTGGCCTGCTGTTTGTTAGGCAACGTGGGAGTCATGCCATATCATTGGTAGTTGTGCCATAACGTCCTCGAATTCTGGAATCACCGATAAGCCTGGTCACGTCAATGGACTTTCAATCTAGCCTCAGTCATGGAATTGTCTGATAAGCGCTTGGATTCCGGCGCCAGACTGCCTTGTCGGCTATCGCACATAGCTCAACACCACTGGGTGATTAGACCTAAGGATTTCTCAAGGCTCTCATTCGTCTACTGTTGTGATGGAAAATGCGGCTGCTCAGCTGACCATGACACGATTGGACTGGCTGGGTGTTATTCCAAATCCATCGCAGCTGATAGGCTGCCTGCCATAAATGACAAGATGCGGAGATTGGTGATGAGAGGTGAGCTCCTAACAGCGGTAACAAGAGGCCAACCCACACATCTTTACCGCCTCACATCCATCGCATCCCGGCAGTCGGGCGTCCAGGCAGTGCCCGAGGAATGAAGCCCAGGCTTCCTAATCAACATGAGCGTATGCCGGCGCTTTGTTCCGGACCTTTGAGTGGATATGCCGGCGGCCGACGAAGAGTTGTGGGTGCTTTGACTCGGATCGAGGACGGGGAGACGGTCAAGACGACCTATACAGCTCAGTAGCCATTTCGACATTTTTACTCACTATTAACGCGGCTGAATTACGACAAGACAAAGATATGGAACTCTCCAACCGATGGCGAGCTCCCCAGAGTATCTTCCCAGTCGACATGTGTGTTCCAATCTGCAGCCACCTATGCATGCAGGTGTTGTTGTGCCGCAATCCTGTGCTTGATGGGCTCTAAACGACTTTATCAAGCCCACTCACCTGCAAGCCTCCTGCAAGCCACTAGTTGGGACATTTTGTGTCACCCAATCGGCTTCGTCCGCTTAACAGCGCCGGCTCATCAAGCGTGTGAGATGGCGGGTGAGCGAAACACTGGTCGTCCAAGTTTTAGCATCTTGGTGGCGCGGCACAGAGAGCTACTGCTTCATCTCTGGTGTTGCGAGTCGTTAGCACGAAGCTGAACAAGACCGGCTTCTAGACCACGCAATCGGGAAGCGAAGAGGGCTCGTGACGCGAATTGGGTGAGCATTGTTGTTGTCGATGAAACCGCCACACAAGGGAATGGTGCATGTGACGTCTCTGTTGTGTGCGCTCTCTTGGCTCTTTTCAAGAATCAAGAGAATCCAGAGTGAGAAAGAGAGTGAGAAAAAAAAAGAAAAAAAAAAAAAATTGAGGCTGAGCGAGTACATCGAATCAAAAGTCAAAAGCCAACATGATGGCGTTGAAAGCAAAACTCTATCGCTTCTGGTTCCTGGTCCCTCTCGCCAAACCTTAGTTTGACGCAAGCTCTGTCATGGCTATGATCGGTTCAAAAAGCAACAAAATCTTAAACAGGATGCTTTTGGCGAGATTATGCTGGCGAGCTAGGCCAACTCAAACATTTTCCTTTTGCCTCTCTTCTGGTTGGGCCATCAATATTTCATCATACACTGGAGCTCCCTACTGTATACGGCGCAGTATTACCTCACGCTCGCATACAAAATGCGGATTTCCGGTGGTGGTGTGCACCAAGACTCAAGTACTTGTACGTACCTCACCTGTGGCGAGCTCCTTCTTCGCAGGCCAATCTTTCTTCTCTCTTCTCTCCTCTTTACTCCTTCCTTCGCTTACCACAAGCTGCAGATACAAGGTTCATTAAATTTTTCAACGCTCCACATCGCCAGATGTCAATTTCTTCTCCATTCTTCTCTTCGCTAGCCTTCAACCCAATCATGAGCCTTGTCTGCCTCTCCAGTGCTACTCACAACACGCCGTTGCTGATTGCTATCGCTCTGCGAGCTCGGCACTAAGAATGCAGCCCCTCACCCACTGCAAGCTAAACTGCCAACCCCGCCAATAGCTCTCTTGCACAACTGCCGTCCCCTGTCCATTACACACATACTGCTCCCACAAACTGCTTCGTCTTCCAGGTCCTCCCATGGAGCCCGGGCTGTCTTGCAGCTAAGAAACGGCTGCTCTCAACAAGAGGCACCTCTCAATGCTCCAATGAGCGAGCACATCGCCCCCCAATGGCTTGACTTCAAGGAGAGCAGCGCCACAAAGCAACACGCTACGAACAATCGTTCCTGCAACCCAACCCCGTCCAGTCATCCAACGGCAGACAGACTAAAAGCCAATTGACTGTGGGAAGGCTGCTTCATATATCTGCCTTTTCTTTCCCGTGATCCACCTCACAAGTCTATTGACCAGGGCAACCCGGGCGAGCCGCTGCCCCTCTCCAGCAACAAGTGCTGGGATGGCACCGGGCTTCGTCCCCTCTTTACGTGAAGATTCAGGTAAGAAATGCGCCTTGCATACCGAGCTAGCACATACTAACGTATCGCCAAAGAGCATGTATAGGGCTGTGACGATGACGATGCGAAAATGGCGTTGGCCACACGGCAGTGTCGGTATATGAACCATGTCCATCGTCTCCAGTGTCGGCCGTTGCCGTTGCCAGGAGGAGCCTCTTATATATGCCTTGCCTGATGCCCCTCCATGTGGCACACCTCTCTTATGATTCCAGCTTAATCCACCGTCAATCCTTTTATCCACTCGAGCATCTTCATTTATTTGCAAATATGTCAATTACCATGGATCGTATACGAGAGATCGTCTTTACTCAAGTGGATAAAAAGCCCAAGGTCAAGAAAACGACTCTTGTATCAAGATGTCTCTGTTCAAGTATTGCTGCTTTTTGGGCACATGTCAGTCTTTTCTTTGATATCTATCTTCCACCTCATCTTTTCCTTCTTCTTTCGTTGTCTATTTGTTCCTATTTACAGATACTAATTTCCGCCACAGGCTCAAATGCTCGCCCAAACAGACAAGTCGTGGATCTATGTAGCCAACATGCCACCGTTTCGCGTTACAAAGCTCTCGCGAGACACCAAGAGGCTGTTTAGAGAATACAAAATACACAAAAAAGTTGACACGATATTCAAGGCAATGTCCAAGGAGTTGACCATATGCGGTCTCGACATTGATCTTCCCTTTGTTCCTGAATGCTCAGGGTTCTATCCCAATATCTCGTCGTCGCCGTGCTCTGAAACCCTCAAGCACCTCAAAGGTTTTCCAGCCGACGCAAGCGGATATTTCATGGAGTACATCCGTCCCTTGAATGAGCATCATACCAAATATCTCATCAAACGTTATTTGACCCGTAGCGCGCAGTGCCAGGCTCTCAGCACCGGTCAATCCAAACACTTTCTCGCAAAGGTCTACCTCGGAGACACTAAGCCGCTGTCTGATGCTTGGAATACTAATATGCACGATCGCCCAGCCTATCTGGATCACTTGCTCGCAGAGCGCGTCGAAGTTTCTTATCTCGCCGCCTCCATGGGTGCAACTCTCGCAATACTTCATTGGAGTTGCGGTGTTGACGCTCGAGGCGTGGAGTTTGTCCTTGGGAGAGATGCCCGAGGCCACGTGCAGTTCTGGCTGATTGATTTTGCTGACTGCGCGGCGTTTCCAAAAACCCCCGAAGCTGTTACCACACAGCTTGTAGATGCAGTGATGGACAACGAGCCATTCTGGCCTCGGTTTATTAACATCCAAGCGTTGAGAGAACTGTGGGCGCATTTCAGAGACGCCTATCTTGCAATTAGCGATTTCATCATGACTGATGCGATGATTGCTTACGATAACGATGCTGTGAGGGCACTACCATGTTTATTCATGATGGAGTTGGAAAAAATACGAGGTTCTGGCCAGCTTTTGGCATAATTAACGTCGGGCATGCAGCATTGCGCAATACTCAACAACTTACAGCATGACAGCAAAGTGTATTTATTAATAGCAAAAACAATTCAACCATCCCCTTTATGAAGCGACATTTACGGAGTACAACATTTACGATTTCACGGCAACAGCATGGAACAGCAAGGGACAGCAAGGAACAGCAAGGGACAACAGGTGCGGCGTTTAAATGAGCGCAATCAAAATTTTCTTTGAAAATGAGAATGGTACTATGGTACTAGAGCGAGATTATTCACGAGGTCTACGCTCGTGTGACAAAACGAGACAGCCACAACCCAAACCAGTCTATTGTTTGTGTTTTAATAACATATTAAGCAAATTCTCTAAAACAAATGTCCACCAGGAACGGCGAGAAAAATCGCCATGAAAACAAGACCAAACACAAAGCCTGCAAACAGGGCTTGATAGAATATTGTATCTTGGATTTGCCTCAAAGCAGGCTCTTGAATCCATATCTCGCGATCAAAGATTTTGCGAATCATGTTTCTCTTCTGATACTTGACCACCCATGGCTCGTCTTCGTAGCTGTTGTCAGAGCCGAATGATTCCATGCTGCGCGTCTTCATCTCCTCGGTATTCTCTTGGGCAAATAGCTCCCAGGGGCGAATATGGCGGTGATTCAGACCGTGCAATACAACGCACATGCCCTTCCACGCGGCAACCAATGTGCTTATTCCCAAGACCCAGGCAATGAGCGGGAGAACTCGGTATCCTCGGCCAGCTTTGCTGAGCGTTATGAGTATGGCGGCGACGAAGCCCGCGAGAATAAGAGCAACACCAAGACAGCGGGCAAACCAGACACGAGGGAGGTTGCCATTGCAGATCGACCAGCGAATGAAGTTGGGATGTGACTGCATTCGAAGTGCCGAGTCAACAATCTTGAAAAGAAGTCGGAAAGCAGAGGGGTGAGTGGTATAGGTCAACGCTTGAACGGCCACCTTTTGCTCCCAATCGGACAGGTTAAGCTGTCGTGAGCCGCCGTCCATAATGTAACTGGTGATTATGCGTGTCACTTCCTCGTGGAAAGGCTGGATAGTGACTATATGGGGACACAGTGGTCATCAGCAAACGCCCTACAGGTTGGGTGTGGGGGGTTGGATCATCTGAAACTTACAAGGAGCCATGGCACCGGCTGCCTGGAACGCCTCGGCAACTTGCGTGCGCGAAGTGCCGTGGGAAATGGAGAGCATGTTGTTGGCGGCATTGATTGTCGCGCCATCCCAAGCCGAATCGTTGTCCGAGATGCCATTGGCAGAACGAGGTGGCGTATTGAAGGGGTTGGACCTCTTGCTTTCGGCGTTCTTTTCAAAATCGGTTCCCTTGAAGATTGCAACGGCGGCTGCAGGCTCCTTCTTCATTTTTTCGGCTTGCTCTCTGCGAACCTTAGCCATAGCTTCGTCTTCCATTGCCTGAGTCCACTCGGGGGACAGGCTGATGTCGCTAACATTTGCCTCGCCAAAGCGTTTTTCGTAATCCTTGAACCAGAGATAGAACTGCAGGTTTTCGGCGGCGTGCTCGACATATATGAGATAGTTCATGAAGTCGCGGAGAGCCATGGGCTTCAACAAGCATTAGGAGAGTTTATCATTCGGAATAGAGGGGATTTTTGTGCTTACGGGGCAGGTTCCGCCATTGATGATTCTATCAAAGCTCAAGGCATCTGGAATACCAGAGGAAGCGCCGGAGAGCCCAGACCTGACAGACCCTTCACTCTCTTCCAAAGATTTCCGAGCCTGACGACATGTCTCGGGGTCAACCTTCTTCGGTCGCCTATAGCGAAGAAAAGAGAAGATCGGCATGATGATCGGCTATTGATTCTTTTAGCCCCGTTGACTCTTCTTCTCTCGAATGAAAAGAAAAACTGGGAAGAATTTGAGCTGCAGTCGAAGGGTGTTGGACGAGAGGCCGTTCAATCTTTATACGCTCAGCTCGATGATTCGGAGATGCACGAACAGGCATGTAGCCAGCCGCCTTGGTGTTGCCAGGAGAATATTAACGGAAGCAAGCTGCAACCAAAAGCATGCCGTTAATATTCCTTCGCGGCTGCATGCATTTCACAGCCCATGGGAGACTTGATGCAAGGAAACAAATCCCTGCCCTACACCTGCACCACACCACGCCCAGACAGCGAACGAGAAGAGGCGGCTGCCTCTCCACCTAGCGAAATTGACAAATAAAACCTGCATCATCAATCTCATTCAAGAGAGGGGAAGGCCAGTAAGGCATAGTGCCATGGTGCGCGCGTGCCCGCAGGCTTGGGCGTAATGGAGCCGTCGCCGCCACCTGCACCCCTTCGATCCATGGAAGCGTCTTTGGGACGAAGCCCGAGCCCAGACTAGCTCGCCAGGCACACAACTTCCGACGATAGCGCGCTGCTTCGGTCAATTGGTGCAAGAAAAAGACTGGGCTGTAGGCCACCCGAGGGCACGGCTAGCTGGCCCAGCGTCTTGATCGCCGGCAAATCGAGAGATCAAGGTACCCACCCAGCCCCAGCTAGGATGAACGCTGGCGCCGCGCTTCGATCACTGAGGTTCGAACCTTGCTTGCCTTGATGCCTCGTCTTTCAGCCTACTGTACTGTGCTCGATTGAACCTCTGAGCGGGCCACCGCACACGTGTGATGCGTCAAAGCTCCATCTTTCCCGTCCTTCTAGGGCCGAGACTCTGTTGGTCGCCGCAAGCATCAGTGCGCCACCGCACTAATAGTCTTGTCGTTTAACTGGAACCAACTCCATGACGGCGAGGCAGTGGCCCGTATGACGGTAACACCGACGAACAAGGACAACTTCAGCTGTGCTATGGCGAGATTTTTCACGGTCCTGCTGCTACTAGGCACCTAGCACCTAGCACGTAGTATCTGCTTCTTTCCCTATAATAGGGCAGAGAGGAAGCCGGAAAAGAATGGTGAAGGAAGAAAGAAGATGAAGGGAAAGACGTGTATACGCGTTCACGTATACGCATCTGGACGCGCACAAGAAGTTACTATCCTGCTCGCCATGACCGTGGCACCCGCAAAGATACCGAGAACAGGGACCTCGGGATATCGTAACGGAAAGCTGGGAACTCACCACCAACAGGACCTCGCTTCCTGCCGCTTCCTGCCGCTCATTGCCAACCACCGCTGCAGGTCGCCGATTCCAATATGTGCCTCTCCGCCGGTAGCATCGACAAGTTCTAGCGCCAACAGCAGACCCAAGCAAAAGGACTAGGTGTTTCAGCCTCACAACGCAAGGGGAGCTTAATCGCACCTCTAGACTTCGTGTCTGCATCTCCTTTCTTCTATCACGTCCTCGCACAGCCCCTGGCTTTGGCCTGTGCATGGGCGATCAGTGTGGTCAAAGTGATGGCATAGCCGTTCTCTCCAAATCGCCGAGGATCCAGCAGCTGCAGGTTGGGCGAATCGGATGCAAAGCCCATTAGAACGCTTCGTCTCTTTCTGGAACGCCATCTCAGCCGCTGTGTGCAACACCAGAACACTACAAATATACCTACCAATCAAAGGCAGACGGCCGCCCTACCATGAGCAAAAGAACCACTCATGGCTGTTGCGTCGAGGTCACTAGAGCTCCTGGTGCTTGTTCAGCCGCTACCGATGGATTTACTAGTGCTGGCTCTAGCAAGAGTCGGTTAAACCTGGCTTCTCGTGGCCTAGGATACACGCCGTGAAACCTATTGCTGCTACTACTACAATACGCTGTGGTATGGCAGCACGGGTAAGCATCTTCCAAATTGCATCTCCCTTGCGTCCGCCACGCCACACTAGCAGCAAAAGAAAAGAAGAAAAAAGCAACAAGTCATGCCTCCATCAGCTAGAATACCGCCAAAGGAGCACCTGCTTGTTGTAGCCGAAATGGCCGCATGCATGTCTCGAGTTCAGCTCCTAAAAAGGAAAGAAAGGAAAAAAAAAAAAAAAAAAAAAAGAGGGGGAATTAGCAGCAGTTGTTGATGGACGAAGCAATATTCTTCCACGTGAGTACGGGTACATTACTCGTGTATGAACGGGAGATCGGCTGTGTCTGGGCACCCCGGTCGAGTTGGCTTGGGCTTAATTCAAACAACTTTCCCAGCTCACTTGAGCAAAGCAGCCATGCATAACTCCCGATCTCTGGTTGGTTGGCTTGCCAGAATCTGGTTGATATTGTGTTTCATGCTGCGGGTATATCACATGTTCTTGCATCTCATGCAAAATGTTGCGCAGGGCGACCTACACTGGGTCCGGAGTACGCACGGTATAAATAGGTACGACTGAAAGAACCACATTCTTCTAGAATGGTTCAGTTGAGCGATCGCCAACTCCCCTTGGGAGAAGCTGCGGCCCAACTTCTTTGTCCTTTCACGACTCAAAGCATATTCGTTTCAGCTTGTCGCAACCAACAGGGTCAACAGCAGCCTTTGACGGAGCAGCTCCACTTGCAATGCCCTAATCCTCATCAAAGTTCGACTCGGCTGAGATAGTCACTTTTAGCTTGCGCCGGATGATCATCCCCGCAGAGAGCTCCGAGATGTGGCTGCTTACTGGGGGCACGATCGAAAGCTGGCTTGACTCCTGCTTCATGGACTGAAAATTGATGCGCGACAAAAATCAGGCTGTCTCTTGCATGGAGATGGCGTGTCATTCTGCGCCACCGCCGTAGTCGCCAATGATTTGACCCGGCGGAAAGACATTCCGTCAAGGGGCAGCTCAGCTCAAAAGTGCGGTACTAGCAGAACACCGCGCTTTCAATAGCGTACAAGTATGCAAGGAGGGGATCTCGAGTGCGCTTCACCCGCAGGTAGTGGCCATTTATTGGCAGTATCGGCGATCCATTCGAACCCCGGGATACTGAGGTGGTGGAAATCAGCCGTTGAGATGCGTGATGATTGATCATATCTCAGAAAGAGTTGCTTCCGCCACAACAGACAGGTACGAAATAGACGCTCAGCTTCCTGACTCATGACGTTGCTGCAAGGGGGATATCCCGCTTTCGCTACTGTACCCCGGCCACGACTATCCAATCTGAAGCGTCTGAGAGGGCAATGCGAGCCTAAAATATCGCGAGGTTGCATCACTGAACTGCATGATAGGTGCCAAGATGCGGCTGATAGAACGGGGGACTGAGGCCATATTCGGCTGACTGCCATTGCCCTTTTGTCTCTCCTTTTTCGCCGAGTATCAGAAAGGAACCCAGGCTCTTTTTTCTCAACCAATAGCTCGGCAAATACCGATGGTGCTCGTATCAAAAGAGGTTTCTATTGGAATCGGAGCAATAAACCTGGCAGGAGGAAGAGGGAGGTCTTTGTTGACACCGACGGTCAGTCAACAAAATAGGTGTTGAAGTGGCCATAATATGTCCTCTAGCATAATAGCTCATCACACTTGTATGTGGCTCTTAATGCAGCTCTGCATTGGGCATGTATAACCCACATACTAGCTCAAAGGCATCAACGTACAGACAAAGAGTTTGTTGCTCATCATTGGCCGGCTTGGCTGAATGGAGTAGCAAAGTACCATGAGCTTTGCAACAACAGCGACTGTTTGAGGAGCATGAAGTTCTTCGCTAGACGTAGCCTCTTATGAAAGAGACTGTCCTTTTTCGGGACCAAGCATATCTCATTGGCAGGAGGCCGTAAGCCGGTCATATCCGTTCAAGGCTCAACCAAAGAATGCGACTGGGCCCCAGCGCAGCTTTGAATGGTCCATGATATTGTTCTTTGGAGGCCAATCGGTATTCATTGCCTGGATGTACTCCATTGGCAACATGTTTGGGTGGCGCTGTTACGTGAGCTATGGGGGTAGCCGTATTGACTGCTCATGATCCATGTGCTTCCACGCTTTGTCCCGGGCAAAAGCAATCAAGAGCAAAGCAATCAAGAGCACCGGACGGCATTTGTTTCAACATGGCGAAAAGAGCTCCGGAATGCCAGTCGGAAACCTTTCACCTCGTAAGATCCGTCCGACTCTCAGTACTGCAAACCAGAATCCTGGTTCTCCTGAGGCCTGGCAACGAACAAACAATATCAAATCGAGTACTAGCCACGAAGAAGAGAATTCGGCCATATAAAGCATGGTATCAACAATAAGCGGCCGGTACAACCGACAAACTCAGCCCAGGTTCTTTACTTTTCACGTTCATTCCGTGTACCTGAGAGGCTGAGGGTGAAGCCCTATCACAGGGAGGCGCTGATTTTAGCACGATTGGAACAATAGATTTGGCCTGGCCACTTGTCGAAAAGGTATTGACAAGAAAAGGCACGCCAAATGGCCAAGCAGCACATGGCCCTATTAAAATATGATAAACCTCCTTCAGGAAGTTGAAATGTCGCCGGTGACAGCAGGTCGATTTTTCGATGGCCTATTCACCAGACACCAGAAGATCCCGATTTGCCGTAAAAGAAAAATTCGTCAAATATGACCAGTTCAAGCCTCGGGTATATATTTGTGAGGCGCCTGTCATCCATTATATCCCTATCCGAAGAAGAAGAAAAGAACAAAAGAAACGCCTGTTGCTCGCAACTTGCAAATGCCAGGCAGTGGATGTTGTCCATCAAGTTGAATATCGAAACTTGGTCACAGCAATCGTGTTGCTTTGGAGCAATTTGGCATCCGATAAACGAAGCAATTCATAAAAAGACTATCCTCAAGAGCGCTTAATCTCCCACCTGCTTTCGACGACAATACGGTTTGCTCCAGGGCGGTCCAGCGCAGAAGACGCTTTTTGAGGACTTAGGTTCGTCTCGCTTGCATTCGGACTTTGTTCCTCTGGGGCGAACACTGTTGCGGCATGGATTGTGTCTTCGCCATGGTCATATATCGAATGCAAGGCGATTGTGTCAGGACCTGGTTGTTTTTTCCGGCTGGAAAGCTTCGAGCCTGATTGCCCTGATCGCTCAGACTGGTTGTAATTGCCCAATTTGCTCGCGCCTCGCGTTTTGTTCCATCTTGAAACAAGGGGGCCCAGCATGGGTAACGACACGCAGATGATACCAAGGTTGACTTCGAGCGTCGAGAGAAAGTCCACCCACACCATGGTGCCCGTTATGTTTGCCAATTCCAGGTGTGTCAAGGTGATGATTCGAGCAACGGCGACGGCAGACACCCTGTCATATTTGCGGTTAATTTCCATGGCAGCCAGGTCAAAGAGCAGAAAACAGAAGGAGAGAATAGATGGAATGCATACAATAGACCAACCAAGAAAATCGCCGTCAACGAGAGCTTCATCTGTTTTTTCGTGTTCAGCGTCCAGATTGTGCGCAGCGGGAGGGTGAGAACAACAAAGTCGCTGATGATGTTATAGACGCCGACCGCAATGAATGCCGAGACTTGATTTCCACATTTGCCTCCTGGAATGGCAGGGTTATAACTCGCCGCAAAAGGATGGCAGAGCAGGAGGAACATGAGAATGTTCGCCAACGCCCACACGGAGATGAATGCAATCACTATCTTTGTTGCAACTCGCATGTGCTTGTTTGGGAAAACTCGGAGATAGAAAAAGAGGACGCTGAGTTTCACGGTGCTAATGCACAATGTGTATATCAGCGCATACGAGAGCGTCAACTGCAAGATGATGACAAGATTCGGTAACGTCTCGGTGATGGGACGGCCAACTCCCATAGGCGCATCTGTTCATGCTAGTCAATAATTGTGTCATCGGAAGTCGAGGCCGTTTCGGCAGAACAGAAGCCTACAAAGTCCTTGGATAACGAGCATCCCAACGCCCTGGGGCACCGAAAAGAGAATCAGATAATCATCCCACCAAAGCTTTGCGCCAGACATGAATCGGGCAAACAGTCGAAGGCCAACTATAAAGAGGGCTATAAAGACGAAGACGCAGTTGACAATCAAGTGATTTTTGACTATCGTCATTATCGGAAACGTTACCGCCTGCAGCGCCATGTTGCCGTTGCCGTTGCTGTTATCGCTGCTGCCGTACTTGCTGCTGCTGTTTTTTCTTCTTCAACCACCATCCATTTAAACACTATTCAAACTCAAAGACGGTCGAAAATTGAGTAAGCGACGTAATATAGTAGTTGAGCATTGGTCAAGAGGTTGCTCGACACAGGAAGGCGGTTAAAGCAAAGCCTCCATCCCTTGTGGGAATAAGCAGGATCGACAGCCTAGGGTCAGCCTTGGCTTACATCTCCTCCCTGCAAGGATCGAAGGAGTGTGTATAGGTGAGTACGGATCATGAGAGTACCGGGAGCAGTTGGCTGTGCTGCACCCCTTTCAACTCGGACCAGGTCCGGGCGGGGGAAGTGAAGTTTGCTGTGCTCAAGAGGGCTTCGATGCTACTACACCACGAGAGAGGTAGTAGTAGTACTCCAAGTACCAGTAACAGCACTCAAAGTTGCACTGCTACCACTCGTACAGTAAGCGGCCCTTTAGGCTGCGACTTTTTGCGTATCTGACAGCCCTCCCCGGTTCTTCATTTCTGCAACAACCGAATCCGTACAAACGCCCGTATGATTGGGTGTGGGGGGCTTTTTGTCCTTTTCCCTTCCCGCCACATGTTTGACATGCCCAGTAAAAGCGAGAAATGATGCAGATGCTTGTAAAAGCGGCAATGAAGTGCCGCCGGTTCGATTGCATAAACCGATGGCATCCCACTAGTGGCATCCGGTGAGTGGCTGTTCTTGACCACCAGCTTGAAGCAGTACAGAAATTGTGTTCTCAGCGGAGAATACCAACCGACGGGCTCTACACTCCGTACCCCGTGCTTAAACTGGGCCAGATTGGATCCCATGTATGCGGAATCCTGCTTGCGTTCTGATGTTGCAGCAGATACGGGTCCGATGCTGTATCCAGAAATACGGACAAGGATATCTTCTTCCCGTCCAACGTCGAACCAGGATCTTTGTCCGCGGCAATACTGAAATGCAACCAACTTGCCTCAAATCGGGAATTGCGTACATGTACCGTGAGCAATTTATTCGTGCGCAAAGCACGTTGCAACCCCGTTCAAATTGGCCACTCTGCAGCTCCTTGTTTCACCGTGCTGAACAGGCAAGGTTCTTAATGGACTGCTCAACCACATGCATGCAAGAGTATTCCGCATCATGAGTTAGTGACTCTGATCTCTCTCCACATAGGGCGATGGAGACTAGTGTTCGTACGAGTGCTCGAAAAGAGCACCCAACAGCCTTGGTGAATATCCCAGCTCATTTTCAAGGCCTTTGGGACACATTTTAAGAAGCGAGAGTTCCCCAGTTGAGTCCCCTGGGAGCATCAACCTTACTAGAGGTCCTTCAAACTATCAGACAACTTTCATCTCGTTTTGCAGTCGTTTGTTATCTAGAAACAAAATATGGGTTCTGCTGCAGAGAATTTCGACTACATTATTGTAGGAGGTGGCACTGCTGGCTTGACAGTCGCAAATCGTTTGAGTGAAGATGCGAGCGTCAAGGTACTAGTGATTGAGGCGGGTCAAGACCACTCTCAAAACCCGCTCGCTCTGACCCCAGGGCTTGTTGTTGGCATGTATGGCAATCCTGAGTATGATTGGAACTTCAGCTCAACACCTCAGGTGAGTGAATACGTTATAGTTCCTTGATTGTCGGTTGTTGCTGTTGTTTTTTTGACTAACGCCAAGCTTTCCAGTCTGGGCTGAACAACCGGATTATCAACCAGGCTCGCGGCAAGCAGCTGGGAGGATCATCAGCACTCAATTTCATGATGTTGCTCTATCCTCCCAAGGGCAGCCTGGACGCTTGGGGTCAGTTGGGAAACAAGGGCTGGGATTATGATTCCCTATCGCCTTACTTGCGCAAGTTCGCGACGTTTCATGCCCCCCCTCAAAGTGCCAAAGACGCCGTTGGCCTCAAGTATCACGACGATTCAGTGATTGGTGATGGACCAATCCAAGTTTCCTATGGCGAAGGCTTCGGAAAGTCAAATGCGGTCTGGATGGAGACTTTCGCTAAACTTGGCCTGGAGATGAAAGCCGACCCAAGAAACGGCAAGGCTCTGGGCGCATTCCAGCAGGGTGCCAACATTGATCCCGCCACTCATACACGAAGTTATGCAGCCAGCGCGCACTACACTCCTGAGATTGCGAGTAGGCCAAACCTGACGGTTATCACAGAGACAGTTGTCAAGAAAATTGTCTTTGATACGTCAGGAGCTGAGCCTGTTGCAACTGGTGTGCTCGTCAGGACTAAGCAGGGCACCGAGCAGACACTGAGTGGTGGTGAAATCATCCTGTCGGCGGGAGCTCTCATGTCACCCCAAATTCTTGAACTGTCTGGTGTCGGTGACAGGTCGCTTCTTGAACGCTTGAACATTCCCGTTGTCGTTGAGAACCCAAATGTCGGAGAGAATCTGCAAGATCACCCCATCTCAACCCAGGGATTTGAAGTTAATCCCGACGTTCCATCGAGTGACGTGCTCCGTGATCCAAACGTCCTCAACGCACTTATACAGATGTTTCAGGATGGGGGCAAGGGTCCCCTGGGCCAGTCGATCATTAGCGTCGCATACTCCTCCCTCGCCGATGGAGAAGGTGTCTACTCTGAAGACGCAAGGAAGGCTTTGTTCGCCTCGCACGATCAGCACGCACAGACTCGGGATGGCAAACTCCTCCGTGAGCTCCTTGAAGGACCCAACGAGCCGGCCGTGGAGTATTTCCTGTTCCCCGGACAAGTGCATACTGTGCTTGACAACCCAGCCAGCATGGCGGATTACCTCTTGCCGACGAGTCCAGAGAACTATTTGACCGTCATGACAATGCTGAACCATCCCTTTTCCCGGGGCAGTGTCCATATCACTAGCGCAGATGTTGACAAGCTTCCATCCTGGAATCCCGGCTTCAACTCGAATCCGCTTGATTTGGAAATCTCTGCCCGCCATATTCAGTTCGTGGAACTTCTCCTCCGGACATCACCGTTCAAGGACCTATTCAAACCAAACGGCGCTCGTATCCCACAGGTCAAGGGGGATACTCTCGAGAACGCTAGAGAAGTTGTCCGACAGAGTCAAGTTAGTGACTTCCATCCGGCATGTAGTTTAGCGATGAAGCCAAGAAACCAGGGCGGTGTCGTAGATGACAGGCTGCGGGTATATGGCACAAAGGGATTGAGAGTTGTTGATGCCAGTGTCTTTCCCATCCAAACCGCGGGCAACATCCAGACCATGGTCTATGTCGTTGCAGAGAAGGCTGCTGACTTGATCAAAGAGGATAGGAAGTTGAAGGCTTAAACAAGGCCAGATCTGGTACCAATTTTGACAGATAGCAATCTGACTAGTACGAAGTTTACCGAATCCTGCAGGAGTTAGTAATTAGTCATAGTGACAATGTCGGGGAATGTGGGAGAGCCAGGTATGAGCTAGTAATAGGTATTCAAGCAGAAACAATTGATTCTGGCGCTCGTGGACACTTCATGTCTTTACAACGGCAGCTTTCTTTTCTTGCGGGGACCATGTGAAGTGAAAAGGAGACATGACTTACTTTGTTCACAGCGAGTCTAATGAACTGCTGATCTCTCAAGATGGCTCTCAACCCTTTCGAATGCATGCTCTGTATCATGCAGAACAATTTCGATGCGGAAAGTACTCAGTACCTCAATTGACAATACGCCGGCGTTGAAGGTACTAATTGTAAACTACCCAGCGGGCGATAATGAAACTCTTGCAGTCCCAGGGAGTCCGCGAATGCGACGGATGGTTAGTCCTTCCTTCGGCGGAGGCCAGGGGGGGGGGGATATGCCGGCTCCCGTTCTTGTCAGCCACAGAGTATTATTTTCACTCTCTGAACGAATACAGGATCTCAGCCAGTTCAATTGACGCAATGCTTCAAAAAGGGCAGTGTTGCCCGGCTTTCCTCAGCCCAGAGTTCAAACAGATGCATTTTCAGGCCCTGGAGTAGGTATCTCTCTGAAGCCTTACAGTAGATGATCCGTGTGTGATAATGTGTATCGATGAGAACTTTCATGTCGAGGGGGCGATCGACCAGAAAAGTTTTCGATGCGGTATAGTGAACTTGAACTTCTAGCCTTTTTCAGGATAACCTTGCGGCAATTGTCAGCCGGTGAGGGTGACGCGAATGCAGCTTGCCCAAAGCAGAAAAAAACTTGTTGTCTGCATCCTGGCATATGCTGTACGACTGGTAATCTTTTTGCTCAACTTCGCAGGTGACTAGTGACAAGGCACGAAGCTAAGCCATGTGGATCTGACAGCCGTTTGATCTTCTTTCAGTATTGCCGAGAGCTTCTGTTGGTGGGGATCTCATTCCGGCGTACTAGCTCCGGCACAGAAAGAGACCAAAGACGAGAGAGGGTTAGGCGATTGTCCGCCAGTGGCTTGTTTTGTTTGATGCAGTCATATGAATTGTAGGTTGCGGAGCTGTGCTCCGTACGGAGAGTATTTCAGCTCCCGATTCAAGTAGGTATCAGACCTTCCATCGTCACATGTTTGTGTGCTGCCTCCTTGGAATTCCCCCCTATACCCTCAACACCATATATTATAGTCTATTTATCGATCGTTCGGCCGCCCGCTCGTTGCCCCACGTGGTGCTCGTTGGTCTTGCTCGCGACTCGGTTCTTATGATGCGATTCGTTTACGCTTCTTCGGCTGGTTCTTCGGCTCGTTTACGCTTCTTTGCTCGTTTACGCTTCTTTGCTCGTTTATGCTTCTTTGCTCGTTTACGCTTATTGTGCTCGTTTACGCTTCTTCGGCTCGTTTACGCTTCTTGTAGTCCGGCGCTTGCAGCTCGATTCCTCCGCCTAGCCTTGACCTCCATCCTCCCCTTCATCCCCGTATATATGTATATGTATATTATTCGACCGATCGGCCGCCCGCTCGTTGCCCCTCGAGGTGCTCGTCGTTTGGTTCTTGTGGCTCGATGCTCACGATTCGTTTCTTGATATTGGATCTTCGGATCTCGTACGCCCCTCGTGCGTGGATCGCATACGATTCTTACGGCTCGGTTCTCAGAGGTCGGTTCTCTTACATGTCTTGAAACTTGATTCGATTTGCTTCTTGTATCTTGATGCTTGTAACTCGGTACTCGAGCTCCGGTTCTTAATGATTCGATTCTTGCATTTCGGCTCTTTAATGATCGTATGCGACTTGTAGGTCGATTGTCGTAGTTCGCTTCTTGTGCTTCGATAAATTCTAGTCGTAGTTACTTCAATCGTAAAATTGGGTGCTCTCGACTTGATTTCAATCATCCTCCTGCATCGCCACCTTCACCACCATGTATGTATGTATATGTATATTATTCGATCGATCGGCCGCCCGCTCGTTGCCCCTCGAGGTGCCCGTAGTTCGGTCCTTACAGGCTCGGTGCCTACGCTTGGCCACGACTCGATTCTTGCAATTCGTCTCTTATAGGTCGGTGTAGACGGTCGGCTCTTGTGGCAGGGTTCGCATACGATTCTTGTAGCTCGGTTCTTGTGTTTCAGTTCTTGGTATGCAACTTGATTCTTGTAGCTCGGGGCAAGTACGGTCTTTATCGCTCGATTCTTTCGGTTCTTATGGCTCAGCTCTCGTAGCTTAGGGGTCGCGGTTCGATGTTCTCGACTTGAATCTTATATCTTGGTTCGTATACGGCTCTTGCAGCTCGCTGCTGACGGTTCGGTATTTTGGGACTTTGGGATTTTGTCCTTTCCTCGACTCATTTGTCAGCTCTAATATGGTTCCTGTACGGCTTCTTGTAGCTCAATGTACTCACGATTCGGACTTCTTGCCCGGTGCTTACAGCTCGATTCTGAGTGTTCGGTTCTTGTACGACTCTTACTGCTCGTGCTTGAGGCTGACTCTCGTAATGGCGTGGATCGACATTGACGACTGGATTCTTGTGTCCCAAGTCTCAACAATTCGTATGATTCGTAAATCACATCGAATTATTTGACCCAGCCACCCCTTTATCTCTCTTCGCATCTCCATCTCCGCCACCATGTATATATATATATTATTCGATCGATCGGCCGCCCGCTCGTTGCCCCTCGAGGTGCTCGTAATTCGCTTCTTATAGCTCGGTCTCTATAGGCTCGATGCCTGGGCTTGGTAGTCGTTGCTCGGGTCTTGTATCTTGGCTCTTGTGGCGCGGCTCGTATACGATTCTAGTGGCTCGACGCTCGCATCGAATTCTTGTAGCTCGATTCTCATATGTCGGTTCTCAATTGCTCGGCGTTTCCTGTTCGATTCTTGTTCGATTCTTGCAACGAGTTTCGTAGGTGATTCTTATGGCTCGGCTCTTGCGGCGCGGTGTTTGTGGTCTTACTTGTTCTCTTGCTCGGTAGCAATCTTGGTCTCGGTCTGTTGGTCTTTGCTCTCAACTTCTAGACGGCGGCGTCTATAAAAAGCGGCGATCGATCGTCAAGGCCTAATCAAAGGAAGATATGAATCAGCTCAGAACCAAAAAAAAAAAAAAAAAAAAAAAAAAAAAAAAAAAAAAGCTGAAATATTAGTCTTCTGCTCTGGAAGCCAATACCGGCATGGGTTAGATGGAACGTAATATACAAGAAGTTGGAGCGTACGAACTCATGTCGATACTTAGGTGTTCTGTTTCTTGTCTGGAATCGTCATCATTTGGCAGTGTGAAGTCAAAAGAAATTGTTTCGGGTCTTAGGAAGCTACAAATTGTGCGTTAGAATGAGTAACATGCCGATCGAAAGGACAAGGCCAACCTCGGTGCATGCATTACGGTCATATATGAAATCAGAGCTATCCTGACAGAAGCTACTAGCTGATAGGACATGCAACTACATTATGTTAGCTACTCTATTCAAGTCGAGGCAGTGGAAGACTGACCTGTGTACGAGGAATAGAGCTTGAGAACTTGAATAAATCTCGTGGTCCAAGAGAGTGTACTACTACAAGAGCGTCAGTAAAGCTGCGAGTATGTCCGGACTTACGAATAACCAATGTGGGAAAATATGTTATTCTGTTTACTTATCCCTGTCTTTTCCAAATGCCAATGGACTATCATTTCTTTGGTCCTGGTCACTTCAATGTAGCTGCTTCAATTTGGATGCTGAGCACATCGACCATCTCAGTGTCAAGGGAGAGGTAACCCAACTTCAGTGACAGACCATGAAGAGGAATGTGGCATTGTGATACATGGTGATTGGAACTTACCAAAAGCAGCTTCAATATACAAGGACTAAAGAGACAACCTCTATAAAGAGAATCGTTGTGCGTGACAGATTGCAAAATTGCTCGTCATAACAATGGTGCAGAACGCAGAGATGGTCATTATCGAGGTTGACATTCTACAAGCGACATGAATTGACAAATGGACTTACCAGTAGATGTTGAAAAGATTGGTTGGCTTTCAAGGCTGTGATTCGCCCGAAGAAGCACTGGTATGACCAACAACTAGATCTCGTGCTCATAGCGGTGAAAGGAAGAAGTCGAGACACGTTGAAGATGAAGCGAGATGCAGTTAGCAGCATAATACGAATCTTCCCTAAAATCACTAGTCAGCAGTTGCTCGTTCATTAGAATTGTTGTTGGTACTCACCTACCGAGAAAGCAAGAGTTTCATCAAGCAACCATCATTGGTTGAATGCAGTTCTCGAGACTTGGTGGTCTGGAGTTCTAGCGTCAATAAAACTAGTCACACAGCCAGTAGTTCTACCAGCCTCACGACTTACATGCAAGAGTCTGATTTGATCTTACCGCAAATGGCTTCTGAGCCTCTGAGACATTTTGATGTCTTTCCACACGGCGATGGGGACGTGCTGTGAATAGTAGGGCTTGGACAGACAGAGAATTGCACTTGCAAATCTTCAAAGAGCTGCCCAATAGCGACGGCGATAGAATCACACTAGGCATGTAATCAGTTCATCTGAATTGAATCTCTAGAATAATTAGCAAGGCACTTATCTAGTTCCACTATTCTGCTCGCACGATCAGGCGTCTGAACAATCAGCAACAAAGGCGACATGAAGTCGAAAATGTGAGGACAAGAGACAAAGAAGACAAAACAAAAGTAACAATGCAAATAGAGGTTTAAATAACGGCTCTGACGCTTGGAAGCCTCGCCATATTCGCCCATGTTTGATGGCAGCCGCGTTGACAGGCGTAGATGGAAGATGGGATATATCATGTCATGGAGTGAAGTGATGGGTTTGGAAAGAAAGTGCTGCTCAGAGTATCGACAGAATTTGCAATTCTGTGCGGCGGTCAATCACGTGTGGCAGAAAACTGCCGGCCCTCGTTCTTTTCGTTGAGGATGGTCGAGGATATCCAGGCTGCACGCATCAGGAAAGCCAATGCGGAGCTTCTGAGAAGGATTGGGGGTATCTTGAGAGTGCTGGGAACATTTTGGAACAGAACATTCATCGATGATATGCAATTTGAATGAATTGAAAGAATTTTAAGGACTGAGATGAACAAAGGGCTGCTGTTCAGGGGCAGAGGGACAGCCCCTAACTTCAGCAGAACAGCAACTAAACAGCAGGCATAGGGCTATAACTGTCACCAAAATACCACCAGACGCGAGTGTATAGGCCTATTCAATAGCCAAAAACAGCTATGAGCAATCGAGAGCCACGGCGAACCTTGCATTTTTGGTCGTAGATGCAACTGCTGTTATCCTTCAAGGGAGCGATGGATGCCATACTGTTGAAGACCAAAGCCAGTATTTTCAAATAACGATTGTGCGTATGTATAGAAAATGGACATATTACTGACAGAGGGAAAGTTTGTGGGAGACGTCGACCTATTTATATTTGATGGAGGATATGCCAGCTGTTGGCCATCAGATGTCAAAGCGAGCCGGCCGGCACAAGGACTATCCGACAACCACATTGCTTCCCGATCGACGACTTTATTAAAAACTTGCAGAATACGCCAAGCAAAGTTTCTCAAGGCCGAAAAATTCTCCAAAGCATCTGAGCTTGGGCGAAATACCATCCGTGAAAGGCGATGGGAACATCCTACCACACCACCTCTACTCGATACACACATGGCACATTGCTAGCGAATGGCTTACGGCTGGCATCTAGAGATTCAAATCAGGACATCGGAACTGTCACACGTACGGGTAATGAAAAAGCAAAGGTAATTTGCGAATACCGAACGAAATAACATAGCTAGCGTACACTCATCCATTTGTTCCATTATTACAGAAGTCTCCCACAGACTTGCGAATCTCAAAACAGTCAAGCAAATTAGCCCTCTCCAGCGAAAATAAAAGTCAGAAAGGTATCGATAGCGAACAGAGTCAAAGAAATGGTATCGAGAGCGGTCCGTAACAGAAAGAAGAAAACGTGGATTATGGACCGTCTTGGAATGAAGAACGGTATTAAGAAGGGAAAATAAGAAAGGAAAAGTCCCTGCAGCCGACAAGCGCCCAGAAGATGACCCCAAGGAGAGATTAAAAAGGAAAAGACGACTCTAGGAAATGCAGAAAACAATCTAAGCCAGTCCCCATGTTGGCCACCCACCCACCCGCATAAGCCATGGGGACGGCGAGAAAATGCAGCCGCCCAAGTGCTGTGCCCAAGGGCTCCTGGGACAATTATTTCTATCACACGTCAGTATGAACAGCGTATAGAGACACAAAGAAGAGAAAGACTTACCCACCCAAATTCATCTTCTTGTTCACTGAAAAAGAAGGAAGGTATCCTAGTCTTCCAACCGTATAAGCGTCCGGTGCGTCACGCTGCCATAGTCGACCACCTCCTGGGCCGGGCTCCAGTCCTCAGGCCTAAACTCGGCGCACTTGAAGATGGCATCAAAAGCTTTCAAGCTTGGCGGATTGCGCCTGGATCTAGAAGCAGAGGCACACGAGCGAGAAGAAGACAAAGGCCCCGCCCGTACGGGAATAGAAGACAACAAAGGTCCCGCCCTCGCAAAGGATGAAGGAAACGAAGAAGACGGAATAGGAGAAAAAATATTGGCCTCATCCTCCCGGTGAAACATCTCAACCACACATTTCGTGTCCATGTCGTCAAACATGATTCCGCAGCCGTCCTCGCTGAGGTCTGACGCAAAGGGAGCTCGCGGCTCAAACCAGACAACGCGATACCACAGCGAGTCCAGTGGGTGGTTGCCGACTTTGTCTTGCACGAAGTCGTACAGCTGACCCATGCAAAGGCCTTTGTCCGGATGATGTGCGTTGAGGATGCAGAATTCGAGCCTCTCTTGCGACTTTGGAGCACCAGGACCATTTGGCGAGAAGTCCATGGCGATAAAGTCTGGGATAGGGGGCTGCGAGACGAGCATTCTGCGCCAACTTGCGCCGGCCCGCGTGAAGCGATCTCTATCCAGAGCCATCTGGAGAGCTTCAGCCTTGTTCATGTCGGGCGTGACAGACTCGTACTTGTTGTAGCCTGTATCCAGTTTCCTCTTCAGCCTGAGCTTGTTGTGCTTGGAGGTCCATCGCTGCTCGTAGAAGGATTCAGACCGCCGCGTGTAGCCGTAGAACTTGCCGCCGACAGGGAAGAAGCTGCTGCGGAAATGCCTGACCAACAGCGAGTTCAAGACGGGATATACTTTGCCTGAATCTGAGCCCTTCTCGCGTCTCGCCTGCGGATGCGGCTCGAGCGGGCGCGTCTCGTCGGGCATGAAGAAGAGCTTCCGCTGCAAGAGAACAGATCCGTCAACGACTTCCTTCCAGTCCTTGCTCACCCGTTGGACAGAGGTGAGGAGAGTGACCTCGTCGATATGGGCAAACACTTGCTCCAGAATCTCTGTGGAGTCCAGCGCCTTTTTTCTTGCGGCCCCAGGCAGGTCTGGACGAGTCAGGGTCGGGCAGGCCACATTGATGAGAGAGCCGTCTTGAGTCAGCTTGACCAAGACGCCGAGGGGACGGACAGGGACGGACAATCTGAAGCCACCGGGGAGAGGCCGCCAGGCGGGGTAATAAATGTCAGGTTCGGGGTTGAACTTGGCGGCATTAACATGAGGATTGTGAGGGTTCAAAACAGGAACGGGATGTTTCAAGGATCGAATATAATAGGAAGACTCATTGTGGGACGGGACATAGAGAAGCAGAGGTACGGGAGGGTCAGGCCCGCCGTGGTGGTTTTCCTCGTCAACCTCATAGATTGTTTTCATCATGATGGCCGGCAGTTGGTGTTGATTAGTAGCTGCCTGAGTAGCGGCGAGTGGTGGCTTTGGCGAGCAGTCTATGACAAAGTGAATGGGCTCTATCAAGGGAGGGCAACGCTGAGAAACTCAGGCGAGAGTTGAAGAACGGAGAGAGAGAAATGAAAGAAGGAGATGGATTCAAGAGGGAGTAGACGGATGGGCAATTTGCTGGGGGGCCACCCTCTTATATAGGTGACCCTCGTCGGGGCAGGGCCTCTCTATACGCCTTCCCATCCAACTCGACCTCCTCCACACCTCTCCGCCTTTCGCTGCTGCCACCTACTGCCGCTGTGGTAGTAGGTGACCAATGGGTAAGTATTACTGCGCGCTGCTCTGTGCTACTTTCGGAATAAGCCAATGTACTTTTTGCTTTTTCCTCTTATTTCTTCTCTTAGTTTGAGACAGGAATGACCTGGTGTCGGCTGTGGGCGGAGCCATCCAATGCCAGCTACAAGCCTCCATTGGTTTGAAAAAGTAAGGCTGTATAAACGAATGGGCCTAAGCTGCTCTGCTTGTGCCGTCCTAGTCGTATTTTGTGGCTTTTTTTATTTCCTTTGACTTCTCTTGTCTTCTCTATGTCTCTGCCTATGCATACTATAGCTGCAAGCCGCCAGACTATCAGTCAGTCAAGGGAGAGAGACAGGAGCAGAAGCTGGCAGAGAAACCAGGCAGTTTGGTAGGCCCCCTTCGTCCAGAGCGGCAGTCCATCTGAAAGCATTACTCCAGTGCTATTTCGCGAGGATACACGGCCACACACCAACTTGTAATTTATTATCATCATTTTTGCCCCCCTCTGCAATACGACCTGGCGACCTGGCTGCTTGCTACTGGGCCAGAGCGACAATGGGGGCATGCAATGCCGGTTGGAATTGGCCCATTCGAGCATTGCATGAACATACAGGCGATTGCACTCCATAGATAGGTAACCGAGCGTTTTCCTCTTTTCGGGCTTTTGGGCCTAGGCTCTTGGGTTTTCGCATTCAACCCAAATCAATTGCCGTAGCGAGGCAGAGGAAGCAAGGCATGAACACGTGTCACGAGCAAAGCCCGCTGTTAATTATGCAGAAAAGGGCATATTTCTCGTTTCTGTGTAGGATTTGCAAGGAAAAAAGCAGGTGATTATTGAGAATTGATGGAACTGCAAGGCAGACGCAGACGCAGACGCAAATGCAAATGCAAATTGCGGACCGTAAATACATGCTGAGTAACTATTTGGAATGCAGCTAGATAACGCGGATGCAACTGAATATCGCTTCCTACACGAGATGCAACCAAATAGGCACATGCGTGAGAATGGGGGCAAAAAACCACTCCGGACCAGAGCTTCCATCCACCTCCAAGATACAAGGAAGCAATTTCATTGGAAAGAACTGGTACGGCACAATAGTATCTCGTCACTATCTGCTCTTCTGCTTCAATGCCCTTTTGTTCCAATGCTCCAATGCTCGTCTGACTGTCCGCAAACACTCTCTCCCACTCTTCGGACTTCAAGAAAAGAGCAAATGACACAAAGTGGGTACTTTCAGGTGCGGCTGAAGGCGTCTTGGGCTTATGCTACGACTAATACTTCAAAAATCACCTTTTTCTCTCTTGTTTGCTCTTGCTTATCAACCCCCCCCCCCTGCTTTGTTTGTCTTTTGATTTTCGTCTTTTCCCGCCTTTTTCCTTGATTTTTTTCGTTTCTTTTCTTTTTTTTTTTTGTTCATCTGCGCCTGAGACAATAGTTACGCCACCTTCAGATGAGGGGGAAATTGGGTTGTCAAAAAAAAAAAAAAGCAGGCTGGGCAGGAGAGACGTGGCAAACGCGCGTTTGCTGCTGCAATGCAGTGCTTTTGCTTTGCTGTAAGTGAAACCTGGTTGGATGATTAGTGTGCTCTCGCATCTCGTACACACGAGTAGGAAGGACACGAGAGAGAGGAAGAGAGAGAAACAAAGGATCCAGGCCTGCATGGTAGCAGTACATGCTGCACTCTGCGGCCTTTCCCACGTATATACCTGTCCAAAACATGATTCGTATCATGCAAGAAAGACAGAGAGAGAGCAAGAGAAGAGCATACAAATCATGCAATGCAGTGCCTCACACATGACTGTGGAGTAGAATTCTACCACTCAGCGCCCACAGCAGCAGGACAGCCATTGGCTCGCAAAGTTGATTAGGTGGTGCGTGGGAGCAGGATCCGGGGCAGATCGTCCCACCCCGGACACGCTCCGAGTCGCCCACTCTCGAGCCTTGTACCACATCTATTAGCCATTCGGATTGAAAATGTAATTTTGATTGTGATTGTGACTGTGAGTGCCTGAACCAATGAACAAGATGAAAAATCCCAAAGCAGTGCATTGAGGCCCAAAGCAACCCCACAGATAGACGCCAAGTCGTAATGCAGCATTAAAAACAAAAAACAAGCACAATGTCATGATACCATTCGCTCTCGCTCTCTCTTTCGCCCCAATGAAACCAAAAGCAAAATAAATCAGGCTCCCAAGCACACAATCTCTCCCTTGTCTTCCCCTCTCTTCTCCTGTTCCCCGGCCCAAGCACACACACACAGCTCATCCTCTGCTGCAAGTCTCAGGTATATGATTCGCTCCAGCTCCGGGTCTGGCTCCGGGTTCCCCTTCATTCCCTCTCTCTCTCTGTCTGTCTCTCTTTTTCGGTCTTTTTTTTTTCTTTTTTACAACAGGTCGTCGGAGCCACTAGCAACGCTCTGTTCAATAGCGTGGATAATGTCTCCCTCTGAGAAAACAGGCCCTTGTCCGTCGCATTTGGCCAACCGCTTCATGCGCTCGGCTACTTGGCTGACGTCAACAAGGCCTCGCTTGTACGAAGGGTGGGCCAGGATGAAGTCCCAGGCGGCTCCTGCGGCGAGTAGCCGGTGGCCGTCGTCAGAGGTAACAATCCGGTGTGAGGGGAACTTGTTGTTGTGGCCCTGGAGCACATTGGTGTAGAAGTCGGTAGGCGTGTATGTCATCGGTCCTGTTGTCAGAGGCTCAGGAGAGTGGGAGCCGTTATTCTGATTCATGGCTGACGTAGCCCGGAGAATCTCATTTTCGGTCGACATCCGCTGAAGGTCTCGTCGGAGTCGCTCATTTTCGGTAGCAGCTTCTTTCTGGGCGGCTTCAAGGTTGGCCAGCTTGGACTCGAGATCCTTGACATGTCTTTCTTTTCGTTCGCGGAATGCTCGTTGACTGTAAATGAAAGGCAATGTCAGTATAAGCTATAGCATAGACCCCTTCCTGATGCGAAGGGAAGGAAAAAGAATCAAATAGCGAAAATAATAGAAAAAAATCGCACAGATTCGCCGCCTATGCGGCATTGGTCTGCAAGCCTGGTTTTGCACCCACGAAGAAAAATAATGGCAAAAGAGGAAGGTAGGAGGAGGATTTAGAGTTAGCTACACGCCCCCAGAATTCATCACCCATGGAGCAGATCAATCTACTTTGGTAGTTCCGATACGACTCAAGGAGACAATTCCGGGGAACTGCAGCACGGCAAAGTAGACAAGGCAAATGGTAAGGATTTCGGGACGATGAAGCAATGCGGGGAGCACCTACGCGGCACGGTTCTGGGCTTTTCTCCTCGACTGCGCCGGAGTCAACAGATCCTCGTCTTCGCTGCCGCCGCGGCCTAAGTCGTCGGAGTTGGCCTCAATCTTGGATGCCGATGCGCCATCCAGTCGCATGCTGCCGCTGCTGCCATTGATGCTGCCATTTGTTGACGGAGACTGCGCCAAGTGGTCCGAGACGTGCTGCTGTTGGTCCTGATGCTGCTGCTGTTGCACCGCAGCTCTCGGGTGCTGGCCGAAGACGGGCGGCGACGGCGGGCTTTGGTGGAAGGCCGACTGGTGATGGCTGCCAAAGGACCCCGTGTAGTCAAAAGTATTGAAGTGGTCTGCAAAGTTGTCCTGTAGAAATCAAACAAAGTTCGATTGTGTCAGCATCAGTCAAGCTTTTACATGGCGATTAATCACACAGCCAGACGTGTGGTGATTAGTCTTCCCTCTCGTAATGCTCAAGTAAGGGAGCGCTAAGGCACACAATCTGCGCTTTCGGGAGACGAGGTGGGGGATGCTGGGGGTTCACAAAAACTTACAGGCGGGGAGGTGTTGCTGAAATCGTCCGAGCCATTTGATTGGGAGTGCGAAGGCGTCAGAGGCATAAAAGAGGCCGAGAACGCCTGATGAGGGCCGGCAAAGGGGTACTGGGCTGCGAAATCCATGGTGTTGTTCTTTCTTCTGGGGAATGATGCAGCGACGAGAATATCCAGAGTTGGGTAGGTAATAATGGAGTGGCCGCCTGGCTTTTTTTTTCCTTTTAGTCCTAGGCGTGTACGGAGTTATGTACGGATTATGGTCTTCGCCCGGAATGGGGGACGGGGGGGGGCTGAGGCGAGTTTTTGAGTTGGGCTTTGCCTTTGTCCACTCGACTCGTATATAATACCCTGGGGGCTATGGGTAGTACTGTAAGTGAGAAACTGAAAATGAGAGGGAGAGTGGGCGTTGTTTTTTCCAATTTGGCAGCTTGGGGCCTACGCTCGCGGTGTCCGGGCCCTTTCCCAATGGCACTATCACGCGAGTATCATTAATAAGACTGACAACAAGTCAGCGAGTCTCAGCCAAGCGACAATTCCCGACTCAGAATAAGAGAAAAACTCAGGAGCGAAGACGGCAGAAGGCCAGAGACAACTGCAGCTACGCTGCCTAGCGCTCCCACCGGCGAATCAGACGTCTTAGCCGGAGACTCGGCAGCTTCTTGAGGCCTGAGGGGGGGGCTTGTCATGCCGCGAAGATGCTAGCACGCATCCAGGTGAAGCCGTGGGGAGACGAGTCCCTATTTTTCCCATTGCTTAGGGATTACCGCGCGGTAGCAGCCACCTGAGACCCCCATCCATACTATCTATTGCCTCATGGGTGGGCAGCACAGTGTTTGCTGCTACCTACTGTAGGCAAATGGTCTCTCTCTCGGGCGTCGCGTTTGTGGCGCCAATGTCCAGCGCCGCCTTGGTTCCAAGTGTCCAGCGGCCAGACCGCCACTGTTTTGCGGCCTCTCTGCCTTGATTCCAAGTTTCTTCAGCCCGACCCAGCCGCTGATGCCGCTAAGAATACCAATAACGGCGACAGCTCCAGATGGCTAGGGAGCTATCGAGCGACACAAGGCGTGAGCCATGTGCTGTGTTGGCGGCGAAGAGGGGCGTGGCACAGGGGGTTCCCTAGCGCTTTGAGAGAGACACGGCCTTTGAGTACGGCAGTTGAGCCTAGCAGGGCTTTGATCCGACATAATAAGGGTTGCAGTTCTTGTGGTGCTTGCTGACTTGATGACTCGAAGCCTCTGAGACTTTTGATTTTCGAAGGTTCCTCTCTTTTCTGGAAACAGAACATGGCGGTTCTAGCTGGAAAGTCTGTTTTCTTTGCCTTGGTTCCTAGAGCAATGACATGCCACTCTGATCAAGGTTCTGGCAATGAAGAAGAAGACGACGACGATAATAGTGGCGTGAAGAGTCGGCAGAAGGACAAGGGGTGAGATGCATGAAAATCAAAAAGCCAAGATCCAAGACCAGATTCCAAACACCCAGTCATCGCCGACTGGGTCAAATCCTTCCTCCTTGCAGGTCTATGGATAGAGCCAGTGGGATAGAACCCGAGGCCATCGCTCAAGCTTACTTTTCGGGTAGTCCCAATTTCCGTACATAGGCCGCATACGAACGGGAAATACAATTTCCATCGAATCACCGTTCCCAAAACTCCTAAAACACCGCCCCTTGCGCCCTCCCAAGGTGAGCAGTAGCCTATTCGTTTATAAGTTGGCGGTTGGCGCAGGGCAGTCTCCACGTGCTGATGATCGCTGAGGGCATCGCTCACCACATGCAGCAAGCCAAAGTTCCTTGCGCCTTTGCGCCTCCAAAGGGTAAACATGCCGACTTACAGGTACGCCTCGGCTGTGCCCCCAGTGCGACTATAGCTCGTAGCAATGGTAGGAGCATCATAACAACAGTAGCGATAGAACCATAAAACAAGCTGTTGCCCTGAGATCCATCGTTCCGGACTCCGGAAACCGTAGGGCTGAAGGAAGCTTGAAGGAAGCCTTCGAGGAGGGGCCCTTGTGACTCTTCTGTGTCCTAGATCACAGTTGATTGACTGAGGAGGCAGAATGTTGGCTATTGTCAGCATTGACTAATAGTCGTCTATTCTAAGCTCCCGCACTCCGCGCAGCTGGGACAGACCAAGTCTTCAACAGAGCGGGGCCTAGCTTCTAGCAGGCAGATCAGCACCAGGAACGGCATAACATGCATCGATTGCCTGTCTGCCTTCACCAGGAAAGGCATGACATGGATCGCCCAGCCGTGTAGGGCGCCTTGTAAGGGGATAGGACTACGAGTATCCTATCGGCCTTTGCAGGGCGAGTTGAAGTTTGTAGGGGTATTCCGGCCAATACCATCCTGCATAGATTGACTTGCATGGTCGGCATCTTGACCTCTTGAAGGAAGTGGACACCGTAAGACTGCCTCGCGGTGTTGGCCAAAGCAGGCTGGTCCTACGTCGAAGCTTGGTCAAATAAGCCGAGAATCCGCGAAGCAAGAATTGTAAGAAGAGGATTGGGGGACTCACGAAGAGACAGTTTGAGCCCGTATGAAAAACATTAAGCCGTCAGTTATCAATATCAAACATCCGATATGGTGTAGTGGCTAACATCGCTCGCTCTCATTATTCGAGCGCCGAGCAGCCCTGGGTTCGATTCCCAGTATCGGAGACATTTATTTTTGCTAGATTCTCAACGTTGCTCTCTTTCGTTGCTTTTTTGCTGTTAAAATCGCGTCGATGATGTTGAACTTGTTTGTTGGAGTTGGGAAGATGGGGAAGAGGAGACATTACTGGTGTTTTGGATTACAGGGAAGGAAGGAGCTGAATCTCCGAGTGCTTGCAGGACCAAGGTCCCGCTGAAGGACTGATAGTCCAGATCCCTCCACTTAGCCGACTCCATCCCAGCTATGAATTCGAAGAGTTATAGATAGGAAATGACAATAAGCCTATATATATTTTTAGAATGCTATTCTTCTAAGCATAGGTATGTCACTCTTAATTCCGATGTATATATACCCATATAGGTACAGATGCATGAGGTGTCCCCCGGCTCTATTTGACAATGGCTTCAATGTACAGGCAGCAACTGTGGACTACTACCTCGCCGCTATTTCAGTTTCTTTATTCAGAATCTTTTTCTACTATCAATTGCTCTATCTAAAATGGCATCTAGCAAATAATAATTATCCGCAAAACGCCCAGAAAAAATCTATACAAACTCAGGCGGGTGCCCTAATATCACATAATAGCTAACTTCATGCTGAAAAGAAATGGCCATCGTCTGTCGTTCCATCTAGGCTCTCGTCCGTTTAATATTTAAATCCATCATCATATCGCGTTACAAAGTATTGGCTTTTATCCCCTTTTGGTTCTTCTCTATCGTTCCCTATTGTCGCCTCCCTCATGTCGTTATCAACGCATGAGCTATTTTCTTCTTCTTCTTTTTCTTTTATTCTTCTTCTTCTTTTCAAAAGAGGATGGCACCACATTATACAACAAACCCAAGTGGCGAATGTGCTTGGATATGCAAGTGTCTTTCCGCAACACAGTGTCTTCTCTTAGTGGCTCTTGATGCCATTGGGCTTCACGACAGCCGCCTCGTGGTGAGGGTGCTTAATAGTCAAGCACCAGATGTCGAGGTAGTCACAGATCGTAACAATGACATCCACGACAAAGCTTCCGTAGACACCGAGAGCAGTGCCGAGCATCAGGAAAACATAGGCAGTCTGGTACACACCATCGCCAAGAGAGCTGGGCCAGCCAACGCCATAGTTGTTCAGCAGGACCGGGCCAATCGAGTCGGCAACGCCAAAGCCAACCAGCACGCCCAAGATGTTCCAGTAGGGGAAGCGCATCTTGGTGAGGTGTGCGGTAATCATCTGCCCGACGCTGTACGCGTTGACGAGGCCAGCGAACAGGGCAAAGGGAATCAGGTGGTGGTGGAGGATGTTTGGCTGCAGGTAGAGGTAGGTAACGATCAGGGCCCAAACGGCGAAAAAGGGTCCAAGGCCGAGAAGGGCGCCTCGTGATCGGTCGCCGCGAGCCCGTCGCGCACGAATAACGTTGACAGACGACTCCACGGTGTTGAGCACCAGGACAATTGTTCCCTGGACCATGTACCACTCGGTGAATGTGAGGTCGTAGATGAATTGGGGAATGCCCAGCGATGCGGGAACACCAATGGCGCCCAGGGCACTCTGTTGCCAGATGTGAGCGCCTCCCATGAAGCCCGTCAGGGCAAAGACAGAGGCAACGATGAGCACGCCCTCAACGGGTCCATTGACGATGCCAAGAGTTAGGGTTTTGGTGTGGTATTCGTCCCAGGTCTGGACATAGAAGGTGAGGAGAGCTGGAGATTCCAATTAGCATTGCTAGTTTTGACTCTTCACCTCGTCTTCCATGCTTGCATGGTTCCCCATATAAGAAGCGGGTGAGACGATGGAGGGGAAGTGGGGGAGAAGCAAAAACTGAGGAGGGCCTTACAAGCAAACAAAGTAGCTACCGTCTTCCAGCCCTGGCCCATGTTCTGGGAAGCGGCGAAAATGAGCACCTCCAGAGTCGTGTTCAGGGCATCGACACCGTGATCGAAGAGTTCGCCGAGGGGTCCGGACTGTTTGGTTCGTCGACTGCAGATATCGCCTCAACATTAGCTATCTTGGTACCATTCGAGCTCCGAGCTCCTCAATTTACACAAAACAACGCGTGGAGACTTCAAAGGCATAAGAACTTACGCTTGGGCACCGTCTACAGCGTCAAAAGTCTGGTAGAGCAACAATCCAATGGCCCAGCTGTAGTACACCCAGCTGGGGCAGTCTTGATCCAGCGTGGGGTTGTACCACAACATGGTCAAGAAGTTGAGGACGACAAACGAGAATCCCGTCAAGGTGATGAGATTCGGCGCCATGCTCATTGGGAAGCAGTGGATGACAAAGTTGGTGTAGAAAGGCTTGAGGATATATTTGGACACGAGCGACCGATCCACGGCAGAGTACTTGTACTCTTTCAAGGCCGGGAGGTTGTGCTGCCGCACGTAGACCATCTTGTCCTGCTTATTCCTTCTCGCAGTGCGTGTTGATGTATTTTCCCGGTTCTCGATGCGGTCGCAATGCCTGTCGGAGCGTGTTTCGTAGGATCTCGTGTCGGTTGGGTGTCAAGATCGTATTGGCTCGGGCCAGAGAATTGGCGTTGTGTGTTTTTTTCCCACGCCAACAAAAAGATCAATCAACACAGAAGGCAAAGAACAGGCCCAGCGCCGTGAATGAGAAGAAGCGAGAGAAGAGAGAGGTTGCGCGAGGAAACGAAACAAGGGCTAGGAATGACCTCCTGTGTCCGGTAGCGTGTCCTTGTTATTAATTTCCAGGTTAATTTTTAGTATGAAGTAATGGCTGCTACCAGATCGTCGTCACGAGGAATTTTCGGCCGCACAAAAGCGAAGGACTGACATCAACCACAGCCATTTTCGCGCTAGGCCATTTTTGGAGTCCACTGGGGGTTAGCGCAGAGAGCAAGCTGGGAAGCTTACATAACAATCTGTGAATATCTGTTACGCCAGCTCCTTCGACAAATACAAGGAAGGGACAAGAAGCTGATTTGTCTAATGTAAATACACAAAATGAATAATTGCTAGCTTCAGCTAAGATATTCTACTCAGCTATTTTTTTCTACCTACTCTTATAACAGGACATATATATATTTGACTTGGGTAGGTAGCTGAAGCTTATACTGCTGATGGCCAGTTTTTAATTTTAAGTTGGTATCATGGTGATCTTTTCCGGTGAGCTTAACGGCAGTCTATAAAGAGGAAGAACGTTTCTATTCACCCAATATCATTGTCAAATTTAATAAAATTCCAGCCAATTGAAATTCGCCATTTTCAGCTGTGGCTAGTGATTCTGGTGGCTCAGCTTTTTTTTACAGCTCAAGTATCTTAGCTGAAGCTGACGCTCATCCACTTTGTGTATTCACATTAGACAAATCAGCTGCGCTGATAATACGTGACTGCTCTTGCAGCGTGCAGCAATTGATTCCCGATTAAATCGCAAAACACTCGTTACAGATAGGGAAGCACAGCCAAGTCATGCTAAATAGCAGTGAAAAACAATCGCCCTTGTAGCACGCATAACAAGGATTGAATGACTCCCCGTCATCCACTCTCTCCAATGGCGAGAATGCAATCGACTGAATACGCAACAATGAAGTTGCCAGCAGATAGAAGCTCATATAGAAGATCTTTGACAAAATATATTACAACAGGCCAATGCTGTCTGGCATGTATAGGCCTGGCAGCATGATCATCTACTACCGGGCAGTCCCTAGGTAGATTTCGCCCTCTATAGCCCCAGGGATGCCATTCACAGCTTCTCCTCCGAAAGACGTGAATCCCCTTCTCTTTCCCATCCTCCCTCCTCACGGATTGGTATTTTGATCTCCTCTTCATAGCAGCCCTTGAAATTCTTCACATCTCTCCTCCATCAGCTGAACCTCACCCCTTCTGCGCAATGTGGAAATAATCCTTTTGTTCCACAATATACCCTTCCCTCCAGCTCAGCAACGACACGCCCCTCATCACCACCTTGTCTCCCCTCACAGTTCCCAGCGCCGTCGACGGCAGTCTCGCCGTCCACTTGACGTCGCACTCCCAAACGGTCAAATCAGGCGTCCCAGTCACGCACCGGGTGACGAATTCCACATTCTCGTTGTACTCGATCAAGTCGGAATAGAATGCTCGAATCCAAGTCTTGTCTACTCCCACCAGCCCAAATACTTATTTTTTATGAAACATGGTCAGCTTGTCATCTTTGTAATAGTATATAGAAATGCATCAACTGCTTTAGCCCGCCGCTGGTCTTGCGTAAGACAAGACAGACCATAAGCAGCGCGGGGAAGGCAATTAACTCACAATGGGCCGAGAATCTGGCGTCGTCGGCATACAACTCCAGAATAGCTTCCAGATCTAGGCTGTTATAAGTCGACTCCAGTATCGCCATGACGCCAGCAGCGGCCGCCATGATGCCTCTGCCACTACCACTACGCAGAGAGGGAGAGAAAGAGGGAGAGATGCTCCTTTTTCGTTTGGGCTGTGGGTGTGTGTTTCGTACCAGTTTAGCTCCCTTGCCACAAAGCGGGAAGTCGTGGTTTCTTTATATCGTCCATGGCATGGGCACCATTCACCTCCATGATCCATGCTCATGACACAATCGCATGCGCTAGAAGCAAATATTACGCAGCAAAATACCCCATAACCCCCATTCTCAACGTACTTTTTTATTTCCCTATTTTGACACTCTGGCCCTATATCTTATCTTAGGCTCGATGCAACCGCATCACATAATCGGGCGCACCTTTGGAATCAATCAAGCTACGCAGCTCTCATTGGCCTGCTGCTGGCCAGATTTCCCCCCCAACTCCCGGGCAGCCTGGTTCACGCATCGCTCTGCAAAATGCCATGTTAGCCTTTGTCTTTGGTGAAAGGATATCACGGCTGCGTGAATGGCAATTGTGTTCATTTTTCGTTTTTCTTTCTTCTTCTTTTTTTTTTCCATCTATAGCCAAAGAAAAAAATTCAAGGCAGATGCAGCTCGCACTCAAATCGACTCAGATATAATGATGTGGCAGACTGTACATGGGAATGGCTAGAATTTAAAAGCAACACGCGCCAGTAGCCGACGTATCGGTGCATCACGATTGGCCTGTCGGCAGCTTTCCGACTCCTCCCTTAGCCCAGCAGCCATCGCCATAAATTAGAAACAAGTGGAGAGAGAATCCCAAATATCGCGACAGCTCTGTGATATATTATTACTACTAATTATTAACGTAACCGGTCTAAAAATTCTTGTTCCAGGATCTCTCTGATATGTATCTAGTTGCTAGGCTAATCAAGTCCCCGGCAGGCGCCTTTGCTCTCGTCTTTGCAAACCGATATTCTATTACTGTTCTATTCATCCAACCGTCCACCTGCCATTACCTCCTAAGCAATAAGCCGACTCTCATGTCTCCCCCTATCAGTTAAGCCATAACGATCTCCCATCTAGTGGTGTTTTTTTCTTTTTCTTTTTCTCTCCAAGTATTCTCCTTCTCGTGCTTCTCTCCTCTTCATGGTTTTGCTCGGTTAAGAACAACTTCCAAGAGTGCGAGATCACTGTAAATCTTGTTCTTAAAAGACTCCGACGGCATATCTTCCACGGATACCTCGTCATTCTCTTCAGAAGTAGAGCTGGTCTTCGAGGGGCGCCCGTCGCCAATTGCACCGTAGACATGCTTCGGCCTCGGTAGATAGGTGGGCTCAACGATAGGCTTTGGAAGTGGATAGGCGTCTCCAAGCAGGCCAGTTGCCGCGTACCATTTGATATGCAACTGTCGAGTTCGCTCTCGTATCTCAGCTTCGGTCAAGCAGGCCGGGCGTCCCATGCACTGAGGGAACATGGGCTCACAAATTGCGTCGTTGTCGTAACTAGACCGAGTTCTGAAGGGAGATGATGATGCGGTGGCCTGTGGCGGAAAAGAGTCAATCGAGTTGAAGTAGGCCTCCCTCTGAGTATTGGAATAGTATGATCCTTCTTCGTCTCCAACTCCATTATCATTGGCTTGATGGGGCCACTCAGATGGCACGCTGGAGTACTGCAGCTCATTAGCATCAAAAGGATCCGTCAAGTCGGAATACGCAGGATAGTATTGCAGATCCTCTCCAGGATGAGCTGGGTATTCAGGAACTTGGTCGAATTGGTTTTGATGAGCGGTTGGCGTGGCATCGAGAACCTTGGAAGACGACGGAGTGAATGATGGAATAAACTCTTCATCTTGTTCAATGTAATCTTTGGTAGTCGTTGGAGTCTTGGTGAGCTTGTACGGCGGGTCAAGTGGAGGATACCTATACTCTTCTTGGGCATAGGCGATGCTATCTCGAGAATCTGTCGGCATACTGTGGAACGCCTTGAACATCGAGTCGAATGTCGAAGGGCGATACTGGCGTTGGCCAGGCGGGCCCGCGGTCAATGGCTTGGGGGCACCAGCGGTTGAGGCGAGACCCATGGATGCCGACATATGGGGATCCGAGTTATCGCTGTGGATAGACGGAGTCGAAAACCGAGATGATGATGCAATGGTACTCTTGTAATCGGCATGTGCTGCAGTTTCGGATATTGCTACTCGAGCACTCTTCCAAGGCGGCCAGAAGCGAGAGGCAGCAGGGTCCGAGAAAGTACCATACGGTCGCGATCTGGCATATTCCGGAAAAAGTTCTTGAGAAAATGGTGTATCCAGTCTAGGCGGCATGCTCAATGTGCTGTTCTCTCTTGGCTTTACCCCTCGAAGAAGCACCTTTTGAGCTTTCTTTTGGTTTGGATTTGGGTACGAGGCCAGGTTCTGGAGAGATTTGACAGGCATATTCATAAGGGCACCGGTTATGATGCCGTCATCATCGTCACTGGAGTTTGCGTCGCTCGCGATGCCTTTGCCCTTAACGTCAAACGGAGCAGCGGGCGATTGAAAGCCCGTGGACCACGACATTCCGGGCACTTGATCCTGAGTGTTCACCGGGCTAACAGCGCGATCATAGTTCTGCTGCAGAGGCTCGTAGGAGATTTGCTGATCCGGGGCAGGCTGTGTCTGAGCAAGATCTTCACTCATGGAAAGTGTACGCAACGCATCAGGTGGGTGCCTAGGGAGGGGAGAATGGACGAATTTGAGGTGATCAAATTCAGATGTCGCCTTGAGCAAACGGCCACGGCGAGCAGGAGGCTGGAGCCGCTGAGAAGAGCTGGGATTGTAGATGGTCCCCGCCGTTGTATAGGTATAGGTTGTTTGCGAGGGCGTCGAGACAGGTGTCGAAGGAGATTGGAAAGGCAAAGTCGGGGCAGAAGATTCTTCATCCATGGTTGGATACAGAGTGGTTCCTGTCTTTCTTCTCAATCGGACGGTTGCGACCTGGCGAGAAAGAGTGTGGACTGCGATAAGAATGGAAAACTGCAGGAAGGTTCGTGTCAGCTATGAAGCGAGTCAAGCGAGTAAAATAAAAAGGAAAAGAATATAGAAGGAGACAGAAATGGGCCGTATACGCATCACTCGGAAAGTAACAACACCAAAAATGGGAAAGAGGAAGGGAAAATACAAGGAAAGGAGCCAGATATTACAATTCAAAGTCAAGGCCAAAGAGGACAGTCGGATCCAAGCAATGGCTAGATGAATTGATACGTCAAACGGGCACGCGCATGCCAAAAGTGGCGTCTCCAAGATGCGGCCCTTGCGATACTGAAAGTTTTCCCAAGGAATCAACAGTCGCGATCCAGGGCGGCGAAGTGAAAGAAGAAGCTGGCAGTGTGCAGAAAATAAACGAACGGGAGGCGACGATGGAGGAGAAGGAGAAAGAAAGGGTGGAGGGGATAAGGGGAAGATAACGAAGGCGGAGAGGGGCGAACAAGAAAAGTGGCAGAATTCAGATGGGAAAATTGTTGGGGCAAAATCAGTTTGGTAAGCTCCTTCCTTGCGTGTTATCGTAGGTGATAGGATAGGAAAGAAGGAAAGAAGGAAAGAGAGGGGAAAAAACGCCAATAGGGGCAAAAATGATATGACAGTCTTTGGGATGGCTTACCGTCTTAATGTCCAAGGAAACGAGATTGAGTGACCAAATAATGGTCCAAATGATGGCACAGAAGATGGTAGAAAACATCGTGAAGAAATATTAGGAAAAAAAAAAGGCTCAGGGCAATGGAAAAACGGGGAGAGGGGCGGTGGCCTCCAAACGAAAAGTGAGGCTGAAGTGAAGTGCAGCTATTAATAGTCGATAAGAGTGGCTACGTGAAGGCCACAAAGGTTATTAGCAAAGTATCAAATTGTACAGCTGCTCTGAGACCCGTTTATAGCTGGTGCGAATGTTGACAGTCAAGCTACTGGTTCATCCCATGTATTTCTTTTTGCCGTGAAGCTATCGTCAGTGACTCGAGGTTCTAAAAGAAGAAAAGAAAGACAAAGCTGGGCTGGCTTCAACCTCTCGATCCCCAATTTATATGCGTAGTAGATGAAGATGACGACGGCTGGCTGACGTGTATGGTGCTGATAACGGTCGATATGACAATAATCGTGGTCCCGGAGTAAAAGTATGCAAGTTTGGCGATGAGTAAATGGACTGTTCTACTATTACATGCAGTTTAAATACTGCTCAGGTCTCCGAACCTGTGATTTCGTTTCCTTACATCTCCAATTTCTTTGACGTAGCACAGCATTTGTTCAAACGGGCATGTTTGTTCACTTTATTGTCTTCATCTGTTCGCTATCCTAATAGATGCGTATACTATGTAACATATTCCTTGTCAATTGTGTTTTATTAAAAAAAAAGACAAGAAAACAAAGGCTCAATAAAGTCTTGATACTTTTCAATTCGTTCCTACTATTCCTCCCTGGGTATGGTCAAGATGCGGTTCCCCAATTGTCAGACTTGATAAAAAAAAGAAAAAAGGTTTATAAGAGAGAGAAAAAACAAAGCTCCTGCGACAAAGATAGCCAAGTCGTTCACAAAAGTGCCATCTATTAATCTCAAGCGTCGAATCCTCCACATCCCATTAAAGGTATCATTCGTCGCAATATCGTAAAAAAGAAGAACAATACACTCATCGCCCACTCTCTGGAGAGAGGGAGCTATCGCAGTGTATAATATAAAAGTAAGACACGTAGGAGAATGAAACCCTGTGTCAAAAGCAATGTATATATCCTGAGGCGCAAGCGCCATGCAGTAGTATGACAAGCTATGGAACTTAGATCAAAGCCAAAAGTTGCTGTCGTAGGTTGAAGAAGAAAGGGATCGACATTAAATCCAGAAGGCTGATTTAAACTATGTGGAGGAAGAAAATGTGAAAGTTAAAGTGAGGGAATAAAATCCAGTGGCAGTAGGCCATTGGCTCGACCCTTTATCAACCGAGCTAAGCACAAGGATGATGGAATCTTCAGAGGAAGTAAAAATGTTGACGAGGAAAAGAATAGGTCATGGACCAAAGAGGTATGCCAGAGCTACACCTAGCGGCCTGGATACGCGCTGTCAGGGGTCATGCCTGGTAATTTCCGTGTTGCTGCAGCCGTCGATCGACCCCCGGGAAGCCTAAAGTCGGGATTATCTAAAATCAGGTCCTGACGCTGCTGCTGCACTGGCCGGCGCGTCGGCATTGGGGGCGGGTTCCATTGCGGGTTAATACCGCGCTGCGAGATGGACGTAAAGTTGGAATGTTCCGACTCTGCGGGGCTGCGTGTTCCGCCAGCAGCAGCTCGCATCTCTTCGTAGTCGACTTCTGCAGTTGGTTGGAGTCGTATTGGCGGTGGTGGTGTCCGACGACCTGGAGGAGTATGTGCGGTCTGGTCAAATCGGGGGTCAACATCTTCGTAGTAGTTGCCAGCGCCCTTAGCGTTGGATACCGGAGCTGTGGTGCCAGAGAGATCAGGAGTAGGTCCTTGGCGAGCTGTTGTGAGAGGCGCCAGAGGCGCCACTTGAGGCGAGCTTCTTCCCGTTGCTTGATTCCATGCGGCACGAGGCGCCATGTTTTGCCTAAGGTTCGTTAGTGAATCCATTGTAACGTCAAGAGCATCAAGAAATGGCGCATACTCGTCTTGAGAATATCTGCTTCCGTCGCTGGCAAACGTCTCTCTCCGTGGAGATGAAGGGTTCTTGCCCTGCTGGAGATTCACCATCCCAGCGACGTCCGTATCGCTATCTCTGAGGTTACCATACTGGTCACCGCTGTTGCTTGATGCAGCGGCTGGTGTTGCGTCCATCTCAATCGCATGTCCCGATGATGAAACAGCAGAGTCAGTCGGTTCAGGGAGCGGTGGAGGAGATTCTGCCCTGGGCAATTCGAGATCCGGACGATACGGCATAAATTTGTTGCTACTGCTGTTGTCGCTGGCACTGGCGCTGCGAGTCGGGGCTGGATAATTTACCAAAGGGTCAGACTGTGCCAGTTGGACGTCAGCATAAGGGCCTCGTTCGTCAACGTAGCCCAGCTGCTGTTGTGGCAGCCTGTTATATTGGCTAACATTGTCGTTTGAGTAATTCATGGGCGGGGGGCTGCGCGTGCCTCCGCCTCTAGGCATGTTATAGTATTGACCGTTGCCTCCGCGAGGTTGCGGTCCATATCCCCCTCCTGCTGCTGCTCCTCCGCGACCACCACGAGGGCCGTATCCACCTCGGCCGGGAGGGCCATAACCACCGCCGCCGCGTCCTCTCATGGGGGCCCCGTAGCCGCCACGGCCACCACGGCCACCACCGCGATATCCATTAGAGGGGTCGGTTGCCTGTCTGGTGGGGCCGCGATTCATACGGTCATAAGGCTGCCCAGCCGCGGCTCCGTAGGCATTATTGGGATAGTTACCGTATGGGTCCGTCGACTGAGACCTCTGTGGCCCGTTGTATGGGCCGCCAATATCACTGCCTGGAACTGCGGCCATATCAGCGGCCATGGGCTGCATCCCATTGTTCGACCTCTCAGACGTAGTTCGCTGCGTCAGAGGAATGTGCTCGTCGCTGACCTGGTCGTCTCGCGGAGTCTCATACGTGGCGAATGCAGGCAGAGTGTCTTGCGTGCCACTTCCGCCGCTAGCAATGGTCGGCACGGTGGGCTGGGTAGTCATGACAAAGGCAGATTTGGGCTCCTGCTCCTCTCGGTTATAGTAATTCTGAGCATTCATCTCTGCATTCTCTGCAATCCTCCTCCTTTGATCTTTTCGGCTGATCAGAGTGCGTCGCATAGCGCAGGATACGAGGAGGCTGAAGAAAACCAAGGCCGTGGCAGCGATGGTAATGTAGGTGCCCCATGCCAGGTGAGGAATGAAGAGCAAGACATCAATGACGAAAGCCGCAATGCAGACGAGGAAGGTGATGAGGTTGAAGATGAGAAAGGCGAGCAGGTACTTTGACGAGTGAGAAGCAGCGCGGAAGTGGGCAGCAACGGCCATGCAAAACATGACCAGCGTGAGGAATGCGGCCACGGGATGAAGAATCAGGATCATAGAGAGCGTATGGCGAACGCCACTAGGCAGGTCGAAATCCTGAGACTTGCGATTGGGGATGACGCTATCTATAATGTCGGATGCCCATTGTTAGCCGCTGGATCCAGTAGAGCCTGCCGATAGTAGAACCGGCAGTGAGGAGAAGAGGTAAGGCGAGGGATAAAGGGTTGATTCTCACCAATATCGTAGCCGATGCCAGCGCTGCTGCAGCCCGAGGGCCCGCAAAAGCCAAAGACGCCAAACTGGACATTGTCGAAGCTGCCGATGGGAATGGCCGAAATGATGGGCGCCGATATCACGGAAAGGAGCAGCAGAGCAAAGGCAATCCCAAGCAGCACTGACAAGGGCGTCGCCGGTCGCAGCATGCTGGCGGTGGACAGGAAGTGCCCAGTAGCAGCAGACGTCGACTAGGCGACGCAGAACAAGGGCGGATCAAGCGTCGGGGGCCAGCGAGAAGAAAGAAGGCGGCGACTCGAATTGAGCGACGGAGAGTTTGTTGTTGATTGTTGAGTCAAGTTGAGGTGGGTAATCCAAAAGAGCGTGTAGTGTGGAATATTGTAATAGGTATAGGTGCAGGCGTTGTGGTTGTCGTCGTCGTTTAGAAATCCCCTGTTGATCCTTGGTAGCTACCAGGTACGGACGGAGAATTGTCGCATATGGGGACTCGTATTGTGCGCGAGCTGGTCGAACGAATGAATGGCGCCCAAATGCATTACCGAGATGCTATTGTCGCTGTCCTCCACATGATCCAAAGCAAATTCGGGCGATATCGAAGGGCGGCGATGTCGATTTCGACGGATTGTAAACAGAGAAGCAAAGAAAGTCGCCTTGCGTGAAGGAGTGAAACAGGGCCGGCGGCAGTCGCAGCAACGAAACGAGCTGGGGAGAGCAAGAAGAAAAAAAACGAGCGCCCAGATACTGTTGTTTGCTCCAGGTGGGCCCGCCGTCTGGGTGAGGTTCAAAGGTCTACGGCAAACAACAGCCCAAAAAAGAAAAACAATAGAGCAGAGCAGAGAGCTTGGAAGGGGGGGAAGATGGAAATTTGGTGATGATCCTGGAGGCGGGTGGAGAGAAGCGCTGCACTGTCTCGCTCTCTCTCACAGGCGCGTTGGAGGCTAAACGTTGTCGATGGATGCAGCGCTAAGGTGCCTGTCTCGTAGCGCAGTCTAGCGCATCTCAGCCAACCAGAGACCCCCACACGAAGCCCCGAACTAGAACTGAGGAACGAGTCCACAGTGGCCGCTCACGGGCTACTAGGCCTTGGACGAGCATAGCGCTGACCCTCCAGGGCGCAGCGGGCGAATGGGATGTAGCGAAGCACGCAATTTAGCAGACGCGGTACACTCGTAATACACGTAAATGTCACAGGCACGGATACAGGCACAGGTACCGCCTCGCCACGGGCCAGAATCGATAAACCCAGGCGATATGCATCGACGGAAATGAGATTTGAGTTTGGAAGGCTCAAATCTTGAATGCGCCCAGCTGTGATACGAGGCACATGATCCCGTATTACCAGAAAGCTCCTCAATGATGAGATTTTTTTTTTTTTTTGATTTTTTTTTTTGTCTTTTCTTGTTTGCAAATTTGTGCTGATTTGATTGCAATGCTGGGCGCACAGAATCCCTTCGTCGCATGAACATTTGCTGTAGCAGTAATATTACGCGTTCCTGGTCCCTGTAATTTACAGGCCTCTCCAGGCACATACTTGATTCTTGTACGCTCCATATTAAACGTCGGGTAGCGCAAACCCGCTCGAGCCTATTGCTCGCTAACGTTACCTCGGTGGGTTCTAAAAATGGCCTGGGCCTCATTCATTGCCTCGTGCTGCGATCAATTGTTGGCATTGTCGCTGTGCGTGCAGCACCTCTGACCCGCATTTTGCGATACACAGATGCCCATCATCATCAGCGCCGCGCAGATTCTTCCCATGCTGAGAGACGTCGTCTGGTGGCTTTCGTTGGGGCCGCGCTATCGAAACGATGCGCTGCAAGTCATCGGCTAATGCCAGCACTTAGGGACGAGTATGGCCAAGAGTGAGAGAAAGGGGAGAGGGGCCTTTGGATAAGGACAGCCGCCTCTTCTCAGCTTGCCCGTTTCGAGCAGGTCGGCTGGCCGTGGAAATGAGCAGCGCCGGCCCTTTGGAGTGCTATGAGAAGCATCTACTCCGGCATGCGCTCCGAGCTTGGCCTAATCTGCTCTGGACGCCGTCGTTTTTACACTGGGGGCATTGGCCATGGCCATAGACGAGCGTTATTGGGTCGTTATCACGACAATTGACGTACCAAACGCCGCCGCCAGCAATGCCTCTCTTTCTCTCACGGCGTCTGTAGCAACTCCCAAGCGTCAGCCACCACACAGAGCAGTAGAGCAAGATTCTTCCCCAGCGATCACGCACTCCGGGTTTCGCCACTGCTCCCAGTGATGCAGCGGTTACGAAACGATGCCCCCTCTCCAGGCTTTCATGGGCTTTGTGCGGGTTTACTTGCTCGGATGGATCGCCTCCGTGTCGTGCTCTGGCGCTAAGGTGGGAAAAGCGAAGCTAAGCGGGCCCGCAAATGGCCAGAATCGATGCAATGAAACATGAAGCTATCAGCGTTCGCTGTCGGCAACGTCAACCGCCAAGTGTGTCGTCGATACAAGTACAAGTGCGCAGTAATTCATCCCATTATCGACAGATCACAGATACCATATCTCGGTAGTTGAACTTGTCAGGGCTATTAATAGATCAAGAGGCGTTGTCCAAGAGCCTGCATGGTGATCTTGGCCAAGGAGACGCAGCTTGCTGTTTCAGCTACTCTCCTGCCCGCTTCTCTGTATCATCGCCAGCTCCATCCTACGACTCACCGTCATAGGCTGATGGCATAGGCTATCCAAGTGGCTGCAAAATACATCCTCCGCATAGAAAATCGTCCGATCACACGCGCATCGTTGGTTTGAAGTTGTATCCATGGCCAGAAAAGTGCACCTGCAGCTGAATCAGTCGATCTGATGCAGTGGTTTCGATACCACTAGTGCTAGCTCCAGGAATAGCTGCAGTGAAGCGGGTCAGCCATCTTATCTTATCATTCCCGCGTCAGGTGAAATGTCGTCACTCGCTGGAGCCTACCCTGAATCTGTTCGTGATGCAGAAAATTAAGGCAGCTCTCTTAGTATCGACTCGACTCCTTCGTGTCTCAGTAAATTCTAATGGATTCTCATGGGCCGAGTTACAAGTTCGCTCAATATTGTACTCCTATGCATCTCGGGTTCTTGTGTTTTCCAATTGATAGAGCTCGCATGAACTAAGCCCTCTCGCTATAAATTCACTAGCAAGGATGCGACTCGGTTGAAGTGATAACAAGTCCGTAGAAACTACGTTCCTCGTACATCAAGCAGCATGCAAAATAAAGCCAGAAACGACAAAAGATTTCAGCCACACAGAGTATTGCTAATCAGCTCGCTCACGGTTCTCCGTAATACTTGTTATCAGGACAAACCTCGGACCTACCCCAATACCGGCCCCGATCCGATGGCGGATCCGAGGCGCCACAAAATGCCGCGGCGGGAAATCCTCCAAAACCACCGCCACCATCTCACTCAGCAGATCTTGACGACACTTTTCAAAACTCCGCTTCTCTTGATGACCTCGTCCGCCTCCCCCTCCTCCCGAATGACGCCGCGGTAGAGCCAACTGAACGCTTGTAAAATGCCCGCCATGCTCTGTCGCAGCAGCGGCTTGGGTCTCTCGAGACAGGCTCTGCTGCGCAACCAAGTCTTGGTACGGCGTATGCAGAGCTCGGGGCCATTCCAACCACTACGACCGCCATCACCCGCCGATCTGGGAGCACCGCAAGCTGCCAAGCAGTACAAACGCGGCCGGAAATGGGGGCGCCGATTGCTCATAACGGCAGCCGTGGGCGGCGCCATCTATACCGTCGACTCACAGGTATACGCTTCGAGCCTGGGTCGATCACTTCGCACATTTGCCACGGCAATGCTTGCTGCGCTGGACTACAAGATCAACTTTCGGCCGGAGCCATGGACAGGAGGCACCGTGGCTGACCTCCATCTGCGCAATGCGGAAAGGCTCTGCGATCTGCTGCGGGCAAACGGTGGATTGTACCTCAAGATTGGCCAAGCAATTGCCATGCAGAGCGCGGTTCTGCCGCCTGAATTTCAGAGAATGTTTGCCAGGATGTTTGATGATGCACCGCAGGACGACTGGAAAGCTGTCGAGGCCGTTATCCGAAAGGATTTTGGGAAGAGCGTAGAGGAAGTATTTGGGGTCAGCTTCACCGGCAAAGAGGGTTATGGCGTCATGGAGAGAAAGGCTCGCGCGAGTGCAAGCGTGGCACAAGTTCACTGGGCCAGGCTCCCGGATGGCAGAGAGGTGGCTGTCAAGATTCAGAAACCAGAGATTGCAAAGCAAATTGCCTCGGATCTCTGGACTTTCAAGTATGTTGCTGTGCTACCCCCATTGACTGTCGGATGGAATACTAATGCTGTCTGTGATATCAAAAGGACTGTGACATGGATACTTTCAAAGCAATTCGACCTTCCCCTCTATACCCTAGTACCTTTCATCTCCGAGCGTATAGAGCTAGAGACAGACTTTCTGAGCGAGGCCAAGAATTCGCAAACGATGCGCCAGCTGGTCAACTCCGAGAGCCGTCTGAAGGGACGAGTCTACATCCCCACCGTGTATTCCGATCTTACCACAAAGCGAGTCTTGACAACTGAGTGGATAGAGGGCATCAGGCTGTGGGATAAGACGGCCATGACGTCAAGATGGCTAGGCGGGCGTGGAAAAGGCAGCCCGGGGGCAGGCTCCCCTTTGCCTCCCATCGACATGGACATTGCCCGTCGCCAACTGCGTACAGAAGCCCACAGAGAGAAGATCAAGCCGGAGCGCCAGGAGTGGAAGGGCTTGCATGGAAGAGGAGGCCTTGGCCTGGGCACCAAGGAGGTCATGACCACCATGGTCGATCTCTTTTCTGCCCAAATCTTCAAATGGGGTGTTGTTCACTGCGATCCTCACCCGGGAAACATTTTCATTCGACGGCTTCCCAATGGCCGTGCCGAGCTAGTCTTGATCGACCATGGCCTCTATGTGTACATGACGCCGACGTTCCGTCATCAATACGCCAGATTCTGGAAAGCTCTCATGACATTCGACAACAGGGCCATAGCTGACGTTACCGGGCAATGGGGCATCAAGGCGGCAGATTTGTTTGCCAGCGCTACGCTGATGAAGCCGTACGAAGGCGGTGAAAATGTCATGCAGAAAGACTTGAAGGAGTTGAAGGGCCTGACCAGGGCGGAGAAACACTATGTCATGCAGCGAAAGATGAAGCAAGGGATCCGAGACATTCTTGCGGACGAAGACAAGTGGCCCAAGGAGCTCATCTTCATCGGCCGGAACATGCGCATCGTCCAGGGCAACAACCAGTTCCTGGGCTCGCCCGTCAACCGCATCAAGATGATGGGCGAGTGGGCAAGCCGCAGTCTTTACGAGGACCCCAATCTTCCCTGGATACAGCGGATGAACAACGTATGGCGACACGTCATATTCAAGTCGGTCATGACTGTGACGGACATTGCGTTTTATTTCTTCAAGCTGCGGCAGCTACTCGGTCTGGGCGGCGGCATGGAAGATGAGATGGAGCATCGCGTGAAGAAGATGACGCAGTACGGCTTGGAGGAGACGCCCGATTTATTCGAAGGATGAGAGGAAGTGGCTATTGTTTAAAAAAAAAAAAGACATGGATGGGCAGCTGCTATTGTTATTGCTATTTTCATTCTCCATTCATCCCTTTCTCATCCTTCATGCTCCCAACTATTTTGGCAGAGAGAGGCGCTGGACCGCATTGCTTCTTTATAGACGGAAAAAGCGGAGGGAAACAAGAGCGTTCGGCAGGCATTCGAATTATAGGTACTGGTTAGGTTTGACGACGATAAAATGGACTGTATGTATATGTGTGTACGAGTATAGATGGAACGATCGATATACCACTCATGTTTGCGACGATAGTCGATTGCTTTGGACTACCTTGACATTCTTGCTGAGAACATGGTCAGTAGTGAAGCTGTCGCAGCTGCAAATCCTCCAACGCAGGCTTGTCGAGCACGAGTAATTCAAGACATTCTTGTACTCTTCAGGACATTGCTTTCTCGTGCTATTGGAAGCTAGCGTCAGCCTCGTGCATGTAGCCCAGAGGCTCTGGCGGCGGGTTTTTGTGGTCCTCGACGAAAAACTCGTGGTGGGCAGTTTCACGTTTCCACGCGAAGAAGGGAGGAGGACCCCTCCATTGGTTGATTGGCGGCGTTCTGGTTCTGGATAGACACAGTAGTGTGACGAAGTCGCATGGCGAACTGGAAGCGGAACCTGCAATTTTAAACACTTGCAGGGATTTGGCATGGGAAGGGGAGCGAGGTTTGGAGTCGGCGCCAAGATTTGGGCAAAGCTCCGCGATGGACCCTGAGATGGGATACTTTGAGATTTTCTTGTTTGCTTAGCTCGGCCTTGGTTTCTTTTTTGGAGGCTGCGCGGCTCTAGCTGCTGTGATTCTCAGGTGCCATCTGAAATGAAGCTGTACACATTCTGCCATCTCTGTGTTTCTGTCTTGTTTGGCGCTTCTCCCCCAATTTTTCCTCTTGTCTTTTCTTTTCTTAATTCTTGTTGGGGGCAATCATCGTTAGCCTGTTCCTTGTTGGCCTGGTTTTGTTTCATCAGCAACAAAGAAAAATCTCATTAGACGGGGGGCATGTGAGGTGCGGAGGATGCAAGTGCTGCCCCCCTGCTTTGCGTACGGAATACCTACTGCAAGTGCCATTATGCGAGCAAGTACTGACTGCAATGCACGCAATCATTTGCTGCCAATCTGGGGCCAAGCCAAGCCTGCAAAGAAGATCAATGCCGTTCTTACAAGGAAATCATTCACGTCCCGATGTGAAAAGTACCTCCAGCCGTCACAATAGCAGCAGCAGTACCTGGAGGCATCAGGCAGTCGTAGCAATTTCCTTCCATGCTAGACGTACTCGTATCAGTGCCGCTCGTATGCTTCATGCCTCAGGACCCAACCCGTGTTTCTCCAAGTGCCGTCTGGCGATAGTACAGCGGAGCTTTTTTCCTGCAATCACCGATAGATCAAGATCAAGACGGATCAGCAGCCGCAGGTGCCGCAGAGTTTCAACCCCATCACGAATGTCCCGTCTGCCGCCAAGATCTCGACGAGGCATCATGTTGATTGAGACAGCTTGGACAGCTACGTATCCCGACTCGTGCTACTGCCACAGCGCTAGGGCCACTGCTAACCGGAGGTTGCGTCGTGTTTCAAGCTCGCCAGGGGAGCATCATAGCAGCGGGAGGCGTCCAAACCATGACATGATTGCTGGCCAGGGCTGGTTAGATGGGATGCCTGTGGAGAGGCGAAACGGGGCCGGGGGGTCGCCTAGCATCACGAACCTGGACCTCGATTGGCGCCAGCTGCGAAGCTACTGAGTGGCTCCCCTGAAGCCCAGAAGCCCAGAAGCTGGAGTGCCGGGAGACAATGTCGAGGCCAAGGACGTGTTCATCTCTCCTCGCTTCCGCAAGCTCTTTTCCCTCTCTCTTCCTCTTGGGAGTTTTCAAAACTTCACTCGCTCGCTTCAATCAGTTTCCCTTGCTGCCATCGCCAACGGCTTCTTCTTCGCCATCACCATTTCAATTCGCCCGACTCTTTGGCGCTTGACGCTGCCGACAGTCCTTGTTCTTTTGCCTCGCTCGTTCCCGCTGTGACATCCGTGCGAAAGCTGTAAGCCGCGACCCTGGCCCTGGTGATACCACGAGCTTTGGGCAACTTCACGAGGAGCTGATCAGAGCGGTGTCGAGCTCCAGCGATAACCCCGGCCTCTGACGCCTCTCTTTTTTTTCCATTTCTCTCTCTCAATCTGTCAAAACCGGACAAGAACCCAAAACTTGCAATCTCCTTCGATTATCTTCCCCACGTCTCGGCTGGACCAGAACAAAAAAAAAGACAAAACAACAAAAATTACAACTTCCACCTCATAAATACCACGAATCCTACAGAAGCAGCATTGTGAGTAAATCAATTGCCAGTTCTCTTCCATCGTCTCTCTTTATTTCTTGTTATTTCTCTCCCAATCCTCTTCCCTCGGCTTGCCATCGCCAAGCTCTCCATAGCTGCTGTCGACGCCAATCGTCACAAACTCTCTCGCTACATGATCGAAAACGAGCTTCAACGATCGTGGTTGTTTACTCTTGCTCCATGCGCAACTTTCTCTGAGCGACTCTGGCATTGCGCCGCGGGCAGTATTGTTTGCGCACCACAAGAAGCCCTGTCGGTGCCAATACTCCCAACTCCCAAACATCTGTGCTACAAAGCAAACGTGGCGGAATCGAAATGGGGGTCCACGGGCAAGCTCCCCAGGCAGAACCGTGGAGATGGCGATGCTCGAGCTGGAGCTTGGCGACAATCGCAAGAGAGTTGTTTATGGGGCTGCTCCAATACCCGCACATTCCCGGTCGCAGGCGCTTGACACCACCAACGCGCGTCGCCTGGGGACCGGAAAGAACCCTGACATTGTGCTTCTGAATGCGATGCTAATCACCTCCTTTTTCTATTCTTTAGTGACGTCCGGCTATCGAATTGGAGTCGTCTCCGCTGCACAAGCCCCGCCTCCCCGCCTCTTTGCCTACGTCGCTGGTGCATTAAACCTGCATCGGCAGCTTCTCCAACTGGTATCCTTGGTATGGGAATTTCTCGTTTGAAACGGCAACGGCATAGCGGCTCGTATTTGTTCGGATGCGCACCTTGAATTCTGCTTGGCGCATAATTATAGTGTGGCAGAATCCGAGGCGCCAAATCCAGCGGCAAACCGAGCCACTCCCGTTTGTCTCGTCGTTTCTGTGTTGCTGACCTTGAGAGTGAGCAGGCCATCCTTTGCGAATCTTACCTGATCCAGCCTGGTTGTTTCAGGAACAAAACGCCACCCGACCAAGACTTCTGTCTCATCACTGCGACACAAAACCAAATCCCTTTTCATCGTACTTGAGAAGCCAAACAAATCGATTCGCATTATCTTGGCTTTGCGCTCATCAGATAACCCGCCTCTGGCCAAACAATGAGTTCTCCGCCTCGTCGTTCTACTAGCTTCGGAATGTTGCTCAAACGCACAAAGAGTGGCGATCTGGGCAAGGGCAATAGGAAGACCCAAGCCGAACCAGATCGCCAGTCTCAGCCCACTCCTCGCGCAGCCCCCAAGCTCCCCGAATTCTTCAACAACTCTGAGCAGCTGTCCAAGTCTTTTGCGCCTGAGCTGCAAGCCAATTCTACCACCTCCGGGGTTAGCTCCATCATTCCAGGCGGCTACACTCGCGAATCGTCCAGCCGCTCCTCAGCAGAGGCTACGCGTGCCGCGGCCAGCAAAGTCCCGATCCCTCCCATTCCCAGCAACGGCTTTGATCCCTATGCCAGGTCGGAGAGCATGACAAACCGTGGCCGCTACAGCTATGCCAGCAGCAGTGCTATGAGCACAATCAACAACCCCAGGAGGATCCGCAGAAGAAAGGACCCCACGCCATTCAAGTAAGCCGCGACTCAAGTTTTTATCTCTTGCGTATTTGGACCGCAAGCCAAAGGATGCAAACTGACCATTTCACCAGCATTCTTATACTAGGTAGCCAAAATGCCGGCAAAACCTCTTTTCTCGAGTTCCTCAAGACAGCCCTGGCACTTCCACCAAAGAAACAGTCCAAGAAGCACGAAGAAGACTCTTTCCAGATGCCAATCGCTCCCGTTGGTAACTTTATTCCGCACTATCTCGAAACCGAAATTGATGGCGAGCGGATTGGCCTGACTCTCTGGGACTCGGAGGGTCTGGAGAAGAATGTTGTCGATCTGCAGTTGAGAGAAATGTCTGGCTTCTTGGAGAGCAAATTTGAAGAGACTTTTACAGAGGAAATGAAAGTCGTGCGTTCCCCAGGCGTCAAAGACACTCATATCCACGCAGCCTTTTATGTCATGGACCCTTCCCGCCTTGATCGTACCATTGCGACGGCGAAAAAGAACGCTTTGCGGAACGGCTATGGCAATGGCGGCCATGGCCAGGCTCAAGCTTCTGGTGCCCTTGACGAGGAAATTGATCTCCAAGTTCTCCGGACCCTCCAGCACAAGACAACAGTCATTCCTGTCATTTCCAAAGCAGATACCATCACCGCCAAGCACATGGGTATCCTCCGCAAGGCCGTCTGGGACAGCATCAAGTCGGCGAACCTGGATCCCCTGGAAGCCCTGGGACTGGATGAGGATAGCAGCAGCATCATCGAAGAGGAAGAGGATGATGACGAAGCGGGAGAAGACGAGTCGGCGGAGCAAGCCGAAAAGACGACCGCGTCACCTGGCCACTCAAAGAGACTCTCTACCAACTCCATCCGCAGACACAAGTCTCAAGAGGATGCCAAAGCGGAAGAACCGCCATTTCTCCCTCTCTCTATCATCAGCCCCGATCTTTATGAGCCCGAGGTCATTGGACGACAGTTCCAATGGGGATTTGCCGACCCATACAATGAGGAGCACTGTGACTTTGTCAGGCTGAAGGAGGCCGTCTTCACCGAGTGGCGTGCTGAACTGCGTGAGGCAAGCAGGGAGCAGTGGTATGAAGGCTGGCGAACAAACAGACTCAAACGCCGTGAGCTCCCCCATGCGCGATAGAGCCAACGTGGTGTCGAATGGCAGCGCTGGGTCGGAACACCACATTTCCTGTCATAATCTTGTCAAGCGAATCTGGCACTCTCTCTTTGTTGCGATTTCTCTCATATACAAGCACTACTATGCTCCTAGTTCCCATTTGCCTTAATTTCCGCTTTCAGTTAGCTGGCGAGCATCAGCATCCCTTCCCATGTCTCGGTTCTGTTGGTGAGACAAGCTTTTGGCTTCCGAGATTGTGCAAGGGGCGTTGTCGATATCAAACTCTTTCCCTTTGCATTGCCGAACATAAAAAAGGACCAACAACAAATAATCCGGAGATGTTGCAATGTCAGGGCCTGCATTGGATGATAGACGAGGCCAACTGCCATCTTCCCACATGCTGCTGAGCTATCTCTTGCTGTTGATCTGCCTCTAAAGCGTGTTTCCTTCTCGCCTCTGGCTAAAAAAAAGCATTGCTGTCCCCGGTTGAGGAAAATTGGGTTAGCTGGCGTGATGGATTTTTTCCCTTTGTCTTCTTCATTCTTCTTTTTTTGATACGCAAATGACTTTTGATTCCCCCCAATCCTTTTTTGATGTCTATTTTTTTTTTCATCTCCTGTACGAGGTCTCCTAAGATTGGACTCTCGAGACCAGTTTTGTTGGAAACCACGGAAATGGCGACTACGATTTGTTGTTTTTCTTCTTCTTTTTTCTTCTTCTCTTTTCATTCCGCAGCCTGGTGCAAAAAGCAGTATGAACGATACCCGATGATGGGGATCCTGTTTCGTTGTGCATTTTGTTCATTCTTTGTCCATATATCATTACTTTGCTGTTGAACAAAGAACAAAGGCACAATGCCCTGGATAGGTAATCTATGAGTATGCGCGGAAAGTTTTTGGCTTGGACAAAATGTAGGATAGTAGGGATGAAAAAGAGAGAAAGTTTCTTTTTCCTTTTTTGCAGAGATCCCTTTTTTTCTCTATATTGAATTTGAACTTGACCATTTTTCTCTCTCGATATCTTTGTCTTCTCACATGAACTGATATTTTGGTGTTTCTACTCTCTTTGAGGCGTCGCTTATAAGACGCAAAGATGACGTCTAAAGGTTACACATGCACTCGAGGCTCATTGACCGTGATTTGAGATATGAACAACATCAATACAGACTACAGGACGTACGTAAACTAGATTGGCGCAGTCGACTCGAATCCATATCGAGCACACGCGACAAAAGCAGGTCAACTAGATAAGTCGAGGTAAGCAAGCAAAGTAGGCCAGGTGGCCAAACAAACCCATGGTATCTAGAACCAGAATCGACCAAATTCCCTCGCCTTCAACTGAAAAAAGAAAAAACCGAATAAACTCTCGGTCCATAATGCAAACCGGTCCATAATGCAAACCGGTCCATAACGCAAACTGGTCCATAACGTAGAGCGGTCCATAACGTAGAACCAATACCTTTCCCTTTCCTAAACACGCGTGTCCCTTTTCCTAATCTCGCATTCGTTTCCCAATTCCCTTTGGGTCAAGTAAAGTAATCCATCCCTTTGCAAATTCCTGATATAAAGTTCAAATGAAAGGCAGCGACCTTGCTGCATGCATAACAAAAAAAAAAAAACACAAATCGCGGCCAATCCTTCTGGCATCGATGACTTCTTCAACTAATCCTCTTCATTCTCTTCGTTCTCCTCGTCTTCTTCGTCCTCTTCGTCCTCTGCCACTGGGGGCACATATTGCGTGTTGATCGGTCTGCCGTTCCTATCGACATCGGCTTCCATTCTGGCAGGATTCTTGCCCAGCTTCTGCACGCGGTCGATTTCCTTCTTACTAAAAGTGACTAAATCGAACCCTCGTGGGAGCACCGCATCCGAGATGAGAAAATCAACCTTCATATTGCGAGCCCTGTCGCGGTAGGCCTGGGCGTTGCGCGGCAGCTCGAATTTCTGGCTGTCTTCCCTTTCCATGTCGGCCCAACCCGCAGCGCGGCTGGCAACGAGTCCAATCAAGGTGTTGGAATCACGCTCGCTCCAGTTTTGGCGCCGTTTAAGGAGACGAGGGTTGTTTAGCTTTGCGTTGACGCGGGCCTGGACCTTTAGCCGCTCGATCTCGGCAAAGTCAAGCACAGGTGGTGGAGGTTCAGCAGCTCCAAGAGCGACGGCAGTAGCGACAGCTTCTTTGAACTCCCTTCGACGCTGAGATGGTCCGGGCTTAGAAGAAGATTGGGTGTGGGTGATTTTGCTTCTTTTGGGGGCCCGCCGGTCCGTCTCAAAATCATCATCATCATAATCAAACTCGTCTCTAGTTTGATCCTCTTCACCTTCTTCTTCTCCGTAGTCGCCATCGGTGTTCTGACGGCGGCTGCCTCGAAGAGGCTGCGCGCGTGACGGTTTCGAAGCAGGCAGCTTTCGCCGTGCATGGCCCGAGGATGATCCCCCAAGAGATACATTAAGGAGTAGGCCGACCGCCTCATCAGGATGAAATAAGGAGTCCCTGTGACATAGTGTTAGCATAACGTACAAGCGGCAGCCATAGTTTAATTCTCAATCAAAGAGATTCAGGGATACTCAAGGAGAATTGGTAGAATTGGGGTAAAAGGGGGGATTGGGCGAGGTTAGACTTACCCTCTGGACAGGTCATCTTCACCTCGTTGAACCTGCGACCGCTGTGACTCTCCTTGGGAACTAGCCAGGCTTCTGGGAGAAGCATTAGGAGAGTCAGGGAGGAACAGACCATCTTCATCGGGCGGCGGCGGCGGCGACTGTCTGCCTCCAACTCCCTCACCGGTTCTTCTTTCTCGAGGCCTTCTTTCGTCAGACTGCCGTGACATGAGGAGTTTCTCCCTCTCCCAGGCCTGCCGCTCCTTAGCTAAGGCTTCCTGTCTAGCCCGAAGGTTCGCTTCCTGCCTGACCCGCCGTTCCTCTTCTCTGAGACGTCGTTCTTCATCGCGAGCTTGATGCTCTTCACGAATGCGGGACTCCTCCTCAGTACGCCACTGCTCTAAGAACATTTGCCTCTCTTGGGCAAGATGCTCTTGTTCCGTCTTTTCCATTAACTGTGAGACTGATGAATATCTGTTGAAAAGCCATTTCTTGAGAAGCTCGAGCGTATGAGGAAGAGGATACTTGGCCCGGACGCTAGGCAGGTCAACGGGAGTTCTAATCCCTCTCTTGCCGCCTTCGGACATTAGTTGCCATATATCCTTGACCCTTTCCGAGCACACGTCCAGCAGCTGCTCCTCAGCAAGGCCAGCCATGGGTTTATATGGGCCGTAAGCAAAGAGAGCATTGTAGTTACTCGGCGCATTTGGGGCATTCAATTCGCAAAAGGCGTAGCCCAGCATCCCGCGAAGGTCCGTCGCTTGGGGCGATATGGCAATGCTTTCAATGGCACGCTGAGTGCGAATCTCCAAAGACAGAGTAAGAAAGTGCTTGCTCTCGTCAGCAGCAAAAGATTGCGGAAAGCGGCTGTCTGTGGCCTCGAGAAAAGGAACGGGGTCGTAGGCTTCTTTTTGAATGGCTCTGATATGGAGGAGAGCAGTGGCAATGTTGGCCATCTTGACGGCGAGCGGGACCGCTTTCTTGGCAACCTCTAACGTTTCTTGGTCTTCTATCTTGTTCACCCAGTCCCAGTTGAGAAAGGGGATTCGGTTTTCCGGGGGAGAGCCAGCACGAAAGGAAGGGGGCTGAGGGCCCGTGAAAATGCTTCGTGACATCTCAAACGCTTTGATTTTCATCTGGAGCACCGGCTTGTATGCAAGTCGCGTGCTTGTCTCCTGCAGCAGGCTGATGACATTTTTTGCGTCCCTGGCCAAGGCAGTAGTGGCCTCTAGCCACATCTCGATCTCTGTCTGCTCAATCTCGCGCTCGGCCATTTTTTCTGCCTGCAGCTCAGCGGCTGATTTAGGTGGTGAGCTGGGAGTCTTCTCGTAGTCCTCCTCGTCAGTTAAGTCCCTCTTAGGGGTAGAAAACAAGCTGCTGGGACCGATATTTCGAGGAGCTCCTCGCCGTGGCTTTGGGTCCCAGATGATGGAGCCTTTGCGTGGGATAGTCGTCAAGCCTTTTGGAACCTGCAGACCTGGGGGTGCAGAAGAAGAGTTGAGACTCGGCAGTGAAGGCGTAAGCTGAGGAGCAACGGTCGTTGCGGTTGCTGAGCCTGACGCGGATGAAGGAACAATGTAATGGTCAGATGACGACGATGAGGAAGCGGGTAGAAGAATGCGTGAAGGAGAGTTTGTGGGAGAGCTCAGAAGAGAGTTGGGTCCAGAGCTGGATTCAGAACCGGAATCAGAATCAGCATCAGAATCAGAATCAGAGCCAAAATCAGAGCCAAAATCAGGATTTCGGGCTCTGGTGACGGCCTCTTTGGTTCGCCGAGCAGTTGCTCTGGGTGGGTTTCTTCTGACTGTGGGTTGTGGAGGTGAAGTTGGCAGCGGCACAGCAGCCTTGGCCGCTCTCTTGGACCTGGTCTTCATTTCTGAGCTAGCTCTGCACGGAGGAGAGCGGATACGGTGATGTTGCAGTGGGACAATAGAAGACGGGAGAGCGGGACAATGAGAGGCAGATGATGGAATAGAAAGAGGCGGTGATTGGGAAGTGATTTTCGAGTCCTTTGCCGGGATCAACGGTTGAAGTGGGCGAAGGCAGCTTGGTTTGTTTTGTTTTTTGTTTTTGCTGCGAATATTCGGGAGTCGAATTCAATACAGGCGGTTATAGGTGTGCTGTAGCGACCTGAAGCGCAGCAGCTGGCGGACCCCAAGCCTAACCCTGCTTGCAGCCGCTCGATCCAAGGGAGAAATTGGGTTTGGGAGAGAAAAAGTGGCTGACTGGGGGATATTTTGACCTGGCTTGCACTAAGACAACGCTAAGCTGGTGATTTTGCCTGGTGCGGGCCTCTGGGTTTATTTGTATGGGAGAAAGAAGCTCTGATTCTGATGGATAGCTTCCGTTGTGAGTAGTAAACGGCGGAGCTGCCATCGAAAAGGAGCAGAGCGTGGAGCGTGCTTTTTCCAGCACAGATGAGTGAATCAGCCTATTAGAAATTCACAAAAAACGCGGCCTTTGTTGGCTTTTGTGCTACAAGTGCGTTGTTGACTTTTTTTGCCAAGGGCACGGGTCTCCAAGCGGCGTTTTGATTTTGAGCTCGAGGTCGACCAACTCCCACTTACTGTGGCAATACACTTTGACAATGGATATTCACTGACCCCGTAACCCTGATGCATGCGTACAAGGCAGGCTACCCTGATTACGCGCTTATCAAGTCGATTCACGGCGAAGACAAAGAAACACAACAATGGCCAGAGGCTAGACAGAGACGAGCAGGTCCTCTCTAACCCTACCCTGTTCCTCAAGCAAGAGAAGAATTCGCTGCCAGGTCTAGCAAATATGAAACTGGGCATTTACCAAAGCGATGATTGTACACATGATTTTGATCACGGCGCAGTTAGGCTGGGGCAAAAAAAAGGGGGGGCTGCCGGTCGATTCTCTCTGGTGGCATTCTGTCGGCGTAGCGATATCAGCTGCGATTGTCTCCGGTTGGCGTCGTCGCGAACCTGCCTCGCAGCTTGGGAAAAGCAAAGCATTCAAGAATCTAGCAATTTCGGATCCTTGAAGTGCCTTTACTGGCACCTGAACAAGAGAGACGTTCTTATTATAGTCTACTGATTGACGTGGAATAAAGTACACTCTGGGGCTTGCAGCTGTAGTTTTGGTGACGAGCATTTGACGTAAAGCTTCTGGAAACACCACCAGATCAAAGGCCAACGAAATTCTTGCCCTTGATACTGTTTAGTGCGCTATGCCAACAAGCTACAGGTAGATGGTCTGCCGACTGAAAGCATACCTGACTGAAAGCATACCTGACTGAAAGCATACCTGGACAAGGTGGCCTAATTTATGCTACAACAATTAGCATCTGTTTACCCTATATCGCAGTCGGGAATTTTCCATTAGGATTTAGAGAAGCAATCACGGAGATGCTAGGAATTTTGCAAATATACAGCGCTTTCTTCTGCATCCCCTTCAAAGATGTACTGCTCGTGATCATGTGGAAAGCTGGCGACTTTCTGCGTTGGGGCTGGGGCTTGCGTGAGGATGCACTTGCTTGCTTTTTTTTTTTTTTTTTTTTTGTGTGCTTTGGCAGCATGTGGCCGAAATATTAACGTCTACGTTATCGCTGATGATATTGCGATGAGCATGACGAAAACCCAAGCGAGCGATCGGATCGCAGACCGAATCTCAGCGGATCTATATGCATTGTTGGAAAGCTGGCTCTTGATGGTGCATGCCACCATATCCCAAGATCTAGCTGCTATACTTGCGGGCTGGCCTGGGCACCAAAGCACAAGATGGCATACGCGAGGCGTTCGCGCTGATGAAGCCTCGATATATGCTACCCCTCATCTTGCAGCATCACTTCGAGATCGTATGCTCTTACGCGCCCAGATCTTGGAATCGAAAGGTCAGCGCAGCTAGCCAACGCTATGCAAGACGTGGAGCTAGAATTGCATTTAGCAGCCGTCCACATATGCATGAAATGGAATGGGGTACAAGAGGAGCCTTTTCTTCTTCTTTCTCTCTCCTTTCCTAATTTATACTATATCCAACCTTTTGTTGTACTTTGGATTAACGCGCGGTGAGCCTCCAAGGCAATCGCCGAGATCGATCTGACAGGTTAGATGAAGATGATCTGTGCGACTTCGGCGGTCGGCCCAAATCTTGACGGCATTTCCACCCCTTGATGCGAACAAGAAAGCTTACCAGCACGTCTGACGTATATCAACTTGTGAGATTTTTCCTTTTCTACTAACTGAAGTTTGTACTGCTTGTCTTCTCACAAGGGAGAACAAAAGACGTTTCTCGATGCAATTGAATAATAAAATTACATACAACTCACACGAATCAATACTGCAGCAGCTCAGCTGACCAAGTACGCTCCATCTGCAATACATCTCCAGCCAATTGGTAGATGCATGTAGTATTTTGCATGAATCTGGTTAACTCTACGCCCGGTCCGAATGGCCTATTTCACATGTAAGGGTGTGAGAAAGAGCAGGGGCAGACGGGTCGGATAAGAGGCTGCAGGTAGGGGCTACGTGGGCACTGTAGCACTTTGAACCATAACAGGACTGGCAGGCGCAAATCCTAAGCCTACAGAGGGAGGAAGCAGGCCGGGCACCCCGTCTTTTCCCTTCAACTCCACGACCAACTGCATATCAAAATCAATATTATCACCGCTTCGAGGCCCAGCAACGGACAACGCGCGCATGATGGGTGTGATGATTTCCATTTTGATAGGCGCATTTGAGTCTCGTATGATGCTCCATGCATCGGGCTTGCAGCTCCTCAATACCAGGTAGTATGGATATCCTACCGTGAGATGGTCATCTGCTCAAGCCGCGCCTACATCTATATAATCCGGCCTGTTCCACATAGTGGCACTCGCCTATCATAATTGCCGTCCATGGCTCAGACGTTGAAAGGAAAGCGGCCGCGAGCAGATGAATTCCTGCCAGACCACATCTCCAATAGGTCAAAGTCAAGCGGCTCGGCTCGCAGGCCATCCAACTTCCCTCCCGAATTCTACGACGGCTTGTCAAAGATTTGGCTTACGCCTCGTGCTCTGCGAGAGCTCGACCGGCGGAACGAGAACCTCCCTCTGTCCAATTCTAAGCCTGCGGCAGAGTTTGTAAAACCTCGTGGCGCAAAGCTTGCTGCGCTTGCGAAACTTGGTGTCTCGAAGCGTGCCCAGTTTGCGGCATCTGGGGGCCCAGATCTCAGTGATCTCAAAGGGGTATGTGTGCAAACTATTTTGTCGTTAAAAACTACAGGCTGACCGCCTTGCTCAGTATCCAGAGCCAACGAACGTTACTCACTCGATGGCGTCGCCAATGCTCCCCTTGAACCGTGATACAGCATCTCTCGTGTCCTCAAGCACCCGGCAAACGCGGCGAACTGGAAAAAGGTCTGCCACATCTAACAAAAGCAAACGCACGTCGGCATATGACGACAATCTCGAGCAGCATTGTCTAAAATACTGCATCTACTTTCCTCGACATAGATTCTCCAACGGTAGGCGTCCACCTAAACCGAATAACCTCAAAGAGATTCGCAAAGCTCTTGAACAGCCAGGGCGCTCTCTTTCCTCTTCCACTGCTCTCGAGACAGCCCACGATGACTTCTTGGATAAACTTCCGGGTGCAACCGAAGATGACCTGGTGCGCAAACTAATTCCGCTTCTTGTTGGTGACGTGGATATCTCAAACAGTGGCAACTGTTTCTTTACCAATTTACGCTCGAGGACTGGGTATACTACAACTACACCACGGCCCGATTACTTCGAAGGAGCTCTTCTTGAAGATGTGGACATGACTGTAAGAGATGACCTGAAGAATCAAATAATCCCGACAAAAAACGCAGCAACTCCCATCGTGCCCAATTTCTTTATGGAATTCAAAAACAATGCAGGAAAAATGAAGGTAGCGGAGAGGCAGACGACAATGAACGGCGTGCACGGAGCCTATATAATGCATGCCCTGAAGAATTATCGCCTGGACGAGGAAATTGAGTACGATGGCAACGCCTATGCATTCACGGCAACTTTGGTTGATACATACCTCAGACTATACGCACATCATCTGGCAGCCCCTTCCCAGCCTGGTGATCGACCTGGTTGCTATGCCACTTTGCTTAAAGCTTATGCGCTAGACGATGAAGAGGCTTATTTGGCAGGCAGGGGAGCATTTAGGAATCTGAGGATGAGAGCAAAAGAAGACCGCGACCGCTTTATTGCGATTGCCAATGCGAGGGCGCGGCGCCTAAACACAGTAGATGAGGGCACGGACGATGGAAGCACGGAAAGGGGTGATAATTTCAGCAGGGCCGGAGAAGAGCAGCAAGACCAAGGCTCAAGTCCTCTTGACTTTTACGACGCCCATACGTTTATCGAGCCGGGCGAGGGCACCCGGGACGCTGCCCAAAACGCCACCCAGGAAACCCAAGACACCACCCAAGACAGCCAATTGACAAATGCTGGGTTGGCCCTTGACTATGATACGGACGATGCCGAGGTCGGCGTTGATGGGCTGTCTAGTTTTACAACGATTAGTTACGAAGAAGATTACCGGCGACCTCGGCGTCAGATCAGAAGAGCACGCAGTCCTCTGGCATCTTCTTCCACTCGCCAAACACCACGCAATGCCCCGTCTTCTTCTTCTACTCGGAAAAGAGCACGCAGCCCTCCGTCTCCTCCTGTCACCCGGCAACGTAAGAGGCGGCTTGAATCAGCGGGATGAGGTACATTTATAAAGGTTTTTGAAGATATATTTCGGATGTCAAAATCTTTCAACTTGTCTATGGACTGCAAGATACCCTCTGATTATTATCGAAATGCAGTATTTTATTCTGAGCCTTGGGACGCAAAGGCCTGACATGTGTTCCAATTGTAGAGAATAGAGAGATTGGGCCTGAACTCTTTTGAACAGATGTGAATGGATAACATGTTCAGCTTGTTGCCGCTGCGAGTCATCTCAGTCATCTGCTACTGACGTTTCTGGAAGCTTAACAAGCGACTCTTTGGTCTCAATTATAGCATATCATCAAGGTATACCCAATTTGGAAAGTATATACAAAACATGGGCCGCTGACCCAGAGGGAATAAAGAATCAGACAAGACTCAACCATTCAACATCAACTTATGGCAACTCAAGCTCATAGACATAGCTAATGAAACCCTCATTCACTCCTGAGTGATTGATAAAGGAGGGTCTACCATTCTGAGCTGGATGGCCAGAGCCAAAGAAGATCTCCAAGAGTGCATCTGGATTGGCAGCGACAGAGTGATTCAGCTCTCCATCAAGCTGAAGCTGAACTTGGAGCATTGGAGTCATCCGGTCAAAATTCTCTCCGAATCATTACAAAGTTCAATGACACAACGAGGAGGTACTCGCTCTTACATGTGCTAGCCACATTGGGTCACACGTGCAGAGCTGACTACATAGAGCCTCCTGGCTGTTTGTGAAACTCCTAATCAGCGGAACAAGGTTCAGTGTTGCTTGAGATATCCAAGTAGAGCTGAGGGCAATTGAGCATGCGCTTTGGTGGTATACAACTGTAAACACCAGGTTTCAATCAGTTTTACAAGAACAGCTTCATGCGATATGCGATATTCTAAAAGGCTACACGGTTCTGAATAGATGGACGCGCAATATGGTTTCCAACTTGCAGTCAAAGCCTCAGTATTGTACAGAACCAAGAGGTGAATGCAATAAAAACAACCAGGCGGTAAGACACCAGACCCGGTCAGTACCATTGGAAGTGACGATCTCCATACCGAGCTGAATCGCTCGAGTGGGCGAGCTTGTTTTCCAGCTCGGAGAAGCGGTGAGTCCCTGGCAAGGTTACCGCAATTGGCAACTGATATTGGAGCCACAAGCTTGGATCGACTGGCAGCATCGGATTGCAGCTTTGCAGCCTATCAATTGGCCTTATTCTTCTTCTTGCTGGGTTTAATGGAGGCTGGACCGGCATTATCTGGGCCAAATATGCCTGAGAGATACGCAATGCGGGTAAACGCAAGAAACAGCTATGGCGATTTGACACGTGGTTAGCGGTAATGCCAACAAATACAGCAGCCCAATCCAAACCCCAGCAGCCTCTCTGCTCGAAGAGAGACGAAGGTACACTTACGGTGGCTCCTAGATTCCCCCAGGCCATGGCATTCCACCCAGACACGTCAAAGAACCTCTCAGAACCCATGCCGTACCATGTGAAGCCAACGTGGCCAGCATCAGCAATCAGGAGGGCGATGAGATAGCTGCGGATGACTTTGATCTCGGAGGTGGACCAGAACAGAGACAGGCCCACGAGACACATGCCCAGGTACATGTTGCCTAGTTGGTGGGCCAGCACGATGCTATTCTCCGAGGCCACGAGAGGCTTTTCCTGGGGGATCTGCTGCGCAACGAACCATGCCGGGTCGTAAACGGCACCAAGGAAGCCTGCCACGCTGTTGTCGTTTTCCACTCAGACGAGAGGTTAGCTGTGTATACAGAGGTAGTTGTAGTTGCCAATTACGGATACGAAGTACTACTGATAAAGGGAATCACCAGTGATAATGGACCTCTCTAACTCTCAATAGATGATGCAAGCAAGCATCCAAGAACCAAAAGACAGTGGCTCGAAATGGACAAGTAAAGGATGCGAGATGGATGGATAGAGACAAGATTTCTGCATCTGGAATGGCTGGTTGCCTTGATTGCCAATTGGGCTGGATTGGGATTGAGAAAACAGTGAGCAAGGATTGCGGGCTTACAGCGACATGGGCTCAAGGATCGTAAAGACGACGCGGGGGAACTGCGGCAGCGCAGCAGCCATGATGATGATGGATGTGCGTTGTATAAACGTTGGATGGAGTAGTGAGGGGTTTGGGCACTTGATTGGAAGCAGCAGAACAAGACTGAATGGCTGGTGGGATAGATGGCGAAGATGGAGATGGGATGGAGATGAGATGGACACGCGTTGTCAACACGGCGACTCGGAAGTTGAAAAAGGGCTGTGGAGACGGAGCAATAGCTCTCCGTGTAGTCGTAGTCGTGGTCGCAGTACTAAGGACGCGGCAAAGCTGCTCTGTTGGTGACGATGCCCAATCTTGTGCCGCTGGACTGTTGGTGATGGAAAAAAAGAATTGAAATGCTGGATTGTTCAAGAAAACATGGAATGGCGATTGGACGCCTTCCGCGGCGTTGGCTGGCCTGGCTCGACGATGAAGCCGACAATGGCCGAAGCAACGCAGCGCAGCATCGTCTCAGCCGTGTTTTGGGCAAATTCCCCTTTCGGCGAGGGGCAGCGATGGCAGAAAACTTGCAGTGGCCAGCACCACTAACCTTTAGGCGGGGCAGCAGCAGCAGCAGCGTGTTGGTGCTGAAGCGATACGTGATTATTTCCATCTTCTTCTTCCCGCGGCGCTTACATGCAGTTGCTTTGCCGCCGTCACGTTGTCTCTTCTCCATCTTTATTTGATCCAAGTTACTTGTGCTTCCTGTCTTTTGCGCCCAACTATCTTGTGCATCTACTTGCTTCTGCTAGACGCGATGCGACTGCGCGTTGGTGCTGGTGAGACTTTTGTAATTGAGCCCTTTCGGATGCCGACGGAGCGCGCGGGTGGGTGGTACATACATGTATTCCAGGCAAAGGTATCCCTAATAAGCACTACAGATGAGATGGCATATTGAAGATGGATATAAAGTCTGGATGGGACGACGTCTCGAAGGGATTGACTGATTGATGCGGAATCACTACGTGTACAAGTAGGCCACAGCCGGATTCATCCGTGATTTGTAACCACAGTCCCTGTGCTCTTCTCAATTCTCTGCTTTCCTTTTTTTCACTCGACGTGCTGTCTCAGGCGTCGTCCGGCCACTAAACCTCATTCTGGCCCTTCTCCATTCCTCCTTGAGTTGCTTCACGTGCTGCGACTCGTCCGGCCTCTTGTCCCTTTTTCCTTTTTCTTTGCCAGGCCCCGTCCCGACTCGACTCAGGATTTTGCTCGCCCTTCCCAAAGCAGATTCAGCCGCAGCAGTAGTGGGCATCGCGTCACCGGGAAGAGAGAGAGAGAGAGAGAGAGAGAGAGAGTCTCGTCATTTTGCAGTTGCAGGTGCAGTCGCTAAACCGTCAACTGCACTGCACGAGCTTTTTAGCCTGCTGGCGGGCTGCTGTAGACCCAAAAGAGCCTCAGCCAGTGAGATTCGGGGCTCCCAGGCACATCCGAGCGTCCGTCACTTCAGCTCCCTCAGCTCAGCTCCAGCTTCTCCCTCGATCCGTCCATCCCTCTCGCTCGCTTCTCCCTCTCCCGCGCCACTACGCGCCGTCTTGTCTAATCTTTTTTGCCTTTTTACTTTTACTTTTTCCCCTTCTTCTCCCACACACTCTCTCTTTCCTTCTCCTTTCCCATCTTCGTATCCCTCATTCATTTATTCATTCGCTCTCCTTCCCTCTCCCTACCCGTCCTTTGTCACTCTTTGTGCTGCCGTCAAATCAAACCACGCCACTTCAGCCGCTTTACTCACGTGCGGCCGTTCCATCATCCAACGCCTGGACTGACATCGAACTTGGCCTGGCATCAACCAATCATTCTGTATTCAATGCTGCGGCTCAGCGACTAAGTTCGCACGGGAACGAACATGGCCACCATCGAGCCTCGTCTCATCCATCTCTTGAACGATGAGCCAGCGCGGCCGGAGCCTTCCACTGCCGACTTACACCAACTGCCGTCGCTGCCGTCGCTGCAATTGCCCACCCATGCCGGCACTCGTGATGGGCCTCTGCCGCCGCTACAGCTCGACGGGCTTCGCTCGGACAGCTTCCTGGGCAGCTCTGGACGACATGCCATGCTGCCGAGCATCAGCGGAGGAGGCCATGCCGTGACATCTTCTCCGGCCAGAGACCAGGCCACGACGGCCTCGCCGGACTACAAGAAGGACTCAGACTACTGCAGGGAAGGCAAATATGCCGGGAGCTCGGGCGTGTTTCCTCTGCGGCTGCTGTTGAGCGACGTGCCGCCCATGTCTGTGTCTGTGCCGCCTGCGCCCTATCTCTCCTTCTCCAGCATCCTCAACGATGACGGGCCAGACTTTCATGATGACACTCATCTGCCTTCGTTACCCTCGCTATATGCTTCTGGCGCTGCTGCCGCTGCCTCTGCTGCGGCCATCTCTGCCTCTGCTGCAGCCTCCACTTCCACTTCCATCTCTACCACTTCTACCTCTACCTCTACCTCTGCTACTACTCCAGCCTTTGCTTCTTCTATACCTCTAACTCCTCCTCCTCCTCCCGTCTCAATCTCCACCGCTTCTCCTTCCACCACTTCCAACTCCAAGAAACGACCGGCTATCCACATCAAGGATGATTTCTTACAGCTTCCGCAGCCTGCAAAGAAGCCCAAGGCACATCAGGCACCCTTCATGCCGCCCATCATCAACGGACTCTTCGAGCCGCCACCCAACGTCGCCCTCTTTCCGCCCATATCGTCCAGTGTTTTCGATGACACCGACGCTGGCCAGTCCAAGCTCCTCCACGAGCTCAGCTACAGCCCCCCGGGGCCCCGCTTGTCGCCGGAGCCAGACCAACCTGTGCCCAAGCCAAGAGCGTCAAGAAAGCGTTCAAGCAAGCCCAGACGGAAATGGTCCGAGGAGGAGACGAACCACTTGCTCATGGGCGTTGATCGACATGGTGTAGGCAGATGGACCAATATCTTGGACGACCCGGATTTTTTATTTAATTCCCGGACAGCGGGTGATCTCAAGGATCGCTTCCGCACCTGCTGCCCGGAGGAAATGAGGGTGATTGACGGTGACAGAACCAAGGCTCGTGCCAAAGGGCCGCTGGTGAACAAGATGTCGTCGCCCAAAAAGCCGGAAAAGTTGAATGACGAGTCCCCTGATACTGTCATGGCCGACGCAGGCGACATGCTGCCGAACAAGGACCAGCCAGCCAGCTCTAGTCCAGTCGCATTTTCTGATGACCGTCCCGCCAAGAAGACTCGTGCTCATCGCATGAGGGTGTCGGATCTGGTGGGGCTCGGCATTACAGGGCCCTTTAAAAAGGCTCGTCGGCGGGAGAGGACCACCTTTACCACCCGAGACGACCAAGAGATCTTGCAGGGCCTCGAGACATATGGGCCGACGTGGACCAAGATTCACCGTGACAAGCGCTTTCACCTTGGCAACCGGAAGCCTACGGATCTTCGGGACCGCGTGCGAAACAAGTATCCCTACATTTACCAACGCATCGAAAAAGGCATCTTCCAGCCCAAGGATGTCAGCACCAACAACATTCTCGAGCCAATGGTCAACATGACCATCAGCCATTCCTTCCAGGCTGCTCCCACCAAGCGCGGAGAGACTCCAAAGGAGCCGCAAAAGTGGTCATTCCTGGTGACTAATTCCTCGGAGCAGTCTCAGTCTCGGTCTCAGTAACCAGCTTCTAATTCTGAGAAATCCCGTAGCCGCCAGCGACGGGTTACGATGAATACCCATCGACCACAGCAACAAAAAAATAAGCATCATTACAGCAACTATCGCAGCTCTTGTTCTACTACATCTAACCTGCATCTTTTTCTTCTTTTTCTTTCCTTTGACTGGAGCATTTGTCCAAGGCACGGAAAAGGCCTTTTTTTATTCAAAGAGCTCTAATAATTCCGTGCTTCACTTCGAGAGTGTTGCCATCTTGAGCTCGCATATGGAAAGGGGACAGGCAAGGATTATAATACCCGTATTTACGTTACACATGATGGGATGGGATGGAATGGGAGGAGTTATAGCAATACACAGGCCAATGAATTGATTTCTTTAGTTACCAATCTATCCATCTAGCAGTCTATTGACCTGCCGATCGGATTCTCTGACTGCCCTCGTGACGCTCGTCTTAGTAGGTTTTGTGGAGCCTTTCTCCATTCCATTCATTCGGAGTAAGTTGGAGCCTCGTTATGGAGACGGTCGGAAAAACAGCGGCATTGGATGCAAGGCTATCTCACGTGATTTTCAACTTTGCTCTTTACCAGCCAGCCTTAGGGCAAGAAGCCCCCACATTTTGGCGCTCACGAAGCGAGAAGAAAAAAAAAGAACGAGCCGCCAATTTCATTTTAGATCTTGATCCACGCTCAACCTTTTCGTCGTTCTCATCATCCGACAAATCAGCCAGTCGTCACCATGGCCCGAGGAATGTGAGTACCAGCAATGAGAAGCAATGTCGAGAAGCCTCTATCCATCATCATCACCATCCTCTTCATGTTCTATCTCGTGAAGAAGAGAAGGGAGAAGAAAAGGAAATATCGTGTTGGCGCAAATTGACTTTGCCGAGCAACACTTTATTTTTCTCGAAGATGGGGCTTCAAGCCATTGGAAGAAGATACGCTCAACAACACCATGGAATCAATCCAGCTGACCATTCTCCTCTCACAGCAAGAAGCACCAGAAGCGCCTTAGCGCCCCCTCCCACTGGCTCTTGGACAAGCTGTCCGGCCTGTACGCCCCCAAGCCCTCTGCCGGTCCTCACAAGCTCCGCGACTGCATGCCCCTGATTGTCTTCATCCGAAACCGCCTCAAGTATGCTCTCAACTACCGCGAGACCAAGGCCATCATGATGCAGCGCCTCGTCAAGGTTGACGGCAAGGTCCGCACCGACATCACCTACCCCGCCGGCTACATGGACGTCATCACCATTGAGAAGACTGGCGAGAACTTCCGTCTCATCTACGACACCAAGGGCCGCTTCACCGTCCACCGCATCCAGGCCGAGGAGGCCGAGTACAAGCTGGGCAAGGTCAAGCGCGTTCAGCTGGGCCGTGGTGGAATCCCATTCTTGGTCACGCACGATGCGAGAACGTGAGTTGTTCTGTCAGACATCATTCAGCCGTTGGATCAAGCTTTGGTCGATTCTTGGGGGGGATCAAAGAGAAGGAGAAGGACACAGAAGAAGAAAACTTAAGAAACTTCCTCTCTTCCCTTCCACCCACCTTTCTTTTTTTACTATCCTTTGGCTTTGCTTTTCTCTCCCACTTTCTCCCCCATTTCTCTTCTCTCAGTCCGGAGAGATTAGAAGGAGAAAAAAACGAGAAAGGCACAAAAAAGCTCGAAGGAAAAAAAAAGAGGAAACGATGGAAGCTTTATTCTACGGCTGTATGTTCCCCCATTTCCCTCTGCGAGTGCTAATTGTTCTTGTTCAAAACAGCATCCGTTACCCTGACCCCCTGATCAAGGTCAACGACACCGTCAAGATCGACCTTGCCACCGGCAAGATCACCGACTTCATCAAGTTCGACACTGGCGCCGTCGCCATGGTCACTGGTGGTCGTAACATGGGCCGTGTTGGTGTCATCACCCACCGTGAGCGCCACGACGGAGGCTTCAACATTGTCCACATCAAGGACGCCATTGACAACACCTTTGCCACCCGTGAGAGCAACGTCTTCGTCATTGGCCAGGAGAAGCCCTGGATCTCCCTGCCCAAGGGCAAGGGTGTCAAGCTCACCATTGCTGAGGAGCGTGACCGCCGCCGCGCTCTGGCTCACTAAGGAAAGAAAGAAGATGTATAGTAATCTTTTCTTTTTTTCTTTCTGTTAGTGGATAAAATGATATCCAAAAAAGATCAATGGTTAAAACAAAAACAATGGCATATATGTGGACTGGAGTCTCGGATTTGATGTTTGCTTTTTAGTAAAAAAAAAGGGAAAGGAATTTTATTTCCTCAAGTGATTCCCCCCTTTTTTCCATATTTCTTTCCTCCCCCTCTGGAGATAGCCAGCCTGCGGGGTTTAACGAACGGAAGAGAAGACATTCAAAAGATTTTGAGCCCAAGCTGCTCTGTTCACGTGTGCAAGATTCTTGTTCTTTTTCTCTGGTGAAGACTATTGATGTGATTGTGCTTTGTGGTTGTGAGGTAGATACTATGTTGCTGACGGACGGACATGCTGCTCTTGTTTTGTCTATACTCTTCATTTTCCTTGTCACTCTGTCTCTCTTGAAGACAAGTTGGGGAATAGCGAGACGAGAACTTGCAATGGTAGAAAATAGTAGGAAAACAGAATAGTTGTTTCTCTACTATTTTTTTACCGTTCCAAGTTCTCGTCTCGCTACTCTCCCTCTTGCCTTCACGAGTGTTTCTCCCTCCTTACAAATCTTTTGGTCATCCTGAAAGACGCTCATGTCAATACAACTTACTTCTTGTTCTCCCTTGTCTCTGTCCAAGACCATTTCCAATATCATAAAATTCGAACCATCTTGGGAGCAAATAAGTCAGAAATTAGATCATCACGACTAGTCACCAAACACGCTATAGCTCTCCGTATACACCGATACAACAAAGAATATATATTCTATCCAAGCACGCGTCTTGCGACTTTACCAAGATATCTATCCTGCACTTCTAACCCTGTTACTTAATAAACAACAACTCAAGCCCCTGCCTCAGCCTCGGCCTCAGCCTCAGCCTCAGCCTCGTCATCAGCCTCATCCTCTGCTTCAAAGAAATGCACCACCTCTGGAGCATGCGTAGCGTTGCCATTCACGCTCCCTTCATACTCCAGATACCCCGACACGTCCGGGAACCTGGCCTTCATGATGTCGTGCGCATCGCCAAATACCCAGACCGTCTGCATTCCCATGACCATGTGCTGTAGCGTATGGCAATGAATCATCCACACGCCGGCATCCTCCACCCTGAGCCGCCAGGCGCGCCAGCCCCACGGCTGATTCTCCTGCACTCTCCTTGTGTATCGAAAGAGCATCGATGTGTCTCTCCGTATGGGATGCGTGCCTTTGAGCTGCCGCTCGGCAACGTCGGGATGAAAAGCTCCCGGTCCTCCTCCAATGTCGTATATATGGCTGCCGTGGGCGTGCCAGGGATGCGTGTCGAGGCCTCCAGACCAGAATTTGTCGCGATTGCGCGAGCCAAGTTGCTGGAAGACAATCTCAATGACTTCTCCCAGCTTGGCAGGGTACGTCTTGGTCCGCGGATCGATGCCGTTGTTGGCAATGGACGCTTCATAGTTGGGCAGGTACTGGCTCGCATTCTTGTACAGCGCCACCAGGTAAGGCTCATTTGGGCTGGTCTGCATGGGCAAGGGATGCGTATCTACCCAGGAGACATTATTGTCCGTCCACAGGACGTAACTGTCCACCTGTTGCTGGGCGTAAACCATGACTCGGCGGGTGACCTGATCGGCGGTAGGGAAGTTGTTGGGGAAGAGGGGCTCCAGCTTGTAATCCAGAAAGCCGTCAATCGTGGGAGGGAGATTGATGGGCCTCTTGGAGGGAACGGCAGTTGTCGAGACATATGGATTGCCGCCAATGCCGCAAGTATTGCGATAGCGCAAGATGGCGTAGCTGACCACGTTGCTGGGCCGATCGCGAGGCTCTATCTGTATGTAATAATCCAACATGCCAGTACGTCGAAGCTCCTCGCACGTCTTTGCTTTGAACAGCGCGCTGAACCGCTGGCCGGAGCCAATCTGCAGCAGAGGCGTGGAATAGGGCTTGGTGTAATCGCCGTCCACCTCAATCACCTCAAGGTCATGATGGTCCTCAAAAGCGATGGCGATGTACGACAGTGCCATGGCGCCAATGAACCTGAACCTATACCACTTGCCGGGATCAATCTCAATGACGGTCAGCTTGGAGGATCCCGGATCAACAACGTGGTAAATGGATATGGTATCCCCGTTGACGAGGAAGCCGCCCGCCTCTCCGGACCATCGAAACGGCGCCGCCCGAAGACCTGCGACGATTTCCTTGTCTGTTTCGTAAAAGAGTTCCGATATGTGCAAGACACGGTCACCGTCGACGGGATACGGCTTGCGGCGATCGGGCGGATCGTCGACAATCAGGGGGCCGGTTGCGGTGCTGGTCTGGAAATCGACGTGCGAGTGGTAAAAGTAGGTGCCGGCGGTGCCCTCGGGCGTCCTCAGCTCGTAGTCGAAGTAGTATTGCGGCGGGATGGGCCACTGGCTGGCCATGGGCGTGCCGTCCGAGAAGGGCGCGGCAGCTTGGGCGAGGCCATGCCAGTGCTATGGTCGTGTGTCAGTTGGTTCTCCGTGTAGCTATGAAGATGACTTGCTGTTGGCTTACTATGGTGAGGTTGGCATCGTGCATGTCATTGTACACTCTGATCCAGACGACTTTGCCCTCGGGGATGTGCAGCTCGGGCCCGGGCAGCGAGTCGTTGACTAGCGTGGTGTATCTGATGATGCCACCGACGCAGAATTCCTTTCTCGAGATCCGGAGCACATGGGTGGGAGTAAAGGAGTCATCGTGTACTCGTGGCGCCCCGGGTGTCCATGTTGGTTTGGCAGCGGTGGCCGTAGAGATGAAAGATAAGAGGGCACATGATATCAATGTCAGCCAGTGCATTTTTGGCGAGGTGAGAAGGCAGTCTCATTCACACCGCGGAAATGCGTCTTTTCTTTCCCTTCTCTCCTGATTCGGTACCCTGACAGGATTTTTGGAAGGAGCGACACGATAAGAGTTGTTGGGAGCCCATCATGTTCATCGGAAGCGATGCTACATGTTTTATGTTTGTTGAGGTACTGTTCATGTATCTCCCTTTATGTATCGGTTTTGGTATTTTGTAGCCCATTCCATCCGGATTGGTGCTTGGATGCCGGCGCGGATGGGTTTCGATTGGTATATTTCCCAGAGGAATGGCATGGCTTCTACGGCATATACAGTTCTACAAAGAACTGTTCCTGAAGCGGACTTGATTGCAATAAAAACTTCAAGGTAGCCTCGAATTATTTGGAAGAAGCGTAGACTCTGCAAGTACGTCGCGATACATGGAGAGCAAAAGATGGAAGCGACGTCTTCAGAATCAATTGGGGCACGCTACTTGAACTTTAATCTTTTTTGCCAAAAACAGATATATTTTGGTGGATGCAAGGCGCCACGATCCTGTATGGGCGATGCGCATGGCTATCGATGTTGAAAATGGCCATGTTTTTTTTCCCCGTTGCCTCTGGTATGGAGGGAGGTTGGAATGGAAGATCGTCCTTTCTATCATCTCCCACGGCAAGCAACGATTTCGCTAACCATTGAATATTGAGACATGAAAGACGGTTTAACGGTTTACTATTTACATTCCTTATAGCTACTGTGCTTTTCTTCTACGAGCTGGCCTACAAAACTGCCGACTGAAAGCAGTGTACTTGAGCAGCGAAAACAGGCTCATTTGGTGATGCTTTCATCAAAGAACAGTCGGCCAGAGATTTGTAAACCGGACCAAACAATCCGGAACCGCTCGCACTGAGCAGAGGAGAAGAGAGAGCAATGGGGAACTGAAAGCAGCAAAAAAACCTGGGGCATCGCCGGTAGACACATAGAATGCATCTCGAGCAACATCGTACTCTGTCCAATGAAGCGAGCCCAATCTCTCAGACAATAATTCCCACTTCTCTGCTTGTTTGCTTTCTCCGCATGATACATTCGCCTCGCTTTTTACAGACAGGCCCTCGAGGCCGTCCACTAGAATGTCTCCCGTCACATACGCCCCCCCCCCTCTCAGTAGACTATTCATCCTGCGAGTCTGATACCATCTGTCACTCGGGCTGAAAATGGATATACATGTACTATTTTTGATGCTTAAATTGGTGGCGTCTCGGCTTGTGTGATTCTGGGCCCTGCGAGATGCACGTCGGACTTTGATGCCGGAGGGGGCTGGGGGCAAGAGCCTGGTTTATCGTACTCGAGAGAAATTGCAACTGGCGGCCTGCATATGCCCCTTCATGCAGGTCTATAAGCCACAACTGGACCGGTGTGCAAGGTTTATGAGTGCAACCGGCAAGTCTTGAGACGATCATATTTGTGGTAGGACAAGACATTGGGGCTGCAAGTAGTATGGGACTGACGTGTTGTTCGAGCGGGGAAATGGCCTTGTCAGTTAGATCAATCTCGGAACAGGCATTGGTAAGTGATGAGCTCATAGATAGCATAGTGTAAGTGGCAGAGATAGATTCTGTCTTGGAAAAACACGCTGAGCGTCTATTGGATGCGGGTATCACGTACTTGAGGCGGAGTAGTGGTAATGATCAGCAGACATTGGTAAATTCTATTTGGCATATTATGTATTCCCGTGAGAAATATAGTATGCAAGTATGCAAAAGATTACGAGCAGTACAGTGCAGTGTACATTGCGGACGAGTTACAATACTACAACATTCACTCTACCTACAATTGCTCTACTGTACCGCCTCCAACTTGGTGTCTAGCACAATAACTAGCATCATCTTCCATTATGGTGTTCCCAAGTACCTGTAAGTAGGTATGGACAGGGCTTTCGGCATTATGACAGTCCGTCTTAGGCCTTTGCTACAGCCAGGGCATTCATGTCATGTTACTATGACCATAATTGCCTCAATTGTCTCGTTCAAAGTACGAACAAACGAATGGGAACACGCATGAACTCGTAGCCAGCGTTTGATGCTTGCCCCTTTTCGGACTTTATGGCTTGGCCGCATTGGATGGGTGCCTCTGATGTGCTCGTTTGCTTGCGGCCGAATCTAGCCTATCTGCCTGGCAGGGGGAGGGGGGGGAATAGGGATAAGTGCTAAAAATGAATACGCAGCCTGATGATAACATTGAGCATGGAGGACTATTGCAACGCACGGACAGACCGAATCAAGGCTGATTCCAGCGCTAGACTCAATATCCCAAGTACGTGGAGCAGCTGAGCCAGATGTCTGGCTACGGCTTGGTGGCTACACATCTGAGACAGTCTAATGAAAAGAGGACGGGACGTATTTGGGCATTCACGCGTCAGGCTCGCATCTGCCGGGTGATTTAGCGCGTGAAGCATATGCAAGGCGTGTTGTAAGTGGTTTGGCCTGCTTCGTATTGCAACACAGAATGCAACTTTGCAATTTCGGCCGAAGGAGATACCGAGCTGAGACAAGGAGAGCAGCAGCTATTTGGAAGAAGAAAAGAAAAGAAAGAGCCAAAAATGTAATAGCAGAAGGCACACAAGCGCCGTATTACCAGCCGATTATTGGACAGCGTCCGCATTGGCACATTGCGTTATGCGAGGGAGGTGTCTGGGCCGGGGATGGCTCACCGAACCTCTGGATTCGACCAATGAAACCAAATGCCGTGGATTTTCGGGCACCCATGTCCTGGACCTAATCCGTCCAGCGGCATCCCGTGAGCAGCGCAGTTTCTGGTCTCGGCAAGGCGCGGCTCCGCCGTGAACGTCATGGTGTTTTGTAAATGGGCGAGGTTGGCGAGGTTGGCGAGAAGATGGCGGGTACCTTGTGCTCTGTCAGTGAACCTGTAGTGATACCTAGCCATCAACCTGATCTATTTGATACAGTATGCCTATTGAGGAGGTTTTGAGACGGACGGGGACTGGATCCACGCGCTCTGACTCCGCAGCGGCAGAGCGAAATAAAGTGGCCAGCAACAGAGGATCGAGATGATGATCGAGATGAGATGCGACGTGTCGCCGAGCGCCCATGCCGCTTCCAGCACTTTTACTGCTTTTAGCGGCTGCGTTGACAGTCACGAGGCCTGGGCAGAGGCAATACTGAGTAGACCTAGGCCCTGTGATGTATCAGACTCGAGGTTGATCGATATCCTATTAGAGTTGTGCTAAATATGGACCGAGCCGTCGCTCCCGTTGGCCGGCGATGCTTGCGTCCCAGGTACTCGGTACAGACGAGTCAGAAGAAGCCCAGGCGATCATCCAGTATCAAGACTCTTCCATATTCCATATTCCATATTCCGATGAACAGAGCCACGAAGGGAGGAGAGGGGAGGTAGTGAGCTCTGTCCGTCTGCCCCTATTCCTCTCTTTTCTTTTTCTTTTTCAGCTCGCTTAGCCGTAAATTCATTCTGCGTGTTTGCCATTGCTCGAATTGGAGGATTTGGGGCGTGCAGGTTGAGGGGCGTGTCCATGTTACGCGCCTTGTCGAGCGAGTGAGTTTGGCTGGTGCGGGGGATGCGATCCATCAGGTACAGGTACACGGCAGGGGGAGACTGCGAGCGGCGTCGGAGCGCAGGTACCGGTACATGGGCGTGGCATATGCGACCGTGCGCCTAGCAGCTCGGCAGCGGCAGTGATTGGTGCAGAGGCAGCATCCACTGAGCTTTGAGGCAACAAGGCCATCTGAAAGGAGCAATCCAGGAACCGCCCAGGTACCGGTACTTGTGTACGCACTAGAGCAGAGCGAGCAGAAGGAGCCGGCGGCAGCACAAGCGGCAGAGCTAGAAGCCCGCTAAAGCCCGCTAAGGCCCGCTAATGCAGGCATTTCTAGGTCGGGGCCTAATCGATGCCCACCGCCAGAGCGTGCTGTAAGGCTGCTGCTAACTCTACTCCCCTCCATCACCCATGATGTCCATCTTCTCTCCTTCGTCGGAAGCCGGAGAGAGGCATCCGACGATGCGATGCGATACTACCCGCCATTTCCAGCTCGCAGCCAACCGGGTCAAAGGCCTCGACTCACATTGATGGAGCCCGCTTGGCGTCACAAGGCCGGGACGGCAGGTCACAACAGAAGAGAAAATAGATTTGAAAAAAAGTTGGAAGAAAGTAGGGAGATTCGGCCTGGTCCAGAGCTGAAAACATGGGTCTGGTCTCCCCTGCCAAGGATATTGCTACTGGTGTATCCAGGATTTCGTTACTGACCGGACATGTCTTCTCAGAGTCTCTCAAGGTTGACGAACCCCGAGTCAATCACAAGGCCCAGTCTCCTCTCAGCTCCCAAGACACTGCGAAACATCATGGAGTTCGATTCACGGTACGACTCGTAATGGTAAGCCCAGGATCAGTTCTGCCATGTCTCAGGGTAGTAGCAGCAAGAAAATCAAAGAGATCGTCCGGGATGCAAGGGGAGCCATGCTAGCCGCCAGTGTGGCTGGCTGGGCTGCCAAGTTATAGCAGCATGGCTGTATCTATCAAACTGCTAGCTCTTTGACTGGGAGCCAGCTAGCGCGCCATTCCATCATCGAACCATTCGGTGAATGGCTTCAGTCAACCAGGCTTGGACAAACAAGGCCATCTCCTTGCAGCAGCCTCAAGCGCGGCTGGGTTTCAGATGACTTTCAGCTAGTACATCAAGTGATGGCATAGAGCACAATACTTTTTTCCCCATGCACAGCTAGTTTACTGCATAACTAAATCTATATTTATAGGGAATACACAACCGCCGCAAATCTGCCTCCAGCTATCAATACACCATTACTGCATCCACATCAGGCATACCTTGATCTCTCATCGTTTCCAGCAGTTCTAAAGTTGGTCTATATTGCATTCAGCATCTCACTTTCGTCTCTGTCACTAAATCTTTGAAGGTACAAAGTTCACGTTCTCAGCCCTGGGCTCTAGCAACTACTGATAACCACTTACAGCCACCACAATGGCAACCAGACAACCCCAGTCCGCACGCGTAAAGCTCAGCATCCTCTTCGATCTCAATCTGCCCCAAAAGGTACGTCTGGCAACCACTAACCTCTCCTTTTACGGCTTATCACTAACAACACTTTCTTCCTTTAGATACGCGGCCTCGCGGTGCCCCGCATCGTCAGGACCCCTGATGGATGCCTCACCTGCCGCCGTCACAGCTACAAATGCAACTGGGGACTACCTACTTGCGTCACATGTGTTGAAAATGGATACGAATGCATCCAGCCCGTCAGCGCCACTGGCTATGAGGACTACGTCCGTGACGGGGATGCTCAGCAACCGGCAACCAAACCCAATACGTCCAAAAGACGCAAGAACAAGAACAAGAACAAGAGCAGGAAAAGGCGCAAGCTCAATTACCAGAAAAGGTTTGGCATCAAAAACGAGCCCAAGGCAAAAGAAACCATGGCCCAGATCAAGCCCAAGTCCCGCTTTGATGATGGCGTCATTAGCTGGAACCCGCACCTTTCCCCTGTGTTCCAGAAAAGGAACCCGTTGATTCCCCTCCCGGAGAAGACTGCCACTCATCGATGCACCCGTCAGCCCGCACCATTGTATGCTCCTGGGCCGGAATCTGGAACCGAGCCTGGGGCCAATCCCGGATCCGCATCTGCCTCTGGTCCCGTGGCTGGGTCCCAGCCCGAGTCTTCTTCTGCATCGGCATCGGCACCGGCACCGGCATCGACATCTACAACTGCATCTGGATCTGCTTCTTCCGGGTCTGCATTTGAATCTGAGTTTGTGACACGCATAAAGAGGCACTTGTACGAGTCTCAGCAGCGTAAATTGGAACACACCCCCCGCTATGTCAAGAGATCCGACTCCATTTCCTCGGATGTCGATAAAGATCATGACTATGCGGTCTATTACGACTATGAGCGCGACTTTGACCCTGAAGTTCTTCCCGAAGAAGATCCCGAGCTCTCTCAATTGAGAAAATATCCTCACATGTCCAACCTCTTCGTGGTCATGGATAGCTGGCAGGGTCCCGGAGAACCTCCCCTGATCACCCGCATCGATGACTACATCTCCTACATGAGGCACAATCACCTGGAGCTAGGGTACGAAGTGACGCATCTACCACTGCTCTTGCTGCCGTCATGCGATTACACCGCAAGTGATACTCTTTTTTACTATGAGAAGCGCCCGGCCAACTGTGGCGTCGCCGACCTCCCCGATATCAACCCGGTTAACCCCAAGCTGGTCCGATTGGGCTATGCCAACCCTTTGGTCCTGCAGCTCATCATTGCTCAGCGATCTAATCATCGCGAGGTGTCTTCCGCCATCCTGCCCACGGGGGAGAGCGCGGAGCGCTTTTTGAGGGATGCTATTGCCCCATTCGGCCCCAAGATTGATCGCTATCTGGCTGGTGGCGAAGATGAAATGCCCTCCCTGTTTATGGCAAGCATCGTTGTAGCTCTCGTCGAAGTTGGTCTCCCTTTCCAGCTCCCTATTCTTCCCTCATATGTCAGTGGTGCTAACTTGATTTCGCAGAGGGCCCGGCTCGACACGCTCTCCCAGGCATACGACCATCCAACAGCAGCCAAGGCCATCTTGAACAATCTCCACACCCTCAGCTCGGAAGAAATTTTTGACAGCATGCCTGATTATCTGATAGAGTACTACATGCACACCGTCTCCTTGGCTTGCGTTGCTGCCAATCCCATCACGGCTACTGGGTTTCCATTCATCAGTGCGTCGCAGTTGGCAATTGTCGACGGTTTGGTGGTCGAAGATTACATCGGTAAACTTTCCGGAACCTGGCTCGACATAATGGCCACCATTCCACACATTTTTAGGTTGGGAGCCATCATGTACCGTCGGAAACTTGGTACATCTACATTTGAAGATACGCCCGGCGAGTTTCTCGATTTTGCCGATATAGAAGACAGGCTCCAGGCTTCTGCCCTGATTGAAGACGGAAGAAAGCGCGTCGACACCTGGCAAAAAGTCGCCCTTTTATTCAAGATTGCCGCCACATGTTACCTGTGGTCTCTCTTGGATGAGCCTCTCCTCCATAACCCAGACGTTGTTACCATAGATGAAGACGCCGAGCTCCAAGATGAGGACTATGAGTACAACGATCCGGACGAGCGGAGACAGAAATTGCACAGGGTGTTCATGAAGCAGATAATTACGCAAGCAGACGAATTGCTGCCTACCATTACATTGGATAGTGACTTCAATCTCGCCCTCTGCTGGCCTATGCTTATCCTGGGGTGCTTGACCAAAGACAAAGGTACAGAGGAATTCATCGAGCAGCGCCTGATTGACATAGCCGACCAGTCTGCCGTTGGCAATTGCCTCGAGACTCTGTTCGTTCTAAAACACGTCTGGAGTCTGCCTATGAGCGAGCGTTCCCCCTGGAGGATTTGGAAGTATGTCGAGGATTCTAGGTGCCGGGAATGTACCTGTCCGCAGTGCACACCCTTTCTTTTTTGAACGAGCAGGTAGACCATTCACTTGGTGGGTTTCATTCTTTTCTTGCCGGCAGCATTGGTTGGGTTTCTGGCGATATGCATAACTGCATGGAGCTATCATCATGAGAGTGCATATGTTAGCGAAGCCGTCTGAATGTCTCTTTCTTTCAGTCGGCAATTACTTCTTTTTTATTTCTAGACTCTACTTTTATCACGTGGGATATCCACTTTCTATTCGCCTTTGCTTCCTTTTTTTTTTTTTTGGTTATTTTGGATTACCTCTTGGCAGAAAGGTGCAGTCGCTTTGTTGGATGGTTCTTTTCATTGGAGGATTTAGTGGATTGGAGATTTATTTTATGGAGGGTTTATCTATTGGAGGGCTCATTGGAGGATTTATCATTGGAGGATTTGGCTCATTGGAGGATTTGGCGATGGGGATTTGGCGATTGGGGGATTTTTCTAATGGAGGGATTATGCTAGTGGAGACTTTGGACTATTGGAGGGTCGGGTTTAATCTGAGATTTGGACGATTGGAGGATTTTCTTATGTATTTAGACTGGCTGGGTTGTCTCTTGTCCCTAGATTGGATCACTTGGATAGAGTACAATATATTACACATTGACATTTACATCTTCAATTCATAGCAAGTCCACAGAGAGTGCTATTCCGAAGCAGCATCGAAAGAATCGTCATGTCATTTCTCGTTATTTAGCATATATACAGAGATGAGGCGCCCTTGACCTCCAGATGTCTTCCTTCTCTTCTATGTACACGAGATAAAATGACGGCATCTGCTTAGTTGCCGCCGAAAGGGCCACCGGGGATGGCGACGGCGCACGAGTAGGCGGAGAAGGCGCCGAAGATGATGGTCTCGGCGGTGTCGGCGCTGTAAGCGGCATAGGGAATGTCGCAGGCGGCAGTGCTGAGGGAGACGGGGTTAGCATTGTTGATAAACGAAGCAGAGTGGAGATGTTGGTGTTGAAACTTACTTGTAGAGATCACAGGCGTGGCCGGCCTTGATCTTGATGGACTGGACGATGGGGCTGAAATGACCATTGTTAGTTTTCTATTTGAATCACAAGTTAAAGAGAAAGCTTACAATCCAGTGACGGGGTTGCAGGCGCCAAGAGCATCGTCAGTGCCGCTGATGTCAAAGGTGGAGCCCTGGAAGTTGGGCTCGGAGTAGAGAGTGGCCTGGTTCATTGTTGATTGCGATTGTCAGCTCATCTCTTTGTATTTCTTTGACTTATTTCTGCTGGGGATTGAACATACCACGTTCTGAGCGGCGGCGACGCTGGCGAAGATGAGAGAGAGGACGGAGAACTGCATGTTGGCGGTTGTTTGGGGAAGAAGAATTGGATTGTATCTTTGGCTGTTTGGATGAAGAGCTAGTTGTTGATCGACAGGAGATTTTCACGATTTGAGGCCGGGTGCTTTATCAGTTTTATATGCATCCCTCATGCGATTGCTCTCCCGACTTCCGAACCGCCTCTCCGCAGCATACAGGGAGATCTTCGTATAGCGTTTAGCGCATTCACATACTGCAGGTAATACTCATGGTATATGCTTACGTTGTGGTAGTTCGGGTAAAATTCCGATCCCCAGCCACGCAAGAAATAGGGACAGACGAGGTAAACATGTCCACTTGCTCTTACCGAATCGGGGTTTCCAGATAGTAATCTGAGGTGCAGAGTGGGATAGTTCATCTTACGCCCTGATGCTGTACGAGCATTCAAAATAGGAAGGGTGAAATAGAATACGATGCGTGCGCTCCTTTTGTCATGATTACGTGCAAATGGTTGGGCAGACTATCTAGTGTATGGATTATGCGGTACTTTTACCTTGATGCGAAAGAGAAGTAGAGGACATTGAGCTGCCAGCAAATCACATTGTTTCACAAAAGAAGGATAACCCTTCTGTGTGCTGATGATCATACTATCGTCTCGCGAATAGCCAACTGCCGAATTGAACCGCTGCAGGGATGCGGGCTGATGATTGGCACCTACCGGAATAAGCTTGATTTGTTGTCCTGGGGTGGTTGTTTGTACAAATCTTATGTACTATACTCTGACCTCCTTAATATAGGTGGGTAGCATATTACTATACATAGGCGGGCAGTACACAATGGGCTCTGGCAATTCGATGATTAGTAGCCTACTGGAGAACCGTATGACACTGCATGTTTTGTACGTAGATGTGATTTGGTGAGGCCGCCGGGCCGATTGGGCTGAAGGAGACTGGAAGTCAACCAAATGGGTGAAAATAGAATTAGGTGTAGGAGGTCATATACAACAAGGTTCGGTGGAATATAGACCGAAATCAAGAGAAACTGGGGAGATATTTGGCATCGACCTCGCTACCTTCATGATGTCTTGGCATCTCAGAGAGTACGTTACCGCGCCATTGGTGGAACAAAATCGCCTCCTTACTGAGGACCTGCGGCCAATTGATGGCAATGAAGCTGAGGGCATAAGTAGTAGCACAGCTAGTTGATCGATTCGCCTTACCAAGTTTCCCAGCTAAGCGGGAAAATACCCGACGGTATCCTAGCCTTTCGAACGCCCATCTCAAAGAAATCCTCTGTGAGACTGCATCTCTCAATGGTGGAACCATCTTGGATCTCTGTTCGGTTAGACTCGAGGGATATGGAGATATTGGGCTGGGCTGTAAGATGACAAAGTAGCATCAGCCCAAGTCGCATTCAGCAATAGATGGACAAATATAGAGCGGGCTTGAAATCAGGCAATAGCGATTATGCATCTGCATTCCAAAGGAGTAGCAACTTGTTCCTAGAGTATACATGGGGCAAGGTAGAAGAAAAGTACTTGGTCAACGACGAGCTTTGCAGATCACACCGACAATCCAGGACCTCCAATGTTGCTTTCCTAAACTCATCCCCATGGAACTTGATAGGGATTAGCATTAAACAGAACGAGTCGCTTACAATGCCGATCCGACGTAGTATTCCGCGAAATAGCGTTCGAGAGGTTTTTCCACCTGTCTTGTTCTTTGCGTTCTTCAGCCCCTAGGCAGACAATTTTTGTACTATGCAATGCCAATGTATCAGCAAACACTTGCCCTTTTGGGTGAGTTCATGGGGAACTTGATCAGGGGGTGAGAGATGTGGAAGAGAATCGAGTTCTCCAATGAGTCTATCAGTCGGAAATACTTGTAGGCATGTTGTAAGATGCAATGTTGACAGCTGAACGACAGAAAGAGGAAATCCATGCGGACCAACCAATACAATCAATTCAAACTGTATCTCAACGCAGCTACAGACTCCGCAACAGCTCCCGTTTTTTTCTTCTTCGCGTCTGCTATTGCTTGGCGTGGGTCTGCTACAATATCGCGTTCGCGTTCTGCCGTCCAAATTATAGGCGGTAAAGCAACTTTTTTTTTTTTTTTGGGAGGGGCACTCGCTCACCGCCCGCCAAAATTTCTGCCCGCCCACCCTCTATAAAACTTCGCCCGCCGCTCGTTCTTTCGATTTTCTTTTTTCTTTTCTTCTTCACGTCGACAATACTTCAGTATGTGCCACCCCTACCTGCAGCAGCATGCTTCTAGAGCAATCGTCTAACCTTGTTTTCTTTCACAGGAGAATCATTTCTATAGTATTTGTCTCTTGCTTTGGTTCCCAAAAGAGCCATCGAATCCACCCTGGTTGATGATTGTATATCCTCGACACCCAAGAGTGAATTTTCTGGTCCTCTCGCCCTGTCCGCAAGGATGGCGGTAGTTGCCTCGTGCTTCTGCTGTATAGAGAGTTGTTCTCTTGATGATCTCGACCCTGTTCGTGGTCTTGCCTTCGGGCGCATGGGCAGGGTGGGTGTTGATGGACGTCTGACAGGCTTCTTTTTCCTTTTCATTGCACGTTGGGGCTTGCCCTGGATGCGAAGAAGACGAAGATGCGACTGTCCTATTGGATTTGGTACTGCTGGCACCGCAGATTGGCAGATTTTTTTCTTTTCTTTTGAGAAGACTACTGTTTGAATACTATCAGGGATGATATCGGACCGCAAAACTTTTCATCATAGCACAACCAGAGACAAGGATCGCGATAGGATTTTTTTCTAATGCTCTCAGGTATGAATCCATAAGAGTTCGTTGCTAACTCATTCCATTGCATGAGAATTCTAGAATGCCCACATATCCACCGCGTCACAGACTCGAGCTTTACAGCGATTGCAACTCCCGCGGCAGCCATCACTGACCTATCGCACCGATCCAGCTGCTCCAATGCATCGTCGCTGGCAACAAATATGCTGAAGATCTAGCCTACTTGTCGGCCACAGCGCTCCTGCAACCGGTAGTGATGGCTCACCACACCACCGCTGCCTGTCAACAAATCAGCCTCGGCATAGGAGCTTCGCATTGGGTCACTGAGGCTGAAGCACGCCTGCTAGAATGTGCGACGAGTGGGGCAAGTCATTGATGAACTGGTGATGTTGTACCTGCACCAAAAGTCCCTTCTAAAGTGCAAATACGAGCAAGCGAGAAGTGAAAAAAAAAAGAGACCGGCAATGATCCCCCCCGCGCGTAATGATAGCGCCGTGTGCTCCTCTGCGCTTGCCTGAAGGGTATTCACGAGCAATGATGCTGCCTCAGTGGTTGTGTTCCAGCATCCCAGTGGTAGCAGCAGTAGCGGCGGGCTGGAGTGCTGGATAACAAAACTGGGATGCTGGATACTTTTCCCTAACATTACCACAAATGCGACTTTGCTGCCCAAACCACCCCCGCAAGTCATCATCTGCTTACAGATCGTTATTTTTCTCTCTGCCCTCTATGCCTTGATTTACGTCAATTGGGTAGTCTTCTACATTGCCATGCGTCGCCTCAAGGAACGAATTCGCCGCTTGAAGAGAAAGCCTCAAAATCCAGATAGCGGTGTATCGACAGCGCCGGACGGCAACAATGAAACAGCCGCATCAGCTCTATCCAACGTCACACCGGCCCCTCTTGTTGTGGACAAATCTGCTGCAAGTTTGCCCGAACACCTTTGGGATCGAGCATATGACGAACTGAAAGCAAATGAGGCCGAGGCTGCGCTGGTAGAAGCATACGAAAAGATCCTATCTCGCCACATGGAGCCTGAAGGCGACATGGATGCGAATATAATTGCCCAAGGCAATCCAGGCGCTAGAAGAGCCCAAATGGACCGACTTGTCACGTCCGGATTGGCCAAGATAAAACGAGAAACCAAGATAAAAGACAGTCTCGACAAAGGTGTGCAAGTCGTCCTGTCTGCCAAAGACATCATTAGTTCCGCAATCCAGACTGTCCCACAAGCTGCTCTTGCTTGGACTGGTGTATGCGTGGCACTGGAGGTAAGGTATCAATACCTAACCAGGCAATACGAGAGTCTAAATCGGCTAATCTGCTGGATATTTCTTAGCTTTTTGGTAACTCGACGAGTGTAACCAAAGCCAATCGCGATGGTATCGACTACGTTATTCGGAGAATGGAGTGGCATTGGGAGCTACCTGATGCCATCCTAAGGGAGAATGCCGGTGGCTACAACCATCTCTCCAAAATGAAAGGGGGACTCGAGGCTCAGCTTATCGGCCTCTATAAACTGCTACTCTTGTACCAGATGAAGAGCGTTTGTTCTTACTACAAGAATCGCGGACTTGTTTTCCTACGTGATATTGCCAAGCTGGACGATTGGGACGGCGATATCAACGCGATCGAAAAAGCCGAAACGCTTTTTAACAAAGACTCTGATGTGCATCGGAAAGAGAAAATGAATGCCAATCTTGAGCAGATTGTTACTTTTGTGAAACAGAAAATGACAAAAGAAGATTTACAGTGTTTCAAAGACTTGGGCATCACCAACCCGATTTACGACAAGAAACGCATAGAGAGCACAAAAGGCGGCCTGCTGGAGCAATCTTACCGCTGGATCTTGGACAATCCGGATTTCCAACAGTGGCGCGACAATGAAGAGAGACGGCTGCTGTGGATTAGAGGAGATCCGGGCAAGGGCAAAACCATGCTTCTCTGCGGGATTGCTAATGAGCTGCGCAGGATAGCAGCCTCTTCTGACCTTGTTTCTTATTTCTTCTGCCAAGCGACCGATCAACGCATTAACAGTGCCAATGCCGTCCTATGGGGTCTAATGTTTATGCTTGTCGACCAGCAACCAGCGCTCATGCATCATATACGCAGCAAATACGATGCATCTGGTAAAGATCTTTTTCTAGGAGGAAATTCGTGGTTTGCTCTTTCGGGGATATTTTTAGATATGCTGAAGGATCCGGCTCTGACGAACACCTATCTGCTCATTGACGCCCTTGACGAGTGTGTTTCTGATCGGGAACAGCTATTAGACCTTGTTGTCGAAAATTCATCGGCTTCATCTCGTGTCAAGTGGATTCTATCAAGCCGGAACTGGCCCGAAATTGAGCGTCGGCTAGCTGATTCAAAAGGCCTCGAGAGAGTCAGTCTCAGCCTTGAAGTGAACGCCGACTTGGTATCACGCGCTGTTGATGCTTATATCGAGCATGAGATATCACGACTCCACCTGATAAAATACAACCCAACGATCAAAGATCAGATGCGGCAGCAAATGCGGCAAAAAGCTAACGGAACCTTTCTCTGGGTCGCTCTCGTTGTCAAAGATCTCCGGGACAGACAAGATGCAGAGTATGAGGATCCTTTACATATTCTGAACATTCTTATGGAGATGCCAGGAGATCTTACGAGTCTTTACTCCATCATGGTGGATCGCATTGACAAGCTCAAGGGAGATACTCCTAGCCTTTGTAAAAGAATTCTTTCAATTGCGGCTCTGGCATCTCGGCCACTGAGCTTGGCAGAGTTAAGAATCTTGGCTGGCTTTGACAACAATCGTATCAATGATCAAGCGATGGAAAGATTGGTCAACAAATGCGGCTCATTTTTAACGATTCGCGGTTGCACGGTCTATTTCGTCCATCAGTCAGCAAAGGACCATTTGATCCTGGACAAGCCAACTCAGCCTATCATATTCTCGTCTGGCCATGGCAAAGTTCATTATACAATCCTTTCCCACTCGCTACGAGCTATGACTTCAATCTTGAAAGAGAACATTTATACGCTTCCATATCCAGCGTCGTGCATTGATGAGATTGAAACTCCAGATCCAGATCCCCTGGCTGCTATTCGGTATTCTTGTGCCTATTGGATTGATCATCTCTGCGACGGAATATCCGACAATTGCACTCCTATACATCAGAACTGCCTTGATGACGCTGGACCGGTCTTTGTGTTTCTTCGTACGCATTTCCTCCATTGGCTCGAGGCTCTGAGCCTTCTGCAGAAGATATCAGACAATGTCATCTCAGTAAAAAAGCTGCAGGTTTTATTAAAGGTTAGTCTATAATTGATTGTAAACATTGATGTCTGCCATGAGCTTACCATTTTAGGCACAAAGTTCCAAAACACAATTGGCTCGTTTTATACATGATGGGTACCGATTCATTCTATATTTTATCAGAGCAATTGAGATTGCACCCCTTCAAGTATATTCTTCTGCGCTTCTATTCAGCCCGATACAAAGCCCAGTTCGAAAGGCGTTCGATAAGTCTTTCCCACCTTGGATTCACAACAAGCCTATTGTGGACGAAACATGGAGTCCTTGTCTACAGATCCTTGAAGGCCATAGCCATCATGTTGATGCTATTGCCTTTTCAGGGGACAGCAAGCTGGCCACAGGATCATTTGGTGAAGCAATCAAGATCTGGGATGTAGCTACAGGTGCGTGCCTCCGCACACTTTCTGATGACATTCCCGAAGTATATTCACTATGCTTTTTCCAGAATGATAGGCTGGCCTCTGGATCGCGTGATGGCGCAATTCATTTCTGGGATTTAGGTGCTGGCACATGCATTCAGACGCTTGAGGGTCATGAAAAGTCGGTAACGTCTATATTTGCCTTGTCAGATAACAAACTGGCCTCGGCATCAGCCGACACGACAATTAAAATCTGGGACATAGCCACAGGCGCAATATGTGTTCAAACACTCAGGGGCTATACTGGATCAATGGGATCTACAATCATCCTGGGAGATGATAAGCTTGCCTCGGAATCAAACGACCGGACGATTAAGATCCGGCATTTATCCACTGGTAATTGTGTCCAAACACTCAGGGGATTTGGTAGCTCAGTGACATCTATAGCCGCCTTGGAAGATAACAAGCTAGCCTTAGGATTGCGGGATGGGGCGATCGAAATCTGGGATATAGCGACAGGCGTATGTGTTCATACACTTGAAGGCCACGAAAGACGAGTGACATGTTTAACTGCTTTTACAGATGGCAAACTAGCCTCGGGATCCTACGAACCGATAATCAAAATCTGGGATATAACGACAGGGGTATGTGTTCAAACACTTGAGGGCCATAGTAACAACGTGACAACTATAATCGCTTTAACAGATGGCAAACTGGCCTCGGGATCACTAGACAATACGGTCAGAATCTGGGATACAACTGCAAGTATAAATGTTCAGACGTTTGAAGGCCATAACAAACTTGTAGAGTCAGTGGCCTTTTCAGGAGACAGGAGGTATATGGCTTCAGGATCAGGTGATAAAACAATCAAGATCTGGGATACAGCTACTGGGATGTGTGTTCAAACACTCAAAGGCCATGGTAGAATGGTGGGATCAGTGTCTCTCTCAGAAGATGGCAAGCTGCTCGCTTCAGGATCATATGACGAAACGGTCAAGATCTGGGATACAGTTACTGGGATGTGCGTCCAAACACTCAAAGGCCATAATGACTGGGTGAGATCAGTGGCTCTCTCAAAAGATGGGAACAAGGTGGCTTCAGGGTCGTTTGGTCGGACCGTCAAGTTCTGGAATACAGCTACAGGCGAATGCGTACAGACGCTGCCCGTCGGTATATTTACTCAGCTTTCCTTTGATGAGGGAAAGGCGTCCCACCTCCAAACCAACTTTGGGATTCTAAATTTGGACGCAGGGCCAGTCGTCAATAAGCCAAGATCGTCTGTACTTTTCACAGGCTATGGGATAAATGCAGCCGGCTCGTGGATTACAAGAGATGGTAAACCGTTACTTTGGCTCCCCTTGGACTACCGACCGACAGCTTCAGCTATAAGGGGATCGACGGTTGTTATAGGCAGTTTCTCAGGCCGTGTCTGGATGCTGCAGTTCTCAGAACAAGATGGATTCTCAGTATAGATATTTTCCAACTGCTGGTCCAGAAAGAAAAAGAAGGACTTCTCAAACAAGAGCACAGCTTTGTCGACTTTTCGCACCACCTATATTAATGCAGCCTCCATTGGTCACAATTTTGGTTAAATCGCAGGAATTCTAGCTGACAAAGGCTTTCTTTTCGTTCTTCTTCTTTTTTTTTTTTTTTTTTTTTTTTTTTTTTAAAAAAAAAAAGAGATAGAGAGAGATGACCGCTGCATGATAGCAGCCGTGGTGGTAGATTAGTAGTGACGGAGAGATTTTTCTGACCCTGCTTCTCGAATGAGCTTACATGGATTTACTGCTAACCAGTTGCCGTATGTACAAGCTCAGTCCTGTGCACAAAGAAACCCAGCGAGCTCTTCATTGCCCTCCATCAGACCGTTATGCTGTGAATAAGGCATTGGCCAGGCACTGCATGCTACTCTAAAGTGTTCGGCTGTGAGGGCCATGCGTCTGTGCATTTATAAGCATAGATATTGCCATAATCCTACAACAAAATCGGGCATTCGCCAATGGCCCGGTTAGCTCAATCGGTAGAGCGTGAGACTCTTAAGAGGGACACACGTTCTGATATCTCAAGGTTGCGGGTTCGACCCCCGCATTGGGCTTTTCCTATACAAAAAGATTGAAGCGGCGAATGCCACATTTTTTTGTTCACGCTGTCGAATTTTTTTTTTTACTTTTTTTTTCTTGGTGGCGTAGTTTTTCATGGCGTCTTGCCGGGTCATTGCGCTACAGGGGTGCGGCCAATCAGACTCGCCGCTAAGGACTAAAAAGGCTTTAGCGCCGATCAGAACCCAGAGATTAAATCCACACTCCGAGGAAACAAAGACATGACTCTGAACACTGAAAAAAAGGCAAAAAAATCTGGCGTTCGCCGTGTCAATCTTTTGAATTTGGATAGGAAAAGCCCAATGCGGGGGTCGAACCCGCAACCTTGAGATATCAGAACGTGTGTCCCTCTTAAGAGTCTCACGCTCTACCGATTGAGCTAACCGGGCGTAGACGAACGCCTGGTTCTTGTTGTGTTCCGTCGGGCCAAATGTGCCCTATATACGATGGGCAAGTGCTGGATCATGTTAATCATGTTGCCAAGGTTCTTTTAATTTCCATTAATAGATAAATATCTATATCTTTCTCTTCTTGGCTGTAGTGATGATGTTATATGGTAATATAGTAGGCCACAGACATTGCTATTCCACGTTTGTGTAGAACGAAGCAGGTGTCTGACCTCCAGTGGACACTACTCAAAGCAACATTATTGGAATAAGGCATTTGCAAATGAAATCAAGTCACAGAGAGCAATAAGACCCATAATTCCTCTTGACATAAATTGTATTGTCTGGTTATTTTTATTCTTTTTGAAGAAGTGACAGACTCTTATATGTACCTATGTAGATAATTCATCTCTTCCCCAACTGACCCTGTCCCTCGCTGGTCTCAGTTGCTAGGCCATAGTAACAGTAGATTAAACCACTAAAGTCCCCTAGTTATGACTGTCAAACCCGGGAAGGTCATTTCCGTCAGGGTATTTGCAGCAGTAAGGCGAGTCCTCGCTCGAAGAGTCGATGCAGACCTGCCACTCTTCAATGCATGTGGCGAATTCCGAGTTTTCGTAGCTATTCATGTAGCATTTTGCCCTAGCGGCATTGCACTCATTGATAGCCTCTTGATACTGTCCCTCGGTTCCGCGGGCTTCCAAGTCTTCGTTGCTCTCGAAGCGGGCTTCCAAGGCGGCCTGGAGAAAATGAGTGAGTGAGTGGAAATGGTGACAAGATTTGAAACATTTCGGACGATTTTTGTGACTTACGGCAGCAGCCAGGGGAATGATGGCCAGAAGGATTGAGAAACGCATCTTGGAGGATTGGGTTTTTTTTTGGTTGTTGTGAAGGGTTGCTGTGGTGGTTGTGGAGGACAAGATAGGGAGGAAAGAGAGATGCATTATATAAGGGAGACGCCAATGAGGTTTGTGAGAATGAGCACCGATATTGCCTCTGGTGGCATTTGCTGAGAGAATAATTGTAGAGTGTTTGCGGCATGAGTATATGTGAATAAGGGTCTGTGTGTATTGTAAAGGAAGGAGTGCTTATTGAGATGACTGCATAGTGGTTGAAGCGTATATCGGCCAAGCGTCTTGGCTAGAGGCGTTGCTATTGCTAACCAATTTCATAGCCAAATATATACTGCAACCTTGACCTTTTTTCTCTTGCAATGGTGCAGGAGATTGTATTGGACAGTAGAATCCGAGATACATGACCGATTGCGAGTATAATAGAAAGTCTTTGCACACGGACCGCATATGCAACGTAGTGCGGCTAGTAATATGTGTAGCTCCCCGCAAAATCCCCCACGGAAGTGATCACATAGCTATCTTTAGGGGTATTACAAGGTAGAGTGCGTAGCTCGGAGGAGGCCTCTGTCCAAAGGATCCAATTGCAGCCTCTAATTCAAGTAAACGGATCTCTGATAGTCTAGCCCACTAGATGGGGCCTTTCCAGGTCAATTAATATCCGTGTATGGTCCTGATAGCGGCCCTGCGGCTTACTGAGTACATGTAGTCTATGTTGTGTAGCGAATTCCGTCCCGTTGAATGCCTCAATTGGTTGATTCAACAATTGCGCCGTTTGCCCCGTGGCACTTGTGCCTCTCTTACCACAACTTGAAGCCGCCAGGCACCTTGCTCTGGAACACTCCGGTCGGGTCATACTTTCTGCTGACTTGGCGGAGGAAATTCAAGTTGTCGACCCCGTAAGACGCCAGCGGTGACTGATGCGGACCTGCATAGTTTAGATACTCAAACTTCCGCAGCACTCCTTTCTGCTCAGCAACCGTCTTGACAGCCGTAAAGGCGTCTCGGCCTTTTCGGTAGATGACATCGTTGGAGCTCGAGTTCGGCCAGAGAGCAGAGATGAGAAGGACTGTTGATGTCAGAGTCAGGCCTATGGGCAAGTGCAGTGCAAGTACAAGTACAAGTACATTGCACGAGAAGATTTCGGAGCGAAACACTTACTAACGCCATTGCCATCCTTGGGCTCCAGCCCGAGAACATTTCCTCCCGTGGCGGCGGAATGTGAAAGCATCACAGATGGAAGAGGCTCAAAGGCAAAGCTCCATGTGATACCACCGGCAGGATTAAAGTCATGAATGGATTGATTGAGAGCATTGAAAATGCCCAGCATGGCCTTGCTCGACGTGCCAAAGGTTATCGTGGCGAAGAGCCAGTTCCTATCCACCAGTCTGCATTAGGTACATTCGTCCTCTTCATTTTAGCAATTGCAGCGGCCAACTTACAGCGGTGGAGTGGGATTCTCCGCAGCCAGCGCAGCCACGGCCGTGATCTCGGAGGTGTTGGAGATGCTTGGCACGGCCTCGAGGCCGCTAAAGACCTCCGGGTGAAGCACGGGCTTGGTGTAGCTGGCCGAGCCCGTCGCCGACCACGCCTTGGCGGCTGAGGAGAACAGCAGATCCGCCTGCAGGGACACGTAGGGGTCAAAGTTTGGCGAGGCGGCGATGTCGGTGAAGGCGTCAAACACGGCGCCGACCTGGGATACGTCGTACGAGATGGTGTTGACCGACATGTTGCCCTGCGCAAACGTCGCCAGCTCATAGCGCGTTACGACGCCAAAATTGTTTCCACCACCCTTGAGTGCGCGATACAGGTCGGGGTGGCTGGTCGCGGAGACTGTGGCGAGGGTGCCGTTTGCGAGGACGACCTGGTTGGCAGGTTAGAGCGCACAGCAAGAACATAGAGGGAATGACAATTTGTAGATACCTCAAACTCAACAACACCATCAGATGCCCACCCAACACGCGGCGAGAAATGCGAGATGCCACCGCCCAGGAGCAGCCCGCCCACACCGACGCCGCCGTTCCTTCCACCGGCCGCAGCAAGATTGAAACCACCCAGGTAGCCGTACACGTCGCTCCAGACGGCACCAGCACCGACGGCCACCGAGCTCTTGTCGTCGCTCAGCACCGTCGCGTTCAGAAACTTCATGTCGATGGTGACACCGCCTTGGATGTTGGCAGCGCCCCCGGCTGGTGTGTGGCCGCCGCCCTTGACGGCGAACTGGCATCCGGGCAGCCGTGATTGTGACGAGGTGAGGATCGTCACAGCCTTGGAAACATCCTGTGAGGAACGTGGTCGGACAATACAGGCTGGCACAAGAGAGGACTCCTGGATCGAGAAGTAGTCAGTCGCGGCGAAGGGCGTGGTGGTGACGATGTCGCCGAGCGCAGAGGCGAGACGAGTGCACTGCGACCAGTTAGTGTTCGTGTTGTCAGGATGGTGAAGAGAGCATCTTACGCATGTTTCGTATGAAGCTGCGGATACGGCAGCAGCCGCCGCCAGCGCAGTGGCCGTGGATGATTCTGCGAGTCTCATGGTGTTGGCGTTTTCTCTCTACTGGACTGGACCGGACTCGGGCAAGACTCGTAGAAAGAAACAAAAGACGAATCAGCTGCCCTCTCACGCAGACCCCATGGTATATAAATGCCAGATCATCCTCGAGAATCCGTCACCGCCCTCAATCCTGCGGCCAGGACATGATTGTAGACCAGGGATATTCGGCCCGTGAAGTGTGTTTAGCCCCAAAACCATTCGGCCTCTCTCCTTAGTTTCGGTGCGCGTGGAGTTGACGTTTAATCAGCTCCGGGGAACTGCCATCAAAATCAATCGAGGCCCCGCTTCGGTCAGACTCTGTGCCTGGGAGATGCTGTGGATTAGTAGTTATGGGCGCACGGGAATGGACACATACAATCAAACATATGCTCGGGTATTTCAGTTGGCCGTTGACTTCACCTGCGTTGTTGTTTTTTTGCGCTCTCCTGCCACCATCTTAGTTCCACGCACTGGTACGATGGCCATCGTCTTATTCAGGGCCTCCAGGGCTGGCTTTTACGGCTGTACGGCTCAACTATTTTAGGCCTCCAGTTCCTCTCCACTCCCCCGCGGGGCGAGCTGCAGGGCCGACCACAGGGCCGGATATAGGGCGGGTGGGTGCCGCGACAGGGGCAAGAATATCAACCTGATCCATCCATAATCTAGTCGGCCATCGCCTGGTGCTTCTTGATGGCGCTCATGCCTCGATGGGGGTCACAGGCGATTGGGCAAGGCATTGAGCAAGTGCCGTGAGAATGGCTGAAAGTTGAATGAAGAATTGTATCTGATCAATGTCGTAGTTTGAAGCCATTGCTAAACGCGACTCTTAGGCTCGAGCATTGTGAGAAATTAGTTCAACTTGTGTACAATAACCAATTGCAAGGAAAAGATTCTCGGGACCTTTACGGGCCTTATATATTTCAATGTTACGTATAGCAAACGGAAAAAAATTAACAAAGCCCGCTTTCTTCCCTGTTGACGCACGAGTCTACAAATACTACCAAAAGATCACATACTTGGTCGATGATTTACCCCATGCCTCAATTACCCAAGGGCCTTGCTATAGGAATTTACGTTGAAGAGACTCGTATACAGTACCGGGGCAGTGTACACCAATGCATCGCCTATAAGTAGGCGGAGTTAATGAGGCCAATTCAATCATTCTTAGAATAAGTTAAAATAAAATATGCAATCTGTTGAACCTAAAACCTAAAATAACCAACTAGCTTGCTTTTGAGACTGACGTATGGTATCTGTCATATATGTATGGCACACCATGAAGATGGACAGAGATCCCCATTTCCATCAAATAAATGCCAAGTCCAAGAATAGAAAGCTAAAGAAAGAGTGAATACCCAAGAGAAAATAAAAGAAAGAAAATGAGTGAATACCGACTCCCGTATTGACCATCCAACTTACCCACCCACGTGCTTTTCGTTTAGAGGACCCTGCTTTGGTGGTCCTTTCCCTCATGCTGAACGTTGTTAGGGGTCCAGTCCAATGATTGATCAATTGCGCCGCACTTCAAGAGCGTTAAAGCGACCCAGAACACAATAAAACCTCCGCTTCAGTTTCCAACCACCTGGGCTACAGAGTTCCCTATAAGCATCCCGCATGATGAGCTCCGTCGAGCACCCGGGGTAAAAGACACCACACTCGCCGACCGTAGCCGGGCCGCCATGCTCGAGCCATCTATCGCTGCTCGTAGGGAAGAATGGAAACACATCTGCATGAAATGGGTCGACGCCAGGGACGTCATACCTCGAAGAAGGGCCATACTTGACAAACGCAAGAATGGCGAGATAGGCTGTAAAGATGCGCAGGTAGTCGACCGGCGTAACGAGGGGACTCTCCCTGGCAGTTCTGAACATTTGCCCCGCGTTATAGACGTAGAGCCGAGCGTGATGTGGTACGCTGGCGAGTTCAAGGATAAGCCTTTGTTGCATTACAGGTAATTCTGCGTGGTGGCTATCCGACGGGGACGAAATGGCTGCGAGAGTGATGAATCTTATCGCATACATGATGCGAGTGCACAGGCCAAAGTGATTGGATTGGTAATTCAACTTGAACGTGGATAGCATGCTATCAATTGTGTGGTTAGCGAGGGCCCGGCCGAGATGGAACGTTTGGCTGATGAAAGGTGAGAGAGAAACTTACTCATAATCATCAACGTTCCTTGTGGTCTGAAGGGTGGCGGGCGACTGGTTATAGATCGAAGCCGACTTGCCCAAATAGCTGATACTCCAAAGAAGCTTCATCTGAATGCTTGAGAAAGAAGACGTCAGGTGTAAATTGATTTCTCTAGCACTAGTGATTGTGTTATTCTGCTGGTCAGGGTCCAAAAGGCCTTTCAGGAGCCTTTCGAAAATATGCGCGCAAAGGCGTTTGGTCCACGAAGACGTTGTCTGAGGGAGATTGAGTCTGTTTAGCGTCAGGGTTATGATACTAGAGACTTCTGGTCCCTGAAGGCTTGCGTCTTTCGAAACAAGTTCAGCCCAAGCATACGCGTTTGGAGCATTATAAAGTGCATCCTCGCAGGGGAATACTGTAGGCAGATGGCCCAGCGCTATAGCACAAGGGCGGCCAGTGAGGAGTGAGAGGCTGCAGTCATACTCAAACACCATCCAGGCCACTCTAAGTTTTTGCTCGTGGTTGACCCATGCGCACCATTCTATGTGTACTGCATCAGGAGTCAAGGAAGGCGGAGGCATTATATCGTTGGGGTCAAAGAGATTGGGGCCCAGCAGGTTCTGTGCTTGCAGGCCCTGAATCATGTAACTGCGAACTCTGTCCGCATGCTGATGAATTTCATCGTGGCCAGATCCAATCAAATATGTCTGGTGAATGCACAGCGCAGCTATATATTCAATATCTTGGTGTTGCGGAGAGCCGTCAGTCTGCCAGGCGTTAGCATGTCGTGCTTGTAAGAGCAAGTCAAGCCACACGAGAAAGGTTTAGACTCACCAGACGGCTTATTTCCGAGATACATCGTTCATTGATGTAACTCGCTTGTCGTTGGACTTGACTCTCTTGAGTAAAGGTCGAGCCAACGCAAGCCATTGCGCTGACCAGCGCCATAGGATAATCGATGAAACTCCATGTAGCAGTATGAAAGACGGGCTGATTTGGTTGCCAGTACGAAAAGTAGTTGGCGCAAAGCTGATTGAGCAGATTCATTGCAGGGAGAAATGGCGCCTGTGCTTCAACCGCCTCATATATACGTGGAACACCACCAACATCGAAAAGGAGCCCCAGGCTTTCCAGGGATACTGATAGCACGTCGCTTGGGAAATGGTAGCCGCTGAGATTCATATCAATAGGTCTCAGCCAGAATTGGTCACTTAATGGGGAAAAGTTGGGATCCTCATACTCAACAATTTGGTTGTAAGGCTCGTGTCCCTCAATGGGAACCAGAAAGTCAATCCAGCTGACATTGCCTGTCTGGATTGCATTTGATGCTGGAATGGGCGGCATGTGAGCCACATATTGCGGACTGAATACAGTAACAACCAAGTCTGGGGGAGAGCTAGGAGGGTGGACAGGATCGATAGGCGAGTAGTTGACTGGAGGTGCGCTCTGCATCTGCATTCCTTGTTCCCAAGATGCAGGCGGTCCGAAAGCCGAGCTAGGGCTCCAAGATGGCTCTGGGCTTGGTATCTCACGGGGAGGCTGAGGCGTATCGCCTTCAAGTATGCCGTTCTCATTTCCCATGCTTGCTGACTGATGATATTGTTCGTTGTGCCTTGTCAGATCGGAAGGAGAATCAACTCGAGTATTACATGTAGAACAAAAGAAGAAACAGCGAGTGGCAACGACCGGAGTAGCAACAACTTGCTCAACGCGGGCTTGGCCAACAGTCTTCGACCGAGATCTGGATCCGTTGGCTGGGCTAGCAAATCGACGGGGATCGTGGTTGAAGTCGTGGATTTGACGGTGATGGTCCAGGTCTGCTGGGCTGGCGTATGCCTCGGAGCACTTGTCACAGCTGAAGATGGCAGCCATCTGAGGGGAGGGCCGAGAAACGTAAGCCGTCATACTTGCCCTTCGTACCATATTAGCAGCGTTCATGAAGACGGAATAGCAAGCCGCAAATGTATCATACCTAGGTACCCTGAGGAGTAGACCAGAACAAAATCTCCGATTGTTTGCTCTTATCCTGCCAAAGCAAGGCAGAAGAGGCTCAGGATGGTATTGGAGATGGCTGCGAATATGGCCGGATGCTTTGGTGAGAACAGAGCTGGTGGACAGAGCAAATACAGGTAGTACCAACCTAAATTACCATGCCAAGTACAGATAGTACAGATCATTGGCCCAAGGCTGAGAATCAAAGCCGATCGAAGTCAATAGGGCAAAAGAGATGCTGATTCTCCCATCACACGGTGCTTTGAGAATCAACAGAAGGGCAAGTATCAAATGGCCGTGACATCGGCCCACCACGTCTTTTATAGTCATCCATCTGCCCAGTAGTCGGAGAGCAGCCGATCAATGAGAAAACGCATTATCCTGGGACATCAGGCAGTACCTAGCGGTATCACGATAGGAGGTAGCAGTACCAACTAATGTAAGTAGCACCAGGGTCAGCGAGCTGCGGTCTGCTGCCACCTGCTACCAGGTAGAGAGAGCAAGTGCTATCCGGCGGTACACTTTTCCCTCTCAGCTGCTTCGTATCCGCCATGGGCCTCAATCTATTCCTGCATTGGCACGCTATGCCACTGTCTTATCTTTCCAATTGGGCAAGAAAGGCCCCGGCTCATTAACTGTACAGTACAGGTCGCTAGCATACGTGCTGTGCTGCTGCAAGAGTGCCCTATGCCAGGCAGGAGGGAAATTGGGTGCCCCCATGCACGTGGGCCACTAGAGAGGCCTGAAAAAAAAAGCAACACCACAACACTCCCTCTCCTCCTCATTCCCTTGCATCAAGTACCTACATGGTCAGGGCCTGATGCACCTCGACAGCTCCTATTAGGCCTCCAGCCTCTTGCAGCAGCATTAGCTTGGCTGCCGGCAACTCTCCTTTGCAAGCCACACGGTTACAGTGGCTCCACTAGCGTGCTGACCGGTCGGCGTGATGGAGGGGGAGCAGCAGCAGCAGCAGCCGATACAACAAGAAAAAGAAAAGAAATGGCTCCATCTACAGAGTACGTGCCCTTAGAGGACCAGCGGCAGCGGGTTTCTTTTGTCTCAGTGAGTGAATACTACCCGGAAGTGCGGCCATGGCGCCCTATTCTGCCCTCTCAAACTGACTTGCGTATGTAGTAAATCAAAGATCCCTGGCTCTCTGCCCTGTTAGCCCGCCAAGCTGAAATCCGAAAGCTGAACATTGGAGCAAAGAAATCAACAGAGCTCCTGGCTCGCTGGATTCCTGTCACAGCTGTCTCCGCAGCGATGCCGTGCCGGTGCTAAGCCTCCGTGGTACTGTACGGACTGCATGTATAGCGAACCATCATGGCACCATGGGCTACATGTAGGTATGTACAACAGCAGGCTCGGCAGCCTCCATCTCGAGTTGCTGTACTTTCGGCCACGATTGCTAACCACATGAAAAAAAAATTAGAATTCCCAGTGTGAGTGCTGCTACCCCCACGCGGGTTCAAGAAAATTAGGGAATAAGCCAACGTCTGCCTTCCATCCGAGCCAGTCGCTTTATCTACGGTATCTTGGCTATCCACAGACGTCCTATCATCGTTTGAGAGGCTCTTACTCCTACTGCTACTCGCTACCCGCTATTCTCATCACGCCAGGGGCAAATGGCCAGCCCCAGCCCACCATCCGACAATGGCTCAAGGTTTGCCTGAGAAGGACCTATTGCAAGCTGCTGGTTATCTCTTTGGCTCCAAAGCCATTTGCTTGCGGCCCTGCTCATCAACGGCATTTACGACTCGGCCGCTATAGCTAATGCCTACCACAGCGACCATGGCAGCGGTTCAACTTGAATGCTTCGGGTCCAAAGTAGCCTGTCCTTCTTTGGTAAGAAGGAAATGCTCGTACAAGATACATCCTGACCTAATCGTACAACACGAAATAATCTTGGCCGATGTAATGGTACATCTAGGACTGCGTCCCGGTTTGGCTGATCACTGCTTCTTTTGAGCAGACTCCCACTATGTGATAGTGAACGACACTAAGGCTTGGCAAGCGGCAACTCATGGCCAACTCAACATGCCTGATGCTGGCCGAAATACTGCATATTCCTGTTACACAGACTGTGGACGCACATATGCCTTTTCAATTACGAAACACTTGATAATAGATTGGCACTAGCCAATTCTATGTATGCGACGGCCGCAGCTTTTATGCCTGAATATTCATTGCAGAGCAGTGCTTCGTGGGTTGGTTCGATCCCAACAATGGTCAGATATGTGATCCGGATCAAGCACTTCTCTGGCGATGCTTATTAGTCTATCGTTGGAGCACAGCAATATGGCTCTTTGAAACCCGTGCCTGGGCATAAATCTTGCAGTGGTATGTATACGTTCAGCTGTTCTCGACACCACAGTCCGGCTGTCATCTGCTCAATCAGTTCGGCAAAATATGCCTTCTAAGCACAAGTGGTTTTCAAGCATGTTGGGCTCGGACAAAGATTCAAGGATCCTACTTAAGAGACCATCTGACAGGTGTGCCCCATCTACCCTCTACAAGGCAGCTTTGAACGCAGCATCATGGCATTTTGCTTGAATCATTTCCCACTGCTTCTCAACGAACTTTTACGAAATGGTATACAGAGGCAGTGGCCGCGAGAAGCTAGCTTTGCTCATAAGCTTCCTTTCTGAGGATAAACACTACCCACCATTGGGGTTATCAGTCTCGATTCAGACGGAAGTGCTTTTGGGTAAATCAGACCTTGTCATCATTCAAGTGGCGGGGCGTCAACAGCTTGCTTGTTCCTCTACGAGGTCGTTCAGCCCCCTACACTAGCTTTTATTGCTTTTGCCGAAAGTCATGGGACATTAGATCGGCAGTTTTACACAGCAGGTGTCCCCTTATGACCATGACGCCCCATACTTGATATGCAATTCGAAATTGCGGGTGGCTGAGGAGTCCGCCAATTGGTTTCATTCGTGGTTGGTCATGGGGCAGCAACACTGTGTTCAGACATGGTTTGATTCGCGCCGGATGCGCCCAAGACGGGAATTCGATCGAGATCAGCAATAATTCGAAAAGAAAACAGCATTGGTATATACAACAGCCTAGACTTTCGCAAGGATGCATGGCTCCATGTCGGCGAATTGAGTGGACGTGGAACAATGTTCTACTGCTACTACCAGCTCTACGTCCACGCCTCGTGTTGCCACAGGCGGAGACATTCAACCGCTGCGAACGAGTCGTTTGTAACGATACGTGTCACCGTCTGTTCTAATTTATTTTGAAAGTGAATGGTGACATACCATTCCTCGAGCGCCAGCCAACCTCCTATCAAGCTGTCGCCGTTTCAACTCTTCAACTAGTCGAGAAGCTATGAAAATACCCTCAAGGCTACTTGCAACAGCTTTCTAGTGCTCTCCATAAGACCAGTTACTACTCAAAACGGGGATTGTGATGCTGTTAGATCGACGATGGCTTTCCCTTGCGGGTATCATGAAATTTCCTTTCCATCAAGTCGGATTCCTTGGGCTACTCGGCCAGGGACGGTCAAGACAGAATAACAAAGCGCCAAGACAGCGGTACTCTGTAATACCTCATGTTGATTGTCTCAATATATGAATGGGTATTATGCAGCGGCCACTGGCTCATGTTCTCTGCGGAAAGTGCTTCCCACGTTCAGCAGAAGCAGTCAGCATAGATTCAAACATCTCAGGCCAAGAACACCTCTAAATTTCAGAATGGGCCTAGCCGAAAGCCCGCTGCTCTTTTGGCTTTGAAGCGGTCAACGAGTACGTCAAAAGATCAAGCAGCAAATAAGAGGGGACAATTTGAGAGGAGCATAATAAATGTGTAATGTACCACTTACATCGCAAGCCTGGATCACGCTTGATGCTCCCTACAGCTCTTCCGGATCTCCCGACCTGTCATTTTCAACAGTAGTAAAAGTACTCGCAATGTCTCAGACACTGCTAGTGGGCAGCTGGTCTGGCTACAGATGATTGGGCATGGGCATCGGGGCCGGGCACTGGGACGTATTCAGCCAGAGCCTTGCGCTTCTGTCTCTCATTTTCGGTGAGCAAGGATGTACGCCACAGCTGAGACTTATCATACTCGACTTCAAAAGTCAGACAGTCATCGAACTGTGAGAGTAATGCCACTCGATTTCATTACAAGAAGATTTGGTTGAGTGGTTCAAAGCTCCTAAGCTTGCGCGATGAGATGCTCTTGACAGTATGAGTGAGTGAGGCTCTAACAGGAAGCCCTTTCAAACCGCTGGCACGAGTGCGAGTACCACTACCGGTACTACATGGATCAACAAAAACACCCCAGTTAGCGTTGGACAAGAATAGAAATGCTCCGTACACCAGACAGCCTTTTGCTTCGGGTTCGGGCTCGGGAACGTGGCGCTCCGAAGCGCCTCTATGGAGCAATGCGGGATGTGGTCTAACCGAATCCTCCATACAGAGCCGCACTATATGGTCGTTTGGCGAGCAAAAGTTCAGCATGAGACAAGCTAATTACGACGAAAAGGGGGAGCAAGACCCTACTGTAAGATGGCAAACGACACTGCAAAACACAATATCTGCTGTGCTATCGAGCGGCGTGCCACCATGGCTATGCCGTACTACGATGACTCCTCTTGGATTCAGCAGCGTCTCCCAGAAGCCATGATACTACTGTCATCTCTATGCAGGCCTCCAGCATGATGGCTAAGAGCAAATACACTACAACAATACAGTTGCCCCTTATTATCAGCCCTACTGAGGTAGGCTGACCTGCGTGCCTTTCCTATTAGGTGCTGTGGCCAGTATGCGAATTGTTTTTGTCTCATACCACCGAACGAATAATACACCTTGCCAAAAGATGGGGAAAGATGGAGATGAAAAGAAAACCCACAGCGAGAGGTGCTGGGTTCCCGGTCTCCTCCACTTCCATCGAGGGATTGGGGAACCATCATCATCCATCTTGAAAGCATGTGACGAACCACAGGCACGGATAGCTACAGCAAAGGAGTAGATCTCCTGCCATACGCGAACCAGGTCTCGGGAAGAGCGTTTGAACAGCGGCTGGTAGCAGCGCTTCTCCCTCGGACAGCTGGGACAGGGGCCACGACCTAATTATCAGCCCTAGACACGCTGCCAGGCGTAGTGTTACGAAGTAGCGAGATACTGCTAATAGTAGTATTGCTGGACTCCACGAGATGGCCTTGACGCGAATCGATCTCTACATCCTTGTTCGTTCCCAGCCATCGGCATGGGTGTAACGGAGTGCTGGAACGATGGACACGGCCTTGCTAGAGACACGCCGCGGCACCAGCACAGCACTCGGCACAAGACAGTCTAGATTGATACCCACGGCCAAAAGAGATATTGGTGTGTGAGGTATCTATGAAGTACTACTACGTTATTGATGAGAACAAGCGGATACAGTTGAGTGGACGAATAAACGCTGCAGCTACTACCGCCTGAGTGTGACCTGTCAGCTATTCTCAACTTACTGGCACTTATTCCCGCCACTGGACGCTGGAAGCTGGAAGCTGGGCGCTGGGCGCTTAGCAAGCAGACTGATTGCCTTCCTAGCCGGACTCCAGAGCGTCAAGTACCTGTACCTGCTTGACACTCTGTACATGCAGCAGGACGATGGCTGGGAAAGCAGGCTGGCGCTCATGAGATGTCACGTCACGTCACGTCACGCCAGAGGAGCCCGGGATGGCCGTCTAGGATCCCCGGCCGCAGTGCAAATTGAGTGCAGGGCCTGAATCATCCAGACGACCAAGGCAGCCCGACTACTGACCAGCTGCAGTCTGCTATACATGGTGCTGTAGCTCGAGGCCTAGTGGCTGGATGATGTGAAACGTTTTTATTACGAGCACGAAGCAGCAGGTACTGCAAAGGCAGTGGTATTGGCACCTCATTCGGCGTGGCGGCCGAGCTGCAAATCAACGCGTTGGCCCATCAGTAAGGTTTGGAGAGGCTGGCGCTATTGAGAGTCTTTCCCCAGCAATACCCGGGGCAGCAAAGGGCCCCCCATGCTATGCTGCTCGATAGCAGACAAGAGAGGCGAGCTACGCGGCAACAGAGCTACTACTTGGTAGTATGCCTTAGCCCAAAGTACATTGCAAATGTAGGTACCTACTTACCTATTCAGGTACTGCATGTAAGGAGGCACGTCACCCAATGCTCTTCTGTTTCTTCCGTCCTTCTTTCGCGTTGCACACCGCCACCACAGGGCAGCAGCTAGCACAAGTACACAGCGGCATGGCGTGCCAGCACATCGGCGCATGCAGCTTCATTTAATGGTGACACTAGCGCGGGGAACTGGCCGACCACGGGGTGAGTGTTACACGAATCGAAAAAAGCAAGGGCAAGGAAAAAGAAAAGAAAGAAAGGGCTCAAGGCGGCCTGGTGAAAGAACGGTGAGGAGCGGTGGTGTGATGGTGTCTGTGGTGTCTGCGGTGGTGTCTGTGATGGTGTCTGTGATGGTGATGGGCCAAAGTCTCGGCCGAGAGGAAACGACCAAGTGCCAAGCCAAGGCTTCGGTGCCATTCTCTGGCGTCGTCCACCGGGGAGATGCTCCCCAACCCGGCGAAATTGAGAATCGGCATCAATGACATCTCAATATCGCCGCCCACCACGCTTTACGCGCATCCAAACTAGAAGAGCGCAATACACGTACCCAGTCCGCTGAGCTCTCTCTGGTATTGCTGTGCCCGGTACCTGAATCTAGCTTGCGCGGCGGGCCGAAAAGGCACCTAGTTCTGCCCGAACTTACCCATTACTGCGGTGCCTGTAAACATACGGTTAGCGGTGGTGGGGGATGGTTCTAAAACGAGGCTGAATCTTGATCACTGCTGGCTTAGCGAGAGGGGCACGAAAAAATAGGGAAACAGGAGGAAGCGCGAGGGGCCAGCGGCCTCATATCGGCCATCACTTACTGGATATGTCCATCGCGCGCTAAATTCGACTCGAGAAGGGCGAGGAAAGAAACAGGACAGGCGAGGGAGAAGGAAGCAAGAAGGAGCTGAGAGTCGCAGACGGGCGAGGAGACGGATCAAGAGAATTGCAATCAAGAAGCTGATGCCGTGTGAGGTGCAGCATCCCACCAGCGTTTGGTGCATCCGGGCTGCACCGAATGAAGAGCAGCACAGCAAAAAGTCTCGAATCTTGAGCTGGTCTGAGCGGCTCAATATCCAATATTTACTCGAACAGCGCAAACCATCACCCACTATTTGGTCATTATGTGCCAACATTGCGCACTAGCAGCCGCTCTTGGTCGGTATTTGCGACCATGTCCATATAGAGTTCCAATGTTGATTGATCGCTGCACTAAGAGGCGGGAGCTTGGTGTTGGCCTCCATCCTCATCTGGCTCGCCGTCAACTTTCATTTTCGACTTTGCAACGCGAGCCTCTTGTTTCTTTTTCCCATGCCGCCCTCGACTTACTAGCCGCACTCCTCTGCGCCGCAACTCTCGGCTGAACCAGCGTTTGATCTTGTCCTCTCTGTACCAGGTCTTCTTCTCTTTTAAAATTGCGCGGCGTCTCTCCCACGTCAAAACTGGGGAGTCGTTGGGCCGTCTGTCGCGGAAACCGACCCGGCATCGAGACCAGCGAGCTCCCTGCATTGGTAGTCCTGGCTGCGCCGCCCCATGGGGCTGCTTGGTGTTTCTCGACACCGCTCCCGGCGATAGTATTAGGCACTGGGCATCTGAAGCTCAGACGGGCAATCCACGCCGCCGTCGGTGTCTCAGAAGACAGCCAGCCACCGGCCGCTTGGGACTTTTTTTCCGAGATCGAAAACACCTCGTCACAGTCTCTCGCACGGCGCATGATATAAGAGTGCCTGGTCCGCCGCCACTGATCCGCCACCGATTAGTGAAAAGCCTATTTTGCGAGAATATACCAGTCTACGCGTTCCTGTGTTTCTTCTGTTTCTTCTGTTTCTCCTGTGCAACGCTCATCCATCAAACATCAATCTTTCTTCATACAACTCTCTATCCATCTGCTACTACAGCCTACCCGTCTGCTCCTACAGCCCTACCCGTCTGCTTTGGCCCTCGTCACCGGCAAGCGGCTGACTAAGGCTTAATCCACATCTTCTGTGCGTCGATCCACGCAACGGGAATCCGGGGCCTGCAGACTCGACCAACCACCGATTGCGCTCACAAGGCTGCATTTGGCCTTTGCTTCTGGCTCTATCCCAGGCTCTGCCCACGGACGTTGCTTGCCTACCAGCTTGCCCATCAGCTTGCCCATCGGCTTGTCTGCTCGCTTGCTTTTTTGGCTGCCTCTTTGGCTGCCTCTTCGGCCGTCTTGCTTCCTTCTCAGGCTGTGCCTCTTTGCTCTCTTCCGCATACATCATCTGCGTCATCGCCATATCTGCTGTCCTCATCAGACCATCGCCACGTCTCTCTACCAGGCGCTCCCTCCTTCCCACTCAAATATCCCGCAAAAAAAAAAGTGCTTGATATACCCGGGCACCTTGCACGCCTGGACGATTTATACCTACGGTACCTAGTCTCGGTTGTCTTCTACAATACCTGCAGGTACGTATCACACTCGCTCGCACTCGCATGCGCACAAGAAAATGAATGTGTCTGGTTGTTGACAACTACACCCAGATCTTGATTTTTGGGAGCTCCCGGAAATCGCTCCCGTCGTGTCAGTGGATATTAGCATGAGTGGTGACGATAATCGTGACCGATACGCCTGCTGGGGTGGACTCTGGCCTGGTATGGGCGCCGAAATGAGCACTCATGCAGGCACCGGTACTTCAGCCTCGGCTGGGTATCTGTATGGCGTTCCGCCAATCTTGGCGCCGCGTGAATCAAGGTCTGGTGCTGCTTTTGGAGGAACAAGACCACCTGCTGCGTCTGCGTCTGCGCCTGCGTCTGCGCCTGCTCATCCTGACCGCCCAATCAAGCGAGAAGCCCATTTCCCGCCTTCTCCTACCCCTGATTCAGCCCGCCCGCCTTGTCGCATTTGCCTCGACGCCGACCTTCAATGCCCTCTGTCAAATTGTCGCTGCCCCCATTGCGTTCGAGGAGAACCAGACAGGTGTATCGAGGCAGCCATGGCCTTCCATCAAACTGAAACCAGGGACGCTTTACACAGGGAGCACGCTTTCATCCGGACAAGCCTGCACAGAATAGAATTGCTTGTTGCCGAGGATCAACGGTTCCTACAGCGCCATGAACGCCACTTGTGGCAGCTTGAAAGGGACAACAAGGACTCTGAAATCCGGCTACTGAAGGCTCATATTGACGCTCTGGGCAATGAAAATCGACTGCTCCGCAGGCATGACTCTTTGCAAAATCAACACAGTCAGCCACCGCCAGCCGTTCCTCACCCCAACCTACCAGTCCATGAGCCGCCACCCGTCGTTTATACCGGTTTTTCTGACGCTTTGCCCGTGCTCAACAGCGGGGTTCCTCGATTCCTTGCCCAGCCAGCTGGCAGATCCACTAGCGAGGCCGGCATCCTCAATCGCACTCCTAGCCTGTGTGACGAATACGCGGGGATTACGCCAACGTCTCCTGAGATTGTTTTCGACGTCTTCGGTGTGCCAGGATTCGCACGAGACGCGACCCGCGCAAACAGCCCGGAGTGGTCTCCTCCTTCTCCTACTTTGATGATGAGGAGGAGCCCCAAGAGGTCAGCCTCTGCCGTCGATGATGGTGAGGCTCAATTGGGCATGGACGGAGTGGCTCCCAGAACAAGTGTCGCTCAAAGCTACATCTTCACACCAGCTTCTCCGCAGGGAGCTTCGTCACCTCGCATCAAGAGGCAGCGCAGCATGTCCCACGACTATTTCCTCGTCACTGATGTCAATGCAGAACCAGAGGCAGACGAAGGGGAGTTGCAACGACTGACTATGCATGCTGGACATACCCCCAATCGCTCACTCTCTTCTCCGTCCGCCACGGCCACGGCCGCTGCTATTGCTGCTGTTACTGCCGCTGCTACTGCCGCTTCCACTGCTGCTGCTGCTGCTGCAGGACCCAGTGGAGGCGGTATAACCCCGACCGCTGCGCCGTATCTCGGATTTGGGATCAATCCCAGCATGAGGGCCAACGCCAATGCCAACGAGCACACAAAGACGGAATTTAAACCCGAAGTCAAGCCAGAGATGAAGTCAGAGATCAAGCCAGAGATGAAGTCAGAGATCAAGCCAGAGATGAAGAGCGAAGTCAAGTCAGAGATGAAGAGCGAGGTCAAGTCAGAGATGAAGAGCGAGGTCAAGTCAGAGATGAAGAGCGAAGTCAAGCCAGCGGTCAAGCCAGAGGTCAAGGGCGAAATCAAGCCAGAAGCCAAGGCAAAGGCTGAGGAGACTGGCACAGCAGAGATCGACTCCTTCTATGAAAACGTCATGCGGAACTCGCCACCGCTGTCACAACGAAACAGGCGCATGACCATCCCAGACGTTACCGAAGGGCTTCAGTCACAGATGGACGAAGCAAACAGACGTCAAAGCCGACTCAATGTCGCGAGTTATTCCCCTCCCACAAACCCTGGCTCTTCCATCATCGGTTCTCCTGCCTCACAGCGGGCTCTCCTTGACGCCATGGATGATAATCCTCTCGCCGGCCCGTTGATGATTCGGAACATTCCCGCGCAAGATGAAGTTTTTCTACAAGCCCTGAATGGAAGACTAGGGCCTATTAGCCAAGGTCAAGATGCCCTCCCCAGAGTTGTGCAGGATCTTGACATGAGTGCTGTTCCCGACGATGCGGAGAGATTAGAGGCTCAATCGGACTCTGGTGAGGATGAGGATGCCCCCGTGAAAATCGAGCGGCCCATTCGAAGAGAAGATTCAGACTCGGACAGCGAGCCGGGCCCTGAGGTTACTCTCAAACTTCGACATACCAGCAACTTTGGTGCTCCCTTTGGAAGAATGTAGAGACACTCGCTCTCCAAGAGATATCTCTTGGTGTCTCTTTCCTTTTCGACACGTTTTTTCTTTTTTTTTTTTTTTTTTAATTGGGAGGATTTATCGCAAAGGGACAAAGGTACGACAAAGGTACAACAACTAGAGTTGCGCATTCATCTTGAAGTTGAATTACTGCCTTTAGGATGGACGAGGATATAGCGTGGAATTGTGTACATCAGCTGTTTATCACTTGATGTTATTAGAATTGGGCTTGGATTGAGTATAGTGTAAAGGTTTTCGGGCTTGGAATAATTGGGATATTTGTGTACTAGAAAGACATTGGATGGGAAATAAAAGTATGTTTTTGTCCTACTTTTGCTCTTTGCTCTTGCTTTTTGCTTTAGTTTTCTCTCCTAATTATTGTTCAATTCAGCTAGTATTGCTTCCTCACGTCAAGGTTTTCTGATCTCCAGCCATCTACGTGAGAACAATCTGGCGGTGATGTTTTATGCAGTCACAAGTATTTACTACCTACTTACCTAAATGACTATTCCGTGCACATGCAGTTACGTATCAAGTCCTAGATGGTCTCAGTTGGGTAATGCAGGGGAAGTGATGGCTACGACGTAGTGGTGGCCGTCAATGACGCATCTCTCCCAGCACTGGCAATCTAATCATTCACGCATACACGTCTATTCTTATTAGACGGGCATTCATTTCACCCAGCAGCCCGTCTTTTTCCTGAGTTGGGCCACATGTTTCGAAATGGCCTTAGGCAGGGATAGAGAAAATACGGGGGGGGGCCATCACCGCTTGTCTTGGCCTGAGAGTAGCCAAGCCAAGCAAGACGGTGCGTGACGACAGATAGGAAGAAAGAAGGAAAGAAGGGGAGGGGGAAAAAAAAAACAAGGAAATGGAGAGAGAGAGAGGAAAGCGCAATGCTGTAACAGTGCTTGACGCGTTTGCGGGCGTCAGGTGAGTTGCAACGTGATCTATTTTTTGTCCCCCAGTTTTACTCTTTTTTGCTTTTTGTTCAGCCGCAGCGAACTAGACCACTTACACATTACGCCAACTTTGGGATTTTCCCCCTCACCTAACAGAGACAGCTCTCGGTCGGTCCAATTTGCGCCGGCAAAAGAAAAGTTTTGCTTTTCTACAAGGACTTGATCAGATCATCATCTCGATGAAAATAGAGAATCATTCGGGCTGCAGATGGCTGTGCTAATGCAGGCTTGGAGGGGGCTGGGCCGGGCCGGGAGAAGCATCATGAAATGAGCCACGGCACACAACAAAAACCAAAAAAAAAATTGGGGAGCCTGTCAAAATTGGCACGAGGACTCTCAGCAGCACGGGTAAAAATACTGCTAGTAGCAGTGCTAGTAGCTGCAAGTCTTGGAGCAATATCCTGCCCCTCTCCACCTGTGGTGTTGTGATGTGTCTCTGACCAAGGCAGGATTTTTGCAATGCTTTCTTTCTCAGGCAATTCGATCGGACCTATGAGAGATGCAAGAAGCTCGTATTCAAGTCCCGATCCGGATCCGTGGTTGAAAGAGACAACAAGAAGACAAAAAAGCAAAAAAAAAAAAAAAAGAGAGAACAATGCTAAGAGCAAATACTAATGCTGCTTCGAGGCATCTCTGCGCAACTTACAAGGAGCATCATGGCACAGTAGTAGTATCCGAGCGAATATCGGTGCCCAACGCCCAGCCCTTGCATAAACCCCCCCCCTAGTTTTCAGCTCGGCAGGGAATGGGGTACCAACACTCCGCCTCTGTGACTGGGCCGTTTAACAAGAAGCCTTTTTCTTGGCCAAAGGGCGTGCCTCGACGTCCGGCGTACTCGGTATGTAAGGGAGAGAAAAATCTTTTCTGGTGGCGGGCTTGCGGGTGGGAGATGGCCGCTGGCTGGCTGGTACCTGGCAACATCCGATCCGCAGAGCTGGGCCTTGACATCGGCATCGGAGGTTGGAAGGCCGTGATGATGATGATGATGATGATGATGATGTTTGTGATGAAACAGGAAAAGGAAAGAAAAGCAAAAGTATCCGAGACTGTTCATCTAACAGGCACCTGTTGGCCAAAGGAGCCTCAACCTCTCTTCATTAGGCAGGTTAGACACAATCCCGGATTCGTCGTCCAGATTTTGATCAGTCTCTTTTTTTTTCCAATCAGCAGATCTTAACCCGGCGATTGGTACACGCAGCTGAGGCCGAATGGAGCTTCCAAGACAAAAAAGGCGCTTGGACATCAGACGATGAGAAAGGTCATTCATCCATCATGAGGGCCAGATAGCAACTGAGACACCAATCAGCATGGTGGAGTTGGAGCGAGTGCGGGCATTGGGTATTTGCAGTAGGCAACTTTGCTTTTTTTTTCTTTTCTTTTTTTCGGGCTCCTCTCGGATGCGTCATGCCCAGCTGCTGAGAGTTGGCTTGGAAAAGCCGGGGTTGGAGTGCGTGCCGTGCATAGAACCCTGGTCTAGCTTCTCAGTAGGGAGAGTCCAATAGAGTACCAAAAGAAACAGAGATGTCATATTGTGATTAATCAAAAGCTAGGTAGACTCAGCTCACATACAAGCCAAGTCACCACTCGCCTGGTGGACGAGAACTGCAGAACAAAATGACAAAATAGAAAAAGAGAATAACAGACTCCTTTTGATCCTCCAAACAATCTTGTATCCATCTCATTATGCGCTATGCAATCTACCATTACCCTGTTTGTCCAATAAATGCCCAATAGATACCGACCTAAAAAATATTATATACATGGTAGAAAACTGATGTGCTCATCAGGAGAAGAGATGAAGCAACCCTTATGATCCAGTCAACTTCTGGTAAGTGCCCGTCGGAGAGGACCCAACGGCGCGCTGGTGGCTGTTTCAAGCCGCCTCTCAGCCACTAGTAAATCTGATTCACGGGAGTGAGAAACACTTGGGGGGCCCATCTATGAGATGGTTGGTCGTCATGCTCATCATCATACTTGCGCTTCTGCCCAGCATTCTGGTTGACGTATGCGGCTTCCATGGCTGCGTGATCCAATATTGGTTGAGCCATGGCAGCGTGGTCCATGGCAGCTTGGTCCATTGCCTGCTGATATTGAGCCATTGCAGTAGGATCAATGATTGGTTGAACCATGTCTGCCTGCGTGATGGATGCTGGTGGTGCTGCCCATGTTGCCACCATATCATTTGGTGTCACATTTTGCGCCATGGTCTCTTTTGCCATGGCCCCATGCTGAAAACTCTCCCTGGCATCGGTAGCGACCTTGCGCGCCAGCGCTTGCCACACGGCTGTCTCTGATGCCGCTGCTTCTGCTGCCGCCGTTGCCGCTGCGGTTCCTGGCAGTATCAGCTCCAGTAGCCGGGCTCGGAGGGTAGCCAGCGGGTAGTAGGTGACTTTGGTGATGCGGATGTCAATATATGGCGTCTCTGGTGGTGCAACCTTGGGCTGTTCAAACATGTCAAGAAGCGTAGATGGGATATCGGCCTGGTATAGGTACAGCCAGCCACAGTATGCTTCTTCACGCTTTTCTTTGCACGGGCCCCTTGAATTATATGTATGAACAACTTGACACTAGCAGTTGAAAGAAGAAAAGACGTTAGCAATAGGTAATGCAAAGGCGTTGTACAAGTCATAGACTGCAACATACATAGAGTTTCCCCGTTCTGGCTTCTTCGGGAGACCCAATCTCTTGCAAGTATTTTCGCTTCTTCTGTGCCAGCCCAATGAGGAGAGCTGTAATGAATGGGTCGTGCAACGGATTTGGTGGCGTAATCTTCTTCCACTTCTTCTGGTAGAGACAGCACATGGGGCGGTTCCAGTAGCTCCATTTCTTGCATCGAGATAGACCCAGATACTCTTTTCGCAGCTCAGTGATGCGGCCTTGGTCAACAAGAGCGGCAACGGGAAGCTTGTGCACTTTGCGTCCTATGATTGACTCCTTGAGGTAGAATGCCATGCAGTGGAGATTCTTGACAACGGATGTGCCCAGTGAGAGTGTGAGAGGTTGTTCACTAGAAGCAGACAGACATCTTTGGTTAGCCATGATAATCATTCATATTTCAAGGAGAGGTGACAAACTAGATGACTAGGGGGCACGCATCAGTCGTGATGAGCAACCAAATGCCCTGCTCACGCATGACGGGCTTATAGTAAAAGTCGAAAAAGTCTTTCAGATGCCGAGTGCCAGAACGCTCCTCGGAGTATTCTGCCTCTGTGATGCCTGCACAAACGGGAGGCGCTGGTTCGGGATATGGCCCGTTAAAGGAGAAATGCAGAAGCTCGGCATGGCGGCCGGTCCATCGGATTGGACTGACATAGAGCTCTTCTCTGCAGTGGCGGCGAGTGATTCCAAAGATGGATAGGGGCGCCTCTGCATCGGGCTGTGCAGTAGAAGCAGTAGAGGCAGAGCTTGTCAAGTTGGTGTTGGTGTTAGTCGTGGTAGGGGAAGAGGAGGTGGACGACGAGAGGTTGATGAGTGACATGACCGCTGGATTGCTGCTATATTGCAGCGTGGTCATGTGAAAATGTGTTGCACAAAAGAAACCATGAACTCGTATCTCACTCCTTGTTCTGCAGAGGGAGAAACGGATGAAAAAAAGTCAAAAGGGAGATGATGAGAAGAGAAGACAGCGAAAGGGAAGGAGAGGAGGAGGATGGAGTATAAGTTATAAGTCAAGGGGGAGCAGTAGCAGTGAGCACCGTGGCAAGTACCAGGACAAACGGAGATACTTGTGATTAGAGCATCAGATACCGCTACTCTAGAGCCGGCTTGCAGTGTCTCAACAAGTATCTTGATAGGTACCCCGAGCTAGCTTGTACATGGCTTAGATGGCATCAATGCCGTGCCATGCTACTCGATACTAGCCCCCAGAAGCCTCTACCTCCCATACAGCCGCACCAACACACAGGCACACGTACCCTCCAGCCCGTCCCCGTCCCAGTGCTACGGCTACCCGCTGCCAGATTCTGTCAACTGTCAACTGCCAACTGCCATCCGTCCCTCCGTCCAACCCCATGGAGCCAATTCAAACCGCCCCATGCAACCGCACCGCACTAAAAAAGGCCGCTGTCGTGTCCCACCAACGCTAGATTGTTGGCGCTAAGATCCAAGTCCCAGCCGCAGCTGCTCCGCGCCCGCCAGATCGCCGGACCGCAGACCTGGAGCTAAGCTGCTAGTGCCGTGCTTGGTGCCTGAGACCCTGTAACTGTAATTGCTCGCTCATGAGCTTCTCCTCTCCTCTCGTCTCCTCTCGTCTGATGTTGTTTCTCGCCTCCGTCTTCGCCTCCACGCCAAACTATTGCTTTCATGCAGGATGAAATGAAGAGTCGGCCAGCATCCGAGATTAACCAGACAGTTACCTATTAATAGTGCTGCTAGTACTAGCACAATACTAGCAATCGTGCTGCTGTTGGGCCGCCCAAGATGAAGACGGGACACCAAGATGCGGGTGGGAGCATCACCCGTCAACCCCAGGACCGATCTGGCCGGCCAGAGACAGGATGAGACAGTAGCCTGCATCGGACGGCCCATGAGAGTCCACTCCAGTCACCATCTGTGAATCAGCTACTGCATGTTGCTGCTAGTGCCAGCATCAACTGATACCCTGTATTACTTCGGGCCAAGGCAGTGGGCGATATCAGTCCGAGTGCAATCTTGACTTGAACCTGTCTCACATGACGGGTGCTGCATGTAGGCAGGCATTCGTCTGAACACGGGACACGGCATAGCGAGTTGCATAAATCGGTAGATGCCTCTAGGTAGGTACCAGCAGGAGAAACATGTTCCCAATTCTCCAGCCAATGCAATCCATGATAGCTATCAACATGTCAAAAGGCCACTCAGAGCTGTGAAAATAAGATGATGTGCATTTCTATCTCTGCTTTGCTACTCCCGCCCCAAAAAGACACCAGCATAAAGGAAGAAAAGTAAGATGAAACTGATGATAATAAATGTACATGCCACCACTCGTCCAGGTGGAGTAATATCCCCCGTCCCATAAACGCCTGTTGCAAGACGCACGCATACAACATAAAGAAACGGCTTGAGCTTTAAATTATAAGAATGATGAGCGTGTAGAATACAACCTGTAGATAGAGCATGGATCGAAGTTGTTTGCTTGTTTTGATCCAGAATCTTTCCATGCTTAGACACCCATGGTGAAATCGTGCTCGATTCCAGGCGTGACGCTGGCCATGAACTGTTCCATTTCCACAAGTCAGTCATCAATCATGTAGAAAAAAAGGGGGAGGATGGTAAAGAGGAAAATGTTGAAACTCACCTTTAAGAATACGACCAGGTACTGGTCGACGCGAATAGCCACCTCTTGGTCGTCCACCTCATTCTCTTGCACCTCTTCCCACTCGTCCTTGTCGGCAGCATCTTGGGCGCCCTTGACGTCCAGATTACCCAGCTCGCTCGTCAGGCCCTCCACGTCCTTTCCGTCCACGGACTGCTTCTTGCTCGCACGCAGCTTCTCTCTGCGGAGACGCAGCGCGGCGTCAGCACGGTCAAGCAGCGACTTCATCACGGGAGCATGCTTGCAAGGGTGCACGCTGGCCATCCTGACGTGGTTGGCAAAGAAGGGAAACTCCTCGAGCGTCACCGTCTTGTCCTTGTAGTCGCCGACGATATCCTCCATCATCTTCATGGGCGGCAGAGGGTGGCCACTGCCCTGGTAGCCCGAGAGGTAGAGCCGTGGCGTTCGGTAGTAGGGCGTGTACATGATGTAGAGGTTGTAAGTGCGGCGAGCGCTGTTCCAACACAGACTTGTTAACAAAGAGACGCCTTTATTGCAGCATAGAAAGCGAAAAGACCAGAAACGCAATATGCGTAGAGATTCATGAAACTTACGTGTTGCCAGGCTCGATACGAAGAACAGCATCGTCCTCCTCCTCGTCCTCCATATCCGGAATATCGTCGTCCAGCCCATACAGATCGTCGTCGCCAACGTTGCCCGCATCATCTACCGTCTTAACCTCTCGCGCCTTGAGCGGCTGCGAGCTAGCCAGCCCTCCCGTCCGAAGCCAACCATCGTCATCAACATCGCCCTTGCTCTTGAAGTCGTCGCCGTCATTGACGACAGACTCCTCGTGCCCAGCATCGCCGGCAAAGTCGTCGTTCAGCCGGCGGTGGCACGGCACGTTGCGAGTCACGAGGAACTGTTTCCCGGCAGGCAGATAGCTGACACGCAGGGCCTCGGAGTCGGCGTCGCTCCAGGACCAGGTCGGGAATCTGTAGACGAGGTAGTCGCCCGCTGCTACAAACTCTTCGGGCGTGATTTGGCCCGTGTTGCGAAAGGTCGACGTGTGCGTCACCGGCGTGTAGCGGTCACGCAGAGTGTTGACCGTGGAGTAGAGGTAATTCATGGTTGCTTGTAGCCTATCTTTGGTGGCTTTCGAGCTCGTTCCGGATGGGTCTTGGGGGAAATTCGAAGATAAAAGGGATAAAAGGCGTATTTTCTTTAAATCGATCAGTCGATATCGGTCGTTGCAAGGGAGAAACAAAGTCTATGAAGCTTTGACGTGAAGATGATGATGACGAAGGCAGAAGCAGAAGGGCGCAGACGAAAGAAGCGTTTAGTCAAGTCGCCAGGCAGAGAGTCAGCAGCAGAGCATGTGACTAGAGCTAAAGATCAAAGTAAAAAAAGTTTAGAGCACAGCCGTTCGATTTCTTTGGTCTGCTGGATCGTGTCTAGTGACGGTGAGGATGAGGATGAGGATGAGTGACAGCCAGGCGGAGGGGCGATGCGATCACATGGCGGGGCTGCAAGCTGGATCCGGCTTGGCTTGTGGTTTGCCTCCCATGCGGCTTATCTTATCGGTGACAGCATCGGCCTGCACAACACAATGCGGGTAGTGGCGTCAAAGGCGCCACTGCAGCCTAAAAGACAAGCAATGTGGTTTGCTATCAAGCTGAGCTTAAATCATCACCATGTTATACTTTGATGATTCGCTGGAATTGTAATTCACTAGAACAAAGTTTTGAATGTTGGAAATAGATGATTACGTTATTCAATTATTATACAGGTGCAGCGTAGTTTCTGTATCGATGAAGCTACTGCTGGCCAGAGTCTCATGAGTTTCCGTTCATGCCTTCATTAAATCCACTTCAAATGCCCACATGTCAATCCTCCTTCTCCCTTCAGTCTTCCCCTTCCTCATCACTCACTTCTTCTCCCCTCTCAATTGCTTCCTGTCTTTTTCTCTCCACTCTCTGACGCTTCTTTTCAAGCAGCTTCTTCAGTCTCGTTGCTGAATTAAACACGCCATTTGTTCCCGAGCCGCATGCCGCACAAGATGGATCCTTCTTGTATCTCTGAAGGGCACAAGGCAAGCAGAAATAGTGTCCGCATCGCGTGACTATAGGCTCCTTGTAAGTTTCCTCGCAGATGATGCAGGCCCACGGAATAGTCTCCAAAATTGCCAAATCTTCGTCGTCGTCTTCTTCTTTTGCTTGGTCCCGGTTCGCGCTGGCCACCACCGTTCCTCCGAGATTCTTTTTGCCTTTGGTCACTTTTTCCCATTCTAAATCCAGCTGCCAGCCTTGTTTCATGTCGGATCGATCGTGAAGGTAAATACACCCGTCGCCAAAGCCGCACGAGCCAGTCTTCCGATAGTCTTTGCAGATGCCAAGATTATACTCTACTGCCGTAACTGTGCGAATGTTCGTGGGTGCCTTGATAGGGCCGACCGTCTTCCGGGGAGCGTCTGGGTTTTTCTGTATAAAAGTCGTCTGGTTTGCCAGTCCCTTGTACGTGCCATCGGGCTGGCCGTCTTTAGACACTCTGGCCGCCGACCCAAGAAGATTCTTGGTTGACAGGGCATCCTTTGCATTCTCGTCAAACCAGTTGCTGTGTTTCGTCGCGTCGTTGGTGTCGGCGATGGGCACGCTCCTGTCGGCCGTGTAGATGACGGCTGATGTGTCTTTGTTGGTAGATGCTGCTCCCCTTGCTGTAGCGGTGACGACGGCTGTCTTCTTCTGCCTCTTTACCCGCTGTCCAGACTCGTCTTCTGAGGACGAATAGTCGCTGTCGCTGTCGCTCGCGGCTGGGGGAGGTGTGGCTGGTCTCTTGCGGATATTCGCTTTGCCCTTTGCGCCTCGTTTCTTGAAAATGGCAACGGGCGCGCTGTCGGCTTCGGTGTCTGCCATTGTTCTTAATTGTTATGCAGTTGAATTGAGTAAATCTTGGCTGGATAACTGCGAGTAAATGTTTGATAAAAGTTGAGCCTACAGGCATATGGAAAAATAACTGGGGCGATTTGTCACCGGTGGCGCTTACCAATTTGGCAGCGCGTGTGGCAAAACCTTATTCGTACATTGCAAATACAGGGTAGCGACGAAATGTCAAGGCATCGCTTTGTTTCTATATCAATCTACAAACCAGAAATGAGATTGTCAGAGATGATGAGGCCAGCTACTAACTTTGGCTCTAATATATTTCCGAGAAAAAAAAGCATTTCGGAGTCGTGCAGAAGCTATAAGAACATCTCATGACGAAACACGCTTTCAACAAAGCACAGATACATACGCCCAAGTGTTCAGAATAGGACAATATTTCCAAGATACATGAAACAGAGCGGTGTACTTTGAAGTACTTTCTAATTTGTCTTATTTACCGACGACGACGAACTGGAATCTTTCAATAGTAGTATCTTCTTAAAGTACAGTAACTCCAGCTACATAGAAAAGAAACAAACGGTCCACTTGATGCAAATAGCCTGCGTCCCTTGGACTTGGCGTCTATGCATTTGCTACGAAGAACTTCACAGCGAGAAACGGTGGTCGGTAAAATGCCGTTTTATATATTCCGTCCTACACTACGTACATCCATATCCTGCCCGCAAACATCCATTATGCTAATCCTCCAGTATCCAAACTTGTCTATTGTGCATCCATATTCCTCCAATTTTGCGGGCCCCTCGAACCAGTGAGTGATTGTAAACCCTGCAATGCCTTCACGCAGAGTTTACTGTAAATCAGCGTTTGCCTTAGAAAGTGCCTTGGGCTTCCTCGCAAAGAAGGTCTTGGCCGGCCTGTATACACACACGAACTTATCAGTACACGCACTCATTTCACAGTAGTGAGATTAGAGTTCATCTTGATGCACTTACAACGGGGACAACACAGCAAAGGGGCTGCTTGCCGCCTTCAGCAGCGCAGACGGCTTGGAAAATGGGACCAGTCAAAACATCGACTCTCGCTATTTGAAGTTAGGATGAAGTTATAAAAGTGTGGAATAGATGGTATCTCACGAGTATGGCAGTCGAGAGCGGCAACGCCAAGGACGTTGGCACCACAGCACTGAGGGTTGGAGTAAAGGCCGTTCGGGCAGACAGAGACAGAGGCGAGAGCGCCAGTAGCGAAGAGGGCAACGATGGAGAACTGCATTTTGAAGGTGTTTGGTGGTGTTGGTATTGCAACAAGTTGATGGTGAGTGTAGAAGAGTGTGGTGATGATTGCTGTGGAAGAAGCTGATGAGGATGAAAAGAATTGAGTTAATGCTGGGAGAGATGGTCGACTTTATACTTTTTACTCCCCCGCTCCTGAGTTCAGTAAAGACCTCCTCTACCTCTTTCATCTATCCCGTTTCCCAGTATTTCTTCCAAGTTCGTGGCCGTGCTTGGCCGACTGTATGCAGGGAGAAAGAGAAAGAGCCCATCACAATCTCGCTCACACTGCACAATGAAAGGGATAGGTAGGGAGACTGAATCCAGTACTAAGGTGTCTTACATCTTGGTCGATGAAATGAGAGTTTGGTGTAGCTACGAGCATTTTATGATATTTTCATAATCAAGGCCAATCATACAGAGAGCTCCGCATCGTGGCCATGCGGGATAGTAGCGAAACGAACGTGCTTTTCATTTTCATGGGCCACTGGTATAAAAGTAATATGGTTATTCATACGCTATTCAAACTAGAGTATTCTTTATCATCGTCACCGCTGACAGATAACAAGGAGAGGCAGAGTGTCTGATGTCCAGAATCCGGTTTCTCAATTTTTAGCTATTGTGCCCAAGACACTTCTCCTGTCTCTGATTCCAGCCGCCTTTGCTCCTAAGCGCCCTCTTGATATGCCAGATGATTTGGCAAGACTCTACGCCTGGTGGAGACTTTGTTCACCGTTTATCTCCCTTGGGCTGAAGTCGACGGTTCTCGCATATACGGCGTAACGGTGAGCAGTAGTTTGTCCAATAGGAAGGATGATACTGAGACGTGGTGGCTCTTTGTCTGAAGCAAGGCAAATACTCCTGAGACATGTGTGCAGACGGCGCAATAAGCTGGCAAGGAGACGGAGGCAGATATTACTTCATGATAACATCACGCAGCTATTCGTTGAGAGGTACGTAAGAGATTCTGCTTCTTGCGTACTTGTATAGCAGCAATTGACCATTCGATATCCGATGGGTAAAAACACCTAGTGTAGAGATTTTCTATTCGATCCAAAGCCCAATGTTGGGGTAGGGCCTGGCCATCTAGTATAGAGCGACCGACGAGCCGATCATGATCGGCCTGGCGGGTTCCACGGCCACGTAGCACATCATACGGGCCTGCTAGCAACTGAAATAAGGGAGCACCTGCATGCGTCTACGACTTATAGGGAATAGACTATTGCTAGGGAGCAGTAGTGGCAGGACTTCTTTACCGTCTTTACCATGGCGATACTCTCTCTCCTCAAGTGTGCGAAGCGGCGAACCGTAGAGGCTAGACGAAAGTGGCATAGATGGGTGCCATGTCATGTCGTGACCGACTTCCGGTGGCTGTCACAAATGATGGTCCCATTTCTTAGAATCAATCTAAGATTAGATGCTCCGCTGTCAAAGCTGCATGTACTATTACTTACAAGTATTACCTACCCTATTTCGCTGGCATGTGCGAAGCCACGTCTAATCGGCAAGTCTTGTTGGACACAATACTGCATCTTGGCGTCATCAAATCACAGCTGGCAGTTGTGTATAAACAGGTGCCCGAATAATGTGCTATACACATTCATTGTGTCAACAACAATGCAGCAGACGTATTTGGCCAAAGACACAAACCATCAGGAGCGACATGTTTCAGTTGGGAAAGCCAACGTCGTAAACATAGGATACTACTACTCCGTACCCAGATTACTTCTCGCGTCAGTTGGAAGCGTGTATGATTATACGTGAACAAACCCAGCCCAACACAGGGCGTTTAATAGACGTGGCTGGCCGCCAGTGGTTCTGGACAAGGATATGGGCTTCTCTCGGGAACTCGAGTTACACAGGTAGAAAAGTAGCACTTGGCAATTTGGCGGTGTATAGCAGTTTGCAGCACGGCATGTGATCTGTGAGTGGGCTAATGCAGGGGAAGCGGTGCATGGTCCGCGTTGCTGGGGGCTGTTGGTGGTAACTGAAGCTGACCAGGCCGCCATCTATCGCCCAAGAGACGGTGGTGATGGCGATGGCGACGGCGATGGCGATGGTATCGATGGGGTTGATGATTGATGGATCGACTGATTGAGTTGATTGAATGCCTCTCGGACAAAGCCTGATTTTTCTAGAAATTCTAGGGAACACGGAACAGAGGCGCTAGTAGGGGATGCTCCGTTTAATATGATTCTTGCGTCAATTTGCTACTTGGGAGCTCTATTTGGCGCCTGACAATCTGCCTGACACGCCGGGGAGCTTGCTAGGAGCTTGCTAGGAAGCTACCTTGGGAGGACTAGCAGCAGCGAGTCAACAGACGATTCGCTAGAAAAGCTGGACGAGCAAAAAAATAAAGCCATGGTCAGGTACCGGAATTTATGGCGGCGGGGAAAGGCCTGCTTTTTGCTGGGTTCTGCTAAGATGAGGCACTAAAGCTAGAACGATTGGCTGCCGGCAAGTGGGCGTTCATTTCTCTGGGCTTTGGAGCGGAATCAGCCGGGAGTGGCGGTTTGGTGGTTTATTCGAAGAGACAGATGGCATTGTGTAATGTAATGCATGCTGAGAGCAAATGCGAATTAATGATGATGATATGAAAATAATGAGCTTTGGCAATGTCAAGGAGAAGCAGGCGAAAGCGAGGCCAGACTCGGAAGCAGACATATTCCGGGGTATGGAGAAGCCGCCTTTAATTGCCTGCATGCACATCAGAATTTCACGCTTCTGAATGGCACCACTCGATGTATGTATGTACGTGCATGTCCCTACCCTGCCATCGCATCGTATCGCATCTCATCTATGAATGAATACGCAATACGATGATGCGAGCGATGCAGGCTTTGTTTGTTGGTCGTGCAGGTATTTGGCTCTACCACTCCATACCCAGGCATGGACGGGCAAAACCTTGAATTGCTTACCTTGTATTATTTGCAATGTAAAACGATACCACTACATTCATTAGTCCAAAGCATATTCCGCAATTCATTCTCCATCTGGAGAAGAGGGTGGTGATGGGGGCCAGAAATTGGAGGAGATGCAGGCGCTGAAACACGCACTGGGCTCGTTTTGGGAGAGCCGTCCCGACCAAAGTGCTGCCTCCATGACACCAAAAGCTGTTTCCCCGTGGGTTCAGCTCTGTGCGTATTGCAGGTACTGGCTACTCCCGTGTCGCGACGGGGTACTCCGTACTCTGCCGCTGGTGGTTGTCGCATGAATTACTGATGCTATTTTTTGCCCGGCGGCATGGCCTAGAGGAAATCGGCAAATCTCGCATCAAGTGGGATCTGGAAATGAGGCCAGATTATGGATCCATCGAGCATTGGCGACTTATGCAAGTCATGATCATGCATGTTATGCGCTGCTGTCCAATGCCGCGCCAAACAAGCAAACAAAGAATGAAACGAGGCACACAAACAATTCTTACCCGCCGAGTGGTTTTGACGGATGGGTGGATGGAGATGCCCGTGTCAGCTGCGTGCTTGTGCCTCTTGGACCTCTGGTTGTAGCAGAGACATGCGGGGATCACATCACGGCACACATCCAGGCAGGTACTACACCAAAGGCTGCTCATCGCCAGTGGCACATGTCGCGATGCCTCAGGTAGCCAGCCAGCGATTCCAGCAGCTCCATCTACTTAACATGTGCCAATTGCCACCAGATCCATACATCGAGCCACGGCGCGGCTACTGCTATTGCTGCCAGCAGTAACTCTCGTCATTCAACACCAAGGCTCCAGCTCCCAATTATTATTCTCGGTCCCCTGGTCAGGTGCTCCACCAAAAAGGCGCAAGGCCCCCTATGCCTCTGCTTAGCCTGGTCCTAGCTGTACGGAGACGCAGCAGCGCAATATTCTTGCTTCTCGCTCCTCGGCTTGCTGCAGCATCCTCTCTTCTTCTTCCTTACACCTCTTTCTTTTCTTCTCACTAACCTCATCACAAACTTCGGGTCCCGGCAAGTCTATGTGCTCCTCGCGGCTGGATCTCCGATTTGTTTTTTTCATAATTGTGTTTTTTTTTTCCTTTGCCCGTCCCCCTCCGACTCGATTCACTCGTTACACAAACAACCTACCGCTAGAATAATAATACAACGCCTCGTGTATTTTGGGCACAGGATTCGCAGCTCTACCTACGCGTCCGATCGACCCTATCCGCTCCTTTTTTGCAATCAACATTGGGGAAAATAAAACCTCCCAAAAAACACCAAAAAAAAGACAAAAGTTCCGTCGTCGACAGAGCCAATCCATCGCCGACTTGAATTGTATTGCGACTTGTTCATCTCTTGTTTTTTTCTCTCTCGACCTGCCATCAACGTCCAGCAATTGCGACTTTCCGCGCACTGCCTGCAACACAGCCCGACTCGAGAAACACTCCCGAGTCGCCGTACAGTGCGTGCGCCGATCCGCAGCAAAAGAGAGCTCGCGCGTCAGCTCCATTCCACTGCATTCCGTCTGGCAGAGCCGTGCCTAGCGCTCGATTCGACTGGACCCGGCCCTGAAATCTGGCTTGCCCACACGGCTCGAGCCACGTCTGCCGTCCGCCGGCGCTGAAAGAACAACAAAACACCGCCTAAAAACAACAACAACAAATACTCCGTCTTTGATTTGCAAGCCTATTTGCTGGTTTTCCTTTTTCGCCTTGCTGGCTGCCTGCCCTCGGCGCTGCTTACGTTTGCCTGTACCTGTTTGCTTGGCCTCCACCTCGCAACAACAAACAACAGCGGCCCGCAGCCTCAGCGCTTCTAATCTTATCTTGCCTTGCCTTTTCGCATTTCCATTGCCTGGATCCCGGTTTCTTTTTTCTTTCTCATTCTTCTTCATTTTTCTGCACCGCTTGGCTTTCCAAATCTCGCCAATTTCGCCTACCTTTGCGCTTCCGTTTTTTATCCGCCCCGTGCGCGCGCAATCCACAGCGTCATTTCGGACAGCCAAAACTCTCTTTTCTCTTCTCCAACCGCCCGCTCTTGTGCTTACAGCACCTCGAGCGACCCCCGGTTTTGTTGCAGCAGGGTCTGCGGCGACGCCTGTTTTTTTTCCCAGTATCCAATTTTCCCCGTCCAGGCCACTCACCAATCGCCTGTTCAGCACCCCCCTGCAGCTTCCTTTTGCCGCAGCCGATTCAGGGCAACGCCAGGGGCGCGCGCAGGCGACTTGCAGAGCGCCAGCTCACGCAGCCAAACGTCTTTGTTTCTTTCGTCACCACCACGACGCAACAGACGCACGCCACGCAGCCGCATCTCTCCCCTCAATCTCCGCATTGCCCATTGTTTCCGTCATCGCTTTGGTGCAGCTGCCGCCACAAAGCCGCCGCCGCAGCGCTTTGCCCCAGCTGCCAAACCTCCCCGGGACTTGGTAGCTGCGGATTCAATCCCATCTTGATGGTCGTCCGCCGCTGATTGACAGACGGACGGACGCAGCGCTTTCTGCCATCAGAATGGCGTCGACGTCAGTCACTTCCGGCCGGCCTGATCTCTCTGCGCCCGCGGGAGACAGCACCAACGACCCCTTTGTCTCGCCCTCATCGACCACCCCGGCCCATTTTCGCTTCTCCGACTTCGAACAGGAACTCAGGGCAGCCAGCTCTGCTTCCGACCCCCGAACGGCGAAGCGCACACTCGAGGCTCGACTCGCAGAGACCGATCGCCGCCTGGATGAAGCCGCCAAGCTTGGAACCGCCCTGGTGTCGCAGCGAAAGACCCTAGCCGAGCAGCTGCAAGAAATCGACAGCCTCCCGACCGAAGAGGAGCTGGCGCCCGAGCTGCGCAAGAGGCTGGTCGACATCGAGAAGGACTACAATGACTTGGCGCGAGAGTCTGCGAGGGCCTTTTTGCCCAAGCAGAGAGTGACGAGTAGCGAGAACCCAGGCTCTCCTTTCATGCTGGAAAGCCGATCAGGCAGGGTAAGAAGCAATTTCATTCCCATTCCCAGATTTACTCATATACCCTTTCCCCTTTACTTCTTTTTTCTACTTGGCTAGGGCGAAATCAACCACTCTTTTTCAAATCACAATCATGTACATAATATAGCATTACATGCATCTCACCCGCCTGGCCTTGCACACGCACACTGAACCCGCACGAATTCCATCTCAGCGTATTACTCGTTCAACTGCTAATCAAAGCTCGGGTCGGTTATGTTTTACAGCGTTCTGCCAGTCCTTCTAAGCTTGACAGCCAAGCCACGGGCTCGCCTGCCAAGCCCAACGTGACGAACCGCAAATCGCGGAACCAGCCTACCAATCGAGTCCACGACATCGAATTCGCCGCCGAGATCAGCACCTCTCTGATTGCCCAGGTCCGCAGCCTGCAAGCAATTCTCGGCGAACGAGATGAACAAGTCAAAGATCTCCGCAATGATGTCTCTCGAATAGAAGGTGACTCCGAAGCTCTGCAGCAGCGTCTCAAGGTTCTCGATGAGAGTGAACATCGCTTCAAGGAAGAGAACTGGAACCTTCAGACACGCCTGCAAGAAATGAGTGGCCAGCAAAGAGAAGCTTCTGACCGTGAGAAGAAGCTTGACAATGCGCTCCACGCCGCCAATGCCGCCAAGTCCACCACTCAAAAGGAGCTAGACGAAGTGAAGCTCTCTCTGTCTAAGCTGACCGAGGAGCACGCCGCCGCCACGAAACACCATGACATTGAGCTCGGCACCGCAAAGCGCGCCATTGTCATGGCCGAGAGTGAGCGCGCCGCCATGCAGCGCAAGATTGACGAGCTAAGCAGCCAGAACCTGGAGCTCGCCAAGGCTATTGCTGGCCAGAGGGCCAAGGCCCAGGAGCGAGAGTCCTCTTCCGGCACTAGTGACGAGGATCTAGAAGTTTCTGCCATTGACATTACGCCCGAGCATTCACCTCCACAGTCCCCCATGAAGGGGCTTACGCCAAGACACTCCATGCTCGAGACCGAGACCCTCAAGACCTCTTTACAGCACGCCCAGAGAACTATCCAGAGTCAGCGAAGCCAGCTTCACCGTGAAAAGACTGAGAAGCTGGAATTCCGACGCATCATTCAAGACCTCCGTGACGACTTGGAAAAGGCCAGAAACGAGCTTGACAAGGGCCCTTCTGCTCCCGCCCCCGCTCGCCGTGGTCGTCGGATTGAGCCCAAAGAAGTCAAGGTCAGGCAGCCCCGGTTACTTGGTAGCTTCCGCTCCAGCCGTCAAGAAGTTGTCGTGGAAGAAGAGCCTATCGTCACAGAAGACCCAGAGTGGGAAGATGCACATGACATCTCACCTCGTTCTTCTGGCATCCGTCTTGGTGCTGGCAGCCGCTCTCCTCTGCGACATCTGCAGCGACTGCACACCCCTGGAGATGGGGACGAGACTGTTCTCGAATCCATCGAGACCAGTGACCAGTTTGAGACTGCTGCCGAAGAGGACGGTGGCGAATCCGCCTTCGAGACGGCTGAGCCAGGAACCGAAACGGAAGACTTCCAAACTGGGCACGAGGACATGTCTGACGAGAGCGACGCTCATACCGAGGTTGGCGTTTCATCATCATCGCGAGGCTTTGGAAAGATGAGGAGACCTCCCAGCTTGCAGCCAACCATGTCGAGGCACGCACAGCGAGATTCATTCGATAGCACTGCGTCCACCTCGACCGATGAAGACGAATTCGCAGACTATCCAGAGTACCGGTCTCCCACTGCTGCCGCCACCTTGCGAAGAATGCGCATGAATAGGGGCACTCCATCCCGAAGAAGCTCTCGACAAGAGAGCGAAGAGCCCCAGTTCCAGAGCCCCAGTGCGAGCTTTAGCAGCGGTGGCGGCGACCCTTCAACTCCCGGCCAGAGTCTCTTTGCCGAGCTGCAAGACTTTGGTAGTGATGATGAGTCCATCGTCTATACTCCTGGTCGCAGAAGCCTCCGTTCTGTCACGCCAGCTTCTACGCGCCGCGCAGTCACACCTCCTCCAGCCGTCCCCCCGCTGCCCCGTGTCATTATGGTGGACAGCGGTGTCATGACCGATCCCATCGAATTCGGTCCAAGCTTTGGCCAGCTGGGTCACAAAGGCTCCCGCAACTCGGTGCTACTAAGCGTCGGCGAGGCCGCCAAAAGGCCAAAGTCGATGGAATCTGTCCTCCCCAACACGGACTTCCGTGCTTCCGCTGCATCATGGCGAAGCATTGGAGAAGAAGGACAGGCGGGCTCTGCTACGTATTCCCGCCCGGCGTCCATGGTTGCTTACAGCGATGCCGGTGCGCAGTACGACGATCTTAGTGACAAGCTTGCGCAGTTCCCTCTGCCTCCATCATCGCTATCTAGTGAGCCGGACCTTGCGTCTATCCCCGAGTCTGCTCCTGAACCAGCGCCTCCTGTTGTTCTTAACCTGTCCGCCATTCTATCCGAGGACATTGCGCCTCGAGAGGAAGAAGAAGAGGAGCAGCCTGAGCCAGCGCCTCCTGTTGTTCTCAATCTGTCCACCATTCTATCCGAGGACATTGCGCCTCGAGAGGAAGAAGAGGAGCAGCCTGAGCCAGCACCTATTCCTACTCTGAACCTGACGCCAATTGCCATCTTGCAGAGTGTGGAGCCCGTGCCTGAGCCAGAGGTCCCCGCTCCTGACCTGACCTTATCCGTCATAGTGGCCGAACACCTGGAGCCCAAAGCCGAGCCTGAGGTTCCACCACCTGATCTCACCTTGTCTGCCATTTTCGCTGAAGGGTTGGAGCCTAGGGCGGAGCCTGAGGTGGTCGTACCGGTGGCTGAATTGAGCCTATCGGCGATCAAGGGTGAAGATCTGGAGCCAATGGCCGAGCCTGAAATCCCCCCGCCAGTCCTCACCTTATCTGCCATAGCCGCCCAAGGCTCAGAGCCAATCGCAGAGCCCGAGGTTCCTGTACCCGTGCTGAGTCTGTCAGACATTGTTGCAGAGGGATTGGAGCCCAAGGCCGAGCCTGAAATTCCTCCACCGACGCTTACGATCGCCTCCATTTTATCAGAGGAGATCGAACCCGTCATCGAGGAGCAGGCAGAGTTGCCCGAACTGACTGCATCTGCAGAGGCCCCAGATACTCCAGCTTCTGCCGACCTGCGCGAGCTTAGCATCTCACCAATCGTGTCAGAACAAGTCGAGCCCGTCTCCGAGCCTATCCCAGAACCAGCAGCCATGGTGGTGCCTCTGTCACTTGCATCACTAACCTTCTCGTCGATCCAGGCTCAGCAACTAGAGCCGAGAGAGGTGCCGCCTCTGCAGCCCGTGCAGCCGGCCCTGGCCTTTTCCACCATTGCTGTGGAAAATGTCCACCCGATCCCCGAACTTGCGCCCGTTCCTGCGGAATTGACGCTCTCTTCCCTCTCCTTCCAGAACACAGTCCCCATTGAGGAGCTGCCCATTGACGATGAAGAGCTGCTGCGATCCACTCAGTTTGCGCCCACAGAACCCGCGCGGCCTACGCTTGGCCTATCTTCCATTGTAGCAGAGGGCATCAAACCTGAACCTGCCATCATTCCTCAGTTTGTCCTTTCCTCTATTTCGTCAGTCGACACTCGGCCAGTCAGCCCCACCAAGAGGGACGGCTTCATTCTGCCGGAAGGCATCAAGTCCCCCTTTGTCGATGATGGCGGTGATGTATCAAATCAGAACCTCTTTGCATCGTACATTGTCAACAGAAACACTGACATTCTTGATGCCTCTACGTCATTACCACCCATCATTGCCCAAGACGAGACAAGCCAGTTGCGCTTGGCATCCTCACAAGCCAATACTCTCAAATCTCAGCGACCGTTTACAGAAACCTCTGCTAATGGAGTTTCTGCCAATGGAGTCTCTCATCAAACCAGCGACCAAGGCGCCCAGACATCCTTGACATCGGGAACCATTGAGCAGCTGATGAAGACTGGAGCTCAAACCCCTCGTGGTGGAAGGAGAAGTCTTTCATTTGGCAGCTCTATTGGCGGCCCTGACACCGTGGGGGCCACCAAGATCAATCGTCCTTACTTCCAAGAGAGTTTGGACAGCCCATTCTCAGTCAATCCCAACAAGAGCAACAAGGCCGACACGGTGGCAGCGGTTGTTTCAACCGACTCTACGCCTACACGCAGACCTGGCAGTGCTACCAGCGCCAAGTCTACTCTCGTAGATGCCCCTCCTCTGCCAGTCAACCACCAGCAAATGATTCAAGCGGCCCGCACAGGCTCATCTGGCGAGACGAAGACGCAAACCCAGAGCCAGGGTACTATGGGTCCTCCCCTGTGGCCTGCCTCTGCGACAAAGCCAACGCCGCGTACCCCTAGCCGGGAGAGTAGGCCACTATCTCCTGCCTCTGGCCATGGAGGTACACCCACTCCTCGCGCTGTTGTCAACCGAGCAGGCTCGTCATCTTACGGCACTGCCGAAATCCCACTGCCACCGCCCATCAGGTCTTCTACTGCCATGTCTTCCACTGGCATGTCTAGGCGATCGTCGGTATCTTCGTTCGTATCGGAACTGGACAACAGGTTCGGAATGCGGGCTGGAGATATGGGCGTCATTGACCCCGCCACTGGCTTTGGACCCAATACTGATCCCAGGATGATCCAAGCCATAACGCAGACAATGATTGGAGAGTACATCTGGAAGTACACTCGCAAGACTGGCCGCGGTGAACACTCGGAAAAGCGACACCGTCGCTACTTCTGGGTCCACCCCTACACGAGAACCATCTACTGGAGCGAGAAGGACCCGTCGACAGCTGGGCGCACTGAGATGAAGGCGAAGAGTCTCCCCATCGAAGGCGTGCGAGTAGTCACAGACGATAACCCCATGCCGCCAGGTCTTCACCGCAAGAGCTTGATCATCATCTCTCCCGGGAGGACCATCAAGTTTACCTGCACCACTGGGCAGCGACATGAGACGTGGTTCAACGCGCTGTCATATCTTCTGCTGAGGACCAGCAATGGCCAGGATGGTCATCTTGACGCGGAAGAGATGGCTGCTGACTTGACTCGAGAAGATGTTGACGAGTTCAACCCTCACTTTGGCGGCCGGCAATCTGCCAACAGCCGTTCGCGGCCTTCGGCTCCGTCTCTGTCATCATACAACTCCCGCACTACTCGAAATGAATCACCAGGCCCAGACATGATTTTTGATATTCCCACGCTGACCCCGGGGAAGAACTCAACCCCGGCCAAGTCGGTGACTGGTAGCATTAGTGGTCGAGTAGGTTCATACTGGAAGTCAGGCGGATCCAAGCTCGCTGGAACGATTCGCAGCAGGACGGCTAGCGCCCAGAATGTTAGCATCTACGAGGCGAGCGAGGTCCATGACAGCGCCGAGGATCTCCGTGAGATGATTGAGCAGCAAGATAGGGATGCGGACCGGCTCGAGAATGTGAGGGCCTGTTGCGATGGTAAGTATCTTGTCAATTCGAGATGAGCAAAGACAAAATCTAACAGGAATTGACTAGGCAAACACGATGTCGGAACGCTTCACCACCACAACAAGAGAAGCCGCAGCTACAACCATCATAACCACTCCAGTGTTAGTGGACAATCTGCCTTGAATACCCCCCTAGCCTCTACGCGCTCTCGGGCATAAAGTTTCTTGTTCAATCGACTATGCATTATTAATCAACCTCTTGACTCTTTCTCCAAATCCTCTCGCCTGCCTCCCAAACGTGACGACCATACATCTAACGGAAGACTTTCTTATGACTCTGAACGATTCTTCTTTCTTTTTTTTTCCTTTTTTTTTTCATTGTCTCTCTCGGATAATCTTTTGAAGCTCTCAGATCGATTTTCCAGGCTGTCATAGATGACTTTTTTGAAAAGATAAAACTGTCACTGGCACGATGAGCATTCCAACTGTTCTCAGCATACTGTCTTTTATGCAAGCGTCATTCTTATCGAATGCAGACCTCTCTCTCTCTCTCTCTATCTATAAATTTTCTTATTATCCGTTTTTATAGTCAATTACTCATCAAGGCGCAAAGACTGCATTTCACGCAAGCCAAGTTATCATGCCAAAAGTTGCCAGAAAAAAAAAAAGATGAGCGTTACATATTCCCATCTTTTTCCTTTTTCCTTTTTCTTCCTTTGTTTTTTGTCAGGTGCTGTAGGAAAAAGGAAACCTTATGAACAACAATTCACACAACCAAAAAAAAAAAAAAAAAGGAGGGATTTGTTTTGACGCAATTTTTTGTATTTTAACAGCCTTTTTTACGGGCATGCTTTTCCTCTACCTGAGATAACAAAGGGAGGAGAGCTGGGTCTGTATGAAGGTATGGCATATCGGACATTGCACAAATTCAGTTGACTTGTTTGCATTTTTATGATTGTTGCTGTTGCTGTTTCATGCATCTTTTTGTCTATGATGCCGTGAAGATTTTTCTTTTTTTTAATTGTAGCCAACTTTCTCGTGAATTTGAGAATAGTGGTGCTGGATTGGGAGGAGAAAGGCGAAAGGCGTTTTTGTCCATAGAATAGAGTATAGAGGTAGGTAGGTAGGAATGGCAAGGGAAATAGAGGCTTGGCGTTTAAATTAACATGGAAGCTACAAACACATGTAGAACCAATATTGCTCAAGTAGCACCAAGTATTGCTCAAGTAGCACCAAGTATTGCTCTTGTACGCTCAAGTCGTGGCGCCTGTGTGACGCAGCTCCATGTACACCATGATACGCTGCGCAGATGTCTGGCTGCCGTAGCCAAAAGGACTCGGCAATATTATGCCTGTGATTAGCCCGGCAGAAAAGGCGGGATCCGCAGCGCAATGCAGGGCCCTCACCGCCTGGAGGACGGGACTGAGCAGAACTTACTTGTACTCGGCCGTCTCCCCCGTCTTCTGTCATCCCACTTTTTCCCACCCCATACTAATTAATACTGCTACTGCTACGGCCACTGCTACTGCTGCTAATACCAATACCCATCCCTAGTCTTGCCAGCCCCGTTTGGGAATCAGTTCCAACTCTCTGCTTTGCTCGTCCGCCATGGCTCAAGACGGAGCGTACCATGCTTTCGATGAAGATGATTCAATGCAGCATTCTGTCTTCATGTCTGACAGGTCAGTGAGACTCGATGCTTGACTCCATGTTTGTCGTGCCCTCTTGCCCATCCACTTCGCTCCCGTCATCTTCCCGGGCCCCCAGCACAGCACAGCACAGCACAGCGCAGCACAGCACAGACGCGCAACGAGCTGCAAGTCATCTGTTGGTTGAGCTTCAATGCTTTCCTCGCGGCACTCTGTAAAAATCGCCCTGGTCCCCGCTGTCGCGCTCGCATTCATCGATCGGGCGAGATCTGGAGTGTTGGAAAGGGCAGGGTCTTGCTTGGCCTGCAACTCCACGCGTGGGGTGTAGCGCCAAAAAGAGCCGCTCGCTAACACTGCCGTTCTCGACGATGTCTTTTGCGCCTCGCCTCGTCGCAGCCACGCTGATGGGCCATTCCAGCTTCAAGTCTCTTGGTGTGATTGTATTGTGCTGCGCTAGACGGTGACATGGCCTTGTTTCCTGCTCTTTACTGCTCCATCTGCCCTGTCTGCTTCTTCTTTTCCCGTCTCGTGGGCCTCCAATGTCTCCATTAGCTTGACACACAGTCTCGATTAGATAGCATCGGCCAGTCGTGTCCGAGACACACTAACCCGACTAAGAGCCGGTCCGGTACAGTATAACAGATGCTAATCATGACGACGTCTGCAGCCTCGAGATCCCCATCACAGATCCACCCTTGTATAGGTGTGCAGAGCAGACGGAGCCGACAGGGGACTCTATCCAAATCGAAACTCAGATAGGAATCAACACCGTGACCTGGGGGGATGCCAGCGACCAGGTGCAAAGCGTAAATGGCCTGGATCTCGACATTTTCCTGGATACCCCCGCAAGCATGGCTCTGTTCAGGCTACATGGCGACCTCCAGCTGACGCATAAACACATGGTCACGAGCAAACAGCCCGTTTATTTGTTCATCTATCCCGAGGACATTGAGTGTATCCAGTTCGAGGCTGCCTCGGCGACGACGCCGTTTGATACGCTGCGCTTCAAGTTGCGGCGCAATCCCTATCTGGTAGCCCCGAGAGAGAGCCTTCTGCCGCCAGACTCCAGTGACATTCCTCTGCATAGGTCAATCCAAGCTCTCGCCACCGCAACCGAGATCAACGTCCAGATTGACGCTTCAGGCACGGACTTGCTGTCACAAACAGACCTGGGCAAGATCGCCGCTGCTTTCTCGCCCAACCACAAGATGCTTATAGACGCAAGGCGTGCCAACCTGGATGCGCTCTACGCCCACGAGAGTGGCGAGGTGCTCAACCTGGGCAAGCCTGCCAAAAGCCTGGAAGTGTATTACCCTTCACCTGACGATGCTGATTTGGCTGAGGGTGAGAGCGCATAAAATTGAACATTGACACGTTTGAAATTTCTCCGTGTTCATGTTCATTCTCCTGGCAGGATCCTCATGCTCACTTCTTCTTTTTTCAATGCTAGATGCCACCACCACCCGTGTTCGCATTCCATCTATACCTGAGGATATCATGACTCGCTTTGGCACTATAAACAACGGCCTGAATTCTTTATGCAAGCTCTTGGACGGCATGAATACCAGGCTGGAGCGGCTTGAGAAGATGACTGCGGCTGCACTGGACGCTGAGTATAACCCGCTTCTGCACGGACCGGAAGAGACTGCGCAGATGCTAGACGAGGTCAGCAGGTTGGTCGACCAGGGCATTGTGGAGTTTAAGACGGAATGCGAAGAAGTAGCCAAGGAGACGCTGAGCGAGCTTCGAAATGAATTCGACAACATGTCGGCACAGTTGAGAGGCGGTACGACGAAGAAGAGTTGAGAGCCATTTTGGTAGTAGAGGAGCATTTGCAATTTCGATGATGATTTGGTCTATTTGATGTAAAATAAAAAAAAATTAGCTCTTTAGGTCGGATACAATATTGCTAGGTTAGGATAGCGAAAACGTGGATATATGAATTGATGGCATTGATCTACCTCTCTTCCTACCATAAGGGAGTTTCTGGCAACGTTTTCTCCCTTGTAACAAGATGCTGATTGGTTGTTCTGCCTGTGAAAGCTTCTAGAGGCATGAAAAGGCTTGCCGGAGAGGTGTCCAGAGGAGGTTCGTTGGGGAACGGTCACCAGAAAACCCCTTGGTGTGCAATGGGCAAATTCAGGTGACCAGGTGACGGACCCATTGCACTTTCCACGTCCACCTATGTACCTGCCTACAACGGCCATCTAGCGATGCCGCCTTTCCCTCCACTCTCCATACATACATTCTTCCCAACAACTTCATCATCGTGGACCTTGTTTCTTCTCTTTTGTCACTGCACATTCGACTTGGCTGGCCTCGTACTGCTACCCGACCTCGTAGCCTTTTACACTGGCATTCAAAGAGACGGGCATTCGCTTCAATTGCCCAACATGCACACAAAGACATCACGCAACACCAACACCATAATCGTCGATATTACCACAACAAAGACTTGAATTTTCAGCGCTCAAGGTAACTAACTGCTTCCTTCCATGGGCCTACGCCTTGATAACATATCCTTAGGTACTAGTAGTACGCACCATGATCTTCCCCATCAGGCTGGACAGGTCCAACGACTCGTGAGGCCAATCCACCACCATCTCCGCCTTGTGGAAAATGACATTCTGCCGCGAAATCTCGAGCAACTTCAGCTGGAAATCCTGTCCATTAGTATCCTGCTCGTCATCCTCCTCGCACTGCGGCAGGCACAGGAGGTCCATCCATATGTATTCTGTGTCAATGATGCCTTGAAGCTGCTGCAAGTCCCTCACCAGATCCTCAACCTTGAACTTGTCAACGGACGACACGGGGTATTTCCAGCCCTTTGGAATGATGTGACTCTGTCCAACTTCTTGGCGACGTCCGAGATGGCTGATGGCCGTATAGTCTGGCGGCGGACCCCCGCGAACAAGAGCTGACGTCTTTACCAACGTCGCACTCATCCGATTCCAGAGGTACTGGGGGTAGTTGCGATAGATCTCGAGCCCGTTATCCACATATGGAATGATGTTGGCAGTGAGCAAGTTTCGCGCCTGGATCTCGGGCCATTCAAAGTTGGTCGCTTCTGACAGACAAATCTCCATGAAATCTGCCGAGTTACTGGGCACCAGCCGGTCAGATTCCAGAGGCCTAAGAAGATACGTCTTCTCAACACCATCATCAGACTCATCAGACGATAATTTGCACTCTTCAATGCGTGTATGCCGTCCCCGCTCGCGATTTCGCAGCACCAAGAACTCAGTGTCGCGATAATACCGTTGTCCGGCCGAAATGTGCCACTCTCGGGGGGGCTCTCCGACCTTGACGCCGCAGAATTGCGATTGGAAAATACGCCACATTGTCCAGTTATAATCAGATATCTCTTCGGCAGGCATACTCTCCTCTGCAAACTGTTCTCCTCTCAGAGCCATGACGGTTCTCGTAACTGTGTCATGGCGATGGTTCAGAAACTCGAGGAAAGACGAGACGCATTTCTCGAGTTGTCCGACGATAGGATGGGAGAATTTCTCTTGTTCCGAAAGCACAACGCAGAGGTCGGCTTTCACAAGCTCCTTGTAGATCATGTTGCCATTTTTCTCATGATACGACCAACGAAGCCGCATATCATCGTTCAAGAAATCAAGCCTGGATAGAATCGGTGCCAATTTGGAAAGGAGGAAATAGACGCAAGCCTGGGGGTCACAGTAGGTCCCGGCCCACCAGTCCAGCAGCATATGATAGGCTTGTCGTTGAGTCTTGTCAAGGAGATATCCCTGTCCGCTGCCAACCAGATGCATAAGGCGGAACCAATTGAAAAAGGCTCGAACGAAAACTTTGACTTCGTCTTCCATACTGTCTGGAATCTCGACATCGCCATAGAAGTGCTCCGCAAGATCACCAAGAGCCAGATCTCTGCCAGTGGGCATGATGCGGGCTTCTTCGGCTCCGTTGTACATGATGGAGAATGTCATTGTTGCTGGTAAGTGAAATTTGAGTGATTAAAATATCAAAGAATCAAGCGTCTTTTATGTTTGTGCGTTTGGTCACGAGTATAACTGTGTGATACGATGCGATTGCTTATTTTCAAGAACCTTTGGATCTTGGGAGACAGAGCGGCATATTAATACTTTAGCTTCCAGTCCATACGCGATATCAACGCTCCTCAGCAGGAATCAAGAAAAGAAAGGGAACAAGAACTACCTTTCAGCCGGAATGGGGTCATCTATCGATCGTTCAGGCACTCCGACCAATCAGTCAAGCACACACGCAACAGCTGCAAAGCTACAACTACTCGGTTAAGCACAAGCACAATCTAATGTAAGTCGGTAATGGAATCCATCATGTGGCGACTGAACATTGGCTACTAGAGCAATATTATACACGTCAACACCGAAAGGCTGCAGTGGCTGAAACGATTATCCTCCCTCTGCTACAGCACGACCCTGTTCTTTTTCGAACCATACCAAACGGTGTCCTTATTCAAGTGAAAAGAGACGGAAAATGAAGCCTCTCTCTATTCAGATATTGCTCATGAGTGAGAATAGCCCAAGAGGTGCCTTTCTACATCACGATATCCTTTGGCCCAACCATGATTGATTGGTGGTGTTACACCAGAGCCTCGCCTCGCCGTGCCCTTGAACCCTGAATTCATTCACCGCTCTTCGCCTCTTTCACATGATGGCAGCCTGTCTTGCATTCTGGCGTGTCAAGGTGCATTGCAGGCCGCGCCTAGCAGGGCAGGCAATATGCACCTGTTAATGACCGGTGAAGGGGCTGCATGGAGCTGGCTGAACCGATGGCCTCGCCGATTGGGTCTGCGCAACTTGTGGCGTAAAGTGCTCCTCCTTATCTTGCCAGAATCCTGAATGGGCGGGCACCAATGGCTGGTATTTGAGGGGGCCGTCGTGAGGCTGAGGGCCCAGATGATTCTTGAAACTCATGCTAATGCTTGGTGACTGTGTGATTATGCGAGTTTGTTTGCTTTTGTTTGCCCGCGCGTGGTTATCTCGAGTCCATTGCTAATAACAGAGTGCTGTCATCAGGAACTTGATTGCCAACGGTGGCAAGTTGGTATAAGGGGCCTGCTGTCAGATGGCGGTTGAGTAAGGTAAATGACGTGAAAGGCTGCTTTGCTCAGGCCAATAGCCATCGGGTTACACAACTACTGCCCACCAAGGTTTGGGCACCTCTGCATTCTTTTTTTTTTCCCCTGCCGCCCCTTTCATCATGCTGCGTCGAACTCTGATGGATTTGACCATGTTTTCGGAAATGAAAGGAAGGGAAGAGCAGAGGGAAAAGGAAAGGAAAGGAAAGAAAGTTGGGTAAGTGTGAGATTCCTTGATTCCAACTACTGCTTCAAGTCATTAACTACATACAGTAACACACCACACCAGCAACAACTCTCAGACGCGCTCTCTCCACAACCGCACGTTTTACCGCACGTTTTACTTTGACCCCGCCGGCACAAACGGGGGCTCCATGATGGCTGACTCATCTTTGGCGCTTCTCTCACGATTCAAAGCATCTTAGCACCCATCCTTGGTACATACTACTGTACTAATTAGACTCCGCAAATGCGGTGGGTTCAGATCTCAAGATCTACCCGTGCTTTGGCGGAAGGAGAAAAAAAGAGAGTACTTAAGAAAAACGTGAGCCTATTTTAGCAGTAAGCTTGGTGGATTGGTGGACACAGATCAGATCTTGTCGGCTAGCTCCAACTTTTATTTTGGGGGTGCGGCCCCGTCCAGTCCGGCTTATACTTGTACGGATAGTTGGGGGTGGAATGGAAGGGTCCACGCGCAGACAGTGGCTCAACCCATGGCAGGGTCCAGATATTACGGCGCTGGTCCTTGATCTCGTGCGAGGACGAGCGGCATGTGCGGCGGCAACTAACGGCGACCTGACCTGATTTCTCTAGAACCAGGGGAAGCTCGCTTTTGTCTTGATGGGCTGTTTACTCTGATCTCTCCCTCCCCTCCCCTCCCCTCCCCTCGCCTCTCTGCGCCAGAGACTTTCTGAAAGAGCCAGCAACAAACGACATGATGATCCATCCAGCGCAGAAAGTGAGTGCGTAGGTATGGACGGGGCACACCTGCCACACCTGGCAAAGCGAGCGAGCGAGCGGCAGGCCTGAAGAGAAGGAGGTGGGAGCTGAGCCGAGCCAGGAGCTGAGCCTGAGCCAGGAGGGAGCGCGCCCAAGAGGGCTGAGCCAAACGCAGGCTTGGGCCAGGCCAGGCCAGGCCAGACCGGACCGGACAATGACACCAGCAAGTCCTACAAGTATGGAGGCCTACGTATCCGTACAGCACTTGCAAATCAGGCCTGCAGTCCAGGTCAAGCCACGCCTACAGGTCAAGCAGACAAGCAAACAAGCAAACAAAGCCGGGCCAGACGCTCGACTTGGCAAATGCCGTGCGAGCCGTGGCTGCGGGCTGCTCTGTGCGGTGACGGCGACGAGGAGAAACAATGAAAGGCCCGCCACGCCAAACTAGAGGCTCCGCCCTCTGCCGGCCCCGCCCGGCAAGCGCCCCGGCCCCAGCCATTGGCCCGGCGAGGTGTTCCGTTGAGCCAATTTCCATTTGGGCATAGTGCTCGTACTAGCAACTGCTGATATTTCTTTAGCACGGCTCCTCAGGGCCTAGCTGGGAGGGGGATTTGGATGGATACGAAGGGAGCTGCTAAGACGGTACCTAGCCTTGCTGGTACACCAACCAGACTTGAGTCGAGGCAAGGCAAACCTTTACTTGCTTGTACAGCACTCGATGCTGTATCCTTGTCCTCTGCCGTTTGCTAGTGAAATTGGTCGTTGTATTCGCTGATGATACACTGACTAGCAGGATACGCTGAGCGGACTAACCAGTTCAGAGCCAGGGCATGACGCGGGCTGATACAGATTGGAAATTGTTGGCGCTTGTGCTCCGTGGGACGCAGTAGGTATCCTCGACGTTGCGTTCCAGAGCGAGACGAGAGCTTTCGTACCTGAGAGTTGAGAGGACGGTACAGAGCAAGAGACATTACAGTGTACCACAGCGCGAACGAGATTTGAACCGGTTTAATCCAACTTCTGTGCTCCCACACGGCAACTACAAGCTAATTTACCTCGTTAGTGCTGCTGCTCCTACAGTCCTGCTAGGCACATTGTTTGTGCTACCGGCCTAACGATGTACGAATAAGGGGTTTCGTATGCCAATGTCACGCGATGATCCCTGGCAAATGAATGAGGTATTGTACCGCACAAGTATCTTCAGCAAGTATCGGCTAAACTAGGCATGTAGATATTATGTAAGATTGGCTGTTGAGAACCAAGCATGCCTCGATTGGCCAGCTGAAAGAATGTGACTGCCCGGCTTCCCCTACAAGTAGTAGGCACGACCAGAGTCCCAAGCGACCAGAGCCGGGTAGCAGCATTTTCTCCCCCTTCAGTTCAGCACTCTCCCGTATTTCATCCACTGCGCAAACATTCACTCTTTGCCTCTCCACAGTCCCATATTGCCTATTTCGCTATGGGTTACGGGACCACTCCAGACGACGTTATAAACAATGACGAAGAATTGATACCGTCTCCTCCCTCGTCCGGGTTAGTAACAAGTCCTTTTGCTGCGGTTCCTTTGTCTGTTCTTGTCTCTCCTCACAACTAGCGGCAACGGACCGTGCTGTTCTCTTACGATGGTGTTTGCTCGGCGACGGGTAGTTGCCTGTGTAGCAAGATTGAGCCAGTGCCTTGCTGCTGCCCAATCCTTCGACTCCGCTCACAAGGAACAAAGTCGATGAGAAAGGGTCGGGACCATACTAGCCGTGGGACAGCGGAGAGGAAGCGAATGGATTGACTTGTTGTGCCAAACTTGGCGTAACAAGTGGGTTGTTTGCTGCTACTCCTACAACTCTTAGTCTACTTCCGTCGCCGGTACATACAATCGTTCCGCGGCAAATGCCCCATCGTGCGATGAACAGCGGGTTGTCAAGTGGATGAACATGACATCATGCCAAAGCCTAGACTTGGCTGTTGACTTACATGTGATATCAAACCGCTAACCGAGACTTTCAACTCCAGGTTATTCTACCTCAACCAGGGCGTCGATGACGATAGATTCAGCTTCAGCAGCCCATACTATGCCAGCAGCAGCCCTCGGACGACGGACCCCGAAGTATCGGCCGAATTGGACTGCTACGACAGCCTTGAAACCACGGCGATTGTCGATGTCTCGTACCGAAAGAACAGGGTGACGTGGAGGGCCGCCAATGGCGAGGCGAGGCAGATGTTCGACCTGTCGCTCGACTTGTACGCCAACACGGAGACCAACACGTCCATCTTCAAGCTCTACACCTACATCATCCGCAAGGGCCGCAAGGGCCGCAGCAACAAGCAGGCCGTCTACCTGTTCATCCACCCCGAAAACGTCCGCTTCATCACCTGCGAGCCGTCCCGCACCGCTCGGCGGTACAAGTCCAAGACGAACAAGCCGCAGACGTATTACGAGCTGCGCTTCTCGCTGACGGAATGCCCCAACATTGTGGTGCCCAGGGACCGCGCCTTTGAGTCCAAGGATAAGACGAGGGCCCAGCTGGACTTGTTCCAGGAACTCTCCAGCACAAACGATTTCGTTGTCCACCTCAACGGCGCGGGCATCAACGCATCGAAGCTGGACGACTTGCGATTGCTTGGATGCATGTTCTCGCCCACGTTTACCGAGCACCGCCCTACGACGGACTTTAGGCGGGCGAGCCTGGCCACGCTTTATGCGGGCAGCGGCGGCGAGATTGTCTGCATGAACCGAGGAGTTGTGCAGTCCATTGAGGTAGATCCGCCTCCATACGTTGGCCCCGCGCCGGATTCTTGCATGGTTTCCAGTGAGCAGTTTTCCAGTCTCTCCTCCAATTTCAGGTGTTTGGGTGTTTTTACTTTTCAATTATTAGCTACTGGGGGATTCCTCTGGCTGACCCGTTTTTTGTTCTTAGGTGAATACCTTTGCTCCGATTCCGAAGACGGATATGATGACGACGATGACGAGGAATCGGAGGAAGACGAGGAAGAGAAGGACAAGAACGCTTTCGCCAACCACGTGCTATTACTTTTAGACAATCTCCAGACCCATTTCAACGCTGTCGAGCGATATTTCGATGGCATGGAGCGTCGCCTGCATGGCTTGGAGAACTGCGTGCAGCAACGACGGCACGAAATTACTTTTGCATTGGCAATGGCCAACCGGCACTACAACAACATGAACAACGTGAACAGCAACAGCAACAGCAGCGGCAGTCACAGCGGCAACAGCACTGCGCAGAGCCCGTATCCGCCGTACCAGACGACGGTGGCGCAGAACACCCCAGCGACGCAACGAGACGAAATGGTTCCACAGGGCGTTTAGAAGGCGTTGCTTTATTTTTATTTTGATCTCTTCTTATTTTTTTGTTTTACCACATCTGGTATACATGGGTCGCGTTTTACGAAACGCAAGGGAAATTATGGGAAACTAAGCAAAGCAAAGCAAAGCAAGCAAAGCAAGCGATGGGAAACGGGATTGACACTTTTGGTATTTTATTGTGAATTTTTGGGGACACAAGGCACAGCTAGGGAGATTGTATTACGATTGCCAGACTACTTGTAACCGATGACTGACTATGACGAAGACTCTGCGTGAATTCATACTTTTTTCTTTCTTTCTTTTTCTTTTCGATTTCTTTTTCTACTTTTCTTTTTATTTCTGCGTCGCAATAGGCTTTGGTTTTGGCTCTTTTGCAAGTTGCTTGGCGGAATGGCTAGCAGCTCTCCGCCCTGCTTGCTGCACTTGGCGCAATCTTACTGTAAGTGCATCTCGGACACCAATTTCCTCTCAATCACATGCTTGTGCAATTCGTTCTCTCACAAGAGACAGGCCTAGGTCATTTCACACATGTTTCCAAGTTGCCGCCGTCTTCCCCTTGTTGTCTCTTTTTTCTTTCACCTCTGGCTCACCTCACCTCATTTTTTCGCCTGGCCATTCCAATTTCATGGGGGCCCAGGGCAGACAAGGACCGCAACACAATGCATACCCCTCACCCTCATCATCCCTCTCTCTTCTCTCTTTTCTCTCTCTCGCAGCGACCCCCCATTTTTTCTGTATTTTTGTATCAGCCCGCTTTTTTGCCACTTCATCAAAATGCTACAGTACCCATACATTCAGTAGAGGGCGCCATTGGCCGGAATGCCATCCCCGATAAGCGCTTTTCCCGGGGAAGCACTTCCTGCTCCAAACGGGCACAAACGCCGGGGGATGGCATTGTGTGAGCATGGGCTTGGGGGAGGGGGAGGGGGCCTGTAAGGTTTTACATAACGAGTTTAACTGGGGGGTTGTTGTTATGCGTGTGTTTTGCCTTTTTGCTCGCTTTTTTTGCTGCTGCTGCAAGGTTTAATGTGTGTGTCAAATGTGTGTATGGGATGGAATGCCCCTGTATATGGCTGCTGCCTGAGGTACTGCTACAGCATGTGTGATGAGATGATTATCCATCCATGGCTGGTGGGCCTGGGCCTTGATTTGCTGATGCATGCAAGCAACCAACTGGGACAGTACGGCATACGGTGCTGTACCGTTACAAGGCTGCAAAGCAACATGATGAAGCAATGCGAGAGAGACCCCTGCAACTGCAACAGGAAGGTGGGCGTGTGTGTCGCTGCGTCTGCGTCTCTGCCCAACGAAGCAGTGGACCGATGCTATTTTTTTCGATGCCAATCGGATGAGCCCGCGGAGCCTTTTTGGAGGGGGGGCCGCAAGTTGGGTGAAGTTGCAGCTTTTTATATCATGCTGTAGTCGGTGTCGTGTACTCGGTACGCGGTACGCCTCTGGTCGAGCGAGCGAGCGCCTCTTTTTTTTTTTTTGTTCCCATTGCCAACTTCTCCACACAACCCACCCCCATCCTTCCATCCTACTCTGCCATGAGAGGGCCAGGCCAAAGCAGCAAACAGTTGAAATGTTAGTTTTTTGGTGCTACTGACGCGGGCAGCTCCACGTTGGGCTTGGCGCTTGACTCGGGTGTCGCTCGTGAGTTTAGCAGGTTCGGCTCTTTTGCCATGGGTTAGCGAGACATGTCATGTTGCATAGGTAGGGACTCGAGAAAGCTTGAAAGTCAAGGAGGAGCCGAGCATAGCTTGAACGGCTGCGAAATGAAAAGTTGCGAAATTGCATGAAATTGGTGGCGCCGTGTCACCACATGCTGATTTTACGAGGCCATGCGGTGACCTGGGAGGCTTGGAGCAAATCCTACACGCGGGCGCCTATCGCTCGCTATATGTCGCGTAGTGGCTTGTTTGCTCAGTTATAGCGAGATTGCCCTTATGAATAGCGCTGTACTATTCCAGCATCTTGTCGCTTATACTCCAGTGAGTGTGTCGCAGCTGTTTATGATGCTATTTTGGGCCAGACAATTTGATGAGATGTTTTCTTCTAACAATACCTAGTGAAGAGACTCACCGTTTCTGTGAATTTTGTTGATTGCGTCTGTTGCGGTGCTTCTTGCGCGGCTCTGGTTGTTCTAAGGGCTGGTGATTCGCATGTGGCTGGATTGTAATTCAAGTGCGCCTTGACCTCAATTGCAGCAGCGCGTTTAATAGGAAAATAGTCAACTACATGTGATGAAATATTAGTAGATTCAAAAGGTCATCATCAGTCGGTTGACTTTTCTTGCTTAGAGCAAGACATGTGCCTCAGACATTCCATCGTAGGCCCTGTTCCTTCCCAGTAGTGAAATCCTGGTAGCGGTTTCCACCCCGGCCGTTCTTGCCTCCCATCAAAGTCTCAGTCACAAGTCAGGAGCAACTGTCTGGCAAAGACTCCTTGATTTCGCATTGCGGGATTCTTCCATCTGGCATCTACCCAGTCGACAGTTTCATTTTCTCTCGAGTTCAGAATCCCCATAATGGAGCGATCGCAGCTCGACTTTCTCACGGAGCTGACAAGGTACATGTCCCACGAGAGCGCTTACATCCATCCTTCCGCCCCTCTCTCTAAAGATGAAATAGTAATATCGCCCTAGACCCAGTTTGTGAGGGATTATATCATGCTCCGCGGGGCATCTATAGCAACCTGTAACTGGACAAAAGTCGCAGTCACATGGTCTCCATTAGACGCTGGATGAAGTTAGAGATTGCTGGCAGCTGGCGCCAGCGTGGGTAAGGCGATGAGGCTCACAACTCGCTGCGACCCGTTGTTACTACAACCGTGATCATCGCGTCAATGGGCAATGGCGCCCACACAAAGCAAAGTCTACCGCTTACGAGGGATTCCTGAGCACCTGGATCGCCTTGGTGTGACACAGCTCGTCAGCACATTTGTCCCCGGCGGCGACCTCCGAGATGTCATTGTAACATCTTTGGCTCTCAGCTGCGAAGTGTGGACCGTTTCGCGCTCCAAAGTGGCTACTCTGTCATTTCAGAAGCTCCCTGATGTTGTCAGCAAAGATCCAACAGCAGGAGAGTGGCCACTACGAGTGCTTGCTCTGGCTAAACCGTTGCTCCTGGATGATACCTTTTTTGGACTGTGTCCTTTAAACGACGTCCCGGAACACCAACACAAATATGAGTATGTCACAAACAGGAACTAATAGTCAGTTGCACGACGACAAGACTAACGCCTTGAAGCTGCATTGTCATGTCAGGCCTTGCCAGCCATCCTATGGGCTCATGGCAGCCGCATGGAGAGGACAAATCATTCATGTGGATCCGAGACACCCTACCTCTGCTAGTGCCTAATGTCAAGTTTATTCTATATGGCTACGACACAACGCTGGCTGAAAGCAAGTCATTCCAATCGGTATCAGATCTCGCTTCAAGCTTCATCAGCACTCTTCAGCAAGGGGGCTGGACTTCAACTGGCCACAGACAGCTGTTGTTCTTCGCTCATAGCCTCGGAGGTGTCGTTCTAAAGGAATCCTTTCGTATGCTAGCTGACAGCGGGGTGATGGATGAATTGATCTTGACTCGCACAAAGGGAGCCATCTTCTTTGGAGTTCCGAGCCAGGGTCTAGACGTCTCCGATCTCGACATCATGTTGAAAGGTCAACCAAATAAAGATGCACTTGTAAATGAAATCTCAAACGAATCTCCATTCATCGATATGTTAGAAGAGCAGTTTTCAGGCATCTCCCATCTCCGAAAAATGAAGCTTCTGTGGGCATATGAAACCAAGACAACTCCCACACTAACGGTATGGTTTCTTTTGTTATTGCCTACTATGAAAAGGGTGTTGATTGATCTCTACAGATGGTTGATGGGGAATATCGGAGATCTGGACCCGGAAGAGTTTTCGTGTCTCCTCAATCTGCAACTGGCCAACGATGTACAACTGACCCAGCTTCCACAATACAAATAAACGCAAATCACTCGGACATGGTCAAGTTCTCCCAAGGAAATGAAGCAATTGATCGGATCGCGTACAAGCTTCGGGACATGCTTGAAAGCGACGTTGCGAAACCTCACGGGGGGGTGAACAACACAGCCGTTGAAAAAACAACGGCCTTGCGTGGAAATCACCAAAGAGCTGAAAGCGCAATGGAGCATGTTGATAATTCCCTTGATCCAGAGTTCTGGGATACAAATTGTAAAAAAACGGCGTTTTCTCTCTTTCGACGAGCTATGCTAATATTCTGAAGCCATCATAAAGTCGATCAATGCTCCTGAACGCGATCTCCGACTAGAACAAATCGACGTAGCGGCCGGACATTCTTTCCAGTGGGCATTTGAGAATTCTTCGGTCGGATTGACTCGCTGGCTTCAAAGTGAAGAAGAATTGTTCTGGATATCCGGGAAGCCCGGGTCTGGAAAGTCCACATTCCTAAAGTACCTGCACACCAATCCGCTCACCTCGAAATATCTACGCAACTGGTATCACAGTACCAATCATGTTCAAGCGACCTTTTTCTTCCACCATCGTGGTACCGCCATCCAGAAGTCGCTTGAAGGCCTTTACCGTGGAATACTGGGCCAGATTCTGGAGCAAGCTCCCCAATCGTTATTTGTGATCCATCCAAGTCTTTCGCAGACTTACGCAGAAGTTGTTCGCAGCCACAACCTTGGAACTCTTTCCTCAGATTTGGCAGCTTTGGTCAGTTCATGTGAGATTACTCAAGACGATGAAGTTTCGAGACAGCTCCAACATGTTTTGCTGTGTGAAATGCCCCGCAGAGCTTTTCGCACAATGGTTATGAAGCCAATGCAAGCCAGTGGTACAATTGGCGAAGATACGGAGACTTTGGAACAGATATTTCAACACCGACACCACTTTCAGACATTCACATATGCTACAAACATTGCTCACACAGATAACAAGAACAGAAACGCCCCCACTAGCTTGGCTCTTTGGATTTCCAAAAATCTAGTATTCACCCAAGATATAACCAACCAGGATAAGGGTGGTTTTGTCAATGTCGATCTTTTAATCTCCAAAAACACGCGCTCTATTGCAAAACCTACGTTCAAAAGCAACAAACGCGTCTTTGCCACTCTAGATCTTTTCATCTCACAAAAGCGAGTTTATACCACCGATATCATCTACGATGAGAATAAGGATATACTTGCTGAAGTAGAGGTTTTTACTTCAAAAACTCTACGATATTCTACGACTGTTGCAAAGAATACTTTTTCAGCTTCGAAATCCGAAAATGAATGGCCAAAGGGAGAGCAAGTCGCCTCTACGATCCAAGATTGGCTAGTAGCCATTGATCCAGTAGCACAATTCTCACAGCTCAAAACACTACTAGAAAATCGCACAAAACAACATGAACACCATCAAGTTGATAAGTCGGTGAAGGAAACTCTCGTCCGATTCTTTTATCGAAAAGAGCAGCAGCAGCGCATTGAGGCAGCACATTGGAGTCTGCAACAACTCAGCGACGCCATGGACAGGGTCGCCAGTCAACGCTTGATTGACTTGGATCTCTGCTTACTCCTCGATGCTTTGGATGAGCATGATGGACCTCCTGAGGTTATTTCTCATTTCATCAAGAAATTTACCACTGCTGAAAAAAGTCGAACTAGAATGAAGATACTTTTCTCAAGTCGGCCCTGGCAGCCATTTATTGATGCCTTTGGGCAAAATTCTGGGTTTCAAATACATGACTTTACCGAAGACGACATTCGCGAGCTTTGCTTGCAAAAGACAATCTCGGGTAAACCAGGTTCGGCAGAAGTACTAGAGTTGACAGAGCAAATTGTCAAACAGGCCAGAGGCGTTTTCCTGTGGGTCAAGCTGGTTCTAAGCGATCTTTTAGAAAATGCTGCCAAATTGGCTGTCTCTGGATACAGTACAGGCCAACTTCACGCAGCCCTCATTGACATTTTGAACTCTCTACCGAATGATCTAGAGCAATATTACAAACTAATAATCACCAGAATACCCTCTTCATACCGCTGGGAGGCCTATTGCTTGCTCGAAGTTATCAGCAAATCAGCAGACGCAATATTTCTTTCTCAAGTCTCAGACATTCTAGCCTGCGCCAGAGCGAATAGCGTGGACGATCTTTTTGCGTTAAAGGCTAGGTCTCGAGATGCCGCCCACAGATATTCCAACGGAGAACTCAGGACTCACTCAGGCGGCTTGATTGAGGCTGTTGGTTCAAACCAGCTCCAGTTACTTCACCAGACCCTTATTGAATTCGTTCAGCTCCCCGAATTCAAAAACCTCATTCTCGAAGACAGGTATCGAATTACAAAGGAGAATGGCTATTCAATACTTTTGAAGTATACAGTGTTTAGGGAAGACCTGCTACACCAAGAGTATCACAACCTCCATTCACCCGTGGTGACTGTGAGCAGTAAAGCCCTCTATTACGCGCGGGAAGCAGAGTCGACTACAGGGGAAAGCGCATTTGCCCTCTTTCAGCATGTGGTCTGGGAGCCACCTCCTGAAGATAATTTTCTTCCGAAAATTGGAAATCTAAAGTACACGACCCTGGAGATTGCCATAGCCTATGGGTTAAAGTTACTCTGTAACGATGTCTTGAGGCGTGATGCCCGTGTTAATCCTGACAGAGCTCCGCTGGTATTTCTTCTATTGCGAAACATGGTTAAAGGGGGGAGAATCGACAGTGCCGGCGCTCTCAATACACTTCAAGATATGGTGGCTCAAGGGTTCCCGATCCACAACAGCCATATAGGCTTCCTGACGATACTGACCACTCTAATTGATGAAAGACCTCAGATAGTCATGGAAGGCGTGGCATCAAGTATAGGTGCCACGCCCGTGATAGCCTTCTGTCGGGAGGTGCTGGACACACTCTTTGAACCGAATTTTAGCTTTGTGTGTCACAAGGGAGGCTTGGAAGTTGAGGAAATTGATCTCTTCAGGATGTTTTTGGGAATGTACGGCATAAAAGATACTGCCCAAGCCATTCACATCTCTGCTGATGATGAGATGACAAGATATCTTCTAGAGAACGGCGCCAATCCTAACGAATTGACTACGGAAAGGCTGACACCGATCGACTGCCGAATAAAAGACATTCCAACGAATATATTTCCTCGAGAACTTGGCCATATCGTATCGTCTATTACGATTCTCGTCGAGCATGGAGGGCGCTTAAACGTGTGTACCCGAAAGAAATGGAACAAGCTGGTACAATGGATGAGTGCCACCACCTCCATCAGCCTGCCACCGTTTCCAGGATGGCTTGACGGAGCACCAGGTGCAAGTCGAGGGATCGACTTTGACATACGAAGTGTCAAGAGGCGCTCTAGAAACTTTATGAAATTATGGAAGCGCGGATGAAGGAATGGGCACGTATACAACGGTCACACGGTGCTATGGAGGATCTGGGCTAATTCACTGTTCAAGAGTTTAAGAGATGGATGGCGATGAAAGGGAACAAGCAAGTACATGCAAAAAGAAGCAAAAAAGAACCACCGTGATATCTTAACCAGGCAATTTGGTTGTATAGGAAAAGCCCAATGCGGGGGTCGAACCCGCAACCTTGAGATATCGCATCGCCACATCAGAGCGTGTGAATTAAGAGTCTCACGCTCTACCGATTGAGCTAACCGGGCTAAGCTGGTTAAGCTCTTGGTGGATTGTTGAAGAGAGCGCGAGTTGAATCGTGTTATAGACTTGAACAACGCTGCGGCCCTCTGTCAAGCTTTCATCGCGCAAATTTTGTGGTTTATACGAGCTAGAGGCTCGAGAGTGGGTCTGTAGTGGGGTCATTTGGCCAAGTGAGGCTAGCGCGACACTGGCGGCACCCGAAACACATCAAATGTGTGCCAGGATGTGCCAGGATGTAGTACTTGTACATAGTTGTAGTACTCGACTCGGCTGCATCAACAGCTCCACCGAGGTGCAAGGCACGCGAGCAAGCAGGTAAAGCCTACCCTATGATGCCAATTTTTGATGTTTTTCAAGTTCTCTCTCTGGACATGAAGAGCACGTAAAGCTGCTTGAGATTAATCTCGAGCCGGCATAGAAAGAGGAAGCGACGATTTTGACTTTGGGGCGTCGCTTTTGATTCACAGACTAAAATGCAGCCCCAAGACCTTTGCATCCATTCTCAACCTTTTACATTCCAGGGCTATTTTCCCCACGGATCCAGCCAAACTCTTGGTTGGGCCCGAAATTATAGCGCTCGAGCCGCTAAATTACAGCATAAACCACTATAACACAGAAACTGTACAAAGCCGTTGGCCGCCCAAGGAAAGTGCAATGGCACAGCCCTCAATCAGGCACATCAAAAGCACTCATCTCAACTCAGTCAACTCAGTCAACGCAGTCCAATCAGCACTTCCACCTCGGCCCTGCGCGTTTGCTGATTCGCGTCGCTATGGAGCGGGTTTCAGAGGTCTTTGCTCAACCACGGGCGTTGATTCTGTTTGACGTTATATGTGGAGCCTCAGCGTGCTATCCAGCATTTGGTAAGCGTCGCTCCTAGTGTAGTTGCGGTCTGATGATTTACCTGCAGACAAACATACTTACAGGTAGGGCCATAGGCATGTAAGCGCCATCTATTAGCAAGATGATTGAGGTTCACGAGATATACGACTCGGATGAGGCGGAGGAGATGAGCAAGATTGACGAGAAACTCAAGGCAGCAGCCCTCGCCTCGAGCCAGCCCATCCCGCACGATGCCAGGCCACTGCCTCCACCCAGCACGGCGCCCATTCTATGCAAGGAGCAGCAAGACCTGATTGACCTCATCGCAACAGGCAACAATGTCTTCTTCACGGGCTCGGCAGGCTGTGGAAAATCTACTGCGCTAAAGGTGGCAGTGAACATGCTGAGGGCAAAGGGCAAAATCGTCCACACCGTCGCCCCCACCGGCCGAGCAGCGCTCCAGGTCAACGGCATGTCGACGTGGTCCTACATGGGCTGGACGCCAGACTATCACAAGCTTCCCATCAAAAAACTCAGGCACAAAGGGTTTCGCAAGCACATTAGGAAGCGTCTGAGGGACACAGACGTGCTCATTATTGACGAGATTAGCATGGTGGAAAATCACCATCTCGAGCGCATGAATCTGTGCATGAAAGCGGCGATTTGCTGGAACCAGTGGCATGGCGGGGGAGACGGCCCGTCCTTTGAAGGAGACACTCCCATCGACAATGGAGACGCTCCGCCCTTTGGGGGAGTCCAGGTCATCGTCACGGGGGACTTTTGCCAGTTGCCGCCTGTGAAGCCATTCGAGTTTTGCATGGTGTGCGGACAGAAGCTCATCTCCGACAAGGACGGAGCCGAGTTCAACTGTGACAACAATCATGGCCCCTTTTCAGAGACGGATAAATGGGCCTTTAGGAGCTCTGCTTGGGAGGAGGCCAACTTCCATTACGTGAACCTGAAAGAGATTCACCGCCAAAAAGACGAGTCCTTTATCAGAATGCTCCAGAAATGCCGTCTTGGAATCCCGTTCCTGCCACAAGAGATGGCGATTCTGATGAATCATCCTTGCGAGGTCCAAAAAGCTACAAAGCTACTCTGCACGAGACGTGAAGTCCAAAGGATAAACCAAGAAAGCTTCAATAAGCTAAAGACACCAAGACTCCAGTATGAAGCTCTCGATGGCTTTGAACCATATACGGAGGAGCATAAAGATCTCCCCCAATACACAAGGCGACAGTATGACGGGACCCTGGAGGCTTGCAGAGACCAACGCCTGGAACCACGCGTCATACTGCGAGGCGGCATGCTCGTGATCCTGCAGGTAAATCTTGACATCAAAGCAGGACTGGTCAATGGAAGCCAGGGTATCATATGCGGCTTTGAAGCATATAGCCCTGAAAAACTTCCCAGAGCTGCAACCGGCGACGACGCCGACTCTATTCCTCCGGAGCAACGCCTCAACGGGGATCATGCAAAGCTCAGAGAGAGACAGATACATCGTTTTGTGGAATACCAACTGCAGTCAAGCAATTCATGGGCGGCCAAGGCCTGGCCTCGCGTGCTATTCCACAACGGCCTGAAGCGAACCATATACGCAACGTGTACAGTCAACTCCATAGGCGACAAAGAGCCATATTCTTTGCTACATCGGACTCAAGTGCCTCTAATCGCCGGATGGGCCATGAGCGTTCATAGAAGCCAGGGCATGACGCTAGACCGCGTTGTTGTTGATCTATCCAATGCTTTTGAAGCGGGCCAGACGTATGTCGCTTTGTCGCGAGCCACAAGCCTCCAAGGCCTGAAAATCGAGGGTAGCCCAGACGGATTACTTGCAAAGGGGGGAAATGACGATGTTCGAGTCTTTTTAGAGGCAAAATTCGGCAACGAGCTATTTAGATCGATTCGAGAATATTCAGGGCATCTTGAGAAGAAGAATGGGTATGGCGAAGCAGACGGGAGCAGGGAAAGCCCTCTTATAATTGGTGAAGTAAGCGGGCAGCAGCAAGAAAAATACACAGCGACAGCCTGGAAAAGGGAGAGGCCTTCATCATCGGGGAAGGGTATTGAACGACTCGGTGATACGACGTCTGAAACTAAACGCACAAAGATGCGCTAACTGAAAAGTCGGTTCGGTTTTCCATCGGGATTTACATCTTGATGTTATAGGATACTATGTTTTTTTGTGCTTTAGCGGGAGGGGACGTTCATATTTGCTGCAGGCGGCTTTTTGAACGACGAGTTATGCTCTATAGCTGAGCGTTTGCTATTGCTACATCTTTTTTTGTCGTCGGTTGACGCAAAGGGCGTTGTGTTTTTGATATAGCCAGTCTGCTTGGATGCCCCAAGAGGGAGCGCAGAATTTAGGAATAAATAGCCGCTGGATATAAGGCAAGAATAGATAACCTGGATATATACTGCTACTGTTTGGTAGACACAATTGCGCATGCATCAGAAGGCAGAGTTTCATGGTATATATTATTGTTGCTAAGCTGGGTTTGCATTGATATATTGTTTCTGCGCTGCATGATGAAAGAGCGAAGAAAAAGTCACACTCTTTGAGTCTAATGTCTATAGAGTCAAGAAAATAAGCCGGAGACAATGCATAATTTTGTCGATGCGCTAGTATCGCTCTCAAGTTCTCGTCCATCTCCATTATGTTTCATCAATATCGCTCTCGGGCTGTCATCCGTCCTCATTTGGGTTTCCCTCAGTATCGCTCTGGGCTCCATCCCATCCTCATCATTGGTCTCCGTCTCTGCCTACCCAAATTCGCAAAGAAACTCTCGCCAATCGGCGCCAAAGTTGCTTCGCCAGATAGTCGCAATTTCCTCTGCCACCTCGTCGCTCACATCGTCCCAATCGTCCCCATCGCCAGTCTCTTTCTGGTGTCTGGCGAGCGTTGTTATGTCGAAGCGGTGCCCTGCCCATACTCCCCTGCAGATATTTGTGGGATCCTCAATGCCAACGGCGGGCGCAGAAGACCAGCAGATCCGCGTGAGTAAGACTTCACCAAAGCCTATAACGTTAATATCCGGGCCGTGGATGAACTCTGGCTTTAATGCAATGGCTTCGGCACGGACAAACTGCTTGTTGGTGAGGTTTCGAAGGATCCATGGCTCGTTTGGGGGAAGGAATTCGCGATCGCTCCGGGGGCGCAGGCCTAGAGTGATGAGATCGGCGCTCGTGCACCATTGCCGCGAGGAGAGATGCTCTCTCAGCCGAAAGATTTCGTCCAGCATACATGGCTCTCTTTGAGTTTCCGAAACTCCGCTTTTGGTATAGTCATAGAGTGTCGCTGGTTCTATGCTGATAATCCGATGCGTGCTTGTGTCATGCTCCACGCATTGCTGTTGAGTGATGGCTTGGAGCTCTTCCTCTGAGGAAAATATAGGGGGGAAGTCATCCGGCTCAGTATTTTCTCCCACGCACACAATCTCTTGATTCGCCCATGGGCCGAACAGCAAGCGAAGGTGCTCGTGGACCCGGCATCGAGTGATATCGCGGAATTGCGGAAAAGCTAGCCCGAGGCTGAGGGCGTCTTCGATGCGATTAGTCTGCTAGAATATTATCCAATGGAGTTCGGTTGGGAGATCGAGAAGGGGAATCCGCTGATGATGATGAAGATGATGATTAGATTGGGCGAGATGAGGGACATTAGCTGGCGGAGTCGAGTATGGGACTGGCTTCGCGGGGATGGCGAGCAGCCTGACGAGGGATCCAGCGCGGCCGTTGAAGAGGAGCACCCCAAGCGTGCCTCCGTATTGATCGACGGCCCTGGATCGAGGAGCCAGAGTGAAGAATACTTCAAGCATCTTGTAAAATATATGGATATGATATGATGTGAAGGTGACGAGTCTGACTTTTGCAAAACAAACATGTTGGTACATGTAGTCTTGACAAGCATGGCCGAGGCAGGAGGCAGGCAGCAGTAACTTGCATCATCAAGTAAAGGGGCTTGTCGTTACAACATCATAGAAAGAGCGTCAACTCCAATACTGTGTTCTTTGTTTTTTCTGCCTTTTTTTCTTTTTTCTATTTTTTTACATGCCTCTTCATCTTCGCCGTGACTTGGGCAGACGCTGTTGGCGATGGTTGATATCATGCCTTCTCTGTTGGTCGGCTTTGACTAATGGCATCTTGTTATAATGCTAATGCGTTCACGCAGTAATTTCTTGTTAGAGAGGAAATGAGCCGTCTTTTTTGAATGTAAAGCACTTTTCATGCCTACTATCTACATTTAATACAGCTGATAATTCGGGTACATGGGCCGATTCGCGCGATCGCGCTTCAATTGGTGGACTTGGCGCTCAAGTCATCAAATCCCCAGCCTCGCCAATTAAAATTTGAGCGCCAGTCAAGGCTCGACTCAAATGTAATGATTTTCACGTTGACGGAATTATGAAATACATCATCTTTACTTCTCCCTATGAGCTGCATTCACTTGGATGCGCTGGCGCAGGTGAATGAATGATTAGGTAATCAGAACAAATAAAAATGGGTCTTTGATCAGGTGACTTTTGCATTCCTTTGCTCTAGCTCTGGCTTCATCTCTCTCTCCAACTCCACCTTGCATATCCTCCATCAAACGAACGACAAAGCAACGAGACTGCCGCATCTGTTTCCAGAGCGCTTTCGCTGTACTTGCTCACGGCTACGGCCACACGGACAGTTTGGCGACCGGCACCGGTTCTACAGGCCTCTACTCGCCGTCCACGGCCGGCGAAAGACCCTGGGTGTCGGCTTCAGGCAGACTGGAGATCGTCGTGGTAGCGTGGCTGGGCAATGTGCACGAAGACGCTCGGCAACGACTGTGGCACCTCAGCTCCATCTTCGTTATAACTCTCTCTTCGTAATTCTTTTCGCGTTCCATGAGTCAAGGCTACTCTTGCTATCGCATACAAGCCTGGGCGGGCGGGAATCTCAAGCTATTTCTTGAGGGCTTTTCCTCTTCACGTTCGTCTGGCTTCATCACTACTGACTTTATCATCTAGCTACCAGCCGTAATCGACAACATGGCAGATCCTCCCTTCTCTCCAGCAGCCTCGACTGCCTCGGCGACTTCTACAAATCCGAATACTCCGCGCTCGAGTGAGCTACATGAAGGAAATTCACAAGCAGATCAAGAAACTGTCGACATGGGCAATCATCAGGCGGTGGCGGTTGATGCCGCGCCTTCATCACCTTCATCGCCTTCATCGGCAGAGTCACCCAGTCTAAGAAATCATGATATCCAGCCGACATGGCCCAGTAAAATCGACCGCACGAAAATACGCGCAGAGGCTTGCTGGCTTGGCCAAACCATCGATAATGTCTTGCTAGATATACACTGGGCTGGACAGCATGGCCGCGCATTTTTGAAACTTCACACAACCTTGCACCTGGAGGGCGCACCTGGTGCTTCTCGGCATGGCCTCGTAAACGCCTACATCTTCATATACCCAGAGCGAATACGCCAGCTTTCATTCACCTCACAGCCCCAATATTCACCTTTTGGCCCGCCTACCATTGCTCTCACCTTTGATCTCAGTAGACCGCCTGCCCTCATCCTCCCCAAGACATACACTAGTTTTGGACCTGGAGCGGAAGACACGATGCAATCTCTTTGTAGCCTTGTTCAACAGACATATTTCACCGTCTTCGCATCTCTTCCAAGCAGAATGCTCTCATCATCGTGGCTGCAGCAATTTTGCCAAGATATTACAGAGCACAAACTCAAGACCATTGCATCTCTCGCAAACTTGAAGTCTCTGTATCAAGGCCATGGCGCTCAGGTGGTTGAAGGCGACAGTCCGCTTGAAGCTGTTTGTGACCAGGGTAACGCTGCTGCCCCTGCTGCCCCAGAGCTCCCAGCTTATGAAGAGGCCAACCCAAGTTTTCCTCCTTCACGATCTAGTAAGTGTTGCATCCACGCAAATGCCAACACCTCAGTGCTTATAAATGTGCTAACTGCTTGTCTAGCTAAGAGAAAAAGGTCCTATGACGAGAGCTCTGCGATGGGACATGACTCCAAGGCGACGGGAATTGCAGCCATGCAAGCCCTCATTGGAGACATGCTCGAGGCAAAGCTCACCGCTCATGAGCGCAGGGTGGGAGCGATGCTGTCTGCGCACGAGGATAAAGTTCAGGAGATGCTATCTGCTCACCTATGCAAGGTAAATGAGCAGTTGGCCATCAATAACTACAGTATTGCAGATCAGATTGATGCTGTAGAGGAGCGGGTAAGGAATGATGTGGTGAATGAGTTTACGGACACGATCAACAATAGGATACTTGAAGAGATGGAGGGAGTGCAAGAATCTGTCATGGAGCAGATTACTTCAATGCCCTTGCAAGCTCATCTGACGTTTCCCAACCATCCATACCTTTAGGATGGAGCCCATGATGATTGACGATAGCCTTTAATTGAATAAATATGACACTGAATATCTGGTTTACAAACTAAGACATTGATGACTGCTTTCTCTTTTTCCTTCCTTCTGGATTCGTCATGTCGCCCCTGCCACGTTGCACAAGTCTCGTACATTTGGGAAAGAGGCGCCATCTCGCTCCTTCCTTGAATAACAGTGTCCCCGCAACCACTCTATTACGACGACATCCTCACTGCCAATTCCTCTCCTCCATCATTTCCCATGATTATTTGGACGACATGGAGACGACAGCGCCATGGGTTATTCACGATGACTCTGCCACGACTCGTATCCACCCGTAGCTTTTGTAGCGACCAGCAGTTCTTCTTTAGCGGCGATATTCTAGGCCGTTACTGGGCGATCTATCAGCGCAAGAGATTTGCATCACAACACGTTTCTGCTTACTCAGGTATGACACGACGCACTCAGCGCTCATCTTCTTCCCTGTGTATCCACTCGAGGCAGAGAATTTCACAGAGCCACTGGCGGCAACAAGGCCTAAACTGATAGGGCTGAGTGTGCCATTCATTGGACTGACCATACTATGCCATTTAGAGCCATCTAAGAACGAGGATGACAGAGCCACCACACACTCCCTAGTTGCTGTCCCCTGGGACAAGTCGAACTGAAATGAATGGAATTCGCAGCAAATTAGCAGCATTGGCATTCCGATGGCAATTGAATCGATCGTACCAAGCAATCATTCGAAGCGTGCAATTGACCGACTAATAAAAGGTCGCCAAGATGGTGAATACTGGAAAGCCCAGCATGGCTTGTGCCACTTGCAAAACACGCAGGATCAAAGTAAGGAATGAATCCACCCAAACCTCTTGGTCATTGTACCTCTACACAGTACTCTTATTCTAACCCCAATGTAGTGTGATAGGCTGCAGCCCGAATGCTCTGCGTGTAAACGAGCTGGATGGATTTGTCCGGGAGTCCCGTCCGAGGCCGATGTCGTGTTCCGGCACCACCGCAGACGTCCCGCGCCCCCAGGCTCTCAGCAAGCAAGCATTGGTCCGCCGTTAGAACCAAGAGACGGGCAGAGAATCATTGAATTGGCGCCTTCGATTACAGATAGGGCTACAGCCTTCTTCTTGTATCAATACGCGTTTAGTCCCGAGCTCTGCGCCAGCACCGGCATCTCTCCCGGAGTCCATGAGCATTTGCCGGTCCTCCTTCAACATGAACCGTCGACGGGAGCGCTTAGTACCATTGTTTCAGCCGCGGGGCTTGCCGCTTTGGCGAATGCTGGAGCTTCAACGCCGTGGAAATACGATGCATATCGTTCATACGGGAAAGCCCTCCAGCAGCTACAAGTTGATTTGCAGGATCCAGTCCGGATGAAATCTGATGGCACGCTGGCAGCTGTCATGCTGATGGGTACTTTTGAGGTAAAACATCATTTTGTTCCTCTCTTCCTTTTGTAATCAAGTTGGGCATATGCAGGAGCTGACTGCTGTATTAGATGATCTCCAATGGTGACTTGACTTGTATGGAGTCTTTCGGTCGCCATACTATAGCCGGCGCTCAATGCGTTCAGCTTCGAGGACCAAGCCAGTTTCGAAATCTAGTATCCATCATTTTATTTATTCAGCTACGTCGTCTTATTGTACAGGCCCCTTGCCTCTTGAAAAAAGGATACCCGTGAGCACTAATAAGTCACAGGTCTCGACTTGCCACCAGCTACAGGTGCCATTACCTTACACTCTCAAGACGTGGTCACGATGGACTGAGGATCCCCAAAAGAAAGACGAAGCCTCTCTGAACCGCTTCTTTGAGCTAAATGAGGATCTAGCAGCCATCCGAGCTGAGATTAAGCGAAAGGCCATACGTAGCCCTGCAGTTGTGGCTGCCATGTTAACGCCAATCGATGACAAGCTTGAAGACTGGAAGTCGAAGCTTCCAGACTCGTGGTATTTCAGGTCGTACAGATCTCTAGTACCAGGGACCAGTTCAGCGGCTGGAGGCCAGATGTTTCAATATGACGAGTATCCGGATTTCTGGGTTGCTTCTACCTGGAATAATTACCGCATGGTCCGTATTTTAATTCACGAGTCCATTATGACGACGACAATAAACTACGGCACGGATGAAGAGAAGACGGGCCTCGGGCAATCAGCCAAGGTACTGGCCGAGATGACAAACGGAATTTGCTCCAGTGTGCCGTACATTATGGGCGACAGGTGCAATAGGCGCTACTCGAGAGGCAGCCTCGAAGCTGCAAGGCCAGACTTGAGACGAGCCAAACCAGGTGGATGCACGCTGTTATGGCCCCTGTTTCTAGCTGGATCGCTGAGTACCACACCCAAAGATCAGCGAGACTGGATTGCCCGCGTTTTGCGAGAACTGGGCCTCCGCATGGGCATACAGCTAGCCATATCGATGGCGATCAAACTGGAGCAGACGACGTCGTTTTCAGACGCTGACCTGTGGTATATTGGCGAGTTCTTTCCCAGCTAGTTGAGTTGACAGCGGAGCAGTTGGCCCTTGCTCGTCTTCATTTTCGTTGGCCCTATTATGAATGATTATTATTTGTTACTATTCGCAAATATTATCGTGTGGGCCAAGACGACTCGTTAACACTGCAAGCCCAAGGAAATACGACGCGGCCGGCACCAAGCCCTGTTGTACTGAAAGCGTACTAAAGTATGACAGCATCACTCGCTGAGGCTTCACCCAGCTAGTCTTGCGAGCTGGCCAATCAGAGACTCCGCCGCTGCTCTATTATGTCTATATTCGGCCTCTCTCCTTGCGAGCACAATGCTTCGAGATTGTAACTGCTGTGATGGCCAAGATGTTGGTAATAATCCTATACCTTGCTAGCATTTACAGCTGAGTGGATTTGATGCTTACATGTTCTATATAGGGGATCTTGTTGAAAACTTGCACGGGTTTCATGGGTCACGTACGAGCTTCTCTAGGGCTACAAGATGCTCCTCTTTAGTATTTAAGCAGCCCGTTATTCCTTCCAACGTGTCAATACATTCATCCTGAACCACCCTCTTCCCTCCTTTAGCCCATTTGCTCAGATTGGCAAGATGGTGCTGCTCTCTCTCGTTCTCGGCACCGTCCTAGCGGCAGCGCCATGCTACGCTAATACTGGGTGCCCAAGTTCATTGCTGTCGACTCCATCGGTGACGACAAGACATGGGACACTGTTGGGTGGAAAATGCAACACGACAGATGTAAACTTCTTCTTGTCTATTCCCTACGCAAACTCTCCAAAGAGATTCCACGCTCCTGTGCCGTATACTGGAGTATTCAACAAACGAAACGCCACGGTTCCCGCTCCAGCCTGTCCGCAGTTTGGGACGACTTTCATTGAGACGGAGTCGCAGTCTGAGGACTGGTATGTATTGACACTTGTTATCCACCCATATCCCTTGTGACCTCTTTCTAATGATGACCAAACAGCCTCTTCCTTGACATTTGGGTTCCGGAGCACAAGCCTCATGAAACCAAGCTCCCTGTCAAGATATGGGTCTTTGGTGGCGGCGACGAAGCAGGCGGCATCTCCAATGCAATGTACACAGGATGCTACGCCGCCGAGAAGGCGATTCAGGTCAATATCAACTACCGCCTTGGACCTTTGGGCTTTTTGGCGGCTGACAAGGCTGGAATTGGTGGCAATTTTGGCATACAAGATCAGCTTCTGGCGCTGAAGTGGATCAAGGCAAACATTGAGTCGTTTGGCGGCGATGCTGTTAGTCTTTCTTTAACTCTGTTTACATGACTTTCCTTTAATTGCTAACGGTGCGCTATTATCTTGTTGATGGAAAATAGGATAAGATGGTTCTTTTTGGACAGTCAGCTGGCGCTTTCAATACTTTTGCCATTGCGACCATGGACGAGGCGCCTAGTCTGATTAATGCTGCCATCATGGAATCGGGAGGTGGCAGCGACTTTGCATCTGTTGCGGAGGCCCAACCGTGGAATGATGTTTTCCTTGTTGGCCTGGGCTGCCAGCCTTCAGATGTAAGTGGCTCAGATTTACACCATTTTACATTTTTAAGCGTTCTCCCAAATCTGACCGTCTCGCCTTAGTTCTCCTGTATCAATTCCAAGAGCGTAGCCGAGATGCAAAAAGCTGTTTTACAGATGCCCGCCGGGGTTGGACCGACAATTGGCAGTCCCATTTCCAATCTCGGTCGAGGCTTTAGTTGGGGCCCTCTTGTGGACGGCAAAGTAATTCCTAGAGCGCCTGCTTCGGCCGGTGTCAAGGTTCCATCCATCTTTGGCTCGACTGCTTCAGAAGGCATGCTCTTTGTTTTGGCTACTTACTCGCAAAACTTGACAAAGCAAACTCAGGATACTTACGACGACTTGTTGAGTTATCAGTTTGGCCCGCTTGCGTCGCGCGTCAATTCCACCTATCCGCTCTCCAATTTTCCGCCAACCGCTTCTATTCCCAACTCTGCCGATGCCGCCATCGGTGCCATTTTCACTGATTACGTCTTCAAGTGTACGGCACACAGGGGCCTTGAGAAGGGTATCGCCAACAGGGTTCCTGTTTTTGCCTATTCATTCGCTCGCGTTCCCTCTTGCACTTGGATGACGTCTGTGCCCGATGTTCCTTTTGTCCACAGCTTTCTTGGTGCCACGCACACTGCGGAGTTTCCATTTGTCTTTGGCGTGATGGATGGGCTGCCCGCGCCCGGAGGGAACTGTAGTTGTACTGCAGACGAGTTACAGGTCAGCAAGCAGATTATATCCTCGTGGGATAGTATGGCAGCTATTGCTAGCCCTGGAGCACATTGGCCGCGCTACTTGGGTGGAAATCAGGGAAGCAAGGGCATGGGGATGATGTATCTCGCGAACGAGACTGTTGTAGGTGAGATTGACTATAGTGTTTGTCCGTTTTGGGACGAGATACGAGAAGAGCTATTGGCTCTGCAAGCTCAGGGGAAAGTGAGCGGGCCTTGAGGGAGCAGCGGCATTGTGGGTGTAGATGTTTTATTCGAGATGTCCGGATCAGACTCATCAGATGGAATTGATTACATGGTCCTTTTTAATACACTGCCTCACGGCTACAGTTCAGCGACTTGTTACGCGTGGTCTCGACTCCATGACTTTGATAATGTCATGTACACGGCTTTGCGTTATCCCAGGCGTAACCCGCATTCAACCAAGTACAGGAAATGATACAAATGATGTCTTGGTAGTGAATGGGCCGCGACCCGCCTTGTCCACGAGTGGCCTGCACTATCACGATCAAAATACTTGTATCGTGTTGTTGCAGAATAACAACCTCGATATAGACTCGATATTGCTTCGGTGCAATGTAGAGGCTACCTACTATTGGTGTACAACGTGTGCTATAAAGTATGATTGTAATACTATAATATAAGCAGCATTGGGGTTATCGCCCAGGAGCTTGAACCTGGCGTACAGATCAACTTGAGGCAGGCCAAGGCTTGGAAGGCAGCTTCTTGTAAGACTGCCATGGGCCACTTGGAAGATGGCATGCAAGATAATAACCGGGTTACAAAGTAACTAGATGGCAAGTCAAAGTATCCGTTGGCAGCCGAAACGCGGGGGTTGCGCCGCCAGCTTTATTATAGAAACATGAAGGCAGTGAAAGGCCTCCCCCAATCCATTTACTCTTTATATGTATGTGCCGTCAGGCTCTAGGAGGGACAGGCAGGCAAGTAGAAGATGGTATCGAAAATCACCCCGCCGCGCTACCTACGGTATGTACATGGAACCTACATATGGAATCTACATAATCGCTGAGATGGTTTCTACGAAAAGAATTGAGCTTTGCAGTGCACAGCCATGACTGACTTGGAGAATCAAGAAGCCGATCCATACGCAGACTTTGACCTCTTCATCCCGCTCATGGCCGACGACGGCTTCCGCATCAACCAACCGGTCCAAGGTCCCCGCCCGCGACCGTCTCGACCACCGTCCACGGCACTAGCGGCGGCAGCAGGAGACCCGGCGCGCTAGTTGTCTCTGAGGCTGGGGATGCTGCCTGGTGATGATGAGCATCTGAGGTTGCATGCAAGATGCTGTCACTGCGAATGCATCTACCAACACGCGAATTACACCCTTTGACTGTTTGAAGCAGCCAATCACACTCGTCGAGGGCTCTGCAATGGGCAAAGGCTAATTAGACTGGGTCCAGACGATCATCGCGTCAGCAGTAGCTTTGGGTTCAGCATCGTGTAGTATAACTTGAGCAAAGCTGAGCAGGAATGGTCTGGCACTCGATGGATGCGGACTTGTTGCGGACCAGGCACGCACACGAGCAGATGGGCCACAAAGAGCACAAGCCAAGGGGAGCAAGGCCAAGCACAAGAATTTGGTCGAGCAGGGAGTGGGGCAAGTGGGGCAGCGCTGGCCAATCATACACCCCATTTCAAGCCACACGGAGCAAAGACACTCCTCGGCGGCGCTAGTCGACGCCATGTTGCAGGGGTAGAGACATGAGTCAGCAATTCCAGCCAATCCGGCCAGTCCATGGCACACAAGGCCTGTCGCGGGAGCAGCCGCCAAAACGCCACTCAAGCCACCATCTCGAGAATCTGTCCGGTCCGTATCAACTCGTTTGATGCATGCCTTGACCTCGTCGTCGTTTTGCTTCCAGCGGAGGCCACGTCAGTGCAAGGCGTATCAGAATGGCTGCGTATCTGGTCAAATCCGCAGCGGACTTTGGATCCTCGGCATGTATAAGAAGCAGCGATGCATTTCCTCCAGACCATCTACACACATCAAACACATCACTTACACCAGCGCTACTACGAATCCAATTCTCTCAACTTCCAAATACCATCAACACAGCAAATCTGCTACTAAACCTCCAAAATGTCCATGATTGGTCGTCTCTGGGGCTGCTTCAACCCTCCTACCCCTCCCAAAAGCAGCGATGCCATCCGGTTCGGCGTCTTGGGAGCTGCCAGCATTGCGTAAGTAGATCCAGTATATTGCTTCAAATCCCCCGTCTGAATTGCATGTGCCTGACACGTTTATAGACCCTATTCCTTATTCATCCCCGCCAAATCACATCCCGAGGTCATCATCCAGGCCATTAGCGCCCGTGATCGCAGCAAGGCAGAGGCGTATGCCAAGTCCCATGGCATTCCCGAAGTAAAGGATACTTATCAAGGTAAGGCTACAACTGCAATGCCCCTATAACATGTAATTAACACTCGTGTTCAGATATCCTCAATGATCCCAACATTGATGCCGTCTTCATCCCTCTGCCCAACAGCCTGCACTTTGAGTGGGCTGTGCGAGCCATCCGCGCCGGCAAGCATGTCCTGCTCGAGAAGCCTTCCGTCTCCAGCTCTGCCGAAGCCGAAATCCTCTTCAACCTGCCCGAGCTGGACCAGCCCAACGGCCCCGTCTTGCTCGAAGCCTTCCATAACCGCTTCTATCCCGCCTGGGCTCTGTTCAACTCCTTGGTCGACCCCGCCGACGTCGAGCACGTCGAGTCGCGCTCCATGCTTCCCTGGTGGTCCACCAGCAAGGATGCCATTTACTTCAACTACAACCTTGCCGGCGGCACCATCTTGGCCATGGGCACCTACAACTTTGCCGCCTTGCGCATGCTCTTTGGCCAAAGCCCAGACGAGTGCACCAGCTGCGACGTAAAGTCGTACACAGAGGGCATACATGACAAGTGTGACTATGACTTCAAGGCCACCTTTCGTTTCCCCAATGGCGGCACCGGCGTCGCCTCTAGCACGCTGGTCGGCGAAACCGTGATGAAGCCATCATGGGTTACAGTCAAGACCAGAGAGGCAGTCATTCCCAATGACGACCTGCCTGCGGGCCAGCAACAGTATCAAAAGCGCGAGTTGACGCTGCAAGGCCTTATCCATGGAGCCTTTTGGCATCGCATCGACATCAAGGAGATTAACGAGATCCGAACAAAGCATGGCCAAGTTGTCAAGCAGTGGGAGAAGACGACCTCGCGAAAGGCATACACGTGGAAGGAGGCTGGCGGCGAGTTTTCTCATCTGCCCGGCGAGGCTCACTGGATGTCTTTTAGGCACCAGCTGGAACAGTTTGTCAACAAGGTCAAGGGGCGTAAGACGCAGCACTGGGTCGAGAGGGAGGATTCGATTGCGCAGATGAAGATGATTGACATGGCCTATGAGAAGAGTGGGCTGGGGCCAAGGCCGACCAGTTCGTTCAAGTGATGGAGTTGCTTTCTTGACTTTCAGCCGCTTTGTTTTCTTGCGTTTATTTGCTTGCATTTATTCACAATTTAGATCTTCTTGTTTTCAGCTTACAAGTGGACGTCCTTGTTTTCAGCTTACAAGTGGATGCCCTTGTTTGGCTTGACTTTGGATGCGTTGGATACCATTAGCCTAATTATGCAGAAATCTGTTTTTATAGAACATACTCTTTTTATAGAACATACTTAACCTCAATCTCTCTTTACAAAACATACTTGACCCAGTAGATGTATACTACAAACTAAAGGATTGTCTGCATTATCATCTGCATTATCCTCTGCATTACCTTATGCATTACATCACATGTCAATAACAGGGCGGCAGCTGCGACCAATCTCATCAAGGTAGTATCAGTACATAGGTACAATATGCGGGGAAACCCTGATTTCCTGATTCTAAATCTTGGGCTTCAACACCACCATGAGGGATAAAAGAGCCGGCAAAACTGTGACAACCAGAATGTGGTGCATGAGGACACGGCAAGAAATCAAGATTACTACACACGGCAAGAAATCAAGATTACTACGACACAGCAAGAGATCAAGAAGGTTTACAGTACGACTCGTTTACAGCGAAAACACAAGCAAGAAACAAGTTCACAGTACATGTCTTGATAACAAGACACGCGGCTTTGGAAAAGATGATGGCGCCCACAATGCTTTTTATTCCACCCCTATGACTCTATCTCCAATTTCCCAAGCCTCTCCCAAGCCTCTCCCTTGCATCACAACCCAGTGGTGAACCTGCAAGATTGAGAGCGAGACTGGTCCACGGCGACAAAATGTATTTCGATTTTATAACAATCTGTGCAAAGACTTGAGTTGATGACGATCTGTGCAAGACCAGAGTTGATGACAATCTGTGCAAAGATTTGAGTTGATGAAAATCTCTGCAAGACGAGAGTTGATGACAATCTGTGCAAGACCAGAGTTGAAGACAATCTCTGCAAGACGAGAGTTGCTGGGCAAATTGAAATACGCTTTGCCGCCTTGATCCATCTCCTCGCATTCCCCCTGTCGTCACCAGTTAGTCTGCTTGCCGCCCATCAAGAAGATACGGAGGAAAAGAAGAATGACATTGTACTTACCAGGCAGTTCACTGCGGCTGACGCCGGCGGACGATGAGCTTACGAGCATCCCCAACGAATTCTACAGCTCTACATGCCGTCTGAAGAAGAGGCAGACGGCGTGGAACTACACTATCCGTGTGGGGATGTTCGTAATCTAATCTTCCGACGGCGGCAGCTGCAGCTCATCAAAGCATTGTGAAGTTTTCCGATAGATCGGAAGGCCAAGGAAGGTGTTTTTTGGCCGAGCTTGAGCAGTGGTGAATGTGAAGATGAAAGTGAAGAAGAAGAAAGAAGAGTGAAGAGAAGGAGGAAGCAAAGCAGATATTTATATTCAAAACCAGAAGAGGGAGAGAGAGCGGCACAAAAACCCCGCTCTTCACGCCCCTCGTCGAGATCACGTTTTCTGTGGCCATGACGGAATCAAGAATCAATGATTGGCTCCCGCACGGCCAGACGGAAGGGAGATGCGTAGAATCCCGAGCCTGGCCTTGGCGAGTCGGGCTGAGCTGGGCCGAGATCATGCCAGGAAGCAAGTCCAGGCTCAACAGCACGTGAAGATGAAAAACATGAAACAGCAGAGCTATCGAGACTCTAAAAGCTACATTATGTTGCATTACACGTGCATGTACCTTTCAAACACCGCAATCGCCCATATTTGCTGGTTTCAACTCAATTTAGTGGCCGTCGCCTGATCGGGAACAGACAGCCACGATCCTCGTATAGACGCCAAGTATAGACGCCAAGTATAGACGCCATGTATATACATGCACGTATATGCGGATTCTACCATGAGCCTCAATAATTCTTTACACCCTTTGCGGCGTCATGGGCCCTAGTTTTCGCTGGCTAGAATACGACAAGGCTCAAATCTAAACCCCAAGTATAGTAGCAATAGCCTTTGCGGCGTTATAAGCCAGAAACCTTTTCCTAGGCCCAATCTCCCAACATCGTCGTCGAGGAAAAGTATAGTTTGGCTCTAGGCAAATGTCTTCTTCTTCTTCTTCTTCTTCTTCTTCTTCTTCTTCTTCTTCTTCTTCTTCTTCTTCTTCCATGGATTCAATCTTCTCTTCCTCTTATTCTTCTACATCCAACATCAGCCATATCAGCAGTTCTTCCCATCAGACTTATATCAAGCTTTGTTGAGAAATAAATGCTCCTCTTCCTCTTATTCTACATTCAACATCAGTCAGCTGTATCATCAGTTCTTCCGTTCAGTCTCTACAAACCTCTTTGAGAAATAAACGCTTCAGCCAGTCGACCGCCCAAGATGCCTCAAAACCCCCTCATGCCTCTAAATCACCTCCTCGCCCCAATCATCGGCATGATCCAAATCTTTCACACCATCATCCAAGTGCTGATATTCTTGGACCACTGGGTCCTAGCACTCATCGTCCATCACGAAATCGCCTGGGTCATATGTATCATGCTGGTGGCCATCGGAGAGGCCATCAGTGCCCCCTGGCGCCTTCGATTGGAAAACACCTACAACGATACGGGCGACAAGGCCTTTGTAGCGGCTACTCTGGCCGTTTTCTCGCTGTGGTCCGGCATCCTATCCATCATCGCCATTTGCGAGTTCGTTGGCGTCTTGGTCTGGGTCTGTGTCTACTTTGCGGCTATTTGGTTCGACGCGAGGCCGCCTCGGCTTTTGCCACTGATCGAGCGAGCCTGTCTCGCTGCCGGATTCGATCTCATAATTATTTGGCGCACCCACTACTGATAGGAACGGGCCGAAACCATATCTCGTGAGATTGTTGGATGGGAAAGTTTAGTTGGGGAAAAGGCTTATAGCCGAGATTTGCTGGCGTGGACCTTGTTTCTAGAATGATGTTTTATAGGACCGATGGGCGGGAAGGAACCGCGTAATGCAAAAGTTTATAGCCTTGTTGGAAATATATATATTGGCCTCCATGTCCTCCATCTGCAAGTGATCAAGTCTTGTCCCTACTCCTCACTCATCCCACTTATAAATCTACACACACAACACAAAACAGGAAGCATTTACATCATGGACACAATTGACGCCGTGATATATTTCTCCACATGGAATGTAGTGGGATTCGTCACGGGTAGCTTCTTCGGCTTCCTCCTCGATTCATTCGCCAACAGTCACCCTCTAGAAGTCGCCTTTTTATACCACTACATACTCAGCTTCATCTTCATCGCCGTGTTGTTTGTGCCCGTGGTCTTTGCCCGCCGCCCCGGGACCTTTTCATGGCGCCACCGGTTCCCCAGCACCGAAGAGGCTTTTGACTTCATCAAGCTCCTTGTCTTCTGGTGGCTCGTCCTCTTCATGCTCGGCGTCTTGCTGGAAGGCCTCGCGCTCGGGACCTTTGCGCTTCCGTATATAGCAGGCTGGCGCCAGGAGCATTGCGACGACCCCGAGTATATACCGGTGTCGACGATGCTGATCCGGGCGATTGACGGGATGGCGAGGGATGTTGTCGTGGCATATAGAGAAATTACTTGGTTGGGCTTAAGAGGGCTTTTGTGGAGTGGCGGCTGCGTGAGCGGCTGCGAAACAAGTTTGCAAAAAGGTGAGAGACAAATTGCCATTTCCAACCTCCCTCTTCTCAAGGGACAAAGATGCTAACCTTGGAAATGGTTCAAGACGAACTTTGATTGCGGTAGAATGTCATAATTCTAGATGTCCTTTTTCGGTGCTTCTTTTGGCTAATGTATAATCACCCTATTTTCGTTGTATTTGCTTTACTCAAGCTATATACCTCTTTTATGACATGAGCGTTTGATAATGAAAATTCTAATTGTATATAATGAATAAACCTATGGTGCACCTAAGATAAGAGAAAACCTTGCATTTTAACTAGTAATACAAGCTCCATAGTAGAGCAAAGTGTCTGTTAAAGGCAGCGAATGAAAACGCGCCGAATGCAAAGGTCGCTTGCCTACCTAGCACCTATCTACCTATCTACTTGTGGTCTCATTCATGCCAGGTGACTTTGAACAATCCTGTTGAGCTCGGTCGATCAAAATAGGTGGCCTCGATTAGACTGCATGGCTTTGATCGACACAGCAGCTTTGCTCGTCGCTATGAACGCTTTGAGCGGGCATCCAGTTTTCTAGGTTTAATCGAGAAATGCATCCATGTCAGCTAGGGATGAGTGTTTGAGATGCGTTGAGACTACATGTGGCAAATTAGATACATGTACGTTGCATGTCATGATTAAACAGCAATTAATTTCTCAAATTTTTTTAAGGGAAAAAAGTTCGCCTCGCTTTACAAAACTACTATCAACAGCCTCAACAGAGGCACATTCATATATCTCTAAATATGAACTAGTTAGTCCGAGATTCAAGAATAAAAATTTTCATCTCCCATTTTCCTTTCAACAGTAAACCAACTCGGCAATTGCTGCTCTCGTTCATTTTCCATCTTAGTTTCAGCTAATGTTGCGTCTATGTGGGTGTCATTGGGATTAAATACCATCGCCCTGGGCGTGGAGGGATTGTATGTCGATCGGAAACGTAAGGGCTGCCTCTCGGAAGAAAGCTCCATCTGAGCCGTGCTTCCCAACAGTACAGGCTTGTTGTTGTTCGCTTGATCATTTGTGTTAGAATATTGATTACTGACACTTGCGGCAGTCTCCTGATCCATCGACCTTGCATTTGCTTCAAGCGTATTTTTTTCGGCCTTCCCCGCGTCCTTCTTCTCTGAACGTATACCACAATCTGATCCAGCTTTCTCTTCGGATGCAACTCCGCTAGCACGCTCTCTTTGTCCAGTTGGATCAGAGATTCGTTTGGAAGCGTCATGGGATGAAGCGGAGTGCCGGCCATGGATGGGGCAACTAGGACAGCTGATAACTTCAACCCTCTCAAATTCCGACTCGTCTAGAACACTATGGATATGTACATGTTCAGCGTGAGACGACCCGTCATTAGATTGGGACGGATTCGGTGTATCTTTCTTTTGGCTGGAGTGGCGCTTCGCAACTCGCGTGTGCAGTATGCCGTTTATGATCGAGTCAGCAGAGGTGGCCCTCTCAGTGGCTATATCTTCTGTCGCGGCATTGGTAGAAGTGTCTCTGCGCTTAGGCTGGCGGCCTCTGCTGATAGAACGAGTAGATTTATTTTGTGCGTCCGGAGAATGAGCTGATATTTGCGGTGTACCACTAATAGATGCGTATTGAAGATTGGTAGCATTATTCAAAGCATCTGATGTGGGGCTTCCATAATCAGGTCGTTGTTGTAATCGTACGTTCTGCGGGGAACTTTGGGCGGTAGGTCGGCGGTAATAGTCGATGGCCACAGGTGTCGGAATGTTTGCTCGAGCCCCAGGCCCCAAGATACTGGGGCTTGCGGCAATGGGTATGAGTAGATGATCTATTGCAGAATCCCTTCCACTATTACTCCATTCATCATTCCCAATATTTGGGGATGAAAGGCGGTCAACAATTGACCCATTCTGCTGCTGCTGTTGCTGCTTGTTAGATCGTCCATTATTATTATATCTGTTTCTAGACTCCGCTCGTTGCGATATTTGTTCGATATGCTGCGATACATCCAATGAGATATCGCGTTGGCTCAGCGAAGAATCAGTTCTACCTCTAACTCCAGAGCGGCTTGCATTCCGTGATTTTGGCGAGGATGGTCTTGAAAGATGCTTCTCGCTCTGATTATTCTTCTGTGGTGTCTTTATATCTGATGACTTCGATTTGCTAGAAGATGTATTTGATCTCGGAGATTGTGCGTCTTTGGACCCGGTGTCTGAGATGCCTATCATGTTGTTGTTATTAACACCCTCATCCTTGCTGGCGTTTCGATTCGACTCGGGAGTTGTGTTTTTTATTTCTGACCATGGAAATGGCTCTGGCTTTCTTCCAATAGGTGTGCTCGGCGTCCATCCACCAGGACCGGCAATTTGAGTCTGAAAGATGCCATCATGAGGTCGCCAAGCTCGAAGGGGTGATATTGGGGATACACCTTCGAAAGGCGTTGTAGGAGAAACGGTATCGGAATCGTGAGTAATAACAACTTGGCCACCATAGATGCGCTTCTCATACTCGTTTCGGAAGCCGTTTGCCGGATAGCCACTCAATGGCAGACCGCTATTTGGATAAGGCGTGCTGTCTTCCGGCGGTCGGGGGTTCGAACGAATTGTTTGAACCGAAGCTTCTGATTCGTTCGATTTGACTGACTGCATCGATTTTGCGGACTTCATCGAAATGGCACTTACGACATCATCTTCTTCGGAATATTGCTGATTCGGTAGTATAGGTGGCGATTGTGGAATAACGAGTCGTGGCCGAACAGCCAGAGGCGTTGATTTGAGAGAAGGGGGAGCTGGCACAGGATTATTCCGATCTGGGTCAGGAGGACTCTTCACTGATTTCTCTTGTTGGGTATATGGCTTCCCAGGAGCAAACGTAGCTCTGGTATCGGCGTTAGATATACCCTGCTGCTGCTCAAGCTTGACGGTATGTTTGCTCAGGGTCCCAGCCATATCTTCTGGCCGGTAAAGTAGTTTTGCGTATGGACGATTATTGGTGTCTATAACCAAGAGATCTTTTTCGCCTCGCCCCAGCAAGCCGTATACGTTAACTTCTCCCTCTTGTATGCCAATGACGGCACTGGTGCCCGCATACGTAACTTCGTCTTCTGTGCCAGTGCGATTACAGAATACGACGATAATCTCGTCTTCATTGTTCGATCGAATGAGGGGCTCTAGTCGCGTGATCCAATATGTGAGCGTATCCATGTCGGGTTCATTGGGCATCCGACTGAAGTGTCTGCGATCCTCTCTGGTCATCCACGACATTGTGACAATGACCAGATTGGACTCTACCTCGAGGATATGGAAGGCGAACTCGAATGCATGCCATGGAGCTTCGAATTTGTAAGGGCTGGTACAAAATTAATTAGTCCCGCATCGAATAGGGGGCTGTGTTAAAGGCATTATAGCCTAGCGTCTATCAACTTACTTCATGTCCATACCTATTATCATCTCATTAGTACAGTAGAGGACTCAAAATTTATAGAAGGTCTGCATTTGTTATTGCCACTTCCGACTCACCAAAACCAATCGCCGTATTCCCAAGCCCTGGAATATACCCATCGTAGAATCCCCGACTCCCCTCTAACGCCCACGATTCATCCGTGTAATATAGAAAAGCTTTGCGGTAATTGGCAATCGTCTCGCCGTCTCCGTTAACAACAATGGCCGAGTTATAATACTCAGGCCCTGTAGGCCAGTTGGGCGAGACGTCAACCTTCTCCGGGTATCCTGCAAGAACTGTGCAGTTGTACTTCAAGGCCATCGTGCGGGCCCATAGTGAGGTAATTCCTGAGCCCGAAGGCTCAAGAAACGGCGAAATGTCCTGCAGCGACTTGAAATTGTATCCTGACGGAGTCAACACTTGTTTCTCGGCACATGCACACGGATGGGGCGAAGTCATGATGAAAGACCATATAATCTCGAAAAAAGGGAGCACAAATAAAATAGGCAGGTAAATAGATGGATAAAACAAAAAGGTAGAGCCATACCAGAAAAGGCCATCTCGGGCAAAACAAGAATATCTAAATCTTCGGGATTCGCTTTCGAAAGAACTGCATCAGCGCGATTTAGGTTATTGTCGACATCGCCGACTTGGGGCGCAAACTGCAGGCACCCGATTCTCATTTTCCCGTCGAACCGTCACCGAAGTCAAGCATAGATCGCTCAATAAGGACCCCTCTTTCTTTCACGGCCTCTTCAAACTCGCAAAAAGAAAAAAGAAAAGCAAAGCCACCCAATTCGGCTCGTTGATGTTTCTGAGGTTCAATACAAATAAGAGTTGGTTAGCAGGGAGGTAGTACGTGCATGGCAGGCTCTCGAGTATTTATCTACTGCTACTACCGAAAAACCCCCACGGAAAATCTTGGAAGAGCGCGGTTACATAGTACCTCTTTTGACCGAGTAGGGAGGTCAGGAGAGAGGACAGTCTTCTTGGCTTAGTTGTCCTCGAAGAACTCATTGTCTTTATGTATGTTGGTCGAACACTTTTTGAAAAAGTGCAGGTGGATACATATATAGCCAACGATAAGCCAATATTAACCGCTCGGAGACATCCCGCTGCATCCTTGGTCATCAGCCCTGGGCGTGGATTGGTCGGAGACGGGGTGCTGGCAGCGCGTAAACAAAAATGTGGGAGCCTTGTCCTATTAGCGTGAGAATACCAGCACTAACGCTAGAAATTAGCCCACATTCAGGCGATCCTTCAATAACTCAGCCAGTACCGACAAGCAGCACTTTGTACTGTACGCTGTTACGGAGTCTTAAGTACTAGTACTAGATAGCAGATAGCATGTCATTTATCACAAGCATGGCATGCTTGTAATGGTATGTAACTCTGTACGGAATAGTAGTCAATATTTTGCTCCCTGATCGGTTCTGGTTCACACCAAACGAGAGGGTCCTCGCAGCCTCGCAATGGTTCCCTCGCATGTGCGGCACAGATTCCGTAGAAATATGGAGTAATGGGGGCCAGGTCCACCTCTCCAAACGAATCGCATGAACGGTCACAGCTGTTTTTACGCCCCACCCCAAGCGCTCTACTTGTGCTTACCCTTGAGTATGAAGAGGGCTCACGTTGATGAAGAATATCCCCGCAAACACTAGTATTGCTTATTTCTTGTAGAGATCTAGATTCACGAGATTTAGTGTATTTCAATAGTACGATAGATATATGCATTTTATTGCGAATAGTTTAGTTGGTTTTCAAAAACAAATCGGAAGCCTAAGTCTATATTTTAGTACCTAGTACCTTAGGTGATTTGGACACGGCTGGGATCAACAAGCAAGTAGGGCAATATAGTAAATTAATTTATACAATTTGATGCCCTGAAATGGAGGTAAAGAGTTGTTAGTTTCAGGAGTATTCTTGGCGCAACTAGACTATTCGGGTTTCTACCTACAGGTAGGTAGTATTTACAGCTTTATGAGTACCTACTAGAGATCATCCAGCGAAACTCACTTACTCAATCAGTCCGATAAGGCCCGTGGAAATGAAACCATTATTTCACACGAGGCATGAAAACTGCACTTTTCTGTATATCTGAACTACTAGTACTACTACCAGGCTCTACCCAGTACCTACTAGGTAGGTACTACCGAGGTAGTAGGTCGGTGGGCAAGGTACATACATAGGTACTTTAGTACTACTACTACTGGTACTAGCAGTACTTGTAGCGCTGAAACGAGAAAGTAAGTAGTAGGTACCTCTGCTGTCATTCTTACGAGAGCAATCCCCATATATCCTTGCTTCTGCTTCGTCTGTATTTCAAAATTTTACTAATTGTAAGGTAAAGAAGTATCTTACTTACCTAATGTAGGTACCACCTGGTGAGTTCTCTTGAGAGGCATGGTAGAACGTTTTCGAGTTTTACTGTAAGCGCTGGTTTCAGGTACCACGTGCTAAGTACCTTTATACCTCAGGACGCTATTCATCACATGACGTAGGTAGCTGACAAGCCTCGCATCGATCATCTGGCCAGCTCACCTTCCCATACAAGGCCTCTGCTAACAGTCTTATTATCAAACTAAGCATTCTGGCAACTCTTCTTCGGCGCAGCATAATGGTTGTTTCTTTTTGCATCGCGTTTATTTCGCCTTGACCGTCTTCTAGCGGGCCGCGATCATCCCGGACGAAGCCCACAGTTGTCTGTTCATTCTCTGGCTATGGCGGCTTGGACGACGATTCTGGTGGCCTACCTGATAGGCGGCATTACCTTCATACCTATACTCCTTGCATCTGTTCTCCTCTTCGGATACTATAACTTGCCATATAGACGCGTTCTCGGCATCCCATACGACCCAGACGAGGGCGACATTGTGCATCCCGGCGATGACACAACAGCGCTCGACGAAGCCAAGAGGCAACGGAATAATAGCGATTCCAAGAGGTCGAATACCGATATCGATGTCGCTGCAGGATACTTCGCAGTTTGCCGTGAATATGTTCCCATGGGGATCAATGCCAAACCTGTGGAGCGCTCGACTCCTATCGGCTCAGCCACAGTGACTCCCCCTAGCCCAAGCGTCTATCAGACAATGTATAGGAGTATTTTCGACCGCAAAGCTGCTGCTAGCCCGATGGAAAACAGTAGCAGCGTTAGCCAGAGGCCTAAGAAGGCAGGCAATGTATTCTACGTGGTGCTTAGGTGCGCTTCCGCATGTTTCTCCTCCGTACATAGCTCATACACTAACTAGGCTGCAGACATGGCCATCTAATGCTATTCGACGATGAGGAGCAGCTCGAAGTACGACATGTGATTTCCCTGGCGCATCATAGAATAGGCATATACTCGGGCGGCGACACCACACCGGAGGGGGAGCTGTTCATCAAACGAAATGCGATATCCTTGACGCGAAAGCTCGATGAACTGGAACAACACTCGTCGGATAATCAGGGATCCAGGCCATTCTATCTGTTTTCGGAGAATTGTTCAGCCAAAGAAGATTTCTACTTTGCCATGCTGAAAAACCAACAGCACACCTTTGGATTCGAAGACATTGCGCCACTGCCTAAACAATTTGAGCTCAAATCCATCATTTCATTGGTGCAGAAGCTGCATTCATCGGAGGATCAAGTACACTCGCGTTGGATCAATGCACTTCTTGGCAGAATTTTCTTGGGGGTGTATAAAACCCGAGATTTGGAAACTTTTATCAACGACAAGATCACCAAAAAGATATCACGCGTCAAACGACCTTCGTTTCTCACCAATATCAAAATCCAACAGATAAACACTGGAGATGCTGCGCCCTACCTTTCCAATCTGAAACTCAGAGATCTCAACGTCGAGGGAGAGTGCGTAGTAGAGGCGGACTTGAAGTATACAGGCAGCTTTCGGATCGAGGTTGCAGCCACTGCAAGGATCGATTTAGGGGCAAGATTCAAAGTCCGAGAGGTGAACTTGATTCTTGCCGTGGTTCTTCGGCGACTCGAGGGCCATGCTTTATTCAAGATCAAGCCGCCTCCAAGTAACAGGATATGGGTTTCCTTTCAGACAATGCCAAAGATGGAGATGACTATTGAGCCCATTGTCAGCTCGAGACAAATTACCTATACCGTTATCACTCGTCAGATAGAAAATCGCATCAAGGAAGTCTTTGCCGAGACCTTGGTTCAGCCATTTTGGGATGATATACCCTTCTTCAACACGGAACACAAAAAGTGGAGAGGTGGGATATTTGAAGGGGACGATGCCGTCAAATCTCCTGCACTACCAGCCGAACATTTGCCTCAGGTCGGCGACGCTGAAATACCGGACCTCCTTGATTCTGGTGTGAATCACTCTGATGGCAACCAACCCATCGAAAAGAGCCAAACAATGCCGGTAATGGATTCTCTTGAACCAACACCCAGCCCACTTGAAAGCAAGTTGGAAAAGGTAGATTCTATGCTACCAACTTTGGGGTCATCAACCAGTGTGGATATAACCATTCCATCTGCGGTTCATTCTCCAAGGAGCTTTAAAACTTCTACTGAGCCGATTGTCGGAACTGAAACGACCCATGCTGATATATTCAAGCCCTCAACATCCCCACCAGACTACGCTATGAATCATATTGCGGCTTTGCGATCTAGGTCTCAGGACGCTTCACCCTTGCCAATATCTAGGAAGTTGTCGCAGTCCACCATCACATCCAGACGCTCTTCCTCCTCCTCTAAAGACTTTCATGGCAACTATGGCACAGACGGCGATGTTGACCCCAAAGTTTTGCCGCAGCTACCGCAACAGAATATGTCTCTATCTCCTGGAACAGTCGGCGGGTCTGAACCGGATCTCTCTCGTTCGTCTACATCTAACTCGGCGAAATCTCAGACGGGCCCTTTTAGCCGTGGTCTTTTCCAAAAACGTGATCCTTCTGGTATGACGACGACTGGTTCTATCGAAAGCGACATGGCACAAAAGAGGAATACTTTGGCGGCAGTCACAAATGCGGCTGCACAGGCAAGACAGTGGGGATGGAATGCTATCCAGAGGCAAAGAGAAGCCATGCGAAACAACGAAAAAAGCGCCCCCGTCGATTTGAGCCAGCCCATGGGTCGAGGGCAACCACTTCCGCCGCCAGGGACACCACTTCCAATGCCAACAAATGGGGGTACTAAAATAGGACCCGTTCCCACATCGAAGCGGAGATCTCCTAGTTTAGTACTAGAGGAACAGGCTGCCCTTGCGGCTGAAGAAGATCAGACTAGACGGCACCAATCCGCAGCGTGGAGAAGAAGACAAGATAGCCAACTGCAAGAGGAATCTAGTCCAAATATCCTCATCGTTGCTGCACCAGATGATTCGCAGCCTAATAGTCCTGCCATGGAAGCCGAGACGCATCAGACCGAACTTTGGAACCGAGACTTTCCAGATGCACAGCAGCAAATTAGCAATGTTGCAAGCAGCATTAAGTCTGCCGCTACAAATTCCACAGATAAAATGACGAATAATTTAGATACAGAAATCTCTGCCACCACAGGCCGACCAATTCCATCTAGCCCGTCAGCTTTTGCAGATCTGAACGATGATGAATACTCTGCATGGATGGACGACGACTAGAATCCGGTAGGTCGTGCCTACCTTAGGCCATTCAGATCTTGACTCAAGTCTTGACAGTGCCGACAGGATTTGATGCCGAGCATACTTTGTTATAGATGTACTTGTACAAGAATAAATAGAACGGAAAGGCCACTTACTAGCCGCAAAGGCCCAGGGCAGCCATTTAGGCTAGATAAGGATTGTGTATTTTGTATTAGCGCTGGCGTTTGGGAAAGGAACAGGCATCAAGTAATTTTAAATATTCATCTCATAGCATACCGATTATTTCAAACAATTACTTATTTGCTAGTACGCATAGCCAAAATGGAGCTTCTCCATGGTAAGAGAAAAGAGAATAACAAACCGTCACGCCTTATCCATTACCAGTTCAAAGAGGAGCTCTTCATCTTGGCATTTATTCCATCAATTACCGGGTTGGTTACCGCCTGCTCGTAGAGCATCTTGTTCTTCAGTTTAGTGCGAGTCCAAAACACAGGACAATCGTGACTGTCGCATCCAACTTCTTCCAGAGGGCCAATGCCTTCACAACTCTGGCAAATGCGTAGCGTTTCATCGTACTTGCGTTCCGCCGCAGTCAATTTCGCCTGTAACGCTAGCAAAGAGGCCGGCATTCTGGCATAGCAGAAACGGCACAACGATAACTCTGCAGTGCCGGCAATTTTTCTTCTGCAAATCATACAGTGTACCGACAGCATGTATGCCTCCAATGTCCGTTTCTTACTCCCAAGCCCCTTTGTTTGGTGAACACGCCGTATTCTTGGCATTGTGTCGTACCACTGCCTCACATTGGCGCCGACAAGACTGAATATTCGCTCCAACGGAGGGATGATGTTTTTGGATATATAGTAGTCTGCATCCAGCTGCCAGTGAGGATTACGGAGAAGCTCCTCTGGCGAGACGCACCGATCGATCAGCCTAGCACCCGGCGCTCCAGTAATCACCACGTACGGGACGCGTTCGCCGTATTGTGGCTCTGCTCTGGCATCTTGCAGCATCTTCCTTGCGCTGATTAGTGCTCCAGCGGGCGCTGGGCCATGCGCAGAATAGGAGCCAAGGCGGACTTCTTTGGCAAAGCAAAAGTCTTGGACCGATACTTTGCCACGCATTACTTTTTTGCACTGTTTCTGGAAATACCTTTTGACTTGGCTCAAGTCGGCCGTCTCAAACAGTAACCTCAGAGCTTTCTCTTCAATCTTCTGTTCTGCGGGGGTTCCATCGCGGCGGACAGTCTCTATACCTTTGGCGTCAAATTCAGGCTTGAGTTGATCCTTGGTTTCGTACTTGTAACCGACATAGCGCTTTTTAGCAAGCAAAACGCATGGGTGATAGACCTTTTCAAACTTGAGCTTTATTGGCTTTGGGTTCCTTTCCGTAATAGCCTGAGCAATCTCTTGGCCGATGGCGAATGCCTCATTCCTTGAACGCCCTTTGAGGTAGATGAAAAGACTATCGGTATCGCCATAGACAACTTCAGCGCCCCATCGCTCCACGGAGTGGATGTAGGCTGTAGCTCTCTCCAGCGTCTCGCGACCAGTCTGCACAATACTATCTGCGATTTCTGAACAAGGCATTCGCCCAGAGAATGAGGCTGAAGTATAACCGTAGGTGACATTGGCGAGCAATTTCAGAGCAAGCTGTCGGTTATTCAGTAGCTGCTGAAGAGTCTTGTCATCTTGATCTGTTTTCATGCCATTCTTGACCATAATTCGCGTTTCCAAAATTTCGGTTAGCATTTTGGCGAGCAAAGATTTCCGAACCTCGGACTTCACATACATCATGCCATTCGGCGCAATGTTGATGTGATCTTCTAGCAAAGTTAACAAACCGTCTTGCCGTTTATACTCGGTAAAGCCCATCTTGCTCTTGCCTCGCCAATCTGTGATTCGTCCCAAGAATGTCGAGTAGCAATAGTTATAGGCAATCATGACGCTAGGATAAAGACTTTGGAAATCTAGCACAACAAGAGGGCTGCTGTAGAATGAGCTCTGGGGCTCCATTACTAATGGTAGACACTCAAGTGCATTCTGCTGCCCGACCTGCTTCCGGCTGGGGGAGACGAGCATGAAATTTTCTGGTTTGGCAATCCTAAACATGATGGACTCGACTTTGAATTGTGAGCCGCGAGAGAATACGGAAAAGAAGTCAACGCCAAGAAGCCTTGCTTGCTCGCTGGTTCTCGAGATCAGCTCGTTGGACTCGAGAATTTTCAAGTCTAGCCTAGACCGTGTTCGATAGTATCTCAAAAGTCTGTTTAAATCTCGTGCCTTGCCGCTTTGGAGCCAGGATGTGAGAGACCTCCATGAATAGTGTGGTATTCGACGATGTAAAAGATGCCATACAACGTTTTCCATGGTGTATTGGAGAAGATTCACTTCGCTACGCATTGCCCTCCATATATTGATCATATGTCTTCCCGTTATTCGAATTGTTGATGTTGTGTTGAATCCCCACTGGTCGCTTTCTTTCCCAAATCGACCCTTGGACTGTGCCTTCATTCGAGAGAATTCATTGCAAAGATCGTAGTCGTATTTCAGCCTTGCCCGTTCAATGAGATAGCCCCATGAACTTCCATGGACTTCGTAGCCGGTTAGCACATCCGGGTCATAGACTCTGACTATCTCAATCATGCGATTGAGTAAATCCAGCTCTGAGGACTCGTGAACGACTTCGTCAGATACTGCATGTCTTATTCGATCAGCTAGGGCGCCGTCGGCTGAGAGGACTAGAATACCGGATTTGGATATTGCTGGTGTGTCTAAATCCCTACTCGCTATTGCCTCGTCATCTTTCCAGTGCCAAAAAATACATTGGACTTCGTCTTCTTCTGGATTGGGGACAAAATTTCCCCTTGTATGCACATGAACTTCAAGGCTCATTATGCTCATATATTGGGCTTCGTGTGGCACAGCTGACGAGGGCTGCTTTTGGCTATATTTAAAATCATATTTGTCCTTTTGTGTTGGGCCATCAATCTGAGAGAGCAGTGGATGGCCTGAAGTTCGCCTAGCTGTCGTACTGCTAGTTGTGTCGACCTTGCCGCTCTGAGTGGACCACTTATGAACCTCCTCATAGGAAGGAGGAAGCTGTGCAATCTCCCAGCTTCTCCATGAACATGCTCTCTTCAGCTGCTGATCTTCTTGTTTCATATGAGCCCCACCCGATAGATTCATATCGAGATCGGGGCTTCCGTATGATGAAAGTCCTCCGGTGGGATCAAAGTCATTCAAAAAGGGAAGAGTGTCGCTGATTAATTGGAACTCCCTACCGGCATATTCCCGTCGTTGCATCGGAAGATCGGCTTCTCTGCTGTAGAAAGCATCCTGGTAAATGATACTAGTTGAGAGGTGGTGATCCTTCCCCAAAGTGATTTCAGCCACAGACGGCGGACGAATAGCATAGGTCACGACATGACCTGAGGTTTTCGTCTTTTCTCCTTCAACGATACGAGGCGGCGATCCTGAAGGGCCGATTGATTGCAAGATGTCCGACTGAGATTCGTAATATGAAATTGATTTATTTGCACCTGTCAAATTAGGGGAAGGTTCATCTTCAAATGAAACATCATACTTGGCCCTCTTAGCAGAATTGTCATTTGACGACCATGATGCTGTCCGTTTACGAATTACTTTTGTCTTTTGACCCCGCACGGCCGCTTCATCGTTTTTCAGGGTAAGTAGGTTGCGTTGCGCAGCTTCAACTAATTTGGCCGATATGGGTATTTGAGGAAGCTCGCCGGTTGTAAGGCCGCTTTGGCCGATTCCAAAGATCCGTCTTCTGTATTTCATGGTCTCGATGCTCGATGATTGAGCTAAGATGCCTTTACCCATCATTTGCGTTGTGCTCTCTACTGCGACATCATCGTGGTTTTGGCCAGTCTCTTGGCCAATCTCCATATCATCTGAATCTATTCCGAGCAGGTCATCTTCTCCCACTTGAGATAGTTTCAGTTCATCGACCACAATATTACCATCAGGATCCTCATCTAGCTGCTCCAGGCTTAATGAAAGCCCAAGTAAGGGCAAGAGTTTAGACGGATGCAAATCTTCAACAGACTGTAAAGCAGTTTTGATGGAACTTTCAGAGTGTAGAGGCTTCAAAAATGTATTCAGATTGAGCTCCGGTCCATGGCATTGGTCTTTTTCTTTGGCAACTAGATTTTCCACTTTTCGGCGGTATTCTCCTTCATGAATCCATGCCTGGGGTTGGGACGATCGAGAGTCAGCCGACATCGACACAAAAGCGTCTCGCGGAAACGAGGATACCAGGTGCTCGATATGTGTTTGGCCGGGTAGTAATTGGCGTTGGCGCCTTCGTGCCTCAGCTTTCCAAAGCCCAGCCATACTAGACACTAGTCTGATATCGTCTGTTGGAGGTTTTAGAAACTCAGTAAAGTCGTGATGGAGCAAGCGCTCTCTAATTTTTCTTCTATTGGTGATGTTCTGGGCAGCGATATCGACTTCGATTGAACAATAGCTTTCTCGGGGCAATGCGGCATCATTCGTGATGAAAGTTTTGGGAACAGTTTGAATATTCCAAGGAAGCTGCGAAGACGGGGTACTGGTTCCACTTGCGGGGACCGGAGATCTAAAGTAGGTTTGGGATGATTCGACGAAATCACAGCCATATAGATTGTAGTCAATCATGAACTGAAGGAGGTACTGGAGATGGGCTTCGTATGGCTGAAACTTCCGTTTCAAAATGACACCTTGCTGCAGCAGATCTGCTAGCCTGGTCATCACAGCAGGGTTGAACATGTAAATCTTGAGAAAGAATTTGTACCCAACAGAGTACCCATAGAACGGTGTTCCTTTCACCAGTGTGATTCGTGCCACAAACCTCGCCTTGTCTCCATTCTGATCTTGTCGATAGCTTATACCAAGCGCGTGGTCGATAGAAAGATGCAATCGGTATACAAACGACCCAACTATCGATGGTTCCTTTAACAAGATATTCACAATCACAATCTCACGCTTTGCTGCACAGCTCACCTGCATCCCGGTTCAAATTCCCATCATATTCCACATACATATAAGGAAACACTCCATGGACATGGGCGCAGACTTTCTGGCCGAACTCGGTTGAGCCGAATATTCGAATAACAGGCACTTTTGTGGCCTTCAAGGGCGGGGGCGCCTGAACATCGTTGCGAAGTGGCGGATCATGGCGGCTGGGCAGAGCTTGATAATGATCGATACAATTCAGGCGCACGCGGAAAAAGTCCATACTTCGCTGCGCCCAGAGCGATAGGATTGCATTCGGAACAAGTTTGGAAGGGGGCCAGAAGACAATATGTCCTGCCTCTTTACTGGTAAAGCAGATAGAAGCAGCACCTAGGTCTGAATGGCAGAGAATTGGAGGGGCGTGTCTGCCTCGCGTCATTGGTGGGGCTCTTCATCGCGTGATCACGTGCAGATAAAGAGCCATCGATGCTACAGGTAATCCATCAATAGCCTTGGCGCCTGGAGGCAGCGCAGTGCTTGTCGGCAAGCATCCCCATCTCATACTACGTCGCGCTGCCTCAAGGGAGCAATCTATTGCGCATTTTTATAAATCTTTGTCTTGCAGCTGTAAAACAGCAAAGATATATCGCTATCGCCTCACCTATCGCATCCAAAACAACCATGCCGCCCCCTCGGAAGCCTCAAACAGGCGCAGCCTCGAAAGAGGAAAACATTTATATCCCATCCTTCATCAGTAAACGACCTTTCTATGCTGGGGAAGAAGGTGACGACGACAATGACTACCTGAAGCATCAGCGTCGAGAAGAGAAAAACGAAAAGGCGCAATGGTACGATCGCGGGAAGAAGGCTGGGCCAGCGGCAACGAAGTACCGAAAAGGCGCGTGTGAGAACTGCGGATCAATGACCCACAAAGCCAAAGACTGCCTAAGCCGGCCAAGAGCGAAAGGAGCGAAATGGACGGGCAAGGACATCCAGGCAGACGAAGTCGTCCAAGATGTCAAGCTGGGATGGGATGCAAAACGAGATCGTTGGAATGGCTACGACGCTAGGGAGTATCGCAGAGTGGTGGACGACTTCAATGAAATGGAGGAGCTACGGAAGCAGGCGAAAAATGCGATAGCCGGCGATGATGATGATGATGAAGAGGGAAAGGATGACGGTGATAAATACGCCGAAGAAAACGACATGAGCAAGCACCAAAGCACAGCTACAAGACAACTTCGGATACGAGAAGACACCGCCAAGTATCTATTGAATCTCGATCTTGAATCTGCGAAATACGATCCCAAAACCAGAGCACTTGTCAATTCCGGCGCAACAGCAGATACAGCAGCCGACTTATTTGCAGAAGAAGGGTTCATGCGATCCTCGGGAGATGCCGGCGAATTTGAGAAGGCACAAAGATATGCATGGGAAGCCCAGGAAAAGAGCGGAGATACCACCCAGCATTTACAGGCGAATCCGACGGCCGGTGCGTTTTATCGTAAGAAGCAGGCGGATGAGGCGGAAGCAAGGCGTTTGGAACGTGAACGAGAATTGTTGGAAAAATACGGGGGCGATGCGCATAAAGCGATGCCTGCTGCGCTGCGCAATATGGCCATGTCAGAGTCCGAGACATTTGTCGAGTACGACGAGGCAGGACTCATCAAGGGTGCGCCGCTAAGGGGCGTGAAATCCAAGTACGCAGAAGATGTGATGATCAACAACCATACATCAGTTTGGGGTAGCTGGTGGTCAAATTTCAAATGGGGCTATGCGTGTTGTCACTCTTTCATCAAGAACAGCTACTGTACCGGCGAGGAAGGCAAAGAAGCATGGGAAGCTGCTGAGCGCCAACGGTTTGGAGCCCCCGTGACGGAACGAGAGACCGAACCCTTACCTGAAGAGAGCGAAGAGGCTGAATTAGGAACGACTCTGAAAGATGCGAGAAGCAGGAAGCGTACGCAAGAAGAGATGTTGAACGGAGTATCAGAGGCCGAGATGGATGAATACCGTCGGAAGAGGACTGTTGCTCAGGATCCGATGGCAAATCTACTAGGTAAAGACGAGCTGTTGAGCTAAGATATTCATCTCGTACATACCTACATATAATGAAGTGAAAACACTCAACGTCTTTCTTAGCCCATACTCCCCTCTACTAATGCAATAATTGGACACAGCTCCGTCACGTCTTCTCAATCAAAGTTTCACAATTCAAGGGTCATGGAAGCACTTTAAATCCCATATGCAATTACGCTTTCATGTTTTTTTTTAAATCATTCCATTTTTATCCTTTGGCCAACGCCGAAAGCTAGGAATAGAAACCTGTATTTCCTGCTTGTGATATCCCTCGGTCATCAAACTTGTATGCAGGAAGAGTCATTAACACCTGTTATGATGCATTTACTCGTCATCCTCTTCCTCCTCGCCACCCTCGCCCTTCTCGGCGGCCTTGGCCTTCTTTCTGCGGACACGACCAGCACGGCCGCTGCCGAATGGTGAGGTCAGGGCGAAGTCGATGTGCTTCTGGGAGTCGAGACGGACAATGAAGGAGGGGACATTGACGATCTGCTTGCCAACACGGATGTGGCGCTGGCGAATCAGGACACGGGCGTGGTGGATGGACTTGGCAAGACCGAGCTTGTAGACACAGGTCTGCAGGCGGCGCTCCAAGAAATCCTCAATCTTCAGGGCCAGGACGTAATCGAGCTTCATGCGAGACTCGTCGAGGACACCGACACGGACAAGACGTCGAATCAGGGCATTGCCTTCGAAAAGTCGCTTGGGGTCCTTCTCGTCGAGGGTAAGAAGTTGACTGCAGGGTGTTTGCAATTAGTTTGTGAACTTGGCAAGTGCTGGATGGGTTAATACAGATTGACATTGACATACCGGGCAGCACGACGGATCTTGGACAGAGTCAAACCGACTCGCCAGACCTCACGCTTGTTGCGCAGGCCATACTCTCCAACGAGCTTCAGCTCAGAGTCCCTGATCAGAAATAAGAGGTCAGTTTCCTTGTCACAGTCGACTTAAACAGAGCCATGCTCTAGTTCAGTGGCCGGTGATACTGACAGACGAGCAGACTCGAAGGGTCTGCGAGGGACACGCGAGGTCTTGGAATGCGCACGAGGGGCCATTCTGTATGCGGTCAGATATCACGGCTTGAGTTGCCAGAATTGAGCATCCAACACTCACTTGACTTGCTTCCCGAGATGGTGGCTACTGGTGAACTTTTCCGCAGGTGATCTCGAAACTCGTCAAGGTTGTGTGGATAGGAAATTTGGCGTTGCAAAATTATGCACGTGATGCACTAGCAGCAAACCCTAAGGCGGGTTTCGCTGCGCACGCCCGCCAATTCCCACAATTGCCCTATCACCACGGCGGAGCGAGAAAAAAATAAGTGGATTATCTAAGCATATTCGCTCCCACACGGCGTGCGCAAATTCACCACGCCAAACTAGCAAAGCTTCACCTCCATCTTCGTCAATCCTCGAACGAAAAATCGACGGCAATTAAGGCGCGATGGGTCACTCTTACGGAAAGCGAGCGGGCACTCGAGTTGGTCTACCCTCCCTGCGATGATACGAATCCATTCGTTGCTAACGAGTACGCAGTATGCCTTCAGCAGGGACTTTCGCCAGAAGGGCATGATCGCCCTGAACACCTACCTGAAGGTGTACCAGTGAGTAGAATCCAAGCAAGAGGAAAATTTCGACATGGGGCTGGGGATCGGCTAACATTCATTCAGCGTCGGTGACATTGTCGACATCAAGGTCAACGGTGCCGTCCAGAAGGGGTAAGGAAACGATGTCGGATATCGAGGTGGAAAAGCACAAGGGAACTAACATTGTACAGCATGCCCTTCAAGGTCTACCACGGCAAGACTGGTGTCATCTACAACGTCACCAAGAGCTCTGTCGGCGTCATCGTCTACAAGAAGGTCAAGCACCGCTACATCGAGAAGCGCATCAACGTCCGAATCGAGCACGTCCAGCCCTCCCGATCTCGTGAGGACTTCATCAAGCGAGTCAAGGCCAATGCCGAGGCCAAGAAGCAGGCCAGAGCCGACGGTGTGACTGTTCAGGTCAAGCGACAGCCCGCTCTCCCCCGGGAAGCCCTCACGGTCTCCCTGACCGACAACCCTCCTGAGACTGTCACTCCTCTGCCATACGAAACTACAATCTAAGGGAAGGGTTGGCGTGGTGCTCGCTTCGGTTTTTCTTATGGTGTTGCGTTCGGATGGGAAAGAACTCAGCATGTGACCAAGGTCTGCATTTTTTTTCTATTTGATGTTCATAGGAAATGAGAAAATATGACATCAACAAAAGTGCATTTTCGCTCAGTGGCCACTCCTGGTTAGAGGAGTAGAGTATCCCCATAGTTTCTACGGCTTGTGCGGTGTCTCCCATATATAATACCTAGGTGTCTGATTTTCGGATACGTTGAGCGCTGAAGCTTAAAACAAACCCTTGGCCAAATATACTGGACGTTTTCCATGACAAACGTTGAATTCTCTTGATCAATGATGAACTTGTCCTTCCAAGTTGTTGCGCTGAAATTTCGAGTTCACCCAATTCAGGTACATGTCGTAATGAGGATCGAATGATCATGCAATGTGTGCTCGAAATAATGGCTTATTTCGTACCTACCTACCTACCTAGTCATGGTGAAATATGAGATATATCTACGTCTTATTGTAGTACTAGTGGTGCCTCTACAGGGTGATCTAGTTCGACTGCCCTGGTTTTCTCATTCAACCTGTGACTAGCAGTTGTATTGAAAAGTCGAATGAATGCTGTTATCACTGCTGTCAGTGAGTCTGAGCTGTATGCATCATCTCTTAATTGCGCTGGGTTTTGTCTTCAATTCCTCCTAAATACCCATGTCGTCTCCTCTCAATAAATGCTGATAATACTGTACCTGTATAAGTAATGCCTTGTGCCTAGGTACACTGGCAGCATATGGGCGCTTAGGTATGGGCCTCTGATAACACTGCTACAAAACAAGACAAAGAGCTAAACATATACCACTTATTCTCAAAGAATTCCAACATCCCAGCCACCATCCAAGAACACCTCTAGCAATATCTGGAGATCTCCCCTATATTACCCTAGAGGCAGTTTGATTGATCCAGGGATTATGTAATTAATTGTACGGGCAGCAAGAAAGGCGGATCATTTTAACACCGCTTTAATGCCCAGGTAATTACTGCGCCCCACATGGTGACGATGCTTGTCCGTTTCCCGGCTGCAGCTTAGCTTCTATGCCATCGCCTTCCTATCATCCCGCTGGCAACCAGTACTCTCCAACTGTGCGGAGGAGATTTGACCGCAGTCTCATCTTCTCGACGGAAACGCACGTCTCCTATCCAAGAATCCTACAAATTCCGACCTCTCCGCGAGTCATTACCGTGCATACTGCGCCTTGAGTGCGCGCTCTGCGACTGCGCTATCGTGTGCCTCCTATCCAAGCTTCGTCGCCGCCTTGCCTGAGCTGTATTTCGCCCACCATGGCTTCCATACGCACGACCGAGCATACGAAGTTCGTGATACCTCGTGATACCCCCTCCTTGAATCATAAACCAGATCATCAATGGCGACACCCGCTTACCTTTGCACACCAAATCAACTAGAACCGATCAGGAGCTTGCCGTTAGCATCAAAAAGGCCACCAATCCCGATGAAATCTCCCCCAAGCGCAAGCATGTACGAGCCTGTATCGTATACACCTGGGACCATAGGTCTTCACAGTCCTTCTGGGCTGGTATGAAAGTGTAGGTTGACATGACATCTCCTCTATCTCTATACGTTCGGCTGCTGATGTGATCGTCTCCAACTGAATGCAGCCAACCCGTTCTTGCCGACGAGGTCCAGACATTCAAAGCTCTGATCACCGTCCACAAGGTTCTGCAGGAAGGCCATCCCTCAGCTTTGAAAGAAGCAATGGCCAATCGCTCATGGATTGACTCCTTGAACCGTGGAATGAGTGGAGAAGGAGTCCGCGGATATGCGCCTTTGATCCGAGAATACGTATACTACCTTCTTGCGAAGCTGTCTTTCCACCACCAACACCCGGAGTTTAATGGTACTTTCGAGTATGAGGAATATCTCAGCCTCAAAGCTATCAACGACCCAAACGAGGGATATGAGACCATCTCTGATCTGATGGTGCTGCAAGACAAAATAGAGCAATTCCAGAAATTGATCTTTTCGCACTTTAGAAACGTCGGAAACAACGAGTGTCGGATCGCGGCCCTGGTGCCATTGGTCCAGGAGAGCTATGGAATTTACAAATTTATTACCAGCATGCTGCGCGCCATGCACTCAAGTAATTACTCCTCGAGCATTGCCCCGCCACCTATATAGCACAGGTACTAATCTAGACGCATAGTCACTGGCGATGATGATGCACTGCAACCCCTTCGGCAGCGATATGACGCCCAGCATTATCGACTCGTCAAATTCTACTATGAATGCTCCAATCTTCGATACTTGACAAGCCTGATTACAATCCCCAAGCTGCCACAAGATCCGCCGAACCTCCTCGCTGGTGATGACGAAGCTCCAGCCTTGCCTGCCAGACCGAAGCAGGAAATTGAAAGACAGCCGTCCCCTGCTCCTGCGCCTAAATCGGATGAACCAGATGAGATCTCCGAGTTCTGGAAGAGCGAACTGGACCGCCAAAACCGTGAATATGAAGAACAGCAGCGAGTCCTCGAAGAACGGCAGCGGGCAGCCCTCATGGCGCAGCAGCAAGCTCAACAACAGGCGCAGCGCGACTTTGAAGATCAGCAACGACGTTTGATGGAGCAGCAGCAACGAGAGCAGGAGGCACTTCTTGCACAGCAAGCTCAGTGGCAAACTCAAGGCCGTCTAGCCGAACTTGAACGGGAGAATCTCAACGCGCGGGCCCAATACGAACGCGACCAGCTGATGCTGCAGCAGTATGACCAGCGTGTCAAAGCCCTCGAGGGAGAGCTGATGCAAATCCAAAACAGCTATGGGCAACAGATGGGCAGCAAAGACGATCAAATCAAAGCACTGCAAGAACAAGTCAATACATGGAGATCAAAGTACGAATCTCTCGCGAAGCTATACTCTCAGCTTCGGCATGAACACCTGGATTTATTGCAAAAATTCAAGGCGGTGCAGCTGAAGGCAGCAAGCGCCCAGGAAGCCATCGAAAAACGTGAAAAGTTGGAGAGGGAGATCAAGACGAAGAACCTCGAGCTGGCTGATATGATCCGGGAGCGCGATCGAGCCCTTCACGACAAGGATCGAGCTAGTGGTAGCAGCAAAGACGAAGTAGAGAAGCTAAAGCGAGAATTGCGTATGGCGCAAGATCGAGCGGACAACCTCGAACGTAGCAAGGGCAACGAGCTCTCCACGATGCTTTCCAAGTATAACCGTGAGATGAGCGACCTAGAAGAGGCACTTCGGAACAAGTCGCGAGCGTTGGAAGAGGCACAGAGCAAGATTCGAAACGGCGATTCTGATCTCGAGCAGCTCCTACGCGAAAAAGAAGAAGAGCTCGAGGTGTATAAAGCGGGCATGGACCAAACACTTATCGAACTGAGCGAACTAAAGCAGAATCAGGGAGAGACGGACCATGCGCTCGATGGGCAAATCGATGCCTTGATCTTGTCAAACCTGGATAAGATTAATGACGTTATTGACTCAGTGTTGCAGGCTGGTGTCTCGCGAGTGGACGATGCTCTCTACGAGCTGGATTCGTCTATGCAGGCGGGTAACCAAAATGCATCCCCATCATATGTGCTATCTCAGATCGAGAAGGCGTCTGGGAGCGCAATGGAATTTGCTACCGCCTTCAACAATTTTATTGCTGACGGACCCAACAGCACACACTCGGAGCTAATCAAGGCCATCAACGTGTTTGCCGGGGCGGTTGCGGATGTATGCAGCAACACCAAGGGTGTAGTGCGTCTGGCGACAGACGAGAAGAAGGCCGACGCGCTGATGCAAGGTGCAAGGCAGTCAGCCCAGTCGACAGTGCAATTTTTCAGGGGCTTACAGAGCTTCCGCCTCGAAGGAATGGAGCCACTCCAGAAGACGGATGTTGTCATCAACAGCAATAATGACGCACAGATTAAGCTGCAGAAGCTCAACAAGCTGGTAGAGGGCCTTGCTCCTGGCTTTGGTAAACTGATGAACAACAAGGGAGATCTTGGAGACTTGGTCGATTCCGAGTTGAGTAAAGCAGCCGACGCCATTGCAGCGGCCGCGGCTCGACTAGCTAAATTGAAGAACAAGCCTCGCGATGGGTACACTACATACGAAGTCAAGGTGCATGACTCGATCTTGGATGCCGCGGCAGCCATCACAACGGCCATCGGAGAGCTCATTCGCGCAGCAACAGTAACGCAGCAGGAAATCGTGCAAGCCGGACAAGGCTCATCTTCACGCACAGCCTTCTACAAGAAGAACAACCGGTGGACGGAGGGCCTCATATCGGCGGCCAAAGCGGTCGCTTCATCAACCAATACGTTGATTGAGACGGCAGATGGAGTATTGTCCAACCGTAACAGCCCCGAACAACTGATTGTGGCATCAAACGACGTTGCAGCGTCGACGGCACAGCTGGTGGCAGCCAGTCGTGTCAAGGCCGGCTTCATGTCTAAGAGCCAGGATCGTCTGGAGCAAGCCAGCAAAGCCGTCGGGTCAGCCTGCCGATCGCTTGTTCGCCAGGTTCAGGCCATGATACGCGAGCGAAGCCAAGAAGAGGATCAAGTGGATTACTCCAAACTCGGGGCACACGAGTTCAAGGTTCGCGAGATGGAGCAACAGGTAAGTCGACGACACTCTTCAATACGTCTTGATTTATTTTTGACATTGTTGGGACATGATCTAACCAAACCGATTCTTTGTCTAGGTTGAAATTCTACAATTAGAAAACGCGCTTGCCTCTGCAAGGCACCGACTTGGCGAAATGCGGAAGATTTCGTACCAAGAGGAATAGAAAGCGACTTCTTCTTCCATCTGCAAGTTTGATCAAATTTTCGATATTGGCTAGCTGTTATTATACTTTCTTCCAAATACCTAGGTGTCTTGTCGTCGTGTATCTTGGGGATGTGATTCTGTATGTCATCAATCTACTCTTTTTATCAATTACCTAGTCTAGGTTACGCTTAGCGCAGCCTCAAAGTGCATCTGCTGTATCCTACTACATTGTATCCGGTTACTATTCTCTTCTAAAGATGCCATCTATGTAGTGTCTCCTCCGTTTAAACTCAGAGACTCAGCCTTCCTCTTCAGCTCAGCATAAGCTGCGGCATAATCCGCAGCCAGGACCATGTCGCCCAGTACTTTCATAATTACAGCCTTCTTTGCCATCATCTCGCATTGACTATTGATATCTTCAATGCTAGAATACTCATCAAAAGCACTCTGGACCGCCATTGCCGCTCTTGTGAGGTATTCATCACGACGCTGAGTGACTGACTTGGGCGACTCGGTCTCTTTGGCTTCTTGGTCCTGCTCTAGAGCTTCTTCTCCTTGTCCAACAACACCATCGCTTTCACATTGCCCGGCTAACCCCATACATGCATCAGCGAAATATGAATATAGTTTTGCCGTGAGGGTTGGAGAGTCGCATTCTAGGCTCCGCGGTAATACGGCTGTGAGGAGCTGCATTGCGGCTTCGAATTCATTCATGGAAACCAAAATATTTGATATTGCGCCGATTGCAGCCCACAGCAGAGACATCAGCCGCGCGCGCAGAGATAGGTTTGCCGCACGCAGGGCAATGGAAAAAGCACGCTGGGGCCGCCCACATTTATCTAGGAGCGAAGCCTTGATAAGAAGAGCTCTGACTCGTAGACTTATATCTCTATTCTCGTCTCTTAGTTCCGTAATCATCTGATCGACTTTCTCGGCGGCTGATGACAAGTCTCCGCGACGAGTCAAGTAATCTATGTGGGCGGTATCAATTACTAGAGCGAGGTCGGGCTCGAAATCGTCTCCTTTGGACTGCAGAAACTGACTCAAGAGCTGCTCTGCACCGTCCAAGTTGTTATGATGTAAATCTCTCTTGAGCTGTATGACCCCCCTATACTTGAACCAGTACTGATTGGGCTTCCACGACCGCCGTGAGTTTTCGTCAGCCTTGTCTAAAATCTCCATAGCTTCGCGATATTTCCCCTGGTCTAAAAGCGCAAACGAAAATCGACTGATCATCTTGAGCTCATCATCAAACATAGAATGGCATGTATGGCACCGTAAGAAGATCTCACATGCTACCGTGGTGAGGTGACCGAGACCAAGCCTGTTCCAGAGGGACGAGTATAAGCCGAGCTGTGCCCCGAACATGCCCTTCATATTCTTCTCCACGATAATCTGCGAGCTTCGTACCATGTATTCAAGAGCGGTGGCTACACTGTCGCCGTTGATGAGACAAAGTTTGGCCTCGCTTAAGAGCACGGAGCTCCAGAGAGTCCACATTCCGGCTTCCCTGGCTTTCACTCGGAGGAAGGCTAATGTCTCTTTGCTTGTACCGAGGAGGTTATCCGCTTGCAGATCACGAACTAGATCTGGGTGTGCTTGTCCAAAATGAAACAACCAGTTCAAAGAGAAGTTGAGGCAAGTCATATCTCTGTTTTCTCTTGCTGTGGTCACTGTTTCAAGCATGGCTGTTATGGCTTCTTTATAACAGCCAAAGTCGGCTTGTAAAACGGCCAAGTTCATCAAGGCGTACTGGTAAAAGAGTCGATCACGATGCTGCATTGTATAGTCAAAGTATCTATGCAGAAAGTCGAACGCCGTGGGATAATCACCGGCTCTCCAAGCGTCGAGAAAGCTTTGCCCAGTTTCAGCACAGCACCTAGGTGTAGTATGTAGTACACTGAAAACTTGTACTTACGTGATATAATGTGTTAGGCTGGGAACCAAGAAGCTGTCGTTGAGGAGGTCGTGAAACTGGTGTCGAATCTCCAGTGGTATCCGGTTACCGTATTCTTTCCAAGTTGACAGTCAGCTGGAGCTCCTCATAGCGAATTCGGTGAAAGAGCCCGCTCAAAGGATGACTTACTCTGCATTTGCTCGATCTGAAAGTCGAGTAAATTTTCAACGTCATCTATGCTGACAGGGAGGCCCCCAGTCTGGTCCCCTGTCAACATATCGCCATACGCCACCGACGCCAGGCTCGCAACTTTGTCAACATCCCAGTCTTCCAGCTCTCCACGCTGCAGCACCTGATCAAAACTGTATCGACTGAAGTCTGGATTTCTCCGCTTCTGATAGTGGGATGTTGGCTGTCGATACCGGACAAAGTCTTTCCATAGCTCGGTGCAGTCGTGAAACCGCAAGCGTTGGTATTCGAGGCGGGCTCTGCGGACGAAAGCGCCGAGGGGAGAGTTGTTGGTGAGTTTGACACCCAGCTCGGGCTCATCAGGATCCAGCCCTTCTCGGCGAAGCTCTTCTTTTGTTCTAGACAGTGTCCACGAAAGATGCTCGAAAAACTCTCCAAGGGCGTGGAGCGAGTCAATCCCCCACAGCTTATTGAGGAACTGATCCCAAAGTCTCTTCCCGGGCAAGCCCATCAGAAAGGGATAACTGCTGAGCAGCTTCTCGAAGTCCTTGATCGAGATCACCAGGCTCACGGCGCGCTCAGCCTTTGTCCATCTTGCCGCTTGGCTTGTGGATGGTCCATTTGGATCGTAGCCCATGGCGTGAGACGCAATAAACGACAGAACTGGCACGATTGCATCGCTGGGGACCGCCTCTTCCACGTATAGCTCGGTCAGAACGAGGAGGCCAATCTTGGCTGGCGTGAGGTATCGTGCCATCTTCACCTTGAGAAAGCTGGGTTCACCTGGCGGTGAGTGTCAAAAATCCGCTAGCAATCGCCAAGCACTGTCTGCCTCTCAAGGGATACAGATTCCGGCGTGGCAAACTCAAGCCTTCTCCATATTTCAGCTGGCCAATTGCCTTAGTCTCGTAAGCTCTGAGGATTTGGGTGGATGCTGGGGAATAGAGAGTAGTAGTAGGTAAGTGGGAAGAAATGAACAGGGGTGAATAGATCAAGGCAGTTGTCTCGGATCAGATCTTTCCTGCAGTCTTCATAGCCGAGTGCCTGCCTACCTTGATCGATAGGCCTTTCTTTCTCGATGTCTTAGTGGCTTAGGTAACTTCAACTACATCTTGGGCATTATTGTTGTCGCTACTGAGTTTGGACCACAGCAGCAGAACACTGTGGTCGGAATTTCTTCGGAGAATTTTGCGCCCGCTCATACCTGCTCGTAGCAAAGTATGGCATGAGTTGACTGGAGCTTGGGATATGCGGAATACGTTGCAGTCCCATAACAATGGATACAGATGGTAAATCCTGAAAACGAGGAATCGATATCATACGGGACAAACTCTACCGCGTCTCAATTCGCCTATTTTTGAGAGGCTTACTAGGTGCCTGCTCGTGGCCGCTATGACGATGGCCGCTATGACTTCCTGCACCAAAAAGACACCCAGAGTTATACACAAAGGCAAGGATTTAGAAGGATGATATAGATACATTGCAAAGTCTAGCTCAGCTTGGAGGGATACAGTTGTCGCCCTTCAAGTTACGGGACAGTCGATTCAAGCTCCAAAGGAGGGGTCTACAGCTACCAGTAGTATTTCTCCTGGAACCATTAACCCAGCCTATTTCCGTTCGTCAACTTTATTTGGTCTTGTCATGGTTGTGGTAGTTGACGCCCTCGTTCCAGCTTTTTGATAGCAGTTAGCAGACCGTTCTCGCTCTAGAGAGATTAAAAAGAGATTGTTGAACATATAAAGCAATTGCTCCATTGAGACAAGAGTTAGCAGAACTTACAAGAGAGTCTATGAGAATGGTTAGCGTACGATCCGTTGAATAACTGACAGAGTGTCGACTCACCTTGTCACCATCGCCCCACTGGAAGTTCTTGGTGCGGATGTTCTGGTAGGGATACTCGGTGCGCTCTGGCAGAGGAGGGAGGTGGCTCCAGTGCTCCCAGTGCTCAGTCCATAGCCAGTAGGCGTTGGCTCCAGCGACAGCAAGGGCAGGGACAACGGCGCTTTTGATTTTGTCAGCCTTCTACAGCCCATCCAAACAAATTTGGCGCAATCGGCTGCTTTCTCCCTCATCCGGCGCTAAAAAAGGCATAGAAATTCGCGATGTCGAGAACCGGCGGTGGACATACTAGAGAGAAATCTTCTTCCAGAGCTCTGAATGTACGATTAGAAGCTGGACCACGGCGCAATGGGCGGAACTGAGAAACAGATACTCACCAGTGGTGCCTTGAGCGTGTTCCTTGATGTGCTGGCGCTCGCTGATGAACTCATTTTCGGCGGTGCTAGCAAAACGGCGCTGCATAGGAGTGCGCAGCTGCGCAGCGAAGCGCGGGGCGGTGCGGGTAACTTGTCGGGCAGCAAACATTGTGGGCGATCCGAATTCGTCTTCAATGTTTGGATAGTCTATAAAGGTGCAGATTATGAGATCAGGTCATATTCGAATTAGAGCTCGGCTAGAGCAGGTCATGGATGCCTCAAACTCCAGGCTAAGATCTGCTTAATTTGAGTCACGTGATATCGTGACGTAGTCGCGAGTGCTCTCGGTGCGTGCTCTCGCGATGCAGCGATGAGCGTTTCCCTTTTCTTTGACTCACTTCCATGCGGTTCAAGGTCACAAATATGCATGCGGGCCTTTGTAATTGAAGCAAAACGCGATTTCTTCTCTCTCGATATGCCTGTTTTTGAACACCCTCGACCCCAGGCGTAATTTACCCGCTATACTCTTTTGCCAGCATCATTCTACGGCCATCCGCTCTCACTATCTGCTCGGTGCCCCGTGAACCGGCATGTATGCGCTGCAATACGAAACAGAAGCGTTGTTTGGTTGCTATAGACTTGGTGTTGGAAATTTCTCAAAGAAACAATGGGATTTCGTATAACGACATGGAATGGTATGCTATCTTATGAGCCTCTTGAGAATGACAATGACTAACGAAGCCTGAAGTAAACGGCATTAGGTTTGTTTCCCTCTTCTCGAGCGAATGGACCAATATCATATCTTACCATGCTTTAGAAATCCATTTGGATATCAGCCATGGAGAGAGAAGCGCACGTTCCAGGTTGGTGATTGGAACTTCTCTGGATGACCAGATCACGCCGCTAACAACTCATTTCGCTCTTCATTTAGGCAATGTTCGATATTCTCGAGGCCGATATTGTCGTTATGCAAGAGACAAAGATACAGCGAAAGGATTTAACCGATGATATGGTTCTTGTTCCCGGGTGGGATGTTTACTTCAGCCTGCCTAAGCATAAGAAAGGTACCTCTTCAATGTTTCATGGCTTTATGACCTAGTAATGGATCTAACATGCTTAAGGGTACTCCGGTGTTGCTATTTACACGCGAAATGCGACTTGTGCGCCTATTAAAGCTGAAGAAGGAATCCTAGGAGTGCTCTGTCCTCCAAAGTCATCAACACAATTTCGCAATTTGCCCAAAGATCAACAAATTGGGGGCTATCCAAGACCTGAGCAACTTCCGGGGAACATCGATGAACTGCTGTTGGATTCTGAAGGAAGATGCGTCATCCTTGAATTTCCAGCATTCGTACTGCTAGGTGTTTATAGCCCAGCCAATCGCGACGAGTCTCGAGTAGATTTTCGCATGGAATATCTTCAAGCACTTGACGCTCGGGTACGAAATCTGATCTCGGAGGGCAAGCAAGTGGTTTTGATGGGGGACCTCAATGTGAGCCGTTCCGAGTCTGATTCAACCAACGTTGCTGAAACTCTTCGAAAAGAGGGCCTGAGCATCGAGGAATGGATGAACGTACCTTCGCGTCGCCTCTTCAATCATCTAATCTACGGAGGCACGGTGCAAGGCGATCGCGATGAAGGACGGGAGCAGCCTGCGCTGTGGGATCTATGCAGAGAATTCCACCCCACACGCGAGGGCATGAACACATGTTGGGACACCAAACGGAACACACGGCCGGCCAACAACGGCAGCCGTATTGACTACGTGCTATGCAGCAATGGGCTGAAAGACTGGTTTACAGAAGCTGACATTCAGGAGGGCTTAATGGGATCTGATCACTGCCCGGTGTATGCCACGATAGCTGATGTCGTGACGACTGACACGGAACAGGTACCGCTGTTGGCCGTTATGAATCCAACTAGCATGGTGACCAGAGATGGTCAACGCCTCCGGGAATGGCATATGAAGGATGTGTTGCCTTTGTCAGCCAAACTGATCCCCGAGTTCGACCGCCGGCAAAGCATCCGAGATATGTTCACGAAGAGCGCTGGTACTAAACTTTCGAGCTTTCCTTCGTCACCAGCGCTAGAAAGCGCCCAGGCTCAAGACGCCAGCTCAAGAGTGGGCGGTTCAACACATTTAGACCAAGCCAGTGAATTGTCAAACCGTGCTGAATATAGACTCGGAATGAGCGACGCTAGCGACTCCTCGAAATTGAAACCACTAACTGAGTCGAGATCGGAAGCGCCACCACGCGCGAAACGTGCTGCGGGGTTTGTCGATCCTCTTAGTGATGGCGGATCACTGAAAAGAAGTAAAAAGTCCAACGGTGCGATGAGCGTCAATCCAAGCCTTATGGCAGAGAAGAATGCTCGAAGCACTACTACAGTTAGCACAAAAGGCCAGAAGACTCTGCAAGGTTTCTTTAAGCCGGTGTCAAGTCTCGCTGCAAACCGGGTGGCAGAGAAAACAGGCAGCGATCCCGACGCCAACGCCGACCGGAGAGCTAATTCCAATGCCCCGTCCCCTTACTTGCAGCAAACAATGACGCTGCCTACAGAGCTCCTGTCGCACCATACCTCATCAGCTCCAAGTTCACAACGAGAGAATAACGATGGCGCTGATTGGTCTGGCAAATCGCCAGGTTCAGAATCTCAAGCGAAGCAGAATCCAAGACCAATTAGCCTTCAGACGGAAACCAATCAAATATTTGATCCGGTTCAGGCAAAAGAATCTTGGTCAAAACTTCTCGGAAGAAGGGTGCTCCCACGATGCGAACATAACGAGCCCTGTATCAGCCTTGTCACTAAAAAGCCAGGCGTCAACTGTGGTGCGTCGATTCTTCCTTTTTTAGTCGAAGATTTGATCTAGTCATTGCGATACCTAAAGATTTCTACCCCTTCCCTACAGATTCTGGCCTTTTGCTAGTCTTCTTTCATTACCCTGCTTACTCCACCGCTCTCAGCTTCATCTCTAGTTTATGGTGTTGGTTCGTACATATTTTACGGCCCATGATAGGCTCACGCCATCGGTCCTCTTTTTCATATTTGTATCTGCGCACCAACGTCGTAAATGATGGCTTTTATTCCACGTGCACAGACAAGCTAGATGCTAACGTTTGCTACAGGAAGATCGTTCTATATTTGTGCCCGGCCACTAGGCCCCTCCGGCGAAAAAGAGAAGGATTCTGAGTGGCGATGCGGCACTTTTATTTGGAGTAGTGACTGGAACGGATCGCAGTCGTAACACAGTTCCCTGCGTCTTTTACCCAAATCCCCCCCCCCCCCCCCTTCTGATACTTACATGATTACATGGGGACCTAGTAAGTACCTCATACAATTTGATGTCCCGATGTTCAACTCAATGTAGCTGCTTGCTATTTGCGCGTGCACGTTTGTTTCCTTGGTGATTCAAGATCCTAGCAGACAGCCATCAAGAGACTTGCCTAATGTATAAATTGTTGTGGAAAATGGCCATCAGGCTTTTAAAAAATATCTTCACTGACGCTATATCTTCCATTCGAGCCTGAAGAACCAATCTGATATCTTATTAGATGCTTGGTTGAGAAGTGCAATGTTGTAGCTGAGCCTTCGTCTGACCGCCATTAAAACATACCAGAATTACACAAAACAAATAAAAAATAATAATCGCTGTTCCTAGCAAACTGCATTCAAAATTTTACACATGGAAAAGTTGCATAATCCTAAGCATACGCGGAGGAATTCTTCACATCATAGATATAGAAGAGGTGGCACATTAATTACAGACAACGGAATGTATTCTCTATACTGAAATGAGTGCTCATATCTATGGTGATGAAGCTCACCTGGCGAATGTTAGCAGGATCACCCATGTCAGCTTTCTGCAGTACGACTTACTCTAAAACTTTAGCTGCAAATATTGCGGCCAGCCTCTACTTGACGCTGTGGTCGTTTGATACCAAAGTATCGGGTATATGTCGCTACCGAAAAGAAATGATTAAGTTATGCCCATGGCTTTGTCACTTAGGCCATAGTATTGGTGGCCGAAGACGCGGCGAGGTCAACCTCCACAGAAATTCCTTGAGTTTGATGGATGCGTCGTGTGCGGCGGCGCTTTTCTGAAGATTTTCGAGGTTTATACTGATAATCTGGATGCTTTTCGAGCAACGCAACTTTGATGGCTTCGGACATTTCCTTGTACTTTTGTCGTACTTCTCTGGATTCCTTATTCCAAGCTCGTCCTAAAATTTGAGCTTCAACAAATTAGCAGAAACTTATTACTGGCAGCGACAAGATGTCTTACAGATTTCATTGTTGGTTATACCAGGATTGGCAGCTTTGACGATATTGTGGCGATCCTTGCGATACAAAATGTATGCATTAGGTGGACGTGGGATCTTGGCTGGCTTAGATGGAGCAAGTGGCTGGCAGACTGTTGTCGTTTCTAAATGGGCATTCGAACCATTATCCATGGTCCAAAAAGGCTCCAGGCCATCAGGCGAATGTACAATGCCCCCGTTGGCAATGAAATGGCGGGGTGCACCCAAATAGTGGCGATCTTGCCCAGTGCCATCGCGGCAAAACATCACGGCTTCTCTGGTAAATTCCCTGCGAAGACGTTAGCTACAACCAAGACTATCATCACTGAAAACAAACTCACATGAATTTCTTGGCTATGTACCACTTGCCAAAATCATCCATCAAACGATAGATACTGCCGTTGATACACAAGACTCGGAGAAATGGGTTGATTTGTTCTTGGAGCTGATTCCAGATCGCATCTAGGTAAACGGTATGCTCTTTGCTATGCGATGGAGATTGATATAGATCCATGATGCCGCTTAGGAATTTGACAGAATGATACTTTCAGTGCTGGTATGCGAATATGCTGAAGCCGATATGGTGAAGGAAGGCGATGTTGAGAGTGCAAAGTTCACAAATATCAAGTGGATGGGTAAATGGTAAAGAGGCCAAAAAGTGAATATTCCCAGTGCATAAAGGACTATGAAGAATTGCAGATGAGCTACAAGTGAGCTAGAAATCTGCATGGCAGCTCTTCGCCTTATTGACCTCTATTGAGAGCCAATACTGAATAAGTTAATCGAATACCCACCCAGCCCCCCCCTTCTTAGTGCGATTGCGGCGTTCCCCACCCTTTTTTACAGAGCAAGTTCGTACTTTCTGTATCACTTTTGGGGCTAGTTTTTTTATATTTACATGAAATAGGCACGCAGCGTGAGAAATTATTGGCGTAGCATTCACTTGGCCGCTTGATAAATAGATCACACTATCTGAGAAAAAATCGAGGGCGTGTAATAGCTGGATTATAGACGTCTCATAGAAAGAGAGCCATCTGTAATTACTTGTTCTTCCCCCAACTTCTTAGCTCGTGTTTGGACTGTCGGCAACCAACAGCAAACTACCACTAGCAAACAAAAACGCGTTGGAGCTAAAATGCACTAAGCCGGGGTGCAAGAATAAACGTTAGCAATACACCGTCGTATATCTATACAAATTCCCAAAACGCTAGTAGATCATTACGCCTCTCTTACACCCCCCCGCCCTGTCTACCTAGTAATTGCATCGGATCTAGTAGTTACTATAGCCCTGTTTTGTTTGGGAGCTGAAAGTACGAAGCATTTGGTCATGGTAGAGAGAGGAAGAGGGTGTCCACATCACTCTCTACACCGAATACCAAGGAGAAGCGGCCACAAATACTTTTGCTAAGGAATCCTAGTCGGGTAGAGAATTTTTTACACTATTTTGGATTTCGTACTTTGGTTTTATGCTCTGTGTAGAACGCCGCCTACATGTCATCTGGTTGACTTCCTCAGGAAATTGTTCCTTTTGTACTACGTTGGTAGGACTGCGATTGATCTAAGAATGCCAAGAGAAGCTTAGTGATCGAGAGTGAGTAGAGTACCAACAAACATCGAATTACCTAGTGCCTACCCAGGTTGGTACCGATAGTCGTAGTAAATCCTACCGAGGTGCCTATAAATGGTGCCGTGGGTCTTTTCCCTAGGATAGTCTACGCTTTACTTTGACTCCGTATTGGAGATACGACTAAGTGAGTGAAAAGTGACAGGGACGTTAGCTCCAATTTGTGTCAACCTTTCACTTCGCCTTCACCAGGAGGCAGAAAAAAATAATAAATGCACCCTTGTTTGAAGAATTATTCGACTGCCGCTCCCTGCGAAGCTCACCTTCTCTATCCCCCCGTTTTCTGAAGATAGATCATTGTACTCTAACAAAAAAATATTTCTTTTGCAGCCGTCATCATCACAAAGAAACACAGCTGAGATCACCATGGCTAACACCCCACTTCCTCCAATTTCCGCTCTCAAAGCCCTTGAGCCGCGGCCTGACGGCCATTGGGCAGTCTATGAACAAGAGGGAGATGCTACTACCCTCTCTTACGTTATGAACAACGGTACTGAAGCCATCACATACACTCTACACCAGTGCAAGACAGAAGAAGATATTCGGAAACATTGTGCTGGTTTTGTTTACGAGTATACTGATGGTATGAAATCCTCTTTGAGAATTAGCACAAATTCTGACGCCTGTTTGCTTTAGATCTTGATGCTGGGTATGGCGCTCAACGCGGCGGAGAACTCCTACCAGAATTTGGAAACACGCGTGAAGTTGCATCGCAGATTTACGAGACACAGCCACGTATATTGCCAGGGCATTACTCGACAAGCCAGAATCAGCAGTCGTTCCAAGAACAATTTCTTTTTAACGCCCAAACAACTATGATTTCGCCACCTGAATCACATACACAAGCCAACGCTCAGTTCGAAGAGACAACGATGACACAACAATCTCAGCTCTACCAAGAAGAACAAGGATATGTTACGTCTGAGGACCAGGCGCCTTTACTTGGAGGCTTCGCTCCTGGAGCCGCCGAATGGTCCTTGGGTAGCGGCTCTTTTCCTGCAGCCGCTGAAAATAATCCCACATCCATGCCAAATATTGAGGTCAGAATGTCTCAAGATATGTCGATATTTATGGATTCATGGGAGCAAAATTGGGCAAATGTAAACCCCAACGACACCCAGGGCGCTGATGGAGACTGGGACAGCCTTCTTCCTCATGCCTAAACTTCTACTTGCCGTTTTCCCCTCATGCTACGTTTCTTTCTTTTATTTATATTTCCACAATAACTCTATTAACCAATAATGGAGGTCTCATTGTGTTGCAGCAAAGTAATATACATACATACATACATATATCTATACGTCGCTAGTCTGATCAGTCAGCCATTAATGTTTTAGTTTATTCGGCAATCATACGTGACATCAAACTTGTATACACCGTGAGAATTTTTTTCTTTTTTTTTAAAAAAAAATAATAATCTGCCTATTTCCCGAATCTATCTTTGAACCACATTACGTCAATGGAGATTACTGCCTTATTACCTAGGTTTGGATGACTACATATAGGTAGTTGATGAGCATTCCGCGCCGGTAAAAGTATGTGCTATATTTTGTAAGCTCCTATGAGGATGGCTTGACCCATCCGAAGTGATATGTGGTACATAATCCTGCCTATATTCATGACTATGGTGCCTATGCCAATATATAAGCGAAGGCAGTAATTGAGTCATTAATGCGGCACCAAATTCCTTTGTACTTCTTGCAGCTAAGGAAACATTTTTTGCTCGAGATGTAGCTTCAGAATAAAGCATCACGTAGCACCTCCAGTTATTTTATAAGAGTGTCCCCGAGAAAGAATTATAGACTTGGGAGTAAGCTTTCACTCGGCTGGCGATCTAAATTTCGTAAGCTAGGTACCTATCGGTATATCTTTTTACCTCAAGATGTTTACAGCTTCATAACTACGCATACGTATATTATTTATTATACCACAAATTAAAGCAACTACCTCGCTTTCAATGAAGATCATGAGTCCCATGACAATAATTTATGATATAGATAAGACGCAGGATAACAAAGTGAATGAAGAGGATAATAATAAATCTATTTACAAATTCGAGAACAAATACTTAGCTGACTTGACATCTACTATTTATGGCCAGTCAAGATTTCGTCTTTCAGCACTCAACATAGGTACTTACGGAAAATTCCCCATATTCATAGGCAGGTAAGATCCTCCAGTGACATTGGCGCTCAGCGGCTGCTTTTCGGAACATTTCTAATAGAGAAAGGATGTTGATCACATTTGCTTTGATATTAAATCTGAAAGCTCGTAATATAGGTTCAGGGGAAAAGAGGGACAAAGTGGAAATGGTTCATAGGCGCAGCTTTGAGATACAGGTAGCAGGCCTTGTGCCAGACTTTGTTACGAGAATAATGATACCCTACAGTTTCCGGACATGAAATACACATAATGATGACATTTGAAGCTACCCCAAGTAGGAATGAGAAATGATTGTTCATGTATTTCCAAGAATATCTACCGAATCAAAATAACCAAGCATATTGAACTTGCGTCATATCTCTGCTGGCTCTTACCACTGGATCTTCTCACCCTTCTTGTTCTTTAGTTCCCCGTCTTGGCTTTCTGGTTCTTTACCTCGTTCTTCCAACCCATTGGTCGCCCAAACTCTCTCAATGCAGAGCTCGAAAGGCCCTTCGACACGATCCGTCAGTCCAATTCCCACGCTGTGAACCTTTTGCCTGAGGATCTCTGTTTGTGGCTCCACCACAAAGCCATGATTTGTGCGTACAAAGTCATTCCATCGTATTAAAACAGTCTCCCATTGCCCAGGCCGTTTTGAAAACAGCCTGTGTTGATGTAAATCAGTAGGCTCGACACTCTCCGTTTGCACATTAACGTAGTAGGCTCTGCCATCGGACTTGACCCGTAATGCGAGATATGCGTAAGGGTCAATATCCCAAACAGAGCGACCAAAAACTGTGGGGGGTTGATCTGGAGTTCGAAACGCAGCGTAGCCTGTCCGCTGAATTGTCAAGCGATCTGAAGGTAGTGATGTCGAAATGCACCCATGGAAGCGTGCAAATGAGGTTGGCGAAGTCGAAGTCTGCACGGATGGCGAGGATGAGGCAGAGATGAAGTCGAGCTGGCTTGAAGAGGCGCCGCCAATCAATGCGTCGGACATGATAATACAATTATTTATAGAATCGGTGCTAGAAAAGTCGTAAAGCTCGCGAGGGCCCGAGGGCCCCTTGACGGCGTCTAAATTCCATGCTGGAAATTCAAGCATTAGCGAAGCGCGCGATTAGCAGAACTAAGGACAAGGAAATTCGTTCATTACCTATACTAGAGCGTCTCTTAAGCTCGTCCAAGCTCCGCGCCAGGAAGCTCTTGGCGAGAAATGGCTGGGTGACTCTCATAATTGACTGTCAGGCAGAGGAAAGCGAAAGGCGAGGACGCAACTTCTCAAGGCCTGTAGAGTAATAACGGACGAGCCAATCGGCTCAACTAGAGCTTAGTGACATGGGAATATCTCAATTGCGGATCACGCGGCAAAAACACGGCTCAATGCCTCCAATTCCGCATTGATTCCCAGAGATGGTGGCGATGCTCAGGTTTTGGCGTTGAAAGTTGACAAAGGCGAGAAGGTGGCATGAAATTAGCACATAGTGAAGCCCTGTGTGAAGAGAAAGTAAGGCGGGGAAGAGTGTGAGAGCTGCGTTTTAACACCCCGCACAGGGCACCGCGGCTGTCGGAGTATCAATAGTCCGCCAATCTTTGTTCCGACGCAGAAAGCTCAACTCATCACAGCTTTTTGGGATGCCCGCTGTGGTGGGCCAGTGACGGCGTGCTTGTCTGTCTTTTCTTCAGCCATAATTGAGTGCGAAATTAGGAAGAAGAATTCTTTATTTATTCTCTGCTACACACTTTGGGCATCACGATGTCTCGCGCTCCTTCATTGCGTCCAATTGCGGCGGCGGTGTTGCCGTATGGCACCACAAAGAATTCTTTACGATGCGTCGCAAAGCCGCTGGCTGCACAAATATTCCGACAATATGCGACACAGCCCTCGAGGAGCAAGACGATGAGGGAAATGGACCGTGCGGCTCGTGCAGGCTCCAGCAAGATGACCAAAGAGCAGAGCATCTCACAGCTGCAAAAGATGGCAAATGCAGAATACTTCAAAGATGGAGGGGGGCCACTATTTCCAGGTTCGCACTTGCATCTAGACTCATCTTTCTCTCCCCCGTACTCTTCTGCAGGGGAGATGTCTCATGACTCAATTCTACTGTGGCGACGATATTCAGTAGTCCCTAGACAGCAGGATCAATGCCAATGACCCGCGGCTAACATGTATATCTCGACCATTAGGCACATTCGTATCGCTACCGCTGTCTCGCCTTCCACTAAATCCCGCCGACTTTGCGCAGTATCAATGGAACAGGTTAAGGCACTGGACTATCGAAACCGTCTCGCTGCTCAACTTCAAGCTAAAGTCTATGCCCAACTGGACCACTCGGCCACAATGGAAGGCTCGCCGTGGCAAGATTGCGCCAACTGCCAAGGCTCTATACCAAGAGGTTCTAGAGGCCTTTGCCGCGGGGGATAAAGCAACGCTGGAGAGGATCTGTGTGAATGACTTTGCAAAGAAGCTCATGGCCGCCATCGACCGTCGGAATCCTCGAGAGCGGGTTCACTTCGAAGTGACCAAATACAATAGCTCGCTCTTCTATCCCAAGCGGAGAGCGCACCAGATCCACCAAATCAACGTGTACGACAAGAACCTCATGACTGAGCAAGCAGTGGTCGCCATTTCATCTACGCAGCAAGTATCACGATACGACGCATCAACGGGAGAAACTATTCCTGGAAGTGTCAGGATCCAAGACAAGGTCGAATACGTGGTGCTCTCAAGGCAGGTCAGCGCCGTCACCTTCAAGCCGGATTCTTGGAGGGTGTGGGGCACAACCGCCCCCACAACTCTGGAGGCTTTTCTAGAGGAGAAAGATGCCATCGATAAAGAGCAGGCTAGGCGTGCCGGGTGGAAGCCGGCGTCGAAGTAGGCCGTGTGTCACTCACCATGTGAAGGGGCGCTTTTATGTGTAACGATGCAAACTCGGATGGTATGGAAAGGAAGGGAGAAAAAAAATGTATAGTACAAGAAGGCTGGGGAGAGGATAATGTATACTATAGATCTGCACTGCGAGGGTGGTATTTGTGTATAATACGATAGCCATGGGTGAGCTCAAGCTCTGCTGACAGGACGCAAGCAAATTGCGCCTGGTATTGATCGCCAGTTCATTGCTCTGCACTTGGATACTGCTCAGTTGTTTAGTTATGTGATAACAACATGCTCTCTATCAACTTGGTATTCACTGCCTGCACAGATACATGTCACTACCACAACTGCTGCCAGCCGCCTGCATTGATGTCCCCCCCCCCTTTTGGCCACTCCCCTGCCAACTGCTGGCACTGCCATGCCTGAGTTCATTTCCAAAGCCAGGAACCCTCTTGAGCCATCTTCTTCTTGTTTTTCTCTGAAATTCCGCAAGTTTCGAATTATCTGCTCCCAATCTCGTTGCTCTCGCGGGAGAAGAAGCAGCCTTTCATCACATTTCAGACGACAAGCTGCTCATCGACTTCTCTTTTTCTTCAAGCAAGTAAGTCATACTACTTGCTTCCTCTCTTCTTGTCCATGGTTTTCTCTCCCACCTTCTCTTCACTTCACCTTCATTTCTTCTTCACTGCTTCGTCTCTTCCGCGATTATTCTTTCCACACTTGCCTCGCTTTCGTTTCCTAGCACTAATGATAATTCGGCTTAGCAAGGCTACTGTTCTCAAGCATAAACAACGATGCCTGCGTATTCTTCGCTCCGCTATCCAAAGAAGACGTTGATGAAAGCCTCGTCTTTCGATGTCCTTCGCCAAATGACCTCTAGCGAAGAGATTGCCGCTGAAGGTAAACAAGACTCAAAACCTGCTCGTTGCTCACTTTGAGGTTACTAATTTTCCATACCTAGGCACAGATACCTTTTCGAGCCACGATGATACTGCGTAAGCGAGTTCCATCCAAGGATTGATTTTGCGTGTAGCTAACGATTCAAAGCCCCAGACGACCTGTCTCGTCCAACAATCTGGCTTTGCAAACCAGAAGATATCTTGAGCGTGATAGGTATGTGTCTATCTCCGTCTCCATCTCTTTCTCCTTCTCCACCACATCATTATCCTCCTTACTAAACATTCTCTATCCAGCTCGCTTGCATTCCAGATTGGTGATGCCAGCGGAGACGACGTGTTTGTTGATCACCCACCGCCTGAGTCAAAATACGGCGAATTTACTCCAAACCAGTCTGGAGACGGTACTGAAGACATGTCAACTGAGAGCGGCAAACAGGCCACACAGAGAGACACCAACTGGGCTCTGGTTCCCCGTGAGCCGCTTCAAACCGACGCGCAGAACATTTATCCATCGTCGGCCTGCGTATTTGTCGCCAAGTAAGTTCTTATTACCTGGAAAATGCTAAACATCCAACGCTTCATCTCTATTAACCGTGAATGTATTCTATCTAGTCTGAGTCAAAATTTTGACGATGGAAAACTAGAGGTCGAAGTCACAAAGTACTTCTCGCAATTCGGAACTGTCTTCGTCAAGATTCGACGGGATGGCCGCCAGATGCCCTTTGCTTTTTGTCAATTTACGGTAGGCAGAAGCCATCGATGAAGAGTAAAAAAAAAAGCATATGAGGAAAGGATCTACTGACTCGATTCCAGAGCGATACCGATGCTGAAAAAGCTGAGAAATATGGAAGCGGAGCTATGATCCTAGGCCGCCCTTGTCGTGTTGAAAAAGCCACAGCGCACTGTGAGTTTTCATTCCTTTTCTCCTTGATTTTATTACATGAAGCTAATAATCATGATTCACAGCGTGCTTTGTCGTCTACAAACTCTCCGGAGAGGAAATCAGTAGACAAGAAGCTTACGACCTGCTCAGTACATTGGGAACTATAGCCAAAGTGTATGCTCTGGGCTCTCGTAGCCAGAAGGCGGAGAAGCTTCCGCCTGCCATGGTGGTTCACTACAAGCGCTATGATTCCTTGCGATCAGTAGTAAAGGTATACCATATACCACATTTCATTTTCTTTGTTGCTTCTTTTTCTTGCCTTTCATCGGCCAGAGAAAACCAAGTCAGTTAACCACGTTTATAGACTTTTGAAGGACATCCCGAATTTTGCGTCGATGCGTACGACCCCAAAACTGGAACTCGCCAACAGAATAAAAGAGGCGATCAGCAAAACTTTGCTCAGTATGAGAAAGATCGTCGCTCAGCATACTTTGGCAACCTGCCCTTGACTATGACTTCAGATGGTTTGAAGTCGCTCGCCAGCTCATGTGGTAAGGTGGTTTGCGCTGAATTAGCCACGAAAGAAGTTCCTCAAACAGGAGGCAAAAGTAAGCAGACATCCTTACTCATTTTCCCTGAGCACGAAATTAACTGATGATGATATCCCAGCTATCACGACGTGCTTTGGTTTTGTAGAGTTTACGCGTCCTGATTCGGTCGACAACGCTATCATGAGCTATGTGAGTTGGATCTATTTTGTTGAGCTAGGAAGAAAACGAGAGACAGGAAAAAGAACACTTCATTAACATTGTCGGACAGCACCGAAAACCGATTAATGGGCACGTTGTCAAGGTTGAGAGAAAACGCACTCGGACACTCAATGGATTCTCCTATGCTGCTAATAATCCCCAGCGAGGATACTCGGTTGCCATACCGTCCACTTGGCACGGTGGTAGAAGCGGCAATCGTGGCAATGCCAATCGAATCATGAATGCTGATGTTTTCAAACCTCCTGTCTCACCGATTTCAGCAAACGACCTCACCTCATCCACATCTGAGCAACAACAAGGTGCTATGTCACCTCTTAACGCAGTGCATATGGAAGCTCATCAAGCCCCTCGAACGAGTGCTAAGGAATATTTACAATCCACCGCTCCAAGCACAGCAGCTAGTGAGAAAATCCCAGCGATGCTAGCCGAATTCCTGGCAAGGTCATCTTCTCATGGTTTGGATTGTCAGACACCAGCCTCTAGCCATGGTAACGATGTTAGATTTGACAGAGCAGTGAGAAACAGCATGAAGGGTGTTGCGATGGAAAGAGAGAGCTTTTCTCCTGGCACCATGCGTCAATACATCCCCGAAGAGTTGAAGCCCATCTCTACAATGGTATTCACCCCCAAGAAGTCGGAACAATATGTGGACAGCGACTATCAAGGCAAAGAAAACGAGTCTTCTTTTGATCGCAAGGATGGCCACTCAGTCAGCGATGAGGCTAAAGTCAAGAGGGATGTGGAAACCCCCACTAAACCTCCATTAAACCCTGATACCAAAACTCCTCATGAACAGGGTACTGAGCCAACGATGTCTTGCTTTTATCCCATTATTCCGCCTTACCCTTACTCTCCTTATGGGTTCCATCCAATCCCTCCATTCATGGCAAACCACACGACGCCACAGGGTGGCCCTGCCCTATACAACTCCTTTGGGCATGCATACTATTCTCCCGCATCATATTCTGACATGTATACCATGTATCCGATGATGCAACATTATCCAACCGCTTCGTTGGAGACACCAACCCGTCCTCGTGTATCGCCTCAGACCATCGGCAATGAGCAGGATGAATCTCAAAAGGAGTTGTACGGCATGTCACCAAAGTCAAAAGTCAAAGATTAAGCACACTAAATTGTGTGCAAATTGACTGGTCAGAAGTTATGTGGGCTACTGACGTTTCTGCTACTCATAACTCCCCTATTTCTTTCGTATAAATCACGAGAGAGATCTGAGAGAAGCCTCGCAATATCAAGTAGCAACTCTAATTTACCACTCTTAAGAACAAAAAGGCATCAAAAAGCCTCGAAGGTGGCCAACCCCTCTTTCCCCTCTGAAGGAAAATTCAAAGCTCCTGGAATTTGTTCTCTATATAGTTTTTATAGCCGAAAGGCTTTTCAGTTATGTATTTTTCAGCATCAGCAAAGGGAGGGCTTCCCTTGAATCTGCTGGGCTCGATCAAGAATTGTCAACTAGGTAGTCAATAGGTAATTCATGTAAAGACTTTGTTACTTCATTAATCGAAATATTTCCTTTTCCTCTAAAGTCTGTAAACAACTTCCTACTACTAGGTTCTTAGAAGAAGTTAGAGCTCAGTACTCGTATTGCCAGCTTGTCTACTTTTCAAACTACCCAATTCAAACCCACAGCCAGATCAACTGGTAGTAATAAGTAAGTACTAGCGACCCCACTAAACCCAAGACGGATGAAGTATGAAGCGCGCAGAATTTTCCCTCGTCAGCAGCAATCTCACTATCCTTCTCAGCCATTAATTCAACATCTCCGCAGAGTGCGAGCGCCAAACCGAATCTCGAACCAGGCAGCAGCTTTTTGTATCTGATTTTTTTTTTGTTCTTGTTCATCCGATTCAAGACACAATAATCCGCGTGTGCGCTGAAAAACAGCGAGAACCAAACTCCAAAATGGGCCAGCCATCATTTGCCGCGTCCAACGCGATCATCTACGTTACCTATGGCTTCTTCCTGTGCGTACAACTCAAGCTTGCGGCTAAAAAAAAAAAAAAAAAAGGAAGAGAGAGAGAGTTGTCACAAATCCCGTGTAGTTTGGCTAACATGCGAATTCCAGAGTCATGGGCACAGGCATCGCCTGGAGGATGAGAAAGCAGCCCAACACGGACTTTCTCGCCGGCAACAGGACACAGACTGGTCAGAAACAAACAGATGGCGCCTTGGCGCTCTTTTCCCCTTTCCACGGCTCATACAAACCCGTTCTTGTGCACGGCCAAACTAACTTGTCCACGTTTCCTGCAGCCTGGCCTCTGGCTTTCAACTTCATCGCCTCGGGTGAGTCGTGCGCAAGAGCAATCTTGGCTCGGTGATTTGTCTCGGACAGACAGACTAGGATGTCTGTGGAGCGGTAGCAGTAACGTCCAGCTATGGCAATTGTTCAAGCGTTCCATCTCGTGTGCGCCTGCGCATAGATGAGGCATGGATGCGGAAGCGCAATCTTCTTTGCCAAGAAGATGGCAGGATAACAAATGCCTACCTCGACCGGTAGACTGAATAGGTTCGTAACCCTTCAAAGCAATCTTCGTCCCTCTCCCCCTCTCTCCCCTGCGATGTACATCTCGCTCTCTGCTACTAACCGAAGTCATGACGGCACTGGAGGAGGAAGTATGGGAAGAAGTAAAAGAAGGCGAAAGGGGGAGGAAAAGAGAACCAGAGAATTTGAAAGAAAAGATGTCCATCGCTGGGGACCAAGAGGGGGGGAGAGGATGCGGCTCACTACGGGCGCCGAGTTGAAGCGGCTTTGCGAGATCCAACCAGCCAGAAAAAGGGCTCTCATTATCCTTTGAAATGAGACGTCTTTTACTCTGTTCTTGCGGGAGATGTCGCGGCTGTGGCAACAAAGCTGAGATTGTACCGTGAATACTCGATCAAGTTAATGCTTGCGTGGGAAACGTGCTGCCGCTCCAGATCCCCTCTCCTTAGCCCATCCCCCCTCTTTGTTTGGTTGTGTTTTGCTGACCTGTACAGCCCTGGGATCCGGTATCCTGTTTTCGTACCCGCAACTCGCAACTATCGCAGGTGTTCAGGGCGTTGTGGTTTACGCCTTGGCGTCGGCGCTGCCTTTGCTCATCTTTGCCGCTCTGGGTCCCATACTCCGTCGCAAGTGTCCAGATGGATTCGTCTTGACTGAATGGACACGCGAACGATATGGCACGGTTGCTATGCTGTATCTGAGTTTCATGACTCTGGTTACCTTGTTCCTCTACATGGTTGCCGAGCTTTCGGCCGTCGGACAAGTGGTCAATGCTCTAACGGGCCTTGACGGGCTCCCGGTCATCATTGTGGAATGCGTGGTCACCACTATTTATACCTGTAAGTTGAGAGCAATAAATGTGGTGTAAAGTGCTAGTTTCATGGCTAACATGAGCGGCCTGCACAAGCTCTTGGTGGGTTCCGAATTTCGTTCTTGACAGACGTCGTTCAAGGAGCCATGGTCGTCGGGCTCATCATCATCGCTACCATCACCATCGGAGTCAAAGCGGAGATTGACCGTGACCTCATTGATTCATCGGGGCTCACCAAGGCCAGCCTCGTGGGATGGCAGCTGGTGTACATCCTCCCTGTTGCCGTCCTGACAAACGATTTCTTCCTGTCCAACTTTTGGCTACGTACCTTTTCATCCAAGACGGACAAGGACTTGTGGATCGGTGTTTCGGTTGCGACTGTAGCCGTTCTGTGCATCCTCACCTTGGTTGGTGCCACAGGCCTCATCGCAGCGTGGACGGGTGCCTGGCCTGGAGAATCGGACATTGATGGCTCGCTTGCCTTCTTTGCGCTGCTCGAGCAGCTACCGAACTGGGTGGTGGGAATCGTCTTGGTCATGGTGGTCAGCTTGAGCGTGTCCGCATTCGACAGCTTGCAGTCGGCTATGATTTCGTCCGCGTCCAACGACTTGTTCCGCAACCGCCTGAACATCTGGATCATCCGAGTACTGGTTGTGCTCGTCATCATTCCCACGGTGGTGATTGCCCTCAAGGCGCCGTCTATCCTCCAAATCTTCCTCATCAGCGATCTTGCCTCGGCGGCTACCATTCCCCCGCTCTGCCTCGGCCTGATCGACGGCTTTTACTGGTGGCGCGGGTTCGAAGTCGTGGTGGGAGGACTGGGTGGCATCCTGTCCGTCTTCATTTACGGCGCCATCTATTACGGCGATGCCAAGAGCGGCGGCGAACTCATCTTGCTCGAGCAGGGCCTCTATGAGGGAGATTGGGGTGCGTTCGGCGCTTTTGTCATGGCTCCTGTAGGTGGTATCATCTGGGGCTTTATCGCCTTGGTGTTGAGGCTGTCCGTTCAGTTTGTTCAGGCAAAGTCGCGCGGAGAGCGCTTTGATGCTCTTGATCGCCCGATTGCCGATGCCGAGGCTGAGGAGGACGATGCCCAGCTCGTGACTGAGGTCCATACCCCGGTTGCCGGCAAGTTCTTTTGAGCTGCTGTACACAAGTGCTGGTTGAAGTCGCAAGAGCGAACTTTATACCTGTATGTGTTTCGGCAAAGCCATTAAGAAGAGTGCATTTGTATGGAGTCTATTGTCGACTCGATAATGTGCACAAGCAATACTTTGCAATCACCGCTTCATTGTGTCATCGCATAGTACTACATAATTTATTCATCAGGAAGTTGGAAAGGGGATGAGTCGAGATAAAATGAAGCATGGGATTCAAGTTGATAGCACAATAAGAAATCTCGTCTTCTCTGCCTCCTTGTACGGAAATGTGCATGTTGAAAACAGGTCGTGAAAAAGGTACTAGATGTTGGTATCCGTCAACAACTAAACAACTCTAGATTGGCGATTTCCTTTTCTGGCCGGGAAAGCGGCAAAAGACGCACGCGAGCAAGTGCAGCTCCCACGTCACTGGTTCTCAGGCATGGTGATGTCGGTACTAATAATTGGCTGGGCCGTCCCTGCCTGTGCCTGTGCCTTGCAGTTGCCATTTTTTTTACAGGCCTGGTGCCATTGCAACAGCAACTGCAGCTACAGTTGCATGCAGCAAAAAGAAGCAGGTGCCTTTCGCCAGTCTTGCCTAATCCAGCCTGCTAAAGAAAAAAAAGTAAAATTGGACTTAGGAAACCTCCTTTTGTCAGCATCAAGCTACTATATCCATCTTGTCTTCAAAAAGTTACCGCACAAAGGGCTCGAAACATCTCCAGCGGAAACACTGCCAAGTATTAGTAGTATCTACGTACTGCATACAAGCTATTGGCAGCTCGCATGATGCAAGGTGCGAATTTGGTGCATTGCCATTGCAGCATTTTCCCGTCCAACAGCGAGGCTAATCGTAGTAGCCTTGGAGCTACTGCCAACCATTAAGCATCTTTAACAACGGCGGGAGTGTCTGGGTAATCTCACGCGAGACATCATCAGTGCTAGGTGCAATCCAGAGCAAGCAGCACCTACAAGTACTAGCCGCCGCATTTGCATCACCGAGCCGACCCTCGCCAGAACCCGCTCGCTCCACTAAGTCAAGACCTATGGGGGAGTTCTATTAATATTTACCAAGCTCCGGTCCATAATAGCATCTCCTCTTCTTGCATAGCATAAGCTCTTGGCCTCTTTTTGGAATTGCGAATATCAACTCTTCTCCATAATATTTATTTCCCCCCTCCAGTCTGCGAATTGACCTCGAGCAAGACACACACAACCTTGCCTCCACTCAACAGCATTTTTGCTACGAAAACAAACAAGCAAAAAGGACAGAAAAGGCTCTCGCCCAGCATCGCCGTCTCCCCTTCCGGCCAACCCATGGCATAAACCACAGCTCCTCCGAATGGCGACGGCGACGACCCCTCCGCCCTACGAGGGCTCGTCCACCGCTCCCGCTGTCGCGCCGCTTCATTCTCTCTCTGCAGCTTCTGCTCATCCGCACGCTCGCTCATCGTCGGCCTTGTCGACAGGCGACCCGTCATCATGCGCTCCTCCAGCTCGAACCCAGTCTCAGCCACCTTCCATTATACGACGGCGCTTTCGCTCAACCTCCAACCTGTCCGCCGAAAAGACGACCTCTTCGGCCTCGGCCTCTCCCGACTCCGCCGCCGCCCGTGATGCTGCCGCCACAACAAGCTCGGCTTCAGCCTTATCCTCAGCCTCGTCCTCGTCCACGCCCACGCCTCCCATACCGTCCATGCTACAGCCCCGCGTCGCCGTCGTCTTAAACGTCCCGAAACCGTGGCATCCATGGCTCTTCACCTTGCGCCTAGCCTCTATCCTACCGGCTCTGTGGTGGGGGCTGCCGTCGCTATTACGATTGTTGATACACTTCTTGCCAGGGCCACCGGACCAGTTTCAGCTCGTGAGGCCGCTGAGCGGGAGCTGCGATCCCAGCGGCCATGATGCTCTGCAGACGTCTGCTCTCTCGTCTTCGTGCGCTGGAGAACAACATGGCAGCGGGACAGCAGCCATGATGGCGGCGGCTCCTTATGCCATTACCGAGACGGCCTTGGCTACTATATGGGTGCGTACTTGGACCATGCACAAGAAACAAGAAGACTGTTTGGGATACAGGAAACTGATTGAAGACTGATTTGGGATATTCTAGTGCTTCGCCTGCGGCTACTTGGCCTTTTTCTTCACCGACTGTCTCATGTCTCGATGGTACATATGCGCAGATTCTAATTTTCTCTCCTTTTGGATCCCCCTTTTCCTTTGACTCTTGCAGTTACTCGCCAAAGTTGACTGACATTGGATTCAAATTCTCTAGGCTCATCCACTACACCCCTCAGGCCACCATAGTGCGCCTCCTGTCCATCAATGCCGTCAATGCCTACCTCACCCTCACGGTGCTGTCCCTGACTGGCGGATTCCAAGACCCACGACTGCTGCTCCCTGGCTGGGTCAGCATAGCCACAGTATGGACCCTCCTCCTGTCACTAGTAAATGGCGAGATGGCCGCCTCTCCCTTTGGAGAAGCCGGTGGACCAGAGGGACCAAGAGCCCATTCACGAGTGCACGACGTTGACCATTTGCCCCCACAGACACTTACCATATGCTATCACGTAACGCACCAAAAGATCAATATCCGAAAGGAGACGTCGACATCGGTCAATGTCTTCTCCATAGCCAGTTACATCACTATGATTGTGCTGCTGGCCCACATGCAGACCTACCAAAGCGATTACCCCATCATGCCCGTGGTGTCGAAAGGGAACCACCTCTGGGAAGAGGGCAAACACTTGGTAGCCCATGCGAAGGCTCTGATTCACGAATACGCCGAGCGATAAAAGGCCACACGTGGCCGATATAAGATGCCTAAGATATCACGAGAAAAAGGAGAAAAGAGGGGGGGAATGGAGAGAAACCAGAGAAGAGGGAGGACATGGGAAAAGAGAAAGAGGGCAAGAGGAGGAAGAGGGGGAAGAGGGGTAAAAACGAACGACACGACACGAAATGTTTTGATTGTTTTGGACTTTGAGGCGGATATACCACCAACTTGTTTCAACGGCTTTCAGTTGAGTTTGCTCTTTGGATAGAGGGTGTATTATTTCTGTTTTGCTTGGCTATTGGATTTGGCTATACAGGCGCCGGGAGTGTTTGGGGGGCGTATTTCTTTGGTTAGACAGGCTTTTGTATAATCGTTATTGCCGCCTTGATTACTACGTTTTTGCTTTCTATCATGATACTACAAAGCGTCAGGGAAGGGTTGCTCTTCTGTCCGCTCTTCTCAATCTTTGGATTCTTCTTTGACAAGATGATACATTGGAAAACACTTCACATCGCCATACACCAACATGTGTAACAAAGTTTCGTCGCACCACGCGTGGTTGGTATTGTATTTTCTATATGCCCTAGATTACGGCTAGGCCCGTTCAACAATCAAGACTGTGCAATTGAAAAGGGAAATGCAATGGCCAAGTAACAAGATACCTAGTAGCCTATAAACAGGAACCAGTCTCAAGGCCTACATCCAAACTTCAGATCCAGCGCATCTTTCCCTCCCCAATCATCAGCATCAAACTTGATGTCAAACTGCAAACAAAAAAAAAAGATATTGATCATTCGTAAAACTGCTGCGCGGCAGCACAGCAGATCCGGGTGCATAAATAAAGCCAATAAGCTGATAAAAGCTCTCACTCTAACCCTATCCTCTAATGCATCCGACCGGCCAGACCTTCCAAAGACGCTGCTACCCGCACACCGGTGGTTTATGACCGGAGGGGGGGTTGAGGTTTTATCGTATGAGATCACTAGAGACCAAATAGCAAATTGGGCGCATAGCGATATCGGCTAGATAATGAAGGTAGTGGCAGTAAGCGAACCCATGCAACATGTATGCACAAGTTGCTCGAACAGCCTCATTCCGACACACTCATCACCAGCATGCTGTGAAGCCAAGTCGCTGGAAGGGTGGCGGGGACGGCGGCGCCAAGAGGACGATTTAAGCACCGTGAACGGTGATGTTGTCGGGGTTGAGACCGAGACCAGCCTTCTTGTCAACGAGGAAATCCATGACCTTCTTGCGTTGGTCACCCTGAAGCTGGATCACCTCGCCGGCCTTTTCGTCATTGACCTTGTTGCCATTGCAAGCTGCAGAGGGAAAAGCGAGTCAGTTGGACATGTCCAAAAATGGTGTTAGGGAACTCGACGCTCGACATACCGAATTCCTTCCTGAAAAAGGTCAGAATCTTGCCGGGGTCGAACTTTGCAGGGAGACCAGTGACAGTGGTCAGAGACTTGCGACCATTGCGCTCTGTTGGAAAGCATTAGTAAAATGTGTCTGGAGGATGAAATACAAATTTGAGATCCATCGCTGGCTTATCGCGAGCGCGCGACAAGCGATGCGATGGAAATAATGGAATCTCAAAGGGAGAAAAAAACCTACGTTGAATACGAATATGGATGTGATTCTCGACCTTTTTGGTATCACCGGTGTCGTCGTCGGCTTCGGCGAAGGGGTCTGTGATGAGGGAACACGCATCGGTCAGTCAAATGTCAAGAGGCAAAACACGTCATAGTGAGAGTGTGAGGGATGCAAAAGGCTGGGCGCTGCTCAGACGTGGGGTCCGTCCCATTTCGCGGGCGCGCCTCACACGACTGAAAACAGCCCCCCCAACTGAAGAAGGAGGACGGAAAATATTTCAAGGGCAACAACGTACCGAAGGTCTTGAGATTTTCGATGGACATAAACTCGGATGTTCCGGGGTGTCTCGTGGGAAAAAAAAAAAGTGTTTGGGTGAGAGGAGAGGGTTGGACCGGTGGCTGCGAAAAAGCGACGATCTGGTTGAGGTGTTTTGGCGGGAGAAAGACTCGGCGGGGTTGTGAAGGGTTTTTGTAGCTGGTGGCCGGCGGCTCAGAGACTTGGGAGGCGGTTATGCGCAAAGCGGCTTGAGTCCTGGGCTGGCGTGACGGATGATGAAAGAACGAAGATTCGCGTCAGGTGAGCTGAAACTGGAGATTGTTGAAGAGGCAAAAGGGGGGAGAGTCTGAAGGGAAAAGATTGGTTCAAGGTTTGAATGCGCAAGAAGGTGGGCGCAAAAAAGGTGGGGGGCGAGAGAAGGGAAGGGAGGAGCGCGAAAGGGCAAAAGGGTACTTGGGGCTTGGCGGGTAGCCGCGGCGAAGGGGCAGGTACCGCCAGAGGACGAGGACGGCGCGGGCCCCACCCAGCGATCAAGGCGGTGGGAAAGAAGGCGTTGGAAACGAGGCGCTGCTGCGTGCGGCTGCGCTGTAGGCACTGTTCAAGCCCCGCATATGTGGCGGGCATTATGCCGTGCCAGTGAACAGCACACTGTACTTGCCACCTCGCGTTGAACGTTGAACCAGCCACACGCACGTATTTTCGTCAAAGTACCTGCAGCAGTCACCGGCTCAGACACACCGCCATGTCGCACTGTCTGTCCGCCAGCGCAGCGCAGCGCATCTGGCAGCGGCAGCGACTGGACTTGGGCTGGTCGGGCCTCCCGCAACGGCTGGGCTGCTTCGCCTAGCTTCAGGTTGCGCTGGCATGGCTTGGAGAAAAGGAGAGCGCGCCTTGGTCACCCAGGAGTAGATGGTGCTGGTAAACGCCTACTTACCCAACGAGACGATACAGAGTAGAATGCACCAAGAATGCAAGTGAACATGAAAGTCATCACTGGCGATGACGTGGTTGATGACATCTCAGCTCCCTCTCCCGCTCTCTGTGTTGTGTATCCAATGAGCCGCAGTGTTGAGTCATCAGTTCAATATGCACCTTCTTTGACTCACGAATCATTTGCATTTCCCCCTTTTTTCCCTCGCCAGCAGTGATACATCACATGCATAGGTAGCTCGCAATTTGTGTCGGATTCGGGCTGTCACGAGCTGAGAAACGAGAGAAAAAAAGGGGGCGTCACTGCTCTCTATAGGGTAGCCAGCCCTACCAGCATTATGAAGACATGACTTGGGAGACAACCTGGGTGTAGGCACTTCTTCATTGCGCTTCGCATCTTGTTGGACTCTTTGTCGTGTAAACTGAGTCTCCCGAGATTCATGTTGAATAGCAATGGCTGTAATAGATGCCTCCAGGAACTCTTGGAGTAATTGACAATGACTTACTCCATGTGATGAGCACCGTGGCAGTCGACTTCCAACCAGTAGAGTCGAGCTAGGATATAAATCCCTGCTTTGCCTAGAAACAGCCTTCCCACCAACCATCAAAATGCCGAGTTAGAATCTGGCAAAAGCCTTCCTTTAATACGCAGCGCTTCATCCACGGCAAGGATTCAATCCAACATCCCCGCAAAGTGGGCTCTGGATTCACATATGCCGGGCAGATGCGGGGGATCGTTCCGCTTCGTTGCAGGGTTGCGATTCGTACCGAGTCAATGGCCGGTACTTGCAGTACTTCTGTAGGAGGTGATGACAGCAAACAGCAGTGGCCTCTCTCTCGATGGCAACATCAAACACAACGAAATCGCTGCGTTGAAGAGAGTGTGCGCAAACTGGATATCCGCGTGAGAAACACCGCTGAGATTGTTCGTCCCTGTCCTTGTTTTAATGAGGCCCGTAATTAACCCCGAGCCGCAACTAGCATCCATCAGCTTATATCCTGTGATCTGATTTGCTTACGGCATGCCTTCAATCGCGACCTATTGTTAGCCCTCTGTGCGTATGGATAGGTATGTGAATGGTTGGACGTTGGATGTTCAATGTTTCTGCATACCTAGGGATTGCTTCATGTCCTTGCACACATACAACACTCGCAAAGTGCTACCGCCCATGTAAACGGAGACATGTCCGCGAACCGAACGACATTTGCTTGGTTCCACTCGCTCGCGCTGTCTCTTACACACCCCGGACCTGTCAACGAAGCTATGCTAACCTTGAGTTGGAAGCTTGAAAGAGCGCCTGCCATTTTAAGGGCCGAATCCATATGCATACTTTTCTTTGGGCAAACGGCTCTCCATTCGCCTTTTTCGGCCCTAAAATGGCAGTGTGCCAACTTGCAGTGTTAAATGCAGCTCAGGATCATGTAAAGCTCAAATTGCCTATACGCAGTGGGATCGTATCGGGGAGTCTCGGCCCCGGGAAATGCAACACCATGGAACGAATCGTAGATGCAAAGGCCACGCCGGTACGGGATGGCCCAATTCTCCAATACTCGGCCCGATAGTATGACATGTTGCCGCCGTTGCTGGGAGGCCCTGAGCCGTTGGTAGGGTTGACAACCATCAACTCTTTCGCCATAGCCAGGATCAAGGCCCGGCTATCGTAATCGTCGGGGAGACCAGGGCTGTCTATAATGTTCCTTGTTAGATACAATGAGCATTCAGCGGATATATAAGCTGCCATAGATCCAACCTGTATCATTCGATGTCCTTACTTTCGCCGCAGTAGAGTTCCCTGTCTCATTCTTGAAACCTCGTACTCTGTCCTCTATTCTTTGTGTCAGTCTTGTTGCTGTTTGGATAACCGTTCACAATGGTTAGCAAATATCTCATCGGTGCTGGTGCACTGCTCTCACCTCTTGTGTCTGCCACGTCCTCGGCAAAGCGCGGTCTCATCTTCATCCCCAACTCAACCACTCTTCAAGACAACTCCATCTGGGTCCAGACAGGCTCAGACCTCACCTGGTACTACAACTATGGCAACCTGCCCAGCTCGGACTATACACACATCCCGCAGTCCAAATTCGAGTTTGTGCCCATGATGTGGGGAGTCGGGCCAAACCCTTCTCAAGACACTGCTTTCCACGACAGCGTCGTCAATCTGATCAACACCGGCACGCCCATCTCTCATGTGCTGTCTTTCAACGAACCCGATGCCCCTTCTGCTTGGGGCGGTAGCGATGTCACGCCCGCCAACGCCGCTCTGGCTTGGATCGCCAACTTTGTTCCTCTGCAGAAGCTCGGAGTCAAGTTGGGAATCCCTGCTGTGACCGGTGCCCCCACTGGATTCGACTGGACGGAGCAGTTCCTGGCAAACTGCACCAGCATCCTCCAGACGCAGTGCCCATACGACTTTATCCCTCTGCATTGGTACGACAACTTGGGGGGACTGCAGAGCCACATTAACCAATATGCCACTGCGTTAGTTGAATTCCTGCTTCCCTAGTGTTAGTGACCTGTATCTTACCCAATGTTAGATTCCCCGGCAAGAAAATCTGGGTCACCGAATACGCCGACCCCAACCAAGACCTCGCCACCACGCAGCAATTCTTCAACCAGAGCGCAAGCTACATGGACGGCCTCGCCTCCCTCGAGCGCTACAGCTACTTTGGCGCCTTCCGATCCAACGTGAGCAACGTCGGGCCAAACGCCACCTTTTTGAACAACGCCGGCCGCCTGACCGACATTGGATCGTTGTATCTCGGATTTGGCCTGACCGGCGTCGTGCCCACGTCTAATAACTAGATGCTTGGCCAATGAGAGGCTGGGGAAAAGGTGAAAGTAAAATGAGTATATATACGAACAAAAGAGAGCACATATGTGTATATAAATGAGAGTAACGGTACATGATATCAAGAGGAGGAATCACCAGTGAAGACAAAACAAAAGATGGATATGGAGAAAGACAGGATGGAGAGATTTACTTTGACAGGTGAGGGGAATACAGCCGATCGTGAGTAGTACCTGCCTAGCAGTAGTATCTAGAAAAAAGCTTATTACCCGTTACTACCTCATATTCGCAGTGGTGAAGATTCCTCATGGTGCAAACAAGATGTTCAAGTAAATAATTTCTTATTTAGTTTTCTATTTACGAGTTTTTTTTTCTTCTATATACCTTCATCAGGGCATGCCAAGCGTTGGCTGAGCTGGCAGCCTTATGCTAGACGCCAATCCAAACGGGGCAGAGATGAAAAGGGGAAGGGTTTTGTATGTTTTAATTTTTTTTTTGATATTTTTCTGCGCCGTGCCGTACCAGTTGTACTGCCTGACTTCATCGCTTGGGCAAAGCAAAAGCGGCACAGGAGCCATGAACGCCCTCCACAACACGCAACACCCGTCATGTCATTCAGGTCGGCGGCCGGAGGAGCTTTTCAGCAAGGAGACCATGGCCACCCCATGAGTATACCAAGCCCTCGTATGCTTCGAGATGGTACACTGATGGGATGGCCACGCCCCGTTGCCCAAAAGCTCCCCCGGCAGCTGAAATAGCTTTGGCTGAATGACTTTGGCTGAATGACATGGCGTGATGCTCCGTGTTGTGGAAACCGTTAGTGTCTCCCATGCCGCTCGGGCTTTGACCAAGGGACGAAGTCGGGCAGGGGTTTTCTGATTTTCTGATTTTTTTGGGGGGTGAATAGAGACTTGATTAAAGAAAAGAAAAGTTGGAATAACCGACCAAAAAAACGCCAGACGCCAAGCACAGACACGGACGCAAAATGCCAATAAGAAGAAAAAGAAGAGAAGAGAAAAAAAGAAAAGAAAAGAAAGAAAAGAGAAAACAAAAAAAAAAAAACGGCGACGCCGCCACGCCGCCACGCCGCCACGCCGCAACGCCCAACTACTCTCATGCAAAAAAGTTCCCCAACAGGAGGCGTAAAACCATCAAAATTACACCAAAGTAAGAGTCAAATCCTGACACTCTTCATATGCCTCCACGGGAATGTTTCTGATGCAACCAATGCGCTCAAAAGCTCCCAGATACCGCAGCGAAGGCGTCACCACCAGCCCCTCAAAACAGTTATACTCGCAGCTGCCAAGACGAGGGTCAAAGTTCGCCTTCGTTCTCCATCCAAGACACAATACGTAGGCAGTGCCAGAGATCTTTTTCTGGCCATGTTTTGGCGATTTTCTGCGAAAGTCGCAATGGTTCCGAGCCAAGTAGGTAACACTGCGCCAGGAACACGAGATTGGTTCGGACACCAGCTTGGGCTTCTCGGTCTTGCAACAGGAACAGTTTGGACAAGGAGCCCCATTGCGTGAGTGGTTTCGACTCCATTTTCGATTCTTAATCATGAGGAGCGAGCCGTCTGCGACAAAGGGAACCTGTTTGGTGTTGATAGCACCCCTTTCCCCCTTCATGTGAAAGTGAGCGATGCTCAGCTTGCCTTTTGCTCCGACGGTGGGCCCCGAGAGCGTCTGGCTAACTTGGCACCTCATAACGCGGCCTCGCAGCTTGAGATAACCGCCCTCAACGTCGTTCAAAGCGCCGGACTCTTCGTTGACGGTGCAAGCTGCCTTTACCGTGGCCTCGGACATGAAGATGCCGTTCCACGGCTCCGGGTAATGAACCCCAGCGTCGACAGAGGCCCAGGAGTAAGTGGGCGCCTTTTGATGACTAAATGGAAACGTGATTCTGGTGGCACTTGTCTGTCCCGGACGCAATCTTACCTCCCACAGAAGCGCTTCATGCAGATTGTCCATCCAAAGGCCTGAACAATACTGGGATCTCTGCTGACACATGGACGTCATGCTCGCCAGCCCAGCAATGCCCGATAACTTGTCTTTGGGGCTGACGGCCATGTCGCGCGCAGTATACTGCATCACAGCCTGGAGCCACATGGCAGTATCCTCTGGGCTCTGAGCCGTGTATCGCATGTCATCAAAACAATTGGTCCCAGCACGTTTGGCACGCCGTTTTTTGACAACTGCTGGATCTTGGTATGCACATACCAAGCTGCCAAAGACGTCGGTCCTCTGATTCCTGGGAGTGAAGCGCCCCGTACAATGCGCATGCCGCCGGCAGTGTACATCTATTGCAGCCGACGTGAAGCTAATCACCCGGGTTCCCAGGAGAGCTTCCTGATAGCAGCGCTGATGACGGTAAAGTGGCCCGACTCTTCGGAAAGAATTGACCTCGGATTTGTACGACGATTCATCAATGGCGTCGAGAGGAGAGGGTTGGCGGGAATATCTCCTGCGCAGGTCGATGGTGGCAGTGCCGCCAGAAGGGGCTGTGAATTCAATCTTCTTTGTGATCCAATCTTTCCTAAGAGGGAACAAGAACGAGTCACTGGGGGAGGCTGAAGAAGCCGCCACAATGGTGATGGAGGAGTCTCTGAAATAAGCACCAATACGCGGCTTTTGGACCTGACAATCCATCTCATCGTCCTGAGTTATGCAGAGAGATTCTATCCAGATGTAGTGAATGTTGTTCGTGTAAGCGACTTCAACGGCATCCTGGACGGCCAGCGGCAGGTCGTTAATGCGGATGCCACGCAACCAGCTCCGCATATTGGCCTTTAGAAGTCTTGGGAACTTTGGATCGGTCTCTGACCAACAATGGCTCAGAGTCGCATACACCAACATTTCTGGCGCCCCTGGCGCGATTGGAAGCCCCCGGGGAGAGTGCTGTAGTTTGATCTCCTGGGCGTTCCAGTTGATATGAAGCAGTTTACTGGGAATACCATGACGACCGCTCGTAAGGTCGGGAAACATCCGACAGTTTTGCGCACTCGAATTCATAAATCTCGTGAAATCTCGGTCATCCACAATTTCTTCCTGTTCCGGCAATGCCAGATACATGCTGGGGAAGTCACGGGTTGATAATGCGCTCCGGTCGTGACAAAAGACTTCGATTTCGGCTCGCAGGTTCATCCACCTGCAGTCACGGCGGACGACTTCCTGGCCGTGAAGGACGAGCGGAAGGCCTGTTCGGACGTGGGCCATGACAACGCTATCCCATCCGTACATGGAATCATTGATCCAGTTCATAGAGGGCCCCACAAAGAAAAGGTTGAGGGTGTCATGAAGGAACTGGCAATAGCGGCAATCCTGGAGCCCCTGGTCATTTCTGGGTCTCCAGCCATGGCGAAGAAGATATCGAATAGGAATGATGACGAAATAATCGTCGGGCCTTCCCTGGATTTGCAGTCGGTAGATGGTGAGGGGCGTTCTCCTGTGTGGTGCTCTGCAGTTGAGGACGAACTGAAGGTCATTGCAGTAGAAGCAATTTAGGTTTGTAGCTTCTGCCTCCTTTGCCTTGATGAAAGGTTCAAGAGTCTCGAAGCTAGGAAACATCTTGCCGTTGACGAGACCGTTGAAGCTAGAAGACGACATCTTGACTGGCTGGCGAGTTGGCTTGTTGGTATTGTTATGTTGATTGGTTTGGGTAGGCTGATGACTGAAGCAAGTTAGTATATGATGGGCGAGAGGGGGCGAGAGAACTAACTGAGGATTGAAGAATAGACGAGAGATGGAGACGATGCGAGGACCAATGAAGTCACCGGCGTATGAAGGATTCACAGAAGTGAAAAGAGGAGGAGAATGGTATAGTAGGAGAATAGACGCTGCTGAAGGCAAAGGCGTACTGAAGGTAAAGGTGTACTGAGGGTAAAAGCGTACTAAAGGTAAAGGTGTACTGAAAATAAAAGCGTGAAGGTAAAAGCGTGAAGGTAAAAGCGTGCTGAAGGCAAAGGCTACTGGAGGCAAAGGCGTGCTGAAGATGATGGCGATCGATTTTTCACAAGTCAGTTATCCATCGACACTCATTCGGGACGAAACGTCGGGTCTTTATACATGAAAATGTCGAAAAAAGAAAAGAAGAGGCGCAAGCAAGCAAAAGGCAAGACCTCGTCAGGACGACGCACTTGAGATCCAAGGTCTCAGTCCGTTGTGTACAAAGACGCGCATCTTTCTCTCCATAGTGTTGACTCTCATTCGACCATTCATTTCCACAATCTCGCACCATCAGCCCATCAGAATGGCAGCTACTGGCGCAAGGGAGAAGAAGGCCTCTTGCAAGAATCAGGCTGTACCTCTGACTGGCTTCCCCCCTTTTTTCTTGGCACAAGGTTGAATTTTGCTCGTTCCTTGGTTACTACCGCCATCTCGGAGGCACATGCAAAGCGCAATCAAACACAGCCGGATGGAGCTGGAGCTGGAGCTGAGCAATCAGGGCATTTTCCGATGGAGCTAGGAAAGCAGGTCTTTGATTGACACTCTTACGACCCAGGACGACTGCTGATTCGCCCGTGTGTGAATCAATCAGACGCATCACATTGGAAGCACGACTCCACCGCCCCACGACACGGTATTGAAACCGGGATTTCGTCTCTTTGGTCCAGATGTGCTCGTAGGAGCAGTTGAGCGGCTAGGGAGAGCTGAGGGCTAGGGTCCGACGCCAAATATTGAGACCGGGGTGGGTATCTATCTTGGCTGCCCTGGTCCTCGTAGGAGCGCCGGCTCTCACAAATCAGGACAAGGAGCGATCGGCCGGGAACAACCGCTCTTGAACCCACTCAGCGTGAGGCAGCGAGTTGGTGGTTCGTGGGGGAAAAGGCAAGTCGCCCATTCGATTTTGACCGCGGTGATGCCACAAGTTACGCCATGCCCAACGCTCTTTTTCCCACCGAGATGTCTTGTGCTCAACCGATATTTTGTCTTGACTGTCTGATGCGAGCAGCCAACGGCCGGGATGATGCATAGTGCAAAGCCGGGGAAAAGGGCAAGAAATGCACACCGTCAAAGAGCAAACAATGGCAATCCAGTGCAGCCCATGCAGGGCGTTGCATCAAATCCGCAAAGAGCTTAGCATGGCGCGAATCCTGTGAGCCGGCCCCTCTCACGATCGTTGCTTTTTATTTCTCCTAGTGCCGCAGCCCGATCTCGCCGGCCTGCCGCCGATGGAGTGGGAGCGACGAGCCCGTGATGGATGAATCAGTTCCGTGGCAACACGACCAGACGGTGCAAGCAGTCGCACATCGTGTATACTTGAATAGTAGCAGTACCTAATACTAGCAGTACTTGTGAAGTGGGACGCCACTCCGCACCGAGACGGGCATAGACCCACTTCAGGTCCACTTTACCTCCCCCCGTCACATTCGACTTTGGCTGCTGACGCCGGAATGACAAACCATCGGCGAGGCGAGACGAGATGCGTATTCATGATGGACTAATGCTTAGAAGATGGCTCTGCTCTGCGGTGCTGGTTCTGGCGAAACTGAGAGCGAGCGTTTATTTAAACGGCGTTGAGCAGCTGCCTGTGCTTGTCGTGTAATTCAATCCATTCAACGTAGCAGACGCCGATAACACGCACCCCGAAAATAGAAAATAGCTACACGGCAAAGGATTGCATCGCACTTGTACAGTTGCAATCTGTCCCTCACCGATTTCGTCTCGGCTCATTGACGCAGCCTTGACAGCCATGGCGCCCTCTCACTCTCAGTCCGGCCAGGAGGCTGCAGCCGTCCCCACCCCTCCGCTGCTGGACCTGACCATTGACAACATCACCCAGAACGTGGTGCGAATCAACTCGCAGAGCGGCGATGCACGCCTCAACCATCTGATGGAGCGGCTGGTGACGCATCTCCACGACTTTGCGCGCGAGACTCGCCTTAGCACGCACGAGTGGATGGCCGCCATCCAGTTCCTCACCCAGACGGGCCAGATTTGCAGCGACGTTCGCCAGGTATGACTTTGATGGCGGCTACTGTCTGCTCGTCTCTCCTTGTTGTCTCTTTTCTCGTTTGAACCTTTTCCGTCGGGTTTTGCGTTTTGAATGACCAGTATTGAATCCTACGTTATGCAACGCTTCATCCCCCTGCTCTCCAAATTCCCACTCGCTCTTTTGCGTCCAATATCCACGCACCTGCCTTATCTTCTTTTCTTTTTCCCTGGCCTGTACACTTTCGGTGATAGACACGGCACACATGTCTCAAAGCGGCGATTGCTCATCAACAGTAGCAGAAAACAAGTGGCTGGCTGAGCTAACATTGCATCGTCCAAGGAATTCATCCTGCTCTCAGATGTTCTGGGGCTGTCCATGCTGGTCGACTCCATTGATCATCCCAAGCCACCAAATTGCACAGAGGGCTCCGTGCTGGGGCCTTTCCACACCCACGATGCACCGCATCTGCCCATCGGCTCGTCCATGAGCTCAGACGCCGCGGGAGAGCCTATGCTCGCACTATGCACTGTCCGCGACTCGTCCAACAGGCCAATTCAAGGCGTCAAGGTCGACATCTGGGAGACGGACTCCTCAGGCCACTATGATGTGCAGTATTCCACCAGAGAGGCGCCAAGCGAGCGCTGCATCATGACCAGCGACGTGGACGGCAGCTTCTGGTTCAAGGCCATCAGGCCTGTAAGCTACCCCATCCCGGACGACGGCCCGGTGGGCAAGCTGTTGGGGCGACTCAAGCGCCATCCATGGCGGCCAGCCCATATGCACTTCATGTTTGAGAAGCCGGGCCTGGATCATCTGATAACGTAGGTACCGATACTTTGCTGCACGGCGCCCTCCTGGGTGGGCCTCCTTTTTGTGTGCCCGGGTTCCTTTCATAGCCCTGTCCTTGCTCCTGTCTCTGTTTCCCCACATCGTCCATCTAATATAAGCATAATGCCAATCAAAGCATGGGCTGGGCTCAATCACTAGTGCCAGTACACGAGAAGCAGTAGCTGACATTGAAATGTGCTGTGATAGGACCCTGTTTATCCGCGGTGACCAGTACGAGACATCCGACGTCGTCTTTGGCGTCAAGACGAGCCTGGTGGTCGACTTGGACAAGGTCGACAAGGAGACGGCCATCAAATACAAGGTGCCCGAGGGCGCCTGGTTGCTCAGGCACAACTTTGTCTTGGCCAGCACAAGAGAGACCGAGGACCTGAGAGACAAGAATGCCATCGAGGCCATGGAAAGATTGGGGCTGAAGAGCAAGCTCATTGACCACCTGCATGTACCTGATTTAGATTAAGCCGTGAAATCCCCGTACGGGACATCAGTCGTCGGTGGCCAGGTGGGAAGAAATTGAAAATTTGATGAATGCGCCAAGCAAATTAATGACCTCTTGGGCCTGACTTGACGAGCTTTGCAACATTTTCATAGTAGCCCCCCGTGCCGCCGTACTTTTCAACGAGTGCTGCCACGTCCACCTGCGTCTCCAGCCCATCGTCGCCCCCTGTTGTTCGTCTTCTCCCCAGTAAACAGGTATTTCTCGTGCTGGGAATACGCAGCATCTCAGTCTCGACCTGCCAGCCGCAGTCCTCTGCAATCCTAGACACCCAGTCGACTAGCGAGGCGTAGGTTGACTTGGCCTTGGACTTGTCCCTCGGAGGGGGTGCGCGAAACTTTTCGCCAGTCAACTTGTGGCTGCAGCAGGGAATCATGATAAAGGGACACCTCGATGAAGCGGCCAGTATCGGCGTCCAGGGGGTCAGCTCGTCGGCATGGTTGGAGATGATGAAAGTGCCCGCGGGGAAAGCGCCGTCGTGGATGACGCCGTCGCGCTGCAGTAGGTCGGTTTCGGCTTCAGCCTCAGCCTGATGGCTCGCTTGAGCTTGACCGCTTGTTGCTGCTGGCGGCGTTGCTGGCGTTGCCACAACGGAAGGGAGTAGCAGCCGCTCTTCCAGAGAGAAACCAGAGGGTGAGGCATGCCCCCGCGTTCGATACTGAGCCCAGGACTTGCGCTCTCTCGCATCAAATCCCCAGCCCGAGTAGCCCTCTCGTGTCAGCAGAGCCACCAGCAAGCCATTTCCACAGCCAATGTCAACAAAGCCAGGAAAGGGAGTCGTGTCTTTGGGATACATGTCGTTCCATAGCTCGATGAGGAAGGCGGCTATTCCCAAATCCTCAAAGACGTGCTTGGAAGGATCCGTCTTTTCGGCCCACGAGTCAACCATCTGGCGAGCATACTTGCTCTTGAGCAGTGCGTATCGGTTCTGGAACCTGTCTTGGGGAATGACCAAGTCGTGATTAACTCGTTTCACATAGCCCCTGACCGCTCCATGACCGTGTTTGTCGAGAACCTCGAGAAGATGATATGCTGTTCGCTGTAGCTTTGAATCGGTGAGGGGATGCTCCGGATAGGGGAGAAAGTGAACGGAGATAGTGCCTTGGCCTTGCCCATCCCACTGGTGGAGATGAGCAATGCCTCGAACCTTGGGATGATAAAAGGGGAGACTGTCGGCCGAGGGGGCATGAGGCATATATATGACGAGAGTAGAATGAGCGGTAGAGGCAGCAGAGGCAGCCTCGGCATCAGAAGCATCAGAAGCAGCAGCGGGCACCGTTGCCTGCAAGCCGTCTTGTGCCGCGTCTTTTGCCGTGGTGTAAAAGGCGCACGTCTGGTCCAGGGGCCTGTCTCTGCGCTCGTTTCTGGGAATGAGTCTGCGGACGAGGGTGCGGACGAGGGCCATGCCGCGGATCGCGACGGCAATGGGGCTGGCCGCCGGAGATTGCAGAGAAACGCCGTTGGAGTCTGCATCGATGGCATCACCAGCAGAACCATTGCTACTCTTGGTCATGGCTGCTGCAGCCGTCGTGGCGCCATCACAATCACCGGTGCTGTTGCTGTTGCTACCCCCCGTCTGCGGCGTCTCGTCATGCAGAATGTCGGCACGAAAGAGCCAGCTGGAGTTTAAGTTCGGGTTCTTGATGAGGTCCATCATCTTGTCCGCGAAGACGCCCGGTCCAAAGGAGCAGGCATGGCTGTAGATGGGCACCCACACGCCGTTGACAGCGTCTTCGTCCTCGATAAGGGGTGCAGACCCCGGCGGGATCTCTTGCGGTTGAAACACCATGCGGAATGAATACAAGCAGCAGAGGCTGAATCTTCAGCGCTTGCCTGATTGAGATTAAACGTACTTCGGCTCTTTTCTCGTGTTATCACAAACCAAGTGGCTGAAAGCCTTCGCTAGAACTTGATCTGATGGATCAGATTTTTTTGATTTTTTTTGCGCGACCCCTCCAACTAGCTCGTCCAGCCAGCCCCTCCGGATCCTCTACAAGTAAGATCCCACTCGCTCGGACCGGCCCGGAGTCAGCTAGCTACTAGCAATCGTGCAAGATCTGAGGCTCGTTTGACAAGATTTCCTAGGTGCTGTGCGAGAATCATCAGCTTGAGTCTGGGTTTCCCATCATGTCACTTACTAGCCAAGCCTCCATTCCCCTAACAAGCTGTTGACATGGAGATTATCCAAACGCCGCCTGGTCGATGGCTGTCTACTCCACTCCACTCCGGTAAAAATGGCGTCCCGGAGTGCCCCTCTTCTGCTCCATCTCAACGGAGAGGCAAAAGTCAAACATTCCGGATGCAAGTAGGCATTCCCCCGAAAGAGGCCCACCGACATGTAGAACTCGCTTGAGCCAATGATCCATTTCTTCATTGCCCGAAGAAAGACAACAAAAGCACGCAACTTTGCCGACGTGGATGCAGCTCCCAGATTCCGCGGGGATGCATTCAGTCGACAGCATTCGTTCCAGCAGAGCTGCCACCAAGATTTGCCGCCGGTGCATCAAAAGGCGGGTAGCCCAGGGGTCTGTTTTGAAACCGGCGAAGAGGAGAGATTGAGACCGGGACATTACGTGGAATGACTGCTGTTTTGTGATGCAATGATGGACGAGTCTCAGCAGACCTGTCTGAATGGGGAGGCACTTTGGCAAGATTTGCATACCACGCATACGCATGTGACCAGCTTCTTGCCTGCTCTTGCCAATCACGTCTGCGCTCTGGCGTAAGTCTCCTGCCTCTTGAAGAATTTATTGCATGTTGTTGCTGTTTGTGTACCGATGCCCACCAGAATGGGAAGTAACGACGGGACGTTGGTGGTGCTATGACGTTGGTGGTGCTGTGACATTGGAGACTTGAACGTGCCTCCTGCCAGTTGATAACGGCTTCTCTTCCTATTTGTGAAAGTGGAAAATGAGCTCACTTTCATTCACATCAGGCGCCGTCAGTAGCACTAGCAGGATACCAATTTATGACTTGTGATTTATGACCAAAAACTTGTTGAAGTTGGGGCAAGCAACTCATCTTCCTCTCATGACGACTTCCTCTTACAGAGAAAATTTGAAGGAGGGGAACGTACAAGTGGGTATGCCATGCACATCAGGAGGTCGGTGCTCATCTCCCCGCTCGTAAAAATGAATGGAAAATGTCGGAAATGTTTCTTTCTGGTTCGTTCTTTGCCAGTTCCCTTTAAAAATGAGTCCTCATGAGCCCAGGAAGGGTGTATGTATGTATCTGTGGATGGATGACCATGAATCAGCAACTTTTCGTCACCAAGAGACTAAATAGCATGACTCAATTTATCTTCTATTCGATGGGAAGAGAAGAAGAGGGGAAATGTATATTTTGATCCAACGCAGTTACAGACAGGCCTTCCGTTCTTTCTGTCTGTATGCTTCACTTTTCTCAGAAGCTTCATCCTCTTTTAGTTGTTAGAAGAGCCTTTATAATGCTGGTCCTGCTCAGACATGTCCTAGTACCCAACTTCATCTTCAAGTTGTTAGATATCCCCGTCTCATTCTGCCTCCTCGTCTACGTAGCAGGTAAAGGCCATGGATATTTCTGATGGACTGTAAATGATGCTTATTATTGATGAGAGCATGACAGTGCGTGCTTGAGCTCTGCCAGAATATTGAGTACTACTCATCTGTTGAAAGAACATGGCTGACTACACACAATTCCCCCGTTCTCCTCTTCAACTTGCACGCGCTGGAAAGGGACTTTTTATGAGGGAACGCAAAAGTTTGTGTTTGGGTCATCAACTTATTGTGTAGCATTTGAAGCTTGATCGATTGAACTGATTGGTCATTGGATACAGGCATCAGGGGGCTGAGTGTATGCAGAAGCTGTAAGAGTCCGCGATAACGAAAACGAGCACTTACAGCCTCGGCTTGCTCTCAGCCCACCGACGCTCTGATACAAGTTGATAGCCGTCATTCGCGGGTACTCACTCTCCTTGGCAAATAAGCCCCCCCCCCCCCCCCCCCCCTTCGCTCCACCCAAACAGCAAGATAAAATTAGGAAAACAGGCTCTTGTGCACTATTAATGTCCACTGCCAAGCGTGATTTTGTTTCAGCACTCTGCTGTGGCTCGTCGTTGCTGGCTCAACGGCGCGGATAGATACTTGCCTCTAGTCCCGATATCACCACAGACCAACCGACCATCATGCCACGACACATCTCTTCGCTCAGCAAATTCCGAATAATGCGGGGCCATGGGCTGGCAAACAAGGATATGCCCGGCGCTCCTGAGATCATATCGTATGGTATGACCACGGCAGCTAGTAAAACATGTCAGTTACACAATGCCTTGATACAACAGCCGCGACTCTCCTGACTACTGCAGGCATCCCCAGGACCTCTTGACCACGCGCAATTTCCGTATCTGGTCAGCCACGCATTAGCATACTGTAATCTCAAACCATTCAGCCGTGCTTTAGGGGCTGGAGAGTGTTTTTTGGTCTATTGCGCGGTGAATCACCCGATTTAATTTCGTAGTCGGGTCGGACAAGTGATGCCGTGTAAGAGTTGTGAGAGCAATGGCCACGACGCCAGGCGCTAGGTCTCAATGAGGCTCTAGACACAATGTATACTCCCGTTTTTGGTGTCCAAATAACAATTCAAGCACAAGTAGCATCGTCGCCTTTCCAGCTCCCTCTGTAGTAGCCATCCAGACTCCCATCTTGACCATGTTCCGAGATAATGCCAAGAAATGGCTTGGATAGCGTGGATCGTAGTCGTAGATGATCTGGTGTGGATCGCGTGGGGTAAAAGATCCGAAGCTGGCTGAGCATCGATCGATGGGGTCGGCCCTTGAGAAAAATGCCGTGAGCATTGAATTCGCTCCGTTTCAAGCCGTTGCGATGTAAGGCTTCTGAAAAAAGGAAGAGGAAGAAGAACAATAATCGTGGCCAAAAAAATTGATTATATCAAAGTAAATACATGGCCTTTCTCGTCTATCCCTGAGAATGGCAGTAAAGTCTATAAGAAGAATCGCGACTCCCCCGCCAATGCGGGCGCCAGTGGTAACGCTTCCGAGTGCCAATTTCCCAACAACAGATAGCGCCGTTTAAAAACTTTCTAAAGCTCAAAAAAAAAGAACCCCTTTTTTTGTCCCTGTTGATTGCCAATCAGTGTAGCCAGTGGAAGGTAAGAAGAATAGCTTTCTGATGCTCAATTTCTCGTAACCAATTGTCAAGATGAATCCCATAGTCCAACCTTAACACCAAGCCAAAATAGGGGAAAAGATAATAAAGAAATGAAAGACAAATCAAGAAAGACAAATAAAGAATGAAGGAAATTGAAGGAAAGTGAAGGAAAGTGAAGGAAAGTGAAGGAAAGAATGAAGGAAAGAATAAAGGAAAGAATGAATAAAAGAATGAATAAAAGAATGAATGAAAGCAAGTAAAAAAGGGTGAATGAGTGAAAGAATGAAAGAATGAATCAAAAACGGCGACGCAAATTGAATGTGTCAGAAGTATAGGTCTTAGTCTTCAAATAATATCACCATGCCATCCATCCCGCAGTTCATGTTGGTACGTGGAGAAGATGGCCGTCATCTTCTGCACAAGAAAGCCAATGATTGCTTCCAAGTTGTACCGGGGCGAAAATATGCCCATTTGCTCCAAGTCCACAATGACTATTTTATCGCCCACGAGATGGAAATTGTCAAGCCTCATGTCGTTCTGGTAGTGGCCCATGGCGGCCACAGCAGAGATTGTGTGGCGGAACAACTTCTCGATAGCAGGAGCAAGATCTTCGCTGCCCTCATCAATGTCGGCCACGCAGATGCCGCCAACATCGGACAAGACGTGGCTCTTGACGCCGTTTAACTCGGTGGCTCCAAGGTACTTTGGGATGTAGATGCCTTGTAGGGATTCCAGGGCCTTGTAGTACTTGATCTCAGCGTAGAATTCATTTTCCCAGTTCTTCTTTTGCGTCTTCAGCACGATATTGCGAGGGAGGTACCACTCCGGGAACCACTTCTGCAGACGAGGCTGTGCGAACTTGGGAAAGATGGCCAAGGCTGTAGTGGCAACTTTGTCGAACCATTTAGGCTGAATCGTCAGCCGGCGAACGTTGCGATGCCTAGAGTTGTAGACTTCTCCAGTGCCTGTGATCGAACGCGTGCCGAGCCAGAAGGACTATTTCCCACAGGTGGTATCATTAGCAGGGTATAAAGTAAATGGCTGTGAATGTTGGCTCAGATTCAACCTACGACTGTTTCCACATCTCTGGGAGGCGAGTCTACTCGCTCCCGATACAGTCCGGGTGGAGTGTCAGACATTGGGCCGGCAGCCTGCAAAGGTGCAGATACGCAACAAAGATGGTCTGATGGTAATTGGAGAGTGAGCAACGACGGAAGAGAACTGACACGAAAACAACCAATTGGTAGGTAAAAGAAGAGAATTGAAAGGAGAAGAAGGGGAAAAAGAAAAGGAGGCAATATTTTAAAATTAACCTTTGGGTTTGTGTGACGGCAAGTAGGTTTATAACTGTACCCATATCTAGGTACTGTACGGTACTGGACGAGGTGCAGGTGGCTTGCCAAGCCAATCACCCGCAACGTCAGACACCGATGACTGCGATGGAGCAGATGAGCTTATCGATATGCGAGCTGCAGGAACAAGCAACTTAAAAGGCGCAGCTCAGGGCGTTAGTGGTTCACATCGTCATGGTTCTAAATAGATGTTTGCTCCTTAGCTCTCCAGGCGTACGCTAGCAGGAAAGTCAAAAAAGCCAGACGGGACCAGCCGAGCAAGCCAGCCAGGGCGTGAGATCATAGATGATTGGGTGTTCAATGTATATGCTTCTGATATCTGTCGCAGGAGCCTTGAGTGATGCAGGTGGTCTCTGGAATCTGGAATCTGTTCGACGTGGTCGGTGTCATTGAGGTCTTTGTGGTTGCGTAAAACACACAGTCGAATCGACAATACCTAGACACGAAGAGGTATTGAAGGGCTCGGCTTGGGCCGAAACGGACGGCTCGATCTTCTTAAAGTTCGCTAAGCCCTAATCAAGACGCCATCCGAAGAGATGCCCTGTACCTGGGGGGAAAACTGTGTCCATACGATCTCGGCGGTTTCCCGTTCTGCTTGTTGAGCACCAGCACCAAATAATAGACTCTGAGATGACGCTAACATAGGATGGTCGATCTGTTAGCTCGCTAAGCGATCAAATGGAGCATGTATCTCCGACAGGCCTCGTCTCGTCCTGTCTTGATTTTGGCCTTGTTTTGTCTTGTCTCGTCTTGCCGGCAGTTGGCAGGCCGGATTCGAATATCCACTTTGGAGATCATCCAAGCTGGTTCGGATCTTCTGATATAGTCGTGTGTACCCATAGAAAGCACTGCAATCTAGTATAGGGATGGACCTTGATGGATGAAGATCTCGTTTACGGTATCGGAAATTCTGTCAAGCCACTCATTGAAAGTGTGGACATTGACCATCAGTGACAAGTATGCGAGAGCAAGCCGAGGTCGGCCAAAGGAAGAGACACGTGTAGTTCTTCACGAAATTGACGTCGACATGCTGTCATCAGCATCCCTTTCTCCCATTAGCACTATATTTCCGGTCATATTTGCGACGTGAGAAGCAAAACTTACACCAAAACGCAATTTGAAGTTGTGCTATCCAACACTTCAAAGAGCCTGTAGAGTATATCAACTTCGAGCAGGTGCAATGACGCAAACCAAAACGTAATCTGGAAGCGCAACGTTTTCAGCGCTGATGGCTGCCTGCAAGAGGCATGTCACTCGTAACATGGACCGTCGGAGTTGGTCCAATAGCCGTGGCTGCGGTTTGTGCGCATCTCACTCAGCAGGAGGAAATTGGAAATGAGACAAATGAGAGCATTAGGTATGAGCCGCGCAATGCATTCGTGACATGTTTCGGCTTCGACGGTTGCTGGCAACTTGGTCACATTCACATTCTAGATATCACGTGCGCTAGGCAGGCCGCTGCTCCTTCCCTGCCTCAGCAGCCTGCCACTAACTGGAAAGGACAGTAGGATTGGAGATTTACGTGAATCTGGAATCCTATAGAAAATGAAAGTAGCAAGTAGAAAGAAGGAGAAAAGAAAAGGAGAAGAATGAAGAAGCAAGAAGAAGAAAAGCCTCGTAAAATATTCGTAAATAAGAATAACCATTTATCAAAAGTAGCCATTACCAAAGACGGCAAAACCAAGAGGGTGAAGAAAGGAAACAGGCAGCCAGAGAAAGAAGAGAAAGAGAAACACAAAGAAACAAAAAGAAAAGAGACCACTTGGAGCCGGCAAGACTGGAACATCATTTCAAATCTATCCAAGTTTGCACGCTCTATACATCCCGAGCCTCAAAGTCAAGGTCAGGTAAATAGTTGTAGCAGTAGTTGTCATAACCATCGGCCTCTAAATGGCCAATTCGATCTCTCCAACGAGACCCTATGTACATACATGAGAAAAAATAGGTGAGCGGCACGCAATGTCCTTTTTATATGTGTATGCTCTCGCTCGCTCTTTCAAACAGTACTCCTTCAAGTAGCCCAGACAACGAACAAGGTCAGCCTTCTTAGTAAACGCCTTTACACGCATCGCATCGCATCGCATTGCATCGCCAAAACAGAGCCAGCCCGTCGCTCTCTCCTACCACACATGACGAATGACTCAGGATATTGAGGACAGCCGGCCCTCATATACACACTAGGCTGTTTGTGATATACACGCGCATCAGGTGATGGCAATTGTCCCTCGTGGGATTCGCGTGCGACTGATTATAAATAGAGAAAACAAGACTAAAGAAATGAGAGAAGAAAAAAAAAAAAGAGATGTGCGTCATTGTAGGTCTATAGAACGGTCAGGGTCGGGGCTTGCTTAATCGTAACCAGCACCACGCTGCCAGGGGCTATACACATTAATCAGTCAGTATTTGTATATTCTTGTTGCGCTCAAGATGGCTGATATTAGAGACAAACATACCTTGCATTGTTTTGTGCTCTGTAGCCGCCAGGGCTCGTGTTGTGGTTGTTGTCGTACGAAGGAACTCGTCCCATTGGCGCTGGCGATGAGCCGTGGCCGTATGATGAATGGGACTGCTGGTCATTGGCTGGGAAGAGTGGCACAGATGGGTTGACGGGGGATACTGAACGCGTCGGCTGGTAGAAGCCAGCTTGAGGGTTCATGGTCTGAGGAGCATAAGCCATGCTGGTAGCGGGTTCCGTAGGGTGGTGCATTTCGTCAGATGCAATTGATTCTTCGTCTCCAAGCTTGTATCCCTTGTCGCCTCTAGCGGTAACTGCCAATGCGTCTAACTCAGTAGCGGCGCCATTGTTGAGCTGAGTTTGTGACTTCATAAACGACGCTCGGTCATCCGCCATGAACTGGTATCGGGCGTCGGGGTTCTTGCGCACAATGGAATAAATAGTTGAAGCGACAACCATGAGAAGAAGAACCGTGGAGAAGATGGCATTAAGGACAAACAAAATGACACCAACAACACCGATGGCCAACAAAGGCGCGCCAAAGACGTTGGTAAAGATGAGCAAGAAGATGGAGTTCAAGAAGTTGATGACGTAAATGGCAATGTTGAACGAGTTGGTCTTCTTATCCATCCAGGGGCGCAACACCGACGCGGCAATGAGCATGCCAATCTCGAGGATGATGAAGCCGACAGCCTGGGCGACGCCAGTCTTTTGCGCAAAAGCCACAAACATGGCTTTGATAAAGGTGTAGGCCAAGATGGGCCCGATGAAGTAGTAAGCAGAGGCACGGAACTGCACGTACAGGAAACCCCACTTGTTGAGAGCCTGGGGGTCCGAGAAGAGGATGTAGGCTGCGTTTCCGTGCATGTTGATGGATCGGCGGGCAATCTGAATCACCTTGCTAGATCCCCAGGCAAGAGCAATAAGTGGACAAAAGAAATAGAAGACGGCAAGCACAACTTCGGCCGCGGAGTCACGTTGCGTGAATTCCCAGAGGCACAGGATAGAAAGCTGTGGGAAACCGATGAGGGCGATGCGGTAGAGGATACCCTTGAGAACAGTCCGCCAACCGTTGCGGAACTCGAGGAACTTGTCTGATTTCATGACGCCCTGCTTGGCCAAACCTTCCAAGGCAAACTTGAACAAAGTGATGCCAAGCATGGTGAAGATGGCAAAGAGCCAAAAGAAAGTCAGACCTGTGAGGAAGAGGTTGGTGGTTTCAATCTTGGCCTTGAATGCCACACGCTGAATTCCATAGACCACATAGCCTCCAGACGGGGACAAGATGTTGCCGCTTCGCTTCAGAAGATGGACGGCAGACGCAGGCATGAGAGCGAGGCTGCGTCTCATCAGCTCCTTGCCAGCATCGAGGCCGGCATCCAGACCACGCTTTTGCACAGAGACGGAAACAGATCCCAGCGAGCTAAAGAGAGTGGCAGGGGTGCCACCTGTAGCACGCTGATACCAAGTGAAGATGGTCTGCATGAAGCCGATGTGGATGATGCCCATGGACCACTGGAAGTTTTGAGTCCAAGCCTGAGCGATGGGAGGCAGCTCCACGCCAGTCAAGCCAATCATGGCTTGGGCCTGGAAATAGCCAAAGAGGGAGAGCGAGAGGGCAGCAACGTGGGCGGCGGTGTTGGAGTGGCCCAGTCCGTTGAAGATGGCGGATGAAACCAAAGCAATACCGGCAATAATGGCTGTAGCCCATTTCACACCAACCAGATTAACCGTCAAGCCGTTGGAGATGTTGGCCTCGACACAGGCAATACTTTCCTTTGTGCTTGTGAGGTTAACGCGCACCCTGACCATGGCATCCAGATCAGGGATGGTGTAGGCGATGGAAGGAATCGATTTGGCTGCATCAGCGGGAACGGGGAGGGTGAAGGGAATATTGAACTTGGCAGCAGCCGTCATGGGACACATGCCAGGAAGCTTGATCTTGCACGGGTCGAGCGTGGTCTTTAGAAAGGTGTATCCGTAAGCCGAGGCTTCAATATCAAATTCGACGTAGCCTGTAACAGAGGATGTGGCCACCAGATTGATGGTGGCTGAGTTGTTGTTGGGAGTGTAAACGGCGTTGAAGAAACTGGCTTGGAGACCTGAGTTATCCTGGCAGGTATTGAGAGAGGTGGAGGCAAGCATCTTTTCAACAGCAGAGACTGGAGAAAGCAGAGTGGCCATTGCGGCCAAGAGGAGCGGACTGCTCCTCGATGAGAACCACATATTGCCGGTTATTTGTCGTTGTTGCTGGCTATTCTTCAATGACAAAATTTTGTCTATGATTGTTGGTGAGAGTTGGGTTGTAGCAAGAGGACGCGGATTGTTGTCGGAAAGAGGCAAAAACTGGTTGCGCAATTAAGGAGCCGTTATCGTCCTGCGGAACGTCTCGTTTGCTTTAGAAATTAATTGAAGTTGTATGGCGAGTTTGACATTGAACGACGAGGTTGGAAGACGATGGTCCGGCCAAAGGGGTTCTTTCGGTGTCGCGGGGGGGGAAGTCAGTTCACAGCGTAGTGACTGGTGCGATTGTCCGTTGGTTTGATATGCGGATGTGTCGTCGTCGTTGTTGTCGTCGTCGTCGGGGTAGCGGGCGATTTGGAGAAGCGATCGGAAGCGCCGTTGTTTGTGTGGTAACACGGCAGCGAAAAGGGAGATACGAAGAGAAGAAAGGGTTAAAAAAAAGAAGAAGAAATTCAAGACAAGAATTGCGAGATTTAGAATGAGAGATCAAAGCGAGTGAACATGTTTATCGTGAAGGTAAACTAATGGTTGGTTGGATCTGTCGCCAAATAGTCCATCCACACACAATGGAAAATCTGGGGGAAGGGAGAAGAACAGAGCAGCGACAGAAATCTGGCGCAGGGTGGGCAAATGAGCGAATAGGGCAGAGAGAGAGCGTGGAGAGTGGAAGACGAGAGTTGAGTGAGCGGTTGATGCAGATTGTTACGAGGACGCGTCCAAGGGTGGTGGCTGAGTCCCCCGAAAGCGCCGTTTCAGGGCCGTATGAAAGTGGTATCCGCTCGCAGATCGAGCAAACTGGACCGTCTTGACGGCATCGCACGCATAAAGGGTAAGGATACGAGGCCGCCGAGCTGCTGGCCGTGCGCCGTTCTCCGTACTAGCAGATTAAAATAAAATACGGGGCCCCTGCTTCTCCTGAAAAGAGCAGCAAATGGCACGCTCATTCGACGAGGCGAAACGAGAACGGGGGGCCCCTGGTCGGACCAGTTGCTGCTCTGCTGCTCGTAACTGGCCAGTGTCAGCAAGCGTTGTTTAGTTTCCCGGCTCAGGGGGGCAGCAGATCCATACCGTGTGTGTGCCGCAGCCGTCTCACATTTTCGATGGCGGATCTTGGCCACTTTTTTCTTGCCTTTTGTATAAATAGCGCGGAGTGCGATGGAAGGAAGAGATGGGAGGGGAAACGCTGCGATGGGCATCTGCTATCCTGGCAGGTGGCAGATCGAAAATGAGACGCCAATGGATGTACAAGATTGAAGTGGCTTGATCTTCTTTGTCTCTTTGATTCTCCCAGCTTGTGTGCGCACATGAATGCACTGTAAATGAAAAGGGCTCTCACTCTGCGCTGCACCTGCCTCTACCATCCTAATTTCCTTTGCCAGAAAGGCGCCAGGAACTGCCCTGACAGGCCCGGCCGCAGCCAATCACAAGCCGCGATTCCCGGACTAATTAGACGCGCTTGCACCATTTATGCACTGCCGCAACTCCGTGACGTGCATCGCCTCGCTATTGATACTGTAGGAGCAGGTGCAGTCCTTGCGCTGCTTGGCAGGTGGCAGGTGGCAGGTGGCAGGTGGCAGGTGGCAGTAAAGAGCCAAGAGCCAAGAGCCAAGAGGGCTAAGGAAATACGGAAAGCAGGCTGGCTTCGTATCTGCACGTGCTGATTCGTATCTACTGTACATGCTGCTTCGTATCTGCGCACGCTGCCAGGTCTGCTCCTTTTGAGGAAGAGACGAAAAAGGCAGGACAGATTGATGAATAATACCGATAATTTGTCTGTGCTTGGAGTGGTTGTATTGCCCAAGTTTTCGTAGCTGTTGTGCTGCTAGGCAGCTCTCCGCAGTATAGGCGGTTCAATGCGCATGCTTACAGTTTTATCTAACCTTGCTCAATTTGAATAAAGGAAGTGACTACAAGAAGATTTCACATCACAGGAGCCATCTTATTCTCTGTCCTTGTTAAATAATGTTCGCGTATGAAAACCTTTGCGTGCTCCAAATGACATGGTGGTTGGGCTCTACATCAACATTATTTATGCCTCTCGGGTAAGCGTGCAACTGAGGGGTTCGGTATGTACAGTAATCGGAAAAAACTGAGACGGCATACTGTACCTACCTTTGATAGCAAGGCAATCATATATCAAAATTGTTTGTCCTTTGCGCCCGAGAGTTTACAGCTTTCTAATCGTTTGATAGCAGCCTCCATATTGATCAAGCCTTTTGAGCCTTCCAATCAAGACATGGCCTTGAGAGAAGACACGGCCCGAGAGGATCAGAATATGCCATGGCAAGGCGACATCATGTCTCATAATTGATCATCCCTTGCGCCCGAAAAATTGACGGCCTCCCAATCATTTTGCCATCGGACCCCATATGGGCCAGGATTAGTGAACTGTAACTCCAAGACATACGCCCGAAAAGTCACGGCCTGCTAATCATTTAGCTACCGGACCCAAGACTGATCAGCCTCACTTACCACAAGGCTTGAGAGAAATAAAAAGGGAGAAAATGAACGATGAATTTTCCTCTTCTGCTCGATAGGACGCCCCCATGTCTTGGAAAAGGATCTCCCTTGCGCCCGAAAATTCTCGGCCTTTCTATCGTTTTGACCTCTTGGTCCCACCGTCACTAGAACTTTTGAGCTGTGAATGAGACGTTGTCTTAGCAAGCCAGGCAGCGATCTAGCCGACCAGCCTCGAGATCAAGAATTTGTGCTGGCGCTTCACGAGAAACCTTGAAAAGCAGGATCAGATATAGATAGATGGGCGTTTGGCTATTACCTAGTCCTGCTGAGCAAGATTAGGCAAGGACTCGGAATGTAAGCAAATTGTCTTCAAGACTGCTTGCACTGGCATGGTATTACACATGTAGTTCTAGTACCAAAATTACGTGTATCTTGAACAGTTAGACCTGTTGGGTAAAATTTACGGAGCAAGGCCAGCTGAACATGGAGCTCGGTGGTTTGAAGAAAGCGGGCGAAGATAATATAGAGACTGCATGCCATGGAAGGCACAAAAAATAAGAAAGTCGACATCATCTATGGCACGTCACGCCTACTTACTTAACACTCAAAATTTCCTCCAGATGATCCTAAACTTGAGAATATTACAAATAGAAAAAAAAAAAAAAAAAAAGGAATCCAGCACTCGCTCAGTATCTTCCCTCCTACAACATCAAAGCATATATCGCCCGCTTGTTTTTCTTCATTTCTGGGAAGAGGGGCAAGTGAGATTGGGATGACTTGTTCATAGCTAATGTATACACCTTTTGGATGTCTCTACCCAAACAGAGCTGAAAATGCCGCAGCTCTTTCGTAAAATCCAGTGTAATCTTCTTTTGGAGCCATGTCGTGTCCATCGCTACGCTTTTTCTTACCGGTGCGGCTCCTACGTCTCAGAGTCAAGAGCCGACAATGAAGCCTGCGAATTAAAGGCTATGAATAATCTACCACCGTGCCAGAACCGGGTTTCCCGGTTATAAAGCATGCTTGCAAGGAGCAGTGATGGTTGCGGCGACTATAGGATACGCTTGAACTGGGTGGTGAGGGTAGCCATGAGATACTGGGGATGTGTGTGCCCTGAATTGCATCGAGGCGGCGATACACTCTGGTCTCACGCTCATTTTTCTTGCGGTTCTTATCCTATATGACCGTGACCGCGATCACAGGCCTGAAAAATGCTGTATGCGAGCTGGCTAAATTGAGTGGTGTTACGTCTTTGTTGGAATTACGAGATTTGGCAAGCTGTCTATAGAAAATGAATGGAATTTTTTTTTTGAGTTATATGCTCCTCTGAGTCAAGTAAGCTATCATCACAAATCAGGCTGAAAGGCATTTTTTAATTGCGGTATGGCTGGCTGAGCACAGTTCCGAGATGGAGCTCGAGTCTGTAGATGGCGTCACTTCTGCGCCAAAAGTTGAGTTGGATCAGCAATTCGTAGTGACAAAGATGATGGGTAAACAATGACTCTGAGATCTTTAGTCGGTAGCAGACAGGTATACTCTTGAAATCTGTATATTGTCGTGGTTTGAAGCTCACTTTTCTCTCGCGAGCGAAACGATTCCGTTTGGGGACGCAGTAGGGAATACTTTGGCCAATCATCTGAAGAAATGTAGGAAAGAAAGTCTTGATTTGTATCTCGTTTTTGAGCTTGTATTTGCTCGATGATTTAAACTATAGGCTGTAGAGAATAGGGAAAATACTTGGAAAGACTCTTACTCTTGAGATCTGTTGTTTTGATGACTGAGCTGAATGCTATAGAAGATACAAACACATGCCTATTTCTGCCTACATAGTATTCTCACATAAAAATCTTAACGGAGCACTACAGCTGATGGCTCCCTGCATCACACATCTTGTGAAGCTCATCTTGATATATTGGTGTGGCGGCATGGCAGCCATATCTGAACCAGCAAACAAATAGACATGAGCCGCGTCAGTGTTCAATCGTCTGTGCCAATCTCTCCACGGCACCGCTCGTCTTGTGCACTTTGGATATACGGTTGCTCTCTAAAAGGGCCGACTGATCGACGATTCATAGTGCTTGCCTCAATCTCTCACCGGCCTTTACCGCTGCATGGGAGCTCAGCCCAATCGACCGGGGGCCCACGACTCCTGCAACAAGTGCGTCTGGCCAAGGCCTGGACTGGATAGAGTCTCGATTTCTTACCTCTGACTGCCCCTCGCCCATTTGGTCTTGTATCAGTACCAGACCTTGTACCCATACACACTTGAATTATCAATGTCTCTGTCAACTTGCTTCAACTTGTACAAGTACACTCATACAAGACGCGAGACGCCCCCCTTCACTTGCCCTTCTCAACGCTAACCTGTTTCCCGACGTGCATCATCTAGCTGCATGAATCCTCCGCCGAGAGCTCCACCAGGACCTGCAGTAGCCCAATGGAAGCGGAGCGTTATGGGGGGGCGACGTGGGAGGGGCAGCCTCGTCTGAGTTGTAAGCGTTGCTGCTGGATGCCTTGTAGCTGTACAAGAAGCTTGAGACCATAGGAATCGTCCAGAGGATGGGAAAAATGGAGGGGGCGTATGCCTGTACGCCGCCTGTAAAGTGCCTAGGACGTATTTGGACGAGCCAGCCAGTCCGTCAGCTGCAATAGTAAGCGGTATAGGTCCCTTGTCCGGGCATAGAGTGGCATCGAGCAGCAGGCAGAGAGCACATATGCTTGCCCATGAAGCAAGCGAACAAAAAAAGAAAATAAAAGAGTAAGACTCGGCGAAATCTGTGTCTCCTTCAGTCTCCAGTCCCACTCGGGCATCGATTGCTCCATACCAAGGTAGAGCCAGTAAAAAATCAAGAGTGTTGCAGGATACTCCGCAGCACCAAATAGGAATCTTTTGCTTTGCTTTGCATCAGGTTGGGCAGTTTTGCGTCCCAGCCCCTCGATCAATACTTACTCAAGTATACAAGTAATACTTGGACGCATGACCCAACCTCCTAGTTACCATCCAATCAATAACCCTGACGGTCCCGAGATTACCTTGGATGCCACGACTCTCGGCAGCCGATTCCGCTCCCCGCGATCCATCATGTGCCATTGCAAGTGACTCCATGATTCAGTCGACAGATAGAGTGCTGATAGCAATACAAACTAGCAGCAGGATTGATGCAAGCTGTAATATCTGCGAGTTGACGTGTACAGCCACTTGCTTCCTGCTCAACACTCGCACCTGTCTCAACATTTCGGAAACGATATAGCCTGAAATATTGCTACAAGCTTTTAACCGTGCTCTGCATGCGTGACCGAATTGCAGCAGCTGCTATCACAAAACAAGAATTAGTGCCTGGCTCCCGAGACTGACAACAAGCACCCGCATGACAACTATATCCAGACCGGGGAATGATAGACGAACCTTTAGATTCCCGATACTAGCAGCCGAAATACCGCCACTAATTTGTCTATAGGTATGTCCAATACTTACTGCGTGGTGCGTGTCGTCTTATTTTGCGTATACTCTCCGATACCCGTCGTAGTATTGTTCTGCTTTTGGAAGTACCATCACATACCCATGTCCTGTATCTCTCACAAGTGAGCAATGTGCGCAAAGTCAATGCACCCAGCACGCCATAAACACACTCAACTCACCTCCATCGCATCGTTGTGTTTCGCAGCAGCCCATCATTGCCTACATCCGCCCTAATGCAAGAAGCCTGCAATGCATCGTAGTCATCATGATTTCGTGATAAAAAGCCACAACACGGCACGGCGGCCATGTTTCGGTCATGGACAGCTACCCGGCGGCAACTACCTCCCTGTCATTGGCCATGAAAATCTCCTGCATTGCTTCAGCCACTAAGAGACCAGGCAATCGCAGTGATGACAAGTCATCTCGGCCCAAATAATATCGGGAATTGGTGTTACCGGCATAATTCCACGAACTCGCCTCATTTTAACGCATATGAACCCCATCTTTCTCGTATTATACCACGCCACAAATGTCTTACTGCACTCGTTTCTTTTTTCTCGTTCAGCTCTTGGCCGCTACTGCTGTTGCCGTGCCACTTTGGTGCAGCCGGTGAGGGAATGCCAATAGGAACTCGTCCGAATATGGGTCCCTGGGTCCAATAGTGTTGAGACAAGACTTCACTTCTCCTTTCTCGTACATGAGTAGATTGGATTTTCGAGTTAGCAAGCCTCTGTAGACGTCATCTGGGTCAGTGACTTACGATAGATTCCAACGTAATATGTCTTGGGCCAGCGTCAGTTGCCCATCTCCGAAGCCCACCGGGTTCTATGGCTTCTCATCCATGAGTAAGAAGCTTTGCCGTATGACTTGAACGTTTCGAGTGCCAGAGAGACATCTCGTCTATATAAGAGCTCCTCCTCTCTCCGGTTGACTCGAGTTTCCTTTCTTTCCATCATCCTCATCTTCATTCCCATCATATCACTTCCAAACTCTCGCCGGCAAACCGCATTGAGCGCTTGACTGCCGCTCAAGTGCCTCCAATCCCTGGGGGGAGCTTCAAAGGTAAGTATCAACATCATCTGCTTCTCTCTTCATGAGCCGTTACTGATAAGACCATGAAAGGCAGCCCCCTAAGGGAACAATGTCGGTGCCGGGCCATTCTTGGCGTTTCCTTTTCGTCATCTTCTCATAGAATGAAACAGCGAGTAAGTGAACCAACACCATTTCCATGCTTCTCAAAGGCTCGACCTAACAGCTTCATGTGTGACAGTCCATCTGATCGCAAAACTCCCCCACAATTGACATGACCATGACACAAAACACCAAAAAAATCCGCTCGAATCATCACACCATGGTCATGCTGAACGGGGGGGAGGACCGCAAAAAAATATAGACGCTCCAACAGAGAAAACCCCCACAAAAGCCTCTCCCCAAAAAAGAATGAAAAGGAAAAACTCCTAAAAAAAAGCTCCAATCGAAGAAGGGGGGATTCCCCAAGAAGCAAATGCTAGCCATGGCATCAATTTCCGTGCTTTCTTGGGGGCTGGATTCTCGGCAAGTAGTTGACTTGCAAATCATGCCTCAGCGAATACTGGTCTAGGTCATTGACCTCCAGCATTCTGACAATTCAAATCGGGCATCTCTGGGTTTCATCTACCTTTCTAGGTAGACGGTCTTTCAAGAGGTAACACATCATGGCATGACTCTTGGAAGGCCCGGGAGGTCTTTCTATGTTGAGAGTTGCCTTTCTTGGGTTTTCTTTTGATGTGAAATTCTTCCCACTATTACTTGGTTCATCGTCTTGATGAATCATTTTTCGGGGTTTCAGTTCATCTTCTTGATGAAGCAGTTTGTTTGGGTTTCACCTATCGAAGACGTCATTTCAAAGTGGCCGGGGGAAAAGCAACATTTCTTCCACCAACGTCTTCAATACATTGCCAGGCGGCTCTGCATGACAATTTGTCATCTCTGCTGCTCGCCAGATGCCCTCATCAATTCTCTTGAGTGTCTGCAGGCCGAGGGGTATGCACGGAAATCGCTTCTCTAAGAATCGGCGAGAGAACAAGTTTCTCTTCTCCTTCTTAGTCGGTCTTTCTGTACGACGTATCTCGGTTGCCTGTCAACTACGATAGGCAACACAGCCTGGCAATAAAACTGGGAAATTTGAGCGACACTGCTGCTCTAGCAACCGTGTTCTTCTCCGACACGCTTTCTTTTTGCTTGATGTGCAGTGTCGCGTAAATTAGGTCTCTTGTCGGTCCTTCAGCATCTTGAAAGACTGGAGTTCTTCTCATGGTCTAGGGGAACGGAGCTGTCGGACCACCAGGACAATGCCTTGTGGAGGAAACGAATAGCGACATGGGCAGAGATTTGCCAAGTACCACTCTGCTGTGTCAGCTATATACATCATTTTTCTTTTTCTTTTCTCTTCTTTTTCTCCTTTGGAAGGGGACCCTTTTTTTCTCTTTTTCTCTTTTCTTTTGGAATGGGATTTTTGAAAGATCTCGAGGATGGAGACTGGGTTGGACTGGGATTGGAGGGCTGGATGGGAACCATGAAGGGTAATTGGGAGGGGCTGGGTCGGGCATTGAGATGGAAATTGGGGTTGGGAATTGGGATGGATGGATGGAAGGGAAATTGGGAAGATTAATGGATTGGACATTGGGGTGGACAACGGGCTGCATCGGACGGACTTGGGGTGGATCATCACTGGGATAAAGGGGTTGTAATGGAATTTGAGAGATGGAATGAAGGAATAGGAACACTCTTTTGGTAGATAGATAGATAGGGCATAAAAATCGGAACGAATATTTCGTTTCGGCCAACCTTTTCTCTCTCTTATGTGCAATGAGCATCGTGAGATGAGTTGACAACGACACAGTATCTTATCGCTCATGATGCCCCAGACTGAGGAGGCCTTTGGCATTGCTCCTTGTAGCTAAGAGCCATGAGACGGTGAAGTAGTCTGAAGTGTCGACCATGGATGAGTTGAAACACAGGTGAGATTGCTCAATATGTTGATGGTCTCATTTTGAGAAGCTAAACAAGCCAGGTAATGCCTTGTCAGCAGTAATGACCACAAAACACGAATTGCCGCAGTGCTGCTAGATATATGCTGTCCTCCTCGTCGCTTCATATTCTGGTTTCCCTTCAAATTGCAAGATATAGCAAGATATACAATTGTATCCGTTTGATGAGCTGAGCCTCATACGATGTGCCGTGACTCTCAGGTGAGACCTCACTCACTCATACAGCTCTCATACACCGCAGTTCCTGGCATAGACAACTATCGAAGTGAGTAAGAGAGCTGTGCTGTACTGACCAGGCCTAGCGTCGAATTCTGCGCCTCATCTAGGCTCGTATACTTGACGCCTTGCGTGTAGTCTCAACTCTCGCCGTACCGGTGTCCACTGTTCTGGCGATAACTTCAGTTGGAAACATCCCTGGTGTCCCATCATGGCGTCCCATGCCACGTGTCCGATCTCGACACAAACTTCAGCCCGTGGCGCACAAGACACACACCCGCAAGACGAGAGAGAGAGAGAGAGCTCTTGGCGCCACCAACAGCAATTGCTAGCACCGCTAATCAGGAGCAAGCTGGATGATTTGGACGAGCTAAAGCGACGCCGACGCTAGGATACTGCGCTGCGCTGCTTGCGACACAGCAACGTTAAAGGTTTGGAGCATGCAGTGAAAGGCCCTGCTCTGTTGTGTTGAACGGCTGTCACTCCTTCATCTTCTCTTTTTGCCCATTTCCCATATGATGCTGCACCAAACACTGCTTTGAGCAGTCCAATCCCCCGTCTTTGCGAGATGTTGCTCCCCCTCTTCTCCACACTGCTCCGTGCTCTGTGCCCCGCGCTCCGTGCCGCCGCCCCGACCGGTGGTTCAAAAGCAGTAACAAACGCTGGGGGGGCGCCAAGATTGGAAGATTCTGATCGACGCCCAACAGGAGCTGATCGTCCAGCCCTGCCACCAGCCCTGCCACTAAAGCGTAGCGCAGCTGTAGCGCAGCTGTAGCCGTAGCGTGCGGCGTGATTTGCGGCGTGGCTGTGGTGTGTGAGCCGGGCTGCGAACCATCCAAGCCATCCTATCTTATCTGATAGTCGACGCGACATGCCGGGCGCTGCAGAAGCCGGCGGCCAGCCATGTGTTGTTGGCCGGCATCTTGACTTCTCTTCCTCGATCTAATATTAGTTTGCGTTCGGCTTCGCCATGGCGGCGCCAGCTTCCTACAGCAGTTAGAGCTTCTTGGCTCCATGTCTCTCACACGCTGCTATTCGTCTGTTGGTTCATCTCATAACCCTATTTCCTGAAAATAGAATCGTGCCAAAGATGGTAGCATCGATTCGTGCAACTTTTACTCCATCTTCAGCCTCGGCGCTCCATGTCTTTGGACAGCACCTCGAGTTTTTGCACCATTGGCAGGCTCTCCCAACACCGTGACATCATCTGCATTCAGCAGCGGCAGCAGCAGCAGCAGCGGTGTAAATGACAACAGCAGCGAAGCTTGAAATATTGCTGCGTGCATAAGAATAGGTGGATATGCAGGACCTGCACATTCCCATTAGCTATCGCTTCTAAACGTTCGACAGCCCTTGGCAGCCTCTAAGCACTGCACTTACAATGTTCAACAAGGCAACTTTTTCCTTCTCCACGCCGAAATCGGAAGGCCTCTTCCTGTTTAGAGGTTTGGTAAAAATACGCCCCATTTTGCACAGAAATGGGTGTCCTAGATGCGTCATCACACACGAAGCCTCTCTTTCGAATGGCTATACTCATAGTCTCCTCAGCTCCTGGTGTTGTTGGTGGCGTCGGTTTCTCTCAAACTAGACATGAGGAGACATCAAACTCTCTCTTCTTTCGAGCTTGAGAAACCTAAAAGCCTTTCAGCTATGGCTTCGTCAAACCACGTGGGATCAGCGGCCTTCCCGAGGGCGGTTGCACGATGGTAGGGCTGCTACCAGTACGGTCCGCCTGGAGACATCGTGATGATTGCAGCTCAATCCCACCCCTCCCCCTTCAGCTTCTCCAGTCCCAACACGTGGTGGCTTGAAGGATGCAAACTAAACTCTGCTACTAATCTGAGCGTAACGCCGCGTGCTATTTCTTGCTGAGAAATAGACACACCCGCCGTCTTCAGAGAAATTGCCTTTATAGCGATACCCTAAGCCGTGAGAACAAGAATAGCTGGATAGAGATTGGTGGACGCCATTGATATGCTGCAGGCTTCTCGAGCATTCCAGATGCTGCATTAGTAGCAAAAGGTGGCTGAAGGAGATTCGAAATGCGTAGTAGAACCAAGAAAGACCACGAGTGGCTGAAACAGAAAAGATAAACTCGGGCACTAGCCGTCCAGCTAAGAACGCTGAAATTGACCGTATACGAGTCAGTAGATGGCTTCTCAAAGCTTCTTTGCTGCGACTCACATGCTTCCAGGCAAATATTTGCCGTCGGTATGTCTCACTGGCTATCGACTGGGCCAAAAGTCAGTAAAGAGCGACTACTCGCTTGAGAGGCCATGTGAACAAGTGTTTTCCAGAATATAGCTACGAAGTATTTTGCTTGTCATGGGTATCCGTCATAGCAAGGGAGAATGGCTCAGACACATCAATGGATTGCTGAGCTTGTAGTGATATCCAGTGAATGTGTTGTGGGAATATTTGGTGAAGCGAAATCCGCTCCTGCTCTCTTCTGCATTCTCTCTATATCTCTCTTTAGGTGAGTGCTGGGCTTGTCCGTCACCTCAGCCTCGGTTTCAGCAAAACTTATACTTGGACCAATACTCCATAGTCTTTTCATTCTCGTGACCCTTTCTCAGTCTTCGTATTCCCTCTGTGGTCCTCACTCCTTTGCATGAGCCTCTCCTTTACTCAAAACTGAGAAAATGTCAGAGTCGGGTTTCGAAATGGAATCAGCGCTCCAATGACCGCTGGCACATAGTATGCCGACCGATTGATCAAGTCTCCAGTCAGCAGACCGATTGATCCGCTATGTTGCTTCGAGTTTTCGCTGCCAAACACCTGATCGTCCGCTGGTCCCAGTTCCATGCCACTGCGCACCAATCTCGCTACTTCTTCCGGCTGGAAGAAAGCTGCCGTGCGAGCCCGTCCCATCTGCTCCGGTTCGGCTGCTGATTCAGAATGCTTGCCCAGCACGACGACCCAGGCAAATGTTTCCATGGCATCTCCGCTGTCGTCCACGCCGCCCTCGATGCCAACCCAATAGTCGGCCTCGGGCTTTGCTTGGCGGGCGTTGCGAGCTCGGTTCCTGGCCCCCTGCAGGGTTTCCGCGTCCGTCATGGGCTGTTCAGCAACGCCGGACGGCACATTGAGCCCAGTAAAGGAGAATGCCCGAGAGGGAAACATGCCGCTGAAGCCCTCCCTTGCGGCTGAGATCTTGACGGGGTTGTGCGAAGCGACAACGACCTGGGTGGCCTGCTCTGTCATCATTTCTTGTTTTTTTCCGCAAGTAGTATAGAAATAATTGCGCTGTAGACTTGCACAATAAAGGCGTTAATCATAGTCTTGGAGCGATTCTTTTCTCGCAAAACTCACGGTGTAGCCCTTTGTTTCTTATATACAAGTTTCAAGCACGATAGCCGGTCCCATTGTGCTGTCAAGAGGGACTGAGGGGCTGCGGGACTAAATGAGTGAGTCTTACGCCGTAACGACCCCGCTATTTACTCGACTCGGGGGCAGAAACTGGGAGGAAAGAGTAAACCGGTAAAGAGTAAACCGCCCCTGGCAAAGTGCAGAGCGCGTCTTGTCTTGGCGCAAAATACTGCCACAGGAAAAGTGAAGAAGAAAGACTGGATACAGAGAAGAAAAGCAGACTATGCTCCAATAAGTGGTTCAAGTAGAGCGTCGGCTTTTCGAAAAGATTAAGGCGGCGGCTGTGGAGGATGCGACAAAGCATCACTTTCAGCTGCCAGCGACAGATAGTCCACTCCCATGGAACCGTCGTCGACGCTGTAGCTGCCATCTTCCTCCAGCAGAGGAATCTGCTGCCCCCAGGCCAGCCCATCAACATCCATATCCCACGGCCAGTCTTGGTCCAGCATATCGACAATGTCCCCGGTGCCGTAGCCGCTGGGGAAAGCGGCATCAGCCCCTTCACTTCCCCAGAACCCGCTGAGTACTTCGCCGCTTGGTCCCCCTTTTTGGAGCGAAGCAACGTCAAGGCCAGCTCCTTGTCTTACGTTGGAAATTTGAGAGCTGGCCTCCAGAAGACGGCTGACGACATCTCTGCTGCGGCGTGCCGTAAGCGACCAGTCTTGCATTGCCTCAAACAGGTCGAGGATCGACTCGACTTGAGCGCGCCACTGCACGACAGATGGACTGTCGGGTTGCCATAGGATACTAACCAGCGGTATCATGGCTGCCTGGTATAAGAACCATACGGCGTTCCACCCAGACATTTGCTGGCGTGTCCACCCCATTGATATGCTATCAATAGTCTCCCGCGCAGCGTTTTGGCAGGTCTGCACGGCAACCACGTCTTGTTCTTCAATGGGTGACTGAGTTTTGCAGGCCAAGGTTAAAAGTACTGGGCGGTAAAGCAGCATGCGCAGATTCCAATACCGCCATATCATGATGCTTCGCGAAAGATGGAGTGGCTCTACACAGGGCTCCGTGGAACGAAGAAGCCAAGGAAGATTGTTGTACCAGTCGACAAGGAGGCTGTCCAAGTGACTGCGATCTGCCGTCTTCAGAAGAGGATTCATTGCGAGCATGTCCTGGACCTTTGTTGCGATTTTGCAGAATTTGATGTTTTCTAGCAGAGGCATGATGCCGGCATACTGTGCAGAGTCGGCTTCTTCCTATTGAGTGTAGCTGTTAGCCGGGATGAAATATCAAAAAAGCGAAACGTTGGTAATACGTATAGAGAGTAAGTCATACTTGCTCTGCGATAAGCTCAGGGGGTTGGATATTGATTGCCGGTCCCCATCGCCCAAACGAAGGTCGGCCTAGAGTGGTTGTGCCCCATGTATCGAGGCAAAACAGCGTCCACCAAGTGCGTCGCCGCGTCTCAATTACTGCAGTGTCAGACTGCTCTTCTGGCGGTGGCTCTCGATGCAGACCGAGAGCGGTTGCCATTCGCAGGATGGCGCCAATGATGGCATTGGCCATGTTTGGACGGTTGATGTAGTGGAGATAATAGCCTCCAAGCAGTGCTAGGGCTTGAATTGTCTCAATGTGGCTACTTCCAAAGGCACTGAGATGAAAGTGCTCTATGGCTTGATTGTAGTACTTGATGTGACTCAGGTTGCTTGACGGCGTAGACATGATGCTGCTTGTGGCAAAGACCATGTTGAGCAGGGAAAGCCAAGGCGCGTCGCATCGACGACCTTCGTTGTAATGCTTACGAAACGAGTTCTCGTCCAACATGGGAGCCAGAACGTGAACACGTTTGAAATATGCGTCGATGAGAGCCTGGCCTTTGTAGGTCCATGGGATGGGAGGGTTTGCTTTGGAGGATCTAGAAGCTGCACGAAAGAGCGGTGTTTTGTTGGTGCGTGCATTTTCATCACTAGAACCATCAGGAGATGACTGTGCCGCGAGCAACACTTGTAGCTGTGGCTGGATTTGAAGCATGACTGTCAAGGCCACCTTGACGGACGATGCACCGAGATACGAGGCCGCTTGTTTGCCCATGGAGAGCGATAGAGCATTGACATCGTCTGCTTCCACCGGCATCTGGTCCTTTTCTCTCCGCTCCTCATCCCATTCGGATTTTGGAGCGGGCATGTTCTCAAGCTCTTGAGGATGCTGAGCCTCATCGACAGAAGGGGGGGTTACGGAGACGTCTACAGTCTCTTGCTGCAATGGCTGGTCTAGGAGATCCCGCAGCTCCTGGCGAGACAGCGACAAAAGTTGGTAGACTTCATGGTTAGGGTACAGGCGCCGCAGCACAGAACGGCACTCTTCAAGGCTCCGTGATATTTCCTCCAGTGATCTAGAGAAAGGAAGTCAGCAGCTGGAGAGACGAAAACGAATAGTTGGAGTAGTTTACTGACTTCCTGGACGGCACAAGACGCTGGCGATGCTGCTCATACACGCACCTCCTCCGTGACCGACTACCTTGGCAGCGATTGCAAGGCTGCTTCCCGTCGCAGCGGATCTTGCGGCGCTGGCACTCGAGACAGGCGTGGAGACTCTTGCCAGCCTTGCCGCCGGCCGCGTCCTGTGACCGATTGCCGTCCGATGACGATTGAGGGGACCGATCCACGGCCTTGCCCTTGACACCCTGGACTGTATCATTCCGCCCCTGTTAGCTAGCTCATCTGGGATGGCGAGAATTAGGAAAGAGACAGGTGAAAATGCAATTGACTGGTTAGGCATGGGGGACAAAGCGAGACTGTAGAAAATGAAATGCATTCGGAATAGGGGCAATCGTTGCATGACGGATACTCCACTCACAAGTGTAAAACATGATGTCGGTCCAGGCCAGATATCGCCAATTGCAGTAGCAGCAGAGGCGAATGGCAGGTAGCAGTGCGTCAAAGACAATCAAACAACAAGAACCAATAAAAACCGTGCATCGAGAACATGAAGAACAGAAAAAAGGAAAGATGTTCAACCTATGCAGCCTGGCTGTGTGCATGCGTGTACAAGAATCGAGAAGCTCGAAAGAAAGGAAAAAAAAAAAAAAGATCCCGAGGAGGGTGAGAAAAAAGGCTCGCAAAAAATGCCCAAATGGCAAGGGCGACGGCGACGGCGACGGGGGTGTTGAGTTTTGCTGACTGCCACAGTAGAAAAATGAGAAAGAAAGACTCACAAGCGGCTGACAAGTGGCAGCTACGATGCTACACCACTCACATGTTTAGGCGCAGGGATAAATCAAAACAAAAATAGAGACAAGGCCTTGGAGCAAGATCAACGCTTTTGAAAGCATCTAGTCTAGTGTGCGGTATTGGACATGCAAGGTGCTGAGAAGTGGAAACTTTTCATCGTCAACGGCGTGTCTCTTCCTTGCCGCCCAGTCAAAGGAGAAGAAAAACTCCCCAAACCAAAGAAAATCCGGGGAAAAAAAGAGGGGGCAGGGAAGCGAATCCTACAGTAACTGCGGAACTGCTGGCGATAATCACTTGCTACAAAGGTACTAGCAGTTGGGTAGCATTCAAAGGAATAAAGGCAAATTCAAATCCAAATGGTTGCAGTGCATATGCAGAGCATTATAGCCTACCCGCAAGGCACATCGAAAAAGGGCTAAAGAAGAAAGAACTAGCACCAGCAGAGCAGCCCAAAGAGCAGGTCAAAGGGAAAAATCGGAGCATCCCACGCAAAACTGCCTACATGGTAGACTATAAGCCTAGTAGATACCCCATGGGCAGGTTGGATTGCGGTCTAGTCTCTTTGCGGGGTGTTACGCCGTTGCAGAAAAAATGCTTCTCCGCGTTGGCGACTGAGGCGATTAGACTGATTAAAGGGAAAAGAAATAAAGACAGAGAGAGAGAGAGAGAGAGTGGGGGTGGGGAAGCGGACTCGGTTAATGTCGCGATTCTGACTGGCACGGAGTTATTGGTGCGTCTGAATGGGCGCCGGAGTAATAGCAGCTGATGCCATTGACCAATACGAAGTATATCCCCATGGTTTCTCTATACGGCTGCTAGTCTTTGAAGCTATTAATGTCGGAGCAGGTAATACGCACTAAACGGCAACAGTTAGCCGCAGAGCATGTCTGTACAAACGATGCAAAGGGGAATAAGAAGCACTAATAGCTTCGTGTACATACAAGTATGGGGCCCCAGAGAAGGGAAGCTCGCTAGTGTCAACGCTGCTGACTTTGGGACTTGAATCCACATGATGGCTAGAGGTCTCCTAATACTCCGTGTATTGCCGCTGGATGTTCGGCTTGTGGGGGCAACAGCTGCCAGAGGTTGTTTATACATGCATGCCAAGATGGGCAGCCATGTCCATATTAAATGCATTCATCCACGCGGGATACTAGCATCTGATTGATGCACGAGGCACACACACAAAGGATATTCATACCAGGTAGGTAGGTAGCAGTCGGGATAAAGGCGAGATGGACCGACTGAGATTCACACTAGATAGGTAAGTACGCGAACAACTGGGTAGCAGTCGAGATTCTGAATGCTGCAGAGTTGGGTTCCCCCCTCGATATCATTATTAGGTACGTTAAACAAAGACTAATGAGATGGCAATAAAGACGTTTCTCTCCTTGTAGGAGAAAAGAAGGAGAAGAGCGTCTCGTACAAACGCAAGCAATCATTGACACATCCAGTCCCGTGACCCTGCGCACAGCTGCATATAGGTTTTTTTTTGTCTTTTATAGGTCGTAAAATAAAACAAGTGGAAAGTCCTCCGTGGCATGTGTGAAGTTCACATCTCCACGCCTAGACCTTCTCGATATTAACGATGCCGCCGTGGTCGTCCACAGCGACGGCCTTCTTCGTCGTCGATGCTTTGACGGGGTTGGGGGCATCAAAGATTTCGTCGAGCTCTTCCAACTATGGAGAAAATGTTAGAAAGATACCAGTGTTGGAGACGGAGTGATTGGTACTTACAGTGCGTCCCTTGGTCTCGGGGATCAAAAAGTAAATGACAATAGCTTGAACAGCATCCTGAACGGTAAAGACAATGTACGTCTTCCAGCCAATGTTCTTCATGGAGACTGGCCAAGCGAACTGGTTCAGGAGACCGGCAGCGTTGGTGGCAAAACTGGAAAAGGCCATGCCCTTGGCACGCTGCTCAAAGGAGAGCACCTCGACGGGGAACAAGGCCTGCAGGGGAGTAATGCCAACAGAGTAGACGGCACCAAAGATGAAGATCATGGCCAAAGAAGCCTTGGATGCAGCAGGGTTGGTGAAGATGGGATTGCCGCCGGAGTCGACGCCCTCCTGCGATGCCGCGAGCCTGGCGGAAGCAATGGTCATACCCAGCCAGACGACGGTGCAGGCAGTGAAGGAGAAGAGCAACAGAGGTCGACGGCCGACTTTGTCTACCAGGAAGGCACCCAGAATGGCCCATGCAAACTGCTGGCAGTTGTTGATGAGGGTGATGTTGGCTTGGGCAATGGTGCTCGTGTAGCCGGCAGCATCGAGGACAGAGCCGAGGAAGTAGGACAGGACGGCGTTGCCAGCCCACTGACCAAAGATGGTGACAACAAGGTTGCAGCCGAGACGGTAGTTGGCGGCACGGTTGCGGAAAAGAGCCCGGTAATCCCACCAGCGCTTGTCAGCACCGTCCATGTTGAGGAGCTGCTCGTACTCAAAGAGCTGAAGGTTGACCCAGGCAGAGTCGGGGTTGCCGTTGCCGTGGTACTTTGTGAGGATGGCCTTGGCCTGTTCCTTTTTGTTGTGAACGTAGAGCCATCGAGGGGATTCGGGAAGGAACATGCAGAAGATGATGATGAGGCCAGAGAAGAGGGCCTGGAGCCAGATGATGAGTCGCCAGGAAAAGTCGCCTCCAGTGTTGAGTCCGCCTCGAGCAGCGCCGGCAGCAAGAATGGCACCGGAGAACCAGAGGGTGTTGTACATGGCTAGAGAGAGAAGGAGACGATGATTAGTACATATCCGCCAGATACGAATTGCTTAGAGGTAGAAAGAAATCGATTCAACGATGAATGAGGGGAGGGTTTGAGCAAAAAGACTTACCGCCAACACGACCACGGTACGCAGGGTGGTTAATCTCAACCACGTACATGGGACCAGCAGCAGCAGCGAGAGAGACGCCGAATCCAAGCAGGAATCGACCGCCCATGAACTGGCCCTGCTGGTTGCCAACACCCTGGATAATGGTGCCGACAATGATGAGAGTGGCACCAGATAGCATGCCAATCCGACGACCAAAGCCATCAATGGTAGGACCGACAAAGGGAAGCGCGGCGACACCACCAATCTGGTACATGGAGGAGACGATGCCAGCCCAGATGCCGTCGTTTTCGACATGGTACTTTGCCTTGAACCAGGGGTTCTGTAGGAGATTGTTGATGAGGGAACCATCGTAACCGTTCATGGTACTACAGAAGAAGGCAATAAGGGAGAAGAAGTAGATGAGGAACTGAGCCTTGGTGTAAGCATTGGGCGGCTCCTTGATCATGGCCTCGGCAAAGGCCTCGTGGCCATGGACAATGGCAGTTCTAAGTTCGCCCTATATGGTCAACAAGAACTGCGTTAGCATTGATTCTACTTTTTTTTTTTTTAACCAATTTCTAGCTTCCAGAAAAGAGATGTGGGATTTGAATCGGGTGGTATGCCATACATGATCTTCCGCTTCATCATGAACCTGAGTCTCGTTCTTTTCGCCCATGGTGACGGTTGTCCGCAGCCCTGTGGCCAGACCAGCTTCGTTCAGCGAGAATTGATTATGTTTCCTGAATCTCTCGACAAAACCCCGTTGCACGAGGGACTATCGAGCAGAGATGAGAGGGATGAGGGGAAAGAAGAAGGAAAAAGACGAGAGGTAGCAATCAATTGTCAGGGGGGCGCTGTCGATTTTATGTTTCTCTCGTCCCTTGCCACTGCGCCGTGCCGCTTCCCCAACCTTTGTCACCCTCTCCCACGAGCTTGGGTTGCCGTTGTTAGGATCAGGCAAATGGCCCCCCCCGGTCAGTAGGGCCGAACGAGAAGGAGTTGCAGCTGCGAATGAGGTCCTGGCAGCATCAGCCTGGCACGTCCAGAGTAGGATTGAATTTCGCCGGCGGATTATCTAAAGCAGAGCAAAGCACCAAGCAGCTGGGCATGCCCGTGCCGCTTATACGGCCATGGTCCCCTTTTTGGCCGCTCATACGACTGCGGTGAGACGAGGCTATTGGACAGAGGCGTCGAGGCGTGGCGTCGACATTCGGCCCTCGCAAAGGATGCGGGGAACGACTCCAGTCCTGAAGAGGGTGCGGAGGGTCCCGCTCCGGATGGCAGGCTGCGTGCTTTGGGAATAGGCAATACGCGACCCCGGGTCCAGGCGACGGTAGGCGGCGACATGGATCCAATGAATAGACATTAGCCTAAGTGGTGCGGATCATCCGCTCTGGGGTATCAGGGCGTCTGCAGCCCGGCGATTGGACCGAGGCCACGCGATGCACGGAGAAATCCTGCCATTGGCGCTGCGGGCTGGAAGCAAACGGCAGAGATGGTGGTGATGTGAAGCTTTTGGTGGTTGCGAGCTCGTCAATATTGATTGCAGAGGCCGGGGCCGTGGTGGTGTTGATGCTGCTTACACTGCGATGTACATGTCAGATGGCCATGATGCCCTGTCAACAAGATGGCCAAGATGCAGAAATAGGCAGAGGCCTGGACTGACTCATGAGGAATCGAAGAAGAGGATAGGCAGGCCGAGACTGTATTGGAGGGAGAGAGCAATATGGACAGAGGCGAATTGTTGATGCCCAAAGTCCTGGCATCAAGCGGTTGGTAGTGCCAAAGCTCCAATGCAGGCTACCGACCTATAATAGGCTGACCATGACATGACACGCCTGGTGTGATTGATATGGGGAATCTCGAGATGTCAAGAGACAAAAAGAAAAAGTCACCGGGATCGGCACACAGGGCCGATGATTCATCAATCGGTTTAATTCCTTGGGTAGCATTCACGACCGGCAGGTGGTTCTTGCCAGAAATGCAAAGTGCCAAGATGAAGAGCCACTTTCCCATGTTTGAATATAGAGCATTTTGTCCCAACGAATCTTGATTTACTTGATTCCATATTCGCAAAGAAGAAATAAATAAAAATGAAGAAAATAAGAGCCATGGCGCCAACTTAGTTTTGCGTCCGCAGCTCGAAAACGGCCCCTAGTCATGTTCTATTACTCCGTCTCTCGTAAAGGCCTAGTTCAACCAACTCTGCCGTTGTTGATTTGATTTATAGGTAGGGTAAAGTATCTGGAAATCAGGAATGCATGCAAGTCACGGCTGCAACTCGCCATTTGCACATCAACTACAACAATCTTACCTACAAACTTGCCTCGTCGCCAGATTCTCGCTGCCCTGGTCGACGCTAGCACAGCCGGACGACGCTAGTGGCCCCGCTCGGCCGTTGCTGTTGGTCAGCCCTGCGCCGCTGTGGACTCGGAGTGGAGACTGGTGCACCAAAACAAGACCTGCTTGTAAACTTGCTTGCACACATGGCATCCGTTGCAAGGAGAGCGTCGACCTGTCTTGTGCATGAGCCCTGCCGTGTAGACTGTCATCCACCGCGAGATGCGCACTTTGACTCTCACTTTGACTCTCATCTTCACTCTCATCTTCACCTTTATATGCATTAGTTTAATACTAGTATTAGGTCCATGCATCATTCGCGAGCCACATACCCAAATGTTAGTACGAGTAAGATGGGAAATGCTATTCCCAGCCATCTACCCAACATGCAAACCAAATCCTCAGGCCATCGACTTTTTCACTCTCGTTTCTAATTTGGTTCCATTTCCAGTCACGTCTGTGTGCCACAACTCCAATATCGTCGTGACTCCTGATTGCCCCTTACTCCCTACCATGTGCCTACTCCATGCTCCAAGCTCCAATTCGCCATTTGTGCATCAACCATGTTTTATGCAGCTCCGTTGCATATATTGCCAGCCAAAGAGCATGTCCAACGAATAGCATCTCCACGGAGCTCGAGAGAATCCTTGGATCCTCCCGGCACTCGCCACCGTCAAGCTGGAGCATTAGCGAGCTCCAAGCCATGGGGCATCGTATGGAGTATGGAGAACGGCCCGCCGTTTTCTGCCATGTGCATTAGTTCGATAGCATCTATTGGGTCCGGATTGTTCGTGGGCCACATACCTGGCTGTTTGCAGGAGCAGGATAGGAAATACTATCGCGTCTCCAGGTATGGAGGAGCACCGTGGCGGCTTATTACCAGGTATCTACCCAATAGGCAAACCAAATCTTCAGGCTATCGATTTTTAACTCTCATTTCTAATTTGTTTCTATTTCCAGTTACCCAACCAAGACCGAATCCTTTACTCATTTCTCCTACAGGCCAACAGCCTTTGCGCTCAGTGGCCACAGTTTTCCCGCCTCAATATCGCTAATGGCCGCGGGGCTAACGCAATCGACATAGTAATCTGCTATCCGAGCCCTTTGCTCGATATACGCGCCGTTGTGAGCTGGATCATGCGAGTTGTTAGTTACCGCTAGTAGTGCTGCCGGCAGCTGAAGAAAAGGTTCGGGAGGTAGGCCAAGAAGAAGAGAAACAAAGGAGGCTACCGAGAGACGACATACCCTTGAGGACTGGGTCAAAAGATGCAAAAACGTGAGAAGAGACACCTCGCTCTGGGGAAATCAGCTCCGGTATTTGCCAGCCATATGGCGCTCCACCCATTCGAGAAACTCTCCCTGCAGAGAGGACGTGTTAGCAATCTGATAGCTCACGACAAACAACAGTTCAACATACAGGTTTCCTCTGCGTCTTTTCCAGGTGAAAAGTCAAGATGGGCGGCCAGATGGGTCGTCCCAATCGCTCCTGGGTTCGCACTGAATGACAGAAGCCCGCGGTCTCCCAGCCTCTTGGCAAGTTCTCTGGAGAAGAGAATGCCGGCCGTCTTGGACTGAGCGTACGCCGCCCATTTTTCGTACGTTTTACCTTGCTGTGTTATTGATTAGCACACTGCCCTTTGCCTCCTTTAATTCTGGATTTGTGGTGATGAAATGAAACAAGTGTGCATAGGTATGGCCGACCCCTTTAGACTTTCGCTCTCGACTTACATCAAAGTTGATGTCCGCATGACGAATGCCGCTAATGTAATGCGCACCGCTGCTGATATTCACCACTCGACCGTCCTTTGCCGCGAGGATCTTGTCCAATATCAAGTTGGTGAAGAGAAAATGGCCGAGATGATTGGCTGTAAATTGCTTTTCAAACCCGTCGACGCATATTTCGTAGGGCACCGCCATGATGCCCGCGTTGTTCACCAACACGTCAATCACGGGGACGTCGCCCCAAGAGTTGACCTCCTCAGCCGCCTTTCGCACCGAAGCAAACAATGTCAAATCAAGCTCCAGCACTTTGGTCTTGACCTCTGGGTGCGCTTTGGCTACCAGTTCGGCCGTTTGCTTGACCTTGTCCAGGCTCCTTCCCGCGAGGATAATCAGCTTTGGCTGGCCTGCCGCAACCGACTCTACATATGTTGCGCCTAGAGTGTTGGGAGAAACGCCAGTAGTGAGGATGGTCTTGCCCTTGATGATGGAGGCGTATTCAGCGACCAACTCGGGCCCTGTGATGGTATCTGGATATGGGTAAGGCATGTTGGAGATCAAGTTTGACTCTTCTTTTATTGCGACAGAGGTTGAAACTGAGCAAGGCAATGCCACGCTGAGCAAGGAATCGAATAGAGAAGCTTTCATTGAAGAATCGCGGGAGAGGGGATAAACCAGCGTCTTTATACCCCCCTCAGACGGCTCTAAAGAACAGAGCTTCGGACCTCTTCTGCTCCTTCTCCCCCGGTTCCTGCTCTCTTGTCCGTATTTTAGTTCTTGGTTGACAAATCACTATTTCCTTGCATATTCTCCTACTGGGATACCCTTTTCCACATAAGAAAAGGCGCGGCCTCTTTCCCATCTAATCGTTGCTTTCCATCGATCACAACTGCAGCTAGCGGGTGTTTTGGTGTTTCCTGGTTGGCTGGCTGGCTTGTCTGCAAATTCCTGAAATGGAATACGCGCCCCAGGCTCGGTCCAGTGATTGGTGGCGCTTACAAGCGCTCATCGTGGCCATTTTTATGGAGCAGGACAGCAGCCGATAGCCTGATGGCCTTTTGTGAATAGTGATGGTCTGTTGCTTCCTAATACTAATACCTTTTGGAGGATTAATCATCTTGCGGCTGTGAAAGGGGCAGATTAGTAGGTATTTGTGGCTTCGCCGTACGTGAATGGGTCTCTCGCATGGGTTTCTTGAACGGGTAGTAGTAGATGGCTTGGATTTAGGCTTGGATTTAAGCTCCGATGGTGCGCCGTGAGTTACAGAGGAGACCAAGGATGAGCTCCGAGCCGAGTTGGCGAGGATGGAGGCAACAGGTCCATCTCTCGGAACGAGCCGATTCGATTCTGCACACGCAGAGAGCGGGTATTCAACCCATGCTCGGTTATGCTATCAACTTGATTCGTACTGATATCCATGGTCTCTTTTCTTGATTCATGGTAAAATAGATGTTCATAGGGGCAAGCAAAGCTGCTTCGTGAGAGAGCGGGCTTTTCTGCCTCTTCTTCTGTGCATCTTTGAGGTAGTTGGTAGCGGTTGGTGTGGTTTGGTTAATGTCGACACTGTTTTGTTTCTGTCTCACCATCTGAGATATTCTTTGTTCTTCGCGTTCCAAGCGGAGGACGAGATCGTTCATGATTGCGCTTCCTCTCACCAAGGCTTGTCGCGTCGCAATCAGCGCATCTGTTGCCTCCGTGATTATTTAGTCAACGTTCTCGTCGCGCGTCTCAATTCAGTTCAGTGCCATGTCAAATTGTACCAGGTTTTCTCTAGTACTGTCAACATATTAGTTGAGAGTCGCGCAGTTAGTTCTAACAATCTCAGCGAGTGTCTTCATTCTAGCAGCAAGGTCGCCTTGCATCATCCAGATGTCTTGCTCAAGTTTATTGCCAGTTGCTTTAATAGTTTCATCAATACTACCATAAAGTCCAGTGCTAAGATCAATAACAGCATCCATCTCTATAACAAGTTCCTTTTAAGCGGCCTAAATAGTTTCGTCAGTGTCAGTGTTTTATTTATTAACCATGTCAAGGATGAGATTGACTTTTCTCATGAAATCATCAATTTCTTTTCCCAATGTTTTGCCTCTTCTTCTCTAGCCTCTTTACCTTGTTCGAACGAAGCCGCCTAGGTTGATCGAAGCCGCGTTGTTTGAACCTAATTACATGGCTGATAGAGCGTTAAAGTAGTAATTGTAATTTATTTTTAATCCAAGATACAAAAACACTTCAACTCTACAAAAGCAACATCGCGAGACTTGCGTTTTATATGTAAAGCAACAACAAAACAGAGTCTTGTTTACATTAAAAAGCGGTAAACTTAGGCAAAAAGGACTAATTGCTAGTTGAGATTTATTTAGACTTCCCTAGCATTGGCATTTTATCTAATTAATAAAAGCAAAGCTGGAAGCTGGCATTTGACTCCGGTGGTACCTTCGCAAAGCAGCTTCGCAGCTTTGCTTGATTAGGAGATCATATCTTGAAGAGCCAGTCACTGTTGAGAAGCACAAGCTTGCCTCAATGATCAATCTGCAATTATAAAATGGAACCAAGCATCGTCGGCAAAACACTGCGTTAAACAACTCTCATTCATAATAAATCTCGTCTCCACCAACGAAAAGACTGATGAGACTACCCTGTTGCCATGCTCGCTCTGTGGCATAAATAGATCACACAAGCATGTAGCTTTCTTCCTCATTCCCAAAATAACTAGCAAAAAAATAAAAAAAACGACACAATCATGAAAGTAGGTGATGACAATGACAATGATAAGAATAACCAATATGACCATGCAACACATTAAAAAACCGGTAATAAAAGACAACGCGTAGAAAAAAAAAGAGAGAGGACACAAACATCAAACCTCTGCTCGCCAACAACAGCATCCTAGCTAGACAAGACAAGATGACATAAACAAGACAAGACCAAAACAGTAAAGGCAACAAAAATCCCGTACAACAGATGTGGTATCCGGCAAGGTCACATTGTCAATATCAACTCCAATATGTGCCCCAGCCTTTGAACGTTGCCTGCCTCGTGGGCAAGTCGTAACCAACTCTTTTTTTCCTTTTCGTAAGACTGTGAAATGTTTTCTAAGAATCCTCCCAAACCCACTTCCTCTTGCCTTCCGTTTCTCTCTTCATTCTTTCCCATGCACACACGTGCCTCCCTTCCCTATTTCTCATCCTTCCACCCTTGTTGTATTGCGAACGCAAGCGAAAATACATCATACTGCGCAAGTGCTTGCTTGTTGAATAAAGGAGGGAAAAAAAACTTGAAACTCAAACTCGCAGGCTTCCATTCGTGGCTCGTAGATTATTCGTATATCTTCCATATGCTTCTCTTCTGTCTTCTTTGCTCTTGCTCCAAATCGATACTCATATCGCGTCTATTCCTCTTCTTCTTCAATGGGGGCCGGAGTGCGACGCTCAACGCGTCTCTTGGGCCGCCTGTGTCGGCTGCTGCTGATATTGCTGGCCGAGTCATCGGGGTAGAGATCATATTCCTCCATCTGCCAGTCCTCCTCGCTGGCGTTGCCAGCATCGCTCTCAGCCCATGCAGGTCGCTCGTAGGTTGAGTTTAGAGAGTTGCCAGAGCCGGGAATAGAGAGCACGTCGATGCGCTTTCGGCTCTGGAGATTCTGCATAAGGCCGGCTCCACGCTGTCGCAGTGCAGTCCGAACAATCTCTGCCTGGTGGTGCAGCTTTTCAAAAGCATCCTCCAACGCTTCCATGCCCTGGTAAATCTCTCGCTCAATCTCAGCAATGGCTGCCATCTCCATCTCCTCATCGTTGGATACCGGGGGTCGGCTCCCACCCATACCGGAGGAAGTAAGGCTGATGAAAGACGCGGGAGTCGCATTGCGGGAGTATGGAGAGAAAGGAGTGCCGTTTCGCGAACCCATGGCTGAAGGACCGCGGAAGGGTGTTGGGCCTCTCGACTCCACGCCGCCAAAATCGTCGCCGTCAGCGCCCGACCATAAGAATCCGTCAAATCGGCCTGATGTTAGAATCTCCCATTCTTGGCTATTAATGTTGGAGAGGGTGATGAGAAGGTCGTGGGTATGGCGATTCTTAATGAGATAGGTAACGCTCTCTGCATCACGAGGAACCTGCTGAAGGCGGTACAGCCGCTGCAAGGAGAGACCAGTCTTGATGATGAAATCGTTGCGTGGTCGGTTAAGCGGAGTGGGTGCACGGGTGGCAGGCCTCAGCTCCTTTGATCCGGATAAGAGGGCGTTGAAATAGGGCCGGTCCTCGGCGTCGAGATTGGTCAGGATGGCGAAGCTCAGCGTCTCGTCATCGACCTCCTGGGGAGGTGGAACAGGCGTTTCGCCTGTGCTGTGAAGCCACTTGTCGACGGCAGACCGGACCTTCTTTGACTGCCGCAGATAGTGTTCTCTAAACTCCTCGGCGATATCAGGGTCCAGTTGGATGGGAGAGTCTGGCCTCCGGGGGGTTTCTCCTGATACCTCGGCCGCCTTGCTGCCAATGTCTGCCAAATCAAAGGGCGGCCATTGGGGCAGTTCAATGCGACCGCTGACCCATTCGAGCACATCACCCCAGTTCAAGCCGCGGTGGGGTTCGTTGGACTTTTCGCATATGATGCAGGAGCAGCCGTGGGGTGGCAAGTCTCGAGAAAAGACATTCTCCAGCCGGTCAAGCAGACGACGAGCGACTGATCGATGGCCAGTGGCCACGGCGACCGATCCTTGCTTTGTGAGAACGGTATGATACTGGTCCAGGAGGCTCACAAAGGGCGTGAAGAGCGTCTCGGCGCCGGAGAGTGGTGATTGTGAGGGCCTGGAGCTGCCGTTTGGGACGGGTAGAACGGACAAAAAGTGCCTCGTAACGGGAGCCGACAGACCACCGTTTTGCAGTAGGTAGTCCACCCTGGGTATGTCGAGGACATCAACGGCAGGAGGCGGAGGTGGCGGCGGGATCGGCGGCGGAGGATGAGAGGGCGCCTTCATGGCGGGCGTGGCCGTACCTGAGGCAATGGTGGATGCATAGTCGTCGCCGTCAACGCCAGAGGCGGGGGTGCGAGATCGCTTCGAGTCGCCATAGAGATGAGAGGGGAATTGATGAGCCTGAGTTGGCGTCTTGGGAGAAGAGTCCTGGGCACTGGAGGGAGACGAGTCGACGTGGAGCGGCTCAGGCTTGCTCTTTTTTGCGCTGCGAGTTGACGATGACCGCTTGGATGAGTGGCGTGAATGTGAGGCCGTGCTGGACGAGCGTGATAGGACAGACGACCGAAGCTTGTCGTGAATCTTGTTTGTGGGTGAGCGTATCAAGGTCGCGGCGCTGGTTGACGAGCGGCGGCTAACCCTTGAGGATTTCTCCTCGGCGGCACGGGACGCCGACCTGGAAACCGTAGACCTGTTGCCGCGGTCCAGAAGTTCTTCGGCGCGTTTCCTGGCGGCAGAGACGTCCGTATCGGGAGGTGTGGGCGGTCGAGATCGGGACGACCGTTTGGAAGCTGATCGAGGAATGTCGTCAGGGGCGAGATGGTTTTTGGATCGACGCTCCTGATCTCCGCCACCCGAGGCAACGTCGGTAGGCTCAGGCGTCAGCGGGCTGGAAGCCTTGGCCTGAGAGGTCGAGGAGCCGGCAATGTCTTCGCGGCTGTTGACGGCCTCTTTGCTGTGCGCCTTGTTAAACGACGGGTAAGGCAGCGAGATGCGGTCCTTTTCGATGGAGAGCTTGGACATTGCGTCGACGGTCAGGTCGGACATGCTGACTGGGCGCTGGGGCAGCAGGCGGTCCCGGTCCCGGTCCCTCTCGCGGTCTCGATCGCGATCTCTATCCCTATCTCGGTCCCGGTCAGATTCCTTCTTGCGGTGGCGCCTGGTGGACGAGGTGAGCGAATGCGTGTCGCTGGAGCTGCGAGCGGATTTCGAGGAGCGGTGGGGGCGGTCTCGGTCAGGCTTGCGCTCAGATTTGGAACGACGGGCCCTGTCGCGCAGGCGTTCGTCGTCGACATTGACGTCGGCGTCACGTTCCTTGGACGGCATTTCGAATCACCATCGGGGCAAGTTGCGCTGCGTTGGGTTGAGGGGCGGCTGGATTCGTGGTGGTTGGTTTCTGCGGAGGCTGCAGCGGTTTTGAGCAGGGGTTCCTTTTTTGGAGCTGGCTTTTTGTGTGGTGTTTGCTGTCTCTTTTTTTTTTTTTTTTGGTCCCTTGTGTGCAAGTGGGAAAGGAGGAGAGGAGCACAAGGCGAGTCAGGATAGGACAGAAGGAGGATGACGATGGAGACGCAGGCAAACAAAAGCGGCGAGCTGCAGATGAAGAGGGGAGAAGGAAACGAGAGAAGAGGATGATGTGCAGGTTGGACAAAGAGTGAGGGGACGGTGAGCAAGGGATCAGCCCGAAATCGAAATCGAAATCGAAGTCGATGCCGGAAGCTCTTGCTTGGCTCACTCAGGCAGCGACGACCCCTACTAGAGCTGCTAGAGACAAAGACGGGGCCTGGAACTGGAAGGGGAGTACGGGCAGGTACGAGACGCAGTGGTACCTGTCAGGTGATACGAAGCGCTGTGACGAACGGGCTTTTCGCTTTTAGGGGCTCGCATAGGGGGGATCACAGCAGGCTGGGCTCAGGGAGGCGGTACTAGAAGGGAAAGTACCTGGACTTTGCGATGGGGTGGGTCAGCGGCAACAGCACAGCTTGGAGGTGGGCAGATTTTAGCGGTCGTGTGGCCTGGAATCTGCCTTTTGTTGCTTGATGCGCGAGTCTTTGATGCATCTGATCGTCCAAAGTCAGTCAATGGATCTGCCCTGCCTGTAATCGCGTCGCTAGAGCGCAGCTTGAGCTGCTGGCAGCGCAGGGGCGGTGCATCAAACCAGCCCCGGGGCAAAGTGCCAAAAGTCGAGAAAGCTGTGGCACTTTCCGGAGTTGAAAAGCATCAATCGGAATGACGAACCGCTAGCTCCATCATCTCCCTCATCCTCGGTGCGACCCCAAAGAAAAAGGACTCTGCAAGGGCACATGTAAGAAATGGCACAATATAGATACGCAAGAATGCTATTGCATGCTATTGGAATTGATAGTTGAAAAAGTCCATCGCCTCCCGTAACAAACAATGACGCCCAACCATGTGTGGAAAAAAACGCTGATGATGCCTTACCGCGGGTGCTCCCAAACGCCTAAAGCGCGGCCCGGGCAAACGGTGCGCCCAATCCGTGCCACTCAGAAACAGCCATCCATAGCAGCTGTCACACCTAAAATTGGCAGCACTGGAGCCCTCTCCCGCACCAAAGCAGCAACTTCGATTTAGCGGCACATCAAAGTCTACAGCTGGCGCCAATCACAGCCCAATGGAGGGGGGAACTGACCGGAATGATTGGCTGCACGGCTTTTTTTTTTCCCTTGTCCCTCTTGCGCCCCTCCCCTGACGTGGCATCCGGCGCTTCACCTTTTTGTATTGCACGTGCTGGCATTTGAGTTTGGAATATGTTATGGAATTCACGGAAGAAGACTACGTCTGATCCATGTGGGCTGCTGAAGCATCAAGTGCTGACGTATGACGACGAGTCTAAGGGAAGAAGAAGACTACTACTAGTAGTATTCCAAGAGTGTCTACCTAGAGTTCTCACTTGACGAAACAGATGCTGCAATGTAGAAGCTCGTATGACACTCACACGGAGCTTCTATAGATGCATTACCCCTCAACAGGATGCGACGTACAGAAATTCTATATGCACTCTTCGTATAAACGACGCAGCATCACGCCAATCGCATCCATGGCGCATGTTCAACAGCGGAGACATGTCGCCGCATGCAGTTGCAGATGCCACCACTTTCGAGCAAAGCAGATAAATTCGTACATGTATCTCGGGCCAGTAGTATCGACCGAACCAAAACGCCCCGAAACAATCTCAACTAAAAGCTGCTGCTTCCAAATGGGCCACGAGAAATAGAGACGGCAAATGCGAGTCAATCGCTGTTGTCAAGGCGGACAGTTTCTCTGTGCCGCCACATGTTGCTATAATAGAGTCTTGTATGTCTTTTACCCCATGCCAACTCTAGCTGTTAGGCACTTCATCTATTTCATCCATCCATCTATGCAAAATAAGCCATTGACCAAATGCTTTTGGGGACTCTCTTCTCCATCTGTGAAACACAAATCCATCACATGTATACTATATCCAAACGCCAACTCTTTTTGCCTCTTCCAAGTACATATATCCATACGTGTTGAGAGAAAGAACAAACGGCACAAACGGAACTAAAACGATAAACAAAAGACAAAAAGCAACGCTGATTTACAGACGATCCAACAGGCCGCGGCTCTCGAGGAGCAAGATGATCTCGTGCACAATAGAGCGGACGTTCTGCTTGGTCAGATCAACAGTCAGATCGGCCTTCTGAGGCGCCTCATAGGGGTCGTCGACACCGGTGAAGCCCTTGATCTCGCCGGCACGAGCTTTCTGGTAGATGCCCTTGCGGTCCGTCTTCTCGCAATGCTCGAGGGGCGTGGCAACGTGGACCAGGAAGAAGGGTCCAGACTTTTCAACAAGCTCTCGAGCGTGCTGGCGGGCATCCTCATATGGCGCAATAGGAGCAGCGATGACGGCAGCACCGGCCTTGGTCAGCTCGGAAGCAACAAAAGCGATGCGACCAATGTTCAGGCTTCGGTCCTGACGGCTGAAGCCCAGCTCGGATGAGAGCTCGGCACGCACCGTCTCACCCAGCAGCATGGATACGGGTCGGCCACCGCCCTGGTTCAGTGTCGCCTGGAGGGCACGCGCGATCTGGTCCTTGCCGCTGTTCTGGTAGCCCGTCAGGAAGACGGTGAAACCCTTCTCACGCGGCAATGGGTTCTGCTCTCGCAACACCTTGACCACCTCGGGGTAGGAGAACCACTCGGGAATCTCCTTACCAGTCCTCAGGCGGTTTCGCAGCTCTGTGCCGGAAATGTTCATGGTGCGGGTGCCCTCGGGGATCTCGTTGGCAGGCATGTACTCGTCACGGTCGGGGATGTAAATCATCTCCTGGAACTCGACCATCTTGATGCCGAGCTCCTCCTGGTGCTCCTGCACGAGGATCTGCGCATCATAGGGGCCGTAGTGGTCCTTGCCGTTCTTGTTCTTGCCGGGGCCGGCGTGGTCACGGCCGACAATGAAGTGAGTGGCGCCGTGGTTCTTGCGGATGACGGCGTGCCACAGAGCCTCACGGGGACCACCCATTCGCATGGCCAGGGGCAGCAGAGCGAGAGCAGCCATGCCGTTGGGGTATCGGGGCAGCAGAGCGCGGTAGACGCGAACTCGGGTGAAGTGGTCGATATCACCAGGCTTCGTCAGGCCGACAACGGGGTGGATGAGCACGTTGGCTTGTTGGGAACGAGCAGCTCGGACCGTCAGCTCACGGTGAGCGCGGTGCATGGGGTTTCGGGTCTGGAAGGCCACAACCTTTTGCCAGCCGAGCTTGTTGAAGTGGGATCGCAACTCGGAAGGGGTGACTGTATAGAATCAACTGGTGATTAGTGGTCTACTCTTTGAATTTTGCACGGGAACGATGTCTCTAAAATAGAGTGAAACATACATCGCAGATCGAGGAAGTCGTAGTGCTCAAGACGGCTGATGGCCTCGAGCTTTCCGCCAACGTAAAAGTCCTTGGCGACGCTGAAGAGGTGCTTGATGCCGGGATGGGTGTCGTCGTCACTGCCAAAGACCAGCTTGGCCTCCTGAATCCTGGATTACACACATAGTGTTAGCTCTCTGACGAGGACTTTTGATTGTTTGGCAGTCTGCTTGATAGGCCAATTGGCTCCTACCAGACGACTCGCCAGTTTCAATCGCATTGTCATTGGAGCTTACTTGTCTGGTCTGTACACATCATCGACGGTTAGGATGGCCAGATCCCGATCATCTCTGAAGTCGCGCAGCGTAATCTTTGCGCCCGGCTTGATGGAGAGCTCATCAATCTGTGCCTGGTCGACGTCGAGGGTGATGGGCATGCTGAAGAGCAAGCCATTCTCGAGACGGTTCTCCTTGACGACTCTGTTGTAATCTTTTTCGGTCATGAAACCTGCATAGCAAAACAACGTCAGTAATCGCGGCCATACAAATCAACTGCGCCTGTCTCTGTGTCTCTCTTTTGCCCCTCCCCTTGTCGCCTTCATTTGCGCCAACACTTGCGCCAACGCGGGGCAAGTTGAATCCTTGCGATCCGCATTGCGCGCAAGCTTGGAGGGGCTTTGCGACCAGCACTAATCCAACTGCGACGGCAAACAAACTGTGGCATACCTTCCAGGGGCGAGAAACCGCCATTGAGAATGAGCTCCAAGTCGCAGAGATGGCGCTCGGACAGCACAAGCGCAGGAAGAGTCTCGGCCTGCGCCAGCAGCTCGGCCTGGCGAGGCAGATCGCGGGCAAAGAGGTCCTTGAGGACGCCGCCGTGGGGAGAGTTGGCCATTATGACGATGGTGGGGTGGCCAAGCTTGAGAGGATAAAATGGTGTCAACGGCACGACCAGTCACGCAACAGGCTCTGGTGAAGGGAAACGACAACGAAAGCAGGCAACAGGAGATTGCAAGCTGAGGGATAGCAAAAGAACAAGAAGCGAGGACGACAAGATGAAAGAGTCGCAAGCAAGGGAGATGAAGAGAGGAGAAAGGAGGAAGAGGATCGATGGGGGCGGGCGTCTCAACGCCAGACTATAAATGCTTTTTCTCCTCTGGGGTCGTCTCGGAGATGCTAAAACGCCAACGATCCATGGCCCCGAAAAAGGTACATTTGGCATCTGAAGTGCAAATCTGTAGAGACACACCTGGCAGATTGGTGATCCCGTAAGCAGCCTCGCAGGAACATCTGCCTGCTTCTCTTGTTCCCTACACCACTCCCACCCCACCGGCTGCCCATGGGAAAACTGGCCCATGCAGTCGCAATTCGCAGCAGCTACAGTATTACTCGACAAATGCTCCACAGAATAGGGAAAAAAGACTGGGAGCGGTCCACCGCAGCCATAGAATGGCGGCATTTGGCTCGAGATTCTGGCGATGACGTGCTCGAGAGCGATGCTCCGGGTCCCGCATGGCTTGGAGGCCAGGCCCAATCAGCAACGAGCAGATGTCCGCAAAAGCCAGTCCGAGTATGAGACGACCAAAGCAAAAGGCCTTTTTCCTTCAACAGACGGGGTAATTGTCTCCATTGAATGGATTAGCCACAATTGCGAAATCTCGGACCATCGGCGGTGGATGCCGCTGCCTCTCTCTCTCTTTTTTAATCCCTCCTGTTCCTTGCCGTTTGATTTGAGGCTGAGGAGAGCGGCCTGCATACGTAAACCTGCTGCTGATCGTCACTGGAGATCCAGACTGCTTTACATGTAAAAACGACGGAACCCTAGCCGAACGTAGATGATCGACAGGGTGAAAGATTGGAGGATATTCGGTTCCATACAACTCACCACCAGCCATATTCCTATGCAACCGAGTATCTGCCAATCTGTCCATGCCCCCAGTCCAATCCAGGATGATGACAAAACGGCTTGGATGGAGGGAATTAACACAAGAAGCCCCAGTCCCGCCGACTAGCCACGGGCTAGGCACCGTCTAGTGTCTCCACGTCCTTCGGGCCATCGCTTGCTCTTGATTCTTTCTTCGCCTTCTGCAACGTTCGACCGCCTAAACCTGGTGTGAAAAAAACCGGTCCAGATTTCACCACCGGACGCCTCGATTTCGCCATTTTCTTTTTCGGGAAGGCCCCCTGGTTTGGTGCCAGTCTTGGGGTGTGTTGCGTACATCAAACTCACGCTTGTAGCTGCGGTTCGCCAGCGGCTCTCGGGCTCCCTGTGGATTATCTTTCTTCTTCGGGCTGTCGGCGGGCGGTTGGATTTGAGAAATCGGTGGAGAGTCATGATATGTACTGCGTTAATCCCATGCTGTTAGTATATTTCTTTGCCGTAATTCTATGAGCTCTTGATCCATCCATACGAGCCTAAAACATATTCACTGTTGCAATGGTACCTGTGCGAGATCTGAGCATGTGCCTGTAAGCAAGCTGTACGCAAAAGAATTCCGCGTTGAACCTGCTAGGCACTGGAGTGCTAAATAACTTCACTCTTTATTTTTGGGGTGTTGGATAACAAAACTGGGGTGCTGGAGAATGGCTCCCTTTATTTATGTCTAACTACATCAAAAAGAAATAATATCTAATGCCATCAAAAACAAACAACAGAAACTGTAAAAACCAAAAATCAACTGCCAAAATCGGTAAAGTCGGTGAAATAAACAAGGTGGCAAAATCTCAGTATCGCTCAGTGCGCTGGTTTTGGTGTCAATCAACAAAGAAACAAGCTCGAAAAGAAAACAAAAGAAAACAAAACAAATACGCAAAGTGTTCATGCCCTGTCTAGGCCAAATAGCTACCGTCTCACTGCTCAAACTGTAAGGCTGAATATAATGCCCGCGATGGCGGCTGCGCTCTTGAGTGTCGCATATTTAAGCCACTTTATATCGTTGTCGGCTCTGCCTCGGTATCCCGCGAGTCCCAAAACCTTGAGGCAGGGAGTCTGGTTGGTGTAGTTCTCATTGTTAAACTCCTTGCCACAGCACATTTGGTCATTCTTATGTGCTGGCCATTCTTCATATGCTGGTTATCGTATTAGCATCATTCTCTCTTCTAATGCGGGGGAAGGGGAGGGTTTCAAACGTACAATCAGGTGTTGCTGGTGGCATTATGAGTCCATGATTGACTGCTTGGTTGTTCTCAGCCCATTGGCTGATCAATCGATTGAGGTTAAAGTGTCCCTCCTTTGATCTGGTTATGAACAGATCCTTGGCAACACTCAGCTGGGCCAAGGACTCAATGTCGTCTCTGGGGATGGATGTTGCCAACTTGTTAGAATTCCAATCGTCCACATATGGCATCTTCAAATTGCAATGGCCAATGGGATGGAGGCTGTTCATCGACTGATAAGTGCCTCCAACGAACAGGATCTTGATACCGAATGCTTGTTTCATGTTGGCGCTTGCATAGGCTAGCTGTAGCCTTGAAGCGTTGACTAGGATGATCTTTTTGCCGTACAACTCACCTTTTGTCCAGACGAGGTCGTCGTTGTTTCCAACTCTAATACCTTGCTCGGCATTGGGGCCGAGCAGTGGCACGGTATAGAGGTACTCGGTGGTATCGGGAATGATCCACCCAATGGGCCATTCGGCTGAAGAGCTTGCCATGATGAGATGCAAGGAGATTTTCGGAGATGAGATCTGGGAGTTTGAGAGTTGGCGTTTCAAGGCTTGAGGCTAGAGAGGTGTCTGGAAGAGTAATGGATGCCTGGATGGTGTGGTTGTTGGAGTGTGTTGTGGTGTGTAGAAGGTTTGTCTTGTCTGAATTGCTTCGAGATGGTAATCAGACGGTCGGATCTGCCTCTTATTATAGTTTTTCGAGCAAGACTCAAGATGAGTATTGCTATTGTGCATACTCTACTACGACGGCAACATTCAAAAGGCCTTTGTGATGCTGTTTTTCAACATGTAAAGCCATGCCAAGTCCATACTATTAGAAGCGTCTCCTTGTAGCAAACGTTATGTTCATAAAAGTCTTGAAAGAGACAAAGCATACACCAAGATGTTGTTCATATCAATTTCATGTCGTCAAGAGCAGCTCTGTGTACGAATATGTTCAAAAAGAAAACACATTGATTGTTCGCCGTGAAAAGCTCTCTTTGTTATATTCTGTTCGGAAATGTTCCAAAGAGGTGAACTGCAACAACCTCACATCATGAAAGTGGTGTTTCCTGTTGCGTCATGTTCAAAAGGCATATAATACAAGTAATACAAACACAAAATGCGACAGGCAAAGACTGTTTATTCTCCCTTGGATGTTCATCAACAAGCATTTATTGTCGCTCACTGATCTTTGGCAGACTGCGATTTTGAAAGACATGAAAGAAAATGATGAGAAATACGGCAGGTGAGATTAAAAAAGCCTCAAAGAATGCCTTTGGAGAAATAAATAAACGTCTACCTGTACTGAAAGTAACATGAGAAGAAATAGGAAGAAAACGCCGGACTGGACAATCCATCAATTGATGAGTCCGTTACAAAAGAATCGTTTCCCTTGTTCTTTGCTTGACAAAGGTATGAATAGCAAGGCCTATGATGTGCATCTCTTTTACATTTATTTCCACATCAAATCACTCTCTACGAATGCAATAGCTAGAAATATTTCGAAATAAAAAAGAAAGATTAATGACTAACAATGGTAATGCTGATAAAACTATGCGAACAAACAATGGGATAGAAAGCATTTTCGGCTAGCCTACCTGAAAGCATTCCCCTCCTTTGATGACCCCCCCCCCCCCCCCCCCCCCCACCCCCTTTCATGGTGCTTCAATCAGTTCAATGATGGCCCTTGTGGTCACCGCAGCTGCCTCACGCAATTTCGTACCAAGGCAGGTAAGTTGCGCCATCGCCAGGAAAGTGTCTATTCAGGCCTCGGATTACGATGCACGGCAGCCTAAACTCGATATCCAATCCACAACACATGAGGTTTTCCCATTCTTGTGGGTCCCAGTGTTTATACATGGGGCGGGCGTTGACGACGTAGTTGGTGCCCCTGTTGTGTATGAGAATTTCACGCCGGTCCTCTCTCATGTATTTGTCGACGGCGTGTAGAAGGCGGTTCGCGTTTACAACAGCCGTGGGTGTGACGGTGCTCTCTGCGTCGAAGAATGCAAACTCATTCGTGGCGGGAAAACCAATTACGCAATCACCCAACATGAGATTGGGATGTTGTGGGAAGTTTAACGAGTCGTCCACCCCGCCAAGGATAAACATTTGGAAAGTGTCTCTGTCAAGGAATCTGTGCATGAATGAAGCTGTTTCGGAGATGCGGTTTCCTTCAGAATAGGCCAAAGTGACGTGGCAGTTGCCAATTCTACCAAACACAAGATGAATCCGGTCTCCGTTGTATTCATAGACTTGCGGAGCCTTGTCGAGCTGAAGTTGATTCTTGGCATATAGCTGGGCGGCGGCAGAGCCAACTATCCATGCTATGGAGTCCATTGGCTGGACTATGCAAGTTTCAGAATGGGATATTGGACTTTTGGTTGGGGGAAGAGGTAAGTGGTGAAACTGCTTGATGTATGCTGGTATGAGTATCAGATTCTTGATGTATGGTGACATGTATGTAAAACGGACATGTTTGCATCTTTATATACTTGCCAAATGCTCCAAGCGACGCATGCTGTAGGTACATTACTTGTTACAAGTGTCAAGATAGCTGACATTGTTTACAAGAAAATATAGCTGTTCAGTATTAAAAGAAAGATGCAGTATAGTTGAACATGGCTTGGCACCATGTACAGAACAATGATGATTGTTGAATTGTGGCATTGTGTAGTATTGTTGATTGCTATGGGACGAGGACTGAATAAAGGAGAGCCAACTTGATCTGTTTGTAGATGGATGATTGTATGGAGAGTTCTTGTTGCTTTGTTTTATAGTGGCAATGTTCATTTCCCTAGTTCTAAACCAGCTGCTTCCAATTGCTGAAACCTCGGGATAATGCCAGCATCTTATTACAAGCAATATGTCGGAGAAACTGACATTATACCTACTTTCGCCATCGCGTGCTCTCGTCATGGTGTATGCCGTCACTTTACAGCTCTCTTACTATTCAACTTGTCGTATTTATCATTTATCATTGCTCTTTTACTTGTACCATTGTATCTACATCTTTATAGAAGCTGGGATTAATAAAGCCAAATGTCTGTTTATTTCATACTCGAAAGAACACTGCTAATCTAAAATTGGTGAATGCAACAAAAAAGAAAGAACAAATACTCCGCTCCAAAGTCCCAAAAGATGATAAAAAAATAAATAAACAAACAAAAATCAATAACAACAAACTCAAATCGACCAGCTGCTCATCAAAGAGTGAGCACAAAGAAAACAATCGCTCTGTGGTAATGATGGGCAAAGAAAAAAAAAGGAGAATGAGGAGAAAATCTGTGTAGAGGGGGGAATTCCGAAAAAAATAGAAAAAAAGTCTCCATCTCAACCCCTCAACGTCAAATGGTGGCCCAAATTTCTCCTCACCATTGTGTCATTGGCTCTAGCTGTTCGAGGTGCCCGAGAACGCCCATGACTTGGATTGCAGCTACCATGGACGCATTGACTTGCGCATCTGGAGACGAGTCGTCCGTATAGAGCAGGCCAAAGAACGCCATGGTTGGCAGGCCCGAGACAATGTTTGAATGACACATGTTGACTGTGAGATTTGGGTCTTGGTGATTGTAAAGACAGACGGGTGTGTAGGCGTAACCCTCGCCTAGCTGGGAAGCGTGATAATGGCTACTCGCCGCATTGAGAAGGCGATATGCGTTCCTTTGACATTCAGCTGAAACGGTGCCAGTGGTAGCGAGGGGGGGAAAGGTATCGAGAACACAGTGGTTGGGGCCAAGGGAGGATGCGGCGTAGTTTTCAACATAGGAAAGGCTGCTGACTAGGATCATACGAACTTGTATCCTCTTCCTGGCCAGCTTGCTCACCATGATCTCAGCCAAGAGACTAGTAAAATCTTCGTGTAACGCGTTGGCTAGGTAAACCATTTGGCCGTTTACTACTCCATGATTGTACGGGTATCGGGTAGGAGGGGTAGGGACATTGCTGACGATGTCTCTGGGGGTGTCAACTCTCCAGACGTGGTTTTCCTGATCGGGATTCAAAACTTGAAGGGCACCATTGAAGGCGGCCTCGCTGGTGGCGATCCAGGCAATGGCATACTGTGCTGCAGGCATGATGGGTATTGGCTACGACTGTTTTGAGGGTTGACAAGTTGTCTGCTGGCAGAGGTTTGCGTGTTTTTGGAAGTTGGGAGATGTGGACGCTGTTTTGATGGTATGGCAGCCAAAGTCTGTTTTGTCGGTCGAAATCTGGAAGCTTTGGAAGCTTTGGAAGCTGGAAAGTTGGGCTTTGGAAGCTGGAAGGTTGGGCTTTGGAAGCTGGAAAGTTGGGCTTTGGAAGCTGGAAGTTGGTGAATTGGTAAACTGTCTTGGTTGTTTGGATTCGGATGGTTATTGGAAGCGTCAAGCTCCTCCTTTATACATGGCAAGATTGCAGACTCGGCATGACGAGAGAGGATGAAACTTGTCGGACTGCATTGTAACTTTTGCAAAGGAACACTCATTGAACTCGTTCAAGACTGATGATGACAAGACATTTGGACAAGGCACAAGGGTTATAAAAGAAAAGTCCTGATGAAGAAAAGACGGACGAATGAGTTAGTTGTGATTTACCATGTGTGTTACTAGTTTACAGTATGAAAACAGCCATTATATTCCCAGCACGTTTCTTGTATTCAACTACAATGTACTTTGTCATCCGAAATGACCATTGTCCAAAAGGCACAATATGTGTTGTTCAATCAAGGACCAATGATTGTCAATGGGTTGGAAGAAGGAAGAGGAAACAAAGGGTTGGGACTCTTTATTTAGAATCCAAAGATAAAAAAAAGGTAGTAAGACGATACGAAGATGAAGAAACAAGTCAGCAACACCATCACTTCAAAAACAACAAGACGCTTCGGTTGAAGCAAAAAGAATCCTAAACATGCTCCCAATGTCAACCGCATTCTCTTGATCTGATGGGAGGTAATGCAACCTTTGAACAATGTCTTTGATAGCACTTGTAAATGATGCTTGTGGCTTCTATATTTAGAGCTGCGTTCGGTCAAGGCGCCATGACCACATGCCGCAAAGAGCGGCATAATACAGCAATGTGCCAGATATGTACTGATATATACGAAATGTACGTAGTCTGGCATCATGAATAGATGTTGCCATCATCTGCATGTCTTGTGACGAGCTCATCGTGTTCCTTGTTCGTTCCATGACAGTACCAAGCAGTGAATCCCGGGGGAGATGGTCGCGTGAACAAGCCAGCATGAAAGAAGGCAACTAGCAGCTATTCATAGTCAAAGAATGGCGGAAACTTGATTGGACGAGAGCTGTACCTGTTCTGAAGAGAGTCGCTCGAACACGCTGTTCAGGGGATACAAGAGCGGAACATTGTCAGTCGTGACCGACGCACACTTTGCATTAAATGTGTCAATATCTTTGCGCATGTTGTCACTTGTTAATTTTGATCACTAGAAGTGGAAGAGAAAAGATGGCGATACACGACATCAGAGGGTAGAAAAACCGCTGTGCTCTTTGGCAGAAGATGACTCAACAACTACGTTATTTCTTCCCATCTAATAACGAACAAGGCCAAGATTCAAAGACAATGGCGCGGCGGCCGTCGGATAGAGAGGAGCAGCAGCTCATCCTCTGTTTCGACGTACTCGACAAGATCCTCATGGACTATGTGGAAGAAGAAGGAGATGTTCTCAACTTTATCCTTGCAAGCAAAATCTACTATGAGCAGTTTCACGACACTCTCTTGTTTCGCAACGTGCTCCATGGCGGATGTACGGCTTTAAAGAAGGCCGCGAAAAGGGCCGACAAGGCCATGGTGAAAAAGATTCTCAACATTCCATCCATGGAAACAGCGGCACCTCGCAATATATGGCCAAGGGCGGTCAACAGTGCTAGAGCGCACAAGGATCTGGTGGGAATTCTACTGCAGGTCGACTGCGTCCGGGCCAGCATCGACGAAGAAGCCAGCGAGCTTTCTGAAAAAGGAATGCAGACCTGGAGGGAGCGCAACTACAACGACTCATGGCTGCGGGTAATGTTTGATGCCATCAAGGGCGGGCAAACGGATGTGGTGGGGCTATTCCTTTCTCTCGGCCTGACAGTAGAGTCATACGGCCGAAATGGCTGTTCGGCTCTACACATGGCGGTTGAAAGCTGTCAACAAGTGTCTCTGGTGAAACTTTTGCTGGAAAAGTACCAAGCCGATGCGCATAAACTGACGGTGAATTGGCGCCCAAGGCAGCAAGGAAAATCTCCTCTAGCCATTGCGATTGAGCGTAACAAGACTGAGGTTGTTGAGCTGCTACTCGGGTATGTAGACCTTTGCTCTGGACGGCCTGGGACGTTTTGTGAGGCTTTGGCAAAGGCAGCCGTGTGGCAGCACTACGACATTATTGACATTTTGTCGCGGGATGAGCGAATCGACCCCAATGCATATGATGATGATGGCAGGACAATCATGGGCGACGCGGTGGAAAGGGGAGAAGTAGAATCGGTGCAAAGATTGCTTGAGAATGGACGATTCGACCCAAACGCGACAACAGCCAAGGGCTGGTCTCCGCTCATGATTGCCGCCGGGAGTGTCTGCGGGTTGGCAATGACGAAGCTGCTTCTGTCTGACAAAAGGGCCGACATGTTCCTGAGAGACGGGGTTGGGCGGAACGCCTTGTTCCACGCGGCGTACCATGGCGGAGATGAAGTCTTGGAGATGTATCTGCAAGACGGCAGGCTTGATCCGAACGAGGCCGACGAGAATCTCAACACGCCAGTCTTGTGCACTCGAGATGAGAATTGCCTCTTACATCTCATCAATGACGCGAGGGTTGATCTGAACAAGGCAAATAGTGAAGGCATGACACCACTCATGCAGAACGTATCTTTGGGTTTGAGCAAACATGTTGAGCAGCTGTTGGACTCGGGTCGCGTCGATGTGAATCTTGTAAACCATGAGGGAAATACGGCAATGATGATGGCGATTTCTAGGCAAGGAACGTTTGGTCGCCGGGAAGAAATAAACTGCCGCATCGTGGTGCGGTGCATGCTTGGCTCGGGAAGAGTGAAGCTCGATTTGGTGAATGCAAATGGCGAAACGGCGTTGATGATGGCCGTGAAGACGGGAAATACGGGAGTTGTCGAGATGATTCTGGCCATGGGCGATTGCATGATGGATTTCAAAGACGCGCAAGTAGTTACCATGGTTAGACACGCCATCAGGAATGACGACATGGAGATGTTGGAGCTGCTGCTGCGATGGGTGAGGTGTGTGTAAGGGGAAATCATGGAGAGTTGTCGGAGGACATTCGGGCCATGTTGGTGAGATGGCAGGATATGATGGAGCAAGGAGCAGTCTAGCTTTGGCTGATGGCATTGAGTAGATGGTATGGAAACAACGGTTCACTATTTTGATGCTTGGTAAATGTCGAGAATTAGCTAATGTATGAAGATTGCGCAAAGAAGCTCGCTAGACACTACCTATATACGTGTTGCCATTGTCTGTTGCCCTGCGTAATTTTCAACGACACGTCAATGGCTCCAACAGCCACCATGCCACGCCCCATTGCTCAATCATGCCTCGAAATACACGGCACCATCCACAAACGTGGGCTCTCGATCTTGATTGGAGACGACGAGGATATACAGCGTGACTTGAGTCCCTGTGTCGGAGGGGGCCGAGGCTGGTCTCTCGGGCGATGTCGATGGATGGCTGCTCCTAGGCATTGTCAGCTTGGACAGGCAACTATAAAGAAGGGTATAGAGTGCTCACGACAAACAGGTCAAGCACTCTGAGATGGGGAGGGACTCTGAAATGAGCTCTCCACAGCCGGGGCAGTGAACGAGCTCGCACATGCTCGAGTTATTGATGAGGATGTGGCTAGTTTGAGGGTGCAAGGCCGTCGATTTTGGTATGAAACCTTGATAGGCCAAAAGCTTTCACAGTATAGCTAAACGGACGCCGCCCAGTGGCTCTTGATGGACAAGTTCAGATGAGTGATTAGCTTGGACTGCTATCCAAGCATTTTGTCCTTGTCTTCTGCTTTCTTTATACGTGCCAGCATGCCCGCCCTCGCTTCACATTATGCCGAACACTCTGCTGGCGGCCTCGAAGCGAAGCCACGACAACGTTGCAGGCCTAGCATCAGCCAAAGACAGGAGACATCCGCACACATCCGTATACTCAGAAAATGGGGTGCTCAAAGAGAGAGACATTTCTCAAACAAGGAAAAAAAAAGGAACCTGCCAAGCCCCTTGTTCCTCCATCTCGTCGTCAACGGACTCGTGGCCCTAGTTCGCTTTCGACCGGTTTTGCGAGCCAACAACTCATGAGCATGTTTCCCCTCTTCACTCCCCCCTCCCAGTGTTGAGAGATATGACACACGCTTCTCGAATCCCGTGATGGCCAAGCCTTGACAGATGGCGAGAAATGTCACAGGCTGCAAGGTACGGCGGCAAGCGGCAAGCAATAGCGCCACGCTCCCCTCCAGGATCAGAGATCAGTCCAATATGAGGACGTTGGAAGTGGTCATCGGAAGCTAGCCGAGCGAAGCATTGCCATTTTGGTGGCGTTTTCTCTCATGCGGCTAATTTTACCCTGTTGAGAGCATGATAAGCGACTAGACTTGCTGTTTGATTCAACCTGCAGTCCTGGTAAAACGAACGAGGGAGATGTCCTCGGTCCCCAGCATACGCACCCTCTCATGTGAGTCAAGTGTTGTGAACTAGGTAGGCAACGCCGTCACAGTCGGATTTGACTGTGATTGTTCTCCTTGACTGCCACATCACATGGAGTCAATGACGAATACAGGCAGAAAACAAGGCGAAGAAGCGGCTGGACACGGCATCCAGGTCAAAGACGAGCAGCAGAGCGTCTCGTATGTGAAAGCCGCTCGTCTCGAACAGAGCCTAAACTCTAATCGTGACTGACACGCCAGCCAGTCAAAGCGCGCGATAGGCGAAGCTCAACCAAGATGGCCGCCGCCGCCTGTGACAGTGAGCAGAGGATGGAGGGTTCATGTGGTATTAGGCTGCATCCACCATTTGCGGTGCGTATAGATCGGGGCCTGCCAGGCTCTGAGGGGGGCGTGACTGCGGGTGATGTTGGGAGGGCACAAGGGGAAAATCAAGGACGGCGCGAAGGAAGCAGATCTCGACGGCACTTGCGCTGCGCACCCGATTGGCTTGAGGCCTGATCAAGCGACGAACGGGCTAAAAAAAGACGGAAAGAAAGACAGAACAAGAAGACGTGAACGTGAAAGTGCATTTCGCTGTGGATAACAGTCCAAACGGCAGGGGTTTCACGCACAACAGCATTGCAGGCCTCACAGCCCCTTTGGTTGACGACGTCGCTGCGACCCTCCTTGGCCAACATGGAGGGATGCGCAGGAAGGTGCAGGTGCAGGTCGCACGAGCCTCGCCCACAGGGCTGACCAACAGCTGAGCGGGAACCGGGGCCATGCCAGCGTCGACGAGCTGTGAAGGAGCAACGATCAATCCATGCACGGACAGTAATAATAGTATTACTGCCTGTCAAAAGTCCTGGTCGGGCGTACATGTGCCGAAGACCCCAGATAGTTGGACATCTGACGCCACTACCGGCACCTTTTTCGAGCTTGGACACTTTTTTACTCGTGGCACTCCGTAGAAGCGCCGCAGTTTGAGAAGACTTGCTATACAGTTGGCCAACTGCGGCATGCATAGGCGTCATCGCGAGATACGCCAGGATCTAGAAAAAGGAAAAGAAGAGAAAAATCAGGCCACAATTGCATATTCTAAAGCTAAATTGAACGCTTTGACGCGTAAAACGACATGTAACGTTGATCCTCTGTTGAATCCGTCATCTTTAGAAGATGTAATCTTGTGTGTATTTGGCTCCCCTCTGTATCTCTATAACTCGTTACTAAAGACTAGGTAGGCAGCTCCTGAGAGTTGATTTGCTCGGCCAAAAAGGTCCCATCTTGAATTCTTCTCTCTCCTTGAATCCACCATCTTCAGAAAATGTAATCTTGTGTGTATTTGGCTCCCTCTATATCTCTCTGTAACTCGTTACCAAAGACTAGGCAGCTCACTGAACAAAAAAAGGCACAAGAAAACTTGACCCGAGTTGATTTGCTCGGCCAAAACATGTCCTGTCTTGTCCGTCTTTGCTACCAGAACCCCATCGGCTCAATTTCCCAAAATGCAGCGCGCCGTATCAAAACTCCTCTTCTCAAATACCACCCAATGTACCTAGATAATCATCCGGCGTCCCAAGTCTTTGTAAACCCCAGGCAATTTCCCATCTATCCATCATCTGTGAGGGTGCTGGCTGTTATTCATCTTCAAATGCCCACGCCAAAGCGTTTTTGCCCTTTTTCTTTTTTAAACCATTTCCCCCTCCTGCTCAAACGGAAAACGCACCAGCATAGTCGCAGATATTAAAAACAACAGACTGGACAAGAGTCAAATTAAAAATAAAAAGGTTACATCATACAGTCTTCTAAACAGAGTTTCGCGCTTGCTGACATCCTGTTGAGAAGAAGAAAAAGTAGAGAAGAAGAAAGAGGGAGGAAACGATGGTGGTCCGGTTGGTATAATTAAGAGTCAGGCGAGTATATCAATGTGTATGTGTGGCCGTCAAGTCTAATAGTAGATTGCCTCGATGAGGTAAAGTATGCCAAAGAACAAAAAGGCAACGGCACCGCCAACAGTCACTGCACACAGCCTTGGTTAGCGTCCTTGTCCTTGTAGGGAGGATGATCGCATCTGCATATAAATAGAGGGAAACTTTGAAACTTTGAGTATTAACTTACCAACTTTCAGACTGACGCGTCCGGCAATAGCACGTCCACCAATGACTGCAACACCGGTGCAAATGGAATGTCCAGCCAACGCACCGAGCGTAACCCACCAATAGTCCTGTCCAGCAGCCATGGCAATCGTGGCAATCTGGCTTCGGTCTCCCCACTCGCCCAAAAAGGTCATGATAAACGTCTGGACCCAGGCCGGGCTCAGGATCAGAGAGCAAAGGTTGCTAATACCATTGCCGACGCTGCTGAGGCTGCTTGACTTGCGAGAAGGGGCACGCGAGGGAGACTCGGACGGCGATCTAGGAGAGGGAAACCTAGTCTTGCGCGAAGATCTGCCACCGAGGCCCATCTCAAGAGCATCACCAGAGATGGAACCACCTCTTCGCTCAAGCTCCTTTTCCTTCTCGGCCAGTTCTTGCTCAACCTCGTGCATCTCGGCCGTGACACCTTCGTTGGGATCCATCTTCATTCCCTCTCGGAGCAGTCTGGCGCCGAAAACGAAAAACAGGCCTGCGGCGAGAAGACCAGTCAGACGCTTGGAAATCAGAGCCGGCACGGCATGTCCCAAGACGGCAGACAGCACAGTCATGACTGCGAGGGCTCCAAAAGCAGCAGAAAAGACAACCATGCGATCGTGCTTCATGGCCATGAGAGCTGCTACCAAAAAGGTCTTGTCTCCAACTTCGGAAACCAAGATCATGGTAAAGGAGAGTATGAAAGAGTGGAAAGGCTGGTTGATGCCATCTTCGCCCTCAGAGTCCTCTGGCGTTGACGGTGACGAGCTTCCAGTCTTTGGCTTGGAAATGTCGAGATGGTCCTTCTTTGCCGAGTCGGGGATGGGTGGCGACAGTTGTTCGCGAGGCGTGTCGGGGAGATCGCCGGGTTTCTATCCGCCATTGCGCGTCAGTGCATCGTAGTTGTATTGCTGTTGCATCGCATAGAGATGGCAACATGCATCGATGAGGAAAGGGGAGCTGCTAATAATCAAACATGTCATACCTCGAGTCCGGTGTAACCAGTGTCTTCGGTATCCTTATCCGATGACGACTTTGGCTTTGACTTGTCCTTCTCAGAGTCCGCCGGCTTGGTCTTGTCTTTGCCCTTGCCCTTTTCAATCTTCTTCTCCTCGCTGTGAGGCAGTGGCGGATGTTCTTTGGGCGCTTCCGGCTGGTTCACCAGCTTCTCGCCAGTCTTGCCCTCGTGGGCCTTTCGGGCCTTGTCTTTTTCAGAGACGCCGCCCTCAGTGCCCGTGGTGCCGTCCTGAGGCTTCTCACGGTTCTTGTCAAACATGACGCCATCGTTGGACTCGGGAATCTTCTTGCCGTCGACCACGGTGGGATCTTTGGGGCGGCCCTTGAGCGTGGGGAGGTCGCTTTCGCCCTTGGTCTCGGTCGACACCTTGCCGTCGGTCTCGACAAATGGTCCTAGGTGAGGTTTGCCATCTTTGCCGTCTACCGGCGCGTCTTTGGTGGGCACGCCGAGACGGCCGTTGAGGATCGCAGCGTCGGCAACGTCACCAGGGATGGTGTCTCTCTCGCTGTTGGCGACGGCAGCGGCAGCGGGGTCTGTCGCAAGGGCGCCGGCGATGGATGGAAGGAGGAGGAGAAGGAGAGGAGAATGCTTTGCTCGGAACTGCATTGCGGCGGCGGGGGGGCTGAAGTGGAACAGCAGCCTGGTCAATGTCGTTCGAATCTCGGTAACTCAAGGGTCGATTGTTGCTCAATGCATCAGGATGCGATGCGGTCTCTGGTGAAGACGGGGCCAGGGCTGAGCAACAGGCAATTCGAGATTGAAACAAGAAGAGCAAACAAGATTGCAATGTTTCAATGGATGCGAGATGAGGAAAGGGGCGAATTGGTGGATGGCACGGCCGATTGATGTTACGCAAGCTCGCGTGTCTTGGCTGGTGGATGCACACAGGCCGCTCGGAGAGGATTAACTCTGACGGAATGGGTTTCTTGGTGTCGCAGACGTGCAAGACGAGCAGCCGGCGGGAAGAGTCTAAAAATAAAGGTGTAGTAAGGGAGCGAGACGAAAGAAATAGGAAACAATTGTAAACAGCGAAGCGAAGAGAAAAGGGAGACTAGAGAATGAGACGCCTTGTTGAGGAGGGAGGAAAAAAAGATGTTCGAGGCTCGCTGTCCTTTCTTTCGAGGCCCCCTCCTAGTTTAGTGCTGGAAAGCAAAGTTCTACAGTATGCTGTAGGCATCTGGTTTCCCCTTAAAGGCACCGGCGCCGACTCCATCATCTGCAATTTCGAGGCCTCTTGTGGCGACCCCTTGCAGAGAGGTGGGGCTAGACCCATCCGGCAGGTACTTGGTACATCCAGACGCCCCTTGAGATACGAGTCTCGACGATCTTGGTCTGGAAATAGATGCAATCAGGTCGAGGACGAAGCGCTGCAGCTCGATTTTACGAGGTGCTGTGCATATCATCATCAGTCCAAGTCTTGTAGTCGCAGGGAATCAGATCCTTCCATACTACATACCAGCATGAAAGACTGCAGCGTATCACCGCGATAAATGAACAGACAACAGCTCTCGCACATACGCATATGATACAAGGACTCCAATACATCAGCAATTGAGCGGTTCACGTTGCGATGTAATCCAAATGCATTGAAAACAAGAGGGATGCCTAAGAATGTAAAAATAGTACCCGCATGCTTAAGCATTATAATCAGTAGAGGAAAGAGCAGTCGCCGGTAATCACAGCTGCAGTAGCAGCAGTAGCCAATGCGATGGCAACTCGAGTTTCGCACGTCACATGACGCTCAAACCTAGATTCGTTGCGGTCTGCATCTCAAGTTTTATCTTGGAAACAACGCAAGCATTTTCCCCTCTAAACATGGCATGGGCATTGTGTGGTCACGAAGATGCCGCCAGACATTGAGAGCATCACGCTCCGTAACATGGACGGCCTCCTCTTGGAAGAATCTCTTCAGCTCCTCCAACCGCTAGAAAGAGAAAGAGGTGAGACAGACGTTGTTGTGAAGCACAACTGGAAATCATCACCACGCTTTGGGTCACGCTACGTTCAATCGCCCAGAAAGTTTCCCACGGCCTTCCTTCGGACCTTGTAGCTCTCTAGGTACTTTGGTGACACTTTTGAAGACAATGTTGAAACAATCATCAGAGGACTTACACTTCACGCCTAGTACTACGAAACGGTCGTTGAGATATCTAGCTAATCTCTTATTTCCAGGTGATGACAATCTCCGTCGACTCGATGTGATACTAGTGGGAACCTCGTATCCCAACGACAAGTATAACTCGCCTACAGAGCCGTGGCTCATGGCATATGTTTATACCAGACAAACCATCTCGAAGCCCTGGCACAACAAAGATTCAGGCACCTCCACAACAATGATAAAGCCAACCATTTCGAAGTCTTCCAAACAACTACAACAGTTGAGGCAATAACTACGGACGGGGACAATCAGTCAACCGGTACTAATACGAGCGTTTGGAGAACTTTGCATAACCAAGGAACAGAAACATCAACTGCACGCCAATATCCAATCGCTCGCAGCTGTCCGCCAGAGCATCGCCACATGATTCCTACCTATATGTATATGGGACCACGATACTCCCCTTTGTGTTCTGAATCTGGCTGAGCAAACGTTGATGCTTCTTCTAGACACATATCAACCATCCCTGCACATGAGAAATAATGGAAGCACTTCATTACATCTTTGAAGAACAGATGATCCTCGGCCCTATACAGATAACCAAATGGGGCATACCGTTTCTTGTCTTATTTCTCTGCCAAAAAGTCAAGACGTTCGGCAAGTCTCGGAGCCGCTTGAGGAAAGTTTGTTCATTTCCTTCACTCATATCATAAAGGCGACATGACAAAGCGACATGGCGGAAGCTGGTATAATTCTTACAGCTGGATCTGCGACTTGGGGCTCCATTGCTGCTATAGCATCAGTTCTACCGCTACTACCAGACTGTTACTACTGCTGCTACTGCTGCCAATTACAATTCCTGTTGTTGCGACAAAGGATCACGATGTGATCACGAAAGAAGAGCAAAGAAGCAAGGAGAACAATCTAGAATACCAAGAGCACTGAGCTCAATTGCGTACAATCCGTCTGGCCGGCAACTTGAATGAGTGTTTATTCTGCTTGCTTCTACTGCTGTTCGCCACTTGCCCCTATTCGCGCCTCAAACCAGCTCAGAACGCAAAGATGATTCGTCTTCAAAGGAGAGGCAGCGTGTCTACTTTGTTACTACCGGAATTACCTGCGTAAGCAGAAGCCGAGCGTCGCTCACAGTTACCGTTTGTGGTCACGTAACTTCCTCTTCCTATTCACGTATACAGCTTTCAAGCTCAAGATATCTCTAATTGGATTTAGATGGCTCATCAGATGTTTCCCTTTACAATATTATCTCCCATTGGCATTTGTGAGACTCCTCCCGCCACTTATTCTACGACACTGCTTATATCTAGAGAAGCAATGCGGGTCAATGGGGCCGATGTCTCTAATCGAGCTCCTTGTACCAGAAAAGGATGCTTAAACGCTGGAAATTGCCATTCAAGTTGGAGTATAGTACAGATCTTGCATTCACCGTGTGATCCTAACACTATTCGTTGTATCTTAAGTCATTGTACCAAGCGCGATTAGATGAGAAAGGAGGCACAGACACATATAGATATACGTATGTACTGTAACTATGTAGTGGAGAGAACTCTTTCATATGCTTGCGCCCTCATTCCCTGATCCAAGCGCATTCCGTTTTGTAGCCTCTACTCTTTGTCCTCCTGTTGCAAACCACTTCGTATGAAATGTCTATTCTATTTGGTACCCAGTTACTTGACAAGATCTACTCTATTATTGGCCCGTTTCAATACATCAAATCGTCTAGGAATTACATCCATCCAACACGTTTACACAGAAAGGATGCGCCGCCGGCAATGGCAGTTATTCCAGTAAAAGCAATAACCGGGCCATAGCCGCTTCCATATCCACCAAAGGCCTGTCCTTGCCACGGAGTTCCCTTGACCAAAACCTCGCTCAAAGGTCCCGACACCACGTTTCCAATGCCCCGGCCGGCTGCGAGGTATCCAAAGACCATGAACGGGTCAAACGTAGACCCTCCGCCTGTGGTGTTTGCAGGACTCGGCTTGGAAACTACCGTGCGGATAATTCCAGTCCAAGCACTCGTATAACTTCCCGCAAAGAGCCCGTACATGACGCAAAAGATGTAGAGCACGGCCATGTTCGTAGCAAACCCCCACAGCAAGAAAGCTCCCACAGCAGCGCCCACCGCTGATATCATGAGGCATGTCGTAACGTGGAACCGATCGACAAGCATTCCCATGGCAATACACCCGAAAACCGACGCAACGTTGACGGCCAACACCGTCAAAGCCGCAGGGAACGCCTCGGAGCCAAGAGTGGAGGTAGCATAAGAGGGTAGATATAGACCCGGCATGAAGAACCCCAGAGCCTCGACTATGTTTGCCAATTGAAATAGCATGAAGGAGCGATCAAAGATGAAGCTCAGCTTCGACAGCTGGAACTTGACACCAGTTGTCATCGGGAGCCGTGGCTTAATAAAGTAGACAACCGGAATCGTCAAAACGAAGAGAGCAACGGCCCAGATACGCAACGTGGTTCGCAGTCCATATCGTCCCAACAGGAATTCGAGCAGCATCGGGATCGCAAATCCCCCAATGCCCGTGCCAGACCACATCACTCCAAAGGCCAGACCTTTGCGCTTGACGAACCACTCGTCCATGTACAGGATGCAAGGGCCGTAACAAATGGAGCCACCGATGGCGAAAAGGACACCCTGAGTCAAAATGAGATGCCAGACAGTCTGCGAGAAGGAGCTCAGCGCGAGGGCTATGCACATGATGAGGAGGCCCGCAGTTGGGCCATATCGGTTTTGCTTAGGATACATTCTCATGAGAGGGAAGACGAATGGAGCGGATAAGTACATGGTTCCCTGTGATGAGGATGACGATTAGTACCAGTGCCTCGACGAAGAGGATGGAGAAAGGACAAGGACAACCTACCATTGCAGTTGTACCGATTGCGGCAATGCTGGAAGAGCCCATGAATGGCGCGTGGGTGCTATAATAGTTTTGAAAAATACCAAAGGCAAAAGGAAATCCTGGCCATTGGTTAGCCAACACGGCCTTCTTTCGATACGGCGATATCTGGTTACTCACCCCAGACTAGGCATTCGATGATGGTGCAGGCTGCCAAGAATAGCATTGCATCTCGACCAGTGTCGACGGGAGGCAGCGAGACTCCATGTTCGTTCTCCGAGTCGATATCGATATCTGGGGAGAGAGAAGAGTCGCCAGGAGTGGTAGTATCGAGCTGAATCGACTCTACCTGCGGGTAATCCTCCAAGGAAGTCCGTCCCATTGTGATACGCTGGGAAGAATTGGTCTTTGTCTGGTACCTATTCCAAATGTATCAAGTATGTAGTACGAGCAATGTGATGGAAAATCGAGACGACGACGATCCTGCTCTAGAAGGGGGAAACGCCAATTCTTATCCTTCAACAATCTGATGCTTCGTCTGCCTCGTTTTCGAGTGTCTGTTCACTAATCATTAAATCCGAATCTCAGGACTCCACAAGGCTTAAGCCCAACGCGCCCTATTCTTGATGCGCGGTGTACAAAACCCCACGCTAGGGAGTTCATCGCCTAGAATACATGGACCTTATCTGACTATCGGAAAGAGTCGTTGCTGGGCATTCAAACAACAAGGTGTATTCCACTTCTGGTATCCTGTGGTGGAAATACCTTGGCATTAAACAGAAGTCCGTAGCGGAATGGCGTACTGACGATTTGATCAAATCCATCCATGTTATAGCTTGAAAACTATATGCATTCAATTTGTGCTACAAGTGGTTTCGGGTCTTTGCGGCTGCGGTTACTGACCCCCGTATTCGCGGCTCCGATCTGTGGGTTTCCAAGATGCAGATACCCACTGTTCGTCGATCTCACTGCCCTCTGCACTGCCATCTTACGCCAGAGCCGTGGAGGTAGAGACAATGCGATAGCAGAGACACGTACAAAGAAAAGATCAGAGACGGACTCAAGCATGGCAGCACGTGGGGCCGACTCGTAGACACAAAGACAAAGAGTGGGAAATATTGAATTTCTTTATTCTTTTCCGCAAAGCCCAAGGGTTTGCAAGCTCCATAAAGCCAGAGCTAGATTCGTTACCAAACTGTGCTAGCTGCCTCCCGCGCTCATTGCTCTCCAAATACCTAATTGCTGGATATTGAGTTGTCATATAGAATCGACCGACGACGAGAAAGGGGGTGATGATCGAAGTGCCGCAAAAAGAGACCGTGTCTTGCAAATATATCGCACCTAGCAATCCGTTTCTGCGCATTTCAGTGTGTTGCTCCGATTAAAAGGGACGAGATGTACGACGGTATTCCCTTAGAGACGGAACCTCGGTCTATTGAGAATGTCGGAAACAGGATACATACGCATAGCAAGAAAGGTATTGAGGCCAATCGTCTTCAGCACGGTTTCGCAAGTGACGTCGTCGCTGTTTGGAAACCTGCAAATGGAAGTGTGGTCACCGTAAATGGTGAAGTGCTTCTCCCAGTATTCGTGTCTGACGTTGCACATGGAATCCTCCTTCTCGACCAGCTTGAAGAGAAGAGCAAACCTGCATGTCAGCCGCTGAATTGACTTGCGTTGAATACGATGGCAAGGGAGGGGGCAAAGAAAGGGCTTACAAGTCGCTTCCCACGGTACCAGTTGCATCCATGGAAATTGATGACGAGGCGTCTGCGGTAAAGACGTCCTCGCGCCTCAAGAGGCGCGATACGCTCTACGTGCTCGTTGCAGGCCTTGTCGAGCATGTCCAAGACATGGGGAGGAGTGGGACGGACGGCAGCACTGGCAATGTTGCGCACAGACTTGGCAACGTTATGATGGGGAGTGTTGAAGAAGACTAGGAGTCGAGTAAACTGATCGATGGAGATGATGGTGCCCGACTTATCCAAGTGAGCCTTGGCAAGGGCCTATAATCGTTGATTCAGCATCCCAAAGGTTGGACGGACAGCCAGCCTGTCAAAAAACAACAGTCTTGGTATACTAACCTCCTTGACAATAAGTCCGCCTACATCATGGCAAATGAATACCAGTGGTCTTGTAGGGTCATCCCTTCGCTTCTCCATGAGAAGGCGGAGAAGGCGGTCAGCATGCTTGGTGAAATTCGTGTCTTCGTCGTTAACAGAAAGACCGTCGTTGTAGGAGAAGAGCATGACGCGGCATTGTTTGTCGAAGCAGCTAGGAAGAATATCTCTGGGCCAAACTTTGCCCCGGTAGGACCAGGTGTCTCTGTGAACAAGATAGCGAGCCTCAATATTGAGGCCGTGAACGGCGACGACACTAAACAGGGGACAAAGAATGAACGAGTTAGTCATGTGAAGACATGTCGTATCAAGGATAGCAGAGCGAAAATCTCTCGTCCATTTGCAGTAGACAGATGGTTTTTGGAAGGCAATTCTGACGGGATAGAGGCACTTACTCGACCTCTTCGCTGCGCATGATGGCAAAGGGTCCAGGTTGAGGAAACACGGTTTCGAGGTCGTACTGTTCCATGTGCTCTGAAAATATCATAGGCATGGTCGATACTTTGCACAGAGGCTGTAAATGATGCAGCGAATTGAATTTTCTTGTCTTTTTCTTTTTCTGTTTTCTTTGCGTTCTGGAGCGAAATTGGAGGTGGGATAATAGAATAGGAGGAGAAAAAAGATGAGCAGGGGAGAATTGGTAGAGGGGGGAGAAGAAAGTATCAAGACGTTGTAGTTGCCGTGTTCAATACTTTTTGCTTGCTCGCACTTGCGTCTGCAGCTGCTGCGGCAGCCGCGATTACAGCTGGTCGGGTTCGCGCTTTATATCTTGCTTAGACACCCAAAGCGATGACAGAATTGTGCTTGAGAATGGCTGCCCTGAATCACTGTTCAAAAAGCAAAGAAAAAAATAAAGAAAAAAGGTGCCGGAATTTAGACTCTATTTATTCTCCCAAATCAGTCTTTGAGGCAGCCCTTGGACAACACGAGGCTAGTATTATGTTGTCAGCCTCACAGTTGCGCACCCTCCGACACCAGTTATTGATGTGGCTGGAAAAGAAGAGTTACACAAGAGCTGCAGTTGATTAGGAGAGAGTGGAGAAGAAAAAGGAGGAGGAGAGGAGAGGAGAGGAGGAGTGGAAGGACGAAACGCGTGCGATCTCGAGATGCAGGCTTCCGTGAGCAGATGTAGCCAGTCACCGCAAAATCAAGGTATACTCGAGATGATACGAAGAGCTGAAGGACAGAGAATAGAGAACAGAATGCGGGTGAATGGGAGTGCGAGCAGATGACAGGTAAGTTTGGTCGTTTCCTGCTGGACTGCCACAGGAGTCTCAATCTGGTAACCAGATTGCTCGAAAAGGGTGTTAATACTATCAAGCAGATCATCAGACATGGCCGCTCAACCAAAAGACTGGACGAGATCAATGCACCTGGTCTCAATGCCGAGCATCAAGGAGAGCGAACGGCTTGGCTCTGTCGGCGTCTGTATCTGTGGATATTACAATGACGACACTAGCAAGCAGCGAACGCTCAGACGTGTAACGATATCCCTGTTGCCTTCTCCCACCGCTGTGTATCAACGGAGAAGCCGTCTTGCCGTCTGCTTCTCTCCTCTCAGAGGTTCGTATCTGGGTATTCTAGTATTCGGCTCTCTAGGCGAATGCTAATCAAAGCGAATGCTAATCAACGATTCATGGACAGAAGTGAAGTTGTCAGAGCAACATGGATGCTCTATTGTGCCATCTATTCAAGCGCCCAACCCAGATCCCAACAGATACCTAACAAATGCCGGTTCATGCAGCTGCTGAGGAGTTGTTTCCCTCTCTTTGGCTCGTTCGTCTGAGCAAAGATACCAAGGCGCGTGGACATGTCATTGTGTTACACAGCTTATGCGCCCGGGACCAAAAGACTCCTCTCAGTGTGGCCGGATTAGATTTGTGCTCCCGCATCTGTGGGGTGCTCCCCATCCATCTCGTCCAGTCCTCGCCGTTTGTCTCGGGCATGGAACCTTTGGCCACAAATCAGTTCTCGGCGGGAGGGACGTCTGTGCTCGTTGTCCTGCACCACCATGTCGAGTGGCTTTTCGAGGGCGCTTAATGAACGAGAACAACATCCAAGGTGGCATCGTGTCAATGCCGTTTTTTGCCCGGGTAACGGAGTAATACATGGTGCTTGCGTGTATTCTGCGAACAGGCACGGAGAATAACAAGTGGGAATGTGCCTGACGAGGGCACAATGCCACCATACTCGATTGATTGGGATTGAGGCACAAAGCGCTAGAGCCCAATATGCTTTGGTCCACGGCACTTGCAGCTCGTTGCTCCTGGCTACTGGCTGCCGGCTATCTGACAGATACGATGGATTCTTATGATGCTGGCGTAGCATTCTTACAGGCCATCACAGCATGCTACTGGCTTACATGGTGTCTGTGGGGTGGCCTGGGCACAGTTTCAATGTTCACATGTGAGAGCGGCGCACAGTGAGACAGGGTCAGGCACCTCCCGCTGATCACGGACAAGAGCAGATGAGATCAGAGATGCCCAGAGCAAGACGAAAATCCGAATCATAGAGGTGTGGTGCTGAACAGGACAGGCCCAAGGACCTGGAGCTCATAGTGGCCGCTTGTAGCCCCCACAAAAGCCTCCCAGCTCCAAGCTGAGTCGGCTCACTTTGGCTGTCACTAAATCGGCAGTCATCCGATCGGCCCAAAATCTGGATCCTCAGAAACTAACTTCTTTTCAACCTCAATCCACGCTCTCATCTCCCTCTATTTCCCGCCCAGCTATCCACAAGTGTGTGCCTTTAATTTGAAATTCAACAATCAACGACTATACTACGAGGTGAGAGCTGGCAATGGGAAAGCAAGAGACGTAAAACAGGGTGGTGTGCACGGCTAATGGCTTGACAGGGGAGGGATACAGCTTCGGAGCACACGCGGCGGCTTCCGCAATCAACCACCACATTCTGACTTCTGTTTGCTTTTTGTTTGTCTCTGGCCCTAATTTCAGCCGCTCACGGCGCACCGCATTCTTGACGCACTATCCCTGCGCCAAGGAGACTGGAAATGGACGCGCCACTGATTCGAGTCGGACATGGGCTTCGGGCTGCGGCCTCAGCAGCACCAGCAGCATCGGGCCTGGCTTCGAGGCCAATATCGGGTGCTTCGAGGCCTGCAATCTGCCATCCGTCGAGGGCCACAGCAGTGGCTGCAACTGTCGCCGCTCGCCATTTCTCTGCGCTCAACCGGCCACCGCCCAAGTATCCCGGCCATGTGCCTCTGACCAAGATAGAGCAGGCCGGCATGGCCATTGGATCCGGCATCATGTCGCTGTTCAACCCCTACCGCGCTGGTACGTGTCATGGTTTTTGATTCTACGTCTAATTCATTTTACTCGCTTCATCTTCTTCTTCCCTTGTAGTGTTACATGGAGCTGGCTCGATGCAATGCCAGTTTCCTGGCCTCTCATTTCCCCTTGCCTGTCCTCTGCCACCCGCCAATGTTCCACACTAGCAGAGGAAAGCAAACAAACAATTTAGGGTTCCGCTTTTACAAGACTCGTATGACAAATTTTGATTACCTCCTCTATAAAGCACGCCGGATATCAAGATTCCAGCCAGAAGCCAAGCTCAATGAGGCAGTAGGGGGTGAAGTGAGGGAGACGGTCACTTGAGCAAAGCTTCAAGTGCCAGGGGGGGGCCAAAAGATGGAGGCCAGATGCAAATCAAACACATGATGGATACGAGTCCTCAGCTGATGCGGAATCTTGCAGATCTCATAGCCACCCTGGGCGAGGCCACGGCAACCCCCTACTTCATCTACCGCCTCCGCGACTCCATGCTCGCACACCCCACAGGCCGTCGCATCCTTCGCCTGCGGCCTCGCATCAGCTCCAAGACGCTGTCCATCCCGGCCCTGCGCGCCCTGCCCGCAAACTCCGTGGGCCGCGCCTATGTCGAGTGGCTGGACCGCGAGGGGGTGTCTCCGGACACGCGCTCTGCTGTCAAGTACATTGACGACGAGGAGTGCGCCTACGTGATGCAGCGGTACCGCGAGTGCCATGACTTTTACCACGCCCTGACGGGGCTGCCCACGGTCAGGGAGGGCGAGGTGGCGCTCAAGGCGTTTGAATTCGCCAACACGCTGCTGCCTATGACGGGCCTCAGCATGCTGGCCGTGGCCACTCTGAAGCCGGCCGAGCGTCGACGCTTTTTCGGGGTGTACATGCCATGGGCGGTTAAGAACGGCGTAAGGAGCAAGGACATAATCAATGTCTTTTGGGAGGAGGAGCTGGAGAGGGATGTGGACGACCTGAGGAGAGAGCTGGGCATCGAGCAGCCGCCGGACCTGAGAGCAATTCGCAAGCGGGAAAAGGAGGAGAAGAGGCGATTGAAGGAGATGCGAGCCAAGGGTTTCTAATGTTGATACCGAAGCCACTGCTATAAGCCAAAGGTTTCTGATGTTGATACTGATGCCACTGCTTAAGCCAAGGGCTCCTGATGGTGATGGTGCTGGTGCCATTACTACAGAAGCTGTAGGATTACTGGCTTCTTCTCTTTTTGATTCATTGCCTGGTGTTGTGCCAGCTGCCGGGGCAGCTCTCATGACAATGTGCAAGTACATGTACTTTTAGTTTTTATCAACACCATGCACCAGCTTAGCCCTCATGAAGCTGTATATACTTGGTCTCTCCCTTGTTTCCTTTGCTTCTCTCTTTCTCTCTTTCTACATATGTGTTATACAACTCCACCCATGTGCCAGGTAGAAATTAAGAAAGAAATAGGTATTCGTTATCAACATTTGTGTAAAAGAAAAACACTTGAAAAAGAAAAGAAATTGCCATATCTCGCTTATAGATCCAGCAAATCGTCATCGTCATCATCCCAACCCTTGCGCCTGCTCACAACAATCTTTTCGTGCTGCTCGTTATCCGCCACCGCCGTCAAGAGTTCCTTGAGCTGCTCCTCGGTCACCTTTTGCCGCAGCTGGCCGGTCTGTGCCAGTGTAATCAGGCGGTTCTCGACGTCGGTTGCGCGCTGCTCCTTGACGAGGCGGATGCGTCCGAGGCGGTCCGCAGCTTCGGGGTGCAGGATCTGGTTGAGGATTTGCTGTCGGGCTTCTTCGGCTTGTCTAGAGAAGGGGATCAGCTGTTTTAGCTTGAAATCTGCTTCTGTATGGTATTTTATTCGATGGCAAGGTGTTGTAGACAAGTAAAACTTACTGTCTCTGCCGCTCTTCTTGGCCCGAGCCGTTGCCAGAGCGAGCACCACCTCCGCCGCCGCCGCCACCTCCTTGGGCCTTGAGCTGCTCGAGACGAGCTTTTCGGATCTGTGAATTGTGTTTGTTAAGTATGAGAGCTTTGCTAAATTCAGAAATGCTGGTGGTAAGAGACTGACCTGTTCTAGCTCTGATTCGTCCATGTCGGGAGAGAGCTGCTAGCAATTTGTTTACTTTTTAAAAGGATTGCCTGGCCAAGATCGTCATAGCAGGCTGCGGGGCATTGGAGCATTTGCTTGGAGTTTTGGAGGGGCAGCGTAGGGCACGTGATCAATATGTGTACATGTATCGTTCTCGGCGTCAATTCGCAGCTGAAAGTTTGAAAGAGGATGTCTTTCGATTTTACGATTTAAATTAGATGGGTAAACAATCAAACGCATCTGAAGTGTGTCCTGATGATTGATTTAGGAGGATGAGCACGGCGCCAGTAACACCGAACAATGGCTGCTGATTGAGTATGAGATGATGAGGTTCGCGTTTGGGAGCGAGGTCAGCAATTTACACAACAGAAAACACCATAGATTCAATCAATGCCAACATTTCAACTATTCGCACATGATTTTATTCGCGTGTTATCGCAAAATTGCCTCAAGTCATTGCCTCTTGAAGGAATCCAAAAAGTGGAAGGAGCGTCTTGCAACCCTCTGCGGAGCACGGTGTGCAAAGACTTCTACTCTTCAGCCAATGCCTCAATCCTACCTATACTCACCAACTCAACCACCACATGCAAGCAACTTTGTTTCGATTGCGCGGCAGTTTCGATTGCACCGCAGTTTCAGTTACCAGACAAAATCTATTCACATATACTATTAACAGCTGATGAGCACAATCGCGACTAAACTCCACCCAAACCCTGCTACCCTACGAACGAGAATCGGAGCCAAATAAATACAACTCTCGACTCATTCTCCATGTTTCCGAGTATATCAAGCAATATCATCAATCTTGCGCTGCATATACTCGCACACTAATAGTTGCCAAATCGTTTCCAACAATTCTCAGCACACAGGTTCCTCGTGTTCCGCCACAACCAACGAGTACATCTTCTCTGCCAGGCGAAAATGCGAAAACAGGTATTCGTCAAAGCCCAAACATAGCACTCCATATCCATCCAATACTCCTCTTGACAGTTGATTTGCGAAGCTAGTACGGATTAGCTAACATGTCATTCGAAGATATAACAATCCAAAATAAAACATACCAAAAACCCATCAACTGCGGCGAACCAATAAATCTGCCAGCTCAGTCCTCGGGACGACGATTGGACGAACTTTGCTGCGTGCTTGAGTCAGCTGCTCAAAGGCGTAGGCTATTTTGAACAGCTTTTCTTCCTGAAAGCTGGTGCTGATGAAGGAAATCCCATAGGGCTTATTGGGGGCCGAATCAATGAAGCCGTCATCGCTAGCAATGATGGGTCTTTCCGGCCCCAGCTTTTCATAGGGGACCGTGATTGCACAAATATTGCCCATCCGCGAACAGAGTGTGGCAGCTATGTGCGGCCATGTAGCAAGAGCGTCAAGCTCATTTTTCTTGAAAGCAGCCAAAAGGCCCAAGTCGTCCAAGTATCCCTGCTCATGCCCAGGCACCTCTTGGCTTGTCGGCGTCTCGCCCTTTTCCATCTCGGGGGCTTCCTTGCAAGCATTTGTTTGGCAACGGGCATCTGAGTCATTTGGTTCCTTTCGAGTAAAGCCACGCGAATCTATCGCTGAATACATGTTCCTCGGTGTCTTTTCCAAATGGCAAAGATGCCTGGGAAATTCGAGCGAGAAATCAAGGGCACAACGACGAAGAGCGCTATCAGAGTCCGTATTAACAGCTCCATTAAGCATGATGCCGTCGACTATTGTGGCTTCGGCATTGCGCATCATATCCAAGGCCTGGTTGAATTTATCTACGGACAAATCGTAGGTGCAGATTTGGAAAAACCATGCCAGCGATCGCAAGAAGCCGATTCTCATTCCTTGCAGGCCGTCTTCTCTGCATGCTGCCACGTAATTGGGATAGATATCAAAGGGGATTCGGGCCGTGTACGGATCCTTCCGATCTCGCCCCATGATGGCTTTCATCAAATACGCCGCGTCTTTGACGGTTCGGGCCATCGTACCAACTGATTCAAGTCTCAGCGTGTCGGTCAACTCCTGTCTCAACGCCCGAGGAATCGCCAGATGCCGCGACGTCAGTCCAACCGTCGGTTTGAAGCCGACCACATTGCTCTGGCTTGCTGGCATGGTGATGGAGCCGTCAGTATCGGTGGCCACAGATGCCCACGCAAGGCCTATTGAAGCTCCCACTGCGCAACCACCGCAAGAGCCCTTTGGGACTTGTCCCTCAAAATATGCGCCTCTGGTGCGGCTTCCGCGATGAGTCCATTTCTCTACAGTGTTTTCATAGCTGTCGTCGCGGATGGCAGACCACTGGGTCTTTGTTTTCCCAAGGATAATAGCTCCAGCGTCACGCAGCTTGTGTACTACCGTGCTGTCTTCGGGAACGCGGCTTCCCACTACACCATGCAAACTGGTGGTTGGCATATTGTCGTCTGTTGCAAAGGTGTTTTTGATCAAGATTGGAATGCCATGTAGGGGGCCGAGCTTGGAGAGTTGAGAACGGTTCCTCATCTGATCCCTTTCATTATCAAGTTGAATGGCAATCACATGGGCGTCAGGGTTGATTTGCGTGACAGCCTCCAATAGAGGATTGACTTGCTGGATTCGACGAGTATAGGCTTGAACAAGCTGAAGGCTGGTGAAGTAGCCGGCATCTAGCCCAGTTCGCAACTCTTCAAGGGTTGCGTCCATGAGCAGCGGCAGAGCATAAGATGCTGTGGAGATGTTGTCGTTGTTGTTGTTGTTGTTCATGATTAGGTGCGTCTAAGTGAATTGGCCTGAAACAAGAGTATTGGAGAATGGCAAAGACTCTGAGAAAAGATAAAGTCTTTTTAATTGCGATGTACTAACGGACGAGAGTGTGTAAAGCGACGGAGAGAAACAAGTCATACATTGGCTGGATATAAACAAACGCTTTGACTTGTTTGCAGTGGTGAGCTGAAGACCAAACATTGGGTCGCACGGAAGGGAAGCAAACATTGACTACATCATTATCACAGGCGTTATCGGTTTTGCAATCTCAATTTGAGACATCAGCCAGGCTATACAAGGATTCACGACTCGACAGTCCTTGCTTTTGTGTAATACGCTCGAAGCCGACGTTACTATTCATTGCGCGTAATTCTACAGAGATCTTACATGACGGTGTTGTTGCCATAATTTTGACATGCTTCGGCAATTTGCGTCTACGGCACTCATCTTCGAGCTCAGATTCAAAGTAGTCACAACACATGCAAGGGTGAGTCTCGTTTTACTCTATGGCAATCCAGCCACTAACTACCTCTTTACAATACTTGCTACATGGTAGCATGGCGGAGAAAGTTTTCCAACACGATTGTAAGCAATTCTTGACTCGAAATAACATAGGTTTGCACTGGAGCCATCGCATGGATTGTTTTCTTTGTGGCTGCTCTGAAGTACCTGAACAGAGTATCTGGTACTTTGTCCTAGCAGGCTTGGTTACACAGATACCGTGCATATTCTGGCTGATGACACCTAGACCCTTATTCTGAGGGTGGGATTGGACGCCACCAATTTACCTCTATGCAGCCGGTCAACACTCATCACACCGGTTACGTTCCCCGAATCCTCTGCTTCATTTGACTTAGCCGCCGAGGGAAGGAGGTGTGGAGGCGTCGTACACCATCTTGAATTGAAGGATGCTGCGTGGATCGAAGAACTGGGATAAACAGGCTGGGCATATCTTGATAAACTTGCGGAGAGCCCTCCACGTCACGAAGTTGTCAAATCCATTTTTGGAAGCACGCGCAGATCAGCCGGGACAGGTGTGGTATACATGACCTGATGGTATCCTGACCTACGGCATTCAGCGCCTCTGGGAGCCGGTTCTAGCCCTTCAGGAGGATTTGCGCTGTCATTTGGCATGTCTTTCTTTAGGTCAGGTTTGAATATTGGAGCAAACAAGCAAAGGGACTGTCAAAGCGTCAGCAGCCGCCTCACTTTTCTGCCCCGTTTCTGCCTAACGATCCTAGACAGAATGGAGCCTATGCCGCTAGGGCTGGAGATGATTTCGGTGAGACATGAGGGTGAGCGGTTTTCGGACGCAATATTGCGTACTGAATTGCCTTGACTGGCCGTCAGGGCCGCAACTGAGATGCACCTGAGTATTATGGAGCCTCTGACACAAAAATAGGCAGAGCTAGGTATGACTGCTGTTGAAGTAGTAGTACATGCGGTAGTTGACTGGTCGCCCCTTGCTTAAACTCGGCCTTGACAGAGCGTATCAGCGAGGCGGGTATACGACTATCCGAGAACCAACGCTCCCACTACCTCTCCGCTCATATACTTCTATGTAGGTAGACGTGCTTTTGGCTACACTGACGGCGTTTCTTTGTAGGAAATCTTGAGAGAAGTTATATACATGTTCATGTACATGAGCTTTTGGACTTCAAAAGAACTACAATATGGTGGAAAAGGGGTACATTGATGATTTTTGGTCAACTTGGTGGTATCATGGGCACTATCTAGGACAGTCTTGATGGGAACATCCGCCCGCCTTTTTTCTCAGGCTCTCCCAAAGAGTCATACTGGATCCGATACAACTGTCACTGTCTCTGCCACTGATACACATGAGTTAGCTCATCTCTGGAAAAATCATCTGACATAAAAAAAAAAAGCAAACTTCTCTGCTCGTATACTGACCACTCACAGTCTCATGCGGCATATATTGAAGCCTCAGAAACCAAGACATGCATAAAAAAGGAAAAACAAAAAGAAATAGGATTCTCAGGCGGTGTGTCAATAACAAGATAAGGAAACTACGCCACTTCTCCGGATTTGCGTTACCCGGTCTCAAAATCTCCAAATCTCGGTCAGAGTCAGTTGATCTCCTCTGCCCGATAGAGATGGATCTTGCGCTCTGAATCAAAACTGGCCAACCCCAGAGAGGGATAGGCGCATAGCCCCCACGATGGCAAACCGAATAGTATATGTTTGTCTTTGCCGCCTGAACCAAGGATTGAGCTAACAGACGCCAGGTCTCAGTTGAACCCGGTATCTGGTGTACAATGACAGCTAACCACCTCTTGGAGAATGACAGGAAACCGGGGTTTCTCCTTGACCCCTTTGTATGTCGTGCTTTTCCTCTCTTTTTTCTTTTTTGTCTTGTTTCTCCTTCTCCAAAGTAATACCAAATTGGGGAAATTGCGACGGCTGCAGCCAGTGTGTGCCAAAACGCCCTATTCTTGCTACAGGGGTTCAGTCCTGTTCACGAGGCTCTGGATGGGGCAGTGGTCTTGTGTTTCTCACGATCGGGGCTCTGCTATTGGCGTAGACCGACGTCAGTGGCATCTTTCTAATCACGCATTTACACGAAAAAGGTTCCAGGGTCATGCAACTGTGACACTATTGCTGGAGGAAATACGCATACGAGTACGAGTGGTGGCGGCAGCAAAGAGCGAGCTGCATGATCGAGCATGCCTGTCTGACTATCCGTCATGCTTTGTGGAGTACTATATGCTGCGTGCCTAGATGAAATCACTTAGGATACTTGACCTAATAGTATCTGTGTTTAGTGTTGCCAGCAGTGGATATTGTCTTTGCTTGGAGCCCACTTGCCAGCAAATAGTCGAAGCCGTACACGCGCCAGATAGGTTGCAGGCAGCAGGGCAATGGCATACACAGACCGACACACCGACCAACTTCTCGAGATATCTATGTGGGTCATGTGTTGTAACCTGTAGTATATTCCGTATTCCGTATTCCGTATAAACTGTCTCTCTAATTCTAGCAGATTTCATTACGCAATCAAGTCAAAGGGAGTCAGATTTTGTCCCTTTCAAGATGCTGCTCCCCAGATTATGTTCGAGTGTTCGAGGAGGCCATGGTTCTCATAATCCTCATGGCCTGAGAAACCTGGTTCTATGGTATCAGATCATCCTATCTGCTAGTGATGTCTCGAAAATGGTGCGCCCTAGTTAGCTCTCTTCCTATGTCTTTCCCTTTCAATCAAATTCTAACTTGTATACAATCTCGTAGGCCCACTTTCAACGGCTGGCTAGAGAGCCCAAGAGGCCAGTCGAGTCGGGCCTGTCGTCTTCCGCTGCACGCTGCAGCGCAAAACATGCAATAAGTGGATCATCGGTATGCAGCCGCAGCTGGATCCATCTTTCCGTGCTCCGCGGATCCAATCAAGCTCCATTGCTAAGACTCTGAATGTACCGGCCGCGCTCGATGTTGGCGTAGGAATAGGGCTTTGATTCCCGGGGGAACGTGCCATCGGCCGCCCAAAGGTCAATGAGGTACTGCATGGGCTCCAACTCGCTGGGCTGCAGCATATCGAGCGTGGTTGCAGTCAGGAGGAAATGGCTGAAGCAGCTGTTGAGCTGCTTCTCGAGATTGATGTGGTAGAAGGGCTCGACGAAGTGATCCCAGTAGAGATGAGCGTAGACGCGGAAGATCTGGCGGAAGACGAGCTGGCAGGTACTGGCCATTTGCTTGGGGAAGCCGCTTCTGGCTCCAAACCAGTCCTCGGTGCCGCCGAGCTGCTGGATGGTGGTGCTGGTGTACTCTGGATGGGTGGCAAACGACACCGTGTCTGGGTCGGTAGGGAACAGCGCAGGGTCGTCAATCTTGCCAGACATCCACCGCTGCATGAGACTCATGTACTCGTAGGCCGGCAGCTCCACCGGCTCGTGATTTTTGTTGAGCCAGGTATAGGAGTGGTTCCTATATCCGCATGCGCGCATGCATTAGCCAAGGCACTCACTCCACTTGCCGTCTAGGCACAGCGATAGGTTGTTGTGTATAGGTTGTAGAAGATGGTGATGAAACTTACTTGCCAGCAGACATCTTGGGGCATGTCATGGGATTGCAGATGCTGGTTCCATCGTCTTCCCTTTCGTGGACAATTCTGACAAAGTTCCAGAGGTTACGATAGTGCTCGACCACTGTTGTTACGACATGTTAGAATATACCATTACTTCTCCTTTTGCTTTTGCGCCCTCTCTTGCTCTCCACGGGCCTTGCGTCTCTCTCTCTCTCTCTTCTCATGTCAAGGGTTTGATTGATATTGAAGGCGTACCCTGGTGTGCTACCCACTCGCCATGCTCAACCGTCTTTGGCCGAGCGCTTAGCGTCATGAAGTTTCCCTTGACAATGTGTTTGGCGCAGGCGGTGTTGAGCCATAGCGGCAACGGCCGGGGGATGTCGAGGGGCGTCGGAACCACTGCGTCTAGTGACCTTGCAAAGGGCAGGGACTCGGGCAGAGACACCTTGGGCGCTGCTGAGCTGGACGCGGAGCTGATTGACGGGTGGTGGTCCGCGGCGGCTGCATATCGGGACGAGGCAGCAGCGTGTGCTTGCGCGTGGGCGTGAGCTGAAGCCTCCGAGGCCGTCGGGCTCTTGACGGGATGCCCTGCCTTGGCAGAGGTCCCCCGAATCTGGGCTTTTCTGGATTTGGAACACGCGAAGTTAGCAAACACGCGGACAAGCAATCGCGGCGGCTGACAGGAAGCGCTGGCTGCTGTGCTATCGCAGCCGCAATACAGCAGCAATCGCAGCAGCGACACGTAACAGACGGGAAGCCACGCAGACGAGGGCCCAATCAGACGCAGAGGCAGCAGCGACAGCAGCAGCGACAGTCGGGCTTTTGCTTACATTCCAGAGAAGAGGTTGGACATTGCGCGTGCGGTGTGGTGTGGTGGTACAGCAGCAGCTTTTGGAGTAAACAGTGTGAGCTGAGCTTGTGATTATTGGCGGGGGGTTTTGGATGGCAAGGGAAGAAAGACGGGCCATCCGTACATCCATAGGCTGGATTCCCCTGAGCACAGCAGCCGCTAGAATGCAGGGGGCATAGGGTCCTGTTAGATAAGCAGCGGTCCCCGAATTAGGAGGGTTAGCATCGCTGGACTAGGACGGGCGGGAAGATCCAACAGCAGCGGGACCTAGCACTATTGCAGCACATCCGCTTTTAGAGCAGGCCACTAGAGGCTGGTGTTCGTACCTCTAGTTGGCAGCTCGGTGACGAGCAACTCAGGTTGGACTGAGCTGGAGCTACATGTACCTGTAGACCGAGGTGCTTAACAAGTGAAGTGACGAACATGAAAAATTGAATTTTGATTTTCAGTGTTGAGCGTCCGGGCATAGAGTAGGTAGGTATCATCCATCATGGCGTCGTAGAGTACTGCGGGTGTCACAGCATCGTTTCAAGGGACTGTCATTTTCCAAAACCATCCAAGCCTGCATTCTTAGTCCATGTACACAGGAATACTGGCGTGATACCGGTGTAGTACCGCTAGGAGCTGCCACCTCTTGTCGCCGCCCACCTACGGAATGTCGTGCTGCTACCTGGCACAGAGTATTGCGCCGTTACTCAAGGGGAGCAGAGACCAGGAAGTTGTCAAGAAGAATAGGCTCTACTATGCATTGCCTGCCTATGCAATCAGGATACTGTGATTTCTCTACCTAGGTACAGACAGTATTTGATTTTCTGAGCTGCAGCCACATTCTGGTGCTATATCGAGAGGAACGGCTGAGTAAGTCGGGTTGTTAGCCAATAGACTACAAGTAGATGTCACGGAAACAAGAAGCCAGCGAACCCCACAAACGAGGCATCTAGGCTCACTCGCATGAAAATGTACGTCTAGCATGGCCCGAAACCCTGCAAAAACTGGCCTATCCAAGTTCCTTGCACGTTTTGGGTATCCTTGATATGAGGTACCAGCCCAGCGTTAATCTGCCGACCGGTGAGAACAAAAAGGTCAACGCCATTGGGCAGCAGCTACAAGTCCCACGTACTACTGGCGATAGTGCGGTGCCACTCCAGCCACCGGTAGGTAAGCTAAATTAAGAAGCAAATTAAAAAGAAATGTGACAAAGGGAACGTGCTGTAATCAACCGGTTTCAGTCATCAAAGAGAGAGAAGAATCAAAATCAAATCCTCGTCTAATAGTCTTGCTGCAGCTTGTGGCTTTTTTTGCCTCTTTTCTCGACGCCGCGACTCATTTGCACGGCCACGCCACGAAAGATTCCAATCGGAATGACTCTTGTTCCACGCTGTGCACCCACCACTCGGTCGAGAGGGTGGCCGGAGGATTGGACCGGTGAGAGACGTACACATGCAGGTGGGAGAGGATTGATGCAAGTCGAGCCCTGTCTGTGTCAAAGCGCCCATTGCCACACTCTGTCAATATTGCTGCGGTAGTAGTATAGCCGTGCGCAATACTACTGGTAGGTCATCTCTGTTCAGTAGTGGTAGCAGCAGCAGCGTTGATTACACTTGCAACGAGACACTCATTTACTGGCTGCATGCACTGCGGGCTTGCAATCTACTGCAATATATGATGAGATGATGTCTGCTCAACTGGCCTCTGCATCTTGGGTCACCACGTCTGTACTCGCCCACCCCAGGTTACATACACACAATGCCAAATCGTATGTAGGGTCCGGTTTGAAGCGTGGGGCTTGGAAGATGCTGTAGTCTTTGAGACATACAGTACCTTGCCTGCTTGTAGATACAGGCTTGAAACCAGAGGAATGTCGCCCTGCATCTGTAAATGGTTGCAGCACCAAATAGGGCCGACGGAGACGGCGGAGAAAAAAAAAGGAAAGAAAGCATGGCTCCCACGCATCCTCTTCTCGTTGCGGGCATCTCTAGTGTCGGCCAACCCACTCTCGGTTTCCCGTCTCGCATGTGCTTTCGCCTTCGTGACGTTATCCGGGCCTCTCGTATCCCATTTCTCCCTGCAGCTGGGAACAAGTTGGGCTGCATGGCAGGCTGCATGAGCGCTGGCTGCTTGGTCCGAAGGGAACCCGCTTTGGAGTCCACACCGGTCACGGACTGCATGCAACTGGGTCGCCCGAAGAGGGTCAATTGGCCAAAGAATGCCGGGCGAAAAGACTGGGTATCCGTAAATGGTGCTGTATAGAGGAAGAGGAACTGCTGGCGGTTAGAGGAGAAGCGAGGAGAGGAGAGGAGAGGGGAGCAGAGGGGAAAGAGGAGACATCTCGCCGCGTGCCTCATCGGAGACGCTCGCAGGCGGGGCTCTTGTTTTAGGGATAATTTCGTGCGAGACAGTTGAGGCGAGGACGAGCAAGTGCGGTATGTTGCATGTACCTGGCTGCACAGTCTGCGACGACTGGGGCGGCACGGCTGATTGGTGCAAGGCGAAGCTGAGAAGTGACGAGAGCAGGAGGGTGAGATGATGGTGATGGCGATGGTGACGCTGCTGCTGCTGCTGAGATGGAATGATGAGTGGTGAATGACAGAGATGCCAGTGGCCATTGCTACATGACGCAACGAATGGACTTTCCTAATCATACAGCTATCGATATCAAATATCAATTGCTCACGTGTGTCAATACTGGTAGGTGGTATATCGTGACTTACACGTACAACTGAATTCGTCCAAGCCACTGTCTCTTGCTGAGATGGATACACTGGGAGCCAGCCAAACTGGGCGTGCTCGCAAGTACACACACACACACAAACCACTAAAAGCTAGCCAAGACCAAACTGTGTTGATAACGGCCCCTCCCTTTCTCGACTTTTGGCTTTTCGCCTGTCCTGCAACGTCTCTAGCCAAGTACCCGCTACCACATCTCCCCCGCCAATCTCGCATCCCTGACTAAGCGCCACAAGTACCGTCTACCTGCCGCCCGCCGCGTCCCACTTCATCAGAAACATCGACGCGTGCAGGTTGTCACACTCTCGAGGCCCAAAACTCAACATCATGGAACTGCATTTCACGACACCGTGAGGATTGCCTCTGTCCGCACGGCATACGGAGGTACAGACCCCGAGCCCAATCCCGGCGTCCAGCCTCCCCCACGGCCCGCATCTGGGGTTCAACAGCAGCTCTAAAACGTGCAGCTCTCACGGCCAATCCTCCGCCTGCTCATTGCATCTTGTGCTGTCCATCGCCGTCTTATTGCTGTGCCTCTGTGCCTCTCCACCGCTCTTGCTGCTGCTCTGGCCAATTTTGTCTGTGCTCTACATTGCATCCCGATCATCGGCTGCTTGTGTCCAATTGAACTCCCTGGTCAATCGCTTTCGAACTGCGCATCTCGTGCTTCTCTCAGTCCTGCCGGTGTCGCCAGCTTTTGGTAAGAGAGAGATAGACTGGGATCCATATCGTCTATAAAAGACGAATACCTGCTTCACAAACGAGACAAACAAAGAAACCAACCGCATCTTCCAGGGCCGCGCCGCGACTCCTGCTCTATCCTCTCTCTCCAGCAACATTCCTGTGTTGTTGTAGAGATTGGACATCTATTTCTTCTTACTTCTTCTTTTTCACCGGTTTCACGCAAACCGTCTTTCCATGTCAGAATATTTTCAGCTCAACTATCAACTCGGCAACGATCCAGACAACTATCTTCTGAAATTTCACCCTTCAGGACCCAGTTTCAACCACTACCGCCGAGAGCTCCGCAGGATTCAGAACGAGAACAAACCACCATACGCAGAGACCGAAAACGGGCTCTCAGAGGACGACTCTACTCCTGAGCCGTACTCCCCTCCCTCCACCTCCCCTTCTCCCCCCTCCAGCGTTGCCACCATGGACCTCGAGATCATGGACATGGGCAGAGATTTGGAAGAAACGCCGGTTCACACGCCGGTACAGCGCCGGGCCAGGAGTCTCGAACCCTCCATCAGTCGCTTGTCCATGAACACGCCCAACGAGCGTTATCGCCAGAATCCCCATTATCCCCATTCCTCCATCAACACCCCGGCTCCTCCTACTCCTCATGCCATGGCCGCTCGCAGAGCCCTTGAAGACCGCCGCATGGCCATGTTTACGCCCGGCCGAACCCGTCGCCAGAGCTTCAGAGAGCAAAGGGAGACGCCCATGCTGATCCTGCGCAACCTTGGTCGAGCTCTGGCTCCCACCAGCAAAGCCATTGATTCTTCCTCCTCCCCTGAAAAGCCCTCTCCTAACGGCGTTGGCAACAGAGGAGCCGGCGGCAGCGCAAGGGGCGCGGGTCGACGCAATAGCGACGACGACGACGAGCTTCCTATTGATAGGCCTCGACTGTCCTTGCCCATTGACGAAGGCTCTTCAGATGACTTGCAGCCTCCACACTCTTCCATCTTGGATGACCCAAACGTGACGGTCCAGTCCGTCGAGCTGCCTCGTCGAGCCACCAGCGAGGGTCCGCCAAGACGCAGCTTTGGTTATCTGGGAGACAGCGACGTCACTCCGTGGGACGACATCTATGGAAATGATGATACCAACCCTGATCCCTTTGCGTATCCTCCCGGCATCGCGCCTCATGCTCCCAACGACCCGGAGATTGCAGACCTCCGGTAAGTATACAATTCTCTGCTTTAGTGGATCGAAATTTCCCTCTCTCTAACGCTTTCTAATTATAGATTCCCTCCGGGTGTCGGTCGTGAAAGTGACTTTAGCCTTGACATGCCATCGGGTCTGAGCGACAATGAGCAGACCACCACATTTTATATGAGGTCTCCTGTCGTTGACAGTGTTGAAGCTGTCCCGGAGGATGAGGATGAGGATGCTTCCAGTTCCAGCAGTGATGGCGATGACGTCCCGCTCATGGAGAGGCGACAATCCGAAAGGGACAGAGTGCTAGAGCAGGCCACAGAGCCAGATGAGCAGCAAGACGAGCAGCCATCTGAGCAACCGTCTGAGCCGATAGACTTTGGGTTTCCTGACCTGGGCGGCTTTGAGCACGTGCCAGATCTCGGTGATGCGGAGATGGACGCTCTCACTCGGTATGATCCAGAGACTTTTGCCCAAGATCCGGTGAGGCCTGGGGACGAGTGGATCGGATATCCTCCGGGCCGACCCAGGAAGAGGAGAAGAGAGGATGATGAGAGTTCCCGGGCGGCCGAGGCAGAGGCCGAAGCTCAGGCTCAAGCTCAAGCAGAGGCTCATGCCCGGGCCCAGGCTCAGGCCCAGGCTCAAGCCCAAGCACGGGCACGAGCACAAGCACAAGCACAGGTCAGAATCTCGGCGCACAATATCCAGTATCCTCCGGTGACCAACCTTTTTGTGCGACAGGTGGTTCAACATGCCGCGCAGAACTCGGCCCTGGGCCACCAGAGACTGCCCGCAGATGCTCTGGAGACCTTTTCGCGCGCCTCGGAGTGGTTCTTCCGCCAGCTCGGTGACGATCTCCGTGCCTACGCCGGACATGCCAGACGTAGCATGGTAGAGGAACGTGACCTTGTTGCTCTGATGCACAGGTGAGTACTTCTTTTTCTTCTCTATCTTTTCATTGTAAAATATCTCTATCTATACATGTTGATTGGGGAATATTCCATGATGCCTTTCCATGATGCTAACAATATACTGTACACTAATAGACAACGCGTCATCAACGCTGAACAATCTCTCTTCCACCTGGCCAGCCACAACCTTCCGCGGGAGCTTCAGCAGCTGCTGAGAAGCAACAACCCCGGATACCAGCCCGCTTATCCCGTCGCCCAACAGTCAGGCATTCAAGTTCAGCAACCTCTCGTCAATGCCCAGTCAGAATCTGTCACTGGCCTTCGCCCGTTTGTTCCAAGCCCCCCTTCTCCTACCCACGCAGGTGAAAAGCGCAAGCGAGATGAGGACGACGATGGCGAATCTGATAACGAATCTTTGGTGTTCCCTGAGGATGATGATTATTAAAGCAAGACGAAAGACGAAGACGGCAGGTAACAGCTCCCTTCCTCTTCCTCTTTACCCTTGCCCCTTTTCTTTACACTTACAGCGTCTCGCCATTCTTTACATGTGCCCGCTAGCTCGGACACGGCGTGCAACGTTGGACGGGGGCTTCTTGAGCACCATGTACAGCATGATTGAGGTGGCAAAGCTCAGCCCATACCTATGATTTTTGATTGATTGAGTTAGCGGCGGAAGGCCCTGACTTGCTTGCTTTTTGGACCTTTGCTTGAGTTTCTGTCTTCCTTTTTTTTTCTCTATTTTCTTTTTGTGTTGTCTTGCTTCTTTCGCGAAAGAGCAGGATGGACCAAGATTGTTTGCGAGTTGACTTACCATGTAAAGATGTATTGGGCGTGGTTGTTTCTCAGGGTGACCTCGGCGGGTCGCCCGAAGGGAATACCACGGGCTTCATAGTCCATCATGCGTAAAAACTCGGGCTCTAGATAGTTGTTTACATTTTTCATTGTTTAGCGACGGTTTGTCAAGGATACATGGATGTATGCCTGGATGTATGCATGGATGGATGGACTGATTGATTGCGAGAGACGGAAAATCTGGCTAGCTTTGAAAAGGAAAGCTTGGAGATCTTTTGAGATTGCTCTTTTGGGGTGGATACCTGGGACTGTTTTTGCTTTGGATTGTTTGTGCTTTATGAAATTGAAATTGGTGCTGGATATGATGGAGACGGATACAAAGATACATCATGATGAAGATGAAGATGGAGGATGGCTGGTTTTGGATTGGTTCACGTACCCATAGTGGCTTCCACCCACACCGGCTGACTTCCAGTCAAGGCAGCCATCTGGTGGACATCGGGGAAGTAGAACTCCCCCTTGTCGGGCCTATTTTCAGGAGTAAATCTGTTCTTTTTCCACGGCTCGCGCAGCAGTCCCTCTATCGTGACCTCTCCCTTGACCAGGCTGTCCGGCCTTGTCCTCTGGCTGCGGTGCTTCTTGCTGATCCACCCGCGGTTGACGAGAATCGTGGAGCCGTCCTTGCGCTCCAGCGGCGTGATGACCATGTAGCCGTCCTCGCCGTTGCGCATGCGCGGGCCCACGAGCATCTCCTGGTCGTGGCGCAGCGTGCCCGTGGCGAGGACACGGCGGAAGTCGAAGTCGCTAATCACGGAGGGGTCGATGTGTGGCGGCAGGGGGAGGGGATCGCGGACGAGGCGGTCTTCGGATTTGGCGATGAGGCGGGATTTCCAGCCCAGGCGCTGGACTTGCCATGTGCCGAGGATGAAGGCGGTGATGGGCATGAGGGCTGTTGATGTTCGCATAGATACGCATGGTTAGCGAGATTCTTGTCATTGTTTATACAGCCAATCATGTATACATGAGATCTGACGGCATCTGGGAACAAGGGCTGCTGCGAACCGAGAAGAATGATTCCAGGGCCATGGCGCTTCCCCGCGCGCACAGTCTGCGGCTGCAAATCGACAATCGATACAAAGTTGGGGTCATCGGCTGCCGGCGTCTTGTTGGATCGAGCGACGGTCGAGGACATGTGTCTGCGGTGGATCGTCCGGGATGCTGATGACGCCGGTCTCGTCCTCAAGCATTGGGACTGTGAAGCAGATTTGGCAAAGGCGGTGCGGCTGCTTGCCCGCAGGCTGTTGCGCATAAGAAGCTGTGCGCAGTTCATTGTTCTGTGGCTGCACGGCAAACGCCTCATGCAATTGATTTCTTGTCAATTATTCTTTTTGTGTTATCGTGAGCTGTTGGAGCTCCTCGTTGATAGTGAGAAGATTGTTTTTACTTGATACTACCTAGGATGATGGCACTGAGAAGCATTCGGGCGCTGACCGCCTGCCTAGACGGGCGATTTGGCGGGGGAAGAGGTTCGCTGCTAGTGCGACTTTGTCCGATACTGCGGCAGTAGCGCTATTTCCCAGGTTAAGCACATGTATTTTTCAGATGACAGGTGCCATGTAACGGACCCCGTTCTGGATCGCCATGTGGTGCAATTCGGGCTTTCATTGGACCAGACTCTATTGAATAATAGCGATTTGATCTTCTCATCTTTGTACTGTAGCTCGGCCATTGTTCCAAGCTTTGCATCTGCGTAGATAGACTTACAGTCCTTCCATGCATGGCTGCCCTGGAATCTGACTTATACGCGCAGCTGGAATGATGCCACATCAACGCCAAAGCCTCCACCAACAAATCCTTCTTGCCAGGAAACGAATCTTCAATGATCCATCGCCTTCTCTTCTCGAGCAGTGGAGTAATTCATCGCCATAGAAACCATACGAGGCGCACGTTTTAGCATCGTGAACTAGTGCAGGTCCCCTTCCATCCATCTATCCGTCTCCTCCCAACAAAAACTCGGGCTTGCTAGAAAAGCAGCAAGCAGAAAAGTTCCACAGCCTTGCCACAAACAGCAACGCCGGCGCTCCTCAAAAGTGGACGGGCCTCGGCGGAACTTGAGCGCTGCTGGGCAACTGGGCAAAGGTCCAGTCGTGATTATAGTGGAGTTTTTTTGGTTCTCTCAGGCTCAGGCCTTCTCTGTTTGGGGGTTAGTCCGCTGTGGCCCTTTTCCTGCTGCTGTCCTTTCGTCATCGGTTTAACTCGTCTCTCCCCCAATGAAGAAGCCAGCTAGTGATTTCCCATGTAAGTTGTCATTAACACGATAGCCGCAAAGGACCCCAACAGAAAGCAAAGAACGAATAGAAAGAAAAGGAAAAAGGGCTGTTGTCTTTTGATTTTGTCTTCTTCTTGAAGGGCTCATCTCATCTTTTGATTTTGCCCTTTTATTCACAAGCTGCGGAGAGGCGGAAGACCAATCCCTGTCTGGTCCCCAAGCTTGTCACCATCGATTTTCGGCAACCCGGCCATTTGCGATTCCCCTCCTCCATTTATCATCAGCGCCGATCCGCCGCCGCCTCCTGTCCTGTCCTGTTCCTACCTCTCGAAAACAGTACTTCACGACATTGAACAGAATAAAGAAAGCAGATCGATCATAAAAAGGGAACCCCCCGAAAGCAAAAAGACATGTTCTACCAGGGGAGCCTGCAGGAGGGCATTTCCACGGCCGTCGGGCAACAGAAGCTGGTGCTGTGTTTCGTCACTAGTACGTTTCGGCGAATGCGTCTTCAATGTTCTGGTTAAACATCTTTCTTTGCCTAACTGTTTGGCTCACTAGATGAAAACGACGAGAGCAAGACATGGGAGAATGAGTATCTACAGGACAGCTCGGTGAGATTATCCCCGCGTACCTGCGTACTGCATGGAATGGCTGCGAACAACGTTTTGTCTACTCTGGTATAGACACGCTGCTAACATTACATGTTCACCATCTATAGCTCTCAAAGTTGATTGAGACTCAAGCTGTCGCCCTGCGGCTTCTCGCAGACTCGGACGAAGCCGGCTACCTGTCGCAAATCTTCCCGCTGCCAAAGACCCCGACCGTCGTCATCATGAAGCATGGCGAGCTGAAGGAATACATCGCCGCCGGCACCAGCAAGGAAGATTTCCTCCGCCGAGTCCTTGTCGCCTTCAACGCCGCTCCTCCAGCGCCGGCCTCGTCGCTGCCCTCGCCCGCTGCCTCGCCCACCTCCTCACCGACAAGACTGTCTGCCCCTGTGCCGGTCCCCGCTCCAGCGTCACATTCAAACTCGAACTCACCTTCGCCGTCTCCATCACCTTCATCCCAGGCACAGACACATATTCCGCCCGCTACCGCACAAGCTGCCGCGCAATCAGAGATTGTAAGCCGCATTCTCGCCGAAAGGGCAGCCAAGCTCCAGGCGCAGAAAGAGGAAGCCGAACGACGAGCCAAAGAAGAGCGCATCAAGGCTCAGGAAAAGGCCAAAGCCGAGGCACAGGCGGGAGCAGACACAGACAGCGCCAGAGTACACAAACAGGCCGAAGAGCTCAAGAAGAAGCGACACGCAGAACAGGAGGAGCGCCGGAGGATCCTGAAGCGGATAGAGGATGACCGGGAAGAGAGACGAATGCGGGCAGAGGCAAAGGAGCAGCAGAAGATTGACAACCAGAAAATTGGCGACGTGGCTGCCTCGCTGGTCAATCCCAAGCAGAGCAAGCTGCCCTCAACGACCAGGGTGTCTGAAATGGCATCAATACAGGTGCGACTCTTTGACGGCTCAACCATACGGTCCCGGTTCAAGACGGCCTCTCCCCTGAAGGAAGTCAGGCGATGGGTCGACGAGAATAAAGGAGAGAACAAGAGCCCATATACGTTTAAGCAAGTCTTGACGCCGGCGCCCAACAAGAACATTGATGCGACAGAGGAGAACAGGGCGCTCGGCGAACTTGGTTTGGTTCCGTCTTCAACACTAGTTTTGATTCCCGTCCAGAATTATTCGACCGCCTACCCCGGCGAGAAGGTGCAAAATTCCTCCTTCTTCTCCAAGTTTCTGCGGACGATTCTCGGCTTCTTCGTATGGATCTTGAGCTTGGTTGGCCTGGCTGGTGGTGAGCACCGTGCGGAGGAGGCCCCAAGTAATAGAGAGAGGAGGAGTGAGCGGGAACGAGCATCGGATGCAACGGCGCGAGCTGTTTCTGAGGAGAGGCGGCGGCGTGTTCGAGGCTTACAGAATTTGGCGGACCGGCAACGCGATCACCAGCTGTATAATGGGAACTCGGTATGTATCGCTTTGTCTCTTCACCAAAGGTCTTGTACTTGCTTGTGATCCAAGTGACCAAACTAACCATATACTGCCTATAGCTAAATTTTGAGCCGCGGCCAGACGAAGACGAATCATGAAAGATGCAGGAGAAACGAGTGTACGATAAAGCTACGCGTGTATGAGCTGCATGGCATATTCTTGCATCTGGGGATCGTCTTTTTTGGCTTAATTGGCGTCTTTGTTACTGATTTCTTTCTTCATAATGGGATTGTTCTTATTGTGATTGTATTATACAACTATAAGCTTCAAGAGCCGGGCGTTTCTATAGGGTTTTTTTCCTTCTTCCTTTCTTATTTGATTTCTTGTAATAAAGCAAATCCTCTGTATGCGCCTCTCCTCGCATCCGTAAAAGTGCTTTCCTATGCTGCCGTGATAGTATTAAGCATCCAATGCCGACGTCATCGTAGCTAATAGTCTGCTTTATGTCTGTACGTAATGCCCCATTCCCGGTATGGGCACATGTGCGTTTTCGTATATACAAGCGTGCTCGTCTCGATATATAGTCTTACATGATTCTTCTTCTCATTCGCGTCTTCGCATGAAATCCTTCAGGCCATGCCCTCCCTCTCCTTCCTCTAGTACTGGCTGGCAGCAGCCTGGCAGGCCTTGAGCTGCTCGAGATACCAGCTGCAGATCTGCATGTTGCCGCCGTTCTCGTCGAGGCACTTTGTGAAGTTCTGGGCGGCGCCGGCGCAGTTGTTGTACTGCTGCTGCTCCTGGGGAGCGGCCTGGGCCTGGACGGGAGCAGCAGGTTCGGAGGAGCCGCCGCTGAAGAGGCCGCCGATGGCGTGGCCGACGGATGAGCCAATGGCGACACCGCTGAGCGAGAGAAATGTTAGCTTACAAGTGCCTCTCTGTGTTACAAGTTTGCGATTATGACAATCTTCCGACACTGGACGGGTCTCGAACAAAAGGACAGGCAACTAGCAAAAACGAGGAAGAGGATTCAACGTACGCAGCAGTGCTGGCCATCTGGCCAAACAGTCCGGGGCCCTGGGAAGCCTGCTGAGGAGGAGCCATGGCCGTGGGAGCGTGTTGCTGAGGAGGAGCAGCCATGGTGGTCGCAGGGCGGCGCTGCTGAGGCGCGGGAGCAGAGACGGTGGGGCGCGAAGGAGCGCGAGCGGAAGAACGTTGGCGAGGCATGGCGATGGTGGTTTTGTGGTGTTGAGGGGAGGAAAGGGTATGGATGTGAGTCGTAGATTTCGGCGATGCGAAAGATGAGAGAAGATGTATAAATGCTGGGGGAAGGATTTATCGGGCCAATGGGAGGGGCCGTGATTGCGCCCGTGGCAGGCGTTAGTGGTTTAGTGCCCCGCTACATGGATTTCCTTGGGGCGGGACGGAGGGCCGAGAATTTCCAGCGGCGAGAATGTTCTAAAGCCGATATAGAGATGGACAGTTGACACCTAAGCCGAGGTCCTGATGGTGTAGGTAAGCTGGTATTTTATTGGTGTAATATATTCTAGTTTTCAATCAGACAATATTACTCGATACCTATACAATAAAGACGGTAGTAATTTTGTATGCAAATGCAGCCAGGTAGTCTTCAATCCAGACTCTTGCAGACCAATCTCTAATAGCGCCTCAAAGCCCTTTGCCAGATAATTTCCTCCATTAAACAGTCATCAAAAGATGCTCTTGAAAGGGTGCTTCCAAGCAATGTCTGTAATCAAAATCCCTAGATAAATCATATTCCTTGCCGTAACGCCTCCGATATGTGTAGCTGTTCGCCATCTAAAAAAGAAACCCCCAATCGCTAGCAATAAGAAACCCTTTCTCTGAGAAACAAAACTTTCATCTCTAGTTCCGGTTTTTGCCTTTGCCCTTCGTTTTAGGCTTCTTGTTCTGGCTTGATGACTCAGACCCAGTAGCTTGTGCAGTCTCGCCTGCACTTCGCTTCTTGCTCTCTGCTGCTGATTTGAGAAGGGCCTTGGCGCGTTCTTCGGCAATCTTTTCTGCCAGCTTGGCGCTCAAGGTCTTGTTATCAGCCTGTACGTAAAGAGCATATGGGTCAGTTTCCAGGTGCAAATATCCGAGAGACACGGGTGAGAACATACCAAGTCAGCTTTCAGGATGCGCGCAGCAGCCTCTTGGTTGACGGTCAAGGTCCGTTTGGCATCAGGCTCTTCGGCTGCCTTGATCTTTGCAAAGTACTGCTGGATTCGCTTGAGTTCTTGATAAACTGCATGGTTCTGCGCGTCTGCCCCTTGGACCTTCATAGAAGCTGGATGAGATTCATGTTAGCCTTGTGTCAACCACCAGATAACGCGTGATGGTTAATTCCCACGTACAGAAAAGTAGAGATTCGATAGCGTATGCCGTCAGTGAATACAGCTTTGCTCTGTCCAGTAGAGGCAGCTGAGATGCCATCTCGCTCAGATTGCCCAGCAACGGCTCAAGCGCATCTTCCAACTTATCCAACTGAGAATCCAGTTTCTCCACGAGCGGCGCAATGGTGGGAATGTCGGTCATGATTGCAGATGTAATAGCGAGAAACAAATGAAATGCAAAATTGATATGGAATGACAAATGAAGGTGAAGCAATGCTCTGATTCAGCTTTTATGCTGAATGAAATCTCAGTGTCTTTTTTTTTGATCAACTGAAGGCGCCAGTCGCGAAAGATCTTTATCGATAATGCAGCGGCTATCGGAGTGTCATGCATGTATCGAGTTATACCTCATCTATCGGGTCGCGATCCCGCGGTGGAACCTCTCCGGCGAGAAAAAAGAACATTGCATTTGGCGGGCTCACGGGGTACAGGATAACGACCAAAGCTCGATACCCGAGTTCATTTGACAATTTCTCTCGCTTCTGAGCTTCCAAAAACAAAGCTTGAATCCCTACCAAGCAGCCATATATCCTCCTACATCGTGACCCCCCAGCCTCCCTACAACCCGCCACTCAATTCATTCTATAGAAAGCGGCATATCGAAGGGGGAGCCCAGGGTCCAGCGCGAAATAATCAGCATCGACAACCCGGACCGGATTGGAATCGATACAACTAGTCATTCCCTCGCCGACTTCTCTCGGCGGCCTTCAAGGTGGCCTCCTCAGTTCGACCGCGACTATCCGCGCGGATATGTCAAAGACAATCACAATGGGCTGGCGATAGCATCTGCAGAGGCCCGGCCGCCGCAAAACGCTATGGCACCGTAGCATCAACGTCCTCAACCTCCGATAGGGGCAACGGCCATGCCAAATCACGCAATCCCTCCTCACCAGAAGCTACTTCAAGATACTCTATACCGCGGCCGTGGTCAGAAGCTCTGCACCCTGAGACTACTGCCACCAAGAAATCCTCGTCCTCGACACCCAGATTCTACGTGCCTTCGGTTCTGCTGCCTCCCGACGCTGCCAAATCACCATCGGTCCACAAAATACATATTCTAGGAGACGACGAGAGATCGAGATTCATTGCCCATGCCCTGTCAGGCGTCTACGACTCGGTGGAGATGCTCGGCTGGAAGCGAAGCTCAACTTCGTCACCTACATTCTCATCAAAGTACCGCAACATTTACAAGTCCCGTCACGGCGACCAGCGCAAAATGAAACTAGAGCATGTATCAGTGACACCAAGGGTCATAGCCAGAGACGACAATTCACATATCGACCAGCTGCTCGTAGCTGGACCGGGACACAAGGCAGTCGAGGCATTGCGGTCGGTCAAGCACCGCATCAATAAAGATACAACGGTGTGCCTAATGACGGATGGCTTGGGCGTCCTCGAGGAAGTGAGGGCACGGATTTTCCAGGGAACTGACGAGTCATCGAGGCCGAGCTTCCTCCTTGGCCATATGAGCCACCGATTGGCGTTCAACAGGCGCCATGACTCGGTCAAAGAGCTACGGTATGGCAAGACGCAGCTGACATGGGTCGATTCCTCTGGAGTGGCTCAAGAGGTGGAAAAGACGGAAACACGCATGAATTTTGTCCAAGCACTTCAAGCAGTCGAAGATCTCAACTCGTCCCTTACGCCATTTGACAAGTGGCTCCATTTCAAGCTCCCGTCAGTTATCCTGGATTCCGTGGTGGAGCCTGTCTGCGTTCTATTGGAGATGTCATATGCAGGGCTACTGCAGAATCCCGCAGCCCAGCGGATGATGCACCGGTTGCTCACAGAGATTGTCTCTGTCGTGGACAATATGCCGGAAGTCGAGGGATCGGCCGCCATCCGAGACTTCATTCGTGGCAACCGCATCAGACAGCACATCTATGGCCGCATCATGGCGAGACGTGGCGCTTCGAGCAGCGAGCTAGCAAGGCAGATCCGGAACGGCCTGCCGACTGACGTGGATTATCTGAATGGCTTCTTCATCCGGCGCGGTCATCAGCTGGGCCTGGACCTGCCCACCAACGTGTTGATGAGAGACATGGTCAAGGCGAAGCACTCGCTGGCCGTTGAGAAGCTCAATTCGTATATCCCTGTCGAGGAGACTTCGATACCTAGCCACTTGTCATTTCGCTATCGGACCATGCCCAAATCAAGCAATACCAAGGTTGTATAAAAATTAGATTTACTATTCTTTATTTGCTACAGGTGCTCAGGGGGGGGGGAAGCGAGATCGGGAAGCCGGGGAGCCGGGAAACTATTTTTGGATTATTGTTTTTTGTAGACATTTTGCATTCAGCATTGGCGTGGGAGGGGCCTTTTTTCTTTTCTTGTACGATACTACCTCCGAGGTACGAGGTGACGTGTGCATATTAGTAGCTAGAGGTATATACCACCTACCTTGAATGAAAATATCCCAAGCTCAACTGTGTTCCGCGTCTACACTGTGTTCTGCATGTGGAAGGATTATCAAGTTGTATATATGTTGAGTATTGGTGGGCATTATAAGCCTGTATACACCACCTCCAAGTGTTTGACCTCCAAGGTCTACATACTATACCACTTACCCAAGATTACATGCATGGCAGGTGTATTGCCTACTACTTCCTGCTCTTTACCGCAAACATGTCTAGATCCAATTTGCTGCATCTCCCCAACGGATTTTGCAGCTCCTTGGGGGTCCGGATAATCAAAAACTTGCTGAGCCAATCGCACTTGAGCCCTGTCCGGGAGCCCAACGCAAGCTATTCCCATACGGCGTGTGATTATGATCCTAGAAGCGGGCGCGAGCTCCAGGCCAGAAACGGCTGTAAAAAAAAAATTAAAAAAAAAAAAAAAAAAAAGAGACAACATTGCCCCGCGTTTTTTCCCAAAGCTTTCATGACCTCATGCCTCTACAACTTCCAAGGGTTGCATGGGCTGCGGACCAGGGTCTCGCTGCAAAAATGGAACACACGACCTCGCAAAGTCCGCCACGCCCCCTCCCTTCTTTTGCCAATTGACAAGACACCGCGGCTCGCGCCTTCTATTCCCAAAACAAAACAAAAACCTGCTACTGTACCGTTGCGCCCACCTGCGGGCGCCAGAAGCTATTGGGCAGCCCTTTGCTCCTTGCAGACAACTTGCATGGATAAGTTACAGCAGCTCTCAAGCGGGGTCGCTGTCGTGATAGGTTGGAGCTGGGCTGGGCTGGTGACCCCCTTATACCGTCAGGCGTTTTCTTCCGGTCCCCTTTTCGCCCGCTGTCGTCGGTTTAATACAGCTCGGTTCTCGTTTCCGTATTTCATTCTTGTTTCATTTCTTCTTTTTTTTTATTTTCCTTCTCCATCTTCAGCTTGACATCAATTTTTTAACTTGAATTTATTTCCATAGCTCGTCCATCTGCACGAGCTACTACTTCTCTTGTCAGATTGACTACTTCTTTGGTAAGTAAGCTCTCACTTACACGGTCATCGTCATCAGCTCCCCCCGGATTTGGTAAAATGCCCAATGCTAACATTCAATTTTGCATTTCAGCACTCAGTAAACGCCCTTTTTAAATTCAAAAAGAGTGTCAGAGAGCAATTGCAATGAATTACACCACAATGGCATATTCAACACGGCATCGCGCATTCCACCTTTTCCCATGCCTTCCTGCCGAGTTGCGCCTGCAAATATGGCAGGAAACGCTGCCAGATCTCGATGGCGTCACTTTGCATGGCTACAAGAAGGGATGCTGGGATCTCAGAGACCCTCTGCCAGAAGAATTCAACGACGAGGAGTCCGACGCCCTGACCAGAGCCGACAAGATTCTCGACTTCCGTCACGAGATGCTAGACGACGTCCACATTGACATGCCCATCGTCTTTGTCAATCGTGAAGCCCGCAGCACCGCCCTGTCCTGGGCCCGCGCGCAGGGCATCAAGATGGACTTCAACACCGACAAGGCCTGCCACGTCTTCGTGCTGCCCTTCAACCCATGGCAGGACGCCTTGTTCATCAACTCGCACAAGCTCGAGGAGTTTTGTGTTGAGCCGGCTGACCGCCTGGCGGGACTCCAGCTCCGCGGGCAATCCGCCTACAGCAATCCCGACATCACTCAGGTGGCCTTGCCTCACACGGCGCTCACGTCGGAAATGTCAGTCTTTTACGATCTGATCCATTGGTTCCCCCGTCTCGAGGTGGTCTACATCATCGTGGACATTGAGATTGGCGCGGATATGCCCAAGCATTTCTCGGCCGAGGAGCGACGGAGGGCAAAGGAGCGAATGAAGCACCAGCGGTGGAAGACGAGCCAGACCCAGGGCCATTCGTACGCGTGGGACAGCAAGGATCGCAAGTTTGTCCGCAGCATTGGCACGCCCATTGGCTTCAGGTCCATGTACAGGGAGATTGAGGACTACCTGACTGTGGGAATCGCAAAGGTATTTGCCAAGAGGGACGTTGAAAGATTTGAGATTCGACCTGTCTTGATGATTTTGTGATGATGATTATTATGATCTTCGACGTTGTTGCTTTTTTCTCTTTCTTTTTCTCTCTCTCTTTTTTTCTCTGTATCTGGGAGCGGGGTTCTGGAGTACTGCTATTACTGCACGATTCGATTCGGCAAGGCAAGGCAAGGCAGGATTTTGGATGCGAGGACTTGGGGTGCCAGGATTTCGGGTTCTTCTAATTTGGGGCGGGTGGATTTTGAGTGCTTACGCAAACCGTAGCTACTATTGATTTTTGTATTGTATCCATCTACACCCTCTTTTTTCAAATCTCACTGACCTTTGGGGTCGACTTCATCTATTTCTGCTTGCTCCCATGCTTAGTCTTGATCCTTACGCGCAAACACGGGGGAGCGGACGAATATTGCTTGCTACCAGCAAGGGTTAACGCCCAAACCTGGATAGCGACGGTGTAACTTTTCAAGCCGCGGATGATGCTAATGAAGCTCAATTGAAGAATGAATGAGATGAAGTCTATTCTCAAGAAAATATTTAGGACAATCCTTCAACACCTTTGGCAATGTGTTTGGTCGATAGAAACCATCAAATTACGTCCAACATTTGAATGATTTCACCGGCAAGGCTTCACCATCAAACACGCTGTCACCAATGTCATTACTGCAGGATATGACCACGTATACTGTGGTGCTATTAGAGCAACTAGTCGCTCAGCCATTCAAACCGAATCTCTCTTTTTGATTTTTTCTCATCAAATCGCAATAATTGTTCGAGTTGCTGATTATCGCAGGTATCTACTTGGTCTAGGGTACCGATTCAACCGCTATTGCTTCCATCCTCAGAGCTTGTCTGCCCGCTGTAACGGCGTCTACGGCGGCGCGCTTACAGGCACTTACAGGCCCAACAGGGCAATTCGCGTTGCAATCTGGCACAGTGGAGGCTCCCCATCGCCTTATCGCCGTCTATCTGCTGTGTAATCCTCACTGTCGCTCCCGCAGTTAACCTGCTCGCCACCGTCTTTCCCCGCCATTGCATCACGCCGCTGCCTCTGAATTAGGCGGGTCGGCCTTGATAGTGCCATGCCCATACGCTGTATCATTGAATCAACAGCTGCTGCCGTAATCAGCCCTCTCCATATCTGCGTACACGTACCTAAACTCCGAGTGCATCGCAATCTGACAAATATCGCCTTTTGCTGCGTGACACCTTCTCCCCTTCTCCGCCGTAGACGTCAACCTTTTTCTTGCCAAGTCTCGATCGCTGCTACTCCGCCGCAGTCGTGCCTGGCTGTGCTCGCATTCGCATCTGAGACTTTGCTTCCGTAGCTCCCGGAGCAGCTTTTGACGGGCTGGTTAAGCGCACATAGCCCGATATACCGGGTCTTTATCTGATTGCATCACACCACACCGTCTTTTATTTGTGACTCGCAGTTACATCCGCCATGCCGTGGGAACCCAGTGACGACGACCTTGATGGTGGAGAACCGGCTGATTGGGATGCCCGAGACCGAACAATGGCCCAGGACGACGAGGGCCACGAGCACCATGAAGGCGACGGCGAGGAGGAGGACGAGGATGAAGACGATCCCGACTATCGCGATGAGCCTGATGAAGATGACGAGTTTCATGGTAATAACTTTTCTATCGTGCTCTGCGACGTCTCAAAAATAGTTTGTTGTTTATAGATTACTGATTCATTTTCAGACGTTGATGAACAAGATGAAAACGACGGTGATGGTAAGCAAGACAGACATGGACAAGGGATATATCGATTCTCATTTCTAACACAGACGACGAGCACCACGCGTTTCTAGATGACCACTTGGAGTACGGTTTCGGAGATTTCCGATTTCAGATTGTTATTGAAGATGGAGAGGCCGAACAGGATGAGGCTGCTCTGAGGTTGATTTCATTATTAAGAGGTAACATACTTCTCTTGCCACCTTTGATTTGCTGATTCCATCTACAATGTTACTGTACGTGTCTGCTGCTAACATGACTGCCCAATCACTCAAGCTGGCCAAAGGTCAGGCCTCTTGACGAGGCAGCAGCTCATGACCCTCTTTCGTGGCACCGGCCTAGGGCGTAATTCCGGCGAGCCTAAAGATCCCAATCGATTTCCCAAGGTGCCTAGCGAAGAGGGTAGGAAGCTCATGCAGTCCGGTGTCTTTGGCTCCAACGATGACGACATGCGGCCTAAGAAGCAAATCGCCCGGCGCATTCTAGAACGAGAGATTGGCATGGGAGACCGTATGCAGAGGAAGCGGGACAATGGGGTTTTGGCTCAGGTAAGCATGCAATATATCGATTCGCTGTTTTCTTCTGGTGAAGATTGATGTTATGTATCGTTGTTGATCTTGGTGCATTGATACTGATGCTAACATACCATCTCTCTGACGACAGAGCTTCATTCCTGGAAGCAGGGCGGAAAAAATCATTCACTATGACCATCCCATCTATTCTGGCCAATTCTCAGACGATGGAAACTTCTTCTTCTCCTGCTGTCAAGACTTCAACGTGCGCATGTACGACACTTCCAATCCCTACAACTGGAAGCTCTACAAGACAGCCAACTTTCCCTTTGGCCAGTGGACCCTGACGGATGCCTCCCTAAGCCCAGACAACCGCTGGTTGGCGTATAGTTCCATTCAAAGCATCGTCTCAATAGCACCTACCGATCCCAAGGACGAGGGTGAGCCCTACACTCTCGAGCTTGACGACGGAGATGGACATACGAGGCTTTCTTTCTGGCGCAGCCGTGGCTCCTTTGGCATCTGGTCCGTCAGGTTCTCGGGCGATGGGCGAGAACTTGTCGCCGGTACCAGTGCCCACTCCCTGGTCGTCTATGATATCGAATCCAGAAGAGTTCTTCACCACATTGCCGGTCACCAAGACGATGTCAATGCCGTCTGCTTTGCCGACAAGGGGTCTCCGCACATCATTTACTCTGGCTCGGATGACACAACGATCAAGGTTTGGGACAGACGAAGCATGGGAGATAACCGAGAGGCTGGTGCCTTTGTGGGACACACTGAGGGCTTGACATACATTGATAGCAAGGGAGATGGCCGGTACATTCTTAGTAACGGCAAAGACCAGAGCATGAAGCTGTGGGACATTCGTATGGCCATGTCTACAGACCGGTTCCGCGAAGTCACAAAGGACAACGAGAACCGCGTCGATCGATTCGATTACAGGCAGGACGAATACGACGAAGATGACTGGGACGTGCATCCTCACGACAACTCCCTCGTCACTTTCCGGGGCCACAAGGTCCTTCGCACGCTTATCCGATGTCACTTTTCGCCATCCTCGTCCACCAACTCACGATATGTTTACTCTGGAAGCGCAGACGGCAAGGTACACATTTGGAACATGGATGCCACCAAAGCCGGCGAGATTGACATACAGAGCGCGACCAATGCGACACGGAGACTTGATCGCCGCACACGAGTCTATTTTGATGAGCCTGGCGGCTGGGGCACATGCGTGCGCGATGCTAGCTGGCATCCCAACGCACCGATTATTGTTGGTGAGTATATGCACATGCACCTGCACCTGCACCTGCACACTCTTCACGAAACCCCTTTTGCGCAAAATCTTGAATTGAAATGTACTAATAAACTTTCTGCAGCTTCTGCTTGGAACGGATACAGCATGGCAAGGGGCACTTGCACTGTCCACGCCTTCAACGGAACAAACGACGATGAGGGAGACCCTGAGCTGGGGGACAGCGTCAACGAGTCGCTGAGATCGGATCCCGAGACATTCTTCCAGTCCAACTACCTTGTTGAATAAGGGACAGGGGCAGTTTATGGACAAGAAAGGGAAGCTCGCAGCTCAGGTTCGCCTTCATTGTCGGTTGTTCGGTTAAAAGCAGGGATCGTGCAATCTTCTTGCTTGGAACCTCATGTTGTTTCAACTAAAAGTATGATGTTGAGACCTCATCCGGCGCTTTTGCCGTTTTACGACCAAAATACGATGCTATGGGGCTGCATCTATCGCCTGTGCATATGTCGATGCTTGATGTGTAGGTCTATGTGTATCAAGAATGTTGTCATATATAGGGTTAGTGCTAGATGGGTATGGGAGTTGGTCTTTATGCACTGCTAGGTATTTCAAGCGGCAATCCATTCTTTTTTCTTGCTTCAGTTTCAGCTGGCTTGTCATATCTCCCTCATTGACTTGTTCCTTGCATTTGTGCATCTGGTACTTGGTACTATATTAAGTGTCAATGAAACATCCAAGTGTCAGATGCTCTACCAACTTTTTCAATCGCAGGCCAATTTTAATCATGGAAGAAAAATGTATATGCATAAGCAAAAGCGGCTGCTGATCACAGTGCTGGCTGGACTACTAGTATTCCCCAAATCCTACCTGCAGTTGCATCCATATATATGCAGCGAGAAGGCCCTAAGAATCGTTAGCAAAGCCCAGATTGATCGGCAGCGAGAATTAATATGGGGATGCATCCCTGGTCCATCTCGTGACTGGCGAGGCTGGCATCAAGCTCTCGAATTGGCGGGCCATCATTGGCCAGTGCTCTGGAAAATCAATTTTCCTCCACCGTAGTTTCGCACCACTTTTGAAAGCGGTGGCGCATGGCCCGTGCACTTCTCGCCCAAGCCTCAGCCTCGCCCCCTTCCCTTTCATTCTGCCCACCCTGTACGGATACAGGGAACCTTTTTTCCCTCTCTGGCCTTGGGCAGATTCTCTCTTCCAAACCCGACATCCATCATCTCGCAAATCCACTTCCGGGGCTCCATCTTTCTTGCTCCTCCTCTGCAAGTGCAACAGACCCTCCACATAAAACCCAAACCAGCCCAGCATTTGCTGCCACCGTCCCTTTTGCCTCTGGCCGCGGTTCCACTCGCAGCCTCGTAGCCGAGACGGTCACTGCAGCTCGTTCCATCTTCTCCAAAGCCTCAGCAACGCGCGCAACTCGCTTCGCGCCATCAATCTTTCGGTAATTATTTTCAGTTTTTTTGTTTTGAATATTCTTCATCTTCTGCCACACAGCTCATCATCGGATTCTCCATCTCTTTCCCCTCTGTACTGCTCAGGCTGTTTTTTCCTTGTCTGCTTCTTACGCCACGCCACGATTGTTTTTAGCTTTTGCCCCCTGTTCACTCTCCCGACCTCGGACAAACGCTCGCAAGCTGCCGACTGGCCACAGGGCCCTCCAGGCATTGACTCGGTCCCACCAGAAGAACCCGCGAGCAGTTCCCTGATCGCCTCTGCTGACGGCCAAGGAGCAAACGAGCTTCCTGCTGCCGAATCGAGATCCCGAGCCGCAACCCACCTGAGCTCGCGCCCGCCCAAGCCAAGCCAGACTTGGAGATAGTCACATCCCCAGACCTTTTTTTCTCCCTTGCATCTTCCATCTTTCCATCTGCCTTATCTCACCGTCACCCTATCTTTCGACTTTGCTGCTGCAATCGCACTTCCTCTTGTCCTGGGCCGAATCCTTTGTGTGTCCACGGTACGTGATTGCTGTTGGGCCGCCGCCACCCACCGTAGCCCGCTATCAGGAGCTTTTCGTCGGCCGAGACATTCTGCACCACCTCAAAGGAAGCTCCGGCTTGGGGAGATTCTGATCCATTTGAGCTCTATAGGAGAGAGATAACAAGATTGCCGGGCTTGCAGAGAATTCTCGACCTGGCTTTCTCGCTCTCCTTTGCCTCGGGGATTGTACGTATCAGCAGGTTGAAGCATTTTCAGTCTTCCTACCTGCCAGCCCATTGCTCGTCTTCTGCACACGCTTGTTCAACCTCTCCATACCTCCCTCGCCCTGTCTCTGTGTGCACGTGTCTTGGTTACTTCTTTACCCAGCCCAGCTTCTGTTTCTCCCATTGCCTTCATTTTTTCTTGGGCAAGGATCGACAAGATAAGTCGCTTTAGGAGTACTCAACAATTTCAAGCTGCAAACCCAAACTCTTCCGTGCCCCGATTCTACCTGCAAACGAGCCGTGCTTGTATTTTGCTTGAACATTCTTTGATAACCAATTCTTTCTGATTAGTGTTTTGATCGTCCGAATACAACTTGGACAACTTTCATGTAACTGTCCTCGCTAGAGAGCTTGCAATAATATACAAACCCCCGACATGGCAGACCCCGATTTCGACATTGATTTCTACGGCGATGCCGATGGCGACGCCAACGAACAATCCCAGCAAGAAGAGCGGCGCCAAAGCGGCGAGCACATGCGAGACGACTATGACTACCATGACCGAGACGAGAGACAGCGAGACCATGAACACGAAGACGATCGCCGCTACGATGGCAACCGAAGCGACCACGCTGAAGACTCTTCACATCATCACGGCGTCAAGAGAAAGTCAGAGGAGCAAGAGGCCGATGATAGACCCATCGATAATGGTGCTACGGCGGCCATAATGATCTCAGAGCTCAGCTGGTGGACCACAGATGATGATATCAGAGGCTGGCTCCGACGAGCTGCCTGCGAAAAGGAGATCAAAGAGCTCACATTCAGCGAGCATAAGGTTAATGGAAAGAGCAAAGGGTGAGTTTACGAATCCGCCACTCTGCAATTTGCCAATCTTTTCCTTGAAGCTTCATCCCAAACCCCTCTTAATTGACCAACCCTGACCCAATTTCCTTTTTTCTCAGACAAGCCTATATTGAGTTCCAAACTCGCCAAGGATCCACCTCTGCGAAGCGATACATCGATTCTGTCTCAGCAGACATCGTACAACCTGGCCAGAAACAATTAACTGTCTCTTACTGGAATCCCGGCGTCAATCCCTTCAGAACTCTTCCCAAAGATGCACCAACCCGCGTCAAAGAGCAGCCTCGGGCCGCTCCCTCCGGGTCATACAATGATCGCGGCAACTATGGAGGTTTTCGTGGCCGAGGTGGCATGGGCGGACATCGAGGCGGCATGAATCCTGGTTTCAACCGCAACTACGGCGGAAACATGGGCTATAACAATAATAACATGGGAGGCGGCGGTTTCAACGGCCCAATGGGCGGCGGCGGCGGCGGCGGCGGTGGAGGTGGCTCTCACTACCTTTTCAGTGGCCGAGGTGGTCCTTCAGGGATGATGAGAGGCGGTCAGTCTGTAATGCGTGGCAGAGGCGGCGGAGGCGGCGGTATGATGGGTATGAATCCAATGGGAGGCATGGGCATGGGAATGCCCGGAAACATGGGTATGGGCATGATGCAAGGTATGAACGCCATCACTATACGCCACTCCAATCCCCAGATCATAATCTATCAAAGGGCATCGGTTACAGGCTAGGAACTGCCATCGATGCCTTCACCCATTGCACAATCATCAGCACCCTCAGACACAGTCATTGCCCATCAAGAGCCAAAGCGGCTGTCGCTTGCACCAGTAGTGCAGCGAAAAGAACCCACAAACGAGGCAGAAGTGCTTTATAAAGATGGAGAGGACAGCGATAGCGATTCTAGCTGCACTTTGAGCTTTTGGGGAAGTGACCGCTGCAACGCTGGGGACACCCCGTGTACCAGCGAGTGTACTAGCGACACAAGCTCCAGCGGCAGCTCTGACGACGACGATGATGATAGTAGCAGCGAGGATGATAGTAGCACCGAGGATGATAGCAGCAGCGAGGATGATAGCAGCAGCAGTGAGGATGATAGCAGCAGCAGCGAGGATGATAGCAGCAGCAGCGAAGACGACAGCAGCAGCGGCGAGGACAATACCAGCGGCGAGGACGGTAGCAGCAGCGAGAGCGATAGCAGTAATGCTGGCAATGGTAGCGGTGATGACGAAATGGATGCTATGGATATCGACGAGCACATGGAGCTCGAAGAAGCAGACATGGATCTCTCAGAAGACACAAGCATGCCAGATGTCATGGAGACAGAGCCGCAAGAAGAGAACCCTTTAATTCAGGCGGCGGGCTCAGGCCAAGCGGCGAATGCGAGTGCAACTACGCCCTTAGCGGCGCAGCTACAGCAGAGTCACCACTATCCCTCTCAAGCTGCTAGCCAGCCACAGATCCTACCAAGCCGGCGCTGCCCTATCCATTGGACGCAGACCCCTCGCTGCTTGATTTGTGATATCGAGTTCTGGCGCGTCCAATGGCTCATCAGGGGCTATGACATTGGCCCCATTCCACCTCCGCCACTCCCCATCGATCCAAGACCACTTCACCAACTCAGCGCACCTTTTATTCTACCTTCTCAACTTCCCACTAGTAACGCTGCTAATTCACGCATAGGTTTCCAGGGCATGCCTCCTAACTTCCCAGGCGGATTCGGCTTTGGGCAGCAGCAGGGAGGAGGCGGCGGCGGTGGAGGCAACAGTGGTGACTGGGGCAACCCTCATGGAGCAAAGCGACCACGTCCCGAGTAAACCGACATCTCCTCAATTATAGGATGGAGAATTTAAGCTAGGACTTTAAGTGCGATAATGCAAGGAATCGGGTTTAACTATTATTAGGGAGAGAGGGAGGGAATATTATTCGATCTTTGCTTGAAAGGAACCTCTGGACAAATTTTCAAAATTTATTGCATTAAGAAGGGTTATTTATCTTTGTTTTTTACAAGCAGTGTATAATAGAACAAACGCTGGGTTGTTTGTTATTGAGACGCCAGGAGTCAGAGCTTCTTTGCTTTTTATTATGAGGAAATTTTGTAACGTTTGTCTTTACACGGCTTTTGGGAAGGGAAGTGGGACTCCCTTTCATTATTTATTGGTCTACCAGGGGAAACAAGAGGCAAAACTGGCTTGATATCTGTACAAGTTTCAAAGGAACAAGACAATTTAACAAATAAAGCAAACGAGAGAGTTAACCGTGACTCCGTACATGCGTATAGGTGACCGTGAAGGTAGTAGATCAAATCAGTCCTTGAAACAAGAAAGAGGAAGAGGTATGGAAACGTCGATATATAAGGCTAGGAAGAGCAAGGAGCAACAACAGGGTAGCTAGCTAGCTACTACTAGCCTTGCAGCCGTGATATTGCTGCCGCCACCAGTTGCCTGATCTGGAGCCATCTGTCTGTGAGGCTTCCTCTCATTTCCTCCTCACCAGCAGAACTACTGCTTAGTAGCTCTAGGGAGTTGGTGATGTCGCCATCATACTTGGTGAGTGCTTTTAAGAGCGCAGCGTCTATCAGGTGACGATCCGCGTCTTCATCTCTTACGCCGTCCAGGACAGCCTGCCATTGCCGAAGGGGCAAACAGAGCATTCTCAGCGCAACGTGCGTACGATAGCATGCTGTCTGAGAGTCCAGCATATACTTTTCCCAAAAGCCCGCGTCTTCGAGATGCTCTCTCTGAGTGGCGTTTAATAAGGGGCAGATGTAAGGGTCAAGGCAAGTTTCGTCCCAAGGATTGATTGATGACGGCAGTGTAAAGCCATACTCCACGAGTAGCATGTCATTGGCATGAGGCCCGTAGCGGATGAACACTTCCTCTCCAGGCTCGTGTGTGCGAGTGGTAGTAAAAGTGAAGAACTTGTCGTTGAAGGCGGCCGTACAATAGCCCTCGGGTGTGTGGTTGAAAAGATCTGCCAAGGGCTGGAGCGCCATGTGATCCTGCTTTGGTAGCTTCTCCGTCTTTCGATTTGTGTGATAGAATGTTCGCGTATTGACCAAGAGCCAATTGTACAGGTATTCATCCTTTTGAAGCTGTGGGTACGCTGCGGCCACAATGGCCCAGTCTTTGCTAAACTTTTCTTGCTGTGCTGCAAGTAAAGACTTGGATCCCGGAGGTAGTAACGCACGTAGCTTGGCTGGCCAGCATATAGGCATACTGATGGCAATATCTCGCCGAGAAGGGAGGACAGGGCGCCATATTTCCAAATCAGGGTTTGAATCGAGGCAAAGTGAAGCAGCAAGAATGGCGTGAACAGTAGCACCGCGGAGAGTCTTGGAGATGTCTTTGGGAGTATTGCTGAGAGTACGCAAAGCAGATACAGGAACTTGGAGAATGACTTGGTTGGCCTAGTCATGGTGTTAGCATATAATATCGAACTTGACCCAAGCTTAGCGGCTCGAGAATTATTCAAAGCGCAGAGTGAAATAACAGTACCTCTAGATGGCGGGTTGCAACAATACCAATACCTCTCCCATGCAGAGCTTTTGGATGAATCCCATTTAGTTCAACACCTATGGAGGTTGTCCATTCTAAAAGCTGCTCGATGGCTGCTTCCATTGCTGCGACTTGTGCTATAAGTGAGTTGATCAAATTGAAAAAAAAAAGTCGTCCACGGGCGGTAAAATTATGTGATATGGCGATACTATGGGGCGAGATGGTGAGTCATTAGCTCTTAAGCTATGGCGAGGTAGCGCTGTTGCAGCGCCTACAGTGCCAAAGCACAGGCAGCTTGTTTACTGCGAAACGCCATATCAGTGAACCATTTCTCCCAGCCTTCAGGCTATTCATTCAGTATTGTCATAATGTTCAATCATGGCCGGTCTTGGTACTTGGCAACGTAGTATTGCAACCGAAAATCATCTCTATTGCTGGCAAATTTGTTTATAGGGCAACCGTCGGACGGGCGACGGCGTCGATGGCGTCTTGAATGCTTGAACGAAATTGCCGTGGGATAATAATGCAAACGCCATTGCAGGACTCGCATGCAGTAGGACTGGCTATAGGTCGCTAGTATCTGTACCATGGTATCGGCATTAGTGGTTTTGTTTTACCATTGGAAACATCAACACCCGAGCACCAGTAATGGGCGGAAGTCATGAAAACATACCCGCAACTCTGCTGAGATTCCTACGCCAAGTGTTATGACGAAGATAGATTTTGGGTTGGAAAAAGGAGTGGTTAGCTCAAGAATGATAGCAGGATGGGCGATTGGTAAAACGATTAGCACTCTATGCTCTCCAGGTTCAATACCTCAAATATATGAGGGAGCTGATGCGTCGGCCACCCCCAGAGTGAAGTTATAAATTCTCGAGATTGCTTTGTAGAAAGCATTGGGAGCAATGTTACATACCTATCAAACGGCTATCTTGGAGAGAAGCATAGCACCGCTCTGGCAACCTGTGACAACGACCGACCGGTTCGTATTTTGTCGTGCTGTACGTTGGTAGAGTACAGAAAAAACATCCAGGGCCAAATTATCAAAGAAGTATCTAGATACTCAGGGTAATGCCAGACACCGCGTGAGAAAAATTCTCGTGATGTAGACACCCTTTTATGTGGCAAAACAGGCAGAGATCTGGAAAGTCGATGTCTCAATCTACCGCGACTATTTGAGATAGAGAGCCAGATTCTATCTGCAATATTCGAGAGACTTGGATGGATATTCGAGAATATTTTCGTCTCAATTCTTCAAAATTTCGCTGTAGCATCTTCATGTCTTGGATGCCAGCGGTTGCGTGTTCATGGCATGCGAGATCGTGTCTGAGGATTCGTGTCTGAGGATGCATGTCTTCGCCGATCTACTGGAGCCTCACGAGATTTTGATTAGTAGAGCACTGTAGAAAGATGCATTGATGAAGAATAGACTGAGGAACCCTTGTTTGAACAAACCAGAAGCGCTGTCGGTTCGGTATTTCTCCATCTCGAGGATAGAGACAACACTATGAAGCGCATTATTGGGGTTTCTAGCTTCAAAAGTAGCTTAGATGGCAAAAGCGTCATGAATCTTGCGCTGCAATCCTCAGGCACTGTTGAGATGTCAGATTAAAACAGCAAGAAGCGTTCAAGACCAATGGTAAAACATTGTAATCTGATCGAAAGGAAAAGGAATAAATTTCTGGTGTCTACGCGGAGGGGGGAGCAGGACCTTCCCTGAATGATTTTACGAATGCGCTATCACACATCTTATCGATTCACTTATCTATGATGATATGGACCACGTGCAGCATGTTCAATGAGAAATAACGTGACAACAAAACACATTTGGGAGTATTCTTCATATTCTTTCCTCTTCTACAGTCAATTAAGACATCAGTGATGCATTCATACTATCGATCTTCATCGTGGATCGTATTCCTGTTCCACTGGCAAGTGACGCACATCACCTTGGGGAAATGATTGTTTGACTAACGGTTCCCATTTCCTAGAATTTAATCAATCACAAAGGGAACGCCGAGATTATCCTAGCAACTTTCAACAACAACGATGTCAGGAAAAGAGCGTACGGGATACAATCTTGGTATTGCGTGTCTCTGAGAAAGTTTTCATCTGCCTCTTTCCATGACTTGCGAGTATCTTGTACGTTGATATTGCATGATCTAATTGCCATGGGATGGTGAAAGGAAGAACCAAGCATATGCCATATCACGACGAGGACGACACTGAGATGACCACGTTCATCATACATATCGACAGAGCCGCTAATCATACCGCGGGCTGGAGATGTTGTTTCTGTATTCTCTAACAAGGGACTTGGAGAACAAAGCTTTTGCCAATCCAACATGCCGGTATGCTCTACTATAACAACAATGAAAGGGTAGCTGATGCAGCCTTTGCTAGTATGGTGTGTTGGGAAACGACAGTTGGCATCAGCTGATAGCCAGATCTACTATCTCGATCTTCCATCTCGATCTACTATTTCGATTTTCGAGTCTCATCCAAGCTTCTAGAAAGTGGCACAACAGGCTCTTCCTCGCACCTTCAAGCTCAATAACATACTTTTCGCCGCGCACCCTTCTTGTTCACAATCCGGGCCGGGCCGTGACCCCTAGATCGGCAGGCCCACTAGTCCGGCGCCGCTGATACAGCTACAGTTCGACGCCGGCTCTGATCAAACACGTTGGCTCTGCCATTGTTCTAGTCTTTAGCCCGAATCATTGCCCAGCACCAGCCTGACGACGCTGGCCGTCTTTACTGGTGCCACGCTGCAACTGAGATGTACATGTACCCAATCTAAGCTTGACATCTCACAGGCTTTTGCGTCCTAAAAGCGGGTCGTTGGAAGCTTACATCTCTCTTCAGAGCCATCAGCCCGCCGTTTAGCGGCCGAAGCATCTCGACGGCGCAACGCGGGGTCCACACCTCCAGCGGAAGAATGTAGTATCGCTAGCTGGGCCATTAGAAGATTTTCTCCTTCTGAGATAGCACTAGCAGCTGGCGGAACAGGGAAAGGGAGCACCCCTGAACGGATGCCCAACGGCGATGAGCTCCATTTTGCGCACCCGCCACCTCGAGCTTTTTTCTTTCTTCCTCTCTTCTTCATTGTGAAGCTCTCAGCAGCCACAGGCATTCGAATCTTCTTTGCGAGCTCCCTACGCGACAAGAGGGAGACAGACGGGCGTACGGATTGCGTCAAAATGGAGGCGTACGGTCCAGGCAGTGGCCGCCCGGGAAATAATGTATGCGTCGTCGGTACTGGGGTTACCGGGCTGTTGGCGGTGAAAAATCTTGTCGAGCAAGGCTTAAGCGTCAGAGCTCTGGAGCAAAGCGAAAATCTCGGCGGCAATTGGTATCATTCGATGGATACGGAGCAGGTGTCAGCGTTATCAGAGATGAAGGTGAACATGTCGAAAGAAACAGTGAGTGGCAGAGACCCAGAAACCTTGTTTGGTTATGTGGCACGTGAGACTTACCAGGACGTGTAAACCAACAGAATTGCTTCACAGACTTCCCAATGCCAGATGGTAAGTTTTGAACAAGATGAGCTCCATGGCTGCTGAGAGTGGCAAGCGTATTTGAAGAATTGTTGCTGACAAGCTTGTCGAATATGTACAGACTATCCGTCATTTCCTTCCGCAAAACAGATCGGCGACTACTTGGAGGCATACGCAGACAAATTCGAACTGATCAAACATATCGAACTATCAACAACCGTGACAAGTATCCGGCGAGACGAAGAGGACGGCGTCTGGATCGTATCCACGAGACACACAAGAACCGGCGAAGAAGAAGAGCGAGAGTATGACAGAGTAGTGATGGCGACGGGAGGTCTGAATGTTAGAAACATGCCCGACATCAAGGGCATTGAAAAATTCGCTGGCGATGCTATACACTCTCGCGATTTTAAGGATCCAACAAAATTTGCCGGAAAGAATGTCCTAGTCGTGGGCCTGGGCTCTACTGGAGCCGACACATTGAGCTTTTTGAAGCAGGCCGGTGCAAACAAGTTATATCTCAGCAGCAGAAGCCGATGTTCGCTGGTGAATAATCCCAAACATGCCTTCTCGCAATAACTCGCTAACAAGTATGCTTCTAGATCCCTAGAACTATCAGAGGACGGCCGTGGGATCACTACATGACCCGTCGTGCCGATTCTATGATTCGACGCTCAATGGCATGGTCCCCTCAAGCTTCGAATTATGTTGCCGGTAAAGCAATCGGCCTCATCCAAAGTTATACGTTTCCGACCCTGAGAGGGCATCCTTGCTTCAGCGGCGCAGTTAACGGTCCGCTTTACCGCAGTCCGTTTGTCTGCGATGAATTGCCAAGTCTCCTAGACAGCGGTGATGTAAAAGTTTATGGTGGTATCATGGGAGTCGCCGGCCCCCGGACTGTGGTGTTCAAGGACGGCAGCGAGATTACAGATGTAGACGCAATCATTTTCTGCTGCGGCTATTATCACGATCTCTCTCTGATCAAGGGAGAAGGGAACCCTACCGATGTTGAATACTCTACAGATTCATTTGAGCAGCTGAAGCACGCGAAACACCACAACATCAACAGCGAATATCAAAGACTCTATCACGGTATTCTATCAGAACGATATCCGGAATCATTAGCCGTACTGGGCGGCCTCACAACAGTGCGACCTACTTTTGTGCTCTACGACCTTGCTACCATGGCGCTCGCCAGCCTTTGGTCTGGGAGCTATCCACTCCCCTCGCCGCGAGCAATGAAGAGAGAGATCGACTCTCATTACAACTTCGTGGTACGAGCGCTTGAGAATGGCCCGATGTCATTCCTTGGCCTCCGTATAGATGTGCGAGGGACCTACAAATGGCTGAATGCGAGTGCCGGAACTGGAGTCATAGAACGACTTGAAGGGTGGGGCTGGGAGGCGTGGAAATTCTGGTGGAAGAACAGAACACTCTTCAAGTACATCATGAATGGGCCCAACGTTCCAGCCGTATACAGGCTCTTCGATATGGGGAGAGGAAGAAGGTCATGGGACGGGGCCCGGGCAGCCATTGAAAAGGTCAATGAGAAGCCTATATTGATGGCTGCTGAGCAGACCAAGGGATCGACCAAGGACGAGACGGTAAACGAAAAGGAAGACGAAACGGAGGTCGAAATGAAGGACGAAACAAAGGACGAGGGTCGGTACGAAACTGGGAGCGAAACTGAAAGCGAGACTGAAAACGAGGCCGAAGAAGACGTTGAGAATGCTATTGGCGAGGCCACCGAGGATGCCTTCGCAGCAGATATGATGAAAGTGGAAGCAATGGACTATCTTGAAGCTGAGGACGAATCAAGTCTGTGATTCGTACTTTCGTATAAGACGGACGAGCGAAGCAAAAGGGAGAGCAAAGGCTGCCACAATGGCAGAGGCCAAAGTTCAGATACAAGGAACAAAGAGTACAAGGCAAAGAGCGGAGGGCAGAGGGCAGAGGGCAGAGAGCAGAGGGACAGAGGGAGCCCAAACAGAAAATCGTCGGGGCATGGCGACAGGACACTAGAACGAACATCCGCAAGCATCCCGCACAAGGCAAACGATGCATGATAATGATATAATGATAATGAGACATGAATGCAAACATGCATACAAATATTGAGTGCACGGTTGTTGGTGGCGTCCCATGCGGACTGCCTACAGCAGTCTATCATGGTCCACGAGAAGGCTTCACCCGCTGTCAGGAGTCGCAAGGACGGCGGGTATTTGCTGTCATCGGGCTTTACGACCATCATCGCCGATTTCCTCTCACACAAGCCTTTCTTTTTCCAAGCCACATGTCTGACCCTTTCTGTCTCCCTCTCTTATCAATGGTTCAGGTTGAATTACGCCACCAATTTTGACTCTTCTTTTCTTTTTCTTCACCGGTCTTGATCCTCCGGTGAATGCTGAGCCCATACAAGAGGAGAACTATGGCACACCCCCGCTGAGACAGTCTAATTTCGTGGGGAAGCTAGGGGAGCTCCGCGGCGTACGCAGCCTGATTTTTCGTCATGTACTTGTACAGATATCATGAGCCGAGCCTCACGCCGGGCACATTTGATAGTTCAAAAAGCTGAAGAGGGTGTGGACGGAGAGAATGGCTTGGCGTAGTGCCAGGGCCTCGAAAAAGTGGCTAGACTTGATCCTTGCAGTACAGGGGACGTACGGCTGATACCAGGGGGGGCGTGTGGCCGATGTACTCATACTTGCGAGCAGTACAGTACCTCTTTGGAGAGAATTCATGGCTACTGGAGCAAGACAACCGCAGGGGCAATCAACTTGCAGAAGCATCATTCTACCTAGCAAAAAGATCATGTCAGAAAGTTTCAGCTTACTTACTACAAACAGACGGCCGGAATAGGAGCAGTGCGTATATGGATTGGGCATCAAGCGAGCAAAAGAAAGCTATCGGATAATGCTCAGCGGAACGGGATTCCTCCTTTCCATGGGTGAGTTTGCAAATAGTACTCCAGTGAGGCTGCGGGCTTCCGAGTAAGCTTCACAGTAACAGACCACCGAGTAATACAGCACTTGGTCGTAATAACGTAGCTAAGCAGGATGAGACATCGAGCCCAAGCGCTTCTCTCTGGATACCGGGTTGCCGGTGCTGATCGCCGTCTCTCCTGCTGTCAGGCCGAGGAAGAGAATAATACAAGTACATGGTTGCATAATTCAGAGACAATGAATGCAGGGGGGGGCTCTTCCACCCCACGAGAGCTGGTAGCTCTTACTACTAGTAAAGAGAGTCACGATATTATCCCGCTGTAGCAAACAAACGGCTGATGGCAAACGCTGATGGGATGTGCTTGGATAGCTTTCGTTTTATTATATATACTCCAACTGTTCCAAAGTCTCTCTCTCTCTCTCTTTTATATATCGTGTAGGCTTCTTTCCTTTGCGAATCTTGTAAAGGTCTTTCTTTGCAGATTTTCAAGAATCCTTTCTTCATAGTTCTTGCGAGCCCCCCCTACACACTCGCTTCCCTCGCCTCTGCCTACAGCTATGCCTATTTGATCAATAGTAGAGAAGCTCCCTGTTACCAGTCGCCATATTACTTATCTTTTTTTTGCGCATCCGGCTGCCGAGAATGGACCGTCCAGACCAGCCGCTTCTGGCTCGATCAGAGCCCGCGTCCTCTGAAGATATCCCGCCGCTAATTGACATTGCCTCGTGCGAAACAAGCAGTGCTGCAGATGGTCCTTCACACCCCGTGGCAAACGCATCTGGGGACATCGTGGCAGGCTCTGACAATGGAAACTCCCCGGAGGCACCGGCAAACTTGTCTGCGCCTTCATCTGCCTCTGAATCCAAGGTAAGTTCTTGTTGCTCTCGAGTTAAAGTTCAAGGAATTAACGCATTAAACAGGGAACAAAGAGAGTATCATTTGTTCTTCCCGTCAAACCGACCGACGAGCTTGGAGAGCCCGAATGTTGGCCTTTTGGTCGAAAATCCGGAGACGCAGGCTATCGTCCTCTCACTGAAGAAGAACTCCGTCGCCTCTTGCCTTCCTCGTTTCGAAACGGCAAAGCGTGGGTCGGGATTCCAGAAAAGCGTGTCGAGCACTTCTTGACGAACGATCTCAGTGTGGATGGCTTGATGAAAGTGTTTGATTGCTTTCCCATGCTTGGTCAGAAGAACACACCACCACGCGCTCTCAGCTACCAACAAGCTCTTGGTCTCGAAATTACCGTCATTGAGAAGATGGATATGCACTTGCTCTACTCAAAGGATAAGATTCTTATCAAGCCCCTCCCAAAGTATCTTTTTGAACCCAAATTTTGGTATCAATACCTTGAATGCCCGGAGGACTGCCAGTATCATGACATGTTCACGGCTTTTCGGAGAGGAGGGCAGTTACATAACAGCCACAGACTCACCAGACTCAAACCTTGCAACCACAGCGTCATTTGGATGCGTGCCTTGGGATTCGCTTTCTCTTACGTTGCGCTGGTGTGCACCAAGAGAGACTTTGAGATTGCAAAGGCGAAAGATTTGATCCCAGACGATGTCAGCTTTGAAGGCTGGAAGTATTTTGTGTCTCGAATGCTCGGCGACAGCGCTGGCGGCAAGATCCTCAGGCAGATCGACAAGCGATTCACGTATGGCGAATTGGATCTGGCGCGCCTCAACCAGGTTTTCATGATTCGCAGCCCTTTGAAGTGGCTCCTCCAAGGCAATGAATACCGAGAGTTGGTCCAGAGTCACTTCTTTCTGCCACCCTTGTCCATCTATGTGGCTGTCGTTCTGGGATACAGGTTCGCTAGGATTGCCTACATCAAGATGACGGAAAACCAGGCATTGGTTATCATTGTGTAAGTATTAGCCTTTTTCCTCTCTGTGAAATCTTCTTGATGCTGATGTTTGCACAGTTTCCTTGCTTGCCTCTGGCTTGTCCTTTGCTTGCTCTCTTTCAGCAGGGCCGAGCCACCGATGCTTTGAGTTCAAGGGGCCGAAGAAGCGGTCAGAGATGTACGGTCTCGAAATCAGCCTGTACGGCTAGGGGTGGAAAAGTGTGTTTCTGAAATTCAGCTAGTTTTGAAAGAGATGGATGGTTATTGCATCAAGTGAGCAGATCGTAACATTGATTGATTTTGGGATATTACCTATTAGGTAGATAGTTTTTGCTTGAGTAGTTAGTTCTAGACCAAAAGAAAAAAAAAAGATTCTTTCCTTTTTATATCAAGAAGAGCTCATCTGTTTAACGTTCCCGATGAATATCTGGTAGATGAGCTGGCAGTCTTCGGACAGAATTTGGCAGAAGAGTGACTGGCCTGTAACAATGCCGAGACGTGGTGCTACCCTGCGATGTAGATTTCCACCGAGTTGCCATCTTCATCGTCATGATTATTGTCTTGGGCGTAGAGCGTTGTAGTCTTCATCCGGGTTGATCGGGTTTCTTATCTGTTCATGGCAGGTTGTGCTGAATATAATCGTCAAACGTGTTGGCTACACAGAGTATGGACACTATGGATATTGGCGGCGCAAGAGACTGAGAGACGAATTAGCTGGTGTATCTAGGTCAAGATATGAGTGATACTCACAGGATAGATTGAATGGCCATACAGTAGCATGTCAAACGTCGGCACCATTGATCGCAAAATGGTCAGAGATCGAGCCGCAGCTGCGTATAATTCGCAAAATAGAGATGTGAGGGTTGATGGCCAAGTAACGCCACGCCATCCGAGGTTTGCCGAACTGAAAAGGGAAAATGACAACATAGATAGATTATGGCTGCTTTTTGAATCAAACAAGATGATTCATGATGTATCAGAGGAACATGAAGTTTCTTTCTGCCATTGGCGGTGTGCTAGGGTCAACCGACAGCAGGTGCCACGGCCGTATTGTTGCTGCGACTCCGGTTCAGAGACTGCTTGTCTTGAACTCTGCCTCGCCATGTTCAGCCTTGCCGTATTCAATATTGCCTTGAGTTGTCTTCATTCTCTTTGTTGCGCATTTCTTTGTTTCTCTTCTTTCGGAGCATTGAAGCCAAACACTTGCCCGATCCATGGAAGTTACAAATTTAACTGATTTGACCAACATGAAGCCTGCAGCAGGATACTCTGCCAACAATTTTATCGACCGTCTCCCAAAGTTGAATATATACATGGATTATATGATTTGATTCCAAGTTTTCAAGCTGCATTCGTTATCTTGCAAAGGCTCTTGCTCAATACTAATGCTATTGATTACTAGGTGGACCGCAACTCCATGGCTTGCATCGCAATCATCGCAACGATGCGCTTTGACAAGACCGAAAACCCAAACGATCGGAGACAATATACACGCCGAAATAACCTACAACCTCAAACAGACCGGATTGTTGAGAGATACACAAGTTAATGGAAGATTTGGCAAACAGAACGCCGCCGTGGCTGATATCGAGAACCATGGCCTTGTTCGACAAAAGCGCATAGAGCTACTAGCTAGCGATATTCTCTTGTCTACACTTAAATCAATTCTATGGCTTTCTTTTTTTCTTTTTTGGTGAGGCCGCTGCATTTTAACAGAGCCGGATGTTTCGTTGATGAACGACTTGTTCTTGTGTCTCTGCACTCGCAGCTAATGCATTGCCCGCCATATCAACCGCCACCACCTCTAGGAGCAGAGCGTGGAGCCTTACGAAAAGAATGCTGTTGAAACAGAAGATTCTGCTGTGGACAAGGAGATTTTGGGGAGCCAAGTCGATTGCACAGTTAAGATGCTGCTACCAGTGGTACACCTCTAGTGGAGATTCACGGATGGAATCGCGGCACATTGGCTTGAAAATCAACAGCCAACGCCTACGCGGTTATAAGCGCTCCCACAGTCTGGCTATGCACATGCTACGCACATTCTATGTCAAAGAATCCCATTTGGAAGGAAGAAAGAAGAAAGCGGCTACTGGAGTGGAAACGTGCAGAGTGGCCCCCCTTCCTGGCGTAACGCCAAGCTACGTCAAAGTTTGGTGGGATGTGGTGATTTGTTTCAAGATGGCAACAGAGCCGTTACAGGTGATGTCTAGAGCAGTGGATATCGCGCGAGAGTCGAAAGCTTTGCACCATGCGCTTAGCACGCCGATTAAGCGCACAGGGCAAGCAAGGTACTGGATAGTATTAGTAGAACAGCGGGAAACATATTGCTGCTGCTGCTCGTGCGCAATGGTCAAGACCTGGGCATCTTGCCTTGTCTGCCAAAGCGTCTACTAGTGGAAGCTATCTTGTGACGACTCAGTAGACGCCTAGCACTTTTGCTAGTGACTGGAGATTGCGGAAGCTTGCTGCTTCCCAGCGCCCGTCAAACTCCGTCATGGCAGCAGGTTGCCGTCTTCGAGAGCACCGTCACCCCTAACAAGACGAAAAGGAGGACAGAAGCAGCGGCAAGATGCAGCGCTGCTCTCCATCGCCATGGCGGTGTCGCCGCCTTGTGCACTCGCCCGCATGTCAGCAGCTACAGCACTTCGTATTGTCGGCAAGCTGCCGTTGCCAAATCCTACTGACTGCTAGGACTAACTACTAGCAATCAACTCCATCTCCATCCGCCTATTATTAGGCCCAGGACGTTGAATGGGTCGAGTTCAATGGCAAGTTTGGCACAGAGCGCCTTGGCCGGTTTCGACACTAGGCAGACGGGCCTTGTTCCAGATTGGATACCCGTTGCAGAGGCCAGCCACCTCTTGGTGTGGTCTGTACTTGTAGTAGCATCAATTGAATTTCAATCAGCAACGTCGAGCTCGTGGTAGTCCTTCTAGAGCTCTTCTGCTGTCAATGACACCCGTGCACAGGCAGAACAAAGCCTCAAAGCCGGGCCTCCATTTACACAAAAGTGCTGCAATACAGGCCCTGGCCTCTGCCCTTGCAAACGTGCATCTCGGGTCAGGCGACTTGACCTGGACTGTCGTGAGCGAGAAGTGAGCAGGGTACGTACCGTGCATGGGCTGGTGCCTTTTTCGGCCCTCGCCTCCTCCCTCGCCTTTCCCTCTTCCCCCCACATCCAGCCACAGCACGCATGAACCTCGTCTTTTGTCACCCAAACCGAGCCAGCAGCAAGCAGTGAGCAGTCAGAGTCAGGCAGACGGGAATTTGCATCTTCCAGCCCAGTGCTTGATTGCCTAAAATCAACCAAAGCCAACCTTGGGCTCGACCAGCTCCAATCAGACGGTGAGCCGCCTCATCTCTCTCTCCCTCTCTTTTCTGCCTCTCTATCAGCAATCAAATGAAATCACTTCAAATCTCCTTTGACCACCCAAACAAGGCGCGGGCGGCTCCTTGCGCCTCGCCTCACAGCTACACGGCACAAGGAAGCCTTGTTTCTGTTTCCCCTTCCCCTCTTTGTTGCCGTCGTTTGCTTTCATCAACATCATCATCCTCGTCATCCTCGTCCTCTTCCTATATCCATTCGAAGCTGCGTCTGCATCTACAGCCTCTGATTCGTCTCCCACCATCCACACTCTCTGGTCCGATTTCACAGCGCCTCACGAGCCTTCCCTTGCATCTCGTGTAGGTGCCGCCATCTGATTTGTCCTGCTTAAAAGGCCCCCCCAAAATCCCTTGCAGACGAAACGCGTTCATCCATAGAGACGGGGCCTATCAAGTCGTCGCCTCCCCCTCGATTGTGTCTCCACCAGCTCCAGTGGCGCTAGCAGATACAACAATCAACAGGGTACGTGTAACGCAAGTGGCAGGTATCTTTCTATCTTTGCCTCCTAAGCCTCTCCTAGCAAGCTCCTACAGTAGCAAGCCCCGAGCCACGGACTAGCACAGGATCGAGTTAGCCAGCGGGTGCCTCGTTTGCCTGCTGCGAAGCTGCTTGATATCCATCGCCCTTTTGATTGCCCGGCCTCTTGCAGCTTCACCTCCTGCGGCTGAACCCCGTTTCCTCTGACGTTGATGCAGCCTTGAAACCCTCTCCAGACCGAGGCGCCGCCATCACCATCTCCCATCTCCGATTCCCGCTTCTCATCTCCAGCCATTCGTCCATCTCCCTTTTGCCGTCTTGAGTCCCTCTCCTGTCTGTTTCTACTCGCTATATACCAAGCGCAAAGCCCCTCGTTCGATCCGTCCTCCACCGACTTGTCGCCTCTCGATTCCAACCAACCCCTCCGCCGCATCAGACATCATACCATACCATTACCGCCGTCGCTAAACATTCAGCATTCATCACAGAACTGTTATCGAATCTACTACTTAATCTTTGGACGCAATGGCGCAAGCTGGAGTTCAATCGTTGAAGGTAACCGCGGTTTCTCCTTTTCCCCTCCGCCGTTGATTTTTTCTTCTTTTACTGACGTCTCCTATCTCCTTTAGTGCGTCGTGACTGGTGACGGTGCCGTTGGCAAGGTTTGTACCATTCTCAAGTTCCCGTTTCTTCAGTTGGGTGCTTATCGGCTAACTTTCGACTTTTTTAGACTTGTCTGCTCATCTCGTACACGACCAATGCGTTCCCCGGAGAGTACATCCCGACAGTGTCAGTCTCTCATTCCGCGTCAGAAGAGAAAAAAAAGAAAGGCAAGAATGCCTATGATTGGGAATTTGTTGTTGACTATTGCTTGTTAGGTTTGACAACTACTCTGCTAGCGTCATTGTGGATGGCAAACCCATCAGTTTGGGACTTTGGGATACGGCAGGCCAGGAAGATTATGACAGACTCCGGCCCTTGTCCTATCCCCAGACTGATGTCTTCCTCATTTGCTTCTCCGTCGTGAGCCCGCCATCGTACGACAACGTTGCCGCAAAGGTACGAGCCGCGCTCTCTCTCTTTTGAATCATCGCTGTCCGGATGAGAAAATCGAAGCATCTGACCCTTTGAATAGTGGCTTCCTGAGATCACTCATCACTCTTCCGGAACTCCCATCATCCTGGTTGGCACCAAGATCGATCTCCGAGACGACCCTGGCACCCGCGCTGCCCTGACCAAGCAGCACATGGAGCCCGTCCGATACGAGAACGTGCTCAACTACGTCAAGGATGTAAACAAGACGAACAAGATTATCTACAAGTACATTGAGTGCTCCGCTCTGACGCAGCGAAATCTCAAGAGTGTCTTTGACGAGGCTATTCGGTAAGCCTTGCCCAACCCAACCTTTTTGTATCTTTTTGGAGCCCTTTCTTTGCACCCTTTCTTCGCACCCTTTCTTTTCTGTCTTTTCTTTGTTATTTCTCCTTACAACCTGCTCTTATCTCGCCTATTTTTTTTTTAAACTGCTGCTAACCTTTGCCTTCTTCTCCCTTCCAGTGCGGTCCTCAACCCCACCCCTCAGGCCTCCAAGGCCAAGAAGTCCAAGTGCTCCATCCTTTAAAATGAATCTACGATGTCAGTTCGTTTGCCATCTTTAGCATCTCGTGCAGCGAAGACGTCTTAGCATTTGTTTCCAACGAACGATTTACAATCTCGAGCCGCCGCCGCCGCCTCACGAATCTTTTTTTCTTTTTGAGTCACCTAGAATGGTGTGCATTACAGAAGCTTCCTCACTGGGCCATGTTTCGATGAATTTAGACGGAGAAAGTGCATTTAATGGAGGATGGAGGAGCAGATTACGAGGATGGAGAAGAGGACCGGGGCTCTAAAAAGGAGATTTCTTTTTTCTTTGTTTTTGTGTTTTTTTAATGAACATGGCTGTCCTGTGTCTTGAGATTCCCCCCATTTTCTCGGTACTGTTGATAGAGTTTGCAGCAAGCCAGAAAATGACATTTGTTAACAGGACGGCGACGATTCTGATGCCATCTTGATGGTTCTAGAAGCTGGAAGATGAAAAGCAGCAAGAGAAGAAAAGAAAAAGAGCAAAGAAAAAACAGTACAAACCCCAATGGCGTCTGGTAATTTTTTGACGATTGTTTCTGTCTGCATTCCATCTGTCATTCTCTCCATAGACTTGAAAACGCAATCTTAAAAGCCTTTCTTTTCGCCCCTTTAAATTGTCTTGAATCCTTTCCTGTTGGTCTGCTCTAGCATGGGTAGACGGCATGTGCATAAAACATTGTGCTGATACGAGTAATGCTGGTGTTTGAAGATGACTTTGACGAATTATTCAAGCATGAGGAGCGTCATGTATGTGAAGATTAAACTCCGTCCAATTCTATTGAGGGGTATCTCTCTTCTTGCTAATTTTGTTTTCTGTCTCCTGTCCACTCTGCATGTTATATCCTATATCCAGATGTTTATGGTATGCAAAAAATAATTCCCATCCCCCCCCCCCCCCCTTCCCAATGTGTTTAAAATCTAGCATATATATCAATGACAGATTCTCCACAAATATGTTGTGTCTAGGTTGCTTGACGTCTGCCCGATTTCTTCCTGCACATGCAGGCAAAAGGACGGAATCAACAAAGTAAAGAGATTATTGACAGCAAGACAAATTTATATGATCAAATCCCAACATAAGAAAAGAAAGAAAACAAAAAAAAAAGGAGGAATAAACGCATAAGAAAAACGCCTGGAGAACAAATGGCCGGGCTAAGGGTAGTGTCTAAAATTGATTTCAGCAAGAACCAATTTCCATTAATTTTCGAAACCAGAGAGACGGGCAAGACGGCTAGGGTGAATGTCCATTCGCGCGTTTCCTCCATTGCCCTGATTTTCGACCTTGGCAACCTTCTCCTTTTCGATGCGCTTGGCTCGGTTCTCGTCGAGTTTCTTGTTCTTCTCCATGATCTTGCCCTGGCGGCCTTCGCTCTTTCCACCACCTCCGGCACTGTAAGGCGTAACTGTCAGCATTTTCTCCTTTTTGGTAAGATTACACGCTTCATTGCGGCCAAGACTTACGTCAACTCGACATTGATTCTTCTCGGTTCGGAGACGCCATCCTCAAACATGGAGTGGTGGAACTTGTCCAGGCAGGTCCTCTGATGCGCGGGCGATGCGAACTCGACAAAGGCAATGCCTCGGCACATCTTGGGGTCTTCCTTCTTGGTCAAGCAGCGCACGGCAACCGGCTTCAGGGAGGCAAAGTGCGCCGTGATGGTTGCGGCGGTGGCAGTGTAAGGCAGGTTGCCGACAAAGACAATGTTGCGGCCCGGCTTGGTTGCTGTGGAGGCGTCGAGGTCGATGGCATCTCCGCCTTGTGGTGCGTCCTTGGAGGCTGAGGCTTCAGGCTGAGACTGGGCTTTTTCAGCCTTCTTCTTCTCCTTCTTCTCTTTCTTGTCCTTCTTGTCCTTCTTCCCCTCCTTTGCATCGCCGTTTGTCTTGGCTTCGGGCTGGGTCACGACAGGCTCAGCATTCTGCGCACCACCCTCGCTGCTTTCATCGGTGTCCATGTCTTCAGGGAGATCCTGGATGTTCTTGCGCTCGTCCTTTTTTTCTTTTCGGGTCTTGTTGTTGTACTTGGACTTGTCCTTTTTGGGCTTCTTCGCCTCTCTGTCTTCCTTTGCCTCTCTCTTCTTCTCCTTCTTCTCCTTCTTCTTTTCTCTCTTCTCCTTAATGTCCTCCTTGTGCTTCTTCAAGCTGCTCGATGATGCGGCATCGTCGTCGGTGCGCTTGCGCTTCTTGTCCAGAGACACGTCGACGGGATTTGAGTCCTCGGTTGAGGCGGCGGTGGCTCGCTTGGACTTCATTGTGATGTGAGTTTTGCTGTTCTTTTGGAAGTCAAGAGTAAATGAAACTGCAGAAAGAATTCGCTGTCTATGGTTGTGCGGCTTGGACAGGAATAAGCAGCCAGAAATCTGCGTAGTTTTGCTAGATTGCGATGCTCAAACTACTACTGATAAGATTGGGAAAAAAAAATCTCCAATGGCTCTTATCGCGCCTACTAAGGCTGCTCCCATTTTTTATCAAGGTGGGGCAAGACGCTTCGCGTTTGCATCGGCGCTAGTGCTAGCAATCTTGTATTTTCCGCTTTGGCGTGCCGCCCGCCACAAACGTTATTGCGAGTTTAAAAGCAGCATCGGCTCGGCAGAGATTGGCTGTGCGGTGTAAGTGAGGATGAGGCGATGGTGAAGTTTGGCTTGTATCGGTTTCTCGACAAGGCACCTTGGCATGCGCTGAACGAAGTACACGAGTAGAAAAGAGTAAGCACAGGTCTGCTCTTTCTTACCAAGCTGCATGCTCTTAAGCGAGTCCAGCGCATTTGGTGCCTGGGCTTGTCTCTGGAAACACTAAATGGGCCCTGTAGAGGTTCAGACCATCCAAGATGCGCTGTAATTGGCCCTGGCTTCGCTTCTCTGTTACACTGCATCCATCGACGCAGCCCGCCTGTGCTGTTCGTCTCCTGGAAGCAGGAACAGCTTTGAGGCCATGCACGATGGCCTTTGATAGGCGGATTGAGAGATTTTGCCCAAGAAGAGGGACGAGAACATCGTGGCAATACTTGGTTTGGTGGTGTCTCGACTACTTGGTTTTTCTAGGTCGGCTACTCCCGAATGTCCAGATGTGGCTGTTTGATTTTCTTGAATCATTCATTCTGCTACTTGAGCCCAACTCCAGAGCAAACTATCCAAATCAATCCAGGCATCTACGGGATGCATACAATCGCAATGCTCCAGATCAACAGATAAGACTGATCAATCTCAAAGAAGATACCACATGGCAGTATCTAGGTACTGCTGCAGCTGTTTTTGAGGTAAGAAATACTACAAATTGAGCAACTGCCATCTGATGCTTCCACATATACTCCCCTGCTCGGCAAACCGGTTGAACCATCTCCTGCATCGGAAGGAGCCTCAAAAGAGACGGTCACGCAGATACCGCCCCTCATTGGCCATTGGCCGAATTGCCGAGCCTGGCGCACGTCATCATCAGCTTGCCTATCACATCTCTCTCTATCTACAGGAAGGGGCGAGAACAAGACACGCTCGCTTCTTTTCGTGCCGACATGCGGGGAAATTGTCGTCTTTCCATTTTTGGAGCACGAAGCAGGAAGTAGCAGCGCAATCGCAGCAGCCATAGCCGAGATCTGGACGGAACTTGCCATGTCAGTAGTGTCCAGAGGCTGTCTGTGGCTTCATTAGCAGTAGCATCATCACCACGAGTAAGTAAGGCGCGTCCAGCTCTTACCCCGCAAATCACAGGGAGGGGCGCCAGAAAGCCAATCCACTGCCCTGAATTGGGGGCGGCCTAGATTGAATTTAGAACCAAGATGCTCTTTGCTCACGCCATGTGATGGGCCAGCTTCTCGTGTGGGGAAGATGGGGAAGATGGGGAGATGGTTTATCGCATTGTCTCGTCCTCTGCCTCCCCCAGCCCACGGCTAATCTTGTGTGCTTCTTATTCGTCATGCCGTCGGCTCAATTCTCTGGCCATCGCTAGCATACCCTTCTGTGCGCCCAATTTCTCTTTGGTTACGAGTCAGTTGCTGGACTAGCTAGTCATTCCACCGGTAGTTTCTTGATATCCTACTCTTGAGGCTGTACTAACTAGCCCTATAGCTGCGAACCCCAGACTTGGAGAGACGATCGGCATCGTTTACGTGCTGCCTATTGGCCCTACAATTCCCGGTTGATAAGCTATTCCCGGCTCTGGTCGGCTCCAAAAAGCAGGAGGAAGACAGTCGCTCCTCTGAACAAAGATCAAGCAAGAAGCTTGACGCCAGCAGACTGCAAACCGTTGAGCAAATACCGACCCCATGTGCCAGGCGAGCCAGGATTGTATCGCTCCACTCAAGGTCAAGTAATCATACCTACTTCTCCATCCTTCTCCATCCGTACTAACCTGCCCATCCTGTGGAGAAGATTGTGAATAGAAACGCATCACCGTGGGTCTCTCCCCAGAGTAGCGAGACCCTCCCCCAGCTTGCTGCTAGTGCAAGTACATGCGAGCCACAAGCATCGCCATTCATGACCACGGCAGAATGCAGCAAGGAGAGCCACGGCAACAACGCAGCACAAGTGTATGCTCGAAAAGCATGGGCCCTTGACCGGAATCTTCTCTTTGCGGTCTTGTACAGGTGCTACTCTGGCCATTTATCTTCCATCTTCCCCCCCCTCATCTGAGACAAGGCCTCGTTATCTTCCTTCGGATGTAACCCTTCTTACTACCTACCACCACTTTTCGTCTTCTATTCTCTTTCTCCAACTTTTTGTCCGCAAAAAAAGGCAACATCTGCGTTCTTGACCAAGAAGAGCATTCGCATCCTTCTTTTCCCTTTTTTATTTTTCCTGTTTAGTCTTCAGGGTTACACCTGGACGCGCGACGCGCAATGGAAGCCAACAACCCTACCTCTGAAAAAGTCGAGGTTGAGCAGCTTCAAAATGTGGCAAAGAATGATCTCGAGACCTCGGGAGTAGAAACGGGATCTGACCGTGCTATCGGGTCGTTTGTTGATGTTGACGAGAAGAAGGTCTTGCGCAAGGTACCCATCTTCCATTACCCCCGGCATCAGACATCAAGCTGACTCAGAACTTGTGTAGATGGACATGAGACTCATTCCCATGCTCGCAGCGCTATATCTCCTTTCGTTCCTCGATCGTAAGTATTCCTTCTCCAGCGCGGCTCACATTCTCTTCTCCCATTGTGATTCAACATGTCCCATCTAACTCGTTACGCTCAGGGGGCAATATTGGCAATGCCAAGATAGAAGGCCTTCAAGAAGACCTCAACATGACGCCGGGCCAGTACAACTGGTGTCTTACCGTCTTCTTTTTCACCTACGCAGCCTTTGAGGTTCCTAGCAATCTGCTGCTAAAAAAGCTGCGCCCCAGCCGGTGGCTGCCATTGATAATGGTTTGTTGGGGGGTTGTAATGACACTCATGGGCCTTGTCCAGAGTTTCCAAGGCCTGGTAGTGGCTCGGTTATTCCTAGGAGTAACAGAAGCCGGTTTGTTTCCAGGAGTTGCTGTATGTCCTCTTGTCTTTCGGCTTCTCTTCATTGCCTACAGCGCACAAGATCATTTCGTTTTCGTCTTTCTGAGCTGACACACGTCTTCATGTAGTACTACCTTACCTTATGGTATTGCCGTCATGAGATCCAGTTTCGCCAAGCACTCTTCTTCTCCGCCGCGTCTGTAGCCGGCGCCTTTAGCGGCCTTCTCGCCTTTGGTATCAGCAAAATGGACGGCGTCGGCGGCCTTGCTGGATGGCGTTGGATCTTCATCCTCGAAGGAATTGCAACCGTGCTTGTTGCCGCCTCGGCCTTTTTCTTTCTGTTCGATTTTCCCGAGACGGCCACGTTTCTCACCGAAGAAGAACGTGCCTTTGTCATCCATCGGCTCAAGTACCAAGGTCAAGTCCAGCTATTGGCTGATGGCACGGCCAATCAGGCCCAAGTCGCGCAGGCCGAAGAGTTTAAATGGAAGTACGTTTGGCAGGCATTTACAGATTGGCAAATCTGGGTCAACATCTTTGTCTACTGGAGCGTAAGTCTATCCCTGCTCTGATCCTTTCTCCACGTCAGCCCCTTGTGCGTATACCGTTGAAATTTGACTACGTTTTGCGTATATGCCAAGCCCTTCACTGAGTATAATATGCATTGTGCTAACATCTTCAATTGAACAATGTAGATCGTCTGTCCCCTCTACGGCATCTCCCTCTTCCTTCCCAGCATTATCAAATCTCTCCACTATACCTCGAGCACTGCCCAGTTGATGACTGTGCCCATCTACGTCGTTGCGGCCATCCTTGCCGTCATCACCGCATGGTTCTCTGATAGAGTCGGCAAGCGCAGCCCCTTCATCATTGGATTCTTATTCATGATGATACTCGGCTATGGCATGTACGTCTGCGTCTCTCTAGCTTTCGCTCCCTATAACCATTACCAGAAAAAATATCAAGCTAATTTCATCGACCAGGTGTATCGGTTCATCCAATCCCAAAGTCGTCTACGGAGGCATCTTCCTTGTTGCCTGTGCTATTTACCCTTCATTCCCCGGTAACATCACCTGGTTGTGCAACAACTTGTCCGGGTCCTACAAGCGCAGCGCCGGCATGGCCATTCAAATTGGAGTTGGAAATCTTGGAGGGGTAAGTTGGCACGCGAGAGATGCTCTGTATACGCATTGCTAATTCTTCTTTCAACTAGGCCATGGCATCCAACTTCTACCGTCAGGTCGATGCCCCTCGGTACGTACTGGGGCATGGACTGGAGCTAGGATTCATATCTATAGGCATCGTCGCTAGCGTCATCTTGATCGTTAGCTACCACACCATCAACAAGAAGCGCGATCAGAAGCTCGCCAATGGAGAGGCGGCTCATTATACACCACAAGAGCTATCAGAGATGGGAGACAGGGCTGTCACATTCCGCTACATGTTTTAGGCTTCAACCATGACAACACATGTACGAGGAGTAGCTAGCTTAGACGCATACAAGGGGATTGCAATAATCTAAATCAGCCTTGTATTTTCTATCATGACCCATTCGGCGGGTCTTCCACGCATGAGAACTAGAATTGTAAATGATGAACTAACAAACACGATAATGGCCACACGATTTCAATATCCCTGTGATAAAATAACAAATAACATGGTGGCTCCTGCAATGTATACCAACTCTCTTGTAAACCGCCCAGTACCATGACTAGAATCAGCTCATCAGAGCCTAGCTGGTGAGAACCGCGAGCAGAGTCATCATATAAAGGTACGGTGCCAGCTTTGAGTCACTGCTGACGAGCGCGACTCGAGGGGGCGATGGTTCCATTGCTGTACTATTGGGCTGTATAGCAGAGTGTTCTGGCTTGGGTCTCGAAGTGGTAAGCCCTGTCTGTGTCATAGAAATGCTTGATCCGATATGGTGATGTCCTGCATTGACTGTAGACCTCGCTGTCGGGTTGCTGCCAGTACCTGATTGAGTGGCGGAAGCATGGCTGCTCTCTTTGCTCTGCAAGCCTTCCATGAGTTTCTCAGACAGTGTGGCAGCTGGCGGAGCATTTTCCCAGAGGGTTGTGAGTATCGTTTCCGCGCTCTGATCACCAGGACGAATGATTTTGATCATGAGAGAACCGAGTGGCTCATTGTGTTGATTGTCACCAATGGGTAACGCGTCTTTCATCATACCAAAAGGCATTGGTAGGTTAGACCTTGGAGGATGTACTGTGGTCCGCTTACCATCAACTTTGCATGAGGTGGTCGGTGATTTACCATCTTTCCCTGGACCTGTCGTGCATGAAGTATGGTTGCTTGTGGCAGTTGGCCAGAGGGTGATCTCAGAAGGCTCAGTCGTCTTGCCAGTGGGTTTGCCATCTGCATCATGTACAGCTAGATCAATTGTCTGGCTAGCCGGTACTGGCACTGGCACCGGTGCTACCTGACTCTCTTGTCCGTATAATGATGGGTCGTCTACCTCTGTTCCGTGATTTTCCTGTGGAGGTGGCTCTGTATTTGATTCGGGCAGGCTAGATTCAGAACCGGAATTTTCGCCGCCAGGAGACTGCCCACTGCCTCCCAAGGATGCATATTCTGGGGGAGCATTGCCCGAATCATCACCCGAATCACCATTCGAATCATCATCCGCATCATTGCCAGTTTGGTATGACGGAGGTGAAGGCAACGGCAGAGGCAAGGGTTTAGGATGAAAGGTGGATAGAGGCTCTGGCTCCATCAAACTGGTGGGTGCAGGGGAAGAAGAGCAAGGCGGAGACGACGTCTGAGCAGCAGGCGTAGGGTTCGCAGGCTGAGGTACTTGGGATCCTGGGATTGGATCGACTGACACATCAGCGCCGTTTGTGGTTGAGCAAGGGCTTGATGCAGGAGCCGGCGTTGGGGATGCAGGAGCCGGCGTTGGGGGTGCAGGCACGGGTGCAGGTGCAGGCATGCCATCAACGTCGGACGTGGCCGAGACGTCAGGCTTGCCATCATCCTTTGGTTGATCAGAAGCCTCTTGAGTAGGGCTGGGAGATGGAACAGGTTGGCTGGGACCCTCAGTGTCTTCAGGATCCGAGCCTCCAGCAGCATCGGAAGCGGTGGAGCACGGGGTTTCAGGCGATGGAGAGTTTGGGTCGTCTCCATTTGGAGATGTTGGTGAAGGCGCAGGGGTCACTGGAGGATCGCCATGCTCCCCAAGTTCTGTTGATTGTGGAGGAGTGTGCTCATCACCGCTGTGTTCATCGCCAGTGTGCTCATCGCCAGTGTGTTCATCGCCAGTGTGTTCATCGCCAGTGTGTTCATCGCCAGTGTGCTCATCGCCAGTGTGCTCATCGCCAGGGGCATGCTCATCAGGAGGAGCTTGAACGTTTGATGGAGTTGAGTCAGGCGGACATGAAGATGTAGCACTTGGGTCAGCGGACGGAGAGTTTGGGTCGCCTCCGCTTGGAGGTGTCGACGAAGGCGTAGAGGTCGCTACCGGATCGCCATGCTCCCCAAGTTCTGTCGATTGGGGGGGAGCGTGCTCATCACCAGCGTGGTCATCTCCAGGAGCGTGGTCATCGCCAGGAGCTTGAACGCTTGATGGTGTTGTATCAGGTGGACATGATGATGTAGCACTTGGGTCAGCAGGCTCCGGCGTGGTCGGTGTCTGCTCAGGAGGAGGAGATGAAACTGTGGATTTCTCATTGCCATTGTTGCCGCTATTGCCGTTGCCGCTGCCATTGCTACCGTCGCCTTCGCCTTCGCCTTCTCCGTTTTCAGGATCAGGAGTTGGTGACGATGGCGGAGCGGGAGACGGAGACGGAGCATCAGAGGGAGATGGAGCAGGAGATGGAGCAGGAGAGGGAGGCGAGGCAGGCGGGGGAAGTGAAACAGTGACGAGACCATCAGACCCAGAGTTGCATTTCAGATCCAGAGAAATGTCAAAGGAGAGAGTCAAATGCTCAGTATTTTTCGGAGAGGCATCATCGCTGGGCATGCTGTACGCAGCAGGTAGTGACGGGGTAGGACGGTATGAAGGCTTCTCCAGGTCAATGTGCTGGACCTCAACGGGAAACAATGGTCCAATGCCCAAGCCCAGGTTGGAGCATGCCAGGACAACGTGGGACACAGCCGGACCGTAGGTATCTTGGGGGCATGAGCTGATGAGGCATTGGAAGAGAGACTGCGACAGACAGACGTTAGTGGATCACGAGACAGATGTGCAGAGAACTGGGCTTGGGACTGGGCAAACCGACATTGGTCCTGAGCTTGTCTGCGCAAATGGCCTTGAGGTCGAGAGATCCGTTTGCGTTTCTGATGCTCGAAGCACAGTCGACGGCGCACTCTGTCCATCATCTCAGGTCAGTAACACGAAGATGCCAGAAATTCCAAAGCACTGCAGGCATGAAGCGTCACTTACGAGGTGCTGCATCATCGGCCGCTGCGATGCCAACAGGGAGGCAAACGGCCAGGAGAACGGCAACCGAAGAAGCTCGCATGTTGACAGACGACCAAGCGGAGACGAAAGGCTGCGTGGAGGAAAGAAGAAATGGTTTGTCGTAATTAACGATGGTCACCAAAAATGGGGGGTCCAAAAAAGAGCTTGAGAATGCGTTCCAAAAAAAGGACTTGAGTATGCGTTCCAAAAAAAAGGACTTGAGTATGCGTTCCAAAAAAAAAAAGGACTTGAAGATGTGTTCAAAGAAAAGGACTTGAAGATGTGTTCCAAGAAAAGGACTTGAAGATGTGTTCCAAGAAAAAAGGCTTGAGAATGCGTTCCAAAAAAAGAGCGTGGTGGTGATGCTTTGGTAGCGAACGATGGAAGATGAAGAAAAGAAAAGAAAAGAGAGGAGGGGAGAAGGAAGAAAAAGAAAACAAGACAGGCAAAACGCTTGCCGAGAGACGAGCGGCGAAGGAAAGAAAGCGCGTCGCTTGTTGGTGTTTTGATGACGCAACGGAGAGGAACTTGGGAAGGAGCAGAGATGGGGGAAGAAGTTTGAAATCGGCCACCACTGCTGATTGCGCTCACGATCAAGATGAATGAGCGACGGGAAATAATTAGCATCTCAGTGAAGAATCCAATTGGCGAATGCAAATCCATTTGTCTAGATGTCTAAGTAACTCCATTACACCTGGGTTGAAAAAAAAAAGCAGATATTAGATAGGTAGAAAACAGGGCGTGATGCAAATGAAAGCGAGCTGGACTGGAGGCGAGAATGTCGCCGTGTCGCATTAGTAGAAGAGCAAGTCAAGCGGCTTCTTCTCGTCGCCATATCGGTCCTTGAACTCCTTCCTCGCCAGAAATCGTGCAAGAGGCATCACGGTGTCCTTCATGTCCATGACGCCCCTCTTCTTCTGGTCAATGTGCGAGGCATCGACGACCAGGCGCTGCAGCTTATCCAGCGACAATGAACCTGCCCCCAAACCATTAATGTCAGCCCATATTTCCAAAATAAGACGAAATGTGTTTGCAGGCGCTGTGCGTAAACAAAAAGCAATGGGCAGCCGGGTAGAAAAACTCACCATTGTCGATAAGCTCCATGAGACGCGCAGGTGTGCCGACGCCGACGCCAATCTTTTTGTTCTTGAGCAGAGTGACTTGCTCCTCGACTTTCATGTGCTTTGCGAACTGAGCGAAGAGAAGAAGATGGATTAGTATTCTAAAGGATAAAAATAGATGATCAGAGAGATGCCAAAATTAAACTCACCAGCTTCGCAACCAAACTGTCCTTGCCTGAGAATTTTCGTAGAGCTCTAAAACATTCATATGAGTTAAATGGATGATTCCATTGATGCAAAAAGAGAGGGAAAGGATAGAAACAATCGTTTTGACAAGAATATTGCCTCCTTACCTGGTAAGATCCGCGGCTCTCAGCCCAGCACCAGCAACAACGATGGTGTGAGGCATGCCATTCTTCTTCTGCGCCCTACTTAAGCTCTCAGGATGCTCTGCAAATTCCTCCAGGAAACTTGGCAAGTTTTCCAATGATCTAGTTTTCTGCCATGAGGTGGTGTCCTTGATAGAAGCGGCTACAACCCATCTCAGTTAGCATTCAAAGAATAAACGGCCGATTTTCTTTCTTTCAAGGTGAACATTTATATGATGGGCGCGAAATACCTGACAAGGCCAAATCCGATAGCTCGACGGGGCTCAAATCAGTGCCGAATCTCGCCAATTTCTGCACGTGGTAGTCGGCCAGCAACTGGCTGTCCATCTTAGCAAAGAGCGTGTTGAGGCCAAGCTCAGCGTCGAGGTTTTCATCCTCTACGGCGTGCTTAGATTTTCTCTTCTTGGTCTTTTTGGCCGGAGCCGGATCTTCCGCGGCTCTCTTCTTTGAATTCGGCATTTTTGCTTTCTCTTCTGACATTTTGTGATGACGGCGGAGCGGATAGAGGTCTGCTTGTGGTGTTTTTTTTTTCTGAGCCTATAGTGGAACTTGGCCAAGGTGAGAATTTTTGCAGGACGATTTGTACAGTATTTTAGATGTGGCTTGCACGGTAAATTTGCTGGCGGGGGCGTGGCAGGCTTACAGTGCGCGTACTGTATGTCACCGAGCGCCATCTGATGCATCCGATGCGCATTACATTCAGCTGATATACCGCTTCATAGAAGTAGAATACTAAATCCCTTTTTACGAAGATAGTATGATTGAGCATATCGAAAGGCGAACTATATCATAAATCAGAAGAAAGTAATACATCTGCTTGTATCGGTCGCAATCGTTCATTTTGAGGGACGAAGCATCCCAACAGGCGACCCAGGTTCATGCGAGACAGTGTGTAAAGATTTTATTCAGTCTTTTGAATGTATAAACTAGATAAAGAGAAGCCCTATTGGCATTCTCACACTAAGCATGGGCGAAGAATCAAATTTCCCCAACTTTCAAGACAACATGTGTAATTAGAACCTCAACCCCAACCCAAACGCCATACATTACCAGTTGGATAAATGAAATGAAAGAAGAAGAAGAAAGGTCAGTCGAAACACGAGAAATAGCAGAATAAAATATCAATGAACAATGACAATCTTCGCGTCCCTCGAATATCGGTATTCACACCCCTCTCCATTAGAAGATGCTGTTGACAATGTTGCTACCAATCGAAGCACCTGCACCAAAGATGGCAGCGTTACCCAGCTTCTTTCCAAACTTCTTTCCATACTCTCCAACCTTGCCGCTGCCCTCTCCGCCTTGCTGCTGAGAAGGCTGGCCGCCCTCGGCTATAGCCATGGGCGGGACGTTTGCGTTGTACGGGTTCTGCTGCGCGGGCGGTCCTGAGGGAGCCGGGTAGCCGTAGACGGGCTGCTGAGGGTATGCCACAGGGGCGGGAGCCGGTGCCTTTTGCTCCTGTTCCACAAAGACGTAGTTCTGGGGGAAGATGCCCTCCATGCCGGTACGGTGGTTGCGGCCCATCCACCAGTCCTGGTTCATGTACTCGTACACGTCGACCTTGTCGTCCTTTTCGAGGCTCAGGTCGCGAGCGTCGCTGGCATCGTAGCGGTACAGGGCCCTGGCATGGGCCAAGACGGGCCTGCCTGGAGCTGGAGAGCGGGTAGGGACACCAGGCGCGGGAGTGTCGTCGTATGATGGAGGCGCCGGGGAGTGGCCCTTGACGTTGAGGTTCTGGAAGGCTTGGACGGGAGGCGTCACAACAGCCGCGGCCGGGGCGGGTGTCTGGCTGGCGGAATGGCCAGCACTTCCGGGAGCAGCGCCTCGAAGGGGAGTTTCGGCAGGGAGGACAGAGTGGATGGTGTCGAAGGCGGCTTCGTTGATGACACCTTTCTCGAGAAGGCTTTCGAGCTCCTGTGCTCTTGGGTTAGCTGACCAGCTCAGTTAGGTAAGAATAGGAGAAAGACAAAGGCAGCAGTTCATCGCTGCGGGCATGCTGACATTCTTAATGTTTCGAAGAGACCGATTGGTCTCCATGATGGTTTGGCGATCCATAGCACTGGTTGGTGGAAGAGATTGTCGTTGGAAGGATGTCCGATTCGCAGAATTCAACAGCTACTCCAACGTAGTATTGGAAAGGAAAAAGACCCCAGCAGCCTTTTGTTTGGATATCAAAGCTCTCAAAGAAAAAATAAGCCCGAGTGTGAGTGTTGGAGAAGAAAAGAGATTCAGCGTCAAAAAAAAAAAAAAAAGTGGCCTGAGGAGAACATGCAGATGCGAGATCGAGAATTCGCAGGGGAGTCGGAATGGCGTTCCTGGGAAAGGCCGCGAGTCTTGAGGGTTAGCGGGCTACGCTGGCTATGCTGGCTCTTGGCCCCGCTACTTGGCGCGGATTCCAGAAGGTGAGCAAATGTCCGGATGTGGATTTCGGAGTCTGGTGGCTGGCCGAAATGACGGGCTTATAACATGTTGATTACGAGCAGAGGTGGAATCATGAGATTAAGCAGCATTTTTTTTGTTCAACAGATGCAGATGATGGCGTTGATATTTATTCAATACCGAATTTCCGAAAAGGATTGCTTCAGTGTATTGATCCATATCCCGAGTCGAGCTCCCTGGAGCACCACACTTTGCACCGGTACCTGCAGCGTTCCAGTACTCGAGCTCCAGTAAAACCCGTGCTACGGATTGCGCGTCTTGCCGCTCAAGCCGCTGTGGCTGGCTCCTGGCCGTCTCCCAGAGGTCATTATAGGCTGCTCTTGGCGAGATCGCCCCTAGCATCGCCACTGTCCGGAGGCAGCCCAGTATCGATACACTCTGATACGTTGTTCTCTCTCTATGGCTGAGGTGGTGCTACACAGAGAACAATTGCTCGTAGGGAGTAGCATGCCATCACCAGTATTACTTGCATGACTGTGTCTTTTTTTGCTTTTTCTTTGTTTGAACTTGGTATCATTATTATTTTTTGCTAGTCTTTTGTTGCATCTATTTGGCCCTTGAAAGCCAATTCATCATTGTATCATTTATATATACCCATTTTTTTTTTCGGCGCCACCCCCTCAAGTTTAAACAACAAACTTGCTCTCCTTGACAGCATACTTGTCAACGTACTCATCCACAGTCATGGCCTCCAGCTTCTTGCTGTCCATGCTCAGCTCGACAAGCTCGTTGACGGTGCTCTCGGGGAAGTGAGGGCCCAGGTGGCGCTTGTACTTGGCCAGGATGACGGGCTTGGCCTCCTCGCGACGGAGACGGTGGCCCAGAGGAGCCTCAACGGCAACCTCGTCGAGGACGGTGCCGTCGTTGAGCTCGACGGTCAGGGCGTTGGAGATGGTTCGCTGAGCAGGGTCATGGTAGTCCTGAGTGTACTTGGGATCCTCGACACACTTGATCTTCTTGCGCAGAGACTCAACCAGCTCGGAAGTAGCAGCCTCAGAGCCGTCGACGTAATCGGTGGCCTCGAGGCGGCCGAAGACGAGCATGACGGAGCACATGTACTGGATGCAGTGGTCACGGTCGGCGAAGTTGTCCATGGGCTTGAACTGCTTGTCAATGATGCGGATGCAGGCCTCGTGGGTTCGGCAGGTGATGTTCTTGATGTCAGCGGCAGTCTTGCCCATGGCCTTGAGCTGGTGGTGGATCTTCTCAGAAGCCTCGACGGCGGTCTGGGAGTGGAACTCGGCTAAGATGGGTGTTAAGTCGTCTGTATTACAACCATGATTCTCTTCATGGATATCATGAAGGGGAAAGCTTCAACTTACCAGGGTAGGAGACCTTGAACAGGACATTCTCCATGACGTAGCTGCCGTAGGGGCGCTGGAACTCAAACTTCTTGCCCTTGAACAGGACATCGTAGAAACCCCAGGTGGGAGCAGACAGGACGGTGGGAACGCCGCTCTCGCCCTTCATGACCTTGAGGGCCAGGTTGACGGCGCGCTGGCAGGCATCACCAGCAGCCCAAGACTTGCGGGACATTGTGTTGGGGCTGTGGCGGTAGGTTCGCAGACTCTGGCCATCGACCCAGGCCTGGGTGACGGCGTCGGCAATCTGCTTCTCGCTGAGGCCGAGCATCTTGGAGACGACGGCGGTGGAGGCAACCTTGACCAGGACGACGTGGTCGAGGCCGACCTTGTTGTACGAGTTGAGCAGGGCCAGGCAGCCCTGGATCTCGTGGGCCTTGATCATGCCCTCGAGCACGTCGCGGATGGTGAAGATCTTGCCGCCAGCCAGGTTGCCGCCGGCCTTGTTGGTGCGGTTGATCCAGTCGGCGACGGCCAGGATGGCGCCCAGGTTGTCCGAGGGGTGGCCCCATTCAGCGGCCAGCCAGCAGTCGTTGAAGTCGAGCCAGCGGATCATGGCGCCAATGTTGAAGGCTCCGTTGATGGGATCCAGCACAAAGGGAGTGCCGGGGACCTTTGTGCCGTTGGGCACGACGGTGCCGGGAACGGTAGGACCAAGCAGCTTGGCGCACTCCTTGAAGCGGAGGCCCTCAAGACCGCAGCCCAGAGTGTCGAGGAGAATCCATCGAGCGGTGTCGAACTGCGCGATGACGGACAGTTAGTGATTGGCTCCAAACTCGAGCACTGAATTGAATTGAATTCATTCTGTTCGCTCCTCTCAAGTCTGTGGTGATGGTGGGGGTGGTTTGATTTTTGTGTTTTGGGAAATGAGGGGCATCAGCAGCCACGGGCACGCAAAACTCACAGCCAATTCCGAGTCAATTGCCTTGTTGGCGACATAGTCGGCAATGTCCTTGATCTCAGGATCGTACTCGCGCGAAGAAGTGGCCATGGCGGGCGCTCCAGACAGTTTCAGCGACGAGGTTGAGAAGTTGCTGCGCGTGGCAGGAATGGCAGCTTTGGCAGCGGCAGCAAGGCCGGACGAAGCAAGGCGGCTGGCGCCGACGGAGGCCGAGCAGAGACCGCGGGACGACTGGACTCGCAGCTTGGATGCTGATCTGATGCTCCGTGAGATGGCGGACATTGTAGAATTTCAAACACACTCGGAGTAGCTGTAGAGACGACTCTTCTGCAGCGGTGGAAAAGAAGAGAAGAATCAGGACAAGAAAAGAGGACGGGGACAGCCGAATAAAAAGAAGAGCAAGAGAAAAAGCTTCAATGCCGCTATCCCCCAGAATCCGCTCCAGAATCTTGGAGAGCCGAGCCAAATCTCTCCTCCCCCCCCTGCTAAGCTCCGCCAATTTCTTCCTCGCTCAGCCGCCGCATGCCGCGCGCGCCATCCTCGGCTAAACCCAGTCCCCAGCAAAACGCTGCCAGAGTTGCTCGAGGGCATGATAGCGAGTCTTTGCGCGTGGAGGGACAGAAAGGCCCCGGCGCCGGAGCCATCGGCCGCTCTTCACCTCGGCCATGGCAGCCAGCAGCCTCCGTCAGACGGAGCGCATGTAGCTCGGATGCGGCTATCACCACCTGCGGAGATCGGCCCTTGCGTCCGTTGCATCTCGGCCTGTGACTGGCGTTTGTAATACGTTGAGTTCTTTGCATGTATGTGGCGATGTATTAATTACTCGGTGCGCTGCAGGAGAGGCGTTGTACAAAACTTGATGCAGAGTCCCGCCACCAACTGATATTTCTGGAAGGGAATCGGAAGATGCAGCGGAGCGGTCAGTGGCCACAAGGCATGAGTAATTGGTCAAATAAAAAATCTCTAGAAAAGCTGTTTGTTCTTCTTTTTCTTCCTTTGTATCTGAAATGTATCGGTGTTTCTTCTACGATGATGCGCACAGCTTACGGGTAGTAGATTTCCTTTTTGCCACCTTCTCGTCATCTCCAACATGGATGTTCGCGAGTCCTTTGCCTGAGAGCACTACTTGGCATTATATATCACAAAGCAACACCAAATTCCCTATCCATACGATTCGCCATAGATAGCAGACTTATTCTCCATGTCTCTATATCTCCAATCATAGTATTCTTTTGCTCACAGGAATGGCCGCGCAGTTTATATTCTACCCTGTATTTACCACATTGCAACAGCCGCCCCATTCACCAATTGCATAGAGTACGCTCCGTATGACAGCGACCAGTCCATCGAATGCTACATTGCTTCGTACAAAGCAGTGGAACCCAGGCATTCTATCTAACAGAGCCAATGTTTATAAAGAACGCAATCTTGTATTCACCAAGCCAGATCAAGCGACGCTGACTACGTACATGTAGATGTGTGCAAACCATGCGGGCCTTCGAACAGACCATCGCCAAACAAATTGACTACAAACAGAATCCAAAGAACAGCCCAAATTATTTCCTCCCCAGATTTAATACCATATCGCTCGCAAGAGGAGATGAAGTCCCATTGTTTATTGCCCCATCAAACAACTACCCAGTAAACAGGTACTATCTGCATCTTGTACCGCCAAAGACGTCCAGTAGACCTAGCCATAGTTTGGTCAGCATGATATGAACGACATCATCAATACACAAAAAGAGAGAGTGGCCTTACCATCTTTCTAGCTCTCCTCCTCAAAGTCAGTTTTCTCAGACGAGAAAGAGCGCTCGCTCCGCGGAGAATCCGGGAGCACAACATAGCTCCCACGAATGGGAATGGTGAACTTGGGGCAGACGGGACATTTCCCGTCTTTGACGTGCTTCTTGAGAACGGCGTCAGGCTTTCTGACTCCTGGATGCATGCAGGCATCTCTCGAACCCTCCTTGAGCAGGCATTTCTCGAAGATGATACACTTTACCATGTGCGACGGGTTAGGGTCGCAGTCTTCATAGACTGCTTCACCAACTGTATAGTAACACATGATGGCGTTGGAGATGGTCGAGGTGGAAAGTTGAGATTGGAATATCAAGTGTTGTCTTGTCAAAGTGTTGAGAGAGTCGAAGAAGTTGAGAAAGAATAATTCAAGAAGAGAAAGAGAAATGTCGACGGGATTTGGGTGTCTTCTTCTTTTAAATATGCCGATGGACAAGATATATTAGCTTGAGAGCCATTTAAAAGGTGTGCTACCTCAGGAAAAAAGAAAAAAATGCCAATTTCGGTACGTATTACCCCAGACCAGTGCTTCGTTTTGGGTGACAGTCATACATACCGTAATACTAGCAGTAATTGCACGAGTACGGATTCGTGTTGGACTCCATCTCCCTGCATTCAGAGAGAGGCTAATCCTGTCTCATGAAAGGTTATTCTAGTAGTACTTACTACTACTAGCAGCATAAAGTACCTAGCATACTAGAAAATGACGAATCGTTTATTGTAATCTCAGCTCGGAACGGGGCTGTCGGCTACTTTGCTTTGATCTTCGGCATCCTAGCCTAGCTGAAAGGCAGCAATCTGATCTGAATAACGCAAAGGCTTTTCGCCCTATGGAGATGAATTAAACAGATGAATCTCCCATGCCGGCATGTTTCCCCTCCTACTGCTTCGCCTCTGAGCACAGACGAAGATTGTCGGGGTGTGTACCAGATTTGCAGCGACCCATAATCAGGCAGGAAACCGGGGAGCAGGCATTCGCACCACTACTCTCCTATCACACGCTCCGTGGGTTGTATCAGATGAGGTATATACTCGAGTAGGCGCCGGCTAGTCCTTATTCCGGTCAAAGAGGCTTGTATTAAGGCCTGTTATTGTCTTGAAAAGGCCGGTATTGGCTACGATACGAGCGGTAAAGAGCGTGTGGCTGCGGGATAAACTGGGTCAGAGAGAATTTGGTAGGTTGGTGGAAGCGAAAGGGTACGCGCTTGCTGTAGCCTGAGATATCATCAGTTAGCACTAATACAATGGGGCGCGCTGCTCTCAGCCAGTCGCCGCTGTGGGAGGCTTGGTCGAGCTGCCAAGGACATGCATCAGGGACTTGACTAGTAGTCGGAAGCTGTCTTCCAGTTTAGGGGGAGATTACGTGGATACATAGATCACTTACACTCTCTGGCTTTTGCCCGTCTATTGCGTCCATTGCTGATACTAACAGGACCTCACATTTTGTGATTCTGTCTTGTCAGGGTGCTAGCATATGCTGTGAAACAGCGCCACATACAAGATGAACTCGGCAATAAGGTGCTAGTACATGAGATAAAGCAGGTCTCAGTTGAACTGAGTAAAAGCAAGAGGCGCGTGACGGCCAAGATGGTCAGTGCAGAGAGTGATGACCCGAATCAGAGAGTCTGAAAGATACAGAAGCCTCTATAGCGGCGAATATGACTGGGAAACTTGTAGTTGCTAGTCATGTAGGGAGGAGAGGGTGCAATATCGCATATGCGCCTCCCAGTTTGCTCTGGTGAAACTAGCGCAAGTGGTCAACAAGAAAGGCTGTGTGACGTAGAATCAAGACAAGCCCTGCGACGATGGCAGGCGGCAGGCTTCTCCACATTAAGAGAGAGAAAGATGGTGTGTGTAACACGGCATCTGTTATACCTCTTTCTCCTTGTCCCGGCTTTCTTGCCAGGCCCTTCCCATCACATGTCTCCATCCGTCTCCATCTGTCTCCCGCAACAGCATGGAGGTGCCTTGAGAAATATTGGACTCGGAGCAAAACGTAGAAATCTTGCAAAGAAAGAGGCGATAGAAGCTCTGACAACTCTTTTCACTACCGTCTTCTGAATCTTTGCTGTGATTTCAAGAGGAACCATGGTCTTGTTTCGTGTACGCTCGTACGCTCAAGGGGCATGCTATCCGCAGAAAGTGGAACTATTTCGACTAGTACACGGCGTGGCGTTTGACCTTCCGCGTAAAGAGAATCAGAATCCTCAAAAAAGGCTAGATAAACAAGAGCTGTGACTGTGACTGTGACTGCTGTCAAAGTACATAGGCAAGGGCCGGCTCCTGTCCTCAGGCTGCGTCAACTGTGAGCCGCAAAGGGATCCTTGCATCTCTGCGCTAAGCGGACTAGAGAGGAGTTGCCAGGACATGCATTTGGGACAAGTTTGTTTCGTAGCATGACTCTCGACTACCGGCGTACAGCCAAGCGCTTGGGCGGCCCACGACGAATCGCTCTAAAAGGAAAAAGAAATGCGCGGCCCAGGCCATCTGCGGCTGGGAAAAGCTGCCAGCGGTGAGAGCTTTGGCATCTGCACATGTGGCGAATTTCGGAGAAGAGAAAAAACACGGCTTGTGTCTGTTATCACGACTCTTGGTAAACAGCATATGCGCTTGTAGAGTAGCTCCGAACAAACTACTATTCGATAAGTCCGTAGTGGACTGTTGAGTTATTTCACATGACCAGACCTGCCTCGGTGAGTAATAATAACTTACTTGGCCTTGAAGCTCTCATATCTTTGCTGTCCGGTCCCGATAGATATCCGCGTACGTATGGTATGACGAGAATAATGGACACCGAGCAGGGGGGATAAACAGATCAATTTCGGTGAGAAGGAGGGGCGAATGCTTGAAACATGGTGGAGTCTGGTAAGCTAGGCTGCCTTGCCAGTTATCCGCCCAATGCACAGGAGATGAGCTATTGCTGCAAGCAGCAACACGAGCAGCAGGAGCTGGCATAGCTTCACACCCGTGCCAGCCTCATTTTCCAGGGGAGGGTGCGAGGATGAAATGCCGAAACCCTTCGCGCGTCGGCTGTCTGGATGCTCGATTGGGCGAGTCGCATGAATGAGAGAACAAAGCTTTTGCTTTTCGTCGACGTATTGGGGTCCAAAGGCCTGAAGGAGACGCAGTGTTAGCAACGGTAATATGGATAGCGGAAGCCATAGGAAGGAAGCCGGTCCATGAGGTGGTGGAAACGGGCTTGCAATTCCATATCCCCTGTCCTGTCTTGTCTTGTCCTCACGCAGCCTCTTGATCACCTCCCGCGACTTGTCCCATCCGCGACGTCCATGATGAAGCAACGCGAGATACGGAGGAAAAGGCCAAAGCAACGAGACGGCAAATCAACGCCTGCCTTTTTCTCCTGGGCAAAGGCGTTCCGAGTGGTCAAAGTGTGCCTGGAGAGGGCGAATGGCCGGTTTCCCGAATGACGTGGTGTTGAGGGCAAAACGAGCGAGGAGGAGAGAGGGTTGACGAAACGGGACTAGGCGACTGAGAATAGGCACCTCCTAGTGCTGTGGAAGGGTGCATCGGGGCGGCTCGAGTTGGACAACAGCGCTGGCGCCAGGTACCGCTACAAGGCACTGCGGGGGCGCTGCGGGGCGGAGGGCGTGTGGTTTGTGGCCCGGCTTGGCGCCGCTCCCAGGTACCGGTACCTGTGCTGAGACCAGCCTGTACTACTAGTACTACAGTAGTAGTATGTCTGTACTTTGGTGGGTGCTGCTGTCTCGCCGGCTTCACTCTCTGGCCCTGTCCGCTGCAATCTGCCCGGCGGCTTTGTCGAGGGCGTGTGCTTGACGCAGCAGCTCATTAGTGCTGGACTACGAAGGAGCTCCAGAGTGCGAAGCGGTGAAGCTGGAGGGCGATGCTCATAGGTGGCGTAGGCGAGCTGTTGCATGCAAGTACCCCGAGCCTGATTTACGGCACGCGTAATACCCGGGCTGTCTGGCCCATCCGGACTGGATGCAGCAAGCAAATAGTGGAGAGCGGAGTGTATGCCACTCTCCTGTCCTCCTGTCCCGTGGACGTATTTGCTTTTTCTCTCCTTTTTTCCCCCGTTGGCAATGATGGCCCAGCAGTCTCGAGATGCTTGCTGTACTTCAGTTGTATTACTCAGATATTGGATGCTCGAGCAAGGCCCCGCTGCTATCTTGCGCTAATAGCGGCAAGTGGGCGCCAGAGATCGCTCAGGGTGGGTTTGCGGGCGCTCCCGACCAGCAGCCGGTCTAGTACAAACCCAGATTATGGTTCTTACGACACAACTGCGGTGCCTTGCGCTTATGGCTGGCTGGCGACTGTTGGCCCTACAAGGCACTACCAGCTTGCCGGTCGATCATTGTTCGGCGCAAGAGATCAATATGATATGATACAGCATCTAGTGGCAGTGGCAGATGGCCGCGGAAAGGGAGCTGCTGGCGCCATTTGCGCTCTCCACCCATCGATATCTGATGATGATCGTCTCTTTGGCCTTGATCAGGGATTGGTCTAGCTCGCACCTAATATGGAATGCCCCGTTGACATCTATCCACGACGCTCGCTCTCGCTCTTCTTTTGCCGCTCCTACACCGACGTCCGCCGACGCCGACATGCCCGCCGCCAAACAACTTACATGTACGCCATGGGCAACTAGCAGGTTCTAGTGAAACAGAGTCAAAGACCGCTGGGCTAATCACTCTTAGGTGCGTGCGTCGAGACATGTCCGCCCATTCCCATTTCCCGGGTTCCCCCACCAATGGGCATCTCTCGATCGAGATGGCCCTCACGGGGCTCTCGGGATCGGGACAAGGGAGGACTGTAGCAACTTGCTTCGAATGACAGATTGCTCGGCTGGGTGCTTACTCGCGCCTCTCGCCTCAGTCTCAGACCCCACGCCGCTTGGGCAGCCATACCGCGGTGCTGTGCTCCTTTCCGCCTAGTCAACAAGACCAAAGCCCAGCTTTGACGCAAGGGAGAAAGAGGTGGAAAGCAAATGTCGCAAAAATCAGGCCACGCCGAGGGCATTTCGCTTGGTGAGGGACGCTTGGTCCAGTCAACCTGCAATCAGCTCCTCTACTACAGTAGGGGGCCTCTGCGCGGATACGACTAGCAAACTCCACGGACGGGCTAGTATTTGTCTCCGTTTCCAATGATACCTAGAGTGAGGTAAGTGGCCGTTGTTCTGACTGTTTGGTATGGACCTTGGTCGGTGTTGTTCTGAATATTACGTACGCCGTGTAGACGCGACGAGCTGATCTCTTCGCGTCAGTTGAGCTCGACTCTGGCAGATGATGGCGTGGATAGGTGCAGGAAGCAACGATACCATTGCCATTGCAAACAAGAACAAATTGAAAGACAAATTGCAAGAGATGTGGGAAATGAAAAAGAAAAAAGAAGAGAACAAACAAGGGCAGAGCAGGCAAATGGACACAGAGAAAATAGAAACAGGCCGTGCACACTACTCGTCTGCGTAAAAGTTGGGCATGAGTAAGTCTACCTCTACCTACTACTAGTATACCCACGTAGTACACTGCATCCACCGCCTTGATGCATGCAGAAAGCATGTACCTGTCAGGTTCGGACACATTTTCGGGTACACAGCAGCAAATATGGCTGGGCATTGTAGCAGCTCGACAGGATGGATCGTAATCGCTCTCGCTTGACCTGGCTTGATAGCAAACAATTAGGACTATATCAATAGTGACCACTCCAGACCACTGAAGCCTTTGAAGCTCTGTAATTTAGCGCAATACAGCATCTGAAAGAGACCAAACGTCGCTCGTCATCTTTGACTTTGACTTCTCTTCTTCCTCAGTTCTGGCTCGTTGTTCCGAAGCCCCCATTGATTTCATCTCAACGCCATCTACCTTACTTCTTTCATCCTATTCATTTCTATTAGCGAGTGAAAAACTGTCTTCACAAAGCAGCCGTCTATTCTTGGTTCGTTCCTCCTCCTGTTGCATCACTGGACGTGGTTAGTCATGCTCATCGCGATCTACTAGTGGTCTGTCTAGCTGCCGCATCTCTGCCTTCTTCGCGACTGCCTTCTCCGCGACTGCCTTACTACATGTACCTACCCCACAAATCGCCTGTGCCTTCATTTCAATAACCACCAGCTCCAGCATTCTCTTGGCTTGTATGTCCCTCCTGCATCCCGTAATGATACTACCATTTCTCTTTGGCTCTACTGTTCTTCCAGCTGATACTGACCTCAAACTTGTCACAGGCCTCATTGGCCAGACGAATTCGTCACCGAACCTTGCTTGTCCTTGGACCTCCCGAGTACTTGCTTCCAAGCCTGAAGAGACTCGATTTTGACTGCATTTTGTTCCAAGCACACCTAACCTCTTCGTTATTTGAGCTCACTGCCATCACCATGTCTGGCGGATCCATCTTGCTCTATATCATGAGGCGAGACCTCAGAACCTCCGACAATCCCATCCTGCACAGACTATCCACTGCCGAGCATGGTTTCACCCATCTGCTGCCAGTTTACATCCTGCCACCCGATCAGATGGAAGTTTCTGGTCTCGTCAAGGATGGCAAGACGAGCCCATACCCCCCCGCCAGATTCCATCTCTCGCAGCGTTGGAAGTGCGGCCATCTCCGCGCAAAATTCATCGCAGAGTCTCTATGGGACTTGAAGGGAAATCTTGAGAATCTGGGCAGCGGACTTGTCATCCGCGTTGGTGCTTTTGACGGCGTCTTGAGCGGCATAATCCAGCACTACGCCGCCAACCAACATGGCCCACAGGTGACGGCTGTGTGGATGACCGAGGATTATTCGCCCGACCAACAAGGGGAAGAAGAAGCTGTCTCTGCTATATGTGACGCACACGCCATCGAATTCCTTCGGCTTTATGATGTGAAGTATCTTCTGCACGAGTAAGTTTACCAAAGCTTGTTCCATGATGGACCTTTCTGACTCGAGATGATGAATATAGCATCCAGCTACCCGAAATCGAGACTGGTATCGACCGCTTGCCTGATTCCTTTGATCTCTTCTGGCGAGCCCTGAAAACCAAAGCTGAAAACCCTCTCGATCCTGTCCCTCTCGTTACACGCTCTTCTCTGCCCTCTTTCCCGGATCATGCATCTCTTCCTCCCCAAGAGTCCCCGTTTGAGATTCCCGACACACTCGAGGGACTCATTCAAAAATTGCAGAGTCCTGTGCAGCTCCCAATGGTCCATCTGGATAGACCCGAGCTTCGAGATGCTGCAATGCCGCAAGCGTTGCTCGGTGGGGAAACCCGTGGCCAACAGCGGGTTCGCTACATTATCAAAAAAGGGATTGCGTCTTCATACCATCTCTTGTTGGATGATGTCCATGTGGGCGATGGCGATCATGGGCTTCAGCCCTACCTAGCTCTTGGATGCATTACGGCTCGGCAAGTCCATCAAGAGCTTCTGAAGCTCGAATGCGGCACGGACCCTGGTTTGGCTCAAACTATGGGCTTCGGTAGAGGCCGTAGCGCTGGAACAAGAAGCATCCGATACCATCTGCTGGTGTTAAACTTTATTCGTCTTAGCATCATCAAGCATGGCAGCGAGCTGCATAACCTTGAAGGTGCTGGCAAGGGCAAAAACCCACTCAGAACGTGGAAGTCATCCGTTATACGAGATCTTGATAGACCCGGTCAAGCTATCGACAATGCCATCAGCATGACCCAGTTCCTGATGGGACTCACGGGATTTGGCCTCATCGACGCCATCATGCGGCAGCTTTACGTTACAGGCCAAGTGACGGCCCGTGGAGAGGAGGTTGCACTAGGCTTCTTCGCCTTGTATGCAGGCTTCGACTGGCGCTACGGTGCAGAATACATGTCGTCGCTCTCCACTGTCCACGATCCATTTTTTTATTTCTATAGCTCGCAAAACTACGCCGGTGTTGGCCCCAGCTACAAGGCCAAAGGTTCTATAATCTCTCTCGCCGAAGTAACCCGGAACGTCGACCCCGACGGCACCTTTATCCGAAGGTGGATGCCAGAGCTGCGAGGCCTTCCGAGAAGGAAGAACGTTTATCGAGTGAGCACCACCGCATCTTCGCTGTTGCAGCGGTATGGGCTGGCATCTAGCATCATGGTGACTCATGAAGTGCCATGCGCTCTGGAGGCTGGCCCTACCATGGAGATACCCAACGCGAGTAGAGCTCAGATAGAAAATGCCGTGGCTTCAGCTCCAAGGGAGCATAGACCTTTCCATACTGCGGCGGGCATTTCAACTGAAGCTATCGGAGGGGGAGGCGAGTTCGAACAACTTGGGATCAGATCCGAGTTTGGGAACCAGATTCTTCTCGAAGCGCCACTGGCGCTTGCAGAGCCAAATGAAGCGCCTCAAGGACCACCTTCTGGGTCACGAGGCCCGTCTTTACCTTTTCGTTCGGCTAAGACACAGGTGGCGTCGACGACAGAGGCACCTGCGCTACCAGAGGAAGCAACTGTGCGTTCGAACATGACGGGCCTTGAATGGATAAACCCATTGGCCCTTCATCCGGTACATCTTCCACAGAGACCCCCAGAACAGCTTTCATTCCATCCACTGCATATTCCGGCCTCCCAGCCAAGCAATCAAAGCCACAATCCAACTGCATTACCGCCCTTCCGTCCACAATCTCAGCTTCCTCTTCTGCCAGCTCCTGCTGATACATACTTTCTGCCATTTCGGCAGCGGACCGGGAGTGGGAGTGCGAGTCCAGCTCGCCAATTGCCTTCTCTACCAGCAGCGCCATCGCCGCCGCCGCCGCCAACTCTATCTTCTGCAGTTCCCCACCTCTCCAATACACCTCAGGTGCCACTTCCACAAGAGGATACCCCGAGAGAGTCCATTGAGGATCCCCAGCCTCCAGTGACCCCTGTGCGCCGAAGCTCTCGGAGGCTTCGACCAAGAATTGCTGTGATACCACATCCGGCACTTGCAGGGTTTCTACCTGTTGTTGCTGAACCGGACATTATACGCTATTATATCGGACAGTTGAGGCAAACCCGGCTTCGGGGGAGTTCAAACTATACGTTTATTGATCTCCCTTTCCTCGACAGCAACCGGATACATATCATATCTTGTCCTCGTGGAGTTGTGCCGCTCCGAGGCGACCCTGACTTTGACCTCTTGCGAGAACCACTTGCTTCTGCCCCGGAGGATGTTGATTTGGAGGCCCTCGATGAGCTCATTGACGAGGTTGATGACGATGAAGTTGCTGTTCACGGTCCTCGCTTTGAGCATAGCCCCAGAGGCTCAGTGGTTTTGCGCCCCTATCGCGGGCGGCGTCAACCTTCTCGATTCAACTCTCGTTATCGTTGAATCCGGTTTGTGATTTAGTTTGATTGACTGCATCAAGGTTCCTTTGTAATTTAGTTTGATTGACTGCAATAAGGTTCCCTTGTAATTTAGCTTGATTGATTGTAATAAGGTTCCTATAAAATAGCTCAATTCTAAAGATTTCGTGTCCCTTCCGTTCCTAATTCTTATATATATATCCCTCCAATCTCCCCCAAGGTTCTTCAATATTTGCAGAGTCTTCAAATCTCTTCAGACTTTCATCTTGTTGGAGCTCTATCACGCACGGGTTAGACCAACTGGTGTTTCATCTCTCTCAAGTGTCGTCACAAAACTGTCTCAGACTACACTGTTCTCTTCCTCACAATGAATCAAAGGCCTTTATATAGTACAGTAGTTGCTCGGGGACTGCCCTCGCAGACCTCTAGCACCTGTGCATCTGCCGGCTTCCCCAGCACTAGAACCTCGAGGTCCATCACTCTTGCCGGCATACCTGAGGCTCCTCTAGCCACTCCGGAGAGGCCCAGCACTCCTCCAGTTGACGTTGCTGCCACTTCTTCTCTATACTGGCCTCTATCAATTCCGCCCCCAGTCTACGAAAACGGATGGGCTGGGCCACTACGAGGAGCAGCTCTGAGCTGTGACACATATTGCGAAATCCGGCACGACGGTCCTCTCCGGTTGACAGACGAGATGACCTACTATCGCGTCCTGCAACACTTCCACCAATGGCGCAAGGCGGCAGATGCATGTCCCTGGCCTCTTGTTTGCAATCCGCGCCCCGAAGAGGTGGTGAGGTACGGCCTCATGCACAGCTTTCTCAACAGCCTGGGTCCGCCACCTCCAGGCTGGGTTTGTCCACCTCTGGTTGCAGCCAATCGTCGCCATCGCCATCGCCGTCGTCGCCGCCGCCGTCGCCAGTGATTCCACTGGCTTGATTTCACCTCTGTTGGATCAGGCTAAGAGATGGCCCAAGGGTGGGAAACAGTGGTGGATGAAGACGTCGGACAAGGGATCTGAGGGAGGAACAGGGATCTGAGGGAGGAACAGGGCATTTGCGGTAGTTCTTGGCTGTTATATGGGAAGGGTGCTTTTGAAAACTGGATGACTTCACTCTATCAAGCTTGCTATAGACCTATAGACGAAGCCAGCTCGGAATTTGCCAAAGGAGTTTGAAATTTACATCTACTACATCTACTACGTCTTTCAATTTAGTTTCCATTGTCTTGTGGCATCCATGTCGAGTAAGCGGTATCTCAAGTCTTTGAATTCGAATCTAGTTTCTCATTTAACGTCTGACACAAAGACCATCCAATTCCGTAAAAGCATTGCGGCGGCAGCCATACTCAAATCCTGTCGCTTCAGTCTTCCAGTCTTCCTTCGCCTCTCCAATATCCATAACAACTACATAAAATACAACTACCTACCGACGAAAAATCAGGATAGCGCGTATTTGCAAGCCATGACACGATGCACATTCATCAGCAGTATGTAGCTTTTCCTAGAGTTCTGTATATGTAAGCTATACTGATATCGCTGTCTCTTGTCTCCTGGCCTCCCTGCTTTGCCATTCTCCTGTTTTCCATCGATTCTTCCGCCTTTCCAATATCCATTAAGCCAATATAAAACTCGTTCAAAAACTCTATCTCCCTTTTACTCCTCATAAGGGCTCGACGTCGGAAAAATCTTGGTAGTAACGTAGTCGCGGTTCCTCTCCCGCGAGTACGCACGTTTGGTACTGGTTTTGTACCAAGCGCTCGCCAAGATAGAACGTGTGTATGTATTTGTTCAGGGCACCTACTAGGTGTTGGTCGACAAATTTTACGCGTCTTGTACCATTGCTTCGCGGTGGGGATATCTCTTGGAGGTCGCTCTCGTGATCGTTGTCGCTTTCCGCCTCGAAATCATCGGATCTAAAGGTCTGGATGGATTGACATGTCTTGGTCGACGAAAAGTCCAGCATTTGACATGGGTCGTCTTTGTGCGTGATTCAGCTGGATCGGCAAAAGACTGTCAAGTAATTGCAGTTCTGGGGGTAGGAGTGCGTGGGTTCTTTGCTCGTTTGTCTTTGGAGATTCTTTTGTTGGCTTGACTGTCTCTTTGTATTAGCCATGTTGTTTGCACGAGACTCTGGGTTAATCACCTTCAATGTTACTTGAGGTCTTGCGGCCCATTGTTCGAGAAGTCTTTATCCTTGGCCTTTGATATAGCGGATTCGGATTCGACTGTTTCGGAGACATTGCTAATGTTCGGTCTGAGAAGGACGATGGGCGAGAAGTAAAAGAGCCAACTGCGAAGTGGGAAGAGAAGAGCAGGACATGATCATGTTGGGCAGTGTAGAATCCATTGTTCTGTTGATGGAAGAAGACGCTGCTCTAGCTAGGTAGTAAAGTTAGTATACCTGGCAGTATCAATCGGGAAGCCATGGCCTGGCAGCTCTGAAAAACTTTGGCACCTACATTATTACCCTCGGCAGAAAGTCAATAAAATCGATGGCTTCAAAATGCGCCGGGTATTTTCCACAAGAGTCTTTGATTTATGGACGCCGAAGCCAGAAAAAATGGCGGGCGACCTTTGGACAACAAACGGCTGGCCTGCCTGGCAAGTGTGTCCAGGCCCAATTCGACTGGCCGTAGGACAGTGCAAATGGTGCACTTGATCTGCTGAAAATTTGGCCTCTCGGATCCTGTATTTGATATTTTTACGCAGAATTTTACGAGCTCTACTGAACTTCTGTGACAGCGGAGGTGTGAAAAGGTAACAGTAGGTGGACAAGTTGGACTGGTGCATATTGCGAGGGCGTCGGAATATTCGCATACTCAATACGGATGCCACTGGATAAAGTTTCCCCGTCCAAATCGAAAGAAATTACTACGTAATATTACTGCCCAGGTAGTGAAAACCGACCTGATACTCTATAAATCGATATTGCTCTCTGTCGGCTTCGGCCGTGGTAACGATGAAATCGGTGCCAGGCACTACTACGAGCAATTCGAGCGATGGAGCAGAATGAAGATGCGCTACAAAGCATTGCTTCTTCTGTACATATTTCTACTGTCTTTCAAAGGCTTCTTTCCAAAAACCTTATCAATACTATCGAGTACCCATGGCAACGCAAACGCGTAATACCTACACGCGGGAAAGCATCATTTTCTGCCGCTTATCGAACCGCCGCCCAATATCATCACCTACAAAGTGCACCACCCGAATGACCCAGAGCTCCCGCGGCTCTGATAATTTTTCCCAGCCACGGGATTTCAGATGCCCTCCATTACCGTCTAATCGAGATGGCATCATGCCCCATCCCGTATGCGACGGTACGCGCACTGACTGGATCCGCAGCCTGGTCTCCTGGTCTCTCTGTCGGCTGCTTACACCGGGCACTTCTCCCTGATTAGCGGCGAGAGCTGAAACAAGCAAACAAACAAGTCCATAGATGGGCACGGGAGCGGCTGAACCTAAGCTTATCACGGCGACTATTTTCATCATTTTTTATTTTCCTTTTTTCTCGCAGGAAGCTATCTAATGTGATGTGTTACCTGCACAAGCTGCGGGAGCTCTGGTCGTAGTACTTGTACATACTACTGCTTCTCTGTGGAGCTCTAGGAACACGCCCCCTCCTCTACGTGCCTCTTTGGGCTGCGGAGATGTGCAAAGTATCGATACTTGCATCGGATGCGACTCAATTTAAACAAGTCATGGATGGGGGCGTGTGAGCGCCTGTCTGTCTCACGCCGGGCTGATCCATGTAAGTGTGTAATACAAGGCGTGATTACCTTGCTTGCAGTATTTTGCTGGCAGCTTTGCTGCGTGGCTACCTGCAAGAGGGAGCACATGCAGCCGATGACCTATCCAATAACGATCGATACCACCCGGGCAATAAACTGATATATGCCGTGTTCTTTTGTGTATAATAATACGTCTTGCGCGCCTTGCCACAGCATTGGGGAAGCACACCTGTAAACTCCTGAGGCCAAGTACCTGGGATATCCCTGTTTTTTGCGAACCCCCTCCTCCAGCTCCTTCAGGTCGAATGCAAGGGAGAAGCTCTTGGACGCCGAAACTGTGCTTCGTGGGCTTTCATTCGTGAGCGTTTCTTTTTCTTATACCACTAGACTCATGTATGCAGCGGCACATTGCCTGCTAGCACCTGTGCTAGATGCATCACCCCCCTCCGCAGCAGCAAAGAGCGGTAGGGAGAGCTGGCACAGCAGCTTCAGCAGAGGCGGTGCCGCTGTATTATTACCTACTTGTACGGTTGACTCAGTGGCAATGTAGGTCTCAGGCAGACGGAGAGGCTGAAAAGTACATGCAGCCGATGTCTCTGGGACCAGCTGGCACCTCTTCTGATCGTCAGCTGCTTTTCCATCTTCCTGCTTCCTCCCCCCCCTCACTTCTCCTCATAGATTAACGAATGGCTATTTAATGCATCACCATCCCCCGAAAATCTGTTCTGACAATTTCTTTCCCCAGAGAACTGTTCTTTAGCTCGACCTATATCTTTCTCGGCCGCCTCTCTTCTCTCTTTCTCCCTCTCTCTCCATATGCTCTCTGTGTGTGTAGTTGGATAATCTCTCTCCATATCCTGTTCTTTCTTTGGGTGAGTTACCCTTCCATCCTATGTCCTGCTCTTTGGCTAATATTCTTTCTGCAGCAATCAATCGTCGGCGGCTCAGCATGTCTGGCAACATATCAGATGGGCCGGCCCTGCCCAACGCCAGTGGCATTGCCCAAGCCCATACAGCTGGAATTCAAGAAGCCCAGCGCGTGTTGCCTGGTGCGATGCAGTCCCAAGTTGGGAGCCAACGGAACAACGACAATTACACTCCTACCCCCCAGAACCTGAAGAATTACCTTGCAACCTGTCACACCCTGAACCAAGCCACTATCGTCTTCCTCGACACTCCTTCCCAACAGCAAGATACAACTTCCCCTGATCTTGAGGAGAAAGAGCATCCTCGACGAATCGTCAAATCCCCAGGCTTCATGGATGAGCAGAGGGAAGTCTGGCAGCTTTTGCTGGGGAATGAAGAATCGAGCTTCCATCAAGCTGTATTCCCGTCCGCGGATCAAGTTCACGATAAATTCTTCGTCATCGAAACTGTCAACGGCGAAACCAAGCTTTGCCCCTTTGATCGACTCGGCGTCTCTGCCACTGTCTTGGCTCTCTTGCGCCAGGTTCTGGGCGACCCAGCGCTTAGCAAGGCTGCTGGCATTAGAGGAAATGTCCTCTATAGCTCTGCGGGAAGAAGCACTCAAGCGGGAATTCCTGCTGAGCCCCAGTTTCACGATGATGCCTTTGAAGACGGACAATACCGCGGGCTCAGCCTTTTCTGCAATGCCAACAATGACCGCCCTCTTTGTCTTGTGGCAATCGAATACAGGCCAAAGCATTTTGCCCTGGATTCAAGCATGATTGCAGCTTTGGAGAGTGGAATTGTCTCCACCAGAGGTATCAGCGGCGACGATGCTTCTCCAGCGGGAGTCATCACCGCCATGATCAACCAGCTGCTCGACTTTATGGACAAGTCGGGAGTGCGCTACGGCTACCTTTACTCGGTGGAAGGTATTGTCTTTTTGGAAATCCAAAATAACCCGTCCGTCGTTCACTACTTTGTCAGCCTCCCCAAAGATGAGGTGGACAACCACGTCGAATCGACAATGCCTTACTCGGCCGTTTCGCAGATTTTTGCCTTTGTCATTCGGGCGATGCGGACAAAAGTCAGATCCATGCAGCGGCCTGACCAACGTGATGAGCTTGCTCCTTGGAGCAACCAAGCCGATAGAGGTGCTGCCTGGAACTACAAAGTCAACGAGCATATTGCTTGGGGCGGACCGGTCGTTGTTCAAGAGAGCCACGTTGATGAGATAGCCATGCAATTGCAGCAATGGGGAAGAGCAAATGCCGCATCTGCCCAACGCGAAGATGACGAGGAGACGATTATGGATACCGATGCTGACAGCAGCACAAATGATTTTGATGGCGAGTCGTATGACAATTGCGATGTTGACATTGGCGGAGAGGCCTCTATGATTATTGAAATCAAGATGGATTCGAATATTGCGGAAGAGGGCGTCTCGGCTGCTGCCGCTACCCCGACTGATCAGCTGCAAGGTCTAACTCTACAACGCGAACAATCTGTTGACAATGACGAGGGGGCAGACAAGGAAAACCAAATGGACCATGATGATGACATGCATGATGATGACATCTACATGAACGATTTTCTAAGGATCATATCCCGCCCTCTCAAACCCCGCAAAGCTAAAGAGGTTGAAAACGCGTACTGCACACAGCAATGCCTCTTGGGTGTAGCAAACGGTACGCCCCTGGACAAGTCATGCCCCAATGTCCATTTGCACGGAAACAAGCACATCAGCAAAGAAGAGTTTCTGGAGCGATTCAGGGGCCAGATTTCCCGGGCAGGAGAAGCAAATGCTTTCTGTACCCCTCTCGAACAATTTGGCGCCATCGGAAAAATGTTCAAGGTGGCTCTCGTCGGCTATGGCTATACGTTTGTGGCCAAAGCTACCTTGCGTGCGGACTGGGTCTTTCTTCACCGCGAAGGTGAAATGTACGAACAGCTCAAGGACCTTCAAGGCTCTGTCGTACCCGTCTGTCTCGGCATCGTTAGAGTCGATCCCGAGTTCTACCATGAAGACAGACTTCTTAGCCAGTTCATGGTGCTTAGCTGGGCTGGACTGCCATTGCGGGGAAACTTGGACGAGGGGGTTCAGAGTTTGCTCACCAACACCGTCTCTAGAGCTTATAGCGCACTACACGGGGCTGGGATGCTGCACAGAGATCCCGACATGTCAAACATGCTGTACAACCCTCTGACGAGCCAAGTCATGCTTGTCGATTTTCACGGGTCTCGCTTCCATCCTGATCGCGTAGCTGCTATTGAGGCTGCCCTCAGGGCGGAAAGGGAGGCAAGGAGAAACGATCCAGACTATGAATCCGAAGACGAAGGAATTCCATATGAGGCTGATGGTAGCCTCCGTACCACTCCCAAACCTCCCCCAACAGCCGCAGAACGTGAGGCCTTGCGCAGGACGTTTGAAGCCGACTGCAGCCAAGAACTCAGTTACGCAGTCGAGTCTATAAAATGGTTCCTGTCGGGCCTGCATGACCAAAGAAACTGAAATGATTGACATTTGCATATGGCTCTTTCATGTAAACAGGATACCCAGGGCACGAAAATTAGCGTTTTTGCGGGATGATGAATTTGGTAAAGTGATTTTGGGCGAAGGAAAATATAAACAAAAGAAAAAAGGTTGAAAACAAAAGAAAATCTCAAGAAAAAAAAATTGAAAAAAAAAAAAAAGGAAACAAAGGAAAAAAAAAAGGACCTGGAGACGAATCTTAGTTTGGGGATGTATTGGAAAACCCAATGGGTCGTATGCACGTTACGGGGTGGAACTGGATAATTTGGCATATGCACGCATAAAGGACATTTTGTTGTTTCTTTCTATCATTCTTTTCTCATGAAGCTGTCTTTATTAGACAGGCTTTTTTTAACTTTTGGATTGTTCTATGAGCCGATGAGCCCTGGGTGTCCTGCTAGCAACTGACGCATGAAAGCCATCATCGGCTCTTCTAATAAACTATTTTTGGTGTTTTGATCAGTGGTGGCTGTCTCGTGATGCTAATATCCCACATCTTTTCGTAAACTTGTCTCGAATATCACTGCCTCGACTTGTTGTATCCCATTTTGTTTTTCTTGCCTGTCCCTCTCGTCTCACTCTTACGCAGTAGCACCCGTCTCCGCACGTCCATTCTCTCTTTCAGCTGCGTGCCTCTCGTGGTTCTTAAAGACTGCCAGTATACCCAGGTCGTAACTAACCTTGAGACATCCGGCCGTGACAAAGGCTACCCAGAACAAGCCGTGATCGGCCAGTGTGCCAGTCAACAAGGGGCCTAAGCTGGTGCCAACCGTCTTGCACACATTGATGATGCCCATGATGGCCGTCCGTTCGCTTGGCTTGATGACAGCGGCCAGGAAGGCCGCCCGGGGAGCGACATCCATGCTGGCGGTGGAGGAACGAAGCCATAGGAAAAGCAGGGAGAGGCGCACGTCGGGAAAGGCGGGAATGAGACTAAGGAATATCGACGAAGGAAGGTGGGTGAAGACCATGGTCTTGATGAAACATGTTAGCAGATAGTCGGTGGCAAGTATGCGTATTATAGCGTAGAAGAATGGGATGCATTCGTACCTTGATGTTGCCAAATCGCTTGGCCAAGGAAGAGGCAACCAGCATGGAACAAGCTGAAGTGATGCTCGTCACAAAAAAGATGGATCCTAGGCTGCCTTCCTTGATGCCATAGCGCCAGCGGAAGAAGTACGTGATCCAAGACCTACGAGTACAAACATGTGTTAGTGCCTGGTCATCGTAATACAACCAGCGACGAGAGCGGCATGCTGCCTTTTTGAATGAGGGGGCGCTCACATGCTTATGATACCAGAAGCCAAACAATCTATAGCAAAGAAGAAACTTAGGCTCGTCATTATGGCATAACCTTCCCTGCTGATATCGGGAAGAAGGCTTGAAAGCCGGCCGCGGCCGTTTTGTTGTTCGGTTGCCTGCAAGGATCCATTGGCATCGGCACTGCCTATAAGCGGCGATGTCTCTGTGTTGCCAACTTGGTCGGAAATGACCTTCTTCTTAGTGGCAGACGCTTTCCCATCGGCCTCGACAGCGCTGCTCAGGAGCAGAGTCAGCGTCATCTTGAGGAGGCCAATAGCAGCATATCCGAGAAAGGCGAGTCGATAGGCGTCCACATGCTCCCACTGGAGGCTGGTGGAAACGAACTGGATAACCCATCCGCAAGTCATGAGCCCAAAGGCTACTCCAGCCTGACCAAGCAGGCTATACCATGCATAGACATCGCTTCTAGAAGCAGGCTCCGTTAGATGCGCAACCACGCTCTCTTCTATGGCTCGGAAGGGACCAATCTCATTGCCACTACAAGACATGAGTATGATTAGCGACAAATACAATGTCCCAGGCTACTCGGTTCGATTTGAATCAAAGGGAAAAGTTGCTCGGTTGCATACCTCGGGCTGATAACGCCAAAGATGGCTGCTGCAAGTAATACCCAATAGTTCTGGCAGAGGGCAAAGGCGACGCCGCTGCCACTCATCATCAAAGCGCCCATGGACAAAACGGCCTTCCTACCCAGCCCATCCGCCACGATTGTGAGGACGAAGCTGATGCAGACATCGCCAACCAAGGTCAGGGTCATGAACAAGCCAATGCTGGTCTTGGAGATGCCCAGAGCCTGCAGATACGGCACCAGGACGAGTGTCGATCCTCCATAGGCGAAAAGGCGAACAAAGCGCTGCAGACAGAGCAGCTTGACGTCGACAGGGCTGTGGAAGAGAGACACGAGGCCTAGTTCTGAGAGGATGCGGACAAGGATGCCAGGCCTGGCGGGGGATTCGAGAGACGAGCTCTCCATGGCGAATTTTCTCTCTCCTTGTCCTCTTTTTTTTTTTTGTATCCTCTTTCTCGGCGTCCTCTGATTTTTATCCTCGAATCATCCCTCCTTTCTTTTGCCAAATGTGCTTCCCTTTGCCTTTTCTTTTTCCGGTCGAAAAGAATCTCTCTGGACGGGGCGATCTGTTCTACTTATAGCAATTCACGATGGCAGACCGAATTAACAGATGGTACCTCACCGACTCACCTAGTCGCAGTGCAGGTGGAGGTACCTCGGTGATAACGCCCCTGCTCCGAGACCCATCCTCGTGCCAGTCCACAGGCACCAAGACATGACTGGTTTAGTGATCACGAATGGGAGGGTTGAGATGAGGAAATTTTCTTGAAAGAGACGTAGATAGTAATGCGTTTCGGAATTAACAATCTTTCAAGTCACGAGGTTTCGTAATCGGCAGCTGGATAGAACAGGCTCTTTCCCGCGCGTATAAAGGCGGCTTACGTAACCCAGGAGTTATCGATAAGATCTACAGGGCGAACCTCGAGAAAAGCGAAAGCAGATAATACGTGTATCAAATTATTTGAATGCGCGATTGTTTCTTGGTTTTTTTTTCTTTTTCTTCAAAAGTGGCTGATGCCTTGACAGATGGTGCCAAATAGGTGCCCGCCGCTAAACTCCCCAGCCACGACTTTCTACTGCGGATGAATTTACCGGGAGAAAAGTGGTTACCGAAAAAGGCGGGAAGTTACGGTGGATGACTGCGCACTTGTTAGCAGCAGCAGTAGTTTGTTGCAACTTTTCAATTGTGAAACAAATCCGACTTTTAGACTGGATTAGAGCTGCTGTCATTGGTCTCGCATTGGCGGTGGCAAGTCGCCAAGCCGTTGGTTCTTGGTTCTTGGAGCATGTATGACGATGACGGGATGACGTCTGTGCCGTGACGCCAATGTCCGGCTACACGAAAGCTGCCATCGAACTTGGTTTCAACCTGATTTCCTCCAATATTTATTTCACTTATCCTGTCCGTTTCTTCTTCTAAAAACCATCATCTATCGCTCAGACACTTCTTCGTACAATTCACTCTCACCATATCTACAAACCCTCTTCCATCGTAACAAATTATCCATCTGACGCGCCACCATGGACTTTGTGAATAAATTGACTGGCGCTGGGAATAACTCAGAAAATCGCACTGGCGAGAACAACTCGGGGCAGCAAAGCGGCAGCGGTGGCGGCTTCATGGGCAAAATGAACAACATGGCCGGCGGCGGCGCTCAAGGCGAAAAGGACGAAGATTTTCTTGACAAAGGTCTCTTGAACCTAATGCAACGTCTACTGTTCATACCGATACTAATACGCAATCTAGGTGTCGATTTTGTTCAAGAAAAGTTCATAGGTCAAGGCGATCAGAGCAATGAATCAGCAGCTGAGCAACAAAAAGACGAGGTTATATCTGACATGATTCGTGACAAATACAAGGGTATCGCGGGGAGCGATTTCCCCATCAAAGATAAAGAAAAGCATTACGGGGCGTAAAAGTATGATGAGCATTCAGACTTTCTTTATTGGTGCAAGGTTTTCGAGTTGAAAAAAAAAAGACTCCATCAGAAGCAAGGGGATTAAAAGACTGTGTTCTGTCGTCCACGATGACAAATAACCGACTAGTCCGGCTTGTATTCCTCAAAAGAGTGGAATGAGAAGAATTTGTATCCACAGCATCCATCTCATATAGCATGATATTTGCTTTTTTTTTTTTTGTCCAATTTGAATGGGAAATCCAGCATATAATGTAGCGACCAAACTATCATGACCTCGACGCTAGAAGATGTCTTCTCTTTGAACATCCTCGTCAACACACCGTTTCACCCAGTCCCAGACGACATTGTACCACATCACTATATTCTCCGGTTTGGTGACAATGCTTCCTTCGTCTGGAAACGTCAAGAGGCGGCTGGGAACGCTCTGGGCTTGCAGACAGTTGAATGCAGTCAGCGCCTCGGTAATTGAACAATGCTTGTCCTTCTCACCGTGGATAATGAGCGTCGGCGGCGCATTCTTCCAGCCGTAGAAGAAAGTCGATCTAGCCATGTCGTTCTCGTATATCGTCTTTGGCTCCGGATAAGGGTAAGACGCGTCGAGTTTGTCGAAACTGTCAAAGACGGGCTCTTTCGGCGAAAAGGCGACAGGAGGGTCGATTGTTCCGCTTTGCCAGACTGCACAGCAAAACTAAATTTGTAAATCAGTTTCCGATCTGGCCAAATCATCAGCTTTTGTACTAACCTTCTTGGCAGCTTCATGCCCCAGTACCTTGTTCACAAGATATGCTGAACTGCTGCTTCCCACAATGGTACCCTTTGCGTTGTCCATGTATGGAATACCCTGCAGGTAATCAATAAGTGCAAGGAGATCTTGAAAAGGCCTCTCTCCTCTCATGTTTTGGATTCCTGTGACTACGTTAGAAAAAACAACACTGGACCAGTATCCTTGGAAGATGGACATCAACCGACGTACGTCTTACGAAATCCAGCCCATATCCGCCGCTGCCGGTAATATTTGGCAGCACAACAACGTATCCCTGCGTCGCCCAAGCAGCAAAGTTGGTCTGTTGTGTCAACAAGTTAGTATCATCTCACACATCAACAAATCATACCGCCACACATACCAGCATTGACCACTCGTTGCTCCAGGCCATGGCTGGGCTTCCGTGAGGCACCAGCACCCAAGGGTACTGTTGGTTTTCCTCAAAGTCCTTTGGCAGTATCAACCAGCTGTGGATAAAGCATCCATTGGCCCCTTCATACCAAAAGTCTGTCACCATGCCGGAGGAAAGGCTAAACTTGGCTCCGTTCTTAGTTGCCGAGGATACGGTTCTCACGATGCTAGCATCTGAAACCCGAACAATCTGCCACAAGCTGCTGTCGATGAAACTGGACGATGTCACCAGGAGATTATCCCAGTCTCCATTTTTCAGAGGGTAAAAGGCAGTACAGCTGCTGCTGGCGAAGAAGACCTTTGGCTCAGCTCCGTCTTCCAGCATGAGATGGGAGAGCGCTTGGTGGCCCAAGTGATGGCTTCGTAGGATCACAGAGTCGGAACCACCGACAAATTCAAAGGCATTTGGCGGGTTCGGGTCATCGTCATCAACACAGGTAACAAGGTTGAAGACGTCAAAGGCATCCAGGGACTCAACAGAGCCTAGGTATAGCCGGGTGTTGTAGTGGTCTTCGTACGCCGTGTAGAGGAAGCCAACGGCCGACTCATCTGGAGAAAACCTGACGTTTGTAATCGAAGCGGGCTCAAAGCTGGTGGGTATGAATATCTGCCTGGGCATCGCCTCCGCAGGCAGGGAGAAGGAGTCAAGGCGGGCAAAATAGATGGACGTGGCAGGATTTCCACCTGGCCCACGCTCTCTCAGATTTCTGGAAGAAAAGACAATGCCATCGCCACAAATGTCAAACTCGTTGCAGGGGTTGTCGGTATACATGCGGGATGGGGCCTCCAAATCTACATCGTCAATCAAGTTGTATAGTTGGCCTTGGAGCGCCCAGCAGCCGTCGTGTAGCACAAGCTCGTTGTACCAAAGACTGCATCTGTTCGGTCTACGAGATGCGTTCCACTGCGTAAAGCGGTTAGAGGAAGAAGACGCAAAAAGAAACAACTGAATGGAATGGGGGGGGGGGGGGGGGGGGGGGGGGGGGGGGCTGCAGGGGCAACTCAACTATAGGAATCTCCGTGTCATACAATCTTGCTGAAGACCCTTTCTGTGCGACTTCTTGATTATATAACCCAGCATCGCCAACCAGGCCGGTGACTACAAATGCAATGCTTCCACTACTCAGCTCTTTGAGCTTTAGATTCGACACGGGCGCGTCGATCTCTGCCGCCCTGTAGTGCTCTACAGACACATCCCCGGCATATGCCACCATGACCTGTGTCCGACCTTGTTCGACAGATCGGAGGTAGATGACATGGAGCTCTGTGGTCGGAATCCACATGGCATCGTGGACCCCAGAGTCGTTGGAAATCTGCTTGGAGTTTCCCGTCTGGAGGTTGACAACACGCAGCTCTTGAGTAGTCTTGTCGCCGAGGATATGCGTCGAGACTGTATAGAGAGCATGCGTGCCATCTCTGCTGGGAACCGCCGGGCTGCGCCTCGGGTCGCTCAGCAGAGCCTCAGCAGTCAGCTTCTGAACTCGAACCATGGCGGATCAGAGACGGAAAGAAAAAAAAAAAGTTGAAGAATTGCTAGGTGATGGACTTTTGTTGGTTTAGCCCGCCTCTGCAAATGCGAAAAAAGAGCTGAACTTGGCCAGCCAAGGAGTGCTCATTTCTCAAGACGACGCAGGAGCAAGCCGGTGTTGCGTGCTCTGGCGAGGATTCTCTGTTTACGAGAGCACGAAACGAGGCGCTGGTTCCAGGCAGCATTATTTTTCCCGGGTACCTCCAATTCGCCGCTCAAGTGAGGGATGCAGCAAATAGAATCGACATGACAGACCCCCGCTCTTGGACGCGTTGGCACACATGCGTGGCACGACAGAATGGACAGGCTTGTAGGGCATTCATGCATTTCCCCAAAAGCGGACGCAGGATTGCATGGTTTCCGGCGGGGAGAGAAGCCTCGTTCACCTCCATTGGACACCAGCCATTCTTCTTGCCTTGCGATTGTTTTGTCGTCTTCTCGTCGTGATGTGATCATCCGATGGCTTGTTGCGGTTAGCCATGGCCGAACTGCTGCTCCTCCATCTTCCATCTTGGGTTGCTCGCAAGCACATCGATCCTAGGTGCCGTCAGCATCAAGGCAAGGCGGAATGATTTTCGGAGCCGAGGATGACTGGCAGTATTATTGATTTGAAGCAGCAGCCGAGCCCGACTTCGAAGCCTTGTCGTCTCGATGCCAGAGCATGCTGCAGAACTTGAGCCAGAGAAGCGTAGATTGCTTCCGGTCCGTGGCAGTTGGTGAAGACACATCCAATGGTACTGGTAGAATGGAAGGTGCACGGGTACAGTACAAGGGTACAGCAGAGGCGCTTCTATCCCCGCATGGACAAGGTACCGTTTGCAGATGATGCTGGAAAGACTCGGGATTTTTTATATTAAATGTAGTGGTATTGTTATAAAATAGAAAGCGAAAATCCACTTTTAGCTATACTACATATTTTGACGCTATAGTCTTAAGCATGAAAGCTTGGGAGCTTAACAGAACTTGGAGCGGATCAAGAATATAGGTAGGGAGCGAGCTATCGCGAGAATCGTCAGCCGTTGCTGCCCGCTCGGCCTCTGGGAAAATGCTCTCGCTAAATGATACGAGATTGCAACTAGTCTCTCGACTGTACTGTATTAAATGCAGATTATTTTCAAAACATCATGGCATTTAGTTCATTATAAAGCCGTTGGTAGGCTACTAATACTAGAACACCAAGAAGTATTAATTTTGCCGATAGCAAGCACCAGTCGCACGCTGCTGCCATCATCTCTCAGCCACCGTTCGAAACAGCCGCTTCGCCTCCCAAGCAACATCGACGCGAGTGTCGAATTGGCGGCCACCAACCTCAGACATACCAAACATACTTGTACAAAAGAACAAGATCAACAAAACCACCAGCTCATGCTCGCTGCTATGATATACCGAGGCACACAACTGCTACAAGGCACCCGGCCGGAAAGAAAAAACCCCTGGTCTAGCACCATGCAATATGCCCTAAATTTTAACAATGGCACGAACACCACCCTTTCATTGGGGAATAGAATAGACAGACGGCGTGCTAACAAAGACGAAACAGGGGACCATCATGGCGTTACGCCCGCTCTGGCTTAGACCTCGGCGCCGTGGAGAGCTGAGAGTCGATCCCCGAGAAAGCACTTTTGCTTCAAGTCTCGCAACCAGTTGCCGCCATCGTGACAGCCCGCCCTTTTTTCTTTCAGTCTCCCGACTGCCACTACCGGCAAGGAGAGAGGTCCGGTAAGGAGAGATGATTGAATACAAATACTTGTACGCCACTGAGGAGCTGTTTCTGAAGTTGAGAGGGTCTGGTGATGCTACCTCAATTCGATCAGAAAGATCTGCCACTGATGGGAAAGCTATGCAATCGTCGGTGCAAAGGAAACCGAGCTACCCATCTCTCCATGTCTGTTTCCTCTTCTCCCCCTGAGGACAGCCCTATTGGGCGAGCGACACCCTCAGCCAATGTCAATCCCAATCTTGTGATGCGAAAGCCTATTTCAGTGTTCGGAGATAAAAATCCGCAGCAACGGTAAAGCTACAGCCAATCATTACTCGTGGTCCCCTTGCAGACCACAGCCAGATGCATTGATTACAGTATATGATTGCCGCTTCTCTTCTCCTCCCCTCCTCTCTCTCTCCACATGCTTGTACTAGCAGCGGGCGATAGCAGCGGGCGAAAACAGCGGGCAAACATGAATCGCGTAAGCTGTCAGCTTAACCCTTTTACCGTTTTTTTGGAAACGGGGAGACAACACTACTGGCAGTCCAAGTGGGTGGACAGTGGATTCAACGGAATGGAACGATGTGCGGGCCGATCTAATAACGGATTGGTCCTTTTGCAAAAAAGCCCACCGGAGGCTTCAGGAGAGGAGGAAAGAAAATAAAAACAGTTCATGCATGCAGGTACCGAGAAATCTAGGTAGCTAGTGGTAATAATCTGTCTACTATTTGCCATATTGCTCCGCTTGAGGCTCTGCGAACGGCAGATAGGAGCTGAGGATGTAAAACATTATCCACCAACGGTCCGATTGTAAGACTGCTAGTAATCAGACGAGGAGTCACCTTGATCAGAATTTCACTGTAGACTGAGCTGTTTGCTAAGAGAAGGGGTATTGTGACAATATGTTTGTTATTAGGAGGATAAACTTATCAAAAGTCTCCTCTGCTATCTCAGTAAATCGCTATGATGATGCAGATATATGAATGTAGAGATCCCAAAAAAAAAACCCATGACTTATAGTATTACATTTCTCATCAAGCTTGCGCGGATGCCGAGGCTCCATGCAAAACCCATAACCCACCAAAGGCCCCAATGAACATAGGAAAATCCAGAAGAAGAAACAAACTTTTTTTCTTTTAGATGGCTCTTCTCGTGCTAACGGCGTCCCTTTCCGTGCTGTTGACCGAGGGACTGCCGCTTGCAACTGGGTCGGGGAATCTAATATCTCGCTCCTTGCCTTCTTCCACTTCCACCACCACAGTGGTAACCAGGTCCATTTGGATTCCAGGTCCTCGTAGGGACTCCTGGCTAGAACCTCGGGGTATTCTCCTCTTCTCTTGCCTTCTGATACTGGAAGAGTGTTCAGTCAGGCGCTGCCATGACCACCATCCACCAGTAGTCTTGGGCTCCATCTTCCGCCTCCTTCTGCCTTCACCGCCCTGAACCCAGACCATGTTGCCGTAACGCCGAGCCTTGGGGGTTTGCAGAAAGGCAATCGTCCCAACGCCCGTATCGGAGGCATCTAAATCATACTTGGACGCAAAGATGATGGAATGGCGAGTTGTTCCGAACAAAAGGCAGTCAAAAAAGCCGTTGAGGGAGATGAGTGCTCCCGCAAAACAAAAGTATCCCAGCGGAATGTCGGCTCCAGCCATGGATGCCACACGCTCTGTGGCCAATGGTAGCGTACACATGACGTAGATTACTGGATAGATCAGGAATGCTGGATTGTGATCCGACTGGTGCCCAAGATCTGTGCTGCCGTCTGGGTTGGCGGCACGGCGGCGGCGGGCCTGTTTGCGAAGAGAAAACCAGATGGCAATGTAAAGCCCACTGGTCACGCCGAGAGAGATGAAGATCCACAGGTAGTGGGTGAGCAGACGGAGGCGCTCATAATCAGAGTTGACCCAGCACTGAATTAATATGCAACACGTTAGCAAGTCAAGTAGATAGACAGTGTGGTGTAGAACAACATTGGCAACATACCCAGGCACCGGCTCGGACAAATAGTCCACCATGGTCACGTCCGTTGTTTGTAATTGCAATGGGCAGCGTCGAAATAAAATAGACAAACAGCCACACAAGGACGATGGACAAGTACAGCAGCCTTTGTGAGGGTCGATATCCCTTGACCACGGAACAGAATGTGTGTATGGCGATGAGGGTGATGAACAAGCTTGACGACAAGTCTCCCGTCGACACGAAGAAACCTTGAGCCCAGCATGTTTTCGAACCCACCAAGATGGCATTCCGGTTGATCCACGTCGAGTTGAGGGCAAAGGCAATCGATTGATGCAAGTCGGCAATGAGTAGGTTATAGATGAGAATAAGAAACTGGTTCGGCGCGCCTTTCAGTGGCCGGATAGGCGGGCCTGGATCCTGGGGAAGGTCTGCTTCACCTTTTACGGAAGCATCGTGAGATTCCCTCGAGGGCGAATTAAAAACGCCGTCTATTCCGAGGGTGAAATCTGCGGCGTGTTGAGAAGCTGATGCCTCGTGGCCTGCTTGGTGGGCGTCTGGTTGAGTCTGGTTTTGTTGTTCATCCTCGCCTCGGTGTGCGTATCGGAATCGGTCTTCATTTTCTTCCCGCACAAATAACTGCCAAGCAACAATCTTATAGGTGAGATATATGAAAAGAGTGGCTGCAGAAACAAAAGATATGCAAGCTAGCACTGTGATGGCAGTAAGACCGCTGCGGAGTGACGAGGGGAGAGGGCTGAGCGATTGCGCTCCCATAGACAGGTCCCCTTCCAGCATGGTGTGAAGACGTAAATGAACGAATCAAAAGTTGAAACTCTCTAACAGCAATTAAGTGAGGAGGAGTCTATAATCTTGCTGTGTTGGCGAAAATCGTCGTCGCATGTCGATCAGCCAGGAGGAGTTGATAGCATAAATCGATCAGCCAGGAGGAGTTGATAGCATAAATCGATCAAAGAAGCAGCCGGCTTGCAAAACGCAGCAAAAATGAAATCAGAGTCTAGAAAGGAAAGGAAAAGAGGAAGAGAGAGAGAGCAAGAAGGGAAGAGAATGATGAAGATGAAGAGAGACAGGAAAGAAAAGAAGCGGCCTCAGATCTTCACGGGGGAGAAAGGGTATAAGAGATCTCTCTCCCGTTCTGCCGGTAAGTAGATACCGAAGAATGAGTTGCAGAGTAATCAGTATCGGTGGGTACTGGGGGGTTGTTATAAGTATCGAAGGCAAGGATGGAGGAACGGATAATGGACAATAACCACATGGAGATCTCCATAAATGCTAAATAAGCACCGTTAGGGGGGAGAAAAATTGAAATACCTAGTGCCTGTGGTAATACTGTACGGGTAAGAGTGTATTCTCTGTTGGCGGCTTTCCCACTCGCATTTCCGTCGAATGCCCATGTTATTCCCATCATCCAATGTCGGGACAAGTCTCTTGAGGTGGAGATGGCACGCTCAGGCTAAGCCTTGCGAAGCATGGTCTTGCGTATAGACTTGAATCATAAAGCCTGCAGAGCTAATCTGGCGCCTTCGGCTTGAAACAGAAGCGTCCAGGGGCGCCGAGGCCGTCGGCCGTCTGTCTGGCATCCACATCGCCAGCAGTAGGTCTAAGCCGGGTCCAGGGCCCGAGCTTTTGTCTTGTTCTCTAGGTGCAACCACATGAAGCGTTTGCTCTGCTCGGATCAAGTCTTTGCAGCCCCGTACTCGCACAATGAGAAGGCACGGCTGGATTGCAACATTGTTGGGCCGGCAAGAAGGAGTCTTTTGTGAGAGTTGACATTCACGGCCCCGTAGTCCAACAAACGGGCGGGTAGCCAAGCCAACCCAGCTTCCCGCCACCCCTCATATAGTTTCTTGTGGCGCTTCGAGGGCTCCAGCAGCATCTTTGCCTCACGCCGCGGCAGGCAGCGTCAAGCACATGATTGCAGAATGGGAAATACTGGTACAGCTAGGCAGGTATTAGTTTCCCATGTTGCTGTTTTGCGCTTGTAACATTACTACTCTTGGGTAAGGTATACGTACAGTAGTATGGTATGCATGCGTTTCTGCTAATACAAGGTATACGAGCGCTCGTACCTTTTGCTGTTGGCAGGCGAGTGCTAAAAGTCTTCGCCATGGATGGTCCCAGCACAACCAATCCAAGCCCGTTCTGGAAACCTTTGCAGCCCAAAGCAGAGTTAGACAGCTTCTCGGCGTTGATTTGACAAGGCCCCGCGGCGCTGTCATTGGCTTCGGAGCAGGGGTCGCAGCCAAGCCAGGCCAAGCTATGCATGAGACTGGTTCTCAGCGCCAGAAGAGGCTGCTCTCGCTCACGTGGGAAGTGGGAGGAGGCGGCTATCGTTGTGGCCCACGCCACGGAGAAATGGCTGCGGAGTTGATGCCAGCGGCGCCCTTTGCTCGGTGGACGGCTCGCTTGTAGTCGGGAAGCTGTAACCCGCAGTCCGTAACTTGGCTCACCGTGCGGAAGAGCAGTTGGCCTTTTCGTCCAACATGCGCCGTACAATCGCAGCGTATAACACAACGCGCAGTTTCATGCTATGCCTAGTACCAAGTCGCCGGTGCACAAGTAGTGCAAAACTAACATTGACGTGTTGCTTGTAGCCCCGAGTTGGTTAGCTGATCAAATGCTAGGACATGCAGTCTGGCTAGTTGCAGGTTGCAGGCTGCAGGATCGAAGCTCGGCCGCACCGCTGACTGTGGCCCGTATTTCGTTAATATGCATCGTCCCGGGATGAATGACGAGGTTTGAGCAAGGACTGACTGTGCCCGCTACCTCCTCCCCTTGCAATACCTACTACTAGTAGTACTGCTAATACTTGTCTGTAGTAGCACCTGTGTATCGAGTAGCAGCATAGCCACGCTGCAGATACAGGCGGTTACCGGCGTATGTCTCTCCGATAAGCGCATTGCGGCGCCCGTAGCAGATCCTAAGTCGGAGAAGTGGTGGTTAGCACAGTGAAACAGCCAGAAGCCTAACGCCTTCCGGGAAATCCGCACGACTGACGGCAAGACTGACGGCAAGACGAGAAGAAAAGTTCGAGCAGGGGGGCCCGGGTAAGCAGCCGTGCATTTGGAGGGCAGCTAATCATGGCTGCGTTCCGAGCCTGTAATTTTGTGAGGGGATTCAGAAATTAGGTTGGGCGGAGGATGACTGAGACGGGATCACGAGATGATGCGTGTTGCCTCAGGTAACAACGTTGAACCTTGCAGTATCGAGGGTGCTAACCCAGATAAGATAACATGCAGTCACATTCAAGTCCGCAGGTACCAGCAACTGCCATCACCTCCATTATCGTCAACGACAATGACATTGCAGACAAGGTCCCATGCGGAGGGCATCAGACTCGGGCCAATCAGGCGTCAACGTCTCGCGCTCGCTCTCATGGCTTGTGCGTGTTGCGTGTGGCTTGAGAGCATACAGTAGTCGCTCCGATCATGCCTGAGGCGCTTAAACGCAGTCGTGGTGACAATAGAAGTTACACTGTCGATTCCATCTGGTCAAGTCTCGTCAATTCCGTCCCATGATTCCAGGTACATACAGGCCAGCCATGCATATATCCAAGCTTCGTGCTTCGTGCGTCGTATCGTCACTTCCATCTAACCCAACGGAGCGATTCAACGAACCTAGCGCGGCGCCTTTTGCTGATGAATGCAAAACCAGCAGTGCCTGAATACCACGCAATTTACGCCCGTATTCAATAGCCCAGGATGCTTCCACCCTATCATCGATCGGGAGAGACAAGATCTCCCTAGTCTGTGCGCTCAACGGTCGTTTCGTTAGGGGGATCGACCAAGCTACGGTCTAGCAGGAATACTACGGTGGGCGTTTTCGCTTCGAGCAAACACAAATTTTCTTTGCTTTTTTCCATGGGAATGGCTGCAAAAGCATGTTAGTGCAAGATGTGATGCCCTACACGCATATAGCCTTGCCCTCACACTTCATGAACAAGACGAGAAACGTCTCTCAAAGGGCCGATATTCAGAGGACCCTGCATTTGCGGCTGAATGCGGAGCACCAGGCTACCTATCGATGGAGGATGAAGGGAACAGGAAGCTCACCGTGCGTGGCAAACCCAGTCTACCTTATTGCTCGCAGATATTATCGACCTGCTAGGTACGGGTTAGCAGCCTCGTAGCCTCGGCTCCAGTTTGTGTCGAGTTTGTTAGCAGTGCGACACTCCGTCCATCCGATGGGTAGTTGCATCGGCTGTCACAGCCATCGGCGCGAAAACGATACAAAGGAGGAATGCATACTGCAGACCCCCCCCTTATTTCTTTTTCTACAGCCTGCATTGATCAGCCGCAATGCAACGGCACCGGGGGTCTTGTTTTGTCCCCGCAGTCCAGATCTAGGCTCGACTGGGTCAAGCTGACTGCTTTCGATGCAGCTGGCTGTGGAGTTTCGAATGGGGTCATGGAAAGACAGGGCTCAGAACTGAGAGCCGAAGACCCTGTCATTGGTGTCAGCGGTACCAATGGCGTGAAGAGAGAGTCAATATGGCTATACCTACTCCGTACTCAGCCTGATGACGATGATTGGGGGGACAAGCTGATACCATTGGGGATGGGCGGCGGTACTGGCGAAGCATCGCTGAAGCTCTAACAGAGAAGTTGGATAGACAGAACAATCCGATTCAAAGAGGGCCAAATAGCCAACCAAGGGCTAATTAGCGTTCAAACACCGGGCCATTGGATGACGCCAGCTTGGCCCCATGAGCAAAGTACAGACAACGTTTGTGGGTGGTTTGCGATGACTGTTCTCGCAAGCCCTTGACACAGTGCCACAACCGTGAACACGGGAGTATTCAACCAACAACATCGTCAATAACAGCTCGAAAGGTTTTGGTCCGCCTGTGGAATCGTGCACCAACATGAGCACAACATGAGCACAACATGAGCACAACATGAGCATTGGCCCTTGATGCAGCCAGTCGCACAAATCACCAACTGTACGAGGCTTGTGCTGTTGGGGTTTGGTTGCCTAGTTGCATGGACAAAGCTTCCAACTGAAGATTACAACACCGCACAGGCTTTCTATATACGTGATTGTTTTCCGTCTTTCTAACAACTAACCCACTGCTAACAAATCCACCATTCTGTATATTCTGTCCTTTTTATTTTCCTCTTGTACTCAAAGCGACCCCCACGACCACTGCAGAAGGCATTCCCTGAGAATAGACCAAGCTTTGTAAACCTTGTGATACTCGGATGGTTAATACGAGGCGGGATAGCGTTGGGCGTTGGTAGCGCATTAGAATATCCCTCCAGCTGGAGTCGGGAAGAGCGGTCACGCGTACCTCTATGGCGGAATAAGAACAAGATGGGTCGAGCCAACATCCAACCCCATTCGTCTCCTCCTTTTAGAGATGCCTATGCAGAATGATAGTACTACCAGTGCCACGGTACGGGAAACAGAGTGTTCAATTTTCCAGATGCAGGGATACAGTGATAATTATCCGATATAATTAGCGTCAACGTTTGGAATCGAACGTGTATACTACCATCTTTGGGCAAGATGGCGAGAGAGCAAAGCTCTCCTTCTGGCTAGAGCGATAATTACGTTGCCGTCATAGGAATGAAGACTGTTGGTTGGCCGTTGAGAGCCGTACCATTGGTATAAAGGGGAATTGATTGAAGAAAAAGCAACGAGTTTCAGCATGTTTGTTTGCATGTTGGAAACATGTTTGAGTGTTTGAGTAATCGAGTAGTACTTCCAATAGTCGTTCCTTTGCATCTTTGTATGAAACTACCTCGAGCAGTAACGCAGATTGGATCGCTCTTCTAATACAATATATTCGACGCCTTTATAAGATGGCATGTTCAATGCTTTTCCAGTATACCCCGTATTCAAGGTATGGCATATCTTGCCCTTCATTATGATTATATAGCACAAAACTCCGTCCATCTGCCTGGTAGTCTATCCCAATAATCCAAACGCTCTCTTTTCATTCCAACTTTGCGCAAATACAACCCAATTCAACTACCGCCCTGTAGCCTCTTCATCCTCTCTTCCGCCGCACGCGCCCTCCTCTCTCTCTCCAGCCTCATCTTCATCTCGGGCGTCAACCCCCTAGCTTCCTCCTCTCTGCGCTCCTGCGGTGTCTTTGCAACCATAGAGGCCACTACACTAACATTCTTGTTCCTCGTCTTCGTATCAGAGACTTTTGGCCCCTCGACACGAAGCCTCTCCTCCTCGGCTTTCCGCCTGTCTGATTCCTTCTTGTCTGCTTCGTGCTTCTCTCGCTCGTCGCGTTGATCGGCTTCGCTCTTTGTCATGGCCGGAGGGACTTTGGCACTGTCCCAATCCCACTTGGCCTCGCTCAGCTCGGATCGAGCCACTCTAAAGGCATCGCGTGTAGGTCGGTCTCCGGCAAGTTCAAAGGCCGTCTTTCCTTCTGTATTCTTAAGCAGCGGGTTCGCCCCTGCTCGGGTGAGAATACCCAGAACTAATGGCGCAGCGTTCTGCGAAGCTGCATAGTGTAAGAGACGTGGGGTGTGGTGGTTTTGCTCGGGAGGATAAAAGTCAAAGTCTGGGCTGAGTCCATTCTTTGTAAGATATGATAGGAGTGCCGGCAACTTGGAGCGCCGCACAAAGGCTTGTAGTTGAGATGTGTGGAGAAGTGCAGTTTCTTCCTCCTCTGACAGAGCTGGCTTCACTGGCTTAAGCGATGCCTTGCTTTGTGCCGCTTTATCTGAATCTTTCGGTTCGATCTTTGCTGGAACAATCTCGCGTACTTTTAGTCGAGTCAGCTCGATAAAGGATCGCATAAGCTCGTTCTGAGTAGCCCTCCTGGTGCTGAAAGGGAATCCACGTATTCTACCATCGTTTGCCTGGAGAACCTGCCCTTCGTAAGGGCCAAACAATGTTCTTCTGTTCGTCGTCCCCGTGGCTCGGATGAATAACAGCTCTGAAGTGTCCAAAAGCCCCTTCCAGTCGTGTAACAGAGCGCGAATATCCTCAACCAAGGCAGTTTCGTTGTATCGACGCAGAGATGAACCGGCAGAGTGCGCCTTTCCCTTGGCATTGTCATTGGCCGACTGAGAGCCACCCTGTTTCCGTCGCGTTGTATATCTGTGAAAGGTCTTGTGGGCGAGAACCGTGGCTTCTCTGTTCATCGTCGTGCTGCCAGCCTTTCCAGATCGCGGCGCCAGCGAGACAACCATGGCCGCAAAATGCCCTCCTCCCATCATGCAGAGGAAGAAGTGAGGTCCCTTGTATGCGACTGGCGGCAGCGTTCCATCTTTGGCGGGCCTTGGCATTGCTATGGGCTCGAGCTGCTTCTTCCTGATGACGTCGACCAAATCCGACTGCCTCTGCTCTTCTTCAGAGAAGAGGGCTCGATATATGCCAAAATATGTATTCTCCGGCAGCAAGGGCGAGCTAAACCATATCAGCGGCGGTTTGCCCTTGCCTGGCCGGCCTGCAACTTCATCGTCATCACCGTCTTCGTTGTTGTTATTATTTCGCTTCTCCGTCAATCTTGCTTGCTTCTTAAGCAACGCCGTCAGCGTCGACTCTTGGCGACCTTGGTCCTCGTCGTCCTCCGTATCTTCCGAGTCGGAGCCCGAGAGCGACTCCTCCAGAGTCTCTATCAGCTTTTCGAATTCGGCTTCCGTCACGACGCTTTGCCCTCGCAGCTTCTGTTTCAGGTTGTAGTGGTGTAAGTCGGACTTTTTGTGGCTGCGCTGGTCGAGCACAGTGACGAAGGATAGCTTGCACAGAGAACAAGTCTGTGAGCCGGAAGTGCCATCAGGCGATGCTTCTGAGGTCTGTCGGGGAGGCGTCGCGGCTTCGACAACGGCATCTGCGTCTGGCTTGAGTGTCAAGCCTCCGAGGCTCTCGGGCGGTAGATCGTAGACTAAGCATGAGGCATAGTGTAAGCATACACGTAAGAGAGGAGCAGCGAGCCAAAGAAAAGCAGCGATGCAACTGGACTGATGCTTACCGTAGAGAGGCCGTCGCAAGAGCTCGTCTGTCGGGTTTTGCGCCATTGTGCGGTGCCCTCGCCCTGGGTCTAGCTTTGGCTGTATGTAGAGATGCTATTTCCGAAGAGCAAGGCCAAAGATCAAAACGAGCGCAAAGAATGTGGTGATTAAGTATCGAGCATCATGACGCAGAAAGAGAGAGTTGCAAGAATTGCCCCTCCATGACAAACACGGCTGAGTCAACCGGCGACGCAAAACCCCACTGTTGAAAACGCGCCTTGCTCTTCCCCATATTATAAGGGCGGCAGCCTATTTTGCGATGCCTGGCTGGATCCAGGGTAGCGGTGCTGGCAATATCCAAGGCAATTCAGCAACCGATTTTCTTGGCTTGTTAGTCACAAATGAGGAATGCGCCTGGCTTGCGATTTCTTGTTCTTCTCTTTGCCACCAGGCCTATTTCGCTAGATGGGTCTACTTTGTTTCCTCTTTAAGCTTTGTCAAGCTAAGAATGATGAAAGGCACCATGTTCTAAGCAAATTGCCCCAACAGGGAAATATCCGCCGGTCTGGGACGGTTGAGGTCGCTTTACCTAATACATATGTGGATAAAAGAGATTGGAAATATTATTAGCTACTAGTTGCTACGAGTTCTAGAGCACGTTGCTGTGTTGTCGAGAACCCTGAAAATTAATAGACTGGTATCATGGATAGATCATGTCCATTACTGCTTACATGGCCCGATTCAACCCACAGCCTTTAGTACTATACAGGTATGCCGCTGTCAAACAAATGCGATAACGGACTCTAAAGCTCTAATGCCAGGTCGCACGTGCTGACGATTCTTTGGCGCCTTAGACCGAATCTTTGATTGTACTGATCTAGATATCCTGACAATGTTTGCAACGCCGCCTCTTAGTCTGTAGATCGGCATCTGACAGCCGGACTCTGCTCCACCTCGGCGGCACATGCACAAACACATGCGCGGTATTGGCTCTTCCTTGGACGCGGGGAGCAAGAAAACAAAAGTTCATGGTTCGTTTCGGTCAGAAGAAGCTAGGACAGATTCCGAGAACGGCAATGGGAATGAGAAACCCTGCTAGCAACACTGCCATTACCACGCTGTGTTGCCTCACCGTTGGACGAAAATGGGAGGTGAGAGTGAGGCAGTCCTGCACTTGCTGCATGTATATATTTGTCTCGGAGCCGTCCGCGGCACAGGAAAATGCCACCTTGTGTGCCGCCCTTGGGATCATTGCGTCAATAAGCTTGCTGCATGCACAATATGACTGCCGAGCTTGGCCAAGCAGAAAAGTCGCCCGTTGCGGTGCTAACGCACGGAGGTAGCAACGGCCTCAAGGGTGGAGATGGAGATGGAGATGGAGATGGAGATGGAGATGCTGCTGCTGTTGTTGCCGTTGGTGTTGCCGATGAGAGCAACAAGAAGCGCCAGTCGCTGTCCGATGTCTTTACCATTGTAGGTTGCCACCATTGTGGTGATGGTTGACTATTGCATCGCACTTTTAAAAAAAGACCATTCAGTAGCGGTAATGCTAATGTCATGGCCAATAGATTGCAGCCGGCGCTGCCCTCATCTCAGACGGGTGTAAGTACTTGTATACACTTGACGGGGATACTTGCCGTGCTAATGGAAAAGCCAGATCAAAACAACCTCATGACAATGAGTAATGTTCTCTTCAAAAAAGAGTATCCTGCGCAGTATACATCTGTCGTCAGCACTCGCGTATCCAACTCTTTGCTCGTTGGAGCAATCTTAGGCCAGGCAAGTAAAACGAAACTTTGAAATACCTATATAATAATCTGTTAATATTTTTCTTATCGGCCTAGGTCACAATCGGCCTCACATGCGACTATCTTGGGCGAAAGACGGCAATAATACTCACCACGCTGTTGATTGTTGTTGGCGGCATCTTGGCCACTGCTGCTCACGGGACTACCATTGACGGCATGTTCTGGATGCTCCTAGTTGCACGAGGCATTGTTGGATTTGGTGTTGGTAAGATATCCACCTTTATGCTGTTTTGCCAGATATTATTTGGAATGCCGTGCAGCATATGAATGCGGGACACCATGGCTAACACCAAAGTTGCAAACATCAAGGCGGCGAGTATCCGGCTGCAAGCACATCATCCTCCGAGGCCGCCAACGAAAGAGTCCTGGACAAACGCGGCCCAATCTTTATTCTTGTTACTAATCTGCCACTCAGTTTCGGAGGTCCCCTGGCCGTGTCCATCTTTCTGATTGTTCTCTCAGCCGCAGGCGAGAATCACCTGTCGACAGTATGGCGAGTGTGCTTCGGCATTGGCATCCTGCTTCCGCTGTCCGTCTTCTATTTCCGAATCAAGATGCTCACGTCCAAGCTATACCGCAAGAGTGCTATCCGGCGCCATGTGCCCTACGGCCTTGCCCTCCGTTACTACTGGAAGACGCTGATTGGTACTTGTGGCGCCTGGTTCTTGTATGACTTTGTCACTTTCCCCAATGGAGTCTTCTCTGGCACCATCATCTCGTCCGTGGTGGACACGCATGGAGACACGCTACGAAGCACGGCTGAGTGGCAACTCTTGCTGGGGGCCATTGCTCTGCCCGGTGTCTTTCTCGGGGCCATTTTGTGTGACCGAGTAGGAAGGAAGAATATCATGATGATTGGCTTCTCTGGCTATCTCGTCTTCGGCCTCATCATCGGCTGCGCCTACGATAAGATTACCAAGATTATCCCCCTCTTCATAGTCTTTTACGGCCTGATGCAGAGCTCCGGAAACTTCGGGCCAGGCGATATTTTGGGGCTGGTTTCATCGGAGTCATACGCAACAAGCGTCAGAGGAACGTTTTACGGCCTCAGTGCGGCTTTGGGCAAGACTGGTGCCGCCGTGGGAACACAGGCCTTTACTCCTATCCAGAACAACTTGGGCAAGCGGTGGACCTTTATCATCGCCGCCATCTGTGGTGTTGTGGGGGTCTTGGTCACCTACTTCTTTGTGCCCAATGTCACTGGCGAAGATCTCGCCATTCAAGACGAAAAGTTCAAGGCCTATCTGCTTGAGCATGGGTGGGAGGGCGAGATGGGCGTGAATGACGACAAAGACGTAGCGGCTGTGGAGGAAGACGAGGAAGTGGCCTCTTCCTCACTCAACATTGGCGAAAAAGGTGTCAAGGTATAGTAGAATGTAGTAGACGAAGCGAATCAGGGGAGGAGAAGAGAGAGGTGGGGGATCCCAGACTACCTAGTTTTTGCTGGCTGTCAGTAAAAGTCAACACTGCATGCGCTGTCTCAGCTGCCGTCTGAGGGCCACAACTCATACCGCAATTTCCCAAGGTTCAGTCGGCAACTTGCTTGTTGTTTGCCAATATCTCGCGGTAGTACGGATGGGGCAACGACACTAGACAGGGTATGAGACGGTCAGTGGTGTCGTACAGCATAAAAGTAGTTAATTTACTCACAAACTTGTCACTGCCTAGTTCTGATTGATCGTTCAGTGTGTAGCTGCCGGCATGGGCCCGCCAAGATGGATGCTACTAGTAATACATTGTCGTTCTTGTATAACGTCAGAACAAGAAGGGATAGAGATCCTGGGATAGAGATCCTTCAAACGGTACTGGTTATGGCGGCTGAATACAAGTAAGCATCTTACCACGGTCTTCATGCCGGGGATGCATTGTTCGGCCCGAGAAAGCGAGAGAAACATCTGTTGGGAATGTGTGACATAAAATTTGCTTACTTGTACGAAGCTGGATTTGGCTGCCAGCGTATCTGCAAGCGTATTCATAAGCGTATGCTTTTCTTTGCCGGTACGAAGCCGCTACTTCAGTACTGATGGAAACATACTTACTTGTACTTGTGTGGCCGATATATACACACATGTAGCAGTCGTGATTCCGGAAAGATAATGAAGCTTCTGGGATGAACCTTTTGAGCTGAGCTTCGGTGTCATATCAGACGCGGCTTCGCCCTTGTCGCCTGAGCGGAGCAAAAGCTGCTTGGTCCAAGATGCCAGGGTGGGGATGGCCACCACCATCTCTGCTGTACTCCGTCCAATCCAAGTACGTTGCAGCTTCAACTGATCGAATGAGCTGCTGCATCAGGAACAACGCAGTTACTACCACTATAATTAATGGTAGTAATAGCATGTAGTATCGCCGGTAGCTGTCTAAATTGCATGACCTCATAGCATGCCTATAGCCAGCCCTGTTCTCACTCTCTTGAGTGCAACGGCTCTTATCATTTGTGACGCCTTTACCCAGGGCCGGGTTGAAGGCTCGCTGGTATAAGATCTTCATGCATGAGCACAGACACAGATGGGCGCTTAAATCTGTGCACTATTGGCGCAAAATTGATATAGCCAGTATCAAATGTCAGCACCTGCGTCCCAGAACCTCGTCCGATGCTTAGCTCGCGCCGATGTGATCGATCAAGACCCGCTTCGAGGCCCCCGCATCGAGGGCCGTGCCGCTCTTGGTGATGTTGGTGGGCGTTAGTACTGGTTGCGTGATGGCATGCAGTGGTCTATATCCAGACTCGTATGTATGTATCTTGAGGATCGAGAGCTGTTCGTATGTGCTAATGGACAACATTAGATACTAGATATGATTCATAGAAAATGATTCATAGAGCAGTTTCCTTATGATGATATAAATAGACGGCTTACCCAGATGTTGCTGACAATGCCTGCTGCCTTTGGCGAGCTATAGCATCCAGGCAAGGATCAGCAAAGCGCGGGCTTTTTAGGGCAACTATTTCCTTTTCCTATTTGCCGAACGACAGGGGTGCTTCGGTAGGCAAAGATGCTGAGCGGGAGAGGGCAGTTGACAGCAAGAAACGGCAGTCGACAGCGAGAGAGGTTAGTTGACAGCAGCAGAGGGCAGTTGACAGCGAAAGACGGATATTAAAAGCGAGACGAAGCACCTAATAGTCACAGAAGTCATTTGACAACGAGAGGGAGCTTTTGGTAGAGAGAAACGGCAATTGATAGCGAGAGACGGCAAACGACGATTGTCCGAGTCGCTATCGGAGTCCCATCATGTTGCGTTGTTGTGGTCGGTGTGGAGCGGCACACGATATGCAAGAAGACAAGACCGGTCACAACGCATGCTGGGAAGCGCAATCTGCTTCGCCTTCGCCCTCGCCCTCGCCTCTCGCCGTGGCTATGCCCAAAGAGGAGAATTGTTGAGGACACACACATAGATCGAAGAGCTGGGACAGTATCGCTTTGCGTACCCGAAGACGTCCTCCGTGGCCATACCCAGATGTGAGTGGAGGCAAAATATAGACCGAGGCATCGTTGTAAAGACCAAGACCAGGGCTCTAGAATTTGGGGCGTGACAAATGAGAAAAAAGCAAAGGTGGCACGATGGATTCTCTTCTGTTCGGCTCTGCCGCGTGAGCAAGGGGTATGGCATGTCGTTGATAGGTAGAGGAGAGAGAGAGAGAGAGACATACCAAGGAGGGCAGATGTTTTGATTCTCCGCTATTGCCCGGACGCGTATTTAGTGCTGTGCGTGTGCTCTTCTGTTGCTATTCTAGAGGGTTGAGTTGTTGTCGTTGTTGAAAGTAGGAAAAGCTGGATACAAAAGGTCGTTGCCGTCTGGCAGTTCCTTCCCCTTAGAATATATCAGGCGGCCAGCTGTCAACTTCCTTCTTCCAATACTCAGGGCATTAAACTCCACTCTTCATCTCGCAAATTGACATGGCAGAAAAAACCACATACAGCCAGTTTGCCTGTATTGGTACTGGATTCTCTGGTATCGCTTTGGGTTGTAATATTAAGCGGTGGTATGGAATCACCGACATTCGCCTCTTTGAACAGAGCAGCGATTTGGGAGGCACATGGTTTGCCAATCAGTATCCAGGTATGCTCCCCTTGGCCATATCTCTCATCTCAACAGTTGAATATGGATCGACCTCGTATACATGTGCTGACGCCAATTCTTTGTTCCATATGACTAGGTTGTGCCTGCGATGTTCCCAGCTTGCTCTACAGCTTCTCCTTTGCCCCCAACCCCAAGTGGACTAAAATCCTGCCATCCCACCAAGAAATTTGGCAGTATCTCGATGATGTGGCGAGACAATATGGCCTCCGCGAGAAGATGAGCTTCAACTCCCGTGTCGAGAGATGCGAATGGATCGAGCAGTCTGGGCGCTGGCGTATCACGGTTCGAAACACCACGTCTGACACTGTCCATGTCCACGAGTGCCAGTTTCTCTTCAGCGGCTCGGGCGTCTTGGTATATCCTCGCAAGCCAGATCTCCCAAACATTGAGAGCTTCAAAGGCCCCGTGTTCCACGCTGCCAAGTGGCGACACGATGTTGACCTGACGAACAAGAATGTCGCCCTCATCGGCAACGGCTGCTCAGCCGCACAGATTGTTCCAGCCATTAAGGACCAGGCAAAGCATATAACGCAGTTTATACGCACCAAACACTGGATCATTTCTCCGGTGCAAGTTTCTAACCTAAAGCTATTCCAGTGGCTGTTTATTCATGTACCAGGGTTCCTCAAGCTCTCTCGCTTCCTTTTCATGATGATTACGGAAACCGAGATGAAAGCCTTCTACATGACCAAGGCGGCTGCTGCGATTCGCCGCTCCAACACAGCCGAAGCCGTGCAGTACATCAAGGAAAAGGCTCCTAAAGAGTACCACGATAAGCTGATTCCCGACTTTGAGATTGGCTGCAAGAGGCGCATCTACGACCCGAATTATCTGACCAGCCTGCACTCGGAGAATGTCACCCTCCGGGACGATGCAATCGAGGAAGTGACGCCAAAGGGGATTCGCTCCAAGGACGGCCATACCGACGTCGACATTATTGTGTTGGCCACTGGCTATGAAACAAACAGCTTTTGCACAAACATCGACATCATCGGCCGGCAAGGTGTGACGGCAGAGGAGCATTGGAAAGCTCTAGGAGGGCCAGGGGCGTACAACACTACGTCTATCAGTGGCTTCCCAAATCTGTTTCTCATAGTTGGTGAGACTTGCTTTCTCTTTACTCGGGTGATTTTTATTTAAATTTTTTTTTTTATCATCTGACTAATATGCCATCTTTCTTTTTCCATAGGGCCAAACAGCGCCACGGGTCACACGTCGACAATCATGGCTGTGGAAAACTCCGTAAACTTCGCTCTCCGGCTGATCAAGCCTGTCCTTCAAGGCAAAGCGATGGCTGTGGATGTCAACCCTGATGCGGAGAAACGGTACATTGGCCAGATCCAGACGGACCTCCAACAAACTGTGTGGCTTTCCGGCGGATGTTCCAACTGGTATAACAGGGCTCGGGATGGATCCATACATAATGGGATGTTGTATCCCTACTCGCAACCCTACTTCTGGTACCAATGTTTGTTCCCAGTATACAAGGATTTTAAATACGATGTGAGTCTGCACCCTTTACCTTTTGCCCTCTTTGTCACTTCAGTATGGCCTGCTTTGCCCGGCAGGGATCCATAGAGCCAAGAGATGATCTTCTAACAAGCCATGGCAGCCTCCAAAGAGCAAGAAGCCGTCCCGCGGAAAGGTTTGGAGGGAAGTGATTCGATATTCAGTCTTGGCTGCTGCCTCCCTATCGGGGCTAAGCTTGGTCATGTCCGGCACAAAGAGTGGCTGGGACTTGACGAGGTCTGTGGAATTTCTGAAAGCCCAGGCGAGCGTGCTGCAAAATGGCCTCGTGGAGTGCATCAGACTATGACAAAAAAGGAACGAAGGACAAAGAGGAAGAAGCACAGTTGGCATACCTACCTTGGTACTCAAGATTGAACCATGTATTGCAAATGAGAATCAAATTTCACAAACACCTCTCTAGGCTGCTTGTACAACCACTCTGTATTGGCCGTCGCATCGCCGCACGGGCTCATATTACTACATGTATTCAACATGTAATACCACCATCAAGGGAGGTGTCACAACTATCGTCTCGGACAAGGCTCGCGGCGGCGGCTATCTGTACGTACCCGCTTAATCCTTCGCGCCTCACATAATATCGGCTCGAGAATTACGTACTCCATCCCTTGTGCTGCTGCCAGTATTAGACGCGCCGCCAAATATTACTGTTTGCTCGAATATCCGCCCGGCATCCTACGCGCACATGCATTTTGCTGTGAAACAATACACGCCAGGCACCGGCGAATATTGAGTCGGCCGACGATTAGGGGAGAGTCTTGAGTGGCCTCGTGGATGCGGTGACTCGACATTCATTGGACACTGCCTTGGGGTCTTATCAGCTGTTTGTCTTTTCATTTCTTTTTCTTCCGGGTGAAACCTAGACTTGGCTAGGCATATTGACAAGAGAACAGGATAGTGAACTGCGATGATCCCTACCAGTCGGCTGCCTTGGCCACACTAAGCATGCATGTCTTGGTAGTATTGAGCAGCCTTGGCCGGCTGAGCTCATGTTTGCTGCTGTTTGCTCTGCGGTTGGCGCCAATATTTCAGCTTCAGCCCTCGGCCCCAGGGCATCACAGAAGCAGATCCCCTGACCGATAGTAGTAATTAGCTTTCAAGCCTCGTTTTTTTCCTTCTTCTCGTCCCCTTTGGTTTGATTACATCAATCAGCCATGTGCGAGACAAGAGCCAGGGGGACGGAGCGCGAGATCCAATCACCACAACACCCGGCTCCAGTCTGCGTAACAATGGCTGGAACTGATGGAGCTCACGAGGACGGCTACATGATGCTGTGGCTGTCCTGAGCCACCGAAATCTTCTGAGCGTTTCTGAGACACTGCTTTACCTTGTCCTTTCCTTGTCCTTTGCTCCTCTGCGATTTGCTGGCTGGGCCTGTCAATGCTCCACTGTCTGTGTGCGGAGGCGTTGCTGGATCTTGCAGAGAGGAGAGAGTGAGGCTGGCCGATCGAAGAGGGAGATGGGATGCTCTTTCTCGCCAGTGGTTTCTCTCTCTTTCCTCGTCTTTCTGTCCCCCTTTCTCCATGTGCTTTTCAGGTATAAATAGCAGCGATCTACTTGCCTTGCTCGTCACTCTTGACTTGAACTTCTGTCCATCTCGATTCTTGCACTTTTTATACTTGCCCAGCTAGTCACGATCTCCACCACTTCATTCTCCAGATTCTTCACAGCTGTCAAAAGAAAAGCTACATTGCAGCCCACCTTCTTCTCTCTTTTTCTTTCTCTCTAACCCAGATCGTCTTGTTGTGTGAGTCCAATCCAATGGCTTTTTGCGTCACAATAGACGCAGAGGTACTGGCACTAACGCAAACACTAGCCGAGCCGACACCGCAAGACAGTTCCTCCCAGCAGTAACTGTCTCGCAGTAGTAGTTGATACACCTTCTTGAGGCATGGTATCACATAGGAAGAAGCCAAAGGCTGGCGGCCGTCAGAACCCCAACGCTGCTCGGAAAACTCCGCCGCCGCCCGAATTGCCGCGGCCATCCAAGCCTCCCCGTCTCGTCTGTGTAAGTTGTCGCAGTATAGGAGCGCGGTGCAACGGCGACAGGCCATGCTCACATTGCGAGGGATGGTTAAAGTCGGATTGTGTCTATGAAGACCCGGTGACTTGTTACCCGACCATATACAAGTAAGTTTTGATCTATCCCCATCTATCAACCCGACGAGGCAAAAAGCAGCAGAGAAGCTGACAAACTTTTGTTTACAAAACTCAGAGTGAAGAAGAAAGACGTGCCTCAACAGGCTAACCAACCAAAGACACATGGTAACAACGACACCAAAAAAGCCACCGATCGAGCTTATAGCTCAAATACGACGCATGAATCTAGAGAGCTTGATGAACTAGGTTTCAGAAGACATCTGGATCAGTTGAATGCAGCGCACTTTCTCCGCTCAAAGGTAGCCAATTTTGGGGAGTTATCTCTCAGCCAGAATGCTCCTCCTCTACCCACAGCTGGGGATGCCTGGGCATCAACAAACACTACTCTCCAACCACCTGGGGCGAGTGTCTCAGTGTCCATGGGTCCTCCTCTTTCAATGGCTGGAGATGATTTGGAGCTGACAGCTCCTTCGGTTGCTGATGCGCAGCCGCCAGCTGCTATTCCCATGGGCAATGATGCTCCTCTTCCTATGGACGCTGATCCTCTTTCTGCATCTCAACCTTCTCCCCTACCTCCTCCCCCTCCTCCTCCACCACCACCACCACCTCCTCCTCCTCTTCCTCCTCCTTCTATTACAAATAGCAACCCTCCTCCTATAAACCTTGGTCCCCAGCTAGAATCGTCGCTTAGAATTGGAAACCAAGGCGATTCTCACCCTTTGTCTATCGAAAGAGGGCAGGAGCACACTTCTGATGTGCCAAACTACGCTTGCCACTTGGTTGATAAGAAGACTGGATATCTCAGACATGATCAAAAAGTTGCAGTCGTCGATATGGTGAAACAACTTCGCTCAGTCCTCAATGATCCCAAGCCGGTGGGCAAAGAAGCGCACAAACCCATCATGCCCCCTTACGAGCTAAGTCTCTATCTCTTACGCGTCTACCACAAAGAAGTCTGCTATTTGTTTCCCTTCATCTGCTTCTCAACCTTTATGCGCGCCTATCGCAGGGTCAATGGCGATAATGACGCTGCCACAGGCCTTTTCCCGTCCGCCTCTTTTGGTCTCGGAGGTTCAGGAGAGGGAGCAAATACGCACCCGTTCATGTTTCGCTGCGCCCTCTTCACGATGCTGTCCCACGCGTCCAAGTTCGCCGAGATGAAGGACAAGGAAAAAATATTCCTTTCGCGGGCGTTTTGGGAATGCGCCTATGCACATCTCACGCCGGCTCTGGTAAAGGAAAACAGCCTGGCTGCCGTGCAGACTTTTCTCATCATTGCTATATCCTTTAACAGTACGCGATTCTCAGGAGATGAGCGCAGGATTCCCATCGAGATTGCATATCGCCTTGCACAGCACATGAGGCTGGATGATGACGGCGATGGAGTCATGAGGTCTTCCGGGGAAAAAGAGGTGCGCATGAAGGCATGGTACGGATGTGTTATGATGACTTCGTAAGGAATTCTCTTTCTCTTTTCTCTCTCTTCCTTCTTCTCTTTCTCTTTCTTCCTCTTCTTCTCAGTTCTTTACTAACAATCGACCTTTTCCAGGTTCATCCAATCTGGCGTAAACTTTGACTTTCCGTCAGCTTCTGGTGTTGGTACCGAGGCTCTCGTATCCGCTGATCAGCCTCTATCTGGCAGCATCCCTTTCAGCTTCTTCACCAGTTGTGTTGCCCACTGTGAAGAGCTGGAAAAGATTCTCCAGAATATGCCTAAAAGGCGCAGCTACGTCCTCTCCAGAGAATCCATCAGCCGCCACCCACATCATCTCGCAGAGTTGCTCGAGATGCTCGCCAAGTTCCGGTCTGTGCTGCCGGCATCACTCGATTGGACTACTATAGGCATACCCGTGTTAGAAGTTGACACCTTCAAGTCTGTCGGCACCCAGAACAGAAACTTGGAAACGGCAGAGCCGCAAATGGGATACTTGCAAGCATCAGATTCTCACGCTGTTAAAGATGCCCAAATTACAGACCCAGACTCGGAAACTTCGCAAGCCGCAGTCTGTAATACCAGGTATACTTGTTTTCTTTTCTCTTCTTCTTCTCCCCCTTCAAGATGATCAAGTTCCACGACAGCAGTACTAATGATTGTATTTCAAACAGCTTCATGCTTATTCGTTCTATGCTCTTTGGTCCAATTTTCATGGAAGCGAGTATACAAGAGTGCCTTGCGTCCGGTGAAGACATATCCACGCTGAACGCTGCGTGGGAGCAAAAAGCTGGATTCTGTGCTCTGCAGTGTCTCAAGAATGCCATTCATCTAATCAATTACATGCACAGAAGAAGCACGCCTGGGGCAAAGATTCGGGAACAGTGGCGGTGGGATCCATACCGTGAGCTATTGACCTCTTTTACGTTTCTTTCATCCCCTTCTTTTCCCTCCTTTGTCTTTCGTTTGATGATGCTATTTCGTCTCTCCCTCTTTCAATCTCTCTCTATTTCTCTCTCTTTTCTTCTCCTTTTTCTTCTCTTCTTTTTTTTCTACATGGTGGCTAACAAGAGAATTCACAGATGTTGGCACTGCGGGTCTCGTCATCATCATGGCCCAGACGTCCGAATCACTGTTGGCTTCCTTTGATCAGGCGCTTCTTCAGCAAGCTTGGAAGTTCTGCCAAGAGCTGCTTGTTCTTGACAGATTCAACAGCAGCTTCAAGCGAGATGTTGTTGAGTTTCTGTGGAAGGTCAATGACGGCATTACCAACGGCCGTATCTTGACCAACGAGTATTTCACGATCCCGGAGCCTCCATCCGCGACAGAAAAGGGCCAAGGTGGCCTCAAGACGTGGACTTTTGACGTCGATCCTTCGCGCCTGGAGGCTGATGGCATCATCAGAGTTCCTTACTGCGTGGCTCAGATCCCCCCCGGATTGCCCTACAAGGATTACATGGACTTTGAGATAAGTCCGCGCACCAGAATTGAAGACGTTGTAGAGCCGGCAGCGATGAGCGTCTCCGACGCTTTTGACGGTCGACCGTCACTGACTCCCAGCGCGGACACGGATCTCCCCTTCACCCCAAGCACGGATTTGGACTTTACCTTTACTCCAAGCATGATGGAAATGGACTTGTCCTTGGATCCAAATCCGTACGGGAACCCTACTCAGCCGACTTCGTCTTCCAGCATACCCTTTAGCCCGCCAAGATGGGATGTAGGCAGGGTCTACCATAGACCAGCCTCGATATCAACCTCCAGTTCCTTCATGCCCTTCATCCAACAACCCCCTTGGACTGCAGATATGGTGGCTTGCTATGATCCGCCGCCGGCATCTGGCCCAAGCATGCTTTTCAACCAGCTGCCAGTGGCTGCTAGTATGGCATATAATCAACCAGTGCCGGGTCCTGGTGCGTCGGGATTTGATGCGCCTCCTTTACGGGTAATGCATTTCAATCCTAGCCTGTCCACTGACCATGGACAGTCGGCCTTTAGCAAGGATAGTCCCGGCCAACCACAAGCGGCCTACATTTCTCCTGCTGGGGCTGCTCATTTGAACGGTGGGAATATATTCTTGAATGGACTCAAGAGAAAAAGCAGGTCTTGAGGGTGGATGGATGTGGAACAATGTCAACTACAAGTGTGTCTATGTTTGTATAATTATGTCTATAAAACAGGGTATGGCGGCAATGTTGAAGCAAATTTCACGATTATTGACACATGTGTATATATTTGCTAAATTGATTTCGTTTCATAACTTGTATATGTTTCAATGTTTATAAGTCTATGTTGCCTCCTGTTATTGTACATTTTCCATCTTTCGCATGATTGATGCAACCATTGCATCCCGAGTCGTCTAACATAGTTGTATGCTCGTTTAGTGCCATGCCGTGTCGTACCATGCATTGTCATACCATGCCATGTGTTTATGTTTATATACTCCCCCCTCTTCTCTGTATGTGCCGCTGCTCTTCTCCCCCCTTATCTCGTTTAGCAACTCTGCTTGCCTGTGCCCGAAACGAGGAGCACGACGCTGCCCAGCTGCCGGATCACGTCCTCCTGGTTCACATCGTGCGTGTCTTCCACCTCTCCCCACTGCTCCGCCTGCCAGGCCACCTCCAGGCCCGTAGCCTTGGAGGCGTCCTCGGCTCCGAAATGCCCTGCCCGCACAACGCGGCCGGTGCCGACGGGGCCCTCGCTCCACTCAGCAACGACCCTCGCAGCGGCAACCAGGCTCTTGCCCGCAAGCACAGCCCTCTCCAGGCCGGCAATCTCCCAGGCATCGAGCCCCATGACCCAGCCCTGCACCACCTCGCGGACGCCCTCGGCCTGCTGCTTGGGCATGATGGAGTGGCCGTCCAGCACGGGCTCGATGGTGATGCCCGGCCACACGTGCGTCGTCAGGAAGCTGACCGTCTCCTGGGCGGCCTTTTTCTGCACGTCGCGCAGGTCCTCGCCGGCATCGTTTCTCCTATCGTGGGGGCCGGCGGGAGGGGCCCAGCACAGCAGCGAGTCGGTGTCGAGATAGCGCAGGACGGTCTGGGCGATGCCGTGGCGGATCTTTGCAGACTCGGGGATGCTCGGTGCGGCGTCGTCGTCGAGGATGTCGAGGGCGCGGCAGACGAGGCCGGTGAGGGGGATGAGGTGCTGCTTCGTGGCCTGCTGGGGGGAGGTCAGGATGTCCCATTCGACGGCCAGCGCAGAGGCGAGGTTCGGCTTGGAGAGCGGCACGCGGATGATCTCCTTTGTGTGAGGGTGTCGCAGGGGGCGAGCGTCGAGATAGACTTGCAGGGCGCCTGTTTATTTTGGACGAGTGAAGGGTCAGCGATCAAGATGAATGATGCGATTGAGCAAGGTATTACTCACCGTCGATTTCTCGCACGCCGACTTCCTTCCAGAACCTCCTGGCGGCTCCCGGGCTCGCCTTGCCCTCCTGCGCACTTCGAATCTCCTTGGCCGTCTTCAGCAGCTCGGCGTGCTTCCGGCGGCGCTCCAGGCGTTCGCTCGCGTTTCGCACAGCCGGCGTCGGCGGCTCTGGAGGAGGCCCCGTGCCGACAATGGGAGCGACGTTTGCGGTCCGGGGGATGCTCTGGTGAAGAGGCCTGGTTTGCTGCGGCCGCGGACGAGGCAGAGGCAGCGCCCGCGGGACGGAGAGCGATATTCGCGAGGGGACCTTCATGGTCGTGGATGTGGAATCGAGTCGAGCTTGGTCGGATTGAGGCTGAGGAAATGCTGGAAAGAGAAAAAGAAGAGGGTGGGAGCAGGCAGAGGGTTTGAAAGTTGATTTCGGGATTGGATGCTTGAAAGGAGAGACGAAAAAACGGTAGCGCAAGTCATTGCATCATACGCATCGGCACAAATTCGGAACCTCTTTTCGCTGTGCTTTTGCTCGCACGGAGCAGCGCCTGGCTGTAGAGGGCCTCATCCTGCCTTAACAAGATTAAACAGAAAGAATTTTGCAAAAATCCATAGAGAAGAGTAATATGGGATGGAAAGATTCTAATCTTGAGACTTTTCCTGTTTCTATTTGCTCTGTAAAGGTTCATTCAAATAGCCTTTATGTGCTGTTAGGATACCTGAAAAAAAGGGTTTTAGTGGCTGGGCTGTTTGGATGCTACTCGGTGACGTAGAAGCGTTGAATGGGCACCCAATGCAGTAATTGATCGCTGCTTTCTGTTCTAATTAAATGCCTTGATAATGAATGCATCAAGCTGCCAGTGCTCTTGAGGGTGTTTTATGGAGCTGCATCCAACGGCAGCTGTTGGCACTCAATGGCATTTTCAGGTAGGTCCTATGTGCACGTGCTGGAATCTTTGATGGGGAGAAGCGTTTGCAGCAACGAGAAGGAGCAGAAGGAGAAACCACACCAGGACTTTTCGTCCTCTATTCTTCATAGCGCAGCAGTGAATACAATTCTATCTTGCCCTCAGGCATCGTTTCGTATTCTGTCAACTTTTCTCTCCCATCTTTTACCCGGCGAATAAGCACAAACTGCTTCTCATCAGTGGTGGGGCGTCGCTGCTTGGGAAATGTCCTCAGGAAACTTTCCATGTAAGACAGTTTGATTCAGATCTTCTATAGACGGGTAACTTGTTGAGCAGATTCACTAGGGCATCACGCCTAGCCTCGAAAAAGAATACGCGTAGTCGGTTCGGCAGTTGAACGAAACGATTGACAATCTATTCTACCGCCCTCAGCGGCAATAGCCGGCCCCTCGCACTATATCGAACCATGTGCATGGGATATCTGAAAGGTGCGAGAATCCTGCAAGATGGCAAAAGAAAAGAGAGCATCAGTTCGCCTCCAGCGCAGTCTTGAACCACTGCTTCATCTTGATAGTCTCTTCGCCAATATCCCCAAACAATCCCTCCACCACCAGAAAATCATGGGCTGCCTTGGGGTTGCTCTCGAGAGTCACCTCCACTCCTGTTTGCATGGCAGTGACCGTCTTTGCCATCAGCTTACCCTGACCAGCCAAAATTTCCCGATTACCGACCGTGATGTAGATTTTCCCGACAACGCTGCCCAGCTTGCTGAGCCACGGTCCATTCCATTCAAAAGGCTCTGCCCAGCTGTCTTGGCCCTTGTTATCTGTGCTGGCCCCATCTCTACAGGGCTGAACGACGATATCAAGAGAGCGCAGGATATCCATTGAAATCATGTCATAGCGATCATTGTCCCGAAAGGAGGCAGCAGAAGTGTCCTTACCAAGCCACGGCGATATCAGAAAGGCAGCTGACAGAGGCTCTTGTAATACGATGCGGGCAACCTCAGCATGCGGATCGACTAGGTGATGGAGCAGCTGCACCGTCAAATTTCCACCAGCAGAATCGCCGCCCACGATGATGTCCTTGGCGCTGAAGCCTGCATCAAGAATCTCGGACAGAGCGGCGGCTGCCTGGCGGAGCTGCACGGGAGCTCTCCAGGTGGGAGCGAGCGAATACTGCAAAAAAGCAACGGCGACTTCAGTCTCTGATTCCACCCCCGAGAGCACGTATGAATTCCAGACACATTCAAAGTGACCGGCTATGCTCGGCAGCTCAAAACCTCCTCCGTGGAGATACAGCACTATCTTGCGGGCCTTGTGGCGATTTCCTACCCACAGGATGCTCGAATGGCCGTTGTCGAGAGGCTGTATATCGCACCGGAGCCGCTCCTTGAGGGCAGGGTCCTTGGCAAGCCTCTCTTTTTGCCGGACCCATGCCCTATAGGCCTCTTCCGTAGACGGAAAGATTGTTTGAGCATAAAAGCCCCCGAGGGTACCAAACACGGTCCTGAAGACGGCGCATACTGCATAATATCGAAGATCCAGCTCATTCTGGAAGGCGTATAATAGCAAGCGAGCGAGCGCAAGTGCGAACGAATAGGGGGCTGTCAGCGGGGAGAGTATTCCCGTTAGCACTAGTGTTTGTCGGTAGTTGTGGTGATGAGTCGCGGATCTCTATCCATCGGCATTTGCAGCCCCTCCCCCCCTATTCCAGAGATCGACTGACTCACCGACAAATAGCGCAATGCCAATCAACTTTATCTGGTCGCCAATGGAGAGGCGAGGTTTGACGGAGGGGGCCTTGCATCCGGTTAGCTTCCGAGCGATATCAACTACTATTACTACTTCCTAGTAGGGGTAATAGGTATTGTGTCTACATTTCTTCTTACCATCTAACGCGAGTGGGTGGTGTGAATCGTAGGATTCTCCAAAATTGTCGAGCCTCCGAGTCCAAAGGATTCCAACACTGGCCGAATGGGTGGTGATACCAGCTTTGAGGGGAGGATTTCATCCACGAAAACGGACAATGAGTCGTAAGTCGGCCATCTTATACTCTTCACATGTCTTGCTTTTATTGCCGCCGTTGTTACAACTCTCTGAATTTGGCTTTAGGAACTCCTTGCCTCACTATACTTGCAGCATTTCCAAGCAAACGCTCTGCTCTGCTGGCCAATGTTCTGCGAAACTGCCGAGCTTTCATCTCCACTTCTCCCGTCTTGGTTGCCTTGCATACAAACAAGGCCTTCAACCCGAAATATAATTCCGCACATTCCAGTTGGACACCGCATGTCTACTACTACCTAGTATTCTCCGTCTGTGAACTCTCGCAGATATGGGCAAGAGACAAGTCTGATGGAGGTAACACAAGTTGCAACAATCCTGCCGCATCAAGGGTTCAACGTTGCGAGCAGGGCGGGCCTCGGCCTTTTCTGGCGGCCGGCATGAGGGTCCTTGATGCATAAATTCCCTAGCGCACTCCGTACAGTACTGTACTATGGATCGCATCTCGAGCAGGGGTCTATTTCTGACATGTCGCAGATCCAGCGCCTTTGTTAAAGGCTTTTACAAAGTTGCTCGACGTAGGTACCCTCCTCGCCAACTCACGATGGAATCAATCCCCTCTGATCCTGGCATAACATGGTACGTGTCAGAATCCCTGCTTGATCGTGTCGTACGATTAACAGAAGGCTACGAGCCATAGAGTATAAATACTCCAGCACTGGCGTAGCATTCAATGCGAGGAAAGAAGATGCAGTGTCGCGCCGAGACAGTCGTATTCCCCCTGGCATAAGAAGCTACCAATTACTAGTACTACTACCACGACGAAGAGATACGGAATTATGTTCTCGTCAAGGGAGGGAGTGACTCTCGACTCCATCGCCGCTCCTCTGAGCCGCTTGCTACTCAATCCTCTCCTCACAGTACCCGCAGCCCTGGCCTTATCCTTGTCGAACTCGAGCATCCACGCTTGGGTGTCGTCCAACGCGGGCGGGACTCGGATTCAGACACTGTCCTCTCTCTTGGCTGTAGCAAGCGTCGTGCTGTCTCTCAACTCATATCTGGATAGGCAGTTTGCCAACAACTGGGTTTCAGACAAGACATGGAACTGGGACGAGGAGATTGTTCTCGTCACGGGAGGCAGCGGCGGAATCGGCGCCAGCATTTGTAAGCACTTCCTTGCACGAAATCCTCGCACCCGAATCGTGGTCGTCGACTACGCTCCACTCAGCTGGAAGCCTGAGCAGGAGGGCGTCCGACTGTCGTACTACCAGTGCGACTTGAGTGACACGAGCGCCTTGAAGGCGACATGTGAGCGCATCCGGAACGAGGTCGGCCATCCGACGGTGTTATTCAACAACGCCGGCCTGGTCCGCGGCGCGAGCGTCATGGAAGGGTCGTACGGCGATATCGAGGCAACAGTGAGGACCAATCTGATTGCGCCGATGCTGCTTGTCAAGGAGTTCATCCCAGAGATGGTCAAGCGTGACCACGGCCATATTCTGCACACGGGGAGTCTGAGCTGCATTACACCTCCGGCCATGGTGGCGGACTATTCAGCTACAAAGGCTGGCTTGGTGGCCATGCATGAGGTGAGTGGGCTTTGTTACCAATCCAATTCCAAATGAACGAAAACGCACATGTGAGCTAACGTTGTACTCGTCCATCTTCGTCATGGGCGTATCAGTCTCTGCAATTGGAACTCAAAACCGTCTACAATGCTCCACGTGTGCGCCTTACAATGGGAATCTTCTGCTTTATCCGCACGCCGCTCATCGGCGGAGAGATGAATGTTCCAAACTTTTTGTTGCCATTGCTCGAGGTTGACAGCGTCGGCGAGACTTTGGCAAATGCCGCGTACAGCGGCTACGGATCCACCATTTACATGCCCAGCCTTTTTAACAGGCTTGCAATAACATTGGTGAGTGACTTCAGAGAGCGTTGGCACCTCTTCTCACATCCCGCTGCTTGGCCTAAGCAAGGCTTGATAACAACAATGGAGAGGCTAATCATTTTTGTTTCTTCCGATTCTAGAGGGGTGGTCCTGAATGGTTCTTCCGGCTTGTGCGAGAAGGCACGACTGCGTTCCGAATCGATTTCCGAGGTCGGCAACAACTCGATGCAGTAACTGGCAAGCTCCAAAAAGCGTAAATCATCACGAATAGTTTCTGTGAATCGAAATCAGTAAGACAATCTTTTTCTGCCGCAAGGCAAATTGTAAAAAGTCATCCAATATTCCCTGTGGTTGGAATGAGCAGAACAGGGGAGGTTTATGCAGCCTAATATAAATATATGCCATTGGTGGAATTGCAAGCCCTCATTAGATCCTCTTATTCTTACCGAGATCCCGCCTAGGTCTAATCAAGATTTCATCTAGGCAGTCCCACAGTATCTAGCTAGTAGGTGCCTACTTGTTGAGTAATACCTAGCTGAACAAGGAACAGGCGGTAGCTGCCAGTCTTCCGAACCATGGCGTTTGGATCGAGTCTCCCAGCAAATCCGTCCATTGCCATGTGGCCTGTCCCAGGTGGACTGGTGGACTGGTGGCTTCAGTGGAGTGCAAATATTGGGGACGAGTCTTCTCAGCGCGGTTCCAGAAGGAAAATTTACTCGATATTTGCGTCAGAGGCGTGTTTTCTAGGCTGTCTTGCCAACGCACCATCTCTTGTTGGGTTTTGAAGGGCAGCATAAGTTCTAGTAACTCACTAGTGTGTAAATCACTGATGGGGGGCGAGTGTCAGTGAATTATTTGCTCCTCAAGGAAGGGGTCATGATATCCCCGTCAAGGAGTTTCGCCATCGTTGCTTCTGAGGGTACAAACACATGGAGTATTTGGCGTTTTCTTAGCTGTCAAAAGGGTTTCGTAATGCCTCCCAGGGTACGTTCATTCGCCTGAAACAAAAAGCTGTGAGACTGAAGACGATGGTCGTCAACGAAGCACCGGATAGAGCTTGGCGTGAGGCCGTCAGATCTCAATGGTGTGCGTTCTGTACCTCAATCAATAGTCATCAGCAGCAAACTCGTTTTGCGTCTCGCTCGGCAGCTTTGCTCACATGAACTGCACTTCGAAAGCGGTAACACATCCGGAGTGGGCAACCTGGGATCCACTGCTCACTGACGCGGAACAGTGATATGCCAAAGATGGGAACACTTGGAAATACTCTCCCAAGAATATTGTCAACTCAAAGCAAAGAAGCGAGGTTTCTTGTGGTCATGCCACGTGCATCATCATGATTATCAACTGTCGATTTGACTTACGCGTCGTGGTTGTCTCTTGGTTAATACGAACTGTCCTGCCGTTTCAGTATCTGCCTGGAAAAGGGTATTCGCATCCTCGCAAACAAACAGCCCGCCGCTCAAGCATTCCCTAGATCCGTGCGGCGCGAGTCCAAACCGACCAGGTCGTCGGCCCTGTGAGCGCGATTCAGTCAACTGTGGCACATAAAGAGCAGCTTGTTCTGACTGGCGGGCGCTCATTCATCTATTTATAGGGCGAGTAACAGCAATAGCAACAGCAGTGTTTTTATTATTAGATGGAAAATTCGCCCGGCTGGAGCGGCACCAGCCGAATGGTCTCAGATTGACAATTGGCGTCCGTCTTTGGACATTAATCGATCCTCGGCCGGTAAACAAGCGGACAGCGGTCAAGTGGAGCACGTCCCGTGGAACCAATATTGCGGGTTGCCTTTGCAGATCGGCCACAGCTATGACAGCTTTGATAGCTCCTTCGGGTAGCTATGTTTGCCATTGAAATTTGCGCCGACTCCCCTTGAATGGCTGCTCAAAAGCTCGCGCCAATCATCTGCTCTACTCCAGGGGAAAGGCTGAGATTCAATCACCGCCACCGAGCATTTCCTCGTGTGAAAAGGTGTTGGCAGCATGTCAAGATGACGCGGGAGGCTTCCCAGAAGCAAGCAGAGTGGACGCCGCCCCATCTCAAAGATCCGAAAACCCCGCCAAACCAAGACACCTCATGGTTAGTTTGGGAGCCCCATAATATAGTGATACTACCAGCTCAAAGCTCTGATGCTCTGCTGCCGGTAAGTATTGCTGGAGAACCCGGACATACGGTGAAATCCCTCCCTTGGCCTTTCCAAGTGTTGGTGCTTGCATCGGCAGGATAGGAGAGTGGCCACCGCCGCTTGATCCGTCTGGCACTGGCAATTGGCTGATCCGTGAGGCGGCCAAGCACACCGGAGCAATAATGAGCAGAACTAGTGGCCGTCCGAGTCTAGCGCTAAAGCCGCAAGCTGCGCCGCGTGGCTCCATCTCAGCTTGGCCATCAGCTCCTCCGGGAGCTTTTCTGTAATTTTCTCTTGGTATGGAGCAAACCATGACAAGATGGCTTTCGCCGATAATGGCTAGGAGAAGGCAGACTTGGATGAGGCGAAAATCTCATACAAGAAGCAGTCCGAGCCTCTCTCGTCCTTGTCCTTGCCGTCCACCCTGGTCGCCTCTCCCCCGCTAATAGTGAGATCGCCCCCCAGATCTCTGTCAATCACTGTTGATTAATTGACTTGCCTTCTCTGCCGGGACTTTAGCCTCTGTCGTTCTTCCTCGCCTCGCCTCTTTTTCCTGCTTTTCCCCCGCTGCCTATCGAGGCCGATATAATCCGAGAGAGAGAGAGAGACAGAGAGGAGACAGGAGACGACAGCAAACGCGTTGTATCATGAGGTCGACGACGATGCGCTCAGCTCTTGCGCTGCTGGTCGCGGCCCAGTATGCCGAAGCAGCCGATGCAATGTTCCCGCGGGCAGAGTCTGGAGATGGCTATTTGTCGATTCCCGTGGGAACAATCCAGAGGCCACACAAGGTCGGCAAAAGAAGCGCTATTGATGCGGTGCTAGAGAATATGGATTTCTTTTATGCCATAGAAAGTGAGTTTTGCTGCGAAAAGAGGGAAGAAACAATAGTCTTGGACACTGGGCGGGAAGCTGTAATCACTGCAACCCAGGTGGGCAGTTTTTGCTTGCTTGAGCGGCGTCAGCTCTGTCTTGGAGACCGCTTTTTGCCTTACTTATCCCTGCCGTCTTCGCTCCATCTCCCCAAGTTAGAGTATGGCATGTGAATGGTCCGGAATACTGACATGGATTTTTTTTAAACTCCAGTTGGCCTGGGAACACCTCCTCAGAACGTAACCGTCCTCGTCGATACAGGATCCAGCGAGCTCTGGGTCAACCCGGACTGCTCAAATGCACCGTCCCGGCAGCAAGAGCAGCAGTGTCAGACTCTGGGCCAATACAACCCTGATAGATCGAGAACGCCGCCCGTTGGTCCGTTTGGGAGCGAGGAAATCAACTACGGCGATCCATCCGACTCTTCCACCCAGACCTCTGTCGACATCACGTATTACGCCGACGTCCTAAGCTTTGGTAAAACGCAGGTTAAGAATCAAACCTTTGGTGTTGTCACGTCCAGCCAGGGTCAGTCGCAGGGCATCATGGGCCTAGCCCCAGACGTTCGAGGAGGATTCCCTGGAGACGAGCCGTACAGCCTGTTGCTCAACACGATGGCTGACCAGGGCGTCATTGCGAGCCGCGTCTTTTCCCTCGATTTGCGCCACGCGAGCTCTGAAACGGGAGCCATCATTTACGGAGGCCTGGATCGCAGCAAGTTTATTGGTTCTCTAGAGGCACGACCCATTGTGCCGGGCATTCAAGGCGAGACTCGCCTCGCCGTCAATCTCACCACGCTGGGCCTTACCCTTGATCAGTCACAGAGCTTCAACCTAAGGTCGGCCGACACAAACGTGATGCTGGACTCGGGAACGTCGCTCACCCGCATGCACTCGGCAGCAGCTATACCCATTCTCGAAGCACTGGGCGCTCAAGATGATGGCGAGGGCTACTATTACGTGCCGTGCTCGACTCGCAATGCAGGCGGCAGCGTCGATTTTGGATTTGGCAGCAAGACGGTTCGCGTCGCCTTTAGTGATTTCATCCTCTCCGCGGGCGACAGCTCAGGCGATGGCTCGGGTGACGACGACAACTCCCTGTGCTATGTCGGCCTTGTCCTTACTACTGACCAGCAGATTCTGGGCGACACTGTACTGAGGGCTGGATACTTTGTTTTTGACTGGGACAATAAACAAGTCCACATTGCCCAAGCCGCCGACTGTGGCAGCAGTGATATTGTCGCTGTTAGTAAGGGAACTGGCGCTGTGCCCAATGTCCAAGGCAACTGTAACGCCAACGCCGCCACTGTTACAGGCACAGGTGGTCCTACGGTGAGTAAAAGCCATTTCCCCTCCCCCATGTCAGCCCGATAACATCTGGCTAACGACACCTTTTGCTGTTCCAGGCCACAATAGCGACCTCCAACAGTGGCCCAACCGGGACAACCACGACTGTATTCACTGTGACCTCATGTCCAGTCTTCGACATCGGATGCAAAACCGGCGTCGTCACAACCCAAACCATTGGGCAGGCCGAGGCCACGGCCTCACCCAGTGCCACCAGCACCGGGGGTGGCTCTGGCAGTGGTGGAGGCGACGAAGACGGTGGTGTGCGGCCTCAAGCTTTGACATGGGTTCTTGTAGTCCTGGGAACTTTGACTTTGGTTATCAACATTGCATAGGTAGCCGTCCGCGGAGTCTTGGTCTTTTCCCTCTTGCCCTCTCTTGCTGCTTGTTTATATCCCCTCTGCTTCGCATTTAGCTGTATATACGGATGGGCTGTGCGGCCGTTGATCTTTGGTTAGTGTTTGAATAGATGATTGCATATATGTTGTATACCATGCTCCGTGTGTAAACCAGAGAATGTATCCGTGTTATCTGCGTATGCTGCGAAGGGGCAGTATTGGTACCGCTTTCGCCTGTTGCCAGGTGCCTAGCCATATGAATTGCTAGAAAGGCACTAAATCGGCCTAACCACCAGCACCCTCCTCAATGCCACCGTTTTTTAAAAGACATGATGTGTCTGCCGCGCTGGAAGCTCTCGAGTGAAGCGGGGCCATGGAGATTGAGTCCTCGCTGGAGGGGAACAGTCCCACAGAAATAGCTGACAGGCAGATCGAAAAAGACTTTGTTCCTACTGTGCTGGAGCGGCTCAACGTCAACGGAGACATGATTTTGCTTGTCGGCACCGAGTGTAAGCTCAAGCAACAGTCGTATCCGTAGCAAAGGTTGCGAAACGCTCAACATTCCATTCAGGTCGCCTTCTATCCTCGGCTAAATCGCCTCGTTATGAGCGCCCGTCCAGTGATTGTCGTCGAGAATCCGAGCGTCCGAGTGGAACACCTCGTCTCGGAGACTCGGACAAGGGAGAGGCGAAAAGACAAGTTTGAGAGGTCGGTAAACTTCATTGTGGAAAGGCCCGGTCGGCACCGCGGAGTAGTCTGGGGTAACCTGGAGAATAGCGTTAGTCCAAGGTCCAGCTGCTGAACGCCACGGCTAGTACTGCTACTATCCTCACTAGGTAGCATTATTACTCCGCACCGTAGGGCATGAATGTCGGAGCAGTGTGGCTCTGGCGTTGCGGAGAAGCGCCGAAACCTGAATCGTGCTGCCTGGAAGAGGCGCTTGGGTTCGTCCTGTTCCTGATCAACTGACAGAGAGGTGGGTTTTGACAAGAAGAAGAAGCAGCGGAAGAAGAAGAAATGCAAAGAATGGTACATATATAAAAGGCATTTCGAATTGAGGCCCTTCAATTGTTGGAGTACTTTGAGGATTTTTTCAAGTTGTCTGAGTTGTCGAGGGAAAGAAGAGGTCCGGGCGGTTGATTAGTTGATCCTTGCCCAACTGCCCACTCAGTGGCATGGAGCGCTACAGTTACAGCACAGTTGCAGCACAGTTGCAGCAGTTACAGCACCTAAAACCGGCGCAGGAACCGCAATAGCCGAATTCGACTCCCGAGTGGAGGTTCCGCAGATATGCCAGACCTCGGATCTGCGAGGTTAAATCAAATCTGAAGCTTACGGCTTACCCAAGCGCGTTGGCGATGTCTCTTTTTTTAACTTGATCCATTCATGAGCGAGCCCCATTCCCAGCTCCCCGTTTCTCTCCTATATACTCGCCTCGTTTCTGTCTTTCGACCTTTCTGTCCTTCTTTCCTCCTTTCCTTTTTCTTTGTATATGCGCATTCTTCCCCTCCAAGCTCACCGGCTAATTCTGGTTTATACCCCCTCTTCTTCAACTAAAGCTTCTACAGGAACAGCTCTAGACAAGAAAAGAAGAGAAAAACAGAATCGGACGAAGAAGAAAACACCATGGTCTTCACACCGCCGGCATACATTCCTCAATTGCCAGGTTTGTCTCTTTTGCATCCACGCGCACCTTCACTCAAGAAACAAGCTAACTCGGCGAGGGCAGAATGTCCAGACTCCATCACCATTGAGGAATTCCTACGTGATGAAAAGTACGGCAGACTCCCGCTGGCCAAGTCCAGAAACCCGTACACATGCGGCCTCACGGGCAGGACCTTCACCGCCGCTGAAGTAGCTGAGCGGACAGACCTGCTGGCGCGCGCAATTGGCAAGCGACTGGGCTTCAACCCTCACGAAGATACCGAGTGGGAGAGAGTCGTCGCGGTATACTCAGGCAACGCGGTATGCTAAAGAGAAGAAGAAGAAGAAGAGCCCGCAAATCTTAGCACTGATAACCCATCTCCTGTCTCCCGTCTTCTGTCCCATGCCACCCGCACCACATCTCCGAAACATAGCCGAAGCTGTTACTCTTCAAGCTACGAGTCTAACGAGACAAATCCTCCAGATCGACTATCTTCCCCTTACGCACGCCATCCATCGTCTCTCCGGCATCGTCACGCCAGCCAGCGCCGCATACTCTACGCAAGAGCTCGAGCATCAGCTCCGTACGTCGGGATCCAAGGCCGTCTTCACCTGTGCACCTCTGCTTGACAGTGCGCTCAAGGCTGCCGACGCGGTGGGAATCCCCCGAGATCGCATCTTCATAGTGCCTATTTCGGGCGTCGACAATCCCGCGTCATATGTGACCATTGACGATTTGGTCGCCGAGGGCAAGAAACTGCCGCCGCTGAAGCCTCTCCAATGGATCAAGGGGCAGGGAGCAAGGCAGACTGCCTATCTGTGCTATTCTAGCGGCACTTCTGGCATGCCGGTAAGTAAGCTGATTGTTGTTCTGTTATCAAAGTCCAATAAGAGACATTGTTGGATTACAAGTGGAGAACAAATTCATCTTGAGAGTGCTTTCTGTATTTGAGGCTAACCAAAGTCCCCTCGTCAAGAAAGCCGTCATGGTCTCCCATGCCAACGTAATCGCCAACGTCCTCCAGGTCGTCGTCTTTGAGAACATCCCCCGCAAGAAAATCTGCGTCGACACGCAGAATTACCTTGCAGTATTACCGTTTTCTCACATATACGCACTGGTCCTAGTCTGCACCGTCGGACAGTATCGCGGCGACCAAGGCATTGTGCTGCCAAAGTACAACTTTGACGATCTACTCGGTGCTACTCAGCGCTTCGGCATTCAGCAGTTATTTGTCGTCCCGCCGATGCTCATCCACGTCATCGGCAACCCCGACAAGGTCGCCAAATATGATCTCAGCAGCGTGCGCTTCGTCTACTGCGGCGCGGCCCCGCTGGGCCCCGAAGTTGTCGACTCGCTGCTCAAGACGTTCCCGAAATGGCGTATTGGGCAAGGCTATGGCATGACGGAATGTTCACCTACCGTCTGCACGACAAACGAACTGGACGTGCTGTCGGGTTCATCAGGCTCTCTATTACCCGGAAAGCGGGCCAAGCTCATTGATCTTGAGGGAAAAGAGGTTACCAAGTACGATACGCCAGGAGAGCTGTTGATTCAATCTCCGGCCGTTGTTCTGGGATACTTGAACAATGAAAAAGCTAATGCCGAGACGTTTCTCCATCACGAAGACGGCCGCTGGCTGCGAACAGGCGACGAGGTCATTGTGCGAAAGTCGGCACAGGGCCACGAGCACATCATCGTCGTCGACCGCATCAAGGAGCTGATCAAGACAAAGGTACGTCTAGCAAGGCATATTATATGCCCAAATTCTCCCCTCCAGGCATAACTAACCTGTTTCCAGGGCCATCAAGTTGCTCCAGCAGAACTGGAAGCCCACCTCCTCGCCCACCCCTACGTCTCCGACTGCGCCATCATCCCCGTCCCAGACTCTTACGCCGGCGAGGTGCCCAAGGCCTACGTCGTCAAATCCGACACCGAATGCACTGGCAAGTCCGACAAGGACGTCGATGCCGCCATCCAACAGCACGTACAGGAGCACAAGGCCAAACACAAGTGGCTCGTTGGCGGCGTCGAGTTCATTGACGCCATTCCCAAGAGCCCCAGCGGCAAGATTCTACGACGCCTGCTGCGAGACAAGGAGAAGAAGGCAAGGCAGGCCAATGGGGCGAAACTATGATGGAAATTTGGGCTGACAAAAAAATGATTTTATGATTTTGAGAGCTGCAGCTGCCCATTCTGTGCTATGCTAAGGTGTTGGCCTATGTTGGTGGGATTAGCGGTGCTGGTTGATTGAATGATTGTTTTGGATATCTACGCACTTGGTTTTGAGGTAGAATGCAAGATAGATGGCATGTACTCGTCATTTACAGGATTTTGGATACCCATGGACAAAATACACTGAAGAAATACTACAAAGGGAGTTGTTTCCACTGCTTCCACTGCTTCCACTGCTTCCAAATCATTGTTACTATAGTCACAGAGAAATACATTCGATTACACATACTCGACAGTTTCACACAAAAGACACAGGACACAATTTAGTTTTTCCAAAATGTTCATAGCCTTAGCAACAGCCAAACGGCACATGAATTGCATATCGATATTAATATTAAGTTGCCACAAACAGCCAGTCCAGCCAAGGTGTACCAAATGTTCCTCCATGCACTGCCTTTTTTTCATTGCGTTGCGCGTGGCCCAAGTACCCTCGGCTGTCCTGCCCGTATTGTGTTCGTAAGGATCGTAAGAATGATATTGCCCTGCCGTATGAGGGTCTTTTTTAAACCGCTATAATCGAAAAGTCCAGTTCCGTATACACATACACGTTCCCCCATTCTACCACTTCAAGTGAAGATTAATACATAGTGCACGTGCCCTCCCAGAGGCACTTATGAAACAAAAGCAAAAAGCCCCAAAACAATTCCAAAGAAAAAAAAAAAGTTTTTTTATTTAAAGGAAATAGATAGAGCATCCTCTACCTGTACACTGTTTTACAAAGCAGCAACAGCGGCCATGATGGCGAGACCCAGGCTCATGCCGGCACCAAGGCGGCCAGCTCCGTTGACAATGGGGATACCAGTGTTAACGGGAGGGATGGGAATGCCGGTGCCGGTACCGGTGGGGGCAGCAGCACCAGCGGGAGGAGTACCAGCAGCAGGAGGAGTAACCAGAGTTGGGGCAGCACCAGGGGCGGTCTGGACAGGAGCAGTCTCAACCGGGGCAGCAGGGGCGCTCTCGACAGGAGCACTCTCGGCGGGAGCAGTGACGGCGGGAGCAGACTGCACGGGAGCAACGCCGCTGGGCGCAGGGGGGGCGGCGGTGATGCTGACCTGAGGCACAGTGATGGCAGTCGAAACGTAGACGGTGGTGCTGCTGCCGGTGATGGTGCTGCCAGCAGAGACGCAAGGCTCGGTGACAGTGGTGGCGACGGTAATAGTCGTGTAGTCGGTGGGGGCAGCAACGGGGGTACCGGTCACGGTGATGATGGAGGTGATGGTCTCAGCACCAGTCGCAACGGCAGGGTTGGAACCGGCGTAGCCAGCGCAGATGCCCTGGAAGAAGGTAATGGCGGCGGAGATGTCATCGTCGTTCTGGCCGTTGGCGTAGAGGCAGTCAAAGACCTTGGTGACGAGGTCCTTGCTGGGGCAGAAGCAAGAAGCATCGGCGTTGCTCTTGCAGTGGGGGACAAGAGGCAGCCAGGTGTTGATGCAGCTGGGCAGGACAGGAGGGCAAGGAAGACCAGAGTCGGCAGGGCTGGAGCCAGAGTCAGTGCCAGAGGGAGCGCCAGAGGGAGTTCCAGAGGGAGCCTGAGTAGCGGCGGCGGCCTCGGAGGTCTGCTGAGGAGGAGCGCCACCGGTGATGGTGGCGGTGACAGGGCAGATGGTGGTGCTGACAGCAACAGTCACGGTGGTGACGACGGGCTTGTCGGTTCTGGCCGGGCAGTTGGTAACCTCGGGAGCACAGCTGGTGATGGTGTGGACGCTGGTGGTGAAGACGGTGGAGGTGCTCTGGAAGACGGTGGTGTAGACAGACTGAGAGGCAGGGCCAGTGGTGACAGCAGCAGCGGTGGTATCGACAGCAGCAGTCGTAGTCTCGGCACCGGCGGGAGCAGTGGTAGTCTCAGCACCAGCGGTAGCAGTGGTGGTCTCGGCGCCAGCAGGAGCAGTAGTGGTCTCAGCACCGGCGGTAGCAGTGGTCGTCTCGGCGCCAGCAGGAGCAGTGGTGGTTCCGCCGGGGATGATGGAGGTGCTCACAACCACGTCGGTGGTTCCAACAGTAGGAGTGTTGTCATAGGGAGTTGTGGCGGGAGCAGTCTCGGTCTGGCCAGCAGGGGCAGTGGTGGTCTCGGCGCCAGCAGGGCCGGTGGTGGTTCCAGCGGGAGCCGTGGCGGTGTCGACAGGAGCAGTAGTCGTCTCGGCGCCAGCGGGAGCCGTGGTAGTGGTCTGGCCAGCGGGAGGCAGAGTGTAGGCGGGCTTGGAGTGCGAGTGGTGGCCGTTTCCTCCAGAGGGGGGAGTGTAGGCGGGCTGCGAGTGAGGGGGCTTGGAGTGCTGGGAGGGAGGAGTGTAGGCAGGCTGAGTATAAGCAGGCTGCGAGTGGGATGGCGGAGGAGCATTGTTGCCGCAGTCCCAGCCGATGTGGTGCACCTTTGTCTTACAAGATGACTTTCCGCTGTTGGGGTAGACAATGGTCACGGACTTGGCACCACCGCACTGGCTGTTCTTGACGGTGGTTCCCTGGGACGAGCACTGAGCAGAGTGCTTGCAGGTAGAGCCATCAGGCATGCCGTAGTGGAACTCGAGGCGGCAGTCAAACTCGGGAGAGATGGAGAAGGTGTCGACAGAGAAGTGACCGGTGCTCTGGTCAGCAGTGATGCAAGGAGACGTCTCCTTGTCGGCGGTACAGGAGCCGACAATGGAGCGGCCGGTAGAGCCAAAGGAGCGAGCACCCAGGAGGCTATCACGCTTGCTGAAGTCGTTCTCGCAGGACCAGCCGCTGAAACCGAATCCACCAAACTGTCCGAGTTGGCCGGTAGGGAATTGGCTAAAGTCCCAGCCGCTCTGCATGCCGGGGTTGCACTGGTTGTTGGTGTTTCCGGGGCAGCTGTAAGACTTGGCCTGGGTCCAAGAGGGTCCAAGGTGGTACTGGATGGAGAGAGAGCAAGTCAGTCATCGGCGTATACAGCAAACAGAAAAGGCCATGTATGAATAGGCTGGTAGATGTCTGGTAGATGTCTTACAGTGGCAGCAACTTGCTCCACGCCGGCCGCAGCCAGGAGAGCGAAGGCGGCAGTCTTCATGGTGAAGGTAGTGAACGATAGGAGATCGCGATCAAGCGTCTAGAAACTGGACAAAAAAATATGGATGACGAATAAAAATATCGATATGAAAATACTCTTGTTGAGTGGCTGTAGTTTGTAGTTGCGAGGAGCAGTGGTTTGAGGGATGCAAAGATAACGAATGACTTTGACCCGAAAAGAGAGACTGGTGAGATTAGGAAAAAAGAGGTGAAGAGAAGAAAGAAAAATAACGACACAAAGGACTGATGAAACTTGGAGAGAACTGCAAAGGATGGGCCGAGGGCATAGCCATCTATATAGCCGTATCCAACGAGGCCAGAGCCCTTTGTTGGAGACGCTTTCATGCTGGGCGCTTGAGCAGGCGCAAAGCCTCACCCCCCTGCAGCCTGGGAAAGGTCGAGGCAAGAAAGCAGATCCCTGTCGGGCCCCATTGTGAAGCGCCGGGAAGCAGGTTGAGGCAATCTCGAGTCAGCGTGCGAGAAGCGACTCCAGGCACGGAGTGCTGTTTCTGGCGGGACGACGGCCAGAGCATTGGATGGAGTTGAAGTTGCTGGACGGCGGGACTTTTTTTGGGTGGTGGTGGTGTGGCGTTTGTGGTAGGCGGGACCTGGGCGGCGGGTACAGCGCAGGTACAGGCGCGGCCAACACACGCGGACTGGGTACTGGGCAGCTACACGGAGGCGAGTGTCGCCCTAAAAGCCGTGCCAAGACGTTCCAGGGGCGCATGGATGGCTCGCTGCCGAAACGGCTCCATGGCTCCAGGGGCTGCGCTACAGCGTTCTTGGCAGGCACGCGGCGCTTCTAGTGGTCGCTGAAGCAGCCCCTAGAAGGAGCCGGAGCCTTTTCAGGTACGGGTGGATGGACTGGTGGCGGAGGTTACAGGTTGCTGGAAGCACGCAGCGCAGTGCCTGAGCGATTGAGATTGATGGATGGGATTGAGCATTGAGGCACCTGAGCAGTAGCAGTGCTAGCAGTTTAGTGGACGTGCAGCCTCAATCCACTCACACGCTGGATTTGATCGCAATCAGTCCACCTATGGGCTCACATGCATGGCCATTCCATGAGGATGCCGGACTTGGCAAATTGACAAAGAGCCAATGCCAAGGTGAAGAAGCAGAAAGAGTCCGCAAGACCTGCCAGGGAACGAATAAGCGTCCAGCAGCTGCAAAGTGCAAGAAATTGACTGATAGGTCATTAATGCAGCATCTTTCCATCCCCTCTTTCTGTCTTTGTCGCATTACTGGAGTCTACTACTCTAGTAGTAATGGCTGACTTTGCCCTTCGCATTGCCGTTTACGTGTGCGAGAGCCAATCAAACCAAGCTTCACTCCGCGAGCCGCCATGGCCCAATCTCCCCTAAAATAGCCAATATTCATGCACGGCTTCAAGCCTCACCTGCAGGGCCGGCCGCATCTGGGGCCACCGCATGGAAACACAGCGCCTAAGCTTGCAGACAAGTTTAACCCGCGAGCCTAAAGCCCAGCCAGGTTACCGCAGTTGAGCCCACAGAAATGGCGTGGGGCCCCCTGGACGCACTTGGACTGCAGCACCTGATGCGCGGGACAAGAGCCTGAAGCCTCAAAGAATTGAAATGAAAGATGCAGCTACTGACATGGAATTGCGCCACCGTTACAAAGTGCTTGAGCAACAAAATAAGCAAGAAAAGAAACTGCAAAACATTGACGAATCGGCAAATAGAGATTGATGAGATGAAACGCATGCAGCTGACAGAAATAGGCATATGCACATGTCCAAACACCGCTGCCAGGTAATATTATAGCAGTCATCGCATTGAGTTACAGCAGCCATCGTCCGTCTCTCACGGCTCCTGCTTCAGGTTGGCCGACGCCTTTCCCCGCGCTAGACCCGATCAGTGTCTCGCTACCGCCCTGTTCCCTGTTTCTGCTGCCATATGCGTGTCTTCCCCGTGAAACTCCTACCGGCCTTTTCTGCTCTCAACTTTGTCGTCGTTTCTTTTTTGGCAGCCCACCGTTTTATTTTTATCTTTATCCATCCCCATCATCCGTTCGTGAGACACGCCCAGACCGGCAACGATCGTCGAGCCCGCACAGACACGATCTCTACTCTAAAACGCCACCCTTGTCGATACCACCCATCTATGTATGTACTATTAACAGTATGCATGTGCTCGATTCTGTGATGGCCAGGCAGCTCCAACCGGCAAGCGACAAGCCGCCAACTCCGACGGCGGCGCTTGGCAGGTCTGTATAATATTGTCCGAGAGCTCGTGTGCTGGTAGATGCAATCAATCCGTCTCCTCTTGCACCGGCTAACAGACAGAGGTGCCAGACTCGCCGCTATCCACGAACCGCTATCCCAAACTCAGACACCATCCTGTCTGCCTATCCCCGTTCTATCCAAAGCCGTCGCCCAAAGCGTGCTCGTGCCTGGCCTTGTCAACCAATCCATCCCGTGCCATGCTCCTCCCGGCCTCGCCTCGCTCAGGCTTTGCCCATCAATCTTATCCAGCCCCAGCTAGCCTCTCGCTGTTGGTTGATGGCGGGAGCCTCCATCAACACTGCCTCCGCCACTAAATCCCTGCCGTCGAATTGGCCAGACCACGGGAGAAGGCACTTTGCCCCTGTTTGTTAGCGGATGAAAATCTCCAAGCGATGTCTGGCGGCCCCGTTTGCACACGGCAGGCCTGTCTGCTTGCGAGCAATTCAACTTACAACGTAGATACCCTTACCAGATATCCATACCCGGCACGTCGGACTTCGGATAGTACTACTAGATACAACAACACCTGGGAGCAGAACCACGGGATTCGCTAATATCCTGCTAGTCCTTGTCTACGCCAACTAGATCGAGCGATGCTAGCTCTACCTACTACAGTAGAGGCACCAAAAAGCGCGGAGCTTGGAGAATGGAGAGTTCCCTACTCAGCTTCTGCAGCTCAGCAGTATTCTTTCGCAAGTGCTACCACTCTATGCTACTTTGGTCGTCTTTCTCTGCCCTAGTTGGGTTCATCCTAAATCCCCGAAGCCACATTTCTCCTTGTCCTTGCCTTTCTTGGCCATTACAATGCTTGCTACGCTGGGGCAAGCGTTTATAATCTCCGTACAGTGCTCCGAACCGGCAAACTAACACGAATGACAGATGATAAGAGCAGTCACCCGAGCTTCGAGAGTACTACAGGGCACAAATATGCCAAAAAGACGGAGCAATAACCCAGTTGCTCAAAAGGGCAAGTTCCAAAAAGGAGAAGCCATCACCTGAAGCTCCCTCTGTTTACCGCAACAAAGTCAATGGAATAATTTCCTTTTATCCTTGCTATATCTTGCTACATCCTAGGCAAGCTGAAAAGTGCCAACTTCTTTGCAAAGAATCTCGTGCACGGTAGCCCAGCCATCTCCAGAGTGCTCCAGTCGGTTTCAGCTTCCGGCGGCTATACACTTTGCTGTCTGGATCTTGTAGTCAGACGCCATGACCTGCTTCTGAGCAACTTTGACGGTAAGAGAAGGTTGGCTCCAATCTTTGGCCCCACGGGTTTGCCCACTTGTCAATCTCCAACGCATGGGACAGTAGATACTCGTAAAGATACTGTCAACTCCAATCAGTTCTAGCTCGTTGACAGCTAACAGTTCCTCGCCTCTGCAGTGTCATTGAGTGTTATGGATCGACAGTTGCACATCGTCGGCTCTCTCCGAGATAGTCGCTTGCGAATCCACCGGAGAGGTCCGCACCCATGGCAGTGCTACTGATGATCTTCCACGACAATGCCGTATACGGAGTAGCTATAGTAGCATCGGTTACTAACGGGCAAGTCGTACTAACCAACAGGCGACTCTGTGCGATTCTCTTTTACAATACCTCGTATGAGCTCAATCGTTTGCTTTGTTTGACTTTGAGAGTTCTTGCAACTTGGCTTGCCAAGATCATGTCGCTCTGGCCACGGCAAAAGAATATCCGCGACAAGCCCGAACATCATGGATCCTGGTTGGGTCGCCAAGCAAGAAGCTCGTTTTTTGACTGTACCGTCTGCTAGCACCTACTACTAGCAAGCTCGCTATCAACCGGCTATCGATTAACAGTGGAGATTATACCGGGGTGCCATGTTGCTCTGATGCCTCCAGCCTTTTTCTCATACACGGGGCTGCTCTTACAGGTAGATGCTCCGGATGCTATGTACTCACACCTACTGCAACTGCCAGGACAACGAACGACCTCTCGTGCTCTTGAAACAAAACGAGGCGTTGCGAATACCGCAGCTATCAACCCCAAGCTCTGTCTGGTTACAACGAGAGCAATTTCCACTCCTGAAGCAATACCTGATTAAGTCTCTTTTTGTCTGCAACCCAGCGGATGCTACCTCAGGTGAAGAAACTCATACGCTGCTAAAATAATCCCACCCTCGTATCATTCAGAGGAAAACGCGCATGGCGTGATGTCCGAATCACACGGCTCACTAACAGAGAACGACTCCATACATACTACACATGCACGCAACCTACTGTCTGAATGCTCTTCTTCAAGCATCCGGCCGACAGACGAGGTGACTCGGCAGAAAAAAAGGAATGGTGTTTCAAATACGAGCATAACCTGAAGCAGCCATCCGATCGAACGGAGGTGGCGAAGCTCGACCCCATCCATGCGTCGGGCCCACAGGGTCTTCTGCCGTTCTACTGGGGCTACTCTGGCGTGGCGTCGGATCGCCCAATAAGCATTGCTCGCTACGGTGCAAGTCAGGTACAAGTGCGATCCGGGCTTGACAGAATGAACTTGGTTGCTTGGTTAAGCCGTTACTAATGTCAGGACCCGTCGGAACCTACTCGGCTGCCGTTGATTGTTCACAGTCTCGGCTAGAGCAACGTCGTTGCTGTTACGAGAAATACTAGGAGGAAAGCAAGAGTTCGAATGCAATGGGCAGCCAATTGCCCGCCTGGAGCCACACACTGGTTTCCTTTGCTTTCTTTCTGACTTGGAATGCTGCGTAGACTCTTTGAATGGCAAGATAACTTGCTAGTATTACCTAGGTTTGGCCCCATTCTGCATGGCTCCCATACAGATTGCGAATTGATAGTTACATAGATCAAGTATCCTTTTGTTTACCTCGGATTCACTTTCTGTTTCTCCGATAGCCGCGGACGAAAACTCGACCAAGATGATTATTCCTACTCCAGGGTGGGCGAAACCACCTATTGGCATTTTGCAAAGGGGCACGCGAAAAGTGCCCTTGCAATTCTGACGGTGAAGAACCTGCGCATGCTTAATCTTGGTATTACTCTCTAGGGGGGTGCCTCTTGCAGCTAGAAAAACGCTCGGGTATTCTCCCTGAGTACATTACCGTTTTGAACCGCCAAAGAAGGTCAAAACGTGGTACTCCATGAGACTGTCTGATCAGTATCAGAGAGCGAAGCATCATGAAATTCTTAACAGCAAATGCTGTCCCTCCCTTCTCATTCTGCTAACCTTCCTGCAGGTAAAGGTTTACTTCGAACTCTTTCGCACCCGAGACCCATCGTCATCGTCGGTTTTGCAACAATCTATAAAGAAATCGCGATTTATTCAAGAGGAGAAGAAACCAAATGACTCTCATGAAAGCCATCTCCATGGCAAAAACTATTCTACTAGGAGAGCACGATCCCAGCATGCCTCCTATATCATACCATCTCCTTTAATAAAACACGTTTTTAGTTGAGCTGCCTCATCGCATCCGAGAGAATTTGACGCTGCCCACGCGACCATCTGCCATACGCCTATGACGCAACGAAGAATACAAAAGGAATAGAAAATTACAAACGGGGGGTATGATGACAAGTTACTGCGCTGAATTGCGAGTCAGTGAACATCTTTGCCCTGTTATCGTAGCTCAAGTGTGCTCGGTAATAGACCACAGATGATAGCTGTACAAGGGTATGATTTCGAGACTCGCTTTGTGATGCTGATATGGCTCGGATTGACAGATCGTCCTGGATCGTCCTGAAAGTCAGACAAATTCATGACGCTCTTGATGCACTGCATTTGGCGACCAAGGAGCAAGCTTGCAGGGTTGTGTAGCCATCTATCTAAGTCGTAGGCGTGATCCTAGCCAACGCATCTTGCATTCATTAGTAGTGTATCCGATGGATTTGAGGTTCTGATAAGTGTATTAAAGCTATTGGCCCCTTGTCAGATAAAGGCGGTCGTGGCTACCATTTTCTCAATTGAGAACGCAAAATATTACAAGCGTCATTCATGTGTTTAGATGGGTAGCAGCTTGAACGCTTTTTCGTAGACCATTTAGATGGACCGCTCATTCGAGAATCAATGCCTTGTTTAAAGGCCTAGAGGCCTTTGACAGGATTCGATAACAACAAAATCAACGACAACAACAACAAAAACAACAAAAACAACAACACGCTAATCTCATCAACATTGCAAAGGCAAAGGGAACAGTATACTATGTTGCTCCACTGCGTTGTACAAGCAAGCCATGGTCCGGCTATGTTTGTCGAGATGACTGACCTTCCTCAAATGCAAGCTGATCATACTGCTTTACCAGATTTTCAAGCCGCGCTCCATCGGGATCTGCCTCTTTGCTTCCCATTGTCAGAGGATAATGAGATTGGGCGTATTTTACCAGTAAAGGCTCTTCGGGGGCAAGCGGATCCCAATCCACATGATTTTGAAGAAGCTCTAAATCTTTGGGCTCAAGTCGATCCCGCAACAGTCGATAGATGACTGAGGTAAGGTGGATGTGCTGGCCCTGCTCATACAGCCCTTTGAGGCTCAAAATAATCGTCGACTTGAGAGACCTGGCAGTGCTCGCTTCATGGGCAGGAGTTGCTTTCAACGCGTCCATGGCGGCGCCAGCTACGAATGATAGGTGGATCGTCAAAAAGGAGTCGCAGTATTCGAAGCTGTGGCGGATGTAGTAGAGCCGCGTGACGGTCTCGAGGCGAGAGGCTGCATGAGAAGCAGTACTATGCGCTGTTTCTTTTTTGAGGATTGAAGGCTCTGAGATGCCGGTTTGCTTCGAAGAAAACAGGATAGTGGCTAGATACATCTCCATACTTGATGAAATTCCCTGTCAGCATCCGATCAAATTCATCGGCTTGAAACTGGTGAACAAGGGGTGGAGAAAGAAATGGAAGAGATATAGAGGCATATAATGGAAATGTAGAGCAAGAAAAGCTTACTGCAATTTGAGCTGCCATGGAAAGACAATACTTTGAGGAGAGAGAGCGGCGGGTAATTCCGAAAACCACTTCTCAAGCCTCGAAAACATAGACAAAACGGGCTCTGGAGAGTCTTCAGAATCTGGAGTCTCATCGTAGCCAATTGCGGCCATGTCGTGGATAATTGCACGCAAACCAGATACCGCCTTGAAGTGTTGTCCGCACTGCGCCGGGACAAGCCTCGAACTGAGTGGGTACTGGAGCATGAAATCTCCATACCAAAACGGATGCTTCTCTGGATCAGGCAGCGGTATGGCTGGCGGGTCTGGAATCAGAGGAGGCCGATAGTAGTAGTACGATTGTATACTGTCGTTGAGATTAGACCAACGTGTAAGTGGTGCCTGAGTAGGCATGATCAAAGAGAGGGATGCGACAAGACAAACATACCACTGCCAGTTGAAGAGAGCCCATGCAGAGAAAACTCGGGCGTGGAACATCCTTTCGTTGTCTATTTTCGCATGATCACCAAATAGATCCAGCTGCCGAGCCTTTTTGAGAGCGTGGTTGAGATAGATCTCGCCGATTTTATCCATGCCGTTGTGGCTGTAGACGAGATTCAGGAGTGTGGCAGCCTGTACGGTAACCAGGTCTACTCTGGTCCTTTCCAGCTCCCACAGGCGTATAGCTTCGGCTAGGAAGCGATATTTAAGGCCCTGAGGGTTCCAAAACTGCTCGCGGTTAGGTATGCCCATATGGCAGTGCTACAGATCAATCAGCTCATCAGCCCCTTTGTCCTTTCATCCAATCGGTCAGAGTTGGTGCCCAGTTTACTTACACAAGCCTCTGCTAACAGGACATTGACGAGTAATGATGAGCAAAATCGCCCGTCATTGTTGATCATGGCCTGGAAGAATATGTCCTTGTGAAATACAGGAAAGGTCGGGTACTCGTGTAGGAGATAGGCCCGCAATAGTGTTCGCATCAGGCGGTCGTCAGCGATTACCGCGGTCCATTGGGAGGGTTTGGCGAGATCAATCAGAGGATCGAGGACCTCAGCGGCATGGTATGGTCGCATGTACACATTGTGATATCGGCCCAGTCGCGTGTCTGCCGAAGAGGAGTCGGATTCTTCATCGCTGCTGTCATCATCAGGCTGGAGGAACACAGTCTCGTATAGCACCGACTTGAGATACGGATTGTCTGGTGTTTGAAGACGGAGTGGCATGGTGGGGAGATAGGGAAACTGATAGCGTCTCCTGGTCTCTGGAACAACGGCGAGCTGGAATACAAAGTCGCACTCTTTCATCTGCTTCAAGAGGTATTTGGGATCTACACCTTGGCGTACGAGGTTGAACATGGTCATTGCATCTTTGTCCGAGCAGTTTTGAAGGGTGGAGAAGATCTCTTGGAAGGACGTGGTTTTTTCATTTTCCTCCAAACATTTGCGCTTCAAGGCAGCCGTGAAGTTTTCTCCGCGATACGCCGAAGGGTACTGGCAAAGAATCTCGCGGCTTTCGCAGCTTGAACACCGCGGTCGAATTCCATCGCACTTTTTCAAAGAATTAGCATCGTCAACATGATACCAAAAACCTGCGGCATGTGGCTATAGCAAATCTCGCAGAGTGTGTTTGGCTGCATACCTTGATTTTCCGCTTACGGCACGACTCGCAGGCAACGTTGATAGTCTTTCTCATAGGCCGAATCACCGCAGCTGGTGGCTTAGAGCTGGGGCCAGGTGTAGTCCCCGTCCCGGTTTCTGCCAGAAATGTGATTTCGTTGACGATGGGCAGAGGCTTTGCAGCAAGCCGACGATATTTGTTCGGCGGCGAACTGCGGCCCGACATTGTCAAGGATGAGACGGTTCCAATGCTTACGGTACTGACTCCGCTGCACAATGGCAATGGTTATATTCGAACAGCGGAGCAGAAGAAGGGCAAGCAGTAGAAGCAGGAGAAGCGGAAGAAGTAGAAGCAGACGAAGCAGTAGAAGCAGGAGGAGAAAGAGGCGGAGGCGGAGAAGAGCATCGTCTTGTGAACGAATTATATAGGCCAAAGATGCTCCATGCTAGGCTTTGCCAGGACTCGGGGTCTTTCGCCGCTCGCTCCCTGATTTTGCGGCAGCGATGATCTGAGTGGGCTAGTCTAGAGGACGGAACCGTATCCGCCCGCGGCCCCTCTTAGACGATGTCCCCTTATTGGCTCTTGTGCAAGGAAAATCTTAAAGTGTCTTAAAACTATCTCACATGGATTTGTTGAGATGTGACAGTTATACGTCGCCCGCAGTAGCCAGGCAAAATATTTGATACCAGTACTAGACAAAGGAGGAAAAGAGCAAATCATGCTCATTGGAGCACGGGACGAAAACCGGACGTCTGGGTAAGCACCAATCAGAGGTAGTCTCTGCGTTCGGGGTGGCGTCCAATAGCAGCAGACTCTATACATCGATGATAGACAGGCGCTGGCTAGCCTCTCCGACTTGCCTTCTTGCCATGCGAGACATTTCACGCCTGAGCCCTGGTTGCTGGCGGCCTCGGCTAGGGTGCTCCATCTCTGCCGTGTTGGCTAGCATCATGAGCCGTGTGGGCCGCAGCGCTTTGACAGCCTTACTAGTGGATGGTCGCCCATGGGGCTGGATCTGGTGTGCCCGAGGCGAGATTTGACGCGGCGAGAAGGCGATCAGGAGAAAAAGAAACGAGACGAGGCAAAAAGAAACGAAGACTATTGATCACGTTGGCGCGTTCGGGCCACACTTTCCAGATGATGTACCTATTCTGCTTAGGTCTAGTAGTTGATAATAGAAAAGCATCCCAAGACCAGCAGGTCTAGAACTTGCCTACGTAGGCGTTGAAGTTGTACGTCTGGCACGAGTTGGTGATATCCTTGGCACTCTGGCCGCCCAGGATCTGTTTGCCACCGCGGCTGACACTGAATGACTGTTTTCCAACACCCATGGTGAAGTTGAAGACATGGACCCCGGCGTCAGCATTGACGGTGATGGGTGCCACATTTCCACTTGTGACAGTTAGCTGTGCGGGCTGCGTGAGCAATGTGCTGACAAAAACAAGATCGTGCATCAGCTCTGCTCCTCGAGGAATGCCCAACGAGTCGCTGCTGCATTGGGTGCCGTGCGGGATCGTCCGGTACCAGTAGACAATTTCGTCCGCGCTCACTGTTGGAGAAGATGCACCGGCTTTGTACGCAGCAATGTATGGCTTGTAAATATCGCGCCAGCCGTCATGAGGGAACCCGTTTGCCCATTGGGAGGATCCGTCGTCGCTATGATTGGGCTCGGAGCCGCTATATAGATCACGATACGTCAGTAACGCTCATTATATACAGCAAGAGAAAAGAAGTAAAGGGGGCAAAGAGAATGGCTAGCGCTGGCTTACGAGATATAATGGCTTTCGCCAAAGTCTGTAACAATAAACGCCTGTTAGCGAATCCTAATATGATAGAGGCCCCTCTTTATCCTGAGCAGATGAGCGTATACTTACCATTCCAAGTTATAATTTCAACAAGAGCAGGCTTCATGTCGAGAATCTGTTGCCATCGGCGGACTGGCTGCTCTTCACATATGAACACCCAATTCTTAGTATTGAAGTGAGTCGAAAACCACGGCGAGACAGCTGGCAAAGGCAAAATCAGCTCGTAATCCAAGGCTGAGACTTTTCTCTGCAACTTACGTGCCATGTAGGGTCGACCATTCAGGCCCTGTATGTACCTCTCGTCCCAGATAGTCGTCATTGGCCCGTCGATGACGCTGTTCCCGCCGTCTGTAGGCCAAGCATACCACGAAAAGGCCCCGTCAACGCCAAACTGGGAATTAGCACTCCCACTTGCAGTAGGGTCCTGCAAATTGGGAATCACCGTGAGCTTCTGGCTGCCCAAGGCACTCTTTACGGCATTCCAATTAAAGGAATCGCCCACAAAAGTGCTCACGAGAGCGCCTCCATTGAACACAGCCTGAGCTGAATGGTTAGCGTATTTTCCGACAAAGCTGGTGATGTTTCCTGTGTCGCCGTTGGACCAATACGCAAAGTCGAACGAAATGAACATTTTGAAATTGAGCTGCTGCGCCGCTGTATATGCGTTATCCAGCTGCTTTGGCGTGTAACTATCAACCCAAGGAGGGGCGCAGTTCAGAGCAAAGCCATCAATGCCAATAGCTTGGGCTTGTTGGATCTCATTCACCCAATCTTGAACAGTAAAGTTCTCGACAATTCCAACCTTTGCATCCCAGAGTCAGCTTGAGTGTCACCACAAAGAAATAGAGAGAGAATTGTACCATGAAATGAGCAAAGACTGGCTTAGAGCTCTGTGCGTCGGCAAGGGTCAGAGTATTTGCCAGTATCGCCGAAACGGTTGCAAGCCAGCCAGCAAACTTTGATGCCATTGCGAATACGAGTTTCCCGGGAAGGGTTTTGTATATACCAGGATCAACACCAGATCAAAATATTTCTTCGGTTTAATAAGCCTTTGCAGTTTCCTGGATCTGTAACGGGCATTACAACTATATATATGTATAATGTCAGTCTCGTGTGCATAGTTCCCAGCCTCAGAGACGGGCATTTTGCGGCGGGAGCGTGCCCAGGTTCGCTGCAAACCAAAAAATACCACATACCTTTATAGGATAGACTCATCACAGAAGCCGACTTTAGCTCTGCGGGGTATGAACAACGATGGCATCCAGATGATCACTCATGGTGTAGACACCCCCGGCGATTTCTCGGACTGGAAACGAGTTGCTGCATTGCCTTGGGTGCAATGCGCATCGCCCTCATCAAAATAAGCTTGATCAAAACCTCCGAAGGGTTAAGCCTACTCCAAAGCCTATTCTTAATAAATAGAGCCAGCATACTCGTTCCGCATCAGATATCCAGCTTCCTTTCCCGAACGGAATTAGCAGCCATCCGTCTGCCAATGTAACACCGCTCCTTGGCCATCGGCCCGAAGAACTGCATACTTCGGCACATTGGAACTCGGCTTTGGCTTTCGGGTTTGACTGCAACGCCAAGTGACATGAAAATATCCGTCGTATGATGAAGGATGAGTAGGGTATAGGTAGACCCTAGATGCTTCTCCCAGCAGGAAAAAAACAAGGACACCTGGAGGAATGCCGCCTCATGAATCCTTTTTGCAAATGGATTATCAGCGGGGTCGTAGCCAATCGGAGGACTCGGTTATGCAAGATTGTTAGTTGTTGCCGCATAATCAGTATACCAATGAGCATAATAGACCAGCCACGCAGTGATGATCTTGGAACTTACAAAAATGAGTAGTTGCTCTGGTATTAGCATCTATCCTTTGCAGCAAAATGTGTTCACCGGGCTCGGCATGATGGCGTTGGGTGGTGAGGAGTTGGAGGAACGCCGCGCTAGTCCGGGGTATAGTTCAGCTCGTCCGCGAAAGCAGCGGGGGAAGAAGATGCCGTTGCTTACGACGTCGAGTTGAGAAAAAGGATAAGGCTGATAACCCTCTTTATAAACCCCTTCTTCGCCAATACCAAAGTATACTGGGGTGGCAAGGCATTACACAGCACGTGTGTTCCACTTCGAGTTGAGTTCACTCTGCGAGCAGGCAAGCATAGAGCTCAGATCCAGATCTCACAGTACTGTGCTGTGCTATGTATAGTTGAAGCAAGGTTATCGCTTGAGGAGATGTGCTTTGTACTGGCAGTCCAGAATGATGACATCGAAGTCATTTCTCGACGAGGAAAAGGCGTCCCTCTATTCCTAGAGCCGGGTCCTTTCTATATAGCGTTTTCACTTTACAATTACTCGTTAGCTCGTACTGATGTATCGTTCCAGCGACTTTGGAATGCTTGAAATGCTTGAAATGCTTGGCCTAAGCAGAACTTACCTACCATGGCTAGAGCCCTTCCTCCATCTCTTTATATGTCTCCATATCATTTCTATTATTCGCTCCGCCGTTCGGTTCGGTCATGTTCCGTCGATGAGGTTTCTTTGGCGATGAGAAAGACTAGGCCACGTTTATATTAGTTGACGAAACCCAGGAGCATAGAGAAGAAGAAATGGCAAAGGAGGGGATATGACAAAGGTATCTGAGCCAAGTAGAGAATATCAGCACCAAAAAGGTCAATCACTGAGAAAAGGGATGACAAAAGGAGAGAAAATGAATGCCTAGTCAGATGGCCGGAGGCGCAGGAATGGCCAAATCAGGCTGGACGAAAGAATGGGGAGGAAAGACGAAATTGCAGAGATGACAGGGAGGGAGAGTCGAGACAACACAAAATGGAGCATACGGTGGAAAGCAAGTAGGCGAAGTGGCAATGAAAGAAGAGCGTCGAGAAGAAAAATGCAGAAAGTGGATGCTATGCGAAGTTTGAAGAAGTTGGTGCAGATTGCAAAGAGAGAAGAAAAAAGGTGACGACAGCGAAAAAATCCGTGGAGGAAGAAATGGTGAAGTTGTTCCTTCCGACTTTGCGCGCAGCCAATGTCGCCCGGTACTGTCGCGCTAACAAGGAACAAAATATTCTTCTCCAAATCTCATTTCACATTCAAGCATTAAATGCAATTCAAAGCCCGAATAAATGATCTCCAATGAACAAGCAATATGTTATGAAGAGCCCAAGCCAGAGGATCCGATTGGACAGCTCCCGTGCACCTTGGCAGCAATTTGTCAAATCGCTCTTATTGAGCATTAAAGTCTACTTTCAAAAATCCATGTCATCGGACTGAAATCTGGAAAACTTCAAGGACCCGTGCTTGGCCAAATTGATTGAGAAATGACATAAATAAACAACCGCCGTGTGAAAGGAGCTTCTTCTTGTAAGAGAGATCAAGATTTTCGATCGCTTACGGTACATCTTCAGACCAATACACTCAGTAAGTTGTACCGCTTTTCATACCCTATGAATGTGTTATTCTAATGACTTAAAAGGTGATCAATCATGCTACTTCTGAGTCCCAACTCCAACAACGCCGAGCTGTGAGCTGTTGCGCCGCCGACACTCTCAACGCCTTCAGTACCCGCATCTCCTCCATTACCCCAATTGATCCACCCGACAGAGGCAGAAACAAGGCCTCAGCCGCATATGCACTCCAAGGGAATTAGCGATTCCACAAGCCCAACGGGCCTGACATATCCAAAGTGGAGAGAAACCGAGCTCCAGAGTAAAGATATGGAGATGGGGCTAGCGGTATTTCGTGATGGATCTCGGGAGGCGCCGAGATGGCGCTTGGTCTTGAGGGTCTGAGAGCACAGTCTAGAAGCCCACAGAATCATAGACTTGAGCCATCACTACCCAGTATGTGCCTTACATCTTTCATGATGAGAGCATTGGAAAGACTAATCTAGTCTATAATTTACTACCTCCCATCAAAAAGTTTCTTGAACAGCCATTATCATGCCCTTCTGTAAGCTACTCCCTGGTATCATTGCTCCTACTACTCCTGTCCTTGCGGGAGAAGGTCTTTTAGTATATTTTGCAGCTCCCGTTTCTGTATTTATGCATATTGAAAAAAATTATAGGCCCCATTAGACAGAGAATAAAGCTATGATGGCGATTCCTTGCCGTCGACTTCCCAAGGTGTATGAACCTTGGCCGTCAATTGTCAGTCACATGCACTCGCCGTATTGGTGTTCTGCGAATATAGCAATGAAGAAGATACCACAACGTGAAATCCATTTCGACATACAAAACTGACTACTCCAATTTCTTAGTTGCCGTCAAATGCAAGCCATCTTCGTGAGTCATCATTGACGTCTTAAATCGAAGTGTTTCATTCACTAATTGCGCCCGTTGAATGTCTGTATTCCGTGGAGACGCGAAATTTTGGGAAGCTTAAATTAGAAGACTGTTATTGAGATTTAACTCTGGTCAAGTTGAAATATTTCTTTCTAATGGCAAGACTATTCAGCACGGTTATTCAACACGGTTTCTGCGATACCCCATGCTATAGGTGCGCTCTAGTTGCTATATTTACCCTCCAGCTGCCTTGTCCCACCTTTGTTAAGCACAAGATCAATATCAGAGTCAATTATCTTTTGAATTGTATTGATATAATCTGAGAATATTGGATTCGATTTACCCGTAGTCAATGCCCGCTTACCATCACTGCACTTCGCTTTGGACTGAGCTTGTCGTTGTCGTTCCTGAAGTCACTTTGATGTCTCAGCTGCCCATGAATTCAGCACAAAGTAATGGAATACCAATAAATCTTCTCCGTCCAATCTCTCTTTCCACGTAAGCTCTGTGTACTTGGAGATGAGGAGCTTTCACGTCTCCAATCTTGGATTCGCGGAGATTTGGTGGGGAGGGGCATTTAGCAGGGGATAATGAAGCTCAAGTAAGCCAATAGCTATCAAGGCTGAATTCTTCATCGCCAAGCCCACCACCAATGAAATCGGACTGAAGAACTACATTAGTTCAAAATTTATCCGGCCATTATTAAAAGACATATGCGCAAAATACCAATTAAAAGTCAATTCGAAGCAACATTGGCGTCAACAATCCAAGGCTGGCGGGCCATCCTCGGCAAATCAGTTTTATCACGTGACCACATACAATGACCTCCGCTATCCCTGAGCCTAACGTGTCTACGTGGTGGTTCTGAGAGGGATCTCGGCCAAACCGCCACGAGTCCAATCACAAACATCCTCCAGACCAAATCTCGCCCAGCATGAGTTACGGCAAAAAAGACGAGGATGCCGACCTGGGCCTGGTCAAGGTGGACCGCACACAGGTCTTCCAAGAAGGTACCAATTCGCCCGCAAATGCAGCTTCATCTGCATTCTCCTCACCCCACCGAGCAAGGTGGCCAGACGGATGCTAACTCGGAGGCGCAACAGCTCGATTGTTCAACAGCTCGCCAATCCAGCCCCGACGATGCCGCATTCTGCTGACCAAGATTGCGCTGCTTCTCTACAGAGGCGAGACCTTCCCCACGAAGGAGGCCACCACGCTCTTCTTCGGCATCTCGAAGCTCTTCCAGAACAAAGATGCTAGTCTGCGACAGATGGTGCTCCTGATCATCAAGGAGCTGGCCAATTCGGCCGAGGATATCATCATGGTCACCAGCACCGTGATGAAGGACACCGGAGGCGGCAGCGACGCAATCTACAGACCCAATGCCATTCGTGCGCTGTGCCGAATTATCGACGTAGGTGGATATGTTGCGCCCCATTGGAGCTCCTGACCGCGAGTTGCTAACAACGGGGGAATGGGGTTGACGAATACAGGCTACGACGGTCCAAGCTATCGAACGTGTTATGAAGACGGCCATTGTCGACAAGAATCCCTCCGTATCCTCAGCGGCGCTCGTTTCGTCCTACCACCTGCTACCGATTGCTAGGGATGTCGTCCGGCGATGGCAGAGCGAGACCCAGGAGGCGGCCGCCTCTTCCAAGTCCTCGGGTGGATTCTCCTTGGGTTTCTCTACATCCAGCAGCTCCATGCCCATGAACAGCTCGACAATGGCACAGTACCATGCCATTGGCCTCTTGTACCAGATGCGCTCGCACGATCGCATGGCCCTGGTCAAGATGGTCCAGCAGTTTGGCGCTGCCGGCGCCGTCAAGAGCCCCGCCGCCACTGTGATGCTCGTCCGACTGGCTGCGCAGCTTGCAGAGGAAGACGCCTCTCTCCGGCGGCCCATGATGCAGCTTCTCGACGGCTGGCTGCGACACAAGAGCGAAATGGTCAACTTTGAGGCTGCCAAGGCCATTTGTGACATGCGCGATGTCACCGACGCCGAGGTCAACCAGGCCGTTCACGTCTTGCAGCTGTTCCTCACCTCGCCCCGCGCAGTCACCAAGTTTGCTGCGCTGCGAATCCTGCACAGCTTCGCCTCTTTCAACCCCACCGCTGTCAGCGTCTGCAACACCGACATTGAGCTCCTAATCTCAAACTCCAACCGGTCCATTGCTACCTTTGCCATCACCACGCTGCTCAAGACCGGCAATGAGGCCAGCGTGGACAGGCTTATGAAGCAGATTTCGGGCTTCATGTCTGAGATTACTGACGAGTTCAAGATCACCATTGTCGAAGCCATCCGCACCTTGTGCTTGAAATTCCCCAGCAAGCAGGCCGGTATGCTGACCTTCCTCAGCGGCATTCTCCGTGACGAAGGCGGCTTCGAGTTTAAGCGCGCGGTTGTGGAGAGCATGTTTGATCTGATCAAGTTCGTCCCTGACTCCAAGGAGGATGCACTTGCTCACCTGTGTGAGTTCATTGAGGACTGCGAGTTTACTAAGCTGGCCGTCCGTATCCTGCACCTCATCGGTCTCGAGGGCCCCAAGACGGCCCAGCCTACCAAGTACATTCGCTACATCTACAACCGCGTTGTGCTTGAGAATGCTATTGTCCGAGCTGCCGCTGTCACGGCCCTTGCCAAGTTTGGCGTTGGCCAGAAAGACCCAGACGTCAAGAGCAGCGTTAGGGTGCTGCTCACGCGCTGCCTGGACGACGTTGATGATGAGGTCCGAGACCGAGCCGCCCTGAATCTGAAGCTGATGGCTGAAGAGGATGACGAGATGGCTCGAAACTTTGTCAAGAATGGTCAGTTTTTCTTCTTCTTTTCTCTTGTTATTTGGTTGATTCGTAACGCGCAGATACTAACGTCGCAACGCCGCTAGACAACATGTTCTCGCTCCCCTTCTTCGAGCACCAGCTCGTCATGTACGTCACGTCTGACGACAAGTCTGCGTTTGATGTGCCATTCGACATCTCCAAGATCCCCGTGGTGACGCGAGAGCAGGCAGATGCCGAAGACAGGACCAAGAAGCTTACTGCCACGGCTCCCACACTAAAGGCGCCAAAGGCTGGCCCGACCAAGACTTCAACAAGCAGTGCAGAGGCAGCGGCCACTGCCAGCGCCCAGGCACAGCGATACGCCCAGGAGCTGATGCAGATTCCCGAGATGAAAGAGTTTGGCAGCGTGCTCAAATCATCGCCCGTTGTCGAGCTCACCGAAGCTGAGACTGAATACGTCGTCAGCGTTGTCAAGCACATCTTCAAGGAGCACATCGTCTTGCAATACGAGGTTAAGAATACTCTTCCCGATACCGTTCTAGAAAATGTATCGGTCGTAGCATCACCTTCCGACGAGGAGGAACTGGAAGAAGTATTCATCATTCAGTCCGAGAAGCTGGCCACAAATGAGCCCGGCAAGGTCTACGTGGCTTTCAAGAAGCTAAATGGAGAGGCGTCGCTACCCATCTCAACCTTTTCCAACGTGCTCAAGTTTACAAGCAAGGAGATTGATCCTTCAACGGGCGATCCCGAAGACACAGGCTACGATGACGAATATGAGGTGTCAGAATTCGAACTCAGCGGTAGCGATTATGTCATTCCTACTTTTGCTGGCAACTTTAGCCATCTCTGGGAACAGGTCGGTGCCACTGGAGAAGAGGCGGAAGAGACGCTGCAGCTGAGCAGCATGAAGAGCATAGCCGGTAAGAAAGCCCTCCTTGGACTCTCCCCATCATCTTTTCCCATAGGCAGTACTAACGGAAGTAAACAGAGGCGACCGAGCAGCTGGCCAAAATCCTTTCTCTGCAGCCGCTCGAGGGAACAGACGTCCCCGTCAACCAGAGCACACATACTCTCAAGCTTTTGGGCAAGACAGTCAACGGCGGCAGAGTCGTGGCGAATATTCGCATGGCATTCTCGTCAAAATCTGGAGTTACAACAAAGATTACGGTTCGAGGCGAAGAGGAGGGCGTGGCGGCTCTTGTGATTGCATCTGTGGCATAAATGTAGGGAAGCAGGCGTTGAGGGTCATAATGTGTATCGGTGGTTAGACAAACGTCCTCTGTCAGAGTCTTATTAGTATTTTCCTCTTTTTCGTTTCTCTTTTTTTTTACTCGCTCTCGAGTGGCAGACGGCAAGCAAAAAATTATGTATTTGATATGCACAGATATATATATTGGGTATATATTTAAGAAAGAATGTGTCATATACAGCATCTCGCCCTAGTACCTATAGTGGATTGAATTCGCACATCTACCTATGACGTACAGCGCTTAATTGAGTACTAGAACTGATTAGTCATCGAGACTCATTTCCTTGCTGCTATTGAGTTCCAGTTTTATGACCTTGAATAGGTGCACATTGATAGATTGGCCATTTGTACTATCCTGCTATACTCCATATCAAGTAAGCAGCGGTGTTGAGAATGATGAGATGACTGTGTCGCTTTTGTCTATTTCAAATAGTACTTGTGTGGTGGCGATCTCACTCAGCTTGCTGCAACTACAGCCCCCCTAGCTCAGAACGTCACTCTATAAATTCCGAATTTGTTGATGGTGATATATTGACTGGTAGATCTCCCAGGCCATGATGCATTGCTTGAAACAAGCGCGAAATAGAGCTTGCTTTTTTTTTTTTTTTTTTTTTTTGTTGAGGCTGTACGAGGCGACATGATTACGTCACATGATGGCATCCTCAACCTTTTCACTCTCAACCGCTGTTTTGAGGTATCACACGGGAGCTTATAGGGTAAGTGAGGTGAGCTAAAGGCGCATGACCCCGCGATACTGTGTGGTGCGAGGGGGAAAACATTATGGAGTCCGACAGATACTTGGTATCTGGCAAGATGGGCGGAGCCAGTACTGTGAAGAACAAAAACAGGCACTACCTCTTAATAATTGACATTACCCTTTTTACTTGTCAGCTTATTCCAATTCGCAGAATGTGGCTACTAGTAGAGGTTAGTAGTGAAGAAAAACATAAAAATACGCGGTACTAGCAATTAGACTAAGGTCCCGGTACTCACGGCGCTTGAAGAGGCGTCCCCAGCAGTCAGCAGATTAGCGACGGATGCTGTGAGACAGCCTATGCTCCAGCACCGATAGCGCCAAAACCCACTAGCGATGGCTGCTGCTGCGAATCCACCAGCCCTGTTCAAAAGACGCCACCGACGATGACGGCGTCGACTTCGCGCTCCGTCGATGAATGTCTCAGCTAGCATGTGCCAAACCCGTGGGGGGGGACGAAAACAGGCTGCAACGAGAGGAACAAAAGAAACAAAAAGATATGAAACTGCAGAAACCGTCAATACCACGAGATGCATTGGGCCATGAACAAGTGAAACACAAGGACAAGAGTACGCGTAAGGCGTCCGCATGAAGACTTTCACGTGCTGGTGCCTTTAATTGTTCAATCAACAATCAAGCTATGGATTCCTCTTTCGCTCTGCAGGTGGGGCTGGACAGCAGCTTTAGCGGCTCCCTCTAGCGGCCTTGGGCAGGGTCACAGTGATCCTGGGGCTGACTGACTGTTTGGGCTCCAGCGCTGTGATGAGATTGTCCAGAAGGGGGGGCAGCCCCAAGGAATTCAGGTACAGCGGGCTGGATGGGGCTGCATCCGGCCTCGTGTACTCCCTACTGCGCAGTACTTGGAGCGACGTACACCCGCAGCGCCCAGCCGTCGTGCTTCGCAAGTAGCAGTACCCCAGCCCTCCAACAGCGCACTGCTGTATCCTCGTACCCTTTCGGAGTACGGAGCGCGGCTAGGCGGCGAGGCCAATCTCCCAGTTCCCTCCTATCGTGTCTTTTCCTGCTCTGCCAGTGTTTTTGTCAGCTTGGAACCGCAACGATTACAACGATAATCTCGCCCTTTTTTTTCAAAACAACCTCCATACGGCCGTTCGCCTCGCCTCGCTCTTCCGTGAGCAGAGTGAGCAACGCAACGACTCGACAAAGCCGCTGGCGTGATGAACGCCATACAGCAGAAATGCCGCCCGAAGCATCAGGTCCTGGTGCTCAAGTGCTATCCGCGAACCACAAAGGGAGCTGTTGATGTCAAGCCCAACAGCAGCGAGCTGAGCTATCTACTCTACTACGCGACCAGCCGACGGTCCAAGATCCAGAAGATTGGCGCTTTTCTGGAGAAGAAGACGGCCAGCGATGTCTGGCGAATGCGCATCGGGTACGTGCCTTTTTTTTTGTGCCTGTCTGTGTTGTTTAGTCCGGGGCATCCGCCTTGGTGGCGATGACGATATCGAGCGCCAACATCGATGCTGGTGAACCGCGATGATGGTGCCGATGGTGGTGAAGCGCGGAAAGCTGACTGCTGTGGCATTGCCTTGTGTGTGTAGCAATGTGCAGGTTACTCTCGGAATCCTCGCCGCGCTGGTCGAGAAGTCGCCCAAGGATGCTGCCCTCATCGCGCCGTGCATCCTCAAGATCCTCGACCTGATCCTTCGATCCAACGACATCACCATGATCGAATCCTCTCTCCCGACGTGGGAGGCCTTTTGTGAGCACCACGATGCGTCCTCCCTCTTCGCCGACCAGGCATACCTCAGCCACTACGTGTCTATTGTCCGATCCTACGCGCAGCTTGCCTCGACCCATCACATAACAAAGCAAAGCGCCGCGAGCCGGCCTGTTCAGATGCGATGGAGGAACGCTGGGCTAGGCGCCATCAAGTGCATAGCGATCAGCGATGCTATGTCCTCCGTGAGCGGACGCCAGATCGACGTCATTGTGCCCATGATATTGGAGAATCTGTGGACCCAAGACGAGACACTACTCGACATACTGCTGGACCGCGTAGAGGTGGAGGAAAAGGTCGACACGGAGAAGCTTCTGCGGCGCAGGACGAGCGTCGCCACGGTCCAAGCCCCGGATTCAGGCGGCGACGCAAACCCGCTTGCTATTTCAGGAACGGCCAATGATGTCGACAAGATGGCCGAGGAGGACACCGGCGTCTTGGCCATGCAGTGCCTCAAGAGCATATTTGTCGTGCCGTCTCGGCTGCAGATCCATTCGGGGACGGCCGCCCTGCTTAGATTCATCCTGGAGCGCGTAAAGCAGGGAGAAAAAGTCATGACCAGCTCTGACGCCGAGAATGGATACGACCAGGGCTGGGCAATCGACATCTTCAGCATCATTGCCCGCTGGGCTCCCGTACAGGACCGATATGTCATTCTAGTGATGGCGCTTGACATGCTCACCCACACCCCCATGCGAGACGACAACCTGGACCAGCATATAACCCTGACGGCCATGATTGAGTCATTGTTGAGGTCCGATATCAATCTCATCGGCCTGAGCGTCATGGACGTTCTTTTTGGTCTCATCAAGCAAATCAAGAAGCTCTTTGCGCTGTCAAATATCGGAAGCCGAGCAGAGACACCTAGCGACAAGGTGGCGACCGACAGCGACGTGGACCACAGCCCCCAACAAGTGCAGCGCAGGGCGCTTCTGGGACGGCTGGAGCAGTGCATTGGAGACCTTGCTAGCCACATATACTACGCCGACCAGGTCTCGGACATGATTGCTGCCATGGTTGGCCGGTTAAAGCCCAGCCGGTCGTCGAGCGCTCCCTCAACGCCACAGGGCGAGAAGACGGAGGGCAACGAGCAGAGCAGCAACGCCTCGCCTCCCTCAGCTACGGCCACTGCGGATCTGGCCGAGGGCCAGGCATCTAACCCGGCGGATGTCTACTTTTCCTACACATCAGGACGCATCTCTGCGCTCCGTATTGTCAAAATCATTCTTCACGTCGCCAATCCCAAGGCCAAGATCAGCACCAACGCCGATTTGAGCCGGAGCCGAGTGCCGGCTCAGGTATGGGAAGGCACTCAATGGCTTCTTCGCGATCCTTCGGGTCTGGTACGGAGAGCCTACGTCGATGCCTTGCTCACCTGGCTGGATCTGGAGACCACTCCCGCCGATCTGCTAGCCAGAGATGAGGCGCTTGAACCTCACAAGTCTACAGCCGCAGGCATTCTCGCCGCTGCCAAAAATGCCCGCGATCTCCCCAACAGTGCCCGGCGCGTCGTATCCAATGCCTCGAACAAGGACCGCCAACCCAGAACCCGGCGTTCGCAGTTCCTCGCGCAGCTTCATCTGGCCATCTACGACAACGCCCTTCACTTTGTCGAGTTTGACAATGACCTTGCCTTGCTTCACTCGCTGCTGGCCAGGCTTGCGCTACGTCTTGGCGTCAATGCCGTTAGGTACGGCGTGCCCATGATTTACCGCCTGCAAGAAGAAATCCTGGCGGTCGAACAGCCCATCCACAAGGTGCGAATAGCCGCTGTGTGCCACGGCTATTTCTGGATCTTGACCGACAAATTCGAGTTTGAAGGGTCTGCAGTAGGCCGGGCGATTGGAAACGAAGTTGCCCGACGCAAGAACAAGGGCTTTTGGGTACCAGGCATCCAAGTCCCGGCGCTGCCCATCGACCAGATTGGCCCGCTGGGACAGGCGGCGCCTCCCCCTGAGTGGGACCTCAGCCTTCTCGAGACGGAAGAGCTTCTGCCGTTTGACGATAGAGCTTCCCTCATCCAGTGTATCGCTGTGGGCTATGAAGAAAACACGTCATGGCCACCAAACAGCCCAACCGCTTCTCCCGGCCGAATGCTTTCCGGTCCTATTCTCAACATCCCAATGAGTCACGGAACCTCGTCCACACCCGCAACTCCCGAGAGATCGCTGGAACTCCCGAATACATACCGCGAACAGATGATGACGGAGTGGTCAAGAGAGCAAGTAGCTGCCGCCTTGGCTGCCGAGGGCAAGACGGAATCGATCAATGGCTCTCGTACGGGAACTGTGGCCACCACAGGCCTCAGGAACCTGACCGTCAGCACTGCCGGTGGCAACAATGGCTACCTGCCATACTCGCCTTACGGCAGCCAACACAACCTGCGGCCGCATTCCTCTCAGGCACACATGATGCCGGACCAAAACCATCTCGGGGCGTCTCCCAGGTTCCGGCAAGGCAGCATCCGAAGCGGCATCTCACAGACGGTATCATCGTCGAGCAAGGCTGGTGTTGCATCTGTGGAACAGCTCAAGCGCGTGCTCTCTGGCAACGCTTCTCCTAATGCCTTTGGGTCTGAAGATGATAGCGCCGAGAGCATGGTGAGCTATGACTACAGTCCGTCGGAAAAGAGCTTCAGCCCGACAGGCACAGACTCGGACCGGCCAACCACCTCGGCTGACGGCTTCAGCAAGAGGTCGAGGTCTGGCAGCTCTGGTGCCCCGCTTAGCTCTGGTTCGAGGCGTGAGAGTGTACCGAAACTTCATTTGAACGGCGAACGAGAGGAAAATGGAGAAGTTGGAGCTGTAGTCCCCCCCGTGCCGCCGCTTCCCAACCTCAGCTCCCTTTCTGAAAAAGGAGGCATCATGAACGGAGGGGGCATTGCAGTGCAAGATTATGGAGTGAAAGCTTACAGCAAACGCAATATTAGCAGCCGGGGTGGAGACAGCATCACTGGTCGGTCTATTCTGGGTGGCCACGAAGATGGCGGCAGATCGATGGACTTGCAAGAGCTTCTGAGGGGCATTGACAGTCGCTCTGGTGAAGGCAGCTTAGGCAACTTGACCCGGCCTCCATACTAGTTCCCCGGTGATCTGTACGAGACGTACGTCAATCAGTCAGCCTGGAAGAAGCAGCGGCAATGACAACAACAAGAACCACTCTTTCGTGAAGAGGAAAGCTGGCATGATACCTAATGGGAGCGATCTACTAGGTGCTTCCCAGCCTCTACTCTCTTCACATCCCTCCCTCTCTCCCTCTCCTCCCTTTTCTCTTCCCAACTCTCACATACGCACCCACATCCTCTCCCTCTATATCTCTCGCATATCTCACTCACATATACATACGACCATACATATACCAAACGGGCCGTCAACCCCTTGGACTTTTTCCTTTGTATCTGTTTTACGTGGAAGGGGCATTCGGCGGTTGGAAGAGCGAATGCAGCGGTAGATTTTGTTGGAAGATGACTGGATGGAGCAATGGTCCAGTCGCATTAATTTTGTTACATCATAAAGGCAAAACCCAAACGCGCAGACGTACAGGAAAGCATACGACGGTGGGACAGGCTTGCATCAACGGAGTCAAGAAGTTAACGGAACACGGATTTCTTCCTTTTCCTTTATACCTTATTCTTTGCCTCTCGCCGCCCTTTTTGTGTGTCTGGCTCTGTAACCAATCACTGTTATCGTCTTCATATTTTGATGTTTTTGTTTTTTGTTTTCTCTCTATTCTATTCCCCTACTTGCCAGCAGCGGGTTTGCGTCTCGAAAACCTTCATTATCCTTTTCCTTTTTCTTTTTTTTTTTGCCTTTGTTTTTTTTGTTGCCTGCTTAATATTACAATGTGTACCTACATACTAGAGAGGCGGATAAGCCGGTGTTTTAATTTAGAATAACGGGATTGAGCCTGGAAAAATAAAGTAATTGAGCCTTTTTTGGCCCCGTTTCTGCATATCAGTTATTTCTTGTCTGTTCCAATTTCATCTTGCTTATCAATGGACTGTATTAGCATTTGACGCTCAGCAGCGTTCATGAAGGTTTGATTTCTGTACTGCCTAGGGTCTTGCGTAGCATTGTGCTTGCGCTGTTAATTTCTGCCTTCTCTACAGCCGTTTCCAAATGTTTCTCCATTCCTTTTTATACGAGAGCGGTCTTTGCCAAGTTGCGCTTTATCAATCCCGTATGAGAGGTGGGAGGAAGTTTCAATGCCTGTACCTATATATTCAATCAATGAGTTTACCTATTCCATGGGATATCCCTTTATCCTAGATGCTTAGTATGATTCTCCTTCAACCCACATGTAGATTCTGCAAGAGATGTCTCGTGCGGTAAGCACTCTGTTAACCTGGGCGATTTGAAACCACAAAGAGCAAAGACAAGATTGTATTATGAATTCTTCCTAGATATGGACCTAAAAAATTCTGTACGTCTGAAAAAACGCGCATTGCTCTTGTTGAGCATGTATCCATCTCTTACCACTTACATGAATGTTGAGCCCAGGTCTCTTCCTCAGGCAGCCAGCATTGCTGCACCAAGTACCGATGTACTTGTTGACTTCGGCGGTTCTCCTCTCCTTTCAAACCTCAACTGCACCAACCACTCCTCGAAAACAAACGCCAGCTTGTTTCGCCTCCCGTACGGCTTGACTTTTCGGCAAACAGCAGCTTCTGCTTCTTTGCTGCATGGAAATGCCTGGACAGGTTGGCCAGTTTCACCTCGTGCGTTGGCGCGGAAACTAACCCCGTTACAGATTGCAATTTCTTTCATCCTCTGACGACCCCTTGCCCAGGTCCTCTCATTGGCCTGGAACCGCTACCGACCACACCCTGGCTCGTTGAGTCCCGAGGCCTCTCTCGCTGTCTCGCTGTCCCGCTCTCTCCCACCCTCACTCTCATTCAAAAGGCAATCAAGTGCGCTGCAGCAGCTGAGGCCCAACCCCTGGTGGTCTAGATTTGATCACCGCCAGCACTAAGCGGGGAGAGCCATCAGGCACGGCATGATGCAGCTGTGGACGCACAGCGCAAAGCCCATGCAGCACATACTTGCTGGGTCAATGCCAGCGAGCCACTGAGGTGTTTCCACTGAGGTGTTTCCACCACACGGCTGCTTGCCGCGGTGCTGCCTTGATGGCACCAACAGCTGAAGTGGACGCGGGCCATGGCAGGCAGCTTGCTTGCTTGGTGCGTTGCGTTGGGCAGAAACAGACGCTGGCCGGAGACGGACAGATACTCGTACTGTAGGCGCTGGACCCGCGCCGTGTCGATCCGCTACCCCCGAGCACAGCCTCAGTCCTTGTTGGAACCGCAACGCTCACTGGCAGCCCGCTGTTTTTCCCATCTGCAAACATCTCTCTCACGCCGGCCCCCTCGCTGGGCACCCATCCCACACCAGACATACTCGCAGCACCACGGTTCTCCAGTCGGTTTTCTTCCGTCCCGACATTCGTTTACACCGCTGGACTGCTGCTGCGGGATTCTGGCTTAGGCAAAGGTTTGCTGCGAGCTTATCGACGGGCCCTTGGCGACTGTGCCTGCCGTCTGGCGATCCTTTGCGATCCTTTGCGATCCACCCCTTCTTTTTGGATATCCTCTTTCTTACTCGCACTCCTTCAAGTACGGCACTGCGTGCTCAGTATACAAAGATACACTTTCCTACGCATTTTCATCACATAGCCGCGCCAGTCTTTACGCATACCTTTGTTACGACTATTCCTACTACTACTACTAATCGTCGGTACGAAAAGTAGACCATCTGGCCTGCATACCTGATATGTGCGTTTTGCATTCATAGCCCCCCGGCAGCTGCCGCTTACCTGTATACTGTACTGATCAAAACCCGCAGTCTCGTGTGGGTAGCGTTGGTGGAGACCTCCGAGGCTTGCTTGCTTGCTTGCTTGCCTGATTTGATTTCTATTCCGTCCTGCTTGTGATTTCGGTCTTGAGTTTGTTCTCCCTATCCAGAGGGGAAGGGCACACCTTGCCAGGCTGAATCGAATCTCTGCCTCGACTGCCTTGTGCATCGCACGACTCGGCTCGAGCCATGGCTTCATACGATGACGACATCCATCGGCAGCAGTATCACCCCTCAAACTCGATTCCAGATGCTGCCTATCCAGATGACTCGCCATTCCGGCTCCAGCTCCAGTCAAACTATGCCGGCGGGGGGCTCCCGACTGGCCCTTCGCATCCCATGCCCGGATTTACGCCTCTGGGTCCCCATGCAGGGAACCAGTCTGGATATCAGTCTCAGCATCAAGTCCAGCCTCACCAACAGGGAACTTGGCAGCCCTATGACATTCCCAGCAGCCCTCCTCCTCCGTATGACCCGAGTCAAGCCCCGAGCGCATACTCGTATCCACAGAACGATGCGACAACCACTGCTGCGCAGCCCACGAATTCACACGCCCAAGCTGGAGGAATCGAGATGATGCCCTTGCAAACCATACCGACGTCGACGTCGCCAACTCACTTGGCGCCTCTGGCGCCCGGGGCGTCAACCTCGGCATTGACCCAGGCGAGCCATGCTGCTGAAGACCCCTACAAACTAGACGCGGCGACCATGGAGCGTAGACGCAAGCAAAGACGCCTCAAAGTGTGCATCATCGTCATGGCCATCGTATTCTTCTTCTGTGGCGCGTTGATCATAGGTATAGCCCTGGGAGTTGTCAAAGGAGCACTCAACAACCACCAACCGCCTGACCACGACGACCACGGCTTCTAAGGACAAAGAAAGAAGCGTTAGATTTCTTTGTGTTGCCGCTGGGGCCAGGCAAACTTGATCATACATGTTATGATTGCTACTTTCCTTTTCATCACGTTTTCTCCTCATTCTCACCTTTTTTTACCTTTTTGTTTACCTTTTACACCCTTTTTTACCTTTTTGTTTACCTTTTACACCCTTTTTTACCCTTTTTACCTTGTAAGCTCTGAAGCTTTCTTTTATTCTTTCTCTTTTCATTTATTCGCCGGTGCGTAGGAATTGTATCATCCAGGAACAGGAAAGGATGGGCAATGGTTAAGTGTTTAGGCATGCTACCCACATTACGCGATGTGCGAGCGCGGTGTCTTGGCGTCTGTCTGTTTTGGTTTATTTGGTATCGAGTGCCATGAGCGCATTAGTTTGGGTTTTCACGAACAAGGCTTGGGTTTTCAGCATATCCATATGTGTTTAGATGGGTTTTTTATTTTCTGGCTTGGTTGGTTGGGCGTATGGAGGGACGGCGACGGCGACCCAGATATATACAATCTGTAGGATATTGCTGGGTGGGAGGGGCATAGCCAACCATATCTGCAGCTTCTGTCTGCTGGGCCTAGGGAAGGGAAGTTGGATCATCATAGCCAGCGAGCAATTTAATAGAGAGGAGGATTATGGCTGTTTTGCCAGTTTGTGTGACAATCTCTTGTGCTTACCCATCTCTCTGTTTTTGAACGATTGATGAGATACTGCCTGATGTGACTCATTCATGTCGAGGACGAAGGATTCGAGCATTGTCGAGCTGGTTTCTGACCGTTGATATGTTTGAATAATGGGAAGAGTAATGGCGATTGGTCGTGCTGTTCATCTTTGGTACGCAATTTCTATTCATCACTTGGAGATGCTTGGCAAGAGCCATTTGTTCATGCTAAATTCCACAATCAAGCTCATTATACATACATAAAAATAAGGCATTCAGACATCCTCTTCGGTTATAGCAGTTATAGGTAAACCATATATTTTCTCTATAGATGGTCGGTCAAAGTTCTGGGGTAGAATGGGGACACGTAAAAATCTCCATATTGCAGAGTATACGACCAGATGACTATACCTACTATGTATGCTTGTATGAATCCAAAACTAAAGGGAAAGAAGAAGAATAAATTCGACAAAGTACACCTTGGTGTCACTGCCGACGCTGCGAAACCCCACCTTTGTATGCTCTTTTCTATACCTACCAGATGCAACAAGAGATGCAGGACTTTATGGCCCAACTCCGTCAAGTAGGCTACCATTTACCTGGATAGGCAGCTGTACCAAGAGAACGTTTAAAGATGGCTCCTACAGCAATAGCGTGTATCGATCGATAGCGGCAACGGCGAAGGCCCGGTCTCGAGGCGAGCCGCTTATGTGGATTAGCGGAATCGCCGTTGACGTGCCGCGGTTGGGTAAGCTGCTAAGGCAAGCTGACAAGAGTAATGAGTGCTAGTACGACTCGTAGGGCTTCTCTTCTGGCCGGGGTGTGAGCAACTGGATTTAAAGATATTACGCGCGGGTAGCCCGCATGTTGCTCAATACTATTTGCGGCTGCAGTTTCTCCAAATAGCAGCACCACCGGCAATGCGCAGGTACAGTGCATGCATGAAGCAGCACGACCGTGGAGCTGGATACGATGCCCTTTGAGTCCCTGGTCTGGCTCCTCGATGCAGTAAGCAGCTTCGCCCACGGACTCTCACTCTCGATTATGTGCATGTAGTCGTGACTTCTTGTAGAAAAACGACCGATTGGACCAGAATGGACCAGAAGATGGGCATTTCAAGCTCGGTGCCAGAAATGGATGCCTCGGAGCTGCAGTACTGCATCTGGACTTAGTCAGTTCCATCTATATTACGAGCCTCGCGATGTGAAGACTCCGGGGAGACGCTGCCCAAAAATAGAATGACAAACTCTGCATGTGATTGATGGGATGGCCTGGTAACTTACATATCCACACACCTACAAGCACAGATTTTGTTTTCGTCCTACCACTATTGTCAATAGCATGCCATGGCATTTTGTAGCAGCAAGAACAGAAACATGTGCCATGGGAAAGAAGCTCCATTAGGAAGTTCAAAAACTGAGGAGGCTCGGAGAGATGGACAACCGAGCGGGAACTTTCGGCGGGTTTATGTGATTCCTCCAAGTGCTTGATTTGCAGTGTCACGGAGATTATACCAAGTTGGATGGCCCCGAAGAGAAAGCAGCTGCAGCGAGGGAAAAAAAGTTCCCATATGCTTGTTTCCGTCTCTGGTGAAAAAGAAAACATATTAAAGACGGCAAGACAAGAGCCCCTCCTTCTGAGTTGATAAGGCCTTGACACAGTCGGCTCCGAAGCGAACAGGGGACATCCGGGGATGCAATGTAGTATCGAGAAAAGACCAGGGTTCCAGACCGACTCTGTGGGAATTTCCCAGATTGGATGAAACAGCCGCGAGTGGAGGGGCGGGTGCGTGCAAGCTGTCCGACATGGCCCTTTCTCTCTTTCTTTCTCCTTGTCTCTGATGATATTTTCTCCTTTGCGAGGTACCAAAGAGCTTACCCGGATAGTTCGTACGGGCTAATCAAGACCGAGATTCCAATTCTGGGCCTGGATCTGACGTAAGTAGACAAATCCGAGCTCGAGATTGGCATCGTATATGCAAGCTCTAGTTTTGTTGCTCCTGTCCCGTTGTTTCTCGCTCTCTCTTGTGCTCCACACGGCTCTCGCGGCTTTGACCCGTGCGCAGATCGCAATCATTAGGAATAGGTTGTCTTTGATGGCCTCGTGACACAAAGTTGGTAAATTTGCTAAAGAGTGGATTCGGCCTCGGTATCCCATAGTAGGTTAATGTCGTCTGGGCTGTTCTGAGACATAACTAGGGAGAGATGAGCTGGGTCGACGACGCGTGTGAAGAATGGCAAGTTACGGTTGCTGCTGACGGTGGCAATAGTTAGTTATCTGGGTGTGCTTCGCATGTACAAAGTAGGCAGGGACTTTCTTTTTATGCGCATGGGGGCGATGGAGTGTCGGAAAGGGAGAGAAGAAGAACAAAATACCTAGTGCACGTAACGTATCATGTACAAGGGATCGATTCGCCGTCATATGCCTCGATAGAGGGATGGCAGAGACACGATTGAAACAGCACCTGGCAAAAGACGAAAGGAAAGACAGCAAGGCAGATTGTGCCACCAGAAGAGAGGGTGGATGTCGACAATTGGCGTAGCATCAGTGTAAGACCTCGAGCGGCAAGCATGTGATGATGATGGAGAAGGATCCTGGCAGAGCTGAGCCCAGAGCAAGAGGCGGCAATTTGTCTTTTCAGAACTTGGCTATACTTGAAATGGCTGTTCGAATGAGAGACATTTTGCGTTGGAAAAGAAAAAGAGAGAGAGAGAAAAAAAAGAAAGGAGCAGAAAATGACGGAAGAAAAAAAAGGTGTGCTTCACAGCCTTCCAAAATTGCGGCTGCAATTTGGCAGCTGCTTCTACAGCCAGGCGGCAACAGCCCCGAGAGTGTACCTGCTTGGCCATTGAGTTATCATCGCCTGCTCTTCTTCCATCGCCTGCATTATTCTTCGTTGGGTACGTTGAGTACTTGAGAAAGGATCTACCATGCCTGGCAAATCAAACACCGATATGGAATCTCGCTTTGGATGAGATGTTTTGGCAGCGTCTTGGCGTGCCCTGTATCCTCCGTATAAGCTACAGTAGAAGCAAGGATCTATATCTTGGCAGTACTACCCAGGTAAGGCAACAGCACCAGGCCAGAGATATCCAAGCGAGCTAGGTATTGATATCGATTCAATCAATGGATGGCGAGAGAGGACAGGGCCTTTTATCACTGCCGCTACAAATCCAATTTCACGTTCCCTGGCACAGGTAAATTAGATTCGACACGGCAGTGCTGTAGCGGGTTCACATCAGTGATCTGGTACTGCCCACCATTGACGTTTCCTAGTACTTCCAACCTGAGGCTCACATTTTTTCCCAGTTTTGTCCCTTTCCTTTTCAGATCAGCCTCTCTCTCTCTTCTGTTGATAGGTTTTGATGACCATCTTTTTTTTGTTTCACCCAACCTCTTTGCTCTGCTGCTCTTCTGTCCACTCAATGCAGCAATTCCTTCAGTTGAACCTCCATCTCTAGTCTTTCTTTCTTTCTCCCTCTCTGTCTCTCTCTCTCTCTCATCCCATCTCGTCCCTCGCTATCTAGCAACTTCCTACAGTACTGGCCACCAACAAAGACATGCCTAGGTAGGTCGCTGACCCTCGTGATACCAGAACCCAGCATCAGTTCAAGTGTGAGTGGTCCACGGCTGACAGGCACAGGGCCTTGACGAGGAGCTGATCGCAGACTAGCTGGCCCGCCACGCGCGAGGTAATAAACCGGCCCTGTTTTGACAGCTTGGAGGGGACCCCGGCACCAGCTAAGCACCAACTAAGCCAGCCTTGGCCTGGAGCTTCTTGTTTCGTGCCCGAGCCACTAAAACACGGCGGGGGAGAAGCCTCATCAGAGCTGCTGGCGAGATGAGATAACAAAAGCACCGTCAAAAGGTTCGCAGACTCGGCCCCTGCCAGACTTGCCAGGCCATTGCACGAGCCGGGCTATGATGCCTACTCCATGTACTTGTACACAATACTCATGCTCGCCTCACCATCAAATCGTCATGCTAGCAGTGGTGCTATGGAGCACTTTCTACCCAATGGACGGGTACGTGCGCCCCTTGGGCTGGTTGGGCCATCACTTACAGGCATTGCAGTACTAGCAGCAAGAGCTACAGGTACGTCTGCTCAACTTGAGTACGAGTGTTTTCGATTTCCGGCTCGGCTTCCCCCAGGGACTAACACCAACGCAAACTCGCTGCAGACCAAATCTTGCATTTGTATTAGCGCTCGTCTGCTCTCCACGATGCTGGGAGCCTTGACAAGTTTACGCGAGCTCCATCAGATCCTTTAGTGCTACTTTGAGCATGCTACTGACTCTGGCTTTACTCGTCTCGTACAGGTCAGGCATGTCTTGATTCCAGCACTATGGCACACAATCTGGAGCTAGTTGAGCTGCCTTTATGCCGTGCCGTGGTGGGAGGCGCATGCTCATGCTCATGCTCCCGGTTTTTTGGGTCTTCAATTTCAAAGTCGCCTTCCCTCCCTTCCTGATCGTACCACTCTGAGACAAGCTCCAATACGTCTGGTTCGTATACAGCCTGAGCTTATATTATCAGAGTGATCATGGCTAGTTTCCTGGCTGGCCGATGATGCTCTCGCTGGCTCAATGCGTGAGCGTTGGTTATTATTGTCACTTTTTTTTTTTTTTTTCTTTTTTTTCCCCCTCCATCATCCTCCATTTTCTTGTGGTCAAGAGTCCCTTTCGATGTATGACGAGGTTTCCTTGCTCTGGTGGTGCGTCCCGAATCCTTGGACGGCAGACCCGACACAACAGCTCAGATTCTTGCAAGGGGATCCTCCATTTTACTACCCCCTGCTGGTTTTTGTCTTGGAATAGGTACTAGGAGTAGTGTCTACCCTGGGGACTGATTTCGACCGGGCAAAAAAGCCTTTTGGGAGATATGACATTCGTACCCAATGCCACCCTGGCTGAATCTTGCCCTCGGATGCGGCACAGCCACTGGCAATAACACGAACTGCTTCTTTCTTTTTCCATCCTTGCAACCTTGTACCCTACTTGTAAATGGCAATGCTGCTACGTACATCAACCGAGGCCTTCTCCCTTCCTTGCCCATCTACTTAAAGTAGAAGTCGAGTACCATCACTACTACTGGTGCTGAATGAGTGATATTTCTATCCTACATGTACTGCAGCTCTTTACTAGGGTTGATGTCTACGGCAGCCTTTTCCTGCTGGCCTTGCACACCCTCGCCCTCTTTCGTCATTGATGGGGGTGTTGCATTGATTCCCACCCCCTGGTTCACATTACCGGCACTCGGCCGTACCGCTGGCACTTATACCTGCAAGCACTTTTACGGCCAGCCAGATACAGCCACCAAGTGGTACTGCTACCACTGCTACTGCCGGTACTATCTCACTCCATTGTGCTCTGCCTAGGTAGGTGGCATTGGTATCTATATGCTACGTGACGAGAAACGGTAACAATTCTTTGTTTGCACTCCCGCTGTCGAGGCTGAAGGCTGATCAATGGGCATGGGTGAGCATATCCTCCCTACCCACTAATCTAAAGCTCACCAACTCTTCCATGCGCCTGCATAGCATGTACATGCTCTCTGCAATGGAAATCCGAGTACAATATAGTACAAGCGCGGCAGTGGCAAAAGAAGAAGAAGATATATTGGTCACTCGTCAAAACTCTTCCCACTAATACCTCCCGTCTGTGTCCCCGTTCCTGTTCCGCGCGAGATGGACGCTAGCGGGAGTGTGAAGGAGGAAACGCAAACCAAACGTCACAAAGACCTCGACGGCTACCCTGACTCGAGACAAGGTACGACGGCCAACGCACAGATCAGACAGGCAAACCCATTGCGACTCGCCTCCAACGAGATCCAGAGGCGCAATGGGAGCTACTACAGTAGACCAGTATGGTAGTAGTGGCATTGAAATGTTTTAGCACGTTTAGGACCCCAGCAGCCTTGACGAGTATAACCCACCGTGCCTTATATCCCTCTTATACCTTGTACGGTGCTACTACTTGCGCCAGCCACTCACTCGCGCTGACAAAAGATCTGCTCCCTAGGTACTCCGTCTCAGCGGTAGAGAAACACGATTCGAAACGGCACGATACGACGCGGCACAATTTATACTCGCATTAACAGGCTCTTGGCCTGATCTCCATACACACCCCGCACTATTTTATATCATACGCACCAAGAGCCGCCATCCCTTGCCTCTGCCCTGCAGCAAATGTGTCTCTCTCCCTCTCCATGGGGACTAGCCTGCCTGAAGACCGGGCTCTCTTTTTGGGCCCTGGGTACCTAAGTAGGCAGGGAGTGGTAGTGGTGTTTACTACCCTCTACCTGGTACATGTAGCTTGGCGGTCTTTTATCAAAAGCCAGATGATGGCTTGAATTCTTTGCTTTTTTTCCCTTCGCTTCTCTGGCCTCTTGCGTGTTGCGAGACAAAATTGTTTCAGAGCATTACCGCCCGCCTGACCTTTTGTTTTTTATCCTACCTTTTTTTTTTTATGCTGTTTGCTTTTTTCTTCTTTTTCTGAATCCTCTTTTTGTTTCATCTCCCCATTTTTCTTCCCTCTCTGCCCCCGCCTTGCTTTTCTTCTTCTTCTCTGGGTTTCCCATTTGCTACTATTTCCTTTGCTATTTTTAAACCTGGCTATATCACTGCGACTGCTACCGCTACCACCTCTTTGCTACTGTTAGTAGCCGCCCATGACCTGAGACTGTAGGTAGCCGCTTCCCTCTGCCCTCTTTGCGGTCTTTGCCTGCCCGTATACAAAAGCGAAGCGCAGCCCGTGCTCCTTTCCTGCCAAACTTGATCAGCCAGGTCTCTCTCCTCTCCTCCCTATAAACATTCTCTTCCTCTTCCTCCTCTTCCTCCTTTTCCTTTATTCTCGCAAACCACCTTCGAACCTTGCATCTTGTTCATCTTTTGATCAGCACCCTGACTAACAGCCTTCTGACGTAGCCACAGCATCCTTCCACCAATACTTGCCAGCTCATTCATCTACCCTCAGCCATCTGCATCTACCTCCAACCAATTGCAGCCTACTCAGGCACGGCGCTATCCTACTTCTAGCTGTTCTCCCCCATCCCCAGAGCCTTCTTCTCTGTTAGACATCAGTGTACCTACTTACTTACTACCTACCTTGTCGTGGCGTCGTTGTCCTACTCCTCTTTCCATCATCAATCGCCTTACACCGGTCCCCGCCTCACCCTGAACACATGCGAGGTTGAATAACTGAAAAGAGAAAAAGCAACGGGCCGCGGCTGAGAAAACGACATCGAGTGAGAGTGCTGCTGTTAATCTCACACACATACGGGGGTACTGCACTGCTTCTACTGTTTTCCCTTTTCGCTTAAGGACAGAAAAAAAAAAGAACCCCCGCCCTGCAAAGCCGTTTTAGTGCTGCAACTTGACATTCCCAGCCTAGCAGCCACATCAGTCGACGGCCGAGATCCTCGCAATCCCCGTCATTTTATGGTTCCGCTCTCTGCCAGTACTTTTGCAATATAACCGCCATTCACCGCCCCCACGACGGTGCAATTTTTCCGGCCGTCCTCGACAGTGACATTATCTGGCTGATTACTCATTGCAGAACGACCGCCGTCCTTGTTTGATTTTTTTTTTATCTTCTCCCTTTGCTGCCATTGCTGCCATTGCTTCTGGTTTGTCTCCCTGTCGCATGCCCGCTGCGTTCTCAGCCGTCTCACCTGCGCTTAGTGGTTCGATTGGTCGGCTTTTTATACCCCGGAACTTGCAGCATCTGCAGCTACGCGAGGCGAACGGTCCCGAAATTTGTCTCATCGACAGCGTTGTGTTTCACAGAGTACAATCGCGGACCGTCCCCTGAGGCTTTATACAGTCTGCGCGCAGCATCAAAAGAGGCGTTGGTGAAGTTGTAAACAGTCCACGGCTGTTACACGACAGCCTTCAGTATCCCCTATTATAGGCCCCATAATTCTTTTTTGGCCTCATTGCGCCATAAATCTCAGCAGCCATGCCGCCCCGAAGCCCCTTCTCATCGCCAAGGTAATGCCATAGCCTTGATGGCACCCGTTGGACACGTCTTGATCATGTCTTGCCGTTGGCTAACAGCTTTGTTTCTCTCTCTTTAGCCGTGAGCTCCACGTAGTTGTTCTTGGTGCAGGTATGTCGTGGCCCAGGTTCCAAACTAACTTCATGTATCACGCTGCTAACAATATTCTTATTCAGGTGGCGTCGGCAAAAGTTGCCTCACTGGTGAGTCGTCCGCTTGATTGATAGATACGCTGCATGCGATTCCCTTCATCAGCCATTATCAGCCATCATCAGCTCAGGGCCCCCGCGACTAACGCTTGGCCAGCCCAGTTTGTCCACAATGAATGGATCGAGAGCTATGATCCTACCATCGAGGACTCCTATCGCACTCAAGTTCAAGTCGATGTAAGTCTCCAAAGATGATGACTCGTGTCTGTCCGTGTACCGTTGACAGTGTATCTAACATCACTTTCTCTCCAGGGTCGGCAGGTAATTCTGGAAATGTAAGTTTGCATTTGGCTGTGTGCGCACCTCGGCCGCGCTGGACGTTTACTGATGTTGAGACAATAGCCTCGATACCGCTGGCACCGAGCAGTTTGGTATGAAATCTCTGCCTTCTTCTCCCATGGCTTTGCCAACTAACTCGAGAGTAGTGGCCATGAGAGACTTGTATATGAAGACGGGCCAAGGTTTCCTGCTCGTTTTCAGCATCACGTCTCCCTCGTCGTTAAGCGAGTTGGAGAACCTGCGGGAGGAGATTATTCGCATCAAGGACGAAGAAAATGTCCCCATGGTGATTGTCGGCAACAAGGCTGATTTGGAAGACGGCCGAGTCATTGCTCGCGCCAAGGGCTTCGCCGTCTCCCAGAAATGGGGAGCTCCATATTACGAGGCCAGTGCCAGAACACGAAGTAAGTTTTGTTTCTGCAGTCTCTGCAGGCCATCCATCCCTCGTTCCAGACTTGATGTCCATTTTCTCGAAGCCGTCTCCATCAAGCACGTGTGACTAACCATACATTAGCCAACGTTGACGAAGTCTTCATTGATCTGTGCCGCCAAATGCTCCGCAAGGAAGATGAGACGGCAGAGCCCGACGAGGCTTCGAAGATTGATGCGCTCAAGAGCGCCAACAACAAGCGCAGGCGGCGCTCCAAGTTCCGTGACAGCACTCATCCGCGATGCGTGATATTGTAATTGGTTTCTTTTCATTGACCAAGAACCAAATATACCAATATCGGTTTTGAGAGAGAACATGGAGACTTGTCAAGGATCACCAGCAAGCAGCAGAAGAGCCGTTGTAGCGGATGAACTACAAGTATGATATACCCAAATGATTTGATTATGTTTGCTGTTTGAGCAAAGTGGGGAAACAAAAAGTTTTGGCATGATAGAGCGCCAGGTTCACGGAAGGTACTGCCTCGAATCTCGCAATCACTGGCCTTGGGAATTTGATGGCAAGAGATTGGAAGCCCGAGCTCGATTGGGATGGGGAAACTGCATTTCGCTTTTGTATCATTTTGCGGCAGAATGTCGCAAGCCCACCGTCATCCCAGAAGTAACCTGACGTTGGAAGCAAGACAAGACTGTTTGTTTGACTTTTGTTTTTCATCTCCAAGGTACTAGAGGAATGGACTGAAGGAAGGGCGGAAGACGTGGTAAAAGGCTTTGGCGGCATTGATAGATACGGGCGAGCCAGACTCGGAAAGGAAGTTGACACCTTAGAAACATACATACTCACGTGAGCACGGCATCAAGAAACGGTAGATAGTTAGGTAGAATAGTTGGTTACCTTTGGGTGTTGCAGCACTTTTATATATATATTCATTCATTTCTTTCATCGGGCGTTATGCAATGGATTTCGAGCTGAGTGAGGATGATTGTTGGGTTGGTTCATTGGCGTTGGTTGGCTGGCGAATTTTAAACTAGACACGAGCGCAATGGCCATGCTAGTTAGCTTTACCATCTCCATCTTGAGAGAAGAAGAGCAAAAAAAGAGAAACCAAAGCATGAGATTGAAGAGAGTCTATACTTACCAGACAACAAATGAGAAAAAGATGCAAAAAGAAGGGTCTGGCCGGGGATTGAACCCGGGACCTCTCGCAAGCAAGCTGTAGGGTGTACCCTAAGCGAGAATCATACCACTAGACCACCAGACCGAAGATGCTTCTTATTTGATGGCAATTTTGATCACTATTGTGAGTCATATACCACGTAGTAGTAGCCATTCATTCTCAGGATAGCCTCAGGGGGGCTTTAAAGACATGCCGCCATTGAGATGACTTGAGATATGGAAAACGCGCTTTGCTGTATCCACTAGTAGCATTTTAGACCATATCAACGTGGCTAACTCCTGCGAGGGGCTCGAAGCTGAATACTATGTCCGTGACCTTTGGGAGCAGAATAGTATTACCGTTAGTACGTAAACTGACACCAGCTTGTCTGAGACCAAGGTTGGAAGAATCCAATCGACTGCTGGGGCATCGTAATGCTTATCATATTAGTCTCAGATGACAGTATTTGAGAGGCCCGGGCAAGCCAAGCCCCACCATGTATAGCAGACTGTTTCTGTCGACCGGCATATCTTGAGGTAAAAGAATTCGCAGAAAACCGAGCAGAAAAAAAGAAAGAAAAGAATTAGGCACTGCCAAGGGTCTGGAGAAAGTCAAGGCCACCGAGTGACCAAAACAGTCGGCAGATGGTTGGGCACTATAATACGATCAGCAGTGCAGAAGCGGCCAGTCGAAACATATTCTGTAGAGGAGAGTAGCCGGTTGATGCTGCTGCAATTCAAGTGTGGCGACCTTGACATGTATAAAGAGTAAGCATGGATATATCTCTGTGTATTCTTCGTACAGTCAACATCGCGCAACGTCTGGCACAGAGGACCGTCGTTTCCTAGTGAATATCAACCGGCACCACTGATGACTGAGAGATTATTGATAGGTGTAAGATGAAACTAGGCACTAGAACGAAGATGGGAAATGACATCTGGCGAGACATTTATGGCAATCATTGCAACATTTTCCGCCAATGTGGATGGAAGTGAGCAACTTGGAGGCTGCGAAGGGTGGTACAGTGCATATTGTCACTACTTGCGATAAAATTCCCAAGTGTGGTGCCATGTTATAGACAATTAATGGCGGGAGCGGATGAGGATAGAGTAGCTGAAACTGTTGAATGGAAGAGATATATAGTAGCAGGTGAGGTGGACTTGGGGGCAAATGTCTTTCTTTCGACCAACATTTATGAATTAGCGACAATTCAGACATGGAGAAAGAGTTACTTCGATTCCAGCAGTATGATTTACTCTCGATGCCAAGCAAGGTGTCTATCGCTGCCACTAGACGCCCGGCTGGGGCGGACCACTCGGTCTTGCGAGGATAATCGAATGCTATCAAGAGACAGCGCTTGTATTGACACTCGTCACACGCCCATCGAATTCCGTGTGTGGCAGAAGGTCATTGCGCTGCCAACTGTCAAAGGATTCAAACTTGCTCACTTCGTGTGCCACAACGGCGGATGAGGTCTAGGTAGCGATCCCAAATCTTCATAATAGTAATAATGAAAAGTTTGACTTTGAGTGCTGATCTTGTTTCCTCGCCACTCTGCCATATTAGTGCTGAAACTACAAGCCAAATAGACACAAGACTAGCCTCAGAAGGTGGAAAAGCAGCGGCGAACGTGAGGGTTGGACATTGTATCACTAGATATGGTGAAGACAGCTTCACCAGGAGGGAGACGTAGAGGGGGGAGAGAGCAAGAGACTGAGAGCGAGAGAAAACGAGAGAGGCAGGAGAACGTGATAGGCAGCGTCGCCTCCTCTCTGGGCTGTGACGCTAGCACGAGCAGACAGTGGTTAGAATGTGCCAAGCAGATGTAGACTATACGGCAGATGATATTTGGTTCGGCTTATCTCTTCTCAGGGGGGGTGATATAGTGATTGCAATACTAGAACGCCAAATGTTTCAGAAATAGACATCTGTAGCATCTGGGTCCGAGTCCGCGCCACAGTGATTGATTAATTGCAGCATAGTATACGAGACAGATGCATGCTTCCAAGTAAAGGAGCTCGACTAATAGGATATGTGCCGGGCAGTAGTTGCTTATGCGTTCGTTACCTTACGCGGGGTGTCTGTAGTCACGCGCTGCTCGTTTGAAAGCAGCGTTGCCCGCATGGCTTGTAAGTCGGATCGGATCTAGTGACCAATGCTGCGGTCGTACATGATGGACGTGGTGGATGCCTGGCTGCCATCGCACAAACTTGAGACCAAATCAAGAATGGTGGCGAGCAAATGGCTTTTGGGTGTCATGAGGACGGGCTGAGGTTAATGTGATTCGTGACTTGGAGCCAGAGTACCCTTTGTGCATGCCGTAGACGTCTTCCTCTATTTGTTCACTGGCCCTTGCTAGACAGAGAGACCAAGTGTTGAACGCGTGGGCACTGCTCATGCTAAGCAGAGTTGTATCATTTGCTCCTGTGCTTCCGTGCCAAATCCTGGCTGCTCAAACGAGCCGCGAGCAGTTTCTCAAATCCAATTTGCTGGCAAGAGTATTACTATTAATACGGTGTCCAGCATTTGGCTGATGGCATCGCCAAAGCTTTTGCACACCGTAAAAGGGGGGCTCAATGTGTCGGCCACTGGCCGAGACGCAGCCTTCCCAAGTCCTAGAAAGAGCCAGCAAAGTACCCAGTCCACTTGCATGCTTTTGTATCCATCCACTTGGGCGGTCCAAGCAGCCGATACTCTTCCAGGATTGATCCTGTCATGGAGTGTGTGTGGATGCGAGGTGAAGAAATGTGATAGACATGGGCTGACACACAGTAGCGCGTCGTCTGCTCCCAGCTATGGCCAATGACATGTCTCGCAGAGAGGACCCGCGCATGGAAATGTGCTCGATGGTACGAAGTAGAGCTCTAATCAGACGTGTCAGAGACCGCGGAAGGGTCTCGAGTTATTCTGCGTGCAGTAGTCGATTTGACGTCGGCGTATTTCTCTCTTGTGTGGGATGGTAGATGAGATATAGAGCCCACTTCGACTTGCAATACTAGATGGGAATTAGACAACCAGGGGTGCGAAAGTGATCAAGATCTCGGTAGAGACTGTGACTTTAGTCATGGATTTCCATTTTCTCGCTTGGCCGAGAGCCGGGCTGCATGGGTGATACGGGATATAGAAAGGAGTTTGCGGCAGCAATCAAAAAGGCAAGAACACTAGGCGAGGTCGTCGTGCAGATAGAAGAAGGAATTGAAACGACAAAGACAAAAACCAGCACAGGGCGCTGCCTGAGCATGAACATGAACATGCCAAGTTGCTAAGCTTCCCGGGGGCTGAACGGGGCTGAACTGGGCTGAAGGACAAGAAGCTGAGCCATCCATCCATTTTGCCGAGGCTGAGGATCCAAGGCGCTAGAAGGTAGATTGTCGAGATAAGTGCGGGTTGCCTGTCTGGCACTTGCTCCAACGACCAGAGACTCTGAGAAATTCTGGATAGACGACAAAGCTATTAGTCAGGAGCAACAGTAACAAGCGGCAGCATCGTCACGGGGGTGGCAGAGAGAGAGCAAGAAAGAGAAGAGACCCATTAAATGCACCATTTAGGCGCATTGCCAGATTCAGCTGTGTAATCAATGCGTGCCGTATTCTTAGCATGGCGCGAGTGGCTGAGCAGTTGGGACACGGGTCGAAGTAAGAGAGAATATCGTGTGTGTGGGATATAGAGGGAAATGAGAGCAGCAAACTGCTTGGAGGAGTTGAATGTTGTTTGCTATAGAAGAAAAAAAGAAGAAGAAGAAAAGGGCGTAATGATAGTGAATAGGTGAGACGTTGATGGAAATGGAAGGCAGGACGCGATGGGCCAACCGCGTGACCACAAACAGGTACCTCCGAGTCGGTATTGCTGCAGGCAGAAATGGTGAGGATTGCCATCTGTTATCAGGCACTGCGTTTGGGTACCTGTTGTAGCAAGCAGATACTGCTGCTAGAACAAGTAATTGCATGCGCCATCTGATGCAATAGATACACCTATCATAATCGCATCGTGGGATTCTTTCGAGGCGCAGTGATATTAATAGGTGATAGCTGACCGACCGCGTGTTTTTCTAGAAGGCATGAAAGACGTTGGCGTAGATTCGGGCTGAAACCATATATGTACAGTAGGTACTCAAAGGGGTGCTTATTTCTTAATATGGTCAGTAGTATATGAGAGATAATACCACTGCTGGTAAGCACTGGATGGATAACGCCTCTGTAGATAGCATGGTGTAAGTGCTAGATACTATAGTCGGTTTGGTATCGAGGTATGCTTCAGTAAAGTACGTAACAACTCTGGCATTCATATTTCGGAGGGATATCGCGTCCAAGAGCCCTATATCTCTCCAGAAGGCTATCATAGAGGTTGTTGTAAGGGCCATCACAAGCCGTATACTCTGTCTACCAAGCATTGACAAGACGCCAGAGCTATAGTCGCCGTCTCCTTTGCTCGTTGCAGGTGCCATCAGACGCAGCCTAAAGTCTCCGTCGCCTGCCAGAGAAATAAAGTCGCCAAGGCAAAGGTGGATCGTATATCCCATGCCCTTGCGCCTCAGCCTGTCTGAACCAACCCCCGCTTGTGGATTTTGACTGGTTTGTTGATTCTCATTGTTTCCCAGTCGATCTGCTTTGCAACTCGGACCACGGACGGCTCCCGTGCTTACTAGGTACATATACTGTATCTACAGCGGAAAGTGGGGATGTCGCGATGCTGCTGCAAAACCCACTGCACTAGATTCGTTTCGTACGAAGCGCGAGCAATATCTCTTGTGCCTGTACGAGTAAGATATTAGCCCGTGATCGCGGAGCGAGATCCTAGAGGGAGGGCCTGGCAGCATCTCACCAGCATCTGTGTTCTATATTACCTAGGACTTGGATCAGTTTTTTTCAGCTCAAATGCCTCGCCATCGCCAGCAATTGGCTTGTGAGATGCGAGGCAGCAGCAGCAGCAGCACTACTGCCTAGTATTGGCAGCAAACCGTTGGTCCAAAGACGGCTTTTCACCACGCGGTCTTTGCCATCGCAGATACGAGTGCAGCTTCGTTCCCTGTTTTGCCTAGAGTGTGCTATGCTGTCCTAAGCCTAGCCTCTCCTCCTCTCGAAGAGGCGCCAGCCAAGGCAGCGGGCCACTGCTGCGACCGTGTGGTCCACGTCGATGGCAGATTGAGTCGCTGGTGGGCCGTATCGTGTTGCAGTACCGTAGAGAGCGTTCCCGGTGCTAGCTGCCAGTATTAGCACGTCGTCGTAGGCCAAGAGACGGCGAGCATGTATAAGTACAAGGGACACGGCTGAATGCTCGAGATTCACAACCGATTACCTCCCATCACAGTATGAAGTAGGCACTTACAAGTACTTGTAGATGTTTGTAAGAAACGACCCCCTGCGCCTTGCCGGCAGCCTCAGCGCCGGGTTCCTGGCGAGCAAGAGGTCCAGGCCAGCCCGGCCAGGGACAAGCGCCGGTGGCTTCGAGTGGTGTGATGGGCGCTGGGCGAGCTTCGTTAGGGCATGATCTCCCCCCTCTCTGCAGCAGATGGCGGCGTCCACATTCAGTAACAACGATGAAGAAATGAGAAGCGACTGGGGTCCCCGTCGCGCCAGCGTCCAATGGCAGCGGCCACTTGGACGTTGGACGAGGGCAGCAATTTTGACATGCATAAGGTGCCTTGCTAGTGCGTCGCGATGGCGGCCTGTGATTGGCTGGCGTGGCCTTCCCCCGTAATCTGCGTATCTTAGTACGGAGTGGTACCTCTAGCGTCACTGACGAGTCTACGGCTTAGCACGTACTGCAAGGTCGGCAGCGACTTTAGTGCGGATGGAGCCCCACCAATGGGCAATTTGCACGTGCGTGCATCTTGGTGAGCCAAAGGATGGTCATGAGCAATGCCGGGATGCGAGGCCATCGGCCGTTTGCCGCGGCAGATAATGCTGTTGTCTGCGTCTTGATCGTGACGACACTTTTGAATGGCTGATGTACCGGTTGATCAGTCAAGTTGAAATCAAATCCCAGCGCAACGTCATTCCGGCATACTGACTCTTGGTAGTGACCAGTCTCCTCGCCTCTGGATTGAGCATCTTGGGAGGTGATGCTATTCGCAGACTTCATACATCCCCCGCCATCATCTTGTTTCCATCTTGGATCATAAAGATGCGTGCCTACCTAGGCTTCTAATCTTCGGAGACAACTACGTATCGGTACAGTATAGACGGGACGAATCGATACGTGGCAGAGGAACTAATCTCAACTCGACCTGAAAAGGCCACCCGCCAGGCTGTCTCCCGTACGGGGTGCGTTACAGTGCATGCAGCGACAGGGGCAATGATACTATACCTGCGATGGGTGCAACGGGTTGAACCAAAAAAAAAAAAAAAAACGAGAGAGAGAAAATGAACAAGAGGATTTTATTCTGTGCGCTTATCTGTGCCATGGTTGTTCTGGTATGGCTCGTCTCGTTGATACCAACTGAACATGGTGACAACCGTTCAAATTATACCTGCTGCAAGCACAAGCTGACGCTCCAAGGTAACACCACAGCGCCCAGCCGTACTGCATGCTGGTGGCAGCACTGCTCGCACATGGAGCCAGGGATCTTGCCAGAGTTCTAGAAATGTCGGGTGAGACAAAAACATCAACCAAAGCAACACAGAAGCGGTACGGTCTGTCCCAGATGATAACGCGCCATGCCACCTTGAGTGTTGCATCACCAATGATGCATTCGCCGGGTCTCTCTCAGGCCCCTGTCGACGAGCTGGAGGGGTAGCTACTACCTACCAGTCAGTCTTTCAGGTGGTACGGCATACAGCGGTAGCAGAGCAACCCTCCCCGCGAGAACCTAAACACTCGGCACGGCGCTTGCTGCCTGGCAAAAGGCTGGTCATCAGTCATCTCGTTACTGCCTACACTCGACAACTAACATGGCTCCGTACTCGTAGTACGAGGAGCGTGCTAGTGCTAGTGTTATTGCCTAGGATGAAGCATGAGCAACAAGTTCAACTCATGCTAGCCGCAAGTATGTGGACCGATCAGACACCCCACACACACACTCTTGACCCTTTGCGGGACTGCCACTCTGGGACCTATCGAGCGCTGCTTGGCGTGTTACTGGGCGGTGCTCTGGCACGATAGAAGCTCCCTGGGTAGGATGCCCTGGCCTTTATTCAAAGTACGCGAGTACGGAGGCGAAGAGGACAGGCTGGTCAGGCCGCTTCTGTCCCTTGCGGCCTGTACAGTAGCACACGGACGGGAGCTTGGGTGTGCCTGGTTGCGGCGCTGGGGAGCTTGGACGCAAACGGTGCGTTGCCGACGGGCTTGGATTCATCATCGAGTTCAACGGCCCGCGTACTCGCAAACACAAAGAACGAATGTGGCGTACGTGAAAGGCTACATGTACCTACCTGTCCAAGCCGTGTTCTATCGCCAACGATCTGTGGATGCATCAACGCAGGGCTTTCGGTGTTACTCAACAACGTGGGATATTGGCGGCCGTAGCCGAAAGGAGGCCGAAAGCATATCCTACCGCCACAAGATACACAAAAGAGAAACCCCCCCCCCAAAAAAAAAAAAAAAAAAAAAAAAGCAATTTCCTCTTTTCTGAGCGTGGGGTTGATTCAGGGCGCGGAATGCTCAAGGTGTACACCCGAGGGAGAAAAGTGTTCAACGGGACGGAGTATTGTCCGACATTGTTCCCTTGGAAGAGAAGCAAGGAAACCAATGAGAACGACTCAAAAAAAGCAGGAAAAAAAGGGGCCGCAAGTCTCTGCTCTGTCACAGAGTGAGAGACGCTGTGTTTGTTTGTTTCGTCCTCTGCAACCCCTTTTTTGCTTCATCCTTTGATTTCATGATACAGTACGGCTTGTCTTGTACTGCACCGCAGCATCCCTCTCGCCAACCCCAACCCATCTTATGTAATCAACAGACGGCTGGCGGACTCACACCCCCTTCTCGAGAACAACAAGGTTTCTCGTCGCGTCACAGGACCAGAAAAGCACTCCCGGGCTGGCAAAACCACCGCTGGCTTTAGCATTTTCGGCCACAGAACGCTCGCTGGCGTCATCTTAGCCCCAAGACAACGCCCACTAGCCTCAAGCCCGCGGTCCCCAGCTGCTGGGAGGCTACAGCGCCGTGCTCGTACTTGTAGTACCTGCAAGGTACGCAGGGCCTGGTACTGTGGCCGCCACCGCGCTGACGAAACACGGGCTAAGCAGCCAGGGCCGGTACGCAACAGTGGCCGATGTGCAGGTACCCTCAACTCTGAAGCGTCGCCGGGACATGCTGCGCCGCTGCCCCGATTGGCTGCGAAACCTAGAGGAAATTTGGCCCCCGCTGGGCTTTTTTTTCTTTTTCTTTAGCCACCCTCCCAGAAGCAGAACCCTCCTGGAGCCCTTTGGGGAACCTTGAACCCTTTCCAGGGCGCCGTGTCGTCGCTGTCTGAGCCCGCAAAAGCCGCTGAAAGCCCTCTGCTCCAAAACTCTCTCCCTCCCTTTCCGCGCACTAGCCCCCATCCAACCCTCCAAAACAACGCTCGACTGTAGTAGCCCGCCGTTTTGTTCTCCATCGTGAAAAGAGAGTTCTGGTGCGAGCAAGAAAAATAGAAACACACAGGAAAATAGGTGGAAAGCGATCCTCAAGAGTGGCTCCCCTTGCCTCGCAAAAAAAAAATTATATTTATTATAGGCTCGGTCTGAACCTGCTCAGAAATACGATCAACTGACGCCTCGCGCTCATAGGTCCACTGGTTGCTAATCGCTGCTCCCATCACTGAACCCACCACTCTGCTCCCACCACCACTATATTAGCAGCACTACTGCCAGCTACCCAGGCTGCTAGGTGGCAGCATCTTCCCTCTTTCTCATTCCCCTCGCCCACTCGCTCACTTGCTCATCGTTGATCCTTTTCTCGCTGCCCTGGTTTCTTAGCTCCCTCCACCTTTTGGCGGCTGCAGCTGCGGCTTTCCCCCCCCCTCCTCTCCCCCCCAAATTAAGGCCCCAGAAGGCCTAAAGCCAAGGCCCGGACAGAGGAGAAAATATGCGAACTGCACCTGCAGCCAAATCCATCACCACCTCGCTAATCCCAACCAAAACGCCAAAAGTTTAGGCCAACTTCGCCTTATCACCAACTTCATCCCGCCAGCTGATCGCCGCCCAGCCGACGCCTCGCACGCGATTTTACTTTTCCTCTGGCGCCTATCTTCTCTTCTCCTCTGGTTATTTTAATTATACTCTTTGGCTCCGCATCGCCGCAACTCTACTTCGAACCCACATCGCCGGCCGCGTCTTTGTTGCCGCCACAGCAGCAGAAGCGCCAAACCGGGATCCTTTTCCTCCATCTCTCTCTGGCTTTCAATCTCGCATCACAAGCATCGTCAGCTTTATATGCTTATTCACGTGTATAATTCCTCTCGCGATCACGAATAGAGTTTCTCGAATACGTCGCCGTCTTTTTCGCTCCGAAGAAAGCCTCGTTGTCCGAGTCATATTGGCACTGCTGCCGGGCCACGCATCGTCGAACCTTTTATTCAAACCACTCTCGCGACCTCTCTCTCTCTCGAATTTTCGCTCTTCACTTGCCTCAACAAGCCCTCGATATACCATTCTGCGTTGTTCTACTACGCAACACAAATCGTCTGGCTCGTAGCCGGCACTCTAACCGTCACCAGATGCGCAATACTTTCGACCTGGCATCATCATCGGCAACGCCTCTCGCTACCGTATATTCCTATCGCAAGGCTATGAGCGGTGATACCGGCAGGAACCGTCCGCCGCCGACAACGTCTGCGTGGATGCAATATCCCGAATCCTGGACCAGCTTGTCGCCCGTGCATATGCAATCACCAGAGCCTCTGGAGCGAGGAGGCCTCATCGCCGCCATGAACAGCTTTGCCAACCCCCCGGCCCCTGTTCCGACAGCGCAGTCTGTCCGCGCGGCGTTTAGAGGCCAGCCTTCCTCATCGGCGCCTTCGTACGGCCTCAACGGCGTGAATGGCAACCAGCGATTTGGGGCCGAGCCGCCCAGGAGCACCATGTTTGATGTGTTCGCTCCGCAGTCGCCGCCGCCTGTGCGCGTGCTGGTCCGGAACTTGTCGGCCAATACGACAGAAGATGCCCTGCGGCTCATGCTCGTCTTTTCAAACGAGCTGATCAGCGTCGAACTCTTGGCTAACAATTCCGACGACCTGCGCTATCGCTCTGCTGTGCTGTATTTCCAATCCATGAACGGCGCGCTTGAAGCCCAAACCAACCTCAACGGCCGCGTCAACATGAACAACAGCGGCAGCATGCTGGTTGATGTCTTGGGCACGTCTACCTATTCGTCGCCTAACAGGATGACGCCTAACCCCGTTCCCTTGGCCAGCCCAAGTGCCGCGTCCAATGTTGACCCTTTTACCACGGCGGTTACTCGTCCTCAGCCAAGCATTGGCAATGGGTTCCCATCCCACGATGCAATGTCGCCGACAATGAGGGGCCGTTTCTTCGGTAGCGTTGCTCCCCATCAGGACCTGGCCGCCCCAGATACCGAGGCTAGCAACCACTACAAGAACTTGTTCAATCCCCAGTCGCCCATTGGAAACCACCTTGCTAACGAGCTGCCCGGCCGACTGGGCAAATACATGATCAACAACGAGCTCGGCGATGATGATGATAGCGAACTTCTCAGAGATCCCATTGCCTATGCGGAAAACGGCACCCCGGCCCAACGCAGAGCTACTGCTCCCAACATTCCCACCAGCCAAATGGCGAGCCTTTCCATCAACACGAGCGCTCCGCCGCCGTTGCCATCGTACATTCCAACCCTGACTTCTCCGGTTCATGGCGTCAACGGCAACAATGGATTCATGAGGGGTGGGCAGCAACAGCAACAGCAGCAGCAGCAGCAGCAGCAGCAGCCGCAACAGAATCATCACTCACTTACTCGGATGCCGCAGCAAAGGCCACAGCAGCAGCAGCAGTCGCGATCACAGGCGCAACAGCATCAGCAAGACAGGTCCCCTAGGCAACATCTGTCAAAGCCCCAGCAACAAGACAGGCAGCAGCAACAGTCGAACCAACAAGTGCCATACGGAAGATCCAACTTTCCTCCCGTCAACCCCGCGGACCAGAATCCTCCCTGCAACACGCTTTACGTTGGCAACCTGCCTGTCGATACGGCCGAGGAGGAGCTCAAGGCAATGTTTTGCAAGCAGCGAGGCTACAAGAGGCTTTGCTTTCGTACCAAAGCGAACGGGCCCATGTGTTTTGTCGAGTTTGAAGACATTTCGTTGGCTACACGGGCACTAAACGAAATGTACGGAGCGTTGCTGCACAACAGCACCAAGGGTGGCATCCGCCTGAGCTTCTCCAAGAACCCGCTTGGCGTTCGTTCTGGCCAGCCTCCTTCGCAGGTCCCTCAGACAACCATGCCTCCCATGAACGGAGCGGCCCCGTCCAACTTGTCCAACGCCTTCGCTGCGGCCAGTGGCCCTCCTCCAGGTCTGTCTGTACCACCGGGACTTGGTTCACGAGGGGCTGGCTACGGCAGCGCCGGCAACGGCAACGGCAACGGCAACGGCCACGGCCACGGCATTACGAACCAACGGAACAGTAACTTTTCAAGCTTGCCATCCAACGGCAACAATCACCGTCATCAACAAGGTCAAGACTCCTATTTTGCGTATACGAGTTCCAACAATGGAAATGGTACCGTGGTCAGCTTCAGCAACGCTGGCTCTTCCCGCACCACACCTTTCTACACCAATGGAGCGAACAGGCCTGCTAAGCCTCGCACCCCTTTCGCATAATGCGGCATATTTACTCTTGGGAGGGCATATTGTCTTTTGATTTCTTTTTGTCTTCTTATTTCCTCTCCCCTTTTTTTTTTCCTTTTGAGGGAGAGAGAGCTACTCCAAGATACACACAGGGGCATCTTTATGGGATACTACGATAAATTTGAAACTAGCATCACGGTTTGGGACCGGGGAGGGCGCAACGAGTTTTCTTTAGTCAACTTTGCCAATTTTTTCTCTCTCTTTCACCTCTTTTTGATTTTTTTTACGCATGGGATGGATTTCTTTTGGCCATGTTGCCTTAACGTGGCTATTGGCCAAGAACTTCTTTCTGGTCTTGGAGTAATGAGCTGCGACAAGAGAAAGAGCGGACAACGGCGTTGGCTCACTTGGGCTGGTCTTTGAATCGTTGTGGTTCTTGTTCCCCTTCTTCTTTCTTTTTGATTCCCCTTATCCACCCCTTTTTTTAAGAATTTCACATGATTCCGGACGCGAAAAAGATAATCTATTATATCCCCTGCTACATGCCTTTTTTCTTTTTTCTTTTCCGTTTCAAGCTGGCTTGGTTTTCCAAATGGACAGGGGGAAAAATTAAAAACTTTCGTCACTATTTTTCAACTACACGTCTTTCTTGTCTGGTAAAAGCAAAAATACAAAAGCGACAAAAAAAAACATGCTTTGGAGGCTAATTCAAATTTTTTTCCCTTGGTTTGGCAGCGCTGCATTTTTATTGGAACACTGGGAAACGCTTCAGATACTGCTTCAACATGGCTTCAATACGGCTTCGACTTTTGATATCCTATTATTTACCCATTCTACTCTTCTTCTTACTACTGCCTCTTCTTATTTTTAACTTCTGTTAGTGACTTTGCCATTTGGCTAGTCTTTTGTTTGTTTCGCCTTCAGCGTCCTTTATAGAACCGACTACAGCATGCAAATGCCGCATACCAATATCTTTTTCTGGTCTGCCAATAGGAGCTATAGCTTGCACACTTACGGTGGCTATTCGCGGTTCAGGGGAGTCAATTCGCTCTCGTCAAAGGGGCAAGAAAGATAATGCACGTTCTGGCGCTTTTGTGGTTTTTTTTTTTTTTTTTGTTTTTCTGCATAATTCCATGGATATTGGATTCTCTACGCAGCTGTTCGTTTTTTGTTTTACTTTCATACTATTACACGTCTGCATGAACTGGATGGGCTGTTGATCTTGATGGGCATGAACAATCGGAGTATCAGTTGGAGAATTTGGAGCAAATTTTGTTCACTTCTTTTTCTTGGGTGTTGGTTGGCTGGGTGCCCAAACCTTTTCTTTCTTCTCAAAGGGCTACTGGAGGAAACACAAAATGAGATGGGAAGAACGCAATGACAAAAGGGACAGAATGGGAAGACCTTGGATCACTTTTTACTCTTTAGACGTGGAAATCATTCGACGTTTGTTTTTCTCCTTTTTCAATGGAACGATACGACGAACATGGCTGGTTATGGGAATAACTTGTTACATCGAATCCGCCAGTTCAGGTTTTTTTTTCTCTGTCGTTTGAGTCTTTTGGTGTTGGGTTGTATATTGGCAGCGGTAGTTTTGGTCGGAGCGTCCATTACTGAATTTTGTCTTTACTCTGATGGAACTGGATGAGCGCAGAATATCAATAATGAATAGGAAAGGAGACGCTTTGGCTTATTTTGCTTCTGGTATTTTCTTGTGCCTGTCTTGCCGTGAATGTAGCAGTGTGTGCCTCTGGTATATGTGTGTGATATGTTGGATGTGTGATGTAGCTTAGGTAATGCTGGATCTCGACCTATTTTCTTGCTCGTTTGATAATTGCTAAATTTCTTCCCTTCTCCTTCATCTTCCAATCTGCCAAGCCGCCAGTCATATCGCCTCAGAGATCCGCCAATCTTGGCAAATTCGTCTTTCGCCAGAGAAATGCCGTAAATGATGCTGTTATGCTTTGGCTCCTGCATGAACTTGGCCGAATTTTGGTTCTCCGCATTTACCGACAGGGTAGCTGTATGCTCCGCAAGACAGCCAGTCTATTGCCGCAAACTTGATTCGAGGTTTGTGCTTTCCAGATTTGACTAGAGGCCCCTTTGATTCCCGATAAAAGACTTGTTCTGAATACACATGTGACTGACTGTTCGCTGACGATAGTCTACCGTGAGATGGGCAAAAGCTAGTGCTCGAAATGGTCAACCTGCAATCTGCTTGCACTGATTGGCTCCTTGGCCCTAGAGCATAAAATCATACGCATCGACTTTACTGTGACGACTTCCAACCGTCAATTGTATTCATCGAGGCAGACAACTGTCGCGATAGGCGTTATTGGTTGGGGTTTTGCTTGCTTGGCTCCCGCGGAACTTTTCCTCTGTGGCGCCGTGGTGGCTTCTACTATAGAGTCTTGAAGATTGAGGGGGCGTCGAAAGCTGTTCTTGGCAGCTTTCTGGCGCGTTGCTAGCCACAGGTTCGCCTCTTCCTTGATATCTGAAAGCATGTGAAGACGAGGAAGTGGCAAAGGGTGCACTGTGCGACTCTGAGCAGCGGCTGGCCGCGCTGATGGAGCTCTGGCGGGCGTATTCTGGACAGATCTCGCGGCGAGATGCAGAAGAAGAGTCAAGCTAAGCCTGCAGCCTGCCTGATTTGATAAAAATGCAGTACCACTGCTACGTACTCGCGGCCACCAGCATCAATCAATCTCGAGTATCAGTCAAACAATCTCGAGTATCCCAGCAGCATACGCTAGGAAGACAGACGGGTGGAACCTTTTGGACCTGTCGGGACCAGGAATCCGGGGAACCCAACGAGGCGGAATTATGGGGTTTGATTGTTTTAAAGCAAGCCATTCAGCCACCCCGATACCATTCCTTCCGGCAGTTCCATGCGAAATCGAAGAATAGCCATGGGGCGGGCTAGCCATATAGCAACCCGTGAATCAATTAGCCCAATGTTGATGTTATCAGCTTGATAGCATTCGCCATGGCGTCTGCCTCTCTGAAGTGCCATCTGCTAAGCATAATAGAGTGATGTAAGTGCAAAGGCTATTGAGCACTCCCCCGCAAATTGCCATACGCCTGTCATCCCACAACCCGCAGTTTGGCATTTGAAACATATATAAGCCGGCCAACTTCTTTGGGTTTCCAATCATGCACTTTTTTTCTTCATCTCCCTTTTCAAAGTTGCAGCCCGTTTTGTTGCTAATTTTGGAGAGAGGAAAAAAGAAGACTGCGCAATAAACAATGTCTGCAACGATTCGACATCCTCCGCCGCTCGTCGATCCGAGAAATGGCGTCCAGAAACACTTTATTAGTCCTACCCCGAATGCTAGGATTGCAGACGACAATGGGCTCAATGATATACTCGGCGTGACACAGATTCTTGAGAATCACGATATCCCGTGCTTTTGTGTCGGGATATCTGCCCTCAAGTTTTATGGCGCCGCGAGAGACCGACGCGTGAGCTATACTTCTCCTTTTGACAGCTTGATATTGTTTTTTTTTTTTTCGTACATGGAAAGGACGACGTATCACTTGGCGTTTATCAATTGGTGTTATTGATGGATGAATAGCTAACATGATGACTCTTGTTACCAATAGGAATGGGAAATCTGCGTGCCCACTGAACTCGCTTCCAAAGCCCACGAAATCTTCCGCTCACCTCCATACTCCACCACCTATATCCCCATTTCTCCAGTCCCCCACGCCCGAATAATGTCGTTTCTGCACACCTACAAGCGATACCAGATCCGAGACCTCCCCCACATCTTCGTCATCGTGCCCTCCCGCGACGTGCACCTCGACTGCCGCCCCAACAAGATTGTCCGTAGCCTCAGAGGCCTGCCCTACCCAAACCTCGAGGATTTTTTCCAGAGCTGCCTCGACCGCCGCGATGAAATCGAGCTCACCGACCTCATAGACGGCACAAACGTCACCAACGACTGGGGAGAGTCGCACCTGGACTTGAACGGATCCCACGACGTCGAGTGGGCGCGCGAGATGAAGCGCCGCACCGACGAATGGGATCCCCAGGTGGAGGGAACATCACCGCCCATTGACTACTGGCCCACGAGGCCGCTGAGCAAGCGGGAGTTTTGGCAGGAGCTTGTGCAGACCAAGATGGATAGACTGGACTGGTCGCGGCCGCCAGAGATTTTCCTGACGCAGTATCGTATCCGTAACTCTTCGGATCCATGGACCGTCATGACGAATGTCGCTTGAAGGTATCTATTTGTTTCTCATTTGTTGATACTTGCCTTGATGATGTTGCTGAACGTCTTGAATCACTTCTTTTTCTCTCTCTCTTGAATCTTTTGGTCAGCAAGTAGGACAGCATTCGTTGATATGGTAATACTCGTGTATATGGAACGGTCTCTGCATATGGAACGGCAAGTACTTTTTCTTCTTCTTCGCCCAATACATCTTTACATCATTTAGCTGCTCATTTGGGCCAATAAACTTCATGACAAAGAATCGATTTCAGTCTATTAAAGGGAAATTGCCTTCTGTAGAAGGCGAACTAGCTCAACTACTCGTACTACATTACATGTAAACGAAACACCACTCAAGTCGCATCAGTCGTAAATCAACAAACAACATCATTCATGCCCCAATCATATACCCCGTCTCTACTCATACATACTCAAATCGATCGAAGTGGCACTCGGTATATTATCCGTCTCATCCCTCACAATACAGAACGTATTCGCAACCATGCTCCAGAACTTGAGGTTATTCTCCATTGCCTCACAGCACCACCACTCGCCGTGAGGGTGCTGGTGCTCTAGTTCCGTCTGGAATTCCACTCGTACACTATAAATGCTCCGCCGGTATTGTGGTTTCTCAGGGTCACCGTCTTCGTCGTCGTTGTTCGCTACCAAGAGCGGATTCCATCTGTTAGCTATCTTGTAACATATTCCAATGGGCTGCACAATTTCCTCTGTCAAATCAACGCCGACACGGACATGCCCAAGAGCTCGGGATCCTCCGTGGTGATAGTGCAGCACAACACCTCTTGTGACTCCGTTGAGCCGTCCTCTGTAAATGACTGCAGATGCAACATTTTCAAGAGGTGCCCAAGAAAAGTAAATTGTTTCGACAAAGCTGTGCATACTGATCGGGCTACTCTCGTATCTGTTGTCAGGAAAGTCTCTTTTGTCCATCTTTTTGGCCGGGTCTCCAGCAGAGTATGTGCCGAGGAAGCCCAATTCTCTCGCAGGGCCCCACCATTGTGGTTGCTGATAAACAAGCATTTGAGGAGCAGCCTGGACGAAGCAGCCATCTTTAAGGGCCTTGTTATGCGATCCCACGATGATGGGGCCGGATTTCTCCGTTTGTATCAAGATGTTGAAAGGCCTCCCTAGGTCTCGCTTGACGCCAATACCAGTTATCCGATCACCCTTGGAGATGGGGACGTAGTTCCACACGCAACACTTTCCAACCGAGTTGGGCAATTTGTTAAACGTGTCCATGGCAGATGGTTCCCCAGGGGAATGGAGGTGAATGCCGGCGAGGCCTCCATAAATAAGAAAGAAGGTTATGCCTGTTATCCCTTCCAGATTGGCGACAGTCAAGCGTGGCCACTTCCTGGTGAGATGTTCTTCATTTATGGACATGTTGCAGGCAGACCAAGCAGGTGGGGTAGGAGTTTCCCAAATTCGAGGAGGATCCATATCAGGAGTAATTACAAAGCGGCATCGACCGTACTAGAAACAAGGAAAATACTAGTTAGCAACGGAATTGATGATGGATGTCGAAGAAGAAGAAGAAGAGAAGAAGAGAAGAAGAAGAGAAGAAGAAGAGAAGAAGAAGAGAAGAAGAAGAGAAGAAGAAGAGAAGAAGAAGGGGGGGGAATAGAAGCTTACTAGACTATGAACATATAATTTGGATGTATAGTCATCATCTTGAGACAGAAAGATGTATGCGACGTTGGTAAGACGTCCCCTTGCATACTCAGGGGCACGACTCTGGCGAGATATGCTGCGAATGCCATCGGAGTCGATATTGACTGTGATGAATGGAGGCAGGGATCTGGAAGAGGCACTTGTAACTGCGGCTCCGCGCTTCCAATCCGCAATTTCTGTCAGCGGCGTCGTCTGCAATGCGAGCGGCTGGTCCATAGTCTTTGATATGTGCTCTGCTACGGTACGTGCTATCACGAACCGCCAGAACAGCGAGCGTTCCGAAAAGCCCTGTATGGCTCTAACGAGCTCGGCTGGCAAGCCAAGTAGTAGCTTTGCCACTCCAAGCTCCGTGGCCACGCTCTCAATCAAGGACACGTCGGTATTCATGGGATGAGGAAGAAGCAAGGGCTGAGAATTGTTCCATGGTTGCCTAAAGGCAGCCACTGCCCATATCCGGACGTTGATGGCAGAATCATCATGGTCGGCGCATTGCTTCTTGACCATGGCATAGCAGTCTTTGTGAACTGGCACTGCATCCACCGCCGCGTCTATACATACTATGCAATCTGTCTTCTTGCAGATCTCAAACCGAGATGTGTTGAGCAGGAACTGGTTATCCTCACGAAGAAAAAACGATGGCGAGCACCTAAAGATTTCCGGAGCGTGACGGTAGACTATACGAAGAAGAAAAAAAAGAGGTGTCAGCGCTGATGTCAAAGATTTCTGAAACAAGGTGCTTTTTTTTTTTTTCTTTTTTTTGATAGAGATTGATATAGACGCAGGGAAGCTGGAAAGCAAGAAATAAAAAGAGGAAAGCATGCCGCTACTTACCAACCTGGATGCTCTCCTTTGTCTCTAGGACTTGAACACATATCCCGCACTGGCGATAGATTCCAAGATGAATCGGTTTCGCCAATGGCGTTCCGCTCGGCCCCTTACATGCCCGGGGACGGGACATCACAACCATGTCGAAGATGGGATAAAACAATGAGGAGGACGACGATGATGATTATGATGGGAAGAAAAGAAGAAGAAAGGCAAGGAGAGACGAAAAGGCAAGAAAAGGAAGAGAGTCAGGGGACAGCAAAGAGGGGGAAATCAGCTGCAGCCTTGCCAGACAAAACCTTGGTTGTTTGCTCTTCTTCTAACAGCAGGCGCGCAGCACTCGCAGCACTCGCAATACTAAGCGAGCCAATCGCATCCACTTCCTTAATCGCCATTAATCGTCACTCATTCACTCTTTCCTTTTTTCCTTTTCTTTCAAAAAAGGAGAAGACGTGGCATAAAGTTTCATGAGGATGCAAGGGGGACGCAATATTGGCCAACACACACATATACGGCCATCTTCCTATTGGAAGAAGATTCTGAGGTTGCATTGCTCCTTTCGGTGAAGAATGGATATGCTTATTGGTGCATTGCAAGTGTGATACGGCATAACTGCTATTATATTTTCCTTTTCACTTTTGTGTCTTTGCTTACTTTTTTGTGCTGTCCGAATCACGAGGAAGAGAATGTTGAGTTCTGGGATACGAGAGATGTTTATAGTGGATGCGAAAAGTAGTATATTCGTTCGTTACCTACAGCAGCAGGGACAATCATCTGCCAAGCCTGCTAATCATATTCATCGTCTTGCTTAATAGCAAAAGAGTAGAGTCCATTCCTTGTGAATCCCTCTGAAATCCTTGTTTCCTTGTTTCCCTCTTCCACCCTCGTCTCTCCTCTCATTCATGCGTTGCCTCCTTCATTTGCACTTGAAATGAGAAAAAACATGATAAAAAAGAAATCGCCCCTTTAACGCCGTGATTCTTCATTTGTGCCCTGGTGGTATTCGTCTTCTACCCCCTCTAACCCCCATCCTATTGCCGTTTTGTCCGTAGGATGCATAGTGTTACAGTGTATTCGTAAACTGAGGTAAATGAAAAAGGGAAGGAAATCCCTATTGCTCTTTTTTTTTTCTTTTTTCTGTTTTGGTTTGTTTTCTTCCCTTTCCTCCAATTTTTGTGCCGAGTAGTATGCATATGTAGTATATATATGTGTATGTGCGAGTGAATGTGCAGGCGTGTGGTTTTCGTGTTAGTTATACAGAGAGGAGAGGAGAAGAGAGTAGAGAGTTTAGGCGGGCGTGTGGAAGAAGCGCAGAATGACCTCGTACATGCCAAACATGATTGCCGCACTAGGCACCGTTCGCATGAGATGAGGCGTCAAGCCGCCGTAGAGACCCATGAGGCCTTCCTCCTTCCAGACGAGCTTGAAGCACTGGACCAAGCCCGTGTACTTGAGCTTGCCGTCTGCCAGAGGAGCCTGTCGCAGGCGAGTTCTCGCAACCTAGGGATTTGGGAGTTAGAACATGGTCACGACAACTAGACAAGATGCTTCAACTCACCTCGTGGGGATAGGCAATGACCGCGGCAACGAGCTTTGCGCCACCTGCAGCTCCGCCGTTGCCCATGACATCCACCACGCGGTCCCAGTACGTCTTTGGCCGGCGGCTGGCCACAATCAGCGCCTCCCGCCGCGCGAGATAGGCCTTGAGCTGCTCGTACAGCATCCACTGCATTGTCGACTCGACGACGCCCAGGTAGCTGGCGCTCATGCCCTTGTACAGGCCGCGCACGCCCTCGTCGCGCACCACCTGCTTGACGCAGTCCCAGCTGTTGCGGTACAGACGCTGCGTGGCGCCGCCGCTGCGCTCCGAGACGTTCTTGTCCAGCTGCAGGCGCGTCTTGACCATCCAGACGGGATTCGTGGCCGTGCTGGTGGCGACGCCGGCCGTGACGCCCGCCAGCAGATGCACCCACGGCGCCTCCACGCCCTGGTTCCAGTACTCGGCCATGAGGCGCTTGCCGTTGCCGTAGACGTAGAAGTTGATGCTGCGCGCGGGGATGACGCCCACCAGGTTGGGCCCCAGGCCCTTGAACAGCGCGCTCGATCCCTCGATGCGGTAGACCGAGCCCAGGATCCGCAGCGTGTCCGAGAGGTGGTACATGGCGCTGCGCAGGGGATTGAGAGGCCGCAGAGCTTGCGCCTGGGCGGCTCTGGACGCGCGGATCTGGGCCTGGTAGAAGTCGGACTGGAGTCTCGTCTTGAGGACGTCGAGCGGTGCTGTGACTGCTGCGGCCGTCATGCCACCAACACTGCAGATTGGGTTCAACTGTCAGATACTCTTGTCGTCTTTGTGTTTGAGAACAGAAACAAGACTCACCCTCCGGCCATGAAGTGCACCCAGGACTTTGCAAACGGCAGCGCCTTGACCTGCCCTCGAGGGCTGTCGTCCGGCAGCACATCGCCCGTCTCTCTCGATTGGATCAGCGCCGAATGCTCTGCGGGAACGTGCGAGTGCTGGAAGGGCCGGCGATCATCTCGTCCTGCCAGGTATGGAGGAGCAACAGCAGGACCCTGCTGCTGCGCCATGGCCAAGTCTTTTGTGCTTTGTCTTTTCCCTTGTTTCTTTGATTTTGATTTTGATTCCAATACTGGTATTATAAAGAGAGGAAAAGAAAGCTGTCGTTGTACGGCGCGGTGGCGGCTTGGAGGATCGGTCGAGAGATTATTCTTTGGTTTGCCAGGAAGATTCCGGAAATGGAAGACCGAGGAAGGAAGAGAGGAAAAAGTGACAGAGGTTCGGTTAAATCGGGCAGGAGTTCAGTTCTTTGTTTTGGGAAGGAGTGGAGGGAAAAAAGAAAACAAAGTTCAACAGTTGCTAGTGGACGGTCTAAAGAAGAAGAGAAAAAAAAAAAAGAGCTGGCAAAGAATGAAGAAACGCGAAATGCCGTTTATTGCCTCTTTGATTTCTTTGATTTTGTTTTTGCGGCTCCGGCTCTAAATTTTTTTTTTTTAACCTTCTCCGATCCCTTCTTCCTATTAGCGGACCTCGCTTTTAGCTCGAACCTGAATGGCGCGTTCAGCTGCCAAGGTGGGCCAACTCTGTGCAGTGGCGCAGGTACGTATCCCCGCGATGTCATCGATGGCTCAGAGCGTTTGTAATGTCAGTTTTGCCTGACTAGGAACTGAACTTATATATCGTGCTGTGGCCTTTGCGTGTGATTATACTCTTATTCACTTGCGTTGTTTCTCTTCTCTTTGTGATTCAGAGCTCTTTTCCATATACCATGACTGCCACTCAGGGCAAGATGCGGCACTGGATGAATCTTGTGGTGTTGCTGTCAAAACTACGGATCACGATAACATCATATTGAAACTGACAGTTCCAAAGCAAGTGTATGAAACTATAGGAGAAACTCATCGCCAATGGCCGCTGTAGTGGACCCAGAGCGCATGCCACTCCACCCGCCATCAAAGCCTTATTACAGCACAGCATACTCTGAATAGGCGCATGTGGTACATGTAGTCGTGTCAATTGAGAAAAATCAATTAAAGTAAAGAAAATTGCTATTGGCTCGTTGCCTAAAGACCCTGCCATTATCACCACACATGTACTTAGTGAAAGCATCCATCTCGTATACCCAGTATTCCTAAACAAACTGCCCTTGTGCCTACATATATATCCCGTCATAAACCCGCTTGTACCTTTTTGCAAAGGTGTCCCATTTAGTTCCCATGCCTTACCAGACAAGACCACGCATTAAAGCTACCTATATAGTACTAGTCATAGTATCTACCATTGAAAATCATATCCCTTGAGCACCGCTACATATGCAATACCGGCCACTTTGCCTTAGTGGGAGTGGTATGCCCGAGGCTCATACTCTTCAAAGTCTGGAGGCGACAGGATCGCCGAGAGATGCCCTGTTCGAGGAGGGTTCCTCTGCACAGAAGGAGGAGCAGAGTCAATTCTGGTGAGCCGCGACGTGGGCACCAGTCTCAGTGGAGGCTCGATAGTAGCCGGGGCTTCAGGAGAAGAGGAAGAGGAAGCCAGCGCCGATGACGCCGCTGCTGCTACCGCTGCCAATGCCAATGCCGATGCCGATGCTGGTCTGGATACCAGGTCCATCGGGCTCGTTGAGTCTGCCGCAGCACCGGAGCTCTCACCAGGGCTGCCAGTGCTAGTACTGGTATATCCAAAACCAGAGCTAGAGTTGTTGCTGGCCTCGGCCTGCGTGCCAGCGGCCCTGCCGGCAGCGGCAGCGGCAGCAGCTTCTGCTTCTCGCAGCTTCTGTGTCTCGCGCTCGATAATCTCCAGCTGATGCCTCACAATCTCGGCTTCCTCGTCCGTGACGTTTCTCCAGCTGCATCTCGCGTGCTTCTTAGTGCAGCCTCGGCAAGCCGACAGGTGCTTGACGCACTGGAGGCGAAGACGTCGGCATCGATCACAGGTGGGGAAGATGACATCTCCCTTGTGGACCGTGTCAGTTTTTTTCAACACGAGAGCTCGGTGTTTCTCAGGACCGAGATCCTTTCCTACCGCTCCACGTCTGCCACGTCCCCTTCCTGCCCTCCCTCTCGCTCTTCTCGAAGGCAGAGCTGGAATCGGGACTGGGGCCAGAGCTGGAGCTGCTGGGGGCGAGCTCGATGCTGGGAATGAGACTCCTGGAACTGGTGCCGGAGTTGACGATGCTGTGATCGATGTTGTTGGCGACGGGGCCAGGACTGGCAGCGGAGCCAGAATTGAAGCCAAGGATGAGGGCGAGGGCGAGGGAGAGGATGTTGTTGCTGCTGGCCCGGCGGCATTGGGGTAAGTAAGGACCGGCAGCGGATGATACGGTGGCGCCTCAAGAATTGGCGCCGCCAGGGGACTGAGCCCGGTAGCAATGGCAGGCAAGGCGGAGCCAAAAACAGGGTGCTGCTGGTAATGGTAGTATCCCGGAGGGGGACCTTGTGGCGGCTGATTCTGCATCGAAGCCACCATGAACTGGTGGAGAAGATCTCCGTGGAGATCGTGGGGCGGCGAGCCGCAGCTGCCGGGTCCCGAAGGCGGTGGATGGTTGATGGCACAGAAGCCAGAGCTGACGGTAACGGCATTGGCCGCAGAAGCATCAGCATGGCGCAGAAGCTGATGAGCCACGTCCTTTCTGCGCGTCTCAAGCCTGCGGCTGAGAAATCGGGCTCTCGCCGCAACCTCGTCTGCCTTGTTGTACAAGAGGGAGGACCTCTGCATCATGATCTCGAGCGTGGCCAGCTCGGCCGCCTCATCCTCTTGGAAAATGTGCTCCAGCGGGAACTTGTCCAGGGCTCCAGAGTAGATCAAGCGCCAGTCATCCTCTGCAATCTCGACCTGAGCCCCATTGTACATGAACTGGCGGCATCGTGCGCCGTCGGGCAGGGTGACGGGGGAGAAGGCGTCTGGATTGGCCTTGGCAAAAGTGACCACGTCCAGCCAGGTAATGGAGTGCAGCAAGGGATGGGGTGAGTTGACTTTGATGGGGCCGTCGAAGAATCTTTCAATGCCTCTGAGGAAACGGGGTCCTGTCAATCTAGCCCCGAGACTCGCTGCTAGACTTTCACTCCGGTCCAATACGCCTAAGTATTGTTGTTCAGATTAGCACATTGTTGATGTGGATGTACGAGTCATTGGAGGACAATATAGACAAACCTTCGTATTCGCTGATGAGGTAGATGATGTTGTTCAAGGTGTCCAAATCACCTGGCAAGAGACCCAGAAGTTGAGCGTATTGGTGTCTCGGCAAGAAGTTGATGTATGGCTGGGAGCCTGCCATGATTGCATTAGCCTGCTGTGTAACAAGCTTTGATATCTAGCAAGATACGAGAGAGAGAGAGAGAGAGAGAGAGAGAGAGAGAGAAAGAAAGAAAAAGAGAAGAGAGAGAGAGAGATAGGGAGGGAAAAGGAGAAGGGAAGAGGTGAATAGAGTAGACGATATAAGTAGTCGATAATGGTATTACTGTACCAGCATGCAGTACAGTAATATTTAGTACAGAGCCCACTAATAAGGCTACCAAGACGGGAGGGCTGATAATGGATCTGGCTAGCCGTCCCGATCCTGAATCGAAGCAGTGTGGAGTACAGTTCCACCAACTAGCATTCTAGTGTAACCGATCGGAGGCGGGAAAGGAGGGAAGTGGAGAAAGGAAATGGAACAGAAGAAGAAAAGAAGAAGGCCGGGCATTGATGAATGATGGATGAGTGATGGATGAGTGATGTGCTGTGCTCAGTGTCTGGACAACATACCTGGAGCCATGACAGGCACTGATAGGGGACGGCCAGAAGGTTCAGGTCGGTGGTTGATGGTGGCCTGATGGAGGTGGGTGGGCTGGCCGCCGTCATCCTCCAGATTGCGCTTCCGCTTGTGGGGTTCGTTCTCCGGAGGTGGTGGCATGGCAGCTGTCGTTTATGGTAGCTTATAGGATGCTTCTGGAGCGCGATGGGGCCTGGTAATGGAGGCGGAGACAGCGGAGACCCGAATGGATTTCAAGATCTCAAGGCAGAGAGCGATGGGGCCGGTATTTTGTGCGATTTCTTTTTATTCGGACAGCGGAATTAATGCCAAGTAGTCGACAGCGAGAGGACACGCAAACAACGCTGTAGCGGCGTAAACAACTGAGTTCGAGAAAATGATCAAGTAAATGAGTTTCTTAGAAGAAGAACCAGAGCTTCAAGCGAGCCAGGTACTCGGATAGTTGAAGGCTCGTGGATCGCTTGAGGCAGGGAGGAAGAGAGCGGGAGAGTAAAGCGAGTGGGAGAAAGAAGATGAGCAATCAAAAAAAAAAAAAAAAAAAAAAAAGAGAGAGGAAGAGCGGAATCCTTTGGGTTATTGTATGAAGAACGAAAAGTGGTGGTAGCAAGTGCAAAGAGCTATCTAATGCGGCTTGTCGGATTGATGCCCGCTCAGATGACAGTGGGTCTATCTACGGGCGGCGACAAGGGGAGGGGGAAATGGTAAGGGAGGGGGGTTTCGTTAAAATGGGAGGAAAAAGAAAAAAAGGGCGATATCTTGTTTTGGTATAGATGGGATTATACTTGAACGCTTTTCGTATCAGAAATTCCGGCCAAGCATTGCGTTAGCGGGAGTGACTCTGGGAATGGTGGGAAGGGAAAAAAAAAGAGACGATTTATGTCGCCCGTGCAAATAGCAGATGCAGTTTGTGTAGTATTAGTGATGGCAAAAGTGGCATTCTATGCCGTACTGGTTGCTGCAGTATACACGACACGTTCGAATGTCTGTATTAGCCTCTGTATGCGTGCCCCATACAACTCCATAGAAATATGCATATTCAGCAGACAAGTCTGCAGGTCTGCACACGATACGACGGAACAGAGTGCTGGCACTGGCTGGTGGTATGCATAATGCGTGTGGAAAAGCCGTGCGTGTGCAGTGTGTGTGCTGGTTGACCAACCCAAAGAGCCCAAAAGAGTCCATGCCTTTACAGTACAGCCCGCACAGCGCGCAGCTTATAGGACCAGGGAGGTTCGGGATTATCCACAAAGAGAACGACCAGGGGGAAATGTGGTACCTTGACAACTTGGTAGTACTACTAGGTACTAGGTATAACAGTAGGGCAGCAGCCCAAGTAAATGTGGCTTGCATCACAGCTTGACAGCCAAGAGAAAAGAGATTGAAAGACAAGACACACGCTAGGCAGTGCCGCAGGCTGGAAACGGGGTGGGAGGGGGCACGATAAAAGGGAGCAGCGTTGGGCACAGTACAGTATTGCAAAAAAGCCATCATCGATCGATCGAGGCATGCGGAGATGCGCGTGAGAACGATCGCTTAGCACACGGGAGCACTACCGGCTGGCGTATATCCTACTGCTTCAGAGCAGTAGAAGAGGTAGTTGGTCATATATTTTGTAATCATGAGCGGAAAGTACTAGAGCTGGGAGTACAAGTAGAAGATAAAAAGAACCAGATCTCCGCCTACTGGCGGAAGCGGATGAGGAGAGGGGGGGAGGGGCACCAAAAAAGAGAAGGAAGAGAGCAAAAAGCGAGGAACCTAAAAAAAGGAGACATGACCTGTCTCATGGCGATGGCAGAAGCATGGCAGTAGGCAAGTCATGGCAGGGATCCCGGCATGGGCTCTGCGTGGTCTCGCTAGAAGAAACGATTGACAGGGTCTGGCAGGGGTGTGTGCTTCGATGAGAGGGAGAGAGCGGCGGATGGAAGAGCGGTTTGGTCGGACGATTCGAGAGCTATTAGTGATACCTGCATACTAGCGAATATATCAATCAAAAGCATGTAGGTCCGGGTTGTTCGCAAAGATGCCAAGTACTAGCACCTACATGTAGTGTTAGATATTGCCTGCTAGTAGGCGCCACTAGTAATAGCAAACAAACACCTTATTGGGTTTGGCTGTTCAGCTCGCAGAAAAGGGAGAGAGACTGAGACAGAGGGTAGAGAGAGAGACACAAGCTGGAGGCGGCTTAGAAGCTCCGGGGTCCGGAAGCCGGCGCGACGAGCATCGTTTGGCGGCTGGGCATGATGCGGCTAAGCACAAGCTGCAATGAGCAGACGAGACTAACAGGCAGCAGCAGCACTGGAACCGATTGCGAGAAAATCAACAAAAAAAAAGGGCACAGGACGTGGATGGTAAAGTAGTTGGCGCGGCCGGGGCTGGCCCGGTTTTCTTGCAGAAGCGAGCAGATGGTGCTGAAACCTGGCTTGCTTCTCTTTTGGCTGCGAGCCCCAGCCAGGGCTACCCTTACCGGTGTGCTCGTATGCTCGTATGCTGCTGCTCTTGCGGGCGGTTTCTGGCATAATTACCTGGCAATTGTCTGGCGATGCCTACTTGTATGTAAATTAGTACGCCGTAATCGCTTACTTGTCGCTGGCAAATACACACCTAGACGTTCTGCTGTCGCTTCTTTTCCAGCAACGTATCCGGGATAGCATCATTTGATTCCCCGGTCCATGGGTTTGCCAGCCCATCACATGTAAGAGACCAACGAACCCAAGACACCGGCCAAGTTCTCACCTATCGCTTGCTTCCAAGTGCGCCACGGCACAAAGGGGCAAGAAACAAAGCGGAAGGGGGGGGTGCGGTGGCATTGACAGCAGCAAATTTCTATCACATCTCCCTTTTTGCGTTTCAGCCCAAGCTTCGGACAGAGTGTCTCCCCGTCCTTGTCCGCCGGCAGCGCTGGCCTGGGGCTGGAGCTCTGCCGGTGAAACGCCAGACGCCGCCAGCCTTGCCTGCCTCTCGTCTTGACTCTGTCTGTGCACGGCATGTGTTCGTACCCGATCCAAACCAAGCGCGCGCGACGAACGGCCCCTCCGCATTGTCCGGCGAACGAGTCCCAGCGGAGGCCGGCTCTGGAGATTTGAGCAAAATGATCGTCGAGCGGACCGGGCGGCCCTGCTTGTGTCACCCCAGAAGTATCAGATTGCCGCAAGTGGGCGCCGAATGCTAGTAGAGCTCCATCGGTATAGGCAGGTACAAGTAGTAGGTATACGAGGAATCCGCTACAGTACTCGCTGAGCGCGGAGAGTGAGAGCAGACTGGGAGCAAGCGGCACTTACAGTACAGCCAGAGCAGGGAAGGGCGAGCTGCTGTGGCCTTTGCCCCTGGCTGTAAGTCAGCCAGCGCTGGGCTGACGCAAGCATTGCTGGGAGCAGCAAACAAAAACAGTGCCAGGCCAGGTCAGGGCTGGAGCAGGGCCTGGGCCCGCAATTCGACGATGGACGGAACGTCTTGGTACCGTGCCAGTAGCATCATGCTGTAGTGGTTGCTAGTACAGTGGTAATACCTACATGTGGCATCCAGGTCAAAAAAGTTGTTGATAATCAAAGAACAACAAACGACGTGTAAGTGTGTGGGTGGGCGAGCGGATGCGGCTCTGGTTTGCCAGCTATTATCGCTTGATACTACAAGCAGCACTACCACCGCCACCGATATGCAGCATGCAATGGCAAGGAGACGACGCAGAGTTGCAGCAATAGTAATGGCAGTAGCAGTAGTACTGCAGCTGGTTCATCATGCATAGACGGTTTCCCCTAGCCGGAGCCGAGATGTGAGCCAAAACAATCAGGCTCTCAAGGCACAGCGGCGTCAAAAGAATGGAGTGGAATGGACTGACAATACGACGCCCAATATTTCCACTTATATGTATCAGTACTCGAACAGCTCATACAAACAGGTGTTTGACGTACCTATTTCGTGCTGCAGTGCGTGATTGCGGTGGTGCATGCGAGCATGCATAGGATATGTAGCATACATACAGGTAGCATAATATAGCCAGTGCTGCTCTGCTCGCTCTCGCACATAGTAGCATCCTGTCTGTAAAAATTCACATCAGCATGCATATCACGCACATCACAGCCAGCTTGCCGCAAACGCGGGCAATGGAAATGGCCAGCCAGCAGCACTCAAGGTGAGAGGAGACGGCATGAAGAGCATGCGAGAGTGTCCAGGCTTCAGCCGTGAAACTTGCCAGTGAGCAGTAGACCAGGAGCCCGGCTGAGCTCGAATGGCCTGGTGCGGTGCCGCCAGCAAATGCCTGCATCCGCCTGCATATCCCGGTCTCAGCAATGCTCGCCCAAATCCAGAGGCACCATTCACCGTATTCGTCCATACACCATCATCCGGCTTTGACTCTGTTGTCTCTCTTTGTCTTTCTCCCCCCCGTCCACTTCACACGCCCCTTTCCCCTCTTTTCGGTGTTCTCAACGCCCCCTTCCCACTTATTTCGGATGGTAGCCGTATCGCTGGAAATCGCTTTGCCGGTCTCAAAATATGGGCCGCCAGCGCCATAGCACACTCGCGTAGATCATCTGGGTTCCGCAGTAGGGACTATGTACAGTAGTGAGCAGTAATCCACAGCAGAGTCAAGAAGTGACCTGAGAAGAACAAGATCAATGAAACAGGGTAAAGACAGAAAAGCTCACTTGCCGAACTTGGCCGATTTGCCGTCATCACATACATGTATGTAACCTGCCTGCACTGTACATCCAATCAGCTCGGCTTGGCTTGCATCGATAGAGGGCGAAAGAGCCGATGCTTACGACTCTCTCCATCTCTCCCTCTGGACGCAGGCGAGGAGCAATCAATGGCATGGCAAATTAGGATAAAATCAAAATCAAAACCAATACGAGCCAGCACTTTTCTTTTTCGGCCTAGAACAACCACCACAAGCAAAGCTAGCTTGATGGCTGATGCTGGCTTGGTGCTGGTGCTGGTGCTGATGCAAACGCAGAAAGGCTCCAGTCTCCAGTCTCTAGTCTCTTTCAGCTCGTACTGTAGCGTCCTCAGGCCCCGAGTTCCCGGCATCTCAGGACCCCCTGGTCTCCTGGTCTCCCTGGCCTAAAAAGCGACTCGGCTGTCGAGGCTACAGGGCAAGGTTGTGCTGCTGCAGCAGCAGTAGCGGCTACTGCTAAGCTCCTCGACGGCAGGCGTAGTCGTAAGCCCTTTGGGCAGGGGCCTCCCGCTGGCTTCGCTTCTCTTACACGTCGCTGGCAGCTGTTTGCTGCTTGCCCCCTTCTTTGCAAGTGCCCTGTCCCCCTTCCATCTCTCCCGAGCCGTGCCGCCGTGCCGCCATGCCATGCCTTTTGGTGATTTGATATTTGATACTACCATCAAGCTTACTCCGGCTCTTCTAGCATGACTTCCTTGTGCCTTCTGGATTACTTTTACCGAACAGTAGCGTCGTTGCTCGGTGCTGGCACTAGCAACTAGCACTGGCACTATTAATCATTGTCACGAAGGAATGGCTCGGACGGGATGGATTCTCAATGTTAATCTGCTTTCAGTTTCAAGTACATGATGCTATAATCCATAGCTCAGCTCGGCGTCGAGCCTAGTAGGGATCAACGCCTTTTGCCTTTTGGGCATGTGTGTGTCTGTGTGTCTGTGTGTCTGTGAGTGTCTGTGAGTGTCTGTGTGTGGTGGTCAACGTCAACCATCAACCGCTCAACAGTAATAGTGCAGGCAGCAATGCAGGCTGCAAGGTGAGTGTGGCTGAACTCTTGTCTCAGTAATACGGATTGGTATCTGACCGGCCGACAGCAGGTTTGAAGGCGGGAAAAAGCAGATTCGCGGCTTGGGAATCATGCCACTACGAGACATTTCCACGGGGAAACCATGGCCTGCCGGCCTGCTCCCACATCCCGGGCCCATGAATCTCGTCTTTGTTTTCATGTCTCTCCCCTTCTCTCTCTCTCTCTCTCTTACAAAACGGATATTGCACATCCGTACCACACATCGATACGACGGACAAGCAGCAGTCATCTCCATGCCATGGATGATGGGTCTCGGTCTCTCTCCCCCCTCATTCTTACAACGTACGCACCAGTCACAGTGCCAACGATGTAACCCAAAAATAACAATGCCAGCTCTTTGTTGACCACGGTATGCTCGCCACCTGGCATTGCAGCGGTTTGGATGTGTGTACGCATGCGCGGTGGTGGAGGAGGAGGGAGAAGGAGAGAAGGAGGAGAAGGAGGAGAAGGAGGAGAAGGAGGAGCTGCAGCCAGCAACAAGCACCAGTCATGGACTGTGACTTTGGTATGCACGTACTGACTTGCTCTCTCCTCTTCCTACAGGGATCCCTGACTTCTCCGGAAGCTTGTCTTGCCCGGCTGCAACAACTTTATCGGAAGATGGCCCGACAACCCCGCCTACGTGTGTATCCCTGGAAGATGGGTTTCTGGATCACGGCCTCTGCAAATGAGCCAAGCGAGGGTAAGATGGGGAGTTGTACGAAAGATGATGATCCGAGCCTCCGCCGCGTATAGGTCATGTCATGTAGGTTTACCGCTTGATAGTAGCCGGCTTGAATCAACCAATCAACCAACTAACCAACCAACCAACTAGGACTATGCCTCGCTTCCATGCTAGCTGCGACATAGGCAGGCAATCTATCCCTCCCTACATAGACTATCACCTAGCAAACTGCTCCTGCTATTAGCCACCGCTGCGCCATGGCATCACCCGCTGCGTCTGGCGAAATTAGATTGATCAACTGCCTATTGCCGCTGCTTGCATTTCGATGCTGTCGGCCGGGCTTCCTGATCATGCCTAAGCGATGCTACGTGTTTCGCCGGCTGCATCCTCCGAGGGCGATTAGAAAATCCATACGACGAGACCCGAAGAGTGGGCCGTTTTGTTGCTGCTTGGCAGATACAAGCAATAACGACAGTACAGTACCGTACAGTACATGTTCATATAACAACCCCTGCCCTTGTCATTGTCGTGCTTCATGTACGCAGCATGCACTGCTTATACGATGCCCATATGTAGGCATATGTAGGAGAGCATATGTAATGTACATGTAGGCTACAGTCCTATGGCATGCACTGTACAGCTCCTCCAGCGCCAGCAACGCAGATACTTGTCCTTTGATTTCCGCCTATTAAATCGCCGACAAGGAGTCCAGGCCCACGAAAGATAGAGAGCATCAGCATGGATGTAGGACTTGCATGCACAGTCAAAGGGAACAAATCACTTCTCAACTCCCATTGTATGAATCCTTCATTGGAACAAGTGCTAGTAGGTACGCAACTGATGGTACTTACAGAACAATATTACCCCAACGAGAAAGTGACGGTCATTGCGCTAGTCCCAATCAGGCATTGAAAGAAGAAAAACAGTTATGCAAAGACACCACCCCTCACCAGAGCTATCGATTGAACGGATTGGTTTTGAATCTCATGCAACTCCAGCAAAAGCAGACGCAAGCTTCGAACATCAAACCGCCCCAAAATAATCCTCGCTTCCACCAGCCTCGAACCAATTCCGTGACTGAATCCCGCCCCCCCTGTTCAAGAACCCCGGTCGAATTAAAAAAAAAAAAAAAAGACCAGAGCAAAGTAGCCAGCGAGACGAGCGGCACAGACAGCGAACCCGAGAGACGAAAACGAACGAGCCCAGCCAAACGAGCCCAGCCAGTAGCCCTTCAGCTCTCTGCCCCCTGCCCCAGCCAATGCGCAGTGGCCACAATGTCCGATAGACCTTTCCACAGAGGCGGCCGCGGTGGCGGTGACCGAGGAGGCGGCGGCGGCGGTTACCGAGGCGGACGAGGAGGAGGCCGCGGTGGTGCTGGCGGTGCTGGAGCTGGCGGTGCTCAGGCCGAGAGGCCCAAGAAGGAGAACATCCTGGACCTGGCCAAGTACATGGACAAGGCCATCATCGTCAAGTTCAACGGCGGTCGAGAAGGTAACACGAGGCACCCAGACAACGCTTCAAGAGACCAAGTCAAGCAAACAAACGCTGAATCAAAATTGAAAAAACAGTCCGCGGCACGCTCAAGGGCTATGACGCCCTCATGAACCTCGTCCTCGATGAAGTCCAAGAAACCCTCCGAGGTGAGTTGCTTCTCTCCCCCTTCCCATCTCCATGTGGTTGTTCTGCTTTGCTTTTCCCCCGTCACCGTCAAAGCTGGGCCATATAATTAACCACAAAGAAAACTAACCCGAGAGAAAAAAAAACAGATGACCAGGGCAACGAAACAACGCGATCACTGGGTCTTGTAGTCGTTCGGGGGACGCTTCTAGTCCTCATCAGCCCAGCGGATGGCAGCGAAGAAATCCCAAACCCTTTTGGCGCAGCGGCAGACGAGTAACACCAGCACGACAACAATAACCCGTATGATGATGTCTTCCGACGACATTTCTTCTTCTTCGTTGAGAGGGGGGAGAATTTTGTGAAAGGGAGGAGTAAACAAGGAAAATGAAGATATAAAAAAAAAACAATAGAAAAAAGGAGCCTTCAGTTTTGATACCATCAATTATAAAACAGAATGGATGAAGAAAAAAAAAGAACGAGGGGATGTGTAGTTTGGGTGTTTTCTGTTTTAGATATATGTATGTATGTAATACCTATCTGCTCTCGAGAGACAAGTGATGGGAGCGTTTGATCAAGACGAGCGATCAAAACAAGAGAATGGCTGGCGAGTTTGGTTCCGATGCCGACTGCCTCTCCATCTCCTAGATAGGAGGAGGAATGGGTAGGTAGTTTGTTTGTTTACATCTACCTATACTTGGCCAAGCATGGGAAGCTGCCAAAGATGGAAGTAATAGATGGAGAGAGAGAGAAATGCCTTCCAAGCCATCAGTACATCTTGCCACACATCTCCCTCACATCTCCCACACATCTCGGAAAGAGAGTGCGTAGAGCACGGCAATCAAGCTTTCTGGCCATCTGCCACGGTACAAGTACAATTACCTGCCTACGAAAAACCAGGATAGCACGTATTTGTGAGCCATGGCACGATGCACATTCATTAGCAGTATACAGCTTTTTTTGGGGTTTTGTATCTGTAAAGCATACTAGTATCGCTGCGTCTCCTCTCCTCGGCCTCCCTGCTTTGCATCTCTCCCGCATTCCATCTATTCATCCGCCTTTCCAATGTTTGTAAAACCAATAAAACGTGTTTGAAAACCCATACAAACGCTCGCTACTTTGATGTAGCATATCGCTGCGCATGCTTCTTTTTCGGATGCTTCCTCATGTTTCTCCTCCGAGTCATCGTCTGTTCACCTGCTGCCCAATTTCATTCCTTGTGTTCCTAAAAGGACCTTCCCGTCTTGGAACTGGCCTTGTACAAGTCGCCGAATGCGGCAAGTACTTGCTTCTTCACGTCCTTGTAGCTGACAATGATGCTGGTCTGCTCATCTCTGCTAGTCAGGCGAATGTTCTCCTCTGTCCCAGCATCGAGTCTGTTGAGGCACCTTATCATATGCCCCATGTCAAAAACCGGGTTTCCGTTGCCATCCACTTGATGAAAGACGTAATCTCTGAATAGCTTCAACATGTATCGCTCTCCAAAATCCGACCAGGCTCTATCATTTTCGTACTCTGGTCGGTCATCGATGGTGCCGAGCTTCAGCATCAATCTCAAGAGCCTTGAATTCTCCAGCTCTTTGAACATCTCAGAGCGAAGATTATTGTAAGAATGGTCGATCTGGTCCATAGTGGTCACGATATGATTGGCTATGCCTGGAATGAAGTCGCCAATCGACTTTGGGTGTGCAGGGGGCTGCGCCGGTGTCAAAAGCCACATTATGGTATCTTTGAGTTCCGTGGAGTAGTTCCTGCTCATTTGCTCTATCGCCGCATTCATGTTGGTCATCTGCATGGGCATTGTGTTGGTGGCCAGGCAGAGCAAGGTGCGGCCAAAGTGCACCAGGTCGTCTTGCTGTAGCTGGTCCATTGATTTCTGGACGTCAAATTGCGTCACGTCTAGTACGGCACACGCACTTAGAACAACTCTGTTCTTTTCGATGAGAATGATTTTGCTGGGGTCGAGGCAGCGGGCCGCCAAGTTGTTGCTGTGAATGGCTCTTAGAGCGGTAGCAATCTGAGAAATGTACGCCCAGAGCACCGCTTCAGTGACGGCTGGTTTGGGCTGAAGGCGATTTGACCCGTGCAGCACGCTTGGGATAAGGTGCACTTCGGCCAAGGTCTTGGCCAACGGATAGTAATGTTGCGCAATGACCAGAGAGCTGTCACCAAACGCCCTAGTGGTGAATGCATCATTGATGCTGGCAACGTGGGTATGGTCGATCCGTTTCCATTCCTTAACGGACCGGATTGCTTGCTCGTTGGTCAACCTAAAGCCTTCCAATCTCCGCAGGCAGTAGAGTTTCCCATCCTTGGATGACGTGGCTTTGTACACCCAGCTGGGATAGCCAAATATACCGGCGTTTTTGCGATGTGTCGTGTCCAAGGCCACCAGCGAGTGGTAGTTATCCAGTTGTGGTAGCTGGGAATTGGGCATTACTTGCAACGCTGCGGCCGACTGCTTCTGCATATCTTCCCTCATGGTGTCTGATATGAAAAAGTCGTGAGTAAGACGATTGTATGGCATTACGTCTTCTCGATATGGCCCGATGGGAGCGTAGAGATGATACTGTAAAGGCTGTGAAGGCGGTGCATAGGCGTTCTGGGCCGCAAAGTATGTAGATGGGGCTCCGGTCATGGCGCCATGGTCATCAGCATATGGGTTATATGGCGTGGAAACCATGCTCTGATTCGGCAGCACAAATGGGTCGTATGAGAGAGCTCCATCGTGTGAAGTGCCGTTTGTTGCAGCAGCCTATACAAACACTTGTTAGCGAGACGGCAAAGAGAAAACAGGAGCGAAAAGGACCAAATCCTCGGGGATGCCATACGGTAGAGCTGAGATCAAAGCTGGGTGTAAATTCGCGAATAGAAGCAGGGTTAAACGCTGGCGCTTCGGTATCCGGTATGGTAGATGGTGTGGCGGCTATAACGTGTCCATGTCAGCACAGAGTCCAAGCCTGATTAAAAAAAAAAAAAAAAAACCGACGTTGCGTCTCACCTCCAAGACCACGCGGAGTGAAAGAAGGTGCAGTCACCGCTTGCGATGAAAATGTCGGCTTCCTCTGTACGGGCTGCAGGGTCGAGGGTGTAAAGGACGGTGACTCGACATTTAGAGTCTTCTTGGTGCTGCAAGTAGAGGGCATCATCGGTTAGCCAGGGCGTCTTGTTTGGTCGAAAGACAAAAAGGAGAGTATAGACTTGGACACTTACCTGCCGTTGTCCTGTTGGGATGAGCTCGCCTGGGATGAGCCCGCCTGGGAAGAGCCCGCCTGGGAAGAGCCCGCCTGGGAAGAATTCCCCCTGGTCTGATCATGCATAAAAATACAGCCTTGGTCTTCATAGCGGCAGTGGCCGTAAATTAAAATGTTTCTGCAGAGCGTGTCTCTAGGGACGTTTTCTACGGTTCGTCAAACAGTCACAAGTCAGCCAAGTTCTGAATCATGGAGCATCATTTGGTATCAGTAACTCACCTCGAGGCCTGGGCCTTGGCGAGCCAACCTGGCGCCGCAGCTCGGTGGTTTGATATCGCGGGGTCGTCATTGTGGTCAATTAGGTGTTCCAGAAAGGGGGCCGTCCTCAAGGTCGGATTTACGACTTCTGAGTAAAGATATCAGTGTCGGTATGTATGTTGGTTTTGGTACGTATGTCTGGTATCAGCTGCTATAGAGAGCGTGATGTAGCGACTAGAATCGATGGTAGATGATATCGAAATGCGTGCGTGTGGTAGAGTCGAGTGCGAATGAAGAGCTGAGAGAGAGCGGTATATAAAGTAAACAAAGATATGTGGAAGAGAGTAAACAGAGACGAAAGCAGCAGTCGGCGAGATTATGTAGAAAAGTCAAAAGAAAGAAAAGAGGCGTTGCGGTGGCTTGTCAACATGCTGGACGGCAGCAACCGTCTCCCATGGCTCAATTGATCGGGGCGATCGCGCGCCCATGGACGAAGCACGAAACTTTGGGCCCGAGTCGCTGGGCAACGGGGTCCGCCACTCGTTGCGCGGCTGAACAGAGTTGAGGTCGGAGAGTCCCTGGCTGAGTGGGGAGTGGATAGACGAAGATGGTGGTGAGAGGCGCGATCTTGGGGAGGTTAAAGCAAGATCTGGGCCTTGGATCCGGGTCCCGGAGCCAGGAAAATGACATAATCCGAAACATTGCCAGCGTATTAATTATCACCGGGTGCGCAAGTGCGGGAGCCACGACGGCGCCTCTGAGAATCTAACATTTTGAAAAAGTTATTTGAATTACAAGTACTTGACTCGAAAGTATATGGATTTACGTTTGGTATAGAATTATGGAGTGGTTCTTGGGTCGTGAAATAAAACATGTACGAGTGATGGTTGCCGGAGCGTACCAATGCTTTATGCTTGTAAAGAAAAAGAATGAAGAATGAAGAAAGCAAGACCAAATAGCCAATTAGCCAAGTTGATGATTTCAAAATCCGGTGTCTTCAAGTAACAATAAAAGACGGAAAAAAGTAGTGTTATCAAATGTGCAGAAATAAAACCCCCATTACTCCATCATGCCTGCAACCGCCTCGCAAAATACAGGGTGCCTTGCAAAGGGCTCGAATTATACGGCTCCACCTCTATAAACCCTTCAGACTTGTACAGATTAATCGCGGCCGTCATTTTTGAGAGCGTGTCCAGCAGCATCTCATCATATCCTCCATCCCGGGCTCGTCTCTGTGCCTCTACCAGCAGAGTCTTGGCAACCCGTCGCCCGCGGGCCTCTGGGTACACAAACAGGCGCTTGAGTTCGCAGTAGCGCAAGCCTTTTGATCGAGACTCCAAGTACACGGGCTCAAGGTTTAGTGGCCGTAGAGCAATGCAGCCGAGCACGGCGTCTGTTGCCGAGTCCACAGCAAGGAGGAGAGCCCCAGCAGGCGACGCATATTTCCCGGGTAGCCCATTGAGTTCGGCGTTGTAGTTTTGATGCGTCAAATCTTCGTCCAGCCAGGCTGTATAAGCTTTGAAGCACTCAACTACAGAAGCTAAATCTGCTGAAGATGTTGCCTGGCGAACAAGAACGGACGAGGGTGTTGGCGGTGTTTCCATGATAATGCACATGCGCACATATACCCGGCCACTGATGCGTGGTAATTTGTATCAAAGAATGGCAACTCTCGAGATGGCTCTATTGAATTGATATGAAAAATAGACAGAGTTTACCAAGACTAAGAATCAAAATGGCTGCCTACCTAGGTAGGTATTGAGTGGAGAGAATGGAACGTATTAGACTTGGAGTGATTCATTGCCGGCACCGGAGGTTGAGGGCCATCTCGGGAGGATTTCACTATCTACATGTGGCTTTTAATTTTCCGCAGCTCCTTTCGTCTCGCCCAGTAGCGTTTTTATAAAAATATATTTCAGCCAATACCTTGAGAAGGAACCTAGTTTGAACGAGTGATTAGAGTACAAAAACGCCAATCTTTATTCGCGAACCTCCAGCGTGATGACTTATCGGCGGCGTCTTTGCCTACAAGTTGAGCCTCTAGGGCTGCTTCAGCAGTGACAATCACTGGCGGGGCCTCGGATAGTGGGCAAAGCATGCTAGGCGTTGGAAGCAGCTTAGCGCTCGACTGCAAGACTCGGCTCCGCCAATGAGGTAATGTCTCGCTCAAAGCTGCCCGCCGTGTTAAAGATTCCAGTCCTTATCGACATGTCCAAAACTTGCATCACCGAGCAATCCGTTTTCTGCTGCAAATCGAGAGGCTGCATGGACGGCAGAGGCGCATCTTGATTTCTCTTTGGTTGTTTCCTCCTTCTTCTCCTTTGTCTTCTTTTTCCTTTTTTGTACCTCTATTTTGGGTCACTGTCTGCGTGCCAAAGATGGCGGACGCCGCAGACGATACGGGACAGCTGTCACCAAGCCAGCAAGATGCGCTGCAGCAGTATATGCAGCTAACAAACCAAGAGGCAAAAGACGCCATTCCGCTGCTCTCAAGGTCAGAATGGAATGTGCAGGTATGTTATTTTTCTTCTTCTCCTCTTTTCCCCAAATGGCGCTTCGTCATCTTTGCTTACCACTCGCCTCAATGCCTAGATCGCCATCACAAAGTTCTTCGACGGCGAGACGGCCGATCCTGTCGCCGAGGCAATGGCCGCGCAGGAAATCCCACGATCAACCGCGCGCCATGAGAATCTCCAAGAGAGCCTGCTGATGGACGCGGAACGACCATCAAGGTCGAATCGGAGAGACAAGACCGACGCCGCCCCCCGAATTGTTCCTCAGCCGCCCGTGATTCACCGGACACCGTGGATGATTGGCCTCCTACTGACGCCCTTTAGCTGGGGCTGGCGGGTGGCTTCGACGCTGCTACGCACGATTGGGTACATCTTGGCGTTCCTACCTGCTTCTATCCGGCCACGAGCCGTTACCAGCGGTCTAGCTACGGGGTTCAGAAGTCCAAGCGGTCGGCGGATGCTTATGCCGCGGGATGCCGCTGCCAGATTCAGACGAGAATTTGACGAAGAGTACGAGGGGAATGGGCTTTCGTTCTTTGAAGGCGGCATTGCCCAGGCCCATGACATTGCCAAGAGGGATCTCAAGTTCCTCTTGGTCCTTTTCATGTCTCCAGAGCACGACGACACCGAAACATTCATTCGGAACACGCTTCTAGCTCCCGAGGTTGTCGAGTTTATCAACGACCCGGCGAACAACATAATACTGTGGGGAGGCAACATTCTAGATTCCGAGGCATACCAGGCAGCCACCGAGTACGCTTGCACAAAGTATCCCTTCTCAGCTCTGGTATGCTTGACGCCCAACGAAGGCAGCACTCGCATGGGCATTGTAAAGAGATTGGTAGGCCTCATGCCCCCCTCGACTTACCTATCCGAGCTACAAGCTGCCATGGAAAAATACGGCGCCGACCTGAACAGGGTACGAGCCGAAAGGGCCGCGCAGGATTTCGCCCGTACCTTACGTGACGAGCAAGATTCAGCGTACGAACGCTCGCTGGCCATTGATAGAGAACGCGCGCGGGAGAAGAAACAGGCCGCCGAAGCTGCTGCAGCGGCGGAGAAGCGCGCTTTGGCAGACGCCGAGGCAGCTGTCGAGCGAGCTGAGAAGCGCCGGCAGTGGAAATCATGGAGGGCGCCTCGGATCTTGCCTGAGCCTCCTGCCAGTGAGAGAAGAGTTGTCCGGGTTGCACTCAAGATGCCTGAAGGCTTAGGAGGAGAGAGAATTGTGCGGCGGTTCGCTCAGGACGTTACTGTGGAAGAGCTCTATGCGTTTGTAGAGTGCCAGGACATCCTCCGCGGCGAGACTTTGGAAGAGGACAAGGTGGAGAAACCAGATGGTTACGAGCACAACTACGAGTTCCGGATAGCCTCGACCATTCCCCGCGTGGTGTACGAGCCAAGTACAACTGCTACGATGCTAGAGACGATTGGAAAATCCGGCAACCTTATTGTGGAAGAGCTATCAGATGACGAGGATGAGGACGATGACGACGACAACGATATGTAATGCTTGGGGGAGAGCAACGGAGAAGCATGGGATTTGAGTTGGCGATATAGAAACACGGCCCTATGACAAGTGGGCTTTACACTCGGCTTCCACCGCAAACCGCATTATAGCCCCTATGAATGCTACTTAAAAGGGCTTGGTTTTTTTTAACCCTTAATGTGTCAGGATAGGATCTAGAAGTCATTTTCCTTTTAGGAGAAGACAATAATTGATAAAAATTCTGCAGAATCATGGGACAGTGCTATTCATGTTGCGGTCATGTTGTTGATGCCACTTCCGTCATCGCCTCGCCTCCATCAAGAGACAAACATTGAGACAAACCACAATGCCAAGTGTTAGTCATGGGGTTTGGCTGATGGAAGATTACGTAGAGGCCTGAGGCTGTGCATGACACAAACTGCAGAACTTGAGTGGTGTGGCACATGCCTCACAAGAGAGAGAGAGAGAGAGAGAGAGTCATGGTGGTGTGTTGCGGACGAATGGGATAACATGGAGACGGCGCAATCGGATGTTTGCCGGCTGCTCAATGGCAACGCCGTGAGGGTTTCCCAACTTGGCGTAGAGCTGATGAGAAGAGCTGATTAGAAGAGACAAAAGATGAGAAATGGGATGCCTCCCTTCCTCCACATGTTTATCGCCGTTAAGCTTGCAGATGATGGTGCTAGTAGAATATCAGATGGATCATGCTGTCAGCGTGTTTTACATACATCTACCTATAGGTACTGCCGTTATTCCACAGCAACCAGTAGACTTGCATACAAATGCTGTGTAATCAATCACAGCTTCTCAGCGGTAGTTGTCTTGGCATGCTAAGATGCACTAATTCATAGATAATACAATATTTGCCATTGATTGCAAGCTCTCGTCGACCCTCTCTCTGGAGGCATCCCGCAGATCCCCCAGCTGCGCCGCCTTCCATTACGCATGTTTGGGTAGCAAACTGCAGGCCCGTTATTGCTAGATTCATACTAACGCTCAGCGCGGGCTTGGGCTTGTACAGGTACCTCGACGGAGCTCGCGGGGTACTTTAGCGCACAGCAGCGGTGCCGCACGATTCGTCAGCGCCGCTCCAAGGCCAAGTATTGCTCCAAGTATGGAATACTTGACGGGACCCTGGTCCGACTTAGACTCAATCCAGCAAACGCCGTACCCCGAATTTTATTTTATTTTTTATTTCACAAACGACGTCAAGTCGCATCGCGTTGGGCTTGTTGGAGAAAATAAGTTGGAGCCCAGACCAAGGCCGGGCCAGGCCAGGCAGCCACGCGCGCTTGGAGAAAAAAAAGAAAGGAAAAAGAGGAAAGGCTAGAAGGGGAAAGCGAATCGATCGAGAAACAGCCGAGAAAGAAATAAAAGTAAAAAAAAAAAAAAAAATGAATAGCCAGAAGGAGCCAAACAATGCGGGTTGAAACGGCGACTCTCAAAGGAGAGCATGGTTTGAAACAAGAATCATGTAAAATGGAAATAGAAATAAAATCAACTTTAAAAACAAACAAACACTGCGCATGGCCTGGCTTGAGTCTTCCCGTTTTGTTTGCTGGACCCCTGGATTGCCGCATGATCTTCCCCGAGGCTGTCGACGCCGGCTTTAAAAGAGCAGCTAGAGCTGTTACAGGTTGTTGCAGACCAGAGCCTGTAACCCCCAGCCTAAAACATCCAACTCGATACCACCTCTACTCGGACCACCACCCGAATCCTCTTGGCCTCCCACGTCCAACTCCTCAAATTTCCCTCGAAATCGATTCTCTCTCTTCTTCTTGTTTCTGCCTCATGTCGAGTTCCCAATCCTCAAAACCCACTTTTTGAATGACGACGTGACTGCGCTCTTCTCCTTCGTCCTTTCTCTCTCTCCTCCTCTCTTCTGCCCCGCTAAAAGTGCCCAACGCGCTTCGACTTGGACTTTGCCGCCCGAAGAGAGCAACAAGAGCGAATAGATTTCGCTCAACATGAAGTCGATGAAGGGCCTTAGTGTGAACAAGATGCTGGGGAGCATCAGGAAAAAGACTGGTACGGACTGCTTCCCTTGCCCATCTGCCCTTTGACGCTCGCCGCATGCCTTGTGCCTTGTGCGTGCACGATGATACTCGCCGAGCCGACGATGCGATGGATGCGATGCGATGCTCGATATACACTTCTCTGGGAGATGGAGACGAAGCTAGAAGAAGGCAACAAGGCTAATTCTTCTCTTGTTTGCTACAGGTGGCTCTTCCGATCGTTCAACTGCGACTACGCCAGGAGCTACTCCAGAAGTGACAGCCCACAACAGCGTGGTATGTTGTCTCCATCATCAGCTGCTGCCCACGGCGCAACAGGCCTGTCCGACTGGGCGCATCCGTATGGACTAACCGGGCCTCATCAGAAAGCATTTTGCGAGTCTGGCGGAAGCTTAAAGGTGCGCAACGCCTCCCTCAACCCTCTGGTAGATGCATGTATCAAGTCTGAGACACCTGGCTGACCATGGCTTTCCTGTCTTTCCCGTGTAGCAGAGTGACGAAGTGCTCTTCCTCCCTCCAATCGTCGATGCCGCCGAATCCTCGCCTGCCGCCGCCGCCGAGAGCGCACGCATCATCCGCAAATACTTGGCCAAGGACTACTCCTCGCGGCCGTCATGGCAGTACAACGCCATCATGCTGATGCGCATCCTGGCCGAACACCCGGGCGAGACGTTTACGAGGAACCTCGACGCCAAGTTTGTCGACGCGGCGAGGGCGCTGCTCAAGGGCACAAAGGACAACAACGTGCGCCAGATCCTCATGGACACGCTGGAGGAGTTTGAGCGCGCCAAGTTTTACGACACCAACCTGACGCTCATCATAAGCATGTGGCAAGAGGAGAAGGACAAGGCCGTTGAGAAACACGGGGTACGTGACGATGGGCGCCTTTTCTTTCAACTCTTCGTTTTCTTCGTTTTCTGTTGTCTTGCTACTGTTACTGTTTCTACCTTTTGGCTCTTCTTTTCTTTCACTGTCACTTTACCAGCTCCTATCCCCTGTCTGTTTCACTTGTGCAACCAAAGCTTGCCCCCTTTCATCCATGGTGATACCAACTCACTCACTGACATGAGAAATAGAGCCGAGCACCTGCGTTGCCTGTGCGTCCCACGCAATCCTTGGCGCCTGAATTTTCCAGCAACGGACAGTCGCAGAATTACTTCTCCAGGCACCACAACAACAACCGGCTGCCAGAGCCCGCTGAGCTGGTCAGCAGGCTGCAGGAGGCGCGCGAGTCTGCCAAACTGCTGGAACAGCTTGTCATGAACACGCCGGCCGTGGATATCCTGGACAACGAACTCATCCGGGAATTTTCAAACCGGTGTCTGAGCGCATCGAGAAGCGTCCAGGGCTACATGGTGTCATCAAACCCCGCCCCCGATAACGACACCATGGAGAGCCTCATCGACACCAATGAGCAGCTGCAGACTGCGCTGAGCCAGCATCAGCGTGCCATGCTCAGCGCCCGAAAGCAGCTGGGCCTCAATGGATCCGAAAACCCATCCCCTGCTCCTGAACAGCAGTCGCTCCACGGCTCTGGCGGCTCCAACGGCGTTCAGGGGTGGCAACCTCCCAATGCTGCGGTGCCATCATCTAATTCCAGTCCAGCACCCGTTTCTCATACTTTTAGCGGCAACGGCAACGGAAATGGTGGCGGCAGCGGCAGCGGCAGCGGTAGTGGAAGCAGCAGCAAAAAAGGCAAAGGCAAAGACTCGGATCTCTACAGCCCTCCATCCCCTCCGCTAGACCCGGGCCGAGGCAGGGCGCCGCCACCTGATCCGGTATCTCCCATAGACAACCCTTTTAGCGACCCACAGCCAACGAGCTCCAATGGCCAGCTTGCGGTGCCCCTTGACGGGCCTTTCCAGCCAGGCTTTGGCCTGAAACACCATCAGGACGGCTCGTCGACACATGGTACTACTGGATCCGGGCACGCTTCTGAGAGCCACTCAACCCGTATCCTGAACCCTGACTACCAGGTTTCAGACGATGAAGACCTTTACTCTTCTGCTCCCAAGAGCAGCAAGGAGCCCATGTATCGGTACTAGGCAAACAGAAAGGAAGACGATGGCCAAGTGACGGAAGGATTTCTTCAGCATGAAGGACATGAATATAGGTAACTTTTAAGATCAAGTGGGCAGTCTTTGGAAAGACGGGGGCGGAGTTTTTCTATCCGTTAATCATTCTTATTATATCATTATTGCCGTTTGTTTGGCTATTTTTTAGAGAAGTTGGCGGGTGCTATTTGACTTTTGGATACTGGCTTGGCCCAAGGTTTGCGTGTGTTGCCGCAATATCTAGCTTTTTTCTGCAATTCTTTTGCGTTTTGTTTTCTCATTTATTACAGCGAAATACCACCTTGTCGTTCCAGCAGGCATGAGAGCAAATGGGATATCACTTTCGTCCATCATGTATATGTGCACTTGAAATAATCTACCAATGTTTTTATGGAAGCGAATTTGACTTTGCACTCATGACACACCACAGGCCCCCCTTACTAAGAGAGAAGTATTTGCCTCCCTTTAGCAGTCGAGCCTGTTTGTGGCGGAGGAAACTATCTGAAGCGGGCCGAATCCCAAGCTCCATTACGAAGTATACCATGCCGAAGATTAAGTTCAACGCTGGAGCATGACGAAGCCACCTATGGGGAAGCGAGTCTTGGGCTTTGCAGGTATAAAAGCCCTTGATAGTAATTCCTTGGAAGATGGATAGAAGCCTTCTTCATCGAACAATTTTCAAGCACGATCCAACGCACAAAGCTCGACACAATTTATTTCTTTCAAAAGGTAAGCTTTGGGAAAGGAGTAAATCACGGCTTTATACTTACACTCCTCTCTTCTTAGCTGTAGCGAAAATGAAGGGATTCATTCAGAAACTCATCCTTTTCCTCGCTCTGGCGATGCTTGCGTCCGTCTCCGCCATCAGAGTCCCCAAGAAGCTCCCCGACGGCGTCTACGAACTCAGCACCCGCAAGCACATACACAGCATACCCTACTTCATCGCCCGCTTCGACATGGACATGTACGCCAGCATCAACCTCACGGCCAAGGACAACGACGACCGAGGCCCCATCGTCAGCAACCGCCACCGCTGCTCCCGCAACGTCACCACCAAGCACGACTCCCGCAACGTCACTACCGCGAGGGCCATGCTGAGCAACTGGTGCGCCATGTACCAGCCGCGAGTCCAGAGCGTCGTCGCCGCGGTGTATGGCGACGAAGTGTGGTACATGTGCACCTACAAGGTGAAGCACCGCTCTCCTGCGCTGCCCAACATTCCGCAGTCGTGTGCGCGCGAGGAGCTTGACGTTGTCTCTGACCGGCTTGACCGCTGGTGCGGCGCGGATAGGATTGCCGCGGTCGATATTGATGACTGGACCCTCACGTATGGGCGGACGCAGCGGAATACGTCGTTTTGTGCGAGGCAGCAGTTTCGGGGCCCTTGGTCGCTGCGGAAGGCGACTGACATCTATAACGGCCCTAGACCAGAAGATGAGGGGCCTGACGTGGAGCATTAGAAGGAGGAAATGATAGTTGGACTCCTGATTGTGGAGAGATGCATGTTGTGCGGATATTGTAAGACTAGGAATCCGCCGGCTTGTGGACTTTTTCCTTTGCTGCTCGGTTCATCGAACGTATATCTACCCACAATTGGTGGCTTTGAAGCTGGCGGAGAGAATTTTGAATTTGGCGTCAACTGATGTGTAAAATAGTAATAGTCTTGAGTTGATGAGAAGCAAGAATTACAACAAGAAAAATTCATAGTATATTGCAAACAATGACCTTTGAAATGGTGATGCTCGCTTTGCAGGATCAAGAAACGGGGCTGTGTTGGTGTTGACTCTGCCGTGGCTATTCTGTCGAAAGTGGCTGCCAATCTGCACTTCTTTCCACCGTCTTTTTCCCTTCCCTTCTCTTCCCCCTTTCCTCCTTCTTTCCTCCCCTGGCCCCACTGATCTCCCTTCTAAATACATCTTCTTTTGAAGCGACATGGCTTATTCTTCACACGATATCTACAATCTCGACATCACTTTCGGTGTTTCCGAACTGCAGCATTCGAGATGCACACAAACAATTAGAGTATGGGTATCTGCCATATCTCTCCATCTGACCAACTTTTCTCGTTTGAGCTCGTTTCTTCCCAATAGCCGCTCAGCAAATTTTGTGGATATTATTCTAGCGATAGATGGAGCTCACGAGGGTTAGCTGAAGCTTCTTCTCTTGCTATGCTTGGTCAAGCCTGAACTCTACTACTTGGCTTTTCTAGGACCATGGCCGCAGGTCTATTTCTCTTCTCGTCAGTTTTCTACATTCGGTCCCCGTGACAACATAATTTATCCATCACGACACGCTTCAAAATGCAGTATAGCATCAATCTCTCTCGGTAGCTTCTCCAGTCTACTTTCGTCCTCTACGACGAAAAGGACGTCCTACCGATGGAGGACAGTGAAGCAGTACAAGAAGACTTATCTTGCCCAGCATTCTATATATAGGCATTCAAGAGACGGTGGATCAGATTTGGCCTCGCTTCGCGGCATAGCTGATGTGGCGCCGACTGCTTTCAACACTGGCGGAAGCCAGGGTGTCCAGTATTCGTACGGAGACAAGCAAACCTTTATCCTCTTTTCGCTCAAGATGCAGAATGGATCCGAAAACGGAGGATCCAGCTGGTTGCCGAGTAAAGGAGCTTTGCGAAGAAAAGCCACAGCTGATTTCTGAGGCAACGCTTGTTGTGCTCGTCCGTAAATGTCGTCGAGGTGCCAGAGAGGCATATCTTGCTGAATCGTTATCGCTTCTAGTTCGCAGCCACATTAAGCCATCCGCAAGCCAGGTTTTCAAGTTTTGGCAATACGATCCGTTGGATCAGGTCGTTGTTTACGACTTACCCAAAACCGCTCTTTGTTAGTTTACTGGTCTCTAACGATCCCGACGCACACCATGTTGATTTGGCGTATTATCGCAGCCGGCTTCGTGCCCATTCTATCTTTGGTTCTTCCAGCCACAAGCAATGCATTGGATTCCAACAGCTTCTCGTGTGGCACAACACCGAGCGAGGAATTCAAGGAAATATCCAAAAGACTTGCCAAAGATGAAGCCGTCGCCCGCAGGTTAGGTCGGAGAGCCATCCATGAAGTGCAGATAAACGTATATATGCACATTGTTGCATCATCAGAGGATATCCATGACGGTAATTTGAATGTAGGTTTTGATCTCCGTCCTCTCCTCTTTCCCCTTCTCTTTGCCCACATCTCCCCTATTGTTCTTCCAACGGTAGTCCTCTCTCTTCCATGATGAATATACTAATCCAGTAGCCAGGATCAAGATGTCATTAACCAATTCCAAGTCCTCAAAACCGACTTCGAGCCAACGGGCATCATCTTCAACCTAAAAAGCATCGATAGGACTTTCAACGCTACATGGGCCAAGAACACCGACCTTAGGCGTATGTGGTACCATGTTCGTAATGGCAGCTATTCCGACCTCAACCTGTGGTTTATCCCTACTTTGGAACACTACGGATACTGTACTATTCCCACAACTGGCGACACACTACCATATGCGATCCACCAGGATGGATGCACGATACGGTCTGATACTGTTCCTGGTGGCAGAGCAGATAACTATAATCTTGGGAAAACAGTGACACACGAGGTTAGTTGATGAGTGGAAAAAAGTGCCAAGCGGCGTTTATACTGCTTAGAAAACGATATGCTAAGACCAATCAGGTTGGCCATTGGATGGGCCTATTGCATACTTTTCAAGGCGGATGCAATGGTGTGGGAGACTACATTGAGGATACTCCAGCGCAAGCAAGTCCGAGCGAGGGATGCCCTGAAGGGAGGGATTCTTGCCCCAAAGAACCGGGGCTGGATCCCATTCACAACTATATGGATTATTCATACGAGTATGTTTTCAAAGAGCTTCTATACTTGGCTCTCGTGTGTTCCAAACGACTAACCTGCGTGTTCTAGTGCGTGCTACACCGAATTTAGTCCTGGTCAGGTAGATCGGATGGTGAGAGTTTGGGATGCATATCGAGCATGGGCTTCTAAAAAAGAGGCACCATCTACACCAAACTTCCCTATAACACGGTTTCTTGGGTGATACGCTGCAATATGTGTTCCAAGGAAAGGGTAACTGAGTCAATCGTCTCGCAAAAGATTCCAACTCGGGATATATAAAACCATCTAATTGGGGAGAGATGAAACGGTTTATTGGAAGCCAAGTCAGCGTCAAGATTGTTTGTTTGCTGCCTTTGCGTATTACATCTGCCAATTTTTGTCAGGGCAGCTGGCAGGCACAAACAAACGAGTGTCCGTTGTTTCGAATACATATACCAATTATAGATTCTTTGTTTTTTTCCCCCCATCTGTCATGCTCTGAATTATGCTTCTAAATCTGTCGCCATCTTTGTCAAATGGTCGGTCCCTGAGTAAACAAAGTCGCGGCAACTTTCGTTTGATGCTTTCTTTGTGTGTTTGTCACAACCGCTCCGCCCACACCATCGGCGACCAATGCTTTTTCTTCGCCCTGCACTACAGAAATACTACAAACAAATACATAAAGGTACGCGTCTATCGCGGATTCACTGTCGTCTGCCATACTGGTCCTGACTCTGAGAAATAGAATCAGAAAGTCTTCAGAAAGACGACGCCTCAATTTCTTCACGACACCCCCCCTCTTTACTGTGTTTTCTTTCTTTCTTTCTATTACGTTTGCGACTCTCTGCCAACGACCAGGCAAGATGCCGAAAAAGACGGACGATAGATTAGAACACCTGAAACTTGTACATGAAACGCTGGAAATGATGATTAAGCTCATTAAAGACTTGGGCTTCGAGCCGCCTCTCGAAATCTCCCAATATCAAGGAACCAACGCAGAGAAAGCAGCCACCCTTGAAGACGAGAGATTGATCGATATTTATCAGGGCTATGCCTCCATGCTCGAAGATAGAGAGAAGGTCAAAATTAAAATCGACTCGTTGGTGGCACAAAATGCCGAAATACTTGACGCTGCTGAGAAGAATGGATCTGCCAAGAAGAAGGCAATCACCCGCCGACCAAAAAGGAGGGGAGACCCATGGGCCAGGCCTAGAAAGCGTCGTCAGCAGCCCAAGGTTGGAAAAGAGCAAATATCGGAATCGCCTCTATCAAGCGAGATTGCCCGCAACGGAGACGCTGTTTGATACGAACCGCCATGGTTTTCGTTATCGTAACAAGGTAGACTGGTGCCCTTGGGAGTCAACTATGCTTCAATATACGGCGAAACTCAGTTAGAGAGCCATGGTCAGCGACCGATTTCCGATTTTCTGCATAGGATACAGGGAAACCTCTGAGAATGATTTTAGTACAGGGTATTGCGCGAGAAGCCATGTATAGAACAATGTGCTGCACGACGGACTGTTTAATCAACTATAAAGCTATATTGATAGGCATAGACTGCTCATAACAGCTAAAATAATCGTATAATCATCTCCAAAGCTAAATCCAAGTCCATTGTTGACAAAAGTCGAGAAATGCTCTCCCAAGCTCTTCTCACGTGATTACGTATGCCTCCCTAGATCGCATCTGCCTACTGCATCTGCTTTTTCCAACACTGACGACAAAAGATATCTCAGCATCTTGCAAGTGTCTGCAGGTATTGATTTGAAATTTACTTCAAATTGCAGAATTGTTGGATACTCGTTTGTTATTGCCCAAAATCTACCAATGACAGCATCCTTTTGGTCAGCAAAGGATTTCTTTATTTTCGAAGCCTTCGAAGCCCATCCAAACTGTTTCCATTGCAGTCGAGTCAAAAGATCTACTGGCACCATGTTCTACGGAGTGATTAGATGAAATCAGAGCTGACTACAAGCTAGTTGCGTCGAGCTCCCGGAAACACAAAACAAAAGACGAATGATTCAGATGTTGGAAACATGGATGACCTTGTTGGAGCAAATCCATTTTTTCAACGTCTCTATAGCGCACAAATCGTCCTTGTATGTATGTTCATATCTACTCTGTTCACTGCAGCTAATTTGTTCTAGTATTAACGGAAGTAGTATATTTAGATTCTGTGCCGAGTCGAAGTTGGCAAACCGAAGTTTATATCCCCGAAACCTTGCGGCGATTGATAACCACACCACCAAGGCGAAACGACGTTTGTCGAGCATGATTCTGTATGAATGATTTGTATTCATAACAAAGGCACGACGAATATTGATTGACAAATGCCAGAATTCCCATCATCATCTCAAGAATAATCCAGTCGAGGACGAAGACGGGGCGGACGCTGCTTTGACGAGGGGCCGGATTTGACTTTGATTCTGTGATATTTTTGATCAACTGGCAAGTACAAGCTTCTTCTAACTTGCTTTGCTTTCAAAGAGAACACGATCAATCCCATGTTTGAGCAAACAATCTGCAGCTCTCCATCTCAATCCGGACATCATCCACGAATGTCTGCGTGGCCTCTTCTCCAAAGACGGCTTGCACTAAAGCTGACGACCCAATCTTGTTCAAGTTAGGCGCTCCATACCAAAACCGAGCGTGTGGCCCCCTATTGGCCAAGACGACGCCAAAACTTCCCTCTTTGGAGCGATTACGAAAGGGACGAGCCGTTAGTGAGTTATTATTTCAGTTGGTTATTCAGCGGCTCAGATCAGCCAGGCCGATTTCTCCAGCATTTAAAGGGGACTGTGACAAAAAAGAATGTCTGTTTACGATGAATCATACGACATCTTTATTTACAAATAAGGTTGGAAGGTAACGAATTTACCGAGGAGAGCACACGAAACAGCCAAACCTCAAGCTAACAGGGAGGTAGTCGCAATGAGAACACAGCTGCGAATTCAAATACATCCCGATCGAAACTTCCTCCCTCAGAGACATGATGTCTTGGCGATACTCAAAATATAAATTTTGCTCTAGAGCATGTTCATTGACATTGTACGGATAGAAAAGATGTTTTGGTCAACCTAGGGGAGTGAAGCAACCTTTGAAGATATGCCATCGCCCCCTGAATAATATCTCGAGTTCACAGGTCAGTCCACAATATTCTCAAACTTCACGCCACGACTCGATGCCAATACATTCTTCAGGCTCACCCTCCGGCTCGAACCAGGGTAACCCAGAATGAATAAGTGAGGGTGTGTATCTCACAGGCAGAAGCGCCATGATGTAGCCACTCGAGCCACCACTTGCGTTGTCCGCCGTCTAGGATGTCACTTGTCACTTGTCAACGCTCACGCAAGGAAGAATCTTGAGAACCAAGTGAGTAATATCCCAATATACCGGGTCCTAACCCCATGGAGCTACACGTGTCGATACTGAGGAGCGCACTGGATGGGTGGATGTAGTGATGGTTGGGTGGCTCGGGATGGAGGCGTATTGGCACGCACGGGATTAGGGACAAACTCTTTTTCAGCTAAATAACGGTGAATCTGGACGGCAAGTGACATTACTGTCTGGAAAGCTTGACAGCAGTTGCTTCATGTGTGATACTTTTCTAAGCTCACATCAGCACACGAGCTCGATGTGTAGCAACTGACGACGACAAGGAAAGCGACACTCCCCCTTTTCATATCGAGATTCACACCATTGTCACTTGCCAACAGCAAACAAGTACAAGTTTCGTCTCAAACATGGATGGAGAAGGCTCCACGTTCGGCCACGCCGGCTTCAAGCCCTTTTACCTGTCCGAGTCCTACTAGTCGTCTTAGTTTTTGCTTTTTTCTCCCCAATTCCCTCGTTCAAAAAAGGAGGCGTGAACGGCATGGTGCGATCTCTGACTCTCGGGTCTCGGGCCTTTTCGGGCGGCGCCGTGTCTGCTTGGGGTGAACTTTCAGAGCCAATAAGTGGCAGAGTCGATTACGGAGGGGGATATTGGACAGAGTTCAGAGTTTTTGTGTGGCGAGAGCTGAAAGAAGCCCTCTGGATTCCACATCTACATGACATATTTTCCCCAAAGCCAGCCTTCTGCCAGACGGGAATTTTTCTCTCTCGCGGCGTTATAATACCGGAAATGGACAATCGTTGTTGGAAAGTATTGAAAGATGACATTCAATTTCAATAGTGGTAAAAGTTTGAGCGCAGTGGCCGCAAACGTCATTTGCATTCCAGGCAATGATTTGACACATGCAACTACTAAATCTGGCAGCGGTAACTCAATCTAAGGATTCAACTTTATTCTTATTTGATCACTTAACTTTCGTTCTTGAGATTCTCTTAACAATTTTATACGAAATAGCGTGCTGCGGATTGGGATGCTGCCGCAAGGGGCTTGTAATGTAAATTCGCGGCGTTTTTGATGACGAAAGGGGGAGACGAGACGAGACAAGAGACAAGATACTTTGCTTTGCCAATTACTCTATAACTTTGCGAAAAAGTACATTGATTGAGCACACATTTTCGAAGCCACTATCCAAGAGAATCTCACTTGCGCAAAAACAAGACATAATTTCTTCGCTCATCCAATATTGTAACTTGTGTTTTCTTAGACAGGAGAATACAGTCATGTGTGTACATATCACGGTGTACTTGCTACTCAATTACATCATGCCACTGCTCTTTCCCTTTTTTTTTTTTTTTTCAATCAAGGCCTCGCTCTTTCTCCTGTTATTCTTATCCTGCCCCAATTCTCACCGCTCCTCTTTTTCTTCCCTTCACTCTGTCCTCATCTTGTCTGATTCTTCACCTCTCCATCCCAGATCATTCCAAGCCATAACAAGCTCATACGAGAACGCCGCTTTCAAATCGCGCGTTTGCTCACACGCTTTACCTCAGCTTGTCTCAGCTGCCCGGCGCTTGTCTCAGCTACCATTTCAGCTACTACCGCCTCCATCTCCAGCCTAGTAAGCCACAAATCCCCCCTAAACCCCTAAACCTCTCCCCTCCGAGACGCCTCGATACTCTGTGCATCCTTGTCCTGACTCAAATTTTCAGCCTCCAACAGGGCGCCACCTTGACTTCCGCCCGTGGTTGTTTGCCCCCGGGCCGCCGAACTGTCTCAATAGCCACGGATATCCCGCTTAGGCGCCGCACGCGTACAAAGCATTGTTGTTCGGCATCTTGGCCTTCAAAGAGACTCCATCGTAGGCATCTTGCCGAGAACGGCGGAGAGACATGTCACCACGCAGTCCACCTAATCCACCCTGAATGGAGGTAGGTAGATGTTCTAGTCCAGGCTGGCGGGCCAGTGGAACGGGGTAGCAAGCAGTACGTGCTCGCCTTCAAGTCATGACAAGAAGATGCTAGAAACTAACTCGAGCCAAGGAGGAAGGATACCAAATGGACACACCCGTTGGTGAGCCGTCAGCCACTGGCTGTCCACATTTCGGGCCTCTTTCCCACGCCGCCTCTCCATCTTTCCCTCGCACGGCTCATCGACTATCCATCTCCGGCAAGAAACCAGGCAGCCCGTTGGAGTGCCCAATCTATGCCACGCTCCAAGCCCGCGGCGACAGAGAACCCGTTCCGCTGCCGCCGGCGAGGAACTCTATTGCCTCACAGTCCCACCCATCTCGTGCGCCTGTCATGCGTCGGTCCGCCGCGTGAGGCGGCGAGGCCCCAAGTTGAACCTGGAATCTCCCTGCTCTTGACCGAGGGCCGGGGCTGCTCACTGACTCGTCCTTTTGGCGTCAAGTCATCATCGCCCTTGTTGTCTTTATTGAACTCTTCAGGGTCCAACCAACAACGTGCCTTTCACAGACCGAGAGGCCAAATTCGGATTCGTATTAGGACGCTCTTGTCTGCGTCACTTGCGTCCTACTCCTACTCCCTCACTCTTTCTCTTTCCCCCTTCACAATCGTGTGCGAGTCACACAGCCAACTTCTTCGACTTAGCCAGTGCTCTCAGATATTTTGGCGTCTGGCTAAGAGAGAGAGAGGGAAAAGTTCTCGGTGTGTACGAATCAAGCACGAGCCGAGATGCTTCTGTCAAGGGCATCCGTAGAACTCGTACCACTATAATTTTCACCCACACCCCCTGAAGCCCGTTGTCGTCACATCCAAATCTTCCTCTCCGCCGCACTCCCACCCTGCTGATCGGTCAGGCTATAGTGAACTAGTCTTTGAGCGGCTGCTTTGACTCAAGGCTGTCCCTGCCACGTTGAAATTTCATCTTCCACCCCTCGTTTCTGCCTTGCCATATACTGGGCGACTGATCAGGTGCCCTCTCTTAGCCTTGCCCCTTTAGCCTCGTCACAGTGTCAGGCACTGCGACTCCCGGCAAGTTCCTTGTTGTCCTATCACCACTCCCTGCGCTCAGCGCGGTGAAGACTCTCTCGAGAGTAAGCAGTCTGGCGCTCGCTCTTGACCATCTGTTTGACTCGGGACTTTCTGCCGCTTCCCAAGCCCATTGACATCATACCGTCAGAAAACTGCGCCTGGTCTATGAACTCCGCCGCCTGTGCTGTGAGCATAGGAGCAGCTGCAAAGTAATACTCGAGTTTGGCTCATAAGAATCAAAGACAAGCCGAAAGAGACCATTCAGAGCGCTGCCCCCTGATGGCTCCCTAGCCAATCTCTCCCCCCCTAGCAGCCGCTGTAGCACGCAGCAGCGAGGCGAACCGTCTGGTGCCGCGGGATCAGAGCCTCTAGCTTGCGAACCATCAAGTTTATGCTGCAATGAGCCGCCCGCTATTGCAGCTTAGCCCAGTCCTAGCTGACAACGGTGTCTTCCTACCTCGCTATCTCGCTTGAGGCGCTGCAATCTCTCTTGCAAAGCTTTTGGAGCTGTTGGTCCGCAGTAAAAGCTTACAACTAGCCATGGCTGCATGAGGACATTCATCCCAGACTCATTGCTGCTGCCATGAACAGTTTGCTCGAAGCCATAGGAAGGGGGGGGGAGGGGACGTTGACCGACCCCTCCCTGTCTTCTCTAGCAGATTCGACAGGGACCAGCCTTCTTCCCTCCACGCATCGAGAACTCCGAGAACCCCTTTGCTTCCTCTGATTCGGTCGTTGTGTCTGCCGAGTGGTGAAAAAAACTAGGAAAAGACCCAGCTCCAAGCCCCCCTCTTGTGCCCAGCTGCCTACTATCATATTGCCCATTGCCCTGTTAGGCCATGCTTGGACGTACGTGCAGATGCAGACATGCATGCGCGTTCAATCACCTGTTGTGACCTGTATGTCTAGACAAATGTGCGGAGTTACTAGATGCTTGCAGATGCATTGCAGACCGACATTCCACCGTCCCCTCTTCTCTTTTCCCAACCGCTTCCCGGGTGCAGGGAAGAATCTCTTGCTGACCTTGTTGGTTCTTTCGAGCAGCCCTGAGAGGCCACAACAAAAGCAAGTGCAACAAGAAAAGCCAATTTGGAGCAAGGCACTCCCCAAACTCCATTGAACGCCTCTTTATAGCCGTGCTGCCCAAAGCCAGGGATGAGATGGCTGCCTCCAAAACAGCCAAAGTTCAGCTCAATCCTACCACAGCCTACCAGTATGTTTTCAGGGGGGAGCCACAGGCAAAGAGGGGGCCCTTGATCCAGAGACGCAGGCTGGACGGAGTGGTGAAAAGGCGAGCGGGGCCCTCTCTTTTTTTTCGCGTCTAGTCTCCATCATGGGTCTCCATCTCTCTCTTGTTAGTGTGTATTTTTGGCCTTTTAGCACGGGGGCGTGTATATCAAGGCGCAAGGTAAGCAAGGGCAAAATCATGCCCCCCTTACCATGACCGGCGAGCGACACCGGATCGGGTCAAACCTCACAAACCAGTATGGAGAAGGGCCAGAACAATACGCGTCGGTCTGCTGCATTCACTCATCTTGACCAACAGCAATTGTATTGGCACTCGTGTTGGCACATGTATTGACGGACATTGAGAATCGGTAATATCAATTAACATTCGCAACTCAATGGCTCTCAATGGCTAGCAGCAGCATAGCTGAGGCGAGGAGAAAAAAAGAGCTGAAAAAGAAAACGTCACTATGTCACACTATAACACACACGCGTACACACAAAGAAAAAAAAAAACACACAATGTCAACCGCCCTTTTTGGTACTTCCCTCCGCCTGGTATCACTTCAACCAAGCCCGTCCCATGCCATGCCATGTCCATCAAAACCGTCAGCCAAGCCCAAGGCTTCCCTTTCCTCCCTTAACGATTGGTCCAACAGATGAATTTTGCCCTCCGCTTCTAGTGAGCCATGATTTTCCCATGCTGCCTTTACTCTTGTGCCATGTTGCTCGGGCCCCACGGGTTTGTCGCCATCGGCGACGACTGTGAGGGAAAAAAAAAGAATTATTTTCGGTGCGCTTAAAAAAAAAAAAAAAAAAAAAAGAGTTGAAAAGGCGAGAGAAGAAAAAGAAAGAACGAGCAGGCAAAGAGGGGAGAAAATATGTCAAAGTGTCGTTTCATCGCGTAACCCAATCCCCAATCGTTTCAAATATGATGTGCCGTGAGGCGAATCCGTCTTATCTGGTAATAAAAATGTGGTAATAAGAAAATTTGTCCAGGCAAGCAGGGCGAAAAAAAAAAGAAGAAAAAAACAGCGGGTTGCACTCGAGAGAGAACACCCAAAGCTTCACGTCCCTCTCTCCCCTTTATATGTTTAGAGCAGGAATAACCATCTGCAGCCGGAACCCAAAGAGCACAGCTCTTTTTTTTTTTTTTTTTTTGAATGGTTTTTTTTTTTTTTTGAATGCGTCAAGCAGGAGGAAAAAAACAACTGTGCATATCCGAATCGTACAACTGTAGTAAAAAAAAAATGCGAGGCAAAGGCAAAAACAAATTGTAGGTAAGAATGTATGTATATGTTCGGATCGTCGACAACGGGCAATGATTTTTGTATAGCAGATTCGTCCTGTAATCGTCTCAAAAGTTCTGCAACGCCCCGCCGGAGTTGGCGCTCAAATCAACGCTGCAATAACTGCCTGGATACAGCTCAGTTGATCTTCTGTCCAGCAGCGTCAACCTGCAGTCATAGGCTTTTATACGCTTGCTCTTCTTTCCCCACTTCTGCTTCCACTTCCCTCAGCTACTCAAGTCCCAATGGGAAGATGCTCACTGACTGCCGCTAGCATCTCGAGATCGGTTAAGACGATCAATCATTGTCTTGTCTATGTCGTTCTTCTCCACGAGGTTGCTAAGGCTCATGACGGAGGTCGATTGTTGCGATTGGCCGGCTGAGGCCCCTGAACGTGCGGGCGTCGAAGAGCCGCTGGAACCATTTTGCTGGGTAACAGGAGAACGCCCACCAGTGTTGGTCGCAGCGCTGGGAGGGGGTCTTGCTGGGTTACGGGGGCTGTGCCTCGCCGGGCCCGGATAATGCGAGTAGCTCAAACTTCCAGGGCTGCTATTGTTGGAGAGTTCGGCGGGCGATCTTCGTCGGTGGTCGTCTTCTGCCACGCCCGCTCGGGGAGGGGGTAGCCTGTATCCTTCATCTTGGTCTTCTGGCGTCCTCCGGCGTCTTCGCCCTGTTGTACGGTCATCGCCCCGGGGATCTCCATAAGATGAATATGAATCTGTGGGAGAGTGTGCCTGCATGTGATAGTAGCTGGCAGGTGGCGGAGGCGGCGGGCCTGATGCCGGGCCATAAGGGTGCGGCGGGTGGGGAGGATGATGCGGGTGAGGGACGGTGCTTGGAGCCAGGGGTTGGCCGTATGCACCAAACAACTGTGTCCCAGGCGGTACGCCTCCCGGAACGGCCGAGACGGGAATGAAGGCTGTTGAACTCGAGGATGAGACTGGCTGGAAAATGCATTCTTGGTTCATGCGAGCGCAGTTTTGGCATTTTCCGCCAGGAGCGTTTTGATGACCACTGCAGCGAATCTAAGAAAATGAAGGGGTAAGAGTTAGTCCACCAAAAAGACAGCAAAATCGAGGGAGGATCAACACGCAAGAGACCAATGCACGCTGTGTGACAAACCTTTCGCTTTCGGCAGTATCTGCAGGCAATCGACGTCCGCTGTCTAGGAGCCTCTCTCGGACGTTCCATGCCGGGTTGGCCATATTCCTGTCCATAGCCTGGAGGGGGCCGAGGGTAGTCGTGGGGATAGCCGTTGTGGTGACCGCGGTAGTAGTATTCTGAGTACTGTTCGTGGTAGCCCGGAGGCGGGGGAGGTCGGCGGTCATCGTAGTATGGGCCTCGCGGTTCGGGCGGAGGATATACTGATCGCGGATCTGCCTGCGGCTGTAGAGGGGGGAGGTATCCGGGGCCCGGCTGCTGGCTCCCAGGAGGCGGAGGATAGCCATTGACTGCATTCGGAGACGCATAACGCGGATCGGTCATGTAGCCACGGCCAGCCGAAGGTGGAGGACCATAGGCACTGGGCCGGGGATCATGGATGGACGGCAAGGTGACAGAGGTTGCCATGTTGGGTCGGGAGTGAGGGCTGCCTTCTGATTCTGAATGAGGTGCGTCCCGGGGAGGGAGGTGGTGGTAGTAAGGAGCAGGTGGTTGGTGTTTAGTATCCTCTGGCCGGTGCTGAGGATAATCCTGGCGATGTCGATCCTCTTCCATGCTCTGCAGAGACGGGTGAAGAGAAAAGACGACGGGACAAAGGAAAGAGAAGAAAGATGAGCCGCCGATTAGTAAGTAACAGTATGTCGAATGATTCCAGATCCTCCAGCCGATTCCCAATGGTTAAGGAGAAAGCGAAGGGGCATCTGGTTAGCCCGAGTTGCTGCCGAAAAGTGAAGACTTGTAGGTTTCAAAACCAGTGCCAAAACTTGGGGGGGGGGGGGGGAAAGGGGGGAGAAATGTTGACGCCTTTGTACAGAGAGTCGTTGCGTTGAGGAGAGAAAATCAATGGCAAGATGAGAAAACCGTCGCCAATACAATGAGAGAAATGTGTGAAAAGCTATGTCCACAGATCTTTCCAGGCAGTCTTTGTCAGACGGTGACGCTGCAGAGGTATGCCGAGACAGAAGGTCTGGTGTTAAAGGTTGTAGCGGTTGGAGGTGGCTTGCAGTGGCTATATGTGCACGACGCAGGCGCCCTAGAGAAAACGCCACGCCTTCAGCGAGGACGGAAATGCAGCGCAGACAAGACACACAGTACGGGGCTAGCCAGAGATGGCGCAAGGCGGCGTGCTGAGTGTCTCTCCGTAGCTGACGGGTGGCTCCGGAGGGGCGGAGGAGAGAGGAAACAAGAAACGAGGGAGTTTCTTTGGGGATGGGGGAGGAGAGGCGTCTGGAAGTATATACTGGGAGGAGGGGAGGGAGGGGGAGGGAAAGAAGGAGGAGAGGAGGAGAGAAGGAGGCAGGAGAAGCAGCAGAAGAAAGGAACAAGAGGAAAAGAGCAAGACAATTGTGTTGGCCGGCCCAGAAGTGACTTGAGCAGCTCGACGCCAGAGGAAGGGATTCTGGTGGGGTGCCAAAGTCAAGGAGGGGGAAACGAGATAAATGAGGACGCAGGAAAAGACGGCGAGCGGGAATGTAAAGGCGGGCGGATGGCCCGGCCGGTGTCGTGCCGTTCCCAGCGCTGTGGCCCAGCTAAGGCAGGGCAAGCCGCTAATGCTAGGGGCTAGTGGGTGCCCTTGTAGCGCATGTGCGTAGTGCGAGAAACGGGGGATAGGGAGTGCGTCCAGGCGGATGGAGTGCTGGAGCTACCAGGTACTAGGGAGTAGTGGTACGAGCCCTAGTGTGCGCTGCTAGTCGTGGCTGCAGTGGCCGGTACTGGCTGGTATGGTAGCGGTAGCGGTAGCGGCAGCGGTAGCGGCAGCGGTAGGGGTGCGTCTGGCGGGTGTCGACGCCGTGCCCGTACCCTGTGCGGAAACTCAGCTTGGGCACACACCACCGGGTGCGTGAGGACTTGCCAGGTGGTTGTTGGATCGTTGTGACGAGCGAAGCCTTGTGTGTGTGTCGAGGTGGGTGCGTGCTGTACTGTGCAGTGCCTTGGTGTAGGTAGTGACGCGCTGCAAGCCGGCCAACGCCCTTTTCTCTTTCTGAGTCGAGCGTTTGGGACCAGAGACAGGTGAGCTGAAGAGATCCAATGCCCAGCCAACCTTTGTGCTTGGTACTGAGCTGGAGACGTCGGCGTGGGTGTTTTGCGTTCTACGAATGGTGCTTCGGCAGGATATGTGAAGTCGAGGTAAAGTAGAGAAAGGGAAGGAGATGGATGGATGGAGCCGTCTTTTCAGCTGCGCTCGCTTGACCCTTGACTCAGTAAAAGTACACGTGCCTTGCTGCTGGCTGTCGTCAAAGGAGAAATTTGGCAAGTATTATCTTGCTTGGCACAAGTCAAAGGTATCGTCGCAATAGTATAGGTGCTACCACTTTGTGCCCAAGAACATTGGTCCAAAAAGGTACCTCTGCTGAGCCGAGACGACCTTGGGTTGGGTATATGCGGGAACTGAGACCTGGGGCAATGCAATGCATGTGTTAGACAATTTCTTCACTCAGGGATCTTTTTTTCTTCGCAAAGACGCAGTGGAACGGACATGGTGCGTGCCTGTCAAAGCGGGACAGCAACGCCTCCCTTCAGACAAAGCCCGCCACAACAACGTGGCGTACAGCAGAAAAGAGGGTCGAGTCGCAGGCCATTCAACGACATGAGAAACAGGCACAGTTTGCAGCGAGAACAGGCCGGGCAGGCGGACGAGACATGGAGAAGCCCAGCGTCTCGAGGGACCGTGGCCATGGACAAGCCCTGGAGCCTTCTGGATGGGGCACAATGCATGCTAGAGGCGTGCTGTTGGTACCGCAACCAACAGAGTGTCAGGGAGTGCAGGTGCAGCAGCAAGTAGTATCCTCCTCCTGTACTGTGTTCCGTTCCTCCTCGGCCACGTACTCTGTTGCAATGAGTGCTGCATTGCTTCGCATCGGCCCATGCAGCACGCCTCTCAGTTGCCGCACCAGTCAAAGCCGCAGACGCCGGCTCGGGGAAGAGAGAGGCAGCAGGAGCATGCGTTTTGGTATGTGCGCAGACTTACGCAGCATTGCATGGCTGCACGGTCGCATATTCCATCCACCGATGCATTTGCGGCCCGTCATGTTTGGGCAAAGATGCATCGGTGCCCGCAAATGGGGTCCTCGTTGCTCTACTGTACTCACAGAGACAGCTATGCACGCATGCAAGAGCAGACGAGTCACCGGCATAGGGCCACAATGAGAGGAGAGCGGGACAAGTGCAAAGAAAGAAAAAGAGAGGCGAGGGAGCGAAGAGAGTGAAGCAGAAACAGCTCAGGACAGTAGAAAAAAGCCACCACTGGTACGGTACATACCGAGATATAACAGGACGCACACAGTGAGCCGCTGAGGGCCAAGCTTGTATCGAAGAACGAGCGCAAAGACAGGGAGCGTTGGTTTGCACAGATCAACTACCTGGCAAATCACATGTCAGTTACGAACAAGTAGGTAAGAAAACGCTCTCAATCAGCGTCAGATAACTCGTCCATCTCGTGCTGGAACCGTTTGGCCGCAGTGGCTTGGCCCAGCTTCTGCTGGAGTCACAGGTGCGGCGTGTCCATCTTGAAGAGAATCGCTAGGCACGGTTCCAAGTGTAGCCATGAGAAATGCAGATGCTGCTGGTATGGTCAGACTCACCACTTGAACCACGGTCCAATTGGTAGGAAACGTAGCTTTTTTTCCCTTCTTCTTTTATCTCGAGGCCAACGAGGTGCAAGGCCCAGATGTGAGAGGCGAGGTGTATCGACGGTGGAGTAGACGAGGCGACGATGCTGGCGATGCACGAGAAAGAATCAATGGAAAGAGAAACAGTGAAAGAAAAAGAAAAGAAAAAGAAGAGGGAGAGGTTAAATGAAGAAAAAGGAAAGAAAAAAAAGAGTGTGCACGTCAATGAGAAGGTGCAAGAAAAAATCAAATGGGCAGGCGCGTCCAGGTTTATCGAGGCCAGTTGCCAGCACAGGTGGTTTATGTACTTTGTACTCTGTACCAACTGGCAGCTCTCGGGCATTCAGCAAAGAGACAAATGAATGGTATATGCTAGTAATATACTAAGCAAGTCGATCAGCAATTACCACTCCAGGCCAGGCTGAGACTGACTTGCGTCATTGTTCAGATATTATGCCCCTTCAGAAAAAGAAGAAAAAGATGCAAAATAAGATGAATGGGATTGGCATGTCTTGGAGGTTCCGGCCAATGCCTACAGTGCGTGCGCCAAAAGTCGCGGGTGCGCCAAAGTCACTACGGCCCGCGACTCAAGCTCCCACCGGGTACGGGAACTTCCACAAGCATACGCCAGTGCCGCAGAGGCCAGGTACCCCTACCGCCGCCAAGATGTTTGCTTTACCACAGGTACAGGTATGTATTAGAGGCAGTAGAGGCAGTAGCCATAGTACTGCATCATGCATCTTCCCAGGACGCTCGCAAGGGAGGGCTGATAAAAGGGCAGGTCCTTGCTAGCCGCCTCGTTGGTGGCCTCGTAGAATTTCCTTTCGTGGACAGCAGTGTAATCGTAGGTTGCAGCGGTAGCACAAGCACAGGAAGAATGTCTCGGCCTAGGCGGCGTGCGGGTAGCAACACCAAGGGCCAAAGTCACAACTACCGCTCGCAATCTAGATCATGATGGCGCGCTTGTGCTGAGAGGGACGACCAGGCGTCTCATTCAAGAAAACAAGGGGTAGCAGTCCAATGGGCTAAAAGAAGAGAATGTGTGTGAGAAGAAGAAACAAGCCAGTCGGACATAACAGCGGCAATGTGACGAGATCAGAGACACGTCAAAGACAGCTCAGCAAATGGTGGGGGATTCTGAGACTCTGGGCATCCCAATATGGGCAAAAATCCCAGGTTGCCGGGATAGATAGACATGGTCGAATGCCAGCCATTGCCAGATCAGCAGCCGGTCAGCCACCCAATTGTTTGGCCATATGGCCGTCTGTTGGTCTGGGAAGATTCATCTGTCCGTTCTTACCATGTACATGTCAGTCCAGACGAAGCGAGGCCTTCTAGTAGCTCAGCCACTTGGTGCTAGTAGCTGCGGCTGCTCTGGCGAATCTCGATAGTATCAACGGCGAACAATGGATCAAAGTGATCAAAATGCCATACGCTGGCACTGCGCAAACTCTCACTTGGACACACCAACCAGTGGATTCGGCACTAACATTCCGCTAACAGGGGGGCCGTCCGTCATGTTTCCTGCAGGGAGGCTCTCGCTCAGGCCTACCGAGCTGGGTCTTGACAAGCACTGTCCTGTAGGGCGTCGTGAAAACAGGCCATTTTGTCCAGCTGCTGTCTGGGGTTTCACACGTTGCCCACCTGGGACGGCGGCCCTGCAGGCTGCGAAGACGGCCGCAGCATGCATAGGCTGCGTGCTTGAAGCCGCTTTTGGTCTCCGGGTCTGCTCTTGTCTGCATCTTGATCCGCCATGTCAATTGATTCTTCTTGCATTACTTGTCCTCCTCCCCCTTTGTACCCCTTGCTGTTCCAATGCTTGGCAGGCTGTTTTGGTAGGTCAGTTTCGTCTTTTACTCCCCTTGTATGACTGCGATTCTACCATGCATTGGCACATGCCAATGCAGCAGGTTGTAACACATAGTACCTACAGTACCTGGTATAGTACTGTACAGTAGCAGTAACAGTACAGTACAACGCTTGTATCCGAGGCGGTCATTTGCCGAGCACGGTTCGCGAGCTAGGTATTCGTCGTCAGTGCATCTCATTGACTGATAGCCGACGAGGTACCTGGTATGGCGTAAACATAACAACACGAGTTTAAATTTGCCCTTTTGCAAAGCAGACATCGGTATGCTCAGCTCGGTGGGGTGTGCCGATAACAACAACTTGGTGCGTAATAGTATGAATCGTGAATTTCCTTTGGGGGCCCAAAGGCATGCTGGACTTTGCGAGCAATGCTCCACTACTAGGTAGATGGGAAGTTGTCGTTGCTTTTCACACATACTGCAAAGAGTAGCAGGTATTATCTGGGCACTTCCCAGGGCTCTCGGAATAAAGGTATTGTGTCCCGGATTCAGCTTGCCTGGGAGATGGAGACGCCGAGAGAGGAGGGAAAAGACAGGAAACGCTTTTGAGTCAGGCAGGCATTCTCTCCCTTGAGACAGCGCATCATCTACCCCCACCGTCTTTCTGGGTCTGTGACGTCCGATGCCGTGACGTCTCTCAAGCCATAGATACCTACTAGTATAGTAGTAACCGACTGATTGTGAGCCTCGTTGCCCCCATCGACTCGATCCGGCCCGAGCAAGCCGGCGGCATTGGATCTCGTCTCGGTCCGCTTTATACTTTCCAAGGCCGCCTTTAGAGGAGAATCTTGCGTCTGTCCGTGGTTCGCAAAGGGCGCTCGATCTACCTTTTGCCTTCTCAGTCGAGAGTAGCATGCTTTTTTTCCCAGCTCTCACGTTTGTCTTGTCCGCGTTAATGAGCCAACCTGTTCCAACCGCTCCACATCCAGTTCGTCTTATAGCCAGGCCTTCTAAACCCCTTCATCCTTCATTCAGCCTCGTCTTGATCATGGTAGCACTACTGGTGTCACTCGGATGGAAGCAACCCGCAAATAGTTTCAGTTCAGACTCGTTTCCTGTTGGTCCAAATGTCCGGTCTGGGTCACATCCGGATCGGCAGTGACCAAAAGCCCCTCTAGTGCATCGACTATAGCTCTGAAGTGCCTGAAACGCTGGAACCAGTGCACACATGTTGAAAACCCAAGTACTAGGCCGCCCGTACGCGTAGATAAGATGTGCTCCGTGCACTCACCATATTTGGGGGGGGGGGGGGGGAGGGGACGGCCATTGACCTCGGTTGCCAGGTATTAGTGCAAAAGGCCATTGTTATCCAGAGACAGTCGCTAACAAGTGCAATGCTCCATAGTAGGGTAGCTCGAGCAAGCATATGACCTGGGAAATAGTATATACTGATGGCAAAGGCATGTGCGAATCGCTTATCAGCAATTCCTGCAAGGCGCAGGGCGGTCAATTGCTGTGGGCAAAAGGGGTAGCCAGGCACACCAAGCTGCATAGAAGTAGGTACATGTCGTCCTATAGTACGATATTCGGGAGGCCACAGGGAAGACCCGTTTGTCGTACTTGTATTACAAGCACAATCAGACCTAAGCAGCTAGTCCAATTTGTAAGTAGGTTTAGTTTTGTTAGGCCATTCCGCCATTTTACCACAACCTACAAGGTTGAGAAATCACCTCTCAAAATGAGGGATGTCCTCCCTTGCGTAGAGAGGTAGATGGGAAAGGGCGCAAAGAGCAAGAGTAAGAAGCAGGGGGCGAGAAAAGAGTATTTCGTATAATGGTTCATGTGGTAGATGGGGTCGAGGGAGACAAGTTCCACTTCAGATGCAACTCTCTGCGAGGTGCTTAGCTGAACAGAATCGAAACCGCAGCGATGAGTGCATACTATACCTGGTAGGTGGCATTCCTTTGTACGCCGGCCTGGCAGTAACAGCAAGTCATTCTATAATCAGCCATCGCTTCGTACCGAGGAGTGCCATCATCAGTAACAGCAGCAGGTACCTAGCAGTGCTAGCACCAAGTATACTAGTACAAGTATAGTGGTCCTTGTAAGCGTCCAACGGGAACGCCCACTCTCCCGGTGGCCAGGCTTTCGGCATAGCCAAGGGCGACAGTGTTCCGAACAAAGAGATCTGAATCTACACGGTAAGCCGGGGAAAACTTACTGGTCGGAACTCTTGATCCCAAGTAGCATAGCAGCCCCCTCTCTCTCCCGAGAGCCTCATCCCAAATCTCGCTTTGCCACAATAGGTTACAACACAGTCGTGTAAAGCAAAGTGTTTCGTAATTTGCCAAGCCGTCAGCCGCTCCCCATGCCATGAAGCCTCCAGACGCACGAGTAGGATCTAGTACTGTACATTGTGAAATTTGAAAGGAGGTCAGCCAGCAAGCCACCGCACAGTCCATGTACATGTTCTGAGATGGACCCAGCCGCTAACAAGCGCCGTCGCATGGTTTTGAGCTGGGAAAGGAGAGGGACAATGCTGCTTATCCGATGCCATACTGTACGGCAGCAGACAGTACAGTATATTACCCGTCGCCGGGGTCTCTTCTCTTGAAGCCCAGCTGTTCGTCTCAAATCGAGCCTGGGCCCCGTCGGACATGATGCAAAGGTAACCCAAAGTGGACAAGCTGCCCCATCTGTAAATCGCCAATAAGGTCTTCCCGTGCATGCAGAGTTGCAGCAGCACCCCGTGTGCCATGCATCAATCTCTCTATATTGTCCAACCTGCGTCAATGCTACGCTCTCCCCTCCCTCCCTCTCATATCCAGCGGCCGCTCGCCGAGTATAGCGATTGGCGCCTGCGTAGACGTACAGACATATACTAGTACTACTAGCAGGTAGTATATCCTAGTACAAGTATGGCGTCCGCTAGGATGGATACCTTCTCCCGCTCGAAGCGTGTGGTCGCCAGGTTTGCCCTCCGTGTGGCACCCATGTGACAAGCCCAAGAAGGAGGATGCACGCCCTCCATAGAATGTGTGCGAGATGGCCGTCATGGCCAGCCTTGTAGAACCCTTTCATCGTTCTTGTGCAGTGTAGCCTCGGATGTTGTAGAACGTCTGCTGTGGACTGTTTGCGCACGCTCGCCTTACCATGCACAGCCCAAGGGACTTGATTTCGGCCAGAGGTGCGTCGGCTTGCAGCTGTTTTGCGGCTATTAATATGGCAACGTACTAGTAGTACTCCATACAGGTACATGCATTCTGATACGACCACACGTATAGGTAGCCATGCATGCCAACAGCGAGCAGTTGTCCGTGCGACGAAAGGGTTATTCGCACATGCAGCCATCTAGCAGAGATGGACAGACAATGGCCTTGCAGCCATGCACTTTGTAAGGAGGGGGAGATGGACTCAGAGGTGGCCAGACAAAGACAAGAGACAAGGACGAGATCCCGCCCAATCCTACCGTGTCCACATGTGTGATGGGAGCATGCCTGCTTTCTTTGGCTTTCATGCGGCCGTCATCTTCGGCTTCGGAAGCAACAAGAGCTGGTTAGGATCGGTTGGTCGCAGCACACAATCATCATTCCCATACACCCAGTGACGACAGTGGACTGTCACTGCCTCATAGAGGCGAAGAATGACGGGCGTAGAGAGAGATCTGACATGTCAGCTAGTCGTGTACGCCGAAACAAAGTGAGCCTTGATAGCTATATGGTCTTTTCTGAGAGGCGTAGAGTTTATGATATGGTACTGGCTTCCCTCTGATACGAGCTGCTTAGCCTTCTGTATCCTTTTTTAACCTTTGGCGTAATCCCATACCCGTTGTTAGAGTATCTTGGGTCCACGGTGCTAGGTATATGAGTAAGCTCGGTAGACGGTTTAGTGCATGTAGCGAAACGATCGATCCATTGCGTGCCGCCCGTCCTGCAGCCGCAAACTTAGGGGCCATCCGGGATAACACCCACAAGCTCAACTTGGGGGTAATCAGGCGCAAATGGCGATTTGTGAATACCGTCTGATGTATCAGATAGATGTAGTCCGTCTCGGCTATGAGTCGTCCCAAAACACTTCGAGAGCTTGGCCAGATGTATGTACATGGCCTCCTTGGTCATGGGCACCACGAAAAGCATTTGGACTCCGTTGCCGGTACCCAGGTGCCCATGTCCAGGCAATGTCATATCATCATCGCCCAAGCAAACCCTATTAGACGACCTGTTCAGCAGTAGGCGTAATTGGTATCTTGCCAGCCTCAGCATGCATGCGAGATGGATCGCACCGAAGCCAATGGGGAACCTTAATCCTGCTGCTGCGTAACCTTGTCACCATGCGACTGGCCGGTTCCCGTCTCGGGTCCTTCTCATGGTTGCACCCGCAGACATTGGTAAGGCATCACCACATCCGTTTGCCCGTCAGAGAAACAAACACACACAGTTTTAGCAAATCTCCTTTTTCCATGGGTCGGAGAGTCGGTTACATGGTTTCCCTTGTGCCATGCTTGTGAACTCCCAGCACGCACACCCATCTTCATCTCAGACATGGCGTGTTGTGTCGCCCAATGCCGCTGTTGTTTGCGTACCTTGGAAGCCGCAAACATGTGCTCCAGTTAGCGTAACAAGGGCTCTGTGCATGTTGATATCATGTAGATTTAGCCAGTGAAGCCACTCATAAACCAAAGACACTTTGGCCGAGTGGTTAAGGCGATGCCCTGCTATCTTCGTGATATCTCTAGGCATTGTGTTCGCACGCGCAGGTTCGAATCCTGCAGGTGTCGTATTCATCTTTTTTGCCTGGCAAGCTTGCCGTCTCCCCTCTGCTCTCCATACTTGTGAATAACGTGTACGTGGCTCTGAATCGAAAAGGACGAAGCCGCCATCCTTTGGAAGTACATGGCAGCCCAATTCTTGGCGACGATTTGACGATGACTATACGGGCCAATGCATGAGAGCCCATACAAGGTGCGTATGCATCATGTAAGTTAAGGTGGCAATGACCAGCTGTCACGCATTGTACGCTTTCCTTGTTTCTCGGGTCTCGAACTCTGCAGGTCCCTGGGGTCACTTCCCCTCACCGGTTGCTAGTCTTTGTGCCTCTTGTTTCTTCAATCGCATATTTTCCAACTAGGGAGCAGAGGGATTTGGGCATACGCATTCCAAGCTAGACAATGTGACGAATAGTAGTCTGTCTGGCGTCCATGTCGCACCATGGCATACGGTAAATCCAGTCTTTGCCTGCTGCTGCTGCTGCTGCTGCTGCCAGCAGTAGTACTGTGCTGGACACCCTCGTGATAAGCGTTTATCCCTCGGCCTCTGCACCTGCCTTCCAACCCGGTTCATTTAAAGCCAGAATCCCTGGGACGAGTCTAGCCTCGCCTGGCCCTTGTTACCTTGTTTCCCCCACCACACATTGACGCAGGTGTCGTGGCATCGTCAACCATGCATAGCGGTTCAACCCGCAGCTCCCCAGAACGCTCCGTAGATAGCGTCAGTTTCTGGGAAGGGTGCCACCTTGATCCTGACCCCACCATGTTGCGAGCCTGCTGAGGTCACGAGTTATGCTACTTCTGTTTGACGAGCACGGACTCCTCGCCGTATTTGGTCCTGCTGACAGCAAGTATTTCAAGGATACCAATAAAGCCGCATCTCGAATCTCCAGCTGTATGACTGATATGAATCAAGGTACACTCCTTTCTTCAGGGCACGATAATTCATAATCTTGTGGCAAGAGGTGAGAAGAGAGAGGCAAGAAAGCTGTCTTCAAGAACCACGGGTCAGATGGGCTCTAGGCTGCATCAGACGGCAATTTTCCTTCTCTGCGGCCGGCGTCTACACTAGCGGCCAATACTCGAATGCATGCTTGTACTACAGGATTAGTACACATGAACGCTCGTAGTGCTTTCAAAAGCTCAATATTATTAGCCAATGATGATAATGGCTAAATCGGCTGAGGCTGCATGCCAACACTCTCTTTAGAGTTGGATTGTCTGTCCCCATCCTCATAAATCAGAGGACGAAGCCTCCTCAATGCCAGCAAAAACCCTGTACATTGGGTACGCATGGTACGATTTTCGATGCCAAGTTCCTTGAGATGGACAATCGGATGATGCGTATGTCTGGCGTCGCTCTGTATTTCAGTGGCACTTGGCGGCATGTAGTAACTTGGGTGTAACGCAGGCTGCAGGAATGATGCATACATAAGAGACGCCCTCTATTAGTGGAATTCTAGATGGAATGACAACCTCTCTCTGCGACCATGGTTGTGGGTAGTATATAGGTATGAGTGCTTGTGTCTTCGTTTCGACTTTTGTTGCTCAGCAATCCTTTGCCTCTGCTAGACGCCCACCTGGATCTCATTGTAACGCTTGCTCACAGCTTCTTGATCAAGACTTGGCGCTAAAACGACAGAGGGAGGCATATACAGCCGCCAGGATGCCCGCCGTGGAATCTTACCAGACAGCCGACGCGACAGAAATTGTGGAGTAGTATTCCGAGTGGTGGCTCCCGAGTATCTGGAAACACACCGAAGCTTGGCCGCTGCTAGCGGCAAGCTATCCGCCAAAGGATATTGCCTTGTCCAATGAGTGGCTGGGTTGGGTATGGGTTCGCCGTTCCAAGCAGCCCGAATTTTCATCCTAGTCGTCACCGAGGTGCAGGGGAGGGCGTGCAAGCAGGGCGTGCGAGTGACTTGCTCGTATGAGCAGTACGAATACCTAGACGGGGTATCGTATGGAGAACTAAATAGGACTCCATGACATACTATACAAGTATCTACCAATAACGCAGCTGGCAGGGGTTTGCATGCATGATGCTTCAATGGGCCACCGCCAATGGCTTTCTTCTCCATTCGCGTCGGCCGGCGTGGCAACGAGGGGAAGCTGGAGCGAGGAAGGCGGTTGGTTGGCCTAGTGCCGCCATAATCAAAGAGATGGGCGTAAAAAAAGGGGGAGCAAAACCCAAGCAGTAGGTAGCATTTGTAGCGTTGGCCACATGTAGCTACCGCCTCTGCAGCTCAACCCTGTGTTTGTTTGTTACTTGTATTGGGCAAAGCAATCTTGGTACACACACGGTGTACCCCATACTTGGTAGGGCTTGCACGCAGCAGAAGGAACGGGCATGGCTAATGGCTTGGGCCGCCCGCCACAAGGCTCCTCCCGTCCTTGCCGGGTCCCCCTTAGTTGAGATGCATGATGTATCCGCCCTCTTAAAGTAGCACCACTCGGCCCGCCGTAGTTCATGATTCGCACGCAACTCTGCGGCCAATTGGTGCGGGACGATTCAAGCACCGCCATGGGTGAGGAGCCACGTAGGAGCAATATGCAAGCCCATATGTACGCTGATCCGTATGAGTGAATATTCGAGCAGCTGTTTCATTGACTGACGGCATGAAACAGGCGTCTGTATACACGGCACCTTTGAATTCGCTGGCGTTCCATCAGCTAGCACTGGGTGGAACCAGGCGGGGGTGAGAATTGATGCATGGCCATGGGTACCCTTACAGCGTTAAATCTCTCTCGTCTTCCTATCACTGTAACCCAAGCTCTTGTCTATCTTTCAAGTTCCAACCAACGGTTTGATGCATGTCGCTTTTTCAGTCTTGCCAAAAGGTCCACTGATGCGGCCTGTTTTCGGCTACTGTGAGGATCAGGTCGCGCTTGCATATGGTAGCACCATTGAGTTTGCTGGTTGGCTGCTGCACAGGGATTAATTAGTAGGTATTATGGACGCAGCCACATATTCGCAGAGACAGTACAATACCTATTAAACGAAGGTCCCACAGAAGCACAGTGCCAGCGGAGCAACATACTACTAGTAGTAGTAGTACCATCACAGATGTATAGTACTTTGTACCAGGTGCGGAATAAAGGAGAAAGATTGCACTCGGCAAGATCTCAATGACAGAGGCTTGAGCTAGAGCCAGGAGAATGTGATAATAATCCTTGCGCCTTTGCGGCTCGGATATTATAACAAGTAGAAGTGGTCGAATGGCTGGCCCCCGTATTGGGTAGACGCACGGCAAATTCCGCTCCTAGTATGATGTAGGCCTAGACTCATCAGTGCATGATGCAGACTGCACCTGTCTTTCATTGCTCTCGGTTCTAGATTCATCATGGTCGACGCTGTGCATGCCTGTTGCTAGTGGCCTTTCATTCTCGAATTTGGTACAGTATATTTTGTGTGCTGAACGCAGTACAGTTGAAGAGAGTCTTTCTCGGATTGTGCAAGCGTTGCGTTAGCACTGGGCTGCACGCAAGGCCGTAATCCGAGATTAGACGATGAGCCATTGTCTCGCCAGCTGAGGTGTTGAGTTGGTGCCGAGAACTCCTGGGATGAGCGAGTACAGAAAAAGGGGGGCCGGAGTTGAGGCACAGTATGGAGTTTGTCCCAAAGTCCACGCAGAGGGAAGGAAGTATAGACATGAAAAATTGCAAGCAGAAAAAAAATGACGAAAAAGGAAGAGAAGGAGAAGGAAAAGGACGCCATCGTGAAACAGCCTCGCTGGGAGAAACCTTTGAAGCGAACGTGCTTGTAAACACAGTCGTGAAGTTGACGAGAGCCGGTCCCTGGATTTGGCCCAGTCTGCTAGAAAGGGTGTGCGAATAAGGAGTCAATGTAGTACAGAGTAGTGTACCGTATTCCTAGTGCACAACATTTCGCAGCAAAACGACTCCCCTTGCCAAGACTGACCGGCCATCTTGCCGCCAGTCAAACATGCCGAGCTCATACGGTGCATGGTTTGCTGGAATACAGGCGTCTAAGCAGATTATGATTGTGGCGATGGATCTGTTGGAAGAGTATTCTTGGTGACGTTCTTGTCTCGATGTAGTTTTTGGGTGCCTAGCCCCCAGACCGTGGGATTATGGTACAACGTGTGCGGCTTCAAGTTTGTGGCCGACAAGATTGACTGCCTGCTCGTTAGTCTCAGCATATCACAATGGAAAGGAGAAGACATGCCTGCCAGATCAGCCAGAAAGGGGGTGAGAGCAGTACCCGGTGGTCATTTAATTAGTACCAGCTACCTGGATTTGCGGCGTGGCTCTCCTTGCATCAGCGCCAGATTACCTTTGGCTAGTATTGATAATGGGCTCGGTGCATCTTCTAGTGGAGGCACCGCCGAGTGCTAAGCAGCGCTGGCTCAACTGCAGCGGCCAGCGAGAGAATGGCAATGTCAGCTGCACCATGATTTGATGCTTCGTAGATGTGGTGCGAGATGTTGATGATGTTGATGATGGTCATGGTTGATGCTCTACTTTACATGTAGTTTATGTTTTGGAATGATGAAGTTGACGTGGCAGGGCTGCCGGCTCATTGAAATTGCGCAGCCCGTTCCTTCCACAAGACAGAACGCGCTTGTCACTGCGCGCATCTACACATTTCATCTACACATTATGTGCACCACTTCATACTTTCATCTTTCCCGGTGGATTCTTTCATATTTGGATACTTCTTTCTCTCTCGGCTTATTCCACCGTGTACTTTCCCATCCTCAGCCAAGGTGACTGCATTCTCTCTCTTCTCTGGACAACAGATATTGCCGCTGAAA